TTGAGTAGAAAGAGATACACATGTATTTACACCATCGATTTTGTATGCATTAAACGGCTTTTCTCTCAAGCTAAATTACATCCACACAATCCTAGTAACATTATATACCTTCGCCAATCCTTATAATACCCAACATAAGATTGTCTTTAAACCAATAATCTTGGAGATCCCCTCTATTTTTCTGAATATAATCGACATGAAGCTTCAAAGTCTGCTCCTCGGGCTTCCCGGCCCTTTGCCGCTCTTGTAGATACTATCTATTCCTTGTTGGGACTGAGTGGTCCTCAATCGATAGGATCATGGTCTCGACTAACTGTCATGCTGGCAGTGATAGGGACGACGTTTTCGAAGCGATTCGGGCAGGCTTTTGTTCGGTGGAGGTATAGTGATCGGTTTCTATAACGAAAACAGAAAGAGATGTCATCAGCGATGACGGTCAAGGTATAGTTCAAGGTCCAGAATACGAACTAGGCTGCTTGAGTCTTCTTCTATAGGCGGCTCTGGATCATGAGGAGGACCTATAAGCCACTGCATAAGGATGGCGGCAGTTCTGACCACAAGATTCCAAACAGCTTTGGTGACTAGCATATTTCCAAGAAATCGGAGGAGTTTCAGGGAGGCTCAATAGGAAATTAGACAGGCGATCGTATAAAAGTTCTGGTGATGGGATGAACAAGGAAAGGGAGGCGGGCTTTATATGGTGAATTTCTTGTATATGGTGATTTTTTGAATTCGAAAGACCATCAACCTATGGACATGAGGCGCCACTTCCGGTACTTTTGTTAGATATGGAAGGAAAGTCCGGAAATTTTGATTTTGTTTTCTTTTTTACCCTTCTTTAAGGTGGGCAGACCCACAGCGCACATGAAATCGAAAGTTTCGAGTTCTGTCAACAAACACATTCGATCCCATTACGGTACAGGTAGACCCATATGATACTTGTCTTGTCAAAGATCTATATCCTTTCCCCAACCCCAATCCATGACACTAAATGGACCGGATCCACTTGCCTTCCGCCGGGACTCGTTTCAGAAAAGAGCTAGTTCAGACCCGAGAACCTTGCGCGCCAATGATATTTTCAATCTCCCTTTTTTCCTATTTCAAGCCATGAACTTCCAAAATGGCGGTCAAGGCCATCTGCGTTGGTCGGTCTCTTGTTCTCAAGAGTCAAGGTCCAATTCAGACTCTGATGCCATATCCTATTTATGTTCGCTTCATGGTTTTAGGAAAGATTTCAATCCTACAAAAAAATGATAGGGCAAAGTGTAACTAGATTTTATAGTCTGCCGAGTCATGATTTTGACTTGAAGACTCGGCGAATGTTTAATAATCTCAATATTATCTATCTGCTAGAAAAGTCGGGTTCCTGCGTCGCTTTATCGAATGCATCGTTCCCCGTAAAAACCGGGTGGGGTCGTCAGCTTACGGTTCCGCCCTAGTTCTTTGGAGCCTCAAAACCGGAGCGTACTAACATGAGCGTAAGACCAACCTGCGACGAGTTATGTACCATTTCCATAATATGATTCTGATCTCAGGTCCCCTTTTTCTACAGAGAACGTGGTGGAAGTCTGCAGAACAGCTCAAGTCAACTTATGACTCGTGGGCAGTCAAGCTCAACCCCGGATGGATAGCTGGGCATACGTGGTTGGAAGTCCTGAAATATCAGCATAAATCCTGAATCAGTCACACTTATTTATCTCATGTTTTCAGTAGGGTGCTCTCTTTTATCGTTGCCGGGCATCTTGTCGAGACTCATCGCAGAGGTATCATTTTCAGCTCAAGTTTGGGGCCATCTGGATGGAGGTGAGCTGTTAGGAGACTAGTTCTGTCAATGAATGAGCGATGCTTAAACACAGAATTGATGAATACCATTCCCATTCCCATTGCCTTAACACCTCACACGCTCCCCTTTCAACATTACACGGGAGATATTCAACATCTGAAAACGTAGAGCTCACTTTGAATTCGCGAGTAAGACCTCGAAAGGGAACTGTGTTGTTTCAAAAGGATTCAGTCTAGACTTTGAAACCTCTAATTAGCTAGATAAAATGCCGACGGCTATTCTGTGAATAGCAATAGTGGGACTTTTGACTTATTCATCAAGTGGAAGTTCAAACAAAATTCTCACACTAGCAGAGACAAGGTAGAATTAAGTTACGTCTTCTAAATCTACTTCCTAATAAGTTACTGACGGTATGTGCTATGTACTCTTTAGCTTGTTCAAACTCTAATTAAGGTTGTGTAGTGTAATGGTTCATCACTCCAGATTCTGATTCTGGCGATCCCGGTTCGATCCCGGGCACGACCTTCTTTTTGTTGTTTTTCTCTGTATCGCTTGTTTGCAAAATGCCTAGATTGCTTCTGTGGGGACAAAAATTTTATAGTGGAGCGAGCCCTAAGTTTTGCTTCATATTGTGTAAAAAGTTTACTTCTTCAACACCAACGGTTGTGTAGTGTAATGGTTCATCACTCCAGATTCTGATTCTGGCGATCCCGGTTCGATCCCGGGCACGACCTTTTTTTTTCCCCCGAACATGAATATTCTCGTGATAACGGAATCAGAGTCGTTAGCACCCTTAGCCGAACCGGCAGAATCTGCTGGGCTATGTCTAGTTGTATTCCTCCTTAGTCTTTGATACTGTACCCCCTCCTTGAATCACACTCTTATATGCTCTTAGTGAACCCTAGGAAAAGACTCTTTAAAAGTGATCTATAATGTTACCTCCTACTGTACAATAGTACTCTGACTACACTTGGTATACTAATCATTACCGTAGTGAGTATAGTGACCAAAAATATAGTCTATATGTAGTAAATGTGGTAACTATCACACATTTTCATTTCTTTCCTTGATACTCTCTATGTACTAACTCTCTACCATCCTAATCCTTATTTTGTGTAGCTATGTTTATTCCACAGTTATTTCCAGCCTTTCGTAACAAAGTGATTACATCGAGATATATACAAATTTTGATGATGATGATTACATACGGAATATTTAATACCCGTGATTTGCTAATCGATTTTGACAACTATAGTTAATTTAGCCGAGATAAATATAACAATGTGGATCTTCCCCTTCAACATTTCCTCTGAAGAAGTGAAATAGACCAAAAACACAAGCAAAAAGAGGTCGTGCCCGGGATCGAACCGGGATCGCCAGAATCAGAATCTGGAGTGATGAACCATTACACTACACAACCGAGGTTATTGGCGAGTTCTAAAATAGCGATTCTAGAAGGCCCAACACAGTAGCATGAATATTGTCAATTTTATAAGCAATGGCGAATCAATTGAGGAAAGGAATTACCTACAGCTATCCAACTAGGCTATTGCTTTGTTTGTCATTGAGTGTCTTTTATAAAACTTGCTAGGCCAGGGCCATTGAAGCCATGCCTCACTAAATAACTTTCCCATTACTTTCTCTCTACCCCAGGACTGTCAGCATCTCTAGCCTTCGGCCGTGCACTGTTGGAACAGCCCTTGGTACTCCTATCCTTGATTCGACAACCTCAAACTGATCCGACCTTTCGGAGACCTGTGGCTGGATGACCTGGAGACGCATTGATAGCTCTCGACAGTAATTTAACGCTTATTAAAAATCTAGAACAGAAAATCGCCCAAGAAAAGCACCATTTGGAAGTATTAATACGGTATAATCAAGTAAAATTAACGTTGACCAGGGATGTACCAAGATTCTACGTGAAATATGACGCAGTCGAAAGCTACTTAAGAGGAAGAATACGAATGGTGGAAGTTGCATCACGTCAGGCGGCCCCGCAAATACCTTGTTCGCCTATCTGGCCGCCTTGATGCCCCAGTGGCATGACATCTTTTCAACCAACGTTCGTAGTTGATGATCCTTGTCTCGGCGAAATCGATGACCCATCAAACCCATGTATTGCACCACTTCAGGATGCTGGATTTTCCTCGATAAACTGTCTGATGTTTGATCATTCAGGTCGAAGAGAGAATAATATACATTCTAGAGCACTCTATCCCCGGGATCTTTGGGAGATTCACGAACCATTCCTGTTTGCACTCCGGTATGTCAGCGGTGGTGGATATTTGCCGGGGAGCGAATGTGCGCGAGCGGATGCCAAAGTCTCTACAGAATGACCTTCGTATTCTTACCCTCTGGGAACGTTACAAAAATAATAGCCTGTGCTTGGAGCTCACCGAGGGCAAAAGCTCCGCTAGGCGTTCCTATTTGTCAGTCATTGCCAATTCTTTATGTTTTTTGGGAGGAACGAACGTTGGGGCCCAGGCATGTTGAACGGAGCAAGGGGCCAGACAGGATCTCTTGTTAGAGGGACAACCCCGTGCCCTTGGGGTTGCTCAATGGTAAACATATTTCTTTCGCCATGGTCAAGATGAAATTGGGGAGCTCCCTCACGTATTCGGGCTCAAATATCCATACAAAGAGTGTTCAGGCATTCTGGACGATAACGCTCCAAGGTGGACCGGACCATCCACAGTGTTGCAATAGTAGAACTTCGTCAATTTACATGTCCAGATTGTGGGCGCAAGGGTGATTGGAAGCCCGCTAATGCCGCCATTAACCTTATCCCTAGTGAAAGTGCCAACCGTACCTGGAGCAGATTCAAATATAATGGATGTGATCTGATCAACTCCCCGAGACAGGCAGATGTGTATTTTTCTCAGAGCCACATAAATATTCAAGTTGCGCAATTCAAGGAGGCCAAGCGGCTCACATAATAAAAGACTACAAACTAGCCATAAAACAAAGAATCACTAACGCTCAAGTGCGCTAAAGTTTGATAAGCTCCTAGCGGGAAAGACGTTGGGTAACTAGAGACCACGCCTTTACGGGCCGCATGACACTTTCTTCGTTTGAAACCAACACTATATTATCCGGTGTACTCCGGTGTGACCCTCCATCGCATACTTTCCTTTTAAACCTCCCCCAGCATATCCATGGATAGATCAGCCTAAGAATTCCCTCCAATTCCATATTTTCTTGATTTTGTCCTCTCTGAATGGCTGGTTTTATTGTATGGCCCCTCCTTGGGGTACTGATGTACTTCCTGCTGCGCAGGAAGACCGGCCCTCGCCTGAAGCACATTCCTATTGTTCGGTACTCCAAATATCTACCTGATACATTCAACAGGCTCATTTTCTATCCAAGAGCTCCATCAATGATTCACTGGGGATATCAAAAAGCAAGTCAACGCACTCTTGAGAATATTATCGAGATACTCATGTGAATGCGAAATATAGTACAAAGATCGCCCATTCCGCATACTGACGGGTGATGGTGAGCTCGTCGTCTTGCCAGTGAGATATTTGCCTGAGCTTCGATCTCTTACACCTTCGGTGATCAGCTCTTTGGATGCGCAGTATGAAGTATGAACCCATAACAGTCTTACAATACATACTTCTATTGCAGATGCTGACTATTCTACGCTAGAATGCTCTGGGAGAATATACCAATCTCCTCATCAACAGCTATCTTCCCTCCATGACAGTTCGAAAACGCTTAACTCCAAATCTTGGTGCCTAACAGCTTCCCCACAAAAGTATTCTCCAATTGCTGACATATACAGCACGAGTGATCCCATGGGTGATAGATGAGCTCCGCTATGCTTTTGATGCCGCTTTCCCAGAATGCGAAGGTACAACCAACCCATGATGCACCCCCATGAACCTGTCAAGTACCGATACTAACCAATACATCTTTGTCAAAAGACCACTGGGAACCCATACACCCCCACGAGGTATTCATACACCTCATCACCTGCGCTACATCCCGCATGCTAGCAGGCGACTCGCTTCGCCGCAACGAAGAATGGCTCAGCACAGCAAGCAGCTACGCCGTCAACGTAGGAGTGACCATCCTTCTCCTCCGTCCATTCCCACCTTTCCTCCGACCCATAGTAGCCATCTTCCTCCCCTCTGTCCGCCAAATGAAACGCCAGCTCCGCTTCGTGAAAGACCTCTTCATCCCCATGATCAACGAGCGGCGCATCGCACGCGAAACCGCCAAAGCAGAAAATGATCCGGGCTATGTGGCTCCTGATGACTTTCTGCAATGGATGATGGATATGGCGGAGGATGAGCAGGATAAAGACCCGGAGCTATTAGCACATCATTTGCTTTTGCTCATGAGCCTTGCGGTTGTGCATACGAGTTCCATGGCAATGTGTCATGCACTTTATGATCTAATCCTGATGCCAGAGTATCTTGCGCCCTTGCGGGAGGAGATTGAGGAGACGTTGATGTCTGGGTGGGAGAAGGCGACAAAGGGGTCGTTTGATAATCAGCGGAGACTGGATAGCTTCTTGAGAGAGTCTCAGCGGTTTGGGCCACCAGGAGAACGTGAGTATAACCTAGCTGATCTTTTGTTAATGTTTTGTATACCGTTTCAGTATTCGATGTTCCAATGCTGATCGGATCTTCTCTAGTGTCCTTCCACCGAATTTTGAAAGAGTCTTTAACCCTATCAGATGGCCTGTTCCTCCCTATAGGAACTCATATTTGTTTCCCGTCGGGACCAATCAGCAAGGATCCTTCTTTCATCAGCAATCCACAAACCTTCGACGGATTTCGCTGGTGTCAAGAGCCGAACGATCGACACGCTCTCTCAATATCCACCGATAACGACCCCATCCCAGAAGGAAAACAAGTCGACGACAGAAAAACAGAGGAATCTAAGGAGAGTAGTCAGACAATGTCCCTGGTCCCGTCGACTTCGACAAGTTTCGTAAGTATCAGCGCCTCCAGTATGCACTTTGGGGCAGGTCGGCAAGCTTGCCCAGGTCGGTTCTTTGCAGGGTGTACGATCAAGGCGATTTTCAGTAAGATTCTTATGGATTATGAGTTCAAGTATGAGGATGGAAGGGGTCAGCAAAGACCGCCGAATTTGCGTGTTGGAGAACATATCTTGCCGAATACTAGTACACCTGTACTATTTCGGAAAAGAGAAGTTCAAGGCTGATGATTTTTCGATTATCGACTAGGCTATCCACATACTGCTGGCATCCTACATGAATCCTGACATTAACCTCCTAAACATGATATCCCACCTCGGGGAAGGCCGATTAGCCCCATTCATAGGCACTTTGAGAGACCATGCAAGATAATTTAGTTGCGAAACCCTGGAAGAATAGCGATAGTAGAGTATTAACATTCGCTATCAACTTTTTTCTTTCTTTCTTGGACTGCGCCGATCTTCTCAACATTTATTGGTACAAGTGAAACTCTTAGCGGAACATTGTACATATCAGTGCAAGAACATATGATATGATACCAGAAATATCACAGAATGGAACAGAATAATACAGATCATTATTCATTCACAGCAGCAGCACCACCACGGCCCCGGCCACGGGCTCCATTGCCACGGGATCCATTGCCACGGCCGCGTCCTCGGCCGCGCCGTTGATCCACCCCCTGGGGCGGCGGAACTTGGTTGTAGCTTTGAGGTCGGAAATTGGGATTGTTTTGAATAACACCCTCGCCAGGATCGCTGTTGTCAACGGAAGTATACCCGCCTCTACCGCCTCTTCCTCCGCGGTTGCCATTAGTAGGAGCGCCTCGACCACGCGGGCCACGCGGGGGGCCCCCATTGATGTGAGGTCGGAATGGCAGCGTAGTGGGCTGGCCATTGCCGAGACCACCACGTCCACGGGAGGCATTGTTTCCAGAGACAGCGCCCTGGAAGGAACCTCTCAAGGGTGGAGGAGTGGGTGCACTCTTCAGTCCCAGGGGCGCACCATATCCCGGAACCGTCAGAGGGATGGGGTCCTGCTGGGGTTGCTGGCTTGTTGCAGCACGGGAGCTAGTGACCAATTGCCGGTAGGACAAATTCAGGACCGAAGACGCAGGAACTGTCTGGCCACGGAAAGGTGAGCAGCGCTTACCGAGATCTGTGCCGCTCATGAAAGAGACGTCAAAGACCACATCAAGCAAAATCGTCAGTGGTGTCCTGGTCAGACCCACCACGGTACCCCGAGTGGCAATTGGAACCTTTCCGGAGTTCTGAGCGTACACGACCCGATCACCGAGCTTGAATGTCTGGCTTCCAAGACGATGCTCGACATCCTCGGGCCGAAGCAGGGCACCTCGAGGGACACCGCGAACCTTCTTTGGCTGCATCTCAGGAAGAGACTGAGTCAACTCATCGGCGTCTTTTTGAATGAGAAAGACGATATCAGAGTCTAATTGCTCAGCTTCAAGAGGAACTCTTGCAAAGTCCTTGGCCTCAACAGCCTTTAGCCAATCGCGGATCTCCTTGATCTTCGTAAGAGCAATCTCCGCCGGGTAGAAATCGGTAGGTGAATAACGGTCATTCTGAGGGTTGCGCTGAATACCAGCGATGAACTCAGGGAAGGTAATCATGTACTGCTGGAGCAGATTGACCGCCTTCTGGCTGAATTCCCAACCAGATTGACCACGACGAGAATAACCAAGAACTTTCTGCTTGCGAGCCTCGAACTTGAGGTTCAGGCCCAGGTTGACACGCTGACCCTCTACGTCAACAGAGAAAGAGGACGTGATCTTGGCTAGCACCAGCGGGTTGAGGCGCAGATTTCGTGCAATAGCATACGAAGGCATGTAGGGGCAGGATCGCTCAGCCTCTGCAACATGCTTCCTTCCAAACTCTGGCTCTCGGCCTTTCACTGCTGCGACCAACCCATCCACCTTTCCATCAGAGTGGCCAGTCACATGGACAGGTCGTCCATAGTTGAAGTCGCCCAAGAAAAAGCAACGAGAGTTTACAGGGAACTCTTCTTCGATTGGAAGAGCCTCGCGCTCAATAAAACGCACATCAGGGTTGACGACGTCGTCAACCACCACCTGAAGAGCATAATCGGTTTCTTGTCCGGGAATGTCCGCGAACTCCTTAATAACGGCACCGTCATCAGTCTTGATCATACCTTTCAACAGTTGAATATGGACCAAAGACTCGACACCTCCAATAATGATGCCCAGCCGCTTGCTGTAGTTGCTTTCGATCTTGTCTGCCTTCTTCTTCCATTGCTCAATTTGCTGAGGGGTGTGCGGGATCTGTACAGGATGCTGCTCGCCCGGTGGGAGAATGTAGTCAAACAGCTCGTCTGAGACACGGACAACTAGGGCTTCTTGCAAATATGGGTATCCGACATGGACTCGCTGTCCAAGCTTTGTCTTGGCCAATTCAATGCCGGCACGACTAGATGGGTCCAGAAGGGTGATGACCTGACTTTCGTTGCGACTTTCCTGCTGGAATACACAGACTCCATGGAAGCCCAATTGACCGACACGAGGCAGAGTCTTCAGACTTGGGAAGCCGGCCAGGGCAGCATCACCCAATTGCACGCCATCCATCAGTCCATGGTATGGGACCAATCCGTCCATAGTAGGCAGTTCAAAGGTATTCTCAATACAGCGGCAGTTGGGAAGATCAGGGAATACACCAGGCATGGAAGAAGGGTAGACGAAGTTCACATCGGGGGAGAAGGTGAATTTCAAGCTGGCTCCAAACCCGTTACGAGCCTTCTCATCAGGGGTCAGGAGCTGTTGTCGGGTTTTCATGGCGTCCAGGAGGCGTTTTTCGTCAATGAAAGGAATCTTGACCACGGCTTCCCACTCCATCTTTTTCCCGTTCATGTCCAGATCGAAATCACGAGGGTAGAAGTCAATGATGGGAGATTCCGGCGAGGTCATCAGGTCCCAGTATGCAGTAGGAACGATCTTCTTACTGCGGTCCGGCAGGACACCCATAAGCTGCTCGAAAGGCCGGAAGGGCTGGCCGAGTCGGAAATTCATGTCCACACCCAGTCCTTTTGTCACGTCTGTTTTCCCAGTCAGTAAAAGAAAAGAAAAGAAAAGGTAAGAAAGGAAGATATAGGAACGGCGTCCAAAGCACTAACCAGAAATCATGGGGGCATAGTGATACCGGAAGAACCAGGACCACGATGCGATACCCCGATAGTAGTAGAATAGGACCCATTGAAGACCTTGCACATAGTTTTCGGCAAGCTTTTTCAATTCCTCCTCATTGTCGAGTCCCCATCCGAATTTAGTGCGATAATAGTTATCTCTCCACTCATAAAACTTCTCATCATACTTCTTCTTCGCCGCTTCTTGTGCTTCCTCGGCGGTCATGTCCTGGACCTTAGCCTTTTCATACTTCCGAATAATACGCTGGGTGGCCAGGGTGGCCTCCTCGTCTTCGAAGTTTTCTTCATCATCGCTGCCATCATGCTCGGGCTCGGGCAGCTGGAGTCTCATGAACCGATCACCGTTCTCATTTTCTGTGGTAGACCAAGGTACTCGAAGTTGGTCTGCAAGCTGTTCCACAAAGCCACGATCACGCGCCGGTAGCGTGGAAGGGAAATCCAAAGGTTTCGCTTCTGATCCCTTTCCAGACCGGTTCAGAACGTATTGTTTTATCTTCTTTAGAAGATCCTTTTGCGAAGACGTGATCGTCAGTTCTTTCGGGCCCTTCTCCAGTTCGAGCGAACCGTCATTCTTCTTCGATTTGACCCATTGGGCATCGGAGTTTTCGGCCTCAAAGAACCGATGCTCGAAAACACTCATCGCATCAATAAGTTTTCCGAGGCGCTCCAGACTGATAGTACCCGCTTCGTTGATGTAGCCACCTATCTTGGGTAAGACTTCCTTGTAGATCTTGAACATGAGCGCCAGGGCACCCTCGTTGATATGCAGATTGGGCAAATTGGGCAAGAAATCATTTCCCACGAAAAATGCCATGAGAATGAAGTCATCAATAACACGCTCCATATCAAACGGGAAGCTTAGAGTTCCTTCTTGCTCTAGCTCTTGGAATTCCAGTTCCAGATACTCCCGAACCATGCTAAGATGCAAAAGATAGAAGTTCTGATGTTCAAGCTCCTTGGGCTTTTTCTGTGTCTGACGGCCAAATGTTACCTCCTCTCGGAGAAGACAGAAATGGGGGTCATGACTGAGAAGACCCAACATGATCAGATCCGCATCCAAGCCATACAGACAGTGTCGCACGTTCGGGTGGTAACCCGGTTGCGCTTTCGCTTGACGAATGTATTCCATGATTTTGTGCTCGCCTTCTCCGGGAACCTCATGTCCCGAGAGCACAATTTCCACTCCTTGCCAATCCGAATCTTCCGAAATCTTCTTGTTGATGAAGTATTTCAATTGTTGCGTCAGTCTTGCCATGAACCCGGTACCGGGTGTGATGCAGTTGCTGTCGAATGGGTCTTCTTTCGGCATCTCCATGCCCTGGGCGATTGCCTTCTCCTTCGCATTTTCAGCGTCAAGCGCAGTTCGGAAGCGGCGTGCACGTTGTTGATTCATCTTAGCTCGTGGTGCAACACCATCGACAGCCATGAAAAACAGCTTCTGTGGCTTGATCTTTCCAAACAGGTGCTCGATATAGTTGAAGATCGCAATAAACATCTGCTCTTCCGACATGCGGAACGTCGGGGAGTCACTATCGCTGTGTGTACAGTTGTGAATAATACCGTTCATATCCAGGTATAAGCTGTCAAATTCGGGAATACGGCTCTCCTTGATGAGCATGGAAATGGCGGGATACCGCTCACTCAGCCATCGGAAGAACTTCGGAACACCCATTGTGGTTGGTTGTGTTTGATGGAGGGTGAAACAGCAAATTAGTTCAGAAGGGAGTGAATAGAGTCACTGCGGCGTGGGGGTGCGTTGCCGTGGGTTGGTGTGGAAGGATGTGGATGCGTCACAATCAGCGGGGAATCATTCAACATGTAACAACCGTAATCTCGTAATTCAACAGAATGAGAGAAAACAAAACAAGATCAACGCCAAATATCCCGCAGATGCGAAACACAGGGGAGGATACAAAAAGGGAATGGTAGACAAGGTTGAAAGATGAAAAGATGCAAAAGAGTAAAAGTTGCAAAGTTGGGCCGTGAAGCAAGCTCAAGTCATTGCCAAGCAATAAGTGACCTGTTTAGGACTAGCGCCTGTCACCCGCCCATTAACGCGGGTTTCGCGTTTGGAATCGCCCTTCTCTTCTCTGCTTTAAATTTCGTCTTTTATTTTTAAGAAACTAGTCGTCTTAACCCACAAGTGGCTTGGTCGCATCAAAATCAACATAATACAGTGCGCAACATGGACTACGAGGAAGAGAACGGTATGTTGGCTGGGTCTAGAAATTGCCTGCTGGAAATCTCCGTTCTAATTGTGCTGCAGCAGCGGTGGAGGAGCAACAAGAGCTGAAGGAAAGTGAGCACAGCAACGAGAAGATTATCAATGAGGGTATGTACCAGCATTATGACTGTCTCTGTCAAATGTCGCCCATTGGAGTTGATGGCCAGGGCTAAATCGGACTATTCTCTTCAGAATACAAGACATGGAAGAAGAACGCACCATTTCTGTATGATATGATCTTGAGCACAGCTTTGGAGTGGCCCACCCTCACAACCCAGTGGCTTCCAGACAAACAAGAGTGAGTTCTTCAAGCTTCCTTTCAATCCAAGCTTCAGTGTAGGGCTAATACTTGGTCCAGAGTCCCCGATAAGCCTTATTCCACTCATCGTTTGCTCATCGGCACCCACACAGCCGGTGATGCTCAAAACTACCTTCAAATTGCCCACATCCAGCTTCCCAACCCAAATGCCCCAAATCCAGAAGATTACGATGAGGAGCGCGGGGAGATTGGCGGCTATGGCGGTGGGCCCAAGAAGCCCCAGATGGAGATTAAATTCAACATTGCTCAGAAGATTGACCACAAGGGGGAGGTCAACAAGGCTCGGTATCAGCCTCAGAACCCCAACATTATTGCGACCATGTGTACCGATGGTCGAGTGATGATCTGGGACCGTTCAAAGCACCCCAGCCAGCCCACTGGCACTGTGAACCCCCAAATGGAGCTCCTTGGACACGAGGCAGAGGGCTTTGGATTAAGTTGGAACCCACATGAAGCCGGTCACCTTGCTACGGGTAGTGAAGACAAGACTGTTCGACTCTGGTAAGCCAATAATCTCTCATGCATGTCGAGACGGCACTCACCAATTACGTAGGGACCTTACAACATACACCAAGGGCAACAAGGCCGTCCGCCCCACCCGCACCTACACTCACCACTCTTCCATCGTGAACGACGTTCAGCACCACCCTCTTCACTCATCTCTCATTGGAACTGTTTCCGATGATATCACCCTTCAGATCATCGATGTGCGCTCTGCCGACTCTACCCGTGCGGCCGCGTCAGCGGAGGGCCAGCACCGTGATGCTATCAATTCTATCTCCTTCAACCCGGCGGCAGAGACAATCCTGGCTACCGGTTCCGCAGACAAGACCATTGGCCTGTGGGATCTCCGAAACCTCAAGACCAAGCTCCACTCCTTGGAAGGCCACACGGATTCTGTGCAGTCAATCGCATGGCATCCCTTCGAGGAGTCCGTTCTGGCTAGTTCCAGCTATGACCGGAAGATTATGTTCTGGGACCTCAGCCGTGCTGGTGAGGAGCAGACCCCTGAGGACGCGCAGGACGGTCCTCCTGAGCTGTATGTAACCCATTATTGCTTTATTTTCATCCTATTCCGCTTGACTAACTTGATACTCAGTCTGTTCATGCACGGTGGTCACACCAACCGTCTCTCCGACTTCAGCTGGAACCTCAGCGACCCATGGGTGTTGTGTTCGGCTGCCGAAGACAACCTTCTCCAGGTATGGAAGGTTGCAGATGCGATTGTGGGTAAAGATCTGGAAGATGTCCCGACTGAGGAGCTGGAGGCATAATTTAACTCTATCCTTCTCTGTTTTGTTTGAGTTATGTGCCAATACTTATTACCCTGCTATGGTTGCCGGCGAAACATAGGGTCATGTAATGAGGAGCAATTGAAAACCGGATTATCAATTTTGCTTTTAATCGCCTATAAAAATAGGCCTCTTGCCTACCGAAACAATCCATGTACCTATAAGCGCATGAGGGCGGGGTAGATATTCTTATTCATCACTAAACCCTTCTTAGACTAGTTACTACTAGGGTTCTGGTCCTCCAAAAAAAAAGTTTGCCACACAGTCTTCTAAATTGAATTTCTCGATTTTAATTTCTATCTTTAATTCACGTAGATTCTTGTTCGAATATTTTCCGTCTATCATACGAAGCACAGTCTACTTTTTCAATATCGTTATCGGAATCCCCCAAACACATGAAGCTGTTTATTGGTGGATAACCAAGGCGGTGTCAGGGATGATGGTGACTTATTTCGTGAAAGAGGCTTAGCGTACTCTCGGATGGCCGTTGCGTCCAAAAAAAAAGTAGTCATCCAAGCCCATGCTGACCTTATAATCGGACTTTTTGAAGTCAATTTTTCTTCCCTTTTAATTTCAATTTGGCTTGAAAGATTACCCCACCAACCCTCTGTTGCCAATCATCTTAAATTTGTCAATATCTCCGATTTCATTCATCATGAGCTCAGGATCGCCCCCGGGCTCGAAGCCCTCTGCAATTCCATCCCACATGTTGAATGGTAGCTCTCCTTTGCAGTCATCCTCAGGCTCTGTCTCAAGCTCTGGCACTGGAAACCGAACGCGGGATGCACGTGAGCGTGAGAGTCTCAACACTTCTATCCGCTCATCTTTCGCTCCCAGAGTTCCTGCGGGGTTGGGGTTCGATGTTGAGAATGCTCGGCCTGCCCCACCTGGTGATGCTATTGCCCGCGAAGACGGGGCTACCCACGGCGCTCTGTCCATCCGGTATGCTTCAATTGCGGTTTTCCGATGCCAATTTTAGTTGCAGATGTTCTAATAAACTCATAGTGGAAGACCGACCTTGAATGATCCTCCCCGCGATCCCCGGGATGAGGCCGCTCCATTGACCCCGCCGACGACGGTTTCCCGCCCCGCCAGCCCCTACACATTGAACCCCCCAGTCGATTTTGATGGACTCAGTTGGCCTTGTAGGTGTCTCCAATTGCCACTTGGTATTCAAGCAATTTTACTAATTACACCATTGTTGCAAAGGCCCCGGAACCCGGCAGCGGTTGGAATCTACCCCGGAAGAAAACGAGGAGCGGATCAAGAAGCTGGCAGGTGCTGTGCGAACAATTTTGGAATGTGTTGGAGAAGATCCTGAACGTGAGGGTCTTCGCGAGACTCCCGAGCGCTACGCCAAGGCTATGCTCTACTTCACTAAGGGATACGAAGAGAACGTGCGGGACCTGGTCAACGGCGCTGTTTTCCACGAAGATCATGACGAACTCGTCATTGTCAAGGATATTGATGTGTTCTCACTGTGTGAACACCACATGGTTCCCTTTACTGGAAAGGTATGATTACTTATCATTTTTATATGTGCGTGGCGAATAGTAGTGCTGACTATGTGGGGCAGATGCATATCGGTTACATCCCGGATCGCCGTGTTCTGGGACTTTCGAAATTGGCCCGTCTGGCTGAAATGTTCTCCCGCAGACTGCAAGTCCAAGAGCGCTTGACTAAGCAAGTGGCTCTGGCTATTTCGGAGGTGCTGAAGCCTCGTGGTGTTGGTGTTGTCATGGAATCCTCGCACCTTTGCATGGTTATGCGTGGTGTGCAGAAAGTTGGCAGCACCACTACCACAAGCTGCATGCTAGGATGCATGCGATCAAGTGCTAAAACCAGAGAGGAGTTTTTGACGCTCTTGCATCGCAGATAAATTCTCCCACTCTTCATCTGTGCCATATGTTTCCGGCTTGATCCGAGCTCGGAATCCTAGTTACGATCTTGGAGTTGGGGTGTGACCTTTCAACAGGTTTGTTTAATGTTGGTTTTCATCTTTTGAGCATGAGGCTCTAGCGGGAATTTGGTTCTTTTTTTTCTTTTTCCTCCTTTCACCAAGTTATCTTGGTTCTTGCATATACCACTGGCAGCATTACTGGATCCTACACACCCAGGCTGCCTTTCAACACCTTACCCACTCGTTTAAGACCCAATCTAGGGTCTAGGGTCATGACTTTTTTATGTCGCTGGATTTTATGTTCTGGTTCACAGATAACAATCTCTTCGACTTCATGATGTTTCAACATTTGCCGCCAATTCGATGGTTTTCTGTGGTTTTTCTTTTACTGGGGTTTTGCTTTTGGAGACTCAAACCCTCTCGGCGCGCCGGCCAGGCTGTTTCAACACTTGACGTTTTCATTAATGTACTCAAAAATTTTGATAATATGGCGCTATAGCCATGTTGCCTGTATTCATTGATATTCATCCTGTTCATGTACTGAATGATATGTACGGATATATCTAATCTTCCATCTTGGCAACGTGTAAATCATAGTTTGCATCTCTATCAAAATGTCAACGGATACATGTACCTACAAAGACTCGGAGCAAGCTTAATCTTCCCCACTAGTTGATACATCTTGATGGTCTGTAGATGTGGCACCATGATAATCTACATATATACAAACAACTAGAAAAATGACAATTGAACATGTCATGTACTTTAACGTAAAAGGTTGTCAATTATCACATAAAGTACGCCTTATTTCCAACATGGAACCTTGGAAGGGTTTAAAAGGATCACTGGATTGTCTCTGTGGACTTGAAGAAGACCTTTTCTTATGATTAGGTAGCAGCTCGGCCTCTCTAAAGAATATTCCCTTATTCAAGGTTAATCAGCGTTGTAATATATATTAAGTGGGGGTGGACATTCACTGTTGTTTACACTAGGCTGCGACGAGTGAATAACTCGTAGTGAATGACCGTCAGTGAATGACCGTCAGTGAATGAGATCCACGATATCCTCCACCTTATACTCAATATTTCCCTCCACCTTCCAGATATCTTACATATTCTTTGCACTTTCTACACAATCGTCTTTCACTGTCCTTCTCTTGTGAATCTCTTGTGTCACAAGCTGGCTGAGCTTGTATCCCATTCTGTGAGTAACTGTTGATGTTGACGCGAATCTCCTGAAGAAGTTTCAAGGTCACCTCAAGGCAGTTCTTCTTGGAATTGTTATATCTAGCCAACACGAGCATGATTGCTAATATCATAGAGACAGGCAGTTCGCCCTTCTTTAAGGCTCCTGTGAAGGCAACCCAAGAAATCATCAGCCAGTTACTAGTTCTGCATACATTTGAATCAGTACCAGATTAAAGGTCAGTCATATCTCGATGTCTGACATTCTTCAAAGCAATATTCGAAGCCGACGGAACGAATTGCGCCCTTCGTGTACTGGATCAGATGAAATCCGAATGGCCTCAGATATTGAGCTGAAACAACATAGACCCCGATACTGACCAGCCATGTTAGTTTCAGCTTCACAATACCGATATGGAAGACCTCAACGCTCAAAAGGGACCTGTTCAGCCTGCCGATGCCGAGGATCCCGCCGTTCCAAACGCTTCTACCCAGATTTCTATTGCTCAAGTGGTCGATGGGCAGCATGTCAGCACTCCCACCCCAACTTCTCACTCTGATAGTACCCGGGTTATTGCCACACAAGACACATCCACTGAAGGCTCTGCTTCCTTCTTGATGGCGGCTCAAGGTGTCCCCGCTGACAATCTCCGTGGTCAAAATTTCGGATCTGGTACTGTGGTTTATGTCGCAAGACCACCAACTCGCAACACGACAATTGATCCTCCCCAGAAAGTACCTCAGGGCTACTCCACTTCAGAGCAATCCATCAATGCCTCAGGTCTCCAAGGCGTTCCGCCTCCAGGAGATCACAACATTAGGGCTGTTACTCAGAGCGCCAATACCTTAAGTCTCATGCCACTGGGCCCTGGAGTCAACCCCATTGCTGACCACACTGTCAACTCCCTTAGTTATCTAATGAATTCCGAGGCCAATCAGAGAAATGCAGGTGAAGGTCTTCATCCATCACTCTCTGCAGCGAATACCCACTCGCCAGGCGTTAGTGTCAGTATGCCTTTCTACCCACCGAACAGTGGAAATTCCTCAGCAAACAGTGGGAATGAGCAGGCTCTTCCGATTCCGAATCCAAATCCGGGAAACGTTGTCGCAGGCACATCCTCCTCTAGCCACAACCGGCCAGGTACTTCTGCTGCTCCCCGCGCGGAAGATCCTGTCGCGGTTGCTCTTCTGGAACACATCTATTCAGGGAGGGGTGGGCCGTTTGATGCCCTTCCGCATATGAGACGTCGCAACCAGGCTCAAGCCAACGCCCAAGATGATGCTCGAGCCCACGCTGCTGCTCAGGACAACATTACTGTTCAGGCCAACGCCGCTGCTCAAGCTGGTGCCGCTGCCTATCTCAACTACATTGCTCCTCGGACCGTGTTGCAGTCGCACAATCCGGGCCAATCAACTCACGTCCCAAATCAGCCTCTTGGTGTGCAAGCCTTGATGAACCGAGCTAATCAAGCTCGTAACGCTCGGGCTCGGAATCCCAGGAATCATAGCCAGGGTCCTGTTTTCGACCCTAGAGACGCTGTAGCTGTTGAGCTTAGTAATAACATTGCGATCAACTCTCGGACTATAGCCGAGCACCGTGGTAGAGTCCAGCACTACGCTTCAAACTTTCAGCGTGCTCGCTCAAAACCGCAGGCTCAGCGTGTTCTTCAGCAGGGTCAGCCCCCAATCACAACCCCAGCCACTGGTTCTCAGCCTGCAACTCCAAGCACTGGTTCTCAGCCCGCAACCCCAACCACTGGTTCTCGGCCTACAGATCAAGACCCAGCGAGCGCTAGTGGAGAGACCCAAACAACCAACAACGCGTTTGATGGCATGCTCCAGATCATTGGTGAGCAAGATACTCAGCTTGCAGCAGCCGGGCTTGATCGTCTTGGATTTCCTGTCGAAGTTCCACCCCGACCGACCCAGGTTTACTTACCAAACGATATGCTCCAGGCGTACTTGATCCGAATGCAGCTCATTGGTGGTATCCCCCCAAATGAAGTCATACGTATGGACAGCCATACTACTCAGCAACGGCTGCGGTACGGCGAGAGAAGAGCCAGCAATCCTGCTATCATCAATGTGAACCGACGAATCGGTAGATTGGAAATTCCATACATACCCCCTGCACGATTCACCGGTCGCCTTGAACCCCTTCCCACTGACACGGAAGGTTGGTACCCGGCTGTTCCTGAAGATGTGCAGGCCCTTCCTTCTAGTGCTTCTCTTCCCCCGCCTGATGACAGCGGTGGAAACAACACTGGTGTTTTTGCATCTGATACAGAGCTTCTTCAGCATATTTTCCCGGAGAACACCCAGCAGGAATCCGACAATGACGTTATTATGAGTGACTCCAACAACACTACTCCGCAGTCGCAGAACAGTGAAGACAGCAACCCGACTGATTCGGCGGACAGAGAATGTATGGAAGGACTTGAGCCAGGAGCGAATTGAGATATGATGCCATTCAATGGTTTGACAGTCACGTTCTGATACAGATATGGGAGTCGCAGGACTGACAGATATGACTTGCAATGAAGTGAAGAGAGAGGTCCATGTGGAAAAAATATTTATTTCATAGCTTAATTATTTTACCCCAAAATCATCTATTAGTGCTGGCAGCAACCAAAAATAAAAATAAAAATAGAAATCGAACTAAAAATTGTACATGGGCTGTTATCATAAAGGATTCCTACATCGATCAAAGCCACGTGATTTGGCACGTGATCGATCGAAGTCCCTCCCGCAACCTCAGCCTGACGTGACATCAACACCACTTTCATGTCCCACTCGCCCCATCAGATCGTCGCGACTGAACTTCCAAGCATATTTCCCAAGTACCCCGTTCTTGCTACTTTACGGCGCTCTGTTTAAAATCATCTCTCTTGTCAATATACTGGATGCATTTGGAGTATTAAGCCACAAAAAGCCAACTCATCCCGCACGGTCCCAGGACGAGGGCCAGACAGCCAAAGCAACCCAATCAGCAACACAGTCAAGCACCTGAAGTATGGACAGCATACAAACTCACATCCACAGTCTTAGGCCAGCAGTCCGTTTTTTTCGGTTCTTCCTTACTTAAGATACAGCGAGGTTAGGAAGGGGGTGTTAGTGAACGGGCCTGCCATGTGTTCTTCCTTTACAGCTCTTCACAGCTCCTCGGCGAACTGCTGAATTTGATGTCAAAGGCGGTTGATTGAGTTTCGCTTTCCTGTCACCCTGACATGGAGTGCTCGGTGCTTTTACCTCCTTACATCTTGCGAGTTTCACGCTCTCTGCACATCAGGGTGATCTGCGAGGCTTGAAAATAGACTCGACCCTGCGGCGCACATGGCAACTTTTTCAGGACTTCGGGGGGCAATTTTGGAAAAATTGGGAGCAATCGTTGATGGGGACTAGGCGATGGGATTCCCTTGTCAGATATACCCTCCCTGGTCTAACCAGATGGGATCTTTTCGGTTTCGTTATGTTTTGGATTTTCTTTTCTGTTTCGGATAGACATGACTTTTGTCTATCCGCCGTAAACCATGACCAGCGTGGCGGCATTGCAGCGTATGGTGGATCTTTTGTCTTTTCCTTATTTCGAACCGACGGCATCAAGTTCAGCAACTTGTCAGATCACTGCTCAGAAATAACGACTCATAATGGGGTTGGGCACACCAGAGATGACGCAGACTGAAAATTTACAGGCAAGATGCTACAGTCTTGTGCGGACTTAACAACCGCACCATGATCGAGCAAAAGGGCGAATTTTCATCACCGGCTGACTGAACCAGCCTCGGATCAGCTGATTACAGCACTGCTCGACCTGTGGCCAATCTGGCTTTTATGCAGAACGTAGATATAATGATTCACTTGATCTTCAGTGTGATCTTGCCTCGAGGCAATTATGCGATGCGAAAATGAGTGGAAAAAGCACCACCTCGAATTGAACTGACCACAGTCATCGGTTTTGAACCCTCTACTGGGAAACAAAACAGAAAAAGAAGAAGAAAAAGAAACATCTTTTTCAACCTACAAACGCCAAATGGAAAGGAACAAACAAGCCACAGAAAACACAGACTGAACTGGATCAGCTCGACTAATGGCGGTTGTGCATGATTGCTTCGAATCCAGTTGTAAAGCCGCACAGGGCTGGCCATCACCTTTCACATTGGCCTTTGAATCGCAACACAGCGAAAAGTAGACTTTATCGTGGGATTGCGATACAATATTCTTGTTCTATTCATTCATCTCCGAGCTCAAGATATGTCGATATGTCCCCTTGCTCATCAATTTCCTATGGTCGGAAAAACCACTAATCCGGGATCTTCCCCCCAAATCAGAACTTCCGCCTGGGCGACGCGGTCACGATCGAGCCGGCTCCACTTGCGCTTCATTCGACTTATTGCGGACACGACCAACCTCCCCAACCTTGTTCGGTTCACATTATTTATCCCCAAGAGCCAACGCCAGATGCCGCTGGTGAACTTTTCATGGCTGGGTCCCGTAGGAGTCCGGTGTTGAGAGACCAGTGGAGTGCCGACCCAGACCGCGACGCCCACTTTAGGGACAGTCGCAGAGGTCGAGGGTCTCATCGAGATCGGGGCAGAAACCGCCATCGTGATCGAGGTCGTCCATCAAGGCCCAACCCCAATGAACATCGTTTCGACTATCCTGCTCGCTCGCCACCTGCATCTACACACATGTCCCACCTCGGCCCTGATTCATCTTTCGCCCCAGGTGACTCTGCCCTCAGTCGCTCGCCACCTCGTGGCTCCTCTGGCCCCTCTCCTGGATTTTATGAGAATCGACGACCGGACCAGAATCGACATCCTTCACCCGGAGACTGGAACGATCATCCATCAGGAACTATGAACGGTGGAGGCCCGGGTTTTCGACGAGATGACTCCCCATCTGGGCCCCCATCCAAACGCAAAAGAACCCGCAGCCCCTCCCCCCGTGGCCAACGTGGTCCCTTCCCTCCTCGCCGCTCTTCGTTTTCGAAGCCCGGAGACCGCCGCGACCGCAGTCCCTCCTATAAAAACCGAGGAGGACGGTTTCCAGGGCGTGGTGGCCCTAGACGAAGATCTCCGCGTCGGGGTCGTGGAGACCGTCGTGGAAAAGACCGCCGCCGCTCTGATCTCCCACGGTTAGATCGGGACCGATCTAGGTCACCTATGCGTGGCCGAGGATACCATCCATCACCAGAACGTCGCTCTCGGCCGCCGAGTGGCGATGGTTATAGTGACAGAGGCTCTCGTTACAGATCTCGCTCTTTATCTCGGCATTCTGCAGGCTCGAGGAGATCATTACATTCCATACCTGTACCAGTTGATGAGGGGATGAATTCAGTTCTACCAAGTAGGTCTGTCTCGGGTCGCTCCCCATCACCGCGTCCAATCCCGAGTTTCGATGACAGTCAGCGTGGTACACTTCCAATACATGGGATGCGGCAATCAGATGTGCCAAATAAGCAACGCCGTCGTTCGCGACCACATATTGACCCTCAACATTATTCAGCTTCGCCGCAGTTTACGTCGACCAGTTCATGCCATGGTTCTCCCCCACCTACTTCTCCATCTGGTGGAAGGTCTGGTTGGAACGGCCAAAATTCTTATCCCGCTCCTGGGTGAGTTGAATCTCTCTTTCTTGTCACTTCTCACTATCTCACTCTCACCTGTCCACATTATACTAACATTGGTTGGTCTGAAGTAGACCCTCTTCACCTTACCGACAAGATAATTACTACTCTCAAAATGCTTCTTCGGGACAATCCCATCAAATGCATCAATCATTCGATGGTCCGCCGAATAATCACTCTCAGTCTTATAGCGGATCGCCCTACCGCGGAGGCCACTCTGGCTTTCGCGGAAACCTTGCAAACCAAGGCCCAGATCGTCGATACTCTGGGTCTGGTCCTCACCAATATAACAATGGACCATCCCAACACGGTGGCAGAGGCAACTTCAATAACTTCCAGTGGACCTCACGTGGTCGTGGTGGGCATCAGAGTCCCCGGCCACTGCATTCTCATGGCCCCCAAACGCCTACCCACCCGTCATCAATCAACGATCCCCAATCACCACGGGCGCTCGAGCATGAACACAACTCTCGCCCCATAAACAACAGAGACGTCCAACGAGAGGACTATCGAGCCCCGCTAATAGAGAGCGGCGATGGCCAAGGTGATCTCCGGATAATGCCACCCCCAGCTCATGACCAAGAGGCTTCAACCCCAGCAGACAAAGGTGGGAAGTTCAGTTTCGCTTTCAAAGCGAAGACGACTCCCACTACTGCTCCAAAACCGGTGCCAGATCTGGCACAACGGATGCAAGTCCTCGATGCGCCACCCCGTGCGCCTGCATCGGAGGCTTCGTCTCCTCGCAATCGCTTAACCAACGGTCCCTTGCCGAAATTCAAGCCGGAGCCCCGAGTAGATCGCCGCGAAAGAGAACGTGGACGGGACCGGGGACGAGACCGGGACCGCAGGAATCCTCGCGACTCACGAGATTTCCAAGATACTCGCGAACGCCAAGACGACCGCCGGTTCGATCAGCGTCGTGATCGACGAAGGGGTGATCGCCGCCCTGACTTTCGGCCAGATCGCCGCAAGGATCCTTCGCCAGAGCCTCCAAGTGAGCCGCCCAAGCGGACAAAGATCCTTACCCGTTACAAGGAACGTCCGACGTTACCTGCGCACTACGCCGCTGTCGATTCGGTGTACTACCGGAAGCCTGGGAATGAATCTGTGATTGGTGCCGGTACTTACGGCAAAGTCTTCAAGGGCATCCACGTGTTCACTAAGCGCGAAGTAGCTTTGAAGAAGATCCGAATGGAAGGCGAGAAAGATGGATTCCCCGTTACAGCCGTGCGAGAAATCAAGCTCCTTCAGCACCTTCGAAGTCACAATGTGGTCAGTCTTTTGGAAGTCATGGTTGAAAAGAATGAGTGCTTCATGGTCTTTGAGTATCTTTCGCATGATTTGACGGGTCTGATCAACCATCCGGATTTCACTCTCAACCTGGCTCACAAGAAGGACTTGGCCAAGCAGATGTTTGCAGGGTTGAATTTCCTACACCACCGCGGTGTTCTGCATCGAGACATCAAGGCTGCTAACATTCTGATCAGCAACACCGGACTGTTGAAGTTTGCGGACTTTGGTCTGGCCCGGTTCTTTTCGAAGAGCCACAAGATGGACTACACCAACCGTGTGATTACGATTTGGTACCGACCACCGGAGCTTCTTCTGGGCGAGACGCGGTACGGCCCCGCTGTTGACGTATGGAGTGCTGCATGTGTCTGCATGGAGATGTTCACCAAGAAGGCCGTTTTCCCTGGTGATGGGGGTGAAATCAGTCAACTTGATAAGATCTACAATTGTTTAGGTACTCCCACTCTGGCTGAGTGGACAGATTTCGTGGAAATGCCGTGGTTTCAGATGATGCGCCCCCAGGAGCGCAAAAAGCGGGCTTTTGAGGACATGTACCGAGAGATGTTGACTCCCGCGGCAATGGATTTAATCTCGTCAGTGTTCCAGTACGACCCTGCCAAGCGGCCTACCGCCGAGCAGGTACTGCAACATCCCTACTTCCTGGCTGAGGAACCAGCTCCTCAGCAGGCCATTGAGTGAGTCCCAACAATTGCCTTGCTCTAATGTGGGGTTTCCCCTAACTAACTCGTTTCCAGGTTGGAATTTATGGAAGGGGATTGGCACGAATTTGAATCGAAGGCGCTTCGCAAGGAGGCTCGTCGCGTCGAGGCGCAGGCGCAGAGCCAAAAGGACCGAGAGAAGCGCAAGGCTGAGGGCTCGAGTGATCGTGACCCTAAGCGGACGCGGGCGGACATGCCCTGATTGGGGGGAGTTTATTTGCTTTTCTTGTATTGGGGCATTTGGCGTGGTTGGAGGTGACGCATTTACACGGAAATTCATTCGGGAAATACTATTGGAGATTTGCTTTTGTTACTTAACTGCCCATATCTAAAATATACTTCTAAAAAATTCATTCAATCTCTCTGTAAAGCGACGTGTCATGGTGGATGAGAGGGGCTCAAGGGGTGGTGTGGCTGTGCAGTCTCGGTGTGTCCTAATGTAATGTACTAGATAAACGGCTTCGCGTCAGTCTATGGCGAAAACATAACATTTGAAAATTATCAACATTAGGAAGCCCTGGATGATCAGACTTTGCCAAATAACCTCACGCCCGACCAGTCCCTCGGCGAAACGCCTAGTAGAAGAAAAAGGGCGGTTGGGACTTCGGATTACCAGAGAGCTCAAGGAATTTCTTCATTTATCCGAGGGAAAGAGAGGGAGAAATAATGTCAAATGATTTGGATTTCTATCAAAACGTACCCTATACTAAGTATCAAAAGTGAATTGTCTCGTCAATCAGGTCATCAATGAATCCTGGGAAGCTCCGTAGAGCCCTCGCAATGATGGTTTTAGATGCGACATTTTACTCTCGACTCACTCATCGGAAATGACCGGGCAGTAGTGAAATAAGATTCCGGGCATTGATTTGAGTTGGTGGTCTTGATTGTAAAGAAGAAAAAGAAGAAAAGGAAGACAGAAAACTTTTTTCCCTTTTTAAAAGGTTTGGCGGCTCGGGAAAATAGACGGTGCGGTGCGTCAGCCGAAGTGGAATCTGATTGGCTGAAAGGAGCTTTCGTTCGAGTCTCCAATTCCCTTGCAATTCCAATTCCAATTCCAATTCCCATAAACCCTACACCCCGAATCTTTATCCTCCACCTTTGGATTCTTTGCCTAAAACCCAACCATCCCCTTTTAACATTTCCACGAAATCATACAATCTCAACTTCTTCTTTTTTCGTTTTTTCGTCTGCGCTTCCAGATACCCTTCCCCCGCCCGCCACCTCCGTCCGCATCCTCCGCCGCCATCCCACCCACTTTGCTTTTTTCTCCCCAAATTTAAGATCCTGTAGCTGTCTACGTCACCGACCCGATCCGTGCGAGTTGTCTTTGCGTCGTGCCCTGTCATCTTCTCTGAGCTCTTCTCTTCTCCCGGATGACCGCTCGTGTCTCGGGCAGTCTCACCCGCCGCGATGGATAATGCCAACCTATGGACTCGTCGAGCAAAGTAAGCGGCCCAATATATCTCCACCCTATTTGGCTTGAATCCCAAAGATCACTAACCATTCTTCTTCCTTTGTCACTAGCTCCTCCAAACTGTCTTTGTCCATGTCCGGAACCGACGGCAAGGACGGTGCCCGCGTCGACTTGCCCCGCCCATCCAAACGATTCGGCCCGGACAGCTCTCACGGTCGTTCCAATCCATTTAACGCAGTATCTCCCATGTCTACCGGAGTCCCCTCTCCTTCCACGAATGCCTCGTCTGCCTTCGGCTTAGGCTCAGGTGCATTCGCCTCGTTTGGCGCCCCCAAGACCGGAAGCTCATCGGAAGTCAAGACGCCCGGTGAGAAGCGCGATCACTCCACAGAGCAGGAGGAGGCCCTCCAAGCCAAGGCGCTGGCCCATACTTCCATGCCTGGGCCTGGAGAACACCCTCTCAAGTCGACCTGGATTGTCTGGTATCGCCCGCCCACACCCAAGTATTCGGATTATGAGAAATCGACGGTGCCGCTGGCGTCTATATCGTCAGTAGAGAGTTTCTGGGCCGTATACTCGCATCTCAAGCGGCCGTCGCTGCTACCGACGGTGTCGGACTACCACATCTTCAAGAAGGGCATTCGGCCCGTGTGGGAAGATGAGGCGAATAAGCGCGGCGGCAAGTGGATTGTGCGGTTGAAGAAGGGCGTGGCGGACAGGTACTGGGAGGATTTATTGCTGGCTATGGTGGGTGACCAGTTTGCCGAGGCTGGTGACGAGGTCTGCGGTGCCGTCCTTAGCGTGCGGGGTGGCGAGGATGTATTGAGTGTATGGACGCGGATTGATGGGGGGCGGAACATCAAGATCAGGTATGTTCAAAAATTTGGCTTTTGGGACACTGCAATTAATGCCTTTTTTTTTTTTTTACAGAGAAACGATCAAGCGTCTGCTCGCTTTCCCATTGGACACCAATATCATCTGGAAGAGCCATGATGATAGTATCGCCCAGCGTTCTGCCATCGATCAAGCTCGCCACGAGAAAGCGACATCCTCCAACCCCGGAGCTCACTTGGGTTCTGAGCGGCGGCGCACCGGCCACGAGGATTCAGAGAAGGTCTAATAAATATCTCTCTGGTGGCCTGGAGCCCTGTATAGTACAGCCGATCAAAAAAAACCAAAAATACTTTTTTTATGCACTTATTCATTGGGACGCGTTTGGGTCTGGGGGACGGCGGGGCATCGAGGCGAACTCAGCGGTTTGATTTGAATTCTATGTCTTTGAGTGAAACTCATTATGTCATGTTTGTGTCCCTTTTTTCTTCTTCTTTTTTTTCTACATGCCTTCGATCATACGTGATGTTCAATTTTCTCTCTGATGCGAAAAGTGGAGCTGTAATCTGCAGATGGCGTGGCCAGGATGTTCGTTCCACAAGTCTACTATCTCACTGTAGTATTTTTCATTTGGTGACACCAAACCAACTAACGAGTATTCATTTCTATGTGTGACTTGAGCTATCTGAATATACCTAGGTGTATTAATTTCCTATCTATGTCAATCAATCAAATGAACGACGTAATTCAATAATACTGCCTGACAAATCAGGCCCATAACTTTGACCGCCCGGCGATAGGCGATAACCAACCATGAATATTTTAACTAAGAGGAAAAGGAACCAGAAAGCAAGAGAAGTCATCAGGATCATCGAGGATGGGACCGATCCCGTGTCCGGTCCTGCCATAAGGTACTGCTTGCTCGGATGCCTTCAATCTTCGGAAGCATCTCCGAAATCCTTGCCAGCTTGTCACCGCGTCGCCAGCAACCCGCCGATCGCCAATCGCAACACTGGCCCTCAAATCGCAGCAACCCAAACTCCGCGCGCCGTTCTCCCTCTCCGAATCCTGCTGCACTCCGGCGCCGTACAAAACCTGCCCGGTCATCCCTCGGCTCGCAAGCTGAGAGAAAACAGAACACCCCGCACCATATCCGCTTCTCGTCCTCCCCAGATCGAGATATCGATGTTAGTGAGCAGGTGCGTGCCTTCCAGCCTTATAATGCGCGTCCCCGCTCGGCATTCCGTTGCCTGTTGATTTTTCGCATGGTGCACCATAGCTATCAGAGCCTAGTTTATAAGGAATCTGAACCCCTCTTTATGACTTGGTCCCTACTCGCTCTATCCCTCTGCTCTGTTGTATTGCTTTTCTTTTTAAACACGCGAGACTCATTGCTCTTGACAGACCATCCAAAGTTATGCCAAAATCGCTTCTCCAACTACCGGACCTGCAACCACCCGTGGACATTTGCGGTCTCCTTCTCTTCAGTCTTTCATAGACCATACCGCTCAGTAATTCTGCCGGCCCCAACACCAGGCTTGTGCTGATATATTATTGTGTTCAGATTGGGCGACGACCCGCAGATGTCAAATCAGGACCCTAAGAAGGCAGCCCAAGACGAGGTTCGCTTGTTGGGTGGGAAAAAATTCAAGTATGTATTCCAGAGGAAATGCGGCTTGGAGTCTTGCGCTGATCAAATTCCTTCTGCTTTAGAGATGCAAATCCATTCAAGATTACGCCCGGTGATTCATTCAAGAGGCAAAAGAAACAGAAACTCCCTGGCGTAGGTCGCACTAATATTTGGCTGGTTTTAGGGATGCAAATTACATGATGCTGATTCTTTGCTGGCAGGCGAATTCGGCGTTTCGACCGCATGATGGACTCTCCCGTAATTCACGCCAGAGTGGTCCAGTACGGGCACAGGGGAAAGGAAAGCAAACTGCTCCTATCAAGAGTTCAAACCCCCTGGGAGATGCGTTTGAGCCGTCTGATCGACCAATCAAGAAGCGACGTCAAAGTGAAGTCAGTGAAGGCTGCGATGTAGTGAATGACCACACCTTACCAAGAAAGCACTCCCCCGCCCAATCGAGCCAAATCTCCACAAATTCGAAGAGTTATGTGCATCCCCTTCAACAAAGTGAATTTCGCGAAGTGGAGAATGCTCTCAGGGTTTCTTATGGCAGTCCCCGCCGTCAGCGTCGAAGAGAAAACCGTCAGGTCTCTACACATTCCCCCGACGAAAGATTTACACATCACGCTGCTCAACAACGACACTCCATCGCAGTTGTCATGGAATCTCCCAATTCGAGACCAAGAACAGAACGGCCGGCCCGGGATATTCTTGAGACCATTGAGGAACCAGTTTCAGACGAGAGAAAAATCACTATCGAAGACCAAGCCATCCAGTCTCCTTCAGCGGAAAAGAATGGACTCAAACGGAAATCCGATTCCCGAGAGAGCTCAGATGAACTCCAGGGCGAAGTCACAACTCAGCCTATCCCGAAACACATCAATCAGCGACATGCTCAGCCTCGCCTCCCAACCCAAGAACGAAATGTAACTCCCGACCTAAGTTCACCCACCGACATCAAGCCCACCGATTTTGCATCAAAGAAAAGGGTCAAACGAAAGCACAAGACCTCAGAGGGATCCCGATTTGGTATCATCCGTCTGCAATTCAGTAATTTCGCCACGGAAAAAGGCCTCGACGGCAAAACCACAGCCATCTATGTGGATGACGAGAATATCAAAATCGGGGAAGATATTTTCGGCTCAGCTGTCACAATTCCATTACGAAAAGTCTTGAAAATCTTTTACGGAAAGGATTCTAGTCGAAAATTGAGGCTGTTTCTGTCTCAAGGTGTCTTGCCAATTGGTAACTTGGTTGACATCCAGTTCTCGGATAGCGAAATCAAAAATCAGCTTTCATGGATCTTCAAAGAGAAGCTGGTCAAGATGATAGAGAAGGGGCGGTATGTGCTAATGCGATCTTTCTTTGATCCCAGGTCGACTAACAAATGAATAGGGACTACATGACCAGTATTTTCGACAGACACCGGGAGGAAATAGCCAGGTGCCCCCAACAGGCCAAGAGACCTCTACTGGATGTTGATCCGACTCCGCCAGCTCCTGCGGATTCTTCTGCTCGTCAGAAGCTTTCGTCCACACTGCAGGGTCCAGCAGATGGGCCCAGCAGCAAGCGAGTGAAGCGAGACTTCTCTTCCATTTCCCAAACCGGAAATGGTGCTGTGGAAAGTCGAACGTCAGCTGGTGACGGGAAACCACAATCGGACACCGGCGTCGAGATTCCTGTTAAAAAATTCCAAGTGATCCAACCCCCGCTGGAGCGAGAGACGAGATCAACACGGCGGATAACGCAAAACACCAATTGTGGTACTGACGAGGTCTCCAAGTTCTTCAGCCCTAAGGCGAAAGACGAAAATCGACAGAAGTGGAAGAAACCAATGGTCTATCCCCGAACTGGGAAGAAGCGTGCCGAGGTCAGCGTTGATGACCGAGACCGCCTGTGCGGGGAGGAGTTCCTAAACGATAATCTGATCGGTTTCTATCTGCGCTTCTTGGAAGATCATCTTCAACGCACAAACAAAAATGTCGCGAAACGGGTATACTTCTTCAATTCCTATTTCTTCGCAACCCTTACAAATACCCCCAAGGGCGAACGTGGCATCAACTACAGTGGCGTCGAGAAGTGGACTCGCAACATCGATCTCTTCAGCTATGACTACATCGTCGTCCCAATCAACCAGAATGCTCATTGGTACGTTGCGATCATTTGCAATCTGCCAAGCTTGGATATTGCATCTGCTGGCCCTGTAGATCAATCCTCTGCTCCTGTGAGCGACAAAGAAGTCTCAGCTCAGCCAGAAAGCGTGCATGAAATTTTAGAGTCCCCAGAGCCCGAGCAGGTCTCAGCCGCAACGACTACTGCCGAAAAGGACACCGAGGAGAAGCAGAAAGAATCTTCAGAATCGCCAATGTCACATGAAGCACGCAAGTATCTTGCTTCTATGAAAATCGTGGAAGAAGAAAACAAGGCAGCCACTGAAAAGGCCGAGACCCCATCACCAGGGTCCAACGAAAAGAGACAAGAAGACAATGGTTCGGCTGATGACTGGCCCGAGGGAGAAGAGAACCAAACCTCGTCCCCTCTGAAGTTCTCCGGTTTGCATTGGGACGGACTGGTTTCCGCTGGTCCTGAGGCAAACCAGTCCAGTCCTAATACCAAGAAAAAAGGACGAACTGGCCCGAAACTGCACCCTGCTCAACCAACCATCATCACCTTTGATTCCCTTGACCTTGCCCGCTCCCCACAAATCAAGCTCCTACGTGAATATATCTGCCAGGAAGCTGCATCGAAACGTGGCGTTGAAGTCGACGAAAAGGACATTAAGGGTATGCGCGCTCGTCAGATCCCACTTCAACCTAACTACTCTGACTGCGGGCTGTATTTACTTGCCTACATCGAGAAGTTCGTGCAGAACCCCGACACCTTCATTACGAAGATGCTGCAGCGTGATATGGATGGACCTGAAGACTGGCCTCAGCTCAGATCTGGTCTTCTTCGGACACGTCTTCGCGATTTCCTGGATGACTTGTATGAAGAACAGAAGCAACAGGAGGGCCAGTCGATTTTGGCTGATCAGAAATACATTTCGTTCTTGCTGGGGTCTCCGCTTCCGGGTCAGGATTATCAGAAGGAGAAAGTCAAAGAGGGACAGCCAACGAACCCTTCAAAGGATGAAAGCCCCAAGAAAGTCTCGGAGAATTCAGCGAAAGAGGCCAATGGATCGAAGGAGGACTCTGCAGCAGACGAGCCTCGATTGGTCCCTATCTCTCCTGTCCGTTCGAAGGCCTCCGAGCAGACTGAGCAAACCGCGAATACGGAGGCAGTCAAAAGTTCTGCTAAGCCTTCAATCAAAAGTCCTGCTAAACCTTTAACCTCTTCGGAGGATACTGGCCGTGAAGTGCTTGAAGTGCCTGATAGTCAGGAACCAAAGAACAGCCGTGATGGGAAGAAAAAGTCTAAGAAGAAGGAAAAAAGAAAGTCAACAGCTTTTCCTGATCCTGATGCCTTTGACACAGGTGAGTCTAAGCCAGAGCAAGCCGGGTCCAGTGTCAAAATCGTTAGGGAAACCCCCCCACTTGACGAGCCGGAACGACCCAAAAGAAGCCCTCGAGACAAAAGGAAGAGCTGAGAAGCAATATATCCTTATGAACCCATGTATTCTTGCATTCAATTTCGATGCATACCTGTAGGTGTTGTGTTTGAGCATGTTATGCTGATTTTTCGGCCCTTTGTCATCTCATACCGCTTCTATCATCTGTCTTTTTTTAAGAATTTCTCTACATTATGCATACATACTTACCCGGTGCGAGGCATAGAGGCGTTGAATGAATTCTAATGGAACCTGGACCCCATGAATGATGATACCTATACACAGCTGCAAAGTCATAATGTGTACACTCAGTGTCCCTGATTCTATTCCCGTTCTTAGTACCTAACACCATCGTATTCTAGTCATATGAATACCCCAGTCAACCTACCACTCACTCTCATCACGACCAACCCACCAAGCCATTTTATCCCTCTTGAAGGTCTCAAAATCCCACTCGGCACTCTCCAGTCTCTCCACACCAGCAGCCCACACATAAGTCACGGCATCAACCTCCTCCTTCTCATCCGCGAACTCCGCCCCAGCAGCATCGAGAACATCACGAAGATTCCCACCAGAACTTGAATTCTCATTCCCACATCCATGGCTGTGATCCTGGTGCAACGACTCCTTCAATGTTCTTACTTTAACTGTCTCATGGACGTACTCGCTTCCCTCGTAGATATCCAGACGGTGAACATCTCCGTCCGTCAGACCAGAGACGAGGGTCCCAAGAACTGATTTTCGAGCTAAATTTCTTGCATCCGTTCCATTTTCCGATGTTGATTCTGCTTTGTCTGAAGATCCAAATGCAGGAACGATGCCCGGGTAGTCTGCACCCCGCACTCGATGGCGGCGATAACCGTGCAGAACGGCAGGTTGGAAGCTTAGAAGCGCTTTTTGCCAGGGTTCTGGATCTGATCTGCCATGAATTACACGGTGAAGCATTTGAGGAGCCATTAAGGTTCCTGTTGGTTGGAAATCAGTGATTCGATTCATAGCTTATTATGTATGGGATTGGGAACCCGGGGTCGTTTACCATAAAAGAAGAGGACGTGGTCACCCATTGTTCTCGTAGGCTAGGATGCAATCCCGGTAATTCAACCAAATTGTATAAGAGCCTTCAAGAGTATTGAAAGGACAAGGAACCAGGACTGGATGAAAGATGGAATAGCAACAATGACTCGAGTTATACTTTGGAGCTTATCGGGTTATCGCGATAAGCCCCAAATACGCCCAGCTGGCTTCATCCGCGCTCCGACTTTCCTACCTGCACCCTGTCGCAACCATGCATTCTTCTCTCAACCGCGCGCAGGCTGTCTTCGGTTTCTTCACCACAGTCGCCTGTGTGGTAGCTGCCGTAGCCGCTCTCTCTACACTTCTGTTCCCCACAACCGCAACAACCGCATCGGTGCAGTTGAAGAACGTCCAGGTGTAAGCTACTCTACTCTATTCCCAGAGCTCAAGTTCAAGGAGATCAACCGAGAACAAAAGCCCCTCATACTCCGATTACCCTTAGATCTCAATAGAGCTCTATCCTTATCCCCTGACCACGGTCACGATCACGATCACATCAGCTAACCCAAAATCCAGAGCCAAGGGTCGACCACACTACTATTCCAGCAAACGCTCCGAATACGCCCAAATTCGCTTCGATCTCGACGCTGATCTAACTCCTCTTTTCAACTGGAATACTAAACAACTCTTCGTCTACGTCTACGCAAGTTACTCATCATCCAATGATCAAAACTCCCTCCTCCCTGACTCGGAGGCCGTTATCTGGGATACTATCATCTCTGCACCTGCTTCGCCGTATAGCTGGGACAAGCTTAAGGAGCAAGCGCTCGACGCGCTCCCAGCGCCTGTCTTAGCGAAGATTTCGCCTGGTTCTGTGAAGAGCAGCAAGCGTACTAGCTCCAAGGCTAGCAAGAAGGCTAAGGCTAAGGCGGATGTGAAGGAGGAGGCTCTGCCAGGGGTTCTTAGACTGAGGGGGCAGAAGGCGAAATATCAGATCAGTGATATTACTGGGGTTTTGGCTGAGAGGCAGAATGTTACTTTGGCTGTTGGGTGGAATGTGCAGCCTTGGGTTGGGGCTTTGTGGTGGAGTCCTGGGTCTGGGGCTGCGCTGCGCACGGAGGGGACAGTTTTGAGGAGTGAGGCGTTTGATTTCCCGGCTTTGAAGGGGAAGAAGGTTGAGAGTCAGAGTCAGAGTCAGAGTGAGAGCGTTTGAGCTGGAGGTATATTGGGCAAGGAAGTATCTAGACACATTATTCGTTTTACTATCCTGTCAGGTTTCGGTTCCTATGACATCAAAGAACAGAATACAAAAATTACTCTATACAGTCGATGTAGTGGTTTTAGTATCAATAAGCTCAATTCGCTATTACGCTCAAAGAATAGTCATAACCGGGAGCCACCACAATCACTCATAACATGTAATCAGCAGGTGTGTTGAGGAGTCTCTCATCCTCAGACAGTGCCATAACCCCGGTCCGAGTGACCACCATTCTGGACGCGATCCGAGTAGACACCGGGCGCTGGTCGTTCTGTCGCACGGGTCATGGGATCTTGCTTGCGGCGATGATAGTAGACGTACTCCAAGTAAAAGGCGTGGATGTGGCCAGGAAAGTATCTATGTAGAGACCCGGAGTTAGAATGATGGGCTGGATGTAGAAGAGCAGCATATTACTCACCCCAGAATAGTAAGAAGGACATTAATCCAGAAGTCAGCACCACATCCAGCTGTAAGGAATACACCTAGGGGAGGAACTGGTGTTGATTAGCATCAAAATCTTGTACTAGAGGTCGCCGATCTCCACAGATGAGTAAGCTCCCCGCAAAATACAGCGAAGAGCTTCAAGAGTGATCCACAGCAAGTCCAACTTACTAAATAGAGTGATAATAATCACACAAAGCATTGAACAGGTGCCTGCCATTATGTGTAGAGGCGTTTGATGGTCACTTTTCTTGGTCGGATCGGCTAGAAGGTTTGAAATCGGCGGTTGCTAGGAAGTTGAGGAGGATAATGGCGAAGAGAAGGACAAATATATAAAAGGAAGTATTGTCATCCCTGGGCGAATCAAGGCGTTTCATGATTGGCGGTTAAAGACGTCAGTGGGGGGTCACAGGGGAGTCAACCAAGCTTGTCTCAGAAGTTCAATCTGTAGGGCTGATCGGATGACGTCATCATACTTTTTACCCTATGGGTAACAGGCAGCAGTACCTTGATCCTCACATCCCACGTCAACCTACTTAGGTGGGCTAAGTATAGCGGTACGCAGGAGAGCACAGAAACAAGCCACAGACAGAATGTAAATGAATAATAAAAACAGGGTTTTCCTCCCTCACACAGCATCTATGGCCGCGCGTGTTGTCACTTGCTCGTTTTTGTTCCCTAGCTTCGAGATCTGCAGGAAAGCATCCACACCGTAGCCTTCCAGACTATGCAATTCCAAACTACCCGCCCAATATTCAGCGTATACCCGACTCATGGGCAGGCCCATACCTAATCGTAGGTTTGGTGGTCGCGAGGTCAAGCTATCCAGAGAACCCTCATGATAGCCTCCCGGTGTCGGTTCTGGCCTTCGCCCACTGACTTTTAGCTCCTGCATTGTAGCAGCCATCGCGGGGACCCGCCCCAGGTTTTCTAGCCGCGTCTGTGTCCGGGGTCCCTTGCTGAAAGACCACAAATAGGGTAATATGTCACGTGGAATACCACCGCCCTGATCGGAGAAGCGCATAATGACGTGTTGCGGAGTTTCGCAAATAAGTACCTGGATTGGTGGCGGCGGCTGTGTAGAATCATGGTACTTCTCAATCACAGCCTGCACTGAGTTGCGCAGCAGCTCACCAACAATGTACTCCAGGTGGCTCAGGATGTATGGGAAGGTAGCGTTTAAGTGACCCTGGATGTTGATGGTCGGGATCTGAGTGGATTGAGTGGTTTGTCGCATCAGGTCTTGTGAAACTTTTCCGCAACGCTCAATTACTTCTTTCGCATTGCATTTAAGAAATACTTCGCCTACAAAGTCTGCGTTCGTATCGGTCCGGTCGGTCGAGTCGGGGTAATGCCATGGGCAGTTAAAGGTGTCAGTCAAAGCAAGGTGTTGCTCTGCAATAACGCGACGAGAGATCCTCTAGACCCAGTAAAACACACGTCAGTATGGGGAGACAAAGTTGACATCGAGATTCATTGCATACCGCTCGCAGAAGGGTGTTCATAAATCGATCCATCTCATCAGGCGGGAATAGCTCGCGACACTCCAGAACTCCGGTGGCCAAGTTAGGAATGACCACCAGATGCTCCTTTAACATCTCCTTGAGTACCTCACAAAACCGATCATTGTCATCCAAGGTGCAGATCTCAGGAATTACTCGAAATCGTTCAAAGGCCTGGTAGTATAACTCGTAAACGAGGGATAGGTGGGGGTTGGAGACTACCACATAGGGCAGCTGCTGAATATCTCGTAGTCGGTGCGCCAGACTGCGGGAGTAGTGAATTAGCTAAACATGCAAGCTACCGCAAGCTTAGCCTTGGGCTGATCCAAAACATACCGGGTGGGCAACTCAGTCCGCACATAGTTCGCCGAGCTAATAAGTCGAGGCTCTGTCAATGTACGACCGAAGAAGGTCAACTGGCGGAGACTGATTGGGCGGATAGGACGTTCCACCCATCTAGATATCACAAATTTTGAGTCAGTGGATCATGCAGCGAACTTTCCAAGTGCGGAGTCACATACTCATCCACGGCCGAGGCAGGTCGCCATGGTGGCGGTTGAGTTCCAGAATAGAAGCGTGGTTTTGGAGCACATCGAAGAGCCTGCCAGCCTCTAGGACGTAACTTCATTGTGCTCCATGCAGTGCAGGCGTCGATTCGAAGCCTTGAAATCAGATCTTCCGAGCTCTTGGAGCCGTTGCATGTGTCTTCGGGCGGTGTGATGGATCTTTACACCGCCTTTAGGTTGAGGTGAGTATGAAGTTGGTTAAACTCGAGTCTTTGCGTCTGTAGTGATTGTGTAAAGGAATCGGTGGTTTATCTGTTAGTTTATGGGTTTATCTTGTCACCTGTATGCCGAGGTGCATGTTTAAAGTTGCTGTAGCCGAATCTATCTCATATAAAGGTAAAACATTAGGACCAAACGGTGGGGAATAACTGCAATGGAAAAGAACCTGGAGACTGTAGGATAAGAATAAGAACAAGAGTAGGAATAAGAATAGACCGTATTTATCAAGTGCTTCGCTATACAATTATAGGGAAATTATGGTTGATAATTTCCATTTCATCTGTATCCCTCAGTGTAGTGTTTAATGGCCTGGAAACCCAATGATCAACTTGTTCCCTGGAAAAGAAAGGAAACACTGATAAATGCGAGACTGAGAATTTGTTCCTTTTTTGTTCATCTTTCTCTTTCCTTCCCCCCTTATTCTTTCACCTTTTCTTTTGCGTCTTTCCCTGTGCCTATTCCTGTTCACTATTAACTACTGCCGAGCGTTCGAGGGCTCCGCCTCCGCTAGCTTTCTCCGATCTGCTTCAGCAAGAAATTCCTCCCGACAACTTCCTCTCTCAGAGTCTTCACTTCTCCCACTCTTTTTTCCTCTCCCCCTTCTTAAGTTCATTTACTCTCCATTCCGACAAGGGCCTTCCGGCTGGACGGGAGGGCGCTTTTCGCCATGGAAAACGTGAGTCCCCGACCGTGCCCCTCGTGTGTGTCGTCATTGTAGATCTAACCGTTAGGCCCCAGCTTGCGGAGAACGACATGCTCGTTGACGACTATGATAACTACCCCAATGCAAAGACTGATGTTGTCGTTGTGTCTCGCTCAGGCTCCGATGAGCCCGAGTCTGCGCCTTCTGCTGCTGACCGTATGTTTCTTTCACTTATTCCCCCCTCTTCCGCCGCGGAACCCGATCACAACAAGTATGGCCCGGACGATCAGTTGGGACGGATTAGCACGGATGCGACCGATTGATTTTGCGATCATCGGGGCGTGCAACTCAAAAGATCCGGCGTTGCGGTGTTTTGTCACGTTCAGTGAAAGCTAGAAGCTGACCGAGGCATGTTCAACCCTTTTAGATGTGGCCATGATGGCACGAGTTCTGCCCAAACCTGCCGACCTCGAGGCTGAAGATGAAACGTATCACACCTGGCACATCAAGGACTGGAGGAAGTCGGAGCGCAAGCTGCACGGACCGGTCTTCAACTGCGGCGGGTCCCCTTGGTGGGTAGCATCACGGCAAAAATTCGATAGAAGCAAGCATTGACTCAAAAATTAGGCGGATCCTCTTCTTCCCGTACGGAAATCACTCCGAGCACGCCTCATTTTACCTCGAGCACGCCTGGGAAGGGGAACCACCAGAGAACTGGTATGCCTGTGTGCAGTTCGCTCTGGTCCTGTCCAACGTGAAGGATCCTTCAATCTATGTCTCGCATGGTAAGAACACTCCGACGGCTTAAATCGAATTTTAAAGCTCATAGAATACAGTTGCGACGCACCGATTCACCGCGGACGAGGGAGATTGGGGCTTCACCCGCTTTTACGACATCCGAACCCTTTTCAGCGAGCAGTGGGAAGGCAAAGGTGTCCCTCTAGTGCAAGATGACGAGGCCAATATCACAGCATATGTCCGCGTTGTCAAGGACCCAACCGGTGTTCTCTGGCACAGCTTCCAGAAGTAAGCCTGCAGCTTCTAACAGCCGCGCTTGTTCGATCAGTGCTAATTTATCTCAGCTATGATTCCAAGAAAGAGACTGATATGGTTGGACTCCGAAACCAGGGTGCTACCTGCTACCTGAACTCGCTTTTGCAATCGCTGTACTTCACCAATGCCTTCCGCAAGGTATGAGATGAACTCTTCCCCATGTTCTCAAACATGTTGTTGACTTTCTTAGGCTGTTTACCAAATCCCCACCGAAGAAGACGCTACTCGTGAAAACAGCGCATGGACTCTTCAAAGACTCTTCTACAATCTGCAAACCAATGAAACCGCAGTCTCCACAACTGAGTTGACAACCTCTTTCGGTTGGGACTCCAGACAGGCCTTTGAGCAGCAAGATGTCCAAGAGCTTTCACGAAAACTCATGGAACGGCTGGAGGAGAAGATGAAGGGCACAGTAGCTGAGAAGGCCTTACCTGACCTGTTTGTGGGTAAAACAAAAACCTACATCTCGTGCATCAATGTGGACTATGAATCTTCTCGTGTGGAGGACTTTTGGGATATCCAATTGAACGTTCGGGGTAATAAGACCTTGGATGACAGTTTCCGCGACTACATTCAGGTTGAAACGTTAGAGGGCGAGAACAAGTATGATGCAGGCTCTCCGTATGGCCTGCAAGATGCAAAGAAGGGTGTGATTTTTGAAAGTTTCCCACCTGTCCTGCATCTTCACCTCAAGCGGTTTGAGTATGACCTTAATCTTCTTACGATGATGAAAGTGAACGACCGCCACGTCTTCCCCTTGGAATTTGATGCTGCTCCTTATCTCTCAGAAAATGCCGACAAGACTGAGCCTTGGACCTATGAGCTGCATGGAGTCTTGGTGCACAGTGGTGGTTTGGACGCTGGTCATTACTACGCGTTCCTGAAGCCCACTAAAGATGGACACTGGTACCGCTTTGACGACGACCGAGTGAACCGTGTCACCGAGAAGGAAGTTTTGGAGGAGAACTTCGGTGGAGAGTATGAATTGGCGAATGGAGCCACTGGTGTTCGGCAGCCATACACCCGAACTCTCTCAACCAAACGTTCCATGAACGCTTACATGTTGGTTTATATCCGAAAGACGCGAGTTGACGATGTTCTACTGCCAATTACCAAAGAAGATGTTCCTTCCCACATTGGTGAGCCCCCCTTACTTTCAAACCTAATTATTTGTACGATATACTGACCAGGCCGCAGAGTCACGCTTAGCAGAGGATCGTGCCGAGGCTCTTCGTCGCAAGAAGGAGAGAGAAGAGGCTCACCTGTACATGAACATCGGCGTTCTGACCGAAAAGACCTTCCGTTCTCATCGTGGGTTTGATTTGTTCAGCCCCGATCTTCCCGCCGAAGACCCGTCGCAACCCACCCAGTACCGGGTTCTCCGGGCGAAGAAGGTCGGCGAGTTTGCGAAGGAAATGGCAGAAGAGCAGGGTCTCAGTGTTGATGCCGTCCGCTTCTGGGTGATTGTTAACCGTCAGAACAAGACCGCTAGGCCTGACCAAATTATCACTGACCCGGAAATGACCGTTGAGGAGGCCTATACCAAATATGGCACCAAGGGTAACAGTTTCCGGCTGTGGATGGAGGTCTTGCCCCAAGGCCAGTCTTGGCCTGAAGGTAACGACTCTGCCTTGATCTTCTTGAAGAACTTCGACGCGGTGACTCAAACTCTGAGCGGTGTGGGACCTGTTTATGTTTCCAAGAATCAGAAGGTTGGCGACCTCGCACCCGTCATTCTCGAAAAGATGAACTGGCCCGTGGGTACCGAATTCATGCTTTTCGAAGAGATCAAGCACAACATGATCGATTTGATGAAGCCCAAACAGACCTTCCAGCAGTCCGAGATCCAGGACGGCGATATTATTACCTTCCAGCGAACAACGAAAGAGTCCGAGCTCCCAGCAACAGCCCTATACACGGATGCCAGACAATTCTACGACTATCTTCTGAACCGCATGGATGTTACCTTTGCCTCAATCACGGCCTCCGAGACTGAAGACTTTACCCTAACCCTCAGCCGGAAGATGACATATGACCAGTTTTCGAAGAAGGTGGGCGAACATCTGAACGTGGACCCGACTCATCTGCGGTTTGCTCCAGTGATGGCCAGCACGGGCAAAGCAAAGCCTTTCCTCAAACGATCAATCACCTCAAACCTGGCTCAAATTCTCAATGGCCAGTATGGCACATATGGCTACACCATGCACCGGGCGGATGCCTTATACTACGAGGTTCTAGACATGAGTCTGAGCGACTATGAGAGTAAAAAGTCTTTCAAGGTGACGGTGCTCGCCGAGGGAATCACAAAGGAAGAGACCGTTGAGGTTCTGGTGGCTCGCAATGAAACCATCGCTGGACTTCTTTCAGCTCTACAGCAGAAGATGAAGTCTAATGACGAAGCTTTCCAGAACATGAGGCTCTTCGAGGCTCACGGTGGAAAGTTCTATAAGGAGCTGCGTGAGGATCTTAATGTGGCATCGATTAACGAATACTCCACACTCTATGCGGAACGGGTGCCTGCCGATGAACTGAACATGGAGAGCGAGGATCGACTAATTAATGCCTACAACTTTGATCGAGAGCCCAATCGACCACATGGAGTTCCCTTCAAATTTGTCGTCAAGCCTGTGAGACACCCATTTCGTTATATTCCATTCCAGGGTGCATTTTATACTGATATTTGAACAGGGCGAGATCTTCAAGGAAACCAAGGAACGTCTTTCAAAGCGAATAGGCATCAAGGGAAAGCCGTTTGAGAAGATCAAGTTTTCCATTGTTCCTCGCAATTCCTTCCCAAGCGCCAAGTACATTGAGGATGGTGAGTACACGCTACGTCAATCTAAAATGTTCCAAGCTGACCATTTTGTGTTTGCTATTTAGATGACATTCTATCGGACATTGCTGGCCCCGAGGACCTTCTTGGTCTGGATCATGCCACCAAGAGCCGTGGATTCTGGGGCAAGAGTGAGAGCTTTTTCATTCGATAAAGTAATGGATTTTCTATGGGGCGCTGGGGGGTTTTTGAGGGTGAAATGCTGCAATCCGGTACATGAGCAGCAACAGCCTAACAGTCAATGGCTTTCCTGTTTCTCAATTCCTTTCTTTATTCATTTATTCTCTCTTTCCTCTCTCTCTCCCTGTTCGTTCCGTTTCATAGTCCCATAGTTGGAGTAGAGGCGATACAAATGGCACGAAGCGATGATTCTGTTTTGGCTAAATAGGTACCACTCCAACTTAAGCGTATTGGCTTTTTCCAATCGGATCGGGTATTCAGCCAAATGATATCTTATTCATAAATCTATTTTCAAGAAATCCCATCATGAATCTATCATGGTCTTGGAATCGAAGTGGAAACAGTAATTTGTTTGTGTGCAAACACTGCAAACATCCACCTGGCCAGAACAATTGAACCCAATCTCGACCTCCTGACGCGCATCACCCTTTCACGTTAATTATCCGAAATGCGGCTCTCACTCCTCGCTGGACTGGCCTCTTTGGCCTCATCTGTCTCTGCAACTGCTCTGACCTATCGCCTTGAGGCTAATGAAAAGGCATGCTTCTACACCGAGGTTGAACAAACCAATGCCAAGGTGGCCTTCTACTTCGCGGTCAGTCAACACAGTCAACACAGGGCTCTGGCTTATTATGCCAAAGCCTTCAATAGGAATTGCATGAAGCAATACTAACTTTAAATTCCGAGATAGGTCCAATCCGGCGGCTCCTTCGATGTCGATTACTCCATCCTAGCACCGGGCGACAAGATCGTCGCTGCCGAAGAAAAGCAGCGACAGGGCGACTTTGTATTCACTGCGCAGAGCATTGGTGAATACAAGTTCTGCTTCAACAATGAGATGTCCACCTTTGCCGAGAAGATGGTCGATTTTGAGATTGCTGTACGTTGGCTGCCCCTGGAAACAACCCCACATCATACAGAACCGCAACGCTCTGATCTTACGGCCTTTTGAAAATAACCTCAAAATATCTTACTTATCCGTTTTGTAGGTTGAGAACGAGCAGCGTGCCCAGCTCCCTTCCCGCCAGGGCGCCAGCCCCGAACAAACGTCCAGCCTGGAGGAATCCATCTACAAGCTCTCCGCTCAGTTGTCCACTGTCTCCCGGAACCAGAAGTACTTCCGCACGCGTGAGAACCGGAACTTCAGCACCGTCCGCAGCACCGAGCGCCGTATCTTCAACTTCAGCGTGATTGAGTCTCTAATGATGGTTTCAATGGCCGCGCTGCAGGTCTTTGTTGTGCGCTTCTTCTTCCAGGGCGCAAGAAAGGGTGAGTTACCTGTCCTATCCGGATCATTTTATTTTGTTACGAAAGATTGTACAAGATGCAGTGTATTGGGTTCTATGATCGGATCGAACATCTGCTAATATCATCCCTACAGGTTACGTGTGATGAGCATGAGCATGAATTGAATAATATGATGCATTACTATTGATTATTGATTGTCGATTTTCCCGAAACTCAGGCTTGAAGAGATTTCAGCGTGTTGGCCTAGATTATTCCCATGTCCCTTGATATAGCCTTTAAAATGATATCCCCTGGACCAAAACAGGTTGTGCACACCAGATAACATGAATCTCCAGCGTATCACTCCACGCCATTCGGTCTTTTGATGACGCACAGGTGACGATGGATTTATAGCAAGCAGCAACAGGTTCGAGGGCTTGGGAGGATGGGACCTGTGGTTACTGGTGGTCTTTAGAGAACTCGTAAGGGTGTTCACTACTGATATTCGCTGCTGACTCGAGTCCAAGATAGCGGAGAGGTGAAGGGGCCGGTTCACTGAGGTTCCGCAGAAACCTGTTACGCTCGTGCGAATGACGGGGTCATCGTCATGGGAAGGTCAAGACCAGAAACGTTGCCGTTGGCGTTACAACAGCGTTATCGGACCGGTTTCCGACATCAGGCCTGTGTCATCGAGCTTGCTCTGTTAACCTGACGTTCAGTGGAAGAATATGGGAAATGGGATCAGGCAATCTGGATGCTTGGCCAACGCAGTCACAATGAGGCCCACATATTCAAAGCTGTAGTTGGACTGCCAAAACAGGTTTCTCCGTTCTGCAAGATCAGCGGCTACCATGAAGAAAGCAATGAAGTATTCTCCACGTCTCCTCCCCGAGAAGGAGAAGATTTCAGTGAGGACACGATGAATAGGTTCGGCATCTACAGTAGATGCCAAGTAGTGATGACTTAACCGCGATACATTGTTGACCCGTTTTTGATCGACCGTGATGAGGTCATATCATTTTGCTGGACTACTCCGCACTTACTTTAGTTCGGTTCGAGATACCCGGGGGAACGGTATCACCCCGGTCTTATTCATGTCTCAGGTCGCTCCATATCGTCATCACCTCCAGGGCATGAGCGTCGTCTACCTACCTAGGTATTCGGCTGTGACATATCCAGCACCTTATCTGGTCAGACCATCTGATTCCAAGTGATCCTCCACAGTGTGAGACCTAGCTCATGCTTTTCGGCATATATATCGGTCAAGATGGCTTCAGCTGCCCACAAGCTTGAAGAAAAACATTTTTACGGCACGCAGATGAGGACTAGCTATGATTTACGTCGTGCGACCGATGCATGTGTGCTGCTGTACACATTTGCATGCCAGGTGGGGTTGACTGCACAGATGCAGTCAAATCTCCACAAAATGCGTTGGACTAGAGATATTTAGGCTGGAGGATCATTACCCCGTCAGGTATCTACGTGGTATCTGCGGCCCCCAATTGACAATTTAAGTGCAGATTATCCCTGCACTAAGAGGCACTAAGGACTAAGAAACTTACTAGATAGCGTCAGATATACCTCAGGCGAATCTACCTCACGTTACCGCTGACGTCGGTGTGATGCGCTGTGAGTATTAGATATGATCTAGCTGTGTTGTAGTAAGACATCTTATCTACATAGGACCTGGATAAAAGAGCCGAGAATCCATGGAAACGTGAAGAATCCATGGGAACGTTAATTATGGTGGAAAGTTCTCGGTACTCTGCGAGACTCTTTCGCCTCCCCCGCTAAGATGGCGAAAGACCGAAGCTTCGGGACCCTGGGTCTTCTGGAAACAGTCCCATCGCAGTCGCTGTCACTGGACGTTTTATAGTTCCTCTGGACTGGATGTGAATTTATCGAAGTTTTTGTGGATCAAATATCCCTTTCCCAGGTAAATCGCCACAAGCCATATCGGGTAATCGAGCATCGGAAGGCAATCGGGCTGCTTAGTAGCCTCTACATCCCCCTTTTCCAACCCCTTAATATTGCGAGAATTGGTCAATGTATCTGAAAATTGGCTAACGAGTATGGTCATATATCGGAACAGAGTATTGTTGACGTGTCCTTCATTCTGATACCCTTGACGTCAAGTACCCCTGCCTCAGGCGTAGATTTCCCCCCACTTAGTTTCGCCACTGGCGTCTTTAGCCTTTTTAGTCAACTTTAGTCAGTAACATCAATGCTCTAGTCTGTCATTAATTCTTTCTTCTGATTGTAACATTCTTTTATGTAGAGGTCTCAAATGTAAAAACAGTTGTCATTATCATGTTCCTGCATGCGGGATTATACGAATCGAAACGATCGACCAAAACTATGACGGAGTGGCTTGAACTCCACTCTCGAGCCTCAGAACTCACCGAGAAATGGTCACTTCTGCAGAAAGACACAGAATTACTATACGAAGTACTTCGTAGGAAACACACTCAACTAATTGCTAGTTCTAGTAGCTATTTGACTGTATTGATCTGTCAATACCCCAACCCCCTTAGCGTAGAAATCTGTTAAAGGCATCTCCACCGGGGATGTCGACGGTCCCGCAACCACGCATACCTATCACGGCGTAAAATGGGCCTTGACTAGCCCCAAATAATTCCCCTCTGATTCGTCGGGTAAACCGTCTCAAAGATCTGCAGGGCCCAGCCAAATCTCCTCCTTTCCTCTGATCTCACTGTACGTCCATTCTTGTGACCTCATCGGGAGACTACAGAGTGGATCGACTGGTGCTACCCATTGACACCAGTCATTGTCTGCATGTGGAGATAGGTGCGTTCATAATGATAACCCTTCCAGCCATACACAGCCTTTACTGATAGCGGCTATTGGGATTTGCTCCACTGGTGGAGAGGTACCGTTCGCATGATGTCGCCCAGACAACATCACGAAGCCCTTTTCCCATTTCCACCCCTCTTCGACCAATGATGTCACTTGTACGGTCCACCCGATGGGGGTTTGAAGCTTTTTTTTTTTCTTCTTCTTTTTCCCCTTCTATACTGTGGAGATTTGCCATCGGGTACAATGTACTTCGGTTGTGATTTCATCTCCCCCGCCCCACACCCCTTTCTCTCCCTTATATATATCTTGAGGCAGTTGCGTCTTTCCCTTGAATTAGTTCGTACATACCCTAAACCCTATACTTACCCCCCTCAAGCTAGATCAGGCCCCTCCCCCGGAGCTATTTTACCCATTTTCACACATCGCTCTTAAAGGAATTTTCCAACCTTGGTTCTGTACACTTCCAAGTTTAACTAATTCAGACCTTTAATCAAAGGTAAGCATTTTGCCCCCACTTTGTTTTACCCCTCAACCCTTGCCTTAATTTATATAGCACCAGCGATCTCCCTAGTTTCATGACTTACCCGAATTTGGATTCCCAGCTAACACCCCACAGACAATTTTCACCATGGCTGAAGGTACTCAGATTCAGCACCCTGAATTTTTCAACCCAGACTCTGGAGCTGGACCTCCTCAGTCTGTAGACCCTCGCAATTCTCTCGAAGATTATAACCGTACCATGCTGGACTACACTCAACGTCAGATGTCTACATTTGTCGATCTCGACGGCAACTCCCGCAATGGAACTAGCAGTCGCAACAGTCAAAGCTCCAGCAACTCTGGCAACAGCGGTAACAGCGCCGGTTCATCCAACGGTGTATTGGCCAGCCAGGCCAATGGCCCTCCTCCAACTTCCGCTGGTTCTTCTGCCGATTCTCGTGATCCCATTTACCAGGCAAGAATGAAGGCTATGGCGCCGAATCAGAGTCAAGGTTATTAACGGTAGCTTGCATCCAAGTACCAGGTATGTTGATGCTCTACTTTTTGTCACAGGAATTTGAATTGACCATTTCGATGACTAGTCTCTATATCTTTGAAGTGACCCTAATAACCTTCAATATGGAGGCGGAGTTTCTGCGGAGTTAATGCGCCAACATTGAGGTGTCTGCAGTTTTTGCTTTACAGCGATGCAGCATTTCCAGCCTTGCGAATTTCCTGTGTTCTCGACTAGAGTCGCGTCACTGTGATTCCTATTCACACACCTGCTCACTATATCCCTATGCGCTTTTTCCCTTAACTTGATACTATTTCTGAATCTAATCTGGATCTGGATGTGGATCTGAAATGAATTTGAATGTATCCAGTGTCTCACCCACACCGCCGAGAATCTTTTGGTCCGGGGCCTGGTCTCCATGACTACTTGAGTCACACTGAGTGTACTAATCATTCTGTTCATTTCAGTTCAGTTCAGTTCAGGTCAGATCAGATCAAGCCCCATTCCACATCTTATCACAAAACCCACAAAAACACGACAGATCTTGGGATCTGTCCTCTGCCCCTCATTACCCAACTTTCTACACTCTTTCTCCCACCTTTCTTTTTTGTCTCTCTTGACCCAAGTCTCAGAGCAAATCACGAACGATATTCACACCTTTCCATCCGAGTCTTCGCGGGCCTTGTGCTCCGTACTGAATTTCTCCTTATCATTCCTTGCGGGATGATGTTGTACAACATGTTTTGATCAGCGAGCAAGCGAGCGAGTCTTTTCGTTTTGGAGTTTTGTGGGTTTACTACGGTTTTGGCTTGTTTTCTCCTACCTTTGCTTTTCTTTTTCTATCGATCTGTGTGCTGTGTAATGAACCTCACGCCACAACTCTTGGTGATCAACAGTCACGAGTGGAAAATCATGTTACGTCCAGATGTACTACTATGATGGCTTATCTCTCTTTTCGATTTTTGTACAATATGATACTGAACTGGATGTCGGGTTTTTTTTGTGGTTGGAATTGCTTGCGTGTAGTAGTCTTGCTCGCTGCGTAATTGTTTGCTCGCTGCTTGTCTTACTCACTGCGTAGTTGTCTTTGAAACATATCAAAGATAAACCTCATATAGCAATTAATTATCGCAGTGAAATAGAACTTAGAATTCTCAAGTCTTTGATTCCAATTATCGATTTGTATTTCAATTGCCTGTAGGTCAATGCTATGGTTGTTGCAGATACCCTTAGCAGGAGAAAGTTGGGATGAACTTGAAATTTACACCCCGGTGCTCTCCTTGGGTAGCATCTAACATCGGGAATTACATTGGATCATGAACCGTACAAACTGGAAATTGCCAATATGGGCAGGTGCGCCGACAAGATAATTGATAGTGCAGGAAAGCATCCCTAGATACATGTGGCCTTCGATCATTAAAACAGTGTCGCATTCTTGATCCGCTCGGCGTTATCCCTTGCATGTAAAACTTCAAGGACTACGCACAACCAGCACATTCAAACGTTCGGGGCTACCTCGTGCTCTAACATTTGAACATAAGATGCTTGATTACATCTTACGAGTCCCTTGTCAAAACTTTAGCATCAATTCTATGCGGAACATATATATGTACCTGGATAAGTGTATTATATCGTTAAGATCAGCCATGGGGAATGAGACAGCCATTACTATGGAAACATACCGGGCAATAAAACAGTAGAAGTCCAATCAGAACTACATTCCAGATGACCCAAAGTAGGACAAAAGTCAAATGCAATTTCAGGGCTCAAATGTTATTGAGCCCCAAGCCAGGCACATCAAGGGGAAGTAAGTCTTTCTCCCTTCGACTGTTTCACCCGACCTTCGACTTCAACCAAATGATGCCTTCGACCTAACCACGCCCAGCTCCTGTCGTTCATTTCAATGTTCCACTAACTGATATCACGCCAACTATTCACACTCTTTGCATCTGATTAGCATCAATTCTCTCGAATACCTAGGTATTCCCATCTCAGTCGCAACCTGACGATTGATAATCCTCCAAGCCCAACAACACCAGGTAACGGTGAACGTTATCATTCAATTTGGTCCTCACTTTACCGCACGACTATACAAGACCACTCACACCGAATCAATCCATCATGCATTTGAAACTCTTCACCCTCTTCGCAACCCTATGCACAATCACCACCGCCGTCCCATTCAGTCACCAGGAGCAAACACCTACATTGACGATTATTCCCAAATCCGCTTCTGCTTCACACTCACAGCCGTCCGCGTCCGCTTCTCCCACCCGCATCCCCGTTGGCGCGTACCAATGCCCTGAGAAACAGTACAAGGCATGCTGCATGTCCCTTGAGGAGGCTTCAAAGGATATTATTGTCAAGCCATTGAGTGATCTGGTTCCCATGTTTGGTGGAATTCAAGTTAGCTCGAAGGTTTCGTTTCAATGTGCGTTGCTCCCTGTACTCTGTACTTATTATTTGTGTGTTTGAAGCCGACATATTGGGATGGATGCTAACTGGAAGGTTTTACTTAGGCAATAACATGGCCGATGATGCGGATCCGGATACGTGCAGTGGACATGGATATACCCCGATGTGCTGCTCAGACCAAGCTGATGTATGTTTTTGTTCTGTTTGGTTGGATTTTGCTGATGTTCGTTGTTTTAGAAATCTTCCTTGAACAGCTGCAAGTCTTTTGCTTCTGTCAAGGAGCGGTACTACCAGTCTTTTGGCTACAATGTTGGTGAAGAGTCCCAGTCGGATTTGGTCTACGATGTGATGTCATGAGGGTCTGTTGAAATTGACAGGTTGCATGCATTGGAGTACATTGGGGGGTTATAATTTGGGGGAAAGGTAGAGGCATTGGTGCTCTTCACTTCATTTGAGATCAATTTGGCATATTGCCTTGGCCTTTTTCTATTTCTCGTGTAAAATCATTTGCACTTCTTTTCATCATTTATCATGTTAGACACGATTTGAAACTTTATTTGACAAGGGGAATTTTCATAGCATATATCACCAGCTTCAGTGCTTGGGTATCATAGATGTTAAGGATAATTTATTGAGATCTCCTTCAGAAATGTTAACTCGAGATTTCCAAGGCGAGGCGATACCCAAGTGTTCAGCTCTTGGAACATGGGGAAATTTTGATACAAGTACATATGGGATATCATTTTCTTGACAGTAGACATATAGACTTAGATCAACCTTACCGCCAACCTCGTCCCGCTGGTGGTCCATGTTGCCCACCAGAATGGGGAGGAGGGAAACGGTATTGCCCCGGAGGAAGAGGCTGACCAGGGGGCATAGGCTGACCAGGAGGCAAATTCATCTGTTGAGGAGGATAAAATGCAGGAGGGAAGGCTGGGTGGCTCATGCTCGGACCAGGGGGGAAGGGCATGGCCGGCATTTGTGGGGGTGGGGCGGGTGGCCACCCTCCCGCATAGGGTGGAGGTGGAGGTGGAGGTGGAGGTTGGGCAGAGAACCCATATTGACCATAGTCATGAGACGGAGTAGGAGGAATGGCATGACTTGGAGGTGGATGGGCGTGTGAGGGTTGATGGGGAGGAGGGAATCGGGGTGGGGACGGTTCCCGAGGTGAGTATGAACTTTCACGACTACGGGATCGGCGTGGAGAACGGCTTTTAGACCGCGGCCGTGAACCGTATTGGCGACCTTCATGACCGGCCCGAGATCGGTTACGGGGCGGAGAGTCTGATCGTCTGCTCTCGCTCAAGGAGCTGTCACTGTAGCGGCGTTTGTGGCCCTGACCTTGACTGTGGCTCCGGCTGGGAGGACCAGATGTTTTCTTTTTCATTTTCCGGCAGAATTCACGGGACCAGCCGTAGTAGGTTTCGCCATCGAGGATATCTCCAGTAATCTCATCTCGAGTTATTCTTTGACCCAACTCATCTATATCGGCATTCTCGTCGTCCGGGACAAGTTCCTCTGTGTCATAGATCTGATCCACCTCTATCAAAAACCCCTTAAGAGCATTGACAAGGGTCTGGTCCGCAGGTCCAGCCAGGAATTGTAATGGTTTGATGCTCTCCGGGTGAAGAGGAATGGTGGAATTCGGGATTAAGTGAGGAAGCCAGTTTCCTGCCGGCAGATCATAGTAGGGCGTGGAGTGATCTCCATGGGAAGATGGCATGATAAAAGGTGCATCTCTCCCGAGTAGCTTGGCAGGGTCGGCACCATCTGTCTCAAAATCGTTCGATAGCGGGGCCGCCCCAGCGGAGGCTGAATGTTTGATGACCTCCCGCAGTCGATGGATCAGATCGGGACTAAAATATCCGTGCTCGGACCAGAGATCCAGCAAATCCTCAAGTCGTCGATGGTGCCGAGGATTCTTCTCTTTATCGTAGGCTGCTGTATGGCCGAGAAGATCCACCATGTGTGGCTGCAGAGACCCGCTGACCGTGGAGAAAGTTGCTGTCGTGTCTAGATGGTACTTGCTGTGGTGGAACAGATCATTGAGCAAATAAAGTATGTGGAGTCGTCGACGCTTCGGAGACGATTTGGGCTGAGCGCCTGGAATATCCAAGGAGGCCGCGAGCGCAACTAGGTACTTGGCCAGCCCCGCTAGACGGTTCGCTGAGGACGCAACATAGTGGAGCAGCCAGGCTTTGCAGGTCTGTGTGGGGCAGAGTGGTTTAGCAAGTCTGGGGTGTGTAACAGGGAGGTTGCAACAGCTCAGACCTGGATGTTTGCTGGGGAACAATGCGACAGGGCGCGTTCAAGGGAGGTGTGAAAGATGGTGATCTCATCTCGGTGTACTGATGTAGGATCTGGACGTAAGAGACCAGCAGAGAAAGAGGCCTTTGCGATAGCGAGATGATGGGATGCCATTATCGAGTCGGATCTAGATCATCCGGTGGTTAAGTTACGGGTCTCAACTCACTAGCTTTGTGAAGCTTGATTAGCGTATCACACGTGACCTATGATTATGTACACAATTTTTGACAGGAGAATGAAGATACCACGATCAAGTTAATTTGGGATTTAATTGTTGATTTCTAATATATCATCTCTTGCCATTTCATCAGATCTACAGTTTTTCGAAATGACATTCGGATCATCGGCAATTTCACTTGATTCAACATCCGGGTAGATCCTAAATGATAAGATCCCATTTACAGATTTACATTTATCCACCGGCATTAAGGGTCGGGTATGATCTACTGGTCCCTGAATGGTTCGGATGCCATCTTTTCCGTATCATTCCATTCCGACGCGGTGAAGCCTAAAGCAGCCTATCACCCCTCTATGAGTCTTACCCAAAGGAGGGGCAAACTGACTCGCCCCACATACTCGGCCGATGTTAAGAGGTTGGCGCTTTTGGACCCCGCGATGGCGTGAGGCAATTCTTGCCTTTGAATGCCGACCGAAGCGTGATCGTCATTGCGTCTCGCGGAGTATTTCCATTATGAATCATTTATCAGCCCATACGGAGTATTGGCATATGTAGAAGCACCCCGCAGCTTTGCCCCCACATGGGGTCATTTGCTCGTATGGGCTGACTCTTATAAATACGCTGTGCACCCAAGGTACCTCATTTTATAGCTTTCCATAAATTCAACAACCTTCCTGCTTTATTTCCTTCCTCGGTCTCCACCATATCCGAACTCTACATATTCATTTAGTCTATTCTCATCCACTTTACCATCAGATCATGGCTGCAGTCATTGCTTCACAGCTGGCTCGTCCTTGCATCCGTCACTTCTCCGCGCACCGCCCACGCCCGGATAGCCGCGCGGCTCGCGCAGTCGCCATGACCTGCATCATCTCTGGCGTAGCATTACCCTTTGTGCCACCCGCCCTCGAAAGTTCGCGCCAGCGCAACTCCAGCGATCCCAGTGTTAACAAGTGAGTACCCGGACATCCCAACGACGAGCATCTCACTAACAAATCTTCAGACCAAATCCTCCTCTCTGCTTCCACGCTCGCTAGACAACCTTGCCTATGATACACATCAGGCGTATTGCTACACTCATTTTATTTTCCTAGCAATTTCTGTACTGGTTCATGCTTTCGGTGCTGGCATCGACATGAAACCTATTATATGATGCATGATTTGAAGGCGTTGACGGTCTGGCGTTGGAACAATTTCATTTGTGATTCCTATTGATATCGAGGCGCGCGGGCCATGGAATTTACCTAAGGGCATATAAAGATGCGACTAAGGACAGTGCCTAATAGATCCTAGAATATGAACCATATTCTGCATACCTGTCACCTTTTGTTAGTAGTACATACTGAAATAAATACTCAGAGTAACTACCTGGAGTGAGTATCAAGTTACATACCTAGTGAAGTACTCTAGAACATTTACAGTGTAGCTATGTGGTATCATGATACTTAGTTCCGGGCGAATTCCGCTATTTCCGTATCCCGTCACAACTCGCGCTAGCCTACCCGGGCAGAGAGTAAATCTTGGAGACCACAATAGAACCAGTCCATTCATTTTGTCAGGCTACAACACCTCTAGCCAGTCTATATATGTGATAGTGTACAAATCGAAGATATACAATGGTCGATCCACCTTAACTGAATCGGTTGCCACGAGGTGGACGGAACGGTGCTGTCGCCTCATATTTCCCCTTCTCCAATACACGCTCATTGTCATTCATAGGTTCGTGTCTAGTTGCAGCTGGGTCGTGCGAAGCTTCAGCACTGGGTGAGGCGACATCGTCGGCAGCATTCTGGAATCGAGCCATATTCGCGCGCTTCAAGCTGGGGTCGTCACTCGGAGTCGGGGTTGGCTTTGGTGCGGCCAGAGCGGCCTGTCGCCGGTGCTCATCTTCCATGGCCCTGTTCTCGGCCTTGCGCTTCATTTCATTCTCAAAACGGGTTTGTCGGTCGGCGTTAATGGACTGTTTGGCAAAGTAGTAGGCACCGCCGCCAGCTGGGGAGGGATTATTAGTTAGCCTGTGATTGAGACAAAGCATGCCTCGGCGATCCAAAAAATTGAGACTCTAAATCTTGTGGTTCGAATTGACTACTGACCGACGCAGAGGGTGCCCCAGCCAATCCTGTTGGGAAGTACATAGCCATCGATCAGTTTGCTATCCTTTCGTTGCCTAATGCTTTCAATGCCAGGAGGGGCAATGCCTGCTCACCAAGTGGATCTGATCTGAGGGATTGATTTGTTAGAAAAGAAGAACCTAGAGCGGTAGACTAGACTCACTGTGTTCATGCTTATAGAAAGTGACTGATGGGAGAAAAGTGAAGGTGAATTGTGCTACGTCAGTTCAAGGCTCCACGCTGACCAATCGGAGCTATCATTTCTGCCTCAGGCAATATATGCTTATCATCCAGGACCGCATCTTCCCAAATATTTCTAATTCCTAACCTTCACTCGACATCCTTCTCTTCACCGTTTTCTTTCTGCTTGACCTTCTCACATTCGACTGCGCTCACCTTACATTTTCATACATATCCCTTGTTCCTTTCCTGGTCGCATCATCCAGTCGGCATACGCCGCCTGTTGCCTGCGACCCATACCTGCTCGTGGCATGCAGGCTTGAACTATTTCCTACGAGGCGTTGTTCGCCTCACCGATCCCCGATCTTCTCTCTTCATATCAACTGCGTCACAAATAACTCAACCGACTCCTTCATAAATCCGCATCATGCCTCCAAAGAGAAAGGCGGCTGACAGTAAGCGCCCCGAAGGTCAGACAAGGAAACCAGCTAGCTCACATTCAACCTAGGTGGTCGGTCTAGCAGCGCCTCCAAGCGACCTACACCCATCCCCGATACCACCGATCTCTCCAGCAGCGACGAGTACTCAGATGACGGGGATGATGATGTACCGGAGCGGAACAACTTGAAAGGTAGAGTGTGGCGATCTGCTCACATGGTGACTCAGATGCTAAAACTTGGCGGATAAAGAGGTTGTTAGCAAGTTCTCTCTGGAGTCATTCAGCAAGAAATCGCAGCTCGGCAAAACCGATCCCAGATTTGGTTACAAGGACCTTTCTTACCTCCCGCTCAAACTTGACCACTACAACCGACCTCTATGGATCGAGCCGGTGAAAGGCACGATCACTCTTGAGAGTTTCTCCCCGCTGGCACCTCAGGCACAGGACTTCCTCACCACTATAGCTGAACCGCTCTCTCGTCCTACCCACCTTCACGAGTACCGCCTGACAGGTCACAGTCTTTATGCGGCGGTATCGGTTGGTCTGAAACCCCAGGACATTGTCGAGTTCTTGGATCGTCTTTCGAAAACCCCTCTGCCGGAGAGTATTCGAAATTTCATTATCGAGTTTACGAAATCGTACGGCAAAATTAAGATGGTTCTGCGACACAACCGATACTACGTAGAAACGGTCGATCCGGAGATGCTGCAGCGATTGTTAAAAGACGAGGTCATCGGTCCACAAAGAATTGAGAGTACCGAGGGAATTATCGAGCGCGCGGCTCCGAAAATGGGAGGTCTTGTTATTCCTGGAACGAAGGATGCGGCCGGTGTAAGAGAGACCGGCACTCAACAGAACGCTGCTGCTGCGCCACGGGATGAAAACGAAGAGGCGGCCGTTGATTACGGGATCGACGATGTTGGTGACGTCGATGAAGCCATCACATACAGTTTCGAAATCCCTCCCGCCGGAGTCGAAGTGGTCAAAGCCCGCTGCCAAGCGATTGGATGTCCTGCCCTAGAAGAGTATGATTTCCAAGGTGATACTGTCAACCCCAATCTCGACATGGATTTGAAACCTGCTGCTCGAATTCGTTCATACCAGGAGAAGAGTCTCAGTAAGATGTTCGGCAACGGACGTGCAAAGAGCGGAATCATCGTTCTTCCTTGTGGCGCTGGTAAGACCCTGGTGGGTATCACCGCTGCAGCTACTATCAAGAAGGGCACCATTGTTCTTTGCACAAGTTCCATGTCTGTGGTTCAGTGGCGAAATGAGTTCTTACGATGGACCACCATCGACCCCGGCGATATCGCTATCTTCACATCTGACCACAAGGAAAAATTCAAACGGTCTACTGGAATTATCGTGTCCACTTACTCCATGGTGTCACAGACTCGGGCACGTTCCTACGATGCCCAGAAAATGATGGACTGGCTCCAATCGCGAGAGTGGGGTATGATGATTTTGGACGAGGTTCACGTCGTGCCAGCCTCGATGTTCCGAAAAGTCACTTCTGCTATCGCCGCACAGAGCAAACTTGGACTTACTGCTACTTTGTTGCGTGAAGATGACAAGATCAAGGATCTGAACTTTTTGATCGGTCCCAAACTTTACGAAGCTAACTGGATGGAACTTGCCGCACAGGGTCATATCGCCAAGGTTCAGTGTGCCGAAGTCTGGTGCCCCATGACAACCGAATTCTATTCGGAGTATCTGCGGGAGAGTTCAAGGAAGCAGGCTTTGCTGTATATTATGAATCCCCGCAAATTCCAAGCATGCCAATTCTTGATCGACTTCCACGAGAAGCGAGGAGATAAGATCATTGTCTTTTCTGACAACGTTTATGCGCTTGAGCGATATGCACTCAAACTGAACAAGGCTTATATTTACGGTGGAACCCCGCAGAATGAGCGAATGCGTATCTTGGAGAATTTCCAGCACAACGAGCAGGTCAACACCATCTTTTTGTCCAAGATCGGTGATACTTCCCTTGATCTACCCGAAGCCACTTGTCTCATCCAAATCTCATCCCACTATGGCTCGCGTCGCCAGGAGGCCCAACGACTGGGTCGCATTCTCCGTGCTAAGCGCCGTAACGATGAGGGCTTCAACGCGTTCTTCTACTCACTCGTATCTAAGGACACCAACGAGATGGTTTACTCGGCCAAGCGTCAAGCCTTCCTTGTCGACCAAGGCTACGCCTTCAAGGTCATTACCCACCTTCAAGGAATTGACGAGTACGAAGGGCTCTCCTACGCTACCCCTGCTGAACGCCGCGAGCTTCTGCAGGAAGTCATGCTCCAGAATGAGTCCTCGGCCGACGTGGAACAGGTGAATGACGATCTATTCTCCATGCGCACCGGAGGCAAGGGCCGAGGTAAGAAGCCCACTGCCAAGCGTAGTGCCGCTACTCTCAGCGGTTTGGCTGGCGGTGATGATATGGCTTACATTGAATACAATAAGAGCAAAAACAAGCAGCTCAAGGACAAGGCGGGACACCATCCGCTGTTCAAGAAGATGGAACGGGAACGGCAACGCCGCAAGAAGGAGCGAGAGACGGCGCAGTAACAAAATCGAACTAGCGGAGATAGGTAAAATTTAAATTTTTTTTTGGATATTACCTGAAATCGAGCCAGACTTGTTACAACAGATTGAAAGTGGTGATGGTAATTCCCATTCGCGAAATTCAAGAATAATTTGCCTTACAATGACGAAACATATGTAAACAGTTAGTAATTCACAGGTTTGTGCATTATAAACAAAATCCCAAAATTCCAATCCGTCATACTGGAATCAGTCAGCAAGTCGGATCTAGTTCCCCTTGCACTTCCCCCACAACTAAGCATGACGTTGATACGTTGCGCCGAACCCCGAAACCCCGAAGCTCCCTCCACTTTCCCTGTCGAAAGCCTAATATTCGCATTCTGATAGGTCATTCCGGTCTTTGCATTTCTGTACGACAGGGGAGTAGTCATACTCGAGACCGAGTCAACCCCCGCCTACAAATACCAACTGTCGTCATGTTGTCGGGTTTCAAAGGGCCATGATTGTCAAGCAAGTTCATAACTTCGAAAGGATAGCCTCAAAATTTCGGACTTCGACAAGCAGAGCACCGAAAACAGCTTCAAACACTCACTCTTCAGGAGCTTTATCGCCTAAATTTTTCCCTCTTCAATCTTTTAAGCTACAGCCGCGTTTAGCCGCCGTCCTTGGAGCTTCCCCACACTGGCACTCCAGACCGTTTAGCTCCGAATTAAACACCAGTACTTTCGCCATGGCGACGGCGACCAACATTTATTTGGACCCCACTAAGGATGTAGGGGTCTACAGCTCCAGTATTCGGGAAGATGCCGCTCGTGTCACGAGTAAGATTCTACAGGAAGATATGGAGAATCACCATGTCTTCTTCAATGATGAAGGATTCCATAGTATGTTTGTTCCAATGGAGGTTCAGCTGAGGGATTGCAAAAAACGTGTTCTGTATCTAACCAGACAATGCAGACCATATTGTTCATGGAATCCTCACCATCTATGCACTTGGCGCATCCCCTGAAGAAATTTGGGCCCATTACGAGAGAAACAAGAGTTACCAACGACCATCATATCCGATCAACGAAGATACCATTCAAGCTATGCATGATAGTACCAAGTTCCAAGGCTTTCTAGGAAAAGAAGACCAATACTCGAACTTTTTAGCTTTCTTCCAGAATGCTATTGATACCAAGGGAGTCAGTCAAGTCCTCGGGGAGTATTTATTTGCTGGTGACGACCGCGCTGAAACAATGTTTTGTCGGCTGTTTGGAGGTATGTGTTCCTTTCATACAAATTGCAAGCTAGAAACTGACGTCAACCAGGACTGGTACACCCGCTCATTCACCTCGGTTTTGGGCTGGAGTTCAACCAACCTGCCATTGTGGCCCAGGGCCTGGCCCAAGCAGCCGTTCATGCCGATTGGATGGGTCGCGACTTCTTTCTTGCCGCCGAAAAATTGGCCGGCGGAGTTGGAAAACCCGGGGAGAAGTCACTTTTACTGCTCTTAAATGAAGTCCGCAAAGATCAGACAGTGAAGAGGTCTGTTAAGTTCTCTGACACCAACAAGTTTAGGGATGGAGTGTTACACCGTGCGCCACAGGAAATGCTCCAGTATGCTGCTCAGTATACAGTTTCCGCAGAGCAGATACCAGAGAGATTGGCTGATATGATCAACACCGTTGGTGAGAGCATTTCAGATCCATTGGCTCCTTAAAAGAATGCCAAACGAAGGTGACCTACTAACGTCGGCTAGTGTACTATACGAGCGCCGCGCAGCGTCGCGACAAGGAGATAAAGATCGACTTTTTCTTCATCCACAGTCTCAACTCCTCCATCTTCTTCTCCACTCTTATGGAACTTCCATACCTCAAGCAGGAATGGAAATGCCGTCTACTCGAATGGAAAGGCCGTCTTGATCTTCTGACTTACGTTTCTCGCAACTCCCCGGACCTCCTCATAGACGAAGTCACTAATTACCCAGCCAACAAAGACTGGCAGACTGTGATCTCGCACAGTATAGCACACCCAACCGATGACGGTCATCTATCCAAGCTGGTGCGAGCTGTAGCGCATGGGCAGAATGTGTGTCGGCGATTTGAGAAGAAAGATGCAATGCCGATCTCTGGTGATATGTGGCTTAAAATTGGGAATATGGGTAAGCTTCTATGTGCGACATGCCAATGTCACTTGCTGATTGGTCTACCTTCATAGCTATTGACAGTACTGCTGGATGTGGTGGTACTCATGGGGCAATGTGGATCCGTTCAACCGGGTTTGATGAAGCGTGGAATAATATATCAGGACGTGCACGACTATAAGATAAGCTAGCGTTGCGATTCTACAGGCTATTTGTGAAGCTCTTGAGGCTCCCATATCTTTCGGGTTTCTTCTGGCATTGATCTAAATTGACCATACCTATGAGTTGTCTATACATCAAAATGACCTTGAATTAATCCGTATTATATAGCTTGTGAACTCATTCTCATGCAACAGCGCAACAGCGAAAGTGGGCACTAAAGTCATGGTCCAGTCAAGAAGAGGCTCAGCTCGTTCAAATGTCTCAAAGTAGTTAGTTTATCGTTAGTAAATCGAGGCGTCAGGTTTGACCCACCAGTGCAGTGGGTCTATTCCGTCATACGGCCAGATCCGAGTCTGGGCGGAGGGTCTCGAATGAAGATCAAAAAGTCTTTGTGACTCGAATCTGAGAAAGGCAGAAGTCACCAAATTGGTAGATTTCGTTGAATAATTGTACTTCATGCAGCAAACAAGTATTACTGTATGCGAGCGCAAATCAAAGAACAAAAAGACCGAAAAAAGTGGGACTCACGTGGTCAAGAAGGTGGGGCTCCCCAACAAGCTTCATCTTTCATCAACATCTTTTCGTCTCTACTCAACTTCAACTCCATTTTCATCTTCATCTTCATCTTCATCTCCATCATGGATCGTGATCCAGAAGACAAACGCGACAAATTTGAATCATCCAATATGCCCCATCATAATTGGAATGATGAGCCTGAGACAAATCCATTCGTGGCGCTACGGCGCTTCGCCGATGAACAAGTTTCTTCTGTATTACAATCGATCACCGGCCTCCCATCCTCATTGAGCCCTCCGCAATCAGACAGCTGGACCATATTTACGGATGATAAAGGATACAAGAATATGGCATATCATCGCCGTATTGGGGCGAACTCGGACCTGAACAACTCAGCCGATCGCGACTCCACTTCGAATCCAAGCGCCGACCCCAACACATCAGACAGGGAAGAGAAGCCATCAAACTACAACAACTACAATCAGCAAATGCCTCAAGCTTCCCAACGATCGTATCCATCCGAAGAAATCAACCGATCTGCACATCCCCCTCGCAGCGAACGCAGGCCTTCCGATTTCTTTGGCTTCGACTCATTCTTCAACCGCTTTGAAGACCACTTCTTCCCCTTTGCCTCCTCCCTCCTCCATCCACAAACAATCTTCCCCTTTTCCGACATGTTCGATGATAGCAGCTCGCCCACCTGGCCACTCACCTACATCATGCTAAACCCCTACTCCCCTCTCCACCTCGAACGTCAGGCCCACTACCGTCGACGTGACCAGGGTGTATTCTCCTCCATCGTATCCTCTCTCCGACCGGACTCGGAAGAGCTGGACCGCGACCCTACTGAGCCGCAATGGCGCGAGGCTTTTGAGGACTTACTCCGGCTGGAAAATGGCAAGTCCATGCTTGAACGCGACTCCCTGTCACCAAGAAAGACCAGACCGGAGACTGGAACAGAGTGGCTAAATGGGTTGGTCAAGCGTGGTAGCTTAGGCGACCAATGGAAATACGTCTCTGGTACCAACGGTCATCCCTGGTCCGGTATTACTTTTACTGGACACAGTGAGGATGATCGTACGCTACCTGAGTACCATGTGATGGCGCGTCAGGAATCCGAGCCGGAGAGCGAATTGGAATTGTATGAGCGTTTCTTACAGGATATTCAGGATCGCGAACGAGAGTTCTCTCGCGAGACTGCGGTAAGTCCATTGCTCCATGCTCTGTTTGATCAACGACGGCATCGGCAGGATGCGTTTGAGAGGTTTCAACGAGATTTGGCCTCGGATCCTGAGCAGGATGATGATGATACAGAGAACTGGTTGGATCTTGTCTCGGGTGGGAACCGAAAGTCTGTTCCTGAGACTGAGAACACAGTACCCTCGACGCTCACGCCTGTGACAGAAACGAAGCAGGAGGAGCCGATAGAGAGAGCTACAACCCGTGTTATTTCTACAATGACTCGCACGGAGCGTATCCGTCTTCCTGATGGCTCGGTCGAGACCAAGAAGGTACAGACGAAACGATTTGAAGATGGCCGTGAAGAGACCGAGTCGTTTGTTGAGACATCGCGCCCAAGATTGGAGGCCAGCGAGGCTGGTGACGAAAAGTCCACCGAGCAAAGCACCCAGTCGAAAAATGGTTGGTTTTGGAAAGACTGATTTGCTCGGTACATGATGCATGATTTTTTCCTTGTCTGCCAAAACGGCAGCTGATATGACCTATGATATTTACACTCATCAGCGTTTTCTCTTATTTCCTGTGACTTTTCATTCATGGCTTGGTGCTCGCTCATCATCTATGCACATTCGCTCAATATTTATTTCTTTTTCTGTATCAAATTATCGTCCTTGCATTGGGTACTCTGTCGTTCATAAGTACGTTGTTATCATAAGAAAATCTAAGAGCCATATCCAATTCGTTCGTCTCAGTCCGCCTTGACATTCTTCTTTGCTGTCTTTCCGGTGGTCCAACCCCTGGATTCCCAGAACTTGACACTCTCTTCCATCTTCTTGTAGGCCCATGTGAATGAAGGATCTGAGAAGGATTGGTTAGCTTACCGTAACATGTTGCCAATGCGGGGGAAACTTACACAGGAATTGACGAAGATCATGGCGATTGTCATCGGGAGAGTACTGCTCCGCGTGGTAGCTAGGTGTCAAGACAGTCATCTTGTGCCGATTAATTGAGTAATTGTAGAAGAAATGACGTGTTTTCTCGTAGATTTCGCGCGGACTGTATTCATTGCCCCACAGGTGCTAGGTACATTGTCAGCGGGAATCCAGAAGACCAAGCCTAAAATACGAGACTTACCAATAGCTTCTCATACATTGACCAAGGTCCTAATTTAGAAACCTTGCGAAGGTAGCCTGTAGCAGAGTCAGTTATTGGATCCCATAGGAGAATTTCCTGGGGAAAATACCGAAAGTTCCAAGTTCAGCATAAGTCACACCCATATCGGCTTCATCGTATTGGATGTATGTTGCTGTCCGAGGCTCCAGTTCAGCTGTAGGCGTCGCGTGGAGGAACTCTTCAAGAATCGGAAGGTCAAAGTTGACACCTGCCCACCCGATGAATTTCTTAAGGTCACCCTTGCTAATAGATCCAATGGGATTGAGATCAGCTGAACTGGCGTCGTATTTGGTCAAGTAGCCACGCAAGCACTCATCCACATTGGATGATGCAAGAACCAAGAGACCACCACCACCTGGTCGCTGACGGACAGTCGGCAACAAGGAAGCGAACAAGTAAGAAAGAACCATTCTCAACCGAGCCTGGACATTCTGCAAAGCTGCATTTTCGGCGTGACTACCTCCGTGGACCTTGAACCGTGGCTGGAAGTTGGTGACTGTGGTGAAAAGCGCCATCAGCGCAGTGACAACAGTATCAAAGTTAAAGTCAATGTGGTAGGCGCCAATATCCGCAGCTAGTCGCTTAGCTCGGTCTCTTGTTTCCTGGCCAGAGTTCTGCGTGCCCATGTAACTGGTGTGGAAAATGGCGCGGCAGACCTCCTGGCTGGTAGTCGGTAGCCATTCTGAATCAGCGGGCTGGGCACAGAGGCGACGGACATCCTTGATGACCTGCTCATTACCCTCTCTAACTGCTTTCAGAACCTCCCGACACATTGAATGAACAATCACCGACGTTGCACAGCTGTCGATGCCACCACTGAGAGGGATAAAGAATCCCGCGGCACCACATCGGCGCAAGTAATCCCAAAGCCAACAAGCCGGGCCCAGGGCGATTTCCTCTTCTGGTACATGGAAATGTGGCTTGAATGGGGCGGAGATGACGAGGCCAGGATCCGCATCTTCCATGCGGCGGGAAAGCCGGACATCGATATCGAGGCGAACGAACGGTGACTGTTTGCTTGCTTGCATTCCGCGGCTTACGGTTGAGCGGTAGGTTCGGACCTCTTCGATGTCAACGGTAGCAGTGACAACTTCCACGTCGTTTAACGAGAATTGAGATCCTTGAGCTACAACATCGCCATTGACCACGATCATCGCACAGCCATCGTAGTATAAGCGATCGCCGTCACAGCCTTGTTGGTTGGCGTACAGGTAGATACCACCGCTCTGTGCTGTGTCAGTAAGAAAATTTGTGATATCATGGGTGTTTGATGTACCAATTTCGTAGCCTGTGTAATCAGGTTAACGCGGGTGTCAAGCTTCTTCAGTTCATGGTGACTGCCGGAAGAGTTGGAAATGATCTCCACACCTAGATTGTTCAGCAACTATATGATCCCAAGGAAATGTGATCACTTACCAGCAAGTCCATAGGGAATGTGAGGTCTGATTTATACGGTTAGTTCATTGTCAAATCAGGATTCTGGGAATATGGATACCCATTAGGAGTGAACAGTTCCTCGCAAGTCTCCAAGCCAAGACATGTGTCTCGCGTGCTGATGACGGCATCACCGAACGGGACCTTGTATTGACCGGTAATCTTTCCCACAATCTGCTCTAGATAGTAGTCCTCAACCTCTTGGGGACGCTGCCACGGAATGAAGTGCCTGTGCTCTCTGTAGTTTCCATCTATACAGGATATAAGTATGGGAGGTAGATTGGCAACACGGGGACGGACAAACCGTTGGCGAGCCACATCTTAGGTCGGATCAGGATAATCTTTCGGTTGTAGAAGATGACACTATGATTCAAGGTATAGATTAGCTAATGGCCGTATGGAACAGAGCTTGGAAATTCTCACCGGCAGTTGTAGCGCACATTGCGGTGGCGCACAGGCATACCCACATCCACCACAATATCCTGACAGTCTGGGTGGTCGATAATACGAGCTAGCATCTCCCATGAGTGCAGGAAGGTGTCTCCTTCAAGGAATCCATCTAACACGCCGTACCCTACCGAGCCGGTGTTAATTTCCGTCCTCATATCCCGCAGTGCAGATTTATTTAGTCAATTACCGGTGATCTCAAGCTCCGGACCAACTCGTAGAGTCGCACCCGCCGCCTTTGCCTGCCGAATACTCTCGATAATGCGGGCCGCATTGCCCTCAAAGTCAAGGGCCCATTGGTTTAGAGAGCTATAAAGTCAGCAAATGAAGCTCTTCCAAGCAAATATTTGAGGCATACCATGTTGCAAGAGTGACCAGGTGCCCCATTATGCAGTCTAGTAGCAGTGACCACAGCTATGACTCCTTCAACAAGAAATTTGTCTTAGATAAAGAAGCAGAAAATGGGAAATTCATTAATCTGATCACGTGTGTGGGGAGTCCGCGCTTCCCCGCTTCACAGTATTGATATTACTTTAAATTACGAATAATACACCCCTCACGTACAGTGATCGGCGGAAGTCCGGCACAAGATTAAGTAATCTGGATACCATGACAAACCACTACGCTGATTAATCCATAAAATGCAGTAGAATTCTCTGATCATTTGCTCCTTTGACACATACACAGTGTATATAGAGCATCTTCAACATGAGCGCAACCTCTCAAATTCCGGTCCCAGCCCATACGCTCGCGGAATCCATGCTATCACGGCGCTTCGGCCGGGAAACTGCGAACTATTTCTCCAGTATGGAATTGCCGAGGAGATGAGAGCAAGATTGACGATAATGGACGCAATACTGATAGTTCACAGGTTCCCCAATAAACAGGCTATCGTTTCTGCGCGATAACCATCCATTCCTTTCGACGGCCCTGAAGCACCCGTCTACGCAATTCGTTGTGCTGAACAACCTCGCCCCGCTCACTCGCTCCCCGGCTGAGCTGTACTATGCCAAATATGAGGAACTACGCAAGCTTATCCCCCAGGATATATTTGATCTTTCTGAAGAAGATACGATCAAGTCATTTGACTCGCGAAAAACTCGGCCGATCTTGATCTTCCTTGGTCTGGACGAGAGCCGCAAGGAGAACGGCTTCGCTCACAAAATCTACTCTGGAACCCCATGCTTCGCTGTCGATGTTACCCCCAGAGGATGCGAGGCCCAGCAAGCCGCTGCCAAAGACATCATTAGTGAAATGGAAGCAAAAGGCCTTTCATTCTTCCAGACTAGAATCGTTACGACCTTTACTCCGGACGAAGGTATGTCGAAGCCTGAGGTTAATGATAACCTCAACAAAAAGAAGATAAAACCTATGGTTGGGAATATATGCTCACCAATAAAATAGCCGCTGTTTACGCCCAAGCCCGTGCTTTGACAGACTGGAATAACCGCAACACTTTCTGTGGCACCTGTGGCAATCCCACTCTCTCCGTGAACGCAGGAACCAAGCGCACCTGCCCACCTACAGACGCCGCCCGCATCGCCGCAGGCCAGTCCGAAGAGCGTCCTGCCTGCACGACCCGCACAACCCTATCAAACCTGTGCTTCCCCCGCACAGACCCAACAATCATTGTAGCTGTCGTCTCCGCCGATGGCAAGCGTGTTCTCCTTGGCCGCTCTAAGCGTTTCCCACCAAACTGGTACTCGACTCTGGCGGGTTTCATCGAGCCAGCGGAGTCTATTGAGGATGCCGTGCGCCGTGAGGTGTGGGAAGAGGCTGGTGTGACTCTCTCGCGGGTTGTCATTCATTCTTCGCAGCCCTGGCCGTATCCTGCGAACTTGATGATTGGTGCCATTGCGCAGGTGGCTGATCCGGCCCACGAGAAGATTAATCTGGAGCATGATCCTGAGCTTGAGGATGCGAAGTGGTTCGATATTGAGGAGGTGGAGGAGGCATTACGTATTGGGGTGAGTGATTTGAGTGTTGGAGCTGGACCTGGGCCGGAGTATAAGGGTGGTTTGAGACTGCCGCCACCGACAGCGATTGCGAATAAGTTGATTCAGGCGGCGATCAGCAAGGACTATTTCCCTCATGATGAGAAGGCTTCTAAGATGTGATTTTCATAGATCCTAGATTGCGTACATATGGCGACGCCTACCACTTGTGTACAGACTAAATGTGGCTGGCTATCCCGAAGACATACATTTGAAGATTCACTGCACATGTACAAGTTTATTCACATCGAAGAGACCTCGGTGGGACTGATATCACTTGAACTAGTGGGTTCTATTTTACAGATTGGCATAAAGTGTGCCGTCACGCAATTCATGAATGCTTTCTTTGGAGCTGGGAGATCCAACCTCCGTGTAGCGTCGGCCATCGCGGAGTTCATGGATGGTGACTTGCCGGTGACTCTTACGCGAGCGTCGTGAGCTTCGAGCAGAGGACGGCGGATCCCCACAGGATACCGAGTCTACACTCCCAGACTCACTTATCATGGCACTGCCCTCTCTTTCCACGCTCTCACTTAGGATGGACGCTTGGAGCTGATGGTCGGCAACCATGCTTGCGCCGAAATCGGCGTACCACTTTCGCAAGCCAGATGCATAGGCTAACTCCTCCGAGCGATATTCAACGGGAGGACCATTAACTTGTGCTTTTGGTCCGGAACCATCGAAGACAGCCCATGAGCTGGATTCAACACTGACCAGCGTGATCGAGTGGTCAAAACTGCAAACTTTGAAATTTCGGAGCAAGACTGCGTTTCCTTCAACCAGTACCGGCATTGCAGTCTTGTAGCGTCGAAATATCTGGGCTTGAAGAACGGTACCAGCCATAGATGGATCGGTAAGTTGGATGGTCATGAAATAGTCTTTTGGACCGGAAGTTGCTTTGGCAATTGGGGATACTTCGTGAACAATTGAGATGGTGTCCACTAAAGCACTAAAATGGTCGATAAGAGTGGCGAGTGGAGCGAAGTAAGATAGTTTACTGCGTAGTCCATGGGCATGGCGATCAGGAGCCGGGAATTGACTGACAACAACTGCTGGGGCTTCCCGAGTTTCTCCCTGAGTAGCTTTGGACTGTTCTTCGAGCTGAATGGTTTCGGTGGTTGGTATAACAACGAGCGGATCACCTGCGAGTTTCTCATCAGGCACGTCTTCTGATGAAAATACCTGCTCTGGGAGTGATGTGGCCACAACATTCTCAGATGGGTGATCCGATGTACTTGGAGCGAATTCCGGTGCTGAAGGAGAAGGTTCTACTGTCCTCTCCTTGTTCACAGTGGCCTGGGAGTCATTCACTTCCTGAGTAGGATCAGGGGTCAAAAGTTGCGGCCAGGTGGATTGCGCCGAGGTAGTTTCTGCTGCCTCATTGCCGATTTGAATGTCACCCAAAGGCGCCCTTTCATCTGAACGTTCATCGTACGTGCCATCCCATCCATGTAGACCCGTTGGCTTGGGCTCCGCACCAGACCAAGCCTTCTCTATTTGACTGGCAGATGCCGAGTCTTCTCGAGAGGGAGCAATCTCACCGACCTCGCTGGATTTATCCTCGTCGGAGTCTAGGCCAATGACCGTTTCCGTGTTTGCACCGGTTTTGATAACGTTGTCAGAATGATAATCCTTTGGTGATACCACCTCTGATCCGGCGTCAGAAACATCGCCTTTGTGGTCCCGCTCATGCATTGAAGACTCTTGGGTCGAATGCTTCTGTGAAGAATAGTCTTGAGCCAACACATCCACAGATGACTCGTCTTCCATATTACTGTCGTGGACTCTGTCATTCTGGCCAAACTCTTCAGCCTGCTCATTCTCGTCATCCTCGGAATATTCGGCTTCTGATTGAGATTCCTCATCTTCAGCCAAATCCAATCCTTCATTTTCAGACTGTGTCGATGAATCACGGTATGTGTTGGCTTCTTGATGCATAAAATGCGGATTCGCTGGTTGCTCAGAGGTGAGTTCGTCTTCACTATCGCTATCCAGTACAATTACTTCATGCTGTGTAGAGGACTGTCGTGGCAAATCTGCTGCTTCGGGCTCCTCATCGCTACTCGCATCGGGGTCTTCGTCGTACTGGTCCTCAACTTCAGAGCCTGATACTATGTCTTCATCTTCCCCTTCATCTTCATGATATAGAGCTTCATCCTCGGCAGGAAGACTCTCTTCGTCACTAAAACTGCGATGGCGCGTGTGATGAGCTTGCTCGACCTGAGATAAGTCTGAAGGGTTGTCACTCTCATCATCTTTAGACCCTTCGGGTGTGAATCTTCCTGTCTGTTGACCATCTGTGTCCTCGCCAGCCATCTCTCGCGCGTGTAAAATAAGCCCAGAGTCAGCTTGGGCATACTCATTGCTGTCTTCAACAGGTTCAACCTCAGACCTTGCCTCAGACCTTGCCTCAGACCCTTCCTCAGACCCTTCCTCAGACCCTTCCTCAGATCCTGTCTCAGATTCCGCCACAGATTCCGCCTCAGATTCCGAATCATCCTTGTCTTTCATATCATGGTCGTCTCGATCGTCCACGGCTCGTTCACCTCCGTCAGATTTACATGATTGAGCTGCCACTTGATCCGCCACTTGATCTGCCACTTGATCTGCCACTTGATCTGCCACTTGATCTGCCACAGCTGATAGAAGCGACTCATCAACCTGCTCAACGTTGACCCCAGACTTAGTCATCACGGTATCATGGACAAATTTCGATGTATTTGATAATTCTGTTGGATCGGATACCAATTTAACAGTTGGGTTTTCCAGAGTAAAGGTCGCCGGGGACTGATGAGTTACCAGGCCAGCTGGTGTGGAAATAGATTCATCATCTTGATGTGTTCTTGCCATATCTTCAGCAGCTATCGGTGTTGCTCTTGGAGGAGAAACGGGTGAAATGGTGGAGAAATGTATCGGCTCTGAGGCAGTCACAATGGCATCGGCTTCTAGAGACACAGCATCTGCGTTCTGTATTTGGGAGACAGTGTGGGATTCTGAAAAGTAGCCTTGATCGTTGTTTGAGTTTGAAACGATAGGCGAGGGTATCGGAAGACCGGGTGAAGGTACTGGTCGGAGTTGCGGCGTATCTGTAGGAAGATGGGAGGCTGACATCAGGCGCCGCTGGAAAGTATCACTGGGCTGTGGTGGTCGCTTGCCGAAAAGGCCTCCAGAAAATTCAAGAGAAGGCTTGACAAAGACAGAAGCCTGCTCTTGAGATGTATGTTCCTCGTTTGTCTGATCTCCATCAGGGATTGTACTGCCGATCTGAGGTTCAGCATCTGGGGCTTCATTGATCTCTGGTTCGTTATTCTCGCTTCCCTCAGACATCTTCTCCCAAGAGTCTTTCTCCCACCAATCTAACGCAGGTTTCTGCTCCTGTGGGCTCATAGGTTCATCCAAGATGTGCCAATCGTCCCGTTTCAAGCTGTATCTTGGCCGTTTTCTTCCCTTGCCAGGAACAAACCCATCCTCCTCGACAGGCTCCCGAAGAGAGGTACGAGGCACACTGCTAAAAAGATTTGAACCAGATCGTAGAAAAGCTGGCGATTCCCATGAGCTTTGTCCCAGTACCAATGGGTCTGTTGTAACGACGCGGGGTGTCGAGGGCGGAACTGGTTCGGGTTCTTGTGGTGCAGGATCGTGATACTCGATGGATACTTTTGAGGAATCTTTTGAGGAATCTTTTGAGGAATCTTTTGAGGAATCTTTTGAGGAATCTTTTGAGGAATCTTTTGAGGAATCCTTTGATGACCGATTGATCTAGTACAATATCATTAGCATCGGATCTTGGTAGAGCGCTTGCGGGCCGAAGTTACCTCGAGGGACAACCCATGGTCAAAGTGTATATCCCACGCGACATATCTTCCGGGAGTTTGCGTCGCTGTATCATTCGCAACAAAATTCGAACCCTCCAAGGAAAGACAAATAGTGTCACCAATGCCAACATGGGACAAGGCCACCTTCTCTGCAACGCGCCCATGAAATATTGCCTTGACTTGTCCATGAAAACGTCGCAGACGGAAATCGGGTTCGGCGAGCAAGAGACTAAGAGACTTGGTCGATGATGAGTACGGCCAGACGAGGGTCACAGTCGCTTCTATGCATTTCTCCTGAGGCTGCTCGAGGGTGGGCGACAGCTGCGCGATCGGGATCTTGGTGAGTTGCGCATTTGGTGCTGGAGGCTGGTCGACTGCTGTCATTGTGTCCACGAATCCCTGAACGACATCAGTAGTCCGCGACCATCAGAATACAGGCAAGATCCGATGAAATGGCATGAAAGGTGGGAAAAGTGAGTTGAAAGAGCGCGGGTGCCACAAACAGCCGGGTTGACAATTGGTAATACCGAGGTAATGAAACAGCAGGAATGAGGGAATCCCAATGTGTTTGAGTGTTTTTCCAATACCTTGTCATATTCACACCTGAAGAATCAGGCAAATTCAATTAACTTCACCTAACTACCAACTGAACTACTTAAATGATTCAAATCTATTCTGATATTCTGTCCAACTACTCTTTTATATGACACTGTTTCTGTCCTATACCTTGGAAGTCGCACAATGTTTTGTGATGAAATGATGGCGCTTGTTATACCCCGATAAGCTCAGATCCACTCCACTATGGCGCGAGGGACCGGCTTCCCTTCCCCAACCCCTCGCCGAACAAGCACTGAGTTTTGAGTAATGAGTAATGGCAGTCACCAATCCTATTAAGCGGGTAGCTGTCATAGGGGCAGGACCATCTGGTCTTGCTGCCGTAAAGTAAGGAAAACCCCGTCATTGTGAATTCAAATTGATCAGTCCATGTTGCTGACCGACAGAACAGATACCTTCGGGCAGAGAAGTACTTTGACCAGATTGACGTGTTTGAGCAGAGGAGCTCCATTGGTGGCGTCTGGAACTACACCCCTCGCTCTTCCAAAATTGGTGCTGCCACTACTGTGCCCCATTTGAATCCTCATGAGCCCGTTGACAAGCCAATATGGATCAATCATTCCGAGGGGGCGAGCGAGCCTGTTTTTGTATCACCAGTATATGATAAATTGGAGACCAACATTCCAAAGGATCTGATGCGATATTCAGATCAATCTTTCCCCGAAGATGTCCAACTCTTCCCTACACATCGTTCTGTGAAACAATATCTGGAAGAATACGCTGCGGACACGAAAAGCCACATTCAACTTCAGACGCAAGTCAAGGATGTGAAGCTCGAGAATCCAGAGCTAAGTACCTGGGCCTTGACCACAGCCAATCTTCAAACGGGTGTAGAAGCCACATCCGTCTACGACGCTGTGGTTGTGGCAAGCGGTCACTTCAATGTCCCATACCTTCCCGATATTCCAGGCATACAAGCTTGGGATAAGGCAAATACTGGGGCTATATCCCACTCTAAATTCTACGACTCGCCAGACTCATTTCGAGAGAAGAAGGTGGTGGTGGTTGGAAGTTCTGCATCGGGGCTCGATATTGGAGCCCAGATCAATGAAGTCAGCAAGGGCAAGGTAATCGTCTCACAGAAGTCCGAGTCATATCTCGCTGCTTCTTCTCCTTCGGATAAAATTATTCGCCCAGAGATCGTCGAATTTTTGTCCCCTGCAGAGCACGACCGAGGCCTCCGCTTCGCAGATGGTCATGTTGAGAAAGAAGTCGATGCTGTCGTCTTTTGCACGGGCTACTTCTATTCTTTCCCCTTTCTATCGTCTCTTAATCCGTCTGTTATCACACATGGATGGCGCACAATGAATGTCTATCGACAATTGTTTTATATCGAACACCCTACTCTTGTCTTTCCGGTTCTTTCACAGCGAGTGATCCCATTTGCCATAGCGGAGAACCAAGCATCTCTGTTTTCTCGTGTATGGTCGGGGCGACTTTCACTTCCACAAAAAGGGGATATGAAAGCATCAGAGGACTCGGAAGTTTCACAGAAAGGAGATGGAAAGTTGTTCCATGTGATGCCCTTCCCCGCAGACGCAGACTACCTCAACCTTCTGTATAGTTGGGCAGCTAGTGCCAAACCACGCCCCGGGCTCGTGGATAACGGGAAAGGGAAACTAGGAGCATATTGGGGAGATCGAGAACGATGGATGCGGGCATTGTTCCCTGATATTCGGCGAGCTTTCGTTCAGAAGGGAGAGAAGCGCAGTAACATAAAGACACTCGAGGCGCTCGGCTTTGACTTTGAAACTTGGAAACGGGATCAGGAAGCTGGAACTTCGTAAACATTGGAGTATTAGACCATTCAGAGAGATGGTAACTAAGGGTCAGACATTAAGTTGATTTAAACATTCATCATTTTCCATTAGAGGTCCTCTCTTCATTTTAAAGTTGTTGTAGGATACCTTCATGTGGTAGGTGTAGACTTATGTACAGATGAAACTAGACAAATAGGCATTCGATATGCCTCAATAATTCATTCTGAGTATCTCCGCACATCAACTCCGAGAATAATTGAACTTTGAACCTTGGAACTCGAGCGATCATCGTGTAGATCAAAACCCACTAGTCCCAATCGGGCTAGATAACCAATCGATAAGAGCATAATCACGTGATTGAATGTCATCTCCACCTCGAGTCCGGCCATTCACTCTTCTATATACCTCCAGCTCGGGCGCTTCAACCGCGGTTTCGCCAATACTTGATTTGTACCGATGTAAGTATGCCCTAACCTACACCTGATAACCGCTATCTCCCCTACATTCCATCTCCTGACAAATTCAATCATCGCAACGTCTTGCGCAACCCTCCCTAACTGCGAACCCGCTAGTTTACCCTACTGTCTCTGATCAAAGCTTGCAATTCCCTTGCACTGCCAAGTAAACAGCCAGAATTTACTTGAGCTGATTCCAACAGAACACACCAGTTTCCTCAGAAGAGGATACACACCTCCAATTTTGAAACGTGGAGCTTGTTAACTCTTCTGCAAACAAGTCAAGGCTGAGTACTGTCAGCATTGAATCTCCTTGACTAGCTCATTTCAATCAATGAACAGTGGCACGGGATCCTGTTACATTGGTGTCTTCAAATGTTTTTGACGGACTTTTGATCATTTTTATCTTTGCCACTTTGTCTTTTCTTTGATCCCCACAAGGGCCAGAACCCCCTTTTGGTTGTCCTTCTCTTGTCACCACTGCCATAGGGAATCTTCGAGCCCTCTTCGTTATACTTTGAAGGCAAGGGGCTCAATATCCTCTGCGGTATCCCCCGAAAATATGGAGGACAAACAATTTCACTTGGGAAACCCCGCACTACCTGTTCCTGCAAGTGACACCCCGTCCTCTGTCGGAGATATCGAAGCTGCAGCACCTACATCCTTTCCTGAAACGGCGATTCCGTTAAGTGTTAGAGCCGAGAATGATAGCATGACACATTCTCACACTGCTGTTCATCATGCACATGCAGGATCTTTACTGCAACCAACTCACCTCGCTCATGGTGAGACCGGAATCCAGACCATTCAGCCTAGTGCATTGACAGTCGGAGATGTCGAGGTGACTCAACCGGGCTCTGTTCGCCTTGGTCCGGCCGAATTTGCCGTGACACTTCCGATGGATGCAAGGGTGAAGGACGATTACGAGCGTGCGCTTACAGATGGAGCTTCAATAATGCGCCAATTTCTGGCTTCCTCTGGCCGTGATCCTCAAAATCCACACTCTGATGTAAGTTCATTCCATAGCAATCCCGGATTTGAGCTAATCGCGATGTTTACAGTCGTTAAAGTCGAAGATTTATGAACTAATAGCTCGACTGAACAATGTAACGACTCATCCCGATCTAAATATCGCTCACCACTTGAATGAGGCAGATTCTGGTCTTGACAAGCAGGCTTTGTGGGCCGAGTACTCTAGCACCAAGTTTCTGCTGCTCGGGCATTTGATTGAACTCGCGAGCACACATGAGCTTCATGTTATCATCGCAGTCCGAGATGATAAAAAGCAAGCCGTAATCGAGCGTTACCTGCAGGGCAAAGGTTTCGACTACACTCGACCCCGGGAAGAGCTGGGCGGTAACTCCGAGGTATCTTTGGTGAAGGGCTCCCTCAGCTTTGGTGTTCACTCCAACGACAATGTGCGAGATCTTTTCAGACCCCCGTCTGCAATCCTTGTCTTTGACACTGCTTTCAATCCGAAAAGTCCTTCTGTGGAATATATTCGAACAACATATACCCGGAGTGGGGGTCTCCTTCCCGTTATTTGGTTCCTTGTTTCCAACACGTGCGAACATATTGAGCGCTGTCTGCCAGATGTGACCGAGTCTGAGCGATTGCGACTGCTTCTGCAATGCACAGCTCGGCTTCACGATGAAGTGGGTGATCTTCAGGATGATGCCTTGGGTGTGGATGAGGATGCCGAAGAAATTTTCAATTACTTATTACACAGCTTCTCTGCTTGGCAGCTACCTATGATTGAGCCTTTGAACTTGCTTACTCCTGAAGGATCCGACTCGACGTCGTCATCTGATGAGTCCCAAGTGGCTGCACAGAAGCGCTCGTTGGTAAGTCAATACACAAAAGTCGATTTTTACTAGCTACTAACACGCTTTTAGCCCGAGGATGACCAAAAAGACTACACGTCTAAACGTGCTAGAGTCGATCTTCCAGATACTAGCCAACTTACTCAATCAACCAAAGGTCCCGACACAACTTTGGACCACGAACTGCAAAGTTTAGAGACAAATCTTTTTCAAATGAAAAACAACCATGCTGCCGAGAAAGAAACGTTACAAAACGACGTGATCGAATGGCGAAAACGATACTGGGAGCTGGAAAAGTCACTGGCAAATGTTCAACATCGCTACGAGACTCGAACGATCGACTTCCACAAGGCACGACATGAGCGTGACCGCTTGGAAGATTCCAAGACTTCCTTGGAAGAACGAGCAGAGAAGTTCAAGGAGGATATCGCTAAACTAAAGGAAGAGCGACTCCAGCTGAACAAGGACCTTGAGAATGCTCGCCAAGAACTCAAGAATGGAGACGGCTTACTTGCTGATCTTGAGGCAGCCCGCGAAGAGATTCGCCTTCTTAAAAAGGAAACCGCGAGCCTGGAACGCAAGGCTGAATACGAACGAAACCAAGCGGAATATACCCGTGAGCAGTATCAGAACGCATCCAACGCTGCTGCTCAATCTGGCAATGAATTGCGTCAACTCCAAGCTGAGATTGAGTCTCTCAAGCACAAAGTTGAGGGAAATTCTAGCCGCCTACGAGAAGTCACCAACCAGAGCGATTCAGCTCGTCACATTGCCCGAATCGAACAACTGGAGCTTACACTTGCCTCTCGTGACGAGTTCATACGCAGAAAGGAGGAAGAGCTGCGAGACATCCGCAAAAATCGCCCTTCAACCCGTTCGACCAGCACACAGCCACGAAGCCCGAAGTGGACCGCTACAAGTCGCCCAACGAGCCCTGGGGTGAATAATGGAAATGGAAATGGCAATGGCAATGGAAATGGTGGTCTCGCAGGCCGAGGCAGCAGCAGCTTGCGTTTCAGCTCAGAGGTTTTATCGTAACGTGTGATCTACCTAGGAAATGGAAACTTAATTCTTATGATGGCATTCATCAAACCATTCGGAAGAAGTTTATCCTTTGACGTGTAGTCTATGACGTATACAAATATAGAGACTCAATGTTCAAATTTGCGACGCTGCTTTGTTACGGTGCTAGTCTGTCTGTCGATGGGTTTTTTCTGGCTTTTTGTTGGAATCGCAACTCCGATTCCAAGCAAGCCACCATATCCATAGCGATTCCTTGAGCCATCTACAAAATTTCTTAGGATATTTTAGAATAATTATATTATATCAAAATTATGTATACAGTGATAGTAAGAGACAAGAAATTATCTTAACAGAACCAAACAAATGAGGAAAAAGGAACTCCAATCTCGTGAAAAACAGAAAGAAAAGAAAAGAGAAACAAAAGAAAGTCAACGCCATCGTTTTCAACGCGAAGACTCCATAGCTCTAGCAATGAATGCCGCCAGCTCCTTAGACTTCTCACCACGAGTCATAGTGAAATGATTCGCACCCTCCATCACAGTAATGCCACCAACATTCTTTGGGCCAACAAGAGTGTCCCATCCATTAGGTCCAAGATCGGTCCGGTTGTTCAGCAGCCACAGCATCTCCCTTGGATCAGGGCTTCCATCCTCAGCAGGTGCAGGACGAGGATCATTCGGCTGGTTGCAGACACCATCCTTAGCCCAGACCATGAAAGTCTTGGGGAGCTTATCGGCAAGTTTCTCATCATCGAAGGGGAAAGGCACAGCCTTATATGCATCCAGGGAGTCAATGAAGGCCAGGAAATGAGGAAGCAGCCAGCTGGGTGGAGGAGCCTTGCCCTCGCCGAACAGACCAATGGTATCGAAAAACTTGTATAGACGGCGAGGAAGCTTCTCGAGACCGATGGGGAATGGAGAGTCCAGGAGGAGCAGACGGTCGACTTGCTCACCTTGATCGAAGATCAGGTGGCGGGCTGCATCGTAGGCACAGATACCTCCTGCTGACCAGCCGCCGAAGTTGTACGGGCCTTTCGGCTGTCGGCGACGGATTTCGGCCACGTAGGGGAATGTCAGCTCGTCCAGGCTGAAGTTCAGGTTCTCTGGGTTCCGCATGTAGGGGCAGTTAAGTCCGTACACGCAGACATCGGGAGAGATGCCTGGGATTGAGGCGTAAGAAGTAGCGGATCCCGAGCCGTCGGGGAATAGGAACAGCTTCTGTGTGGCTGTCTTAGGGTTTCCCTGCAAGAGGATGGAAGTTGCTGGGGGGTGCTGGATTGCTGTGGTAGAAAGGACCTTGGGGGCCTCCGCTGGGATCTGCTTGGGGAGCTGAATTGGCTCAGGAGGAGGAGCGGCCTTTGGCTTTAGGTCAAGAGCAATTTCCACCTCGTTGACAGTTTGGTGCTCAATGAAGAACTCGCCAGATAGCTCGAGGTCCAAGGTTTCGCGGATCTTACCCAACACGGTAAGCGACATCAATGAATCCAGGCCCATTTCTGCGAGATTGACATCTCCCTGAAGCTCATCGGGCCCGACACCAATCTCTTCGGCGAGAATCTCGCAGATCTGCTTCATGCTGTCATGCTGTTGTTCGGTCTCCAGAAGCATGGTCTTCTCGTTAGCTGGTGTAGGCAAGCCACTGGAGTTGGGAGTCGAGATATCGGTTGATGATGCGGCGGATGAAACGTCATTATCGCTGCTAGATCCATCGCTGCTACTCTCGGGACTCATTGAGGCCAGGAGCTGCTTGAAGTCCTTGATCGTAGGCTGATCAATGAAGATATTGGAGTCAAAGTCAAGGTTCATCTCCTCTCGGTAACGACCAGTCACTGTCAAGGAGAGCAAGGAATCAACTCCGTAGTCTGCAAAGTTCAGGTCGTCTGTCATCTCAGAGGCAGAAAGACCAACTTCCTCTGCCAGGATGTTCAGAGCCTTCGCAGCAATGCCAGAGTCGGCAGATTTGGGAGGAGCCGCGGCCTTCTTGACTGGAGATGCGCGAGCCTTCTTGGTGTCAATAGGTGCGGGCCTGGCCTTAGCAGGAGCAGGAGCGGGCTTAGAGCCAGCAGGAGGAAGTGCCATGTCCAAAACCTTCCGTGACAGAGCCTGGAACTTGACTCCGCCGTAGACAGCAACGATGTCGTCTCCCTCAAAGAGGTACACATCTCCAGCGTAGATCGAGTCCTTCCAAGGCTGCATGCGAACATAAGTACGGTAGGTGACATTGGGGTCAAACTTCTTCAAGCAACGCATTGAGTCCCATCCATGGTTGACGAACACCTGGTTCTTGGAATCAATACCATCACTGGCATTCATGATGAAACCAGAAAGATGGCCAATGCTGTCAATCCAGAATGGATTGCGGTGGAAGTTTCCTGGAGGAGCAGCAAATTTGACCAATGCAGTGGCTTCGTGCTGCTCACTATCTAGAATCACTTCTTGAATGGACTTGTAGTTTTCGTCATAGTCCACAAGAGCACTGAACAACTTGTAAATCATTCCACGCTTCATGCGGTGGGCTCCACCAGACTCGGTGCTTTCCTGAAGATGCCGAATGCTTCGCTTGATCAGGTAAGAATGGCGCTTCCACTCTTCCGCCGCCATTTTAGTGTCGAAGAACTTGATCGTGCAAGTAGCATGGTCAAGAATCTTCTTACCCTCGGGAGTAACAGACCAGACCTTGACTTGAGCCTTCTCCTCGGCCCAGTTTGAAGTTGCCGAAACCCGGAACAGTTGCTTGCCACCCTTTGCAATGAGGGGCTTTGGCACAACTACTTCGCAAACATCAAAGCCACGTTCCTTCCACTCGGGCTTATACTTCTCGACCAAAAACTCGCCCAGTGTTTGAGCAATATCGGCATAGAGAGAGGATGGGCAGAGAGCGGCTCCATTGACCTTGTGACCCTGGATAACACGGTTCAGCTCGGGATCGTCGATGTCATTTTCGATGGTCACAGTGGCCTTAGTGCTGTCTCCACTTGTGTCCAGAATCTTCTGGGCAGAAGTAGTCAAGAAGGTGGTAACAGGGGCAGCTTCAGCGACTGGTGTGGCAGGAGCACCCTTCAGAAGACAGAAGTTGTTGGTGTATGGAATCCAGTAATTCTTCAAATCCCACTTGTAGGCGGGAAGGTTGAGTACATCGTGCATGGAGCTAAAATCTTGGTGGTACTCCTTCCAACGAAGATCAACTCCAGCCATGTAGAGGGCAGACATGCTTGTCGAAAGAACCTTCCATGCATCCTCCTGGCGACGGAGGGATGCCACTGTGAGAGCTTGGGGACCAAAGGTAGACTTGACCATTCCAGAGCACACGGGGTGAGATCCAATCTCAACCCAGAGAGTCTTATCGTTCATCAACTTCTCATGACGAATTGCCTCCAGGGCAGCCAGGAAGTTGACAGACTGACGGCAGTGGCGAGTAAGATAGCTGGGGCCAAGGACATCAAGGTTGGCCTCCTTGATAACATCTCCGAGAAGAGCGGAAACGAAGGGAAGCTTAGGCTCATTGAAGGTAACTCCCTTAGCAATGTCTTCGAGGCTTTCAAGGATAGGGTCAACCTGAGCAGAGTGGAAAGCAAAAGGCACCTTGAGCTTGGTAGCCTTAAAGCCTTCATTGGCCAGCTTCTCGGCAAATTGATCAATCTTCTCATTGGAGCCACTAATGACAGTCTCACTGGGTGCATTGATGCAAGCAACTTCAGCGACATCATCTTCCAAGTATTGCTTGACTTGAGCCACTGACGACTTCACAGCCAACATGGCGTGGGTTCCCATCTGGCATTTCTCGGTGAGGAGCTGTGCTCGTCGACCAGCAAGGTAGATGGTATCACTGGTGCTCAGAATACCAGCAGCATTCAATGCGGCATACTCGCCCAGACTATGTCCGAGAACAAAGGCAGGAGTAACACCAACAGAGATCCAGAACTTGGTCAGGGCCATCTGGATGCAAGTGGTTCCCAATTGGGTCACGATGGGGCTGAGTTCCTCCACAGGGACGCTTCCATCCACCAAAGGCACAATTGAGGGGAAGCCAAAGCTCTGTGCAATGCAATCCAAGTGCTCAATGTGAGTTCGGAACTGGGAGTTATTCTCAAACAGCTGGCTTCCCATGCCACTGTATTGGGCGCCTTGACCAGTGTAAATGAATCCAGCCCCAGGTGCAGTAGCAGGAACGGGAGTGATGCTCTCACGGTTTGCACTTGCATTCAAACCGGCTCGAATCTCATCCAAGGTAGATCCAGTGGCGCTGACCCGGAATGGATGGTGAATGCGTCGGGCAGTGGTAGTATAGGCAAGATCGGCAAGAAGCTTGCCCTCATTAACATTGAAAAGGTTCTTGTTCGTGTCAATGTATTGAATCAGAGCAGCGGCGTTGTTCTTGACGGCAGATTGAGATCTCGCCGAAATGGTCACTGTATGCACCGATCGAGGATCAACACCGGTGCGCTCTTGGATAGGAGCATCTTCTATCAACAATGCAGTGTTTCCACCAGCGGCGGAAAAGTTGTTGACGAAGCTAGATCGCTTTCCACCGGCAGGACGGCTCCATGGAGTGGGCTCCATGGCGATATGAACATTTCGCTGCTTAAGGTCGGTCGGAAAGTTGTGATTGATCTTGGTCTTGATTCCACAGTGAGGAGGAATCATGTTTTTCTGCATCATTACCAGGACCTTGATCAAGGCAGACACACCAGAGGCGGATTCTCCATGACCAATGTTTGACTTTGCCGATCCAAGGTGGAGCGATTGAGATGGGCCACGACGATAGTCAGGAGCGAAAACCTCCAGAACAGATTGCATCTCCACGGCATCGCCGGCCTGAGTACCAGTTCCGTGCATCTCAATGTAGCTGACATCCTTGGGGTTGACATCGGCTTCGTTGAGCAGTTTGTCGAAGATGAAAGCTTGTGCGCCGGCAAGGGGGCGAGTGATGGAGACAGACTCGGCGGAGTGGTTCGTGTACGCGCCGTTGATGATACCGTAGATGGGATCATTGTCTGCTTGAGCATCTTCAAGTCTCTTCAACACAACCGAGCCAATACCATCGGCTCGGCAGTAGCCATCAGCACCATCGTCAAAGGTGTTGCAGTTTCCGCCTCGCGAGAGGAAGTGGCCGCGGTCAAGACCGGCGTGGTTGTCAGGGTTGGTCAGAACGTTGACACCACCTGCCACAGCAGAATCACAATCATTCTTCCAAAGTGAGTTGCATGCCACGTGAATTGCAGCAAGACTGGAGGAGCATGCTGTATCAACGCTAACACTGGGACCGCTGAACTTGAAATAGTAGTTGATGCGACCAGGGGTGAAAGCACGGTTGCCACCGGGGATGAAATAAGTGTCAATGTCTTGACCACTGTTAATCTCACGGTAATCATCACTGGTCATGCCATAGAAAACGCCAACTCGGTTCTTCTGAGTAGATGGGGTGCTGTCCGGAATGAAACCGGCCATTTCGAAAGCCTCGTACGCGGTGAGAAGAGCCATTCGCTGAGCAGGATCAGCCTGCAACGCCTCACGAGGAGACATATTGAAGAATCGAGGATCAAAGAGACCTGGCTCGTTAATCCAACATCCGTATTGCACTTTGCTGGTGTTTCGTCGGTTTCCATCCATATCCACGTGAGCCTTGACGTCCCAACGGTCTGCTGGGACTTCACGGTGGACATCGAGTCCTTTGTAAAGGAGATCCCACAAAGCCTCAGTGTCAGGGGCCTCGGGGAAACGTCCAGAGAGGCCAATAATAGCAATCTTGGACTGCTCTGAGCGACCGCTGTGGTTTTCACCCTTAGGATCTTTCTTGACATCGCCGATAGCACAGTCGAGCTCAATATCGGAAACTCCAGATTTCTTCAGGGCCGAGTAGAGACTTTGTGTTGCAGTACTTGAGATGGGTAGCAAGGTGCATTTTCCATCTGCCATTTTCAAAGTCGAGGAGCATGCATCGACGACCTTGTCCCAGCAGAGCTGTCGAATAAGAATCTCTGAAAGGGAAAATCTCAACAACTCTTCCAGATTTTGAGCATCAACCACGGCTCCTGTCTCGCTTGAGATGATTGGGATCTGCGGAACGTAGTTTGAGAAATCGTCTTTTGGCCAAGATTCCATGATACGGCTGACATCCCTCTCGTCATAGAGATGTGAGGCATGGTATGCAGCATGGATGGGGACTCTCATAGGCTTGTGTTCCTTAGAAAGTGATTTTTCGATGAATCGATCCAAAGTAGTTGGAGGACCACTGATTGTCACCCCATTTTGGCTGACAGCGCTGACATATGGCTGGGAGACGAGGGGAATCGCCTTTTAAAGGTTAGCTTCTCTCCATTATAATGAATCTCCGGACTACTCACATTCACCTTGCCGAATTTTTCAATCAGTGCCTGAGCTTCCTGCTCCCTGATTCCTGATACCAATACAGACCAGCTAGGAGATGCTGACTTGTTCACCTCTACCAGATCTTTTACTTTGAAAACACACATTCCAAGTCGAAGAGCCAGAACAACGGTCTCCACACCGGCCGCCATGAGCTCTCCAACGGTCTTTGACGAGCTCACGGCTGCAGAAGCCAGCTCGCCTGTGCAAAGACCGACAATGAAGCTCTCGGATCCAGAAGGATAGGCATTTCCAAGGTCTCCATAGTAGCTGTTTCACAGTCAGTCATCATATATCACAAATAAGAATCCGTGGAGTCTTACTGAACGAAGCATCCCAGCTGATGAATAGTCGTCAACGTGCTTTCCAAAGCAGCGTTGGGACCATGCTCACGATATCTTGCTAGAAGATCAACAATGCTCGTGAAACGGGGGAACATCTGCCGCTCAGATGGCGGCAGCTTGCTGATCTCCCTCCGCAAAGCATGATAGCACTTCTGGAAGAAGGCGGTTAGGAGCGAGTCATTCTTGGCTTGCAGCAGACGCCGAAGGCCCGAGTCAAAATCAGCAGTCTGATCTCCGAAGAGATACACACGACTGGGACCCTGCATACTCAAACCCAACACTAGTCAGGGGATGCAAAACTTTACTGAGAAGAAAGCGAATTGAAAAGATAGTTTTTCAGTTCGGCGCGAGCACATGGACATCATGTTTTATACATTAACTACAGCTGGAACCCACTATGTGGGTCGGGCCTGGACCTGGATTCAAAGGTATCATGGAAACGTTTGATGTCTGCGAAAATAAATCTTGGATTCCATGTTATTTCCCTGTTTTTTTTCATTGGGAATGTCTTTCAAGGTGGGACAGGACGTGTTCTATCAAGGAGAGTGACCCACCAAACCAGGTGTATAGTCGAATCAGTAGCATCCGGTCGAATGGGAAAAAAGTCTAGCTAGGCCAACGATGGGACCGTTACTGTGGTTCGATGGATATTTGGTGCGAAATTTGAGATGTCCTCTGTTACTCTGGAAATTTTTACATGATAGCTGGTCGTTGACGTTGTGGACTAGTCAATTGTTCATTTCCCTGGTTTCCAGACAGTAGCTAGACCTTTTTCCGCGGTACATCAACAAAACTGCATGGACCCTGACGATAGTGAAGCTATCCACATGCTGTTTGCGGACATGACAGGGAAAAGTTCTCCATGCAACGGGGTACTTTAAGTAAGCCATCCAAGGTATATGACCTAATATCAAGATTTGGCGCTAGAAAAGACTCATACAGACCGAAAGGCCTTGTATTTGCTACATTTGAATCGCCGTTTTCGGTATGTTGCACCCGCATGATACTCATCACGTGAGAGTGTTGCCCTAGGTACACTACCGTGTTTAAGGGATTAAACCTTGTCAAAACCCTTGGAATAGAGATAAAGATACTCACATGTCCAGTCAAACTGAATTTTCTTCCGGTTATATCAGGGGATTTGATCCCCTGAAACAGGGGGATTTCGAGTTTCGTATCTTGACTACGTTTGAAAATTTAAGACGCCAACATTCCTGTGGCTGAAAATGATTCCAAGATATATTTCGGCAAGCCGTGGCACGTCGATCGATCGGGCTCGGAATGTAACGCTGAGCAAAAAAGGTAGGATTGCTGCAGATCTCGAGCAGCTCATCCAGTAAGTGGGTATAGATCCTCTCCTGGACATCATGAAGGGATATGGAATACGTCATCACTGCATACAGGCTTAGAAATTAGGTAATTGATCAACGCCCCCAAAGCTAATATCAAGATTCAGGATTCCAGTCATAGATGTCTTATCTGTATCGATGGTTTCGAAGAAGTCACCTGGTGGATGTTGCAATCGGAGTTGCCAAATTAAGGGATCGCAGCCCGGAGGATGCGTTATTCAGATACTCCCAGCAATGGCCGGTGATCAACCCATCGCGTATTTTAGATAATCGAGTCTCGTGATGATGAATGGAAGCTATAAGCCAGCCCCGGAGGATATTAATAAATCCGAATTGATGATCGACATGATTACAGATCCGAGTGGGTCGCACGCTACGGACCGGACGCCACAGAACGAGGTTGCAACATTTCAGATAAGCAACACCTGCAGATATATGACCGAAGTGAGATAGTTAAGAATGTTCGAGACACATATGCATGAAATTAAAAATAATCTTACACTGAGCTCTTCGCATAGGAGTTGATGGTCTTTTGGCAGCTTTTGAATGGTCTTGTATGTGGCATTGGTATGATTTACATCATCTGCAGATATATATGTTTATCTTTTTGAAATTTAGTGGGGATTGGAGTGTCCATTTTTAAACTTACGTACCTATGTAAAGCGCAGGAAAGTATTTGACTTCAAATCAATAAACTAGTTATGAGGATTGAGACAAATATAATTAGATGATCAAATTACAATTATTGTGGAAGGTATTATAATAAAAATGATACACAATATTAAAACACAGGCAATGAAGTTCACATGTGAATATACGAGTTGCGGGTTTTGTACCCTTTGACTCTTTGAAAGACACTAAGGATCATTGGGGCTGTTTGGCCACATTTTTCCGAATTTCTTTTTCCTCGATCAGCGTGACTTCATGGCGGAAGGGCTTGTGTTGCTCTTGAGTGCCTTTACTTTCAGACCGACGACGCATCCTGGAAGCGCGTTCCGCCTTTTCCTCTCTTGCCTGCCATGTGGGAGACGGGGGCTCAAAGTACGGGTATGGCTGAGCACTGGGTGTGTACGGTTGAGGGCTGAAGGTATATGGTTGAACGGTCGGTGTATATGGCTTGGAGCTGAAAGTGGATGGCTGAGCGCTGGGGGTATCCGGCTGCACACTGGGCCTGGATAGCTGTGAGCTAAAAGCGGATGGCTTGGCAAGAGGTGTAGAGGATGATTTGGCAAGCGAGGTCGGACTGGCAACGGGAATACTGGTTGAAGTAGTGACGGGGATGGGGATCAAAACCGGGTTGGGACTCTGATCCTCACCAGCGGGAAGCTGGGGCCACGCATCCACGCCATCGAGGAAAGTAACGGCCATACCGTTTGCCATGTGTGTTTCAAGATGGCAGTGGAAGATGAAGGGTCCTGGGTTGATGACTTGGTAACGTATCATCACCCATGCTATGCCCCTTGAGCCCTGGGTGACAAAAGTGTCTCGCATCGCAGGGTTCTCTATTTCGAAATACTCGGGATGCTCAGCAATGGCTTCCTCAGTATTGGCCCACTTGAAGTATCCAGGTCCGGCACCAAGGATGAAAGCTTTGTTGGAGTGCTTGTGCATGACATGCGGACCAGAGTGTTCGCCTGTGTGGGGGAATTGGCCCAGCTGGAGAAGGACGTCTACCCAGCTGCCATTCTTTGTTTCGATGATGAGTTCAGGCGCAAGGTTGTTCTTGGCGTTGATATCATAAAGAATCGGATCATCCATGTTGACCATGTGGTCCCAAAGAGGCCCACCAGATGTACTGAATGTGTAGGAAGAGCCCGAGCGGCCAAGCGTAAGATTCACAAGCTGGTCCGCTCTTGCAGGGATGGTGACAGCAGGGTACGGGTGAATTGCCTGGTTGTCCATAAATACAACCGAAGCAGATGTATTAACTCCACCATAGTTGACGTATGGTAGCGATGGCTCAGTGTTGGTGGAGCCTTTGTATCGCATGGTAGCAAAACCGGAGATAATCTGGTCACCCTGAGTATCTGGAACTCGAATGGTGTAGTCCTTCCATGGCTTGTCAAGCTTAATCATTGCTGCATAACGTTCTCCGGTGTAGATACTCGAGGCGTCAACAAGCATGGGCTCCACGTAGCTCCCATCAACTTCGTAGATATACATGGGATGTTCATCGATAGAGAAAATCAGAGCTTTCAAAGCAGCAGCACTGATGAACTTGAAGCTAACCCAGCCGGCATTGCCATCGACTTCGATGATTTCGTGACTTCCAGTGGTAGGATTGCATCCCCAGGTAACACCCTGTGGAATCCTTGTCTCGTCGTGAGGGGGGAAATCTCCCTGTGTCGTGTAGAGATTTGGCAAACATCTGAAGTTTAAAGAGACTACATCAGTATTGTCAAAAGGATTATCTGTCCTTGGAATACTCACCCCTTATCAGTCAAAGGTGTATACGACATCGCGCTTTTCAAGAAGCCCTGCTCAACACTAGAGATTTTCTCACTTCCTGGGCAATAGACCGCCCCACGGCCATTAATCAGAACACTATCCATGCAGCTGGGACAATTAGCGGTGCTTGCATCGAGACAGCAATTGAAACTCACAACACAGCCATATGGCTATCTTCCTGTACTTTCTGATATTGTTCAAAGGTCAGATGATCCCAATCAGACAACATGATTAACTGTGGATTCTTCTCTGCCCGATGCATGGCTTCGATATCGGCGGGGTCACTTGAGATGAGATGAAAAGGGTTTGGGGTCTCAGGTGCCGGACTAAAGTGCGTTAGTATCACATAATATACAAATTGAACAGTCGTCGTACTTGATCCAGATCGGGCCATAGAGACCATCCATTAACTCTGCACGGCCATGTGAATGGTACCAATAGGTTCCATACTGGGTAGCCTTCCACCGATAAGTCCAATTGCGGCCTGGTTCAATAGGCTTTTGAGTTACCCCAGGAACTCCATCCGACCATGGGGTATCAAGTTGTTCAATGCCATGGAAGTGTATGGATGTATTGAATGGTAAGTTGTTGTGAACGGTGACCTGCTAACTGTGAACACACGCATTGGTAACAGTGGGGTGGAAATTTCTTACTTCAACATCATCACCTTGATCTAGTCGCAACTCGGGACCGGGAAATTGCCCGTTCATGAAAACCATTTCCCGAACATTGCCATCTGGTGCGCCTTTTTGCCAGGTAAGATCTAGATCAAATTGAACCAACTTAGCCGCAGCTAATTGAGTCAATGCTGAGCTGGCTAAGGCCAGCAGCAATTTCAAGGGTGCCATATTGTAAGATGTTCACCCGGTATATGACAAGCCTAAGTAGAAGATTCAAAATGTTGAAGAGGATTGGGAAGAAATTGCCCAACTTGATCGACAAGTAAATATGATCCACAAAGAATTATTACTCGGGCATCATGTTCATTTAATATTGAGACTGATTACTATTGCAGTATGCCTATGGACCGGCCCGAAGCAGACTCTTCTGCGTCAGTCCGGAAACACCTTATTTGCATAGTTTATTAACGCCACCCGTCTGGAGATCGGTGGGCTTCAGGAGTGCTTCAGGAGACAAACAGTGCAAATCCTTTTGTTTGTTGATCAAAAGGACATGTTGCGCATATGCATGAGTGGTTGGGGAAGATCTGTCTGAATAAACATATCTCCGCTTCGGGTAGATCGAGAGCTGATCCAAAGAGACAAGGATTCCGACGGGTCATTCGCCTAGTCAGCACTGAGAATAGCCAGGATGCACTGATAAATTTCTGTTTATTCTACTAACTAGCCGCATTCGGCAAAGTGTTTGTAAGAGGTTGGTCATTCTTTTGGTCTAGCTGGAATGCAGCCATGGCCTATTCCGGAAGGGTAGTCTTATGTCAGCTCTAGAGTCAATGACCACCCTGGGGAGAAATTCTCCTATAATGGCCAGATGGATAGTGATTATAGATTTACACAGTTAATCTACTGCGTAGTTTAATGTGGAGCATCTTGGATTGTTCTTGCGCGTTTCAGCATACATGGCTCCCATGCAGCCAGAGCCTGGTCGAAGCATATGATCGCATGGCCTCGGACAGTAATTAACAAAAGCTGATACATTTCGGTAGAAGGCCTAAATGAGATCTCAAGTAGCAAGAAGTTCTGTTGAAGATATTCTTATGTAGAGCTTGGATGTGACTTAGGGTGGTTCAGAGTCCTCCCCTCTAGATGCCATTTCCGTAGATGATCACCCAATATTGACATTCCTTAGTCGTAGCTAGGTAACATAACTATGGATGAACCCGATGAACAGGATAAACATACAATGGACATAATTAAGTAGGTCCAATTGACAAGATCGAATGGTAAAGAAAACATTGGGAAGCCAGCTGAGCTGTGGGATTCTATTTAGCGGAGCGGGGATGATGAGTGGGGGCGGGATTGTTGTCCAGGGGTTGGTTCGTTGATAACCATGGATCATTGTCGGGTGAGGCTGTAGCAACCATGAAACAAGATTTATACTATAGATACAGAGAACGGAGTACATTTCACTATAGCCTACAAGGGAACATGATAATGATTTCTAAATAGACAGTAAACCCTCGTGCACGGTCCATATAACAGCTTAAACACCCTGGAAACCGATTACCTAAGTGACCGTGCATTAAGCTTATCGATAAGAAGTGTCTTGGCCGCTAATCCTAATTGAGTGATCTCCCGCGTAAACAACACAGCTCGGGTCTCACCGTCTGAACTGCCTCCTCTCTTCCCCAACTTCACTCAGAGGAAACTGCATATTTCTCGATCCCCCTGGATTTGCCTTTTGAATTGACACTTGCGTCATGTTGCTGGTCTGACTGCATTGCTATCTTCGTCGCTTTCCGTACCATTCACCCCCCCCCCCCCCCCCCCCCTCCGCGCCCAAACCTCGATATCGCTGGAGTCCAATAGCATCATCCTTATTCCACTCATTGGTCAGCAGTTGATCTGTGATTGGTCGCAGTCTTCAGAAGAAAGCGTCGTTCGCTTATGAGTTAACGTCTTTGTTTGCGCCCGTCCGAATAATACACTATCGATCGCGATGGCACCCAGCACGTCCCAGTTGCCATCGCGGTTTCCATGCTGGTGTCGAGCCGTCTATTCATGGGGAGGAGAGACAACACGGGACTTGGGGTTTGTGGAAGGTGATTTGATCGAATGCCTCAATGCGGGAGACGGGCAATGGTGGATGGGTCGTTTGCGCCGTGATAAGCGGGCGGTTGGACTCTTCCCCTCCAACTTTGTTGAGCTCATGAGTGAAGACTTTGTGCCCATCAGCCGTGATACCAGTCCAATGGTTCAAGCAGGATCTTCGCCAATCAACAATCCAACGTCGGCACCTAAAAAAGCAAAGACCGTTTTTCGCAAACCGTTCCAGGCGCATAAGGAAGCCCTCTCCCCAGCCTCAAACCTGGCTCGCAGCAGATCGAATACCCCAGTCAAGAGTTCTATTCCACAAACACCACCTCGAGATGGTGGTACCCCCCGAAGCGTCAAACCTCTGCGTACCCATGCGTCAGCGGTAAAAAATCAAGGTTCCATGTCATCTCGGCCTTCATCTGTCTCTTCCCGACCTTCCTCTCGCGGCATTTCACCACGCGCATCCATGGAACCCGAACGGTCACCATCTGCAACAATGCCACGCGGTAGCATATCATCGTCGCGTCCTTCGTCCCGCGAAGTCTCCCCAATGCTTCGGGAGGCTTCTCCGATGGCTCACGAATCCTCCCCGGTGTACTATCAAACTCCCCAGCCGCGCCGCGAACCCTCTCCATTGCCGCATCGCGCGCCTTCCCCAATGGGCCATCGCGCCGTTTCGCCTGCGCCTAATCATGCAGTGTCACCTATTTCTTATCATACGCCATCTACTATGCCCCACCGGGCAGCCTCTCCAATATACTATGACGACTCCCCCAGACATCGAGAGGTGTCACCAATGCCTTATCATCCGCCGCCTACTACGCATCATAGGGCAGCTTCTCCATTGTATTATGAAGACTCTCACAGGCATCCAGAAGTCTCGCCAATGCCTGATCGTGCAGTATCACCGATGCCCTACCATGCGCCATCTACCATGCCTCATCGAGCAGCCTCTCCAATGTACTATGACGATCCTCCCAGACACCGCGCAGTTTCGCCGATGCCGCATCGTGCCGTCTCACCAATGCCCCGAGAAGCCTCCCCCATGCAAATGCAAGAACGCGAAGATTCTCCTCCTCCTCCCCCTCCCCCTCCACATCGAGTCGCTGTCAACCGTCCTCGATCCCACTCGCCTCAGCCGCCTATGCACGCCACGCCACAACCCCAGCGCTTACTACGCTCCCCACACCCCCCAGCACTTTCCCCTGGGCCTTCGCGCTCTCCCACTCCATTGAACATGAATGATCGTTACGTGATATTCACTCGTACCCCTTCACCGGGGGCAATGTCGGCACGTTCGGGAGTTTCAGCCCAATCAGATGCAATGGGCAATACTCCATCTCCATTAAGAGACGCTATGGAGGATGTTATGACTTCATTAGAAGATATGGGTTTGTCACGGGATCCTCCTTCACCATCACCGCATCACCCTCTCTCGCCTTCCCCACGCCATGCACGTTCGCCGTCTCCTCCGCCAGCATTCAACAACCCCTGGTCTGCTGATGCGTATGAAGATATGAATGATAGGACGCCACCAGCAAACAGACCTCGACCATTGACTTCCCTTGGCTTTGATGGGAACAAACAGCCACCGGTTCACCGCAACAGCGTCTATTCCCATGATCATATGGACGGCCCGCCTCAATTGAATAACTATGTCCAACGCATGGAGAGCCGTCTTCGACAGCTTGAATCTCAAAATCGCCCGCCCGAGGATGAAGAAACAGGAGGAGACGAGCCTCCTCCGCCACCCCCAAAACATGCCACCCATTATCCGCGCCACAATTCTATCCCTGCTCAGTATCCGCACTTGAGCGACCGTAGGTCTGGAAAAGATCTCAGAAATGACCGATTGAACCGAACGTTCACGAACAAGTCCAGTGCTACAAACTCTAGTGGAGTGCAAAGCATTGGAACCAATCAGACTTCAGGTACGGACAAAACGGGTCAGAGCGTCATGAGTGGGTTTTCCGCTGGGGGCTTTAGTGCGACTAGCGCCGGGAGCTATGCGAGACGAAATGGGGCATACCAGAGACCGAACACCGCTATGGATACAGTTCGATCTCGTGGCTTCAGCGATGCGGGACACAGGGATAGGCCGGAATCGCCTATGACAGGCATATCTTATCACTCAAGCCACAATACTTCTCGCCAGGGGGCCTCATCAGCGATTCCGTGGTCGTCCAATGACAACGATGTGGGCGATGCCGGTGGAGTATTTGGTGGTCTTTCCACACCAAAGACTAAGAAACAGGGATTTTTTAAGAAGATCTTTGAATCAGCCAAGACGGGTGCTGCAAGTGCTCGAAGCAGTATTTCTGTCGGCCATAGCTCCCCATCTCCCACGAAGGGTAACAGGGTAGTTGATGTTGTATCACCACTCCTTACCTCTCACTCACATCGTGACACACCGCGTGACACTGATGTCAACTCAAGCGCCATTGACTGGGTTCAAGTTCGCCGCGATGTCAACCGAGCATCATCTCCAAGCCGAAACGAGAGAATAGAAAGGGCTGAACGGTGTCAGATGATGGACCATCCTGTCATATACGCCGTCGAGGAGTTGCATGATACCGCAGAGGGTGACGAAAGCATTGATGGCTTGCCGGTTACCGACCCTGCGAACTTCAACTCCGGGAACTTGACCTTGGTCGACAAGAGTGCGCGCTTCATTAACAGCGTTCCGCCAACGACAAATCCCGTAAGCCTCGCCCAAGGCTACATTTGTCGGCCTTATAAGAGTGACGTCCAGCGTCTCCGCGCAATTTTTACGTGGGTCAGCGAAAAGATTGCGTGGGAGGAACCTGTTGATGGCCTCGAGGTAGACATGAAACGAGTCTTGCACGCTAAACGCGGCAGCCCTCAGGAGATCGCTATTCTAGTTAATGATATGTGCGCTGCAGTTGGTCTTCATGCAGAGGTCATCCATGGGTTCTTGAAGACTCCTGGCAATGCCCTGGATCTGGAAAGCCTCTCTCGCCCTAATCATTGGTGGAATTCAGTTCTTGTTGACGGGGAGTGGCGCTTCATGGACTGTGCATTGGCGAACCCTACTAACCCTCAGAGAGGCCGCTTCGTCACCATCAACTCCTCGGTGGCAGAAAGCTGGTATTTCCTTGCCCGACCACTCGACCTTTGCTATACCCACATTCCTCTCTACCCCGAAGAACAGCATATATGTCCCCCAGTCTCGCCGGATGTCCTGTTGGCGCTGCCAACTGTGTGCCCACAGTACTTCAAACTCGGGGTTCAATTTCCAGAATATGATACCAGCCTCCTTCAGCTTGAGGGATTGGAGTGCATGCAACTCTGCCTTGTAGTCCCTCCGGACGTTGAATGTGCTGCCGAGGTCGAGGCCCCCGCGTTTGCCTGTGACGCTGATGGCGATTACTTTGAAAGTGGTGACATTGTGCGCAAGCGTGCTCTCGTACAGCCGGACTGGGTCCGTGGCCAAAAACGCATCACTATCAAGGCTGTCCTCCCAGGCGACGAAGGACAGGGTGTACTCAAAGTGTACGCTGGCAAGAAGGGTCTCATGCATTCCAGCAAAGACATCCCGCATCCGCTGGCCCTTGCCGTCCCTATGCTGCACACTGGAGAGAACCCACCTTACGACTTTGTGCTGCGTCATCCTACACCGCATGCGCAGCGCCATGACCTATACATCATGCAGCCCCAGTGTTCCCGACTGGCAGTTAATAATACCTTTGTCTTTGCGGTTCGCCAGCATCCTGCTTCACCCCAACCCCAGTCTAAGGATGAAAACCCAATAAACGGCCGTGCCTCCCCTTCAGTCTTTAATCGCCCCTCCAGTGCGATGAGTATGGTATCAAGTATTGCCGGTACATCTACCGTATCAAGCAATTCGAATGAGTTCTCGGCGTCCACTTCTGCCATCTCTTCCACCCGCGGCAATGGGCGTGATAAACCAGCCAAACTGGCCATTCAGTCCCCATCTGGCAAGATCATGCGTCTTACCCGCAAGGCTGAGCATATGATCGCCCCGGATAACCCCTCTGACTCTCTCAGGGATGCTGCAGCCGAGGGCAGCGTATGGGAGACGGTGATCAAGATTGGCGAACGTGGAACCTGGCGTGGGCTGGTCCTTGCTGACCGAGTAGCACGGTGGTGTGTCTTCTGCGAGTGGGAGTGTGTTTGATGAACATGTTATCCGTGATGCCTGTTTGATTTAATGATTATTTTGCATATCTGTCGTTTTGCGTTTCTTTTTTACTTATCTTTTCCATTTTCTACTGGCATTTGCATCAGGTCGGTTTGGAGTATTGCATATATTGCATTCCATCTGTTTCATTGACATATTTGCCTCCTGATCTACTGTGTTGTGGTGTTTGGATTGACAGGTCGTTTTTACAGCTCATATATCTATTTTTGTCTACTATGTTTATTATACGTATCTGTATAGGAGTCTATTCTGCTTCATATCTTGGATACAGCTTCCCGTAGTAAAGGAGCCAACTGCTTCCTGCTCGCCTTTGTCTCCTTCTGTACCCATAATGCACTCCAGGGCCCCTTATCTCGATCTAGGGTGGACCGAATCTCCTCGTCTGAAACATCCACCGTCTCCCCATCCAATGCTGTCCACTCCGTAAGCCCAAGATGAGATGCAGCATGTGCAACAAACGCCTCAATGCCCTCAACCGCAACGCCATGATCACCAATAACACTAATAAAAAGCTCACGAGAGAAGTCACCCTTGCTTGAAGTAAACGACGTCATAACAACCACAACATCCACCTCCTTCGAAGTACCGAACGAGCGCATCCCATCCAAGAACTCCTGAGGACTCCCCGCTTTCTCAATAATCCACCGAATAGGCTTGACCGACGAACAAAACCCAAGCGTAATACTGCGACCAGAAGACTGAGCCACCTCCGCCCACTCCTTATAATCCCGATCCAAAACCTCATGCAACGTCAACCGATCGAGACTATTCTGCTTCGCAGAAAGGATCTCTTCGTAGAATCCCTCCATCCACTGATCCCCACCAGCCCGCGACCTCAAAAGGTCGACAGCACGCACATCCACATCCGTGACCTTTCCTTCCGCCGTCAGGTTCGAAGTATCAATAAGTATCGGAGCGAGAGCCAATTTCGCAAGCTGAGCAATCTCTGCAGAACAATCCACACCCCAGAAACCTCGCTCATGCATCTCGTTGGTGATTAACGAGGCGCATGATCCTGGCCCGGGCTGGATTATCAGTGGTTGGATTTGACTCGTGGAGGATATGAAGTCTTCATCGACGTGGTGATCAATACACCCCACGACGTGGAAGGTAATATTTGACAGGATACCTGGTAGAGAACCCTTGTTCTTTCCGATGCGTTCTGGTAGCGCATTCCAGTCGACGAGCGTAACGTCCACATTTAGTTTTTGTCTAGATTGGTCTTTCAGATTCTGTGCAAAGTCTGCTGTTGTGATTATATGTTCGCGTAGGAGATTCCCCGCGGACTCGGATGAATTTTGAAATCCTTCATCTGGAAGGGCGGGGGAATTAGTCGAGAGCCATAGTGCCGTCACGAACTCCGGTCGGAGTCTGTATAGTTCTGGGCCTGCGTGGAGGGTGGGGAGGTTGAGGAGGGGGATGTGTGGGCGGGGGGTTGTTGTTGGGAGGCGGTTGTTGGCGCAGTAGGAGTAGAGGATTGCGGAGATTATGGAGTCAAGGTCAGCGGAGGGGTTGCCTAGGACGTAGATTGGTGGTTGTTGGAGAGTTCCTGCTAGGAATTGAAGGTGTAATTGGCGTGCTTGTCGCAGGAATTGGAGGATTGACCTCATGATGGGTATGTGTAGAAGTAGAAAATCTCGTGGGGAAGGGAGCTACGTCACTAACAACCTACTCCGCGCTTCTACATTGTCTTCCATTAGTAACTTCCTTAACTTAGGGCAGAATATATCAATCATGAAGATGACCGAAAAACTCATCCAAATACCTCGCTCCCAACTTCTATACTCTCATCCATCACCAATACACGCCCTCAAATCACTCACACTGAATCACCTTAAACCTCCAATATCCATCCACGCAAAACGCGAAGACCAATCATCCCCCCTAGCCTGCTCAGGCAACAAATATCGCAAATTAGAATATATAGTTCCCGACATTCTATCCTCAACCCCAAAATACGGCTACCATGAACTTCACCCAAGAGAAGAAAATCTCCCCGGCCCAGCAACCACCCTAGTAACAGAGGGCGCTATCCAAAGTAACCACACAGTCCAAGTGGCCGCCCTAGCACGCAAACTAGGTCTAAAAGCTCATATCCTACTACACCGCGGGACAGGCGGTGGACTACGAACAGCTACCGACAAGACATCATTCTTGCGCGCAGGGAATGTACAGGTAAATCGGCTTTTAGGTGCCGATGTACACGTCTACGACGAGGGGGATCCAGTGGCGGATGATGCGAATCCGGTATTGGAGGATTTGCGCGCGCGGGGTGAGATCCCTTATTGGATTCCTGGTGGGGCGAGCTTGCATCCGCTTGGTGGGCTGGGGTATGTTCGAGGAGCGGTGGAGATTGTTGAGCAGGAAGAGGTGCTTGGGTTGGGTGGATCGGGGAGGTTTGATGTTGTGTTTGTGGCGTGTGGGAGTGGCAGTACGGTTGGGGGGTTGATTGCGGGGTTTAGGATGCTGGAGAAGAGTGGAATGGCTCCGAGGAAAGTTATCGGGGTTTTGAATTCTCCGACGAAGCCGAGGAGTTATCATGAGGAGAGGGTACTTGCTTTTGCGAGGCGGGCTGGGACGTTTGTTGGGTTGGAGGAGGGGGATATCAGTATGAAGGATGTGTGCCTTGAGGATCGGTTTGTTGGAACGGGGTATGGGGTTTTGGATACGGATACTAGTCTTGCTTTGGAGACCATGGCGCAAATGGAGGGTGTTCTCCTGGACCCGGTGTATACTGCCAAAGTGGCTAGGGGAATGATGCAGTGGGTGCAAGAAAAGGAGATGAAGGATTATGCCGAACAATTGGACTTGAAACAGGTAAATGTGTTATTTATTCATACGGGTGGACAGACTGCTCTGGGAGCATACGCAGATAGAATATGAGGAGAGCCGATAATATCAATGGCTGCATTTAACTAGTATTACACGGTGACTAGCAAGCTAACAAATCGAAGCGGACTACCGCGGTCATCAGAAACATAGCCTTTAGGTGGCGGTTGAAGATAGAACATAGAAAACAGAAGACAGGAGAGGATAAAAGCGCTAGAAAACTCCACGGACTCGCCTGGCCCTGTTACCTTGTATGACACCCTTGCCCAGAATCAATCCATTTTGGACAGATAAGGGAATTTGAAAAAAAAAAAACAAGAAAGGATAGTTGAAGAACATAAAACTTAGACACCATCGACATAGGGATACAGAGAGATAAATCACGACTCCGCCGCTATTTTGGAGACCGAGGCATCATGGAGATCCGCGTTATGAGAATCGCCATTTGGAGCAGACTCGTCATGCGGAGAGGGGGCCCGGCTACTGCCATTGCTAGCATTGAGAGCCTCTAGCGCCTCATTGGCATGAGTGTTCTCCATAGCCTCCGGCTCAGGCTCGATGTCTTGATTGGTAAGGTCTGCAAACATCTCGTCCATGTTCGGACGAGGGCTACTGCTGACAAATTGAGGATCACGGTCGAAGAGAGGAGGCTCAATGCCCTGCTGGGGAGTGGGAGAGCGTGGTAGGAAAGAGGGGGATTCGGAAGCGTCGGCAACATGAGGCAAAAATGAAGATGTAGGCGCGAATGCCGGTGTTGAATCCCTGGCGGGTAGGGAGTAGTTGGCAGAGAAAGGATAAGAAGTATTGTTGTTCGAGTCCGACATGGGAGTTAACGTCGGTCCAGTGGTAGTAGGCTGGTTGCTACCTGGGGTTGGCGGAGCCGGCTGCAGAGAGGTAGGTCGGGGAGTGGTTTGAGGCTGACTTTGAATGTCGACCGACTTGCGCTTTGCGGCCATATGCTTCGCTCGGAGATGTTCTGGCAGATCTTCAGGACGCTCAACACCAAGTTGTGCCATGATCTTTTGCTGCTTGGTGGGTCGAGGTTTCCTGGTTGAGAGAGACTGGTCCAGAATTGGTGGTGGCTCCGGTGCAACAGGCGCCCACTTATGAATCTCCTGTCGGAAGAAATTGGTCTCGTAGGTCAATAGGACCTCGGCGCCTTCAATCTTCCGCAAATAGAAAATCAAAGTGGGAACTTCCTCGGTGGTCGTACAGGCAGCGTTGGTGAAGCCTTGAAGGAAATCACGGAACGCAGTCGCCTGGTTGACGATGCTGTCCAATACCTCTTCCTCATCAGGCTGGAAAGGAAGGGTGGCGATCTCGGCCTGCCAATCAAGCAAGTCTTCCAATTTGGGACGCGCTGCATCCCGAGGGATCTTCTGACGCCAGTCACAGATAGGGCACGTGTATTTGTCAAACTCCTTGACTTTGCCTCGCGCGATCTTCAAACATTTCCCGTGGTACCTAGACGATGTTAGTAATACGTATTGAATTCGATTTGGTAACGATCCGACTCACCATTCATGGCAAACTTCACACTCAATCATCATCCCGGCTTCCGAATGCCTGCAAATACAAAAGACATCCCGCTTGCGAGACTTCGGACCCCACACATTGGACACGTTGGGATTAGGATTCTCCAGCAAACCCTCAGGGGTATTGTCTCGCGATGAAGGTTCCACCGGGGGACGGTAGCTATCGTCCAGGTCGAAACAGTAAGAATTTCGTTTCGCCACATACTCCATATGGGATTTCAAGATGTGCAAGGGAGCGTTGGCCTTGCCAAACAGCTTTTTGCCCTTTCTCATCCAATCCTCGTGTCGTTTCTGTTCACGTTCCAGGTCGATGGCCCCGATTGGCCGGCTGTTGAGCTGTTCAAGAGACTCGGTGAGTTCACGAACCTCCTTGTAGACAGGTCGATTTCTCAAATCGGGGTCTTTGCTCTTTTCGTAAAGAGTCTGTATCCGTTTCTGTGCTTCTCGCTGTTTGGTCAAGATAGCGTCAACAGCAGCAAGAATGTCAGGGGAAACCGGGAAGCGGGTAGCTTGCGCAGAGAGAGCTTCCAACTGCTGGTAGTGTACGGCTTCGACCGCCATCAATTCCTTGGCCTTGGTTTCCCAAGCTTCGCCGAGTCGACCGAGTTCCTTGAAATGGAGTAGGTGCTCATTGGTGTCAGAAAGGCCTAACTGTTGTCCTGTGGCAATAATCTCCTGGCAATCCTTAAGGGTGAGATATTTGTCGCGTCTGCGAGCGGCTTCTTCGGTCCATTTCAGTTGTTGTACGATTTTCTCCAGGTGTTCGACTTCCGGGATCTCCACGTTGAAATGTCGGCCGGACTCGACGAGTTCCTCAATATCCTGGGTCGATCGGGTATGCGGGTTCATCAGGGCAGCGTTAACATCCTGGCGGAATTTTTCGATCTCGCGGGTCTTCTCTTCCAGAGCCGCCATCTGTGGACAGTCGAAGGAAAGTTTATCAGCCTCTGCCAGAAGGGCGTATATACTCTCTACTCTGCGGACTTCACGATCACGATCGTCCAGCTGCGCCGCCTTGGAGCCAGCCTTGCGCCAGGCTTTTTCGTTTTTTCTGCGGTTTTGCTGCTTCCGGGTGATGTAGTTGTTCGCCTCCTCAACCCATTTATCGCAACGCTGGACGAAGGCCGCAAGATCTTGGAGGCCAGGCAGGTGGTATGGGATTTTCTCACCTTCACTGAGCAAGTGGTGGAGAGCCTTCAGCTGAGGCTTGGGCTCATCCTCCAAGGTCTTATCAAGCTTTTCTCCCCATATCTCGGGGATTCTGGCTCGTTCCTGGACCCTTTGGACCACCGCCTTGAGCTCGTCATCACTCGCACGGTAGCGCAAAGTGTGACCTGGCCCGAGAAGCTTTTGGGGAAGGGACTCACCACAGCAGTCGTAAGCCTCCACATGCAATAAGCAAAGACTCTTGCCCGATTTGTGGCAACGGAACTGCGTGAGGTAAGTGTAGGTCTTGCAGTGCTGACACTGGTAATCATCCTCCGGGAGATCCTCCTCTTCCACTACGAACTTAAGCTGACATTCACCTGTCGGGGCTGTGGTGCCGATACCACAATTGTGGGGCATGGCCTCCCGATGGCGGATCAGGAACGATGCTCGATCGGCGAGTTCCCGATGGCAAGTTCGCTCAAGTGCAGGTGCCAGCCACTTGGCGGTTGTGATGGATGTATCTCGAGCAGCGGCTGTGAAAAGTAGTTCGTCGTGGGAAAAGCATGGGTGTCTCCGGAATGTCTGGAGACGCTCCACTCCTGCTGCGCCCCAGGGCTCCCAATCTGCGGGAGCAAAGTTAACCGCTTCGTTGAAATTAAACCCATGGTTGAAGCCGGCATGGTATGCCTGCGGAAATGTCAGAACGAATTGACCAGCTCTCTGATCCAACGCGTAGACGTTGACGCCGGCTTTCCGTAGTTTGTCTGGTGGCATCAAAGTAACGAGTTGGAAGAGAAGGTCGGGCTGGCCTTCGAAAAGCTCCGGAACTGCCTCGCGCATAGCTGCTTCGAATGCCTGAGCATCGGCTCCGGGGATGCCATACCAGGTCTTCGTCGCTCCAAAATGCTGATAGTTTGCAGAATAGGCATAATGATCTTCGTTATGCCAGCAGAAGGTAGAGAAACACATTCCCACATAAACCCAAGGCACGGTCATACCAGAGATGTCGCACTTGATGTGACGGAAGAGCGAATCACCATAAAAGGGAAGAACGTTCAAGTTCCAAGGATCGGAGGAATGAGGATCAAGTGGATTTCGTTCAATGGTGGGGAATCCACTGCCGTGAGTTGTAGAATGGATATCAGCGCCGTACTCGACCTCAACCGTCTCGTGTAGATCCACCACGAGCTTCCAAAATTCGGCCTCCACATCGTCCTCAGTTTCTCGTCGATGGGTGTTGAGAACGGGATCAAATGGCATTTTGGACGCAAAATATCGCTTCTTGAAGTCATTCGCCTTCTCTTGAAATTGCTTCAACGAGTAAACACCTCCGTCTTCGAATCCGAACTCGCCAGTTCCCACTAAACACTTGGGGCAATGCCAATCATAGTCTGAAGGAGCTGTGGTAGACGGATCGAGGCAGGTTTTGTGGTACCCGAGTTCGCAACTATCGCACACGAGAATGGTCGAAAGTTCATCAGACTTGCCACATGACTCGCATTTCTAACAAATTTAGCTTGGTCAAACAATGTCTGTTGTCAAGAAGATGCTTACCTCGCCGGTCCGCAGCGCACCGTCCTTACGCGGCTTCGGCAGTGAGGGCCGGAGAAGAGACATATGTGAGCCTGCCACAGTCGGGGCACCATCTAGAAAAGGACATGAGCTATGAGATGAGACAAGGGATACGCCTAAAGCACGTAGAATACCTTTCTTGAGGCGCTTGCTTCGCCGGCCACTGCCTTCGTCATCCCCAATGTCGGCCTGAGAGCCGCTATCCTGGCTAATCGCGCGCTTTATGGGCTGACTGGCCTGACCATTCGGAACAGGGGTCGAATGGGCGGGGTGATCAACGACAGTCTTAGGTGTCGCTGTTCCATTCTCCCCTTCGTGTTTGATGACAGGGCCGTTGTTAACCCCCGCAAAACCCGGGGAGTTCGCAACGGCAGGGGAATTACTGATGGCAGGAGAGTGGTTAACAGCAGTAAAACCACCTAGGCCTGAATTCACAGGAGTAAAACCAGAGGGTGCCGGGCGCGGAGGGGGCGTAGGTTCGACGGACGGGGTGGGCATATCGGCGGCATTGCTCATTGGAGTACTCGCAGCTGGCTGCATTCGCATTAACGGTGTTTCCTCGCGCGGTTTGGAAGGGGTGCCATTTTCGTCCAAGATCGGCTTCTTGAGCATAGGAGAGTTCCTCGGGGACGGGGTAAAGGGACCACCATGTTCCATCTCAAGCTGCTGCTGAACGCCAGGCTTAGCCCGAGCAAGGTATTCCTCGTACGGCTGCAAGTAACGCTGGTAGGAGTTTTTGAGCGAGGTTGACAGGGATGACATGATCTTTCCACTATATCCTAGGTCGCGACCAATCTCTGCCCATTTTTTGGTTTTGCAGACTTGTTCGAATCCGCCTCGAGTTTCCACGGCCTTTTTCAGCTTGTAGAGGTCCAGAGGGCGTTTGTCGACGCTGGGTAACCGACTGTAATTCGTCCCGTGTTGTTTGTGAAACATGGCGAGCCCATCGATATAGTTCATGTTGGCGCGGTTTCCTGAGTTAGAGTTTGAGTTAGAACCGCGCTGTGGATTGGTCCCACTGGCAGCAACATCAGTCGAACGCGGGGCCATACCTCCTTCGACCGAATTAAGTTCTTGTCGACGGGTCTTGAAATGGAATCGCTGTAGGAAACATTCGAGTCAGTCGATGAGGCAAGCATAAGATCAATACAGCAAATGGGAAGAGACAAAGCAGGCCTCCCGGCATCTATCGAGGCCAAGCAAGTGTAGCAAAAAGTGAAGGATCTCGCAAGAGCATTACCTCTGTATCAATCGCAAAAGATGGCTGCCAGTTATCCGGAGGGATCACTCTACAGATACCATATTTCCTCCCCTCGGGCGCAATCTTTTGGATATACGCCACGGGGTCCTTGAATTCTTCCTCGGTTGGGCGAAATGTCGGGGCCTCGGGGATGCCGTGAGGACGAATGCGCTTCGATGGCTCGCGGGGGGCATTGGACTGACCACGTCGTTCTACAGTGGCCAAGTCAAGCGGTGCTGATCTTCGAGCGCTCAAGGGTACGTTATGGGAATGCGACGGGTGGGTGCTGGAAGACCGAGTGGGCTGGGGGCCCATCGAGGGCCGACTGGCCATCGGGCTCACTCCGGTCGAGGCCGGAGCCACCATCTCTTCTGATTGTCGACTTTATGGGAGAATGTGGGAGGGGAAATCCGGCCAGGACGCGCCTTATTGGAGTACCAAGGGAAAGGTCAGTGGCAGCGCGATGGGCGCATTGGAAGGGTGACGAGGAATATTGAACAACAAGGGCGAAATGAGTAAGTCTCCTAGGAAGTGTTGAAGGGAAGAATTCGGAGTCTCGATGTAATATCAGACGAGGTGCAGGGGTAAAGGTAAAGCAGAAAAAAGACAAGGAGGAAAGAGTCAAATAGGACCTTGAGCCAAAGCCGCAGAAGGAAAGGAAGGGAAGGATAGATTTGATAGTGGAGGACTGGGATTATGTGTAGCGGAGTCTCCGAGGTACCATTCAGGTTACTTCTGTGTGGGCCACTCAAGTCAAAGGGACTTGTAAGTGACTCGAGTGATCTCCATGGGACCAAATACATTACCGTATGGTCACAACCTTGTCACAATTGACTCCAATTGCTAGCTATGCGCGGTACCTGACTTTGATATTACGAATATACAGGTAAGTATTGAAATATGATGTAATTTCAATAACATTACGGTTATATCCTGTAATATGCTATGAATCCTCGAGTAAGATGTTGGTAATTGTATCGTCAGTAGTCTTTTTAAGGCCGCAAACGGAGGGGACTCTTCATATGGTTTCCGATTAATACTGGATCAGGGATTTACCGACCTGAAGGCCCGAGCGTTTTCTTCGGATACATCATGGGATTTAATGCATTGTTTCCCCCCCTTGATGACGATGTATACATCTGTAAATCAATCGGATCCAAGGCTTCAATTTTTTTTTCTTTGTAGCTCACAACCATTGTGATTCTTAACATGCTTGATCTTACGAAACGTAAATTTATCACTTACCGTACGACGTCCCATCAAGCTAAAACTAGATCAGCATGATCGGCCAAGCATTATTTTGGCCAAACCGCCTCATCCACATTTCTCACAGAACGGTTAATTACGCTGAAAAATCTTGCACAATTCAGTTTTCGGGCGTTTTTTAAGGTCGCAAAGCTGTCATGTGATCCTCGTAGTTGACGTGGCCGCGATTACATTTCTGATTTTCCTCCCAAAACAAGAAGAAAATAAGCACAGAACCTGCCAACGACTATGGACGTGCAGGCTGAACCCCGGCCAATCCCGGGATACTACTGCTGCTATCTTCTCCGCTCAACCATCCGACACGCCTCGCTTTACATTGGATCCACGCCAAACCCAAACAGGCGACTTTCTCAGCACAATGGGGATGCTAAAGGCGGAGCCAAGCGAACAGCTCGCGACCAATTACGACCATGGGAGATGGTATTGGTCGTCGAGGGTTTCATGAGTCGCGTAGGGGCTCTACAATTTGAGTGGGTTTTCTCTATCCTTTTCTTATGCATAAATCCCTCTAATGTGATTAGATGGGCCTGGCAACACCCAGACAGGACAAGACATATTACTTCAGATGATGACGATCATCCATCTAAGTCAAAAGTCATCGTGAACCCAAAAAATGGAAAAACGAAACCACGCCCTGGTCGATCTAGGAGATCATTGACGGCCCATCTAGAGGACCTTCATACCCTGCTGCGATCGACATATTTTTCCACATGGCCGCTGCATGTGCGGTTCTTCCGCGCAGACATTTATCGTGTCTGGAGGGCGTGGAATGACCGCGTGGATACGCCTTTTTCCAATGACAAGGTCATTCTAGATGGGGACTGTTCCATGCAAGCCGGCGTCAGTGACAACCAAAGGGTAGGTAGCATTCAAAATCTATCCGTTGACTATACACCACTCGAAAAGTATCTTGAGAAGTCCATGTTTATTTTGAACGATTCAGACGAGCTACAATGTCAGATATGCAAAGCGCCAGTCAAACCCACTACGCAACAGATCGTAATGTGTCCACACACTTTGTGCCGGGGCACAAATCATCTATTATGCCTGTCTACCTATTTTCTCAATGCAGGTGATGACTCAGATGCTCTTGTGCCGATACAGGGCAACTGTCCGACATGCAAAGAAACCGTCGAGTGGCCGCTTATGATGCAAGAGCTGAGTCTTCGCAATCGAGCTGAGAAAGAAGCTCGCACGATCCTGTGTAGGAAAGAAAGACGCGAACGAAAGGAATTGGCGAAAGCTTCAAGCAGCCAAGCCAGCCCTAAGAAATTAACGGCCACGCGAGACATCTCTGTTGAGCCTACGTCCACTCTAACCGAAATTGACCCCTTGCTGGATGATGATTGGTGTGATAGGGTAGAGCTGGAGTCAGATACGGAATTCAGCAGCGGAAAGCGCACTCGGCCGTCTCCGCCCACCAGATTGGAAATCGTAATCGAAGATAGCGACTGGGATGATGCGGACCTCGTGGAGTAATGGGCGAGGAGAGCTCGAGGCTCCTCATGGTTGATCCTAACGTCTGGCCTAGTTGGCAAGAGGACCCAGTGTCCTCAAAGGCCCGATCGCGTCGAGGTTTGAGATACAACCCGAAACAACATTTTGGATTTCTTGTGACACTTCGGCCAGTGATTTTTCAGCATCAATTACGCGGATATCCTCCTGTCGATCAAACAAGATGCGGAACAGCTCCCGCACACGTGTCTGCATAGTCTCATTCTCATACCGCTCTGCGCCATAGCCACCGCGTTTCGCAGCCTCTGCAGCCGAGATACTGAGGAAAAGGCAGATATCCGGATGAGGCAAGCCAATCTCAGGTTGCCATGCCCACTCCAAGGAGAGTGTGGGGTTGGCTTTGGCAGCCGAGTAAACAGCACCGGAGTAAGAGTATCGGTCCACGATAACAGTGGTTCCACTCGCAATATCTTGTTCAATGCTCTTAGCAATTTCCCAGCGGTTCGCCGAGAAAAGAAGATGGATGGAATGGTCATCCTGGTTGGTTGAACCCTGTAAATAGCTATTTATGAGCTGCCCAATGGGAGTTGTTCTGTCTGGACGATAATTAGAACACTATACAGCCAATTAACGGCAAATTTACATACCTGGAAATCGGATGTATTTCACTGTCTTCCCTTGACTTGAGAGATAGTCTCGTAGCATCTCGCACTGGCTCGATTTGCCCGCGCGGTCTAGTCCCTCCACGACAATAAGAGCGCCGCGACGCTTCACATGCTCTGACTGGCTGGTCATTCTGAATTTGTCTTGAAGTGTCTGGGAGGAATCTGTGATAAGTTAGATATCGAAAAGGTGACCATTCTGATTGACATATTTATATGCACTTACTATTTATCCAAATGATAATGACTTGTACTGTACCGTGTCGCGTTGACAGGAGCGATCCCACCTGCACGCGTGACGTGTAAGTCTCAGCACGGATAAGTCATGTCACGTGATAACCATAGATATAATACTATAGACCTTGAACAAACAGTAAAGAAACAACATGTAGATGAGGAGCATAAACATAGCTTCGTATCCAATTATATGATAAATTTCTTTGAGGACCTCCATGTTCAACCCAATCAGAATCGGTTGGAAGAACCTTCAACTTTGATGTTAGAAGTTGAACTTGGAAGTTGGGACAAATATGTAAACTTGCATTTTTGGATCAAAATGTAAGGTTGTCAGGTATGAGAACAATCTCTTCACTCGGGTGCTAGAATGGCATAATTCTTCCTCTGAGCCCTTAATTACAAGCCATCTCGTTACAGCTTAGCTTGACACGCGTAAGAAAGCCCATCGGCTTCCCTTGCCCTAGATGATAAGACCTTCAAGGAACTTGGCGTTCCATAGCAAACAAAACTTTTACGCCACGCACGCCTTTTCTTTCCAACAATTGCAGCAACGGCTAGAGCTGCCAGTGTCAGGCTAATTGATAGGGTATAGATACCACTAAAGTGTTATTCAAACGTCAGATGATGATTGCGGCAAAGCTTCCGAACAATCGGCTATGCGGTGGAGCTTGCATGCGAGTAGTGTGGGGTAATTATCAGGCCAGATAAGTATATCAATTGGTTCCTCCGTGCTTTTCTTCTTTTGAAATTTTTAAAAAAGTTCTAGGTATTTCTTTCTTTTGTTCCTAAGGTTGAGGTCGTCTGGCCGTGATTCTTTCGGTCCTTGGCCCTTATGACAAGCATGGCAGCAACATCAACTCCGGCAGTTCTCTTTTGAAAAAAGGCTCCATGAGTACATGGAGATGCTAAATGAATTTTCGCATAAAACAGTCAGTATTTTATCCTGGCGAGAATCTTGAGTACGTGCATATTATGCTAGTTGCTCATACATACACCAGTCCTGGTATCCAGACCTAAACAAACTCGGACTTTTCATCGAAAGTTCTTCCGAAACACCCACTCCATCGGTTACATTTCGCTTCAAAGTGATTGAAGAGCTATGTAACGAGGCTCGAACGCTGCATGGCGGATGCACAGTTCTACTTGTCGATGACCTGACGACCGTTCTCCTTGGCGCAGTTTCGAAACCCGGACTTTTTTCTGGATTTGGCGCCAGCAAAAGCCTCAACACGACACTTATCAGACCTTTGGATTTAGGAGACAAAGCTAGGATTGTTTCCGAGTTGGAATATTTCGGGAAGCGTCGTGCTGTGCTGAGGGCAAGGCTTTATAGAGTGGAAGGGAATGAGCTATGTGCTATATTGGAGAATGATAGGGCCAATACGGATCCGCCGGTCAATTCAAAATTATAAGAGTCCCGAAAGGCTGATTGAAATGTGGCAAAGACGGGTGCAATTGAAACTATGGAGGGGAAACTCTGCAAAATGTGTATTTGATTGTTCAGCTACGGCTAGTAGGCAAATGGGTCTCATTTACCTAGACAGCACTTAGATAGAACTTTAGGGCAACGCATAATACCTCTCTCATGTTTCTTCAAGTCAAAATCTTAGTACCAAAACTGGAAATCGTATCAAGTACAGATCATCAGTTCATAGGTGTGCCCAACACGCCAAGGTCCTTCCCGCCTCATGGCCCTGGAGTATCAAGAGACAGTTCACCTTTTTACAAAAAGTTAGTTTAGCAAAGAATCAACCTTTAATCAAGTCATTGTCCACTAACTTCAAGCCTTAATAAAGACAAATTCTTGGTCGACACCTTGATCATACCCAGCCAGCTTCAGCTTGTCGCCCTCTGCAAAACGCAGGAAATAGCCAGTTCCGTTGGCAACCAGCTCGTATGATTTGTCGGCTTCGCTGACTAGCTCCGGACGGTATGATGTAGGCTCGTCTCCAGCTGTGCAAAGGCTGCCCTCGGATTCGCAGTTGATGTATGCACCAAGAATGTTTTGGATAAGGAAGTAGTTCGCGTTTTCCGGGTCTAATTCGAAGTTCCAAGTTTGACCTGGGTGCCGGCTAGCGACGTCGAAGACGATTTCTGGCTGACCAGGTACTTCGGTCAACACCTTGTTGGCGTCAGCGCCTAAGGCACGGATCTTATAAGTTCCTTCTCTCAGGGAGTATGCTGAGTTGCACAAAGCAGCAAGGGCAACAAGAGCAAGGAAAGACTTCATTGTGTTAGAAGACAAATATCAATTGTTTGGTGTCAAGGTTGGAAGGAAGAGTTGATTGATTGATGGTCTGGTATGCCAGAACTTGGACGGGAAGTGAGACAAAATTTATATTTTTCAATATTTGGGCTGATCGAACAGATACAAGATTTGCATAGATCGAATCGATCGATTGATCAACATGGAGGGCCTGTATAGGATGAGACATTGATGCATACACTATTGACCGGTGCATGATAAACATCGTCATCAGTGCTGGCATTACACAAGATTCCTTCAAAGCTCGTAGACCATGCAGGGGACAAGCGTGTTGTCGATCCGCCCCCAACGCGAAGACCTGTCTTTTCGGCGCAAATTCTAAGGCTCTGCTCGTGGGCACCGTGCAGGATCGAGATTCATACTTGAAGCTGCAGCGTTCTCGTGATGTGCTGCATAATGTGGCTGGCTGATCAGATTGAGTGGGTTCGTTATAGACAAGGCATAGTTCATGCAGGTTTCACTAGCTCGAGCTGAAAATTGGAGTCCAATGAGTTTCCATTGATAATAGACATTTGGAATCTACACCTTGAATGTCCACCGGTATTATTAGGGATGCTACGTGAGTTCTTCCACAATGCTTGTCTTCATTGTAAATATGAGAGGGTGAGCTAAAGAATTGGAATAAATACGTCGGCATCCCCAACCTCGGACAAACACTGAAAACTAGCGTCTTCTATCTCAATGAAAGTATTCTCCACATTGTCCATTCTGGTTACGATTTTCTTTTACCTGTATGTCAAGTTAATAAAGTTACCTCAATGCCTCTTTTATACTCCATGGCTTTCCACTATCAGGACCCACCCACCGTACACTAAGCGGTCCCTTAATTCATTTTTCTGCCGCTGATAAGACCCCACAAACCCTATGGTCACTACATGACAACGAGCTACCATGAACTCCGAGACCTCACAATCGCCCAATATGACCTTTAGTGTCCTGGGCCCTGCCGCGCCCGTTCTAGCACCACGAGCCGGCACTTTGGCGATTGCCGGCCGTAAGACACTGTCCACGCCGCATTATCTGCCTGTCACGTCGCGGGGCGTGGTACCCCATATATCACAGGACAATGTGCGCAAAGAGACCGCAATAAATGGCTTATACGTTGGACTGGAAGATTGTACGTACGCTCTCTGAAAACCCTACATTCTCCCCTCCCTTCAGCCTCATCTCCCCGCATTCGCTCTTTCTACCACCAGCTGACAATGTATGCGCTCCTAATAGTCATTGAAAAGAAACACCGCTCTCCAGTATATAAGATTCCCGTCGAGGCAAACGAGTCGCCCTTACGAAAATTCATTTGCGCATCCAGCGACTTGCCTTTGGTTCTAGGCCCGCGTCGGTTCCCCGCCCTCCCCTGCCCGCCGGTAAACACCGAGACCTCAATCGCAATCTCCACCTCAGATGGGTTCCACCAGCTGTCTGGCGAGCAATATATTGAGGCGACAATGAAGCTCAAACCTGATCTTGTCATTGGACTTGCCGATATGGTAACTGGGAAACCACCCGGTAACAAAAGGCGAGGTAAGATGGTAGACCGCACACATGCGTACACACGGGACGCGCTGGATCGATTGTACGGACACGCAGTTGCGGTAGACAAGAAGTGCAAGTCGGCGTACTTTGCGCCGGTCTTGCCGCTTGAGAATGCTCAGCAGTCGCTCTATCTGGATGATTTGGCAAATGATTTCCGTGATCGTCTTTCTGGATTGGCATTATATGAGTCCGCTTCACTTACCTTTATCCCTGAGTCTCTTGGGAGCTTGCCTAGGCTACTTCTCAGTGATCCCAGGGGACCTCATGCGGTTCTCCGTGCGGTCATGCTTGGCGCAGATCTGTTGACTATCCCCTTCGTTGGGGAATCTTCAGATGCAGGTATCGCGCTGGACTTCACTTTCCCGGCCCCTCCTAAAGAGACCGATGACAAGGAACCACTGGCCTTGGGTATTGACATGTGGTCGTCTGAGTACGCGAAAGATACTTTTCCCCTGCGTGAGGGCTGCCAATGCTACGCTTGTCGACACCACCACCGGGCATACTTCAATCACTTACTGGCTGCCAAAGAAATGGCTGCCTGGGCCCTTCTCCAGATGCATAATTTCCATACAATGGACCTTTTCTTCCACGGAGTACGAGAAAGCATTCAACGTGGCTCTTTCGAGCAGGATGTTGAGGCGTTTAGTCGCATATATGCATCAACATTACCGGAGTCAACCGGCCAGGGTCCTAGGTACGTCGGAACATACACCGAGTGAAAATTGGATCATCGCAAATTGTGTGAAATGCTAATGAGTATGTAGACTTCGCGCCTACCAGCACCCCGGAGCTAACCAACCAACCCGTGCCCCCCGTGTATACGGTCGTCTTGAGGACGCCCTCCAAAAGTTCCAAGATTCCCAATCCTCTGTTGTCACTCCTGATACAGACGCCGAGGGTCTTGAGAAGCATGGCTTTGCTGAAAAGACTTAGATGGACCTGCCTCGTTCTTATTGGCATTATAGAAAACCAGTGCGTTTCGTTTATAAGCATCTTGGCGTCTACTTGGTTTTAGTAATTGTATATAGACCGGACGATGTCTGTCGAATCTTGCATTTCTCTCCGCGTTTAGTGCTCACCTAGCATCAGCTGGCCCCTTGCCAGTTTTTGCCCACCGAATAGAATTGAGCACGCTGATCCTACTTAGCGCATGATCCAAGGAAAACGGGAGCAGCTAAGTCAACAGCCTAGCTTAATAAAAGAATACCATGCTAGCCCTATCCAAGGATAGTTGTTCACTTAATACTTGACTGTTATCTCAATGCTGAAAGGCGGGTATTATCAACTAGTATTCTACCTTTTGTACCTGATATATAGAAGGAATCATCTCACAGATGGAGAAAAGTGTATGCTTATTTGACCTCACATAGCTTAGATCATGCATTTAAGCCGAATATGTATAAGTAATGGAATTTCCCCTCGAATTGTCACTTAGTCTTGACTTTTTTATTCTGTGGCATGATCAACCTCACTCAAGCACCATATGGCGATGGGGGCACAGAACAACTTAATCAAGAAGCAAAATTTCTTGCGACTAATTCAGACAGAAGCGCATCAGTTGAATTGTATGGTACTATACAGCATCCTAGATCTCACGATCCCACCAATTCCAATGTTCTTGGCCCATTCCGAAAAGAACAACATTCTCATAGTAATGTAAAGAAATAACACAGCTGTTCGAAAATATGAAGAAAAAAGGAAAAAAAAAAAATCGATTGCAGGGTATATCCAGCAGACGTAAACGTTAAAGTAAGTCGCTCACTACTGTGTCTCACCCGCCAACACGCGCCACATCCACTTAACCTCTTCTTCTTCCTCCTTGGAGCCAGGCTGAGTGCCAGCACCGTACTGCTGTCCAACAACGCAAACGAGCCATGCGTCATTCTTAGTAGTATCGAGGAATCGCTCAGTAGGCGAGTTGCGCGGGTAAATGCGGCGCCATTCCTCCCAGATACGGAATGCCTCCTCACCCCAGGCGCGGAAGCTGACTTCCTCGATGATGGTAGGCGTGATGATTTCCTTTCCACGGAAAACTCCCCAGGTGACAGCGTTAGCGCTATCCGGGTTTGTCTCGTCTTCGTCGATATCACCAGATGTGACTGGGTAAGAGGACTCGTAAACACCCTTCTGGTTGATAGCGAACCAGGCCAGCTTTTCGTCATACTTGGCGAAAAGAGGCTGGAGGATCGTCTTGTAGTCATTGGAAGAACAGAAGAACTCTACGAAGGGCTTCTGAAAAACGAAACCCTCACGCGGAGGACCCCAGCCAAAGATGGGATTGTCGCTGCGGACGCCGTTTACCGCGGGCTGCGAGGCCAGTGTCAACCAGCCGCGGCCATCGATGAGCTTTAGCAGTTCCGGTCGAATGAGGTCGGTCTCTGGGTTCAAGCCGCCAGTACCCTCTTCAGCTCCACCTTCGGACCAGGGGACCATGTGAATTTCACCGGAGACATGGCGCCGGAAAAGAGTCTTGAGGTCGGAGTGCTCGACGGGGTGGCCCCACAGACGGCGGGCGACGGCAGAAGTGACGTGAAGAGAGGGACCGTAGCCATCGATCTCACCGAAGGCAGGTGAACGTGCATCACCCCATCGACCGTTGGGGAAGTCATCCCAAGTGGCCTCTCTGCCGAGAGCGCCGAGACCCTCGGAGATGAGAAGGGTTGTGCTACGGTTGGGAGGCATGGCGGGCATGCCGGACCCGTCTGCTAGAGCCTCGTGTGTGGAGCTCCGGGAAGAATCTTTGCCAGACAGTTTGTCGACAATGACACGGTTGTATGGCTGCGAGTTGATAGAAGAGCGGCGTCTTGAACGAAGGGTACGGGTTTGGACATCATCAATAGACACGGTACCATCGATATCAATCACATCGTCCTGGTTCACTGAGAATGGGGGAATCATGTCACACCGCTCCAGGATGAAGGACACCGTCTTTTCCAAGTTCAGGGTGTAGAAATGGAAACCCCGAGGCCCGGGGGACTTGAGCTCCCTGATACCTCCCACAATCTCACTGACAATATCCACACCGGCCCGCTTGACAGCATCGTCGTCATGCTTAACCGCTTCAATGCGTTTGGACACTGACTCGGGCACACTGACATGGCTGAGCTTTGTCACACGGGTGAGAATCTTGTAGCTGTGGATAGGCATCAAGCCTGGGATAATCGGGATAGTCTTGAAGACACCCGACTCGTGGTTCCGAAGCATATTCTCAAACTTCTGATAAGCCTCCAGGTCATAGGTAAGCTGTGTCATGATGAAATCCGCACCAGCGACAGTCTTCTCGATCAAGTAAGGCAAATCGCGCACAGGATCCTGTGCATCCTGGAAAGAGTCCGCCGGGTGACCCTCTGGGTACGCAGCAACACCAATGCAAAAGTAGTCACCATGCTTCTGACGAATATACTTCACCAAATCGACAGCGAATGTGAAGTCTTTGTTGCTATCATCCTCTCCATCCATATTGTACTCCTCGCTGCGGGGCGGGTCTCCACGCAAAGCTAGGATATTGCGGATACCCAACGCCTTTGCATCCACCAACGCCGTATCCACCAACTCGCGACTCATGTTGGTACATGTCAAATGTAGGACAGTGGTCAACTGTAGCTGGCGCTGGCAAACTTCCGCCAGTTCGAGGGATCGGACCGCCGTGCTTCCGCCTGCACCCCAAGTGACGGTGACGAATAGCGGGCGCAGGGCCTGGGACATGCGCTCTAGACGTGCAGATAGGTTCACTAAACCCTATAATAGTCATCGACATTAGCAAATGTTTTGTCTTTTTGCAGTATTTCATGCGCGGGGTTACCCCACCATCCGGGTCTTGGGCGGGAAGAACTCTAGTGAGAAGTAATTTGCATCTGGCGGCAAGGCCGCGATCTTCTCTGTGAGCTTCTTCTCCATTGCGATAGGTGTGTGAAATGCAATGGGAGGGGGTTTAGGAAGCAAGAAGAGACTTGGGCGGAAGTGGACTGTGGACCATTCATGGTTTCTCTAGCTGGCCGCACCCGGGAATTGATGATGGTCTCCGCTGCCGGTGGCCAAATCCCCAAATTTGGATCAGATCTACAATTACTGATATGAAGTCACTCGCTTTTGTATTAAAATCCACGTAGACCATTGAGATGCCGCTAATATCTTTAGAAAATATCAGGAAGACTTGATCTTCAACTAATTAATTGAAAAAATGATCGAAATCAAAGATCGACCCGAGCCAGATTACTCAGCGCGATACGTGATCTTCACTCTTACTGTTGATTATGCAATTCGGAGTATGACATGCGCTCCCCATTGCCCAATCTAATCATGGTATCCTGCTGAAACCTTGACCTCCCCGAGTTACTGTTATACTTTTGGCCACTGACAATGGCATCACGTTCCGTTTCTCGCTTCCGATGGAAGGTCGCGCAAGCTAAATTTCCGACGCGACGGAACCTCTCGACTCCCAAATCCCCACCGTCACCGAAGGACTCTCGCTCTCGGTTACGTCAATTCAATGATCGTCTTCCTCGCTTTCTCCGTGCCTACACAACACCCCTACTGGGAGCTCCAGTGACGCATGTGACATCGTTCCTCATCTTACACGAAATCACAGCCATTGTGCCCTTGTTCGGGTTGGTCGCGGCATTTCACTACGGCAATTGGATGCCAGATCTGGCATCGGGAACTGAGGGAAATAATGCATTTGACGAAGGGGCTGCCCGGTTTGGGCGTTGGTTAAGGAAGAAAGGCTGGGTTGATGAATCCGACGTCAGTGTTGTTGCGGAGCATGAAGTAGCGGCGTCCCGAGATTCGAGCGGGAAGCAAAAGGCAGGCGTCCGGCTGGTTCTTGAATTTGCGACAGCCTATGCAATTACAAAAGCCCTATTACCGGTTCGGATAGCGGCAAGTGTTTGGGCAACGCCGTGGTTTGCGAAAGTCGTTCTTAACCCAACAACCCGAGCAGCCAAACGGCTCTTTGGGAGAAGTTGAGAAGTCAATTACCAAGTGGGGTCTAATATAGAGATAATCATGAATCATATGATTCTTGTATATATTGGTTTTCAGAGCCATCGGAGGCATGTCTTCAATTATCGCATTCTATACGCAGGTAGTCGTCGACAGACTCGTCAGACCCTAGACATCTTGGAAGACGAGTAAATTTACTCGTAAACCCAGGCAGCGGAGGCCTGCTTGTAGATGTTGAGCTCGGAAGGCTGGAACCAGAGGGCAATCTCCTTCTTGGCGCTCTCAACGGCGTCAGAGCCGTGGCAGACGTTGCGGCCGACATCGATGGCGTAGTCACCACGGATGGTACCGGGGGCGGAGTCACGAGGGTTGGTGGCACCGAGGATGACACGGCCGGTCTTGACGACGTCCTTGCCCTCCCAGACCATGGCGCAGATGGGACCGCTCAGCATGTCTAGCATTGTGTTAGAAGGTTTAGATAGGATGGCTCGGAAGGTCCGGGAACTCACAGGAAACAAGACCCTTGAAGAAGGGCTTGGTGGCGAGGTCAGCGTAGTGCTTCTCGAGGAGCTCCTGGCCGGGGGAGGTGAGCTTCATGGCAACGAGCTTGAAGCCACGGTTCTCGAAGCGAGAGATGATGGGGCCAATGAGTCCACGCTAGAGATAAGATCAGTTTATGCGACCCAATTGCCGATATAGAATCATCTCGGATTCATCGGTGTAGCGAGTGTCCTTGCATACCTGGACACCATCGGGCTTGATGGCAATGAAACTGTAACAAATTAATTAGCTTCACCGCCAGGCAAAGAGGGGTAGCAAGCAAAGGACCATAGCTAGAGGAGGTAGAGTGAAGGTGGTAAGAAATAGGGAAAAGAATATGACTTACGTCTGCTCGTCGGCCATTTTGAGGAATTGGATTGAAGATGATAAAATCAGCAAGGGGTGGGGAGTAAGAAGAAAAGAGAGGGGAGAGGAGAATAAATACCTTCCAGTCTTTTTTTGTCCAGCGATTGGTTGAATGGTGGGGCAATGATGTGTTGGCCTTAACACCTCAATGCCTTATTGCCTTGATGCCTTAGGTGTCTTACCCCAGCTATCCGTCAGGCCAGCCTGGAGCTTCCTTATCAAAACTCCATTGCGGATGCAGGTCATCATCCACCTCAAATTACAAAATTCACACAGGGATTGAGGGTCTCTGTCTGCATGACTGTCTACAGAATGGCCCGGACCCGGCCCGCGTCCCCTTGGGCGCTATGCCTCTCGTTACTGGTCCTTATCGGGTGCATTATTGTCCCCAGTGGTGAGTTACCCTCTCAAGCTACACATCTACGTGGATTGGCTCAAGCAAGTAACTGATCACCTTGGCAAAGTGGCTGTCAAGCATGAAAATTTCAAAACATGTGACCAATCCGGATTTTGTAAGCGCAACCGGGCTCTTGCCGACGATGCCTCCGCCCAAGGCACATCTTGGAGCTCCCCGTACGAGCTTGACCCGGCCACTGTACAGTTCAAGGATGGTCAATTGACCGGTATTCTGATCAAAACCACCCCGACGAACGATAAAGTTCGCCTCCCTGTCATCGTGTCTTTCCTCGAATCCGGCGCCGCGCGTGTGATCGTCGACGAGGAGAAGCGCATGAAGGGTGATATTGAAGTCCGACACAACAGCAAAGTCAACAAGAAGCGTTATGATGAGACGGAGAAGTGGGTTCTTGTGGGAGGCTTGGAAAAGAGCAAGTCGGCCACGTTGAACCCCGAGACCGAGACTGGATTCACCAAAGTCCAGTATGGACCGGGTAACAAGTTTGAGGCTATTATTCGCCACACCCCATTTGAGCTTGAATTCCAGAGAGATGGCCAGACTCACGTTCAGCTGAATCATCAAGGACTCTTGAACATGGAGCACTGGCGTCCCAAGGTCGAGAAGGAGGGCGAGTCCCCGTCCGAAGATGAAAGCACTTGGTGGGAGGAGAGCTTCGGTGGTAACACCGACTCCAAGCCTCGCGGGCCCGAGAGTGTTGGAATTGATGTGACATTTCCCGGTTACAATCATGTATTCGGAATCCCTGAGCATGCGGATTCGCTTTCGCTCAGAGAGACAAGGTATTTATCATCACCATAAATCTACTCGTCAAGCCTAACCATGATCTAGGGGAGGTCCTGGGAACCATGAGAACCCATACCGCATGTACAACTCCGATGTGTTCGAGTATGAACTTAACAGCCCAATGACTTTGTACGGTGCGATTCCTTTCATGCAGGCGCACCGCAAGAACTCCACGGTCGGTGTCTTCTGGCTCAATGCTGCTGAGACCTGGGTCGACATCGTAAAAAGATCTGCCTCGTCTAACCCGCTGTCTTTGAGCGCCAGCTCGAAGACTAATACACATACTCATTGGTTCTCCGAATCTGGCCGCATTGATCTCTTCGTTTTCCTGGGTCCATCCCCCCAGGAGATCAGTAAGACCTATGGTCAACTAACTGGCTATACGCAACTCCCCCAGCACTTTGCCATTGCCTATCACCAGTGCCGCTGGAACTATGTCACCGATGAGGATGTAAAGGACGTGGATGCCAAATTTGACAAGTATCAGATCCCATACGACGTGATCTGGCTTGACCTTGAATATACCGATGACCGCAAGTACTTTACTTGGGACCCGCTCACCTTCCCCAACCCGAAGGGTATGCAAGAGAAACTTGACGAGTCTGAGAGGAAGCTTGTCGTTCTCATAGATCCACACATCAAGAACAAGGACGACTACTATGTCTCGCAGGAGCTTACCAGCAAGGGCCTTGCCGTTCAAAACAAGGACGGTGATGTCTATGACGGTTGGTGCTGGCCCGGTTCCTCGAACTGGGTTGACTGCTTCAACCCCGCTGCAATCCAGTGGTGGAACAGTCTCCACAAGTACGACAAATTCCTGGGATCAATGTCTAACCTATTCATTTGGAATGATATGAACGAGCCTTCTGTTTTCAACGGCCCGGAGACAACCATGCCCAAGGATAACATCCACTATGGCAACTGGGAACACCGTGATATCCACAACGTGAACGGCATCACACTAGTTAATGCTACTTACCAGGCATTGCTGGAGCGCAAGAAGGGCGAGGTGCGTCGGCCATTCATTTTGACCCGCTCATACTACGCTGGAGCTCAGCGTATGGCTGCTATGTGGACTGGTGATAACCAAGCCACTTGGGATCACTTGGCCATTTCTTTGCCGATGGTTCTGACCAACGGAATCGCGGGATTCCCATTTGCCGGTGCTGATGTTGGTGGCTTCTTCCATAACCCGGACAAGGAGCTGCTGTCACGGTGGTACCAGGCTGGAATCTGGTACCCCTTCTTCCGTGCTCATGCTCACATTGATACTCGGCGTCGTGAGCCCTACTTGATCAGCGAGCCGCACCGGACTATCATTTCCCAGGCCATTCGCTTGAGGTATCAGTTGCTGCCCTCGTGGTATACTGCCTTCCACGAAGCCTCGGTCAATGGTACTCCAATCGTGCGTCCTCAGTACTACATGTTCCCCGACGACGAGGAAGGCTTTGCCATTGACGATCAGCTGTACCTGGGCTCTACTGGTCTTCTCGCGAAGCCCGTGGTGACTGAGAACACATTCACTACCGACATCTATATCGCCGACGATGAGAAGTACTACGACTACTTCGACTTTACCATCTACCAGGGCGCAGGCAAGAAGCACACTGTCCCCGCCCCCGAGGACAAGATTCCGTTGCTGCTCCAGGGTGGTCACATCGTCCCACGTCGGGACCGTCCTCGCCGCAGCAGCGCCCTTATGAAATGGGATCCGTACACTCTCATACTGACTCTGAACAAGAACGGCGAAGCCGAGGGCACTCTTTATGTTGATGACGGCGAGACCTTTAACTATGAGCGTGGCAGCTACATTCACCGCCGCTTTGAGTTCCGTGACTCAATCTTGTCGTCAGAGGATATTGGCACCAAGGGACCTAAGACTGCGGAGTACCTGAAGACTATGGCTGGTGTTACTGTAGAGCGTGTTGTTATTGTTGACCCACCCAAAGAGTGGAAGGACAAGACCACTGTTACCGTCATTGAGGATGGAGCCAAGGTGGCCTCGGCCGCATCGCTGGACTACTTTGACCAGCAAGGCGGAAAGGCACCCTATGCCGTTGTCAGGAGCCCCAATGTTGGCATTGGAAAGGCTTGGCGGATAGAATTCTGAGGAACGAGTTGTTGATACGACTTATATGCGATAATAGATCATCGAAGGTTTTGATATAGCCGATTTTTGAATTTTGAGCATTCAATCTGTCGAGGTCTTCAGTACTACTTCTAAGCTTTGCAGTTTAACTCCTTGCTAAGGTGATCATCCTTAGATGCAGGGCCTGCTTTGATATACCTAGGCATACACACAAGGCAAATTACCTCAAATAGCGATGGCTTTTTAGGACTGGTCTGCCTCTGACACCCGTGGAGTGATGCACTGTACAACCTTGGAAGAGGCTGTCAAGTCCTAATATCTGAATCAAAGAAAGCGAAGCATATTGGCACCTGTATCATATCACTCAATCTCATGTCTTTCCGCATAGATCCGGCAAATGCTTCCCGCATCGTCCTCAACTTCCAAAGGAAATGTTCCATTGCTAGACAGATACCACCCCACAGACCTTTCTCCAACCCTCTGCCCGGCACTCTTATCGTAGAAGCTTGCCGGCTCGTAGTCGTGATAGTATTCCGTGAATATGTCCATCGTTTTGGTATTGGCGGAATCTAGAGTATAGAAAACACTCTCGATAATGAATTCCAAATCCTCATAGACCATCATCTTTTCATGGGCAACAACATAGACATATTTTGTATCCTGTTGAGAAAGCTCTTCTTGTGAAGCTTTGTGTGCTTTGAAGACTTCCTCGAGCAAGTCGGCTGGGAAGCGATCTGTGCGAACCATTTTGGTGTTGTATGGTGAATATTATAGATCGATGAAGATAAATTTGAGCAATACATTGAAATAAAAATCAATAACAAAGAATGACGTGCAAGGAATGATACGGCTTTTAGTCTTCAATTTTACCTACTGTTCTAAGGTTTCTTCGAGACTCTGGCTCACTTAAGCTCAATACAAAACCATCCGAGATGATCCTGCTTCAAGCTATACGATTGCCTGAGTATCATCGAGTCTACAGTCAAGCATAGAGATCACCACTGCCAGGCTGGTCCATATTTAGAAATTCGGTCTAAGAACCCATTTGTCTCTCTACTCAACTATAAAGAGCACCTGGGATTCATGAACATTTTTCCCATGGAGCCGCCCAGGAAACTGACCCACTTAGCACCGAAACACATACTCGAGAATATTTGTAAGTTCTGAAATGTGAAGCAAGCTGAATTACATAGATCAATTGTTTTTGTTTATACTTCAAAGTGATCGACATGCTGACATAATCCACGGGGAGAAAAGGGGTCGTGATCCGTGCACCACGGATTTTACCTAACGTGATCCACGGTCGCCCGAGCGACACGGCCGCGCGAGCGACCCCATCGAAAATCCACTTCAATAATAATACATACTTTTTAACCACAACAAAAATGCCACCCCAACGCTCTGAGAAAAAAACAAAATTGATAGAGCAAGAAGGTCGCCTTTTATTAGCTATAAAAGCTATAAAAGATGGTAAATATCCCTCTGCTGCAGCTGCTGCACGATCTTTTGAGATACCTGTCTCAACTTTGAAGGCCCGGATCAATGGGCGCGAATCTGCTGCTGAAAAGAGGGCATCTGGTCACATATTCACCCAAATTGAGGAGCAATCGATAGAGAATTGGCTACTTGATATGGACTCAAGAGGTGCAGCTCTTACTTTGCCTATGTTGCGAGATATGGCCAATCTTTTACTTATCGCAAAGAAAAACACACCATCTACCACTGGTATCAATTGGCCTTCTCAATTCATCAAACGACACCCGAATCTCTCTACTCGACTCTCTCGTAAATACGACTATCAGAGAGCACTCTCAGAAGACCCCCGGATCATTAAGCCATGGTTTGATTTAGTTCAAAAGACCATTGAAAAGTGGGGTATTGTTTCAGACGATATCTTCAACTTTGATGAGAGTGGTTTTGCTATGGGTATCGGCGCAACACAAAAAATTATCACTTCTGCAGAATACCACGGGAAAAGAGCTCTTTTGCAGGCTGGAAATCGTGAATGGGTAACCACAATTGAGTGTATTCGAGCTTCTGGAAGTGTTATGCCTCCACTCTTCATTTTCAAGGGAAAAATGTTTCCAGAGCATCTACGCCCCTTTCTCCTTTTGAATCAAAAAGGAGCACGTCTCACTATGAGTGAAAATGGCTGGACTACCAATACAATTGGTTTATGGTGGTTGAAACACCTTTTTATTCCAAATATTGGGACAAGAGTGGGAAAATATTGCCTACTGGTCCTCGATGGCCATGGGAGTCATTTGACCCCCGAATTTGACCAACTTTGCGAAGAAAACCAAATTATCGCAATCTGCATGCCTCCTCATGCCTCTCACCTTTTACAACCTTTGGATGTGGGCTGTTTTTCGGTTTTGAAGAGGCTTTATGGAGGAGCGGTTTCAACCTTGATGCGGAATGGAGTGAACTCTATTGATAAGGAGGATTTCCTTGAAATAATCGCAGATGCGAGAATTGGTGCTTTTAAGACCTCTACTATACAAAATAGCTTTTCAGCTACTGGATTAGCACCATTCGATGCTAATAAAGTCTTGGAAAAGCTAAATGTGCGCCTGGATTCTCTTCCTCCTTTCGAGATCATCTCTCAAAGACCACTCTCTTCCGGTAGTGATAGTGATCCAAATACTCTTTGGACTCTCTCAAAATTCACAAAATCGCAATCTCGGATCAAAAAAGGTCTAGAATCTTCTTCTTCAATCCTTTCTTCACCAACAAAAAGGGAGATTGAGAAGACCTACAACATGACTATCAAAGTGGTCCACCACCATATTTTTCTCCAGAATCGCTGCGCCCAGCTAGAGGCTACCAATAAGAAACAGACCAAAAAAAGAGAGACAATACCAAAATTTACTACCCAGAAAGGCATCTTTGGGGGTCTAGAGGGTGGTGAAGATGATGTGGTCTACAAGGATGAAGATGTAAGTAAAGATATATATCTACCAGAGGTATCTACAAATGCGGTTGTTGAGCCTACCTTACCTTCTATGCCTATAATTCGGCGGCAAATGACATGTTCTGGGTGCGGGATAAAAGGGCATACATATACTTACTGCCCTACTCGCTTTAGATAACAAAATTTATGTCGTTTTTGTGGTTTTAATAGTCATTGAAAATTGGTGATTTTTGAAAAGTTGGTGGGGTCGCTCGCGCGGCCGTGTCGCTCGGGCGACCGTGGATCACGTTACCACACCACGTTACATAAGCTACCCTCTTACATAATTAAGAGATATCGGGAATCCTCGGAAGAAAATCACGTGCTATCCAACGTCCGATATCAAATTTTCATCACTATAGTAACCAGATTTGGGTAGATAAACGATAATTTACTCTATTCTACCCTTTTTTTTACCATCTACCTTGGCCTGATCACTCTATCTACCATAATCTGCCCTAATTTGCCCTAAAATACCACAAAAATGGCTACCAATTCTACCTTATCTGCTCACGGAAGTAGGGTATATCCTTTTCCCTGATCTTTTATAACTGATAATAACCCAATTTAGACCTTCTTCCACCCCCTGAAGCTTCATATGCTACTCGAGATGAATTAATCGAATCCGTCCGGAAGCATGCCCTCTCTCAGGGCTATTGTACTGCTATAAAAAGCAGTAATTCTGGCAAGGGTCAATATGCTTACGCGAACCTTTCAATCCAATGTGTCAAATCAGGCATACCTTTTCGGCCGATTGATAGGCCAATTACAGGCCTAAATCCTCGGGAAACAAGCTCAAAACGTCAATATTGCCCCTTTAGGCTATATGCAAGTAATAAAACAGGCAAATGGGAGCTCCAGGTACGTAATTCATCCCATAATCACCCTGCTGACGATCCAATAGTGTTCCACCAAGCTCGGAAGCTTAATTCTACTCAAATTGATAAGATTAAAGACCTGAATCAGATCAATTCTGCCCCTAGAGATATGATCAAATTGCTCCGTTTATCTACAGATCAACCGATAATCTCACGTGATATATATAACCAAAAAGCAAAATTACTCCGAGATAGGTATGGATATCAGGGAGAAATGGAGTATTTTCTCCAAAATTTGCAAATTAAAGGATATAAGTATAGATTATCTTTATCATCTGATGATAAAATCGAGTTTTTAGCGCTTGCTAACCCTAAATCTATTGATCTTGCTAATAAATACTATAGGGTTTTTGTCCTTGATTGCACTTATAAGACTAATAAGTACGGTATGCCTCTTTTAGAGGTTATTGGCATAACTCCGACTAACCAGACCTTCTTATTTGCTACTTGTTTTATGCGAAATGAGAGTGAAGAAGGCTATAAGTGGGCCCTACAAACCTTATTCTCGGATTTTATCCATTTATCTAATAATTCAGTATTGATTACTGACAGAGCTTTAGCACTTATTGGGGCAATTGAAGAGCTTTTTCCTAATATTAGCCATTTACTGTGTATTTGGCATATTGAAAAAGCTGTTTTTACTAAAGCACGTGAATTTATTTGCCAAAAAACAGCAAATCAGCCCCAAGACGACCCAAAAAACACAGAATTCACAGAGTTTATGAAGATATGGAGAGACCTTTATTCATCTAATATATCAGAGGAATATAAATTAAGGTTATATAACCTTAAAACTAAGTTTAACTACCCTAATCTGATCCTTTATCTCGAAAGAATATGGCTAATCTATAAACAGAAATTCGTCCGCTGTTATACTCCGAATATTACCCATTTTGGTAATTCTGCAAGCTCACGGTCTGAGGGTATTCATGCAAGGCTTAAGTCCCATCTTCATGGCTCAAATAACGATTTTATTACTGTTTTTAGTGCTATTGATGCTGTTATTAATGGCCAATTAGATGAAATCCGCAAAGAAACAGCCGAAATCCAGACTAAAATACCGAAATTCACCATGATTCCGCTTTTTAGCCACCTTCGGTCCCATCTCTCCCCACATGCTTTGCAGAAAATCAATAATCAACGGCAATTAGCCCTAGAAAAGGGGCCAATAGGCATTTGCACCCATTATTTTACTAATTCAATGGGTCTACCCTGTAAGCATATGATCCGTGAGTTATTGAAGGTTAATCAGCCAATAGGACTCGACAAAATTGATCCTTTTTGGGTTACTCGACCACCCACAGCTGAATATCTCTCAATTCTACCACCTCGGGTCTATCTACAGCCAAAAAAGGAGGAAAAAAAGAGAAAAAGATCAGAGGAAATCACGGAAATATCGGATATAAAGAGGCCTAAGGCCCCTAGTAAGTGCTCAGGGTGTGGAGAAATAGGGCATACTATCAGAAGTTGCCCTTTGCGGAGAATTTGATTTACTCCTGTACTTATAATTTGATATCGGACGTTGACTATCACATGACTTTAGTCCGAGGATTCCCGATATCTCTTAATTATGTAAGAGGGTAGCTTATGTAACGTGGTGTGGTAGGTAAAATCCGTGGTGCACGGATCACGACCCGGAGAAAAGCCGTTTGCGTGCGCCACGCCTGGCACTCTGTTTCTCACCCTTTGGTTCCCCGTTCCTGTTGTTCCAAGTTATCGGCCATTGGGGTTTCTTGCTTTGCCACTGGAGCTTATACTTCATCCTCGAATCGACCCAAAGGAGCAAAGAGAAGAAGAAACAATTATCTGGAATTGCGTTGTATACCCGATCACAGCGGAACATCTTCACCGGCAACATGTATCTTATTCAAGCGGCACTTGAATATGGCGCCCCCTTCTTGTACGCTTCAAACCTCATTGTTATAAGGGAATTTTGAATGCTGATTACATTCTCTAATAGCCTCGTCTCCTCTCCCCTCACTTCTTACCTCGATCAGATTCTCAGCATCCACCGCTCGAGGAGCTCGGCGGGTTTCTCATTGGACATTCCGCTGATTATGCTGGTCGCGTCCATCCTGAAGTGAGACCTCAATTAATACTATCCATCGCACTCCCTGACCGAACATCATAGGGTCTTCTATTGGTTCGGAGAGTACTATTCCAAAGCACTTCTGGCGCAGGCAATGGTTATGATCATGGTACAATCGGCACTACTCAAGGTCGCACTGGACAACCGACCTGCCACCGGAGCGAAGAACGGGATTGAACATGCGCCCTTCAGCGGCAACAGTGGCGGCTTCACACGGCCGTACGAATTTTGGCAGTGGAAGAGCACAAAGCCGTAAGTCGAGAGCATTTGCGACGGAGAAAACTCTCCAATTTGAGCAGGAAATACTAACCCATTGTGCGCTAGGTACTGGATGGTCCTGTCTTACTTCGTCGCTGCTCTGTTTGTGATCCACATTACTCCGATTTCCGACTCCCCCTCCTACATTAGTCTCCTGGGCTGCATCGGTCTCGCTGTCGAGGCTATTCTTCCTATCCCACAAATCCTGGCAAATCACCGCTCTGGCTCGTGTAAAGGTTTCCGTATCTCTGTCCTGGCATCATGGTTGATTGGTGACTCCATGAAGATGAGCTTTTTCTTCTGCAGCCAGGAGCCCATTCCCTGGGCATTCAAGATCTGTGGTATGTTCCAGTGCGTTTGCGACTGCTACCTGGGCCTCCAGTACTGGATGTTCACTCGGAATGCTCGGGCTGCAGGCAGCTCTCAGGAGCAAGAAGATCGGTGGGGAGCCGGCGAGAAGGATATTCGTATGAACTAAAGACTTGCATTTTCGCTGTTTTACAGCATAATTTATGTAGATAGAGGCGATCCACTCACATAGCGATCAAATATTTGTAATAATTTTCAATGAAACGACATCAATATCATTCTCTTAACATTGAGCGCAGTGTAGTAGGTAGCTCTGTACAATCGCGTCTGCCCCGCAAACGCCGGTTCGGGAAATGATGGAATGCGCTGCCCCGCGATGGACTTCAATACTTTTTCGCTCGTGACCACCTTCTCCAACAACGATAAAGAAGTCAGCGGCCGCTAAAAAATTTGAAATGGCTACTGCGTCTACAATTCGCATCGGATATGTGCCTGGTAAGTTCTTGCGATGAACTCAATCCTGCAATCTGATTCATAGCTACCTGATGATGTACTAATCTCTCTTGTAGAGCACTACCTAACCCCCCTCCACCTGGCGCTGCGCTCTAAGGCCGTGTCCTCTCTTCCATTCAAGATTTCTCTGACCCCATTCCCATCTGGAACGGGCCACATGATCACATCGCTCCGCGGCAACGAAATCGACATTGGTATTGGTTTGACCGAGGGCTGGGTTGCCGGTTTGGCCGGTAAGCAGCAAGCACAAAGCACCGGCGATGGAGGATACAAGGTCATCGGTCACTGGGTCGACAACCCTCTACGATGGGCTATTGTCACAGGTCGCAACCGCAGTGAGATCAACGGAGTGCCAGACCTTCAGGACTCAAGAGTTGGAGTGAGCCGTCTTGGAAGGTGAGAACGCGCCCAACTTCTTCTTTGACTCATAGTTACGTTGGGAAGTATGGCCAAAGATATAAGAATCACTGTTAACGTCTTCCTAGTGGATCTCACATCATGTCCTTCGTTCTCGCTCAACAGCAAGGATGGAAATCCGATTCTCTGACCTCCGTCCCTCTTGGACCTTTTGGTTCTCTACGGAACGGAGTGACTGGTGTCGATGAGACTAAGCCAGAGGAAGTGCCCAAGCCAACAGCCGAATTCTTCATGTGGGAACACTTCACAACAAAGCCCTACTTCCACCCGACAGCAGAGAAGCCCAACCCGCCGCTCAAGAACATCGGCGAGATCTTTACTCCCTGGCCTTCATGGATGATGGTGGCTTCCACAGCGCTGTTCCCCACCCCTGCCAACGATGACCGTCTCACACAGCTGTTCAAGGCTCTGGACCTCGGAATCAAAGAATTCGAGGCGGATACTGCTCAGGTGGTGAAGCTCTTGGGTACCGGCGAACTTGGCTGCACTTATATTGAGGAGGATGCTACGGAGTGGCTGAAGGATGTCAAGTTTACTGATAGCACTCGTGGTGTGGATCGTGAGGTTATCGAGGGTGTTGTGGATGTGCTTAAGGTGGCTGGTGTTATTGACCCGGCGATGGATAACGAGGAGGCTATTCAGCGGGTGATTGGTATCCCGCGGTGATAATATTGAAGCGATAAACTAAAAGTAGAGGACGCAGCGAATGAATACAGAAGCTGCAAGTGAATATTCTATAAAATCTTCTTAATTCTGCATAGATGCTTATACCTAGATTGTACTTCTCATTCACTAGCAACAAACTTGAATGGCCAAGGTTGTTCCAAGCAAGTTACAAGACCGACTGAGATAGAATATCCCGCAACCACACAGCCGTCATTGCCACCATCTCCTTAGTACAACTATGACCTGTATTATCCTGCACAAAAAACCCAATATCCTGCTTTCCCGATCTTCGCTTCCGCTCTTCCACCCAAGCCGCCGTATACTTTGCAGGAACCAACTTGTCATAGAGTCCATTACACAAAAGCAGTGGCACATCAGGAAATTCATCCAAGACTTGCTGATCCTCTCGACACACAATCTCCGCTAAAGCACGCGGCCATCGCTTTTGCTGCTTTTCGTTCATCGCCTGCCGAAGTTTCTCATAATCGAATGGCTCTCCGGGACTATGCCCGATGGTTGGATCGATACCCAGACGACCCAAGAGGAGAGTAGATAGACTTGGACAGCCGACGACCATGGAGTATGCGTGGAATTGGCCTGGGGTCAGCGAGGCAATGCGCCATGCTGTATGTCCGCCGAGAGATACGCCGAACATGATATTGTAGAATCGAGTGAATTGGGGTAGATAAGTTGGGAGGTATTCTAGTACCAGTTTGAAATCTTGAGCGGATCCAGAGATTATGGACACAAGATCCATGCTGTTAATGTTAGTATTTACTTGACTCAAGCATCAAGGATTAGCACATACGCATGGTTCTCGTTGCCATTCTTCCATGTTCGATTTGCTTGAGGATCAACCTGATGATACTTGAAGTTAACAAAGACCTTGGCTACCAAGGAAAGATCTTGGCTACCAAGGGATGTAGCTATTACCTCGCGATCTCCATGGTTTCTCATGTTCATAGTCACAGCAATTAGACCTATCGATTCGCCTTTCCGCTCGTCTTTTCGATACCGATGAAGGATTTCATGTGCCATATCTTCCATGACACGGTAGGTCCGAGTACGGTTGTGTGCCATGTACAAAACCGCCACTTTCTCCGATCTTTCCTTTGACTGCACGACATTGACCTCTTCCAATCCATAAATATAGATTCGAAGTCCACCAATTACCAACTCCGTCTTGCTTGAAAGAGGTGTACTAGGCGGAAGAGAGAAACGAGGCTCATGGCCATCGCCATCCACTTTAACAGCTGTCATGTTTTCCATAACAATTTTCATATAAGATTTCGATCATTGATAAATGTAATGATCCATGAGCATTGAGCAATAAGGCGGTCTAACCGACTGAGATAAGATAATTACCGAATTTGCCGATTGGCCAAATCGGAAGTGGATAACCCAAGTATCAAATGACCGAAGAATTGCCGTCAACTAAGTATGCCGATAAAAGAAATCAAGAATAATAGGCGTAGCATTAAAACTAGCCACGTGATGTCCAGCCACCTGATTATCAGAATTGGGAACAGTACTAGGCCAGTCATGACCGATCACTGAATCATAAATCAACCCCACCAACCCCCTGCCAAAGGAGTATAACACCGTATCAGAAGCAACTGCAAGGGTTTTATTCCGTTCACTCAAGTGATCCCTCGCAGCCCATTCCCGAATAAAATGCGGAATACTGGGTAAACACTCGCCTTTCCGCTCCCCACCCGTGTATGGAATAACCGTATCGTTCCCACCGTGGAATGCTAGGATAGGGATATCAGTCCGTCCTGCATTACAGGTCAAATGCACTGTATCGGGGACACATGGCGAAGTGTTCTGATAATATGCGCCGGACACGGGCGCGAAGGCTGCGATGCGGATGGACGTTTCAGGATCACAGGCTAACCGGTTGACGAAGCCGCCGCCGTCGGATTTTCCGGTTGCCCAGATGCGGCTGGTGTCGATGCAGTATTGTGAGGTTACTTGGTCCAGGATGTCTTGTGTGAAGAGGATGTCGTTTGTCGTGACGCCCGGGACGCCTTGCCATACGTCCTGGTTAATGTTAGGTTATGTTTTGGATGTGGGATGTAGCATTGCTTCTTACATCGATGCCCTGGGGATATATAACAAAATCCCTCTTGTTGAACTCCGGGTTGGTCAATTGGTCCAGCTCCAACTGATCAGTGGCATTTTTGGTACCACCGTGATATGACAGGATGAGAGGAGTCGGAACTTTTGAATTGTACTTTGGTGGAATGGAGATCAGAAAACTTCGATCTTTACCATCACTTGTAATGGAAATGTTGAAAACGCCTCCTACGGATTGCCCTGGGGGAAGCAGTTTGTCTCCACATGTAGCTACTGCGAGGGTGGCTCCGAGAAGGAGCGTACAAAAGTGAAAAAATGTCATCATAGGTACAGGAGCTGAATCTTTTCTGAAGGGAGATTTACAGCGGGAAGTCAGCGCTGCATGTGAGATCAATTTATATGCTCGATCCTTGCGTTGGACTTGGTTACACATGTACCCCAGATTTGCCCTGCATAAGTAAATCCCGGTAACGTCGTAGCATTCTCCACCCTATCATTTCTCCTTTCTGTCTGCCTTTTCTCCGAGCCACGTCGTGCTCCTTGCAGGGGCAAAGACGCAAATCATCATGCTCGCCATAAATTGCCATTTCGAAATTCCAGCATTCTATGACTACGTGTCACACCGTGGAATTCCGCAGGCCTACATACATGTTGTTCTGATCGCGAAATTATGGCTGAAGTATACTTCAAACATTGCCGGATTGCCGGAGATTTTGGCTTTGGCAATACGTACTTTCTCTGGCTAAACATATGAATCGCCCACTGGCGTGAATAGCAACCAAACACTCGGATATCAGTCTTGGACCTTATGTTGCTAAACAGAGATTGACGACTTCGTAGTCTCAGTTAGAGGGAAGCTATTCCGGTCCTAGATCGACAATGTGGATAATAGCCGGGATGGAATAGATATTCAGTATATACCACGAGACTATGTAGAAAGTAGATTGGGAAAAAAGGTAGAATACTAGTAGGTAAGCATTTGAAAAGTAGAGGTGAGTTAAGGGGTTTTAAAAATATATTTTCGGCGACCGCTACCGTACACTGACTGGTATTAGAGGCTTTGACTAAATATTCTTACTTGAAGAACGATTTATCACTAACATTACATGTATGGTGAAGACTGACGGCTGTCTTGTTTATGTTCATTTACATATACAAGTTCGTCGGTAGCTCTCCTTGCATACCATCCCCAAAATCTGCGAATAGCCCTTGTGAATGATGATCTGATAACGCGAACCCAGGACTGAGTAACTACTCAAGAGCGTCAAAATCTGTAGAGTAATTTGCATCGAAATCGCTTGCAAAGTCTTCTGCACCAAGTACGCCACTAGCGCCATCCGGGATAAATGGTGCAAGATTGGATGTCATTATCTCCACCGTGGGTTCGTTACCCTCTTGTTCAAAGACTTGATGGTTCACATTGGAAGGAGCAGTAAAATTTTGAGTAGTTGTCAAGTCCTGGGTCCTGTTGTTGCGATTATCTAAGATATCCCGCGCACGATCGAAGAGTTGATACATGACACCAGCGCTCCAATATGTATCGCGCAAGCTTTCCAGAAATAATAGACATAGATTGAGCCGGTTCTTGGCTAGATTTGCTTGTAGTGAGCTGCTAGATTTGCAATCGAATAGATGAATTTGCATAGGGGGAATCAAGGATGTGATGCTCAGGAATGTCAGCTATTCAGTCTCAAAAAATGTACGCGTTAGCACAACATGGGCTTGATGGATTTGACGAGGTCTAGATCGATTATTTTCTCAAGGGCTTGATTTGTAGCCAGTACAGCTTCTCGTGCGCGGTTCTGGGCAACTTTCTGCCAGATTGCAGAGGAGTTTTCCGGAAATGACGAAGGGGCATTTAATATATATGGTCGATATAGATCAGTCACACTCGCGCTGACATATGTTAGATCAGAGACACGTACAGAACACGGTTGAACAAACTGGTAGAAAACCTGAAGGTGGTATTCGTGAATACTAGCAATGCCACTTGGCTCGTAGTTTATCGGCGTCTCCTTCTGTTGACAGTCAAGTAACTCAGCAGCTAGGCCTTCAATTTCTTCGACACTTGCCTTGGCCGCCTTAAGTCTGTAATGAGCAAGTAGAATGCGACCAAGAACAAAGCTCGTCTTCACAAGTGTCACCCACATCTCAGCAAGGTAGGATGCATCCAGTGGAAAATACCTTTTTCGACTCTCTTCAGAAATGAACCGCAATTCGTGCACTACGTCATAAGAACATGGAAAGAGTGCATCACAATCTTCATCATGGATTCGCATCGGTCGCCCTTTAGCCAAGGATACCCACCGATCTCGGACCACACAGGTCCACCAGATACGATGGGCGAGGCGTTCGTAGTCCGGTGAAGATAGGTAATCGTTCCGGGGTTGAGAACTGCCGCAACGATGTATACCGATTCCCTGGGCTAGGGTAATGGCAATTCCAATCCAATGTGGTGCGCCCGTGTGATCCTGAGCGTCTGTATACCAAAAGCTCATTAGAAGGACTGATCGAATGAGCTCAAGTTTATCTGTGCTGCGATCGACATCATAGAAGGCTTTGATAGAGTGTCAGATGGCATATCATCTCTTTAATTCCACGTGAAATACCTTGGCCTTTCTTTACATCGCCCTTTCATGGCTTTACGAAATTTAAAACCTGCTTGTTGTAAAATCTTGATATCGATATACTTGTATGCCATCAGTGGCGTCAACAGGGTTCGAGATATGTCAGACTCACGTTCGTAGCCGCAAGATGCATACTCCAAAATAGCAAAGGGTTGATATTTTGCGTTCCATTTTGCATATATACCGGATAATGTCTGGCAATTTTTGATTTCCCTTTCCGAATTAGTAGCATTACCTGAGCTTGGTTTTGACTGTTTTCGATCCATATCGCCTTCCTTGCAAATGACTATCACAACCCGGCAAACTTTATCAACAGGAAGGTGTGCTGGTCATGACGATGTAATTAAATGCCGTTAGTCGTTATTGCTCGTTGAACATTCAGAACACCAAGACACTCCCAAGACACTCGTGCACTCCGAAATGTCTTTGCCATCTGGGCCTCATACTTTCTCGTTGGTCGTTTTTGGAGGCGGAGTGTTAGACGTGGCGCTTGCAACGGACTTTGTGATGATCTCAAAAAAGTTCATTGCAGATGGGTTGAATCCAACATGCCTTTCGGGAACCAACATTCACGACATAACGAGTATGGTCGGACCGCTTTTGTTTGGCCGAGATGATCTGCGGCAAAGAGTCCCGATCTATGAAAGCCAAGAGGCCGTTCAGCCATTCTACCGTCTAGAGTCTCATGGACTTAAAACACATATCATGCGGTGGATCACACTTGTTTCAGGCAGCGTACGTCCTGGCGACCGGATCATCATCATTTTGATTGGACATGGCAACTCGGAAAGGGGGGATATCACATTGTCTCTTCAACATGCGAGGTCGGAGTTTTTATCCAAAGCTGAGATGATTGCCGCCCTCTCGGTGCTACCACCTCATGTCCGCCTTCTTATCGTCGACGAGGCTTGCTATTCTGGAACTTGGGCTACAATCGCCCCTGAAATAGGGGGAAAGCGAGATGTCCTTGTTGAGACAGCAACCACCCTTGGCGAGCAGTCTTGGACGTATACCTCTGGCTCCGGTCGCAATAGGTGCTCTTTTTTCGGAGCGGCGTTCGTTGAGGAACTCACTACACATCCTGAGGGGAGAATCGACCAGCACCGCAGTCGAATAGTCGATGAGATGCTCCATGTGGCGCCTGATCAAGAAACCTCAACACCGCTAGCGATCCCCTCCACCCGCGCTCTTTTATCCCACAATATCTCGCACTTTGTGCTTTCCCCAAGAATCGCGACGGCAATCACGAATGTGGCTTCTTCACAGGATCGCCATGAGACTCTTTTGCGGTCACGGATCTCTGCTCGGACGTTTTGGAGAAGATTGCGACGAAAGAGAAACCCTGACTCTCTGAGAGGACCAGTGCAAGCTTTAGCTACAGATAGCCCGACAAGTGATTGCAATAGCACCGACATGAAAGAATTTGTTATAGAGAACTATCTCAAAGACCTCGGGCCGCTGAAGGCCAGACTTGATTACAGTACCCTTGCAACTGCGTGCCAGTTATCCCTTGAAGGCCGTGGGCCTCCGGATTTTCAAGACCAGGTGATAGCCACTATCACCTGGCAAGCAGCCCTACTACAACGAATTCGTCAATTGCTAGAACATCTAGCGAAGCAAGGATTCATACAGGATATAGTCGACAAGGAGATAGCCGATTGTGCACTCACGGACCACCGAGAAGACATTGCGATCCCTATCGCAGATATGGTTTGGAAACATGAAAACCTATTATGTCTTCTGGAGCCGCCCAGAAAAGACCATGTCGGCGTACACTTCAACGACGCAGTAAGCCTGCTGGTCACAATACTCGCCTATAATCAATTGCTTTTCCCCGACATGTTCGACCTTGATCGCGTTGAGGAAGAAGTGGTACGTTTTTGGCTTGATTGATGTATTTCCTTTTGCTAGCCTGTCTCCTTGATTAATGTATTTCCTATTACTAGCTCGTCTCCTTAATTCATTTTTATCTGGGGCAGTACTGAACGAAGAACTGGCTTGATCCAAATGATTACAAATGATTGATATTATAATTTTACTAATAATATTTTTAATCAATTTCTATCCAATCAGACCATTTGACTGATTGTATTCAGAGAGTAGCAGTGACTCGAAGACTAATTTGAGACAATGTGCCTTGGTAGATAAGGTTTTGTTAGAATTTTTTCCAGAAATTGAAGTCGTCAATCATCATAATATGAAATCCCAGCTCTCGCATAGCATCTTTAGATACATTTAAGGGGCATATGCATAAATTGTGACGGCCATCAAAAGACAAGGAGGAGAGTATGGATTAATTAAACAGGTATAGGCATAAATTGTGACAGCCGTCAGAATCCACAAGACTGATTCTATTTCTATTGGAGCGTGAGTAGATTAAGCGCGTCTTTTACTCTTAATTCTGATTGAAGGGAGACGTTGGTGCCGATACAGCTACGTTGTCCATTCAGCGAATGTGGCGCGTACTGATAATCTGTGGCCTGGAATCCTCCAGTGGGGATAGTAAATGCAGGGATACGCGAACAGGCACTTGAGCATGGCTAATAATATAAATGGAAGAAGTAAAAAAAAATACTAACTTCAATGTTAAAACGATCGAAAGCCCATATTACTCCAGCCGAGGCACGCTAGTTCGGGGCTCTGATCCATCAGGTGGAGACTGTGCATGCTTGCGAGAACGGCGTGGCTTTAGCGGGGTCTTTTCTGGCACCATGAGATGCCCGCTGAGCCATTGGGATTGTTGGGAAGAGAGATGTCTATATAATATGTAAGCAAAGAGACGGTCAAAGAGGTATCAAGAGCCTTGGGAGTAGATTGTTCGAATGGTGGGGAGCTCCAGAGCATGATCAACAAATTCTGACGGAGGTCGAAAAAGACTTACAAGAACCTTAGAGGCAGATGGTCAATATGGTGGGGAATTCCAAGGCAAGATCAACAAATTCTGACGAGGGTCAAAAAAGACTTGCGTGTATGGGTGGTTCTGGCCGGTTAGATTATGTTCAAAGTTTCCTAGAAACTTGAGGGCATAGTATGGCTAGAGATGTTGAGTAGTTGGGGAGAAAAAGAAGGAAGGTTTCCCGAAGAAGAAAAGCCACTATTTATAGTCTAAATTTGTTGGTTCAAATAGTTATGTCCAAGTATTCAGTCCATCAAGACTACTGGTAGAGAGGCAGTAGGGGGCGGAATAATACAAGAACGATTAATGGGTGTAGATCTAGTAGTGTGGGCGCCGCATATCTCCAATAGATCTAACTTTTACAGTAACGTAAAGCTTAGCCTATTAGTCATCTTTTCTGACGGTCGTCAGAGAAGACGGCTATCAGAAAGAGGACTGTTAGAAAGGACGACTGTTAGAGATTCTAAGAATAAGCCCAGATCTAATAGCGTAAGAGCCACATTCATGTATTAGACTCGTTTTAATACTAGCATAAAACATACTAGCCTGTTAGTCATCTATTCTGACGGCGGTCAAAAAATCGACGGTCAGAAGCTACAGAGAAAATCCCACTTGGCAAAATAAGAATTTCACTTCATAAATTTCCTGTCACTGTAGGTGTATATGTATATAGTTGTCCCAACTTCCAAGTTCAATGTCTATTATCAAAGTTGAAGGTTCCTAGAACCTATTTTGATTGAGTTAAACACGGAAGCTTTCAATATACTATTATATGGTCTCATAGGATACAAAATTATGTTTATGCTCCTCATCTACACATGTTGTTTCTTTACTGTTTGTTCAAGGTCTGCGGTACTTGTAGATCGTGAAAATGTAGGAGCCTGGAAGATTACGCCAAAATAATTATAAATTACCTTCGAATATTTCCACTAGCGGCTGATAAGTATAGGACACTTGGCGTCCCGCTTACCAGTCAATATGTGAATCCTTCAACCTTGGATATAATTCAAAATCCGGGCCAAAGCCACTCTCATCTTATTTTGTTCAATCTCATCATTTGAAAATGAAATTTGCTGTCCAGCCCTGTTTCCCAGCAGATGCCCCAGGCCTAGCGGCCACCATGATGGGCGCCCGTCTCACCGACCCCCATTGGGCAAGACAATGGGAAGACGACGTCCTCCACTCCGACATAATCAGCAGAGCCGCCGACCGGGTCCCCTGGAATCTGATCACCGGTCGAGATACAAAACGACATGAAAAAGTGATCGATGTCGAGAGTGGCCAAGTGGTCGGATACGCTCGATGGCTTCTACCGCCCCATCTTGAAAAGGATTTCTGGCCAGAAGCCCAAGTAGCAGCAGCCATACCAGAGGATAGAGCAAGATATGAAAAGCTGTCTCAAGCACAGACGATAAACGGTCGACCCATCGGGCTCAAGAGTGGGCCGGAGATGAGTTATCGGAGTGCACCGCTCGAGGCTGCGGATGAACGGGTCACGCGACATGGTCCATTCCTAAGTAAATGAACCCAGATTTTGATTTTCAATGTTTGAATGCCTTGGCTGATATCCCTAGCCCTCGATTATTTGACCACTGATCCTGCTTTCTGGAGGCGTGGCGTGGGCACTAAGCTTGTTGAAAGTGGGTTGCGAGTTGCTGATCAGTATAAGTTGAAGACTTATGTTATGTCGGAACCGGCGGCATTGAAGTTATATTTGAATCTTGGGTTTGAGCTGGTAGAGACTGTTGCTACTGATTATTCTCAGTATGGAGGGACGGAGCCCATGGTGCATCATTTTCTAGTTCGCGAGCCTCATGTTTCAAGTGTTGTCATAGATTGATATATATGTATACATGTTAACGATGAATTGGTACATGGGAATCTGATATCTATGATTTATTCGAGACTACCTACATTCAAGTCAGATAACTAGGTATCTCTGTTTAATTAGTTATGACCTAGATTGCGCAAGTTCGATTATTATTGCCAAGTTCGGTGATACATTCCTAGGGAACCACCGGCCCCCTGACAACACAATCGGAATGCATCCCAAGCTGCCACAGAATTAAAGGAAGCCAATCAATGATCCAAGCTAATAATTTCCATGAATTTTATGTGCAGGGTCCCTTATTTGAGTGGAGTCTTGAGATGGTCGATTTGACTGGCGGCGTGGACAGCCGACCCATGCCACAGAGTTGGAGCCCCAATGACGTACAGGGGGGGCATTTGTTATTGTGTATGGTATGCAAATGAAGAGCAAAATAACTCAGTGATGTCTATTTAAGATGTCCCAAATGTGCTAGCCGTTCCACGGCTCGTGTGATCTTGATCTTGTGTGCTTTCTCCGGGTTTCGTATCCCTTCCATTCATTTTTAGTTAGGCTTTAATACTTAATTTTCTTTTCTTTCACTCCTTCCAATCGGATACGATGCGTCGGACACAGGCTTATCTGCCCTGGTCAGTGTTGCTGGCTTTGGGAGCAGTTCAGGCGAAGCTTGATTTGAACTCGGCCAGCAATGTTGTTGTCTATTGGGGCCAAAACTCCCTACAGGGGAAAGGAGGCGAGGTTCAGCAGCCTTTGGCACACTATTGCGACAGTGAGTATCTAAAGCAATTTTATGCTAGGAGTGAATGACTAACAAAAATTTCAGATGCTGATATCGATGTATGGGTGATATTGGCTGGGTTTTATGAATATATACTAACCTAAACCAATTAGGTCATCCCAATGGCATTTGACATGATGGTTAATGGACCTGGTGGAGCTCCAGAGGTCGACTTCTCTGTCAGCAGCCAGGATTGTGATGTGTTTCCGGGTACTCAGTTGAAAAACTGTCCCAAGATTGGGTAAGTTGACATGTTGAACGCTGGCACCCCCGGCCAGACTGACACTCAATAGCCAGGACATCAAAACTTGCCAGGCCAAAGGAAAAACGATTCTCTTGTCCATCGGTGGCGCAACTTACAGCGAAGGTGGTTTCAAGTCGGAGGCGGATGCCAAGGACGGCGCAAAGCTCATTTGGGAAACCTTTGGGCCTAAGCAAGATGGATCTAAAGCCTTGCGACCATTTGGAGATGCCAGTCTAGATGGATTCGACTTCGACTTCGAAGCCACTGTCACAAACATGGCTACTTTTGCCAACGAGTTGCGCGCCCTGATGGACAAGGACACCAGCAAGCAGTACTTCCTTACGGCGGCCCCCCAGTGCCCATACCCCGACGCGGCAGACAAGGATATTTTGAACGGTCCCGTGTCCATCGATGCAGTCTGGGTCCAGTTCTACAACAACTACTGCGGCTTGAACAATTTCGACTCGAACGCGGTGAACTCCAAGTACAACTTCGAGGAATGGGACAACTGGGCCAAGACCGTCTCAAAGAATAAGAACGTCAAGGTAATGATAGGCGTGCCAGCCGATACGACCGCCGCCAGCACTGGCTATGTGCCCGTCGACAAAGTGGCCGCTGTGATCGAATACTCGAAGAAGTTTGAGAGCTTCGGTGGTGTAATGATGTGGGATACAAGTCAGGCATATGCGAACCAGGGGTTCATTGACGGTGTGCGCAAGGCGCTTGGTGGTCCGAATTCCGGTTCGTCGTCGTCGTCCACCTCGGCGTCGACCACGGCGTCTGCACCAACCTCCACTAACTCACCGAATACCTCGCAATATTCCAATGCACCCGGATCCTCGTCCTCATCTTCCTCCTCCTCTGGATCTGGCTCCTCATCCAGTGGGCCTGAGATACCGAAACCGACCACCACAACCACCAGCACCAAGTCAACCAAGGAGAAGCCTACCGAGCCCGCTACGGAGGCAGACCCAGCGCCTACCGCGAAGCCCGCTGCTACAACCACCCAGGATCCCGCTCCCCAGTCGACCTCTACCACCAAGCAGGATCCCGCTCCCAAGCCGACTACGATGTCGACTACTACGACCAAGCCCGAGGTTGCCCCGAACACAACTGACAAGCCGACTACAACTCAGCCTGCACCTGCTCCGAAGTCGACGACTACCACCCAGCCTTCTGTGATCGACGATGATGACCTTTCCGATCCCGACCTCGCTTCCAACGACGACGACTTCAACACTCCTAAGGAGAAATCAGGTAACAACGGTGAAAGCCCGATTATTGGCTCGGATCTCTTCGGTCTCCTGAAAGGCTTGAAGCAGGCCAACGGCATCGTGGAAGGTCTCACCCATGGCCTGACCAATAATCTCCGTCGCGCAAAGCGCATTGGATACAACTAAGCATCCCTTGCACGTTGACATCTCACTTTGGACAATACCAAGCCCCAATATTCAAGCTTGAGAAACGCTTGGCTTCGGATATTTATATTTGTTCCCAAAGAAAGCGCCACTCGTCTACCTGACATCTTACCAATACTGGTTTGTCAACGACCATGAGCATTACTTCCATTCCTTTACATCCCACGAATGTTTCCTGGATTTCACTCTTTTATGTACCCAACCCTCCTTGATACCCACAGTCCATACCCATCTCCAGTGAAGCCAAGTGAATGTCTCAAAATATACTCATCGTCTTTGATATGGCAATTTCTCTTATCATAATCAACTTGAAATTATAATCCTAAACTCAGCCTAAGCATTCACAACCACGTTGTAATTTTTCCAAACTCCAGCCACAGTACAAGACCCATTGAACAGGCCTGCACTCTCGCGACCTCCAGCCACGCCAGTGATGAGACATTCATCGTTCTCGTAGAAAATAGCCTTCCACCAATCCACATAGTAGATCGAGTCGGCGAGAATATAACAGTAGTCGTATGTTGCGCCAAGACTGGGGCATGTTTCAATGGCATCTGAGCCGGAGGCAACGAGGGCACCATCGGTGCACTGATTCCAAGATTAGTTGTCAACTTGTAGTACATGTGGATTTCGGTCTCTGATCTTACAGAGTCACCGCAGTAGAGAGCCCAGTCCGCAGTAGCCACGGAGGCCAGAGTGAGGGCCAAGGTAGGGAAATACTTCATGATTCTAAGATTTTGTTTGGCTAATCTGCTGCATTAGTCCAGGTTTGTCATTTTCATGCATGCACATGAAGTCGCACATTGAATGTCCTTACAATTCTGAGAGAACGCAGGTGCCTGGCTCCTGCATATATGTCTGAAGGAAAGTGTTCTGGACAGGTGAAAAATCTCAGACGATCTAACCGGTTATATACCTTCTCCCGAACTACATCACCAGAGGATAGTATACGTAAGTCATTTTTTTACTAATCCTCAGCCACGCTCTTAGTGTGGCCAAAGGAACTGCCGTGACTGGATAGGAGGGTAAAAGGTCCAGAATCCTTCAGCCCGCATCTCCTTTCGATTTCAACCCCGCTTCTGCACGTCTGAATCCATACAACGACCGAAAAATTGGGCAAACTTGGCAGTCTAAGTGGATCAAGGCTTGGAATCCTTTGAAATGTGACCAAAAACCGCGGCACGATGTTGGGCCTCAAAGCTCGAACTATTGAAGCGAAGAGGATTAGTTCGTCCGAGGGTGGTTAGTCGCTAGTCTTATCTTAACGTTAGGAGCTAGTTTAGGGTAGCGGACCCCACAAAGGAAAATCTTGTTAGAGTGCAATTATTCGAGTTATTCATGTGGACGGGATGCATTCTCTCTTTTTTTTTCTTCAATTTAGACAGTATTGCCTCAAATGCTGCTATTTATAAAGAAGGGAGTATATAGATAGCTCAGAGGGTCAAAGCACTTGCTGCTCGGTTTAAATGTTTTCACGTCATTTGATTTAGATCTCGGAGAAGGCGAAAGTAGTCTACAAGGCAGTGTTTGATTTATAGGCTAATATGTAGCCTATAGCCTTGCAAAGCGTGTTTTGCCAAGCGTAATCCCTCAGTAAGCATTTAGGGGTACTTGAGGCGGGGCCGCGCGTAACTTGCGGTCTGGAAAGGTTTATTCGAGCCAATTGAATTTATGTTTGAGAAAGAGGACTGGAAACAGGATGGAAAAGCCAATATCGAAAGAAAAGAAGGTGAAATAGTGGTACTTATCATACCTCATTAGAGTAAACGATAAAAAGCAACGTACTAAATGGAAAGATAATGAATCGATACTTGACCGTTATCCTCCGGTAGCCATAACAAAACAAATCATCACACATCAATCTTGTGTGAGCCGGGGTAGGTCGAGAATGCAAAAGCAGACTGGGCATCCCTTGACATAGTGACCAACTCGGCATCCAGGCACTTACATCATTACTTGCCCCTTCCCGAAGCCCTTCAATCCAGATCTTCCTCCTCCTTGCTTGAAGACAGATAGAACCGACCAGGGGGCTTACCAGGCTCCTCGTACTCAATTGTTAAGCGGGAGAGATGGCCGAGCAAGTTCTCAATCTTGATCTCACCCTTGCTGCGCGTCTGGCGACCGAGGTCATCGAGCCACTGAATCTTGTTGAGAACGTAATAGACGAGAGCAATAACAACCTCCACGCCCAGCGAAAAGCCCCAGATACGGACTACAGTCACGATATCTGTCCATCCGTCCTTGGTCTCGACATATGAGTCATGAGGGTCTGACCTCATATCCTGGTTGGTAAACCATCCGAACAAACAGAATATCGTTGCGAGGATGTCCACGCCCAGTATAGCGCACACCAGTTGAAGTGATGGCCAGGTTTCGATACCACGTGTCACGAAAATAAGCCAGTTCTCTGTAAGCGCCACTTCCAGGAATAGGACTTCTTGAATAGAGCCCCAGTTTTGGATGATGCCGCCCGATTTGAGGAACATACTTCCACGAACGACCCAGGTGCCTAAGGCAAGCAGTACGCCGAGGATTGAAGAGATGAACCAGATTTTGGGGAGTTGCCATTCCACAGGACGGAGTTCAAAGGAGGCATGGTCATATGCCACAGCGACAGTTGCGAGATCGGCAAATAAAGCCAGGAAGACGATGAGCTCAACACGGATGCTTTCGTTAAGGATAATCATCGATGTCACTAGGTAGATTTCCAAGTGCAAGCATAGCGCAATACGATACTGGATATAAGCTTTCATGCGATGGAAGATCTGTCTTGCAACTTTGATAGAGTCGATGATCGTCGACAAGCCGGGTTCGAGAAACACGATATCCGATGCTGTTTGTGCTGCTTCTGATGCACCTTCGACAGCAATACCACAGTCCGCTTTCTTGAGCGATGGAGCATCGTTCACGCCATCTCCAGTCATAGCAGTCAAATGGCCTCGTTCTTGAAGCATTTGCACCACTTGATACTTATGCTCAGGGAAAACTTCCGCAAATCCATCCGCTTTTTCGACTAGATCCCCAGCCATAACGCCGCTCAGACCACCGTGAATAAGCTTATCCGCGGTAAAGACTTTAGTGCCCAAGGCCAGCATCTTACAGGTCTCTTTCGCAATAGCAAGAGCGTCGCCCGTGAGCATCTTAACACTGATACCAAGATTCTGTGCTTCGCTGATTGTCTGAGCTGTATCTTCGCGAGGAGGATCAAACATAGGCAGCATTCCTAGAAGAATCCAGTCTTCACCCTCCTTTTGAACAGCCACTCCAAGTGAGCGGAAGCCACGATGGGCAAATTCTTGTGCTTTTTCCTTGTAGTGATCCGATGTTTCCTTCGAGCAGTTTGTTAGCGCCAGCACTGCCTTCGGGGCTCCCTTTGTGCAAGTATATCGAATTCCGTCACACGTAGCCACAGTCACAATTCGCTTAGAGACAGGGTCAAATGGTGTGAACTTTTCGGTTCTCCATCCACGGCGTAGGATTTCTCGTGCCTTGGGATACTGTCTGAGTGACAGGACGGTGACTTTGTCAATTGGGTCCAGCGATTCAACATTATGCGAAGATGCAAGCACAGCAACAGCAAACATCCAGTCCACATCCACACCTTCAGGCACGTATGGATCACGGATACTGAGTTTATTGGCTGTCAGAGTTCCGGTTTTGTCTGAGCAGAGAATATCTACACCCTAGATACTGGTTAGCACTGATCTCGTCAGCCCATGTAGGGATGTACCTACAGCCAGAGATTCGATGGCAGTCAGTTTCTGCACAATTGCTTTCTTCTTCGCTAGGTAAGCAGCACCCACGGCCATTGTCGTAGTGGTGACGACGGGAAGACCGACAGGTACACCGATAATCAGCAAGGATAGAGTGTAGTGAAGTAGTGTCTGTTGTCCGGGAGAAGCGATAGGGATGTGACGGAAAAAACCACCAATCCACGCAGCCAGAATCCATGTCATCACAAGGAATAAGAGAGACGTTCCGATATTGTCCATGACGAGTTCGAAGTGGCCTGCGCCCTTAGCAGAAGCCACCATAGTCGCAGTGCGGCCAACAAAGGAAGTTCTTGCACCAGTTTGAACTACGGCGTAGGCCTTGCCACGCTTACAGCCTGTCGTGTAGAAGATCGGATCACCCATATAACGATCCACGGCCAGAGACTCGCCCGTGATTGCAGAGTGATCCGCGGCAAGAATGGGATAACCGCGTCGACGTGTTTTCGCCTTCTGTTTTTCTGCTTTGGTGTTGCTACTGGCGTCTCCACTTCCTTCTGCGGTTCCTTTCCCCTCGGGCTCCTCCTCCTTGACCTGTTCTTCTTCATCTGACTCAGATCCACCACCGAGCATGCCTTGCGCTTGTAGTTCGTTGAACTCTTCCCAGCCGTGGGGGTCATTGAAATCACAAATTACCTTGGCATCAGCCGGGACGACTTGACCTTCGGCCACGATGATCTAAAGGGCATATGTCAGTTTGCACGGTAGACCAATGAAAAAAATCATGGAAGGACTTTGACATACCACGTCTCCTGGTACTAGTTCCCGTGCCAAAATCTCCTGTTGGGTGCCTTCTCGTATCACAATTGCTCGCATGGCAATATCACCTTTCAGACTGGCAACCACATCGGCAGCTTGCTTCTCTTGATACCAACCGACAGCGGCATTCAGACACAGGATACCAATGATGACGCCAAAATCAACCCAATCATCCAAACCAGCGGCTAACAAGACAGCCAGCTCCATGACTTTAAAAATAATCAGCAGAATCCGAGACAGTACATCCGGTAATACTAACCGTAAAGAATGGGACCGCGAAAATAGGACAGAACCTTGGCGATAGGGTTTTCCCTCTCAGACGTCAGTTCATTCCAGCCTGACCGGCGACGGCGATTGTTCACATCTTCAGTGGATAAACCATGGTGGATGTCGGTGGTGAGCCAGTCGTCTGGGAATTCAGCGGCACTATCGTCAACTCTCTTGACACGAACCCTGCGCTTTTTCCATGGCGCATACCACAGCCTTTTCTCTTCATATTGAGCTTCGTCTTCCTGGTTGGCATTCGCAGCTTGGAAGGTTGATACATACTTGACGAGCTTTCCGTACTCGTCCAGTTGAGCATAGTCATCCTTCAGTGAAGCTCTGGAAATGCGGGAACCACGTCTACCACCATCAGCTCGCTCAGCATCACCATGACTTGCCATATTGGCAGGCAGCGTGATGGAAAAGGACGGTTGATTGGATCGGGTGAGGAACAAGAGGTGGTCGAAGTGTGAGGAAATAAATCGAGGAAGCTTCCGGCAGAAGCAGGAACAAACGATACAAAGGGATATTAACTCGACCTGCCACATTAGACATCAATAATCACTCCAAAGGTAAACAGCGGAGCTGAGACTACCGGAAGTACTAGGGACGGTTTCTCAAAAGGTTACAAGATTCTTCCTTTTCCCACTCAGTCAATCATGCTGACGTCGTTGGAGCTGAATGTATTAGGTTCACCCCCTGTAGAGACAACAAATCCCTAACAGGTCCTGATACATGAGACCTTGGTTAGAACTATCCGAACGAACCTTCTTGAGGGCGGGTTGATATAACCATGGAAATGTCGCACAATGAGCCAGTGGGATGTTTAGCTAGTCATCCCCCCCATGGAAATGCGCGAAGGTTCCATCAGCCAAGACGTGGAACATTGTATAAGCTTTTGACGGAGAAACATGTACGAAACAAGAAGGTTGTACACAGTGGAGATGACGGGCACACCCTTTAGCGTAGCCGGTCTTTTCCGCCATTGGCCAGATTCACTATAGTTGATATAGCCTAGACAGAACGAACTTTGAAACTTCAATGATAGGGAAGCTCCCTCATCTTATATGGGCAAAACAATAAAGATGAACGACTTTTAATTGGTTAGATTATATCTATCTAAGCCAGTATCTGTTCATGCCACATTTATAACACGTTTTCACATTCCGCATCTCTAACGCGAGTCATTACTTTTGCTTGCCGGTAGGGATGTTGAAGAAGACGGCAGGAACACCAGGAGCAGGGGCCCGGTCCACACGGTAGAAGCCCTTGCGGTCGAATTGGATGATGTCGCCAACCTTGACCTCAGAGATGTTACCGTCGGCCAGAGCACTCACACGGAACTCGGTGTTGAAGTTGAGAACATCCTCCAGGACATCCTCCTCGGCCAGGGAGTCCTTCTTCAGCAAGTAGTCGAAGTCTACCAGCTCAACGGGGACCAAATTCTGGCCTTCAGTAGCGAGCCAGGTAACCTTCTTTTCGGTCTTCTTAACATCACCAGCCATATGGAGCTCAAGCTCGAGATCGGTGACGTTGCCGGCAGCATCAGTGGAGATCTTGCGCACAATGGCATTACCCCAGTTCATAAGAGTGATCTCCTCATCTTGCTTGAATGTCTTAGCATCAACCTGCTCCAGCACAACAGTGGAGCTGAAAGCGACAATCTTTTCGCCCACTGCGGGGTTCTTGGCGTGCTTAGCTCTCTTCTCAGTGTAAGGAGTGGCTGGGCCACCAGTGATGGTTGCCTTGACGATATCCGTGCTCTCAATCGCAGTGTGGCGAGGAGCAACGGGGTCAATATACTTCTTGTTGGTAGCCCAAATCAAAGCCCAATCGAACAAAGTAACGTTCTTGGAGGGACCCTGCTTGAGAATGAATTCCCGGAGTGCAGGAATGGTCATACCACGTCGTCGAATACCCCGGATGGTCGGGAAGCGAGGATCATCCCATCCCCAGACGACACCACTCTCAACAAGCTTAGTCAGCTTTCTCTTAGAGAGCAGAGTTCGGATGAAGTTCATGCGAGCGAAGTCCCACACTTGCACATTGCGCAGGCTCAGAGCTTCCAGCATCCACTGGTACTGCGGGTTACGATCACGGTACTCGATGGCTAAAAGGGTAAAAATTAGTAAATACGGTGAGTCAGTAAAACAAGGGAATGACATACTTCGCAGAGCGTGGGTCACACCCTCCATAGAATCAACGACAGGGCAGGCGAAGTCGTAGGTTGGGTAAATGACCCACTTAGCGCCAGTTCGGTGGTGAGGAGCAGGGTTGCAGCGGTAGATGACAGGGTCACGCATGGCCTTGTTCTTATCCTCGAAGGAGATCTTCGCGCGGATACACCAGCGCAGACCCTCGGGCGTACCCTTCTTCATCTCCTCAAAGTGCGCCAGAGACTCCTCGGGGCTGAGTTCACGACGCTGGCTGGGCAGGCCATCCCAACGCTGGGCAGCCATCGTCTCCTTGTCAGTGTCGTCTGCATACGCCTTGCCGGTCTTGATCATAGTAATGCAGTAGTCGTACACTTTTACTCGTTAGTAAGACGTCATGCGTGCAGGCCAGTGGGTATTTTCTCACGTTCATCGAAGTAGTCGGAGGTGTAAGAGACCTTGTTAGGCTTGATACCCATGAGTGCTGTTGTAGATAGTCAGCGATTTACCTTAAAACAACAATACTACTGGCAGAGTCCACTAACCAAGATCTTCCACAATAGCGTCCTGGAACTCCTGCTTCTCGTTCGAGGGATTGGTGTCATCGAAACTGAAAACAAGATAAGCATTTTGCATAGTCTCCGTTGACTTTAACGCGAAATTCATACCGGAGCAGAAGGGTACCGTTGTACTTCTCGTGAGCGAAGTCTGTATAGATTTGTTAGCACATTAAGTAAGTGGTCGTTTGGTAATATCAAACACACAGTCGTTCAACAAGGCAGCCTAGCAAAAGAGTTAGCTTTGAGGACATCTGAGTGGTACATAATAAGAAATTCGAACCTTTGCGTGACCAATGTGGAGGTATCCACTGTGATATGAATTAGTACACAAGACATGATGTGGCTTAAATAGACTCACGAGGGCTCCGGGGGGAAACGGGTAACGACACCGTTCTCAGTGTTCTTCAGAGCAATGTCGTAGTTGGCACCCTCCTTAGACTTGGCAAGCTTCTTCTCGCGAGCGACGGCATTCAGAGCCTCAACAGCGGAAATGGCCCAGGGACAAAGCTCCTCCAAGAATTTGTACCAACGGGTCAGGTTGACGAGAGTGCCGCGCTTCAAAGCCGCAGCGGCGACACGGTTGCCACGAAGGGCACCCCAGATGGCGATATCGGCGGTAGACAGGGAGTAACCGGAAACAAATGATCGCATCAGAAGGTGGGTGTCTTAATAATCTCAGTTAGCAATTCGACTTCGGTTGAGGTACCCCATGGTCCATACCGAGGCGCTGCAGGAGAGGATCCAAAGCCTTGAAGTCCAAGTTGTCGAGAGACTCCAACTGGGAGATCCATTCATTCTCCTATATAGAGTATTCATATTAGGTCTCTATGACTCAGTCGGTCCAACAGCGGGGTAGCTCACCAGCTTGGTATCCTTGCCAACCAGGAATGGGAACTGAGCACACAGCTCCTGGATGGCCGGAATAGTGCCGAAAACAGACTTTTCACCAGTCTTGAACTGGACGATAGCCTTGTCACCTTCACTGAGGAGGGCAGAGTCCTCATAAGTAATGTTGATGACTGGGGCTCTATACAGGATTTAGTATAGTAGTAATGTTGAAAGAACAATATCTATACTTACGGGCGGGCCTCGTTGATTGAGGTTGCGATAAGCACCACAGGCAGCAGTGCAGCCTGGCTGGCACGAGTGGCCACGTTCAGCTCGAATTGGTTCATGATGCACCTGTGTAGAGCAGAAATGGTGAACAGGAATTTGGAGGGGCATCAATTACTCACTATCGGCGCCGCATCGACCGGAAGTTTATTTCTCCGGGCCGATAGCTTTCCGTCAGAAAACAGTCGGAGCCTCCATTGTCGTGCCCACCCAACGACCCTTAGCAATGTCGTCCTTTGGCGCAGTCATGCCCACCGCGGCACGCGGAATTCTATCATCATGCCGTCTATCACTCCGGGAGAAGGCCATTGCCCCGGCTTTCTTAGGCATTCAACAGGTCCGAGGCTTCAAAGACCAGAAGAAGGGTAAGGGCAAGGGAAAGAGCCAGCCCAAGACAGACCGCAAGGGAGCTCGAGAGTTCCAGCAGAAGAATCTGAAGGATATGGAGCGGTTCGCGCTATGTGATGCGATGCGGTAAGTCCCTTCTAGACCCTCTATACAATTACCTATCCGTTCGGCTTTTGACATCTGTCTCCGCAACAGCTTTATCCGGGCAACTGAAGTTGGTCGCGAGCCTACGGTTTCGAAATACGAAATTCACATCCGTCTTCGAACAAGAAAAGATGGCCCTGTCATCCGAAACATGATCCGATTCCCTCACGCCGTTCAAACCGAATCCCGAATCTGTGTCATTTGTCCTCCCGGATCAAAGCAGGCAAAGGAGGCCCTTGCTGCGGGTGCTGTCCTTGTTGGAGAGGATGAGGTGTTCGAGGCTGTCAAGGCAGGAAAGATTGAGTTTGACCGGTGTCTTGCTCACCCAGACAGTTTGCCGGCGCTGAACAAGGCCGCACTGGGACGAATCCTCGGTCCCCGTGGTCTTATGCCTAGCGTGAAGACTGGTACCGTGGTTGATGATGTCGCATCTCGTGTTGAGATGCTTCGCGGTGGTACCGTCTACCGTGAGCGTGACGCTGTTATTCGTCTTCCCATTGGGCAATTGGGATTCTCGCCTGAGCAGTTGCGGGACAACCTGCGCACAACGATTGAGCAGGTCAAGAAGGATGCTGCTGCGCTCAATGACCGTGTCAACAAGGAGGTCTACGAAGTGGTAAGGCGACTTCATTTCCTCGGCCCCTGGACCCCCAGCTAATGTTCGCAATAGGTTCTGAGCTCAACCCACGGCCCCGGCTTCAGCCTGAACGGAGAGTTCACAACCGATGACTCTCCTCCAACCTCTGCCTTGACTGGCGTGTAAAATACCATTTGTCTTATATTCGCTTGGCGTGTACAAATTATTGTTTTGTTTTATTAGGAAAGGACATGGTGTATCATGGTATCATTTCTGTTCAATAGAAGACTCGCAAAACCGAACCTGAACTCCACGCTATGCAACTCCAGCTTATATCCAACTATTAGCGCGTTGCGGATATTATATTTTTAGGTTCTTCAGCGCGGCCACGGCACTGACATCCTCGCCCATCAAATCGTAGAGATGCAAGACAGCCATGGTTCTTGCATCTCGCTTATCACCAACATGACTGGCCTGTTCCAAGGCAGTCTTCAAATCTAGTAGCACTGTAGCCTTGATCTTTGACACCCTTGGCTGTTGAGCGAGCAGAAATGGGTGGTCCTTGCCAACTGCCGTAGCGATGGATGTCAGGAAGACATATTTCTGGACATGTCGCTCCAGTCGCTTAAGTGGTACGAGAGCGGTGCCATCTTCCAGCTCCTCGTCATCACTTTCCTCGCTGCCATTGTCATATAGATCGGATTCCGCATCCGATTCGTCATTGATCGGAGTTCCATGCAAAGATGACTTGTCCTCAATCATTAACAGGTGTTCCAATTCCTCGACTCGGTCCGCATAGTCCAGTAGATTCTTGCCGACGTCCGCAAGTGACCGCAGTTGCCGCTTCTCGTTCAATAGTCCCTCCACCTCTCGGCGTCGCTCTTCTACTTTGTCACGAATTGACTGTACATCTCGCCGGAAAGATAGCAGGCCCACTTTGACTCCCTCGACCTTCTCCTCGCCTCCGCGCAATGCAGTGCCTAGGGATAGGAAGTCTTGGTAGTTCTCGTTGACCAGATCCAATAGCTCCTTGTTGAGCAATTGTTCCAAGCTCCGCAATTCCTGTCGTAGATCTTCAAGACTCTGATGTCGATTTGTTAAGGATGATAGGAAGGTAGTCGGGTCGAAATCAGGGGCAAGGAATGAAGCCCGGGATAACGGTTCGGGGAAGGGCAAGGAGGACGAATCCTCATCAAAATCCGAGCCAGACTCATCGGAGTCACCGAACTGAAGGGAGTTAGTCAATGATTCATCAATTCAAGTAAGGAGATAAGATTACCTTGAATCGATTCATGGCGTTGGCAGGGTCAGGTAGAGAGCGGTACCCGAAGCTGTTTTAGTGGTTGGAAGCTCGAAGTCCAACCATGTCATGTCTTGGCGTCTGTTTGGGTAGCGATTTCCGTTGTCATACGAAAGATCATTTTTAACCTCTTTCCTTTTACAACTTTGAGAATGCACTCTCCGAATCATCCGCTCAGACACTGCCAACGCATCAAAAGTATATGCAACTTGGATGCACCTCTCCTCGTGAGTGTATTGTAGACGTGTACTTCCTGTACTTCCCCCCACCCTACAAACCACTACAAAGCGGGGTTTCCCTCGGTCTACGCTGGCTTGCATTGAAAGCGTGACTCGGTACTCTAGATTGGCTCAGTATGGACTCTGAAACATTGTCCCCTCGCTGGGACAATCCTCGGCTGTCATCTTCTCCTTTCTCGCGGCCGGGATGGTCCCGATTATCTCCATCTTATGCACCGCCAACCAGCGATGCGGGTCCCTCACACCACGCGGATTGGCGTCACTATGAATATGCATTAGACGAGTCAGATAGATCTTACAGAACAAGCGCCCTGCATCAAAATCACAGTTCACGGCCTTTGTCCCGACGAGACAGGTCTGTCAACCCTGCTACGTATAGACAGCCGCACTCTGTACCATCACAGCCTGTTCTTGTCAGAGCATATTCCGGCAATGCGGAGGGTTCAACTGCAAGGTCGTCTAATATGTCTTCGCGCCGACTGTTCCCGTTTACGGGTTCAAAGAGTTCGGCCCACTCTCGCCCACCGGGCCCGCCTCTCCCCTCGGACAAAGATTTCAGTATCGAAAGTATACTGCAGGCTATCGAGCCCGATATCCGTGGGACCCTAGATTCCATTGCCGATATATGTGGACGAAGCAAGCTTAGTCTTGCTAATGAATATGGTAGCCATATTGCACCCCTCGGTGAAATCCGAGCACCCCCAAGTGGCCTGGTGCCCGTCGAAGAAGTTAGCACGAGTGAAGAACGGCGTGATGAAGGCGTCGTGATATTTGATGATGATCTTAACATCATGGAAGCTGGTCGTGACACGAATCCTTTTTCCTTCTACCGATATCTTGAGAATCTGCGGCAAGCTGCATCGGCGTTGGAGCGAAATGGAGATCCTGGTCCGCCAGGATTGGCACAGCCGACCCCTGCACGACCTACGGCTCCAGATAATTCCGCTATCGTAACGGAGGCGGATGCGATAAATCTGCCAAATACTCGAGAATTTGTTTCAAGACCGAAGCACTCGGGTCGAGACCTACTGGCTAAGCACGTCACCTCGGAGGATGAGTCTGCGCCACAAGACATTGTGACCCATGCTGTCGTCTCCGAGGTGCATCTGGATGCCCAGGCAGACGAAGGACATGCGGTTGGTGATATTGGTGGTCCTACTATGAGTTCTGCCTCTAGACACCCAAATCAGACGTGGCAAGCACCTGATTTTATACGCTCTCTACTTGGCTGGCAGCGCTGGACTGCACGGGTAGCTGGACCAGAGAATCAGCCTGCTTTACAATCAGCTGAGAGTCGTTTACGAGCTATGTTACAACAAGCAGCGGGTGACAGAACTATTTCTTCGTTGCCGTAGGCGCAGTTCTGCCGAACCTTTTCAATAACGAATTATGATGAATGATAATGAGGGTTCCTGCGATGACCATCAACTACTAGCATGTACTGTTTACTTTTCTGACTGTGTCATGTTACTCATTCAATTTTATTCCTTGTATTGAGTCTCATCTTAACGTTATGTTTAAGAGCTAACCACCTGTACAAACGCCATGATCAATGCACCCTTGGATCTAATCCAGATACCGCTGGAAACGAAAATCAACGAGAAAATCAACATCAAGTCGCGGCCTGCTCCAAACCTCCAACGATGGTCTTCGCAAACTCCTTAAAGCGGGGATACGACCATCCATCCTGATACCTCTCCACAAGCGGCCTATCATCCTGCTCAGCAGTCTCAACCTGTAGCTTCTCCGCCCCATCCTCACCCTCCATCTCATCATCCTCATCATCACTAACCTCCATCTTCCCTTCAACCAACTCCCCAAACTTAACATCAACCGGCACTTTTCCCAAAAACGGAATCCCAAGCTGCTGCGCCATGACCTCTCCACCTCCACTCGAGAACAAATTACTCACCTCCCCACAACACGGACAAGCGTATCCCGACATATTCTCAATAACCCCAAGAATAGGAATATTAGTCTTAACACAGAAATTCGCCTCCTTGCGCACATCCGACGTCGCAACAGCCTGCGGCGTAGTAACAAGCACAGCACCCGCCAATCTAGGCAAATGATTCTGCGCCGCGAGTACCGCATCCGCCGTCGATAGTGTAAGTAATTGTTCCGCAAGCGCGATATGCTCATCACTCGTGCCGGGCGGTGTATCAATAAGCAAGTAATCCGTCGTACCCCAGGAGACATCAGAAAGGAATTGGCGAATCATGGCTGTTTTCTTAGGACCGCGCCAGATTACAGCGTCGCCGCGGTCTCGGAGGAGGAAGCCTAGGGACATGCAGTGGAGGGAGCCGCGAGGGGATGGAGAAGAGGTGGAGTCTTGGGTGGAGATTGTGTTGTGGACTGGGACTGGGAGCCAGCCTGCGGGGGATTGGGTGATCTTTGCATCTTCGAGGCCGACTAGGCGGGGGATTGAGGGGCCTGTTAGGTCGATGTCGAGGATGCCGACGGATTTGCCTTGTAGGGAGAGAGCGAGGGCCAGTTGGAGGGTGACGGAGGATTTTCCGACACCTCCTTTGCCGGAGAGGACCTGTGGTAGAGTTTTGTTAGCGATTGGACTGGTAGTCTTTCGATCTTTGGCTTCTTGTGCACACTTGCGGCGTTATCGATAAGGCGTGAGGGGCAACGGTTTTTTTCTTTCTCTTGCTTTGCGCAAAGGTGATTGCTGGGCTTTAAGAGGGAGCGCATTGTGTGTTTGTAGAGGACTTACCAGGACTATGTTCTTGACCCCGTCGAGAGACATCTTTTGTGTAGTGAAGATGAAGTAGCAAGAATGACTTCAGAGGGAAGATGAGTGGGGGTCCGAAGGTCGGATGCTTATCAATCTAGCTCTGAGTCTCTGACTAAAAGCAAAGCCATGGATGGATGCTTAGTTATTGAGCAATATATGGATTATATAATTTTTCTGTCTCCTTCATCTTTGCCTTTACATAGTCAGAAGGCAGTGGCTCTTATGTGTGGTAAATCATGAATGTAGAAAATCTACTTCCCCGCCAACAATCATTTTCAAGATCCACTAAGCTAAGCAAAATTAATGTATCACTCTATTTCCATTTCTGAACAACAACACCACCGCGCTTGAACTCGGGTAGAGCGCCGAGAGTTACCTCCCAGTCGTTCAGCTCTTTATTGGGGAATGTAGTCATCAGTACCCATGCGCGGTTACGGCCATCTGGTGTGGAGGCAGCGACGAATGCGTAGACGTCACCAATGGTAGCACTGGTATTGAAGCGGGAAGTCATACGAGTGCCATCCCCCAGTCGGATTTGGAGGGTCACGCTTGGTTGTGACTCGTCCACATCATGCCTTGGGGGGTAGTCACTAGAAGTGGGAGCTTTAGGCTCGGCGGGTGGGGGAGTAGACACTGGGATACCCGGGGTTGGGCTGCCGAGGCGCTGACCGGATCCAGAGAAGGGCTTGTACTTGGGCTTGGGCTTCACGTATTTCTCTTCGTGCTGTTTGAGCTCCACATCCACTTCCTGCCCAGCTTGCACATTCATGATCCCCAGCGGGGCACGACCCTGCCGAATGCCATCCAAGATCTCGGCATTGCGTGGGTCGTCCGATCGGTACAACTCGCCGTCATCGACTGAGAATCCATCGGACCAGAAGTGAAGAGTTCGTTGAACACGCTGAGGTCGTTGCGGGGGTGGGGCAGTAAGATCTTCAATTACGCGGCTGGGTGCCTCATCACCACCAAGAGTACGGGCGGTGCCAGTGAAATGGGATGGGCGTAACTCGGGTTCATCTGACTGAGGGGGCGGCGCGGCTCTGTTCACCGGTACATCAGTATCAAGAGTTATGCGCCGTAACCAGGTAATCTAGCAGACCTACCTCCGAGCCTTTTCCAGGATCTTCTTTTTCAGATCATCCGGGTTCTGCACAGCTAAACCAGACTTCTCTCCTCCGGCAAAGAAGTCTTGGTCTACCGAGCCATCGTCTTCTGAAGAATCGCCGCCACTTGTAGAAGCAATGTCTCCAAATGTCGCAAATTTCTTTTTGGGCGCTGCGCGCTTGGTAGCTGACGACTCGGCCGGAGCAGAAGATGTCGGGACAGCAGCACCCCCTAGCGATCGCCCCCCTGATGCTGTTCGAGTGGACTCTTCAGTTGGATTCATATCCTGCAGAGCCTCATCTTGCTCTTGGAAGAACTCGGCCACGGCGAGTTCGATGTCCCCGTTGTTGTTACCAAGGTATTCCACAGCCTGTCAAATCAAAACTCAACATCAGTAACCATAAGCTACTCCGAGTCCGGGTTTGGAGATTCAATACGTACCTCTGAGGCCGGGGCACCTGTCATGGCACAGAACTGAGCCACGATCTCATCCTGCTCTTTGGGGTAGTGGTCCATCTTGGCGCTTAACAGACGGTCTGGAATGGCCGTTGTAGGGATGATGAATATTAGTACGGTAGGAGGTCGAGTGAGGGTAATTCGGAGGTAGATTATGAGAAGACGCGTAAAATCAAATGACAAGCTAAGTTGTAGTAGCCAGCTAAACACCGCGGACAGTACGTCACTTGGCAATTGGTCAGCGGGACGAGATCTTCCGCCTTGAACACCTGAGGCCGAGATGGATCTATATAAACGACCTTATATGTAAGATATGGGTATTTCCGATGAAGAAAATGCCAAGGCAAGACTTTTCTTAGACAACATGTTATTAAGGAAGTATCCTTATATCATAACTTCAAATATTGCTTTCGTTTTGACAAACTGTCTTCCTAGTCATCTAATGTTTGGCTGACATAATCCACACTCGCAGTCATCCCGTGCCGAGCTGTCGGCCGATTTCCATGCAAACCCCCCCCCCCCAATTGTGATTCTTACTTGTCCCCATCTCCCTCTCACTCCAATCCATAATCAGTCATGGCATCTGATCCAACAGGCTCACGAGGTGAGCTTTATGATTCCACCGTGACCGTTCCCTCCGACTCGGAAAACTACTCAGCCAACCATGAGCTGTCTTCCTCTACTTCGAGCTCTCCTATGATCCTCTATACTCCTCCATCTATTTGGGGTGTCCTTCGCGGTGCAGCGATCAATCTATTTTTACCATTCGTGAATGGTCTGATGCTTGGGTTTGGCGAGCTCTTCGCCCATGAGGCGGCCTTCCGTCTGGGATGGTCAAACACCAAGGTAGGACTAGAGTTAACCCTATACCTTCATGAATGATATTGACCCATATGCTTTTTCAGATCTTCCCAACATACCGCAGATCTCATCCTGTTGGCCCTGGAATCGAAATTCGAGAGCTTCCTTCAGACCGGAGGCGAACCTACTCCGGTTTGAAGGATACGACTGCTCTCGAATAAATCCAGCGAATCTCCCTCTCTCATCCAACTCTCATTGTTAGAATGCGCTCTATCATCAATTAAAAATACCAGCATTTACTTGGAACCCAAAAATGGGAAATGTTCGATTGGAGTATTTCCTGTATCTAGGCGTTGCCTTGATATAGCACATGTACATAGAATCTCGTTTAGCGGAGTCTGGCGCCCTAGGAACTTTCTTATTACCTGCTATCAGAACCTTGAATTGTAATACTATTTACCTATGACCATTCTGTTCACTTTGCATCTACTCAACCCGGAACTCGGGCCATGTTTACTGACCGCTCTCCGCCCGGCAGAAAAGTCTCCCCGGGATTAGTCGCAGGAGGTTTCTCTTTGTACGTCTCACTCACTCCGTCCACCTATTCTCTACCACAATGATGGGTGCTACTGGTTTCAAAGGGGCCAGTATGGCCACTGCCATTGCTCGGCAAAGGCTCACTGCTTTCCCTCGGTCTTCTCGATTAGTATGTCGTCCCAATCACCAACTAATACACATCGGAGATTGACTGATCCGCCGCAGATGTCTACTTTCCGTACCCAGCGCGTGCGCCTGCCCGGAACGTCGGCTCAATTGATTCCAGGGTTCTCCGGTAATGCGTCCCGATGGGCAACACCGGCGATCGCTGGCCCGGCCGCTATCCGATTCAACTCTTCCCTCTCCGATCCCGCCGCGCCGGGCCAATTAACCGCTATCGACGACCTCTCTTCGATCGATATTGCGAGCCTCCCCGAGCAAATTGGATACCTGAAGACTCTTGGATTGGATTATGGTTGGGGAATCACATCGATCATGCAGTGGTCCCTTGAACACATTCACATGTACACCGGCCTGCCCTGGTGGGCCAGTATCGTCGGCTTGGGTCTTATGGTTCGTTTGGCGCTCTTGAAGCCGATGCTTGATGCCTCCCATAATGGAGCTAAGCTCAACAACCTCAAGTCCGTGACGAACCCAGTTCGGCAAAAAATGATGAGGGCCGCGCAAGCGGGTGATAACACAGAAGTCCAGCGGTGCAGAGCTGAGCTCTCGCAGATAAATCGCGACAACGGTATTAAACTATACAAGAGCTTCGTTCCTATGCTCCAGATCCCGCTGGGTTTTGCAATGTTTCGTATTATCCGAGGCATGACCACTCTCCCCGTGCCGGCCTTGTTAAATGAGCATGTTCTCTGGATGACCGACCTGACTGTGGCCGACCCCTTCTTGATTCTTCCTGCCATCAGTTCATTCTGCTTGTATCTTACTTTCAAGGTTTGTCAATCTTCTGCCCAGTCTTGACCATATCAGCCATTAACAATGCCCGTCACAGAAAGGAGGTGAGGTTGGTATGGCTGAGCTCATGAAAGGCCCCGCAGGCAAAGGCCTTCTCATTGGTCTCCCAGTCCTTACCATGGCTTTCACAGCTTTCATGCCCAGTGCTCTCCAGCTGTACTTTGCTGCTACAGGTGTCTGGGCTTGTGTTCAAGCCCACATTGTGAACAACCCCACATTCCGCCGCATGGCCCATATGGAAACCTTCCAAAACGTTCAGGAAACTAAGGCCGCGGAGGACAGTTTGTCGCAGCTAACTTTGCGTCTTCAACAAGAACAGCAGAAAAGGCTCCGTGAATTGCAGGCACAAGACGGCGAAGTTGATGCCTCTAAGATTAGCGCCATTGACAGATGGATGAAGGGTGGCAAGGATTATTTCAAGGCACTCCGCGAGCAAATCTCCAAGGCCGCGAACACCTCTCGTGGACCGGATACGAACGCTGATGGCTCCCCTGCGGCGCCACCACGCCTTACCGAGGCCCAGCGCAAGAGAGCGACAAAGGAAGAGGAGGAACAAGCCGCATGGGAGGCGGAGGAGCGCGAGCGCCGTAATGAGGAGCGTCGCTTAGCGCATAAGCGGGCGCTAGAGAACGATAGGGAGCGTGCGAAGAGTTCGCTGCGGAGACATCAGGAGAAGGCACGACGGAACTGATGTTGAATATGTATAAACTGTAAAATATGGCGCTTTGCTTCGCATTTTCATTCTGGTGTACTATGTACTACAAGTTTAGAATTTATTTTTATCTTATTGATATGCGCAGCTCTAATGCAGTATTTAAGCCGTGTATTACGCATAGGTCAAACGTGTATCTGATAGGTACTATGTAATCTAATCGTCTTATCTTATATCAAGGTTCACCTGCCCAGGTGGCCTTCGTACACATACTCCTTTCCAACCAGCAATCTACAACTCATGCGGTTTGCATGGGAATGGAAGTCGCAGACAAAGGCAAACTCTCCTTCTCACTCTCTTCCACAAAAACAGCCTTTTCCAACTTGGCTGTCATCTTCGCGCAAAAAGTATCCACATACGCCGTCCAAGCTGCCGCACAAGCATAAACAAGTCCAATCCAAACGGGAATACTAACACCAACCACCCACGGCGACCTTAACGGTAACCAGTCATCCCTAACATCATCCGTGCCGGGCTCAGGGCCCTTCCATGGCTGTCCAGTAATACCATATAACATCCAACAAAGCACAACGCGCAACATCGTTCCGTGGATGAGGTATACGGCGAAACTCTGCTTGCCCAGCCAGAGTAGGACGCGGTTTGCCAGGAAGTCTTTTGTAGATGGGGAAAGGTATATTGCCAGGATGATCATATCGATTCCAATGGCTGTGTAGCGTTTGCCGATATTGACATCAGGAGGGAAGATGTATGTTGCTGCGTTGAGCATGACGTTCGACCAGGTTGCCCATTCCGGATGTTCGCCTGGGTATGAGGCAATCAAGAGCCCCAAGATCGCGAGAGGAAAAGTGATAAGTTTGCGAATGTAGCGATGTGTTTGTACCCAGTTTTTGAGAGTTGTGTTATAGGAGAGATCGCTAAGAAGCATACCATATACAGCCTGCATTTGGAAGGTTTCTATATAACCGATTTTCGTCAGCTTCCACATTCGCCCTCGCAAGTTTGAACGTTTGAATGAGCACTCACCAGTGTTCTTCGCCGCATCCTGATGAAAATAAAGCATCATCCCAACATAAATCATCATCCTCCAACGACAGCGCACAAAAATTGTCGCAACAATCAATATATAAATCAGCATTGAAGCCTTAAGCAACGGCAAAAGAGCCCACTGATGATCATCATAAGCCATAACACCCGTCGTCCACGTCGACAAGAAGTTCCCTCCCAATCTCAAAAGCTCTTTCCAAAATGAATCCTCCAATTCCGGCGACGCATACCGACACCACCAGCAATCCGACCGATTCGCAACAACAAACCCACCAAACTGCGCAACAATCCACGAGATCACCAACGCAATAGTAGCGGGAAAGATAAGACGCGGAGGCCGTCTAAATGCACTCTTCCCAACCGTGAATAATGCAGCGCCTTTATCTCCAGACCGTGATTGTTTGAGTGGTTTCAAGGCGCAGACGTAACCGGTCAAGAAGGCAAAGATCGTGACGCCTATTCGGCCTTGCCAGGGAATTCGGAAAATGGGTTGTTGAAGGAGTCGGGGTGGTGTATCTGCTGTATCCCTTGGGGAGAAGAGTTTGTAGTCCCATGCGCGAGCTAAATGGGTTAGAACTACCAGGAAAGAGGCGATTCCTCGTAAACCCTGAAAAGATAAGTTTTGGTGTCTGTGGATGGGTTTTTTGAGATTACTTACATCAATCCATTTGACACTTTTTCGTGGATCGCCTTTTGTGGAGGAATCGCCTGGATTCCATAGGGATGAGGCGATATTGTCTCTTAAACGAGTGTATTGGTATTTTGAATGAAATAACGGCATGATGTGTATAGGAAGTGTGAGAGAGTGAGAAAAGCAAGAGTGGAATCTAAGTGAGAGTAGTAGTAAAAAGTGTGAATAGATCAAGATATCTGATCTCCATAGAAATGGACGCTACACATCCAGGGCAGCGAGGACTAAAGAATGACTGACAGAATGACCAAAGAAAGGAAAGAAAAGTCATATCATAACTACAAATTCGCCAAGAAAGGGGCATGAAACCATCACTCCTGACGTGGCAAAGAGGTAATTTAGTCTATACGAAGGCTTAATGGCGCCACATCCCTTCGAGTGTTTTGGCTTAGGAATTGGAGACACTAAGCCCCAACGTGGTTACTCTACATTGTTGATCAAGACAATAACACACATCATTGGTATGGAGGAGTCGATTGTTATGCAGGGAAAGGGGATTGGAGAGACTATGTATGCCCTTGCAGCAGCAAAACACTGCCTTGGCGTGCTATAGATTATCAATTTCAATGCGAAGGTTTTCTATTGAATAATATAGAGTCTTTAGTTGACTGCACCTGATCAGTATATGGATGTCCATCTAGAATTTATACGTGTCTGCTACCTAGTATGTTATACCTATACCGATGTTTCCGATGTTTGTATGCATATATTTATCGAATAGGCGTCGTTACATCCCGCCAAGAATCTCCCTCCTAGATCCACAGGCTCACCTGATGAACGGAATGCTCGTTCTAAGATTAGAATTAAAACTGGCCATGGCCTGAGTAACTTGAGTACATAGGATTGAACTTCGAAGCAATGCCTTTGTAAGTGTGCATATGAATAAGGAACATTTGAACGCCAAAAACACCATGGTATCGGTTTTCTAGCCCGTAAAACATAAAACAGATTCCCCTGGAATGCGAAAGTTCGCAGCCAAATGGTAAAATGAACCCCGATGCGCCGCGCAATGAATAAAATAAGAAGATCTTAGCGGAATAATCTGCGTCCGCCAACGCTGCCGGAACTCCATGTAAATGCACCCTTGACCCCTAGATTATCCATACTCATTCCCGAGAAACCAACACCGCCACCTTCACCATTTCGCTTCGCCCGTCGCTGAGCTTCCCGCAAGTGCGAGGGCAAAAGCTGACCTCGGTGTGGGTTGGGCGGTGGGCGGAATTCACGTCGCGGGCGCAAAGGCACCGGAGAAGAGTTGGAGTTGAGATTATAACCGTATTTGGGGGAAGACTCTGTCTTAATGCCATTTCCTAGGCCCGATGACGGGCCAGGTGTACCAGATGGTGTTGATGTTGTTGATTTGGCCATTGCTTCGGCTTGTGCTTGTGCTTTGGCCTGTGCAGCTTGCTCCGCAGCGGCTTCTTCGGCATCAAAGGCAGCACGCGTCGCTTGATCATGTGCCTCGGCCCATTCGGCCTGAACGGTTCGCGCTTTTTCAATTATCTCACCGGCGAAGACCTTGGTGAAACCATTAACCGATGTGACCACACTGGCCGGGACGGACTGGGAGAGTGCATGGTTGACAATTCGACGAAGGGATTCCTTGCGCAGCTTTGCGCGCTTAAATAGATCATATCGCTCGGATTGGAGAGGATTGAAGGCGTCCACCAAGATCCTGTATGGTAACACAAGGTCAGTAACCATAAACCACCAGTAGTTCCGGAAGAACAAGACATACGCAAGATTCTTTTTTTCGGCCTCCGTATCTGTAGCGCCTTCTTCACGACCCAGAAGCTCCCCCTCATCATCATCGTCATCATAATCATCTCCATCGTCAGCTGCTCGCCCACCACCCATTCCTCCCCGTACTGAGCCCTCCGCATCTGCAGACCCAAATCGACCAGCATCGCCAGTTCGTGTGCTCATCGCATCATCCCGCTCACGTTCCTTATCAGCCTTGCTCTTCCGCCCGCGCTTTTTGCCACGCGCCGCATTGGCGAAAACTCCATCCACGCTTGTCCCGCCCAGACTCCCAGTGAAACTGCCTGTGACACTACCGGCATCACTAGTACCGGCGAAACTGCGCTCTGTTGGTTCGAGATTTGCTGGGAAAGAAGTCTGGCGAAGTGGGTGCATGCGCTGTTTCTTGCCAATAGGTTGGGAAGTGGTGGATGAGATGGAGGGGCGTTTGAGAGAGGTAGTTGGAGTTTGGTAAGGTGGTGGTGACGACATTTTGAAGCTATTGACAGGGGATCTAATGGATTCGTCGAAATGAATGTAAGATGACTGAATTGATCCAGTCTGGCGCAATAGGGACAGAATCCGAAGTGATGCGCCCGGAAATGGAATTGTTCGATGGGCGTTAAGAAACTCGCGCCTTTCAGTTTATCGGGAGATGCCATTGCTCTAACTCAATATGTCGGTCTATACCGCTTACCTTTTTCGGAATAGTTCCAATATCTTGTTAACCAATCAGCTTACGATAGGTATACATGTAATGAGTCCTTAACTTTATTTTCATTTTTCTTGAATCCACTCAGGCATTGCTATTGATGAGATCATATATCGAAAGCCTTCTGGGGAAATTCTCGGTACAAGGTCATCTGATCATCATCTAGATCGTCCCAATCAAGCCTGCGAGCATGTAAATTTTGGTGATAGCTCTGAACAACGAATTGGTTTGACTGGCGGAAGACGTCCTGCAAGATCTCGATAGGAAACATGTCCAAAGACGGAGGTATGGATGCCGTTTTGTCGTGTGGGGTTTTTTCCTTTGATACAACGGTGAAAGAGGTTGAGAACCTTAGAAAATCGCTTCCAACAGTCATGAACCATGGCATATGTACAGTACAGTCGCTCATAGGGACCAAAGGGACAAAACCTTTCATCGATGCAGCTGGGCCTATTATATAAAATATTTATGAAGCGAGTTCTCCCCTGCCAATGCTCTCGCTACCATTCATCAATGATGTCGCAGAATTCTTCAGGATATGGTCCTGAAAGAGGGGATATGGTCCTGAAAGAGGAACATCCGGATCACGAAGCATTGGGTAACAATATGAGGGCGAGTCTCCTCTAATAAGAGTGAGCCGACTTAGCAACGTTCAGCTCAGTGACATATAACACACATGCATAGATGTTGGTTTTGTCTCTGCAATTTTCAGTACCCGCTCCTGAGGATTGAGTGTAGCTGCTTTGGAAGCTATCACAGGGATCGCTCCGCGTAGGATAGGGATTAGCTTCATCCGTCCAAATAGGTGCACATGAAGGGTCTGGAAGTGTTTTGAGCAAGTTGGAGGTACATGTATATGTATCACCTGCATCCAAAATGTGAGAATTGCCTCTTTTGGAGTTCTATACATAGATCAATTTGAAGAGGCTCTCAATTAATCTCCAGGGCGAAGTATCTATGGATGTGAGAGTCAATGGACGGGTCGAAATGCAGAAAAATATACGCGGTAGCATTGGACACTGGGCATGGAAATGAACATAAGAATTTCTGAATACATCGAAGAGGAGATAATGGAATAGAGAGGTATGTAGGTGGTTGATTCCAAGGTTAATTGGCGGTTGAAGTTGTTCTAAGAAATTTCTTACTTAAATAGTTAATTAGGCAATATGGCTTAGGTCATCTCAATATAGATGAACAGCCCCGTTACTTATATCTGAGTCTCGCAGAAGAAAACGGCCCCCAATTCCTAATGCTCATATTCACTCATCTCACATTGCTTTCGGATTTTGCTACCAACTCTATCTGAGATGGTTGATCTACCATTCTCTCTAGTCTGGTGCCTTGTTTGAGCCCCTCCAGCAACGGGCCATCATATTCTGACTCCTCCAGTTAACCGTACAAGGCGCACGGACAAGCCTCGCCATGGCTCACTTCCTGCTGACCGATGCTTTGAGACTGGCTATACTAGTCGAGCACTGACCATATTAAGATTCCTATCAATTGGCTATAGATCTGTTCCAAGCCTCAGACCCACTTAAACTCTTAGGAAATGTCTTGGCTGCTAGTTTGGGCTTAGCATCAACGCAACATGAACAACAGGGGAAAATACTCAAGTACTTCCTGCGTACATACCAATTTAACACCAATTGACGTCCGGGTACTCTCCTCTCGCTTACACGTCTTTGACCCGAATCCTATTACCCACTTGGGTCATTACTTATAGCGGGACCAGTCCGGTGGAGATGGGAAAAAATCCGGGAAATGATGGCTTGGCTCTCAGCTTCCAAGGCCGCACAGTTGCAACCGTTCCTGGTTGGCCAATATCATAGTAAAGGCACCACTCTGGTCTCCATTATGAGGATATCCCCTTGTGGAGAATGCGATATTTTCGCAAATTGCTATGGGCTGGACGGATACAAAGTAGGGTCATATCTACCGTCGACTTCCATTTATCATTCTCACATTTCGTGGGCCTGACCGGGAAAAGCGACTCTATCAGTTCGATATTTTCTTTACTTGGGTTTTACTTCTCATCGATTACGAAATTGCTCACTATTGGATAGCTTCAAAGCAAACTAATTTCTACCGTTCGACAAGTCGCGCACAAGATTTGAAGCTTGAGACCTGAAAGTAGCAGCCATATAGTTGCCATCTTGATCCCGTCTGCGCCATCGATTCTATACCTTGCCTTGCGACTTGATTATCCAGTGCACCTAAAATCCGCTTTTCCATTGCGCCAATTTGCCCACGCGAAGTACTACATCTCTCCATCCCTCACGCCCAGTACTATATATCCTTTGCACCAATCACTTACTTTGCCACGCGACTCAATCCTCAAACTGTCCCTTTGCGATATTAAAATTCATCCACCATGCCAAGCACTAATTGGAGAGATTTACTGGCTAATCGAGATCGGCGACAATTCCCCGAGGTGGTTGTGCCTCTTGAGAGTATTCCAATGAAAACAAAGACCGATGCAAATGACTGCGAGACTAAAGACGTGGCCTCTATCCAAGAAAAGGGCGCCACTGCTGGCCACGGATATACTACGCTGACTCTAGAGGTTCTTCGGGCTGAGATTTTATCCGAGGTGGCTGCTTCAGGTCGCGATACTGCTTATGATCGTAAGTTCAATGTTGCAGTGAACTTGGATGCAATAGCAAATTGTCATTTTGCGATCTTGGATTTGCGTGTATTAATATGTGCTTGATGTAGGCAAAGCAAAGGTCATCAACAGAGCTATTCAGGATATTGGCATGGGCCGGTATCAATGGGGTCTGTTTGTCTTGTGTGGATTCGGCTGGATCGCTGATAAGTAAGCACATCGCTTTGAAATGTATAACTAAGAGCTTTGCTAATCATTGTTTGGTAAAGCCTGTGGCTACAGGTATGAACCACAATTGAATTAATACCAGGGGTAACGACTAACGCCATTAGGGAGTTGCACTGACACTTACCCCGATCGCCGATGAATTTGGCATCACTGGAAACAATTCTCGATTCGCTACATGTGCCCTCTATGTTGGTCTAATCATCGGTGCTTCATTCTGGGGTATTGCTTCTGATGCTATTGGTCGCCGCCCTGCTTTCAACATGACACTGTGTATCTGTGGTGCATTTGGCCTTGCTGCAGGTGGTGCACCCAACTGGATTGGGTAGGCTTCTTCAGAAACCCGGAATATATCCATCTCGCTAACACTAGATCCAGACTTTGTGCCTTATATGCCTGTCTAGGTCTTGGCGTTGGTGGCAATCTCCCGGTTGACGCTGCAGTCTTCCTCGAGTGTTTACCGCCAAATTCGGCCAGTATCCTGACTGGCTTAGCTACCTGGTGGTCTGTTGGCACGTTAATCTCCAGGTGAGTGTCAAGAATGATGAAATGGTCATAGCAGAACTAATCCCATCACAGTATGCTAGCCTGGGCTTTTATTCCCAATTTCTCTTGCGCAAGTGCTGCTACCTGTACCAAGGCAGATAATTGGGGTTGGAGATACCTAGTCCTCTCCCTAGGCGCCATTACATTCGCCATGTTTCTTTGCCGTTTCCTTCTATTCACCCTCTACGAATCTCCCAAGTTCCTAGTATCCCGCGGCCGTCAAGACGAAGCCGTCGCCGCAGTCCACGGAATCGCCTATAAAAACAAAACCACAACATGGCTCACAGTGGAGATCTTAAACGAGATCGGAGGCCACCCCGAAAAAGACGAGAAGCAATCACTATCCACCATTGATATCATCAAACGTTCCCTAGAAAGATTCTCCGTCCAACAAGTCGCCCCGCTATTCGCAACAAAACGACTTGGAATATCCAGTACGCACATCAGATTCACACCCATACTCCCCCTCTAATCATTCAAACTAATCAATACTACTATAGCCATCTTAATCTGGTTCTGCTGGATCTGTATCGGGTTAGGCTACACTCTATTCAACGCCTTCCTCCCCCAGTACCTAAGCGCAAACTCTTCCACCTACATAACATACCGCAACTACGCCATAACAGCCGTCTGCGGAATCCCAGGCCCCCTCTTTGCATGGATCCTAGTCGACAACCCCTACCTTGGCCGCAAGGGCACGATGGCAGGCTCAACTGTTATAACGGGCGTCCTTCTATTCTGCTTCACGGCATCCAAGGATCCAAATGTCCAGCTCGTCTGTTCTTCCCTGGAATCTTTCTTCCAGATGGCTATGTACGGTGTTCTGTATGCGTATACGCCTGAGATCTTCCCTGCTCCGAATCGTGGTACCGGAACCGGGATTGCTAGTTGCTTGAATCGCATTGCTGGATTGATGGCTCCTATTATTGGCATTTATGCTAGTACTGATCCTGTTACGCCGATTTATGCGGCTGGCGGGCTTATTTTGGCTGCTTTTGTTGCGATGGTTTTCTTGCCCATTGAGACGAGGGGGAAGCAGTCGCTTTAGACGTGGGGATGGGTGAGAGGCTGTTACTGGATTTTGAGTTCCAGGTTTTGATGTTGAAGTTTGGGAATCGGTATGTTTCATAAGATGTGTTTAAAGAGGTATGGAACCTACCTTGTATAGAGAAGGTCATATTCATACATTATCAAAAGCGAGAATTATCATTGAAACGCAAATTATCTCCCATCCATAGGGCTGTGTTGTCCAAATTCCAGGTGATTCTGTTGACCTGCCTGGAGCAAGGCTCTAGTCACGGTATTTCTAGGATAGTGATCAAGAAAGCAGTGTGGACCATAAGATGATTCATTTTCAAATAAAACAAAAGATACACGCGTAAAGACAGGATCCGAAAGAGCGTCGCTGCAGAACATAGACACAGAATATGACCGAGGCGCTTGATGCATATGGATGCAACGCTGTGTACTATGAAAAGTCGCGAGCTAAGAAATGAACAAGAACGTGAACAAGTACGAGGACAGGAAAAGAAAATAAACAAACAAATAAAAAAGACCCGACGGTGCAACGTCCTATGCATGGCAGAGCTACGAGAGCAGATCGACGGGAAGTAACGGACGGTAGATGATAAGGCGAACCTTAGATCTTCTCACCAATCCGGGGTGCCCCCCTTTCCAGCCGTTGCTTTCGTAGTAGCGGAACACAAGGTCGTATCCGTTCAGGTCGTGGACAATGCGGTCTACACGACGGTAACCCTCAATGTGCTCATCCTTGGGGTTGTGGCGCAAAGCCTGTTTCTGCGAGTGCACTTCATGGAAGCCGTTGGTGGCGTCGATCTCTTCGATACAAGGCTTGGTCTCGAACAAGGTGATGCTGAAGCGACCGGGCTTGAAGATGTTTACAACCTGCTGGATGATATCGCTGGTGGTCTTGCCATTCTGCCCGTGCGGGACGTTGGCCTCGAAGGATGCGTACGAGCAGTGAGGCTCGGGAGTCACATGCACAGTGAAGTAATGAGTCGGGGCCTTGCTGTCTGGTGCAGGAACAACACCATTGGCTGAGAAGCCACAGGGTGTGAAGAGGTACGCATCGATGCGAGCATCTGGGAACTTGCTCTTGGGGTAAATATCCGAGAGACCACATGCGTCTGAGACGACCGCACCAAGAGCGTGGCCCTCGGTGGTCAGCTCGGGTGGGATCACTCGGCCACCTTGTACATCCGGATCATCGAGATCGGAGCCATTGCTGAAGACATCAACGTGCTCAAGGCCTTCATCCTTGTCATAGTTGCGGTAGTTCTTCTCAGCCACGGCAGCAGCGTTATCCAAATAGAATTGCTTCGCATTATCCTCTTGCAGATCAGTCATCAAGATCTCGAGAGTCTCATCATTCTCCTCGTGGCTGGCAATCCGAGCCTCCTGCGGGAACTTGAGGATCTTGGTCTCGGTCTCGCTAAAGTGCACTTCCTCTGTAGGACTGGCCGGAGGAGTGAGCATGGTGTGAGGCTCAGTCAGATACAGGTACCAGTGCTCGCCGTTCATCTTGCCAATCATGTACGCACTTCCGTTGAGGAACAATTTGTCCATGTTACGAACCTCATCACGCCAGCTGCGGTGAGGGCCACGCTGACGATCAGGGAATAGGTAGTTCTTACGGCTGTAGAAGACGCGGTACGGAGTCGCAGCGACCGTGATGCCACGACCAGGTGGTGCGGTGGCACGTGGGAATCCCGCAAATAGGGTGGCAATCTCAAGGATGCGAGGGAGGCCAGAAAGCAGTGTGGTAGTTCCACAAGTCTTGAGAATCAACTTGTGAGGCCAGACAAACATGCTGGATTCGGAGAGCAGGTAGGCGTCCACATCGTCGGACGATACTACAGAAAGAACCTGGCAATTGACGAGGTCCAGCATATCCTTCCAGATTTCACCAGGGACTTTCTTCAGGCCCTCTGGGCCTGCAGTACCGAGCTCATTGGCAGATGGAGCGAACCACACCTCGAGGAGCTTCTCAGGGCCTGTCAATAAAAGTCAGTATGAAATTGAAAGCATACAGCTGGTATATGGGAAGTGGTTGCAAACCTTCAAAGGCATTGGAAGAATCGAGATCCTGAGTGGCCTCGTGGTTGATAGTCAGAGCAGGCGTCCCAGCAAACGAGGACGGAGACTGAGTGTAATTCTGGGGAATGCCGACGTAAACCATCTTCGCAGAATTGAGGCAGCCGAGGCTGGTAGACTTGTGTAGAATGAGGTATTGAGGATAATGGGTGACGCGTAATCACCCAAATGGAGGGATGAAGACAAAAAGGCTATAGAAGCACTGTCTACTTACCCAGACGAACAGGGGGCAATGCCCGTCTGAGAAGAGAAGGCCCTTGAAGAATTTAGACTGGTCAGACCAGGCGGGGGGAGAACCTTAGAGACCTTAAAGGGCTGCTAAGGGGGCAGGAAGGCGAAGGCGATTAAGAAGATGGTGCAAGGAATATTGACTGTCAGTCGAGTACCCTCGTACTGAAGATGCCGATACCGATCAAAGTATCGGGTCTAGCAGGCGAGTGTATCTGCTTTATGTAAGTATTGAGGAGTATTGGGTGTGAGTCGCGTTATCGAGGCCTGAAAAAATAATCCCAAGTCAGTGGATGTTAGAAATTTTCCAGGGAAGTAGGATGCAGTTAAGAAGTTCGGTGGATGAAATATGCAAAGACAGGTGTTCAATTGCAATTGCTTTTTTCTTTTCTCATCCAGCCGACGAAGTGATGTGTACTATTCGACTGCATATCGGCAAGGCGGGGCTAATGCACGAGAAAAAAAACCCGCAAGCAGAAAGAGAAACCCGAAAAATACTCACTTGGCAGGCTTAGACAGAAATCGCAGAAGATCCTTTGGGCTCATGGAAGGCAGGAAAGGAAATTCAGCTTAGAATTGCACGAGGTCGCGCGAGGCCACGATCGTGAACATTAGCGGGGCAGAGGCAAGTCAAGAGAAGCCCAACAAATGCACGAGATCGAGCTTGACAAGGGGATCACAATAATGAAAAGGATGGTCTCTTTCAAGCGATCCAGTCAACAAAGACTTGTTTACTCTTGAACCTCAAAAGGAGGGGGTGACAAGCTGAACAAAAAAAAAATTGGGTGTAGAAGTGGTTTGGTTGGTAAATGCGCGATTTTGTTCTGTGGGCCCGTGTCCTCAGTGGGGCGCGGAGCAAAATCTGTCTGACATCAGGGAAACGAAGCCCTTAGTTCCTTGGTATTCAAAACAAGCTGAATATGTCCCGAATTGGGGCAACAAAGGGGTTACACACCTGGAAGAAGACAAAATGCAGTACAAGGTCGTCTAGACGACACCTGAATAGTAGGTTGCAGAAAGTTCTAAAATTGGAAAAAAGACAGAAGCTGAATCTGGGCACACAGGGCGGTGAATCAAGGCAGAATTCTAAATTCGGATATTAGCTTTTCCTCATTAGGTAAGCTGAGAGGGTTTCCCGTGATCGACAGGGCCTATATGGGCCTAGTAGCGGTGAGATGGGGCATTACGTAGTACTCCGCAGTTCAGGAAATATTATCCATCTCATGTACAAATTATGAGAATTTCCAAGGTTAGGAGGTGAAAAATAAACTAGATTGCCCAGAACTCCAGTTTCCTAACGCCATTGTAGTCCCCTTTCCACTCCAACCGCTTGGTCAAATGCGATGAAAAGTACCCCGGGCTATGATTCAAGAAGCATGTAGGCTAGTTGCACTTCATTGGCTTCGGCAATTTTGGCAGCAAGGAGTTCGCCGACCTTACCGGCCAATCGAGATCGAAGCTCGTCGTTCACAACATCAGGGTGACCATTTGCTAGGGATGCATGGCTATCCCGAAGAGAAGCCAGGACCGCAAGTAGAGCATTGAGAACACGCTCAGCGGCAGGTCGACGGGCAGAATCATCGAGTCCATCACTGAGAAGCTTCGAGTATTCACTGAGATTCGGAACGACAAGTACGCGAATCACCTCAGTACCGCCGACCGCGTGCATGCCAATTACAGCACCATAATGGGCACCGAACGGCTTGGAGGGGTCGAGGAAGGTCTTCAGGCACGAGCGTACAAGACGGGGCTTGAGCATGTGAGATGAATGAGAGTATTTCTTGGCAATGAGACCGAGGAGCGAAGCAGCCAAATCCCGAAGAGCACACTGCTCGGACACATCAGCAGCTCCGCCGAGCTGTCGGCCAATCAGACACGTCAAAATAGAAGGTACCAGAGACGCGACCTAATCCAGTAAGTATTAAATAACCAATCAGACAAAAGGGGCTCTGTATACGTACATATGGGTCAACGTAGAGAGATTGGTTCTGCACCAGAGCCTCAGCCATGTGCATCACTTGCGTCAGAACAAAAATGTCCTTGAGACCGTGTGTGACCTTCTCGGCAATGAACTGGACAAAGTATGGTACGAGCTGGTGCAAACCAGGGTCTTCCCGTAGGCTAGCATACCCAGAGGTCCGGTAGTCCTCACTTGTCTCGTCCAAGAAGGCACTGCAGACCTTCTCAAAGTATAACTGCAACTCCTTGGAGAGCACATGCTTTACCAAGGGTTTCACAGCCACGTCACCCGTCCCACTCATCGCTGCTAATGTGGAATTGGCATTGGGACCCTTCGAGACCAGCTCGAGGTTCCGGGAGTCTGCGGCTGTCGGATTCTGGGGAATGGATGGCTGCACACCTTCCACAGCGAGCCAATGGGCTATGAGGGACGTCAGCGATGCCGGAGAGTAGTGATTGCTAGATTTGACCAACCTGTGAAAGACACCTCCCGGGGTACTTTGGGCAATGGAGCATTGATCAACTTCTCAAAGTCCACCTCCTCGTCTTCAAGATAGAACAGCGGTTGACCGGGTCCCAGCGAGGCCTCCCCGAAGCGCAACGGGCGAAGAGATTCATATCCATAAAGAGGTTCCACGTCGAGGTTCCGTAGAGCAAGTGAGATATCCTGAGTTGTTAAGACTGTGCGCTTTCCTTGGCGCATGGCCTTGAGTGCCTCCTCTAGGACTTGCGCGACTCGGTATTCCACGTCGCGGGCGAGATTTTCGGTCACATCATGGCTGAGGTTTGTGAGACCAGCGGACTCAGCAACATCCCTAATGTTATCCGGATTCCAGACAGACATGATGAGTCAATATGGCGAGTAGACTAGGAGCAATGAACCGATCGGGGTTTCTTCTGCAGGAATGGGTCGGAGTAGAGAAATCGAGGCTGGATTGTGAAGCTTGCTTCAAGAAACAGAGAGTCGCATTCTGGGGTATATCAGGTCTCGGAATAGGTTTCAACGAAAAGATTGAATGATGCGATGCGACAAGGCATGCGATCTACAATTGTATCGATAACAGGAGGGAAGCTTGTGATGACAAAGTAGGCGATTGCGCTTTTGGTTTTACTACCTTTCCGTACACTCTATTCTGCTAACTTTATTACACCGCCTATACTCTCACTGTAGGATCGACAATTAGAACGATAGTATGGTATTATTAGCGCGAAAGATGTTCGCTGATCTAGAAGGCAATGAGGTAATAAATGCCTCCGGCTAAAACAATGATAGGGAGTGCTGTTCACTGCTCCTCTGGGTATCACAACAGACTGGTGTCCATATTAGTGGGCGATTTACGAGGCTTCACCCTCGGTGGTCGTCTTGGTTTCCTCCTTGGTTTCCTCCTTGGTTTCCTTCTTGGTTTCCTCCTTGGTATCCTCCATAGTTTCCTCCTTGGCCTCCTCCTTGGCCTCTTCCTTGACTTCCTCCTTGGCAGCCTCCTCCTTGGCAGGGGCCTCAACAGCAGCAGCTACAGGAGCAGCCTCAGAAGTAGCCTCAGGAGCAGCCTTAACAGGTTGAGACTCCTCCTTAGGCAGCTCGACCTCAACCAACGGAACCGACCGCGCCTCATCTTTCAACTCAGGGCCCTTTCCACCATACACTTTGGGAAGCTTATCGGCAATTGAAGCGGGGAATTCACGAGCCAAGTTGGCACCGTTAGAAATAGGGTGAAACTTCCGAGTAGTGTTGCGGCTCAAAATCAGCTTCATGGCCGAGAACATCCAGCCCATGATAGCGGGGACGTTGACGAAGTACTTTTCGCGCAGCAGCTCGGGGTACGCGGTGGAGAAGACCTCAATGGTCTTCTTAGTCGCAGTGCGCACGGCAGGGTCCATGCGGAAGAACTTGACGTTCAGGTAGTCGTGCACTTGGATCATCTGGTATGGATCCTTCTCGCCATCGTAGTCGATGACAGCAGTGGCATTCTTCATGTTCAGGTCCTGCACAGCGAGCTCCATGAGGGCTGCGCGCCATTTAACGAATCTGCTATTGTTAGTACGTGTTCAGTCGAAAAGCTAGTATAGTACGTACTCGTCCGAATCAGAGAAGGTGGCGCTCATGTCCTTGACAGCGCCATAGATATTCCATGTAAACACAAGCGGGCGTCCGTCCTGGTCGTAGGTGGTGAGGTATCCCAGACCACCGTACTTGCTGGCGCTGTACTTGCCAGACTGGATGAGCTCAAGTGGGTTGGTCTCCTTGCGCCATTCCAGTGCCTTGCGCAGTTGCTCCTCAGCTGCGGACAGGTTTCCCTCGTTGGCGCGCAGGAACTTGATCAGCACGTTGGCGGTGGGGATGTCTTCGCTGTCCTTTAGGGGCACACCCCACATCTCACTGTGGCCGGTCTTGCTGACAATAGAGGGGAGGTGCTCAAAGAATTGGGCCAGAGAGGGAATGTTGGTCAGGTATGCGGGCTTATTTTCCTCGGGCTTAGCAGCCTCGGGCTCGGTGGTGGCAGCAGGCGCATCTTGGGCAAGCTCTTCCCTAACAGGCTCTTCCTTGGCGGGTTCGGCTGTAGTTGGCTCCTCAGCGGTCTTGGAGGCGTCTTCTTTAGGAGCTTCCTCGGTGTTGATGTTTTCGGTCGCTGGGGCAGCGGGAGTCTCCTCGAGCTTATCGGCGATTTCAACGGTCTCAAGTTTCTCGGGCTCGGCAATAGGGGCTTGCTCAACAGGCTTTGGATCGGACATAGTGGGTAGGTATTTCAGGCAAAGGAATGATGAAGAGAGAGGGAAAGGAGAATAAACATTCAGGGGAAAGAAAAAGAGGCGACAGGGGCTTAGCTGCCTTGTCAATAATTAGTCGGGACCACATATCAAATCTCAGGCCCACAACAATCCCCTGTCATCCTGGCTGCATCTGCTTTGACCCTGAATCAAACCTGGGAAATGATCAGAATCCTATAATAAGCCATACTGTAGGGTCCCTTCATTTTTCTATTAATATTATTGGATGGAGAGTCAGCAAGTACATATTTGTACTAAGTTACATAGCTTAATGCAGTCTAAGATTGATCAGCGGTGTCAGTCTAGGCCTTGTCAGGCCCAGCCTCAACATGTATCAACTTTGTTTGTTTCATACGTTCATTTCCCCAGAATTGTTTTTCTTTGTATATCTGTGTACTTTATTATGGTTATAAAAGAAATTCACTTTGTTTCTGCTGATATAAACCCAGATAATTATGAATACATCACCAGTGGACCACTCAGTAGACCTAATCTTATTTCTAACAGCTAAGATTAAGTTTTATTACTATAATCCACAATCTAATTTATTTTAGGTCCCAAGGTCGGTGGTAGGATATGTAACACTAGCCTCTTTTAGTGCTTCTCAAGTTCAGTTGTCTTGACTGTCAGGTATTTGTCAAGCGCTCTGGATCAAATCGATTAGTCTAGTCATCTTAATTTGCAATTGCAGTTTCTGATACCCCATTCTAATTCTGTATGAAACCTCGAGTTACGTTGCCACCACATACTGAACTGGGGCTAAGATTCAAGACTGCAGACGAGCCCCATATTAAGCAGGGAATTTGTCCGAAGAAATGGTATCATTGAACCTCCATGATTCTAGATAATTGAAGAGATCATTGGGCGGAACCAGCCCAATGAAAAAGAAAACGAGACGGTAGCCACACCCAGACAAATAAAGAAGAAAAAAAGCATTCGCTTAGGGGATATTCAGTAATGGAAGATGCAGAAAGAACAAGATCGTGAAAGATGTTTGCATCACCGAGAAGGGGAGCCAGATGGAAAAAAGATCAAAATTAAAGTGACTATTGGCCAACGCGAAAGCGCTACGGCATATGGGGCATAGCGGGAGAGGGGCCGGGTTCGGCCTCATCTTCATCCATCTCATCCAGATCTGCGGGATGACTGGATCAAAATAGCTAATCAGAACCAAAACTATCGAGAATATAAGGGGAATTAATCGAAGTGAACTCACGCAAGCAGATCCTTGATGTTTCTCATTTCATAATGTCTCTTCCGCTGGTTTTCAAATATCCGGTGCTTCTCCTTTGCCTCCTCGGTCGTAATTAAATCGTCGTCACCCGGCACAGCATCGCCATTGGCCCCGGTACCCACGTGGACATGTTTCTCACTCTTCGTGGACTCGTTGCTCATGCTCCGTTGGCGAAATACGCGGGGGTCCTGAGCAGGCTCGCCCGCGTGATGCGTCTCCTCCGGCTCGCCGAGTTCCAAATCTGGAATATCGTCCTCTGAGACACCCTTCCTGTGCACAGTCTTGCCCTTGTCAAACTCATCAACCACAATACCCTGGACATCGATCAAGGCATCCTGTGCATCCGCCAACCGCATCTCCTCGTCATCCTCGGCTGGGTCGTAGTGCGGGGCATATGGTGTCTTGGGCTCATCAATCTTCATTTTCGCCGTGCGCTCCTGCTCGGTGAGATACAGGTTTGCCTCATCCCACTTCAAACGGGGAGAATTATCTTCGTCCATCATGTTTGCCTCAGACTGCCGGCGAGAGGTCTGGCCAGGCTGGGTGGAGGTGGAAGATCGGCGCCTCGGGCCGGCGTTTTGCAGAGTATTCTGGAGCGTCAGCTCGTTGGTGTCGGCGGATTCTTGGAGAGGTGGCGGAATAGTGGCTGGAGCGCTGACCATGTCCGCGACAGAGACGTGTTGAAACGAGCGAGAGTTCTTTAGGATACCTAAAATCGAGACGGAAGTCGATGGTGATTAGCACAGATTTTCACGAACTCCACGGTAGACGTAGAAAAACAATTTCACCTTTCGGTCGGTGGTGCACATTGTCACTGCTGTAAGCCTTGGCAGGCATATGCTGTGCGGTAGTCATTTTGGAGGGAGTTGTTAGGACGAGAATGCCGTCCGATTTTCAAGCGGACGTGGGTCTTTTAGAGGGGCAGGTTGAGTGGGTTGTAAAATGTCAGACGTGTCAGATGAACGGGTAGGGTTCAGCTGAGAAGTGGTCGTGCAATTTAGGTACGCGAAGTCAGCGTTATATGGTTGGTTGGAAACTGAAACAGAGCCTTGTATATAAAGAAGTAAAAAAAGCCCAGTGAGGTGTGTCTTAGAAGAGTTAAGTCAGCTGCTAGGTTGGGCACGTGGGGCCTGATGACGTCGGGTCCCGTCGACGCCTGACGTCTTCGGCATCACCTTCAATGGGTCACATACACATAGTTGGGCACTGAGAATCTTTCACTTTTATCGTGAGTTTTATTTCACCCGAACAGACCTGAGTTGCTCGCTTCCTAGTTTACCCCCACTTTGAAGACTTATTCTACTAGACATTCGTGGCTGGAAAAAGCCTCAATTTGTTTGTGATTCCGAATCGATGACAAATTTACTCCTAAATAATTCTCCGATGTTACATTAACCACCGGAACTTGAAATATACTTAGTATGTTGCTTCATGCGGGTAGATAATTTGTCTTTGAGATTTTGACTTGCATACATAGTACATAACACTGAGCGGAAATTTATTCAACTAGCCAATTTTAAGATCTACAATTCAATGCATAAGGAGGGTCTTAAGAGACCAATAAAATCCCTAACACACTGCTCAGGCCGCCCTAGATTGCATCATTTAGTTCCTTACACCCTTGATTCAATGCAGACAAGATGGTCTGCGGAGATAACTACTGTCGTCATTATGCATAGAACATCCTCTTCATGTCTGATGATCCTAAGATCAGTCAGATTTAGCTAAGCTTCGATCTTGAATTATAAGATTTACTGAGATGGCTAGCTAGAAAGTTAATATCATAAGTTAGAGTAAATTTCAATATAGCCGAAACACCAAAAGCCCCATGGTATGTATTCTTGCCAAACCTATCATAAAAGATTCAGCCGATCACACCAGAGGTCACTATCAACACCGCTGTTATTTCATTACCATCCCTGAAGCAGCTTCGAGAAACCCTGGAAGCCCTGAAGGAAATCGTGTTTTGCGGTGAAGAATTCTCTCGACTTCTATTCATCAAGAACATTGATCATGCTCTGTTCACGACCCTTGAGTCGGAGTCAGACGCCTTTCGAAAATTAAAGACCAATATCTTCATTTTGGTCGTTATACATGTGACTTCTGAGGCTGCAGTGCATAATTAGTAACCCAAACACCTCCAACCAATCCTGTTAGGCCATACTTTCTGATATATTTAAGTTTCCTTGAGAAAGGTTAAAGCTTCATCTTTTGATTATACTATATACTTATGACTCAAATTAAATTGGAATTTAGAAATTGAGGCAGAGAAATGATAATAGTGTATTTATTTAAAACTTTTGATCGTATAATGAATTTTTACTATAAAACTTTCTAAGATTTCTCAGGGTAAGAATCCGAACCTTCGATTGAGCGTGATTTCACAAGATAGAATTTAGTCTAGATAAGATTATTGGTTTCTAAAGAGAATTTTAGTCATTTCAATGTATATTACTTATTTGGTAGATATTTCTGCCTTGGGCCACACGATTAAGAGGGAATCCTAATCAGGACTAGCACCCCATAATCGGAAATCTACCTCAACTCGTCAAAAAACCCCTCCCAGAGCAATTGACTGAATGGCATAAGCTTCATGGACCTATCATTAGCTTTTGGTCTGGCCCTCGACTTATGATCAGCCTTGGCTCCCACCAGGTCGCCGTCGACTTAATGGGCAAGAAGGGTTCGACATACAATTCTCGTCCTCTGACACTCATTGCTGGTGAGCACGTTACCAAAGGTCTTCATGTTGCTTTGATGCCTTGGGGTCAAACGTGGGAGAAGAATCGTCAACTGGTCTCAAGGTTCACAACCCGGGCTGCGTCCACGCAATACCGATTGCTTTTGGACATTGAAGATAAACAAGTTATACACGACTTGTTGAAGTCCAACGATTTCACTCCACTTTTCACTCGGTATGGAGCTAGTGTCACCAATACTTTGGGCTATGGAACTCGCTTGGGCCAGGAAGATCAGGAGCAGTTTCTCAAGGCAGAAGAATTCGGCCACAAACTTGTCGAGGCAATGAGTAAATTCCATTTTGCCATTGTCGAACTTTTTCCCCATTCTTGATTGTCTACCACATTTCCTTGCCCCGTGAAAGGAATTTGGAGACAATTATCATAGTCAATCGATGGCTCTTTATTCTGGGAACCTTGACAATGCGACAAAAACACCTGGATGGAATTGGGTCAAACATGCAGCCATAATCCTCGATGATGATGAAATTCTTCATAAAATATTTTCTATGCTGTTTGGATTTGCTCTTCAGGCAGGTGTTGAAACCATTCCGAGTATTCTTCGAGTATTCGTCAAAGCGATGCTCCTTCACCCAGATTGCATTACCAAGGCTCAGGCAGAGATGGATGGAGTTGTCGGGAATGATCGTCTCCCTGCTTTCAATGACTGGACCCAGCTGACCTACGTGAATTGAATTGTGCATGAATGTCTCCGGTGGCAGTCTGTCATGGCCCTTGGTGTTCCGCACGCGACTACCCAAGATGACGTCTACAAGGGATATCATATTCCTGCCGGCGCCTATTTTTTGCAACTGCCTGGGCAATGGGATACGACGACGATGTCTTCGAGGACGCATACGCATTCCAGGATGAAAGGTGGGAGAAAGGTCCAAACCTCAATATCAGTGCTTTCGGATATGGTCGTCTGAACCCTCTGTGCTCTATGACTGAACCCTCGTTGCTAGATTATTCCGATTATACCCGTTGCATTGGTTGATCGCATAGGCGCTCGGCCTGAATATGGTACTGAACTCCCCTTAGACAATATCCAATGATTCCACGCTAATACTGTTGCTATACATTAAAGCACAATCATTGATTTCTATATTATTAGCCATGTACGGTGGTACTCTTCTTCTTGGATCTCGTTAGTGGACGCAAACGTTGCTTTTCATTTAAAATACCTCCAGAATCCTAACATTTCTAGCTATATCCGGGTATATCGCCGATCAATGTCGCTCAAGGAAAATTCCCTTTATCTGTGGCCTTGCTGCCTTGGGCACCTCAACCGCGCTTTTTGCGTTTGCGCGCACGTTTCCAATTCTCGTTATTGCGCGATGTCTCCAGGGCTTATCTGCAGCGGCTGTTTGGGTTGTTGGGCTTGCCATCGTGGCTGATGATGTACCATCTGATCGTGTTGGTGCTGCTATGGGAAAAACCACCATTGGACTGACGTGCAGATTTATCTTTGGACCCATGTTGGGTGGATTGATCTGCGACAAGTTTGGATATTATGCAGCATTTCTGCTTCCTACACTCTTAATTGTTTTGGATGTTGCGCTGCGGTTCGCCATGATTGAGAAGTCAGGTAGGAGATTCTCTGTCTCATTCAGCTCTGAAATCTTTCTCATGCCTAACAGAAACCTCTTCACAGAAGATAAAGCGGAGCCTGATTTGCTCGAGTCCACAAACCTCCAACCAACCTCTACGATACTCTCAACCCGCAGGAAGCGGGGTCTACTGCTCATCGTTCGACGTGTCGAGAAGATAATACTGAAAGCGCTCCTCTCTTGCGGTCTTTGATGGCTCCTAATGAGGAAGGAAACCCCCAGAGACAAAATATTACAATCTTTCATCTCTTCCTTACCCCAATATTTCCAATTGCTATGTTTGCAACAGTTTGTATGGCGCTCCTATTCTCGGCTTTGGAGACTGTAAGTATAAGCTACCAATTTCTACTGACCCCAACGCTAACATTGTATCAACTCCAATAGGTGCTACCACTGTTTGTCATGGATACCTTTGGCTGGACAACCGGTGGAGCGGGTTTAGTTTTAGTCGCCTTATCAGTTCCAAATTTTGCCGGAGTGCAAATTGATATGCTGGTTGATAGCGTAGGAGTTCGTAGCTTGGGAACTATCGGCTTCGTCATCGGCAGCTGCGGCTGGCTTTTACTGCGACTTGTCACCAACAACAGTGTAGGACAAGTGGTACTATTGGTTTGCTTACTACTTATCTTAGGAGTGTCCTTCGTCATCACCGAGATCTGCGCTATGACCGAAGTATCACAACTCATTGGCGATTATGAATCTGAGAACCCAGGGGCATTTGGAGAGAAGAGCCCTGTTACACAGGCGTATGCGTTTTTCAATATGTCATTCGCCGGGGGTCAGCTTCTTGGCCCCCTAATTGCCGGTGCAATCCGCGTTCATGCCGGGTGGAGTAATATGACTCTTGTTCTTGGCATTTTGACTGGTCTAAGTGCAATTCCCATTGCATTTTTCAGTGGCCCCCCAAAGAGGGTAACAGAGGAGGCTGAAAATATTTAGCATCGGATTGAAGACGGAGTGTCACAACACATCCATGGATTGGGGAAACGTCATTTGCTCACTATAGCGAAGCAATATCCACTTCAGATGTCTGTTATGTCCATTCTGGTGATTTGAACGGAAGACGAACATTTTGAAGAGTCTCAATGTTGTTTTTTGGGGTTCCTGCGTATATATGAATATCAAATTACCGTACCCTATAAGGCGCAAGGTCACTAAACACAACCTATATTCAAGTGTCCAATGTGAAACCCAACATCAGAACAAAAATAATGGTGCCAATACCAATGCCAATGCCAATGCCAATCCAAAACGCAAGTATATACTATCGAACAAAACATTTACCACCATTCCCTATATACGTCACCCCACAGATTCGGCCCATGAGATCCACCGCCGGATACATTCATCTACCTTACGCAGCGCTTCCTTTGCAGCTTCAACCTCAAACCACTCTCGATGTTCCTTACCACATTCTGAACATCGACCCAAATCGCGCATTCGGATATCCGCCAGCTCGAGATGAATAAGGCGCTCTACGCGATGTACGTGCGGAACCTTTCTACCCTGTACCAAAGTGACATCCGAGCTTGCACTTGAATCATTGCTGCGGCTAGCTTGCTTGGGTGCTGGCACCCTGGCTGGAGAAGAGGACGCAGATGAAGATGGTGTGTAAGGATAGTAGCGGATCAAGGTTAGATCGTAGGAGCATTGGCGGGTCCACTCGTTCATTCGACGGTGCACATTACTCGTGCGTCCGATTTTCAGTCGTAGTGTGCCGGGTGTAGTGGCTGTTGGGTTTGATGTGAGAGCATTGATGTCTCGTGCAGCGTTTATGGCATCGCTGACGCTGCGTGGCTGGGTTGGTGGGCGGAGATTGTTGCTTCCTGATGGTTCCGGGAGCAGTGATGAGGCGATTTCTCTGGGTACTGACGCTTGTGTATCGCTACGCGTCGTTGTACTTTGTGGCGTTACCCAGAACATATAGATATAGCCCTCTTCATCTGCGCTTGAGATGGGCTTGGCTAATTCTGTTAGGACTGAAGAGGTTGTCTGTGGAGATAGAGTCGAGGGAATCCATGACAACAGAGACTGGGTTTGCGAAGTAGAGGAGGATTGCCTCGCGTTGGGCTGTAAAAGCCGTGGAGGTGGCTGTGAAGCAGAGGCAGGTCGCTGTACTTTTTGCGGTGCAGCCTGCGATGGACGAGTCTGCATGGGCTTTTGTACTGGCTTTGCCGGGCGATAATTGTCACCACTCTCCTCCACAATGCTGAAACAGCAAAATGTCTTCTTTTGACGTCGCCGGCGCTTTTCACCAAAGCTACTCTGGGTTCGCCACTTTTGGTTTCCTTTCTCATCTTTCAGATCCAGCACGCCAAGCCGGTCCATCAGCGTGTCAATGCTGGTTCTCGGCTTGGCTGGTGTATTGATATCGTTCCCCGCCGTAGACGTGGACGACACAGCTTGGTCTTGGTGCTGCCAGCAGTATAGAGAAACCAAGTCTGGAACTTCATGTTGACCACTCTTTCGTGGCGTGGATGCTGGAGATGGTGACGCCAAGGCCCGACGACAGGGTCGGCCTTGTCCCGTAATCCCTCTACATGTGGTTGCTGGGTTTCTGGAATCCGAGCGAGGAAGCAAAGATTCTGGTGTGTTAGAAATCTGAGGCATAGATCGGTTCTCAGAGAGTGAAAAGACCAGTCTGATCGATGGTCGTTAAGTGTATTCTACGGGAGAAGAAAATATTTTAAGCTAAGCCACAAACAGCCTTGCAGGACCATGATGCTGATGCGGTGAGGAGGAATGTGGTGCCCGTGCCTTCTAATAACTCCACCTGATCCACGTCAATCGTGTCGCGTGCGAACGGTTATTTTTAAACAACACTGCCCTCTGTGGCGGTGCAGCTATGCTGAACGCATCGACTTGGGATTGCTTCTGTAACATTGCTTCATATATCCAAGACCATATGAGGATGCATATAATATCATAGTCTCAATTGATTCCAGATTTATTTGTGATTTTAGGCGATTGATGGTCAATATACCATACCCAGTGAGTTCACGGAAGAACCATAATCCAGTCACCCCCACATAATGGTTCCTGGTTCGATTCAGCTTGAGACTACTTTTACTCTGTTCACTTTAAGATTCCATGATATTTGCCCAGGGCTCTCAGAAAAGACCTTTCGTCACTTATCCAGATAACTCATGGATGAACTCATTTTTGTACTCCGTAGATAGTTTTATTTGTTGGTGGCCATTAGGTAATTGAAATATGCAATGAATGCAAACATGTCAAGTGGGCGCCGGGGTTAACCGTCGGAGTTCCGTCTGCTCTATGACTACTGACCTCTTACACTTCAAGCTCGTTATCAACTTATCTAAGCTCTTTCTGTTGCTCCCCGCCGCATTTTATTTTTTTTGTGCAGGCGACCTCCCCCACCTCGTCGCACTCTCCCTAGTCCATGCCCTTCTCACTTCTCACTCGCCTACCTTTCACTTCTTTGCGATCATTAAGGTCAGCTTCCAAACCGACGAGGTTCTTCTCCACCTCCCACTCACGCTTCACCACCGAAATGGGGATCGTGGACACCAGCGCACGCCTTTCACAGCTGAGGCAGCTGATGAAAGAGCACAACGTCGAAGTTTACAGTATGTCATTGCACCTTATTCCGACCCGTTCTGTTCAAAAAGTAGTCTTTAACTCTTTGTCAACAGTCTCGCCCTCCGAAGATAGCCACCAGTCCGAATACATTGCCCCTTGTGATGCTCGCCGAGGTCAGCAAACCGGACCCTGAGTACCCCGACCTGAGGATTACGGCTGACAATCCTTCACTTGCAGCGTTCATTTCGGGCTTCACTGGCTCAGCCGGTACTGCAGTCATCTCCCTTAGCCAGGCCGCGCTCTCCACCGATGGACGGTACTTTAACCAGGCTGCGAAGCAGCTTGACGACAACTGGACCCTCTTGAAGAGTGGAAATGAGGGTGTCCCGACGTGGCAAGAATGGTAGGATCATACCTGATACTTGGTGGGTTAATGGTGGATCAGAAATACTGACTATTCACAGGACTAAGGAGCAAGCCCTGGGTGGAAAGGCCGTGGGCGTTGACCCGTCCTTGATCACTGCCGGTGAGTGCCACGATATAAAATTTGCTGGTATCAGCATTGACATTGAAACGCTTAGCTTCCGCACGCAAATTGGCCGAGTCCCTTGAGAAACAAGGATCGTCACTTGTGGGAATCCAACAAAACTTGATTGACTTGATTTGGGGGGAAGCTCGCCCCGCGCGTCCGAGTGAAAAGGTGCGGGTGCACCCGGTGAAGTATGCTGGCAAGAGCTTCCAAGATAAGATCGCCGATCTGCGCGAGAAAATGGAGGCAAAGAAACAAGCCGGCTTCATCATCTGTAATGTCCCCTCGTTCTCGGTTTTCGGATAGATTTTTCTAATAATTGAGAATAGCGACCTTGGATGAAATTGCTTGGTTGTTCAACCTGCGAGGAAGCGAGTAAGATATCCTTTCGTTATGCGATGTTATTCAGACACAAGCAACTGACCGCTAGCAGTATTCCCTACAACCCTGTTTTCTTCTCCTATGCCGTGATTACCCCAACTACTGCGGAGCTTTACGTTGATGGCGACAAGCTCACACCTGAGGTCAAGGCTCACCTTGGTGACGATGTGGTCATCAAGCCTTATGAATCCATCTTTGCTGATGCTCAGGCCTTGAGCAGCCAATCCAAGGGTGACAAATCTGTTAAGTTCCTGTTGTCCAACAAGGCTTCCTGGGCGCTCAGCCTTAACTTGGGAGGTGAGGACCAGGTCGAGGAGTCCCGTAGCCCGATTACAGACGCAAAGGCTGTCAAGAACGAGGCTGAACTGGAGGGCATGCGCGCCTGTCACATCCGAGATGGCGCCGCTTTGACAGAGTATTTTGCATGGCTCGAGAATGAGCTAGTTAACAAGAAGACTGTGCTGGATGAAGTCGATGCCGCGGATAAGCTTGAGCTGATCCGCTCCAAGCACGACCTGTTTGCTGGGCTTTCGTTCGACACTATCTCATCCACTGGCCCTAATGGTGCTGTGATCCACTACAAGCCTGAGAAGGCAAGCTGTTCGATCATTGACCCCAACGCTATCTACCTCTGCGACTCTGGCTGCCAGTACTTTGATGGAACGACTGATACCACCCGTACTTTCCACTTTGGCCAGCCCACTGAATTTGAGAAGCGAGCCTTCACTCTCGTCCTCAAGGGCTGCATTGGCATTGACACTGCAGTTTTCCCTAAGGGCACTAGCGGCTTTGCTATTGATGTTCTGGCCCGCCAGCATCTGTGGAAGGAGGGTCTGGACTTTGCCCACGGTACCGGCCACGGTGTCGGTTCTTTCCTGGTAATGTCATCCTGAATTGCTTCAAGGCACCAGTTCGCTAACTGCTTCTAGAATGTTCACGAGGGTCCTATTGGTATTGGAACTCGTGTCCAGTACACCGAAGTCCCTATTGCGGCCGGAAATGTCATCTCGGATGGTTCGTCATAATACCCCCAGGATATGAATATCCATTCCAATACTGACTAATGTTTCTAGAACCCGGATACTACGAGGATGGCAAGTTTGGAATTCGTATTGAGAGTAAGTCTCCTGGGGTGATAGTCTATATTTCGTGCGCTAATTCTTTCTCTTCAGACATTATTATGGCACGCGAGGTCAAAACCCCTAACAATTTCGGCGATAAGCAATGGCTGGGCTTTGAGCACGTTACCATGACCCCGATTGGCCTCAACCTGATTGAACCGTCATTGCTGAGCGATTCTGAGATCAAGTGGGTGAATGACTACCACTCTGAGGTGTGGGACAAGACACACCACTACTTCACCTCGGATGAATTGACCCTTAAGTGGCTCGAGCGTGAGACCAAGCCAATCTCCAAGTAGAGTGGAAGATTGCATACTATGTTTCATACCAGACCCGGGGCACATATTCATTTTAAATTGATAAATATCAGCATCTCATGCAAATAATCAATAATCTGCGTGCAAACTAATGTAAATAGCGTAAATTGTAGCTAACAGAATCGAGTCGAGTTCTGTGACCACAGGAATGCGGCCGCTGAAGCTCATGTGGAGCTCTCAACTTCGACTTCCCCATCCCGCCCCAGGCACCTTACGCTTCTGCCATTGATTACGTCCGCATCGATTGCCCTCCGGCACCAGAATTGTCTGACCAAGAATGGTCGCAGTCCTATTCTATCTACTAATGCGCGCAAGCCACTGAAACTTAACCACGGAGTTCCGACCAACAACACTTCTATTGCGATTCCCCGCCCAACCCACCCCTGTCGCAAGCGACCACAACATCGCCCACCGCATAGGCGTCCGGCCAAATAGAGTACAAAACAATTGGGAATGAGTGGGAGAAGCGGCTATAGTAACGGCAACGGATACGGGCACCCCGACACCGGCCGGTACGACGATGGCCGATACGACAGCAACGACAGCCTTGGAGTGAACGGGAACGGGTACGGCGGTCGGGGAGGCAGTAACGGCTCGACTGGAGGAAGCCGGGATCTCCGACCTGGTGGTTATGGCGGATTCTACGCTGAGTCGAGTACGTCTGTTTCGCCAGGCCAGTCGCCGGAGCGGAGGCGCGATATGTCGGACCGGGAGAGACAGCAGTCGTCTCAGTCGACTTCACAATCGCGGCCGAGAGATGGGGGCTCTGATAGGCGATACCAGACTGCGAGGGAGGATCGATCAACTGAGGAGGCTCGCTATCCGGATAATCGCAGTCGCGACAGGCTTGTGCCTGAGATGGGCTTGGTTCCGTTCGACACCGATGGAAAGATGTCTGTTGAAGGTTTGTCGGTACCTGTTACTTTCTGGCGGGATTGATCTGATAAATTGGTGTTCTAGAGGTGCTGCAGACTATTCAACGCGATTGGGACTTTATGGTGGACTCCGAATGCATTCCGGTCAATGTTGCCCTGAGCTTGATGGACACGAGTACATTGGGGAAAGCGGATAGAGAGCCAGAAATCTTGAAGATGCATGCTCAGATCCAGCGGACACTGAAGTCTATCGTCAACGGTAATCTTGCCTGTGGTGTATTGCCTTGGAAATTTATGCTAATTTCCCCAGAACATCATCAGGGATTCAACAGTTCGATTGGTACATATCACAAAATCCAATCTCACATCTCCAGCTCTCAGAGCCGAGTACGTAATCTCAGAAACTCCCTGGAGGAGGCAAAGTCTGGGTTGCTTTCAACAAAGCCAGAGCTGAAAGGATTGGCAACGTCTTCTCAAAACTATGATGACATCCTTCAGCTTTTTGCACAGATTGAAGAGATTCAATCTCTTCCCGAGAAACTCGAGTCGCGAATTTCGGACAAGCGATTCCTTGCAGCTGTCGAAGTACTTCACACAGGGCAGCGATTGCTACGGCGGCCTGAGCTTGAGGACATCGGTGCTTTGTCCGATATTCGTGCCTATTTCACCAACCAAGAGATTTCCCTTACCGACATATTGATCGAGGAGTTACATGATCATTTATACCTCAAGTCCCCTTATTGTTCGGATCGATGGAAGGCACCCACTACAGAGGGAGTAGTGAACCCAACGAGTTGGACGAGCAATAGATCTTGGGAGCGTCCGGTTTACAGCTTCTTATCCAAGTTTGATGCATCTACGCCAATGGTTGAAGATGCATCTCGAAACCCGGAGGCTGATACTTTCACTTATATCCAGCTGCTGATTGAGGCTTTGAGTAAGATGGGCCATCTTGCCACTGCTGTTGATAGGATTGAACAACGCTTGCCAGTGGAGCTGTTTACTGTGGTCGATAAGACTAATGTTGAAGTCGATGCTCGGTATCCTACTCCAAATCGCAGCTATTCTTCCCACGACAACCAGCTCAAGTCTAATCTACCCACGGAGAATATTGAACAGCGCGGCCATGTGCTTTCTGAATTTCTTTGGGCCCTCTATGCCAAGTTCGAGTCAATTGCAGAAGGTCACCGAGTTTTGCACGATGTGGTTCAGGCAATCGTTGAGCGGGAAGGCTCTGCTAAAAGCGACACGCTGGGTGCAGGATTCAAAGAACTGTGGAAGCTTTTGCAAAGTGAGGTAAGATATCATTTTTCCTCGACATGTAGTAGTGCTTCTATTAAAGCTTCCTAGATCCGGTCGTTATTGCACGACTACCTCGCTACTGATGGCGAGATTTCATTCAGGGCTCGAGGTGAGGAGGCTGATGCTCGGCGGAATTTTAACTCGGGTAACCGAGACAAGAACAAGGTAAGCAATATTCATAAGGAAGTGATCTCGCTGCTCACACAGACTTTCGAATAGAAGATGTTCAAGCTTTCCGATATCGATCAGAATTCGGAGATGAAAGCTGAGCAAGATGAGCTAGATGAAATTCTCAAATCGTCAGTACCTGGTTTAGTCTCCAAGTCCAGACAAAAGGCAGCTGCTGCCGATTCAACACAAACCAAGCAAGGCAACTCAGGAACCGGCCATAAGCTTCTTCTTGAGCCTAGTGTTTTCAATATGAGACTTCTACTCCCGCCATCGCTATCCTTCATCCAGCGGCTCAAAGACATCGTCCCAGTCGACTCGGATATTTCAATGACCACTTTGACTTCCTTCTTGGATGACTTTATGGTCAACGTGTTTCTTCCTCAATTGGATGAAACGGTGACAGACCTTTGCACGCTGAGCTTTATTGCCGCTGATGCATTTACCGAAGATCCCCAGTGGACCAAGGTTTCGCCTCGGCCTATTTTCAAGGTGCGTTTGCTGCTTCGCATACTGCTTATGATATCTAACAAATTCTTCCAGGGAACGGTCAAGTTCATGACGATTGTGCGCGAGTTTAGCAAAATGCTATCGAGCATTCCGCACGACCAGGCTTTCACACAGCTTATAATTGACCAGATTGTCACGTACTATGACAAGTGCTGTGGCTGGTATAAAGGTTGGTCTGCTTGGGCTAAATTCTTTTTCCATTTCTAACATGATGTAGCAATGGTGACCAAGGTTTCCGCTCGCAACCATGGAGGCGAAGTACGACTGAAGGCTGCAGCAGCATATGCTGAGACTGGTGATATTCATGATGTTGTGGATGAACTGTGGACAGGAGCCGGTGCTAAAAAGAAGACTCTCATCGATACTGTAAGCGTGAACCCTTTCATCTGTTTATTGTCTTGTGATACTGACAGACGCAGGAAATCGACCTTCTCCTGAAGAGGACAGACAGTTCACCTCTGGAGCCATACGACATCATATCAGACCCGAAGACAGTCGTTGCTCTCTCACTTCTCTACAACAGCATGGTAAGCACTACGCCCAAAAGACCACGTGCTACCATCTAACACCCTTCTAGCAATGGTTAGGAAGTCACCTTGCCAAGATCCGACTCGTCGTTGACACCTCTCACGAAACGAGCGCTCCAACCGTAACCGCAAATGGCCGACCGTCCCGAAGATGGACCCTCTTCGGCGCCATGAAGCCCAAGCGCGACAGCATCAGCCAACCAGTCCATCTACCCCTAAACCACCAGACAGCCACCGCCTTCGACGAAACCGTACAATCACTCCACAGACTCGGGTCTAACGCCCTTCTAACCCTCCACGTCGACATCCGCTGCGGTATAATCCACATGCTAACAAGAACAATGTCCGGCCCCAACCCGCCTACCGTGCGCAATTCCGAGCCCATGACCCCCTCTCCGAGTCTATCCCAGAGCTGGTGGCACATCATCATGAACCAGCCCACAGCCGCATCCCCGACAATCCTCCAATTAAACGGTGACTTGATCGCATTCGACACGAATGTCTCCACGTACCTCGGGCCGGCGGAGAGGTGGTTCATCACATCTGGATTGGCAAGAGTGATCGATCGTGTATTCGTCGCATGTACACGCTACATTGGCGCTATGAATGAGAATGGCGCTTTACGGCTCCAGCTGGATGTTCTTGTTCTTCAGCAAAACCTGAAGAATATCATCATCGATCCATCTATTGATCAAAACTCTCCTGATCAGGAGGTTGTCGCGCTGCCTCGGAGCGCTAAGTTCCTGGATTGGTTCCTGGAAGGTGCTGAGAAGGCGCTGGACTATGCGAATGAAGAGAAAGGTGCGTTTGCGACACAGGGTGATAAGGCGTTGGCTGCTGGGAATGGTGAGCCGTTTACGTACGAGGAACTTCGTGTTTTGGTAGATCTTTGCTTTTCTGAGATTCTGCGCGGTCCTCGTGGTGCGGAAAACCGGGAGGACTTTATGTCGGCGAAGAAGGCTAGTGCGGATGCTTTGTTGCGTCTGAATGAGGTGATGTGGGATGCACACTGATCTTGTGGATCTCGAAGTCATTTCACCCTCCATAGAAATTCCTACCTTTTGTTTGCTCTTCACATCAAAGATTGAAGGTCAGATTTGGAACAATAGATCGAATCTGGAATCATCATGCTTTGCCATATGTCCTACGGTCTTCATTAAGTGATAGTAATAAAGTCAACTTCATTATACCGACAGTTCCATGGCTTGCAGTAAAAAACCCCATCCTAACCTAAAGTTCGCCGACCCAGCCAATAAGAGAATGAAAAAGGACAAAAGTAACCAGTAACATGCACAAGTGCAGAGAAGGGTGAATAGAGCAGAGAAAACCAAGAGAACATGAGAAACAAGATATACGCCATACACAGGTAATACTTTGGCGTGAGAACATCGACCGCCCAGTGTATCCAGTAATGGTGGATTGTAACAATGTCCACCAAAATAAGTGAAGCAAGATAAAGGGGGAAGTTGTAGATCAAACCCGAGTAGCAGGGAGAGAAAAAAGGCAGAAAGAAGAACGGGGAATGAGGGTATGTTCAAAATCTTAACCACCGGAAAACAAAGTCGTAGCACATGCGAATGGATACTAAATCAACAAATAACTCGGAGCTCGGATTTATTCCATGTCCAGAGTCTCCAAGTCCTTGGCTTCCTCGTAGTCGTCAAACTCTAGGCCGGCGTCACGGCAACGCTGGAGCCACTTGAGGGCAACATTGTTGCGTCGACTGACCTCGGCCTTCAACTTCGAGTTGGATGTACTGATCTCGGCAATGGCATGGTTTGTGGTGAGACTGTGTTGCTCGAAACGTTCGTCAATCGTCTTTCGCTCTTCCTGAAGCTGGCAGATATATTCGATGGCGCGTTGTAGTATGGCGCCCTTGTTTTTGTCGCAGTTGGGAACAAGGCGAGCGATCTGGTTAATGCCTTCATTTATGGCCTCGCGACGTCGACGTTCGACTATGATCAAACATTAGTGCCGGAGCAGAGCAGTCCGGGACAAGTGCCTACATACCTTCTTTGTGATTGTTTTTGCGAATCTGATGCCATTCCGGAGAGCCGACAGTGGGCTTCTGGTTCATACTCTGTGCCTCGCGGGCAGCGTAGACAGCGGCAGCAGTAGAGTTGTGGTTGTGTGAAGGGCCCATAGGTGGCTGACCCATGTCATCACCAAAGCTCAAACCGGAGGTCAAGTTGTTGGCATCGAAAGCGGCATCAGGTGGGGGCGGGTACTTGTGCTGGGGAGTGTGGGCAGCGAGAGCAGCCTTTGCATTTGCAGTCAGAGCGTTATCATCTGACATGCCATTTTGCGGGCCAACATGTTGAAGGATTTGCTGGTCGATGTTGAGTTCAGAGCCGGTGTTGGGCAGACCGTGCTCATAATTGAGGGAGTGGCCGAAATTGTGCTGGTTATCCATACTGCCGTTACTACCGTGTGAGGAACGATTCATTCGTTGAGGATCGTGTCCGAGGTCGTCAGAGCCTTCGCGCTTGCGCTTGTGGACATGCCCGTCGGGACTGTTCATGGATGGATCAGACATCATATGTGAAAGCCTAAGGTGGGAGGGCGGTTAGTCATCGAAAGAGGGGAAAGCAGTGTACGTGTAGAGCGGGAAATGTTTCAGAAAAGGAATCAGAGTAAGGATACGAGTGAGGCGCTGAGTTAATGAAGTGATCGGGCTAGTCTGTCCCCCGGGAGAATCAATCAATCCCTTGAGGGTAAACAGAAGGGGGAAAACGCGTGAAGCCGACGCGCCCGTTGAGGCAATTGGCCTGACAGACGGTCGGGATCAGACGGTTTCATCGCCCGCAAGGCCTTGAGCCATCAACCGCATTGCGAAAGCGTGACTACACAACTCTGACTCGATTTAAGGTCACCATGAGGCTCTGTCGCAAGCCAGAGGCGCGCGAGGACATCAAAGGCGCGTCATGGCTGCGGGCGACCGAGGAAATCAGGCAAGGGGGATGAGAGTCCACGTCGGAGAGGTCGTGATAACATCATAGCGCGACATGGGAGGGGGAAGAAATAAGGAAAGCGCAATCAGGGTCTTGGGGGAGATTCGTTACCTTGGATGATCCTCTTTATCACCTGACAAGAAGTCACCTGCCACGGACAATAACAAGACCAGAAGTCACGTTGTTTCGCGATATGCGAACTTCAAAACGAAGTCCCCAAATTGCAGGGGAATAAAGACAGATAAAATGGATAGCTGAAGAGGAGATCGGTATGATAATACACTTCAAAATGAAGATATTACATGCAAAAGGGATGCTTTTGGAGGGGGGAACCATCGAGTCGAGGTGGACTCACGTGGGAAGGTTTGAGGAGAACGTAATACGTTGAACTATAGAGACCATTGACGTCAAAAACCACGTGATTATCACCAATCTCCAGTATCACAAGTAGTACTTGTGACACAACACCATCTTACATTTTACTACATTAATACAAGTACTGACTACACATAATCTGAAGCTTCGTGTTTTTTTTATTTTTCTATTTTTTGTTCTTTTATCTCTTGATTTTCCCTTGAACACATTCTACGATCATGTGCAATAGTCCCGTGCCCCTCACACACACTTCATAATTCTATTCATTGATTGGCTGATCGACTACACCATCACGTGTAGTTAGCGGTGCACGGGCCACTATCAGTCCTGATCGGGCAAGTGCGCCATTTCGGGTTGAAGTATAGACTCTGTAGAGTATAGAATGAGAGATAAGACATGGTGCGCCATGTTTCTTATTCCAGGTTTTGAGTCTCCTTTTACTCTTATCTCTGGAAATGTTTCCCCTACATTCGCCGAGCATGAACCATCACATGTTTCATGTCTATCCTGTGGATCCGGGGTTGCACTGGTTAGTGGGCTAGACTCTCTGTATTGTGAACGATCGCCTGGTCATAAGACCCCCAAAATCAAAGTGGATATGTTCTGCAGAAATACCTTGGTCGATCTCCCATGCGATCACTCTGGGAAAGATTGACATGGCTGATATCACTAATCACTAGTCACTAGTGTAGAGGGGTAAAGGGTGAAGTATTTGAAAAAGATAATTGATGGGACATATTGACCTTTACGGAATGTATGTAGTCATTGGTATTTGAATCCTTATGTCTCTTTTCCATAAGTCTCCTACTAATCCTCGACTAGTCGGACTAGTAGGTAGTAACTATCCAGCTGCACCTCCCCGCCTCCACTATGGTCCACTTCTACAAGTCCCAACTCCACTGACGCGTTTCGTCTCGGAGTGTCTCACTCCGCACGGCGAAGCCCAAACATCATTTTCGGATCTGCCGTGGTATCCGCAAAACAAATGCCTTCCTCCGCTGCCCCAAGTAGATCCCAACAGAGGATCTTCACCTCCATCGATTTCTCCGCCTGTGCTCCCTCCCGTGACCCCGACCCGGCCCGTTGCGTCACCGCAACAACGGTACTGGTCCCCGCATACAGCGCCGGTGGCTTGGTATCATCTGCCGCCGGCTCTTCCCCGGCTCGATTGGCGAAGACGATCACAACCTGCTTGGGGGCCGCATCATCCCCATCTACATTTCGTGCATGCCGCATCTCTTTCTCCAGTAGTGGCATAAACCGCTGGAGCCAGTAGCTAAATGTATCCATATCGGGCTCCCCGTTTAATGCAGCTAGGGCTTCGCGGCTGTCCAAACCAAGCCACGCCATGGACACAATCACAAGCTGGGACTTGGAGTCCAGGACCCGCGAGGCAAATTCATAGGCTGTGTAGGGTGCTTCGAATTTGTAGGGGTTGATATCCATACAGATGCCAAATGACGTTGCCACTTTGTTGCTGAATGATGCGGGACCGTAACCGGATTCTGATCCTGATCCTACTCCCCCATTACCGTCTTTATCGCCACTTGCATCTGCACCTCGGTGAATATCGCCCACGAGATCTCCGGGTACTCGCTGTACATCATCCCGCGAGTGAAACTCAAGCTCGTGGAACCCCCGCTCCACATTACCTTCTGCGGCCCACGTCTCGTCTGTGTAATACAGGAAGCACTTGCGGTAGTTGTGGATGACTTCGCCGTGCTCGTCGACCACAAGAAGTGAGTTATAATATTTAGCCGGCTTATCATTCTCAATTTCAATCTCCGGGTACCCGACGCATACTTTGCAGTGTAAGCGCTTAGCCGTTTCGCGCGCCCAGGTGGCACTGCGGCCTGTGCATGCGGGCTCAAGATATGGTTTTATGGCTTCCAGTGAGGGGAAGTTGTATCCTGTGATATTTCTTAGTGGGTGTTTTATGCTTTCGTACAGGTCATTAGAGTGCACGTGCTCTTGCATAAAAGGAAAAGAGATATTCCCATTATGGTACTGGAATTAAGATGAAGGTGATCAGGTCGAAGATATGGTGGCTTTATACATACCTGTGAACGCGAGCTCGGGCAAGACCAAAATATCAGGTCTTAATCTCTCAATTTCAATGGCAGCCAAGAGGTCGGGTTTGGAATTCAAAATCGGGCCAGGATCCAACGAAAGAACCTTTCCACGCTTCAGGATTTCATTGGCACGTTGAATATTGCCATCAACATCACCCAGCTTCGGGGCGAACTGCAGCGTCGCGATGCGCATGGTTTGGCGACGTGATGTTGAGAATTTTCGGAGTGAGTAGAGACGTTTATGTAGGGGATGAAGGGGCAAGTTGCAGATCTTCAGAGTAAAGAAAACGGATGTTGTCCGAGAGGTCAATTGCAATGCCATGCAGAGATTCAACCTTCAATGTTCAAATGTTATACTTGGGTCCTGTCGTTCGGTCCCAATGGAATTGCGTATCTGGTGGATCCATGCTACGTCAGAGATCACGTGAATATAAATTAAATCTATACATTCTATACATTCGATACTGTCCAGATCATAGGAGATTGGGTTAGTTGATCTTATGATACTCCAAGCTGGTCAACAATCTTCTAAACACACTGTATATGATAAGCCGTCAAAAACATGTCATCTCTTGAACAAATTAACTGTTCTATGAGCTATCACGTTCTATACCACTACTCAAAGCTGCAGTGATAAGAGGAGCAAGCGTCGTCGAATAGCCGGACTGGATAACAAGAGACCATATGTACAAAATAAGCCAGAAATACAAAATACAAAACTAATTCACTCACTAATCATGGTCCATTCCAAAACATTCGACCCGGGAACAACCACCTTCGGCCGGCCTCCATTATCCCTAGGCTCTATTACCGGTCCACCACCCCAACCATATTTCTTCACAATAGTCTGTTCATGATCCTTGGCCGTTCCCCAATTCCACCAATTCAACACATTTCCCTGAAACTGGTATCGGAGCTTTTCGCCAGACTCCAGCTCATCACAATCGGGCAGATCGTATCCATCCCCCCGCATAGTCCAGAAGTTTGACCAGGATTCGCCAGGGCAGAGTGTCACAAAGTCATCCGGATTCTCGGAGACATTTATTAGCTGATCCGGATTATCGTATAATCCATATCGACAGTATTCGTTGCCCTGGAATGTTTGCCATTCCTTTGTCTCCGGACTGGATTGATCTGGACGACGACGACGATAGACGCTGAATTCATCTGGATTGAATATATCGGTGTCGAAGGTGATCGGTCAGGACTCTTCAGCACCTGTGGTATCCTTAATATTAGAGAGTCCGTGATAAGTGACTTTGATATGCATCCCTTGGCTCTCATTCATGGCCATTGTTGCTTTGCAGCTTAGCTCAAGGCTGAGGACCGGTGCTCCTGGACTGTATCGATTAGTCTAAGAAGATCGCTCTCTCTATCGCAGAGTGAGTACTCACATCCTCTCACTCGCTTGGATGGGTGGTGGGGTCTCAGGCCGCGGAATAGGTGGTGGAGATCCTTCCTCTACCTTGAATGTGACGTATGCACCCCCGGGAACTAGGACTGGTGGCTGCTTAGACTCTTTTTCCTCTGTTGGCGTGCCCCAGTCCCAACGAGAAATCGCTGCTCCAGTCCATAGAACGTCGTAGGTATGACCCGGCTGTAACAATTCTTTCCAGTTATTGGGAAAGGATAACATACGAGACGTCTTATAGCGGTCATAACTTTCTCTGGCTTCAAGCGTGTAACATGAAGGCGGCTCGTGTAGAAACCGCTGATTTATTGGACGCTCTGCGTATCTAATTTCTCTTCGATGCCAACTCTCTGGAGGGTTTGTTTTCTGGATCATGGCGTAGGAGGATGAAATCCCTCCACCGGGATCGATTATGGGGGACCAGGGCAGCCAACATGTTCGGTTGATGTCTTTCGTGGTGTCGCTCTCTTCTCCATCGTCATCGCCATCATCTGGCTCATCACTTAGAAGCATCCAAAGAGAAATCAAGACAGCATCAGACCAGTTTGCATCCCGCGAATTCATCCAGATGGTTGAACTGCCACTCATCTCCAGTACCAAATGTGGAGTGTCGGGCCTGTTGTAAGCTTATTAGTGGGGTTTGCTCCCTTTCTTTCTCAGGAGTGGATTAGTTAAAGTACTGCCTATCATGCTCCCTCCATTTCACGTATGAATCTATTTGGCTGTTCATGGCGGTGGCTTGGATCGAGGTAGGGGAAGTCGGGATGGAGGATAGCCAAGAAGAGGGGAATAAGCGAAGCACTTTAGACATGGGAATGAAGTGGATCTCACAACATTGAAGACATCAATGCATGCACTTGTAACAATAATATTGAACTGCTATACAAATAGAGGTCGCCTGGTCAGCCTCGACTCATATTTAATGACTACTGTATTCGTATGATTTGCAACATTGAAATGATATTGACAGATTACGCAAGTAAACACATAGACAAAGACTAGAAGATGGATAAGACGACTTAAAATATTTTATCCATTCCATCTAGAATTGTCTGAGGTATCAAGGTTTGATAACAAAAGTATGGGTATTCACTAACAGATATCAAAACACCACGTAAATATGTGTGAATGTGCAGTGTGACTGGCCATAGCCATATCATCCACGTAAAAACGCCTTTTAGCAATGCAGAAACAAAATACACTCAAGATACATGAAATTCATAAAAAGGATATCACACTTCACACTATAATGGTAAAACATTTGAAGTATGCAGCTTAACCGCTTCGAGAGAATTTATCTTTCTCGTCCGCAGTCTTCCTATGAACACGGGTGCGGCTGAAATCCAGGTCTAGAGGGAGGTATGCCAGCCCATGGGCTCCAGTCCGACGGATTCTCTGTTCTGACCGTGACAAGGTCCGACCGAGGCCCAGCGGAGTATCTGGGGCATAAGCGACCTGATACCCGTGATTCGGATAGACAGGCGGGGGAGGTGGCGACATACTTTGGGAATATGACGTTGAAGCCGAGAAACTTCTGTGGGGATTGTACGAGTTGCGGTGCTCGGAGGTGTTGTTAAAAGAAGAAGGCCCGTAAGAGTCAAAGATCTTGGGTCCGTTCTTCAATTGCTCGGCTGCAATTCGGGCGGCGGACAAAAGCAGCTCATCCTGATCGATCTCGCGCTGTCGACGGGCTTTTCCTGCTGCCTCGATTTCGGCGACGGTCGGTCCCGCGCGTTTGGTCAATTCATCGCCAGACCGCAGACAAGGGAGAGTGGGCAAATCTCTGGTAGATGCTTGGAAAAGAGAGTATCCGTTGCTGGGAGCCGGGTCACCTGCCAGGTCGGATACCTTGAGAGCTTTGGATTCTCGTCCACCCGGCAATTCCCCTGCAGCTTGTTCCTCCAGTGCTCTCTTGCGGTTCTCTTCTTGCTTTCGGTTTTCTTCTTGCTTTCGTTTTTCTTCTTGTTCAAGTTCCCTTTCAAGCCTCTGCTCCTCTTCCAGTTTACGCGCCTTCTTACGGGCTTGTTTCTCAGCAAGTCGCTGGAGAATGCCATTCCAAGCACTCTGTTCTTCCTCGCTTGTTGCAAGAACTATAGACAGAAGGTTAGATTCGGATTGATGAATGGACGAAAGCGGAAAATGCTAAGCTTACCGGGAGGTCCATCTTCAAATTTGCGCTTGATGGATGGATTGGGCGACTCTCCAGATGAAAGAGAGGAGCCCAACGAGGCAACGGATTTATCAAACCGGGGAGAGTTACTTTCAGTCGCTGCTGCGGGAGCAGCTGGCTTTTGGCGCTGAATATCATCCTCAACAGGGGTGTCATTGGTAGATTGCTTGGGAGAAAATGCCGACTGGAAGTTCGTCGGTTGTGGGAAAAGGGACTTCTTGCTTGCAGGGGACTCCGTTTCTTTTTCTGCTGGCTCGGTGGATTTCGGAGTCGGGAACATTGGGTTCGAATGCTGTGAAGTTGTCGGCGCCGGACCAAAAAGACTGGAGGCTGACAGAGGCTTTTCACTAGGCTGAATAGGCGGGGTCGCCTTTGGAAGGTTCTCTCTATTCTCCTTTTGTCCAGAAAGTGGACTTTCTGATAAGGGCTTCTGGGTAAAGGACTGTTCTAGCTGGTGGAAGCCATTTGTGTTGTCGAAGAGGCTCTTTGGCTTTTCAGTCGCGTCAACCGCAGGGGTCGCTGGCGATGAACTTTGTTGAGGTTGGGGCTCAGACGCGGACAAAGTGGAATTGAAAGGTGATTCTGAAGATGAAGGAAGCTTGAACGGTGATTGCGAGGGCTGTGTAGGGTTCGCGGAACTGAATGGAGCTGCTGCTCCGAACACCGGCGCAGGTTTGGAAGCAGGTTCTGCAGCACTGGCACCATCGAGCTCTGTCGAGGGGAAGGTAGACTTGGAGGCAGAGAACAATGAAGTGGATTGGGTGGTTTGTGGAGGGGGGAAAGTAGCCTGGGGGGTTGAGTCTAATGGCTGAGGAGCTTTAAACGAGGACAGAGAGGCAGCGAATGGGTTTGGGGTAATTGACGGCTCAGAAGTGGGATTTGAGAGGCCACTGTTAGCAAACGGTGAAGGCGACTGAGTAGGTTTTGATCCCAAAACAGAATTCTCTTCCGCTGGTTTGCCGAATGAGAAAGGAGAGGACGATGGGACAGGTTTCTCTCCCTCTGTCGGCTTGCTGAATGAGAATGGAGACGCTGAAATAGGCTTTTCCTCCTCTATCGGTTTGCTGAACGAGAAAGGAGACGGCGATTGAACCGGAGCATTCGACGGAGCAGGAGCTGGCGTGACCGGATTCGACGCAGCACCAAACGGATTGAAAGAAGACGAAGTCGCAGGCGCGGTGTTCATCGCATTGCCGCTAGGGAATGGGGACGCGAACGGATTTAGCTTTGAAGCCTGGAAAGGGTTCGAAGGCTGCGGGGGAGGTACAGCTATTTGAGTAGCTGACGGTTGATTTGCATCAGGCAGAAAATTTTGGAAGGGATTGGGGGTGCTGCGGGCAGAGGACTCCGTCAAGAAATCACTCTCCAGTGTAGAAAAGTTCGGATCTGGCATAGGAGCAGGGGTCGTGCTCCCATCTTCACTAAGGAAGGGAGTAGAGTTGTCCATTTCATGTGGAGGTGAAGGTTTCGCACGTTCCTGAAGCTTGGACTGGTCAAGCATACCCATTCTTGCTGCCTCTGGGATATTCATTCCTAGAATAACAGCAACCAGGCTTCTTCCACCCCGTTTTGATTCTACTGTGAGTTCCGAATAGGCATGCTCCGAAGATGGCGAGAATCCTAAGACAGTTAGTAAAGCAAAGAGTGGTGGAACGATAGTACATACCAACAGAATCAACTGGGCGAGTACCCCAGTCGAGGTATAGTTCCCCATTGGCGTTCTCTGCGACTTGCAGATCCTGTTCCTCACAAAACTTGATCGTTTCTTCATCATCATCGAAATGCAATACCCTCGTTAAATCCTCAACGGTCCACTCTTGATTTTTGTGTTGTTGCGACAAGGGTGTTTTACAGTAACCTTTCCAGATCGCACGGATGGCCGTCTGCCGGACATAACTGAAGTAGACTTCAGCGATGCACGCCATGAGGTAAGACACACTGGGTGAGTTGATGATGTTAAAGAAGCGAGTGTAAAATCCTTGCGCAATGGCATTAGGTCGCCTTGCATCCAGAGTTCCCTGATATTCCCAGGTGTTACAAGAGGCAGCATACAGCTCTAGTGCCACCTGAACACGAGGCGATGTCAACAGCGAAGTTGGCCACTTCGAAACACGAGCTTCTAAATCTGGCCGCTGATCGTGGATAGAGAAGATGATATAGTATGCGCGGAATTCATCCTCGTTCGGGAAATTAATGCGTCCACGGTGATCGTCATAGTAGTACATGAGAGACAACATTGTGTTATTCAGTTGCTCACGCTCCTGGTGACGATCGAAGGGTTCTTCGTTTTCCGGACTGGAGAGGAGATGGAGTGACACAATGTGGAATCGGGCGATTCTCTCCAGGCAGGTCACGGCGATCTGAACATCTTTTTCCTGGGAGACTTGTTGTACAGAGAAATCATTACGGATAGACCGTGTGCGATCCCATACAAACTTATGGATGATGCCCAATGGCTCATTCCCTCCAATAATGTGGCGAATAAGATAGTTTGTGCTCTGGAGCAGTGCATTTGGAGTACGAATATCAGACGGGAGCTGCTCATCATATCCAGCAGCTGAGCGTCGAAACCGCTTAAGCATCTTCGTCTCCAGATTTTGAAGTACGTTGGTTGATGGATGCAGGTACTGCGTGGAAAGTTAGTGTTATCGTTCGGGGAAGTCGACACATGGTAGAAGCAAGGAATTACCTTTTCACTCTTATCCACCATCTTTTGCACGATACGCTCAACGCGTTCGAATTCAGGACACATGCTAGTACAAGTACCGACCGGTGTGATGGCTTTGTTTAGCGAGGTGGGCTGATTTGGATCAGCCATCTGGCCATCCTTGATTGCCCTCTGCCTCTTATTCGCACGATCAACTTTGAGCTGGAAGGTTGTCAGATGAGTATTTCGAGAATTCCGGAATAGTCTATGCTGACCTGGTCATATCGCTCGTGATATTGGGCCAAAATTGACGGATTTTCCACGGGAACATGGCCCAATCCACCTCCGGTAGGATTCGCCGTAATCTGCTTCGGTGCGAATTTGGGTGCGTAGCTAGTCTTTTGAGAAGCTGGCGCATTTTGGGTACCGGTAAATGGCGATGTTCCTTGGGGACTTGGCACACCGAAGGTATTCGAACCCGGCTGTTGCTGCTTCAATTGGCCGAACGGGGAATTGGTCGCCTGCTGGGGAGGCTGCGCGGCCGAGCCCGTATGCGACAAGGCTGGGTTCGAAGTACCAGCACCACGACCCCGACCCCGGACCCAACCACGCGACTGCGGCAGACCTCTTCCGCGACTGATATTGTATTTTCCTCGGGGTGCGCTAGAGCCTCTAGGCGGGAATGGCGAACCACGAGCAGCTGGTGTCCCTCGTCCACGGCTCGCCGTGGCTGCGGGATTGGCCGCTCCTCTCTGGCCTCGGCCACCAAATGGGTTGAACGGGCTGGCCATTCTGCCCGCTATTAGCGGAGGAGAACGGTTAGACCGTAACCAGCCACTTCAGCACTCCAGGGTGTTGGGGTATGGGGTTGTGAATTTGAATCGGGTCGGATGCAAGTCTGGACGATCGGGTTGAAAGTAGCGAGAATGAGAAAATGTCTATCGGTTGAAGTTCGGTCGCCAAGGCGAGAACAAAAAAGTTAGTCCATGCTGTCAATGAACGTTTGGTCGGTCTGTCATTCAATGGGAATGGGTGAAGGCAATCGAATGCGCGAGCTTGGGATCGTCTACATAGGGCGGTGGCGGTACCTTCGAGTTCTCGTGGCCTTTAGTCTCTCACAGAGGTGATGATCATGTCGCGACTGATACTCGTGAAAATGGACGGGTGATCAGGCTCTGGGCAATGCCGTGCGACGGAACGTGGTGATCGGTGAGGAATTGTCAAAGAAATCGTGGGAATAACGCGCACTGTGTAATTCACTTAGTTTTCCTTCAAATTCCAACAGTAGTCATGTCTCAGAAATAGAAATGGGGGCCGTACAAGTCGACGGAGCTCTCGAGTGGAAGTTGGAGTGGAAGCTCTGCTGATTCACGCGGCCTCAAGAAAGCGGCACGGTTCCACTATTAACCGCGGGCGGCAGTGGCGCTTGATATGGCCATGACTCCTCCGTCAGAACCTCAGTCTTTTACATAGAAGGGAGTTATTATTGGAAGGTAATTTCTTTTCTATCTACTAGGTAATTGCTTATCAACATATCCCCATGAAGCATACACGTGAGGTCAAATCCAACCATATACAGAACAAAAGATCAACGAAGTGAAAAAAAAAACAAGAGTATTAAAGAGAGTCAAGAAGGTTAACAAACGTAGGAAAAAAGAAGATCAAAAACCGGAATTTGGACCAAAAAAAAGAAAAGCAACCAATATCCAAATCCATAACACACCAAGATATCTCAAGAAACAAAAAACCCCAAACCATATATCTGCGCGGCTCCTGTTGTAGACACCGTCCAATTTTTTTTTATTCACAAACGACAACTCCAGTGGAAAAAGCCCCTGTCCATTGAGTACAGTGCTCTGTGCTAATCTGAGCCATCAGTCATATATTCGTTATAAAGCACATGTGTCATGCCTTCTTCAAGTCATTGCACATGGCGAAGTCAACCGGGTCCTGCCCGTCCATTGAGCTAGGCAGGGTGAGATAATGGCAATCCATGGGGATGGGGATGTCCCAGAGAGCCAGTGCGGAAGGGCAAAGCCCTTTGTGCCATCGGGTCCATTGGGGACTGGGCATGGTGAGACATGTCATGTAGGTGAGCGGATGATGTCATAGGCATGTGGTATGGCATAGATGTAGGCACGGATTGACTACTTGCTGTAACGTAGTCCACGGAGCCGAAGACGTTCTGGCGGAATGTAGGTGTACCCCAGGGGTCATAGTGGGCACCGGGGTGTCGCTGCTGTTCTGGACTTGAGGTGGGGAAGGGGGTTTGAGAGTAATCGAAAACGGAGACGTCGTGGGGACTGATCATCTCTGCTGTGACGGGGGTGCTCAGCATAGGCTGGGAGAAGGAGTCTGTGTATTGTGGCGGAGTGTTGTAGTATGGCGCTGGGCGGTCTTGTCGGCCATCGAAGCTGAGTTCTGGCATGGAGAAGCTGGTGGGGAGAGAGCGACTTGAAAGTGGCAGGGTATCGATCGGGGTAGATAATGGTGCAAGCTGCTCGACGGATGATGTGGGTGTCATGAGGCCGTCTTCAATGAGATCTGGTGCTGTATCGTTTGAATCATCATCCTCGTCTCCGTCACCCTTGGGGCTAGGTCCCCGATTTTGGATAAAGACAACCATGTTACCATCTGGGGTGGACATTAGTGACTGCGCCAATATGAAGGAGTTAGGAGGATACATACCAACTTCGCCGCGCTCGAATCGCTCTTCCATCTTTCTCACCCGCAGGATCTCATAGATGATCTCAACGTGAGATGGGTGCTTCAGGCTGCGCTTAGTGTCGCCAGCGACTTCCTTCAGCTTATCGGCAGTGATTCCATAGCCACTAAGCTTGCGAATGATGTGCAGCAGTAACTCGATGCGGTCTGTCAATAGAGATTAGCATGAGAAAAAAACCAAGCAGGCAATGAATTATACTATACATACACTCTTTTCTAAGGTGATCGGGCTCCTTGTGCATGACACCTGGGGGCCACCACTCTGGCTTGGTTTTTTCTGGATCACCAGTGGCACCAGGAGCAGATCCTGCTGGAGGCTTTCCTCCGTTATAAGGGTGGCGGACTTGCTTGCGGGGCTCGATAAACTTGATAAATGCCTTGGCGACCATACGGCAGTTGAGTTGTTGGAAGTGCTTCAGGGCACTTTCATAGTAGCTCATGACCTTTTGAGTATCTCCCACTCGGATAGGAACCATATCATTAGACCCGGGAGAGCAGTCATCATCAGAGGCATCATCATAGCGAGAATCAGTAACAGAAGGCGCATCTCGGCGGCGACGAACCCGGCGAGGAGATGCGTCTAGATTGCGGCGGCTAGGCTTGATGTTCACTCTCTCACCAAGAATCTCAACGAAATTCTGGCGGACCTCTGGAGTGAAAAGAGTCGAATTCTGCTCTTTAATGGAAGCGGACTCATCAACTTTGACCTTGCCTTCACTGTCGAGATAGATCATAGCGTAGTGGGCGTAAGGTAGACGGAAAGAAGATCGAGAGGGGGCCATCATAGGCTAACATAAGAGTTAGCGAGACTCAGAAACGGCACAGTACCATAACATACTGGAGTCACCTCCCAACCCGGAGGACCCTCGAGGGCCGAAGCAGATCGTTTCATAGCACCAGAAGTATGACTGGGCTTGGCGTAAACCATTGTGTCGAGTAGGACAAAGTGTCCGGTGTAGCACAACCGATATCAAGTGAAACTCTGGAAGCTCTAACTCAGAAAAAAGGTCGAATGTCAAGATTCTCAAATGGAATGGTGCTTCTTATAGAACGGAATAGCTCAAGTTTGCACTAGGCCATATAATTAGCTTGATGCTCTCAAATTTCAAGTCTGCGTCCAGCATGAAGCCGTAAAGCCCAACAGGCGGTTACCATCCCCGTGCCCCGCCGGAAAGCGGTATATGAAGAAGGCATCCGCGAACGGTTTCCAAGCCAACCTATTTGGAACACAACCATCCATTTAGGGAACATTGTAGATACTCACAGATCGATACAGCTAGAGAACTTTTTCCAATAGATTGAGCAATGCGGAAGACTGCAGAGGAAGAACCGAAATGATGTTGGCAACCGACGGGGTCGAATGCATGAACGAATGTATCCGTGTCGTCGGAAGGTTCTGTGGTACAAACCGGGTTGGGCTGGTTGTATACACAATATCTTGTTGGGGGCCACAGGAAGTGGGTCAAGTGAATGGAGTGGATTGAATAGAATCTGAATGTTCGAATAGAAGAAGAAAATGAATGAGAGGGAAGAGCAGGGTGTTTAAATTAATCCCAGATGATAGTCAAGTCCAGACTATTTCAGTTTGGTTTGCAGTCTGGATGGGGGGTAAAAGTACCGTTTCTTTTTTTGATTTTATTTTGATTTTTTTTTTCTCATTTTATGATTTTATTTTAATTGATTTTTCCATGTCAAAACTCCCCATCAAACACTGTGCCACATCGAGCATGGATGATCCTTGATGGACATTAGAAGCCGGGGGATCCCCGGCAGCTTCAGAATAATTTTCTTTTTATTTAATTTCTTGGATCGCACTACGTACATATGCAAGAGCAACTTGCAGTAGTCAAGTGTTAGTACGGATTTTAGTGGACATTGGATATCCCGATCTAGAAACTAATCCCTGTTCAACTATTTGTAGATCTTGGTCATTTTTGGATTTTAATATCTAAATCTAAATGAATTAATTCCATGAGCTATCCCCACTTTCCCACTCGGAGGAGTTCCAAATAGAGTCTGGTGTGTCGATTATCGATCGCCTGGTCCCCTCTTTTCGGGAGTGTCATGGCTGTCAAACGTACGAATGTACCCAATAGATGGTTGGTTCGACTCCATAGATCTTCAGAGGCAACCAGTTCTATCAACCGTTTCCACCACAACGTTTGATTCCGTTCAAATGTTACAGCGGGATAAAGCGCCCCGTGATCCACGTTGAACTAGGGTACCATTCTTTGTTCCGTGACATCGGTTCATATGGAGGCCTAATTTCATTTAACTCAGGTTGTATCCATATAGCTGTCAATGTAAAGAAAAGAAAAAAGCCCGCATGAGTCCAGCCTTGCGTCGGTGATCATACTGTACAGTAAAAATAAATGTACAATGCAGATCAACTTCAACTTTCGGAGGTTCCGTACTGTGGCATACAGTACTGCATCATCAAGTCCCCTTTTCATGATTTATTTTCAGGTTACGGGGGGAAATAAAGCCCCTGGCAAATTATAGTGAGATATTACTGACTCGAACGCGCCGGATCTCTTATGTGATGTGCCCCGGCGCTAGTTGCAGGGGCCATATCGTCCAATAAGCGAGCCCAATCCCCGTGTGGGCCGTGTGGCCCTCCACGCCATCCCCAGCCCATGAACCTATCAAGAAGGCTTGTGCGTGGCCCAGCACCCTGGATCCTGGGAAATCTTCAAAGACTTACTCGCTGATAGGGTCAAGATCCTCTCTACAAACGGAATCCTAAGTCGATCTCCCTTGTACAGGGATCTGAATGACATCTCGCGGGGTGAACCTGGTATCCGGGGTTGATTTATTCACCTTTCGCCTCTTCATTCAGCTGGGGAATCGAATACCCCCCTGAGATCAGACCTCAAATCTCGCCAAATAAGATGAACAGGAAATTATAATCATAAGCGAAAGCGAGTGCATCAAAGCACTGACACGCGGGCCACTGGTCTATTCTAGCCGCGTACATTGGGTGAGGTGCTCGTCGTTCTAGCACAAATCGAGATGAAAAGTGATTTATGTCACTTCTGATCCAAATCCTCGGGAATGGCAATCCGGCAATCCTATCCTGGCTGGGTTAGAATCTGTACTTTTGATGGACTTTTCTTTGTTTCGGCAACAATCGTTCCCCCTCTGAACCCCACTTTTTACCCTAAAATTCCTGATCGAGCTAAACCTTTGAGTCGGAATTCAAGATTGGGAAAATTAATGAAAAATTTGGAAAATTAGAAAATTGGATAAAAAATCGCTGGAATAAACGCTCCGAACCCAAGGGAAAGGGAGGCTTCTACCCGAGCTACTGTCACTTGTCCATCTCCCGTGTGGACTCGATAAGGCAACCCTAGAACTTTACCACATCAATCTCCAGATCGGGGACATAATCCTGAGCTGTAAGATGCACAAGAAATTGTACCTGCGGTTTGATCTTCTTATTACCCCCGATCAATATATCCGTATTATTCCGCCACAAAGCCCATACACAAAAGAACGATCATCAATGCATCCGAAAGAATTGAGTTGCCACAATTATTTTTCCCCTGTACTTTTGTTATTTGTCATTGACCGTGGTCTTTACTAGTCCCATATAGAGTGTACTCCGATTTAGGGAGAATGCTACAAATCTATAGTTCCGACGTCAATCACTAGTTACCAACGGCGCGAAAGCCACGCCACCTACTCCATCATTCGCAAGGGGGTGTCAGAGGTCTTTGTTATCGTTGCCCCAACTATGGAGCCGTTCAATTCACCTGTCAATTCTCAATTTCCCGAAAATTGACTTCGTTTTTCCGATTTTTCAGATGCTTTAGATTTTCTTTTTCTTTTTCTCGCCATCAGAATCTGTACAATGCAGAATCGGGACGCCCGTTAGAAGGTAGAACGGTTAAATCTTGAAAAGAAAAGCAAAAAAAAAAACGGACTTGACCGGAGGACTGTGTTGCGCAGGGCCTAGACTTCAGTTGACAACTGTTGCAAGTTCCAAGCTTCAGTAAAATTACCCCATCCGTGCTCCTGATTGGCAGATTCAGAATGCAAGTCTTCCTGTCACATCCCTGCCACATAGAGTTGAGCCACAACGTGGCTCAGGCTCCGGTGAATCTCAGCTTACTTACCTTCGCACTGCCACATGCTGGTCCTATTAATAATGGCGAATAAGCCACAAACGCCAAATCCAGATTGAAGTGCAGATAAAGACTGGGACACTCCCTGTCCATAGCAAATGATCCACATTTTTAGAGAGTTGAAATTTTCCAACCGTTTGTGTGAGGGGAAAAAAAAAAAAGAAAAGAAAGAACTGCTTGACATCGCCAACGCATCTTGACAGGACTTGGCGTTCGAAGTGGAGAGTTTTCTTTTCTCTTTTTAGAAAGCAATTGCTATCTAGGTAGCAAACAAAAGTAATTTTACTTTTACTTCCTGAAACCCAAGGGAGATTCACGGAGTATGCTCTGTTTTTTCTTACGAGACCGCTATTACCGCCACGATGCCCTGTAAGATGTACGATCGAGAATCGAGAATCGAGGATCAAGAATCGTAGACCTCCAAAGCTAACGGAGCTGTTCGGTGGATTATCTGATGCAATCACCCTGAAACTTTGGGTCGAGGCGTTTTCTTGGCTGATGACAGCAGGTATGTGCACTGACTTCCCAAAAAGGGGGGTTGAAACTAATGGAGAACTGCACTGAAGTGATTGCTTGATCTGCAGCAGCCGTCATGTCTGTGTCCGGGCGCTTCATGGAGGCATGAGTTCATTGTTCTCACCGCCAGACACTCAAGTCTGTACTTTCCCACACACCTTTCTACCAAATGATGCTCTAGAGGCTGGAGCGCATCTCGTATCAATCAAGAAAGGGGTTTATTAAAGGGGATTGAAGAAAGTCTGAATTCGAGTCGAGACCGTTGTAGCTCACGTACAAAGTACGGAGTATTCATGATCGATCAGAAGCCATACCTCTACAGGCAAGGCCAATTGAAGCGACGTGGTAGTCTTCGTATGTAGCATCCTGGATGATCAATGCCGTCTACTCTATTTGATTTCTCGGGGCTGACCATATCTAAGGAAAGGGATGCGACTAATGCACCGGAGAGTCAGAAACCGAGCAGCCGCCCGCCCGATCGTGCAATGGCATGCATGGATCGAGCCTGGATCGGACCGGTGACAAGGTGGTATGTCGTCATGCAGCCCAGCCACTGGATATGGCCCTCCAGGGGTCAAACTCGCTGACAGGATGGTTCATAGGGGTCACCTGGGCTTTTTGGGTACTTTTGTATGATCTGGTAGGTTTTTGATCCAATCTGGGAGCTCGCTGGAGGGGCTAGACTCGACCCCGCTAAACAAATTAGGAAGTGACGGGCGGCTCGGGGATTCCGGTCCGGAGACACTAAAGCTGTCAACATGCTCGATGAGGTTTAGTGTAGGATCCACTGTGTACCCAGCAATAAGGACAAAGTTGGAAATCATGGGGGAGTCCAGGCACATTATCGCCCAAAACCAGGTTTCTGGAACGACCCAGATGTCATATGAATCTCGGATCGACCTTCTGTGATGTTTCATACGTCAAATTGTTGAGAGTTACGCAAATATCACCCTGGGACTGGGTCAAAAGAGGTGACGCAAACAATCCATGTCAAGTGCAAGTTTGTTTGCGGATTCATGCAACCAATACCTGCTTGGGACCCTCTTTTGTACAGATGATTGCTTTGACAAACATAAAACTCTGCTGTATTGGGATCAATTATTCACAAAAAGCAAAATGAAACTGCAGAAAATCAATTCTCATTTCCCATTTAAAGGCTCGGCTCGTACGCTATGTTCATCCGGTGGTCTCGGCGTGCATATAAAGCCACACTTATCATATATACACTGCGGGATGGATACTCCCGTACAGGTTTGTCTCAAAATATGCAACCCTCCTTTTATGAGTGCTATGCACCACAACCCAATCAGCGTAACTAGAATCAAGATTAGCCTGAGCGGGTGCTGCGGAAGAAAACAATTCGGGTAGAGCATAAGCCGCGTGGATATGACACTTGGTCCTTGCTGATTCCTGTACACTTTGCAAGATGTTTTTGTGATCGACCTACAGGCTACTGCGTAGTATGACTAAGTGGAGCCCTAAGTGGGGGCATTCATTGATCAACTGGTCAGCAAATAGTGAACACAAAGCCCTTGCTTTTTCATTGCCTTTTCCCCCTTTTGTCAAACGTGGCTGTATTATTTGCAGCGGGTAGCCATGTGTTTGATGTTTAGCATGGAAATTATCCATGAATACTTGAGCCCTTGAACCCTCTAAACCATTGATGCTTAGATCCCCAAATCCCTATGTCATAGAAATATGATTCCCGATTACCTGGATACCCGAATGGAGCCCGGGCCTACCCCATCACACCAAGATCCTTGTGGAAACTCCTTCAAAGGGACTTTTAACCACAACCAATCGACCTGCATTAGCGCGACAGGCGCTTCCAATCCAAGTTGAACCTTTTGCGCTAAAAGGAAGAAAAAAAAGTTCCCCGAAAGACTGGAGTTCCCACTACACCGGAAACTTGTTTCTTCACGACGTGCATTGGTTCGTCCCACTGGCCCAGACGCCTTATGCTTTAATGAAAGCCCGCAAGTTTCCTGTTCCTTGCCGGAACTAAACGATCACTTATCTGTCCTCTTACTGGCCCATCATCTTTCATCTCAAGATTCTTATGCAATGCACACCAGCCTCGAAGAATGCAGGGACGGACAAATTGCCCGAACTGGCGTTTTAAGATCGTCCCTGGAGACGCGCCCGGGCCCAATTGTGAAAATAGGTGGCTGAAACAATGTCACTATGCGTGATCGTCTTTGGGTCAAAGACTATTCAAGTCTTCTGAGAAGCCAATGAGCTTTGACGAAATCCTGGGTTTTCCAGGCAAAATGAAGCCGAAGCCTTTCCCGACATCTTGACCCATAGCCATGTCTAGGTTCGACCATTCCATCGGATTTACTCCACTTTCCACAATATCCGTCGATCTGGAAGGGAAATTCGCATGACAAATACTTCCACTTTATCTTCTGTGGAGAATCCTCCTTAGCGCTTCCACAGAACATGAAGTAAACCAAATCAGGAAGTAAACCACCGCGCGCGAATAGCTTCAAGCCCACTAGACTGTGAATGCTCTCCGCCCCTCTCTGTGCAACTCCTCTCTCAAATATCCACACCCGGCGCCAAGGGAGTACACAGTCCCCACTTACTCCGAAACCACCGGAAAACAAATCGAAATCGAAATCGAATCGCACATTTCATCACTTGAGGCCTAAGCGCCATGCAACCAGATCAAATCCCGCCATCCTGGATCTCGAGGATGATCATCTGCAGAGTTCCAGCATCGGGTGGACATCGATCTACCCCTCCATCATAAGGCGTAAGGCAATCCCGAACTGTCATCCACTGCCCCGGTACCGAGGAAGCCTACACCGTACACTAGTTGCCCTATGGCAAGGTTCCATGGTCTAAGGATAAAAACCATACATGAAAACATACAGGAGGCTACTTACGGCAGCTGCCTGCCAACTGGTACTGAAAGATTTTGCAACCCACGCTATGCAAGCCGCAAGGTTCCCGTCGATCTGAGGGGAAATAACGGAGGCTGGCTGAGAATGAATGTCATTCTCATCCCGGGAACCAGTTCCACTTTGATGTCACTTGAACGGGACGGCTCTGGCCGGACATGGTTTACATAGACATGTGGTACATGTGGTACATGTACGAAAAAGATTGACTTGCAGTTGTCAGTGCTGCCCGTTACATTGTACGTCAAACACCCCGCGAAGGCCGCCACTCTTCCAGGAATCCTAATGGCAAAACCAAGTTTTGCGATATGTTTTCTTATTCGGTCATATTCGGGGCTTCGAAGTTACGCTAGAAATCAAAGACCAGACCAGACCCTCTTACAGTACATTTGAAAAAGGCTAGGAATGTCTTTCCGTACTCCGTAAAGGTAGTCAAATGACGAAAGCAAGATCTGGTATCAGATTATGGATATGATCTTGACCGGGATCTGAAGCTTCAGTTTTATGATTGGACAATCGGTGCTCTGTGGCCCATTGAACAAGATTTCTGGAACAGCAGGCTCATTCCCCGAAAACTTTATCATCTACGGGATGGGTCTAGTGGCACCGTGCACTGGCCTCGGGACGAGGTGTCGGAGTGGACTTTGGCTCTGGTTCTGGCTTTGGCTTTGGAGTTGTCATCCCTTACCTGTACCAGTGATAGCTGAAACAAAAATGAATATCTACATGGAAAATATGGGGTAGGTCGGCCAGATCTCTAGGTTCCGCGTCCCATGACCTTTCCGTTTAAATGCTAGCAATGAAGAGGGGCAATTATGACATGCAATCTGCTGTGCCACATCAAAATCTGGTATATTGACTTCCGATATTTCCCCTCTTTCCTTTCTAGGTAGACTCAGACTCAGGTACAATGCATATTACGTCGATGAAGATCAGAGATCTGGTTACTCAGATCTTATTTCCCAATCACGATTGTACAACACTTCACCCTGCATACGGGGGGGTACTGTACATCCATACCTACATGAATAGAGATGAAACCTAATCGCTGGAAATGAAGTCCGAGAATATACCGCCCCCTTGACCGTGCATTGCTTGCAAACATAATCGCAGAAGGAGAAGCAGAGGCAGAAGCAGAAGCAGAAGCAGAAGCAACCGCATGCATCCTGCACATGTACTCCAGAACTCGGACCCGTCCCGCACGGAGTAAGGGGGTTTACTCGTATACGTCGCCACTGCCACAGCCAGTGCCACTATTGAGGGGATGCGTGGAGAAGTGCAATCTCGTTCATTCAATGCTACTTGATTTTGACAGGGATCTATTTGTGTTCACTTGGTCTATTCTTGGGAAATGAATCTGATCATGGCGAGAGGGGGCCGATGTGGCGTACGTACGAGGTGGGTCAATCAATTTATGCTGGTCTGCTTGTGTTTTTGGGGGGATTTCAAATGCCTACACAGTATGAAGCGGATGCCAGAGATTTTCGTAGTGGATGGCTAGACTTGGAAGTTGTGTTCTTGTACATTGATGTGGGTGATGCCAGCTGGCCCGCTTCACCGCTACAATGTATGAGAATCCTTTGATATAAGATGTCACCGCCACGTCTGGTGCACGGCGCTACTGCAAATAATCATGGCGAAACTTGGTGAATGTCCGAGGATTGGTTATATCATTGATATTTAAAGGCCGTTTCATGGGTCTAGATCTTGATTACGGTGCTTTGGTTTTAGCGGTGTCCAGGAGGTATGTGCTTATGATTGTATTTTGCTTGGAATCAAATGATGTACAGGCCAAAACAATATGAGAAAAGAAATAAAAAAAAATCAAACACTTTTCGAGTTATTCAGGGATCGTTCGGTGTTTGGTGCTCGATTGCGTTGCATCGGCTAGAGAAAATAGGAATGGGTGCTTGATTTGCAGAATGGAGAAAATAAACTCTTCTCTGCCAGGGGCTCCTTGTTCAGATTCCCTCAGGGATATGCCAACTCTGCACAGACACCCGCATGGCGCCGCTGCGTTTGGAGTTTGACCCGCACCATAACCCGGCGAAGTGGAAATTGAACAATCAGCATCCAGGCTCCAACGATCGGGCCGATGGCTCTAGCTCCAGCCGGACTCCCCGGGCCACTCAGGATCGCGAACCTGGTCGCCTCTAAAGTGCAGGCTGAACAATTCGCCGTGTCATGCGGGAACGCCTCGCTAATTGCGACCCACGGCTTTTACACTACTTGCGACTTGGCGAGACCGTCGCCATCCAAAAGGCCAGCCTCCTTGGCGAGCTCGTAGAATTTGCCGCCTTGCTTGATCAGTTCCGCTGGGGTATCAAATTCCGCCACTTCACCCTTGTCCAGGACGACGATTCGATCGGAATCAATGATGGTGTTGATCCGGTGCGCAATTGTGATGATAGTACGGTCTGAGAAGATGCTGCTGCGCAGGGTGCGCTGGAGCAGCGCGTCCGTCTCTACATCAACCGCGGCCTATATGGATTTATTAGCCGATGCTTGTTGAATTGAAATAGTTGCACTCACGGTAGCCTCGTCGAGGACAAGAATGTTGCTAGGTGTCAACAGAGCCCGAGCGAGCGAGACCAGCTGGCGCTGGCCTTGACTGAGGTTGGATCCTGAGGCCAAATTAGCACTAATCGATTGTGGAAATGATTGGATGTATGCTTACCTCCTTCTTGGATCACAGCATCAAGCTGGCCTTCCATCTGGGCAACATGAACTTTCAATCGGGCGTGTTCTTTATATAATTAGCTTCCTTCTCTGATGGTTTTTAAATGATTCCATCTTACCTAGTGCACTCCAGAGTGCAGTGTCATCGTGAACATGGCGGGGATCCAAGTTGTCACGCAGGGTTCCTTCAAACATGGCAGGATCCTGAGGAATGATAGCCAGACGACCACGGAGGTCAAACAAGCCAATCGTAGACACATCGAGACCATCGATACTGTATCACGTCAGAACAAGATCAATTCGAAAGAAGCATAGTTATTCTTACCTGATATCACCATTGGTTGGCTCAATAAGTCGGAAAAGCGCCAATGTGAGGGAGCTCTTTCCAGCACCAGTGCGGCCAACAACGCCAATCTTCTCGTGTGGCTTGATGTCGAGATTGATGTTTTTGAGGACCAGGTCCAACCCCTCGCGGTAGCGGGTGCTGTAGTCCTTGAAAGAGACAGCACCTTGGGCAGGCCATCCAATGGCAGGTCGGCGCTTGAATATGACCTCAGGTGCCTCGCTGGGCAGATTGGCATACTCGAGAACACGCTCGACAGAGACAATGTTGGTCTCAACTTCAACGGTCTGGCGGACAATCCAGTTCAAGGATTGGGTGATCTGAAGAGCGTAAGACATGGCCAAACCAACCATACCTGCGGAGATTTTAGTTCCGGTGGAAACTGAGAGAATGGCAAGTCCCGCAGAAGCCAGGATAATGATTGAGCCAATGAACTCGAGACGAACAGCAAGCCAGCGGTTGGCACTGATGGACGGGAAGTAAGCCCGCAGATTGGCGTCCATTCGCCATTCGTTCTCAAGGGCAAACCGGTTTTCCTGTCGATAGGCACGGATTGTTGAGATGCCGCCCAGGGACTCCTGAAAATGGGCGTAAATTGGGCTACGAGTCACACTGTCCAGACGCTTTAACTCACGAGAAGTTCTCAGATAGTACTTCTGGTAGCTAAGGTAGACGTAGGCCAGGGGAATGACCAGCAGCAGGAAGGCAGGCGTCGAGCTTGCGATGACGACCATCGTGAACATTGCGCGGGCAGTGTTGGCGAAAAGCATGTTGAAGGTACGGGCAAGTACCTCATCAACACGATAGATATCACTGGAGAATCTGTTCAGGATGCGACCAGACGGAGTGGTCTCGAAGAAGTTCATGGGCGAACGGAAGATAGCAAACGCCATCCGCTCGTGCAGCTTGCGAGAAGCTTCAATGGAGCAGAAGATCCACAGAATCAAGTTCTGTACAATGACCAGGAGAGAAGCGCCCAGCCCAAAGGCCAGGTAAACTCCGATAAACATGCCCGTGCTCTCGTTGTGACCTTTATTTTCATTGGCTTCAGTCCAGTACTTCAGCCAGTAGTTGCCCAGCACCTGAGATGTTTGAGCAGCCAGCATAGCGACCAAGTAGACTGTGACCGCAACGAGATTGCTGTTCTTGGCGTACTCACCATAAACGCCCCATTTGACCTTTCCTTGCTGGGAGGTTTCCTGGGTTTGCTTGCTCTTGAGAATATTCTCCTCGTCACCAAGCTTGCGTCTGGGGCCATGCCAAGTGGCAGTGCTAGCGCGGCGCAGAGTGGCAAAGCTGGACTTGCGCCCGGGGCCGCTCGACCGTTTGATGGGGACAAGAGAACCAGGTTGCTCCATTCCTTCGCTGTCCGAATCTTCCTCATTCTCGATGACAGCTGTCTCCTCGGAGCCTTCGTGACTTGCAAGTCCGTCGTCGGAATCAATGGGAGAAGATTCTTCGGATTCTACCAGATTGTTGCTCACAAGACTGGCAATTTCACCCTTCATGGCCATGAGTTGCTGGTATGTACCGGATTCAATGATAGTCTTATCACGAAGCAGGCCAATGTAGTCCGCTTCCTTGAGCACAGTAATAGCATTGGTGGCAAGAATTCTGGTTTTGCTGCTCAGAACTCCGGAAGGACCAAGGACCTTGTTGATAATATGACGGCCAACATGTTGGTCAACTGCGGAGAGAACATCATCAAGAAGATAAATATCGGCACGGGCATAGACTGCGCGGGCAAGTGTCAACCGGGCCTTTTGTCCTCCGGATAGAGAAATTCCACGTTCTCCAACTTCAGTCAGGTCTCCATCGGGCATGATCTTAAAGTCATCCAGCAGAGCACAGGCCTCCACAGTGAGGTCGTAGAACGCAGGATCCCATCGGTGGCCGAAAACAATGTTTTCCCGAACGCTTGCATTCATCACCCAAGGTGCCTGTGCAACGTAGGCAATACGACCTCGCACAATCACTTCGCCATTGCTCTTCCACAGTTCGCCCAGAATTGATTGAAGCAGAGAAGATTTTCCAGCACCTACACGGCCAACAATACAGCTAAGCTCGCCTTTGCGCGCACTCAGGTCAATATTTTCCAATACATTATCACCGGAGTAGCGGTTCCAGGTGAAGGAAGCGTCGCGAAGGCGAACCGATTCATCGCCTGCATGTTCCACGGAGTCTTGGACGGTGATAGCATCGGTTTGCAGTTCATCGGCAAGGAAATACTCTGTCAATCTGTTCACCGCGACAGTGGATTCAATGATCGAAGTGATGACCATTGGAAGAATCGAGAGCGGGAAGGTCAGCAGGTTAAACAGGGTCAAGGCAGGGAAGACAATGTCCGTGGTCAGGGGCTTATCACTGGTCAACACAAAGACAGTAAATGTCGAGCAAGACACGAGGAAAGGAGTTGACTGCCAGGTGAAATTCGCCACAGACTGCGTGGCACCGATCTTGCGAAGGGTGTTGAGTTCCAAATCATTTCGGATGTGGCTGAGCTTATTCATGAAGGCCGTATTCCAGGCGTACAGCTTAATGCTCTTAATGTTGTTCAGAATCTCTGTCATCAGGCGAGTTCTCGAATCCTTGTTTTTCATCTGCGTGATCTGCAACTTCTTCATCAACCGAGCGATGAATCCGTTGAGCGGAATCATGAGAATCATGACACCGACACCAGCGAACATGCTCGGTCCGACCAGCTGGTAAAGAGAAAGCATACACAAGGTAATTTGGAAGGGGGCGGACAATAGCTGAGTACCGAATTGAGTCAAATCCGAAAGGCGTTGTTGATCAACAGCCATGTGGTTGACAATATCACCGGTGGTCTTGGCCGAACGGCCCTCGCTCGACAGTCGCAAAGATTTGGCATAGATAAGGGCAGTCAAGGATGACTTCACTCGCATGCCACTATCGAAAGCTCGCTGGAAGTACTGGTGGAGACAACTTGTCTGGCAAACCGAGACCACGAACATGGCCAATGCGATGGCAACACCGCGAATGACCGGCTGAGGATCAGGACCGCGGTACGAGTCAATGAAAGTAATCAAATACCGCAGCAGCTGCGGCTGCACAAATGCGAGTATATCACTGCCCGATTTTATTATAGCACCACGGATATACGGACCGCCAAACGCCTTGAAGAGTGCGATCCAAAGAGATGGCTTTTTCTTTTCAAGCTCTACCTCCCATGCGTCATTTAGATCATCCAGGGTGGCACGGGTGGTATCCCTGCGACGAAGGTTCCACAGATCATCCTGAGTGAGGAAGTTGCTGTACCCAAACTTCATCAAGGGAGTCATCCAACCAAAAGTCAGAACTGAGAAGATATCGGCATAGTTGTAAGGGCATTCATCCTCATTTCCCAATGCATCATATGCGCTCTGCTTCTTCGGAACAAAGTACTCGAGCACGAATTCCAGTAGCGCCAATCCCAAGCTGACATTGATGCAAATGAAGTATGCTAGGTTGGTATGGTACTCTTTCCGTGAGACAAGAGATTGCAGCTTGATGCCATAAGAGATAATGAAAAAGAGCCAGTAAAACAAGACCACTCCATTGGGCTGACGACTCCGCCAATGTTCAAAGTACTGTACTGCATAGATCACACCAAGCGAAGCAAAGGTCAGGACCGAGGACCAGAAAGGGAAGTCGACCCAGAAGTTCTTTGGGTTTGTTTCGGCTTGGATGGCTGCCTGAAGGGCAGTGACGAATAAAAGATGGGCGAGCACGATCTGTCGATGCGGAATGTGTCAGTTTGCTTAGATCTGGAATTCCGGGGGAGATTGGGATTGGACGAACCAACTTGGCATAGAAATGCCAATTCTTGGAGACCGGTGCCGGGACTCGCTTCTTCAGTAACAACCATAGTGCACCAGCACCACCTAGTAAACCCCAGGCAGCGACAGTGGCCACGATGACGTCCAGAAAGCATGGGGTGAGGTGGAAGCCCGTGGAGCTCATCGGGCCCCATCCTTCCGAATCACTGCAGAAAGAATGCCGTTGACGATCAAAGACCGATACGAGGTGCGATGGCGAGACCCCCGGTTGGGAGTCCCCCAGAAACACCTGGGAAGGGCCGTCCATTATGGTGTCAAGCAACAAGACGCCAGTGTTCCATTCGGGATTGCGCAAAGGGGAGAAAGTAAAGAGTCGGGAGAGTCGAAGAAGTTGCTTAGTAAAAGGCCGAGCTTCTGACGCCGTAAAATCCGGTCGGCCTTGCTTACCGCAAAAGGCCCCAGTCAAAAGTGGAGATGTCCCCACTAACTACAAAAAGCAATGAGTCTGGTATACAGTATGTACATATGTAGGAATGTCACTTAAACTACCGAGTTGTGCGCTCAAAATGATATACTTGACTATAAACTCAAGTCATCAGTCAAGTTCAAACGTTTTAACTCTTTCCCTCATACGGTCACGTGAATTTCAATCGATGATAAGCATCCACTAGTCCCAATGCAGAATTTAGATCCTAATGCTCGTCGGACTCCGCGAGGAACATTATCCCAAGTCTGTGATTGGTTCATATGGGAATTCCTCAAGTCTATCCATGGATAAAAACAACCATAAACACACCTTATTTCACCATAAAATCTCAAGCTCTCCGGGCCCTTGCATCAATGCCCATGTGTTGATCTGCGGTGATCTGGTGGGGAGACACAACTTAGATATAAATATTCGACTCCCGGCCAACACATGCATTGAAGACCTTCCAAAATTTGATTCTCATTTTAGTTATGTAATCAGATAGTACTCTATATTCGAGGTATTCCTCCAAGGCCCAGTGATACAAAAACGACTTATTGACAAAAACAATCTTGGTCTGAAGGTAACATTCAATATTGCATAGATATAACATTTGAACTATGACGTAATAGCAGTTAGAGCAACATAAAACTATCGGGCCCCAAGTTTGCTACACTCAAGTGAAGGCTTGCAAGATATGGAGCTGAGATCAATGCTATTCAGATCACTTTTCAGTCCAAATGTCAGCTAGTTCTCACTCACATGGGCATGCGCCTCCCCAACCCTGGAAGTTGTCAGATTTAACCCCACCGTGAGTCACATCGGACAACTATCTTGGTATAGCTTGCCTTGTACCGCCACCGTTGCAAATTTCCTTGATTTTCATTGGCCAAAGATGAAAGCTGAATCTTAACCGCAAGACATAAATCAATTAGCGTGGTACAGTTTCATCATTAAAGCGGGCGCATATAAGAGACAGCTGCCACCTCTAAGCTAGGCGGTCAGCATTTGATCGGCACCGGGAGAGCATCATTCCATTCAAAGCATTTATTTGAAGGCTCAATCACCATGGTTGACTCGGCACACATCGAGGGGCTGCTGAAAAGACCTCTCTATGGTAAGTTTGACCTGAACAAGGAGTATTATTCTCGCTGACCGTTCGATAGTCTATGACCTTCCACCGGAACTGCTTGCGACCTTAAAAACGAAAACCGAACATCAACCCCTCGACGACCCCACCACCGAAGCCCCCGCGGATACTGATTCTGAAGCGGCCACACAGGACCTTTCCATCGCAACCTCATCGTCATGCCCGCTCTGCAAGGTCTCCTATACCAACGTGCAGGAACAACGTAGCCACGTGCGCTCCGATCACCACAGGTTCAACGTCAAAGCGCAACTGCGCGGCAATGCGCCACTTGATGAGATTCAATTTGTAAAGGCCGTCGGGGAGCTTGACGAGTCGATTTCGGGGTCAGAGTCCTCAGAATCAGACGAGGATGAAGCTGATGGCAGTGCCGACACAACCCTCACGGCCTTGCTCAAAAAGCAAGCAAAGCTGTCAGAAAATAATAACGAGGACGAGACAGGGGGGAAAAAGGGAGTGGCGAAGAACCCGTTGTTCTGGCTATCCAGCTCGGGCTTGCCATCAAATAAATCCCTGGGTGTCTATCGGGCCATTTTTTCGACCACCGAGCAGGACGAACCGGGTCACCTGGTGGAGACCATACGAAAAAAGCAACTGGCACCTGTCAAGGCGCGTGCAAATAATGCGCAAGCCCAAGACCCCGCCGCATCGGGTCCCCATATCTTTATGTGTATGGTCGGAGGTGGTCATTTCGCAGCCATGCTGGTGTCACTGGCGCCCGAGATTCATCGCAAGCAGGGAGGCATTGAGGACCGACAGGCGAGGGTCATTGCGCACAAGACTTTCCACCGTTACACCACTCGAAAGAAGCAGGGTGGCTCTCAATCTGCAAGTGATGCCGCACGAGGCGCAGCACACTCGGCTGGATCTAGTTTGCGACGCTACAATGAGGCTGCTTTGGAGAAAGATATCCGGGAGCTGCTTATTGACTGGCGCAAGATGATTGATACCGCTGAGCTGTTGTTTATTCGCGCAACTGGTAAAACAAATCGACAGATCCTCTTCGACAAGCATGACGGTCAGGTTCTGAAGCAGAATGATCCTCGCATTAGAGGATTTCCTTTCAATACGCGCCGAGCGACCCATGGAGAACTTATGCGAAGTTTCAAGGAATTGACAAGGGTAAAGATCAGTGAAATTGACGAAGCGGCATTGGCAGCGGCTGCAGCGGCTGCTAAGAAGAAGGAGGAGGCCAAGCCACCTACACCACGCCCGCAGCCCCAAAAGCCGAAGCTGTCCAAAGAAGAGGAAGCCGCACTATTGCATACATCACAGATACAGGCCCTCATTCGACGGTCAAAGGTCCCGGCCTTGATGTCATACATATCGACCAACTCGATTCCTTCGTCCTTCATGTTTCAACCAGCCGATTCTCCACAAAACTTCCGTTGTCCTATGCCTATCCACCTTGCCGCAAACCTGAACTCTCCAGCTATTGTCAGTGCACTCCTCACCAGGGCACAAGCGGACCCTACTGTCGTTAATAACGAGGGTAGAACGCCATTTGAACTTGCGGGAGACCGGGCTACACGTGATGCCTTCCGTATTGCACGCCATGAGCTAGGCGAATCGAAGTGGGATTGGACAGCCGCTAAGGTCCCATCCGCCATCTCAAAGGCTGATGCCGAAAGCAGAGCCGACCGGGAGCGGATTGCTGCTGAAGAGGAGGAGAAAACCCGTCGCAAGGCTGGGTTGGAGCGCTTGCAAAAAGAGGACGCCGAAAGAGCAGCCCAGCAGGCGCATAGACCTGGCGGACGCACTCTTGGGGCTGTGGAAAAAACTGCTGCTGAGAAAAGAGACGAAGAGACACGAGGAATGACACCTGAAATGAGGATGCGACTGGAACGAGAGCGGCGGGCGAGAGCCGCAGAGGAGAGATTCCGACGAATGCAGGGCAATTGAGCGCACATAATACAAACTGCATACTGCATATCATAGGTTTTTTTTTGTCAGTTGTCCAGCGTACGCTTCTGACCCGGCGTTACGTTTCACCTACCCTCCGATAGATTGGACAAATATCACACTCCTATGACCGACCCAGTCGAAGAAAGCCCTAGAGGTTCGCCTTGTTTTGCCCACTAAAGGCTTTCCGCTGCGAATTTCGCGCGGCGCCTAGAACAACTATTTAATACTTCTACTATACCTCTGATACCATTGACATACCCAGTCTCCTACCCAGTCTCCTACTGTTGCATGTCGAAGTCGTCTACTAGAATGTAAGCCGTCAGTATAAGACTGGCTAGGCAATCCGTCGCTCTGGCGGTTTATCAGTGAAGGCGAACCATCGAATGGTATTTTTGTCCGGATCCCTCTTGGACTGGTGCGCTTTCTTGAAATGTGGCGTAACAACCTAGAAATAATCGGAGTAATTTCATTCCCCTTCACTTAGGGGACTCTTATAGAATATCTTTGTACAAGGTATACAAATGGTACTTTCAGCCATAGAAAGAGCAGAAAGAGAAGACCCGTTGTATTGCTGATTTTGGAGATAGGACAGGTCTCGAGACTGTAAGGTCTTGAATGATTGAGGCGCTATGGCTTCAAAGCATGAGCGGAGACTGACAAGGAATTGTTCTTTGGAGAGAGAAACAATCGCCTGTCATAGCATGTCCTCTTGGGCAAGACCAGGTCCTAAGTTAACCTATCTTGTCATGATGAAAGCCAGGTCGGGGTTGAATTGAGTAATTTGAATGTGGGACTGTTGCATTTATCACAGAGAGAGGTATCTGCGATGGGGGCCCCTCCACAGTGAAAGGAATCCACAATAGGGGTAGCACGCAAAACTATAATATGGAAATTGTTCTCAAGCATGTGAAGTTCCATGGATACAATTCCTTTACTAGGATCATAAATAGTGTGCGTGGGTTCTCATTATCAAACGACGGTCATATTGCCATTACCCGGCACACGGGAGTGGGAAACTATTTTCGTGAATTAATCCATTGAATCCAAAGCTTTCAGATCCGTCATAATAGTGAAGAATCTTACAAACATTGCAAGCAAAGTATTCTGGGGTATCTCGTTCTAGTCGATTTAGAATCAAGAATTCTCTTGATTTGTGCAACGGGGCAAGATGTTTATGTGTCTCTGCAAGAGCTCACAGAATCGATGATGGCATAGAGAAATGCAGGTTCGATCAAGGATTTGAAGAAAGTCGGCTGTTGACAATAATAGCTCAGGCAGTCATCCTGCAAGTGTAGTCGTAGAAAGGGCCTCAAAACAAGGCCTTACCGCCTTGTGGGCGGCACATGAGGCCGGGTTGCGCACCAAGCCTTGGAGGTTGTATAATATCAATCCAAATGAGAGTGAACGCTGATACAGGACCTCGATATGCGGCAATCTTTCCGGCAAGTATGAGTTAGGACGAAGTCTTCGGATTACGGTAAACTCAAGATCTAATACACCCACTGCTCTACGACGAGTCAGATACCGTTTGGAGTGAGTTGATTCTTTCTGCAGTGGTCCAGGCCCGAAACAGACTATTAGGGGAATGAGTCAGATCAGGGTCGATAGGAACATAAAATCAATCGAAAGAAGTTATTTACCACTCATAGCAATCACGGGCATCTAGGCGTGAGGTATGGTATATAGAGTGAAGAGGGAGCTTTGGGCGAACGATTTTGGGGGAAGGTGTAGTTGTCGTACAACATTATACACTGGTAGTTGCTCTTGACTCATTCATCATTCATAATAAGACTGACCCTGTTAATAAGGGTCCTACGCAGCATTGTTAATAAACTGGAGCCCGGAAGGAGCTGACAATCATTCAGGACGTCCATCGTTGTCCGACCTCCAGATAGGAGTCAAGAGAATCAATAGTGCAAGAAGGCATATCTACAGTGCCAATCCTAGATAACAGGAGGTGAAAGGATAAGCAGCCCTTGGCGGGGATAAGATAGGGAGTGGGAGGGGCCTGCACACCCAATCATGGCGAGGGCTGCAGGACAGTTCGCCTCAAGCTAAGCTGGTGCCTGAGAACTCCTTGTGACTAGCTAGGAGACTGGGTGGGAGACTGATCCCTAGATCAGTTGGAGTGTGGGACAGGTTCATAGCCACTGGTGGAGAAAGAAGGAGCGTAGGCGCGCACAACGTGTGACCAAGGGCCGAATAGCCTGGGCAAGGCAGCCCGAGGCTAGTGGGCCAGGCCCACCAGGGTTGAAGGGACGTAGCTTCAAAGGAGGCTCGAAAGTGTCAATCCTATCTGAATCGAGAGGTCTGCTGTGTATGTCAATAATAGGAAAGTCTGTCTCAGAGAATCCCCATGCGCCTGGAGACGCTACACCATGAGCTTCTGGTGTACTGAACCTGGAAATAATATTCATACTCTGCGTCCAAGCGGTCAAAGGGTGTATCCTAAAGGGACCAAAGCCTCAACCGAGTTTCCTTTGTAAATATCAGCACTGAGTCCAACTTGAGCGGAAAACCACTGTTACGAACAGTGGCAATAGCATCAACGCTACTATCAGATGGGCCACGAGCCACTCACGCAAAGCAGCCATTGGCCTACTTCTCCACCAATCTAACACAATGATTCAGACAAAGGACCAGCGATTGATCAATAAAGATCGACAATCGCCTCTCATTCAAAGCAAAGAATGCCATGATCCCACAATCGTCCACGAAGATAAGACAAAAGGGACAAAGACCCGCTACCAAGACCAGATAAGGCGTCCAAAAGGTGAAGTTGTGAAACCTGATGAATACAGAGTACGGATTTCCACGAAGGAGAGGGTAGCCCTAGCTAGGTCCGGTTGGAGGGGCAACAGGAGCCCAGCCACCACGAAGACCGATGATCGCCCCTTAGCGCCCGTTATGGGTAGATGTCTTGCATGAACTTGCATCGAGCAGGGGTAACCGAACTACCCTCGAAGCTTCGGTAATGCTCGTGTATATCCAATAATAGTAGACAAGGACAGCAGGAGCTAATATTGTGCGTCCCTGTGCCCGAGGCTTTCAAGTTTGGCCTTGTATGTACCTATCAGTCATTCAAGAATGTTAGGGTAATCGTAATAACCCCTTGCATGGAACTGGAGCCACTTCCGGAGGGGCTGGAGCTTGGGCTGAGTAGAGGCTCTTGTCAGCCCAGCCATACTTGGAAATGGGGATCCCTTTGTCTGAGGCGACTGAAGGGGAGAAGAGTGCCTTACCCTGTTGGGTATCCCTGGTAGATGGTGGAAGTGGAGAGAGGAGCCTTCGTTCATCAAGATGAGGGGTTTGGATGGGCTGTATAGACTTTCAATGTGATCAAAAGATAGAATTTGGATACATTGTGGAAGGTTAGGCACGTTCATGAAGCTGCACCCCGCAAGTTAGCAGACCCAAAATAGTGTTGCAGGATCTCTGCAAGATTATGCGAACTTGAATTCAATCTTGCAATCTGGGTCGTGCCGCAACAGGTGCAGGAAGTAAGGGTGAACGCGGGGCATTGTATTCCAATCAACAGTACAATTCTCATGACTATTGTAGTAAGATCTTAGAATAGAATCAGGACTAAATTTTATGATAGACTGGGATCCCAAAAACTGTGAATCACATATAGCAAATATTCATTGAACAGACTTGATCGCTGACGTTGGCTAGCTCACTCTGATTTTAGCCCTTGGAGTACGGAGTACAGAGTAGTAGTGAATCTATACTTAGTAGTGATCGTCAGGTACTGTGGATAACGACCAATCATAGTGGAATGGAGATGGAGTCAGTCATCGCTGATTGGCTGACTAACGCGTCGCGTGGCTCAAAGTTTCCACGCGACGCGTGCCAAATACGATACCATTTCCATACAGAAATTCGACTTTTAATTTCAGTTTCAATTCTTCACTTATCGTTTGGAAAAGTATACAGATCCTAGTAGATTCTAGGTAGAAAGAAGGAAAGGGAAAGCTCCCAGTAAATTCTCCTCCAGGGCATGGTATGGTAGGGGACAAGTAGCTCCTCCCAAGGAGAAGAAAACTCCTGTACGGAGTAAATTGAAAGAGTATTTAAATGCGTCGGCCCGCACTAATTGGGGTCCAGTGGCAAAGTCCCCCATCGCTCATTCGCTTTGTACCTGATGCACGGTCCCGTTGCATCACTGCACGTCATTAAAGTTGATTGATTTCTAAGTGATGAAGTCAGCAGGACGATGATCTCTCCAGACTGGGAGTATTGCTCAATGATCTATGGAGACAGAGCGGGTTAGCGACCGTATTAGGAAATGTATTCAGGACTACTCCGTATATTAATGCACGGTGCAGGTCGTTTCAGGGGCCTCGTGCTCCTCTGTCGAGAGAAGTGTAACTCCTTGCATGGTGGTGGTAGGTCTCCTTTGGGCCCTGCCCTCCTTTGTTTCACTGGGATAAGGAAAGTGGGATGTGAAGACAATTTCTAGGTATAATAGAAAAAGCAGAGCTCTCAAGTCATCTCTCTGAATTGTTTGTCCAGTGTGTCCTCATCTGATAATCCTAATCATCGGTAAAGTCATTCGTTGCTTGAACCGGATTTCTCTCGCTTTGACAATTCCTTACAATCTTTTGTAAATTTTAAATTTACGCAGACTTTTATCTTTGGGTTGAACCTGCACATTTGTTGTTGGTATTTGCATACACTCTTTATCTGAAAAAAAAGTGGATCCAAGTTGTTGACATTTTCGCTTGACCGTTTGCGTCCAAATTTCTTTTATCCTTTTATCGCCCCCCGGCCCCCGCCAACTCTTCCCCTAACAACCACACCCATAACAACACCCACTTTTCAACTACGTCGCCAGTTCTTCGGAACAGGTGAATCTGGAAGCGCATATCAGCGACACTATCCTACATTCATTCTCTATTCCTCAACTCTGTCGTCGCGCCTTACAACCACCTCCGGCGCAATTGTCGCAAATCGCGCACAAATCCACTCGAAACAGTCGCAACCAGCGACTCTACGCCTATTTCCCTATACACCTCTCAATTCATTCTTTTTTCTCTTTGCGCCAATCAACATATTTGCGCCATGTTGCTTCCATCCGCCATTCCCTGCGATGTGCGCCGGTCGTCTCGCTTCACTCCCAGTCGTCTCTTCTCGACGCCTCCTCCTTCTGACAGACCATCTGGCAATGGCCTTCTCGGTACCTGTCGAGCACTGCAATCTATGTTAAATGGATCTCCGGCACCATCGCCGCGCCGCTCCAAGCCACGCCTCCAAAGTCCACTTCCCATCAACGCTCCGCGCCGCTCACCGCGCACGCGCAATAAGGTCGCCCGACCTGCTTCACCCCGACAAACTCCTCCTCCAGTCACACTCGCTTCTACACCACCACCTCCTCCATCTGCGCCCGCGCGAGGCGCCAATAAGCGCCGACGTTCTTGCGATGATGACAGCGACGCAGACATGGGCATGAGCCACGGACGCAACCGTCTCTCAACACCCAAGCGCCGTCGACACGCCCCCTATGATTTGCCTCTTGGCCTCTCTTCAACAGACTTTTATTCCTTACACTCTCCTCCAGTCACGCAATCTCCTCCTTCTCCCCAGCGCCTGATTGATGCGCGCATTCAAGAATCAGCGCCCATCAATCCGGATGCGCCTCTTCCCTCGATCGAATCGGACTCTATTCCAGTATCTTCTGATGTTTGGACTGCCGAGGAAGATCAACATCTCATGGACTTGGTTCTTGAAAAGTTCCGACTCTCTCAACAGGAATGGGATGACTGTGCGCGCCAAATGGGCCGCCGGAATTCCACTGATTTGGGCCAACGATGGAGTTCTCTCATTGGAGAGGGTCGCATTGGTCTCCGTCCGGCACGCCGATAAACCTTTCCTTCTCCCTCACCTCCTTCTCCTCCATTTTCGATCTATGTACTATACGACTTCCCTCATGGCCTGACTTGTTACAACACCTGTATTACCACCCTGTACCATCACTTGACACCCCGACAATTTTTTGTGTTTTCATCGGGCTTGTCTTGCGCATTATCTGATTCTGAGTCGCATCTGGCTATGTGAATATCTATCTCCCCGAAAAAAGCGTTGACATCTATTTCGGGTGCTTCCCTGCCCTGCACATTGATTTCTGCTCTTTCTGAGCAATGTACCCCTATGAACCTGTACTTTACTATCGAGATACCACTGGACTTCAATCGCACTATTTCAAGACTATTTATTTCATCAATACTTGCACGAACTATCTAGATCAAAGCCTCTCTGTAGTGAAACATCATGTACATAGAAGTGGCATATCTATTGCTCGTACGACGAAGTTGCTAAATTATCTACCTGGCCACTATGCACCATGTATCCTGTATAGTCTCTATCCCCACTTCTACTAACCAATCTTGAATAAGCCACAGATCCCTTTCATGCGATGCATGCAATCCCCCACGCTGACTGTAACGCCACTGCCGGGATGCCAGGATACGTGGCGCCATAAGATAATAGCCCTGGATACTCGATGTAGGTCTTTCGAGCCGAGCCGTAGAGTGTCAGGATCGATTCCATTTGGAGGATGTATAGACCCCCACTGGCATACGCGTAAAAGTGTATTAGTACGTTCTCTGTTACATGCGGGTGCGAAGGGGTGCAGGGTTCTTGGATTGGAATATGACCCGATGCAGCTGTTGGTTGATTCGGAGGCGAAGCTTATGGCGGATTGTTGACACGAGGGTGATATTTGCTGGGGATATTTTAGGGCTTGTTAGGGGACTGAATGAGGGGAAGGCTACTGATGTTGTGATTGTTACTTCGGGTAAGGCGAAGCGTATGAGACTGCCATTGCGATTTTTGGGCCTGAGGGTCCGTTGATTGCTGTGGGAGCTCCGTTGTGGGATATTCACGCTGATGCTTTATCTTGTGAATCAGGCTTTGAAGAGAATTTGGTTATTTCCTTTTCGGGAATGAAATTTGTGTGCTGATGCTTGATAGGATTATTGGACTGAAGGTTCCGGGGCTGATTGGGTGTTCGGAATGTATTGGATTTTCTCATGAGAAGGAGACTTATGCTAGGGTCAATCCGAGGGAATTCAAGTTAGAGGGTATTAATGAATCAGATGATTTGCATGAGATAGCTATTCGGTTCGGATGGTTTGTACACGGATATACGGACCTTTATTTATCCAAGAGTGAATGCCGATTCCCGATTAAGCGTGGGATTTGACTTGAGTATATTCAGAGTTATACCGGCTCTCTGCCGATGAACCCTTGAATTAAGTTAATGTCAACTCACCATTACAGTCCTCATTGAAATTGCAATCGTGGACTTTCGGTCTGGAATCTTATAAAAGACCGTCGGCGATTTAATGTCATAACGGATGGGATTGGCGAACTGCATAATATTCACTGAAGTAACCGTTGGCGTCTCAGCTCGGCAAAGAGAAACATGGAAGCTATATCCGTCGCATCCGGGCCGAAAGGGAGTAAAACTTGAATCAATGAACCAGATTCAGGGAGGAGCTAAGCTTCTTTTTTAGACGTTCAGCCCCTCGGTGGAGTTGCTCTTCCCCAATGAGCTTTTTCGGAATTGCTAGTAAGTGGAGATATAGATTTATTCTGGTGGGTCTATTCATTGTGTTGACGACGCCTTGAATAGCATAAAAATAGGTAGCAGAATTTAATTTCGGACCTTGGAAACGGCTTTAATTCGGCTTTATTTGCATTTTGCGAGCTGCTCCAGCCTGGCCAACATACAGCTACAACATCAACATCGACATCAACACAGCACCATTTGCAGAGCATGCCGAAGAGGACCGGGCAACTTGTCTGGTTCGTGACCGGCTGCTCCTCAGGCCTAGGCGAGGCTCTGGTGCGAGCCATTCTAGCCAAAGTACCCATACTCGCACCCCGGGGTTTCACGTACATAACTAACCCAACCCAGGGAGATAAAGTCATAGCCACGGCCCGTGCAAGCGAGGGAATCAGAGGAGAAGACCGGCTCCGCGCACTGCAACACGCTGGCGCCAGAGTACTCGAATTAGACATAAATTCCCCCCAATTAGATCTCATTGAGATAGCAAGGGTGGCATGGGGAATGTACGGCCATATAGATGTGCTAGTGAACAACGCAGGCTACCTTGATGTCGGAGTCACAGAACAATACGAGTACATATTTATCCCCTCTCCCCAGTGCCTATCCTCATATGTTAAGATACAGAGACTAACATGAGCAGCACAAAACACTTAACAAATATACTTCACACAAACGTCTTCGGTCCTCTCAATTTATGTCGCGCCTTCCTCCCACTAATGCGCGCCCGCAAAACCGGCACTCTCCTTTTCGCAGGCTGTGCAGGCCTCTATAACGCCTCAAGCTATGTAGGCTCCAAAGCGCTCTTAGAAGGAATAGTCACACATATGGCGGATGAGATTGCTCCATTCGGACTCCGAACAAGCATAGTGATGTTTGGATATTTCCGCACAGAGCTGTTCGCGCCGGGGAATATCAAATGCAGTGCGCCGAATCGCGTACCCGATTATGCGGAGCTGGATCGTCTTGTTGAGCAGATCTGTACGCAGGCAGATGGGACGCAGGCGGGGGATCCGCGAAAGGCGTGTGAGTTGGTCGTTGAGGCTGTTAGGGGGGAGGGGAGGTGCTTTGGAAAAGACTTACCGCTGAGGTTGCCTGTTGGGCCGGATGCGTTTGAGGTCATCAGGGAGGAGTGTTTGGAAAAGTTGAGGATTTGTCAGGAGTGGGAGGGAATTACTACTGAGACTAATATTTTGGAATGATGGAGGATACCATTGGAATGGGATTAGGAAAGAAAAGGGTGGTAATGCGATTTTAGAATGCATGGATGCATGACATGGACATAAATGTACAAAACACCTCCCGACGCCGGACACCTGGTTTGATTGTCTTGGCTAATTGCGAAAATAGACTCATGGAGCAGTTGCTCGATCCAATCAATTCAAAATCTGGGGATAATTAGTATGGCATCAAAAGAAGGAAGGAAGAGAAGAGAAGCATACCGGATTTCATAGCTTCCAGCGCGAGTCATGTAGCGCACCCATTTGACAGAGCTGTAGTTGCTCTTCTCAAAGACCTTAAGATAGCGGACCAGCAGACCAGATGAGGTAAACATAAGCAAACTGAAAGAAAGGCAAATCGGTGGTCGACTCCAAGCCTTCTGGTGTGTCATGGTAGTAAGCGTAGCTTCCGCATTGAGAACGAACTCAGCTTGACCCGAGAAGCGAGGAATCTTCCAAACAATGTTGTTCTGCTCAGGCTCATACTTCGCACGGCCCTGACTAGTCCGCTCAGTAGTCTTGGCGGTGTTAAGCGGAGTGGGGATACGAATAACAACATTCGTCGCAAACAGCTTCGCGCTAAAATTCGCCTTGATAGCCACACTGTACTCAACCTTGGTGGTACCAATCTCCCGCACGATAGGATGTACCTTGAAGGGAAGGTTGACGTTCTCCGTTGCACGATACCGCATCAACTCGAACTCGCCGTCCGGCGGCACGAACGAGATAATCCGGTCCGCGTCAAACCGGCCGAGCTTCACGCATTGATGGAATTGACAATCCTCCAGCGTGACAGAGCCCGCCGCAGCTCGGGTCGCTTTCCCTGCACCTGATGTTCCACCACCGCCACGGCTCTTGGTCGCCCCGGAGGTGTCGCTGGTGTCGAGAAGCAATCGGTCGTTAAGTCCGAATTTGCACTCTGGTGTACCGGTGAGGTATGCTCGCATGACGATCTGGCCATTCACGTCGGCGCGAAGGACGGTGCCGGTCGCTGACATCAGGAGGTTGACATCTTCGATAACGTCCACGAAGGCTTCGTTCTTGCGGTATTTAATATCTGCACGGCGCCATGATTGCGCACCGGTTGCTTGCATGGTAATCCGACTAGAATCTGTTGGGGAGTTTGCGATAGCTGACTTGACACCTTCGGTGGTGATATACATTTTCAACGTATCAGGATCGGTATTTTGGGGGTATCCGAAGTCGAGGATTTCTAGCCGCCCGGAGAAACTTATTAAAGGCATAATATGAGAATCGGACAAAATGAACTCACCATCAAGCAATTCGTAAATCAACACAAAGTTGTTCTTGACGGCCTCCTCGTCCAACTTGCCAAAATAGCTCTTGCCCAGCATGATAAGCCGGTAGAGGAATTCGAAGACCAGAGCAGCATTGGAGTTGCTCTTGGTCACAGCGACCAGGTAGATATTCTCGTGCTTGACATGGCTGAAGGTGGTTGAGCCCAGTGTCAGGATCGGGGAGCGGACCTGCGGGTTGGAGATGACTTGGATGCGAAAGATATCAGCCAGGCGGGGGCGGCAGTCACTACGGAAAGCGCGGAAGATGAGGTTCTCGCCCTTCTGGTTAAATATCAGGATCCCCGAGAGCATGGTGGATGTCCAGGGCTCATCCCGTTGAGGTTCTGAATGCAGGAGCTCGGGGGAAAGATGTGGGGGTCTGGATCGTTATCGACACCGCCTGAGGTCAGGGTTCGAACCACAATACAGGAAGAACTGAATACCTAAATATAGATCGGCGTTATTGTGTACGGAGTATAAAGGTATTAAATATTGCCAATTGATTCTACAAATGTTTAATTTCATGTTTGTTCTATCGTGCTTTTAAGTAAGGAGTCTCATGACATTTATACCCCTGAGAAGCCCACTTTGGCATCCACTTGTTCAAGGAACTGCTACACTTAATCTCAATAAGGCTCACAGACTCGTCTACAGTCCAATTTGAGATCACCTGGAGATATCCCATGTGCTTATCAAGATTTCGAATTAATTACGACCATGATTTCCTATACTTTCCAACGTCTACCCCTCCATTACTTGGATACACCGCAGACGCTTTGGACATCCGTTCGAAACCCCGGGCCCCATTCCTATTGTTTCTTTTTTTTTATTCTCTACATATGAACTTGGAGAGCTTTTGACTACTTCACTTAACCGGCAGGAAAGGAATTAGGATACTGAGTAGGATACCGCGTAGGAGACTTGGTAGCAGATATTAAATAATACCTAGGTAGACCATTTGCGGACAATCTCTAGTTGAATATGACTTAGTAGGTAATGTGAAAGCAGAAGTTATGTGCTCAATTAGACCACACGGCCTTGATATTTGCTTGCAGGTTCTGAGAAAAACAAGTCGAACCGATATAGAAAGTATGAACAAGGTCAAAACGATAGTAGCTAATAGTAACAATGATTCCCCAGCGACCTCATGCAAGATTAAAGTCGAGCCTTTTGTGAGAAAGAGATTAGGAAGAAGAGAATGGAAGAATCGCCGCTGGGGAAGGGATATCATGCAAAGCCGAAAGATAACAAAGATTAGAAGGAAATATACGGCCAGGTCGGTCGCATGGATCAATTGGCCGGACCAACACCCGTACTCGGCCTGGTATTTGGCAAAGATGGTGCCTCACTGGGGACGATGCCGACCTTGGGATCAGGAATCTGGATGTCAAGGGACATGTATGCTGTGCGGCGGAGACTCCAAATGTGAACACCGTCCTTAGAACCGACTTCACGGTTCCATTTCTCAAGCCAGTCCTCGACGTATTGCAACGACCCTTTAACACCAGGTGCGCCGATGTCATCCCAGACCCAGCCAGTCAACAAGCCAAGCGCACCATCAATCCAATTGCGTAAGCTGAACGGGTCAAATGCCTTGACCAGGCCATTGTTCACGGTAGCGATGACGTTGCGGAATTCCTGCTCCGGCAGTAGAGGGTCCAAAATCTCGGGGTAGAGGTTAGAGAATGTGGGTGCCAAATCTGCCTTGATCATCCAATCGCGTCGAACGCGAATGACTCGCGTGGTGAGGTATTCTGGCGAATTGATAGGGACGTGTGAATTGAGGTGAGGGTAACAGGGGTGCGCGGGGCCCCATGCCAGTTCTTCAGCGACATCTGGAGCCTGGCCTGTATTCGAAGGAACGGAAGCGATCTGCGATTGGGATCGGAGGGAGGTTTGGGATTGTGCATGGCGCGGTCGACCGTCTTCTCTGCTTCGAGTGCCATCCTGAGTGAAATGCACTTCCTCGGGTGGGCGCAGATTCTCGACTTCCCGCGCTGCACTCCCGGCAAATGCTGCGGCCATTCCTACTGTGGGGGAGAATTGTTCGCGTCGGTGACGTGGAGGTAGAGCGATACTGGTGCGCCCGCTTTCAGATTCCCCCTGACTGTGTTCGACGATGAGACTGGTAGGGGAAGGGGTCAAGCGACTGCGACGGCGTTCGGGGACACTGAGGAGGGGATGTGCGTCGCGTTGATGACTGAGGGGGAGACTCTCGTCTGATCTTGCGGCAGGGATAGTAATAGGAGTGATGCGGGGGACGTGGTTGACTGGGTTTGCGAGTCGGACAGCCGGAGGACGGAGGATTGCAGGGAACGACGACGGGCCCGAGATGGGGACGCACTGTCGCCGCTGTGCTCGATCGAATGGCGGAGTCGCCTCCACGGATGCTGTGCGAAAGCCAAAAGAATGTTGGCCACGCGCGGGTAGATAAGAGGAATTCGAATCAAAGTCCCTCGATCGAGGGGTAGCTGTGAAGGACGCCGTTTTGAGAAAAGAATGAGAAAGTTAAAAAGACTAGAAAGATCGAGATCGAGATCAACAAAGCCTGACCATGCATCAAGGGAAAACAAGAAAAAGATACAATATTAATAGAAAGAGAATGAAGATGAAGAAGAGAATGACGATACAGATCTTAGATCTCAAGATCCTCAGGCTTAAAAATGAGGCGACGAAGACCGTTCTGGGCCGCGTAGTTAACTTTTGGACTATAGATCGTAACCCGCTGTGGAGAGGATACGAAGGAATGACGTTCAAATAGATTTTCATTTTATATTTCATATAGGCATTTTTATCTCATGGATATCTCAAAGTTACTCCTTTATTAGACAAGTCGTTTGCTTTCAAGTTGGTTTCAGTATTGATTCATCCTCCCTTGTTTCATCCCGATCATTGAGATGGACTCTCCACCGGGTGGATACAGGACTAAGCAGATTAGATCGTCATTCTAAATACACCGATTACGATCACGATCATGATCAACGATCTCAGACTCATGTACAAACCGAAATCCTCCATATCCCACAAGTGTGAATGGTGCCCAGTAGAATGGACTTGACCAGTCCAGCTGATTCAAGATCAACCTCAACGTAAGCAAAAGAAACTCTGCATCAGGCACAAATTCTGCAGGACTTGGACTTTCTACATCAGAGGACCAATTTTCCAACATCTGATCAAGAAGTATCCCGGCCTTTTCCGTGTCCAAATGTAGGAGATGCAACTGCGCCGCTCGCATGGCTTCCGCCACAGCCCACTGCGGGTTTTTCTTAAGGTATCGATAGAAAAGTGTCATAATCAGCATTGAGCCAAAATCACTGACTTTCCAAAGAGATCCGATATAAGCTTGACATCCAGTGCTCAGAACAACATGAGAAAATCCCAAAACCTCACTGCCGATCGTTGCCTTTCCAAGCCCGCTTAGACAAGCGGCGAAAACCAGCAGATTCACATTGCTTTGGATCGCGGACATGTCAACCACGCGGAATTCCTGGCCTTGACCAATCGAAATAGACGAGAGGAGAGGGTTACGGGGGTTGATGTCACCGTGCGTTCCAATATGCATGATCGGTGATCCCCCCTCAATATAGTGCTGAAAGTCCTTCCGAGATAGTTGGGACGCTTCGATGGGCCATGTACCAAACATCCGGGCAATGTTGACAGCTTCTATGCCCGCCATGTGTAGATTTACCTCCTCGCCGCCTCGCGTAGCGCCGTATGGCTCTTCTGTAGGCGACTTTGCCAGAACTGAAACTGTCGGTGATACCGATGCTGACTTGCGCTGGGAGAGATAATATAGGACAGACATACTGGGGACTTGGGAGACTTCGGCCTGCATGATGAGTGGCTTGTGATCAAATGGGAGGATTGAGAAAGGGAACGCTGTCAGCGGGTTGGATACCGAGAAAATGACATGCGATTTGGTTCTAATGGTCTCTGCGAATGGCACAAGCAGCACCTCCGAGATTTCATTACACAGATCGTTGAGAGTTGATTTGCGATTTCCTTCCTCCTCGCTGATGTAACCGTTCATTTCTCTCATGATTTTCATGGCCCTCATCACGGGTCTTCGTATATCCACTTGTTTTATTGACGATTGAGATATTTGCTGAATACCATCACTGGTCACTGCAAACGCAATCAATCCTCGACTATCAAACGTTGCCTCAATGACCACAGCATTATTGTCAATGCTCTGATATAAAAGGTTTGGTTCAATGGTGGAATTCACCGTTTCGATAAAGGTGGTTGCCGAAGAAAGGGTGCCGTCCTCCTCCAAACCTGTAATTTCTTCTTGTAACTGTGCAATTTCTTCCTCTTGGTCTGCAGTCAATGTCTTCAGAGACAGCAGTGATCTCAAAAGACGACGTTTATGAATGGCCTCCGATATAAGCATGGTTTTAGGGGCGCCAGAATTGGTCGCCTGTGTCTGCAATACCTCTAGTACCGCGCGTGCTCTGCTCATCTCAATGAAAAGCAGTGCATGGTCTGTCCAAGATATTCCCTCCGGATGACCATGCGCGTACCCTGACAATAGGCTGATAGGAAGAGGGGATTGCTCCGCAGTCAGACAGATACGCGCAAGGTCAAGATAGACCTCCGTTCTCCAAGGGCCATTCGAGCTCCACACACGTGCATCCGGATCCGACATCTGTTTAATCCGGGTTTCAACAATCTCTCGAGCCCGCAGAAGCATGGTGAAGGATATCTCAGGTTGCAATTCTTTCATCAATGCCGCATATTGCCCCAATCGAAACGAATGATCCAGGCCGTTATCCAAAAACGAATCAAAGAACCCCGGAATCATCTCTATGATCATTTTGATACACCTTCGACCTCTTTCCATATCTCCTCCTCTTAAGCAACCGACCAGCGCATTTTGAGCACTCAGTGGAAGAGATGACCGCAAATCTAATCCTTGCCGATAACTTTCCAAATGTCCATCGAACAACAGATCATCGGTGATGGAGTCTAAAATTTGTCGTGCTTTGACTCGGTCTCCAATGTAATCGGCAGCCAACACTCGAAGAATATCAATGCGGGTTGGCTCCTTATGCTCCGTCTCATTCAGGTATCGACGCAGTGTGTCTTCTGCTTCCAGTATATCGCCTTCATCCAAAAGTCTCTGATAGCCAGCTTGTGCGAACCTATGCTTCGTAGATATCTCGTTTTCAGCTAGCCCCCTTTGCCACACATTCTTGAAACCGCCCTTGAGAAGCGCTATTCGACCCTTAAACAGCCGAGTATCATGGTCCATATTCTCTACTTGTTTCACCCAAGCTCGGAGATCCTCATCGGTTTCAAGCAAATGGTTGAACTTAGCTGGCCACTCAGACGGTGAACTCAAGTCATCATACTCGCAGAAAACTTTGCGAAAAATTTGATCGAAATTCCAAAAGACTGTTGCTTTTCTCACTCGAACAATTTTCCGATCTGTTTCACCCTGCTCGGTGTCTGGAATAGAGGAGATCCTGTCGCGGAAATACTCTAGTACACCATCGACCATGGCCAGTGCTTCCTTCATGAGTATTCGAACTGCTGCCATGTTGTTCCACTCGTGTTGAAGGGTCACACGACCCAACACGATTTGAAACAAAGGGATCATGTCGCCTATCGGCATCAGGACCTCGTAGGCACATTCCCAGGCCTGCAAGGCCGCATCCATGTTGAAGTATTCAATCCACTCCTGATTGGCAAAAATAGAGATAAGCTGTCCAATAAAATGGGCCAGTATCTCATTCTTCGCACCGGCGCACCAAGTTCCAATCTCTCTTGCAGCTGTCTTCACACGCTGGATATTGCCCTTGGTAATCGCAAGTAGGATCTGATGAGCTTTGACCAACTGTAGATGAGCTTCATCTCTACCAAACATCTCCAGCGCTTCTTGAAATTTGACTTCCGCCTCACCCAATAGATCAAAGTATGGCTTGTCTACATGTCGCCGGCAACGCGCGGCGTGATGCAGACAGCATCCCTGCCGAAGTAAGACCATGGCCCGTCCTCTCTTGCATTTTCTAAAGAGCTTATACGCAGAATCATAACACTGCTTCACATCAGCGGAATAATCGAACTCAAGACTACGCTCAATTGGGTCCCAGATCGCGTCATTCCCAATCAAACCGGTTGTATCTAGCACGATCAAGTTCATCGCAAGCGGACTCGTGAATGGCACACAGAGGATATTATCTCCTTCCATCAATTTGGCGTTCGCCATTCCGGCAAGATCATCCATCCTTTCGCATCGTTGGTACAAATCATCCAGCATGATCCCGGTCTCAGGACTCTGACACGCAACATGTGCTTCAACCACCAACCGGGTCAAATAAGCCGCGATACTCGCCGCGCCGTTTGCATCCGCATCCGCGCGGTATTTCAGCCAAGGACTCGTTATCTGCGCAATTTGTTGCGCAGGAGTTGACTCATTACGGGTGCCAGGAGGCGATAGCGGATGGAATCGAAATGCAAGGTCCCGGACATGCGGGGCGGTCCACATCACTTGATTCAAAACCAGGGAAAGACCTTGATCTCGAGGGACGCCGAGCGGAAGGTACTTGCTTATATTTGCCATAAAATTCTGGGAAATAACTTTGGGTCCGATTATATCGTTTAGCATGACGGTGTTGAGTGGCCATCCCCTCTCATGGTAGAAGCGGAGTGCTGGCGGGAAGCGACGTGTGTAGTCAGCCAGAACTTTGTAGTTTGTGTATCGCAGACCCCATTCTTGTGGTAATTGTGGAAGTAGAGTATGGAGGGATTCGAGGTGGTTGTATGCATCGGCGAAATTTCCGACTAGGATTGCGTATATGGATGAGCAGCGTAGGAATTCAGCACTCTCGCTTAGGTCCAGTTTGTCAGACCGGACTGATTGTAGGTATTCCCATGCTGCATCGAAATCACCTTTGTATTCCTCTGCGAAGAGCGATCGGCCACATAGATCGATAAAGTAGTCAAAATCCATTTTTTTGTTCTCGATGGCCCCAGGGGTAACAGACAGCACGGGTTGCAGCCTGGATAAATGGTTCTATTTTATTTCTGCACATGTGCATAATGTAATCTGATTACTCCATTACTCCGCCTATCTATTGGTCCACGATATCCCTACGCTTATTGTGAAAGGCGCCTCGCCAAGAGTTGCCTGATTAGCGGCATAATCCGTCAGCACGGATGGAACCCCGCGGTTAAAGACGCCCAATTCCCACGGCTTGGACTTGAACAATAACATTGTGGCCTTGGCGATACAATAAGCATTGTATAATGGCAGATGACTCGTTCTTTCTTTATGGAATGGGGGAACGGCCCGAGGCCCTGACCTTGGGTTCCTTGGTTCTGGAGAAGTATTGGCAGCCAATGAATGCGCGGCATTATACTCACGAGCTTTTGAGGTATTTACACATTTCATTTTGTCCCTCATACTGAGGTCTGATCTAACTGTTACAGTGACAACGCTCTACGTGAGCACGCCCACACAACCGACATCACCAATGTCGTCTTCCACGGTTCTTCTCGTCTTACACCTTCCATCGGCTTAGATGCCGCTGATATCGTGAATCTCCACCTCGCCTATAATAAAGACTCTGAACGAATTGTTACCGCTGAGAAGGGAACCCGAATCGTACTCAAAGAGTACGTTAAATACTCAATCCCTCAACGAACATAATCTATCTAACATTGCAAACCCAGCCCAGAAGTCTTCCTGACTCAAAACGTCTTAAGCAATGAAACAGCACGACAAAAACTCAAATTGTGGCTCTCGGCCGCATACAGTGATTTTGTCGTCCGCTTTAAATTCGCCCGTCGGCCAAAAGTATGGATGCTTACAGGCTTGTATCTTCTAGAGGATACCAGCATGGTAATCTCAAGGGGTCACTCCTCCAAGGTATCTGTGGGTGCTTCCTCTGCAATCATTGGTGCTGTCTCTGGTGTGCCGGTTGGTGGATCTGTGAGTTTGGGTGTTGGGTCGCAATGGGAGATGACTATGCAAGTATCCGAACCGCATGTGTGGGCCGCGCAGTTCCGCATGCTGGATGCGAAATTTCTTAAGGTTGGGAAGGGGGGCTTGGGGGATGTGAAACTTCCGTCGTCGATGGGGCTTTATCGGGATATCATGTCCGTTAACACGACTCGTAATGGTGGAGGAAGGGAAGTTGAGCTTGGTTTGAACCGGGAAGGTGAAGATGAGGAAACCAAGGAGCAGCAGGAGGGAAGTATTGATGATCAGGAGGGGATGGAGGCGGAGGAGTATGAGAAGCAGCTGGAGATGGCTATTAAGCATTTTGAGAAGGCGCCGAAACACTTTTTGCAATGATGTATGATACTAATTATATAGTAAGATGTTTTCGAGAGCTAGATCTTGCAGGGAAATAATTGTACAGCTAGAGGAAGAAAGAGAGAGAGAGAGAGATAAATGCTGGATAAAGCAAACTTTAGGAGTGGATAACCTGACGCCATACTCCAACAGTATTAGGTTGTAGCTTGTTATTATTATGCATTTTGGTATACTTACCTATATTGGAGAAGAAACCCAAGAAAAGACTAATTGACTGGCATCTATAATGAGATCAGTTATGTTTACCTTGTCGGGGCATCTGTAAGCAACTCAGAATTACCTTTCAACGCAACAATTACCATGTACTCTCCTTAATAATATCTTTAACGAATATCCAATAGTCACGCAAAGATTAATAATAGAATTGATGCTTGATTCTAGTGGCGTGGAAATGTTTCAATAAGTGTTTCAAGGTTGGCTAAGCGCTGCAGTGGGGTTAAGTAGCCTTTAAAACATTGAGTAGAAGCAAATGTATACACACTTCCAGATATCACATACTTTTCATATATCTAGTAATAAGAGCGTGTGGTCATATTTCAGCTGTATGTATCTCATCTATAACTATGTCGCTTTGCCAATTTGTTTCTTTCTATTTTTTCAATGTTCGCTTCCATAACATGTTTTCGAGAAGTCTCCCAGTGCCCGCTTCAATATTCCGGCTTGAAATTTGGAAGTAGAAGGGAAGGCTTTAACCGCCTGTAATTTATTCCAGGGTGAGATGTGTTTCAAACTAAGCAAAAGCCAGAATACATTGAAAGTATTTGTGGTCAGGATTACTGGTGGTTGGATGTAAAGCATGACCCCGCAGAGGGGATTCTGGGGGCTGGCGCCAATTTAACATCTTTACGGAGAATACTAGTCTTGGATTATCTAAATTGATATCTCTCACTACTAGCTATAAGAACCCTCGAATCGCCTCCTAAGATCCTGTGTTCCATCCAAAGCTCAGTCTCCAATACTTCCAAGGGTTTCAAGCAATTCTCCTCAAATCATCCACTGCTACACACCCAATCCTGTCTATCAAGAGTCCAAAATGCCGCTCAACAAGACCACCAGTGTCAGGTCCACCAGTACCAACTCGGTTCCCCCGACTCCTTTTTCTGCATCGGAGATTGCTAGGCTGAAAAACGCAAATGACCAAATGACGTTGAAATCCTTGAAGAACAATGTTAGACAGGTATGTACAAGTTCTCCGTCGGATTGCTATAAATTATCTTATGCTATAGAATATGATTAACATACCTATTTTAAAAGCAAGAGACGAGTGCCCTGGCATCTATTGGGAGTCACGGTGCCAGGAATATTAAAGACGCTGCAAAAGGTCAGTAGTCACGGCAGTCTTGGATTCGCCATATATCTCAGATGGAAGGGTCGTCGAAACGCACGGGAGCTTGGCCAAGATATTATTTTGACATGTATCTACATGATAAATTTCGAATATTAGCCTACTGTCAAGGGGTAATGATGAGCGTGAGTGCCTCCAACTTTACAAAACGTAGTCAACATTATGTGTGACCAGGTCGTTTGGTTTGTTAAGTGCTCATTATCAATCAGTACCACTCAACGTCGATATGCCTGAGAAAAGTATGTGTAAAATAGAACATACAATATTAAACAATAAGAATTATCATATAAACCAACTTTGGTACCAGAGTTATAAGAAACAAGAAATAAGAGAATGCATAAGGGTATCAATCAAATCAAGGCAATAAAGCCTACAGTTGTCGGTTGGCAGAAGCCTGCATCCGCCGCATAGCCTGACGGTGAAGTTCCGTCATATTTCCCTTTTGCATCCCATCAGCAATGGCATTACTAATGTGATTCGCCGAGGCGTCACGCATCTGCTTGACAGATCCCCAGCCATTCCGAGGTCGGTCAGGGCTAGCAGGGCTAGTAGATCCGAGGGGTGGGGATTTGAGAGCCAGAGGATCCCGCCGCTGTGAGAGATCTTCCCGCACAGATTGACGCCATGCAGACATGGCAGCTTCCGATTTGCCCGGATCAACTGGAGTGGTAGGAGAGATGGGTGATCGCAGCTGTTCGGCACTTTGTGTGGTATTCCCAGATGGAGATCGCATTGTTTGGCGCTGTAGTAGGGTACGTCTTTGTGAAAGAGGGATATCGTCTTCGTTGTGGGGTGAGATCTCGATAGTTTCGTCTGCTTCCAGAATGGGCGATGGCGAGGCAACACGGGTTGGTTCAGCTAGAGACTGACGGGATTGGCTTCGAGGACCCCATGGGTCGTAACGGAGAGATGTTGATGACATTCTGTTTTTCATCATATTTTCTCGTACGGCGAGGAGGGGTGGAGGTCCGCTCCATCGAGGGGACTCTGTGGTATCTTGGGGTGCATTTGCAGTGGTGATACTCAGGTAGGGAGTTGATTTGCTGTTGCGAATCACATGCATGTCGAGTTCTGGTGTACTTTGAGAGCCTGAAGATATGTTCCGGTAGAGGGGTGGAGACTTTGCAGGGACTGGGTGTTGCGGGCTTTGTGTAGTCTTCGGTTGGGAGATAATTGGAGATACAAGCGGCGAAGTCTGCTCTGGGCTTGAAATTGAGCTCATGGCAGCTGGAGGTGGTTGAGCATTATGAGGTGTCTGTAGCAGACTGTGTATGTCGACCGGGGCTGCTACTTCCTCCGATACGGTGGGATCCTCTGGCTCCTCGCTCTCGAACTCGATAGGCTCAGAATCCGGAACGTCTGCATAGGCAAGGTGTTTTGCCCATTCTCTGGTGCGGAAAGAATTCACAACCCTTGAAGTCTGTTCTGGAAGTTTCTGCACAGTCGACGCATCTAATTTGGGCTTCTTGACTGGCCTTGGTGGGACCACTGGTCGGACTAATGGTCGAGTAGGGACAGTCTCCTGGCGATTGACAGCTTCTTGCTCTACCCTCTCTTCAGTTTGGGCTTCAGTTACCGACTTAAATTCTTGAAGAGCACTTTCAGCCTTGGTCGTATCATTTTTCACCGACGCCGCTTCCACTCCAGATTTCGCTTCTGGCTTTGCTTCTGGCTTTGCTTCTGGTTTTGCTTCTGGCTTTGCTTCTGGCTTTGCTTCTGGCTTTGCTTCTGGCTTTGCTTCTGGCTTTGCTTCTGGCTTTGCTTCTGGCTTTGCTTCTGGCTTTGCTTCTGGCTTTGCTTCTGGCTCTGAGGCTATCGCGGTTGTTTGCTCCTGGTACTCAATAGCAATTGAATTCTCGGATTCATGTTCGGTGCCACTCTTGACTTGAGTAGTCGACGTCTGTTCAGGGGCTTCGATATCTCCGTTCTCAGCGGCAGCGGCATGCTCTTTCACAGTTTCGTGATGATCAATAGCCAAAGTCTTCACTTCTTGGACAGTTATTTGGACGGTTTCTGGGCTGGAGTCCAGAACATTCCTTTCCTCGGATTCTGACTTCGTCCCGGGAACCACATTATCAGATGGAAGTTCAGCAGTTTGGTTTTCTTGTGTCTTGATGATTGTGACCTCGGTATCCGCAATGCTCGGCCTCTCAGATGTAATGCTTTGAATGTCATCAATAATTCCGGCAACAGAAGACGTCGCATCATTGGCTATCAGAGCCTCCTGCGACTGATTATGTGGAAGTGGCTTCATAGCATGTCCGCTCATCCATGACATCCGATTCATCAATGATTTGCTCGAAAAGCGCTTTGAGCGTGGCGTCCCAACTTCGGATCCCAGAACAGCTCCATGCTCAGAGCTATTATCAAGTGGAATATTGGTCTCGATGTGCAAATTCGTCGGAACAGGTGTTGTTGGTCTTGCTGCTTCATCGGGTTGTTTTCCTTGTTGGAGGTCAAGTCCCTCGGTGGCAGGAGCCGCAGTACCATCCTGTTCATCGGCCAAAGTCTCCGGCACAACCTCTTCCACTGCCTCGAGATGATTTCCACTGTCAGATACTCGCGCGGAGTGATCCGGGCTAGCCATCTCTGTCATCTCGATCGAATTCCCTTTTTCACGAACAGAGGAACCATAAGCATCCGAGCTCCGTCGCGAGTCGTCGGCAACAGCGGTTTCAGACAAAGATGCCTCTTTGGCCTCGCCATTGCCGTACATCTGTTCCCACTCCGCTCGTTCCCTAAGATTCTTCTCTTCGACTTGACGGCCATTTTCAGCCTCGGCCTCCTCCTTGGTCTTCTCAGCTTCCGCACGGGCGCTCTCCTCTCTCGCACGGCGTTCCTTGATCACCTTCCACAACCTCAGCTGGAACATCACACCAAAAACAGTGACAATGATTATAATGGCCAACTCTACACGGATGCTGCGTGTGATGGGGTATGTATAGGTGTTCAATGGGAACGTATCATCATTCAGCCCTAAATCCAAAATTAAACCTTGTGTTGCTTTTCCCGTCATGTGTAACTTACCCCAGATATAGAGCCAGAACTCCTTCAGTCCAGCTCGGCTAAAGCAATCGATACCTAGAACCATCGCCGTCGCGCCACCAAAGGCCGTGCACAACATTGACCCATAAGAGCGCGTATATTGGCTGAACGAGAGACAATAGAAGGCTCCTGTAAACGCAAGGATGAATCCTACTTTGGCTCCGTCGCCTGTGACTAAACCGCCGGCTTTCACGGTCAAGAACCACATGCCGATACAGAAACCACCGAGCAAGCAGCCGAGACCCTCGGTGATCTCCTTGAAAATGAGAGCTAGACCACCAAATATAGCACCCGTGAAGAAGACGGCGACTAGGTATCCGCCTTGAACTGCGTCGCTCACTGGGGGACTCATGACATATTCGATAAGGACCTGGGAAATTCAGTTAGATGATTCAATTGAGTCGTATGCAGGAAGCTCACTGTAACACCCAGTGCGGCCAGCAATCCGGTTGATAAAAATATATATACTCTATCGAGCGTTAGGATCAGATGTGAGTGTCCATTGCATGGGTGGATCAATTTACCGTTGCTTTCGAATGCCGACAAACGTCAACACAGCACCAGCTACTAGAAGTAGAAAGCCTCCCACACCCAACGCTGGTGTGATTTCCGGCTGAATAGGCAAACCACCGGTATAGGTATTTTTTGTGGAGTTTGTGGTCGATTGGTCATTTGAGCCTGCGAACGATGTGACTAATGATGGAACGGACGTGGTGGAGGCCGATTGACTCGATTGGGCGTGGGTAGTTTGTGATGCCGAATGTGTTGTGGAGGTTGCTTCAGTAGTCGTTGATGCAGTGTTGGTCGTAATCGTGGTCGCGGTCGTTTGACTGGAGTTATCGGACGTGGTCGTTGTCGCGTTCATCTCATTTCTGATATCCAATAGTGCGACATTGTTGGCATCTCGTCTATACTCCGCTGGAGCTGCAAATACCTGCCTCCATTGAAGGCAGAGGATAAATATCCCCAACAGATACCACCGCATCTTTGCTGACCTGCTAGCTTACCACGAAATTGCAATTGTTGGACGTAATCGACACGAGTAATCCGAGTAGTGAAGTTCAATTCTTGTTGTTTTGGATGTCACCTTCGATCACTGAACCATGCACATGACTTGCATTCAACGCTCTCACAAACGTCCTTGTAAAGATCAATGGAGACGAGAAGATTAAGAGGTAACCAGACTGGAGTATCAAAAGGGAAAGATCTTGGCTTCAGGTCGATAATCGAAATCGATCAATTTTCACGGCACAGCGCGGACTGTTCCAGCCCCAAATGCCCCTACATGTATGAAAAGCCAAGGTAGGAAACAATAATACAAAACCTTGGAATTATCGCGGGGCTCGCAAATTATGACATTTGAGTTTTTCTATTTTTTTTAGTGGTTTAGACCTACCGACATGTACAAAACCACGCGTGTTAGGATGGGTCAAACCTATAGCATCTCAGTGGTGCGTTATCAATTAAGGCCCCACTGATCGTGACGATCGAACAGGGCTCATCTCCCTGACCGTGCATTCACCTATGTCCCGCCCCTGACCAACTCACTCGCCTACAAGCCTTTTCCGTTCGGATGAGTCGGCCGACCACTGACTTGCTATATTCAGACTCCGCTAATACAAAATTAGTCTAGAAAACAAAACCCTGCTCCATTGATCAGCGAGCACAACATCCAGCTTAACCGACGGAAATGCAGTCTCCCTTAAGATTTCTCCCTGATCTATCACATCCGCAACAATAATCCAGCCTCTTGAATAGCGTTCATATGCGAGACTCACCGCACTGCGCCTCCAAAAGTTTCTGCTGCATCGAAGAAACGTCGAGCTTAATAGCTCAGGAGTTCGGAGGTATCAACGCCATCCGCGAACTAGGGGTTTAGCCAAGTGGGGCTGGTAACCCGATCTGTCAGTTATCGCCGTGCACAACTTGTTCTGCATGCTGGTTGGCCTATCACAACGTTAGTCTGGGGCCGTGCCGTACTTGCATGGTTCCTGGCTGGGTTGGGCGTGAAATTGATTTTAAGCGGGCCTTTAGGCAAGGGAGAAAATCGGGTACATCTGAGACAATCCCGCTCTTCCAGCGTTTGTGTCCACATAACAATGCTGCATTGTTTCATTGGGTGATGCAGGCTTGATATTAGTCTACGTGGTTGGCTAATTATGTGCTTTTCAGGTACACATATACACGTGTCCGTCGGTTCGTTTTACTGTTTTGTGAGTCGAGGCGCAGGGTTTAATTTGTTGAAATACGAAGTGGAAATAAAAATCAATAATTGCATATTAATTGTATCTTGATTTGGAATAAAGAATTGACGGGAAAAAGTAGTTGTATGGATATGGGTGATAGCTCTAACAGCCGAGTCTATGTATGATTAGGTACAATCCCTGCAAGCTGAAAAACGAGTCTCCATAATACAGAAAACACTCCATGCACCACCAATCAATCTTCTCCACGACCTGGCCTTCACCTGGCCTTCACCGTTCATTTCTAAATTGAGGATCCCAAGACGTCGAAACTTGGAATCATAAGCTTATCTGGAACTCATAGATCATAAGACTGATGTCAATTGAAGATCAAGACGACATCTATATATCATAGGTAGCTTCAGCTGCCTTACATACAATTTGTCTGCGAGAGTGGCTCCATCTCTACGCGCGCCTTGTCATCAACATTGAAGTAACTCAACACACGTCCGTGATGTAATGCAATCTAATATATGGCGTGGTTTATTTTGAACAACAAGGTAGCCGGAGACAAGTAGCTGACTCATTCACATTTCATATCAGATGATATGCAATTAAAGCATGGTTCCGAGGTCCCCGAGATGGCTCCGATCCTAGCAAACGGATTTTGAGAAAGCTGAAGCATGTCGTAGGCGATTCGATAACAGATCTTGTCTAATGCTATGCTGTCGCTGTTCAGATTTAAATGTCAAGTCTTCCTGATCCTCGATGAAAATCTTCTGTTGACAGATCCATGGTGATGAACAGACCAAGGTGCTGTGGACTCTCGGCATTCAAGCCTCAGCTGTCAACGTGAGTATTTTGACGCGGGTATTCCATGACTTGGACTTCATTCATAATCTTTGCATGCCCATAAGCTCCAGCAGTACGTCTTGGTTTTGGCAATCGGATAATTGCATTCATCATCACTTTTGGCCTCTGCAAAATCTAAACACATAGAATGAGAGATTCGATAAAATATCCTCAAGGTATTCGCCAATCTATAAGCCAAGAGAAGTGAAAGGGAAACAACTTAGAGCCAATGATGAAACGTCACGTGCCAGCCACCCCACATGTACAGGGGCTGTGGTCGACGATGCAATGAAGCTTGTCTAGAACAAACATTCAATTCTCCCTGGTATGCTTAGGTGCCCCTCTTATCAACCTTTCACTGGCATTATTAACCCCCAAATTATTCCAGACTTCTATATCTCCTATCTCCGGTTCCGGGCGCAACCTTGCCCGCCATGGATGACCTAAACGGGCTGAGCTGGTCCTCCAACTCAAATACACCGGCCAATAAACCCCCTCCAATGTCCTCGGGATTGATGTTCCCCAATATACACCAAAATAGCGCATCCAGTAGATCTACCCCCCTGTCCGCAACGTCGAACCGATCCAATTCGCCATCGAAACCCGCCCCGTCCAATGGAGACAGCTTCGCGAACTTGGTGTCCTTCGGTTCCGCCGCCTCAAACAAGAATCTCTCTCTACTGGAGCAACAGAAAAAAATAGAAGCGGAGAAGGCGAAAAAGGAGGCTGAGAAAAGAAGCCATTTTGAGTCGCAATACGGTGGCCAGAACTCGCAGTTTTGGGATAGCCTCGAGCATGGCCGTACACAAAGCCCTGCAATTGGAAAACTGTCGCAACCCGTCGCACCCCCCACAGATGAGGATGATTTACTAGCTGCATTTAATTCGAAAGCGCCGGTCGATGCTTCGACGAACTTTCCTATTCCCAGCGCCTCTCCATCACCCCGGATCGGCACGAACACTCCGCAAGGATCCACTGGTGGGGGTATCACAATGCAGGACAACACGGGTGGAATGGACGCATTCAACGACGATGATCCGTTTGGTTTGAGCGAGCTGAAAGCCAAGTCCGTCTCCCGCCCGGCGCCTGCGCCGGCGCAAGATGACGATGACGATTTCCTTGGATTATTAGGGAAGCCAGTGTCCGAAATCCCGCGTCAACACGTGGCACCAGAAACAAGAGCATCCCCCAGCCATGACCGACAGGGTGATGCATCGCCCATGCCATCAAACGAGGTGGACCGGGCCATCGCAGAGCTGGTCGATATGGGATTCCCTGCAGATAAGGCTCGCCAAGCCCTCAGAACAACCTCATCAGGCACTGATGTACAAGGTGCGGTTGGCTGGCTTTTGACAACGGCCCATGCCGAAGCTCGACAGAAGTCGCAGGGACAATCACCAGCTAACGGTCATCCGAATGACCGACCGGACCGGAATCAGAGCCGTAATCGGGATGCGCCACCTTGGATGAGTGAAGGAAGATCGCAGACCCCCCAGTCGCGTAATGAAAGCAGGAGTCCTGCCGCTGGCGAGAGAGATCCGGCTCAAATAGCACAACAATTCGGCACCAAATTCTTAAAATCTGCAAACACGCTATGGAAAACAGGAAGCAAAAGATTCCAGCAGGCTGTGAATGAGTTTAACGCAGAGAGTGACCCCAGCCAGCCTAAGTGGATGAGGGATGCATCTGCTCCTCGTGAGGAGTCATTTTCCCAGCCACGACCCACCCGGCAGGGTGATGGAACAGGTCAACCGCAAGGGCAAAACGCCCCAAGCTTTACAGATGAGGCGCTTCTGCTTGATTCAGGGGATGTGCGCCCTCGTCAACCGCCGCGGCCATCTCAAAGTGCCCAAGAAAGCCGTGACCGCCCCCAGCCATCTCCCCCTGCTGGTCAGCGCATGCAGTCACCTAATTTCCTTCAACGACCATCAAGACCCAGTTCGCAAGAACCAAAATCTCGGCTCGCGCGATTCGCCGCAGAAGAGCAATCCGCGCAAAATTATGTTAGCCCGGCAAGACGCAAGCGGCCCCAGCCTCAGGCGCCGCCACCGGCAGCAGAGCCTGATGTCGATCTCTTTGATTCTCCTGTTCCTTCATCTAACCGATCAAAACCTACACCACAAGCTAAACCTTCGCCGCCTCCTGCACGGTCGGCCTCTATTCCTGTACGACCCAAGGGTCCACCACGCGCAGTCCCTCCTGTCTCCCCTGAGGCTCTTCAGTCTACTCACCGCCACCGCGAGAAAGCTGCCGAGTTATACAAGCGGGGTGACTATGCAGCTGCACACCAAAGCTTCTCTACCGCTCTTGGCATGCTGCCTGATAAGCATCCAATCACCATCATGATCCGCAGCAACCGTGCCATGACGGCGTTGAAGACCGGTGAACCCAAGACCGCGATCGACGACGCCGACATCATCTTGAGTGTGATCGGCAATTCGAAGGGCGAAGATGAAATGATCGAATTAGGAAACGGCGAACCTGCCAAGGCAATGAAAGATTTCTACGGCAAAGCTTTGATGCGTAAAGCGGAGGCCCTGGAACAGCTCGAGCGCTGGGCCGACGCCGCACAGGCATGGAAGCTGGCTGTGGAGTCAGGCCATGGTGGAAGCACAAGCATCCAAGGTCGTAACAGGTGCGAGAAAGCTGCTGGGATCAGCAAACCGCCTCCGAAACCGTCAGCCCCCGCCAAGAAAAGAGCACCACCTGCACCCAAGAAGGCGTCTGCGTTGTCTGACCTTGGTGGTTCGACGTCCGGGCAGGACTCGCAAGCCGTCAGCCGTCTTCGTGAGGCCAATCAAGCTGCCGAGCGCGCTGATCAAGAAAAATTCGCTCTCACAGATAGTGTCGACGCAAGGATCACTGCCTGGAAGGGCGGGAAGCAGGATAATCTGCGTGCCCTTTTAGGCAGCTTGGATTCAGTACTCTGGCCCGAAGCTGGCTGGAAGAAGGTTGGCTTGGCAGAGCTGGTTTTACCAAACAAGGTAAAGATCAATTACATGAAGGGTATTGCAAAGGTACACCCTGATAAGGTATGTTTTAACTTGACATCAAATATACTATAGATTGCGTTGCTAATCGTTCTCTAGATCTCCACCACGGCAACAACAGAACAGCGCATGATTGCCGGTGCAGTGTTTGGAGCCCTAAATGAAGCCTGGGACAAGTTCAGAATTGAGAACAATCTTTGATTATACTGCCATACTCCCTGTCCATGGTTTGTTTCTAGCATTGCGCGTTGCCTGTCACATACCACCCTTCAAGCCCCATATTTGCCTTGAGAATATTTAGAACATCTTCCATAACAGCATGCATTGACTGCACATGTGACCCATGAGACTATGATTGAAAAATCCAATATTTGTGTTCATTTCCATATTTCAGTTCCCGCATTACAAAGTGTAGGTAGATGACGCCTCGCAGATATTCGCCTAGTATGATTTGATCTTGACAATGAGGCAAAATTCGGAATTCAGAGAACGCACTTGAACCTGAAAATTGGATGCTGAAGATAATCCGCTTAATAGTACATGCATTAATTTGGTATAACCATTCTCATCATGCCTCAGTCTTCTCCTCTGAGGCGGGCTCTTCTGCTTTCTTTTGCTCCTCCTCCTTGATCCGCTGTGCTTTGAATTCCTGCTTCATCTGCTTCCTGCTCTTCTCATTTGGCTTGTTCTGGGGTGTATCCACCTTTGTCGGGGGCCACTGCTGGCGACACTTTTGCTCATCCTCTTCGGACCAATCCCGAGGGAGAATGGCAAACACCAAGTAGGAAGTGTGAGTCTTCAGCTCCGGCTCGGGGCGGTGCACCAGGCGACCCAGACTATATGTCGGCGCTGTTGACTTTTCTGTTAAGTATTTCGCCGGGGCCTTGAGATTCTCTTTTTGCGCTGCGGCCTCATCCGTATCGGCATCAGCATTGGTATCGGGTATATTGAGGCGAATGCGCTTAGCACGCTCCTCGTCTGCCCATAGCTTATGAGCCGCTTCCTCCACGGTTACGGGGTAGACGTTCCCTCCGCGTACACCCTCGAATTCGAGTCCGACAAATTCACGCTTCACGTCGATGCGGTTATGCTGTACCTCCACCATGGAGATGTTCAACCAGGAAAGCTGGCGCATTGTACGGATAGTGCGTTCCGCTTGTTCGAGACACGGCGAAAAGGTACAGATGTATGCGGTCGAGGATGGGTCCAGTGGAGACTCGCCGGAAGCTGGCTTGCGCACAAGGTGGGGCAATGCGAGCCAAGGGGCAGGCAAATCGAGAAAGATGGCGTTGGCTTTTGGTGATTTTCCCGTCTTGGGATCTCCCAATAGGAATCCATCCTCGTAAACGTCGCGGTGTGTTACCTCGACCAGGCCATCCAGTCCATGCTCCGTGATCTCCTCCCGTACCTTAGCAGCGCGCTGTTCGTGGAACTCAAAGCTGCACACTTTTCCGAGTCTTCGCTTCTTAGTCGCCTGCTCCTCTTCGCTGGGGTATCCGTTGAACACTGCGCGGACAGATGCGTGGGTGAACGAGCCACTACCAGCACCGGCCTCAATGATTGTACTTCCTGCGCGCACGCGGAGCCGGTGCAGGATGTAGCTGTAGTCTGGGGTGTATACGACCTGGGTACGGTGGGGAAGAGCATATGTCCAGGATTCGGGCGTGGGGTACATCATGTGTAGGAATCCGCTTGCTGCGGCGACCGGTGTCTTGACAGATGGGGTTTCGTCATCATCAGCGCCAGTGGTCGTGCCCGAAGCATCCAGCTCCTCGGCCTTGCGCTTGGCTGGATTCTTCGGTTTGCGGCCGCGGGAACCTGTGTCGACTTTTGAGGCTGCAATTTGAGAGCCCCAGGGTTGGCTAATAAGAGTGCTGTGCGGGAATGATCCGAAGCGGGTATTGGCAACTTTTCCTTCCTTGTAACCCAGGTTCTCATCGTCGTGGGTGCGGAGAATTGTCGGGATGGTTTGATCGCGACGGATATGGAGCATCGCAAGGCTGTCGGGCTGCGAACAGGCGCCGGGGGTGAGGAATGGCGACGGCATTGTGATTGGAGAGCTTGAATCAGCTCGATGTATTTGGTTGTCGCAACGGGGATACTTCCTGAGGCGTCAAGAGTTGTGAAGAGCTAAAGAAGCTATGATTGATCTTGAGAAAATGCAGATTGACATTTCCTATCTTGGACATTAGGGCTCAGGGCTTGCGGGACAACATTGAGCATGGACCAATCATAAAGCATACCAACTTTACGATGACTCAATCTGCGTGTTTCCCTTGCTAAAGTGCCCCTCTTGATCTTGTGGTCTGCCTTTTCTAATTCCTTTATGCCCCTCTTGCCCCGGCTTCTTCTGTTTCCCAAGCAGCAGTTCCGCTTTCTGTCTGTATCAATCTCTGGCACTAGATCCATGTCATCTCGACAGCAGCCGCCATGGCGGCAACCTGCCTCGCACCCCGAAGCGCAGCAACTCCCGCCTTTGAAGGTGTGGAACTCCTTGACTAAGTCTAAGACACCCTTTATTCCGATCGATCCTGCCGGCAAGAAGGTGACCTGGTACGCGTGTGGGCCGACTGTTTACGACGATTCGCATCTGGGACACGCCCGAAACTATGTGTCCACCGATATCATCCGGCGCATTATGCGCGACTACTTCAAGTTCGATGTCCACTTTGTGATGAACATAACAGACGTGGATGACAAGGTATGGCTCCTAAATTGGCGACTTAGACCCCAAGCCGCGCGCGATGACTTACATAGCTTCCACCTATAGATCATTCTGCGCGCCAGACAGCAACACCTTTTCAACGAGTTCGTCGCAATCAACCCCACCATCACACCGGAGGTGCTCGACACCACAAAGAAAGCGTATGCGGCTTACATCAAGAAGAGTCTCCCTCTTTTGACTCCCGACCTCGCCCCTGCCGAATACCAAAAAGAGGTGGAGAAGGCTTACGCTACAGTACTGAGCGGCGGAGCTCTGGCCGGCAACGAGAAGCCAGGCGATGACGAAGCTAAGGTCAAGATGCATATCAAGACGGTGGCATCGGCTGCAAAGGTTCTTGCTCAAGCAGAGACCAGCACAGCTGCCGACTCCCCGTTGCTCGCCGAGTCTTTCTACACCAACGCTCAGGATGTTCTCCTCCCTTACCTGGATGCCTTGAAAGGTGCATCAATTGACGCCAATGACCATGGAATCTTTACAAAGCTTACCCGCAAATACGAGGAGCGATTCATGACAGATATGCGCGATCTTAATGTTCTCGACCCTGACGAGCTGACCCGTGTCACGGAATATGGCGCTGAGATTGCTGATTTCGTCGAGCGTATTGTGAAGAATAACTTTGGATATGTGACCAAGGACGGCTCGGTGTATTTCGATATTAACGCCTTTGAGAGTGCAGGACACGCATATGCCCGCCTTGAGCCATGGAGCCGCTCTGATAATAAGCTGGCTGCAGAGGGAGAGGGAGCTCTTACTAGCAAGACCACCGAGAAGCGCGGTGCTTCCGACTTCGCTCTCTGGAAGTCTTCCAAGCCCGGAGAGCCAAGCTGGGATAGCTCCTGGGGTAAGGGTCGCCCTGGCTGGCACATCGAGTGCTCGGCTATGGCGTCTGCCCGACTTGGCAAACAGATGGATATCCACTCGGGTGGTATCGATCTTGCTTTCCCCCACCATGATAATGAATTGGCTCAGAGTGAGGCATACTTCCACAACCACGAACAGTGGGTTAACTACTTCTTGCACATGGGCCACTTATCTATCCAGGGCTCCAAGATGTCCAAGTCTTTAAAGAACTTTACCACTATTCGTGAAGCACTAGAGCGCAAGGACTGGACATCAAGAAGCTTGCGTATTGTGTTCCTTCTTGGTGGTTGGAAGGAGGGTGTGGAGATTACTGATGAGCTTGTCTCTGCATGCAGTTCCTGGGAGGATAAGGTGAATAACTTCTTCATCAAAGTAAAGGACGCTGCTGCCCTCCAGGGCTCTTCCTCTGATGACACCTTTGGTGCCGACTTGGAGGAGGCTAAAACTGCCGTCGACACTTACCTCTGTGATTCCTTCAACACTGTGGGTGCTATGAACGCCATCTCAGAGCTCATCACCAAATACAACACCGCCGACAAGGCTACTATCAACCCGAACGATGTCAAGGCTGCCGCCCAGTTCGTTACTCAATTGGTAAACATCTTCGGTCTCAACGGGTCTGCTCCTGCCGACACCACCGAGATTGGATGGTCGGGTATTGACGTCCCCGAGGAGGCCAAGCCTTTCCTATTCCCCCTTTCTACCATGCGCGATACTCTCCGCCAAGCTGCACGCTCAAAGGAGGGGATTTCCGCTCAGGTGATCGAACAGGCTACTAAGGATTCAGTACCCCAGGATGTATCTGACTTCGCCAAGCCTTACGCCGAGGTCCTCTCCAACTTCCGTGCCTCGGCCTCTGCTCTGCAATCATCCGAAACCATCGGAAAGGATATTCTGGCTCTCTGTGATCGCGTCCGTGACATCGATCTCTTTGATCTCGGCTTGTACCTTGAGGACCGTGATAATCTCCCCGCTCTCATCCGCCCCGTAACCCGCGAAATGATCCAGGCTCGCGAAGAGAAGGCCGAGCGCGCTCGCCAAAAGATCCAAGCCCAGAAGGCCAAGGAAGAGGAAGCTCTTAAGAAGCTGGAGAAGGGCAAACTCAGCCATCTGGAGATGTTCCGCTCCAACGAGTACAGTGCCTGGGACGATGAGGGCCTGCCCACCCGCGACGCGGCTGGAGAAGAGATCACCAAGAGCCGGGCAAAGAAGCTCCGCAAGGACTGGGAGCGTCAGAAGAAGGCTCATGAGGCGTGGTTGGCTAGCCAGGCCAAATAGAATATGCCTTAGAGGAAAAAGTCAAGCATTTTCATAATATTTATGTTACGGTGGTATTCCAGGTAGTTTTCATGTATGCATCACAGGGCGTTTTCGGGACAGAATCATCTTGAGTAATGTTTTAATCTTCCTACGTACATGTACGAAGTACACAATCATAAAATTTCAAGACTGGCCAGTTTGGGAATGCTTGCATAGTTCCTTGTTTACTCAGGACATTCGTTCCCAAGTGATGGTGCTGTTCTCGAACTTGAACCACTACATTGATATCCTCACAATCAACTTCACTGATATTTGCTTATTTGAAAAAACAAACAAATCAATAAAAGCATCAACTCGACTTCATCTGTACTTCATGTACTTCATTGTACCGTGAAGCCGTGAGACTGCTGACTCAGCTACCCCAGGGGTCGAGACCCGCTTGAAGATCCAAGGTTATCGATTCCAACTACTCCCAGGCTACAGCTCAATTTCTCCCATTGTACTCGGAGAAGTTGACAAAACAATAATTATGACTTCACCTATTGGTCCCTGGAGGACAGATGCCCAGGGTCACCTCAAGTCAGACGAAAATGGCGACCCAAAGACCGACTACTCCCGCTGGCGGTTGGTCAACGAAGAAGGTCGCCAGACTTGGCGGTATCTTGAAACCGACACAGAGAACTCCGCCTGGCTGCAGACAGTTGCCGAAAAGTACCACATGGGACTTCCTACTGTATGTACTGATACATCTACATGTAATGCCTTATCTCTAACATTTTCTGTCAGGGTCTCCCAATTTTGCCAGAGGCCAAAACTCCTCTTCAAGCAGCTGAGAATGGTCTATCTTTCTTCTCAAAACTGCAGCTAGAGCCTGGAAACTGGGCCTGTGAGTATGGTGGCCCTATGTTCCTGTTGCCGGGTATTTTGATCACCTATTATGTTACCAACACTCCCATTCCCCCGGAGTATGCTACAGAGATCAAGCGTTATCTGTTTGCCCGCCAAAATCCCGAAGATGGTGGCTGGGGTTTACACATTGAGGCCCACAGCTCTTGCTTTGGCACTTCCATGAATTATGTCGCCCTGCGCTTGGTCGGTGCCCATGAGGATGACCCGCGCATGATCAAAGCTCGCGGTTTGTTGCATAAGTTTGGCGGTGCTATCTACGGACCTCACTGGGCTAAATTCTGGCTCAGTGTTCTGGGTGTGATGGAATGGGAGGGTGTGAACCCTGTTCCTCCTGAGATCTGGTATGTTATCTTTGATAGCGCCATTGAGGTGTTGCTAATTGATATTTTAGGCTTCTTCCCGACTGGGTTCCCTTTGCCCCTTGGCGCTGGTGGATTCATATGCGCCAGGTGTTTTTGCCTATGTCTTACATCTGGTCTAAGAAGTGGTCATTCCCGCTAAATGACTTTACCAGACAGCTCCGAGAGGAACTGTATCCCCAATCATACGCCTCTATCAACTTTGCTAAACACCGCAACTCTATCCACCCAGCTGATAATTACTACCCGAAGACTTGGCTCTTGAACGGCCTCAACGAGCTTCTGGTCCGGGTTTGGAACCCGTTCCTTCGAGTGAAAGCCATCACCAAAAGAGCTGAAGACTGGACCTGGGAGTTAATCCGTATGGAAGATGAGAACACTGACTACGCAGGATTGGGGCCTGTCAACAACCCTATGAACATGGTTGCTTGCTATATCCATGATGGTCCTGATAGCTACTCTGTGCGTCGACACCGAGAGCGTCTCAACGACTACATGTGGTTGAAGGGCGAGGGCATGCTGGCAAACGGTACCAATGGTGTCCAGGTGTGGGATACAACATTCGTTACACAGGCAGTCGTAGTTGCTGGACTTGCTGATGACCCCAAGTGGCGTCCTATGCTGACGAAGGCTCTCGAGTTCATTGAGGACCATCAGCTGCGGGAGAACGTGCCGGACCAAGAAAAGTGCTACCGACAGCACCGCAAAGGTGCTTGGCCTTTCAGTACCAAAACACAGGGATACACCGTCAGTGATTGCACTGCTGAGGGTCTTCGGTCAACTATCCAGCTCCAGGAGATGCATGGCTTCCCCAAGCTTATCTCTTTGGATCGCCTGAAGGATAGCGTTGACTGCCTGCTGTTGATGCAGAACCCCACTGGTGGCTTCACTGAATATGAGACTACTCGTGCATCTGCCAAGGTTGAGTGGCTGAACGCCGCTGAAGTCTTCGGTGGAATTATGATTGGCTACGACTACCCTGAATGCACTACAGCCTCAGTAACGGCGTTATCTCTCTTCAGCAAGTTCTACCCTGATTATCGTGCAGCCGAGATCAAGGCCGCCAAAGACAAGGCCGTTGTCTACATCAAGCGTGTCCAGCGGGCTGATGGAAGTTGGTACGGATCTTGGGGTATTTGCTTCACATACGCTGCGATGTTTGCTCTCGAGAGTTTGGCCAGTATTGGCGAGACTTATGAGACCAGTGAAAACTCGCGCCGCGGCTGCGAATTCCTGCTGTCTAAGCAGAAGGAAGACGGTGGTTGGGGTGAATCCTATCTCAGCAGTGAGAAGCACGTTTATGTCCAGCACGAAAAATCACAGGTGTGCCAGACTGCATGGGCCTGTTTGGCTTTGATGGAAGCCCAGTATCCCCACAAAGAGCCCCTTGAGAAGGCCATGAAGCTGCTGATTTCCCGGCAGCAAGCCAATGGCGAGTGGTTGCAAGAGGCCATTGAGGGAGTCTTCAACCAATCATGGTATGTTATAGCCTTTTCCTTGCGATAGTATGAAACTGACTGATCTTAGCATGATCTCCTACCCCAACTACAAGTTCTATTGGCCGATCCGTGCTCTTGGCCTCTATGCTAAGAAATTCGGCAATGAGCAGCTACTGTGAAAGTGAGCTTCAGTTTAGTTGATGCTCTGCTACTTCAATAATAATAATATCAGAGCCCCGGCTCAGTACATATGAAAACATTGGGCATTTTCTTATTTAGGTTCCGGAGCCGCAACTCCACATTATGTAATCGGAGCTCCAGCGGAGAAAGCTCCAGAATCACTTGCATCTGCGTATAATTTTGACACCTCGCTGCCTCGTACACTAACTGACTCGTGCATCCTGTTTTTATATTATCCTCCCAAGTGGGCTGCCTCTAATTTCCTCCTATCATCAGTGTGCCCTGCAGCACCTCATCAGTGTGCCCTGCAGCACCAACCATCCCTAAAGATCTAGGCAACACGAGCTCCGCCCCTCTTTCTGCGCCACTAAACTGATCAGTTTTCTACTGCCGTCACCATGAACGCCGCGTCACAGGGTGAAAAGGCCCTTGCCGATTCGAATGCTCCTCTCGCGATTCAACACTTTACCCGTGCCCTGACTGAGCTGCCCCGCGCCCCAAAATACTACATCCACCGCTCTACCGCCTACTCACGTCTGAAGCCCGCCGATGGTGGCCCCAACCGCGTTGCTGCACTGCGCGATGCCGAGATCGCAGTTTTTCTCGCCCGTGAGCGTGGTAATCGGGAGCTTATTCTGTCCGCCCAGATGCGACGGGGCATAATCCTGTTCCAGTTGGAGCGGTACGGTGATGCCCACTTCATCTTTGAGAAAATCGAAGCCAAGGCAGGCACAGGCCAGCCCGTTGACAAATCCGAGGGACTCAAAAACGCGATGGCCGGTGGATGGACCAAAAAAGACGGATATAGTGCTGAGTTGCCTATTTGGATGGCGAAGGTTCGCCGCAAGCTGAGTGAGCTGAGTGAAGCCGAGAGTAATGAGAAGATCGCGGTTACGGTTCTTGAGTATCCCGATGTTCGCGTTCCAACTGAGAAGGAATTGAAGGCCGAATGGGAGAGACTCAAGTCTGGGAAATCGGTTACTGAGGGGTCTTCGCCTGTCCAGCCTGCTGCTGGGGTTGCAACTTCGCCTGCGGAGTCCAAGGTGGATGTCGCAGAGCAAAAGTCGACCTCTACTCCAGTTGTTTCGGAGAAGGTCCGCCATGAATGGTACCAATCAACTACTTCAGTTGTCGTAACACTTTATGTGAAGAATGTACCCAAGGACCAAGTCCAGACTGAGCTGAATGATGACTCGGTAAGTTAACTCCTTCAACTGCAACTGCTTAGTTACAGGAGCTGACCAGTATCTTGCAGGTATCTCTTGAATTCCCTCTTCCGTCTGGCTCTGCATACGATTTTACCCTTGATCCCCTCTACGCACCAATTAACACATCGACCTCGAAAGTCACTGTCATGGGCACAAAAATCGAAATCGTTCTGGAGAAGAAAACCCCGGGCCAAAAGTGGAGTGCCCTTGAAGCACTTGCTGGCGCCGCAAAAATCTCAGACCGACCCTCGGCATCCACTGCGCCGCCGGCTTCTGCGCCTGCCTATCCGACCTCATCTCGCCATGGTACAAAGGACTGGGACAAGGTTGCAACATCACTTACCGCCAAGAAGCCTAAGGAGAATAAACCAAAAGGTGAGGAGAAAAAGGGCAGTGGTGATGACTCTGATGCTGAATCTGTCGACTCGGAATTCGGTGGTGATGCCGTGGATGGGTTCTTTAAGAAGCTCTATGCTGGTGCTGATCCGGACACTCGTCGTGCTATGATGAAGAGCTACGTCGAGAGTAACGGTACATCGTTGAGCACCAACTGGAATGAGGTTGGTACCAAGACGATGGAACCCCATCCTCCGAAATAAGCACGTCTATGAGTGGCGCTGCTTAGTTCTTTCAAATGTTTCTATTTGCTTTGTCGCATCCAGCGAATGGTGTCCACCGCATGTTTTACGAATTTATGAGGATCATAGGATCTCATCTAGCAGCATATTATTATTTGACTTCTGTGATCCACTTTGACCGCAACTGCTGAGTGCTAGCTCTATGCTTACGCGGACCTTGTTCTATTCAAGATCGCCTAAGAAGTGACATTCAAGCAAGTAGGGGATTTTCTCGCTCATTTATGGATATAGTCCTGAGTCGAATTGTGTAAATTCCCATACAGTTTTTTCAAATCTAAACTCCAAAAATCGAGCTCTAACCTTTCAATTTACGCCGTTTCACCCAGTCCACCGCTCTGGGATAGATACCGGACAGGTCCGAGATACAGACGCTGCATCGCTGACCAAATGATAGGCGGCTACAGCTGGCAAACAACATAACTCGAAGAGGTACTTAGTGTACTATGGTTGGCAGCTGGACGATGGCAGCTGGACGATTCCTTCAATATTCAGCTTATGGATTATTCCACAAAGAATGATACATACCAGTTTTATTTGATAATATACCATCCTTCTCAAACTCAAAGCCTCTGTTAAAAGTCTATATGACTAACATTATCACAGACAGTGCAACCTCAAGCTAAAACTTCTTTATGGCTCCGAGTTCTTCCTCAAAGTTTTCTTATCCGAGGCAATGTCTCCTGGGTTTAGACTAATGCTTGGTACTGGCCATTCAACGTTTATTGGACTAATTGGCTGGATAAGACCTTTCGTACATATAACGGAGAATATTCGGTAAAAGATCATCCACTAAGGTTCTATAAAGCGGGGAAACTCCTCATATTATACCTAAATTCTCCATATTTACGTTGAAGATGCATAGTAAGCAACATAATTCGCGTCGAATCTCCAATAAAACTCTTAAGTCAGGTCCAAAGGTGGCCGTTCTCACCGAAAGTGGGGCTCAAAATTAAGCTCAGGTGCCGTAAACCCTAACTTTTACCTAATTCTCCCGATCAAATTGGAGTCTTTTGGAGTATTCTTGGCATCATCTCTTACGCGGCGATGTTTTTATTACACATCAGTCCCCTATAAACGTTATTCAGTCTAACTTTTTCAGCCAATAACCCCGATGGCATCTTGGGGTCGGATTTCTTATTTCGAATCGCTCATCCAGAAAGTAATCAAGTAACTACACAAAACAAATTCAAACCCGAATATTTGAAATCTCCAATATGGTTCGAAACATTCATATCGCCGTCCTGGACGTCGACATTCCCGCTCGCCCCCTATACGAAGCAAGAGGTCTCTGCAGCGCTCACTTCCGCGATATCCTCCGTGAAACAGCATCCCACCTGAACAAAACCCACCCAGAAACAGACCCAATCAATATCAACGTGACAGCATACGATATCCGCGGAGGTCACTACCCTGACTTTGACCTGCTACGCGGAAGTCCCTCCCAAACTCAACAATGGCCCGTTCTCAACCCCATCGACGCAATCCTGATAACCGGCGGCTCACCGGGGGTATATGAAATGGCCCACTCGCCATGGATGCAGGTGCTTGAAAAATTCATCAAAAACGTCTACGACAACTTCCCCAAAGTTCGGATTCTGGGAACATGCTTCGGACACCAGCTTATCTCGCATGCTCTTGTTCGCGTACCGGACGACCCTGTCCGGGATGTGTATGTAGAGAAATGTCCACTCGGGCGGGAAGTTGGGATTTATATTGTGCAGCTTGAGGATGAGTTTGTGCGTGCGTTTCCGTCTGCACTGGGTCATCTGCCAAAGGGCCAATTGCGGATTCAGATGTTTCATGGCGATCGGGTGATGGCTGTTGAGAAGGGCGTGAGTGTTTCGTTGAGTGAGTCGCCGCCTGTTTGTTTGCCGAAGCCGTGGGTGAATATTGGGAGTACACCGATTTGTCCGATTCAGGGACTTTATTATCCTGGACGGGTTCTTTCGGTGCAGGGACATTATGAGATGGATGCGTTTGGGTTGACTAAGATGTGCATCGAGGCTGCGCCGGTTATGGGGTGGAAGGAGTCGAAGTTGGCGTTGTTTTTGGAGCAGGTTGGACCTGATTTGGTGGATCGACAAGATGATGCGAAGGCTTTTGCGTCGGCTGTTGTTTGTTTCTTGGCAGATATTGAATGACTTTATGTAAATTCATATTTATATTTATTATATTCTTTAAAGAAGTTCCTTTTGACATGTTCGTGGCCTAGTGAGATGTTGGGTTCACCGTTTACCGGGCATATCTGAATGAGATATTCTGTCGGTCTGTCAAGTCTGCAAAGGCATTCGCCAACTCCATCTCCTCGGTCATCTCGCCAACATCCTCGAGCTCCCGCCTCTTATTCTCTCGGGTGTACATCAAGTACAGAACGCCAAAGAGGCAAAAGTTGAAAGCGAACATGGCCAGCGAAGTGGCCATTCCGGTGGTGTACTTGGGTGCTTCTTTGGTGATAAAAGTCTGCGGCGAAATAATGTTGGCAATACAGTTAGACGAGAAGAATAAGGCACCAGCCATAACTTTCTTCGAATAACCAGCAATATTACTCGCTAGCAGAGAGTACATGATACCGCCGGCGCTGGCAACCATAGGGATGATAAACATAGCAAAGAGATGCAAGTGCTTTGTCGATGCCTCAATCGGGCTGGAGTATAAGATGGCCGCAGCGATGACTCCAGGAATGTAGCAGGACATAATGCAAAAGATTCTCCTATCCTTACCCCACCTTGTGGAGAGGAATCCACTCACAAGGATCATGGTGACGGCCATGATGATTGATCCTGGAATGTTCAGCAAGACGGCTTGGTAGGTGTTGTATCCGAAGCCCTTGATGATGAGTCCCGTGAAGGTAGTTTGAAGACTGTTGGTCATGTTGTGACAGAAAATTGCGAGAACCAGCATCCAAACACGGAGATCAAAGAGAAGTTCCTTATACTGCGCCGTCTTCACGTTGCTGTTCTTCACACCGGTCTTATTGCTCTTGAGGCGGTCCACGGCAATGAATCGCTCCCGCTCTGTCAGGAAACTAGCGGTCATTGGGCTGTCAGGGAGGAGCCACCAGAGAGAGATGCCGAAACAGCATGTTGCGGCTCCAAAGATGATGAACATCCACTGGTAAGCAAACAGACCACGCGCCTGTTGAAACTATCAGCGATGCTCAGGGATATGATGTACAGTACATAGTACTTACGTGAAGATGGGCAATGCCGTAGAAGATTGCACCTGACGGAGCACCAATGAAGCCATTGGCACTGTACCATATTCCAACACGGAATGGCTGCTCCTCACGCTTCCACCAGGATGCTGTGATCAGGACAAAACCAGGGTTCAAGGCCGATTCAAATATTCCGAGGAGCAAGCGGACGGTAGCTAGAGAGCGGAATGTTGTGCAGGCTCCGGTACATGTCAGGGTGATACCTAAAATAAAGATTCAACTGTTAGTGATTGTCATTCAAAGCGTGAACTCCAGGACTGTCTACATACCCCAGAAAACAAATGCGACAGTTAAAACTTTAGCAATTGGCAGTTTCTGCATCAGCCAATTGGCTGGCCATTGTGCAGCCAAATATCCAATATAAAATATAGTTGTGAGTAAACTGTATTGCTGGCCCACCAAATGAGCTTCGGTAGCTAGGCCATAAGTTCCAGCGTATGAAATAGTCTGCATAATTGCTAGTTAGCGGAAGGACCTCGTGAAATGTGGAGATAGAAGTATTCACATTCTTGTCAATAAATTGAAATCCGTTAACGAAAAGCATGAGCGTCAGCATTCGAATGTCAACCTTGCGAAGAAGACGTCTTTCCTCCTCTTGAGAGTAAGGCTCATGAGCTTCTTGAAGGAATTGTAGTGCATCGTCACCATTATGGATCTTGTCCACAATCTCGGCTGGGATGATTATAGGGGCAGGTTGTGCATTCTCAAGCTGGTCAATGTGTGGGATATCGGGAATATCCCGGTCGTCAGTCTTCATCTTGGAGGGGGAGACAATGAATCTAGTAGAGGGGAGAGAAATATAGATTCAAAACTTGAAGCAGAAAGTGGGAGATTTTATACATAATTTTCTCTACACTTTTGTGTACGCACCCATCCCCACAAAATACCCCGGATAAGTGATTATTGTGGGGCAAAACGAACTAAAACTGACCGGGGAAGAGTTAATCCTGCGGGGAAATGCCCAGACACTAAGAAACTTGCCGACGAGGTCTCCCTAGCGTCGCTTAACTGCCTTGTGGCTTGGATCTAAGCTTCATGTAGACACGGCAGGTGAACGTAAATGGTCATTTGACTCTGATGGCTGAACTTCTCTCGTTTAGTTCGGGGTAAGCTAATATCCTTCTAAACGATTCATTTACGTTTTTCCGGATATAAAGATGCCCCTCATATCCTGCCCCGCGATTTTCTCTCTCTCTTCAACCATCTGAAAATGTCTACAATTACTATTAACGCTCCTTCGCTGGGTGCCGAGCTTATCGGTGAACTCGACAATGACACTAATATCTCTCTTTTCCGCGGAATTCCGTACGCAAATGTCTCCAAGCGCTGGACTCACAGTGTAATTAAGCACACATTGGAGGGCACATTCAACGCAACACAATTCGGTCCTCGCTGTAATCAGGGAAATGGCATGGTCCTAGTTACAGGAGGAACAAACGATCCCACTCCAGGTGACGATGAATTCAACTGTCTGAATCTCAACGTCGCCGTCCCCAATGAGGCTCTCGGAAAAGCCGAGCCTCTACCTGTCATGGTATGGATTCATGGGTATGACATACTACCACCCCCTATCCTACCTCCCAACTAATCCGGTCTAAAGAGGAGGCTTTGCATATGGCGCCAACTCCGTCGCTCGCTATCGTCCTCAGAGTTTCATGGTTCACGCCCGGAACTCCAACACCCCCATCATCCTGGTCCAGATGAACTACCGTCTTGGCGCTCTCGGCTTTTCCGCCTCGACTGACCTGGCCGCAGAAGTCGACGGCAGCAACGAGTTGGTCGGAAACTACGGCATTGTTGACCAGCGGAATGCACTGGAGTGGGTGAACCAGCATATCGCCGACTTCGGTGGAGACCCTAAGAACATTACAGTCTTCGGCGTGAGTGCCGGTAGTGCTAGTATCCATGCTCATCTGCTGGCCGGTCATGAGTTGTTCGATCGTGCTATCATGATGTCCGGTTCCGCACCCACCCTGTTCCCGGTTCGCATGGATCTTTTCGAGGAGCAGTGGAAGGGTCTGTGTAGCCGGGCGGGTGCTGCCGGGTCCACACCCAGTGCCCGGTTGGAGCACCTTCGCAGTTTGGAAGTCAATGATATCCTCAAGCATGCTGGTAAGGCCGTGATGGGACCTGCCGGCGATGGTAAACTTATCCCGAAGACCTGGACATTCGACGATGGTGTTTCCAATGCTCGATGCAAGTCTATTATCCTCGGCGATACCAACGTCGAGGCTCTTATTTTCGACGGTCTGCTAGGGAGGGTGAGCCAAGAGAAGCTTCATCAGTCAATCTCACGGGCATTCTCTGACAAGGCTGGCGAATTCTGTCACCACTTTGGTTTCTCAGAGGGCCAGTCTTTCGAGGAATTCCGTGATGCTTTCCGCCTCTTGATCGGAAATGTTCTGTTTCAGTATCCCAATGTCGGTATTGCTGAGGCGTCTCGCAAATCAGACTCGTGGAAGAATAACGTTTACATGTACCACTGGGAAGAGCCGTCGCCTTTCGAGGGTCCCACCCAAGGAATGTCTTACCATGGTCTCTGTGCCCTTCTCTTGCATCTGAATGAGCTGGACGCTTGCCCTCCGGCTACCCGCGATGTCTCATTGGAGGCTGCCCGTGTTTGGGCGGCCTTTGCTCATGGCCAGCAGCCGTGGGAGGCGTACTCGACAGGTGGTCGCTTTATGCGCTTCGGACCTGAGGGAAAGACCGGCCTTACTACCTTTGCAGAGGATCACACACGAGTGTACGGTTTCCTCGAGTGGTTGCGGGAGAACTTTGAAGATGTGAAGCGCTTTGTCCGCGAGGATGTGATGTATAATTTGGAAGACTCGCTCTAAAGTATAGAATTTTTATAGAAATACCAATAGAGCTTTTATATTCATCTGAAAGATATGTACATGACATCGATCGATAATCCCTATTCGTACTCGTCGATATCCTTTGCGTCGCGGTACAAGAAGAATTGTACGAAAATCATCCCGTCTAACATAAGAGTTCCAAAGCTACCAATCAGCCATGAAAGATTGACCAAAATGTATCGACTGTATATAGCAGTCACCTCACCCGGAGCACATTTAAAATGGCGATGAGAAGAGATCCCAACATCCCGAGTTCCCCGGCATACGGGAGAATATGCCAGGATAGACAGCACATAAGTCAGATTGCCAATGCATGCAAACAGGAAGAACAGAAAAGAGACACCATCCGTAGACTTCCGTCGGAAGTTCAACAAAATCTGCGGAAGACGTGAACCGAGGTACAGAGCCGCACATAGATATCCAAAGACCTGGCCCAGTGTATCCATAGTGAGATCCTCAGGTTCTGAGCTCGGTTTCTTCGACGCCGGACTGAAGTACCAGCCTAATACACCTGCAATGCAGACAAGAGTGATGGCAGTGGTGTTGAACAAGAAAGTCTGGATAGTGGAGATCCGACGCTGGCGACGACGTGCCCGAGCAGCAGCAGCAGAAGTTGCATCCAGAAGAGGTGTGGCAGGAGATAAATGCGTTCCATCGACGGAGTGCAAGATATCATGGAATGAAGATGCCGAATGACGTCGTTGCCGGGTTGACGAGGGTTGATCACCATTGCCAGAGACAGGCGGATCCTGAATCCGAACATGGCCAGTAGGCTTAGGAAGAAGTGTCGAGTGCTCAGTTGGTGGCGCAGAATCAGCACCACCGCCTTGGCTTGCGCCAGAAGAAGGCTCGATGGTAGGAGAGGAGGAAAATTCCTCTCTGATGTTGAATCCGCGGTAGTAGAAGCACTGTCCAAGGAGAACAATATCTGCTAGAGTGTAATATACCGCCAAGATAATCATTGTGGGCAGAACGCCTTGCATGACAGCTCCGAGAATGTTGAAGACATCGCCAGCCAGCCAGACGATGAGGAAAAGAAGAGAGAGGCCATCTGCAGAGCCACGTCGGAAGTTCTCAATGATTTGCGGAGAAAATACCACCACCCAGCAGACAAGGGAGATTGAACTGAAAATGTCAGTAACTGTGGAGGCTTGGATGTGGGGTTGGGTTATGACAGATCATATCCGTCGATCTCAATGCAGTGGGAGAAGTACCCGCATACATTGAGCACCGCAGAGCATAGAATCAATGGTACAATTTGTCAAGAGATGGATGTAACTTACCCACAGATGCCACTCAGTGCCTCGATGTTTAAATTTATATTGCCCACCTGTGGGGGGAACATGGCGTATGCAGAATCGTGATTCGGATTTCCGGCAACGAAGGACACTGCGGAGGTATATCCGGATGTGCAAGGCACAGCGATCACAATACACAAGTTTTTTTCAAATAGAAAATGCCCTCGTCACTCGTTAACCATGGCAATTGATGTGAAAAGGAAAAGTTGGAGAAATCCGCGGGACTAAATTGGATGACGTCTGGTCACGTGTTTCATCTATCGTGGAGATGAAACTTGGCTTTATGCTCACGATTGAACCATGGATGTTGGATTTGTAATGCAAAACTTGAATTAATATGGTAAATCCCTGGTAAGTCTATAAATACTGAATTTGTTTGATTGAGTATCGAGAGTGAGGAGTCTATGACTCTCGAGTTTTCCTTTTAAAAATTATGTGTATGCACTGACGGTGTGCGATAGAAGCAATGTAAAATTACAAAATATTAGTTGATTGAATGAAGCAAATAAAGCTAAGCTGATAAGATTTAATCATACATCGGAAGTTCATTATTAAAATGGTGCAACTTGAGGTGTCAGGACCTCTGAGAAGCATGATGATGCCCTGGCCCTTGCCTTCAATAACATCATCAACAAAATCCGTGCATTGAGACTGAGATTGAGTAAATTCAAGAACAAGCCTTTTCAGGTCTCGCTGTGCATATGGTATGACCAAAGACTTAAAAACTTTATCGTTCCGGAACATATCATGCACGCCGTCAAGCTAAAAATTCGAGCCACTATCGCAAGTAAGGATTGATAAGATATTTGAGAAAGAAGTGGTGTCTGTCTGTCAAATTACTTGTTAGTCTTGAGCAATGGACGGTTGAACTGAGCAATTGAGGCTGGAGACTTGGTGTGAGTGGAATATGTTGGAAAAAGATAAATCTAAATCTTGGAAGTGAGAGCTTTTATACATATATCCACCATAGGAAAGAACGAGCCAAAGTTGCCCGAGTCACTAGATGTGATTGTTTTACAGTTCAATGACCAATTTACCACTAAATTTGATATGTCCTGGATCTATATCATCAACTTTGGAACCTTCAAATGGAACTTGATGAAATGAGTCATGCACAGTACACATGCAGTAGATCGAAAAACAAGCCTTGATCGTGGGCGGATGATAGCCATTGATGGCAACAGATACATACATGTAGCCGTGTTAAATAAATTTTTTTTAAATTACGAGGTTGTTCATAAATTGATTTCACATATGACAACGTTGAATAGATGTCCTATTTGGAAATCCAAACGATTCCAATTCATACATTTAAATAGAATCCACAAATCTCGAGGTCTGGGGGTGGTCACGTTTTTCGTCCAATTCGAGTAGACATATACAACGTCCTTTTCTACCTATACAACCACACGATGGCACTCCCATCAATGTCACTATATGAATCCATGGCCGAGGAAACAAGAGATACCTCGGTCCGAACCTACGTGGACAATACCCTCACAGATTTTCTCCGTGGACTTTCACTTTCAAGCTCAGAAGGCCCACCATCCGTCACTCTACGATGCAGGACAAACCCATCAGCACACACCATCAACCCACAAAGCGGAGCTCTTGAAGCAGTCGAGCCAGTGGTTTCATACAGGACTTATTACTGGCCAGGAAACTCGGCGTTTGAATCATGGAGGTTCAGTATGAGCTTCTGTTGTTTAGCTGGTTGCCTCGGTTTTGTCTGATGGCATGCTAAATGAACTTCGAACAGCGGTTATAATTCGAATCCTCGCTGTGATTGTCGAGGCAATACAGATGGGACAATCTATTTCGAAGAGGTGGGTCGGCTCCTGGAGTTGATGTTAATTGTTAGTCATGCTGAGTGTTTGGACAGGGATATATTTTACATCGATCCGGCATACTTTAGATCGCAGAATGTTGTGGACCGCATTGTGGATGGCCTTGCATACACTATAGGAGTGGATCGAATGGCGTTGAACGTCGTAATTTCTCCTGGATCTTCGGAATGCAGGACTATGCTCATGCTCAGTAGGAAGCAGCAGGGAAAGGGCTGTTGGCTGGATCTTTCATTCTGAAGCGAGACTCACAGATCGTGCTAGATGCTGGGTCTTCTTCTCAGGTAAGACGCAACTGGCATCATGGCATTGGACGAGGGATCTGACAGAAGCAGGATACTTTGATACCTCGGATCCAGGAAAATGACGAAATTGATATTACTGGGACTCGCTGGGTGCTCATTATCGAGAAAGAAGTATGGTATCCAAGAGTCTCGTAGATACATACCTGTTTGACAAATTTCAGGCTGTGTTCCACCGACTCGCGCGAAAGAAGTACCACATGACAGCTCTTGTTGGTAAAGGCATTCTCATCACTGTGAGCACGCTCTTTATACATATTGCAAATAAAATCCGCAACTAATTCCAAACTAGGGGAAAGGATATCCGGATATTTGCACACGTGCATTCGTCCGGCGGCTCCTCGACTTCGCATCCCTTGAAAATAAGCGACCGCCGCCCATTTATGCACTGGTTGATGGGGATCCCGATGGTATAGCGATCATGTCGACCTACAAGTACGGATCAATGGGGCATGTTCACGAAAATGCAAGACTTGCCGTACCCGGAGTGAAGCATCTTGGGCTTCGAGTATCAGACATCATCACAGATCCGTATGGTTCGAACAATGCCCTTCTCTCATTGACCGCGAGAGACCGCAGAAAGATTCAATCAATGCTCCGCAATAGTCCCATCTGGGCAGACGACGGGCCGGAATCTGGATGGCGTGTGGAGCTGCAGCGAATGCTGATGCTGAATATGAAAGCGGAGATCGAGTTGCTTTATGACCGTGATGATGGTCTTGAAGGATGGATTGATCAGCGAATGTTCCGGCAAGTATAGATATAGGCGCAGAAGGACCACTGCTGGTGAGAAGATGAGTATATCATAGAGCGTATAGACTACCAAAAACCTATTTTAATGGAACTATCTCACGCTCTCATTTTCAGTCGTTAGATAAGTATAAAAGCTGTACACCAAGTAATTGTCCAGCCATGCAAGAATTCAAGAACCCAACAACTGACGCCAGGTCATCAACACGTGTTATCATTTTCGCCAAAGCTTTAAAGTCCCAGTCCCCTCCGCACCTCCTCCCGGACCTTCTGCTCATATTCGGGTCTTCGCTCACGCCACATCTTGGCCGCCTCCACATTGGCGGGGCTCTCGTCATTTGGCTCAGCAAGCATGCTCATGACGGAAATGAGAATCTTCTCCACACTCTGAATAGGCGACCAGCGCTCCGAGGCGTGTTCGTAGTGGTTCGGGTCGTCACCGGGTGGGTGCAGGATGGAGATACAGACTGTACCATTGGGGTAGACTGGAGAATTGCAAATTGTATTAGCACTCGTCCAGATTGGGCATTTGGAAACGGCATAAAACAAAGGACTGCGGGGTGTGGAAGGGTTTACCATTGGGATGCCACACACCACCGCCGACGAACTTCATGGTTGGCGGGCTGAGAGGATAGTCTTTTGGGAACTTGAGCTCAGCAGCGAATACTCCGCCCTCAAAGGGGGTATCTCCGGGGCCTTCGATCAAGGCTTCCCAGTAGAACATGTCATCCTCTGAGACCGGGCCCGCGGTGATGCCCTCCGGTGGGTTTGTGGAGAGGTTCTTGTATTCATGGAATAAGCGCTTTTGAGCGACCGTGGAAGCCATTTTGTGGAGTGGTTGGGTGAGAGTCTAGAAAGTCAAGCGGAGGGATTGGGCTTTGTTGAAGAAAGTGGGTTTGGGTTGGGTTCCGAGGTGGCAAAAGGTGGAGTTCCCGCCGGAAGTGCGGAGAGGTTGAATTGGAAGATAAAGATGAATTGAATGTGAAGTCGTTGAAATAAGATTCAACAGAGATGTACAGTGAAGGGGTAGCAGTTCTAGAGTTGGAGAGAAGTTAAATTGTTGACAGGGAAGGAATGAGTGAAATGGAGAGTTTCGCGGGGACACCTGCCCCACGTCGATCCTAGCGCATGCCAATTCAGCAACCGCATATGTATAAGTTCACATCTATTGAGATTGTATTGTACATTTTTTTATAGAAAATTAAAGGTTAGAACCAGTCAGAGTAATCTCCTCCATCTCCCCCATCTCCAGAGTCGCTCCAAGGGTCATCATTCCAGACATCTTCTTCTCTCTGTTCTTCAGGCCATGCATCTTCAGAGATACCAGGCTGTTGTTGCACCTGCTGTTCATATGTAGGAATGCCAGGCTGCTCATTTGGCTGTACCTGGCTGCTTTGATCCCCTGACATGCCGCGTTGCATTGCTTCATACCCAGCCATTGCACCAGCGCCAGTTGCGCCCGCTGCCATGCCTTCTGTCATTCCACCTACAGCGCCTGCTCGACCAATTGCACCTGTCGCGGCTTCGCCAATGGCTCCGGCTGCTCCGACCTCACCGGCCGTGGCACCACCCGCTGCACCAGCTGCTGCGCCGCCAGCAGCCTCTCCTCCCATGCCAGGGAACCACAAGGGCATGAAGCCGAATCCACTGCTGTTACTATGACGGCTGAAGTAATCAAAATCGATAGTCACAGCAGTGGCTAGCACAACCGCGCGCTGGTCAAGGGTCATTCCGGTGGGCTTTGTCACCTCAGCAGGTGACACTGAAGGCGAGCCTCCGGTACCGGGCTCGGCAGAGTCCATGCGCAACGCATAGACACCTGTATCTGTAAAGAGTTCTCGGGCAAACCCTCCAAAGTTGCGGTTAACAGATCCCACCAACCGATTTTCTGCGGATAATAGATTGAAGTCCAAGGAGAGGAATGGCGCATCGACATATGCAAATTGGTTGAACTCGCCCTGCCCTGGCTCAGATCCCAATGCCAGTTGCATTTGTTGAGTCTTCGACAGATCTGATCTAGAGAGGGGAAATTTCTCGGTACCCATGTCTGTCGCTGGGTTCGGAGATTGGTGAAAAGTGAAGAGATTGTATTTCCGGCGTAGCGGTGCCCATTCTTGCTGAGCTTCGCCAATAATTCGCATCTCATCGAAGCCGAGTGATGAAACGCGCGGGTTCGAGGCCGCACTGGCTGAGACAAGAGATCCCGGCGTCGTATTTTGAAGGGCAGTGGAGGAAGTATAGACACTTGTGGTGACATCGAGAGGATCATAGACTTTAATTCGAGAGTTGATCCAGGAGAATGGCCGATGGAACTACATTGATTAGCGGTATACTCAAAGCCTCAGATCACGGACCTACCCGTAAGACTTCATTCTCATGTCGGTCGAAAACATGAGTCACGAAACTTCGGCGAGTGCGAAACATTTGACGCGCAATAGTATTGGTCATTCCCTTCTCTTGCTCTGCCATGTATCCGATATGATTACCCTGCGCATCCATGATAACGTATTTGTTTGCTTGTTCGAAACCGCTATCAGAGATATACGTTAGTAATATGGCTTTAAGCTGCACTAGGTTCCACTCACACCATGAGGTTCATCATCTCCAGTTGCCGTTGAACCACTAGTCCAGAGTTTGCCAATATGCTCGTCGCCGGGTGGTTTTCTTTGAGCACCCCATTCGGGTCCTCTGGCATATAGACAGGTGAGAGGAGAGTGTTTTTTGCTGGATCATAGTGGGGATTAGGGCCATCTTGAGGTTGAGGATTTGTTGGTTCCGAATTATCAGGTGTTTCGGGCGTTTCAGGTGCTTTGGGTGTGTGTCTGGGGGTTTGGTTTCGTGGCCGAAGAATTGGGCGAGAACCACGGGTGTTCCTGCTTCTGAGGGACGATAGCGCGCGTTGTGAGGGAACATTCAGCGACACAAGACGCAGTCTGCTGCCCCACATGTTGATTAGGGCTGCCAGGTTATAGGCGCTGTGTAGTGGTCAAGTTGAGGAACGTTGAGCGCAAAGAAGGCGAGCTGGGCGGAAGGAAGTTCTGCAATGACGAAAGCTCACTCCGGGGATAAGCGGAGATAGCGCTTGGTGCAGATCGCTTCTATGTAAATGCGTTGGCAGCCTTCCGGCATTTACCACCGCAGTCTTGGAAATTGCAGCTTTCTCACAATGATCCAGCACTTGATTCGACCCAGAAGATATTTATTTTCCTAAGTATGCAGTTACTGTCCATCTCTGGCCCATTTGTATGTTATATGTACGGATTGAACAGTCAATGTTCTAGAGAACATACGCTTCAGTATAATCTATATACCTGCCAAATTTTGTAGTAGAAATATATAAAGGCGGATTAAAGCTGACCTAAAGTCTTTATTTTATGGCTTATTGATCTCGTTCTTAATCTGAGAACCTCAGAACGACATCAAAATGCTTAATATATTTGCGGACAGTAATCCGAACCTGCGGCGAACAATCCAATGTGGTTTAACTTTCCAAACCCATAGAGGCACAAATTCCAACATCAATAAAGTATAGAATACTTCAATATGTTCCAACAGGCCGTCAATTTCTCACAGCAGTCCCTTGCGAGCCAGTTCGATCTTCCGTAAAGCCTCGCCTGCCTTAAATCCTCCCTTGGACACGCAGATCGCACTGCCTTCTCCAAGTTCAACCTTTTCTTCGACTTCGGGGTGTGGGCATGGGCAATGATGCGGGACGCTCACGCAGGCGAGGGTTCCAGGGCAAAGGTAGTTGCTGCATTGGGCTGTAGGATAACTTTGTCAGTACAATTGAGACAGAGGCAAGAAGCATTCAGAGCCATGGAAAATAATTATACCTTGAAGCCACGAGTTCTGGTACCGACTACTGTCGCTGGGTACATCTTGGGGGCCCTGTTGATGGTGCTGTTGTTGGTTGCCCCCAAACATCTGGTCGAAGAAGTTGAACTGTGCCTGGGCTACAGCCACCAGCATGAAAACAGCACACACAGTCCGGAAAATAAATTGCATCATTGTGCACCGGATAAAATTGAATAAAATCCAGAGATGAGAGTGACGCTCGATCCTGATCAAAAGTCCAGTATAGATGAAGCCAGCTCACGGCCCGCACACGTGACGCCAAGCCTCCAAGAAAAAGTTCCCCTTTGGAGCTTCAACTTCCCCAACCCCAGACGATCCTCGAATTGCCAACCATGCTGCAACCCAGGTTCCTGACGACCCTCCGGGCGCTGGAGCGGGCATTCACCCAACCCATCCGATCGACTCAAAGTCTCTACCAGCCACAATCTCTCCTTACACGGCTCTCCGCAAACCTCACCCTCCCGAAAACCACTCCCACACCCTCCCTCCTCTCATTCACCCAAGTGCGTTACGCCTCCCACGCCTCACAGGGAACAGCCAACCGACACTCACGCGATCCCGCGGGAAAGCGTCTCGGCGCGAAGCGGTCCGGCGGCGAATACGTCGTACCCGGCTGCATCATCTTCAAACAGCGCGGATCGAAATGGTTTCCCGGTGAGAACTGCGCTATGGGTCGCGACCACACTATCTACGCTACCCAGGCCGGTTATGTTCGGTACTACCTGGATCCTCTCCAGCATCCTGATCGGAAGTACATTGGAGTTGTCTTTGACAAGGAGGAGAAGCTTCCGCATCCGCGTAACGCGCCGAGCCGGCGCAGATTGAACATGGTTGGAACTCCACGGGTGGAGCCTGTTGCTCAGCAGTCGGATTTGGTTGTTTCGGTTGATGAGAATGGAACCCAGGTTGGATCTGTGGAGGCCGCTGATGCCGCGTCTGGCCTGCAACTTCGTCCGGGATATATGTACCGTGAGGCCAATTGGGTTATTGGTCGTGCTGCTGAGCAGGCTGGAGTCTTTGCTAAGCCGTATGATAACCGAAACCGGTGGCTTGCCTGGAGAAAGCGCCAGGCTCGTGCTGAGCGGGCAGCCCAGATGAAGAGTTTGAAGGGTGGTAAGAAGGCAGCCAAAAAGGCGGCCAAATAAGTGTGCATGATGTGATCCATCGATCTTGGATTTCTGTAGCGATATGAGGGTTTGTCTCCGGTGTTTCTCTGTATTATAGAAAGAATTTACTTCAATGATATCTCCGCCTATATCATCACTTCACGTCCATTGGGGATACAAGGGCTCAGCTCATATGCCGAGGTATAATCCTAGGTTCGTTCCGACTGCCTTGCGTTGAAAAAAGGGTTGGATTAAATGGTGGTTTTAATTGGAACCGCCTAACAAATTGAGCACGGTTTTTTGGTTCGATTCAGGATCGACTTTGCTATCACTTGTGTATAGCTTTTAGCGGTTCCTTAGTTCATGAGGGCAGAGATCATCATAAAAAGCGCAAATGTCATGGTAAACTATAACTTTGCGAGGATCTAGTATCAAGCAGCTTATGACCCATGGGCCTGCTAGTGAATCAAGTGAGCTGGTTTAATGCTTCGAATAGTGGAATGAAGATATCTTAATAGCCTGTGATTGTGTGCAAAATAACATAAAATATGGCACATATTTTAACCATTTCAGGTTGATCCATCAGGCCCTATCCCAGCAACCCAGGCAACACATATGAACGAGTAAAGTTCCACAACATAGACGAGTCCTGCGTATGAAAAGCGGCCCCAGTGTACCAGGTATTGAGATAGCCCTGCAAGGAATACAAATCCAGATAGAACCCATTCTCAATTTCATCACGAGACACGGTCAGTTCAAACGGAACGTGGCTTTTGTACGCCACGAACTCAGGGCTCCCTGGTACTTTTTCCGCGATTCCGTTGTCCTGGAGCTTTGTGACATAGGAGAGGATCTCGTGTTGGACATCCTTATCAGGTAAGGGGGATGGGCTGCCATATTTTATGTCGAAGATGCCGTCGATTGCTGTGCCGGTAACGAGGTAAACACCGGGTAATTTGGGAATGTTTTGTTGTGTGTCAGGGCTGGCGGAGTATGAGGTGAAGTTTGGTGGTAATCCGGTATTGTTCACTAAGCTGGTGTAGTAGCCTGTGCTCATAAACTTGCTAAAGATGGTGGATTCGAGTCGGTTCAGGTTGAAGGGACGAAGATTGTCGAGTGTTGGTGGGATGGTAATTAGAAGCTTTTTGGCCTTCACTTTCTGGTACCCGGTTGGTGTTCGCACGGTAAATTCCACTCCATCGCTGTCTCTTTTTGTTGTGCTCACGACGGTGCTGTTGAGCAGAACGTCTTGTCCAAGAAGCTGGGTTGCGTGGTCGTAGACCTCGTAGTTGTTCTGGTTTGTGGTGACCAGAAACCCATTCGCGATATCCCGGATGATGTCTGTGCCGAAGTTCTTGAACACGTACAAAGTTGGCTGCTTCAGATGGTCACCGAGACCCTGACCAAAGTTGGCTATCGTAAATGAGGCATTTGCAATCTCGGGGTATTTCTTGATAAACTCGCCGAAAGGTAGCAAGAGATCTTTTGGGACGGGATCCGGAAGAAAGAAACCCTGTTCTACATCTGGATATTGAGAAAGATGCTGCGCATATGCCTGTAGAGCGGTTGTGATATCTGGGAGTATGTAATTGACAGGCTTGGCAGTCTTTGGGTCCAGGTATTGCGGAGTGGCAGATGAGGTGAAGCTCGGGAGAGCAACGGTCCACGACACGTTTAGTCGGTCGAAGAAGTCCTTGACGAATTGTTGGTCGTGAAATACTTGAACGCCGTAGTCCACATTCTGCTTGGTGAGTGGATCTTGATATGTGTTGGTGTGACCGCCGAGGACGGGTTCTTTTTCGATCAAGATGATTGATTTGCCTTGGTCGCGAAGTGACACGGCAGCGAAGGTTCCTGAAGCTCCACCCCCTACAATGGCGACATCGCGGATAATGATGCTATCGTCACACAATGCCCATGGAGCAAAGACAAGCCCCAAGGCAAGAGCGCGTGCTTGAAGAAACATGGATGAATCTCTTGGATTGATGGTGGGTTGAAGATGTGGATTATAGGGAAGTCGCGTTCTAAGCTTTTATGTCTGCAGGAATCTGGTATATAATTGCAGTCATTCCTGTGTCACCAAGTTGCCAACCAGGCGGGTATATCATTCGTTATCTGATCATGAAGGGTCCCCTGGTGATTCTAGACCCCTGCCCAGCATTCTTTTGCATGGCAGATTTGGAATTTCAATTCTTGCAGTATGTAGCAGGCTTCATCGCAACCGATATAGCACTGCAGGACTAAGTTAGTGCTGTCTGAGCAACTCAGGCATACTGTAAGTATCCATGTAAAAATTGCACGTGTCTGCTTTGGTTTCTCGGTGAAAAGAGATTCATTGCCAATTGGAAGCCACGAATGTACATATTTAGCACTTCCGAGATGTCCGATACAAGCCGGGCAGCAGAATTATGAGGGAACTGATGCAAGACTGACGCATGTGGACCTGAATTACCCAGGTATATTTAGGGTAAAAAGGTTGATGTTGCGTGATGTCGAGAATTACAGTTGCCGGAAGAACTTTCTTATATAGTACCTTCCGCGAATGGCGAATAGAAACCCTCCGAACATGTGCATTGAATAGTTCAACTGAATGTGACAATTAGAATGCAATATCAAGTCCCCATGCTTCTGTTCTTTTTCGTATTCCAAACCAACTTTGGAAGCCGGCGATATCCGTGATGTTGTAATTCCAGAACTTCGCCAAGCTCAGTAACGTGTTAGCGAGCCGAATGAGTGGGGAGAGATTATCAATCTGTCCCCGTAGTAGATAGATCTGGAAACTCCATCAGCCACAACTAGGCTATCGTTTCATAGAGCCGATTTTGCCGGTGTTTGTCCCAGTAAATAGTAGAGAGACCAGCCCAAAAAGTCAGTAATAAGCGCCAGAATAAGGCAAGACAATTAGTTATAACAATATGGTAGCCATATTATAACCACATTATAACAAAAATCCTGTCTTGGATCTCTGGGTCATTCGGCTACTTTCTTTCCGATCTGAATCTCCCAAGTGGGGAAGCGGCAAATCTCATTCCCTACGGAGAGCGCTTCTAGAACCCAGAATTGGTTAGTTCGTCGGGATAAATTTCTTTCGATCGATAAGTGGAGTCATAAGCACTTCCCGGCCAAGATGAAACTATTTACTTTCGTTCTAGCAAACAAATTAGTTTCGATAAGTGGATTTGTCCGGGTATAGTATCCCATTCTATCCCATTTCCCGAACAATCCCTATAGTTGGAAAAGACCAAACAGTCCAGTAAATGTGGGAACGGGAGCCTGACTCGTGCTCATACGCCAGGATCGAGCCGGTGACCATAGCGCCCTACTAGTTGTGTCCACACGGCTCGAACACCGATGTTCAGATCAGCAATCCCTGAGCGAATTCCAGCTTTATTCCAGCATAATTTCTTTGTTTACATTTACAGATTAAATGGATCCCGCTTCGGCAATCTTGGAAGTCAAATTAATTACATTGTCAGCTTGGTTCACTCCCCACATGGGCTCGATGCGAGCCATGGGGCCGAACTCTCGTAAAGTACATACATTACGCTAAGGTCTGATCGCGTGGAAAATCCTGGCGAACTTGGGGAGATAAGTTGCCTGGTTTTATTGTACGTTCTGGGCCCTCACTTGTTAACTTTCATTTTCACTTTGACCTGACATGGCATCGAGGCTGATCCTTAAGCTTAAGGACTTCGAATCTGGACATGCATGGGCTACCCTTGGTCGGGCGTAGTCTCGCCCTGTTTACCATCGCCATTGTTATGCTGTGTCTCACTATCATTGCGGTTTCGTTGAGATGCTTTGCTCGCTGGTATCTTGTTCGTGCGTTCGGGTGGGATGATACACTTATGGTCGCAGCGCTGGTATGCTTCTCATCTGCAATCTTCAATATCGGGTCCTGATTTCCTCTTCCTCTCTTATCTCTAGGCTATTTTCATATCTCTATCTGTCGCCTTTATCAATGGCACAATGGATGGCGTCGGCCATCAGGTAGTAGATTTCGGAACTAATATCGCTCTTTACTCGACCGCACTTCGAGTAAGTCTTGTCCACACAATCCACAATTATATGTGAAATATGGGAGCTGGTCTAATTGTCAATGCTAATAGTGGTGGTGGCTCGCCCAAATCCTCTATATCTGGTCATCAGCTGTGACCAAAATCTCCATTGCTCTCGCACTCCTCCGATTAACAGTGAAAAAACTGCATATGATCATTCTTTACTGTCTCATCGGGCTAACAATCGCCAACGCTCTTTTATTCTTTTTCGTTCTTGTCCTGGACTGTCGTCCGATTTCTTATTTCTGGAGACGAGTCGATCCTACCGCGGAGGGATCCTGCTTGTCCACTACTGTCCTGCTGGATATCGCATACCTGTATAGTTCGCTTACGATCTTGGTTGATTTCTCATTGGGAACCTTACCGATCGCGGTGGTTTGGAATCTACAAATGAATCGATGGACAAAGGTTGCTGTTGGAGGAATTTTGAGTCTGGGTGCTGTGTATGTGTATGCCACACGCAATGCGGATGACAATGCTAATTTTTTAGTGCGAGTGTGGCTGTCGTTGTCCGTCTTCCATTTTTGCATTACTATAGTGATCCGGACTTTCTCTGTATGTGGCAGTTTTATCAAGGGGAACTGTGGGAAACGATGCTAATCCAGGTCATAGACTCAACTTACCAAATCGCTATTTGGTCTCTTCTCGAAACGGGTCTTGGTATTATCGCTGGCAGTCTCGTTACCCTCCGTCCTTTGTTCCGCTGGTTCGCCGATACAAGTGTTTATAACAAAAACAAGCGGTATGAGAGAAGCACGACTGTACAATATCCGTTGGCCAATTTGAAAGGCAAGGGAACAAAGAGTGACCCTAGATACTGGCGGCCGGATATCGACGACACCAAGACTACTTTGGTTACGAGTGTGTCGTCACCGAGCGGGCAAGGATTTCCCCCTTCGAACAGCAGTGAAGAGCGTTTGTATTCGGGAGCTGGTGGAGTTAGCCATCCCTACCATGTTAGCGTCCATGAGACCATCACAGTTACGGAGGCAACCCATGCCAGCTCCTCTTCAATTGGCTAAATCATGAGCGAAATTATCAAATCTATTTAAGCAAAAAAAATCAAAATTGTTGTAATGAAATTGGTATCAACACGGTAAATGACAAGCTACAAATATATATTTTATTCCTCGAACAACCTGCCCAGAATCAGACTCTGACAGACAAACTCATTTCCAACGACTCGGGCAGTAGGCAACGAATCATCAACTGGATTCGTCATCGTAAACACAGCGGACAGCTTACGCTTCTTTCCATGAACCAGAGAGATCCTCTGTGTCTTTGGTCGCGGTGTTAACATAGACTGCGCAGAAGCCTGATCTGCATCATCGACGTAGATCAAGTCCCAACTACAAGGCAGAGAAGCCTGGGATTGGGATTCCATCAATACCTGGGCGGTTTTTAGATCGGGCACCCGCTCCACGCGGGAAGCACCAAGCGCAAATGTGAGAAAGACATAGGCTCGGCGCTTTTTCTCTGCTTTGCCTCGCCCAGTGACGATAAGAACAGACTTCCCGTCCAGTAGTTTCGGCCTTGTCGCGATGGTTTCAGATAGACGAGCATCGGCAGGTGACGTCGGCATCATCATTCGAGATTTAGTGGCACCATTGAGATAAGTCGAGTCACCGGCTGGTAGCAAGTAAACATCCCAGTCAATAATGCGGCCCTTGGCAACACAATCTTCAACCCAGCGACCTGAGAGGCAGGGTAGCCCCAGGGCCAGCGCTTGCATGTACTTCTCACGGCGGGAATGAGTATCAGCGATGAGACATGCAAATCCCACATTCTCGGCTAGAGCTGTCAGGCGTAGGCCAAGGCTGCCAGACTGATCCTTGTCACCTCTTGCCGGCACATCAAAGGGAAGAATTGACGACGCTTCAAACAATTCTGTAAACCCATCATGCAATATCGAACCACCATTGTCTCTGATAGATTGCAAAACACGATTTTTAGATCCATCGTCTTCTGTGTAAGACACAGCAAATGCCATATTCGCAAAGATGCCACTGGCAGATTGAATGGAGCGGGAGAAGCGAGTGCTGGGGGATGCTGGCAGGGAAGATTTTTCTGGTGAATGAGAGGCAGTTGGTCGGGGCGCGGGCTCAGGTTCATAAGTAAAGTCACGGTCTTTGAGATGATTCCAAAGGCTTGTGTCAAGGTAGATACGACCGATAGGCACCTTGATCACATTTTCAGAGTTATGGAGACCACCATTAGGAAGGCTCTTGCGTTGCTTAGGTCCAAGGATGATTGTAGTATGTCCGTATATATCAGTTTGGGGGTAGAACCCTTTTTCGGCAGCTTGAGAGAGCTCCTCTCTTGTAAGCTTATCATCAAAGCCACGGACAATATGTGTGACCTTGGGAATATTAGGCATGTCAACTTTGACCCCATCGCCGATGCGGAGTTCAAATCTCTTGACTGTGCCTTTCAACACTTCGACAGGAAGACTGTCTTCGAATTTGACAACGTAATTGGCTTCTGGGACACCCAGAGGTGTTCCGAAGCAAGTAGCAGGGTAGTATGCTCGTTTCAGACCCCTCCATACAGCAATCACTTGGCGAGGGGCAATTTGAGCATTGTCAGAAGCCCGGGTAGGTCGGGGTGTGGTAGGAGGGCTGTTAACTGTTTTGAAATCTGATAAAGACCGGTCCTCAGAGTCGATATCAACATCGGTGAGGTCGGTGAGTTCGGAAGATGTAGTTGATCCAGGCTTGTGAGCGACGACAGGTCGAGTAGGCGCTGGAAGAACTGGCTTCTGTGCTGCCATACTCTGCTTTCCAATATCTTGAGCAGTCACTCTGCTATGTCTTGATCTTCGTCGTACAGCCGGTTGTTGAGGAGAGTCTCCAATTTCCCATAAATCTTCATCTCGGACAGCAGGCCTGGACTGCCTACGGGTAATTGCAGGTACATGGACTGTTACCGAAGAAATTTGCTGAGCAGGGCTCTCATGGATTGGTGCTGTAGTCTTGGGGGGCTGTGCGCGAGGTGTTGCAGGAATTGCAGTGTCAGATGTGTTGAAGCTCTGGCCGAGGTTGCCTCGTCTTTTCTTTCGAGGGCGAGTCGGTGATCCATCAATGACCAACGAATTGAACTCATCGTCGGCCGTGAAGAAATCCATGCCAATATCCCCGATCTTGAAATCAATTTGAGGAGAACAATCCGAAGCTATTTCAGTTAAAGCACGGCGTTGTCTTCCACTCGGACTTGATAGGATCTGAGATTGTGTTTGGGATACGAGGGTCTTGATTGGGGAAGAAAGGGCACGGGATTGTGAATGTCGCACCTGACCCAGTCTGTGGGCATTTGCAGCAGGGAGCATAGGAGGGAGATCATCATCTTCATTATTCATTCCATCGCCATTAGATTGCGCTTCCCATTCATTGGATTGAGTGCGGCTAGGACTGGTCTCCGGAATGCTTGTTAATCGAGCCATGTCGCCAAAATCGCGGCGGAGGTGAATAGGCGTTTCAGTAATACGCGAGAGCATCGAAGGTTTGTTCCCGGTTCCACCTTGGGAATTGTTAGAAAAAAGCCCGGTCCTTAGTGGCACATGTGGATTGCTAGAGTTGAGGCGTGCATTCTCGTTGGATGATGTCTGGATCATGTCGACCTCGGAGCCCTGCCTTTGAGAATTCGTACTTGAATCGTGCCGATGGTCTGGTCGTGAAGGAGGTGGCGAAGATAGAAGCCGTTGCTGAATTGGTGAGATATTCACATTGCCAATGTTAACAGGGGCTGGATCGGGCTGCATTGTGGATGATAGCAGGTCAGCTTGGGCCTCGTAGTTGCTGGGCCTAGGCGAGGGTGGCGGTGATTGTTGAGAGTCTTTGACCATGACTTGGGAAGATCGACCAGAATACAGATCCCGATCGTAGATTTCAACGGAGCTAACATGGTAAGTTCCAATATCATGCCCCGGCCCTGCATCGACCCGAGATGCTGGTTCACTTTCCATTGCAAGGGCCTGTGAGAGTCGGTCGTGTGCACTGCCAGCCTCATGCACCAAACTGAGTGGACCATTGTAATTTTCCTTGTCCTCTTCTGAAGAAGGGGGATGCTCCTGCGACTGGAGAACTTGGGGAGCGATTTCATCCTCTTGTTCCGTTTCTTCTTCACTTCCGGCAGCCGCGGTTTCATCGACATGCAGGTAGGCCGGGGAAGTAGCTCGGTTCTCAGACCGGGAAGGAGCGTTCAAGGCCGCAAATTGAGCGGCGGTCTCCTCATCAAAAAGCCGCTGCCGTCGTGCATTCTTAACAAAGCTTGATTCTTTGTTAAACTCCTGCTCAATCGGATCGTCCGAATGCATATCATCCGCAGACCGAGTTAATCTCTCCCCTAGAGATTTATCACGTCTTGATTGAGATTCCTTCATAGATATGTAATTGAGGTTCGGCTCCGACGATTCTCTCGCAAATTGAACTAGCGGCGAGGAGATATTGTTGATAATCCGGGGGCATTGGATCGGGATATTCGGTGATGGACGGTCTGACACAATTTCTGGTAGTTGTCCATGAACCAGGGGAGATGATGGCGCCTGGGTAGCTTTGAAAAGCTGACTCAAGCCCATGAGCCCTCCGCTCGATTCTATATCTCCGGCAAGGGGATTTCTCGATACGGTGGGTGTCTCCATCGATGTGCCTGGTGTTTGGGGCTTTTTCATTGCAGTGCCGGGAGTCGCGGCTAGGAAACGTTGGGATTCAGGGAAGAACTCGGGTTGATATGCCATCGGGGAAGATTCGGTTGGGTCATAGTTGCTTTCTTCGTCTTGGATTGGGGAGAGGTCGGCTTCGTGGTGTGCGGTTCCGAATTCAGCGAGGAGGTCAATATGGCCACTATCACCCTCGTGCAATGTCATGAGGGTAGCACCATCTGCACCACTTTGTGAGCCTCCTCCGTACATACTAGACTCTCCATTTCGTTGAATGATGCTATCGTAAATCGATTGTGAGACAACTTGGGTGTCGCTCGGGTTATTCGCGGGGTCCATTGCTGCGGGCGCAAGCCCAGAAATGGGAACGGATTTTATCGGCTGAGAAGATGAGTTCATGGAGTCTTGCTCATGGTGTCGATGCAACGGAGGGGAGGTTCGCTTCTGAGAGCTCGCAGTATTCGAGGTTGATGATAATTGCCGGGGAGCCGTCGGGGAGTCGTCACTGTAGCAACAATTTACGACATGGTTTGCATGGGTCGATTGTATTTTCGAAATACTGCCAAGTTTCGTTTGTCCGGGAATACTAGATTGAGATGGTTCGTGCTCCTAGAAGGCCGACCGAAATTAGCCCAATAAGAATCTGGAACGCTGCATGTCATTACATACAAGACCCAACGCGACGCGTTGTAGTTTGGCGATATCGATACTGTCCTGGGTCTCCATCCCTCCGGCGAAGGTCCAATAAATTAAACGACTGTGAGCATTATCTAGATATCGTGAGATGGTGCAATCGTTATATCAGGGAATTATTGCGTAGTAAAAACTAACTAAATCGAGAATTGATGCGGAACGCGAAACGCGTGATCCACGTGATTCGAAGACTCTAGTAATATTACCTAGTTAGGTCTAGCGTATCGCTTTTATTACAAGCCGCGGCAAGCTCCTGCACATGAGTATTTGCCTTAGCTCTCTCACTTTTGATTTGACTATGTAGAATTCAAGTTGGATAAGAGTCTTGGATTCTAGGTAGATTTCTGATCATAATTATATAATTATCATATTTATAATGATTTTTTACTCTGATTTTTCAAGACTTCACAGGATTAAATATTGAACCTTGCATTTCACGCAATTTCAACATACAGAATCTAGTCTACAAAGGATCGTTGGATTCTAGTGAGAAATTTGATCGTTTCCATGTGTGAAACTTATTATATAGATGTTTTTTGCCTTAGGCCACAGCTTTATACAGATTGATAACTTGGACTATAGTACCATTTATGAGGAGAGAAGAATAAGCATTAACAGACAATATTTCTTCAGTCCACACAATATAAGTAGTTCTACTACATAGACAGTATCACATTGGGGATTAGCTCCGTATTATGATCACGGTAATATATACTCAATTGTAATTGAATATTGATTTATTGGGTATCTGAAGCCCTTTCATAATATGATACATAAGAAATTAACCAACAGATGCCTAATCACGGCTCCGGTTGGGAATCCATCGTCGAAGGAGAAACTCTCGTACTCGGTAACTACCAAGAACAGCACCGATGTCGTCAATGGATGATGTGGGTGGTGGAACTTGGACATAGACGACTACCAAGCTCTTTTTCACTTGTGCCTGAACCCGGTTCACACAGTGCAGCCACCACCATCTTCGATCTTGTTTCTGTGCCACATAATCCCTGCGCTCTTTTGTCTCGTTCCAATAAGGATGCTCGTATGAGGGGACAATGATGACGGCGAATTCGGCGTGAGAGAAGACCGGTCCGCGGTTGTAGAGTAAGTAGTCCGTTCCGAACTTCACACCAGAGCGAACCACCCACCCGAGGGATCGGAAGTGGTGATACACTGCATATGAAAGCAGGAAGGGGTCGTCGGGTTGCAAATCGGCGGAGGGGAGGCGGGGCGGATAGTGGGAGTGATGGCACAGGAGGGAAAAGAGGGAGGAGGTCGGGATAACGGCATTGGTCTCGCGGTCAACGACCCGCAAGACACCGAGGCCATACACCAGGAAGAACGTCTCTTCATTTGAAATCTGAAGATGTTCCTCATTTTGGAACTCCATGTCGAGATCAGCATCATCATCGACCTGTGGGGATAACTTCTGCTCCTGAACGACCGGCGAGAACCGCACGGATTTTCCATTGGGTGAGTTGATCACATCAGTAGTTGGCTCGGCAGTGGCATTCTGTATGGCTTGTTCCCGTTCTCTTTGGTATTTGGCGTCCATAGCCTTCTTGACGGAGAACTTCTCTATTGAGGCATCCACTGGGGATGAAGTGCCTAATTCTCTGGCTGCGGCCTCGGCTTTGAGTCTTTCCTCGACCATAAGCCTTTCCACCCTGGCACGCTCAAGCTTCAATTCGCGACGCTCGGTTCTGCGTTTCCGTGTAGCCTCCTCACTAGTGCTCCCACCCAGTAGACCTCTTCTTTTCTTCTCACGCTCTAGCCAGCTGGGCTCACTTCGACTCAGATTACCCTTGCCGAAGAATCCCATCTGCCACAACGCCTTGATTGCTCGCTCGTCGGTAACATGTACGGAAGACGTTGCGAGGTCAAAGTATGCAGTGTAGACTTCTTGGCGAGGAGGGGAGATCAAGAAAGATAGATACGAGAGGGCAACACTAATGAGAGAAAGAGGATTATGAGGAATTACAGGTGGAACAGGGTGGATAGTGACGGGAAGAGGGAAACGATGAATGTTCCTGTAATTGGGCCTAGACGAACGAGATGTCCGGCCTTTCCCTTGGGCAGAGCCAGCTGGGGAGGAGCTGGGAGCTTCGGCCATGTTGAAGAATTACTGAAGATGGGAATTGAAAAATTCCTATGAAGAGGTAGGGTTAGCCAAACTCTTCGAGTACATATGCGAGTGTGAAAGATGCATAGTGGTAATCTTGTCAGATACCGTTGTAGTCAAGAATAACATCATCGGCAAAGGCTGAAATCAAAGTAGTGCCTTTGCCTGAGTTTCAATTTTGGTCATCATAAAGAGAGGGTGCAGGGGAAAAAAAAGTATCTCTGGAAGCTGTCAAAACTCACCTGAAGTCTCTGCGGCCCAACTTGTGTCGAGATTGGGCCAAAAAAAAATGGAAAGAGTAGGTGTTGAAGAAATATTTCAGCTGCCTACTAAGGCAAATAGCTTTCAGTGCATCATTAACACTATTAAGGATCCAAAACAGATTCCTCTGAAGATCTGAAGTGGGAAGAATCCAAAACTGCAGAGCTTCGGCTTTTTAAGCGCACGGCATGACTAAGCGGGCGGTCCGAGTGCGTCGGCGTCAAAAAAAATTCCTCCGACTCCAGCAACCACGACTCCAGCAGTTCTTATCGCCAAACCACACGACAATACCACCAAGTGAGTATTTGTTTCTTAAGCGTACATTACTGTGCTTCAAATTTGGGACATTCACTGACTTTCTTCTCCCCCCAGAATGCATCTTATGGTATGTTTGAAGTAGTCGCGACCACCGAACGAACCCTACGATCATGGACTTGCCAGGAACAGTCTCGTTAACTAATAAATTAGTACACTATCGGTGCCGATGGCAAGCGTGTTTACACCTTGAAGAAAGTCGGTCATTTTTGAGATCTGGAATTTCTTAGATCACAGTGTTAACGGTTTCTTTCAGGTCGTTGACGGCAAGGTCTCCAAGTCCGCGTATGCTTGAAAGCCCCAATCAGCCATTATTTCAATTACTTACATATAGAAGTCACCCCGCTCGCTTCTCCCCCGATGACAAGTACTCTCGGTATGTGAATCTGGCATCAAGACAGATGGAAGATCCGAGCTAATATTTCGTTCTTAGTCACCGTGTTACCCTGAAGAAGCGTTACGGCCTCCTGCTCACCCAGCAGACCGGTATGAATTAAATTTTAGCCTGAAATCACACCAGAAAACTGACCCCGGTCTCAGATGACGCTCCTGCTGTTTGAACAAAGAAATAGGATGGAAAATTGGGTTTGAGGGATCACATGGTGCTTTGACCTGTGTTTCGGCGCATGGTGTTAGTTTGTACAGTCGATGGACGGCTGCGATTTGCATTGCTTCGGATCTTTTGCCGAGTATTGGGGTGATATATTCAGAGAATCTCAGTCCCTGATGTTGACTACCAATAACATGTCTTTTCTAAACGTTCAAGGTATTCTATTCCGTACTATCTATGTGCAAAGGTTTTGTAGCCATCAGACAAAGACTTAGTCATTGCTCATCAGCAGGCGGGCCATCTCCTTTAGAGATAACGTAAGGACTTTTTGTGCATAACCCAAACTCCAGCCCATATAATCCATAATGCAAAAGTCGTTCAGGCTCAACGCTTCTTGGAGTTGACGTTACGACCGGCGCCAACCTTCACACGACCACCCATCCTGTTCCGCTCGCCGGTCAAGATACCGGGGAGGTAGTCCTCGTCCATGAGGTCACGCTCCCGGCGCTGTCGGCGCTCCTCCTCTGCGGTAGATCGAGTGTATTCCTTCTGGTCCTCGGCAAGGATGAGCTCTTGACCCCAGCCGTTCTTTCCACCGCCACCCTTCCACTTTCCGTTGGAACTGCCGTGGGTGGGCTTAGGGACACTGAAAACGTTGCCCCGCTTGTTCCACTGCATATTCTTCTTCAAGTGCATAGTGAACTGACCGTTGGCAGTAGTGGTGCATGAAACACGGGTGAGTGTGTCTTTACCGCAACGAGCGCAGAACTGCTTGTTCATATCCTTGGTGGTAGAGAAACAAGCGTGGCAGCGCTTGATGAAGGTCTTAAGATGCGAAACTCTTTGCAAGGTTGCCGGTGACAACAGGTTGAGGTTCATCTGCAGGAGAACGTTTTGACACTGCGAAGCAGGTTAGTATATATTTCATGTTCCCTTGTGAGAAGCGATTTACTAACGGCAAAATCGGTAGTCATGGTAGCGACCTGCATGATCTTCGGCTCCGGTACGGAATCGGCACCAGCGTCGCGGGCCAGCCGCGTCTTGTAGTTGGTGGGTGTGATCCATTCCCCGCCATCCGAATCGGCAGCGTCATCTTCCTCCTCATTCTGGTCCTCCTCTGGGGTATCCTCTTCAGCCGCGGGCTCATCGACGTCCTCGCTTGTGGGCGCATTCTCTTGCGAGGGAACAGGCTCCTCCACCTTGGACTCCTCCTTGGACTCCTCCTTGGGTTCCTCCACGTTTTCAGTGACGGTAGCCTCCTCTGTGCTCTCAGCAACGGCATCGCCATTGTCCTCGGCACCCTCGACCTTCTCTTCCTCCTTCACAGGCGGCTTGCCATTGACACGCTTCTGGCCAGGGACACTGCGCAATCGCCAGTCGCCTCCATTGCGCTCACACTCAATCTCATAGGCAAGCGCCAAAACCTCAATATCGGTTCGACTCAGGACACTGCGATCACCAGTCTTGCGGGCAAATTCACTGATGACATTGAAGCTTTTGGGGTTGGGTGATCGCTGCTTCAAGAATGGAAGGTACAGGGTCTCAACACGGAGGCGGGCATCGGGGTCGCGAATCTCGGCAAGCACAGAGGGAGTTGTGATAAGTTCTTCGCATTGGGCGAGTAGGGTAGAAAGCGGCGGGGTATTTTTGAGGATGGGACCGGCGTCCAACACGATCGTGTGGATGGACTTAGGTGGCGATGACACAGAGTCCGCCATTTTGATCTGTATATTTCTAGACCTTACAGACAAAAGGAAATAGAAACCCGATCCAGTTGTGGAGGGGAAGTAGTGGGCTTGTCGATGTGGAAAAGGAAATTTCTCGGTTGGTCTGTGCGCTTATCGCCTATCTTATCGCCTCTAAGGTACAACCGTACTACACAGGAGTACATGCCTGGGTATTGACCAAGATAGGTCCTGAGTCATTAGCCTGGGTATGTAATGGGTCTTGGGTAGATCTGGAGTCATAGGTATTACCTGAATTCTGAAGGGACATCATCTGCACTTGTGGCAAAATGTTGATACCGATAGCAAGCTCTGTGTATATATCCTCCAGATTCTAACTCCTACGCTTTCGAATCCTGAACTTAGTAGGCGACTGGAAATATATACAGTACCCTCTAGGTAATCTTAAGATATGTACGTTCTTCAAAATGTCTAACATTCAATGTTACAACATGAATGGTGCTCACTGATATCCTCACCGAAACTCACGCCGACGCGATTATTTTTCTCCCAGAATCCAAACGTCGCGTCTGACGCTTCAAGCTCTTATGGTCACATGGTAAAAGGGTTTTGGTTGACAATTTGAGTTTCTCTGAGGTGAAAGTAATCTTGGTTGTAAAGTTCAGCAAAGCTTACGCTGTAGCGAAATCTGAATGAATATCTAGTTTGCACTTCATTTCAATTGGATTTTTCTCTTCCATCATCAGACAACACAGCCTAATCAGAAATCATACTCTAGCTGAAAAATGAAGAAGACACAAAGAAAAATGGATAGTGCTTTGGCCTAGGTATCCTGTATATGTTTTATGCTAGTATTTAATCTTATCTTCATGTCAAAATTGAAGAACAAAACAATATAATGTTTGAATGTTTATGTACATATTTATCACCATATTATTATTATATGGGCTTAGTGCTAACATCCATAAGTTTCAAACATCAAAATGTCACCATTCAACTATGCTACAAATACCCAGAATTCGCCTGGATCACGAATATATCATTATTCCACCAAGGCTTACATAAATGTTAAGTACTGGTGGCATATTGACACCCTGACCGCAACTATAAATACTTAATTTTTTTTATCCTCTTCTTTCTGCCTACTCTTCTTCCAAAAGCTCCACACATCCAGCAAGCCTGATTTGTTGTATCACATCCACCAATCCGGCTTATTCATCTACTTGACTGCAAGGCTATTTCTATTATGAACCACCTGGACCGGACAGCCTACTGGAACAGGAGAAAAGAGAAATCGAGGCGGTAAGAAAATCATCACATCCTTTCGGTGAGGTTTGGACTAACAGTCAGTCAATCCAACAGCACAAATCTCTCAGCCACGGGAAACTCTCAACACGGCTACCTTGCGATGGTAGGGCAGCCATTGGGAAAGTCATCCCTGGCGCATTCCATTCGGAGTGAAGACTAAATGCTGCCATTGAGAACCTAAAAATGGTCATGGCTAGAAAACCTAGGCCATGGACTACTCTGTGCGTCGTGCAGGGCCCGGGGCCCAACGCTATCAGCACATAGATGGGCATTGGGCGATGCCAGGCCTAATTAGCTTGCGTCTAATTAGGTTGCCTGGGTGTTCAAAGACGTAAGATATCTTTTCCTTAATTTGTGGAAATATTGCTAACCGTTTGTAAGGAGCATTTCTCGATGCTTCGGGAGGGTTTCCCGACCCAGCATATTCATTTTTAATAGGAATGAGAGATCTCCCGATTGCATTGTTCGCGGTGCGTACCATCACGTTCAATCAAGACAGGGATCTCGAATCTTCAGCATTCTACCATGGCTTGCCGCGCGTTCAAACCATGATCATGGCAACATTAGCCACAAGAACCGTATCAAGTACCTCAAGGCAAAGGAGTACAAATGCGCTCCATGAAAGGGGAGCAATTGGCAAAAACAAGGTTGAATTTAATTCATTTCGTCAAGAATCCAAGATATTCTACCGTGCAAGTCGTTGAAACTTTACTATGTAATCACTCTATAGGGACATTGCCTCTCTTTGGGCGAAGAAACCTCTAAGTCGGGTTGGGAATAAATTTACATATCCAAGAGTAATTCTTTCCATGTAGGTTACTCACATACGGCTATCATTGTGCATTTTGCATTAATCAACACGCAAACCTGAGTAGTTGTAATTTGCACAATCATATCCAATTCGAGATGGCCATTTAGGCCCCGGCCGTCACATTCACCCATACAAAGAAGTACGAAACGGCAAAATAGCGGTCAAGCACGTGGAAGATGTCAAGAAGATCAATTGCAATGCATGCACCGTGTAGACTCACTGTTCAATATCACAGTTCAAGGCAAGATGTTGGTTGGATCTTGAACATTCGAATATTAAAAGTGGAAAATGAATTGTGCCCGAGTATCGCTGTTGCAGACCATAAAAGGCCTTCTGCAAGATACAATCATCTGGAGGGAAGGCTGTGCATGAGGTTTCAGTCCTAAATATGCATTTACCCGTCATGGCGGTCATATCAAGGTAGGATACGGCTAGCGAACCCTGGTGCTTTTGAACAAAGAAATGTACGAGCAAACTGAGAATTTAAGTTTTGTGTTCCACAAAATTAAGTCGTCAAATTGAAGTCCAATTCTCTTGTTGGGTCGCTAGCAGAAAGTTTGTTATTCCTCTCAATTAGGATTTGAGCCTGGACCATGCTAATACGATCTTTATCCACGAGGTCAAGTCGCATGTGACTCAAACTAAGAGTCACGCAGCTTATCAGGAACGTGGACGAGAGTTCAGATATTGCCTTGTCAAAATTCTGGATATTTGGCGGTTCGATAGTTGACAATGTGTAAGTGTGATAGATCATGTGGTCACAGCACAATGGGGGCGCCGTACCCCGCGGGGATTCCATCGGGAGATGGACACCATAGGCCAGAAGAAGCCTTTCCTTTCCTTAATTTCCACTTTGCTGTTGTGTGAGTTTAAATCCGCTCTATTGACTGGTTTGTGGTGTGCCGAGTGTGTGACGTGAGGACCCAAATGCTTACTCGGGCTTGAGATATCTTTTTACAATTCTTCCCCTTGCTACCTTTCGAACGGCCGAGACGTTTCGCGCCTATTGAACTAGTCCAAATGATGATCTGAGATCTATTGACAGCTAAAATGACCCTGATCGAGAATATTACTTATAATATCACTGATTCCCCTTGCACTGGTGATCCGTGCATTGAGCTTAACCTTGGGAAGCCACGACACAAATCCAATGGAACTTGGAATACCAAGTACGCACACTCAATTAGTTAGTTGTCTTTTCTTTTTCAGACTAACCCGTGGTCCCTTCGTCAGTGGCTTTGATATTTCCCAAGTTCAAGTCGAAGCAAGCTGAAAGAAAAGTCGATCGTCCGATACATACGATAATCTGCGGGCCTGGTTGATAGATCTCACGCCGCCTGCATCTTAAATTTCGCCCTCATCTAGTGTCCGCTGTCGGCCCTATTCTAGTTGCAGATGCATCATGCATATTGCCTCACACTAATCACGGGAGTAGCCAATGTCAGCCCGGGCAAATTTTAGGCATTTTCTTTGTACTATATCTAGCCAATAGGATCGGTGGTTACGGATATTCCAGATCCTCGATGTTCAATGAATAATCCGGAAAATAAGGAAAGGAAAGGGATCAAGGCATCTAAGTTTTGATTCCAAATGTTGAACGTGGATCCCGTCGCTGCTTCTTTGGTGTTACTTTCCCAATTGGCATTGGCTAGACTGGATCATGATGCTGAAGCCCCCACAATGATACAGCGCTAGACTTTTCATCATTGAAGAATACCTTTTATATCATAAGTCACTGCATCGCTTCTAGTACCCTTCGTCTGCATATCTTGGAAGAGTAAAAGAAGACTTCCAGATATCAACAACTTTAATAACACCTTGTTTCATCGCTCCCCACAGAAAAAAGGCAAAGATAAAAGAAGGTTCACCAGGAAAATGTATTTATTGAGCATGCTAAGGCATTCATGAACCCTATTCGTTAAATGAAACCCCTTGCGCCGCAAACTCCTCCCCTAGACCGGGATCGTATCTTGAACCGCCAATCTGGGGAGCGAGGAGCCTTCACGCAGGGAGATCCGCCCCAGTCCTTCTCCTAGGGTGATCAGACTAGTGGATTTTAGCTCCAACCGTTCCTCCCGAGTTCTGGCCCTGTTCCGTTGTTTATGGGGTCTGAACCCTGGATCCTATGCCGATGTAAATGTGTAGCCCTATTATATCCTTCCCTGTCCTTCCCCCTCTTGTCGATCTGGGGAACCTGTCTATTTCTTATCGCTCATTTGACTCGATTTACTTTTTGATAGCTCATTGGTTGTGGCATTCGCTCGAATATTTCTTTTTATTCTGTTCAACTTCTATTTCTGCCTTTTTCTTTTATCTCTTGTCGTTTGTCTGTTTTCCTGGTTTTATATCAGTCATTGAAACATCTGTGCCTGAGGGAGTGGCTCAGTTAGGGATTGCGGGACACTGGAATCACTGTTTTGCCTGTAGGCTACCGGTCCATGGCTTTGGTTAAGATGGATCCACTCAAGCGGGAGGATGGCAACATATACCTCTCTTCTCGTGGTGCTCAGGGCTTAACTTGCAGTGTTGTCTTTACAGCATTAGCGACCAGCTTTGTGGGATTGCGTCTATACACCCGGGTCAAGCTTATGAGGAGGATGGAATCGAATGACTGGATGATTGTCGTTGCATTAGTAAGTTACTCTTCTCCCATGACAATGCAATCAGAATCCCAATTAAACATGGAACCAAATAGGTCAACTCGTATATTTTCATGGGTTTGGATATGGTTGAAGCTACCAGCGGAATGGGAATGCATCTCAAGGACATCCCACCAGCGATCCTTGAGAGACAGATGAAGGTATGACGATATCATACCATTGGGCTGAGAATTCCTAATAATTTGATCCTTTCTATAGGCATTCTGGCTCACCGTCCCCTTCTACAACGCTGCCGTCCTCTGCGCAAAAGCATCCATCCTCATGCAATATTTCCGCGTGTTCCCTACCCGCCGCATGCGAATTGTCTGCTGGATAATGATAATAATTCTTGCTACATACGGTACATGGGCAGTCATCAGCGCATTCCTAAACTGCATCCCTGTTGCCAAATTCTGGGACGACTCGATCCCAGGCTTCTGTCTAAGTAAACCGGGGCTCTGGTTTTCGAATGCAAGTATGCATATCACCACCGACATTGCGATTCTCATAATCCCCATCCCGGCTCTGATCGCTATCGAGATACCACGGAGACAGAAAGCGGCATTGATGATCTTGTTTGGATTGGGTGGATTTGTTTGTGTGACCAGTATTGTCCGTCTGGTCAGTTTGAAGAAGATTTCTGATTCGAGAGATCCCACGTACGATAATGTGGGTGCGGCGTCTTGGTCTGCCGTGGAGTGTAATACGGGAATTATTTGTGCTTGTTTACCGACTCTTAAGCCGTTGATTTCGAAGCTTGTTCCGGGGCTTTTGTCTACGCTTGAGGGGAGTCGGAGGAATGGGACTGAGCATGTGTCTACTAAACGTCAGACAATGACTTGGAATGATGGGTCTACCCTTGGTGCGCCGGGTGATGATATTGAGTATGGGGCTGGAGATCCTGAGCGGGTCCTTGAGCTGGTTCCGAGTGGCGCTGGGAAGCATGGGAGACGCTGGGTTCAGGAGGAGAAGATTGATGGGATCACGGAGATTACTGGGTTTAGGCAATCGAATTATTGCCATCAACATACAGTGTCTGACACATCTGTCTACTCGCGGAGTTGATCGTGTCTTGTCCATGACGTTATGGGATATCTTCTATGGGAGTCACTGGGGTGTCATTTAGTTGGTTCGGGTTCATTCATACATACCAAGGCTAGCTCTTTCGGTCTGGTGCGATTGGGTTCCATCCTGGCAGCCCTGGAGTAGATAGTCGTCTTTTCTTTGTCACTTTTCTTTTCATATGAAATCTTTTTTATTAATGAGCTTTCAAGCTCCTGGGTTTGGAATGACAAATAGAATCGCTTATATAATTGAGCATATTGCAAAGCAAGGTGAATGAACTTGTTGATCAGTCATTTATGATGCAACATTTAGCAAAATTTCCAAAATATGAACATAAAAAACCCGCCCTGAGGCTCGTAAAAATCCAATCTACGCCCGAGATGTTCTAGCAAATGCTTTAAAAGTCGGCAAATTGCTTATCGACTTCTTCAAAGTGATCAAAGACACCCTTGAACAACTTCACGCCCAGTCCGGGGTCATGTCTACCGGTCGTAGCCCGAATACTGTGCATGCTGAGCTGGGGAATACCGCAGTCAATAGCTCGCAGACCGATTTGCGCACTGGTCATAGGGCCAATAGTGCCACCGCTGCGAGAGTCATTCCTGATCTGGAAGACCTGCAGCTTGGAGTCACATCGAGATGCGATTTCCTTCAGCATACCGGAACTAACGCTATCGGTAGTCATGTGGCCATTGCTATCAGCGGAGATCGTGACGCCGACATTGAGACGCGGGGAGTGGTTCTCCAAGTAGACGTTGAGGAAGTTGGGGTTGACTGCATGGATGACATCCGAAGAAACCAGGAAGCTGTTTGCAACGGTTTGGGAGAGGAGATTGGGACCGTAGGCTTCCTTTGCAAAGGCTTCGGTGATTCTCTCAAAAACGCTACCCATGAAATTCGACTTGGCACCTTGGCGCAAAAGACTGCCAATTTCTTCGTCATCGAACATGCCAACCATCTTCACAATACCGGGCGACTTGTCCTCGTCGGAAGCCAGGAGGGCCTCCTGAGCGGCATAGCAGCACAGCTTATCGTCAATACGACCAGCAAAGATAAGATCCTTGTCCAATCCACCGAACTGAGCAGGCTGAATGTCAAAGAGCTCAAGCTCCCACTCCAGAATTGAGCTATAATCCGTAACACCGATCTCATTGGAGATAGCCTTTACCAATTTCTCGGGCTGGGTCGCAGCAAAGGTTCCAGCCTTAATATCGATCGACTCGGTCGACGACTTCTCGAATAAATCCGAGTTATCAACACCAATAATTGGCACCATTTGCGTCTCTTGGTTGAAAGGACCATTGGCCGGTGTTCCAAAGTGGGGAGCCAGTGTGGGAACACGGGCGATGGGCCAGTCAAGCTTGACCAATTTAGTCTCAACCTTTCCAGTATCTGGGTTCTTGACCAGAACCCGACCGCCGATACCAAGGTCACGATCCCACCAGGTCATATTCAATGCACCGGCATATGGGGCAACACCAAGCTGCTGGAAGCCGGCCTTGGTTGGGAGCTTCGAGACAGGCTTCAGCTTAGCCGTGAGGGCATCCACGTGGCCAGCAACAACAGCTACTCCGTTACCGCTCTCATACTCCTTTCCAATATTGAAAGCAATCAGCGAGCTGCTGTTGCGTGTCACGTAGAACTTGCCCCCGCGCTTTAGGTCCGAGGTCCACACCGCTCGTTCAGACAGTTTCTTGTAACCATGTTGCTCGAGTTGCTTGGAGAAGGCGTCGATGGCATGGAAGATGGTAGGGTTGGAGCTCATGAACTCAATGTAGGGCTTCGAGTAGTCCTCGGGGTTGATGGGTGCTGTGGTCACAGCTGGTTTGGACACTGGAGCTGCAGCTGGCTGGCCATAGGAATAGTCAGGCAGCTGAGCGGACATTTGAGAAGCCCAAGGCTTGTCGAGGGGAACTGTGTGTTTCCGAGTCATGGCTGATGTATTCTGTGTAATTTGGCGGGGGAGAGTGGAACAATTGTGGGTTTGGGTTGGAGTTTGAAGTGTTCGTGAGGGGAGTTGGGGAAAGAGGCTGGGGCCCCTTGCTTATCGCCGAGGTTCCATCGATCCGTCCGATAACGAATTGAGATCAGGAACCATTTCTACTTTGGGAAAGAGAAGTACGTGTTAACATGTAGCTCACTGATAAGGAAAACACATTGAACTCTCCTGAATTTTCTGTAGCTTATATATATCTTATATCATTGCTAAAAAGAAGCTCACAGATATTCAAGTTAAGACTTAGTGTCGACTTTGTGCGAAACAATGACGTGATGCCTATGTTCCCTGCAGATCTCAATAAGCGCTTGGCCCAAATAGGCCTTGCATACGGAGTACTTTCTATTGCTTCAATAATGAAATTTCTAAGATACTCCCTTCTGAAGGATTCAAAGAGGTCTTTTAAAAATGGTCAAAACGGAATATACCTTTGGACCAGACACAATCAAGTTGGCTTAAAATTATTTTGCATAACCACTTGGGTCCTGAGCAGCTGCGCCGACCTAGGAAGAGACTCTTAAGCTGTCTGATGCCCCATTGGCCCTCACAACATGTCGTGCAAATTCCGAAACTTACTCTACATGTGAACTTTAAGCAATGAAAAGAACAATTATAAGCGTAACAAGATAATCAGCAAAATGCTACGTTATTCAAAGATGAGAAACGTTTGCCTTCGAAGGTTACTGGTGTTTGTTCATTATGAACAGATCTTACCGCCAATTTTGGTATTAGAACTCCGTGACGAGTGGTGCAAAAGCTTGAAGAATCCTCGGTAAAAATGGCTACGATTGCAGGGTTTGTTGGCAAAGCTTTATGAGCTGTAGCTTACATTTGCAGGTGGAGTGCAGATCAATCACTGGTTCGCTAGCAATGGTACAGAGTACAGGGGAAATCATCCTGCCTTGCCAGATAAATCCTCACCTAAAAAGGAGAGTACATCCTTCGAGCTGGTGACTCATTGAATTACTGAATTGAGTGCAGGTGCGCCTGGAGATCTCGATAACGACCATAGCCCCGCATGCAAAGCAACGTTCTTGTTTTCCCGTCTGGAAGAGAATCATGCTGTGCTAACCCTAATAACAAGCAGACATTTACTCAGTTTCTTTGTCTGAAGTTGCCTCCCAAAACCTCCGCAGGTCGGCCCATATTACCGGATCAAATAGACTGTGACGTGCTAGATTCGTGAAGGTTATGGGCTACACCGGAATGGATCACCGGCCCCTCTTCTCCGTTTGCCACCTATCCGCAGCCACCCTAGAGTTGAAAGATGAAGGAGTGAAATGTGCCAAGGTCGGTTTCAATTGCCCTAGCGCCCATCATATGGGTCTCCGGCCTTCCAGAATGACACTAAATCAATGGAACTGAGGTTCAAACTTCCCAAACTGAGCCGAGCTTGCGAATTTGTCCGTTTTTCGGTCCTTGCTCGGCACGAAGAGCGCAAGATGACCACTGATTGATAAGAATTTGCTGTGGGGAGGAACCGCCAAGAAGCACCCGAAGGCATGGGTTGATGATCAACCAATAAGATAAAAGAATTTAGCAGGCAAAGCTCGGTGGTCCGTGTTGACCGAAGGAAATTTTTCAAAAAAGCAACTGCGTTGCAGCATTATCGAACTAAAAACATGGATCAAGAGGCGCTCGGATTGCCAAAGAGGGCAGGCGAGCGTGACTAGCGCCATCAGATAAGATCACCGAGTTGCGCGAGTTAGGGCTCGACCATAGAAATACTTGCAGGAGTTGTCGATCTACTGTACATCTCACCGCTGGAATTGAACTAATAGGGACTAGTATCCTTCCGGGAAATGAGATTCCACTGACCTTTGTCTCTTGTTATTGGTTCAATCGCCGTTTCTGCTATGTAATGGCCGGATTTACTCCGAAAGTAGTGGACTTGCCTAACGTTCCAAGGATTTGATATTCGCCTCTTTGATGATTCTTATCTGATCTTCCTATTGTCATATTTCGTGTCTATTATTCCATTTGGTGTGCAATTGTGAGTTGTAATCAATATCCTCATGTACTCTATAACCAATGTTTTCAAGAGTCACGAATAGTCAACAAATTCGGTCAACGAGAAAAACAATGAAGCTTGAAAATCTACATCATTACAGTCAGCCCACTCGGCCAAGCTTACCTTCACCTGGATCTGATAAAAAATCAAAAGAAAACAAAAAAAACTCTGTAATGGATCCCCCCCCCCCCGCTGTAGCCGACTTGTACCATCCGAAACCGGCATCATGTGAGCACAATCTAATCTGATCATCGCCCTTTTCTTCCTCCCTTTCCCACTTTTTCTTCCCGAGCTTCCTTTAAGCTCAGCTTCTTAATTGCTCCCACCTCCCTGCAGGACTCACATGTTTGATTTCTTTTGACTCTTTTCTTTTCTCTTCTTTTCAAGTCATTGTTGATCAAGGGTGGTCCCAACTCGCTTATCGGGTCGTATGAGCGCACATCCGCAATTCCGACCGAGAGACGGCTAGTGCGTATTCCCGAACATACCCGACTCGCGATCCCCTCAATGTTCCCGCTGACCCCAACCCAGCATTTGAACTGACTACAGCCACCATAATGGCCACGACAGGCGTGTCTCTCACGCCTGCTCCGGCCTTGGTCCCTTCACTGGCTATGGCGCCTGCCTTGGCAGCTAGACCTTCCGTGGCCCCATCGCCTGGTCCCGGCACGCCCGGCTCTATCACATCGAAAGAATGGGTTATACCTCCACGTCCGAAGCCTGGTCGCAAGCCAGCGACCGATACGCCGCCCACCAAACGAAAGGCTCAGAACCGAGCTGCCCAGCGAGCATTCCGCGAGCGGCGGGCCGCCCGAGTTCAGGAGCTGGAGGAGCTGATGAAAGACATGGAAGATAATCATGACAGTCAAGCTTCAACGCTCACTGAACAAATTAACAGTCTTACGCGTGAGGTCGAACAGTGCCGCGAGGAGATGGCCTGGTGGCGTGACCGATGCCACACTCTGGAGAAGGAAGTATCGGTTGAACGCAGTGCAAAGGAAGCCCTTGTCAAGGAATTCCGAGCTTCAATGTCCAGCTCGAACGCCAAGTCTTCCATGCCGGACTCAGTTCCTCTACCGCCTCGTAAGCGTCCTGCTACCCGCAGCACCCGGATGGAAGATGTCATTCCTATTAGTGCAGCGCGCAACCGAGAGCCAGAACCGGAGAATATGCCTTTGGGTTGTACCGACTGCTCTTCTGCGCACTGCCAGTGCATCGAGGATGCCTTCGGTATACCCATTGACACTCACGAGTCCCGTGGCAGACATCCTCCCCACGGTGTCGGCAGCCCGGAGCGCGAAATCTCAGAGCCCGAGATCAAACCCGACCCGGAAGAGATGGAGATTGATTTCACTGCTCGATTCTCCGGTGTCCCTGCCCAACAAAACTCCCACCACCAGCACAATGATGATGTTTCTTCGCCCCCAGTCGATCCCTGTGGCTTCTGCCAGGATGGCACTCCCTGCATCTGTGCCGAGATGGCTGCCCAGGAACAGCAGCGCAACAACGGCCGCCGCAACTCCTTTGACAACCCTCGTCTCGCTCCCATCCAATCCATCTCACAGTTCACTCCACCACCCTCTGAAGGTGACGTGATTCTCCCCCCTATCAGTCAAGCTACGAATCCCTGTGCGAACGGGCCAGGTACTTGCGCCCAGTGTCTTGCCGATCCCCGAAGCACCCTTTTTTGCAAGACGCTGGCAGCCTCCCGGTCAGCGAGCGGAACTCCAGCGGGAGGAGGCTGTTGCGGCGGTAAGGGAACCGACGGCGGATGTTGCATGTCAAGAAATGCCCCCGCCACCCCGACCACGCGTAACAACCCCTCCATGCCTTCGCAACCTGCCGCACCCAAGCCCTCTACGCCCAATGCGCTCACCTTGAGCTGCGCCGACGCCTTCACCACACTTTCCCGCCACCCCAATTTCTCTCGAGCCAGCGATGAGATCTCCACCTGGATGCCTAAGCTCCATACCCTTCCGAACCCTCGCGATCAGGCTGCTGCCGCAGCCGCACAACTGAACGGTGACCGCGGCGCCTTGGAAGTCGAAGCCGCAAGTGTCATGGGTGTGCTCCGTTACTTCGACAGGCGCTTTGCCTCGAAATAAGATAAACCAAACGAAGACCATATCTACCTACCCTCTTCCCTCTTCGATTCTGCATCGGGCTTTTTTTTTATTTCGCCTCACTGAGGCAATTTGATACCCACACCCCGATTGCTCCATGTACCACCATACGGTCTACATCTTCTTTTGTCTTTCTTCAACATGCGGAAGAACCCGCACGCCATCCTCTCCAAAAGCAATACTTATATTTCTTTCTTCTCAACATGACTAGGCTCTGCATAAGTAGACTACCTAGGTCCTTAGACGGAGAATTTGACCGACATGAACATGGTCTGTGGTTGGTTGTGTTGGATTTATTGTTACTGTCAATCTGATCTAGACGGGTTGGACGTTTGAGGCGTTTTTTCTTTTCTTTTGCGATTTGCGTCATGTGTAAACCTGTTTCTTATGAATGGAATGATCGAAATATCTTAAAATTCTAGCTTCAATGTTCTGTCGGACAAACCTTCTGTACTCGAAATTTGGGCTATAGAGTCGAATATTCTCACGTACGTTCTGAGATTTCTAGCTCACAATAAATACATATTTAGTGACATTGGGAAATTGCAAGGCTATGTTATCTCAATTTTTGAGACCAACAGATTAAGTAGAGATCAAGATAGATTAGGCAAAATCACCGGCATTATGGCTATTCAAAGAGCAAATATTAATTGGGATTGTTATGTAGTGTAGAATTTTATACAAGGCATAGAATAGAATCAAAGTGTCGTTCACCTGCCCCTGGATCCATTCCCTGGGGTATAAGATGTGAACAGAGGGAGGAGGAGAGAGTTAAAGCGTGAATGGGGAATCGAGATTTATATCTCTGGCTAGCCCAGGCCAAGTGTCATCGTTTCTCGAGACAAACATTGTCAAGGTTTCTTAGATAAGGCCTGAGCAGATGGTCCTTGCAGGAACCGGATATCCGACTATGAGTGAAGATTGTCCCTTGTGGAATCCGCGTTCAACTAGAATCGACCACCGCTGGAGCGTCCATGACCGCCTCGCATGGTGACTTCGTCCTCGTAACCACCAGCGAACCCACCGAGCATATTGGCGCCCCACATACCAGCGATACCCCACATGCCCATCCGCCAGCCACGGTAGAGGCCCTCGATACCTTGGCCTTGCTTTCGCTTCTGGTACTCTGCCTGTGATACAGGTTTGCTGAGAAGAGTACGAGCACGCTCGGCCTCGGAAGGAGAGGAGCTCAGACCCTCTTCGTGTACGATGTGCCACATCGTACCGATAATACCGCGATAAGTACGGGGCGTAGGAACAATAGTCTCGACATCAGCAGCGTCGATGGATGCCGCATTGATGCTACCACCGGAGGCCTTCTGGCGCAGACTAAGAGAGGTGTATGTGGCGATCTGAGCGCGACGGAGAACGGTCTCGAGGGGGAACTTCACCGCAAGCTCGAGACCGGAGCCTAGGAAAGTGAAAAGGCTCCACATGGATGGGTTGAGCAGAGGATCAATGGACAGGTATGATTTGAGGATGAGAGGAGTCGAGGTGGTTATGAAGCTGGGAAGACTTGAATGGAGAATGGTGATCGGGACGAGGTGAGGTGGGATCGTGGAGTTGGGAGTAGGAAGCTGACGGATGGCCCGGATAAGGGAGCGTGGACCGTGTGTTGCAGGAGTAAGCATCAGAAGGGTGCGAGCGGTATCAATGGGAGAAAGGATGAGTGCGGAGAGCGATGAGGAGACGAATGAAAGGACCAGTGTCACAAGAGGCGAGGGTGCCGTCAATATCTCGGTAGTCATGGACGAGGCAAAGTCCTCCTCCGGTAGACCAATTATGGCCGAAAGAAGGCTGCGAATGAAGGTATTCAGAGTGGGGAGAAGCAATGAATAGATGAATGTGGCGTTGGACGACTTCCAGGGAGAGCTCGGTCCGTTCGTAGTCCAGAGTTGGGAAAGCACATCCATTAAGGACGTCGGGTTTTTGATAGTCAAGGCATGCTTGGATGGTGCTGATGCTGAGTCTGAACGAATATATCCACTGCGGTCTGTAATGCGGTGCCGGGTCTTTCGGGATCGCGGTGTGCTCGGACTCGGTGTAGCAGGGGCGGCGGAAGTGAAGTAGGTACTCTCATCGTCAGAATCCTCTGACTCCTGTTGATAGTCTTGTCAGCTGTAAATTCTGGTTTTCTTGATAGGTATATTCTCCTTACAGAGTCGTCTTTAGTGCTCCCAGGTCCCGGAGTTGACCCCCGGTCTTCCTCTATGTTGTCGGATACGACGTACACCTGCAGGATTGTTTTGGCGACATCGAAGGGCTGTGCAACCAAGACCTGGGCATAGCGAACAAGAGAGCTGTTTATGGCATCTCGACACCAATCCGATACCGACGGTGAGGAGTCAAGATAATCTGAGTAGTCGATATCTGGGATGAGGTCGCGCGCGGAGCTCCCAAACACCTGAGCGGACGAGGGCGGGGCTGACGCGTCTTGAGTCGCATTTGTGGGCGATAGCCCTGTCTGGGGGATATAGTAAGGCCGCAAGGGATTGATCCCTTCGCGTGAGGCCATGGTTGGATGGACTTGGAGGGGTGATCGGGGATAAAGGGTCGGAGAAAGTAGCAGCTAGAGATGTCCGAGACGCCGCCTTTAGGCTTTGTCAGTCTTTTTTTCCCGCAGCGGCCATTGGACGACCGTCTCCGCCTCAGTTCGATTTTCCCTCGCGATTCTGAATTTCCACTTCTTCCCTTTATTTCGATTCTGTCTTAACCTTTCTTATATCACAATGGCTCTCTGGCAAGGATTCAACCAACAATTGCGCCGAGTAGTGCCAAAGGCTACTGGAGAGGCGTGCTTGACTCAGTCACGGAGATACGTCAGCTCAACAATCCCGCGGAGAATCGGAGGAGCCGCGAATGTGAACCAGTGGGGCTTGAGTACAAAGAAGAGCCTGCGGTTGCCATCGCACGGGTGGAAGACGGTTCAGCGCTCATTCTCTGCCTCGGCGCAAGCTGCCCACGGTCACGTCCATACTCCGAAGCCCGGCGAGGAGTAAGTCGCCCGCTGGTTGCGCATGACCATATATCGGCAGTATTAACAATGGATATAGGATCAACATCACTTTCGTTGAAAAGGACGGTACCCGTGTCGATTTGCAAGTCGCTGAGGGGGATAACTTGCTGGACATTGCACAGGCGAATGACCTTGAGATGGAGGGTATGCCGAACCTCTTGAAACCCTCATAGCACTTCAATTTAACTAATTCTCATTGTGCAATAGGTGCCTGTGGTGGCTCATGTGCTTGCTCTACCTGCCATGTGATTGTAGAGGACCCGGACATGTTCGACAAGATGGAGGAGCCCTCAGACGACGAGAACGACATGCTGGACCTGGCATTCGGCTTGACCGAGACCTCGCGGTTAGGTTGCCAGGTCTTGGTGACCAAGGATATGGAGGGAATGGTTGTGCAGCTGCCGACTATGACACGGAATCTACAGGCCAGCGATTTCGAATCGAAATAAGCCCGCGAATAATAATTGGGAAGGCTTTATTTTTGGAGTTGAACTCCCAAGGTTTGGCGAACAGACATGTCCATACTCATATAATGGACCCTGTATTTTATCATTTGCATTTATGTTGCGTCAAGCCGGACAAGGTACTGAATGAAAAATCTCCTGTACTATTTCTAAAACAAGACCATAGATGGATTTACAATGTCAAGCATAATATAAAATACAAATCGCCCAACGCCAGAAACATGCCATGGGGAATCATAGGACTTTTAGCGATTTAAGCCTCCTCGATATTCAAAGGCTTTCCCTTCTTGCCATTGATGAGCTCAAGGAATCCTTGCTTGCTGACCTCGTTGGTAGCCTTCTCACGCTCTCCAATACCGACTGTTCCCTTCTTGCGCTCCTCCTTAGCGGCGTCCTCACCCCGGACTTGTGCAGCTCGGACAGCATTGAACAGTTTCACAACACCACGTTGCGCCATCTTGCGCAGTCTCTTCTCATCCTCCGCCACAGGGCCGGCGAGACCTCTTTCAATACCCATCACATCGCGGACACGGCCACGGTCCAGTTCTTCCTTCTTCTCTGCGCGCATCTTAGCCCGCGCAGCATTGTCGAGTTTCTCGTTGGCAATGTCGCCGGATTTATCAGCGGCAGCCCTGCTTCGGGACAGTACAGGGTCGGCTCGGGCAGCGGAGTTGAGTTTGGTAGCCAGAATTTTGGAGATGGAGGTTGAGAAGGCAGTAGGATCGTTGCGCTTGGGAACGGCTCGGCGCTTTCCACCGTTGCCCATAGAGGCGTCCGAAAGGTATTCATCGTCTTCCAAATCAGAGCCAGAGGCATCATTTTCGTCGTCGTCGTTGTCTTCGTCGTCACTGGAATCTTCCTTGGCAGGTTTGGGCTTCAATGCAGGTTTGGTTTCGGTCTTGGTCTTCTTTGTTGGGCGTTCAACGGCCTTCTTTTTGGTCACAGGGACACCTCCATCTTCTTCGTCTGAATCGGCAAGGTTGACAGCTGCGAAGTTGGTATCTTCTTCCTCGTCGTCCGAGCTGTGGTAGTTGGTTTGCTTGCGGAACTTCTTCGGGCGAGCAGTCTTGCCCTTCATGCCATCGGCAACCTTGCGCTTCTTAGAGTAGGAGCCGACCATTTTGAATGAAAGAAAAATCACAATTGAATGTGAAGTTGAAGAGCGTGAGAGCAGAGTCAGTTTCTCTACCGAGCAACTTTTTTTTGGGCGGTGAAACCCTTCCGGGCCCCGATTGGCTCTCCGCATTGCCTCCTTGGCCTTTCCGCTTCTCGCCCCTCCACAACTTGCTCTTGTGTCCAGAGTAGCATACTTCTTCGAGTTCATTTTGAATATATCCATCCACCATGGTCCTTCAGGATCTTGGACGGCGCATCAACGCCGCAGTCAATGACCTAGCTAGATCAAACAATCTCGATGAGAAGGTTTGTTCTCCATTTAGCCCATCGCAGACAACCCTAGATGCTAACTCACCTAGGCCTTTGATGACATGCTTAAGGAGATTTGCGCTGCCCTCTTGTCCGCTGATGTCAACGTGAAACTCGTCCAGACTGTTCGCAAGTCGATCAAGAAAACAGTCGATTTCGCTTCTCTCCCCGCCACCGTCAACAAGAAACGCCTGATTCAGAAAACCGTTTTCGATGAGCTGGTGGCATTGGTTGATCCTCACTCGGAGTCCTTCCGTCCCAAGAAGGGCCGCTCCAATGTCATTATGTTTGTGGGTCTACAGGGTGCGGGTAAAACAACCACTTGTACCAAACTCGCCCGTCACTACCAGATGCGTGGATTCAAGACGGCGTTGGTTTGCGCGGATACCTTCCGTGCTGGTGCTTTCGACCAGTTGAAGCAGAACGCAACCAAGGCCAAGATTCCTTACTATGGTAGCCTAACTCAGACAGACCCTGCTGTTGTGGCTGCAGAGGGTGTGGCCCAGTTTAAGAAGGAGCGATTTGATATTATTATTGTTGATACCAGTGGTCGTCACCGACAGGAGGAGGAACTGTTCAACGAAATGATTCAAATTCAGGAGGCCGTTACTCCTGACCAAACTATCATGGTTCTCGACAGCACCATTGGTCAGGCTGCCGAGGCCCAATCATCGGCGTTCAAGGCTTCTGCTAACTTCGGTGCCATCATTATTACTAAGACTGATGGCCACGCAGCAGGTGGTGGTGCTATCTCCGCCGTTGCCGCTACAAACACTCCTATTATCTTCCTGGGAACCGGTGAACACTTGATGGACTTGGAGCGATTCGAGCCTCGTGCATTTGTCCAAAAGTTGTTGGGTATGGGTGATGTGGCTGGGCTGATGGACCACGTACAAGCCGTCACCAGAGATTCCGCTGCTGCCAAGGAGACCTACAAGCACATTGCCGAGGGTATCTACACTATTCGTGACTTCCGTGAGAACATTACATCTATCATGAAGATGGGACCTTTGTCCAAGTTATCTGGCATGATTCCCGGTCTGTCCAACTTGACCCAGGGTCTCGATGACGAGGATGGCTCGTTGAAGCTGCGCCGCATGGTTTACATTTTCGACAGCATGACCGCGGCTGAGATGGATAGTGATGGCAAGGTCTTTGTTGAGAAGCCTAGCCGTATGGTCCGAATTGCCCACGGCAGTGGTACCAGCGTTCGTGAAGTCGAAGATCTTCTCTCGCAGCACCGCATGATGGCTGGTATGGCCAAACGTGTCGGTGGACAGAAGAAGCAGATGCAGCGTGCACAGAATATGCTCAAGGGTGGAAACAAGGACCAGCAAATGGCTGCTATGCAGAAGCGTATGCAGGCTATGGGTGGTGCTGGTGGTATGGGCGGAATGCCCGGTATGGGAGACATTAGCAAGATGATGCAGATGATGGGTGGTGGCCAAGGAGGCGGTGGTATGCCGGGTCTCGGAGGCATGGGAGGCATGGATATGCAGAGTATGATGAGTCAGATGAGTGGGTTGATGGGTGGCATGGGAGGATTGGGAGGAATGGGTGGTGGAGGTGGTGGAGGACGTGGAAGAGGAGGACGGTAGTCGGCAAGACTTTTGGCTTATTTTCTTGCATGTTTTCTACCTACCGTATTTCTATCTTAGCATCTGGGCTGGTGTTCGGCGTTCGAATATTCCTAGTACATTCTCTCTCACTTGCACAATACAACAAGTCATGGACATGATCAGAAACTACTGACACGGCTCGAATTAAAGTATCTAGCCTAGTTCTACTATTGTAACCTTCCCAAAAACTCTTCATATGCCACACTGGTCTTTTCCAGCGCCAATTTTCCAATCTCTTCAATTGTTCCAATCGCCGTTTTGAAAACAACATCCCAACCCTCTCTAGTCAGCATATCCACGAGCACGCGACCCGGAGGAAGAGTTCGAGCACCAGTACCACGTCCTACAGGAACACTAAGCTGATACTTCCACACAACTTCACCATCCACATAGAGCGAGTAGGTAAGAACTGAGCTCCGCGAGGAGTCCTTTTCGTCCACCTCTTCAGCAATATCAACAAGTCCAAACTTGCTATTCCCATCCGGAGCATATTTCACTGCCACATCCTCCGAATCCGTCTGACGATACGTCCGAATAGGAAGATAGAACATGCTAAGAGGACCCACGCTAAACTCATGAACACCTAGTCCGGCGGTATCAGGCTGAACCTCATCAGATGATAACGCAAGCTCGGGATCAGGGAATCGTGTAGCAGCAAATTCGTGACGATCACCACTAAGAAGAACAAATCTGATGCCTAGAGCACGTTCAGCACGCCAAATCGCTTCAAAGACTGTGCGTCGTTCGTTGAGATATCCACCCCATGTATCTGCGTTGCCGACATGCCAGTTCTTAGTGAATGGGACGCTCGAAGAGATGATCTTCCAATGAACGCCTGCTGGTTCGGGGGTGGAGATATAGTACAGAAGTGATTGGAGCTGTGAAACTCCGAGGATAGTTGAGTTTGACTTTGATGGCTCGGAACGATATGTGCGGGTATCCAGCATGAAGAATGAAGCGGGCCCATTCACGAAAGAGAAATAGGTGACGTCGTCTGGGTGTGCGAAGGCTTTCGCGGGCACAGGCGGGTTCGCGCTGACATGGTAGTGGGTGTATGGGTCGGCAGCTGCTGGGTAGGGAGCGGTTTTGTTACCCTTAGACCAGTCGTTTTCGATTTCGTGGTCGTCTAGAGTGTGGATCCAGGGGAGGTCTATTGCCGGTGTGTTTCCCGAGCTAAAGGACCATGAGGGAGATGAGTAGATTCTTCGGTATTCGCTGCGGTAGTGATCCATTGAAGCGCCAAATCGGATGGGTACGTCGATGTAGACGAAGTCGCCGAGGAAGAGCATGAAAGATGGTTTGAGGAGTGATGGTAGCTTTCCAAGTGCTTCGGTCATTTGTTCAATTCCTGGAACGCGCAGTGGATGCGACAAAATACTGTATGGGAAGTTTGGTTTCAGGCAGCTTGATGTGACGAAAGATATTTTGTTTGCATCGGCGGATCCTGGACGTGGGGATGTTACAAAATTGCCTGTCTTGTTGTTCGACAACGAGTATCGATAGTGGGTCCCAGGCTTCAGATTCTTCAATGTCACTGCAGCTGTGAAATCTGTACTGTTGTCTAGCTTGTAGACAGTACCTTCTGGGATCCATCTCCGATTGTCCTGGGTGGCTTCTTGGTAAGAGACCACTATAGGTAATTGAGTCGTGTCGGGCTCTCGGAAGACCAATTTAGCGGTAGTCGGCGATACATAACCGATGCGTGAGAATGTAACATCATTGGTAGGATAGACTAGGAAGCCTCGAACCAAGAAATCAAGTGCCAGTAAAGCCACTCCGACGTTGATAAGTGCTGTAATCCACGTCCAGATTGGCGACCGCTTGGAAGGGAGACCTGTCAGAAGGGTCTTCAACGCGGAATCGCCGGAATCAGATGAATTCAAATCTTTAGCACGCTCTTCTATGATTGCATTTAGTCCACTAGCATTTGGTACACAACAAAGTTCCGGGTGGACTCACTGGTGGAGCGTTTCCCGCCCTTCTCGGGGCGATCACCAGATGGCTGATCTTTAGCCAGTGAAAAGAGCGACGATAGATAAATCACCAAGGATGTGAAGACAATAGGTGCGAACGGATACCCAGGGATCTAAATAGACGTTTTAGTAATTTGAATGTGAACCAAGTGACGTTGTTCATACCCATCTCAGAAATATGAAGGTGAACAGCCGGATCGTAGCCGAACTGGTGGCTGCGACGACTCGCCGCAGGGAAACCATTGTCGCGATTCAACCGATGACAGAAGCAAAATGTTTAATCATAGCACGTCGGAGTTCAAGATGTTCAAAGGGAGAGCTTGAGGGCGCTACAGGGGGTGATGTTGTTTTTATGCACGTTGATTGGTGTTTATGTTAGGGATGACGTTATAACCAGCCACGGGCCCACCGATAGCTTAGCATAACTATCACCAATTTTTATGCTAGAGACGAACCAGATGTGGGCAACTTTAGTATATATGCCATATATTAACGAGAAAAGGCAGCAGAAACCTAAGTCTTCAGATTATAAGTACAGTAATCTTCTTTAGTCTGCACAAAGCCGGATGTTCGATCCATCGCTCAATCGATAATATTCAGATCATAAGCTCCGTCCCTGATTCATCATATCCTGCAGCAAGTTATTCAAGCTGCGCGCCATGGCTCCAGGCGCCAAAAGCTGTTTAGCAGCAACCACCACGTCCTTCATACCCATACTAACGGACATCTCAGCCGCCCACTGCCATGGTTGAGCCTCCCCACCAGGCAGGGCATTGAAATACTCCCAACCCATCACACCACCGAAATTGGGAAATTGCTCGACCAGGACCGCAAGAATAGGACCCATCTTCTCGCGCGACACATAGCCCTGAGACCCATTACCCGGATTCGTCAAAATACCATACACAACTCGACGCGGAGACCAGCCCTGCGCAACAATAGCAGCGTACATCCGAGGATCCTCAGCAGGACCCCAGCCATTGTAGAACTGAGCATTGTACCAATCAATTTTAGAAGCCCGAGCCCGCTCAAGCTCTCGGTAGTCAAAGCCAGAGAGATTACCAGCACCAAGCAGCGCAGCAGCAACTGGAGCGAGCGTGATAATAAAGTCGTCGCCCATATCGCCCTTGAGTCGATCGATCAGGCGAATCACGCCTTGAAGAGACATGCTTTCTTCAACGTCAAGATCAAGTCCATCGAGATTGTATCGAAGCAGAATTTGGTAAAGAGGCCCGTAGAACCGTTCGAATTGTTCTTGGTCGCCATCTAGTCGGGTGAACGAGCCTGGTGCCGCACCGCCCAACATACCCATGACCTTCACACCGGCCTCCTGGACCAGGGGCACTTCGGCCCACAAAGGATCGAACTTGGGGTGGTCAGGTGGGTCGTCATTGAGCGTGATGTGACCCGGAGTATCATTGATATGAATAGCGGCCAGAACAATATGTGTGATGCCAGTGCTATATTCCACGAGTGGCATCATGGGGACATATGGGCCCGCGCCTGGGATCAAGGTCTGGTGGTATAAAACTACTCGGCGGCGCTCTGGCGAGCCGCCTGGGAGAGGTGGCATGTTTATGCAAATTGGGTTGAATGTTGATTCACCCTTATATAGGCGGGGTAAATACTTCCACGGTTGGGCGATGTTCGATAAGAGGTGAGATGTTATCAGAGAGCTTTGCTGCAAGATCCAAGAAGCTTGATGTGCTGGTTGATTTTCGAGAAGATTTGGGAATAAAAGCGCGAAGATTTAGTAATAAGAGAAATCAAGCACCATACGATATAAGTCAAGGCGTGGTGAATGATGGCCGCAGCATCACATCTCCAGTCGCGGGCAGGCTTCACCCTGACTAAGCGAGGATCCCGGTAGGTAAACTAAGATATATTTGACAAAGAAATTGGATATGGTACCAATTTATGGATCAATTTATGGATCAAGATCAGATGCATAGAGTACATTGATGATGTACCGAGAATACTTGCATGTCCTGGAACTTGTAATGTTGCTTGTTAGCGTAATGGTCATCTTTGTTCTCTCTGGATTGGCCTCTCACGTTATAGTGTATCTACCTATTACCTACCATGAAATCTGATATGAAGTTGAAATTCCGAAATATAAATGACCTTTACTTTTATATAGCTCACGATGTTTTACGAGTTCAGGCGAGATGATTCCGCACATGCATGTCATACATAGGAATCGCATGAAACATCCACAATGCAGGAGACGGAGAATAAAAAACCTAGAATTGAGATAGATTATGATACGTTTTGTTTCTTGCAAGTAATAGCTGTAGTAATTACAAGTGTAGAAGTAGTACAGAAGACAGAGTATAGAGTATAGAGTAGAGTAGAGTAGAGTAGAGTAGAGTAGAGTAGAGTAGAGTAGAGTAAAGTAAAGTAATCTTTAAACCTAAAACGGCAGGAGGTAAATAGAATGCCTGAGGCGACAAACATCATTTTGTCGCGACCCGCATTTGTGTTGTTTTAATCTCATCTTTCACTTCCCCCGCATTTTGTTTATTGTTATATACTTTTATTTCTCACCTTCGTTGCTGAGGGATGCGATTCCAAATTCCCTGCCTGTATTGAGATTTAAGGTCTTGTTTCCGCTGATTGTGGCCGCATCGATCGCCGCAAAGCTCCGAAACGCGTCCGCCATGGCCAACGCTGGCTACACGTCGCCGTTCCCCACGTCCCACGATACCATCGGACAGTCGACACTGGCGACACCTCTGTTCATGCCTTCCTCACCACCTCGGCACCAGTCTAGTCCAACACCCCCAAGTCCCATCTCCGAGCGTTTCGAGCCCGAACATGAATATGATGACCACAATGATGACCACGAGCACAAGCACGACACAGAAAACGAGGATGAATTACAGAACGTCTCGCGCCCTTCAACGCCAGGAAGTCTGAGTAGATCGGATTTAGATGCGCGCCTCGCTGAATACACTCTGGACTTTGGCCAATTTCCCAGCGGTCACTTTGCAGATGGGGAAGAGATGCCGCTTCCGGATCTGAAGTACGAGGAGGAGGATAGACTTTCTGACGTGGGTGGTCCGGAGGACTTCACGGCAAATATGGAGAAATATTTGATGGGCGAAGGCATGTCGAGTACGCGCAAAGTTCGTATTAATGAGACAGGCGTGGAGGCCGGATCCGTGTTGCGATCTTCTTTACGATCAAGACAGCCAGCTGTCGAAGAGGAGCAAGACTTGGGGGAATACAGCGAGTTTGGGCCACCAGTGGATATGTCTACTCCGTCACATATGTTGCACAGGACCAGTGCCCTCGCCAGAGACTCGACTCACCTTGATGATATCGATGAGGAGGATTCCAACGACGGACTACCAAGTCCGGGATCCCCGTCATCTCGTAAGATGTCAATTGCATCGAGAGATGATGTGCTAGATCGAGAAGAGCGTTTACAAGAACGTATCGCGCAATTAGAAGAGGAGGCTCAAGATCGAGATGACCAGCTTCTCAAAAATCGCAATCGTTTATTGGAGGCAGCCTCGGCCGGTGAACAAATTCGGCATCTTCAGCTAGAGCTCCAGCGCAAGAACGATCAGATCGAAGAGATGGGGTCCAAAGAAAGCGATATGACAAAGCTGCGCGAGCAGATTCAGTCAATGCAAAATCAGGCTGAGGAGCATCACGTCTTTCAGCAGTCTATTCCGAAAGTTCCGGACTTTGGTCCGATTGAACAGCAGATTCGTGCCATGCAGCAAAAACTTCAGAATCAGGACTCGCAGAGCTCCTTGGATACGGAGCGACTAGAGACAATCTCCCACCTACGGCAACAACTCAATCTTGCCCAGGAGCAAGTGAAGAAACGTGACGCCACCTTGGATGAGACACTTGCACGGTTGAGAGAGGTCACCCATGCCAAGGAAGTACAACTTCGAGAAAAGAATGCGGAGATCGACCGCATCAAGTCAGAGCTTGACAACCAGGCTCTGGAGAATGAGAGACTGGATACCGAACTAGATCGTGTGAATGCTGATTACCAAGCTCTCGAGAATCGACTCACCAGCCTTGAAACCAAGAACCTGCCTCTGGAGGAGAGGAATCAATCCCTGGAGGCCGATCTTTCTCGTGCCCAGTCTCAGGTGGAAGCTCAAGAGACTGCCCTAAAAGCTGTTGCTGCGGACCTGCCTATGAGCAGTCGCAGTACTTACAGTGAAATCTTGGACCTGATCAAGGATCTGGGTCCTCCTGAATCTGAACTGGATCCTGGATCTCCCATGCAGGCTAAATTCCCAGTGAATACAGATGTTCCCAATCTGGGAGACGAAATTTCTAGAATCCAGCAAGAGCTCCAGGACGCCACAGCGGCCCAGAAAGCCGCAGAGGTTGAAGCTAACCGCCTCCGAGAACAATCAATTGAAACGCAGAACCTCATTAAAACCATTGAATCCGAGAACCTCCGTCTTGCCACCAGAGTTGAAGAGCTGACTACGACGCTCAACAAGACACAACATGACCTAACTCGGACACGAGAAGAGCATGCTGAATCTCTTGAAACCATCGCTCGCCTGCAAGAGGATGCAATTGGCCAGCCTCCCAGCCCACCTCCATCTCCACCAAAATCTCATGGCGCCAGCAGCGAGCAACCAAACACTTCCGATGTGGCTGCCTTGGAAGAATCCCACCAAGCGCAGATCAAAAGCCTCCAGACAGCTCACTCTACGGCTATTTCAACCCTCCGCTCCTCACACGCTGAGTCCATGCGCAAGATCCGTAATCTTCTTACGGCTGCTGAAGAACGCGAAGCTAATCTTCGTGTCGATCTTACTGCCTTGCGCACCTCCGTATCCAGCCAAGAATCCCAAATCCGCAAATCCTTCAAAGCAGAAATCAGACATCTGGAAGCGGTTATCGCCGCCAAGGATGAAACTGCAGCTGCTATTGACCAGCGTATAGCCTTATCGGTTGATAAGCGAGAACGGGAGTGGGAGCGTCGCGTGGACCTCCTTCTCAAGGAGCGTGATCGCATGGCCAAAGCATTGATGATGTACTGGGGAGAGAAGGAGATGGGTCCTGGGCCAGGTGTTCTGGCGGAAGGGAAGAGCCACCGTCGCCGTGATGGAGACAAGGAGACGAAGCAAGGCCAGGCATATCGGTACAAGTATACGAAGAGCCGGTCTAAGAGTGGAGAAAGCAAGGTCTAAGTTGAATTTTTTTTTCCAAGGACAGATCGGTCATTTGATTTGTCCTGCTTGTGTATTAGCTATTGCATTCTGAGGTTCTAATTCTTGGGTTGGCGTATTGGTTTGAATGTACAAGGAATCTCTACAGCCGTCTCTTTCTCATTTATTTATATCAAACTCTAATTTGGATATCAAATTTGGAACATCTATCGTATACTTTGACCCATTGGTTCTGACGCCATGAACATTCTATCACATGTCATGTGATTTGTTCACCCCATCGCCATGTTTCTCGCGTTCACGTGACCTAAGGGGAATCGCATGGCAACAACATCACTTTTCTTCCCCCATATTCTCCTGCTGTACTCTACTTCCGCACTCTGTTGGGCTCTAATCCCACTGAGCTCGTGGGAATCAAATAGCAGAATGGAAACCCCCGCAGAGCCCCCATTCCACACCTCAATGTTCATTGTTCAACCTCCGGCTGAACAAGGTTCAGATGCCGAGGACGGCGAGGAATCACAACCTGAGGGCCCATCCCAGCCAGAAGTCGAGTCTAGGGAGTACTTCCTCGAGCCTCCGCCGGAGGGCACCTATGAAAGTCAAGAGATACTACTTGCATCTGTCCGAAAACACGCGGTTTCCAAAGGCTACACCATAACTATCCAAAGATCCAAACCAAACATAAGTCTCTACATTGGCTGTGATAGAGGAGGCCACCAGAGGCTGAGTGTTAAATCTTCGGCATCACCCGGCGTGAAACGTCGACATAAACAGTCCAGAAAATGTGGCTGTCCATTTCAGGTGTATTGCAAAAAGAACTACAAACAGACTACTTGGGATTTGACGATCAGAAATCCTGTTCACAATCATCCTGCTGAGGAGGATATGACGGTACATCCTTCTGCTCGTCGGCTTACTCCGGAGCAGCGGAGGCACATTAAGCATTTGGATATGATTGGGGTTAAGCCGAAAGATATTTTGACTTTCTTGAAGTTGGAGAGTCCACATGCGCTGCTGATACCGAGGGATATCTACAATGAAGTTTCTAGGTGGAAGAAACGTGAGAAGGATGCACAGGAGGCGCTTTCTACACAACAAAATGATACACCGCAGCAGGTTCTGCCACAGGAAGTCCCGTCCCAGCATGCTCTGCTAGAGTCGGTCCCATTCCAACAGGCTCTGTCGCCGCAGGTTCCGCCGCAGCAGCCTTTGTCTGGAGGCCAGGTGGGGCCGTTAGTCTCTCACACATAGTTTTAAGTTCTGAGCCTGGGTCTTGGCACATTATGTGTATTTTGATGCTTTACGTGGCATATTATCAGCCATCAAAAATAGAGGTTTCACTCTACAGCTGCATTATTCTTTGGTGGTTCTTGAGTCTAAAATGTAGGCTCATTCACTAGGATTCGGGTGACTTTAGAGTCTAAGTATCTCCAAGCTCCAAATGCAGTAAGCTAAAAACTTGTTTAGGTAGAAATTTTCGTAAAATTGGGATAACAATGAATTTAGACTCGACGATATGGTACAAAAACATTCAGCTTTCAAGTGCAGACAAAGAAAGAAAAGTAGGTCTTATAATACAAAAGTTCCCATCGGAAATATCAGGGAAGAACGTTATTGAGGCTAGGAAATCGTATTAAATGCAGCGAACGCCCTTTGTATCCCTACCCAGGGCCTTTGCAAGGCTTGAAGTCGAATGAGGCAGGGACTAGACAGAAGTAACGCATAAAGAGTCCGCGTTGGTCTTCTCCGTTCTCCAATTCTTCGTCACCGAATTTCTCTTGATCTTCCTATGCCTGTTGATCATAAGCCTCGTCCGCCTCGTCGTCAGTCTCGTCCTCAACTCCAGTCGTCATATTATTCACTCTCCTCGTCTTCGCTCTTACTCTCGTCGTCGTCGTAATCACTAGGATGCTTTCCCTCGATAAGATCAAGTACCTTGTGAAGTTAGTCGAAAACCATTTCATCCTGCGAGATGTCTAGCAGCTCTTTCAGCTTTGGCCAGAGTGCTTCAGAATTACCCACATCCTATCTGATCGCCTGTCGTTCATCCTGTGTCATAGCACACACGATTTGCCACATTGCATTCTTGAAGCTGGTGTCCCATTGAAAGTTCATTCTCACCTGGCGGGCCAATTCACTATTTGTTGAAAGACAAATTGATTTCCCGATCTTTCGCAGTACAGAAAGGCCATTGTAGCGTGTCTTGGGATTGGTGACTGGACCACACTGAGCTGCGATGCTCTCGATTATTGATGTAATGCGGGTAACGACCTCGAATGACATATCGTATTGTTTGGATCCACTAATTCCGCGAGTATTGTTGATCAGGTGCCATACTATTGTGGAGTAATGGTCGAAAGAGAGAACACGATTGCGTGCTGCTTCATTGATTGCGCACACCTCATCAACCACCATTTTGGCGATGTCAGGGTGGGCGTGCATTGCTTTGGTCAAAATTTTGATGATCGCTTTCTGATCCAGGTCACTTTCCACCATCAGTTGGACTTGCTTCAGGTCGAGTGCCTTCGTAACGTTGGAGTCATCAGCGCTATTCGCGCGTGCGCGCTTGGTAGGGTTGGTTTCAGCCATGGCTGCAAATGAGAGTGGTTGAAGAATTGAAGATAGAATCTCAAATCGCGTTGGAATGGAATAGAAAGACAACGCATACTGCGAGGGGGGAAATTGGTTATTTCGCCCTATGAATCACTTTCACTTCTACACATACCCTCCGACCATCTTTTGGTGCGAAATAGTGAATCTTATTTACACACCCATTTCCAAAGTGGGGCGATCATCACATGTAAGGTAATATTGTATGAATTATATTGCAACTATCAAGGATATCTAACAATGACAAAAGTCGCACGCTATTAACCAAAAGACCATTCCTAGGAATCAAATAAAATCCCAATAAATCAATGACCAAGTTTCCCCAAAATCCAAAATCTGACCAGCAGACATGTCAAGTTCAACTAGTAAAAGCTCAAACTAGTCCGATTAGCTCCCCGATAAGTCATCCCGTCAATAACGTTACGCGTCGACTCAGGCGTCCCAGCACCAGCAACCATCCGCCTATCATCAACCGAAGCACGGGATGTAGCACTTGACTCAAGGATGCAGCTCAACGGCCCACTCGGGCCTCCATGCGTGTTACTGCGCGGCCGGCGGGTACTGGGGTAGATGACTTCAACATCATTTCTGCGCGGGGCAGCCATGACCTGGTTGGGGTCAAAAGTTTGGAGACTACCCCAGCGGGCTGGGGCGTTGTACTGTTGGTACTGGCTTTGTGTGTGGCGGGGAGGGTGGTCGAATTGATATGTTGTGCTGCGGACCGGGGGCATGCCGGATGTCTGACGGGAGTTTGGGCGTCTGGTGGGATCGACGTGGAGGGGGTGGAGGGAGGAGTTTGGTCTGCAGGAGAGGGAGTATCTTCGGTTGTTGGGTTGGGATGGCATTGGGCCGGGCATATAGTTTGGGTGGTGGGGATGGTGGATGGAGATGTGGGTTGGAGCGAAACTGGCTGTTGCTGTTTGAGAACGGCGGACTTTGACTGGCTCGGGCATTTGAACTACTACTTCTGGAGCGTCGGCAGAGTTCATTGTCATTGTTCGAGAGTGTTCTGGTCTTTTGGGTGTCCTTTCGGTGGGTGTGTTGTTTGTCTGGGTGGCTTCGCTGGATGCCGTTATGGGTTGCTCTGGCTTGCTTCTGGGGAATGCTGTCACGACTTGTTTCTCCACATCTGATGCAGCGTTTGGGTCTGCTAGTGCACGAATCTGGGGGTCCGATGACAGAGGAAGCGAAAGCCCAAATGTCTTCGGGAAGAACCGTTTCAAGGAGGATAGAGATGACTTCCCCCGTTTATGAGCTGCGTATTGCTTAGGAATTGCTGGCACTTCAGGAACAGAAAATCCTGAGAGGAGATTTCCAGATTCGCTGATTGTCTGGGACGTCATGACAGTCGATGTTCGTGAGATAGGAAAGAAGTCGCTGGACAACGTTTGTGCCCCAGGGGAGGTACGAGGTAGACTGTCGTCTGGTGATATAGTTGTACCTGAAGTGATTTCACCATATTCTGAGCCCGGGTCAGTGTTGACTCGGAGTTGTGGCCGCAGGCGAACAGGGGCTGGGTGTCGGATACTTGGATGACATCGGACTTTGTTGGCTAGCGGATCCACGAACCAATCTTCGCCAGCTTTGCCATCATGCTGGCGACAGAGATTGAGGATCTCATTTCTGAGGGTTTCGTCGCTATCCCAGCTGTTACCCGAAAAAACGCTGCCGTCTTTCACTGTCAGCTGGCGTCGGTAGATGCCAACGATAGAAACGTCGTATGGCCGATCACATAGTTCCCTCGCGCAATACATGGTGCACACGGTGGCTCTGCAATTTTCATATTAATTCGAGGCCCTGGAGGGAAATCTGTTTCACTTACAGTGATATGACCGACACGATAACAGTAGCCCGGTGAAATGCACAGCTGGCACCTACGCGCCAGAACGTCGCATGTGTTCCTTCGGGTAGGCAGTACACTTGTTGAGCAGCGACTACCAGTCCAGAGACACTGGTAGCCAGCCACATCATAAGATCCAATCTCAACACATAGGTGCAGATATTATGCAAAACCGTTTTTTGCTCTCCAAACCCTCCAATATTGTTGTATTGCCAGGCGACCAGGCTTTGGAGCGAAATCAAAGGGATCGAAAGGATAGACTGCAGTTGAATCAGTATCAATGACTGACGTATGGACAAATATCTGTTGAACATACCGACACCAGAGCCAGGATCAGGCTTGTAGTCATCTTTGAGTCAACTGTTGCATTGCCGTAGAGAAATAGCACCAAGACCATTTGAAGAACCGACTCAAGAATCAAACAATATATAGCGGCGAATATGACCAATTTCGTCCACGTTCCCTCCTTGCGCGGTGTTGGCGAAAATCCAGAAGCCATAATGAAGTCTCCCAAGCTGCTCAACAGCCTTATCAGTATACCAGGTCTACTGGATTAAATAAGTCGTGTCGAGAAGATGCGCGGTAGAAACACGTCAAACAGTCGTGCAATCCAGGCGCGACCAGACTATTTCATCAAGTGAGTGACAAGAGGATGAGCAGCAGCATTAGACTAAAAAGGGAATCAAATGGAGCGACATTAGCCCAATGGCGCGTCGACGCGTAAAGAGTGTGGAGGGGTGGAATGTGCCTCCCGAAGGGCCGGTATGGAAAGAGTCCTAGCCATGACCATCAGGCTCATTTGATTTGGAACAAGTAATTAATCTGCGGATCGACTGGAATGTTGTTGTAGGAGTCCCCTCCTGTCATCCAATCCAGTGACAGGGTGGTTCTGGAGGACACGGTTGATGACCCCATCCCTGCAGATCGAGAGTATTCGACGTCAGTTCGTGTAAGGCCCTTTGTGAAAATCTCCGAGACTTTCCAAATTCCAGGGAAGTGTCAAATTTCCGAATTAATTGAGGCAGTGTTGCTCATCGAGGGAGTTAAGGGTGTAATTGGTGTTGTGGTAGACTGTAGGGAGCACTATCCCTCGATGACGCGGATCAACTTAGAACTACATGAACTTCCTCCTTTTTACTTTAACAGCCACACGTAAAGATTCAATGTTGGGATATTAATTAATCGATCATTGCCATGATGATAACGAGTTGCTATTGATTATATTCTGTGGTGATCTTTGAAAATCCCACGTGAACGGAGGGGTACTCCTGCCGACTGCGAGGGAGATGAAGCATCCAGGAGCCTCATACTTGACCACTTTGGCCCGCACATAAACTCGTCTTGTCTCTAATATGGTATGTAAACTATTGCTTTTCATTTAATGGATGATCTGTTTAACTAGACTAGCCAGAAATAACAGGTTTCAAGTAAAGGGAGAAACTTAGTGAAACTGGGCTATAACGACCTATTAACAATGGACATCCGGGTGGACGAGTGGCAAACTCTCCCATCAGGCGCGATATGCGACTAACCAAGTTGCCCGGGACTTGGAACGGAGACTTCAATCGTCACTGGGGAACACCAACTCAGAGCAGACCCTCCAAAAAGCGCTCAACAAAGCTTCAGCAGGAGTCCCTCTCGATTGATGTTGTTGGTTTTTTGTCAATATTTTCACAAGCATGATGTACTGCCTGAATCAAAATATCAAGTCGGATTTATATCAAATTCCTCGTGAGGGGGGGGGGGGGGGATCATGGTGGGTGAACAGAGGTGATGCAAATGAGGCTATTCACAATGTACCTTCCAACTGTTCGGTGAGATTGGGCACAAATGATACATCCCATGTTCAATTCCAGCTCTCGTCAAAGTTGTTCATTTCTTGTTGGGTTGACTCCGTCTTGACATACTGATCAACCGCGAAACTCATGCTTAGCCTGGCCTCGCACCTTGTCAATACGAACCATATACATATACATATGTCCACCCTCATCATTTGGATCTGGGTTATCCGTACGGTCTTTCCCGTTGTAATTGACGAAATATCTCGATTCTTACCTCCCAAAGTCGGACACGTTGGATACATCGCCGGCAGTGCTATTTGTTTCAAGAGCGTGACCTGTGGCGTGAAGACCATAATATGACTGGTTCCATAAACAGCCACCCATAAATTACCCTCAGCACTGCCACGGTCAACAAGAATTCACATCACTTTGTACAAGGAGATACGCACTCTAGAACTATCCCATCTGGTTTCCCACTTGTCCCGTGAAAATCAACAAGAGTTCGTGGATTCGAAATACCCCCAGTCCCGAGATCAAAGTCCAGTGCGGTTATTTTCTGGCCAACGGAATCATTCAGGGACACTACACGTGTAAGCTAAGCCACTGCTACGTCGCCATGCAACCAAGAACAGGGGTTCATACTTGTCCGATTATCCGGGCTCCATTTTACTCCATTCCCGCAGATAATTCCCTCAGCCAGCATCAAGTGTCATATCTCCACAAACGACCCTTCGCCCCATAATCGATAGGCAACCTTCCAGGGGAAAGAGCGGTGGCTGTAAGATCAGTTTCCGCTAACCAGAAGCGTCCGGCTGCATCAACACCACCGTCATTAAACCGGCGCTGGCTCCGCTCGGCGGACGGAATGATCTCACAAGCCACATCTAATTTCCCGGTCTGCTCATCTAGGAAACAGATGCCTTGGTGGTATGCGACGATGTAGCCGGGCTTGTTTTCGCGAAATGCGGCAACGGTTACGCTGTCTGACAGTGGAAGAATCCGGGCTGGACCACTGGCTTTTCCTGTGTTGGGATTGACTGGGAGGATGTATAGTTCGACTGGGGAAGAGAGGCAGTCGAACCAGTGGAGGGTTGAATCACTTGCTCGATATATTACGCCTTCGCCGAGGATCATGCGGCCCTTTGGGGTGAAATAGCAGGCCGGGCCTGTGCTCAGGGTCTCTATTGGATCGCCCATTGTGGTTCCTGGATTTAGTGGATTTGAGGCTGATTTTTAGTCGCTTGGTGCCGCTTGTTGAAAGGGGAATTACGCCGTGTGTCCCTTGAGGTGGAGATGAATTCCCCTCACTGGTGGGGCAAACTCGGAAAACGAGGCGCATCGTTATCATCTGAGGCTTTGATTCGCCATTTTCTGCATTTGGACAGTATTTTTGTGGAAAACCCTGATTTCTTGACTAACATTGAAATCCGAAATTCTTGGTAATCTCTGAGTAAAACCGATCAGTGTTTCCGAGTCATGAATGTTAGTACTTTGGACTAGTGTCTCATGAAAATTTGATCCGCGGCAGTCCAAGGTTTGGGTTAGTCCCCATGGAAGATATTCTGGAATCACTTTTTTATCGACACGTATCAAACTTGGGAGAGTGGCTAACTTCGCCCATTTTCATCCCAAGGTTCCAATCATCTTAGCTACTCCATGCCAAGACAAGAGCTTGTACGGAGTACTCCTTCCCCGTACAGAGTATTGTTCTGCTTATGAGGTCAGGGTTTCCCGTCCCTTGTCCCTGCCAAGAGAACGTGTAAATTTTTTAAAATTTGTACTCCAGCATCACCATGCATAAGGGTCCAATACCGGTTTCAATCTTGGCATAGAAAATGATGGCAGCGGGCCGGGTGTGGGACGGAGGGTCCCTTTAGTCTAGACTATTGATCCAAGCTCCGTGGAAACAAAAGGTGCACTTTTCCGACCTGGGAAATTTGGAAATACCAAGCCCTACCGGCAGATTAACGTGGGGTCCGAACCGGTAAGGGTCCGTCCTCTGAGTTTGCTGGAATCCACTAGACTCAACTGATTTAGGAATGGGCGAGCGAGCCTTGCGAGTACCTGGAGGAAGTTGAGGTGAATAAACAATACAGAGTAAGTGGTAATTATTAAATGTTTATTGTAAAAAGATACATTTCAAAATTTCAGCTTGTGAGACTGTGCCACACTCCGCACATATGTCTGCCACTAACAAAACAGACTAGAAAACGACTGTCTAAGCGATGGGCAAACGTTGTGATGATCCGGTTGGTGCCGGTTGTACCGGCTGAAATCCTTTGTTAGATTCATGATGTTGATTGGTGTCCCTGGCAAACTAGCGCCCGCACTAAAGTAAGAAGCCCACCCTCGCTTGTATTGTTTGCCTTAAATCTCCCAGCTGAAAAAAAAAATCTAAAAAAAAAAGAGAAAATCAGAGAAAATATCTGATCTTGGCCTCAGATGAAATTTTACAAAAGAAATATACTTATCCGAGATCCGTAGAAATTAACTTAGAGGGCATTATGCTTGAAGGGAAAGATTGTCTACAGATATAGTGGGGCTTTATCGGAGATTAGGATTGGCTAGAGAATTAGTTATCTTGCATTGGGTATCCATGTCCGGGACCCTGAGCGGAGAGGGTCTGGCGAATCCGATGCGGCTCTGAACCTCATTGTGCTGAGGTCCTTGGTCGGTTCGGCTTTTTTGTCTACTTCTTTATGTGACGTGGAAATGTTTGCCGTTTCTTTTTTTTTACTTGAGTAAGCTGCCAAGCTTCCTCCTTCTGTACTATTAGATACTGAATTGGTAGGAGTTAGGACTCACATTTATTTCTCAAGACGAGGCTCCAGGAATAAAATGAACCAGTTCTTTTAATACGCTAAGCATAACTATGTGGAGAAGGGCCAAAAATCAGGAACCCGAATGTAACTAATGGTCAGATATGACTCCATACGTTAGCCGAGACCAGGCAGGACCAGGCAGCTAGTACAAATTAGTATATTGAAGACGGTGATTTCCGTACCAAATCCGTAAGGTAATGTTGCCTGAAATAGGAGAGATTAGTATGGAACTCTTCCTTTTAATCCTAATGTTCCTGTTTCCCTCTATCTAGGCTTTTACATCTTTCCACTCTCTTTCCTTGAGTGTAGCCCCAGCAGACGGTTGTCTGCGTCCTTTCGTTCGTTGAACTTTGGCAAATAGCCATATACATTCATTTATTATTACCAGGCTGCTTCTTTAAGCCAGGTTTACCCCTTGTTCAGATTTATAATGGTTGGAATGAAGGTTTTCGCCGCCGTATCGGCGGCGCTGTCCACATTTGTGTCGGCTTCTTTTGCCTTGGATGTGGAGCTCAAGTCCAATCTCGCGATCTACTGGGTACGCCACCTAGTCTTGTCGTGCTTTTCTGGATCATACTCTAATTCTTTCTATACAGGGTCAAGGCTACAACCAGTCCCGGTTGAGCCATTTCTGCCAAGAGACCTCGTTGGATATCATCAACTTGGGCTTCATCAACACCTTCCCCAAGAAAGTTGGGGATTGGCCGGGCTCTAACTTTGGCAATCAATGCGATGGAGTGGAATATAAAGACTCTCTTCTTCTGTCAGGATGTCACCAGATTTGGGAGGACATTCCTACCTGCAAGGCTATGGGAAAGACTGTTCTACTCTCCCTTGGTGGAGGTGGTGCCGACTTGACTGGGAATATGGACCATGACACTGCCGTGTGGTTTGCGGATTTTCTGTGGTACTCATTCGGTCCTTATAATGCCTCTGCCGTCGCACAGGGTTTCCCTCGTCCGTTCCAAAACGCTACTGTCGATGGTTTCGACTTTGATGTCGAGACTAATGGCGGTTACGGTAAGCTCCCATATCCTCGACCATGACTGCTCTTAGCTAACGACAATAGGATATACTTCTATGATCAACCGCTTCCGCTCGCATTATGCTGCCTATCCTCAACAGAAATACTACATTTCTGGCGCACCTCAATGTCTTGATCCCGATGCCCAGCTCGACTATGCCATCAAGCATGCCCCCTTTGACTTCATTTGGGTTCAATTCTATAACACCGCAGCATGCTCTGCCCTGTCCTACTGGGACGCTGTACCTGGCTTCAACTTCGACAGTTGGGTTGGTACTGTTCTGGCCAGTGCCAATCCTTATGCTAAGCTCTACATTGGACTGCCTGCAGACCCTAGCAGCGATTACTACCTCACGCAGGATCAGGTTTCCACCCTGGTTGAGAAATATATGCTCGCATATCCTGATACCTTTGGTGGTATCATGTTGTGGGAAGCTACTACGTCTGACAACAATAAAAACTCCTATGGGTTGACTTATGCTGAGCAGATGAAGGAAGTCCTTTACTACTTTGCTCCTCCTCCTCCCCCTCCTACGCCGTCGACGACTATTGTCACTGTGACACCAATTCCGGGTCATAGCTCGACTGCGTTGCCCTCTAGCTCTGCTACTTCGTGTAGCTCTGCTACTCCCTCTGGACCTTCTACTCCTTCTGGGCCTGCTACTCCTTCTGGGCCTGCTACTCCTTCTGGGCCTGCTACTCCTTCTGGGCCTGCTACTCCCTCTGGACCTGCTACTCCTTCTGGACCTGCTGCTCCTTCTGGGCCTGCTACTCCTTCTGGGCCTGCTACTCCTTCTGGGCCTGCTACTCCCTCTGGACCTACTTCTCCCTCTGGATCTGCTGTCCCCTCAGGGTCTGCTACCCAGTCCAGCCCTGCTACTCCTTCCGGGTCTGTGATCCCCTCCGGCTCTGTGACTCCTTCGAGCGCCGCTACTCCCTCTGGCTCTGCTGCTCCCTCTGGCTCTGCTGCTCCTTCTGGCTCTATTGCTCCTTCCGGATCTGTAAGCCCGTCAAGCCCTGCTACTCCCTCCGGCTCCGTGATCCCCTCCGGATCCGTGACTCCTTCTAGCGCCGCTACTCCCTCTGGCTCTGTTGCTCCCTCTGGCTCTGCTGCTCCCTCTGGCTCTGCTGCTCCCTCTGGCTCTGCTGCTCCCTCTGGCTCTGCTGCTCCCTCTGGCTCTGCTGCTCCCTCTGGCTCTGCTGCTCCCTCTGGCTCTGCTGCTCCCTCTGGCTCTGCTGCTCCCTCTGGCTCTGCTGCTCCCTCTGGCTCTGCTGCTCCCTCTGGCTCTGCTGCTCCCTCTGGCTCTGCTACCCACTCTAGCTCCGTGGCCCACTCTAGCAAGCCAATCTTTAGCCCGACTGCTTCCCCCAGCCCCATTGTGTCTCACTCAACCCAGTCAGGCTCCAAGCATTCTTCCACTGCAATCCCCGTTTCGGTTCCAACCTCCTCCCCGTCTGTTGGACCGTCTGGCTCCGCTGCTCCTTCTGAACATGCGAGCTCGTCTGTGAAGCCTTCAGATTCTGGAAGTGCGTCTCTGCCTGTGACCACTGTCACCGTGGGCCCCTCTTCGGGTCTCCCTAGCTCTGGTGCCTCTAGTGCTTCTTCTGGTGCTACTCAGTCTAGCTCTGGTGTTTCTGGTGCTTCTTCAAGTGCTGGTGCCTCCGCTGGTGCTACTCAGTCTAGCTCTGGTGCCCCTGGTGCCTCCTCTGGCGCGTTCACTTCCAGCGTTAGTGCCTCTGGTTCTTCCGCTGGTGCCTCTAGTGCTCCTCCCCAGGTCACTACCTCCACAATCTTGATCACTCGGACAAGCACCGTCACTGAGTGCCCCGCCACTGTTACCAACTGCCCGGCCCGTGATCGCACTACTTACTTGACTACCGAGACTGCCGTTGTTGGAACCACAGTCTTCACTATTACTGAAGGTGCCCAGCCTACTGCGACTGGATCTCCGTCAGGCCAGAGCGAGGGCAGTGGTAATGGCTCCACTGAGCAAATGACCACCTCTACTGCTTTCATTACACGCACCTCAACAGTTACCGCTTGTCCCTCCTCCGTGAAGGATTGCCCCGCAACTGAAAAATCCACCTATGTCACTACCGAGACGATTGTAGACTACACCACTATCTGCCCGGTGACTGCTGCTGAAGCCACTCAAACTACAAGCTCGAGTGCTTCATCCTACACCGGAGCCAGCACTACTGGATCTACCGGAGCCGGTGTGCCTCAACCAAGTGGTGCTGGTGCCATCACTGCCTCTCCTTCAGTGACCGCGGCTCCAACTTCTTCCCCAGAGACGATCACAACTGTCATTGTTACTTCGTACACGGATATCTGTCCTACTGGTTTCACTACCATCTGGACCACAATCACCACATATGTTTGCCCTGAAACTGCAGCCACCGCTACCGCCACCAACCCTCCGTCAGGGGCTGCTACCACTACTGCTACCGTTCCTGAGGGCTGGCACACCACTGTGACTGTCTGCACTCACTGTGCCGCGACTCCCACAACTGTGACTCTGACTTTGCCCAACCCCACCGAGACTGCTTCCACTGAGACAACTTCGATCTCGGGTGTCTCTGCTGGACAGAGTAAGGGATCTAGCCCTAGCGGCGCGTCATACACTGTCCCTACTGCTGTCGGTGCCGTTGAGACAACCACTTCAGTGTCAGGCTCAGGCGCCTCCGCTGGTCAAGGACAAGGTCAGGGATCCAGCGCAAGTGGTATGCCTCGGCCTCCGGTCAGTGGGTCCGTTGGTGTAGTTCCTGGCCACTCGGTCTCCACAGCTCTGACCTCGGGGGTTGCGGCTCTTCGTACCTCCAGTCAGACTCCGTCTTTTGTCTTCCATCCCGCAACCACCAGCACTGTCTCCGGTAGCTCGGCAACCGGTAGTGTCGCACCTCAAAGTGCTGCCCCGGCGTATAATGCCGCTGGTTCGCGCTCGGATATGTTTAATTTCTTCGGCGTGGCCTTAGCCGTCGTCTTGTCCGCGATTCTGATGTAGGATCGTAGCATCTCTACATGCCACTTGCAAGCTGGAGTTCCTATTCTTACCATGTCATATTACGATTTATCCATTTCTTTCTTCACCTGATCTCTGTCCTATCGGGCTATACCCCTGGGCTTTTGAGTGATTTATATTACCTCTTTCTACTTTGATATCAAGATCTTCCTAATGTCCTGTACAGTAGCATAAAATTGTCCTACCAAGCAAATTTATCAATCAGTTACTCCAATTCTATTTTCTGCTCTAAGCTCGGGCACATATTCAGTAGCAGTTAACATCAGGATGAAATCAAAGTTCTGGTTATGCAAAGTCTATTTGTGACAACCAAAGACTCCGTGCCCAACCACAGATGTGCAGTTGGATTCGCCGATAAGATTGTGGTTTCGATAAGCCATTTTTATCGATAACATATATGTCCCGTGATTTTCTCTGTAAGGCGGTGAACGGCCCAAAGTGTGGGCGAAGTGGATCCTATCATCTGACCAATGAAACGTGACAACCAAGGGCTCCAGGAGGGCTAACCCAAGCGGAAGATCATGTGACGCACAACCCACATCCACCTGCAATATTCACGCTCCTAAAAGAGTCTTTCTTCTCCGACGACCAACGACAACCCGTTCCCTTGAGCCCATTCACGACGCCATCAAGATGACTGTTCGCAACCAGGGTGCGTACATTCTCGCAATCGCCATTCGATCCTCGCCATCCCCAATTCTAACGAAATTCATACAGGTCTCGCCTCTTCGCGGAGCAAGTCTCGCAAGGCTCACTTCCAAGCCCCCTCCAGCGAGCGCCGCATTCGCATGTCCGCTCCTCTCTCCGCCGAGCTGAAGAAGAAGTACAACGTACGTTCACCTGCCGAATTGAATTTGATCTGGTCGAGTTGGAGGGCTTCGAAAAAAAAGCACAAATCCGACATTCAAATCGCCAATGCCAGTTTTGAACCAAGGGAAACAGCAAATCTAACACAGTTATGTTTTACAGGTTCGCGCTGTTCCCCTCCGCGTTAACGACACCGTCACCATTGCCCGTGGTTCCCAGAAGGGCCGTGAGGGCAAGATCACCTCCGTCTACCGTCTGAAGTACGTCGTTCACGTTGAGCGTGTCGTCCGCGAGAAGACCAACGGCCAGTCCGTCCCCATCGGTCTGTCCGCCTCCAACCTGGTTATCACCAACCTGCACATCGACAAGGACCGTGAGGCTCTCCTTGCCCGCATTGCCAAGGGTCGTGAGGCCGTCCAGAACAAGGCTTAAGGGATATCTCTTACGTATGAGGGAGGGTCTAGGTTCATATTGCAATGGTGGTATAACGGCGCGGGTGTGTTGATATTGAAGGACTCTACATAAAAAAGAGGCCCAACTTACCATTTTCTGGATCAACGTTTCTGAAACCAGGCGCATTGCGATGACTGCCAAATGAAAAATATTCTTTTTTCTTCCATTTTCCACCTGGATTTTTTCCCATGGGCTGTTTTTTTCTATGGGGCAGGTCTCTTGCATTTCTTGCCAGTCTTGGTATTCTCCGGGCTAGTGTAAGACATCGAAGGGACTTGACATTGCATTATTCGACATGATGTCTACGAAGAACAGGCGTTAGGGAATCTTGGAGTACACTCACTTGTGTCTTAGGCACAATGACAGGTTCTTCCTTCCACATGCTTTTCTACACCTCGTGAAACTCTCCGTGCCAGCCACCCTTGAACCCTTGGAATGGCCATGTCGTAAATCTGCAGTAGCTGTAAATCAAAGTAAGCCTCGGTAGTTTGGGGACCTATCCAGTAATGACTAGTGCGAATGCTAGCCCGGCCTGATCCCTTTGATAAGGGACGATCAGTGTCAATGTGCAAATACATAGTAGGGAGGCAGTACCGGCTTCGGCATTGGATCCTTTCAATGGTGAGTACGTTGAACGAAGACCTCAGTTGATCAATGACATATTGACATAGTGCCTAGGTAGCATTCAAGGTACCGGTGGACCTCTTGATGTTTAAACGTACCTACATAGTAATAATCCAGATTTCCAGCCCGGCGGTCCTAGTATACCACAACAGTGGGCATGAACATTGGTCTAAACTTATGGGTCGCAACGTAGCATAATAATTTACCTACATCTACCTAGGTACCCAAAACATTATCGAGTGCTATTGCAAGAGTACTTGCGTATGTACCACTCACCTCCACTCCTCACAATGCCTAATGTTGGTTATTTTGCTACTGATTGTTGGAGAAGAGAGTGCCGCGCCAAGACGTTGGAGCCCCGAAGGATTAGGTAGTAGCACTTTAAGGTCATTAAAAATTTTCAGAAAATATTAATAACTCGATTCACCACAGTGCTGGGGGGGTGTTTCGAATTTCAAAATCGATGGATTGATCACAGGTATCTTCAAATTGCTGGTTGGGCGTTGATTGTGATACAGTGATAAATTTCCCCTACTCTGCCACAAGCGCATATATGTTTCCGCATTATAGGGCCGCACCCACCACATGCATAAATAGGAAAACCCATATATGTATTCCTTCTGACTGGAGAAGTAATAATAATGGCCGCTAGTAAATCTGCAACGCATAAGCAGTAACATTGTCTCGTGTCCACTGGATACCACTATGTGCACAGAACTGGAGCTTGACATATAATCACGCCCTCTATGCCGCATGCCGCATGACCTTAACAGGGTATGAAGTTGACAGTTCTACTAACACAGTGATATTTCAAGATTGTTTATAGAAGCCTAGTGGTATTACCCATGAATCAAGTCTTAAGGAAATTGAATCATGCCTTGTCAAGAAGTTCGGCTGAAGCCATATTCTGATGAGGGTCGAGACTCAAGGAGCTAAAAATCGCTTACGCTAAAATTAGGAGATCCACTATCAAGGACCCGTTCCCGCGAGGGCTTTTCACTATTTAACTGATGAAAACGAATTATTTATCCTACGCCACGGAACAAAACGATGATATATCAGTGAATTTACTCCCATAACGAGTAGAGGCGGAGGTGAGCGAAAAGTATGCCTAAAAAGTGTTCCTATGTTGGAGAGGTAGGGTTCAAAGATTTGAAGTGGATCTTTTCATCAACGTGACCAATGAGACTTTCTTGTACGGAGAATCAGCAGACAAGCGGAGTCCTGGATTAAGATCAGCAATGACTATTTAGATAATCACCAGATCTCCATAACTCCGAAGGTCAAGGTATGCAAGCCCTATGAATTTAAAATTCCAATGACAAAAAGTGAATGATTGGTGTCAAGAGACTAATGCGATTGGAAATGATTCAAATCCAGACGGTGATGGTCACAAGCATCTCCGGTGCTAAGATCCCATTATCCATGGATGAGCTCTAAGTGCCGATAGCACCTTACGATTGGGTTCTGGGCAAGGATTTTGAGGACATATATCTTCTTGTATAGACCCCCACTGAGCCAAGACTGAAGCTATATACATTGAGCCCTCACTAACTTAGAGTCTAGGCATGATGCTGTCAAGCCTGTCTCTTGAGGATACTATGAGGTAAATAATTCAGACTGAGCTGCTGAAGACGCAAAAACCAAACCTAGAGTATGCATTCCATATGGGTTTTCTATTTCACCGCTGTAAGGTGTATTCAACTATGTTCTGACAATTATCCAAGGCACATTTCACAAGGAATACATAAGATTCCGAGCGTCCAATAAGAAATGCAAGACATTCGGACACATGAAAATACTATAGATAGGCTGTATACTTCGGTTCCCCGCATTACACAGCGGACCTCGGCTGCGGGGAACAGATGATCGACAGTATTAAACGCTTCAACGCTCCTTTATTCTTACTTTCGCTTACCTTGAAGCCTTCGGAATGTCTGCTCCACCTCTAAGAGGCATTCGAGTAATCGAGCTAGCGGGTCTCGCACCAGGTTGACCGCCCAAAACTACATTCCAAACGCCAAACGCTAACACCCCCAGGTCCCTTCGCCGGTCTCCTCCTAGCCGACTACGGCGCCTCAGTCCTCCGCATCGACCGACCCAAAGCCATAAGCGCGGACCTACTAACCCGACACAAATCCTCAATAACCCTCGACCTCCAAGACCCAAGGTCCCGCGATGTCCTCCTACGCCTCCTCACAGCGACCGACGTGTTAATCGACCCCTTCCGCCCAGGCGTCCTCGAACGACTCGGCCTATCCCCAACAGAAGTCCTCCTGAAACAGAATCCGCGCCTCATCGTCGCACGAATGACCGGCTTCCGACGTGACGGGAAATACAAAGACATGGCCGGCCACGACATAAACTACATCGCCGTCTCAGGCGTACTATCCATGCTAGGACGATCAGGAGACAAACCCTTCGCACCAGGCAACATCCTCGGTGATTTCGCCGGCGGCGGCGCAATGTGTTTCCTGGGCATTATCCTAGCCCTAATAGCGCGTACAGGAACAGGTCGGGGACAGGTAGTCGAAGCGAACATGGTAGATGGATCCGCATACCTAGCTACCTTCCCGCGCCTTGCGCGCAAAACAGCAGCATGGGACGGGCCTCGCGGAGAGAATCTGCTTGATGGTGGATGTCCCTACTACGATACATATGAAACGAAGGATGGGAAGTACTTTGCGGTTGGCGCATTGGAGCCGCAGTTTTATGCGGCGTTGCTGCGTGGATTGGGACTTGATTCGAAGACGATTCCTGCACGAGAGGATAGGGGTAATTGGGGTGCTTTAAGGGAATTGTTTACGGACCGGTTTAGAGAGAAGAATAGGGCGGAGTGGGAGGCTGTTTTTGATGGTACGGATGCCTGTGCGACTCCTGTCTTGGAGGTGGATGAGCTTGAGGCGGCAGGGTATGATCAGCGGCCTGCGGTTCATTTGACTAAAACCCCCGCATACCCGGTTATAGCAGATGAGGGTGGGTGGGTTAGTGGGGGGTTGATGGCTGGGGATGGGGGTGAGGAGACACTCCGGGGGTGGATGGGATGGGAGCCGAACAAGGATTTCCTGGTTCGAAAGGATGGTGCAATCGTCTCCGTAGATGGCAGGGCTAAGTTGTGAGACATGATTCGCTGGGGAGATCCTTTCACTGGGGAAATCTCTGCATAATTCGACTACATTGTTAGATGTTCCTATTAAAACGTTTCCTTTTCCTTTTCCTTTAGGAGATATGTATCACCACTAAATACGGTAGTGATCGTCATTCATTGGTTTCAAGGCGTATCATGGCCAATTGTACCTGAGCCCTTCTTACTCAATGCGTCACCAGGAACGCAACACCACTTTGCCTTTTTTCCTTTGTAATGGAATTGTGGAAGTGCTGAAACGCATTGACGTCATGACTAACAAATTTAGCTCCACCGAGTACTACCTTCCGAGAGAGCTGTGGCGCAGTCCGTATTTTTTGGTTAAAGGTTCCGTAAATTACAACCCAGCCCTGTAGGGAAAAAGACCTTGGCCAATCGAGGATAGTAAAGTAGTATGCGACAATTTCCTAATAGTCCGAATACAGACATCCTGGCCACATCGTCTCCCCAGGCTTTAAAGTTGGCAAATACCATTTCCTGTTTACTAAAAGTGCACATATGGGCCTGGAAGATTAGGCCATTTCGGTCTATTATACCCCGTGCGATTGATAAAACCACAGCTCTTAAATGAGGTCAGTATAATGCTCTCCTCTTAGATAGATCAGTCGAGAATTAATATGTGATGCGTTCTGTATATAGGGAAACTATACCCCGCATTATGAACTGGCCGCATTGATCACCGTCGGCAAGATTGTAACGTTCTGACAACGGCACGGACTACTTAAGATATTAATATATAGAAAGCTTGACATTCCTTTGGAGGAAGAAATTGGTCCCGCGATAAGCATAATTCCAACTTCAGCATGGCGCGCTCGGCAGTCCCCACGCAAATGATCGTCCTTCCCATCCAGGAGACATCTCCACGAAGGCAGGCCAGGTTTGGTCTCGGATTGTAGATGGTTAAGAGAGATGGGTAGGTTATCACCGTCTTTATTAGGAACGTCATTTGAAGAAAAGACAGGTGCACTTCCACATCGGTAAGATCGGACAAAGATAGTTCGAGATAATCTACACCAGCACTGTGCTCTCCTCGTCTCGCCTGATTGGCAGCAGAGTATCCAAAACCTGGTTTCTCTAGGCGTCTAGCGTAGAATTGACCATGCACCATGCCATGATCTCGGATTTCTCGCCAAATCCCAGGAATTTGGGGCACGGGGCTCCGGTGAGCGGAACCGCTATCTGTTTAACCCCTGACCCCGCAAGTGGTCGCTGTGGACGAGTGTTGTTTCTAAGTTGCCGGGATGCTTGAGGATGGGGAGCCAGTCGACGGGAACCTTTCATATTCTCTAAGTGGGATGGGAGACCACCATACGAAGCACTTTCGACGAGCGATTGGAAATTTCGGTATGGCTATGTTGCTTTTACTCATTCACGGTCTCGCCTTGAAATACAATCATGATTTGATCCTATTCGCATCTGGTTCTTGGTAATTCTGGGAGCAATTTCCCGTTGAAGGTGAAAACCGGTTCTTCCGACCGTGGAGTCAGCTTCCAAGGTAAACCAGGAACCGCTAGGGGATATCCGGTTAGTTGGATTATGCCAACATGCAATAGTTGAGAAAAGTATATTGCTTTTTCTAGATAGTAAGATTCTTTGTACCCCGAGCTCCGTAGCTTCTTATCTATGATAGAAATGAAAGAGTCATGGTTACAGATGAATAAAAAACTGGAATGTAATTTTCAATTACAGGAAGTTACCAGCCTCAGTGGCTGAGTGTTAAGTACTCCACCTGCTAACTTTGGCTACGAGAGTACTTCAAGCCCGTCGTGTTCCGTCATATCGGCCAATCACATTACTTGGAACCCTCAAAGTCTCTTTTTCCCCCCTCCCCTACCTCTCATCTTCCCCTTATACAAAGGTCCAGCTAAGCTGTGCTTACATTTTATTCTATTTTGGCGAAGATCACATATTCACCAACACTTTTGCAAGTCCAAGGTACCAATTGGGTAGACGAAACTGGCCGCGTGTGCGCCTCCAGCCGATATCCACACCCCAAACTCTTCCAATTCTCTCTGCCATTACAATTTCCATCGTTTCTGGCCATTGAATATTTTCCAGTTGACTAGCACGCTGGGAAACTTAAATCCGTCAATCACCAGCCTCCGCCTGAAAGTACTCACTAGCCGGATAGTGTGGCTGCAGCAAGTGGGCGCTGAAACCCGCAGATTGCTTGACCCCGTCAGCCGCGCGCATCGGAGGCCCAGCGCACGTCTTCCTGCCTGAAAGTGGCCTGCGCGATTACTCTGTTCACCCTCTCCACTCCAACCCCCCCCGCCACGGCATTTTCCTACCGGGTGAACAACCTGAATTCACCTCAGATCTTACACCAGGTGAAAGGTCTGCTCCATACACCCAACATGACCGAATTTCGAGTGCCCATGCACCAAGGTCCCCCTCCCCGGAAACCTATACACAACGCCCAACATGGCTTCCCTTATCAGCCTTACGACGCTCCTCGAAACCTTGCGCCTCATTCGGCTATGCCCTTAAACAACCACAGCCGCACTCGCACCACTTCCTCTAACGTGCTCCCCTACGGATCAGCCTCCCACCAACATTATCATCAGGCGCCCCCAGGCATGCCCCTCCATGCTATGCCTCCCCCGGCCGGTTTCCCACCTTCACGGCGGCTTTCCAGCACCACTACATCGACTACCTCAACCGGAAATCACATGCCGCACACAGACCCGAATATTCGGCGGAGCGCCTCCAACCGTTCAGCGAGTTCGCAACTAGGCTATGTGGCTCTCATGCGGCGACAAAAAGCAACCGTCTGGTGCGATCGGGCGCAATCCGAAGACGCTCGAATGCGCGAGGCAGCGCTGCGGGACAAGAGAAGAGCGTATCTTGAGGTCCATGGCGCAGGCGCTGGCCGTTCAGGCGGTTCTAGCGGCAAAATTCGACACGGAGGCAAAGCGGGGCTGGATTTCTCGCCATCTAATTTGGTTAGCGCCAAAGTACCTGTTCGACTCAGTGCAAACGAGATAGGCGACGCCGACGACGACGCTAGCAGCGAGGGTGGTATCATTCACCGCAGGACTGGCAGTGGTCGCAGCTCACTTGGAAGTAACCGATACCCCAGTGGCTACCAGCGGCAACAGGGTACTATGGGAAGCAATAGCACACCTCCCAATGAGAAGACTGATCTACCGGATGTCTCTGAAAACACCCCTGCTGAGATTCAGGAAGAGGAGAAGAGCCGATTGTCATCACTTGTCAAGGATGATGCTGCAACGACACATAGCAGTGAACAGGACGACATGGTTGGTGATATGGAGGCCCCCAGTGCAGCTGTTGCGGCAACCCAAAAGATCCACAAGGCCGATGAGCTACGGCGACGAGGTAGTGTCGATGAGCGGACTACTTCCATGACCAACGTGCGACTCTTCGTGGCCAACCCTGATCTTAGTGATTAGAATGACTGAGACGTCCTTGGCCAATTACGCAGCGTCTTTTATAATCTGTTGGCTGTTCCTTTTTCCTTCTCCTTTCTTTTTTGATGATCTCCAAGTGACCTCTTTTTTTACTACCGTCTACAACGCTGCACATAATACCTCCTTGACACTATTTGTATAGCTGCACTCGAGCCTTGATGGTTCAAGTGTTGCAACTCATGTCAATATCCCCGCCTCAATGTTCTCTGGTGCTTGCAATCCCAGCATCCACATGAGAATTGTGGAACGGCTACCTGCTTGCTCCTTTTACTTTGCATCCGGTATTCTCCGGCTTTCATTATTCATTATAGCTCCAATCTGATCAGAGAAATTAATTGTAACCCTAATGTTTTATGCCTTTCTTTTGTACATTCGCACAATAACATCATTTATAGTTTCAATTGCGCAAAGTATCATATTTTGCCAAGTTCCGCACCGATCTTGGAAACATCTTAAGAAATCTGAAGGTTATTTCTGCGTTTACTGACATTTAAGAGTCTTACAATCCCGAATACGGTAGATAACCAAATTGGGCACTATACGTTCACTGTCACGTGCCTTATCGGACGCGAACGCGGGTTGATTGAAACGCGCTCATTGTCAACCCGCCAGTCCACGCCCCTTCCGAAAGGAGCATCACACCGACCAGCCCACACCACATTCTTTCAAGATTCTTTGTGTCAGATTATTGACTGTGAGATTATAAGTTTTCCTCAAGCCACGTTCAGTTTCAACTGGGACATCGGTTGAAATTGTAGGGCACACGATAAGCAGGCATGATGGACTCTCCAAAGATGAGCCTGTCCCCGTTGCCGCCGCCCTCCTTTGCATCGCCAGCCTCCAGCCCCCGCAAACGATCAATCCATGAAGTGGAAGGTACCGCACTGCCTTCCGTTGGCCCCAAGCGGGTTTTGACCAGTTTTACCGAGAACGATCAAGAGAACCATGATCCAACGTCCGGCCCGCAAAAAGATCAAACGGAGTTGCATGATAAGGACACTGTTACCATACGTCAATCACCACAGGTGGTGATTCCTGTCAAGGGGCCTGATCAGTCGCCTGTTGCCCGAACTGTTGAAACTACACTTATCCCGTCGAACCATGTTGGAGAGTCAAATCAAGGATCCCCTATAAAGACTGATGTGGCGGCTGCAAAAAAGCGCAAGCTATCACCAGCGAGCAAGGAGGTTAAGGAGCGGCAACGTTTTGAAGAGAAGGCCAAGAGAGAAGAAGAAAAACGTTTGAAGGACGAGGAGAAGAAGAAACGTGATGCAGAGCGGGAAGAGGAGAAGCGCTTGAAGGAAGACGAAAAGAAGAAACGGGAAGCTGAACGAGAAGAGAAGAAAAAGGCCAGAGAAGAGGAGAAGGTTGCTAAGGAGGTTGCTAAAGAGGATGAGAAGCGACGCAAAGAAGAGGCCAAGGAGGACGAAAAGCGGAAAAAGGAGGAGGCGAAGCTCAAGAAGGAGAGGGTATGATATATGAGCCTTATTATCTTCCGGCTTTGTGGGTATCATTAACTTGGCTACCAGGCACAACCAAAACTCAATTCGTTCTTCACGAAGCCACAAGTACCTGCTTCACCTGCAAAGGCAATCTCGTCACCAAGCAAAGCTGCACCTGTCAATGCTCCAACCACAATCCCTCAACCACCCCAGTCCGACTACGTTAAGGATTTTCCAGATTTCTTTTTACAGTCTCATACTATTCTTGCACCTTCACATCGTTTTGAGCGTGATGCGCAAGCTCTGACACACATTCGGAATACGCTTGACGCGTCCTTGGGTCCCCTCAACGGCAGCTTTGAACTTCAGCCATTCCGCCCTTCCGAAATCTTTAATCTTATTTCATATCAAAGACGGTGCGGTCGTCAAGCTCATTCGGTCAAGGAAATATTGCAAAGAATGCAGATGCTCAATAATGCGGGCAACCCGCCAGATGGCGTTTCGGCATCGGCAAAATCCGACCTGAGCCAGATTCCCATGAAGTCACTCAAGTTCGGCGAGGATGTTCGGCCGGCTTATCAAGGAACATTTACTCGCGCCGTCCCAAAAGCATCAGCGTACAAAGTCTCCCGCAATCCATACCGTCGTGAGCTACCAGAAACCAATTACGACTATGACTCGGAGGCCGAATGGGAAGAACCCGAAGAGGGCGAAGACCTAGATTCCGAGGAGGAGGAAGAAGCCAGTGACGACGGCGAGGATGACATGGACGAATTCCTGGATGACGAGGATGACGCATTGAAGGAAAATAAGCGAAGATTGATCGTGGGTGAACTTGAACCTGTCTGCACTGGGATTCGCTGGGCAACGGATGGCGTCGACGAAGAACTCAAAGGGTACCGGCAGGAAACCATCTCCGATGCCATTCAGTTCCCTATCGACCCATTTTCTACTGCATACTGGCAGAAGCCTCATGCGACCGAACAGGCGCCCAAAATTCGGGCAACCCAGAAAGGTGGCCTTGACGTGTTCCGGGTGCAACCCGGTAGTGATGCAGCTGTTGTCAAAACCCTCCCGCCGCCACCGACCTTCAAAGCGAAGCGCCCTTTCCCGCCTGAACACCTGTCTGAATTTAAAGAGGTGGTTGAGGGCAGTGATTTGAGTAAGATTGGAGTTGTTGAAATTCTGAAGAAACGGTACGTAGTATCTTGACTTTCCTTTTTCTCAATGATTCCTCATGCTAATCCTATGTTAGCTTCCCCAAGGTTTCAAAAGACACCTTGAAGGCCACGCTGGACCAAGTTGCGGTACGAGTAGGTCAAAAAGAAGTGGACAAGAAATGGGTCTGTCGGTGACCTTTTATGCACGATTAGATGTTTTGTTTTACTCTGCATTTATTATGGCTTGGCGTTTGGGTAATGATGTACTGAAGCATTTCCGTCATGTCTTCTTATGAGTAAGCACAAACTAAATTCTATTTCTGAGATGTATTTTTTGTTCGTCTATGATTGAGACTTTTCTTGCCTTCAAATGTTTTCTTAACATACCACAGGTGGTACCCCATTAATATACCAAAGAGGATCAGTCTTTCTGTTATATGACTTATAGTGTATTACCAGTATTTTTCTCTCTCTCTCTGTGATCATGGAAAAAAATGACATTTTCCACTACTGGTCACGGACAGCAAAAAGCTGACTCCGCTTGGCAAGGAGGGTGACGAGCGAATCAAATACCTTGTTAAGAGTGTCCACCTCACTCCTGCATGCATTGCCAGCGCATCGTTGTCCGTGTACTCGGTACTCGCGACCAATGTACTGTAGTTTACCCCCCTTGCAGCAACTGGTTGAAGTAACTGAAGTACTTCATACTTTTCATACTTGAACTTTTGAACTCCGAGACAAATTTATTCTGCTGCAACTGACCATTTCGAGTCGCGATCGCTTCGTTCTCTTGACTCAAATAATAACGTGGTTTTTATAACTTTCTTTTCCTTTCCCTAACCCCCTCCTTTTGATTTCTTCTCCTCCTCTCTCCCTCTCTACTATATCTTCCATCCTGGACCACTCCTCTTATTCCACCGACCGGGTGTGTGGTGGACATCCGGCTCCCTGCCCCGCGATAGAGCCATGCGATAAGGATCCGCCTACGGCCAGGGGCATCGAGCGACTGTGCACTCCACCCTCTGGCGCGAGTCCAGACAATATGGACCAACCAGAGGATTATTCGTCCTCGCTAGCGTCTCAAATCAGTGCGTTTTTCTTTCATTTGTTGGGCGATCACCAACAAACCAACCGCCCGTTATCTGCTATTTGCTATTTGATTGACCTTTCGGTGCCTGATTTGGTCCCAATCTAATCTCCACTTGCAGCACTGCGGATTCCCGTTCTCCAGATTGATCCACCATGTGATCTGTCGTGTTGCGCTGATGCCGCATCGGTGCCTCTTCCTCCTTCTCCTTCAGCGTCGCCTTCTGCGACTATATCCCCCGTGTTATCGTCTGTCTCCGAGGCGGAACAAAACGTGGGGCCAGGTGAGTTGGGTGGATCGGCCCGTGCCAGTCCCAGGTTAATGGTCGATATCGTATCTGAATCCCCGCGCGATTCACTTGTACCAGCCATGTCTGCGAGCCCCAAGGAAGATGTCCCCCAGGTGTCCTTTGAGGATTTTGCCACCCGGTATCGTCAAAGCCAACGGAAACAAATCCAGAGGAAGCGACTAGAACGGCGTTTGCGCGCGACCAAGGTATCCATCGGGGTTTCTGCGCGCATGATCCGTATTGGAAATACCGTTCAGCGTGGCCTTGTTGAGGCTCTCAAACATGATGACAAGGCCAATTTCATCGCCCTATATCATATGCTCTATGATCTTCAGGAGTCCTGTTCCAACGCTCGGGAGGATCCCCATTCCTCGGACGACCGTGACCTATCCCCGGATGCCGATTTGGACCATTCCTCGGATTTCTTTCACCAATTAAGTCCCCAGTCCCGGGTGGACTTGCTGGAGATTTTGCGCTTGGCTCGCTCTGACTCGCAGTTCTTGGTCGACCGTTTACGCAGCTTTACCTCGGCCCAGCTGGCTGCGTTTACGGCGCCAGCAACCGCATTGGATGGTGGCGACCCGGCTTTCCCTTCTTCTTCCCGCCGGACTCAATACTATAGTCGAACCACGGCCCAGTTCGCTCCGTTCAAGGACCACGCGTACGCCTTTGAAAGGACCGATCCGCTATCCATCTTGCTTTCTAACATTTATGCCGCACCTTTGGAACCTGAGACACCTGAGGCCCGGTTGCGCGTGGATGTTTGGTCCTCAGTTTGTGCTCAATTAATATCCCATGGAAGCAACAGATTTTACCCCTTGATCAGTCAGATCCTTTCTTCCTGGGCCACTGGCAGCAACTGGAAAGCCCGTCATAAATTTGAGCTTTACCTTATGGATATCTTGCAAACCGGAGCTTTTCTATTGGAACATGACACCCCTGTTGGATCGGACTTTGCTTCCCAGACTTCGGATCCTTTGCGAACTGACGTCGCCGAGGAGTTCTTTGCTTCTGCCGTTAATGACCTATTCTGCGTGCTCGATGATCCAGATGGTGGTTTCCCCCGTGCAGTCCTGCAGTTTGCCAAGGCAGTCCTCAGGAAAATCGATAACCCTGACATCCGCAGCCGCTTTCTCGAGTACTTGTTCCTCCAATGGTTCTTTCCCAAATTCCTTTACGGTGCCTTGACTTATCCTGAGGTATGAGTTTTGATTTCTGTGGCGAATAGTGTTAACCTTACTTTTTGCAGACACACGGATTGTTGCTCGATTTTCATATTCGTAAGGATGCGCGCGACAGACTGCTTAACCAAGTCGGCATGCGAGCATACTCTCAAGTCTATGCTGTGTTGCGCTCCATGTGAGTATTCCGGACGTGCATACCATTATCAATCTAATTTTTGTTGATCGGGCTGACATATGGAAGGCACAATTTCTCCGTCTTGCGTCCCTCTATCAAGGAGCGTGTGATCAGCATGCTGGGCAAATTCGAGAGCGCAGTCACTCCCAAGACTTCAACGGTTGACTTGTCTTCGTCCGCGACCGATCTTAGCCGCCGCAACTCCTCATCGACTTTCCTCTTGTTATCCGCCACCGACGTACTCACATTATTAGACGCTCTTTTCCCACAAACTTTTTCTCCATTCCATTCCAGTCCAGCTTCCACCGGTATTCCACCTTGGTCTTCCAGTCTTTCGCCTACATATAAAGCCCGTCCAGAACCGGTTGAATCTGGCTTCTACCGTTCGAGCTTTGATACAAGCCCGCGGCCCTCATCACAAAGTGGATCTATTTTCTCAATGGAGTCATCTATAGCCTCTGTCCCTGAGACTGAACTGAGTCAAACCGCTGCTCGGATCCGCTTCGAGCTGACGGATCTGGATGAACCTAGTGAACGCTCGAAATTGGAACATCCGTCTGATGAGCACTGGACAAGCTTTTCTGTTTCTAAAGATGGTCATGACCTCACCTGGAGCTTACTTCCTGCCTCTGAACCTGGATCTTTGAAAGCATCTGCTATTGAGAGTGATGATGATACCCTGTCTACCAATCTAGGCCTGGAGGAAAATTACGAGGCGCTTCAAACTGCCATCCTCCGTCTAGTTAGGGAGAGCCATCTTTATGATTCTGATGATTACGATCGATCTTCAAAATCTCAACAGCTTGCCAACATGTCATTGAAGCAACGCTTCAACCAAGCAATGGCTTCAACTACCAATGATTCCGACTTCGTTGGGGCTCATTATTGGTGGAATGCATCACGCCAACTTCGACAGGGACGACTTTCCGGCTCCCTGGATATTACAGACGATTCATGGATTCTTGGCCCGATGCACGACTCTTGCATTCGCTCCTTGAGAAAATCACGGGCCGTGGTCGAGCGTTGTGAAACGGACTTTGTTTCCCTGGATCACAGTTTGCGCCGGTTGCAAACTCAGGTGAAGGATCTTATGGCCACCATATCTAAAGTGCGAAACAAGATGTGGTACATGACCGACGTTAAAAACTCTATGAGGTACGAAGAAGCCAGACATGTTGCCATGGCTCTTAAGAACATGTCTGCGCGACCGCTGGTTGACATACCTGAAGAGTCGAGATCTCGCAGTGCAGCTCGATCATTGGGTGGTTCCATATTCCAGAAACCTGAGCTACAAGTGATGAACATCATGAAGGCACCAACCAGTCAGGGTGGTCCCAAGAAGCTATCTGATGAGCAAGTCGAGCTGACTTGCAAATGGCTATCGCATAATGGCATCGAGAACTTTTGCAAAGGCGAAGAGCGAATCCATCGATTCTGCTATGAAGTGCAGACTAGCATCAATCGTCTCGTGGGTGAGACCATGGCAGAAACACCAGTGTTGTGGGCAAGTGAACTTTTCCAAAAGGAACGGGCGAAATATGAGGGCTCCGGCACTCGCTCTTTTCCCGGACTATCTATGCCTACCACACCACGTCCTTCAACGACCACGAGCGAAGATCCAATGTATACTTCATATATGCATGGATACAACCTCCCTAGCCATGACACATCCTCAAGAACTTCCCAAGACATCCCGTCCCTCGATCGGAAATCTTCCATCCAGAGTTTACTTTCAGACAAATGGCGACCCCAGCGAGACATGCCCTCTATTGACGTCAGCTCTATCGGTGGCTCCCCGGGCCGTGCTGCGTCCACCTCAACTGGTGACACATTCAGTACGTTCTGGTCTGGTCCACAACGCCACCATGTATATGCAACTAGTGTTTCCAGCGTATACTCTCGCCCTCCTTCCATGTTTAGCGAGACTGCAACTCGACAACCTCGTCATACTGAGCGTAAGACCCAGGGGAAGACTGAATTCATGGAAAACCTGCGCCAGACACTCATTAGCCTTCTGCTCAGCGACTTGGGCTCCCCCGTTTGGAGCTGTGGCAGTGAGACAGACGCCTGGTTCTCAGATACCCTCAACCAGGCTCGTATTAGGGTGCAGATGCAGAAAAGCGCTGCCGTGCAGAAGTTCTACGCAGACTATGACGAACGGTCTCAGCATCTACGTGATGAGCGACGACCATCTGGGAGTCGACGGAGCAGGTCTCTCGATACTCCCAGGTTGCCCATGCGTAAAACCTCCAACTCCGAGCCTTCAACTGTCAATCGGGAATCCGCTCAGGAGGAGGAACACTCCGCTTTCTCATACAAAGCAGTCTTCCATCGACTGATTGAGGTGTTTTCGAGACATGGCAACCCATTCGTCAAACTTAATGCATTACGAGACCTGCGGTCACTGGTTGTAGCCTCACTGATTTCGTGCCAAGACGGAAACGCTACAAATTCTAACCGCTGCGAAGTACCCACCGAGGCAGAGAGGGGACGGAATAATGGCCACAGGCCACACCAGAGACCCTCGCGCCACAGCTTCTCGGAGCCACAACTGCCGAAAGCCACCCAGGACGCTGGACCGTCCATCCCCTCCCCACCGGAGTCCGTCACTTGCGGCTCACGCCAATCAGCATTTTTCTCTCCCTCCGAAGACAGAATCGTATCTACCCTTCGCGACCTAATCCTCGAAGTAAAGCCAAAAACCCTCTTCCGAGATCTTCAATTCATCTCCGCATTCGTCCCAGCAGATCAGCTAAACAAGAGCGACCGAGGAACAGCATTCCTACAATTCGGCCTCGCAGCACTAAGTCTCAAAGACGAAGTCTGCCACAGCATGGTTGAGATCGCAGATCGTATTGTCTCCCAAGAACTCATGCGCCGTCACCCGCTCCCCGGTCCGGACTTCTATCCACGACCCGGTCATGCTATTGAAGATGCCGCTGCGTTGTGGTTCATTACCGCCAAAGAGGGTAATCCTGTTGCTCAGCGTGAACTTGCCATACTTTACCTTACGCATCCTGAGCTACTTCCTCGTGTGACGTTACCGCTTACTCGGCCTCGTGATACCTTTAAGGCTGAGATGATGTATATGCGTGGTAAGGACTCGAAATCGGATCCGCAGAGTATGTGTCTCGCACTGCACTGGATGCAGTTGTCTGCTAGTGGGGGAGATGTTCTCGCTCGCAACCGGCTTCGTGAACGGGAGGAATTTGACTCTATTGCATGATGTCTTTCTTTCTTTCTTTCTTTTTCTACTTAATTTTGGCGATCGCTTCAATTGTCCTTTCTTTTCTTTTCTTTTCTTTTCCTTTTTCTTTCTTAGTTCATCTACACGAGGCAGGCCTTGGCTTTTGCATATGCAGATACCCCCCCTTTTGGGCTGGTGTTAGAGGAGATTGCATTTGATTATTCCCGTTTCTTGAGACCTTTTTGGACGTAATATGGGCGTGTGACGGCGTTCCTGTATGCATTGAAAGACTGGGCGGTTTTCTGTTTTGAATTTTACACATGAAACACGGAATTTATTGAAAATTAAGCATATACTTCCAGGATAACACCGATGGCACTGAAACAAACCTGCGGCAATTGTGAGCAAGAGAAGGAGAGTACTTTATATAACTCAAATGTGTCACATTTACATAATCAAGGGGTGATAGCTCAGTTGGGAGAGCGCACGACTGAAGTTCACTACAGTCTGACACAAGTCAATCGTGAGGTCGCCGGTTCAATCCCGGCTCGCCCCATCAACTTTTTTTTTTGTTTTTTTTTTTTTACAAAAAATTATCTTCACATACAACCTTAGCTTCCAAATTTGTTATTTTTCCACACGAAAATTCGCCCCAGTTGGTGTCACCCGGAAATTTACTTTTCTACCGCCTCGCCTTACGTCTAAGAACACGCAGTCCTCATAGAACTACACACCTCTATAAAGTATCGGGATCACCAACAGATTATGTGATGCATATCTCAGGTTGATGGAAAGTCAATATCTCGCAGGGCAAGGGCTCCTCTCTACGCTTACTTGCCACTTACCGTTCATTGTCATTGGTATGCCAAAACAAATTTGTATACCAGCGGCAGGGTGCAGGAACTCGATCTACCAGTTGACAGACATACATAGTATCGTTTTAGTCTAATCACAGCCTTGGAGGCCGCTGCTCAGAAATTTCCCATAGCCTCAATTCTTATCAACTGTAGGGCACGTAATATTTCATCGATCAATACTTCTGGTTGAATTTAATGACGATATGGTAATAAAATCCCCGCGATCTTGCTGATTAGTGAAACATGAGAAATCATGCCACCAAAGATTAGCGTCGGGGTCAAGCTCGGCGTTTTCGATATGTCGATCATGCACCTGACTACAGCGGACAGATTCAGAAGAATAGAATACAAGAACAGAATACACAAGGGGTTTGTTTACGCGACTCTAGCCAATCTCTGAAATACGAGAATGTTTGCCTTTCTTTACATCCCCTCCCAACCGATCCGCCCCTCAGGTCCCCTGTTGAAACCATTGAGTCAACCCTACTTAGTTGATATTTGCTTCTTCCCCCTTGGCTGAGATAGTCAATCTTTTCCCTGCACTGACCTCCGGGCCCATCATTTAATCCTAAATTCGTCGCGATCAGAGTTCCTGTTAAGTTGACCTCTGTAGAACAAGGCCACTTGTCGAATACTGATCACGGGTATGAATATTCAAGTACCTGGATAAGAATCCTATTTCTAGAGTCTGTGCGGGGCTGATAAACTAAGTCTTCAATAGAGCAGATAATGTGGTTATTTAAGGTCCCCATGCTTTACTCTACCTATAGATGCACCAACAAAGGTGGGGATTCGAGTGCGATCATACGTGCATGAAGGAAAAGCTGAGTGGGAAACGTGGAGATCAACTCCACTGTAGCTTATATAACACAACACTACTATGTACCTGCATGAGATCTACCAATTATTGACAGACTTGCTTTTTTTTATACATGTATTTTCCAAGTCTAAGAACTTGAGCTGAGATCTAATCAAGACATCCTTACGGAGCACTTAGAAGAAATAGATGATTTCTCTTATGGCTCATGAGCCAAGGGCTGAAAGGTTCCACTGATCGGATGTTTTCGTCAAAGGATCGTCCTGTAGTACAGGCAAATTATTGAATCCTTACAGGAGAGTCATGTGAAGATCTGCTACGGCGCCTTACTCCATTCAACTGTATGGTAGAGGTGGTTTTAGATATAAATAAATGAGGATTGACCCTCTCGTAAGGTAACATTGACGGCCACAATCATTTCAACCTTCATTAGTTATTTTAATGTGTTCACAATCAACTTCGTTCATTCATTAGACCTGGGCTTACAACAAACTTTTTCCTTGGAATCTTGCTTCATCATACCATCATGAAGAATTTCATTCCCATCATTATCGCCTTCCTGGCTACCTCTGTCTTTTCAGCGCCTTCAGCAGAGAAGATATCACCTGAACCGGTAAGAGCCTTTGTGAAAATACATCGAGTAGGACTAGCTAAGCGAGAAAAGATAGGGAGATGCAGGCCTGAGGTCTGCCCCAAAGGTCAATATTGCTCCACTGAAACAGGCCTATGCATGCTCAAGCCGGGACCATTGGGAAACCGTGCATACTGTTCTAAAAATGCACAATGTATGTCACTTAATTGCGCTAAACCGGTATCATGCGCTGGATACAAGAGTCTGTGTCAAGGTATCTGCCTTGAGAAGGGCGAAAACGCTCCAAAGTTGGATGACGAACTCGGGCACGCCTGTGATCTTGACATTGGTCTAGGCTGTGCAGGCAACAACCTGTACTGTGAAGACAAAAAATGTGTTTCCGGCGGTGGACTGGGAAAACAGTGTTTCAAATCGGACGAGGATGTCTGCTCCCATACCATGGCATACTGTGCTTGGAACAGTACGGATACAGGAACCTGTGAAGCCAAGAATGGCTGGGGTGGGCCTTGCATAAGCGCGCACGGCGCAGTACGACCAGAGGCATGCTGGTCTAATCGATGCTATGATGGGTACTGTGCACTCAACTCGACAATCTATCACAGCCTCGGTGATTCTTGTAAAACTGCGGCCGACTGCAAGGCGGACCCTGAGCTCAATTTGGAGTGTGTGCGCAATTTCAGGGGTTATGGCCCGGCCCGCTATTGCGCACCAGAGCCCAAGAAAGGAGAGGTAGGGCACCTTTGCAACTCAAGCCAAGACTGTGAGGGATATAATCGACTATGTTACAAGGGACCTGGTGAAGAGAAAGGCGATTGCGTGAACTTAGACCAGGTCGAAGATCAGCAGTGCAAAACCGACGCGGACTGTGGAGGATTGAAAGAAGACACAGCATGCAAAAAATTTGGGGCTCAATGTAAGGACAACAAGTGCAAAGAGGTTTTATTCATTGCCAAATACAGTGGGAACCTAATCAATTCGGCCAAAGCTTTATTAGCAGGCTGTTAGTCATATCTGTTAGAGCCTGGGGCTACGATTTACCGTCTGATTCGGGACCAATTCGGTTTCAGGGAAGCACGTATACCTGAGTCAATTGAACAATTTCTCTAATCAACAATTATTTTAATGGATTCCAGGAAATTTATAGATAAAACATCTAATTCTCCTATCATAGCTCTAAGATCCCTTCTCTCTCCCGCTGATTGACTCCGATTTCTCATATCTGTAGTCCTCGGCCCCGCCACGTTCTTTGAGAGATCCCAAAAAAATAAAAAGGTATCATCGGTATCTTCGTATGTCACAGTCCCTGGGCTGCTCCCATTGGTATTATGGGTACGCCTAATTTGTTCACCAAGCGTGAAATGGCCCAAATCATGAGGATGGAGATCTGAATCGCTTGCATCAACCTCTTCAGTCACCTCGTGTGACTTAGCTCAGACTTTGGCTCTAATGATATTTTCTTCGTGGAAGAAGGCACCGTAGAAGAAATATGAGTTACTGAAGGTCCTTTTGTCTTCATTAACTACTACTTCGTGATATTTGAAGATCCAGAAATCCCTGGGATAATGAGTTTCTGTCAATCTATCACCATCATCTGAGATAGTAGTCGCACTGGTATCGCAGTAAGCACATATGTCGCGTAGCTCTCATGTAAGGAGACAAATTGTTATTATCGACTTGAACATATTTTTTGACTTCCTATTTCTGTAATTAGCTTCAGAACTTAGCGCAGGGCTTCTCCCTATTCTCAAATTTTCTGAGTGCTTGAGCCCGTTTATCATGGAGGAAGGGGACGCTTGGACGACCTTATTTTTCACTGGTAGCCGTCCAGATATTCTATAAATCATTGAACCTGACCGCAAAACTTCCGACCTTTCTGTGCTGCAGATAATTACTGGAAACTAGGGTCCTGACTGGGCTAATTAGAACCATTGAGAAAACCAGATGGGAACGCCATACAGATGTTTTGGCTTCGGATTAATGGCCACAGAAAATACATCGGCAAGGTTGTAAGTTATGATAATAGGTATACGTACACGTAGTCCAAATTGATCAGATTCTAGTTTCCTAACTATACCGACGAGAACGCCGCAATGCAGCTTTGTCGTATCCGCCTATCGCAGACTGCGAAAATGAGAAGCAAAGCTGTGCTTGAGGCTATAAAGCCGAACTTTAGCTCTTGATGTTTTCTTAGTGAAGATGTCGATCAACCATCTGGGAGCTTTTCGAATATCCTTCAAATGCTATGTGATCATTCTTCGGAAACGACACTTCTAAGTCAATTCAAACAGGAGTGGTTTTATTGCTGGAAGATCGAATTTGTCGCCTGAATGCTCTGCATCGGATTGGGATAACCCATGGAGATGTCCATGATTGGCACTTTCGACTCCCCGGTGACTTTTACGTTACTGTTCTATATGATTTCTTCGCGTCATATACATTCTCTGAAGAGCACATGCAGCCTTTTCGGCTATACCAGGGAAAACCTCGGGCTTTACGTGTTATAGCAGATGGTGGATATAATCAGTTCTCAGGGACATTCAGGAGCGGCAAGAAAGAAGATTGAATCCCTTATATTCATATGACAACTAATATATGTTTAGAGCCTTTGCAGTCGCTGCTACCTTATGAAATTAATGAACTCCAATTTGCAAACTTCTATTGATGATGCACTCTTACAGTGTCTCGATGAAGAGGGGTTATTAGAATTAATCATGCTTAAAGCCTTCTACCGCCCACAGTGGCGGAAATTGGAATTTTTTAATACCATATTCTCATAAAATTTTAGAAGATAACGTATCTCAAAAATTTCTAAGTTATAACATATCTTTTCATAAAATAGTTTTCTTTAAGATATAGGATTTCACTCTATCTAAATATCCTATTTTATATTCACCTATATTTAAAGTTCATCTTTCATATTCACATATATTCAAACTTATCCTTTTGTATTTGTTTGTATTCGAAAATCCTATTTTGATTTGAGTGGTATCTGAAACCATGATTTTGATACATCCTATAAATTAGGATATGATATAATATTCAATATAGTATTCTTCGAGAATTAGTATTAATCTCATATGTTATTGTTATATACAAATGTTATGTTCAAAAATTATATTGAATAGAATAATAATACAGACTGTTAAGATATATTCAAGAATCATAGTATTAGAAGTAGAACATCATAATATACTCAAGCTAGTAGGTATAGAGAAAGCTACATATGTATTGAGTAGGAACAATCAGAAACGTTAACATACTTACACACCAGACGTGAGATGTGTGGAAGTTGGAGCTATGCGCGTAGAATAGGAAGTTAGTGACTTGGATGTGACAGCACGGACTCAAAAGCCAGATGCTTACCAGACTTGAGATTTGTGGATGTCGGAGCTAGAAGCGTGAAGCATGATGTCAGTGACTTGGATGTAAAAGACTAACCATCTGCACAGATGGTTAGTCTTTATTGATCTTATTCTATATCAGAGGCGTACATTACCAACTATACACATATGCTAGGCTTTTCAATGTCCACCTTGAATCCTATTTTCCCTTTCCTAGAAGCGGTTTGCCCAAAGTCCAATCCATGCTGGCATATTCGGAGAGGCAGGCTTTTACGTCACTATCCGTCTGTTTGAGCAGTCTTTCGTGGCGTTAAAGCGCAGCCCTTGTCAGTCATCTCTGATTGCGAGCCACAATTCAGAAAGACAGAGGCAACAGAGGATGCTCGCTTTCTGCTCTGTTTAGTACCGAATCCATGGATTGTATCTTCGAATCCGAATCCTGGTCTTGCCGACTTTATAATAAGCTACGGCAATTTTGCTCACATCTTGTGATAGCCGAAATCCAGGGGCAGTTGTTAGACAAATTGGTTTTTTGGGAAGAAGCAGAGAGTGGAGAGGCTACATAGCTCTATAGACACCACCCCTGAAATGTATTTGCCTTAGGCCACAAATCTGACAAGAAATCCTAGTTAGGACTAGCATCGTTCATGAGGAACGTATCATAGTGTAGCCAATCCCCATACGCCCCACAAGCACGGTGACCACCTATGACATCACGCGGCATCTAAACCACCCCAGGAGACAACACTAAGCTCAAGCTCTCCCTTCAACAAATACCTTGGAACTTGAGTCAAGCTCAATCATCCCATTAATCACTGAATCTCCCATATCAATTCAAAATGGCCTTCCAACTCTTCTCCCCTCCAATTTTGCGCCTAGGTCTAGGCCTCGGCATCGGTCTCTCCGCCGCAACTCTCCATCCCCTCTCTCCCTTCCGCGCAGCCCCCCTCCAATGCCAATACAGTGCGCCCAGTCACACCGAGTCACAGGCAAATGCCGACTCTAACTGGGCTGTCAAGTCTGACCACCCTCTTCTGCAGAAGCAGGGTCGGACAGGAATTGCCGAGAAAGCAAAGGCTGCGTTCCTGTCGCCAGATAATATGCGGCAGATTAGCATGGGGAGTGTTTTGGGTCTTGTTGCTGGTGTTGGATTGAGGGCTTTCTCGCGGGTGCTGGTTGTTGTACTGGGTATGGGTATTGTGTTCATTGAGGTATGTTTTATTCCTTTGATTTGGCTCTTGAATTGCGAGGTTTTACCTAGGCGTATTGGAATGCTCACTGATTGTTCTTTCTTCATTCCAGTGGGCTGCGTCGAAGGGTTACAACATCCTGCCTCTGGAGCGTATCCAGAAGCTTGTTAAGAAGGTTGATGTGCAGGCAGCTGTGAGCTCGCACCGTCCCTTCAAGGTTAGTTTCGGAACTATGATGGCGCTTGCGGCGTTTGCGCAGTTCTAAAAGCTGCCCATATTTATGTACATAGAAACTGGTTCGAGGTGACTACCTTGACCACCTCGTTCGTGTTCTAGGGCTATGGCTACTGGACACTAGACACTGCACCCAATGCAAGTTGGTACATAGTATATTTCGTACAGGGGTATCATGACATCCGCGATCTATTCAACACTCCCGGCAAGGGAAACTTTATCCGAGCACCAGATCCTCCAACACGCCTTCCATTTCATCGCGGGAGAGTGGCACACCTAAGATCTCCATGCCGCTGGGATCCATGCGTGATGTGATCATTTGGTGATCGTGGAATTCTTTCAGCAGAGTGCGGAACATCATTTCGGAGGACGCGATGAATTCCTCCGTTGCCTTTTGGTACAGTAGGCGGAATTCAATCCCTCTTTCATCATTCAGTTCACCGCCATTTCCACCTTCATCGTCGGACTGATGGCCATCGTCCAGCAGAGTGATCACTTCTGTGAGTAGGAGGCGATACAGGTTGCGTGCATTCTCGGGAAGACTCTTCAGGACGAAACCAACACCATCCTTGCCGCCGGCACGTTGGCCCTTACGACCAAGTAAAGAGTTCACTTCTTCCACGACATCTGATTCGACAGTAAAAGGAGTAAAAGTAGTCCCGTCATGGAAGACTATATTTAACTGATCACGCAGACTAATATCCCACATTGCTGTGAAATTGGGAGTATCAGCGGTGAGAAGAAGACGAATACGTGGTGTAGCCGCTAGACGAGCGAGTAGAGCTTGGTTAGCTGCCCTTCGCAATGGCGGAGCGTCGACCGAGTTAATCAAGACTGTAACGGGCCCTTCTTCGGCGGGTCGGTTTTTCAATGCTGACTGGACGAGCTCCAGCACCTCAGTTGGCTGTGCACCCAGTTTGGATGGTAGGTCTTCACCAAGTAGTGCTGATGCAATCATTGCAAAGATGGATCGAATTGAAATACCAGGAGTGTAACCATTGACGATCACAATGGGTGGGTTTTTTGACGGCGAACGATGATAGATCCAGTCGGCAAATTGTTGTACAAGCTTGCGCTTCGATCCATAGCCAAACAAACAGACGTTGAACCCTTCTTCGAACTCGAAATTCCATTGCGGGAATGATCGATGATGCAATGAAAGTAAGTATTCCTTCTCCTCTTGACAAGGGTCCACGGATTGTCCCAGCTTCTCAAAGTATTCCTCATGGGTTAACAATGGCACCTTGTTTAAGGTGGTGTTGGATGTTTTGATAGTGCCTGCACGGTTCTGGAAGAAATATCGTTCGTGTGGGGGCAGTTCGCCTTCTGGTGTTGGTGATCGTTTATTCTTTGCACCCTTAGGTCGACCGGCTCGACGCTTAGGAGCCTTCGCATCCTTGCCCTTTGGCTTCTCTGCGCCATCGTCCTCAATGCTTTCCGCCGCAGGCTCGGTAGCCTTTTCTGGTTCCTCGTCTTGGAGAATCTCCTCAGCCAGTTGTTCCGACCCATCCCATTCAGCATCTTCATCGTGTTCAAACAATACCCTCGCGCTCTTCTTCTTCGCAGATCGATCGGCAATTTTCAATCGAGCCGGGGTCCCAGCGGCGGGGGTTTTGGGTTTTGTCGGAGTCGCAAACAAGTTCCGAGCCTTGGATTTATGGGTGGGCGTCTTCAGCCCTGATTCCTTCAACGGTGTGGGCGCGGCTCCATTGGCCTTTTTGGGAGTAGATAGAACTGGAGGAACGTCATCGGTAGCATCGCCGTGCGGAGGTGACTGGTTCGGCGCGTGGCCGTTCAAGGCGCCATTGGCCTGCACTCGAGTTGTCCGCGGCCTTTTCGGGGTCGAGCCTGCGGGGTGGTCATTTTCCAGACCAGAATCCGAAAGCTTGCGCTTCATGGTGAGCGAGTCAGCTTGCAATTTTGGGAGAGGCCAAGGGGAGAAGGAATCAACAGTACCATCAGATCCGGAGAATGTACAACAGGGACGCGATGCAAGGGGAGGCTTGGCTTTTTTACCCTCCCAGAGTTGTCTCAGTGTTGAATGGTTTAGATTTAGTGGCAGGTAAAGGATCGACGGTTGGAATGTGATAACTGATTGAATTGGATCGCTTTCCTTCGAACCTTTGAAAGGGTCGAGAACTGTGGAGATCAAAGTTGTTAACCGCGCAGTGGGTTTTCTCCGGCTCCGCCTCAGGCGTTATCTGCACATGTTGTACTCCGGACTTGTAATTGTACTTGAGCGATATAATTTTCCCCCAATTACTATTCATTTGGTGAGTGGTTTCTAGTAGCTGATCATTTCATGGATATTCAATATAATTTTTAGCTACCGACATGTTAATCTACTCGCTCCATGGGTTTGACTAGATCAAAAAGAGATAAAGTCATGTGAGCACTGCAGATAATCTTGACCGTAAATCCCTCTTTCCTTCAACCTCAACCATTCTCTTATACTCTTTCTTGTTTCACGCGATCTGCGATTGCGGTTGAACTTGATAATTTCTTATCAGCTGAGTGGTGGGCTCATACCGCGCTATCACTTCCCGGTCTCGGAGCGGGTAGCTTTTCAAGGTTCCCACAGTAGGTTTGACTCATTCAGCTCTGGCTCATCGCGAAGAATTGTATAAGTCAAGTGAGCTGACTATATCTCTGTGAAACAGTCTTATATTCTACTCCTCAGACACATGGTTCCTCAGTCCCAAACCGCCACAATGGCGGTTAGCAACCTTGCCCGCATGCTCAAGGGCCAGGTCCGGTGCTACTCCGCACCACTGGATATGGCCATTCCCGCCTCCAAGCAGCGCTACATCCCTAGCTCGGGCACCTACCCCCAGGGATTCTTGGTCTCCGGAACCCATGTTGGTGTCAAGGCATCCAACACCCGATTCCCTGACCTTGCGCTTATTGCATCGGAGACTCCGTGCTCCGCCGCCGCCGTATTCACCACCAACAAATTCCAGGCTGCGCCAGTGCAGGTCAGCCGTCAGACATTGCGCAGTCGTAAGGGCGAGGGCATTCGGGCTGTGGTTATCAACTCTGGATGTGCCAATGCTGTGACAGGAAAGGGTGGACTGGAAGATGCGGTCAAGATGGGTCAGACAGTGGACGAATGCAGTGGAGCTGAGAAGGATAGCTCATTGGTGATGAGTACCGGTGTGATCGGACAGAGGTAGGTGTTTCCTTAGAACAGATCGTACATTGGACCAGAATAATGTACTAACATACCGTCAGACTGCCCATCAGCAAAATCCTGGATCGCATTCCAACTGCCCATGCCAACCTCGACTCGTCACACGATGCCTGGCTAAGCACTGCTCGCGCGATTTGCACCACCGATACCTTCCCGAAGCTGCTATCTCGTGAATTCACTTTGCCCTCATCCCCAGACCGTATCTACCGTCTCGCCGGAATGACCAAGGGCGCCGGTATGATCCACCCAAACATGGCCACCCTGCTTGGTGTCCTCTGCACAGACGCCGCCGTTGAGCCCGCAGCCCTGCAGTCAATCCTCAAGCACGCCATCTCTCGCTCCTTCAATTCGATCTCCATCGACGGTGACACTAGCACCAACGACACTATCGCAGTCCTTGCCAACGGTGCCGCCGGTGGCGAGATCGTACGCGCACCCTCGTCGGAGCCCAGCGCTGACTACCAGGCTCTGCAGACCGTGTTCACAGACTTTGCGCAGCAGCTCTCTCAGCTCGTCGTCCGCGACGGCGAGGGCGCGACCAAGTTCGTGACCGTTCGTGTGCGCAACTCTTCCGACTACGAGTCCGCGCGCCAGATCGCTTCTACCATTGCCCGCTCTCCGCTTGTTAAGACTGCGCTGTACGGCCGTGATGCCAACTGGGGTCGTATTCTCTGTGCTGTGGGCTACACTCAGGGTGTGGCCGATGGTGTTGTTGTTCCCGAGCGTACCTCTGTCAGCTTCCGTCCCGTTGACGGTAGCCCTATTCTTAAGTTGCTGGTCAACGGCGAGCCTGAGACTGTTGATGAGGAGCGTGCTAGCGCAATCCTGCAGAATGAAGACTTGGAGATCGAGGTTGACCTCGGTGGTGGTGAGAAGGGTGCTGCTGGATGTGGTGGTGAGGATGCTGTCTACTGGTTCTGCGATTTCAGTCACGAGTATGTGACTATCAACGGTGACTACCGTACCTAAAATATGAAGACGTCTGTATGTTTAGCGAGTTGGAATATTCCATACGAGGATGAAGCAAAAGTGGAACACTTTGATAGTATTATTGACCTGAAGAGAAAAATATGTACATTTCAACACAATTTTATCTCCCTCCTTACACTACTGCAGGTACATCTCTACCCTTTTTTAAGACCCTCTTATCCGTACCATCTTTTGACTGGCAGCATCTCATCCAGATCATTATCAATCCGAATGGGAATTCCTGGAAAAGCTTAGAAGTCGTGAACTCATTCGCCCCCTCAACGGCATTAGAATCATCAACCTGAGTCTCAATACCATTTCCATCCGAATCTTCGTAGTAAGTACTAGTCGTAGGGCCTTGGTTCACACACCAAGTCAGCTTGATGCCCATACTCTCAGTCGCCAGGCTTTAAGTAGTCCGTAAAGCGTATCGTAGGTAAATGCGACATTATGAATCTCGGTAGCGGATGCCAAACAAGGACGAGTGTGTTCGTCATTGATGATAGCGACGCGGTGGTGTTCATCAGAATGGGGAAAACAATGAGGTCGTTCTCGAATCATCGCGCCACTCTTAGGCACGTGGACCAAAACTCCACCATGACCTTGATGTCAGCTGTTCTGAATACCCCATGCGCTAGCTTGCTAGGTCGTAGGACGGAATATTGGTTTAAGATACATTGGTGTTATCCACTCTGGCTTGGGGGCTAGGGCTTATTTGCGGGGAAGTGATAACCGGATTATTGCTGATCTTTAATAAGCCCAAATTTATACCTTTTATGCAGTCACTTATGTGGAGAAAGCTTACGATGACTACATAATTTGCTTCAGTCATATAAATGAAAGTATTTGATTTCTGTTGATGCAAATTTGTAGTGGTTCATTAGAAAGGCAAATCGAGGACGTGAATGTTTAGAAGCTAGTCTATTCTAGTTCGGAGTTACGCAAGTATTGTTAGGGTGCAACTTGGGTGCAACTAGCGTACTCCCATCTAACTCGATTGGGCATAATCTTTAATTCCTCCATATTCATCTCTGCGATATCACATGCAGTGAATTGGAAGGGCATGGCCTGCCCAGGTGTTTCTAGTCTATCTAATGAAAGGGAGAGACATATTCAAGATACTTCTGCCAAGTCTGATTATTAGGTTGGCACAGCATAGTTGGTGTTTCCAATGTTATCGCCGGGGCATATTGACGGAGTTGTGGGGGCCATCGGCCTAAAAGGGGCCTGAGAGGGCGTAAGCATTTTAAAGTCTGGTCTTATGAACTCATTGCGATAATTATAGTCAAAAGCTGGTTGATTTAGTCATTTTAGTATCTAAAAATCAAATCAAATCGAAGGTGGCCAGACATTTGGACAGGGGTATACGTACTACATACTTCCTATATTGATACTTGCCATCCAACTAGACCCCAAAAGAATAAACAACTTCCTAAACTCGTAATACAATCAAAACCCTGAGCTAGAGCTTCGTGGGGCGGATTTCATACAGAAATAATATAAATCAGAGATCAATTGTTCGTAAATCCATTCTCCGTCAACACAATACAATTCAATCCAATCCACCAATCCATCTATCAACTCTTTCGACTTCCAAAGCTCCAAGCTTCAAATCAACTTCCATCCGCCACAATGCAGGTCTTCAGTGTTCTCGCCGTCTCCGCTTTCTTCACCATGGCCACCGCCGCTGCCATCCCTGCTCCCGAGGCTGCTCCCGTCCCGGCCCCCGTTGCGGAACCCTGGCTTGGTAGGTTTACTATGCCATTAGGCAGCAGACAAATCAATCTTGAAAATGAGCTAACAATTTGTGTTTAGGAAGCCTTCTCTTCAAGGAGGCGAAGAAAGCCGTCAAAGATACCCACAGAGATATCGATGATAGCAACGACGATAGCGACAGCGACAGCGACAGTGAAGACGACAACTAGCTATGAGAATGTTACATTCTCGACAAGCAGTTCCGTTATTATTGGCTGTGATAGAGAAGCGAATGTGCTAGCTGGCCTAGAAATTCGCTTTGGTAACGGTAATGATTAGCCGTTTTGTTCATTGACATGGCACAAATTTGTACTAGCGGTCATGAGAGAAGAATGGATTATTATTTGACATACAGTCTCCTAGTAATAGCTCTGAGCAGTGGGAGGATTTTCCCATTAAATAGAAGTGACTTATCTCATAAAATCGTTTCTGATTGACTCAACCACGTCCACCCGTTGCGGAGCAATGGATTACTTTCCAAAATTGGGGTCGATGAATTCCGGGCTTAAAATGTCACCGGTATTACGAAAAACACAAATGACTTTGACAGTTTTCAAATCTATAGCTTATGCAAGGCAAATAGTGAGATCTCCCATATCGAGCAGATCGGAGATTGAGGAGAAGATTCGGTAGCAGCACCAGCCATTTGAACAAATGCTTTAAATGAAATGAGGCTTGGAAGCATACAACGAGAGGACTAGCAGCTTCAGTCATATCCTGCTCCCTCATGGAAACTTCTCGTCGTGGTCCACTTTCGGCTGCTTTGCCTGGATAACCTTGTCTAATAGGCCTGGGCTCGACAATGCAATTGCAGAAGCCAGGCGGACGATCAATCGATCTCGGGACTAAATTGCGCCTTGAGCCCTGCAGAAAATTATTTATATCTAGGTAGCACCAGAAGCTGGACTGAGTCAGCAAATAATGGTACGAGATAAACTCTTGTGACGCTTGTTACACACGGAAAAGCCCAAATCGGTAAATTTAATCAAAATAAAGATATAAAGCCACAAGCCACAGGTACTATTGTCTGCGCTAAAATAATAGTCCTTTCTATGTACTCCGTAAGCCTACAAAAAATGCATCCCAGATCCATGCAAGGGCAATTCTTCAGGATTAATAATAACAACTTCGACGACCTTCTACGGAGTACGGATTGGAAAATGATCCACAGTGGACTAGAGTGGAATTGTGGATCTTATCCATTCATTAATCCAGGTATAAGTATAACCCCGCCACTCTGTCAATTTCAATTCCCCATCCCCTGAAATTTACATATCCCACCGCAATCATGAGCTACTCTCTCTACGACGGAACCATCGGTCAGGCTAAAGCCGCCGTCTCTTCCCTGATCCACCTCATCGAGCTGGCCGAGCAACAACCCAATGCCGATGCCCTTCTCAATGCCTCTCTTCACACCGACATGAAGGGCTTGACCTTCCAGGTCTTCATTGTTCTCTGGCTCACCGAGACAATGCTGGCCAAATTGACCGGTCGGGAGGCCGTGGATGTCGCCAACGACCTTACTACATACGCCGAGATCAAGGCGCGCCTTGGAGCACTGCTCAAGCAGCTCACTGAGGCCGACAAGGATAATGTCAACAACCACAGCGCCGATGTGGCCTCCGTCAAGTTCGGACCGAACGACCTCGGAGAGATGTCTGCGGCTACTTTCGCCACTACTCTTGCCATTCCCAATGTTTACTTCCATGTTGTTACCGCTTATGGTATCTTGAGAAAGGAGGGAGTGCCGCTGGGTAAGAGTGACTATCTTGCTGCCTTCCGTGCTGCTCCCGCGTGTTAGACGCCATTTGCCTCTACATGTACCTATAGACTTCGCAGCTATGAAAAATGCTAAATCTATGCACATGTCGTACATTTGACACAATTTATTGGCGTGATTTTTCTACTGTAGTTCCTACATACAGCATTCGAAGTTGATGCATCGCTCTCAAAGTACAGCACAGTACGTTATGTAATTGTGTGAGGAGCTTGATGCCAAGGTATATTGCATGCAAATGTTGCAGAATATATTGCGAGTAGACATATATTTATCTAGCTCATGAGCCTTGGGATCATCTAAGGTTATCATGATCTGATCTAGACAACTTTAAATCATTCGCAACATTTAATCTAAAAGACGTGATCCGTGGATGTACCTGACCCAAAAGAGCCAAAAACGCGGGGGTTTACGGGGTCACATTCATTAACCTGATTTGACGTCATCTCTTATCCGAGGACAGGGACATCGAAACCAGGATTTTAATCTTATACATCTCTCTCATCTCTCTGAGAACGTCAAAACGGCCTGGTCTTCGCGATCGAAAATCATCGGTTCCACATAAAGTCAAGTGCTCCCAGGTGCCTGGTGCACAAGTTCAACATCTGTACCTTACCAATACTCGGTGAGGGAATACTGCCCAACCTTCTGCATGACAACTGAAGAACGAGTGATCGGGGAACATCATCTGCACAATCCCGTCCATGAGATCCTGCTGTACTCCCTGATCCGGGAATCCTGCATGAGATCACCTGGCAACGTTTAAATGATAGACTAGACGTTGTCTACTGAGGTGCTTATTGACCGCCCTCGTATGTCTCCCCTCACGGCAGCTCTGAACAACTTCTGCTAGTACTCCACTGACCAGTGTGGACCCATCACAGAGAGCTAGAAAACTATCCGGTTACAGATAGCTGCACCGGACCCTACAAGCCTTCGACCTGTGACCCACCGCCCCCGCCCTTAGGCTTCGCGCGCCCAAACTACCTCCAACCCCTTGAAATCATCTGAACTCCAAGTGACACCTGGGTGAAAGAGTGAGAGATGAGTCCAGTTATCAATATGAATTCCTCTACGGTCAAGTTGCCTGAAGGCCACGGCTATGTTTACAAAGAAGTCCGGTTTTCACCAACGGCAACACCTCTCCGCCGAGCTCAATCGGTCTCAGGCAGTAATCCCTCGGCGAATACCAGATACGGCCAAACACCGGTATACGGTCGAAACTTTCCCGTCTTGGATACCTCCTATATCGATCAATCACAAGAGCTTCTTGAAAAGCAACGGGCGAATTTTCAGGCGGAGAGGGAGCTTTTCGCGCAAGAAAGGCGATTGTGGGAGACGGAGCGGTCGCTGCTCAAGGCCAAGATCGCAGAGTTAGAATCCTTGTCTCCAAGGGCACACCCCATTTCATCAGTACCTCGTCCAGGTGACGCTACTTTCGGTGCATCTCAATTTCACGGATCTCGTGATACTGTGCACTCAGCTCAGGTGTGGGAAGGAACAAGCCCAGGAGGGCGACCAACAAGGGTGTTCCGCAACGAAGAGACACCAGACAGTCTCCACCTTTCGACAATCACAGAGGGGAGCGACAATATTCCTCCTTCTCTGGATGCAGCCCTGTCTCCCCTGACACGGGCGGCAGACGCTCATGGGATGACCGTTAGTATCCCGGTGCCGATCGAGAAGCTTGACAGTAGACTAGATGGCATTACGCTGAAGTCTACTGCTTTACCACCTGGGGTGGTAGCCCGGGTGATCACCCCGCCGTCGCCGTCGCCCTTGACCACGTCCCCTCCTGCCCCTTCGGAGCCTGCAAGATCCGAGATAGAACACCGAAACAGTCTCAAGTTGAAGCTGTCAGAACTCGGCCCGCCCAATGAGAACCTTCTTCGGGACGCCGGACACACCCCGATGGTTATCATCGAGGTCGACGGGAGTCGTCAAACCACCCAGGACGCTACACCTGCGCCCGAGTCTCGATATCAGGAGGAGGCCCCTCTGGCGCCTGTGCAAACGGAAGTCGGTCTACCGACAGAAAATGGGGAGTCCTATTTCCCCGATGTGCCTGAAGATCCTGCCCTGAAAGGGCCTCTTGGTCTCATCAACGACGAAGAGCATGATAATAGCTTCCTCAATGAGCTGGACCAGAAACTCCTGGACCAGGCTAGGCGGATCCTTGGTAGCTCAGAGGAATCGACTGAGGCTAATGAGGCTGAACCCGAAATGCCCACGCAGAGTGAACAGGAACCCGAATTCAAGTTCAAAAAGTCCACTAACTTTGGCACGGCCTTTGGAATATCGAACTTGGGTAATTTTTGAGCAAATAAATTTGACACTAGTTATTTATGGTTTATGATCTGTCGATGTTCATGTTGGCGCAATGTGAATATTTACTTTGATTTACCTTTGTTCTTCTTCTCATTGGCATTTTGGTTCTGCATGTGCGACGTTGCGACAGAATTGGTTCTGTCAACGAAGATCCCTTACGACTTCATGAGATATCCTTATATCCCCCCATATTGTTACAATGCAGGATTTGTTGTGAAACCACCGGATGTTATTTCGTTTCTCATGTTGCCAGGGCCAGAGCTCTTTCTGATCGGGCCCAGACTTGATGCCCACATAATGTCTCTTGTGTTTTTTGATATTGGCCTTTCCTTGCTTCTGATGTGTCAAGTCAAAGTAGTCTATTCACCAATCGACACTGTTGCCTGACAATTGCTTTGTGCAGGAAATTTGAAAGTATCCCTTGGATCTGTCCCTTGCATGGAATTTGCAACCTTTGATCCCAAGACCCACGTGTTGTCCAGATTATCCCCTGACAATCTCATCCAAGCTGAGATTACGACAGCTTTCGGATAATCGGGCTCGGGCTGCTGCATAAGCTAGTGCAAGAAGCAAATTGCATACCCATGCCCTATGCGCCATTCCCCATACCCAGATAACGCCATGGTTGCAAATCATACTCATCCTACTTGCATGAACCCCCGGACCCAGTTGACCTCTCACAGTGTCTTTGGCAACTCATGTCTCTCTTTTTGACTTGGTACCTTGCCGATCAGTCCTTGAGGCCTTTCTAAGAAAAAAAGCCACCAAGGGCTAGTCCATGGCCTTGCAGCAGCCTGGTACCTGACTAGCCCTTGGTTCACCCCACGATACCCCTCGACACTGTCTCCGGACACTATATAACTACCATGCAATTCGACTAGAATTTCTTTTCTCCATCATTCACTCAACAGTTCCTCGGACAGCCATTCCTTCGCTTCTCTATACTCTCGAGTCCGCGCTTCAATCATTCTTTTCATCTTTCTCAAGACGATCAATCTTTTTTTATTCAAACAACTCATTCTTCAAGTTTTACAAACTTTTTAAACTCTGAAACAATGCCTTCCACTACTTTCACCTTCTCGGCTGCTCTGTGCCTCTTCCTGGCCGTTGGCCCTGCTACCGTTCTCTCTGCTCCTCAGCTGGTTAGTCCCCGACCAGACTACATCGTCTTTTGCACATCAATGATATTAAACTAACGATGACAATAGGGCGGCTTGCCTATCCTTGGTGGTCACGATAACACCCCCGCCACTGGCAACACTGAGAAGGACGCTGGCGCTGGCTACGATGTCGGCATCCCCGGTGGACCTAACGTCGTCTTCGGAGCTGGTGTCCACAGCGAGCAACACGGTCCCTGCGGCCCAGGCGTGAGCTCCGAGAAGGATGCCGGTGCTGGCTATGTGGTCGGCCAGCCCAATGGTCCCCATGTGGCATACGGTGCCGGCGCCCACGAACAGCACGACGCCTACCCCTGCCCAGAGCCTATTGCTGTTCCTGTCACTGAGCCAGCCCCCGTTCCTGTCATTGAGCCCACCCCGGTCCCTGTCGCTGAGCCCACTCCTGTCCCTGTCATTGAGCCCACTCCTGTCCCTGTGACTGAGCCCACTCCTGTCCCTGTGACTGAGCCTGCTGTGGTGCCCATTCCAGAAGCTACGACTACTTCCACCTATGTGCCGGTGTTCATCCCCCCTCCCCACACCACTCCCATTGACGTTCCAACCATCACCACAGTCCCTAACTACATGGCTCCCTCGCCGGCTCCGGTTTACTCAACTCCTCTGATTCACCGCCCCGCCCCCTCCGCTGTGCCCTCTTCCATGCCAGTTTACAACGCCGGCTCCGCAGTGACACCGAGCTCACTCCTCGCCCTTGCTCTGCCTATCATGCTGGGCATCTTCTACTAGAGGATTTCGATTTCGATCCAAAAGCTTTCTTGTTGAACAACCCGCTGTGCCTGATGATCTGATTTTGATGTTTGTATCTATATTCGTCCTGTACCTTCTCGACGGATGTAATCTCCTGTGTCTGTGACCTTCTATTCCATGTCTACTCTTGTCTGTTTATTTTTTGGCCTTTTTGATTGTGAATCCCTCCAGATACCTGTATCTACTAGCATATGAGGGCCATGTGACTTTCTTTTCTTTTGCTACATTGGGGACCTTGTCGGGAGTCCGGGCGTGCTCTGCACAAACCGCACGATTATTTGATGGATTTCCTTGGTATTAATGCACGAATATGATGCTTTTTCAAAACAAATCTTCCTCTGTAGGATTTGGAATCAAATTACTGGATTCGGTAACATGGTGTCTTGCCCTAATTTTACAGTAATTGATTGATAGGACGATCATTCGGTCTGGACCTGACGCTAGGGATGTAAGAAGGGGTTATACTTGAGTAACATGATCTATCATTCAAAAAGAAACTCCAATGAACCATGGAATTGTAGTACAAAAATCAATGGAAAAAACTTGAAAGTAAACTGGCTGTTGTCTCTTCATAGGTAGCTCATGGCACTAGTGATATGATACGTAGCAAAAAAGGACTTGGAAGTCAAAACATGATAATTGGTACCGGCAGCAAATGAACGCCAAAATTCATATCGTGTCATGTGCGGAGTATATCCGACGAGGTAGTTGATCCCTTGATCCCCCACTCGTTGGAGGCTATAGCTCAACCATATTCAGTGGAAAGGAAAGGGGAGGGGGGATTGTCCTCGTGTCTCCTCAGCTCATATTCAGGCAGCATTATACCCCCATCGTAAAGTCATGTTCAATGCCCGGTGTAACGCTCGCAATGAATTTGAGGAACACGACCAAGTACTGATCCACCCGGATAGCAACTTGTTCTTCCTCATCATGCTGAAGAACCTCCCATTCATCCCCCTGTTGGTTCTCGAGAGACATGCCCTTCGTATCCTCAACCAGACCTTCCAGACCGTTTCCGCTTGCTTGCAGGATGCGATTCGCCTCTTCACGAGACTGGGTTTGCTTTAGCTTATCGCGTCGGAGCTTGAGCGCTGCGTCGGCGCGGTCCAGTAATGTCTTCATCACTGAAGCGTGACGGCATGGGTGCACGGTCGCCATCTTCACACTTCCATCAAACCATGGGAAGTCCTCCAGAGTCACTGTTTTATCCTTGTAGTCACCGACGATATCTTCCATCATCAGATGAGGTGGAAGTGGTTCTGAGGGAGAGAGGTATCCAGATAGGTAGAGGCGGGGTGTGCGGTAGAAGTTGGAGTAGGTGATGTATAAGGTATAGGTGCGCAGAGACCTAAAGGATAGTAAGTACGGATACCAGAAAGCAAGAAGCAATGCCAGGAGACGACTCACTGTGATGTTCCTGACTGTCCTGCAGGCTCGCGAATAATCGCTTCTTCATCGTCGTCGTCATCCTCCATATCTGGGATTTCCTCTTCATCTTCTTGTTCTCCGAGGTTTCCAGACTCGTCAACCGTACGCACATCGCGGATACGAGCTTCCTGTTGATCCCGGTCGGGGCCGCCTCCAGTTCGAAGCCATCCATCATCACCGTCATCACCAACTGAGCCACCTGCACCTTCGCCCGAGAGCATATCCCTCACGATCTCATCTTCGTGGCCTGCGTCCCCGGCAAAATTATCGTTGAGCCGACGGTGGCATGGTACACCACGTGTAACAAGAAACTGCTTCCCGGCGGGAAGGTAGGGAACGCGTTTCGCCGGGCTGGAGGCGTCACCCCAAGACCATGTGGGGAACTTGTAGACAAGGTAATCGCCGGCAAGAACAAACTCCTCTGGGGTGATTTGACCAGTAGAGCGAAAAGTGGAAGTTCGGGAGACTGGAGCCAGACGATCCCGCCAGGTAGATAGCGTGGAGTGTAGGATATTCATTGTATTTGGTGATCTATCTAATAGTTGGAGAGGGGAGTTTATGAGGCGGGGAGCGACAACCTTGATAAGCGGTGGAGCACATGATCGGCCCCGCGTGAGCTCATCGCTGCATTATTCCAACCTCAAATCAAATGCATCCCGACTTTCACCTGATATGTATCTAGGCAACTGCTGATCTTCTTCTCACTTCTAAGTGATTGATAAAATCTTCGCTCGAGTGACCTTTTTAAGGTCTCAGGTGCCTTTGAGCTAGTGTGCGTTGAACCAGATCGAATAGACCTTTTCTATAAGAGCCTCATCAAGGATGCATGACATCCTGGCCCCTAGATCAAAGATATGGGAAAGCTCCGTAGGTAAAGGGGTAGTCACTAGGCTACCGAAGTAGTCGGTGCAACCTTTCAGCTCACTCGCCTTCATTCATCATCCGACGCCGCTCGATTTCCGATTCGAGGTCTTCTACCACCATAGGAATCACTTTGTTCTTCCACTGTTCTGTTTCTTTCCGCACGAAACCCTCTAAGCTCCTCATGGCCACAACTAGAAATCCAAGCTCTTCGCGGTCAACGTCAAAAACCTCCCACCAATTAGCATCTACCAGTTTGACCCCTTCCTCACGAGCTGCAAGGTAAATTGCTGCGACGGCAAGCGCATTCGGCTGGTGTGTAACATAGAGCAATTGAGGAGATAGAAGTGCAGCGTTAAGATGCTCCACGACACGCCGGGCGACGGCGGGTCTTGTCGCACCCAACGTTTGCAGATATGTGAGGGCAATAGCATGGGGGAGAGCGACGTGTGTATCGAAACCAAGGGCTCGTAGAATGATTGACTCAATGCGTAAAAGTGTCAGCCTAGCAGACTGGTATCCACCTTCTGAGAGAACGTAGGTCTCTGGAGCAGGAGGCTGTGCCGGTGCCCCACGTGGGTTCACGAACCACAGTGGCGACGCATCTTGGGAGAGAAGGAGGGTATATACATTTAGGACGGATCGCGGCGAGGTGGGAAGGAAAGAGAGCTTTGCTGTCAGGTAGAGTGAAGCCGCGGAAACATCCTAGTTGAAGAAAAAACGGTTAGAAAAAGGTAATAATAGAAGACCATTTGGCTTGCGTACCTTGGCCGAGTAGATTCGTAAGCTTCCTCCATCTGCCCCCAGCCAGAAACGGGTAAAAATGACAATGGCCTGGGCGATGATGTCTTGCGACAAACCTAGTAGGACGCCAGCGGCCTGGGTAAGTTGGGCCCCAGCACAGCGGATAGAAGCTTCAAGATCGGAGGGTACACCATCGATTGATGAGGAGGAATTAGAGAGCTGTTCGAAAGTTGCAAGAGCATTGGATAGTTGCTTGAGGCCAGTGGTTGCCATAATAGCCGATTTGCAGCAGATTTGCAGATTCGTAGAGATCGGAGAACGGGAGAAATGGAGAAATGGGGCCAACGTGGGAAACAAGCAACGAAATTCCGTATCAGGTCCAACGTTGCGTACTCCGCATGAGTTTATGCTTAAAATGCCGTCATGGGTGCGATCCCACAAGTCGTTCCAGAATCCAGTCAATCCAGAATCCAGTGGATCCTTGGAAAGCTCTCTCAGCCACCGTTATTTCATACTTCCCAGCCTCCTCTTTTATTGATTTTCTGGTTTCAAATCAAAACATCCACTTTTATTTCTCCCTAACTCATGTGAAACAATTGGTGCTAGATCTTGAACCATCCCAATATTTTGTCCCTTGTTTGAATTCTTCTTTCCCCCTAAAATCGGCCTAAACAACACATCCGCATACATCTCCACTCCTTTAAGGTCACACATCCAGCGCCACACACCTGATTCGACCCTGATTCGACCCTGTCGACCCTGATTCAAACCCCGACTTAACTCTTGTCATCATGTCCTCCGATCCCTCCCTCCCCACAACCCTACATTCCGATGCCTCACAGGGGCAGTTCGTTGCCTCCTCACCCAACCCCGTGACCAAGAACCGATTTCACAGCTTGCCATCACATCGTCGAGCGAACACCGAATGTATCGCACGCCCCCCTATTTTTGAAGAAGACCCCAAATCGTTCGACGAAAGCTCAACAAATCGGTCGGCCCCGTGGACTGGTACATTTCCCAAAAAGAAGTTCGAAGCACGAGCCCGCGTCTTGTCAGATTGGTTCCAAGGCAAGTCGGACGGAGTTGATTTGGGAATCAAAATGCGCCCTGACGGCGAAATGGACGGGCCTACCATGGGTCCCCCTCGTCTCACGGCCATGTCACATACTCGAAAGGGCTCGGCTCCAGCCACAGGTCGATTCAACTTCTTTGGTCTCCGTCGGCAGGAAGAACAAAAGCCTAACCCTCCAGAGCCGGCAGATGATGAAATCCTCAACCTTGATATTATCGCAGCCCTTTCCTTGCCTAAGTCGGATACAACCAGCGAAGAAGCACTTGATATTCTCCGCGAACAGGCCACCAACGTGCTACATCGCATGCAGGAAGCGTATAAACAAAGAACGTTTGTTATGCATGAAGCCATGGCAGACAGGACCGGGAAACAAGAGGAACTGGAGGAGACTCGGGCGCGCGTGGATCACTTGAAGGTCCAGCTAGACGGTATGGCTGCGAAAGTGTCGAGCCAAGAGAAAGCCATGCAGGCCATGGCAGAAGAGCTCGAACAGGAGAGACAACTACGACAGCAAGAAGAGAACCGCAGTCGCAGCCATACCATGCGCGCGATTGCTCCCGATGATGATATACCGTCGCTAGTTCTGCAGACCCCTCATCGTGGTGGCAAACGCACCAGCCATGGGACATTCGCTAGTGATTCTGGTTTCGAGTCTGGAGATGAAAGTGTGGCAGACAGTATCTTCTCTCATCGGGAAGGCGTCGAGTCACCAACATCCGCACTCACCGCACCGTCTCCCAATATTTCGCAGGTTGCGCTGTCCACTCCAACTCAAATGCCGACTCTTCAAAAGAATCTCGTTGCAGCCACCAATACACCTACACCAAAGGCTTCGTCCACATACGACCGAGTTTTGAAGGGATTCGCCTCCACGCGCCTGGGAAGCTCATTCGTGGGGACTACCAACCAGAATCAATGCGATATTTGTTATGGTATTCCATCCCATGAAGCCTGGAGCGTCATGGGTGTGCTGAAAGATGAGAACCGGGGTCTCAAAAGTCGAGTGAGCGAGTTGGAGGTGGTGATTGATGATTGCCTTGGTCTTGTTGGACCTTAAATTGGAAACGACAGGCATTTTCGTATAGAATTTTATGAGTATACTGGGCAGCTCGGCACTCTCAAGACCTGGTGTCTATATAGAGGAACGGGGTGCATTGTTTTTTGTCCAATCTACGATGTTTAGATACCAATAGAAGGGGAATTGATCCAATTTTGAAACCTCTACATACTATATGTTAACAAGTATAGAAAGATAAAATGCTAAATATGCTTCTATGTAGAGAGCCACTATGTTGAGGTAGATACTAGACCCTGCACCGATCTGGTATAGTGTGGGGATAAGCTCGCCCTCAACACTGGGGTACACAGTACACACATACCATGTTGTTCTATCATAAAGAATAGAGAATAAAGAGGGGATTGAACAAGTCAAATGTACATACAATTTACTAGAATATATTGAATTGACCTTGAAATCTGTCAACTATTGAGAGTTGAGTCATTGATGTTTGGTGCGGTGTTCGCGGCGAGACCAAGTGGCCTTTATTAGCGCGAAGCGAAAAAGTGGCCAGCGAACGACTTCCGTCTTCTTCCCCCATCTCCCTCCCCGACCTTCCCTCCTTTCCCCCCATCCCCTTTTTCCTTTTCTTTTTAATCAACTTCCTTTCCACTCTTTCTGCTGGTCATCCCAGCTTCTTCTATTTTATTTTAGACGGATTGGGAGGAAGACAGTCATCATGAGCGGCCGTGAGTTTGCCCCATACCCACCACGCGATCGCCATCAACCCCCTCAGATCATCTCCAATGGACTCACATTTGCTGATGCCGGATAACAGTTCGCTTCCTTGACTTGATCAAGCCCTTTACGCCCCTCCTCCCGGAGGTGGCAGCTCCTGAGACCAAGGTGCCCTTCAACCAGAAGTTGATGTGGACAGGTGTATGTGGCCTCCCAATCGCTTGCTTGTGATGATACGGACGGGATTCTAATGACAATTTCATTATAGTTGACTCTCCTGATCTTCCTGGTCATGAGCCAGATGCCCCTTTACGGTATCGTGTCCTCCGACACCTCGGACCCCCTATACTGGCTGCGTATGATGCTGGCCAGTAACCGTGGTACTCTTATGGAGCTGGGTATCACTCCTATCATCTCTTCCGGCATGGTCTTCCAGGTATGCGATGGATAATATCATTGATTTGACGAAATCGAGCTGACAGCTTGCTCTCCTAGCTCCTTGCTGGTACCCACCTCATTGATGTCAACCTTGACCTCAAGACCGACCGCGAGCTCTACCAGACCGCCCAGAAGCTCTTCGCTATCATCCTTTCCTTCGGCCAGGCCTGTGTCTACGTTCTGACTGGTCTCTACGGTCAGCCCAGCGACTTGGGTGCTGGTATCTGTGTTCTCCTGATCGTCCAGCTGGTTGTTGCTGGTCTGGTTGTCATTCTGCTGGACGAGCTCCTCCAGAAGGGCTACGGTCTCGGCAGTGGTATCTCGCTCTTCATTGCGACCAACATCTGCGAGTCGATCGTCTGGAAGGCTTTCTCCCCCACCACCATCAACACTGGTCGTGGTCCCGAGTTCGAGGGTGCCATCATTGCTCTGTTCCACCTTCTCCTGACCTGGCCCGATAAGCAGCGCGCCCTGTACGAGGCCTTCTACCGCCAGAACCTGCCCAACGTGATGAACCTGTTGGCCACTCTCCTGGTCTTCGCTGCTGTCATTTACCTGCAGGGCTTCCGTGTTGAGATCCCCGTGAAGTCCTCCCGCCAGCGTGGTATGCGTGGCTCTTACCCCGTCCGCCTCTTCTACACCTCGAACATGCCCATCATGCTCCAGTCCGCTCTGTGCTCCAACATCTTCTTGATCAGCCAGATGCTGTACTCTCGCTTCTCGGACAACCTGCTCGTTCAGCTTCTCGGAGTCTGGGAGCCCCGTGAGGGCTCTGCCCAGCTTTACGCCGCCTCGGGTATTGCCTACTACATGTCGCCCCCTCTGAACTTCACAGAGGCTCTTCTCGACCCCATCCACACCGCTGTCTACATTACCTTCATGTTGGTTGCCTGCGCCCTCTTCTCCAAGACTTGGATCGAGGTCTCTGGCTCTGCTCCCCGTGACGTTGCCAAGCAGCTCAAGGACCAGGGTCTTGTCATGTCCGGTCACCGTGAGCAGTCCATGTACAAGGAGCTCAAGCGTGTCATCCCCACTGCCGCCGCCTTCGGTGGTGCTTGCATCGGTGCCCTTTCCGTTGCCTCTGACCTTCTCGGTGCCCTTGGCAGCGGAACCGGTATCCTCCTGGCTGTGACGTAAGTTCCATCTTCCTGCATTTGCTACAAGTTATAACTAACATAATTTAGCATCATTTACGGTTACTTCGAAATTGCTGCCCGCGAGGGTGACATCGGCGCTGGCCTGAAGGGTCTCGTCCCGGGCAGCTAAATGATTAGACTGCTGAATTTCTTCTCCTGAACAGTATTGGAGAAAGGCTACACTTGTAGTCTTTCAGAATTCTGATCATTTTGTGTCTTTTTAATCGTCATGTTTTTTATACAATCTTTGGGGAGATGAATTGGCAGTTATGAGACTGGTAGCCTTCCCTTGAGTTAGGCTGGACGGGATCCTAGTGGATATCGTCCAATGTGCATTGGACTCTATACGAGCGTCTAGCTTGTAGACGGGAACGAAGGAAGATACCAGGCTGGGTCATACCGCCAACAGTCGGAAGTGCCCTGTTTAGGGCCTGTAACCATATTTTACCAATCAAAAATCTAACCAAGTTGTGTGTGATGATCATTGAGTTGTGTAGATCCTACACATCTAAGTTATACTTGCACATGTGCCTCTCTATTAGGCTTCTGTGTCAATTTTCATCTCTTTTAAGAGACCCTAACATTAAAGTCGGGTAATTTTAGACAGCCTTGCAAGTTAGGCTGAAGGACATACACATTATGTACATGTGCAAACAACCTCCAAGCCACTCTTGAACCCAATATATATCTACTTACACCTACGGATTTCATAGGTCCATGTACGGGTAAGCTGAACCTTGGAAAGACAAGATATCATCCATGGATACAGTTCTACTTCGAATATCTTATGTAGCTCTATAGGTTTCGATTTCAAAATGACAAGACGAAATATCATATCGACGTCACCCTGCAGTGCTCACACACCATCAGCACAATCCGCCACAAACGAGCATGCATCTCAAGACTGAAGTAACAACAAGCAACCCTGATCAACCAATCAATCTCCCCCATCGAACGTCACCTCAGCCCATCAGCGCAACTGGATAATATCTCGCATCGCCCATTTTATGCAACAACGCCCCAGATCCTGAACCAGAATGAGAACCAGAGACATCCCTCTCCAGTGACAGCCCGCGCCGCTCCGGCGAGCTACTCCTCCAAATACCCTCCTGCTCCTCAACAAGCCGCTGCTGACCATCAGGCAACGGATAAAAAGTAACATCCAACTCCCCCCCATCCCCAAACATCTTCGCAAGCTCCAAAACTCCCCTCGCAGCAAGTTCCCTCCCCCCAGCACAAGAAACAGGATAATAATGCCTGGGATCCAAATAAAAAAGTACCTCCCTCCAACCCGGTAAGCGACCCTCCAAAACCTCTCTCGCCCGTCCATACTCCTTCAATCTCCGCTTCCTCGCACAAGTACCGCCATCGTCACAATCCCCATGCACAAAGAAATAAACCTCAAAGCCCACACTCCGGATCTGAGATCTAGCCGTCATGCTAAGCGTGTCGAGAAAATCGCCGATGCGGTCTAGATCGAAGGAGTTGCGGAAGAAGAGGGTGTGGGTTGTGTAGAGGGTGTCTTCTGCTTCGGAGTGGATTTTGCGGTTTACGGAGAAGAGGCTGCGGGCTGTGCCGTCTTCGCCTTGCCAGGTTGGACAGATTGATAGGGCTTTGTAGCGGGGGCGGGAGGTGAAGACATGGCGGTCGTGGATTATTATTAGGGGTTTGTTTATGTAGGTGTTTGGTGTTGTTAGGGCGTATTTGTAGATTTTTAGACGGAGTTCTGGAGGGAGGCGCATGAAGGGGGGATTTTTGATATCCTTCAAAGTATTTGGTGGCATGTTTGTATCTAACCTTTGAAGGCTGTATAGGTATCAATCCTATGTGAGGTCATTAGATGTCCAGATGTTGTAGCTAGGGCTGATGGATGTCGTGATGCATACCGGTGTATAATGTTTGGATTAGATTTCAATAAGTAAAGCCTTGAGCAACTCGGACATTTGAATCAATGGGACATAAAATATTAGATGAAATCCGTAAATTTGAGGTGGTACGTTGAGGAATTTCCTTTGGCTGTAGCTATCATGCAATATATAGAGAAATGCAAGCACCTGATCGACAAGCCTGTTCAGACGTAATGGGGGGCGCATTCCTTCAAACAGTCCACCATGTCCGCCGATCATCGGGACTATAGGTATACGGATCTTTACGGCAACTCTTCTTGTTCTGGATAACGGCCATCCTCACTGATCTTAGTGACGTGATTTGTAAATCTATACAAGATGCACCAATCAACCATAAGGACAAAAGGCGGTGTATTCTAAGGAATCTGTTGTAGAACGCATTATGAATATTCATTGGATAATTGAGCAGAAATGGAAGCATTTGAACTAGCCCGGGCAAATTGTTATTGTTCCTTGTCACACCTTTGCTAATTGCCGATAGGAGGATCGTCATTGTAGTACAAGCCACTTCCTCTTCAGAATACTTGCTTGGGTTGTGCAGGTCGCCACAGATAAAGGGCCTACATGGAACATCTGAATCGGAATATTAATATGGCAAACCCACGAGATTGGTGACACGATTCCAAGATCAAGAACCGGGAAGATAGAGAAGCCGGGAAATCGGGTAATCGGGAAACCGAAGTGGTTCCACCTGATGAACCGTAGCATGTATGAGATCTTGGGTTCTGGAATTATTCGAAATTTCCCTAGGACTACCTAGGTATAAAAATCTTTATGTAACCAGTAATATAGGGGCTGCCCCATATTTAAAACACCGAAAACGCCCAAAATATCAACCAGTGAACAATGGTGCGTTTGCAGATTGTTCGGAACTTCTTCCTGCTCAGATCATGTCTGTTTATAGATACCCAGTGACCAAGAAGCTCGAAGCAGCGCCAGTCCCCAGGCCATGCCAATGCTGTCCCGCAGGACATTCAATTTGCTTCCCTTGACCTCTCTCCAGCCCACTGGAACCTCGGCAACGGGAATATCGGCGAACTCGGCCAACATGAGCATTTCGACATCGAATATCCAGCCCTCGGAGTGCATATACGGCACGATATAGGGCAGCGCAGCGCGCGAGAAGAGCTTGAATCCACACTGTGTATCCTTCACCGTGGCGGTCCGAGGAGGCGTCATAAGCCACAGGATCAAATGGAACGAGTGCATCAGGAAGTTGCGCAGCTTAGATCGCTTTATCAATGTTAGCAAGTCTACATGTATCCACCTATCGAACTTGGATTCCGTACCTGTACCACAGCTTCACTACCAACCATGTGCGCGCGCGATCCAACAGCCACACCACGCCCGTCGGCATCTTCGATCTCCGAACACGCTGCTACCAGCTTCCCCAGATCGCCGAACTTGCTCGCGCCATCCGCATCCGCAAATACAACGTACTTTCCACGAACATGGCGCATTCCATGCGTGACCGCACCGCCCTTTCCACGGTTATGTGTCAGATTGACCACGCGAATCGTACCAGGCGGGATATGCACGCCTTCTCCCGCCTGCGGAGTCCACGGACCCGCGGAGCCCTTGGGATGTAAAGAGAGCTGATGATCTTTCGCAAAGCGGAACGCCACTTCCTCAGTGCGGTCTGTTGAACCGTCTGAGACAATGATGATTTCCCAACCTCGGTCCGATGAGCTGGTGTGACCGTTTGAGACCGGCTTCCGATTTCGCAGGGAGCGGGTTTCTACGGAGCCATCGCTAGCTGTCCCGTACATGTGTTCTAGGTAGTTGACGGCTTCTTCGAGCATCCCTTCGAGTCGATCTTCTTCGTTGTAGGCCGGGACTACGACGGACATGAATAGCTCTGCTGCTTCAATGTTTTTCGAAGTTCGATGGGTTCGTTTCTCGAGGTCTAGGGCGTCGATCCAGCATGGTAGGGCCTCGGATTTGGTAACGGTTCCATCTTTCGCTAGCGTTCTATACTTCTTTTCTTCTGGGAGGGGGGCGCGGGGGACTGGTGCGATAATGAATAGCAGGAAATAGAACTAAGATGAAGGATCAAGTTAGTTTGGTTGTTCGAGGTCAATCGGGGGTAAAGAGTCGGCATTCGCAATTGCAATTGGTACACGCGCGCATCGTCAGACGCGTTGCGGGAACAGGCGGGGAACACGGTCTCACCAGAACAAATAGACCAAGGGTAGTAGCAAGAAAGGCAGCTAATAAAATCACAGGCGGAACATCAACCACAGCAGTGACGCATTGGCGACAAATGTCGGACCAGGATCCTTCCATGGCGGCGAGTTCAGGCGAGGAGTTGGAGAGTGGGAGACGCGAGAGTTGCCTAAGGAATAAGGCAATCACCCCATGCAATGCGGAATCAAACTAGACTCATGGAAAGCTGCGTCAAGTCCCCTGGAGAAGAGGGGAGAGGGGTAGGGGGGAAAGGTTCAAGTGTAACATTGGAAGTAATCGCCAGCTTGTCCTTTTATCGGCAACGCGCAAGCTATGGTGGACCGGTCCCCACGTTTACCAAATTAGAAAGGATTTTCTGCAATTTCTGATTCGTTCATTTGAATAATGATAATTATATTATTTGAATCGAATGTCTTTTACAGCACAGTTCACACAGTTCATCCTTTGCAGAGAAACAGTCAATCCATCCGAAACCTCTATTTCTCCAGCCAATGGGCTACTCTCCCAGTCAGTGAGCATCTCTAGCTCAACATTTGAATAATTCACAGATTTCCAACGGCTCCAAGTAATCCAAAGGGGTATTGAAAAATAAACTCCGATATGGCCTCAACTCAAAAATGAAATTCGCTCAAGCTCATTGAATTTCAATGTCGTGTCTCGTTAGAATAGGTTCCGGTTCCATTCATGCCTTTGCCTTATATTCGCTAGATGGAGACTCCGACTTGTTGTCTAGAATAACCTCTCAGGTATTATCTGGTTCCATATAGTGATCATCCCGGAAAGAAGACAGGCCAAGGGATCCATTTCCAGTGTAAGCTCCATCCACGGTTTTGTTTTTGTTTTTTGTCCGAAACAATGATCTGTCGTAGTCGAGGTCGACCGATTCCATTCCGTGGACTGTATGCAAAGGCAATCATGGACAACAAGGAAAGAAACAAAGCCAAAGGGAAAACATAATATAAACAAGATCTAGGTCGTAATCTATCCGAGAGACCGAAGTTGACCCCGGACTCAAGCGCATCAATTTTTTACTCCACCGTCTATGCTCTGTGTCAAAACGAACTTTCTCTGGCGTTTTCGAAGAGTCAGGCTCCGTTCATGTCGTGATCAGCTGGTGGTCCTGGTACACTGAGATGACCGCAGGTATTCGCAATAGTGGCAAACTCGTGCGCGAGCTGTGTTGGTGCAAACTTCCGATCTCGACTGTATGTTATCCATCGATTAAACTGTTCCAAGTTAGTTACACGCTCCCGCTCACGATTCTTGAAAGTTGAGTACGAACCGTTGCTATTCGTACGCCTAACCAAAGGCATCTATGTCGTCTTGGAATGATTGTCGTGGGCTCTTCTATAATTGGTCTGTTGTCTTCTGAAGGGGCATCTGCGAAGAAGTTCTCTGGGTAGTACAGCTGACTCCAGAGTTGGCCGCGAATGAGGAAGTCTTCGGAAAGTTGCTGTGTTGTTTCTTCGAAGATGGGGAAGGCTTCGCCCTCGATCTTGGAAAAGTTGGTTTCGGGTTCGAGTAGCGTGTTGAGGAACTTTGTGATGGCTAGCCATGGGATCATGGTCTCGAGTTGTTGCATGGCGGTAGGCCGGAGAGATAAGCACCAGATAAAAGCTAGGGATGTGTGAATGCTGCTGTATATTTCGGGTTTTTTCACTTGATCAAGAAAGATGCTGAGGGTATGGAAGGCAAGAGCACTCCCTCGGGATGTAATCGAGGCTGGACTTGAGTTGGAATTTGATTGATTCTCGGATGAGCTAGTCCACTCCAGCGCAAATTTATGTGCTTCGGCTAGAGTTTCGCCTTGCCTTGCTGCAAATTCCAATGCCATTTCTCCTTCAGCTTCGCCATATTGCAATATCGAGGCAAAGTTACAAGACATCATATAGACCCCTTGTTGCCCTTGGCAATCCAGCTGATGGAATTCGCTTCGGAGTAGGGATAAGAATAGATTGGCTGCGGCAACGAATTGCTCGGCCGTGCCTTGCGAGAATAAAACCCCATGTGTCGCAATAAAGGTGGTAATAATCGTGTACTGAGTAAGTACATGTCCTCTATAGGTATTGAAGAGAAGGATAATGCTCTCTCGGGCATTTGGGAATGGACGCACGCAAACCAGGGCTTTGGTGTAATAGAAAAGTTGCTGCAGACCATCTGGTCTAGCTAACACTGCAAGATGATGTTGAATTCGACCAACATCGGGGCTTCGATCTGCATCCAGATTGTACCAGTACCGGGACACTCCTGCCCAAATTTCCCGGTCTCTCATATCGGACTCCTCGATGGCCATTCGATAACGTGCCAAATCTCCTAGACACTCAATCCATGTTTCCCGGAAGGCGGATACACTCTCCAGCAGTAATGTGATCATCGAATAGGCGAGATAGATGAAATTCAACATATAATCCAACGACTTTGGTAGTTTCTGCCGCAAGAGCTCTAGGAATGAGTGAATTCCATAACGCCACATTCGTGCGGGCATGGCATACTTTTCGGCAAGTCGCTTTAGCACTAGACTTGCGGTTGGGTGCTGTGAAGCCAGAAAGAAGTCGTGATGCTCATATAGCAATGTTCGATGCAGGGAAATCAAGGCTTGCCACTGCGATTCCGATAAATCCCCTTTCAACTCAGTTTGCTGCTTGTCGATATCTATACACTTCTTTTCGACCATCGCAAGCCCGGCATATATCTGCCTCACCTCATTGATCAATTGGTCTTGAGTGATAGGATTGGTTTCCACTTGTCGGAACATTCCCTGATACTCATGCCTGTCTATTATCGGACTTGTAAGATCCAAGGCCGGGTCCGACATTTCTATATCATTTGACGGCGTCGAGACATCCCGGAATTGCATACTTTGACCACTCAGTTCATTCGATGAACCCAAAGGCGGGCTGGAGTAGAATCTGGGCAAGTCCGGGCGGGGACCCCCATGCATGTGATCTTGCAACTCCGAGACCCCTGCATCAAGCGCTCTCTGGGGTACCATCCCAGCCACATGGCGATGATAACCGAGAATCTGATTTGAATCTCCCGAAAGTCTAGGACTCGCTCTGCGTCGGAGTTTCTCGGCACGTGTGGCAGTAGCACGGGATGATTTCACCCTCCTCGCACCGTTACTACTGTGCGTGTCGAGCGTGCCTTCATCAACCATGCTGGAATTTGGCCTGCCACTTGATAATGGCGGGCTAACCGCTGACATGCGACTCGCCATCGACTCGGAAATCAAATCTTCAGAGCGCCCAGTATGTTTCCTAGGACGGAATTTAGTGTGATCCATAGTAAATCGGGAATCGGCAGGTACCTTGTGATCTGGTTCCGGCTGTAGATAGCTTTCCAGACCTTGGGTTCCAATCGGGTGCCCGATTGTACACCGTAGTTGGGGCGCGTGCGTAGAATAGATGTTTTGTCGCCCATCGTCTGGCTCAAGTCTTTCGCATGATCTGGATGTTCATTGGATTGTTATTCTAATCGGGGATCATCGGAGTTGGAACTAGCTCCAAATGGCGGTGGCGGGTGTTGGGTTAAACGGATAAAAGGGACACGTTGATAAGCGTGTGGGAACCTGGGAGTTCCCAGGGCATGGGAAGCTTTTTGTATCTTTCTGAATGATCTTTCAAAGGCAACCAAAGGTTCACTGGGTAGGTCATGGTTTTGCCTCCATAAATCTAAAATAAAACATTTTCATGGGTGGATAGGGATGGAGTTTACCCCCTGCTAGTGGCTGCCTTGCAACCTACGTACTTTTGGTCACTAATTTTCTCTTTAAATCTTTCCATGAACTCCCTTCCCCCCCCCAACTATTCCCATTTTCTTCTTTTTTTTCTTTTGAAACCTTGAAAATGTGGAGTATCAAATATGGTATGCTATTTGTCATGCTTGGAAACATGATGTCAAAGGCTTATGGTGGAACATGATCGCGCACCGTAAACTTATTGCTGACTTTGGATCTAACGGCTTGCCTGAAATATCTCATCTATAGTGAAATCCATCAGCGCCATTCAAGGGTTTCTTTGCTGACTTGAAACTTTCAACGGGGAAAAGTCATAATATTCCCTCTTCGTTGTCCCAATACTGGTGTCCGAACAGTCACAGTTCATTTTCATATCAATATCCCGACTCTAGAAGAATTAGTGAGGCATTTTGTCCTTGTTTTCTTTTTCTCTTTTCTTTTTCTCGGCCCTTGCATCTATCTCCATAACTTTGAATCATGTCACCGCTTCGTTCCTCACCGATATTTCCACATAACAGCACTGACCATGTCTTAAGATCACGAATTCGGCCTAAAATGGGCATTCAAACCGGTAAGAGCTATATATCTACCAATAAATCTTCAGCCTGTGACGTTATTGATTCTCATATCACGAATCCAAGCTTCAGGCCACATATCCCTCGTTTTCATCAGGCTGCTTTGCATCTTTATGTGAGCTTCAGGTCGAGATCAGGCATACTATGCCCAATAGCGGTTAGAGTATAGCTTCGGATATTTTTATGATGCATGAACACGTTATGGTACTTTTGGTATTAGCTAGCCATTTCATGAGTACAGAGAAGATCTTCCAAGGCGCTAGTCCTGGACTTGAACTATACTTTTTCTGGTCGTATTTAGTGGGTCTTGGGTTTCTCACTTGACTACGGAATAGGCACCGACTCCATCATTCAGCCTCCCACGACACGCCATAGTATTGTTATTGTGGTCATTGAAGCCTTTATTATAGATCACGGAGATGTGGGATCCTAAGTGACTCAAGTGCTTGGATTATCAGCGCTAAGAACCCTGCAATTGCCCAGAGGGCAATTGTTAGCCTTGATTATGAGGCCGAAACAATACTGCGAATTCCAAGACCCTTGCAATGCCCAGTCAATCAAGGATCAATCTAGATATTCCAGACAAGGAGGACCGTTCGTAAAGCAGAGCTATTGTGTCCCATGTCAAATTCCCCGGGTGAGAAACCACGCGATACGCTGGACGTGTGCAGCCTTGCTTAGCGTGCAGGTGAGGGGTCGTCAACTTGAACGTCAAATAATCCTACTCGGTGAGAACTGAAGGAGGCCTGAATGTCTGTTTGTTCTTTCTTCTTTTGGATGTGTTTGTGTTGGCGCTATCCAGGCAAAGCACCCAGGCAACAAGCCACATCGCTTGGATAACCCGGTCATTAAGCCCTAGGCCACGCACGACAGGCAATTCAAATATATTTTAAAATTTCACTATGGAATAAAGCATTTCAATTCCGTTCATTTTGAATATCACTTCAAATGTTGATAAATATTCCTATGACGCATTCATAGCCTATAGAAGAATGAAATATACCTGATCGACATGGCATAGATTGGAATGGAAAAGTGGATATTATATTCATTGCATATAAATATGTACGAAGTACTCCGTAGCACGTCGTCCCACATGGAATTAGTTCCCAACACTTGGAACCTGGAACCCTGGAGGCTGGAACTGGGACTGGGTCGCATCAAGGCAACTGTCCTCCCGGGAACACACGCCTTATCTTATTTGATCGCCCTCTTTCTACAATATGTACCCCTACTTTCAAGGTCAAACTCAAAAGGTGATGTAAGGAGAGCAGGGGTAAAGCGTCCCGAACATTCCACAAGCGGGGTAAAGCCCCCATGGACCCGATCTGCGCAGACCTGCGCCCGGGTGAAAAGGAAAGCAGATCAGATGCCGAACTATGCATCATGCTCCGGCCCCTGAATCCTTGAATCGGATTCTACGTTTCATTCGGACGGGCGGAATGATCAATTGATTTGCGGGCTGGATTCGGCTTGTTACATGAATATGAATCAGGAGTTGAAAGAATCAGAAGATATGCGGAGGATGGGGTTAAGGTGCATTTATTTCACCCGGGTGAATTAGCTTGGTTCGATTGGAATTCTAGATGTGCGAGAAGCACCCGTTATGCATAAGGCTACGTCCTTCTGGGGCTAGTCTCATGCGGTCTCATACTCTTGGGTCGAAGGATCAGGCCGTGCTCTGTTTGATTGACGGATCTAGTAGACTAACTTATCAATCAGTATATTACTGCATGTGTACAGATAATGCGTGACCTAGTTGACATTAGGTAAGCTTAGGACTTACCATCATTGATATAGATAGGGGTTGGTAGTTGATACTTGTTACTAGGTACTATAGCTATGTACAGTTACGTCTTCTGCAAACTTGGAATATTGAAAATGATATTCCTAATTTCCTATCCGCATCACAGAACGCAAATTTCTGTAACCAATCATTTACGCGCTTATTGGAGGCGACCAATATATCACGAAGTCACTCGCGCCCCGCCAATCACCGAACAGTAAATTCAAGCTCACATGGATCAATAGATGTATCACAATCCCTACGCAGTACAGCCCCTACTTATGCAAATGCAGGAAGACAACAACCCAAAACTTGCATCATGCGGAAAATAATTAATGCCAGCAGCCGATCGAGTACAACTGTTATCCTTCCCCCTTCTCCCTGGAAATACGTCATCAATGCAGTCCGAGCCAAACCATATTTGATCTGACTAAAGCAAACTAGGTCAAGGCAAAGGCAAATGGAGGCGCAGCGAACGATCCCTCGTCCACCGCCTGGGCACAGACCTCATTCGATACGCGGCAGTTGATGGCAGTTTACGTCGACAAACACCCAAATGAAAACCTTAGCCTTTATATCCCGCTCTACGGGCTCGGTGCGCTTGATGGATTGCCGCTTGAGATTGTCAATCTCATACTTATCCAAATTGACATGCCGTCACCGACTGATTTCAAATATGTTAACAGACGCGCACGAGTGATAACAGACTCGACAATCCAGAGTAAGTATATTCAAGAACATGCACCACAATTGACTTCAATGTTGTCGGCCCCTCAGCATAGGACTGCACAGCCCCGGTCATACCAAGACTTAATTGAGATACTTCTACAACTGAGTGTGATACCTAGTAGGTAGCTGTGATGATCATCGTGGATACTTGTATCTGATCACCTCTCCATCTCGACTCGGCGAGGAAATGCGACGATCGAGACTTGCCTATGCAGGAATTTGAAAGTTCAATTGCGCGTCTTTTGGACTTCCATCAAATAGTTGAGGTGGAGGTCTCATGTAACGTATGCTCATAACACGACGGTTGTTGTTGTTGCTGCTTATCCTGAGATGCAGCCATCAAGGACCGAGAGACGAGAATGATGGGATTCGATGGCTCGATTTAGCTAAAAAAATGATTTGTTGATGTTAAAATAATTATACTATAAAGTGCTGAAAGAAAAAGAGACCTTGTACGCTGTAGCTGCATGTGACATACGTCATTGAATTGATATCCGAGCCAAATACAAGTTGGACTGAACTGGCCACAACAGCGCGCACCTGACAAAAGCAAAGCAAATTCCTAAAGGCAATCTGAAGCGCTAACAAATCCCAAATCAAGTCTCCGATCCAACAATCCATCCACCTCACCGCCTCCGATCAGAAGCGTACACTGCAGCGCTGCACCCTGCGCCTGGACCACCGTAATTACACTACGGAGTCCGGATTCATGCTCCCCCGACTGAATACCATACGGCATTTAAAACACCTTTCAAAACTGACACCAATAACCGGAGCTGGCCTTGGCTGTTTCCGAATACCAATGTCGACCTTTACGCTCCCGGGCTCACGCACACGTGTCAACACCACACCAGACCTCTCGCAGGATGATCTACTCTCGTTCCCGGCATTCAAAGTTTGGATCTCCACGCTGCAGCGCTCCCTAGCTCGCCAACAGAGCCCATCACACGAATTCCATGGGGATCCGTATATACTGCGCACGATTGATATCCAAGCCGTTGATCGGTTTGGAGGAAGTAGACTTGGATTCATCAAGTTGAAGGCAGATGTGTCTAATGCCCGAGGCGAGAGTTTGCCTGGAAGTGTGTTTTTACGAGGTGGGAGTGTGGGGATGTTGGTGGGTTCTATCAATCTTATTCTTATTCGATGCTGTTTGAGTGATTCTTTTTAAAAAGAACATTCCAGTGCGGTGTTGATTTACAATTTACAATTTACTAAATACGGAATACTAACTATTGCACTAGCTTATTCTACAACCTGACGATATTCCTACCTCACAGGAAAATGGAAAATGGGCTATTCTCACCATCCAGCCTCGTTTACCAGCGGGATCTTTAGCTTTTGCGGAAATCCCAGCTGGGATGCTAGATGATCATGGGACGTTCGCTGGTGGTGCTGCGAAGGAGATCCAGGAGGAGACAGGGCTACTTGTGCAGGAGAATGAGCTAATTGACATGACTGCGCTGGCTTTACAGTCTGTTCCTGAAGGAAGTGAAGACGAGGCTCTTCAGAAAGCGGTGTATCCATCTGCTGGTGGGAGTGATGAGTTTATTCCGCTGTTTCTTTGTCAAAAGCGTATGCCGCGGAAAGAGATTGAGGCGTTGCAGGGGAAGTTGACTGGGGAGCGGGAGCATGGAGAGAAGATTACGTTGAAGGTTGTTCCGTTGGAGAAATTGTGGAAGGAGGGGTTGCGGGATGGGAAGACGTTGGCTGCTTGGGCGCTTTATCAGGGGCTGTTGCAGGAGGGGAAGATTTGAACTCTCCGTATTCGAAGTGGGTAAAATAAAAGTGTCGAAAGGAGAAAATATGAGGAGTTTGGAATTTTAAATGTGTTGGTGTATCTAGAGCTTCCATTTCTTCATCAACTCCATCCCCTCAGCCAGAGTGCCGATTCGAGCATCGATCGCATAGCCCTGTTGTTCCAATTTCTTGGTTTCTTCATATAAGGAAGCCAATGGAATAGAGAAGCACTCGATGAATTCATTTTCCTCGAGCTCCGGTTTCAGGTTCTGGTTTTCAGGAAGGCTCATATCCACACTCACATGAACCATGTTGAGGTTGGTATTACAGAAACCCGGGTCTAAAAAAATTATGAGTAAATTCACACAACCAACCAAAATAGATAGACATACCATTGTACATAATCGGGCTGGTCAGCTCCGCCACACCGACATATCCAGTTTCCTCTTTGAGTTCGCGCACCGCGCACTCCTCAGGAGTCTCACCGACATCAATAAGACCAGCCGGAACCTCGATGACAACCTTGTCAATCGGGGGCCGATATTGCTTTTGAAGGAGCAATTCCGGCCCACTCGGCTTGTTCAAGATGGTAACGATCCCCACACCGTCAATCTTCGCTGTAGCAGGACGAGTCTGGTAAATAGCCAAGTCAGTCACGATTATCTTCCAGTATAAGCTAGTGGCATGATCCATGGTCCATTTTGGGAAACCGGTTGAGTGACATGTCTAGAAACAGTCGCAATTTCGTGTCAGGCAACCGATAATGGCTGGACGCGGCAAATGTACCCGCCCAATACGAGTCAGGGTAGGGGTAAGCTTATGCTTATGTCGGAAGGTTACCAGGATCACATATTCGAGCTCGTAAATATGCACATGCAGTAGGGGATGGTTTCGTGAACAGCGATTGGGCCTTGTATGCCCTTTGGAAATGGGAGGATATTCACGGCCCGTTCTGGGAGGAGAAGAGGTGCAAAGGTGCCCGAAATGTGAGGCAGAAATCTTACCTGTCGCTCCGCAGATTCCCAGGTTCGCTCAACGCCCAGCGGGTCAGTATAGGTTGTTTTGACCAATCGAGTCCATCTGGCCTCAGCAGGGTTCTGTATGCATTTGATATCTTGGTCAGATGATGTTCCCAGGTGATGTCACAATTAGATTTTTTATTATTTTTGGACCGCAAGAAAGTAATGAATTCATACAGGGAAAAGAAAACAACACAAGCAAAAGCAAAAGCAAAACGTACCAGAGGTCCTTGTGAAATCTGTTTAGACTTGGTTAGGCTGGGGGGTGACATAATGGATTGGAGGAAGCTGTTGAGAAAGTCCTGTATAGAAGACCGAGAAGTTTGTAGTCTGGATATAAAGCTATGCTATTCTGAGCTTAATCGGAGACTATTCCCAATGTTGGATAGAAAGATGGAGGAGAGTGGATGGTGAGGGGGGAAACAATGGCTACAGTGGGGCTCGCTTATCGTATATCTTATCGGAGCTATGCAGACTATGTACATTTGAAATAGATATTCATCAGGAACCTGATACAGACCACTTGCTATTAGATGTAGTTTGATTCGGTATGATTGGTAAGGCCTGTATCACAAATCCTGAACGACACCATGGTAATGCAGGATGTAGCTAAACAAGCACTAATGCTTTAGGATTCGTCAGGGCGATCCTTCAGAAACTTGAATGGAAAAGAATTGCGGTCGAATAAGATATAAAACCGATATTAGGCGAAGGAGAAACCCAAAAGCTCCAAAACAATATGCTTGCTCTCATAACTTCATGTAGGTGAACAGAGGACAAAAACTCATCACAGGCTGGACTGAGCCTTGGCGGGCAAGCTCTCGATGTATTCCATGCAACTCTCAAATTCAGACCAGTCGTTCATGATGATGTGTACACCCAAATCCTTCAAGCGGGCACTCATCGCCTCCTGCTCCTCCTTGCCGTTATAGCTGCCAACATATCCGATCGTCCAGATACCAGCACGGATCGCAGCGAGGGCACCCGACTTGCTGTCTTCCACTGTAACAGTCTCACCAGCAGTCTTCTTAACATAGTTGAGTGCATGCAGGTAGATGGCAGGGTCAGGCTTGGAAGTGGGTTTGTCAAGGGAGCTAGCCGCACTGAATACCTTGTCGGCATCAAAGTATTTGTCCTGGCCAACCTTCTTGATAGAAGCCTGTACCCGACGCAGAGCAGATGATGAGACAACAGCGAGACCGTACTTCTTTGACTCGTACAGCTTGATCAATTGCTCGGTAGCGCCGACACAAGGCTTGGCCTTGGCTTCCAGCTTTGCAATGACCTTGTCTTCCTCCTTTGTGACGTAGCCCTCGAGCTCAGCAGGCTCCAACTCGAAATTGTATTTGGCCTGCAGTGAGCCCATCATGCCGCGGAAGTTCTGCCCGACGAAATCTTTGATGAGTTGATCGCCCGTATAACGATCGGGAATTCCCTTCTTCTCGAGGATCTCATTGGCCAGATCGGCGCAGGCTTCAAAGGCCAGCTCTTCCGACAGGACAAGGGTATTGTCACAATCCAGGAAGATTTCCGTGATCTGTAGATGAACAGTTAGCGGGGCGGATCCATTGTCAACAAACAATGAGATTCTCGAACCTGAGGCATGGTGTTGGTGAGGGGTAATTTGTATCTGCTCTGGTAATAGCGGAGAAGGTAAGGCTTGTTGCGGGGAAGAAAGGGTGCAACGCGAGAATGTATTGAAGAACTGAGGCGTGGGTGGAATCTACTGAGTTTCAAAGGAGAAGAGAACAATTTCCGGGCGGGAAGAAAAGGAATAATTTGAGCCGGGGGAAGTCACGACCCGAGTCATTTTAATGGGAAAGCATGACGCCGGCATAGTGTTGCTAGTGAACCGGGCCCCAGCGTGGGGCTGAGGTCATTTAGAAAGGACAGAAGTACAGGGTACTTTTTATTGCACACTTGAACACTATTGCTACTAGGTACTCGGTACTCCAAGCATTTTAACTTCCAAGGACCGCAGGGGCCCGGCATCCGCCAATCATATTAATGACATTGATGAGTCAGCGATCCAGGTCCCTCCCTAAACCCTTCTAGGAATAGCTTTCCCAATTTCAGTCTACGAGGTGGTTTCTTCCAGGTTTTTGCCATATAATTGATGAAGCAGGGTATATATCCCTCGCTAAGATCTTTATCCTAGAAGACATGGCTCATCAACCTCGGTCAATCTCAAAGTATTGGGTTTCCTTCAAGATACACCAAGACATGAGTATCTTCCCCGGTCCGTGCTTGCATATGAATGTTTCATTGGACCGGTTGATAGAATAGGAGCCTAACCTCGGAATATTTCGGTGATGCTGTTACCTTAACTCAAACCGTAAATTCTGCTATGTTGAACATAAATGTGGTAATAAGAAAAACCGATATCCAATAAGTTCACCTTCGTACTTGTGTACATGGATTTTAGCCTATACCCAGAGCTTATGAACTTCCTCTTTTATTTACCGTCAAATTGACCAAGGGCTCGTGCATGTCAAAACGATTGTCTCGTGGTCACGACTCCCCAGTCAGGCAATCCGGTCTTCTAAGAACTTCAACGATCAAGTGCGTAAGAACCGTCACAGACCCCAAAACCACAATCCACTTTATTCTAGTAAGACATGAGATCTATGGGTTCTAAGGTTACAATTCAACAAAGCAACTTTGGAAGCTTCGGAGAGAATCTACCTGTTTCCCTCTATGTATGCCCGGAGATCTTGGCGCACCCCGTGGCGTTTTTGGTGCGATTGTATACCTCAACTTCCATCTAGAATACGTCTGCACATGGTGAGAATATGTTTAAGGCTGTCTATTAACATTGCAAATGTGAACAACATAACTGAAACACCCGACTCAACTTCACCCTCACCTTCCACATTCACCTGACCTCCAACCCGCATTTGCGGTATTTCAAGGTCCGACAATAAACCGCGATGCCCCACTTCCAACAGCCGCGAGATGATTGGCCAGTCCCACAACGGCGGATCACAAGCGCACCTGCTATTTTCGCATTGGGCAAGATTCTCGACAAAGTTCTGGGTGTACACATATTCTGGACTTTTTAATATTCCAAGATTTGAATTGTTTTTGATATTACGATACCTCAGGTGCATTCAGTCACATCTCTCACCCTCATTTAAGGCACCTATCAGCTTAATCAAGTGTCACTGCTACCCCGAAATACCTCAAGGTATACTTGGTACTACCCGGTCAAAATGACTTTGTCAGGCTCATTTCCGGCATTGGAGGACCTGCATTTTCCATCCGCACAGGTATCCATTTCACAGACCCTCTCTTCGCTGCGTCGATCGGCTCTATCCGTATCCAACCGGCTTCAGTCCATTGAGGCGGATGCTGCCTTCGTGCAGGAGGTGGCTGAGCAATATGGCCTTCCGCTGATTGCCAATGAACGCTGTGGTAGTTGGTATATTTCCCCCGCCGCCAAGAAGGGTAGTGCCTACTTCAAGAGCACGGATGGCCACACGGGGCAATGGGATTTTAGCTTTCGTAGGCTGAACCTGCAGCTCCTTCCGTTGGCGAACGAGCATGGAGGGTTAGTTTCATTTCCGTTTCTTGCCGGGCATTCCTTGATTGGTGCTTTTATCCGGTTCTCTTTTTTGGCTACCCTTGATTGGATATTGCGGCATTATTTCGCCCGATATATTTCGTCCTATTGGTGGATTGAGTCAAACTGACCGTTGAGTTTTTTATTCGCAATATAGATGTGTAATTGTGGATTCTACACGCCGAGGAAAATGTACGACGATATCTCTTCTAATTCGTGGAACTGGGAAAAGGCATCTAGGAGATGCTTTTGTCCCAGCATGCAGTGTAGCCCCGCTGACGATACCCAGTGATGCCCGATGCCTTATCCAAAACCATACCCATTTGGAGTGCAGTGCTGAACCGCGCCTTATTCCCAACGGAAACCGCATACCATGGAGTCCAATTACCACCCAACTACCTCGGTAAATCCGAAGAATCGCAAATCGAAAACCGCATTGATGGTTTCGTCCATTCTCTCAAGGTGCGTCAATCCCATGCATCTATACCGTACGGGAAATTTGAGCTATTACCCCTCTTCACCCGGGTGGAGGAGGCGCATGAATGGACTAACATCCCCACTGTATAGTCCCTCAAACTCGACCTAGATCAGCTACGGCAGAAACTCGGAAAGCCTATTCGGGTAGCGTGGGCTAATCCGGAGTACTTCTATCCGACAGATCTGCAGAAAGACGATGACTCGTGTTTGTTCGTCCTGTGCTCCGCCTCAAAGCGAGTTCATGGCGCTGAAATGTCCGAGGGTGGATACATCCAAGGTGCTGGTGATGACAGCGAAGGCTGGGCGCATGGGCTTACGCCTCCCGTGTTCTGGGCGAATCAAGCTGCGTTGAAGCGCACCTCTGAGGAGGATTTGCCCGATCTGATTGCGAAATTGATCGCCGAGTATCAGCAACAGCGTGGTGAAGAGGAAGCCACGCTAATCTCTCCCACGCGGAATCTGTATCTCAATCCGAAAGTTCCCAGTGTGAATGATAGCAAGTATGATCTTGTTATCGACTGCAATGGTGATCCGGCCGCCGTGCAGGACAATCCGAAGCGTCTTAATCTCGGTTGTGCGTCGGCCAAGCTAGGCAGTCGGGATCTACGAAAGTCACTGGATAAAGTGCGAGATTTTGTTAATTCTCAACTTGGGTCAGATCCGTCGCAGTCATTGCTGGTGACTTGTGATACGGGGAAAGATCTCTCGGCTGGAACATTATTGGCAATTGTGTGCCAATTTTACAATGATAACGGTATGTCTCATGAATGCTCGAAGTGGAATTTAAAGGCGCTAGATGAGAATGGTGTTGGGAATCAAAATAAACGAAAACTAAATCAAACCCAGGGGAATTCGATGCATCGCTAAGCAAGCGTTCGATTAGCAAGACGTTCATCCGACAACGTCTCGCGTGGATTGTGTCTTCGAAACATGACGTGAATCCGTCACGCTCGACATTGCAGTCGGTGAATGCCTTCTTGATGCAACCTCCGGATTATTGAGGACAATAATTATGATATGTACTGCGAATCTGGGACCCACAGAACGTCTACCGGGGTGCTCATTCGTTGACCACAGCCTCGACGATAGCTCCAGCGTCCCCTTGATCAAACGAATCCAACAGCTCCATGTCCTCTGCGCGGAGAGTGAAATCGAAAACGTTGGCATTCGCAGCGATGCGATCCGGGTTATCCGTCTTGGGTAGCGGAACCCATTGCTTCTGCAGCGCATACCGGATCAAGACCTGCTGAGTTGTCTTGTTGTACTTCTGCGCCACCTCGACCAGCGCAGGGTCATTCGCTTTATAGTTTCGCACAATGGGCGAGTAGGCCTCGACAATGATGCCGTTCTTCTGGCAGTATGCATCGATGGTGCGCTGCTGGCACCAAGGGTGGAGCTATGTAACAAGCACGAGTCAGATAAAAACAACAAAATGCAATAGAAATGAGAAATGACATACCTCGATCTGATTGACCTGTGGCGGCCACACCTTGGCATAAGACTTCATCTCTTCAATTTGTTGCACACCAAAATTGCTCACACCAATGCTCTTGGTCTTACCCTCCTCTTGCAACTTCTCTAAAGCCTGCCACAGGTGCTTGCGACCAGCAAAACCAGACTTGGAGCTATGGATCAAGAACAAATCGACATATCCTCCCGGACCACCAATCTTCTCTACACTCTCCAGTAGCTTTTCATATGTCGCCTCAGGTGACCCCGCGGGGCTAAGAATCTTGCTTGTCACGAACACCTCCTCGCGGAAAAGGCTGGAGGAGCGTAGAGCCTCTCCAACCTCGGCCTCATTTCCGTAGAACTGGGCTGTGTCGATGTGTCGGTATCCCACCTCAAGTGCCTTTTGCACTGATTTGCCGCATTGGTGTGTTGGGGAGCGGTAGACACCGAATCCAATGCGCGGGATGCCCTCGTTGGAGTTAGGGAGGGGGAGGCGGTCGGTAATCCTGTAGGCCATCTTGGGGTTTTTTGTCTTCAGCTGTAAAGAAGGAAATTGTCTTGGAAACTGTACAAATGTTGCAGGGGGAATTGCGACAGAATATGTGAGGATTTCGGTGTTGTAAAAGCATTGTGCCCCGCTCTACGGAACCGGATCGAATGATATCATTCATCGATTACTCACGGAGCACACCATCTAGAGTCTGGAATGAATTTTATTTGTCAAGCTTATTGCACCATTGTTAATTGTACAATGTATTTTTTGGGATTTTATTAATTCTGTATAGATATAAATAGACAGGAGAACGATTTACCAGTGAACAACTGCACAACCAGATATGAAGGAACATTACGTTACTGCATATGGAGGACAAGGCTTTAATCATTCTGAGATAGCATCGTGTTGGACAAAGCGCCCTTGTGTGATGATTGGCTGAATTTAAAGGATATGGAACGATCGCCAGGGATGAAGCGCTTATAGGTCACACTTGCACATCCCGTCACAATCCTGGAACCCCTTCCTGCTGTTTCATAGGCCCATTGCTTTCCTTTTCTCCCTCAATCAACAATATTGTAAACAGTCTGGTATAGCATCAAAGGAAGATAAAAAAAAGTGTGGTTGCTAGGGTGACTTGCGGAGTAGCGGGAGAACAGAACACCCCGCCCCTATCGACTCGACTCGTCTCGAACTCGACACACAACTCGATCTTTTGACAAGTATCAAGGATAATCTGCTTCTCCGAGACTAGTCCAAATTGGCAATTTTCGTGCCTTTTATTCTATCCTTGATTCATTTCACTTACGATACTTGCCAATCGGCCCTGGATGCCTTCCTGATCGACGATGTTGACGGTTGAGAAGCAGTGGATTAATGTGCAGCAGAAGACCTTCACAAAATGGTGGGTTACCCCTTGGTCAGCCCATGTTGACAACGAACTGACTTGAACCCCATAGGTTGAATGATAAGCTGAAGATCAGGAGTTTGGCGATCGAGGATCTGGTTACCGATCTCTCAGATGGTGTAAGTGTCCCTTCCATCTCACGCCTGTGACAACACTATTTCCGGTTAGACTTTTGCTGATCTGTTTTGTCCTACCAGGTAATTCTTATCCATCTTCTCGAGATACTCGGTGGGGAATCGCTCGGTCGATATGCGTCGAAGCCCAAGCTGCGGGTGCAGCGATTCGAAAATGTCAACAAGGGTCTGGACTTCATCAAGGGGAGAAGGATTCAAATGACCAACATCGGAGCCGAGGATATCGTCGATGGAAACCGCAAGATCATTTTAGGTCTGATCTGGACACTCATTCTTCGGTTCACCATTAGTGATATCAATCAGGAGGGTATGACCGCCAAGGAAGGTCTGCTGCTGTGGTGTCAACGAAAGACCGCATGTTATGAAGACGTGGAGATCCGAGATTTTTCATCCAGCTGGAACAATGGTCTAGCATTCTGCGCCCTACTCGATATCCACCGACCCGACCTTATCGATTTCGATGCGTTGGACAAGAATGATCACCGCGGCAATATGAAGCTCGCATTCGAAATTGCCTCGAACGAAATCGGTATCCCCGACCTCCTCGATGTAGATGATGTGTGTGACGTGCCCCGACCCGACGAGCGTTCCCTGATGACCTACATTGCCTACTGGTTCCACGCCTTCTCACAGCTGGAGAGAGTTGAAAATGCCGGTCGCCGAGTCGAGAAGTTTGTCAATAACATGCACGGAGCGTGGGATATGCAATCGGGTTACGAGCGTCGGATGAAGGAGCTCCTCCGGTTGATTCGGGCTCAACGTGACCAATGGCAGAATTCTTCCTTCGAGGGAACATACAAAGATGTCAAGGAGCAAGCTGCCCATTTCTCGCTATATAAGCGAAATGAGAAACGTCAGTGGGTGGCAGAGAAATCTGACTTGGCTGCTTTGCTGGGTAACATTAAAACAAAGCTGGGGACGTACCGCTTGCGAGCCTATGAACCACCCAAGGAATTGAGTCTGGAAACCTGCGATCAAGAGTGGGAATGCCTGACCCGAGACGAACACCAGCGCAGCCAATTGATCAACGAGACGATCCGAGATATCAAGAATGCTCTCCGCCGATCATTTGCAGACAAGGCGAATGACTTTGCGTTGACTCTTAAGACTTTATCTCTGGCCATTTCAGGACTCGATGGAGATGTTGAAGACCAGCTGGACCACGTCCAGAAGTTGAACATTAACCTGCCTCCACTCGACGCCTTCCTCGATACCATCGCCGAACTAGACGAGCAGTGTGCCGAAGCCAATATTGAAGAGAATGATTTCACCACCTATACCCTGGACGAGTTGTCCTATGAACTCAGCCTGGTGAAATCTAGTATCTCGAAGAAGCTGGCCTTCCTCGAGAACCAGATGGTCGCCCGTAACATGACCAACCTGACCCCCATCCAGCTGGAAGAGTTTGAGTCGGTCTTCCGCCACTTTGATCGAGACGCATCCAACACCCTGCATGAGCTTGAATTCTCCGCCGCACTTGCCAGTCTGGGACTGGTTTACGACGAGGATGAAATGCACCAGGTCTATGTGGAGGTTTGTGGGGCAGCCCGACTCTCTCAAAATGCCGGTGTCAGCTTCGAGCAGTTTATTCGCTTCATGGTCAGCGTGACAGAAGACCAGAACACCGCCGAACAGGTATTCCAAAGTTTCAGGGAGGTTGCCGATGGCAAGGTTCGTATAAATAATTCCATGAGGTGCTTTTGATACTAATATCTCGCTTAGCCCTACGTCACGGAGCTCGATCTCCAACACTCACTCATTCCCGACGAAGTCATCGAGCACCTGATGAAGACCATGCCACAGCACGAAGGTCCCGACATGCTCGAGGACCGTGATCTCGCCAAATTCGACTACATCAGCTTCATGGAAAAGATGATTGAGAATCAGAAAAGTAATGAATAGGACTAATGGACATCGTTCAAATGTCCCTTGCACAGCATCGCCGGTTATACATGGGGTTTTGCTTTGATAGGGTGTTGTCGTGGTTGTTTTTATGGGGTGGTGTTCCTGTCTTCTCTCCGAAGGCTCTGCTTCTTGTTTTATTTTTTGCCCGATATCCAGCATGCATTCTGGGGTTCGGCGGTTCTCCCTCGTTTTCTACCGTATTCTATGTGCTCATATTTTTTTGTATTGAACAGGATACCACCATGAAATAAATCCAATGTCAAATTTATCTACTTAGGTGCAGTTGAAAAGGCCTGATTATGGGTGAACGAAAAGAGAGGCTCCTTAGTTCTCATTTCTTGCTAATTATACAAAATGATCTCCAAGGTGCCAACTGCATTATCCAAGTTTGGCAGAAGCTTATCACGTGACATGTCTCGCTGACACGCCGACACGACAGTCCAGTATTCACTGAAAACCGACCGGTGAATTCAACCCCTTTCACATCATTCAATTCTTCAATTTTTAATTGAGCCGACCTGTGACCTATAAATTATACCCTCCATTTTTATATCCTCTCCTTACCATCTGTCTCCGTGCTCTACACAATATCCTCCCAACATGGATCGCAGCTTGGATGAGATCATTGGCGAAGACACAGTAAGGCGCCGTCTGGCTTCGATTGTGAGCCACTTTCCTGAAGATCTCAACGACTTACATATCTATAGCGCAATCAAAATCGTTCTTCCGATGGACGACGCAACCAAGGCCCAGGCCGCCGTCGCGGCGACCGCGATGGCGTTAGAAAGGTACTGCCTGCTCGGACCTGACCCCAAATCCTCGATGTCAGACGTCGCAACAGACAAGATCTACGCTAACTTGATTCGAATTATTTGCAGGTCCGCCCTCCTCTTCCTGTACCGATTTTTCTTGCGCCATGACAAATATTCGTGGCCAGTAGTCCTCTGGATGGCCGGAGACTAGCCATCGAGGAAAAAAGCCGCGAACTTGGGAAACCAAGCTAGTTCATGCTCCATACTCTGACGTCCAGCTAACCTTATCTCTTATTTCGGACACTACAGCCCTATTCGCAAGACCGAGGCCGTGTCGACCTGAACCTGTGAATATACCTTGCTGAACCGGTCGGAACTTGCGCTAATGGTGATTTTCAGTGACTGGGTGCATGACAAGTATGATGACGACAAAGATAGTATGTTCTGCTGTTCTCTGGATAAAGTTCTTGGGTCTGACTTTTTACAGCCCGTCCTCGCCGCGGTGGTCGTTCCCGTCGTTCAAACTCACCTGAGCGGTATGAGATCACCCCTCAGCTCTCAATGCTTGGAAATACTAAATAGATATAGCGGTGGCTCTACTATGACCAAGGTGCGCGTCGATAACCTTCACTACGATATCACCGAGAGTGATTTGGAGGTACGTATCTTGAAAAGCCGGGCTAGAATCCTCTGGTTTTCATAATCTAACGGCCATGGCTATATAGGATCTTTTTGGCCAAATTGGACCAGTTACCGAACTTACCCTCGTCTACGACCGCGCTGGACGCTCCGAAGGCGTGGCCCACGTCACATACAAATACCTCAAAGACGCTCACACGTCCATCAAGGAGTTTGACGGCGCCAACGCAAAGGGCCACCCCATCCGCCTGACCCTCATTCCTGGGCGACGTGAACAACACAAGAGCCTCTTCGATCGCGTGGAACGACCTGGACGGGATGCTCGCAGTCTGAGCCCTGGAGGTGGTCGTGGCGAGCAATCAGACCGACGCCGCGGTGGTCGTGTCCGTCGTAGCGATGTTTCGAAGCCTGCCCCCGAGAATATCGACCGCTACATCCCTGGAGAACGCGGTGACCGCTCTCCCCGCCGTAGCGGTGGTCGACGAGGTGGCCGTGAGAACCGGCCTCGCAACGAGCCGCGGAATGAGAACGGAGGTCGTCGCACAGCGAATGGTCGTCCCCGGAAGACACAGGAGGAATTGGATCAAGAGATGGAGGATTACTGGGGTGGAAATGCTGGTACAGACAACGCCGAGAAGCCGGTCGGTCAAGAAGAGCAACAGACTGTTTCCGCTCCAAGCAGCACCCCGGCCGCTCCAGCTGCGACTGTGAACGACGACGACATCGATATGATTGAGTGAATACGCGAAACCGATGATCCCGTGTGATTGATTTCTTCAACCCTCTCCTCTTCTCCCCTGTTCTTTTTCCCAGTCTCCTTTGTACCGTTTCCACTTCACCTGTGAGAAAGCTTCATTGACATCTCGCTCTGTGGTTGCGAACATTGGTCAATCATACAAACCGAGGACTGGGGGCACTGTCATTCTGCCGCCCCCATCAAATTGTCATTTTCCTCCTTGGCCCTTTGCTCCGATATTCCTACTTGTATCTCGAGATCTAGCTAGCCTGTGTCTGGCTCAAATCAAATACTTCTCAGCTATCACCCATCATTTCGGCTTTGGCACATCGACAAATGGAAGCCCCGGTCTACGCGATTACCACGACGAAGCCACTTCCAATGTTCTTTCTTACAGCGAGGAGAAAAAGTTGGAATTTTGAAGGGTCTGATTATAAAGATACGCTGCGTGGCAGACGGAAACCCATTGAATCCTTTGCTGTACACGGCGGAAATCTCAAGTCTAACCCTGAATCCCACTTCACCGCCACAAGCCGTATGGATCACGACAAGCCTTCCACAACTTGATGGTTCCATCTTCACTGCCAGTACCGTAGAGCTTGCCATCAGGAGAGAAGCTTATGGACCAGATGGGGCCATGGTGACCTTTTTGAACCTCTGTAGATACATCGTTAGTTTGTCTCATTCGTAATTTCGCTCAACGATGACAGGCGAAGATACATACCCAGCTCTTCGTCTGTGTTCAGATCATAAACCCGTGCCCAGGTATCATTCGCGCTACCGGTAACCAAGCGCCCAGATTCACTATTAACTGCGGCACTAGCGACCTCGTATCCAAAATCGACCTTCTTCAAAAGTCGACCGGGCTGTAGCCCATCGAATAAATAGACAGTCTTGCCCGCGGCGACAGTCAAAATACCAGAATCATTAGGCCGGGTTGCAAGGTTATTCAGCTCACAGGACCCAATCGCGCCTTCAACTGCATACTCCAGCACGGGATGCCGAGATCGCAGATCCCACCATCGGATCTTCCGATCCTCAGCCGCAGTAGTAACGATATTGTAATCCTGATTCCAAACGATCGACTTAATCGTGCCACCGTGCACTCCGGGTCCAATTTCATAACTTGTCACTGCACTTGTATTGACTTCGCCTCCACCCCCACTGCTGGGAGGTGGAAGAGGGGGTGATGATCCATTGCTGCCGCCTCCGCCGGTTGTAGAGCCGCCACGGCTTAGATCAAAGATGCGCAGCTTCTTCTCTGCGCCGCCAGTTGCGAGAACCTGGGGGTTCGATTGGATGGGGAAAGCGATAGCGCGAACGATATGTGCGTGCTGCAATGTGTGCAGACATTCGCCTGTGTATGTGTCCCAGACTTTAGCTGAGAAGTCGGCTGCTGCGGTAGCGGAGATGGCGGCGTCGGCGGATAGCCGGGCTTGCCAGACAGCACCTTTGTGGCCTAGAAATGTGCCAATCCTAGATGGTGTTAGAGGGAACGTTCTTGATGCGATGCGCTATGTTAGACGTACCAGTCGCCAGTGATACCATCACGGAGCATAGGGTTGTTATCTAGAATTGGTTGGTGAGCTTGGAGATAAGCTTTCGAAGCTGTCGGGTATACCTTTGCATGCGGAGATTAGATAGTACTGATCATCTTCGAGATTGGAAGAAAAACTCAAGTGCGTCACTGGGCGCGAGTGCCCGTGACAGGTCAACGGGACGACCTTGGGGATATCTGAGACGGGAAAGATTAGCCGTCCATATGAGAATACGTAACATGTGCCTACTCACCTGCAGCCATTGTGAATTTGAGAAGAGGATATCGCCCCGGGTATGTAGGAAGTGTAAAGAGAGATGTCAGGTGTCGCAGGTAGTTGAGAAGCGCGTGACAGTGCCTTGTTCCAACGTAAAAGACCCGAGGTGGGCTGAACTTTCGAGCTTAAAGGAAGGACACAAAGAGATTCGTCAGGGTCGTCACGTCGTCAATGAGGTTGGAGCAGGACAAGGACCGAAGTGGGAATGACTGCCCACGCAGTTTGGGAGAAATTAAGGATTCGATATTCAATGATTTAGGTAAATTGGGCCTGCAGCCCACTTTGATGAGGTAAGCGGATCCACCAACACGTGCTGTATAGAATGAATGGGAATATAGCTACGGAGTAAGTTGGAGACAATTGTAGTTGATTGAAACTCACAAGCCATGGCCAGGGAAGAAATGGATTTGAAACACCCTTTCTTCCATAAGAAATGAAGCAGGGCACCTGAAACCTTCTATCCAAACCCTAGTTAGCAAACCGTCGATTATTTAACCCCTTGAATGTACGTCTACGCAGCATGAATCTCTGAAATCCTTGTGGATGCAAAGATGCCGAACTTCGTGATCGGTCCTTCAGCTGATCCAAATCTCTGGGGTTTGGAAAGGGCTCAAATGAATTTGGACAGGTCCAACGTAAGGTCAGCGGATATAATGTACCTAAGCAAGCTAACTCGATCTCATGTGGACATGAATGGTTTCTTTAAGTCGCAATTTTGTCAATTTGGGAGAAATCGAACAGCAACAGCAATTGCATGCAAAGTATGGCCATACCAATGAAAACAGACTTCTTCTCTTTACTAACAAGTAATTCTTTTCCCGCCAAATACAACAATTTGTTACATAGGCTGCAGAAAACGAGCAACAGTTCAGATTCCGGTGGGGTTCAGAAGCAGAAAAGTTGAACTTGTAAGTTGAATAATCCATGGAATAAGTTATTGATTGAAGCCGTAGTCTTATGTATGATCTGAGGCTTGTTGAGAAAGTCATGTTGTGAAAGTCATGTTGTCTATCAAAAGCATCATATGTCACATCGTTCCTGGCTTCTTCCAATGTCACCATGAAGGGGTTACTCTCACCGCCAATTCCATTCTTGCTTGGCAGCAGCCTTGCTAAATCCCCCGGCGACTATTCGAATTCAGTGCGTTGTAGATCTCCTTCCATGATAGGTGGAGGTTGTATCATTAAAAGATCAAGTCATCACTTAATATGCCCCACTAGCACATCACTCTCCACATGGCTGAATGAATGTAAGTGAAAGCTTGAAGACCAATCTAGAAGCATTTTCCATTCAAATTGTTACTAATTTGGCTTCAGCTATGACTCAAAGTAAAGCCGTTACTAATGTAATTCTAGCAGGTTCGTCATAATAACTCCACCGCCCACGTGATATGATGCGCAGGCGGGGACCCCAGAACGACTAAAGGACAACAACCCTCACTGAACAACAGCTTCGTCGATCAGTGATACCCTTGGTGCCTTTCGCGTCTCTGTGTTTCTTCTTCTCCCGTTCTTCAGTTCTGGTTGTATGTATGCCTGACTTCAAGATCTCCGCTTCTCTTGAGGGTCACGGCGATGATGTAAGGCTCCCAGAACTCCCGTGCTCTCACGACGTACCTTGTTGGCAAGTTTGCTGACTCTTCACCCTTTTGATCACAGGTTCGCGCCGTGGCCTTTCCCAACCCCAATGCAGTTTTTTCAGCCTCTCGTGATGCCACAGTCCGCCTCTGGAAGCTCGTTTCAACCCCGCCCCCCACCTACGATTACACCATCACAGCGCATGGCCAAGCATTCATCAACACCTTAGCTTACCTCCCACCATCATCCGAATACCCCGAAGGTCTCATTCTATCGGGTGGCCAAGATACCATTATCGAAGCTCGGCAACCTGGCAAGAAGGCGGATGATAATGCAGACGCTATGCTGCTTGGTCATGGTCACAATATTTGCGCTCTGGATGTCTCTCCGGACGGTCAGTGGGTTGTGAGTGGTAGCTGGGATTCGACAGCTCGCCTTTGGAAAGTTGGCAAGTGGGAAGCCGATGTGGTATTGGAAGGACATGAAGCCAGTGTCTGGGCTGTGCTAGCTTATGATAAGGACACCATCATCACCGGTACGATATCATTGCCGTGAGAATAAAATGGAAGACACTAACATTCTGTTACTTTTCAGGCTGTGCTGACCAAATGATTCGCATTTTCAATACATCAGGAACGCTACTCGGGAGCGTTAGGAACTCCAACGACGTCGTTCGAGCCTTGTGCAAGGTTCCTGCGTCAAACCCAACTGGGGCACAATTTGCATCCGCTAGTAACGATGGAATTATTCGACTTTACACTTTGCAGGGTGATCTAGTCGCCTCGCTTCACGGCCACGAGAGCTTTGTTTATTCCCTTGCTGCACTGCCTTCAGGCGAGCTCGTCAGTGCGGGAGAAGACCGAACCGTTCGTGTCTGGAACGGAACTCAATGTGTGCAAACCATTACACACCCTGCCATCTCAGTATGGAGTGTCGCAGCGTGTAAAGAAAGCGGCGATATCGTCACTGGTGCTAGTGATCGCATTGCTCGTGTCTTTAGTAGAAGCCCAGAACGGCAGGCGGCGCCGGAAGTCATCCAGCAGTTCGATCAAGCAGTCAGAGAGTCAGCAATTCCAGCAGAACAAGTTGGAAAGGTCAACAAAGAACAACTTCCGGGTCCCGAATTCCTGCAACAAAAGTCAGGAACGAAGGAAGGTCAGGTACAGATGATTCACCAAGATGATGGCAGTATCACTGCCCATACTTGGTCATCTGCGACCCAGGAATGGATCGCCGTTGGCACGGTGGTTGATTCAGCAGGAAGCAGTGGCCGCAAAACAGAATATCAAGGACAAGAGTATGACTACGTCTTTGATGTTGATATTGAAGACGGCAAGCCTCCGCTCAAGCTCCCTTTTAATGTCTCACAAAACCCTTATGAAGCAGCGAACAAGTTCATTGGTGACAATGAGTTGCCCATATCATACTTGGATCAGGTTGCAAATTTCATTACACAGAATACCCAAGGCGCCACCCTTGGTCAATCCCAGGAGCCAACAACTCAAGGCGCAGACGCTTGGGGCTCAGATCGACGATACCGCCCCGGGGATGGAGACACCCCAGCCACTGAAACCGCAGCGCCGCCTCCCCCTCAACCACGCCCTCAAGTTCTACCCCAGAAGACTTATCTATCAATCCGGTCTGCCAATCTGAAGGTTATTGCAAAGAAGCTACAGGAGCTTAATGAGAAGGTTCTGGCCGAAGCTGGGAAAGATATTGCCTTGGATCCGACTGAGATGGAAGCTGTAGTTGCTTTATGCAACCAGCTGGAGTCCTCTTCAAAACTTGCGGATTCAAGTGTTCTGGAATCTGGAGTCCCATTGATTTTCAGAGTCGCAACCTCCTGGCCTGAATCCACCAGACTTCCTGGACTGGATCTCCTGCGTCTACTTGCTGCCGCTGCACCATACACGGCGTCCACGGAATATAACGGCAACAATCTTGTATCTGGAATTATCGCTAGTGGAGTATTCGATTCGCCTCTTAACGTTAACAACGCGATGCTCACCATTCGAATGCTTGCAAATCTCTTCGAGACTGATGCTGGTCGGAACTTGGCCATAAGCGAATTCGACCGGATTGTTGCTGCGGTCAAGTCCGCTTTGGCCAATAGTGATTCGCTAAATCGCAACCTCACCGTCGCGACTACGACATTATACATCAACTTCGCCGTCTACATCACTTCTGAAGGCAGGGAACAAGATCCTGAGTCTGCAGAGCGAGGACTGATACTTCTTGAGGAGCTTTTCAAGATCATCGCCAGCGAGAAGGATTCTGAGGCCATCTACCGAGCACTTGTCGCGGTGGGTACTTTGGTAAAATCTTTGGGTGTTGAAGTCCAAAGTGCTGCCAAGGAAATCTACGAAGTTAACAATGTTCTCGCGCGGGTTTCTGGGACAGCGGCAGGAAAAGAGCCGCGGGCGAAGGGCATTATTGGCGAGATTCGAGACATCGCTCTTTGATGAACCATGCAGTATCTTTTGTTTGAGCGCATAACTAGATTCCCTGTCGCTTCCATAGCGATCATGATGCAATGCTTCAATCCAATTTTTCATGATGCTTGATTCCTAGTCTCTTTTTATCTGACAGAGCTCCCTTGGCGGCTTCTCCGCAAGATCTTATCAAGCAAATAGGGTTAAAGTCTTCCCTCTGCGTCAACCTTGACCTCCAAAACCTGCTCGATCCCGGGGTATGGGGGTAGATCCAACCCATACTTGTCCGTAATATCTCTCGACAAAAACCTCCCTCCAATAAAATGCCGCCCTGAATAGAACTTCACACAAGGCTTCGGTGCTGTCAAACTAATAAGCGCCTGCGGCATAAATTTCGCACCAGGCCCCTCCTTCGGTGGACCACTCTGGATATCCCACGAACTAGGCGCATCGACACTGAGCACTGGGATATTAGCGGTCTCGATTTGAGAGATGATAGAACCAAATGGATCACGGAGTGGGCCACCGAACGAGAAACCAAAAATTGCATCGACTAGAAAATCTGTCCCTTTGAGAGCAGCTCCGAAATCTGTGGTGAAGGGGACGGAGAGGTTATGAAGCTGGGTTTTTAGGCGCTGGTATAGCTCATTTTTCCCTTCTTTTGGGTAGTAGACCGAGGGTTTGTATCCGTATTGTGCGAGATGTCTGGCTGCTACGAGACCATCTCCGCCTAGAACATGTTAGATTATAGAAGCGGACTAGTGATATGTTTTCATACCGTTGTTACCGGGTCCACACACCACGAGGACATTTGGGCCTGCACTGAGTGGGTGGACTTTCCATACTACAATATCCGAGTTAAAATAGCCAAATCAAATGCTTTGAGGTGCAATCACCGACCAGCTTGCGAGACGGAAAGGCCTGCCAGTTCCATTAACTGGTCGAGGGACCAGCCGCCCATGTCCATGAGATCTTTGTCAAGCGAGGCGGCATCTTTTGCCGAAATAGACTAACAATTATCCCAATTAGCTGTGTCTCGGTTGGGTTCCCTTGTGAGCGTACCTTGAGAGACATTGGGATTAATTGTTTGTAGCGTCGCACGGTGGGCAATGTCAACCGTTTTGTGAATGAGCCTATCATGCAAGTGTTAAGATCGTTTTCACTGTGGAAGGAAAGAGCCTGGTGTTTTATCTGGAAATAGAATAGGATATCAAAGTTACATTGTATGTAGCAAAGATAATCGAAAGAAGAAACGACGTTGAGGACCTTATACATCGCCATTGCATCATCATCCCCCACTTACGCTAATCCGTATCTGGAACACCCGGATCATCAATTTCTCCGCCTCTCCTTGAACTTTTGCGGATAGTCCATCTTGCCTTCTCTGAGTCGATTCCAGATCCCATTAATTGCGAAACCCTCTCAAAACCGACGACATGGTTGTCCGAATTCGATTGGCGCGCTTCGGCAACAAGCACAGCCCCTTCTTTAACATTGTCGTGGCGCAGGCACGGTGCGTACATCTTTTATCCGGAACCCGACATCTTCGATTGCATCCACCTCTCTTTAGACAGAGGAGGATCGGATCTTGTTGGCATATAAGATATGCATTCTGGAATTAATATCAATAATGCTAATTGTTTAATCAGGTCCGCCCGCGGCGCCAAACCCCTCGAGGTGATTGGCACCTACAACCCCATCCCGAAGCGTCCGACGAACCTGTATGATGAGAACGCCAGTGCGCGGCCGTATAAGGAAATTGCGCTTGACAGGGCACGTGCGAAGTACTGGCTCGGTGTTGGTGCGCAGCCTAGTGATCCGGTGTGGAAGTTGATGAGCATGGTATGTGAGGTTGGATTTGAAGTTGGCCACAAGGTGGACTAGATTGGCGAATATCGGATTTATCAAGATCTTTTTGCTGTCTTTTCTATTTTGTGGCCATCAGGCAGTTTTTATGGTTCATTCCAGGTGCTAACTGGGTTATCACAGGCCGGTCTTGTTGAAGAGAAACCCGCCACCTACCACAAGGCATAGATGCCGTTGTCCCGATAGAAGCCGTCTATCTCCAAGGAATTTTCTGCCTACCTTGAGGCAGTGGATCCTGATAGACACTGGGCTACACCAAGAGATCTACCAAAGGCCCTAGGCTAGGGTCTAGGGCCGTGGGAGACCAGTCCTTGGCGGGATCGATTATCCCATGTACTCTTTGTTTTGATTTTGGCATTTGAGGCGTTTCTTGCGGGTGAGGCTTATTCTGGAAAGGCCTTTGGGACATAGATCCCCCAAATATTGAATGTACTTATGTATACTACTATGTGAAAACATCCGCGCACGCGCAAATAAGCATTTGGCGAGATGTACATCTCACTCTCTGACTGGACAACCTTTCTTTGTCGATCCGATCTTCAACAAAGGGCCCGATTCGAAGGCGCATACACTATTAACCCAAAGCGTAAGTCGGTTTGACGCGTGATCAATACGATTCGCCCTCCCAAGGTAAGTGACGCGCCTATGACCGGTCCTTTTTACAGGCATCCACACAAACAACTTTTCCCAGGAACGTAAGGGAGGTACTAGACCACATCGAGGCCAGTCTCTGTCCCCCGAAGTTAGGATCTTCTCTCCACGGCCCAACCATACGAACCATTCGCGGTTGATAAGCCCAAGCCATTTCCTTGTTCCAGCCAATCCGATGGCGGATCCGGGTTCGAACCCGTGGCAATTGGTCAGCCGCCCTGGAGGATCGCCGACTTTGAGTTTTTGAATTCCATGGATTTGGGCTGACCGTCCAGCTTTGCTCTCTTTGTACTCCATGACAAGGAGTCTTAGGAATGTGTTCGGTGCCTGAAGCATTGACTTCTTTACTCTAGAGAGTAATATGCACGGACGGATAGATCATTCCTTTAACTTTGGTGATCTATTGTAATTTTAATCTTAAGTGGATTCGGATCGTGGATTTGGATCTTGGTAGGTCATCTTGGTCTCTTTATCATCCCTGATTTGCTGAACTGTCGGATTCATATCACGATCTATAGTCAATCGGACCATTTCAGTTTGGGCGGGGGAAAAGCTGCAAGTCCGTTGACTGCCGTGCTGACGCCTTTAGACCAGGGGGTGTCGCTAGCTTTGCAGTACTTCAACCTTCCTATTCGTCCACTCTAGTTTACAAGGTTGTTTGTTAGTCATGAATAGGCTACACTCTTACCTATCCCAGGACTAGTTCAAGTTACTCAAGCGCGTAAGTATACAATGATCTGATATTATAATTCAATACCGAGGCACGGTGTCAATAGAGATTTGAAACGGCAACCCGCATAGCTCCATGAATCCGCGTGTTTCTAGAACAACCCCGAGTTTTAAATCTGAAAATAGAAAATAGAAAATCACAAAAAATACCGAAAAAAAGATAAAAGCGGGAAAATGTACAGGATAAAAAGAAAAGAAAAGAAAATCCAGAAAAGCAAGAAAAAACCGGGGACATTCCCATCTGCAGGCTCGGGGCACGCACTTTACCCACATCCACGTTCTGCAACCGGCCAGGTTCCAGGGCGGCGCAATGTAATTATATGAAATGGTATTGTAATTTATTATGGCAGTACTTATCGATACTATGAGACCCACTTAGTGAAGTTAAGTTCCTTCCCTCTGTAATTTACATGTTTTCCCCCGTTAAGTCGCGTCCGTGAAAGCAGATCCATGGATCTGGCACCTGGCTCTTGCACTCGACCGTTCCGGACTCTTTTCTTTCCCCCCTTCCCCCTTCTAACCTTTCTTTTGCCCCCCCCCCCTCTACCTAATCCACCACCCCCCTTTTCATCCTGCATCTCCATTCCTTTTCTATTTCCAAAGTCATTCGTCATATTCTGGAAAGATCAAGATACGATAGTCCGAAATAGATCGAGCCACACCCCCAGACCGACTCGAGTCCCGCGCGCGCCACTGTCGCAGATCCGATGAGGAGCGAACGTCCCTGCCACACCACCGATTGATTCACTCGTCTCGCCCGCTCCTTTCGTACGCGCATTCAGACCTGCGTCGCATAATTTCGCGCACTGTGCTTCCATACCTCACCGACTCCTTTTCGCGGGCAACTTCCCCCGTGTCGCGCATCTCAATCCTTACTTTTCAATTTTCCTGAGGGATGAGCGGCAGCTCGAATCAGTCCACTCGAACGAGTCCCGGCTCTTTCGGAACAACCCAGCGCACAGAGTCTGTATCTTCTGGTTCATCACCGACTCAACAGCCTCTCTCCAAGGTGCCCGCGACGACTCAGCATGCGATGTCGACCGACGTGTATAACCCAAGTGTCTCGCAAGCGCCTTCATCTTTAGCTCCCACTTTCACATACCCTTTCTCCCCTCTCGGATCTAGCTTCGACAACGGAATGCGCCTCGGTGATGCCGATCGCAACCTCCAGGGCCTCAGCGGCCTGGGGCGCGCGAACAATGGTGGCGCAATTCTCATGCGCAAACTTCCCCGGAATACGAGCCGGGAAGCCCTTCGCAGTATGCTCCTCTTCGCCAAGGACTTTGTAGATGCCGATTTCGTGACCTCCGACTACCCTGAGGACGATGGGTTTCTGAGCGCGATCGCGCGCTTCAATACTCTGCCCGCGGCTGAAGAGGCCCGTGCTCTTCTTGACGGCAAGCCGAACTCGAAGAACGACGCAAACATGGTGGTTGAAATGTACCCTGGGCCGGTCGGATCCAACCTCTCAAATACGCGTCGCAACACGATCGATCACACCGCGACGCGTGGCTTACTGGGTGGTGTCCCCAACGGCCACCTTTCACGTCAGTCATCTCGTTTCAACGGTACTTTCCAAAGCTTGGAGCGACTGTCCGCTTCCAATCCATCTGGACAAGCGATCGGCGAAGGATTGCCCTCGGCATCTGAGTCGGGATCGCGTCTCCATAATCTCTTCTCTCCACAATCCCCGATCGGAAACGGAGTTGGCGATCTGCCCCGCGTGACTGGAAAGTCCATGATCGATGAGGACCCCGATGAGGAGACCGGAGAGCTTCTGAAGGACCCCGTGGGCTATGCAGAGAACGGCCACTCGGGCTCAGTCTCTGTTGGGCGTCGCTCAACCAACCCCCAGATCCCCACTGGTCGCTTTGGTAGTCTATCCCTCTCCACGACAATGTCCTCGCCCCCTCTACCTAATTACGCGTCTGGTGGCCCCGGCCCTCGTATGAGTGGAAGTGGCCCATCCTCTGCATACCCGAACAACCATGGCCAAGGTCAAGGCTACCCCTATGTTAGCCAACATACCCCCCGCCATAGCTTGCCAGCTGCCAACCCCAACGACCTCAACCCGCCTTGCAACACACTTTATGTGGGCAATCTGCCTCCTGATACATCTGAGGAGGAACTGAAGGCACTTTTCTCCAAGCAGCGTGGATATAAGCGACTCTGCTTCCGCAACAAGCAGAACGGCCCTATGTGCTTCGTGGAATTTGACGAGGTTGCTATGGCAAGCAAGGCTCTAAATGAGTTGTACGGTTACAAATTGTCCAACAGTGTCAAGACTGGCATTCGTCTCAGTTTCTCAAAGAACCCCCTGGGTGTGCGTTCTGGTCAACCCGGCAGTATGAACCCTGCCAACCCCCTCTCCGGGCCCGGTGTTCCAAACGGAAGCAATCTCAGCGGCGTACCCAGTCATATGTTCTCATCGGTTACTGGGCCACCTCCAGGGCTCGCAGCACCTCCAGGTCTCGCAATGCCTATGCCCTTGCGCAATGGCAGCAATGTTCATGCCCAGCAGGGAAGTCCACACCCGATGATGAACAACTCTCAGTTCAATCACAACTCCGGTCTGGGAATCCGAGGCAACGGAGGTAATCCAATGATGATGTCGCCGCCTCCTGGTGGCGCTGCTGGCAACAATGCGGGGCCAAACATGAATGGTTTCAATTCCTTCTACCCTGATTATATGATGGGTCGTTAAGGCTCCAAGGCCTTGATTCTGATATGATGTCCGGCATGTTTCATGAATGAACTGGGATACTGGCGCATTGGGGGTTGCTTTCGATTCATGAGCTAGATCAGCATTCGGCGGCTGCATACCTCTTGGGAGTATTGATTCGACACACTCTGCTCTTATGTTTTTTCCCTCTGATTTAATTGCTTTTTATCATATGCGTTGGCTGTTGGATTCTTTGTATTGCATGGGGACTCGGGCGCTCTTTTCACATTCCTTTTTTTCTCCTTGGGAGGATTGCATTTTAGGTCATTGTTGAGCTTGTACTCTTATTCGGGTCGGTGTGTGGTGCCCACACCGCGCATTGTTTTTTTGTCGATCATTCGCGTTCTTCATCTCCACCCTCATACCCTTGTTTTTGCTTGTGTTTTTACTGTTGGGTCTACTCTTGAATTTTTTTCCTTTTCGCCTGTCCAGCCTTGGGCTTTGGCTATCCTTACCTTATTGGGTGCGGCCTACCTAGGAAGCTGCACAGCTTTATTTGACCGTGATTCCCCATTGAACCAGTTATTGATTTGTTTGTCGTTTTAACAAAGCATCTTATGTGTGCAACGGAATGGATTTTGCTATTATTTGCTGCAACCTTCCCTACTTTGCAAGTACCAAAGAAGGTGTCTTATGTGGCTTTTCTTTGCCTTTTTACCTAATATCCTACTCCATGGCATGGGCTACGCAATGTCGTGGCCTCGACTCAAGTCGACTACGCATTCTCGCAGGCGTTCCCCTCATGTTTCCATACATCATCTCCTGGAGCGAAGGAGAAAAACAAGGCGTCCGGCTCATGGTATTGTTTTCGATCCATAGCGCATTTCAATGTTCGCTCATGCTCTCATCGCTCGCATGGCCACTCCTCATGTCTTATGCTTTCCTTTTTCTACCTTTGTGGACTCTATGCATCGAGGGTCTGCTAGCTTTCTCTTATGATCGTTATGTCTGGGATAAGATGAGGAAACGCGGCGCGTCTTTTATGTTCTATGGGTATTTGTGTCTTTATTTACACACTCTTTCTGCCTTGCTTGGTGGACCTGACTGATATATTTGCTACAATCAGTATTTGATAAATTGGATGTTTGCAAACACTTATACATGTATACTGTAATCCGAGGACCTATCAAACTCTCAGTTGTTTTTGGCTTGCGGTATGTCGACACGATACTCGCTTCATGATAATCTGGCTTTGGAGAAGGAACCAATAAAAAGGCATTCAATTATTTTTCTACAACAAGATATTCTTAAAATTGAACAGCCCCGATCCGACAGTGCTAACGTGGTTTAGATCATGCAACTAAATACCGCTAGATACAATCTAATCATTTGGCCAATTTCTTGAGCTCAAACAAAGCAGTCTAGTCCCACCAACAGAATAGAACAGTCATCAACTGTAGGTTTTTATGGCTGAGACAAGGCCTAACAAAAAGCGACAACAAGAAGGATTTTATCTTGTCTCTGGGTCAGGGCTGGCACAGGGTAAGGGAATTTGTGAGGAAGAGATGGAGTACAGAGTACTTGGATGGTTTAGTGGCTAAGACTGGATCACTCAAAACAGTGGAAGCACGCGATAAAAAGGATAAGGATGATCACTTAGGATGTAGGAGATCGTCACATTACTTGACCTAGATGATAAAAAATAATGTAAAATAAATAAGGTGTCGATAAAAAAAAAGATGACCTGGACACGCCGAGAATCGAACTCGGGCGACGGCTATGAGGTCCCGTACTAATAGGGAAATTCATGTCACTTCCGGTGAGGGAAAGTCGCATAAGAGCCGCATTCTACCACTAAATTACGCGTCCCTTTTTCGTACATTTCTCTTCTTTTTAGATCTAACACCATTCCTTCATTTTCTCTTTTTCGTCTTTCTCAACCATACTTTTCCACCGCCATCATTCCCAGGGCTCTCATCAGTTCTATTCTGACAGGATTTTATACTCCGGATCCTCCAAATAATGATTTTTAGAAAGGTTTTCAGTTCTCACTCCCTTTCTTGCTTCTTTCTGCCTTTTTCCCCTCTCCCATGCACCTCCATGGGGGCCATATCACTTGGAGAACGGATGCCACACAACTGAGCTCCATGCAGCATTCAATCGTTGCGGGTGGTCTTGACCTGGGTGTGGTTGAGTGACTTAGCGGTTTATATACACAGGTGGATATTCCGTTTTTGATAGTGTAGAGTACAAGTATTATGCAATGCTTGATGAAAATGGGATTTTTTTTGGTCTTTCATTGTTCGATAATTAACTCATGATAATAGTAGTGACAAACAAAGGGGGCAAAAATGGATGACTTGTGTCATATTGACATGAATCCTATGTAAAAGTACTGGTGACGAGGTAGCGATTGCGCGATCAACAATGTATGAGTCCGTTAGCTTAATTAGCTTACTGATAGGTGTCGCCCTGGTACTAAGGGAACTAATTGAAATAGGATCAATGATTACTGTAGAGTTAGCGAGGAATCGAGTTCATACTAAATAGTCATGTCCCGAAGAGTGCTAGTGGTATTTGGCTTCTCAATTCGACAACAGGTACTAACTCCCTTTTAACCTTCCTGTCGACGAAAGAGAAAAATCAAAAGCGGAAAGCGACTACACCACAAAACCATGCCACCAGAGTGCTTACTCCAGGCCGATGACGGTTTCGGCCCTGTCATAGATCTTTGGTGTCGTAAGGGCTTTGATATCACGCTATTGTTCGAACAAGTCATACTTGGCCTTCTTCCTGCGGTCACATTTCTCCTCGTATGTCCACTTCTATTGCGAATCCTGGTTGATACAGATGTGCGAACTCAGCCTCACACAATAAGATTGACAAAGCTGGTAAGAACTTTCACATCCCTTGTCAGTCAAACACGAGGTAACGTCGATTTCACCTCAGATAACTAACTGCCTTGGGTTTCGCCTCAATGGTTTCGCCTCCGTCTCTATGAAGATTAGGGGAAGCTAAAGGAGACAGAGAAGATTTACGAGTGAGCACCAGTAGGTTACGAGAAGGCCTTCGGTCTAGATCACTGTAGGAATGGGCGACTTGCAGAGAGGGCAAACTCCTCGAGCATTGCAAATGTAAAATACTGCCTGACAAAGCCTTTAATATAGAGATAATCACTTTGTTCCGATGCATTCTTTTGGAGTGGGTTCAAAGCAGTTTCTCTACATTCAAGGTAACATACAGTTTAATTACTGATCATGCGGAAAGCATAGTGCCCTCATGAAATTTAGGGGCGGGGTAAATGCAATTTACGGTATGCGACCTAGTAATGGAATACTACATATTATGTACAATAATCTCACGGAAGCCCATGGAATCTCTCAGTAGATCCGTGTGAATCAATGGCCTTTTGCAAGCCTTTCTTTCGCTCAAACAATTTGCGTTGCCGAAACCCCGCCGGCCGAGCGAGTTGACACTCACCCACACTGAATATCTTTCAGTCGGCCTCTGTATTTATCTGCTTGTGGGATATCGCTAGATACGCGATGTCTAACGAGAGAAATGCACAAATTGATGTGGGAAGTCTCTCGCTATCTGGTCTGGGCGCATTCTCGACTGTGCTTACTGCACTCTCTGCGGACGATGTTCAGCCGATGACAATGGTACAACTTCAAAATCTGGGCGCTGCATTTCCCACCAGTGGATTGCTTGCAATTAAGATGCCAGACTATCTTCTAAGGTGCAAAAGTCGGCGTATAGAACGTCTTGGAGTTTCAGTTGGTTGGCGTAGGGGTGACTCTGCCTCCCTTATGGCCCAGTCGGCTAGTGGTCAGGCCGCTGCGCTGTTGGCAGTCTGCTTATAAAATATCTTCGGTGAATTGACAGGAGATATTTTCGATTCGATTTCTTGTCATTTACTGCCCCGATCCTTCTGCATAAGTAGTCCTGAGCTCTTGCGCCGAGCAACAAAAGTTCTTGCCAATAAGCTTACGGTTATAGGGTTGGCACAATTATCGCCAAACAAATATGTCGCATTCATGATGCCTATCAGCAGTTGCAACAGCCAGTGCCTCTCGATTTGCTGAAAAAATTGATGAGATGTGGATTGCCGATTTCCTTGTCAAGGTATCTCGCGCTTTGCGAGAAGAAAATGGCGTCGTTCGGGTCCGAGGATCCTATGGGATTGGATACATCTTGACCCTCATAACCACTCTATTTGCGGACGACTGTATCGTTACAGTCGAAGATTGCATTATACACCGCGGGAAGCGCTCCTCTTCTATTTCGATTATAATTGTCAATTCGTGTACGCGTCACTCTCGAAGTCCACTTCATGGGGAAGATAGAGTGGAGCATTCTTGCTCACAAGCTTTCAAAGTATTCAAATATCTATAGCAAAAGTGTTAGTCAGGATTCATTCCAGTTTATTTTCGGCAGAGCTTCATTAACATTTTTGCAGAATTCTCAAGGTAAATGAATCCACAAGGGGAAGTTAAGTTAGTCTTGAAATGCTGCATCGAATCTCGGCGATATCAACTGGCGAGCGGATACTGGGGGAAGCTAAGCACGTGACACACCACGCCAACTTCCTCGCCGAAAAAGTTTCTTTCCCTGCCACAAACATAAACCCCCAACATCCGCAACCCCCCATCCCACCCAATTGCAGCACTAGGTCGTTGACCGCTGCTTTTGTGGACTATTACTCCCATCCTCTCCTAAAGCATTGATTTATTTGGCTTGATAATACACAGGGCAGAGGCCCCTCCCAAGATGGCGCCCCGGATACAGACCCGCGTATCCAACGCACTTCTCCCCTATCTCACTTCCTCCTCCTCATCCTCCTCCTCTATCCCTTCACTATGCTCTTCATCACAATCTCTTTCCCGCCAATTCTCGGCTACAGCCGCTCCCCAGACCAAGCTTCGTCGACAAATGTTCGAGTGGCTTAACACCCAAGGAGCCGCGTTGAAATACCACATTCCTGGTGAAACAAATTATTTGAAAGATGCACGAGATGCTGATCTTACTGATACAAACCGCCCATTCCCGAATAACCGCAATTTCATTAGCGAAAGTGTCCTCAGTGAGGAGCTTCGCAATGAGGTTTATGTGCGGGTCGTCGAGAAGAAGAAGAGTCTGCGCGCCGTCAGTGTCGAGCTTGGTATCGATATGAAGCGGATCGCCGCGGTTGTTCGTTTGGTGGAGCTGGAGCGAAGACAACGGTCACAGGTAAGCTTTTATCTCCCTCCTGTCCACAAAGCCCTTTGCTTCGTTTTGAAGTCCCCTCCCCGACGCATATGATGAGTCAAGAAAAAAATCGATTAGTCTTGAAGACACAAGCTTTGCTTGACTGGTTAGAAATTTCCTTTAGACTGAATTGCTGTCATCTTTTTATTGAAATTGTTCATTTGTTTGTCGACGGTTGCTAATATCATCTTCAATCAGGGTAAACCCATGGCTTTGCCATATGCCCGGGCAGTCCACGAAATGATTCCGGTCACTCCTCTTGCCGACAAGGGTGAGCGTCCGAACTACCACGAGCCCATTAACGACCTTCCTGTCCATCCTTCCACTGGCGCACAAATCTTCTACCCTGTCCCTGAATCCCGCTCGTTTACTCGAGTTGATGCTGGTCGCGTATTCTCTGGAGCCCCGGCGATGGAGAACGAGCGTAAGGCAAAGATCTCCCACCCGTCGGATATTATTGACGAGGTGATGGAAAACCCCGGCTCAATTGAGTGGGTTGGAAAGGGCGCAAACGCCCGCCAAGTCCTCCAGCCTGCGGATGTGCGAATTCCGCACCCGCAACTGGTTCAACTGGAGCGTGACCGCATGGCCAACCCTAATGAACGCCGTATGGTCGCTGACCGTCACACACAGCGCCTTCAACGCCAGGAGGAGGCCGAGAAGAAGCGTCGGGACCGTGCTAAGGAACGTCGTGAGAAGAGTGTCACCCACGTCGAGCCTGTCGGTGGACGCTTTGACTACCGTATCCAGGATGCAGTCTTCACTAAGGAGACTGTTGGCGTTGATGGCCGTGCTCCCTGGGCCCCTGGTCGTCGCTACGGTGTGCCTACCAATGACCGCACTCGTGGTACCGTTAAGATTCCGACTCGTGTGGAAGCTTAAGTTTCCCATGAATGATTTGTATAACTCTTTGTGTCTTTCAGCGTTTGTGACTCCCGGTTGATGATTTGTGTCTCCCCGGGAAGAACTTGTACTTATACTGTATGGCGATGTTACCATTTACCCCTGTATCTATACCTATGGATCCGATTCTTTCCGATCAGCATACCAAGTGCTTTATCATTTTCTACCTTTGATGTCCAGTAATTTGTCATATTCGTAAAGATGCAATGAACCGACCCCGATGATTTACTGAACAAGCTCGAAACCATTCATCATCCAAGTTTGTTGGCAAACCCATCAACTATCGAACTTCCCCAACAGACCGACACCGACCCCGCCCTTTCCGCACCCCAACCCACGCCTCAACAGCATCAGCTTCGGTATCTCCACCAGCTGGTTCATTTGAAAAGAAACCCAAAATCGATGCGAACAGTTTCTGTCGCCATGTTGCATCCCCGGCGGCGTTCTTATTGATGTGATCAAGAGCTGGGGGTGACGCGGACTGCATAATTATGGTCGAGGTAGGATTTGGAGATGATTCCGTGGATACCATAGGCATGGATATAATGACAAGATTATGACTGCTTCGCCTCTACCGTCTATTCTCAGTTATTCTGTCAGCAAGGTATGTAGAAGTAGGTAGAAGCAGAAGCAGACTCGGAAATAGCCCCCAGTAAACCAGCAGGTACAAGGTCACGAACTCAAGCTTATAGCTATTGACTTTGGAAGCAATCAATAGTGAAGGCAAAGATACCAGTGAATATACCCGTTCAAACTCACCTAATGAAACAAATCGTTTCAATTAAAAAAATCGGTAATTAATAGACTTGGTTACCAAAGTTCGAAGAGAACCCCAAAGAGGGTTTGAAGGAGGGACCTTGACACATGAAATAGGAAAAACCCAGCCAAATGTACAATGAATGTACGACAAACATGCATGTGCATATGGATCTCAAATACCCTGCTTAAGATACGCTATGAATCCCGTGCACCCAGGCCTAGACCATGGATCGACAGTTGTGCTACATGTGCTACATGTGATCTCAGGAGTGCAGATCTTCATACTGATCAGATCGGCGGATCCTCGTAGTGTGGACATGCAACTAGATAAATGGGGTTGTGGCTGCATTACTGCTCCGCCGATACGCGCCATTGCTGCCCGAGGTGGTACAGTACTGTGACTAGAATCACATGGGTATCGGTGAGCTCGGCTGACACTGCATGTAATAATCATGGGCCATGACGATGTACAACGGATCTGGGTGAGGTTTGTGCTTGTCTTTAGGTATGAGCCTGAGTCTAGAGTTCGATTCCAATTTGGAATCTATTTCATTTCGTATGTATATTTGGTGGCAATTTAATACATTATAGGGACATGTGAATTAGTGTTGGGAAAGCTTGAGACTGCAGAAGCGTGACTTAATAAGCGGTTTGCTGTGAGTAAGTACTTCATGATGAAATCGACGTACTCCTGGGATCGGGCAATGGGTGAATTGTCAAAGGATTTACTCAATAGCATAACGACCTTGGTCCCGTTGGCTGTTTGAGTGCCCACTGCGCCAGCTTGCCATTGCTGTAATAAGAATCACCCTGATTGGGGTTAAGTGTCTTGGCGAAGTTGGCTCTCAGTACGAGGAGATCTGCTCCTGGATCTCGAAATCGATCGCAGTGAACGGGAATGTGTCTGCGTTGGTGTACCGGGCGTTGAGCGGATACATGATCTCCGACTGGTGGAAAGCCCCCTGGTTCTGACCTGGGGGAGCGTGAGTCCAGTAGTAGGTGTAGAGGAGGCGGCCTTGTACCACTCCGTGCCGTAGGCCCATGAAGCAATGACCGACATGTCACGGGCGGCGGCGTTCCAGGCGTGGTCAGCGAGGGTCTGGTTGTCTTGTGCGCTGTAGAGCTTGAAGTAGCGCGTTGAAAGGCCGCCGTACTTGAGGGTACAGTATTTCTTGTATTCTTCTAATGTGTATGAGGTGGAGGGGGAGGCGCCGGACTCGTCTTTGGTGTTGCCGGGACTCGTCTTTGGTGTTGCCGGTTATGACGGGAGCATCGTTGGCGGGACCTTTTTACAGGGACTCGATGTACATCTCGGGAAGGACGTAGTCGTCTAGCGCTGGCTTGAAGATCAATGGGTACCCTGCGGAGAGAGCGGTTATCTATGAGATCCAAGTGCCATTGACACGGTCCTGGGAACCATTCAGAAGGTCCTTCCATTGACTTCTCGCGCATCTCAGCAATGATGGATACATTATGGAAAGGATTATAGTTCTGTCCATGGAAGAGCGCAGCGGACATGTTGCTATAAGAGGTGGCAAGACCCGCCAGCATGGGATCGCGGGGCCAGCGGATACCAGATTCGGAGATTCCACCGTGAAAGTAGGCCTTGAATAGAGGACTGTCGACGGCGTGGTAAACCTGTGAAGAGCCGAAGGACTGACCAGCAATAGTGACGGGGTTGGGTTCACCACCGAAGTTGGCGATATTCTTCTTGATCCACTTGGGAGCCTCCAGCTGGTCGAGAATACCGTAGTTACCTGAGGTGTTATGACCAGTGGCCCTCAGGCCCTCGGCGTTGAGTTCAGGATGGGCTAATAGCCGAAAGCATCGTCACGGAACTTGGGCGGTTGAAGGTGATCAGGATTACATCCTTCAAGGCAAAACCACCACCTTACCACCAAGCATCGTTACTAGTCTCATCAGAACCTTGACTCCAGGGCATAACAGGGAGCTTAGCATCCGCGCTACCAGCATTGGTGCAAAGGTTGAGGTTGAGGCAGTCCTCGCTGATATTGGCTGTACCCTTGCTAGGGCACGGATGACCCAAGGAAGTAGCATCGATCGTCTCGTTCCACGACTCGCGGGGCTGCGGAGGTTTCCCACGGTTCTGGTTGCAGCAAAGGGAATACCCAGAAATCCCATGATGTTGGACTCGGAGCGGTTGAAGTACGTCTCGAGAGTTGACTCGTTGAAGTACTTGTAACCCTTGACAGGACCCAGGGAAGTCTCGATAACCTTGTCCCAAAGTTGGGGCTCGGTGACAGCAGCGCCAAGGAACAGGGCAGCAAGTCCTTTGTTCGCGAAGGATGTCATTCCAACCACTCAAAAGATGGGATTGGAACATAAGGATATTGAAAAGGATGAGCGAAGTCAATTGATCGACGATCTTGGGATTTGTATATGCTCAACGTTTGGATTCTACATTATCGCCACGAGACGTGTCGCACCATCACATATAGGTGATACTCACCAAGATGAAGAACCTCTCCGTTCTCAGGTAAAGAGCCAACCGACAATCTGTCGGTTGAGGCTTGCTTGAATTAACTCCGAATGTGGGAGCAGCCTGCAGGCCAAGGCCGAAGCATGGGTTGGATGACAATAGCAGTACATTGATTCAACTCGTCGTGGGTGAGCCTTTCTTCATAGATAAATAGACAAGCCCAGTGTCAGATAAAATCAGGTCAATCGTTGTCGCTTTGATGCTCGGCTTGTCATCAATATAAAATATTTGAAGCCAATTGAATTGTCGAAGCTGCACAGCGACAGAAGTTGAAAAACTCAAATGGCCTGCAAGGAAGCGGCGGTAGCATGAAGATCAGGTACTAATTAGTACCGAGCCTGCACGGTATCAATGAAGCCGAGTGTCGATAAAGGCATGGTGTGAGGAGTGTATATACAAAGAGCTCTAAGCTTTAGTGGCTGGCTGTCGGCTTAATATTCCACATTGAGAGAAGCCAGCCTAACCCCGAGAATCCATCAGACCATGGACTCACGTACGCCACAGGCACAAGCACAACCCAGACCATGGAGTGTGCTTCGGACTCTCCGTTTTCTCTCCGAAGAATGCCCGTTGGAGTGTTGGGTCACCTGACCCTCTCCGTTTGCTCCAGCGCCTACTCTCTCTCTCTCTCTCTCCTCCTCCATCCCTCTCAAAATACAGATCTTGTCCGTTTCTTCTGTTTACACGAATCCATGTAGCACCTTTCTTCCCCTGGGCGACAGCAGGATTCAACTTTGGACAGTAGCATCCTATATGTACTTGAAATTAGCCAGGATAGGAAACGAAGACTAATTGCCACTACTCCGTCTAGTACATTTGGACGTTCCTAAGTTATAATTCCACCCAGCCACTGGTGATAACACTGAGCCCCATGCACAAATGCGCAATTATACTATAATACGCCACTTCTCGTGCAGTTGAAAATCCACATTCATTAATTCGCCGACGGCGTCATCCGGGGCAATTCCAGTACAGTCAAAGGGCATAGAGTTTGACTACATATTGTACGTCGTGCAAAGTAGTGGGTTATATGTACCTAGAGACTATGGCCATCTTCCTTGTGTTAAATTTGGAAGCCTCTGCCTCTTTTGCGTCATATAGATTCATGGGTAGAGCTACCCACCAATGAACATGTATTCAGATGTTCTTTCTTTGGATAACGAATAACAACGGTGCCCGATTAGTACAATGAGGTTGTCAACTGGTCGATTTCATACTACGTTCAGAATTGTGTCTAGGGACGCAGAAACGTCTGCTTAAGCCCATGGAAGCAGTAAGGTAGATCCCATGCCATTTCTATTCATCCTTGTCTTTATATCAGCCTACGACTAGCCTAATTTTCTCTTTTCGCACCCATAGATCGAAACAGCACTAGCATTCTCAAGTGGAAAAGTAAATTCTCGCCCAGAAAATATAGATAATACCAGGAGTCAGGATCGGATTTTCCGGAATGGGGTCCATGATTTGCCATACCTGATTTTGGCCACATCTTCCTGAAGCTAGTTGGATGTTGATGGCGAAACAAAACCTTCAATTATTTGCCGAATGGATACGTATGAGCAGGTTGAGCCCAGCCTGGGCCTTTACAGAAATATCTTGAGTGGGTAAAATGCCATTCCCCTTTAAAAGCCCCATGATCTCGGCAAATAGGTAATGTCCTTTACATAGAGGGAAAATTTTTGGGTGATCTAGTGGCGGAAGTATTTCTGCAGCATCCCGTAATTGTTATGGAGCTTAGTGCTTCGTAGCTTCTGTGGAGATCTAACGCCCAATCTAGCGGGGCTATTGACGATAATTATAAATGGCGTCTAAGATTTTCGTTGTCTTCTGTGCCAAAATCTCAATGGAATTGAGAAGGATGATTGGCTTAATCGTTTGGAAATATGGATCTGTACACGTACTTTTTACGATTCACATTCTTCAGTCCGCCATCTTAGCGCAGACGCCAGGCTCCCCTTTCTATCCACCTGCATTGTACTCCGTAGCTGCCGCTTTTCTCGAAATTTTACCTTGTACTCCACTTCAACTGGATAGATTATTCACTGCCGAATGTGCAAAGAATACTCATCCAGGATTCTCGATCGTTTGCTTGTTACTGTTTGCGACCGGGCCATGATGCAGATTCCCAAAGTTCACTTTGAATGCGAGTGCTATACATTAAGGTTGACAGCCACTACAGCCACTTTTAATAAATATCTTGGCTCGTATACACCTCCTGTATCCGGTGGAGTGGATAACCTCTCAGTAACACGACTCCAGAGCCGACGCCGGAGAGTCTAGGCCTAGCTCCGTGAATAAGATAATTACGATTGACGTTGCAGTTGACCAACTCCACTCCATGTGCCAAAAGTGGATTGATGAATGAAATGAGTTTTTTTCAGGGGTCTGTGGGCCCCTTAATCTTGAGTGATCACTTGGAACGAACTTAGGATTTCCTTCCCAAGGATAAATTTAGCGTTGTATGAACTTTTCTATGATTTCTAGGGGTTCGGGAAACTACCGAGGCAGTATGAAGAAGCCAAGTCATTTGAATACAGTTTCGTCAAGTTTTAGCGACGAACACAAGTGGCTTTTAGGAGGGCGCACTAGATCGCACTAAGATGACAAGTTTGGGTAGTTGAGACACTGGCTTCTGAATTCAAGCGCTTACACCTGGCAAAAACAGTGCAATTTCCCAAATAGGGAGTTTTTGCGGAGTTTCTCAGACCCCTATTTTCTTCAACGCATGTGAAGTTAAGTGGAGATCCAACGGTCCAGTTCGGCTGTAGGGCTAGGGCAAGCCACATCCTAAACTGCAGTGTTCTTGCAAGGTATTCTTGTTTCATATAGATTAACATAGACTCAAGTGTTTGGGTCGTAAGTAGATCAATTCTAGGAATATAAAAAGAAACCTTATCTTAGTACACAAAGACCATTGTTTATCTCTAAAAGTAAAAGGAAAAAGTATCCACAAAGGATAGACATGGCAAATTTCCTACTTTTAAGAAACTCCACATGGACTCCATGAAGGCAACATTCTACCAATAGAATTTAGGGTTGCAGCCAAGTTTTCACTATTTCACTAATCGCTTCCCAGGCGTAAAATGGCGGCGGTGACCAATTTGGGGTGATTGACCCGGATCCACATCCGACTACAGACTACGACAGGCCGTTTGCTTATTGTTAGTAAAATCATTTTTTCGATATGGATCTGGACTTCTATATGGAGTACTCCGTAGTTCCTGTCAAGATCCCTGTTGCCAATTATACCTGATGAGTCGCCAGTTCTCACCCCCCCCTGACTGAATATCTCCCGGCTTGCATTTCCGACCGTTATTCATCCCAACGCTACTATGCCGATCCCTTTTCGCCATTTTACCGGTGGACCGGTTTAGCCAAGCCGTTACTACGCTAGAGCCGCCCCTGAAGACGCGGGTCACCTTGATCCCCGGTTTCCGCTTTTCCAGAGTTTGCGGCTATCCGAGTATGTCAAATCTTGTTTAAAAGATCCCTTGCCCCACAAATTTCTGCATGTATCCCTGTCACTTCTCACTGACAGCATGGCCGAAGTGACAGATGAACACAACCGGAAGTTGGGCGTGCAGGTGGTGGCCGCCGTCTTCATGCCCATCGCTACCATCGCGGTCATGCTGCGCTGCTATGTGCGGGCCCGGATCGTTAGGGCCTTTGGTCTCGACGATGCAGCAATGGTTGTTGCAGCGGTAGGTGTCTCTTCTAATCGTTTTAGTCGAACAAAAGCTAACCCATATAGGTGTTCTATATCATGTTCTGTGCTTGTGAGATCGGAGGTACTCGGTATGGTACTGGATACCTTTTCGAACACCTGAGCGGAGACGATGCTGCCACAGCTATGGAATATTGGTGGTTCTGCGAAGTTGCTTATTGTTTCGCCTCGATTGGATGCAAAATTTCTGTTTGCATTTTCCTCATGCGGATCACTGTCAAGCGGAGTCACATCTGGACTCTCTACATCGTTATGACTCTCACAGTTCTTTGCGGGTTGATTTTCTTCTTTGTGATGCTTCTACAATGCAAGCCGGTGTCATACTTTTGGAACCGCGTTAAAGAGGACCCTAGCATTGAGGGCCACTGCATCGATATCAACATCGTCATTATCATGACATACATTTATAGTGTGTTCGCCGCAATGTGTGATTTCACCGTTGGTATCTTGCCAATCTTCCTCGTGCGCAAGTTGCATATGAAAAAGAATGCCAAATTGGCCGTCATCGGAATTCTCAGTATGGCTTGCATGTATGTGACCCTCTCCACAACCCTGCGCAAAATGCTAACGGAACGCAGTGCCTCGTCAGCAGTTATCGTCCGTCTCCCATTCGTGAAGACATTCGGAGAACCTAACTTCCTTTGTACGTTCCATTACCTCCTCCTCCCCTGTACAAACTAACCAGACCCAGACTCCACCTACCAAATCGCCATCTGGTCCAACACCGAAGCCGGCCTCGGAATCACAGCAGGCAGTCTCGCAACTCTCCGTCCTCTCCTTCGCCACTGGCTCGGGTCCCGCTCCGAAAACTACCCCTCATCCGGATTCCCCCAAGCATCAGGCTCCCGCCGTATCGGTGGCAACGGACAACGCGCGGTACCATTAGGATCCATGGACGCATCACACAGAAGCGAGCTCCGGCCCGACAAATTGGCGGTCCTGGTGACAAATATTGAGAGTCAGGGAGGAATGGGAAGCACATGGACAAGGGCCTCGAGCCAGAATAGCAGTGAGGAAGCATTGACTGTTGAGCCCTCGCCACGTCTTCCCCGTGGAGGAAAGATGGAGGTCGGCATTCATCACACGTTTGAGGTTACGCAGACCACGGAGGGAGATTATTCTGAGGGTTCACATCGAGATACCAGCGTGTTGGAGCAGGTATGATCTGCCCATGGCATACGTGGATGTAAATATAACACTCTAGATTTATGACTTTATGATCTAATAAAAGATTAATTTTGTACCTCTCCAGAATCAACGCATCAAATTCGATCAATGCACACTCGACATCATAAATTAGAAGCAATCTCTGGAAATTTAGGTAGCCGCTGCATGGAAGCCAATATAAATACAATAATACACCAAAGCGCTGTCGATGACATGTATATGCATTCAAATCCATCTATGCATACTTGATAATTAGCGAGACTCGATCTCAAATTATTGATCATTGACAATATGCAAGCGAACAAACATGCCCATGCGGGGAAACTCTACAAGCTTGTCTTTGGGAAACACAGGGAGGGAATTGCACATACATTCTAGTCCAAAAATCCAGGTTCATTACTTCATAGCACGCCAAGGTTGACCCTTTGGACGACATTTTTCTTGAAGATTGAGCACATTTCGATATCGTACATCCCTCATATACTGTCTCTGCTCGACTGACATTTCCAGCTGGGACTCATCGTCGGAAAATCCGTTCGTGGCAATGTAGTGGAGCGAGTAAGCACATAAAGTGGCAACGGCACAGCCGACTATGATAGCAAGCACATAAAGGCTATACGAGGTCATTTCTTAGAAATCAGCATTAGAATGAAAGGCTTCTAATTGCATATGTATGTGGAAAATATCTCACTGAAATGAGGTGGTACGGTAACGTGATACTTCGTAGTATATTGATTATTGTGGTCTGCTGAGTATAGCTCGACAAAATCCAGAGATTCAAGCATTCTTTATATGAATTGACTTGAAAGGTGTCCATCTAATTGTGCGTATGTTGTCTCAGCGCCAAGAGATCTGACTGCTCTTTCTGGATGTGCTCTCCAAATCACATTTATGGTGTATGCAAGCCCAAATTGTTAGTCTAAAAAAAGTAAATATGACGTCAATAACCCGAGCCGGCCAATGAGCGGGCGATATTGGAACAGCGCTAGAGGATTTGTGGTCTTTGATTGGCTAAAATTGGGACAGTAGTTCATTAACAATCTAGGACCTAAATGGGAACTAAAATTGTCAACTCAAAGGAGGGGTGATAAGCGAACGCTTTGAATAAGGACAGCCAGACAAGGTTCATTGATTTTTCCTCAGTACATTCGAATTACTGGATAAAATCTAAAACGTGCATAGGTAAGTACTTATCTACGAGGATCGCTTCTTAACAACCAAGACTACAGCCTGCATAGACCCCTTGATAATCTCCTTCCCCTTCTCCACCCCCGCCTCATGCAATAACCGCTCGATAGTCCGCCGATAGATCTTCACAATATCATCCTCCGTCCCGACGGTATCGGGATAAGCCTCCCGCCACCGAACAACAGGACTCATAGTCTGAAATACCTTCTCCATGACATCCAAGCTCACCTCAGGCTGATGGGCAAGGAAATTCTCCGTACCCCACTCCTTTCGAATAAACGCCTTCTCATCAAACTCCGTCACAGGATGATCCAAATTCCAAGGCAAAGGAAGATCAAGATACCGATTCCTCGTCAGGAAGTTTCCTGGGGCCATAAACGGCTTCAGTAACGTCTCTTCCAGCTCATCCATAGCAGAATTGATCGCATCCGCATTTGGAACTGAAGGATCAATGCCCGTCTTGCCAGTAGTCCACATTATGACACTGCCGCCAGGCTTGAGGACGCGGGCAGCCGTGGACCAGAATTGGCTCATATCAAACCAGTGCGCTGCATTGGCGGCCGTTATGAGATCGACACTTCCATCCTGGATGGGGCTTGGGAGACTAGTGCCTAGGAGTTCGGCTGTGGATACCTCGAAGCGGATTGGCTCCGAAGTCGCTGTCGTGCCTGCTAAGGAGCGGGCGGTTGCTACCATTCCTTCGGATGGATCGAGACCGATCGCATGGGCGAAGTGTGGACTAAGAGCTCGAGCGGCATTTCCGGGGCCACTTCCTACATCGAGAAGGGTGTCGAATTGGCCGCCGGTCGAGGCATGGATGTCGGTGACATATTGGTAGAATTTGGGATGGTAGTCAGGACGGCCTTGAGAGTAGGCTTTTCCTTGTTCTTTATTGTAGGCGCTGAATGTCTTTTCGGTGGGCGTGTTTTGTGACATGATGACTCACGCCTTGTTCTGCTGAGGTTGTCAGTTTTAGCGGATGATGATTTTACCGATGAAGACAGGGGATGACTTACATTTGACCGTTACTAGGTCTTTGATCGTTATGGAAAATGAGTGGTATTGGAATTCGCAGGGAACTGTGTTGATGTCTTGGTTGAAGCATGCGCGGCACGCAACTCAACCGAATCAAGCATTGCGGCTAATTCCGCCAACGGTCTGACCTTGCGGGGTTCGGGTTTAATACTCCCCAAGCCCGAGTGTAGGCAATAATACTGTAGTCGATCTAGCCGATTGAAAATTTATAGTTGACGCTCATTCTTATTTACTCTGATGCCTACTAGATTTCACAAGCAGCGCTAGTCCTGATCGTCGCCTGAAGCAGGAAAAATAAAAACCAGTGTTACTGATGGAAACGATGAGAATTCTCACTAGACTCGGACAATTCTATCTATATTAAACTCTGCGTAGCTAAATCGCGCGGAATCGAAGGTTCAGTTTTATACACAGAGAAAACCTGGTGATTCTTTCAGTAAAAAATTACCAAGATAAGATAAATGCTATTTGATTATGATCAGCATTCTACCTGGAATCCAAAAATCATATCTACTCCATTCCATAGAGTAAATTCAAAACTTACAGTTAAAACCCCCTCAAACAATGTCTATGGCTCAAATCCAGATGTACTTTCAAGGTTGTTCTTTCGTCATAATTGAAATCTTCATTTGTACATAGTATAATACTCCATCTATGGCTTCGTAGCTGCAGCCTTTCCAGTTCCCAGGATATCACCATCCTCCTCCTTCCCGTTCAACGCACGATCAATACGAAACTGTGTGGTCTGGAACAGCCGAGGCAGACCGGTTTGCTCAAATGGAACATCCTCAGCAATCATCTTGGCCATCCCCTTCGAGGATAACCAAATGACGGGCATACCATGGCCATTGAAACCAGCAAGAATGTACTGATCTGGCTTCCCAGGAACAATACCGATATGCGGGTTGGAATCGTACGAGTATCCCATCACACCAGACCAGATCTTATCGACCTTAGCACCCTCCCATCCATGGTATGTTCGTTGCATATAATCATTGTAGTAGTCCTTTGCAACATCAATTAGAACGCTGTCATCCACATTGTCATACCACTGCTCTTCAGAGTTTCGGAAGACGGCCGCGGCGCCTCCGACAATGATGCTGCCGTCTGAGCGAGGAATCAGGTATGAGAGGGTGTTGTCTTCGGTTCGGTTGATGTATGAATTAGTGAGTAGGGGCGATGCTCTTGATTCGGGAAGAGTGATTCGACAGCAAATTCCTTTGCAGGGGACAATGTTCTTTTTATACTGAGGGAGAATGCCGGACACGTAGGCGTTATTGGCATACACGACCTTGCCTGCATGCATCTTTCCTCGAGAGGTGGTGACAGTGAAACCACCTTGGTCTTGTGGACCTGGCTCCACGGATGTGACTGGTGTATTTGTTTGCAGGTTCACGCCAGCTGTGACGATCAACTGGACGAGATGCATAATAAATTTATACGGCCACATTGTACCGGCTGTGAAGCTTGCACATGCCTTTGCACCCTTGACACCGGATATCTATTTCAAAAATGTCAGCTTGAGAGCAAGAAAATAATATTCCTAGAGGGTCTTTCTTACTCCTTCACTTTGGTCTCCAGTGTAGAAAATGACATCATTCATGTAATCGAACTTCTCGGCCACCATCCGGTCGTAGACCGCCTTGGCTTTCTTCGCAGACTCCTCGTTACACCAGACATCTGTTGAACGAGTCAAAGTGAAATCACAATCGATCTTCTCTTCTCTGATGATTTTCTTCAGGGCTCGCAGATTGGCGATTTCGAACTGAGCGATCTCAGCACCGGCTTGAGGTCCTGCTCGGTCCATATAGGTAGGGATGTGGCCGTAAAGATCAGGTCTGCAGTGACCACCATTCCGACCTGTTGCACCAGAGCAAGCACCCCGAGCCTCTAAGATCGTGACGGACTTTGCATCATAATCTTTCACGAGATGATAGGCAGTACCAACGCCAGCGTACCCGGCACCAATGATCACGATATCACTGTGCTCAGGTAATTGGTCTGTTGATCGATGATCATGAAGCTCATGTTTCTCATTTTGCCAAAATGTTTCCCCAGGAGTGACAGTTGGAAGACATCTCTCCGTTCCTGCCGTGGCAGAGCTGGCGGTGTGGCCGTTCGACAAGTTTATTTGAGTCATAGCTGTGGAAGTGTTTGAAGAAGCAAAGGGTTGAACTTGAGACAATAAAAAGCAATGTGGAAAATGAAGCTTCACTATTTTATAAGCTTGACCGACTTTATCAGATCGTGGTCAGTGCGGTTACCGGCGACCTTATCAATTGTCACCGCCGGACCGGCATATCCCGATTCAGATGTTGATAACAAGCTCTCCAAGACCCACTGATTAACCTCCCCCGCATAATACATACCAGGGGTGCAGGGTCAATGCATTTATCATGTACTGCTTTCTACTTCCTTATCAAATTGCCGGTATAGATCCGGTCGTCTCCACCAACGAGAGCTTGCCAATTGCTAAACTATCCGCGATAGCTGGGCTCCACGATGATTGGTGCCCGACGGGGTCTAAAGACGACATGCATGAAAAGTCAAAAGTACAAAAAAATGGGATAAGAAGCTTTCGGATGGATTGCTTGAAAAATTCTGTTTCTGTCTTGCGTCTCAGATGTCCTCTGAAGACTTACCTGACAGAATGGATATCACTACAACAGAAAAGAAATATGTCTACGCCGAAATGCAGAAAGAGGGGGATGTGGAGAATGCTGCGGGACAACTGGAGGAGATCACCGTCTTCAAACAGGGTCTTCATCAGCGACATATTCAGATGATTGCCCTCGCAGGCACGGTTGGAACTGGTCTTTTTCTCAGTTCTGGCCGAGCTATCGCAGAGGCTGGACCTCTGGGTGCGTTTCTCGGATACTCCATCATTGGTTTAATGGTGTCGAGTGTTGTCTTTGGAGTCGGTGAAATGGGTGCCCTCGTGCCTCTCAATGGTGGTGTCATTCGTTACGCCGAGATCTTTTGTGATCCTGCTCTGGCCTTTGCTAATGGCTGGAACCAAGTCTACTCTTACATTGTCTCCATCCCCGCCGAGCTGGTCGCCGCTGCCGTGATTGTCGAGTTCTGGATTACTATTAGCCCTGCCATCTGGGTCACCATCTTTGGCGTGTTGATGATTATCACCGCTCTCCTATTTGTGCGCGTATATGGCGAGCTGGAGTTTGGATTCTCCATTCTCAAAATTATGCTGATCATCGGAATCAACATCATGGCTTTGGTGATAACATGTGGAGGGGCGCCCAATCACAAGGCTATTGGTTTCGAATACTGGAAGAGCCCTTATGGTCCATTTGTTCAGTATCTAGGAATCGGGGGATCCCTAGGTCGATTCCTGGGTTTCTGGACAGTATTCAATAATGCTCTCTACGCATACTCGGGCATTGAGAACATTACTGTCGCTGCTGCCGAGACTATGAACCCCCGACGAGCAATCCCCATGGCGGCCCGCCGTATCTTCATCCGAATCATACTCTTTTACGTCGTCACGATCTTTATGGTCGGTCTTGTCGTATCTTCCACCGATCCAAGCCTCCTGGATTCCACCGGCACAGCCTCCGAGTCACCTTTCGTCATTGCCGCGCGCAGTGCAGGAATCAAAGTCATCCCCTCGATCATCAATGCCATCGTCCTCACCTCCGCCTGGTCCTCGGGTAATTCCAACATGCTCGGCGGTTCCCGTATCCTTTACGGCATGGCAAAGCAAGGCCACGCGCCTGCAATCTTCAAGCGCATCAATCGATTTACGATTCCCTACGTCGCGGTCTCCCTCTACGCCGTCTTCATGGCCCTGGGATACATGACATTATCAAGCTCCGCCAGCACGGTGTTCACCTGGCTCCAGGATCTTGTCTCCATCTCGACAATTGTGAACTGGGTTTGCATTCTCGTCGTTTATCTGCGATTCCTCTACGGGTGCAAGAAACAGGGCATTGATCGCCACAGGGAACTTCCATGGGCAGCCCCTTTCCAGCCTTATACTACCTGGGTCTCTTTGGTCGTTTTCATTCTTCTTTTCTTCACTGGAGGGTATACTACTTTCATGAAGGGGCGCTGGAGTACCGAGACGTTTATCTCCTGCTACTTCAATCTGCCCTTCATCGTGATTGTCTACTTTTCCTATAAGTTCTGGATGAAGACTAAGATCATCCCGCTGGCGGAGATTCCTATTAGGCCGTTTATTGAGCAGTACCAGAATAACCCGGAGCCTGAACCGGAACCGAAACGGGGACTTCAAAGACTCAATATTTTATGGTCATGAGAAGAGCACTCAATGTCAATTAGCTTAGCGCAATCTTGAATATCTTTATATATTATACAATGAAGCTATTCAAATCGAACTTGCACATTCCTGAGTAATACCAGACATAGCCATCTCATTAGACCCTTTCCAACCTTGGATAGTTTCCATTACATGATTGACTTACAACTCCAGGTCTATCTTATCTTACCCCTGCCCTGGCCTCCGAATCCGTCCCGACACCCAGAACATGACCAAATCGATTATCGGTACTATCTCGGGAATATTCCGTGTGCAAGATAGGAGGCGAATCTTAATATCCTTAGTAGATTGGAAAGGAATTCTCCGAGCACGATAAACTCCGACCAATCATATGGAACCGGCCCGGTCCTTCCCGATTAGGAAAAGCCTAAATACCGGAAATGATTAAAGATTGTGGCTTCCGGTGCGGGGGAGCTATCATGAACCGCAAAACTTCTAAGGATAGGCCAATTCTAGCTTCTTAACCTATATACAATCATCCCTTGACTACCCTCCCCAGGTTGACTGAAGACTCAACCCACTCAAGAGTCAATTGCATCTCGCAAGCCAAAGCTATACCAGAGACCCAAATCCACCCCTCACCACCCCACCATGTCCCCCAAAAAGCACGTCGTCTTCGACGTAGTCGGCACCTGTGTCTCCTTCGACGCCTTCTACGCCGGAATCGACCGCACAATCGGCCCCAAACTCCTCGCAAACAACATAACCCCCCGCTCCTTCGGTTTCACTTGGATGACAGCCGCCGAGCTAGAATTCACCTTCCTCTCAATCTCCGAGCGCTACAAACCCTACAAGGAAATTCTGCGCGCCCTCTTCTACCGCACCCTCTACATGATGGGCATTCAAGACCCGCGCGCTTTCGCAACAGATACCGAGCGCGAAGCATGCGCGCAAGCATACTCAGATCTGGAACTACGTCCTGGTACGAAGGAGTGTTTTGCCACGCTGCGTGAGGCAGGGTTCACTGTTTGGGCATTGACTACTGGTGATGCGGTGAGGGTGCGTGGATACTTTGAGAGGGCAGGGTTGGAGATGCCTTTGGAGAATTTTATTACGTGTGATACGGCTGGGGTGGCGAAGCCTGCGTTGGAGGCTTATCGGCCTGCGCTGAAGAGATTTGGGGAAGATGATGTTAAGTGGTTTGCGGCGGCTCATATGTGGGATGTTACTGCTGCTGTTAAGGTTGGGTTTAGGGGGGCTTATTGTACGATTTATGAAAAGGAAAGTTGTGCGGAGATTTTTGATGCTGAGCTGGAGGTTTTGGAGGATACTTTGTTGGCCATGGCGGAGAAGATTGTGGCGGCTTCGTTGTGAGGGTGGTATACATCCAACGTAATTTAAAAAGAGTAGAGAGTTGTACATGGAATATACTGGCCCGTTAATTTACATATTAAAGCTGAGTCTTGAGATTATACATCATCTTCCGAATTCCGGATTCGTTAGGAATTGCTCCAGGACCTGAGTCTCTGTCCAGGTTGGCCATGCTGTTGATGGAGAAGAGTATTCAGTACCGAAGATAGTCATTCCCATAACAGAATCCAAGGCTCCAAACATTCCAGCGTCGAAATCTTTGTCAAATGGTGCAGCCGTGTAGTCTATCTCCAAGTTATCATTGGAACAGAGCTGCTTCGAGGCCAAAGTTGCTCTGACCTGGTGAGCTGGGGCTGTTGCAATTCCAGGCGTATCAATTGTCGTGCCTTCTCGTAATCTTGCACCCCAGTGCTTGAACATCTCATAGTCAGATACAGCTGTTTCAGGCTGTGTTACATTCCCCATCCGCGACTCCTGTGGTCCAGTATGCAAGCGAGCAAGAGCACGCTCAAGTGTTTCAATCAACGCTACCTCAAATCGAGCCGACTCTCCAGCCACCGACATTTCTCGAATCATATCCAGACCATTGTAGAGTAACTTGCGGAACTTTTCAGAGAAGCTTTGAATGGAATAAGCAATCAGGACGAGCAATGATGCTCGACATGAGCTATACTCGATGTATGAGGCTCGTGCCAAGCCGGCGCTATTTTCTCTTAGACCTTGGCAAATTCCCAACGCCTCTGTTGCTGCTTCAACGCAGTCGTCGATTAAGTCCTTGCGGCTTGACGATAATTTCTGATTTCCAGTGTCGGCCGATGTATGGCTTTCAGATGGACTGGTCTCCGAGTGCGGTGAAGTTCCCATTGTACTCAAACATTCTCTTTTTAGCAAGAAAGGCCGTCCCGTGAACATTCGGACTAGGCAATATTCGAGCCGTAGATGCATTATTGAGCGGATTTGGGTTGGTGATCGAGTTCTCTCGCTCACTACTTCCTCAGGGAGAGTGTTCCACCACGCTTTCAATGTCAGTTTGCGGGCTAACAAGCCCTTGATGATCTTTGGAATTTGCTGTTTTTGACAGCTCCGAAGGGCGGTTCTTTGAATATGTCAGTACATGTATACTTCATCGTTCTAAGCTTGCTGAAGCTCTTACACTTCATTGAAAATATCTTCTAGAAAATTTATCAGCTGTATTGATGCTTCTGCACGCGCGACACTCGCTCGAGAGTCACCCAGCTCTAATTCAGGTCGATGAAGAGGTATACTGGCATCAACATCCGCTCTGAGCATCGACAGAGGCCGACCATGGAAGATGGATATTTTTCTGACCTTGGTTAGCAAAAGGCTGGTCATTGACAATGGTATCCTACCTTTCAAGCAAGTATGTAGTCCACCAGACGCGATTTCGTGTCTCGATCATCGTCGGGCTAAAAGCATTATTCTTGCATTTTCGATGCATGCCATTCTGCATGGCCAATCTGACCGCAATATTGATATAAATATATCCCAACCCTGAAGCATCAATAGGCAGCGCATAGTAGCCAAAAAGTAAACAGGCTTGAACACTTTCAAGAGATGAATGCTCAATAATCTCTGGTAAAAGGCGAATTGCTTGTTGATAGAACGTTGTACCGATATCTTCCTCCGCAAAGTTGGATCCTGTGGAGCCTGAGGGGTTCTGTGCCGAGGATTCAAGATGCGCATACTGCGTGCCGATGGCGAAGATCATGAGAAGAATACTGATAGTCACTTCGCCGCCCTTCTCGGTGAGTTTCCCTTGGTCGGTATAAAGTGTATGCATTTTGTCAAAAAGCCAATGCTGATCAACAAAGAAGTAATGAGTTTCTGCGTACTTGAAGAAGGTTCTGGCCAGGAAGTCGGCGATTTGACGTGGAGGACAACAAGATATTGCTGCTGACAGATGAGCCCTTCCTGGCCGCAGATGACGAGCTCGTGGCCAATCTGCCTCTTGATCGTAATCATGTGGGTCCTATATCGATTAGTTTCAGAGAAAGCTGACGTGACAACATTTGAATGAGATAATAATTACCCTGCTTCCCAGTGTTTCCATCCGTTTCTCAATGTGATCCTTGACGCGCATGGAGAAATTCCAATATGAGAATTCTCCAGAGAAATCTGCTAGGCGTCAGAATGATCCAATTGGAACATTGTCCCATGACTAACGTGTAACAGTATCTGCAACAGGATCCATCGTGCAGGCTTCATCATCTATTATTAGCTCCTCCGCTTCTTTGACGTCCGAGGCATCAGCATCAAGTGCATCGGCCAGCTTAGCAAGACTTTTCGTATCAAGCCTGATTCCTTCAATGGTGCGTTTCAATATCCGCTCCATATATTTTGAGCGCTCAAATTGCTCCTGCAAGTCCGACCTCCCCATTCGCTCCCTGTGGCTTTCAGTATATGTTCAAGTGAGGTGTACAAAACCACTTACCTTGGGGCATACGCACGAAATCCACGTGTCCTTGACACCGAACCCTTGAACTCACATTGTCGCTGGTAATGCGAACATCGTCTGCAGGGGGCTCCACCTTCACACTTCTCTTTCAAACGCCGGCATTCATCGCAACTATAAGCAATTAGATGCCGAGTAATCATATTGTCCGCAGATATTGACACCCACGCTCGAGCAGCTCGTTTCCGATGATCCATGACTATGTGTTACAGTTGCATCTCGTCAAAAGAGAAGTAGCGACTCTAAGGAAGTAGATCCCATACCCATAAAAGTGTGGGGTTAGTCCCGTGACTTGCTCCGCGATAAGAGCGACCAATCAGAGCATTTGAAAACGTGTGCATATTCGAAAAAGCTTTGTCTTGATATTCCGATAAGGTATAGAGATAAGCGGAATGAGATGAGCTCTAGAACGCTTTTCAATCTTCAAGTCTTCTGGCAAGGCAATAATGGTTTCAAAATCGGGCTCCAAGAATGGGTTAGTGCGCCAAGACTTGGTACATAGCATGGGGAAAAGCCTCTTCCCCCTCCCCATCCTATCTCAATAAATTCATCTCAACGGCTTCATTCCAGTCCTCAGAGATGGAGGACATCCTTCCCCGTCAACCCGTTTATGTGCAAATTCCGTCACCTGGACCCTCCATCGAAAGCAACCGACTCCTCCTTCGCCCTGTCGAAGACCGTGACACTCCAGCATTATTTGCCGTCCGTCGTCGGCCAGAAGTCGCAAAAACAAAGTAAACAAAACTGACACATCCACGCGAATCCATTGAACCCCTCAGCTAATAAATATAGCCACCCGAAAACACCATTTCAGTCAATTGAACAAACAAAGGAATGGCTATCAACTAAAATCTTCACCGAGGGACCGGCCAATATCATTGGTCGTTCGTTCGTATATGCGATTCTAGACAAATCGATTCCTGATACTGAAGAGCAAGTCATTGGGTATATGGGTATCAATGCCGTCCACCCGTGTCCAGAAATCGGATATTCACTTCTTCCGGAGTCTTGGGGTAAAGGCTTCGCCACGGAGTCATTGCAGATGATGTTGAAGATGTGGTGGGATTTGCCGAGGAGAGAGCTTGATGACCTCGATCGACTTCATGAGGGCGTTGAAAAGGTTTATGCTATTTGCGAGAGAAACAATTATGGGAGTTGCGCTGTGTTGAAGAAGTGCGGGTTTGAGGTGGTGAAGGAAATGCAATTTGGGACTGATGAGCTTTATCTGTGGTCTTTAGAGAAGCCAGCTGCGAAGGGGAATGGAACAATCTAATCATGCAAGTATACCCCGGAAGGAAAGGGAATTGAAGCATCCTATCTTCAGCTCAAGTGCTATTCTAATTAACTACCCAATTTAATTGTTGCCTCTTTCCTCGGTGTCAAATCACCTAATTGGGGACCCGGAAAGAGTCCATAGTCCAGGGTCAACCAGGGCCACCAGTCACTCTGCCATTTCCAAAATACTGTTCTCGGTCAAAATCGTATCTCCAACACTGCCTTGCCCCAGATTGAAGTTGCAGTGTCGGTCGATACCGAGGAACTGAAGAAGTCAGACCGCAAATGCTGCAGGATGACTTTTTAACGAAAACAAAACTTCTCAATGCATGATACATTATCGCAGCATAGATATGAAACAAAACAACCTGTATATACATTAATATTATCGGGTATAGTTATGGTACAATTAACGCCTAGTCGAATATCAATCTCTTGCCATCAATTCAGGTATTGGCCGCTGAGGATCCAATTCCGTTGGCGCAGACCTATTAGTTATGATAGCCGAAGGGCTACTACCATAAACCTCATTAGCAACCTCAGGTCTCAGAGACCGACTCAGCCTGTTAGCCCGTCTTCTCTCCCAGAGAGCCCAGAGCAGAGTGCCAATCGCAATCACTCCTAGGGGGACGCCGACTCCCGCTCCAATCGCGACGTCGTGCGAGCTAGATGCCGAGGAAGATGTGGTTGAAGAGTTGGAAGAAATAACCGCAGTTGAATTTGTAGAATTTGAAGATGAGTCCGATGTGACATTGGCAAGTGCGGCGCGCCCGAGGATGATTTTCGCGTCGTCTAGGCGGAAAGCGTTTCCGTATGGACAGACAATATCCGAACCGTTGTAGATAGGTGTGCCGCAACAGTATAATGAAGTTCCGTTGATTAGTGATAGGTTTATAATCGATGCGCCCATCTTTTTGGTTACATCCTCTGAGTGACTTTAGCTTGTCTCGTTCTCGTTGAAAATAATGCGAGGGTAATGCTTACGGCATTTCGTGGGGCATCCATCTCCCCACGCCTTGCTGGTACAACCTCCCCTAGAAACAACAAAGGGTTGAGATACGTCCAGACATAGTCCATTCGTCAGGCAGATTCCGCCATTACCACAACAATGCGTGATGTCATCGGAGGTGCATGGATAGGTTTCTGATGCGATGTTGCCCTCCGGATAATAACATGTGCGAGTGTCTGTACTCATGGTGTATGATTTTGTAGAGTACTGTAACTGAATTGAGATAATTGAAGAGTTGAAGCGATCTGTTGCGCGTCAAATCTATGTGTTGATCAAAGGGGAAATTGGGAAAGGAAAATAGGTCGAGTACACCAAGCTGAGGGAAGTAACGATTAGACGAGATTCTAACTTCCAAGCTAAGGACTAACCAAGGCGGATGGGGCTGCGCTGGGGGCCCTATAATGAGGTGGAGGTGGGGGCTATAGAACGATAAAAACTGGATAGGAAATATTTGAAAGGTGAATCGACACCAGCCCCATATGTGTGATGTTATGAATTCCAGGCCCTTGACCCAAGAGTCCACCCATAACATGTACTTATGGAAGAGTCATTCTTTCAGGTCTTCATGAATATGGCCTGCAACCCCTGATCAGGATGATAGTCATTCAACTCTGAGACCTTCTAACCATCTTAGGGGGCCAGATTGTGGGGCATTATGCAGGATATTGACCTATCAATCTAGTGTCAGCGAAGATTTTTCCGCAAAAGTCATAGTCATTGTTGATCAAGAAATCCTCAAATTTGTACTCCATACGTGGGCTAGTAAAGTAGAGCCAATCTCTCACCCAAGCGAAGCTTCGGGATTTTCTCTAGTGTAATTGTATTCTAGAGATAAAGCTTGGCGTAGCACTCCCCTAAATCAATTGACCACTTTCAGTATCGCGTGTTTCTTATGTCTACAGACCCCCTTTGTCCAAATGGTTCGATGAAGTGTGAAGTCATGTGTTTACTCTACATGTCTACAAGTTTATCAAGGATAAAATCCTTCCTGCTCCATTTTTGTCCTTCCATACATAACGTTGTCCTTGAGTATTCAAATGGTATAGTAGAAAAGAAGATAGAAGGTAGATAATATAGTAGAAGAACAAGTAAGATACTGGGTAGGTGAATGGTATAGAATGTTTAGTAGAGACATTGCTCATCATAGGCGCTACGCATTCAACGCAGCAGAAATCCTCTCTTTATCGTCACTAACTTGAAATCTCTGTTATTTTGTGTGCCTCTGTCTTTGCGGCACCAACAGCAGCAGCAACCAACACCACCCCCATTACCATCAAGCAGTGGTCAGCAATGAATAGCCACCAGGATCGCGGTCTCCTCCTCTTCTTGTTCTTCGAGGCTACCAGCGCCCTCCCTATCATTGCCCGGGCCACTAAGCTCCCCCGTCCCTCAATCTCTATCCCCCTGATTCAGAGGGGTATTACCGCCTGAACATGGATGATATCCACCATATCATCCACGTCTTGCACCCTTTAGGTGCACTGGCGCGACTCGAACAAACTATTAAGATCGTTAGCATCATTAGGGATACTATAGGATTTGGGAAGGTATTTGGTTAGGTCCACTCTCGGAAGTAGTTCCCTCACTGGGCCTCCTCGAGGCCTTTACATAACTAACACAACTAGTGATGTGAGCAGCTTCAGTAAGGCTCAACATACTGTTACGGTCGTTATCGAGTCTGGAAGAGCCCATTACGGTGGCTGATTTCAGATTATAATGCATTTCTCTCTCTCTCTAAAGCTCACAGATACAGTCCCACTTCTGGAAGAGAACCGGACCAGCTTCTTATGGTTTGGAAAGATAACTTTTGATGATCACTTGAATCCCAGAAGAGAGAATATAGCGAGAGAACCAATAGAGCCATCCGTTTGTTCGATGGGAAACAAAAACAAGTAGCAAAGGAATGACGGACCTTAATGATGGCTGATTTAAATTACACCCACCTGGGCATCCATCATCATTGCATAATAGTCTCAAATATATGACACGAAATTCCGTCCATGCATCTCACTTATCATTGGTTCGTAGTCTGATCGATATCAAAATGGTTCATTAGCGGAGATACCCACGTAAAGCCCGGGCACATTAACTCCACTAAATCCGAAGTATAGACAAAGACCCCACGAACGGTATTCCGCGCTTAGCTAGTAAAGCTGTATAAATAACGAGATGATACGGAGCAGAAGAAAACATTGACAAGTAACAACTCTACAAGTGAACAGCCTCAATCTCAATCTCACGATTTGAAGTGACACCAGATGTCATCCTCAACCCATCTCGCTGCCGTGATCCCGCAAAAGGGAGGCCCCCTCGCCCTCATCCAACGACCAACCCCAACTCCAGGCCCAAATCAACTCCTCATACAGGTCAAAGCCGTCGCGATCAACCCAGTGGACTACTATCAACGAGAACTTGGGGTCTTTATCGAGAATTACCCTGCAATATGTGGCTCGGACGTCGCGGGAATCGTCGCAAAGACAGGAAGCAACATGCGTCCTGGAACACCCAAGGCCGGAGATAGAGTGGTTGCTTTTGCGAGCGCGTATCTCTACAATGCTGATCCCGATTACGGCGCATATCAGGAATACGTCCTTATCTCTGAGGATGTGGTTTCTATTTTGCCGGGTGGGTATACGTTTGTTGAGGGAAGTGTTTTCCCGATGGCAGCTTGGACTACTTGGAATGGCTGGTTGTGGGCGGGGATGGGGAGGGAGTACAGGGGGGCTAGTGGGGAGGGAGTGCTTATTTGGGGGGCTTCGAGTAGTGTTGGGGCTTTTGCGGTGCAGGAGGCTAGGTTGATGGGGTTGACGGTTTATGCTACTGCTGGTGTGAAGAATCATGAGTATATCAAGGGGCTGGGTGCGACGAAGGTGTTTGATTATAGAGAGGAGGATGTGTTGGGGAAGATTGTTGATGCGGCGAAGGAGGATGGGGTTGTTATTCGGGTTGGGTATCATGCGACAGGATCGCAGCAGTTGGCGGTGGATGTTTTGAGTGCGTTGGGTCAGGGCTTGGGGAATTCCAAGTTGGCAATTGCCCCTATTGTGGAAAAGGATTTGAAAGTACCTGATGGTGTAGAGACCACATTTGTGCTGCCGCCTAATGATATCGATGCGAGGAATGAGAGGACTAGGTGGATCTTTGGGACTTGGTTGCAGGAGAAACTCGCTTCGAAGGAGGTGGTTGCGAGCCCTTATATCAAGGTGGTGGAAGGCGGTTTGGCATCTGCTAATAGGGCCCTAGATGAATGGAAGGCTGGGGTGAGCTGTACGAAGATCGTTTTCGAAGTGTGACAAAAGCAAGAACGTGTGCTTATAGGTCTGTCATTTGATTCGTTTATTGTTAAATAGTATTCTGTCCTAAAAATACTTCATTCGGAGCCCATATGAAGTACAGGTATAAGTACCCCGATAGATATAACCCAGCGACACAGCTGCTGGTGAAGAAGAATAGACCAAAAAGAGATGAAAGATCGGTCGAGGCGTGAGAACATCTCATTCGTGTGCGCGAGTATGTTCAATGCGTATGTGTATGCGCGTCATAAAAAAAACAATCAAAGGAAATGCAGGTTCGAGTAAATGCCGGTTAACATGCTATCACAGAACTGTGCACGATATAGTATTGAAGCTGACGAGACCTCAGCGCCCGTGCTGCCAGATAATAAAAAGATCGAACAAAAAAAGGTAACAAAACATGAACAAGATAATCGTTGCTATAGGGGTATCCAAATGGAGAAGACAATAGTCGAGACATATGGAAAGATTTGTCTGGCTGCTCAGCACCCAAGCATGAGTACTGAATAGTCATTGCTCAGATGTGGCGGAGGGTTCAAAAGGCTTATCTGACTCTGCTGGAGTTGCGTCAGCGCTCGGGGTGGAATCGCCGGTACCAGCACTTCCCCATGAATCTTCCCTTAATACTTCAGCGTCATCAGGTAGATGAGGGCGCTTGATCTTGGCTTTGGACTTGGTGCGAGTTATGGATGGTGATGGGGCTTCTGCTTGCGGGGGATCGCGAGTGCCAGTTTGCATGGGACTGGCTGCGCTATTGTGATTGGGAGACATGGACCGGGGAGAGTCCATGAAGCCACGCCACTTGCGCCAGCCCTCAAAGTCAATCAGGGCCTGCATGCAGCCCCATTCGGTCACCTTTTGTGAGAGCCACGGGAAACCCACAGGCTATTCAAACTGTCAGTATAGGCAATGCAATAATTTCCGTGAATTTGACAAACCTTGGTCAAGAAATCATTGCAGCCAGCAGCCAATGCCTCATGACGATCACTTTGCAAACTGCTGGCTGTCAATGCAACGATAATAACCGGACTCCTGAACAGCGATAGATCTTTCAGCGTGTCTTCCTCGCTGACAGAGCGATGAAGTCCAGGCCTTTTTTCAGATTCATTGGCGCTGGAAGCACTGGAACGACCAGACGCTGTCTTGGAGAAGACACCAATTCCGTTGAGTCGTTCCAGTCGACGAATCTCCTTGGTGGCATCCAAGCCGTTCATGACGGGCAGCTGAATATCCATAAGAACCAAGTGAAATCCACCTTGTCGCCATTTCCGTACAGCCTCCTCGCCGTTAGCTGCACACTTCCACCGTACACTGAGACGTTTCATGAAAGCTTCCAATAGCTTTTGATTGATGATATTGTCCTCTACAATGAGAACGTTGATTGGCGGTACGGTGCCATCGATCAATCCACCAAAAACGGCTCCTGGTGATGCAGCGCTTTTAGGCTTCCGGAGGTTTCTCGGTGATGCAACAGCTGCTGGTGGTGTGTGTGACTTCACTTGCGGAGATTCGACCACTGTCGCTGGGGGCGTGGGCACGCTCTGGGCCGGGATGGTTGGAGGGGGTTGGGAATGAGGAGAAATTCCCGATTCTTCTAAGATGTTAGTCCTCAGCATCTTCATGGAATTGATATGTATGCGTACCCGTCACTGTGGGCGCTTGACCAAGCATGGTCGGTGAATTAGTCGTATGGCGCTGAAGTGCCGGCCGACGGTGCTGACGAGCTCGGGACCCCGGCGATGCAAGTGGCGGCGGCACGCCGGTTGTGAGAATCGAGATAGATGGCGCGCTATTTACTGAACTCGACGAATGCGTGGGTGGGGTCGGGACCTTGACATTGGTAGGCATGAGGGGAAAATATTCGCCATGCTCGCCGGGCTCGGAAGGGTGGTGATGGTGATATCCGGTATGTCGTGGTGATGGCTTTGGGGTTCGGCGTGTTGGCGCCTCAATAAGCAAGGCCTCTTGAATAGTTTGGCCACCGGGGTAATATGAGTCTAGGACAGCCGACAAGGGCTCTTCTGGGCTCAAGAGCCGCTCTGGGGTTGTGATTCGATTTGCGCTGTCGCGTGCTAGGATCCGTATCAAAATATCCGGGGAATCAAATGTCCTGCCCAGCGAGTTGCCGTATTTCGCAATGACTTGGTCGCGCAATTCATCCACCACCGCATCTTCTAAACAAGGCACCAGCGTAGCCGAGCCACCTGGCCGTTTCACCCAAATTCGACGATGGACCATCTTGGCAGCAGCTATGGGTGTGCGACTGCTGCCCGGTTCACCTTGAGTGGGGAAGAAGAGACTCTGCTCCAACAGGCCACTAATCAAGTTCTGATGTGATGCGGGGAGAAGAGACTGACGACGAACAGCAAGACTAGGTCGCTTACTGGAAGGGGCAGGGAAAAAAGACGCAGATTTCCGACGATCTTCCGGGGGAGTCTCAACAACGGTATCAAGAGTCGGGTCCAATGGATGTTCAACTAGAGTTGAGTTGCGAAATTTGACTTGCGTGGCTTGCAGGGACGTGTCGTCGGAATGTGACGGAGTTGGGATCGGGCTGTCGAGGGGGGAAGAGAGCTCTTCGGAGAGAGGGGTAGGCGGTAGTGAGTATTTCGGCTCGGTCGGGGGAGGAATACTGGCTACAGCGTCCGATGAAGGATATCGATGAAGCTGGTGTTGCGAGTGCAGCGGGGATGAATTACTGGGCTTGGTCCGTCGTGACTTGTGACCCTGTCCCTCATGCGCGTCAGGACCCGAGGCGGTATTGACGGAGGATTGGGCCGCGGACGATAAAACGCTGTATGGGGATTTTTCGCTCGCGGAGTCGGAGAGAGGAGTTCTGGAGATGCCAGAGGTTGAATTTGGGTGGACGCGCGGGTCCGCCCCAATGTCCGGATTTGGTACCGCGGGTATCGAAGATCGCCGTAGCAGCTTCGACTTGAGGAGGCGTGTTAAACGTTTCTCTGGCATCGTGATAGCTGCCAATGGACACCTCAATCTCAACTCATAGCTTTCAAGGTTTGAGCTTGACTAAGCTGGAGAAGAGAAGATAGATTGGTCAGGTTTGTACTATTGAGCGGGTGACTAGGATTTGGTTCCCCTAGCCCCAATCATGCAATCGTGATATGGCCGAAGAGAAGGGCCTGAGCACTATGCCAACGGCACACTGAATCCACTAGCAACAGCTGACAAGTGATGCTTTTGGAAATTTGGAATTTTAGAGGTTGTGAAGGGGGAAGTCATGCAGAATCTCTCAGCAGAATGCTGATCTCCCGGTAAGTTGGGCAAGAGCTCTATTCTCACGCTAAGGCCGAAACAACGGGTAGCGGCATCAAATCCCTCCACATGCAGTTTATTTTCATTGGATTTCAAGAGTATCTTCCGGATTTCATATAAGTCATTGGACATGGAACTTATCTTCAAGACCAACTTGGGTCAGTTCAACGTTCAATGTTTAAGAAGGTTCTCTCAAGTGCTGTAATTTGCTTTTTCTTGTCATCATCACACCACGATAACTGCAGTGCTTCCTAGGGAGTCATGTACCCTGTACATATGATATGTGAGAAACCCATAATTTGCAAATCAACTGATTTTTCCACCCATCCACCATCAAGTTTGGGTATTGGTCACTGTTGTTTCTCAATATCATCCAAAGGATTCATATCCGGTCGAGCATTTTGAGTCTCTCCTGCATTATTCCTTGTCAAATCAAGCAGATCATCAATACTCCTTCCGCTTATCTTCGCCTCTTTACGAAGCTTGCGATAGCGAATCCGCCAAACAATATGGCTGACATAGATTCCTCCTTCGAGAATGATCCTAAAACCATCAGCCATGTCATTCAAAAAGGGAGTCGACAAGCAAATCACTAACACGAGAATATACATGATTCCACCTAGAATATCAAAACTACCTTGCGCCGCTACACAGTGGTTAGCGAAATGCGGCCCGCCGGTACAAATGTTAAACCCATACCCAAGGCAAAGAGAGAAAACATTCCACCTAGTGTATCAATAGACAAGAATACCCAGTCTGTGGGGTTAATATAAGATTTCACTTTTCAAAGATAGGATGACTTGAAACATACTGAATCCAATGACACGGCCATCCCTCTTCCACAATTCAAAGTATGGAGGTAATAAGCCCGCAGTTAAGAGGATAGCAGCAACTACACCAACCACAATATCCGGCCAGGAAACGCCTTTGCTGTATGGGATCTGCAAGAATTGAAGTAATCAGGACTAAGCTCCAAAATAACCAGCAAGTCAACATACCCGTAACGTAAGAATGAGAAGAGCCTCGATCCCGCCAAATAGAGCAGAACACCCCAAGCAAACCAGCGATGCTTTCAACCGACTGTAATTGCTTTGGGGGGTATCAGCCTCAACTCAATAGTACCATCATACACAAAGTATATGGCCATTCAACTTACTGGTTATAATATAGAACCTGACACCAACTGACCAAAGAAAAGAACCCAAAGATCTGCGGCTGGATTTGTAATGGGATATTCACTTTCTGTAGAATCAGGTATGCACCCATTGGAACCGAACCTATTAAGAATCTCCAATGAGTATTCCTGTCATGGAGAACTAATTAATTATCTTACAGCTCGCCCACAGAAACATCATAGCAGCCGGGAATCCATCCGTCTTCTTTCTTCGCCAGTTATACCATATCTGGGGAATCAGCTGTACACACCAGAGGGTTGTGCCAATTGTGCCGAGAACATTGGAGGCCAATGTGACATTATCTCCAACCGACATGTTTAGAATATTGGATGTAAGGTTCTGGACAATCAAATGGATGATAGAATATAGATATCGGAGATAGATCAGATAGTGTAGGTATTGAGAAGAATCGACTCATTTTCTTCCAAGCACTACACCCAGATGTCTATATGAATTCTCAACGAAAAAGCACGAAAGAAAAGGAAAGTCACGTCTGAGAATCAGAAGCATAACTAGCGGGGGACCCTTCCACTCACTCCCAGGTATCTACAAGCATAAGCGTAAGCGTAAACATGATGAATCCAATCAAACCCAATCAAACAGACAGCCCAAGTCTAGATTCGGAGGAAACAAATCAAGCAGCCGCATATATCAAGATATTGTTGGCGGAACCGGACCCTGCCAAGTTTGAGACTAGGACGAAAAAGGGTAAAAGGAGGAGAGCTTACGATATACTAGGTACGGAGATATGTAAAAGCGATGTGGACAGGTGAGGTGATGTAATTTATGCTGTACGGGAACTTGTTCTATTGGCTTTCTTCGTCACCGTCTATTTTGTCCGATAACGGTTGGTTGGCGTGGGTCTGGTGGGTAGGTGGGGCGACATGATGCCCGTGCCTTTGGCTTTGGCGGAGAATTGGCGTCGTTAGTACTGTATATGGCCTAAAAATATATGTTGTAGATGCTGCACACATTGTGAAGAAGCTGTTGTTTCTCTATGTACATTGGGACAATAGGGTTGTGCTATAGGCTTTACACGGAACTGGGTAGCCTCATTTTCTAATGTGATCGAAGAAATTGATGTGGACAGAAGACCAGATTGCATTCAAGACATCGCAATGCTTTGACATAGATCAACCCCTGCATCTAACTATCTGCGACATCTGGATGTTTGTGAAAGTCAGACTCTCAGCAGGGATCTAAATCAATCCAGTCGGGCTGAATTCTCCAGACATGACAAAAAAAAATAGCACCTGAACCATAACGCGCAGTATAACGGAAAAAGAAAAATGCGGGACAGATGACCGCCAGACACGGTTACCAAACCGGGTTGAGAAAACGCGTTCCAAGGAAAGAGGGAGAGTAGGGGGGGGGGGGGCATGCAAACAGATCAAGGTATGAAGAAAAGGAGGCCATCAAGACATCACGTTAGGAACCAGAAGTACACGTCGAGTGAAGATTCCGAAGGGTATCAAAGTACAGATTTCGCGAAAAGGGGAGACAGAAAATCAAAAGAAACTAATCATCACGACTGTGGCGATCACAAGAGGATGAGGTAGTTGGAGGGCGCTATGCCGGTATCTCCATTTGATTTCCGTGCCTGCCACCATCGGCCGCTGACATCGGATACTTCGAGGATCTCGTGCTTGGCGAAGCTGATCTCGTTCGCGTCTTCGGGGTTCGCGTCGTACGAGTAGATCGCCTTTGCGCGGTAGGGGTATTCGGTGGGTTGGGGAACCTCGCTGGGCTCTTGGTTTGCGGTGCCAGGCGCGGGGCTGGTGCCTCCGAAGCGGGCGGAGGAGGTGCGCTCAGCGCCGGGGGCTCCACCGGGGAATCCGGAGACGGGAGAGGAGGTCTCGAAGCCGCTCAGTTGAGCGGAGGTGTACATCTGTGGGGTGTTGCTGGTGGCCATGGTTTCTGGGCGAGCACCGAATGCGCTAGACATGGGGCGGCTGCCGCGGTAAGAAGAGGGATCGGGTTGTTCCTTGTTCAGGGCGAATGAGTCGATGAACCCGCGGTGGGTAGCCTGGGGCGAGGAGCCGAAGTAGAAGATCCAGATAACCTATATCGATGTAAGCTAGAGGACTGGCGATATATCGAAGGGATGCAACTTACAATCACCATGGAAAGCAGGATGAAGCCTGCACCAGCAGCTTGCTCGGCTCCCAAGTGGCTGTAAATCAAATTGTTTGCGCTGGTCGAAGTCAAGACCAAGCCACACGCAAGGTAGCCAACAATCTAATCATCAATCAGTACTGTTGTTGAACATGCGGGTCGATGCAAATCCTACCGCGACGCCGTAAACATTGCACGTGTCTGTGCCAAAGGTGACAATCAGACCGAGAATCACACAGAACATGTATGAGTTCGCCCACCAATCATAGTTAGGGTAGCCGTTGTTAGGTTGGGTTTCCGACACGACAGATGAGATGAAAGCGATGAGCCACCCCAAGATGGAGATGGACAACGTCGTCAGGGCGAACGGGTCACCCAGGATGTTGCTGGCGCGAAAGCTCGGCATTTTGGGTATTCAGATTCGGAGTTGTTCAATGAATGTCGAGAAGTGGAGTAGATTAACAGAGGGTTAATGGATGCCAAAGGAGGGGTGTTTCTATCGCTGCGGTCCTGTTCTTTTTCCAGGCGAGTCGAATCGAATCAGTCGTTCAAGTTGAGATGTTCTTTTTTGTCGGATCGAGAAAATCAGTTGGTCCAATGCGAGGAGGTGAAACTATTGAGATGCGCCCAGTCAGTTTCCCGATTATCAAAGTATTGGTCGTGCGTGGGGTCCAAAGTGTGGTGTTGATCGTTGGGTTTCGATGTGGCGCCTTTTCGCGCTTAAAACGAGAAGAGTTCCCCACGATTTCCACAAAGCTCGACTAGAATATTGTGCCTGGCGCCTTGTGTGTTCGTACCTTTTCTTTCTGAGACAAAGTGGGTTCGTAGCGAATTGACGAACCGCGGGGGGAACGGATAAGGGAGTGTAGGAAGGTTGGGGAAAAGACAAAAAAAGAACGAAAGGCTAGAAGTTGACAAGACAGCACCAGGCTGAAGAATAGAATGAGCGAATGAGTGTGGAAGTTCAATGAGAAAAAGGAGAAAGTGAAAATGAGCCCAGTGGATCCCGCCCCAAACAGACTCTCACCCCTGGAATCGAGACCACAGTGGGAACCGGAAATGAGGTGTGACTTGCTCCACCATTTGACTTCATTCACTTTCTAATCTTACTTTTCCATGGTCTATAACTTAATCCAATTAAATTATCTTACACTCATGTAGAAAATCTAAAGCTATCTGCTGTTCACATATTCCCCGTTTAACTTTGATCTATAGGTAAACATCAGCCCTTAGTCATCCCCTTTCAGCTGACGCAAACAATCCTTGGCTGCATTGGTTCATTTCCCATCCGATATTACCCTGATCGACAATGGTCTGACATCCCTAATAAATTAATCTACTATATAGTTAGATCGGGCCCTTATACTCCATACTAATCAATTGATTCTACATCCCTCGGTATTCTGGAGAACGTTGACACTCCACGCCCCACACGGTTCGATCGGATCTCGTACTATTTCCATATCTAGTCATCAATTCGTAGTGCACACGTGTCTAGTGACGGGCTATGCTCGCTTGAGCACGAGCACGTACGCCTGCATGTGTACGCGTATTTTCCCGGCTTTATTGACTACAGCTAAGCCTCAGCTCAGCCTCAGAAATATGTAGGCTGTGAAAATAAAGATCTCTATCTATAAAACGCCTCGGCCCCAAAATCCACTTTAGAGAGGAATCGGAATCTGGGGTCCCCCCTTTGAATTTTGCATACCTTATCGTTATTAATTACCGGAATTATCACCAATGACGATAGATCGGCATGTGGATTCCTGTCATTCTACAACCCCATTATTCAATTGAATGCTGTCAAGCTCGCGTGGCTTTATCATTTGCGTATGAATGAAGTCACTTGACATTCTTCTTCATTGAACATGTACGTAAACATAAAAGACGCGCCTAAATTGAACCAACCAAAGCAGGATATCATCGCGAAAAACACAACAATGTAAATGCACTTTCAATGGAATAGAGAGCCTGAAAGAGTAGGAGGGAAAGAGGAACGAGAAAATCAAATCTCATTCTCCCTCCTCTCTTTTACAGCCTCTCTCCTCCTAATATCCCTCTCGACACCCTCCAATCGAGCCTCCCATTCTGCCCAACACTCCCCACTTCCAACAAGGCCTACCTCATACCACCGCTGTAACACCTTCGCCGTGCGAACCCGTAGCTGTGAGATCTCTGCCGCCTGCTCCGCCTGTGTCTGTGCGATGCGCTCCATCCGTGGTTGCAGGTCAATGAGGGTAGCGGAGCTCTGCGCATCCGGGATGGGAAGATCATTGAGAGATGTAAGGCGGGAGGCGGTTTCAGGGAAGGCTGTTGCGTAGGAAAGGACGATTGAGGTGAGAGCACGTGTGGAGAGACCTTCTGGGATTTCGTGGGCAGGTGGAGATTTGAAGAGATCTGGGAAGCGGTCGTCTGGTGATCATAGGTTAGTATGGGCATGCATGCGAATCGAGAAGAATGCTTGGGTTGTTTATGGGATATGGTTGGGAGTAATTTGGGATTGACATACGGAGTTGGATTATGTCTCGTACGACGGGGACGCTGCGGCTGAGTTTCGCTAGTTCTCGCTCCATGCCGGCGAGTCGGCGCGATACAGTTTCGTCGAGGGAGGTTGGTTTCTCCGGTGCGGTTGGCACTCCTGTCCAGTCGGTTGTGCCCCCTAGTAGGTAGGTGAGGCGACGTAGACGTGCCTCAAGGAGCTCGATGGTGGCACCGGCCACGGAATCACTTTCAACTGTCATTGTGGAGGTATGAGATTGTGGTGTTGCGTTGGAGGGTTGGGACAGAGGTTCTCCGCGACAAGCTCGTGTTTGCAAACACGGCAAATGTGGGGACGCTTCTTATCAAATCTACTACTATACTTACAGTACGAAGTATACGCAACAATTCATGTCAAGTTAAAATACATTTCATTGCTCATGTTCTTCGAGTGCTCTGCTCGATTCGTGTGCTCATCATTAATACAAATGTTCTCGTTCAATTGCTAGATGCATGTTCGACGTGATCTGCCATATCTTCGTCGCTCTCCACCCTCCACGTATCGTTATCATCTATGGCTTGAGACAATGACTGGGTCGCACTCCATGATCCTGGTTTCTCTTGCATTTCTTGCCCGCGTGTCTCGCCATCAAAGTCTTGTACTTCGTAATCGAAAACGTTCACAACCCGATCCTGCTGCGGTGTAGGGGGCTGAGCCTGCTCCTCCATGGCCTTCTGGTTCCAAGTTGGCTGATTCCAGCTATCGTCTGAATTGCTAGTATCTTGACTGCATTCGGCCGCAAATGCCTCATTGTCTTTGTTCACGAAGTCCTGTTTAGGTGAGTCAATGGTCAAACACCAAAGGGAAAACTCATGGCATACCTGTAGCTGTAAAGGTGCAGGGTCTACTGGGGCATTCAAAGCCGCGTCACTAGCATAGACCAGCAGGACTGATTTCCAATCCTCACTAGCTGCGCGGAGGACTTCAGTCTCCGATACTTTCCGGGCAGTATAGCCCATGACATCCCCATTCTGTGGGGTTGATTCGTCGCCCTGGGCCTGTCTCTTCTCGGCTTGCCGAGTCTTACCGTCCTCGGCGGAGAAACTGATCCGCCACCATTGAGGGCAGTCTTTGCCATCGACATCCATGACATCTCCCTCTTCCTTAGCTTGATAGCCTTTCAAAACGTAAGTGATGTGGGGCTCGGTGCAGACACCTCTTAGCGTGTATTTGTGCGAAGGAGACTCATGTGGAGACTCTGATGGTTCAGTAAGCATCCTGGAGTAGCTGTGCATGGTTTCTAGTGCCCTCTGCTTCTGAATCTCGAGCCCTATGATTGGTGGTTAGCAACACCAACTGTTAGATAATGCATTAAGTGAACATACCCTTCAGTTTCTCATCAATCTTGGCAGCTAGTGCGCGCAGCTGTTGGGGAATCCGCTCCGCTCTCTCTTGTCCCTCCTCTGGTGTCAATTTGCCCAGATTGCCATTAATGGCTGTCTTCAGAGCTAGAGGCACCGCGGCAGCGGTCTTTTTAAGTATATCCATTCTTGTGAGACCGCTGAGAGGGTTTGGTGGTGAAGTAAAATGCTCGATCTGCTGTTCGATTTTTGACACAGCTTCCTCAGCCTCGAGCTTTTTAACGCGCATATCACGCGCGACGTCTTGACAGGTGCTCAAATAACGGTCGGGGTAAAAGACAGCAGGAATTTTCACGTCCACTGGTTTTGCCTTCTCGGACGAATCAAGCTTCATGACTAAAATGTCACCAACATGCTCCAGCCATACATCGTCAAGATCTTCCCCGGGCTTGTCACTCCAGATAGCCGTGTCCAAGACGTCGTAGAGCGTCTGCCCTGGATCTTCGACTGCAGGTTCAAATACAAAAAGCTCTTTTGAGATCGGTTCGTCGCCGTCTTCAAATGGTGTTTTTTTGTAAGCCCGTGACACGAAAGTTGCGACTAACGGATTATTGGGATCGGCTCGAATTGCAGCAGAATTCCATGTCTCGAGGAATCGTGCGACCGCCTCTTCAGAGTCGGAAGATAGCCAGTTCATCTGTTTAAGACCAGCAAGTGCATCACTACTCCCAAAGGCACGCTCTGTAGAATCCAGGAAAGCCATTAACCGCTGGGTCTCATGAATAAGGTCTTCCCAATCGCTATCTCCCCTTCCATCGTGGACAGTCACGATTTTCGGCAGATTTATCGGTTGCCCATTCCACCACTGTGTATCAAGCCCATAGTCAAAGAGAAGTTTGTTTCTTAAAAGTAATGCTTCTCGCGCCATAGGAATTTCGTGAAGGATTGTGAGAAACGCTCCTAGATAGAGATTGTCCTGTGATGGGCGGATGAATGCTGGCTCGCCGTTCAATCTCTTGCGATCCTCGCAGTCCGGGCTGAGGGTGACTTCATGTGATGTCTCATTAAACAGGGTCATAGCCCAGTCACCTTCATTGTAGTGATCGCGCGTGGCTTTCCCGAAGTGAGGCGGGCTATCCGGGACTGCTGTCGTCACTCCAGTCTCTTGCGTACCCATGCCTTGGTTGAGGGACATGGCCACCGCCCGCTGCAATTCCTGCTCCTCGCGCTCTGCTAAGCTGAGTCCTGGTCCGGTCCCGGTCGCCGCTGATCCGTCAGTATGGTCTCTCGTGATCTGTGAAAGGGCTGCGCACCTGAGTTGCCCGATGTGTTGATCGCGGTTGGCCCATCATTACCAGCAGCCTTGGTTGTGTCATGCATGTTCACTCTCGAAGGAGGACGGGAGGGAGGGGCGGTGGCAGGCATTCGAGGGCCGTGTTCTTGGTCGTTGTAACCAAACGCTGCAATCGATGTCAGCTACTGGAAGAGAAGCGAGTGGATAAGGATGCGCACGAGTCAAGTTGCTCTCATTTTGCCAGTTGGTCTGGAGAACTGGTCAGCTTCTTCGAGATCAAATGAGTATTGATGGTGACGCACACTTGGCGAATGAGGTCCCGTTGGATCTTCGTAGTATGCATTTATAGCTTTTTGCGAGTCGCCATCATGGGCCTGTGGTTCAAAAAGACTAGGTCAGCCGGGGATTCAGATGTAAAGGCGCGAATGCGGGGACGAGGTACGACCTTCAAGAAGTTGATCGCACGCGGGCGGGTGGTGCTAGTGAAGCTGATAAACTCGGTAATAGCTTCTTCAGAAGGTTCGGAGTTCATGGTGGGGGCTAACGAGCCAGGAGGATCAGTTCAACAAACATCGAGGAAGTTGCATCAATGATGGCGGGAGCTTTCCCCACCACATGACGCCAAGCATCGATCCACCCTTTGTAACTCACTTCACACGCCCATCGACTACGGTGAACGATAGGGCACATGTGGCCAATAAAGGTCAAATTATATTATTTTTGGTCACCGCCCTTGCTTAGTCTGTAAGTGTTTTACTCGGATATCCACAATACCCACCAGTACAAACTTATCTAGCTGGTAGTCACTTATTAGTAAGAAAGGAAACACCTGCCTAAGTAGGTACTAGTAGGTTATTGGACAGACGAGCAAGTCTGATTTGCTTTTGTGGCTTTTATTTACTAACCATGTGATCATCATAATGAGAGGATCTGGAATAGGACTAGCGAGCTCTTCCTTTCCTCTCTCTAGACATGATTTTTCGATATGAACTGGCCAAGTATTGTGCATACTTTTATGCCTGTCAACATATTGAAAAATTGTCAACACACTTTCTTGGATAGGGTTTATCATAAACTTGTAAAGTATTGTTATGAAAATTTTGGTATATTTGGATTTCTACTACGTGAAAGGAGTATGTACTGATTAGCATTGGCCATGCGTGCCCTATCGTCCACCGCACGTAGCACATCGACCTTTAAGTAAGTAGTCTATTGGGTGGGTATTTAGATAAAATAAAGTATGTGAAGCTGTACAATGAAGATCAAATAAGAATGAGTACCAAATTAACTACGACAAGCAAAGTTTGCGGTAATGAGGAATAGTAGTGTTGATCCCAATCCCAGTCATGATCTCGATGAATTCCTCTTGCATCTTGAACCTTTCGTAGAAGTCAATCATGCATTCCAACTATTTCTGCTTGGATCATCCTGCATGCCTTATAATCGGAAGCTACCACCGCAGATAGGGAGCGCCCGGTGTCAGTCACAAATATGAGATTATAGACAGTATAGTCAGCTACGTCCAAGTATTGACGTGCATACTTTGAACGTTGAAGGGCACTGAGGACTGTATTTAACAGATCAAGTCACCCCCGCTAATGCTTTTAAGTCAAGAACATCAATCTGCATGATGCATCTGAGATGAAATGAATTCACATTTCGACGACGAATCTTATCTCAGCTACTCGCCATGTGGTAATGCTGATTCCAGGGACAAGATGCAATGAACCGAAAGGCATACTTTGACATTGTTCTACCGCTATCCAGCAGTCGATAATGCTTGACATAGTATACCGAGTATCTTTGGTTCAAAGCATACTTTCTTTGTTTTCAAATGTTGCCACTCTCCAGATCCGATTGTTCAACTGCTCGTCTATTTTTGAATTCGATCCAATACAATCTTCCATCAATGTCATAATACAATGTGACAAAGAGTTTGTTGAGTATATTGAATGATTAAACAAAGATGAGATCAAAGATATTATCTAAATCTATCTTCCGTTCTTGGGGTTCATGATTGGAAATTCACGCATGAGGGATTATTCAAAATATGGTTCAAAGACTATTGGTTAGACCATCGTAAATTGGAAAGAATTTGAAACGTTTCATTGTTGCATTCGGTGTTCTTTTATGCTCGCATATTCAAACATGTGGGTCGAAGACTCGAACATAGAGGACTTGGCAATTCCGACTGTATATTCCCTCTATGATCAACAATTTTCACATTTCAAGGTCTTTAACAAAGCAAGTATCACTAAAATTCACTATCTTGCAAATCTTATCATCCAAAGATTCAGATTGAGCAAGGTGACTGGAAAAGTCGCACCGACAAAGAAGGCTGCAAAGAAGACCCGCGCCGCTGATCAGGGCGATGATTCCAGTGCCGCCCGTGTAAAGCGCCATCAGGCCTCCGTGGAAGAGCAAGCTGCTGAAAAGATGGCGGCCCTTTACTGGGATCTGAATAGCCATGCCATGTTTCAACAAAACGTTACTGCCGGTAATCCCTCCCCCGAAGACGTTTCGAACTATGAAATTATGCAGAGCCTCCTCCTGTTTGACAAAGCTGATATCACAAGACTTGCTATTTCACCTTCTTTCTTTCGTTTTTGCCTTTTATACAGGGTTTTTCCTTTGTGATTCCATATTCAATTACTTTCCCATTGATCAGCTGTTCGTTAATTGTCCAAGTTCTGTTTCTATGTAAAAATACTTGTGTTACTAGAAAAGTATTCATTGATTTATTCAAAGCTTTAAATCACAGAGCCACATGGGCTATTGAATTTCGTATGTGACTGGCATGTATGCTGGGACCTTCTCCTTTTATATGAATTCCCTGGCACCTGGGGGATAGAATTGAACCTTCAAAAAACCCATATGTTCTAGTAGCTCAACCCTAAAAGTTGATTGTCTGCGAATTACGTTGTGGATTCGAAAAAAATCATGTAGATGGCTTCAAATTGTAAGCTAGCTTCCTAACCTAGATATGAAATAAGCTTGCGGTATAAATGAAAATACCTTCGCTCTCTTCGATCCTGGAAAAAGTTATCCAAACGCTGCAATGGGGTCATCGTGGTGTCTTTCCTATATGTGACATCCAAAAATTTCTTTCATTTATATTTGTTTACGTATCAAGCGTCATGGCTTCGACGAGATGCTTTCTAATATATATCTAGAAATTCATATGTGCACTTCCTTTTTTCACATACATATGCGCTTGGAGGTTGGAATATATTTATGGACCATGATTAGGTGCGTGTAATATTCATTATCTGAATAATCATATCATCATGGAGATACCACCAGGTGCCCATGGGTTATCATCCAAAGATTAGCCTCTCGCTTAGCAATTAAAGGGAATATTTTTACGACTCTCTATTATTACTATTAGGAATGTTGTTGAACGGTAGCAGTGGGACTTGACAGCCGCTTACATGAAGCTTTGGTGGAGACCAAGACAGTCACGTGCCAGCGCGCTATAATGCCAAATCTCACGACACATCGTTCGACACCCCATGCAACGCGTGCTTCACGCAGCAGGTATGTCCAGCTCCCACCCAGTGCAGGCCCAGGCTAATCATGCTAAACAGCCCAGAGAATATTGTTTACATAAATCAATTTTCCTGTCTCGATGATGATAACCCACACATTCAAGAGCTTCACATAACACCCTGCCCAGGAACCTGGGGCAGCGGACTCCATCCCTCATTCAGCTTGTCTGAGATGCAAGTGGAAGGAGACGCTTGCTTTGGGGTGTATGACTGAGTAATGAACAGAGATCTTAGAGACTTCCCCCTTCCTGACTTCAATCCCCTGCCAGTGCCCCGTGGGCTTGAAATTTGACCTACTAATCATGTTTAAACAAGATGTACATACGACAGACCAAAATGTACTCTACAGATATAGGTAATTGACATATCTTCAAAGTCCTTTTTGTTCACAATCTCTTCTTATCGCCACCAATGTTGCCAATTGTTTTCAACTGCCATTGCTGGATATTACACGCTACCACTGAAAATGCTCCAGTTTTATTGCCACCCAATGACGACAATGTCCGTCGCACACTCTGAGGCTAGTATATTTTGCTCCGTCTGTACACCTGTGAAGGCAACGGCGTCGAGCATGCCGGTGACGAGTGACAACCAAAGGTAGTTTTCAATCTGAGGGTGTGCTACAATACTGGAGTTTCATAGCCTCTAATGGAACTGCATTTATGTGTTTTATTGTTCCTTTTCCTGTTTCCTTTATCTAGTACTATCTATTTTGTGGAGCCAACTAAACATCATAGGGCAAACAAGTGGAAACTTGAAGCAAACACGATTTCAGATAAAATTATAACAAACAGAATGGAAAATAATGACTGACTGCCTCATCGCCCACAGTACATGGTTAAAATTCTCAGGTGTCAACAACCCCAAGTGACTGATACCATGCCAGAGGTATCCGCCCACAACTATACATATTTTCAACTTCTCCCTCTCCCTTTCCTTTCCTCTTATTCGACCACTTATCCTTCCCTCCACTGATCCATCCTCTTGTTTCGACTCTAGAGGCCTCTCCGACTGTCGTCCATATGTGAAACGGGGAGATGAGAAAGCGGCCGTGCACCTTCCCCATTTCGACGTTGGCGACAACAATTCTAACGACCTGAGGACTTCTCTCGCATTCGCTCCTCCATCGCACATCTGGATTATACTGATGCCTTGCTGTTAGCCGAGTAGCCGCATTCGGGTGAATTTCTTGATGATTAGTGCACCTCATTCCTGTGGAATGCTTGACTATAAGCCGGCTAGGTCCTCGCCCGCATTCGAACCGCATCCTTCTTGCTGTCGAGCGAGTTTGAGAATCTTTTGTTTAAGGGTTGTATTTCCTCCTAAGGGTCGACTGGCCTTCTGCTTGTCTTTGGGCTTTTCTTCTTCTATCTAGGCATAGCTGCCCGGAACACGCTCGTACTGTTTTTGTTTTATCTTGCGTTGTTTTGTTTCTGTTTTTATTATACTTTGCCCTGTGATGAGTCTGTCTTTGATAGACGGACTTTAAGCCAATTCTGCAGGCATCGCAGTCTTGAGAACCTTCTGGTTTTTGGATTATGATTGATGCCGTTGACGCGACGAGAGCTTTCCTGAGGGTTTATTCATTTGTTTTCTGTGCTGCACTTTCATATTTGTGATCGAGTGCTTCTCAATGCGTCTTGCTGTTGCACTTTTTTCTGTAACTATCAACCCATAGTAGTTTCGAATCCTTCATATATCCTTCGTATGCTGTCCCAGTGTTTAGGCCTCGACCGATGTGCATTATGTCCCGATATGTCTAATTAATTGACATGCATGCGAATCTACCCCTCGAACACTTGGGCACACCGCGTAGTTTTTGGACAAGTTCGAAAACCCTAGCCCCCGACTTTGCTTATTTTCCGCTTCTCTTTCTAATTTTCTTTTCTTTCTCTTCCACTACATATGGATTTTGAGAGGCCTTTGAATGTTTAGGAAATCCCATGGGAACGAAGGTAGAATACTAGGTAGAATACGGGCTAGGATCCTGAGTGGGAGGCTAAGAAAGAGAATAAGTAGAAGATACAGTATAGCGGGAAATATGCTTAAACACTACTTGTTGTACCTAGCTAGGCGCCGCGTATTTCATGCGGCGGAAATTCTCCATTAGCGCTAATACACAAGCTCTCCAAGACGTGTAAATAAGTCGGCTTCCGTTCTCTTGCCAGCATCTGGCTGCTGAAGAATTGCACCGATGTCATCCAACCCCGAATTTTCTTCCCAGGTGATCTGGGTCTTCGCGCTGGCTTTCATGTTGTAGGATATTCAAGGATGTAGAAGCTAGAGAGGGTGGTAAACATTACGTACATATTAGGTGTACTGACCTAAGCTCGCAGGGCCAGTATCGGGATAAACGCGACAGCGCAAAAGCATCCTGTCCTACAGACCTCGATCTCATCTTATTATTTCTGCTGCAAGAAGTGCCTATTAAACCAGCCTCGGGATTTATGAATGGAATCTTGAATCAAAGGAAGAGGGGTGGATATTCCACACCAAAGAACGCCCGCTAATGCATTATTTTGGTCGTCGCATGCTACGAGACAATGTACAGGTAATTCATAACGCACCGAAATCGTTCCACCCACGAGACTCGGCAACCCCACTTGCAACCTTTTCGAGAATCAAACTAAGAAACTTATTTTAAGAACCGGCCGAGCGCACCACCGATGTTCTTCAAGTCAAGCAAAAAAGTATCGTGACCGAACAGCGAGAGATCCTCGCCAAGCTCGATGTGCTCAACATTCTTGTTGCCGCCAGCACGAAGAGTCTCGGCAATCTCGCGTTGTTGCCATGCCGGGAACAGGATGTCGCTGGCAACACCCATGACAAGGACCGGGTGGTTCTTCAGCGGCGAGAGACCAGCAATCAGGTCAGCTGGGGGTCCCTCGGGTTCTTGGGAGGTAACAGACTCGTCGGCGAGTGGCACGGAAGCATTAGCATGGGGCTGTTCCTCGTATGGCTGATCAGGCAAAGTCAAGCTACAAGCTGCATCTGCGACGCTTGAGGAAATATCACCCCGAGCAATACGAGCCTCGGCCTGTGCGCGGCGAAGACGGGTTTCGGATTGGTGAGCATGGCCCAGGTCGAACAGGTCCATGGCCTTGGAGACATACAGGAGACTGTTGGGGTCGTACTCGAGACAGAACTTCTCGCCGGCGTGGTCGAGATAGGTCTCAATGAGGAAGTCGGGACACAGTGCAGGCTGCTTGCTCGGATCGGCACGGCGACGACCAAATCGCTGTTCCCACTCTGGTCCACTTCGGTAGGTAACAGTAGCGATCTCACGCGCCAACTTCATTCCCGAGTGCGGAGGGATGCCGTCGTAGTAGAATCCACGGGACCAGTTCGGGTCCATCATCAACACCTGTCGCTGTGTATGACGCATGGCAATGCTGTACGGATGACTTCGAGCACAGCCGCTGATACTGACGACTTTGCCCACGCGCTCGGGGAATAGTACACCAGCCGCCAGACTCTGCATTCCTCCCATACTGGATCCGACAGATGCAGCCAACTTCTCGATACCCAAGCCGTCGAGAACACGGAACTGGGCTCGTACCATGTCGTCCAATGTGAGGATTGGGAAGCGTGTTGCATAACGCTCGCCGTCTGAAGGATCCTTCGAGGAAGGCCCTGTACTACCGTAGCAGCCACCCAGAACATTGGTACAAATCACAAAGTACTTGTTTGTATCCAGAGGTAAACCAGGCCCGATAAACTTCTCCCACCACCCAGGCTTCGGGTTAGACGCGGTGCTATGAGCATGACTCGAAGCTGACAAGCCAGTGTGCAGAAGGATCGCATTGCTCTTGTCCCCATTCAGCTGACCCCAAGTCTCATAAGCAATGTCAAATTCCGGCAGCACGCCGCCCCAGTCAAGAAGAAGCGGCTGGTCACAGTGAAACTGTTCATGTTGGCCGGTGGTGTAGGAAGGCTCGGGCCCTGATTCGAGTGATCGGGCATTAAGCATAGCTGATTTAGCCTCTTGAGCATCGAGACACGGGAAAGACATGGCGCGGTTGGACGAGTCCTTCGCAGTAGCTGATGAGCTCTTTCGCGGCGGCACGGCGTGCAGGAGTCGGGAATGCGCCGACAACGGCCGAATGGCGCCGGTGAGCAACGAAGCTGATTCACTTGGTCGCCATTGGGAGGTGCGGAGGGTGCGCGAGGCCGAACGGGCAGCGCTCTGAAGCGAACGCATTGCAGCGAAATCAACGATTTGGTATGAGCAACAAGTATTTGGCCGCGGGCAGCTCTTTAAACATTAAATTTCCCGATTACGCTGGCGGAGAGCTGATCTTATCGCCTCAGGCATATGTACCGGCATGGCGTCATCTGTCTTTACCCTGATTGGTCAGGAATCCACTTTCCCCGGTCCCGCATCTATAACTAACTTACTGCAGTGGATTACAAACTATCCTTTTTGAAGTGCATTAACCACAGGTTTTTTGGATTATTAATTGAATTTTCAATGTATTTTGTGATGATCTTGCTTATATTTCCATGCAGATGTGTCATGCCAGAACGCCTCCCTCGGTTAATGCTGGTATCGGTTTACTCGATACGGAAAAGAAAAGAAAAACGCTCAACGCGATGCCAAGGCAACTAAAGCAAAAAATTGGACTCATAACCAGGCAACTTGGTCAGGATCCAGTAGAGTTTTTTGAGCCCGAGCTCTCTATTGTCAGCGAAGACATAATAATGGTGTTGTTGTGGGACCGAATATCAATGGCTGCAGCGTACATGCACCGCCAGCCACCACAATCTGCATGAAAGACCATCCTATCCCCAGAAGGAGAGATAGTTGCACCACCAGGTGCTCGGAGGCCAAAATCGTATGTCTGAAGCAGCGGTCGCTCTGCTCTCGTGTAGGGTCCCTTGATCGACGTTGAATGGGCATATTTCACGTCGTAACCCAGCGATGTAAAGCAGTGCGAGGAGAAAAACAGGTAGTAGGTGCCATTATCGGTGCGAATAATATTCGGCGCTTCGACAAGAGGACCATCCGTCTTGTTGATGTCGAGGATGATCACTGGGTCGCCAATCTTGGTAATTCCGTCGCTCTTCATCTCTTGTAGGAAGATAGGGACAGGCTTCCGGGGCGTCTTGCTATTACCGCAGTAGCCACCAGATCCAACGCTGTTTCCGTCGCCCTTATAGACCACATAGAGCTTGCCATCAGCATCTCGGAAGGGAGACGGGTCGATGGCACCGCCGTACTTGTGCGGGCAAGCCAGTGATTCATTGAGAGGAGTGTATGGTCCCATTGGATCGGTTCCATTCGAGACTGCAGCCCCAACACAGTGGTGTGGGGCGTGTTCCTTCGACTCCCCTGCATAATAAAGGACGAATTTCCCATCATCCTAGTCAAAATGTGAGAAACGAATTCTTGTGGAAAATAAAGCCCATTTCTGTTGGCTTACCCGTTGGATCACGTCTGGTGCCCAAGTGTTGACTTTCTTCTGCCACTGGCCGACGTTCGGCATCGCATCATATCCCTCGTGCAGAGTCCAATTGACAAAGTTGGTTGATGTGGCGACAGGCACATGTATCGTACTTGGGTCGTTTTTTTTCGGATTTGTCCCAAATGCATACCATGTCCCATTGTGCTGAATAAGGCCCGGGTCTGGGAAGTCGTGAATTGCCCAAACAGGGCTGTTGTCCTCGACAGCATAACTAGGGTCATTGGGGTCTGATTTTGTTGCTTTCCAGATCCCCGGGTAGTCATGGTTCTGCCTTGTGAGAACGATTGGAAGGGCGATGACGAGTGCAATGAGAACCAACCCCAAGAATCCAAGGACGCTAAAAATTGCGATTCGGCGCGGTGTCCAGGGCTGTGAAAAGAAGCCTCTCTTCTCTCCGCCTTCAAGCTCTGAGGGTTTTGGTTCTAAAGCTGCACTGCTCGCTATACTGTGACTTTCGACATCTCCTTTAAGACACTCGAGAGGCGGCGACGATAGGGCGGGTGCAGGGTCTTTTTGGTGCCCATCGAATAAAAGGCGCGACATCTTCATGGCTGATCACCAACCGTGATCACAAAGTATATCCCTCGGTATGAGACCAAGCGAGCTAAGATTTGACGGGAATGTGACTTAATATGAGTCGGCTATGAATAGTTGCGGCTGTCGACGCCCGGTGGACAAGGCTGCCCCATCCACGTTTCCACCTATTAGATGCAATTTCAATCCTGGGGGCTGAATAAAAGTAGAAAAATGGGACACTAAGTGAGCGATAACTTTACTTATACGTTAAGGCTACGGCTGATTGCACCAAAGTTAGCGGGAAAAATTGCTGTGAAACTGGGGGAAATAAGGGCCGAGGCGCCACTCATTGGGTATAACTGGAGTCTAGAGTTTAGCGAGTAACTATGACTGAAGACGGTCCCTTGGTTATTCGGTCGCATCTAGCCCCTCAATCACACTACCAGAGACGAGAATTCAACCATAACTCTAATCGAAGAAACGCTTTGCCGGTATCTTGACGGGAGAGGAACCACGCGATGCAGCATGGATCCATGGATCTTAAGACTAACCCGTAAGTACCGACGGAAATGCTTTCCTTCCACAGGCCAAGCTTTTGGATCTGTCAAAAGGCAAATGAGACCAATGGGCGCGCTTCTCCTGTCAGCTTATCGCTGACTTTTTCTGGTATAGTGTGTGCCGTGGACCCTGTCCCCTGTTGATCCGCGAGGGCCCTGCGGCGTCCCGCCCCGGTTTGCAACAACTTTCACACCTGTTGCTATCGTGTACTCATGATTCCCTGCTGTGGCAAAGCTTTTTAAGCGAAAGTTACCCAGAGGCTGCAGATACTAGTAGTTTCTGTTGGCTCGTCGGCTCACTTAGAACAATTGGTGTTTTCCCACGGGGTTCACCGTTTCACGGAAATGTGGGGAAACACGAGAGTTCCACCAAATGCTACCAAATGCGATCGAGTCCAGGCAGCATGATTATTCCTCTGCATCTATGGGTTCACTCACGTAAATTGTTCCAATGTGGATAATTCAGAGCAGATGGACTCCACTACATAGAGTGGAAGTTGGCCTTGGGACCATGGTAAAAAGTGAAACAAAAAAGAACATTCGAACGTTTGGGAGTTCCGGAGCCACACAGATCTGCCTCTGCACCCACGTGGGATAAGCAACAATTGGTGACAGGAACATCATGAAATGTCAAGCGGATTTAGGGGGAAATTACAATCTTGGCCACAGAGTGGCTTTAATGTATGCATCAAAGTTTCATTTTAGTAAATTGAGAAAGAAACCAGATATGTTGATAGAGAGATGTTTCAGAAACATTTGAGCAAGAGGAGCAAACCCTTGCACCATTTAAGTTACACGGAAGCATAACTATAGGTATAGGCTCCAATATCAGATTTAAACTTGCGGTATGTAGATAGTACTAGTCAAGCACTTCATCGGATGTGTCCGCATATGTGGTCAACTGCCTAAGGCATCAATATGTTGATGCCTTATTTACAGGGCGTAAACTATCAAATGTTTCGACGTTATCGGCCATCGTTTCCCCTTAATGTGAATATTCAACATTGTTAAAAGGTAAAAGGTAAAGTTGCGAACGTGTTTCCCTAGGTACTCGGATTTCCCCTAAGACTTCTCTAAATCACATTCCCTTCTCTCCTTCCAAGGTTATCCACATCCCGCGACATGCCGTGAGCACGGAAAATGCCTCAGATCAAAGCCAGTTGAGCACCACATCAAAAGGATTTACCCGGCCATACTTGCTGATGGAATAGATCCATATGAATGTGAAAAGGAGCCATTAATAGTATCTATCAAAATTCAAATCATTAGGTTGGAGCCAAGGGGATATCAAAGATAAAAGAACATGGAAATGGTGCAACCCTTTTGTTTTGTTTCACCTGCGAAAGGGAAAGTTCTGAGGCCGAGGAAGAGAAGAAGAGAAATAGTGGGCTTTGAAAGAGCATACAAATGATGGACGGGAGTTGATGGACATATTTTATTTTTATTTTTTTGGGAGTTGACTGTCGCTTGAAATTACTTTCTATATGCCCTAGAGGAAGGCTCATTACGAACGCTATCACGTAACGTAGAAACTTCGTTTAAAGAACCCAAATAGGCAAGATATACGGAGTATATTCTTGTACTATCGAGATCACATCATATACCAACTTACCTAGGCACATCTTATATGCGCATGCTCAGATTCTTAAGTACATAGATGCTATGTATCTGTCTCTTGATAACCCTGCAAAATAGGGAATGTTAAGGATCAATCTTACGTGCTTGTTTGTTTCGTATTCGTATTTCTTATCAATCATTCAATCGTCAGCTTGTTCGCAGAAAAACTTGGTCTAATCTCCTTGGTCAGCCCGGTTGATCCGGCGAATGCGTAAGCGAGAATAGATGGCTTGGCATGCAGAGGCAGTTTCAAAGCTACGGCTGATTTGAACTCGTTATATGGTCATGCAGGTACTGGCAGATCACTTGGAGCCAGTCAAATGTTCGAAGCACGTCGTTTGGGATTGTTACAGGACCGGCCACATCCAATGGAAAGTCGAGATGGCTTGAAATGGACCGGCACGAAATGCCGTTCTTAAAGCCTCTGAACGGGGCATAAGATCCATATCCGGGTATTAAGTTTCGGGTGGCTCGAGGGGAGTTCCTTAGGGCGATCATGACACCATTCTTCCAATAGCAAATGCGGGGACCAAGATGGCATAAAAATGGATAAATCTACATGAAACATACTCCGATAGAATATAATTATTTGAGAAATGAAGATAACCATACTGTCCCGAACATGAAAAAAAGGGGGAGGGGAAATAGGGCCAAGCCACGTGAGCTCCACTTCCGTAGATGTGCCTAGTGGGCATACGCATACGCAATCCTTTTGAATGCTTTTCAATTTAAAGAAAATGACTTCCAGCCATCGTATCTTTCTGGTTCTTTTCTAAGTTCTATTACTTCGTTTCTCCAATTCTCTGGCTAGAAGCCTTGTTCACCAGGTATACCATTTCTGTTTGCGGCGGGGAGTTGCATTGCGATTGACAATTGAGGAGTTGCATTGCGATTGACGATTGACGGATCGAGCATTCTCAAGAGCCTCCAAATCACTGACATGCCATTTCTTCGATCCCTTGAAGCTTAAATCTCAACGCGACCACGCGATTGTCTGCGAAGGAATCTCTAACTTGCCGATCAAGCCCGAGCGTCCTTGCTGTTAAGCCAAGGCCGCCTAGAAAGCCAAGCCTCCCACTGGGAACGTGGGAATCTGCCCGGTCGCACCAAGTGCGCGTGGCTGTTCCATTCTTTTTGGGGGTTTTTTTTGGACAGGGGCGCAATCCAACCGGAGAGAAACCGCGCACCATGCCTACCTTCCGGAGGGTAATATTCGCTGTCATCTGCCTTGTCGCCATTGTCGTCTTCCTCCGTCATTCGAGCCGACCCGCCGACGTCCCCGGCGCGCCGGGTTACCGACCTGTTCAGGAGATTTTTGCGGAGGAACAGGAATCATACGCGAATCCTGATCTCAAGAAGTCGAGCAGTCGTGGCCAGTTACCGATCGGCGCGACGGCTACCGCACCGCTACGCGAACGTCTACGATACCAATTCCCCTACGATATCAGCAAAAGCTTCCCCGCATACATTTGGCAAACATGGAAATACGATCCTTCGTCGCCGCATTTCGGCGATGAATTCCGTGGCACTGAGGCTAGTTGGACCAATTTGCACCCTGGATTCCAGCACGAGGTCGTCACCGATGACACGCAGCGACATCTGATCTCATACCTCTACGCATCCGTCCCGGATGTCTTTGAGGCATACGACTCTCTACCCCTACCCGTGATGAAGGCGGATTTCTTCCGATATCTGGTTCTCCTCGCGCGCGGCGGAATTTACAGCGACATCGACACATTGGCGTTGAAGCCAGCAGGATACTGGCTCCCCGAGGAACTTGATCGGTCAACTGTAGGATTCATTGTTGGTATTGAAGCGGATCCCGACCGTCCAGACTGGCACGTATGGTATTCCCGTCGCATTCAGTTCTGCCAATGGACCATTGTGTCGAAACCTGGTCATCCCATTTTGCGCGACATGGTTGCGTACGTTACCGAGGAAACTCTACGGATGAAGAGGGCTGGGATTCTTAAGGTGGGCAGCATGGATAAGACCGTTATGGAGTTCACGGGCCCTGGAGCTTGGACTGATGCTGTCTTCCGCTACTTCAACAACCCTCAGTACTTCAATATCCAGCCCGGGGACAAGAACGTCACATATGAAGATTTTACCGAACAAACGGAGGAGAAGAAGGTCGGCGATGTGATTATCTTGCCAATCACGAGCTTCAGTCCTGGTGTGGGACAGATGGGAGCACACGATACCGATGATCCCATGGCTTTTGTGAAGCACAACTTTGACGGTATGTCCGACATCCAATCGAATGGCCTTCTTTGTCACCGTGACCAGATACTGACTTTTTACTTTTCAGGCTCGTGGAAAACCGATCCATCTCTATGAAATGTCTTAGCTGTTTCATGATTTTTACGTCAACAACTCCAACACCTGACTACGGGGCTATGACCCTTCTTGTTCTCCTCTGAAGACTGCACACCGACTCAGCCCAAGGCTTAAAAAACCCTTCCACCTGACTCGACCGTGCACCTAAAAGGGAAGAACTTGCTGTTATACTACGAACACCCATACCCCATTTCCAATACCCATCAACAATTTTATCCTCGATTTTCTCCAAACCTGCAATTTCCCCCTCCCAACACCTCACCATCCCCTCACATAAAGTTTATCTTGCTATATGCCCTGCAGATGATGCTACAGGGCTGTTTTCTCCTTGTGGTATGCACGGCCCATGTTTCATGATTTTCGCACATATGATTCCCATACTTGTTATTGCTTTTTTCCACTTCTTGTGCTGTACACAACTTTGACATGATAGCTAAATGGACTGTGGATCAGTTTATGATAGACCTTTCGAACGTTCACTATTTCGGTTTCTTAATGTAATATCTCGTGGCTATGCTGGTATATGTTTCATCAATGATTAACAGTAGGTTCGGTTCTAGCATTTGAATGTAGGCTATCGTGGGTGCATACTAGGCTACGATATGCCCTTGCAGGCATCCGCCAACATTGAATAAAAATAATGATATATCTCGAGATACTTCACTAAGACTATATGTACGTCTCTGTCGATCAAATAAAGTATAAGTATAAACAAGAAACCATCAAATCCGCCAATAATCGAAAAAAATCACCGTGAAGTTACCCTATATAATCAGCCAGGTGCATTGCAGATTATAAGTGGATTAGATCATGGAACAAATCATCAGCATTAATCAACTCTGTCCTTCAAAGCCTGAATGTGCTCAAAAAACAAGTCAAAAACCAAAGAAACTTGTAGGGTATCAGAGTGGGGGTGCAAGTAGAAGGGGTCTGAGAGCTGACGTCAGACCAAACATTCATGGCAACATCGACTGAGGACCTTGCATACGATGAAACGATTAACCCGAGCGAGATTTGTCGTCCCGACCCCCACTATTACGTGGGGGCGAGGGGCAGGGAGTGGGAGCAGGAAGGTTGTTGATATGGCCTGCTTCAAGGGCCGAAGCTAGTATGTAGGCAAGAATTCCTCGAGCCTATATGTGGGATTCAAACTCTAAGGCTGACGGGCCAGAGGCAGTTAATGCCAGTGAGATGGTGAGCCGATTTGATTCGGTCCCAAGGAATATCAGAGGGGGAGAGAGAGCCACAATCCCTTTATATCTGAGGCCTGAGTTGAGGAGGTCGTTGAAACATGGCATGCTCAAGAAAAGGACGACCGCTAATGAAGGAATCATCAGAAATCACTGAACAGAGGCTCGAATTTCTTCTTCAGGTCTTCAGTGTAGATATTTTGGTTTTTTGTATCGATGTCTGGGTAATCTTCGAAGTTACCGGCGTCGGCGGCGTGAGATACTCGGGGAATAATCGGTCCCTTGACACGTTTGTAGAAGAGATCATCCCATGCAACACCTGCGAAGAACGGGTGGGATTTCACGCGCGTTGAGCCACCAGAGATATGCCCCAGTCGTTCCGAGGGGTTTGTTTTGCACAGTAGGGAGACGATATTCTGAGCTGCTGGTGGCATATTTGGTGGGAAACGTAGTCGGCCTTCCACAATTTGTTCATAGATGCGCATAGGATTTTGATCCCAGAATGGAGGCTGTCCCACCAAGAATTCGTAGATTAGGATCCCCAGAGCCCACCAGTCCACTGCAAGTCCATGTCCACTGTTATGAATGACTTCCGGGGCTAGATATTCGGGGGTTCCACACAGAGTATATGTCTCGCGATTGTCCACTTGCTTTGCAAAGCCAAAGTCCACGAGTTTGATATGGCCGTCCACGTCAAGGAGAATGTTCTCTGGCTTCAAGTCGCGGTAAGCGACACCATGAACATCATGCAGGAATTCGATCGTCATGGTTATTTCGGCGGCATAAATCCTCGATGTCTCTTCGTTGAACCGGCGTGATCGTCGGAGATAAGTAAAAATCTCGCCTCCGGGGCAAAATTCCAACTGCGATTCGGATTAGAACCTGCAAAGCCCGAGGCTGACAACGGCGGGCCCTTACCAACATATAAAGATTTTGTTCATCCGAAAAGGATGCCACCAAGGTTGTGATAAAAGGGTGGTCGACAACCGCCGCAAGAGTCTTGCGCTCGTTGCGTACATGTTCCACCTGTTTCAGCTTGATGACTGTGGTCCAGTTAGTGTCGGATCTGTGCGGCTGTGAGACAAAGGCGCACTCACCATCGGCTTTGCGAAGTATCTTCAATGCGTAGACTTTATTCTTGTCCTTCTGGTCCTTCAATCTTGCGAGCCATACTCGGGCGAAAGTACCTAGAAGCCACCCAAGAAAAAAGAGTCAGATTCCAAGGCACAAGTCGCGATAAGCTCACGGAGTGAAGGAGGAGTGCTGACCAGTGCCAAGAGTCTTCAAAAGAGCAAAATCATTGACCTGCAACTTTCTTGAGGAGATACACAGGGGTTTTTCGTCCTGGCGCTCGGTGATTACGAACGGGTTCAAGGCTCGAGCCGGAGCGCGGAAGGCCTGGACCAGCTTCTTCTCCGTCTGGTGGAGATCGTGGGTCCGCATATTGTTGTTATTGGGAGGGAAAGGATTGGCTTGCCCTTCAAGTGGTGTAGTATGCTCGATTGTCCCGGTTGCGATTGGCGTGGCCGAGCATCTCCGTTTCGTCGTGGGCGAGGATAAGGGAAAAAAAGTATAAAGAGCCCACCCCGTTAGCGCGCCACACCAGATCGCGTCAGCAACGCAGCTTTGGATTCAGAGGCTCCTAGGTTAAACCGAACAACATTTGCCAGCTTGAATCTCCAAATGAAAATAGAGAAATGGGGGTTCGAGCACAAGACGCGGGGCAGATGTTGCGAAAGGAAGTTCTGCCAGCTCTGACGTATCCCATGGGGGCGGGGCTGCACGGGGGACTACGGTTTACGGTGATAAATCGGAACCTTTATTGGGCTGACATTTTGCATTTTTTGGTTTTCGATCGCAGTTGATGACATGATGAGTGATATACCTGAGTCTAGTGAACATGTAAGCTTAGCATAGACTAAGTCTATCGTGAATTGCCTATATGTTAGCTGCCTATAGGGTGAGAGAATCAGGTAGTAAAAGGGTCCATTCCCGAGGTCACCAGGTCCCAATCTATATGCGCACAAGGCTCTTCAATGTTTATAATACATCCCGAAAATAGAATAAAGAAGAAAGGAGTCCATGCGATTCCGAAGCCAGCTGGTCCAGATCTCGATCCTGGAGATTCATGGCTCGTGGGCCTCCCCAGAAAAGCTGTCGAATACATTTTTTGGATTGGAACAAGAGATGATAGAAAATTGATACAATCATATAATGCTGAGAAGCGAAGGCGCATGAAGTGGTTGCAAAAGCAACACGCTCAAGATTTGGAGTTCAAAATCAAGCCAACAATCAAACTAGTCATGGTGTTAGCAGTTGCACTGTTCATAGATTCGTCTGATCTCAACACATACCCGTACAGACCGAGAACTTCGCCGAAAATGAGAATCAAGATCATGCCCACGTAGACTCGAGACTGTTGCATGTATGCCCGGACACCCTGATATGGTCATTAGCACCAAACCTATCTCACAAGGCACTTCGCATCCTTACCGCATCACCAACCACACCAATTGTATATCCAGCGGCCACACCTGTGAGACCAACTGATAATCCAGCAGCCAAATGCATGATCGACCTGTATCCAAACCGTCAACTTCCGGCCCGGAGAATACCCTCGCTACCCAACCTACCTGTATAAACTTGTATTCGTCGTCGGTTGGAGTGCTCCTGCGATCAGGACGGAAATGACAAGGCCATAGACTGCGATAATACCGGACATGACGACGGGGATGAGGGACTTGAGAATCCAAGTTAATGCGCTGCCATACCCAAGAAGTCGTATTACTTACCTTCATGATCAAGTCCGGTCGGTATGAGCCAACACCGGCAATACCGATACCAGACTTGGCTGTGCCATATGCCGCTCCTGCACCTGTGTTGAGGGTAAGCTATGATTCTCCGATCAGATCAGGTCATGTGTTGAGCCACGTACATCCGAAGATCATCTTTAAAGGGCAGCCGTTAGTAACCTGTCACGTTTTGATTATCTGTTGAAACTCACTGCAGCAGCAACTCCGGCCTATTAGAAAATTGGGTTAGTATATCATTTCTCTGTAGCTTGAAGCTTGAAGCTTGAAGCTCGAAGCTCCAGTAGGCTGGGCAACTCACGAAGGAGAGGAACGGGGCAAAGTCGGGCGCGAACTCGCTTTCGGCCATGATGGGTAGACCTCGCAGAGAAAGTGACAAGATAAAAAAGAAAGACGAGAGCTTAACTCTCGTTGAGGTAAGACTAGAATTGGGGGAGGGGGAGGTAGGAGGGATAGGGAGTAGTGTTGGTCAGTACTGGTTGGCTGTTTGGATGTTGGTTTGTCACTTTTGGTCCGCCGTAGCCCTTCTAGCGCTTCCCCCCTCGGTGTGACCGACCGTGACATTACCTTACCGCCTGATGAAGGATCAACTCCACCTTAACTCCGTCTAACTCCAGTACAAATTCCCCATAAACTGGTATTAGTGGTAATTTCAATACACAATACCGGCCGTACACCTCAACCTCGATCCTCTCTCTCCTGGTCCCTCCATAACCCCCCAGTTCCTTTTGTTTCAACACTTCCGTCCCCACACCTCTCTTCTCCCCTCTCCGGCTCTTGGTGGCTTGTAACTGGAGGATGCTGAGGGTATGATATACCAAGGAGCCCTGACTTTGTTGCGCTCACGGCTCCTGGCGCTCTCCGGCTATTGAATATCGCCATTCTCAATCCAAATCCAATCTCTAGGAAACAACCGAAGGACAGCGATGGCATATTGAAGATTCTACATTTGCACAAAAATTACGACTCTTATCACATCGGATCAAACCCATTGTTCCTGGGGGAATTGCCATTTTTTCCCACTGGTCCTTCCGTTCTCTACGATCTTGAATCAGCCACTCTTGCGACGCCCTGAACGCTCTCCACGATCAACTCGGATACCACCCCTCCCCTAAGCCGAAAACCCGCACCCTCATCCTTTTGCCATCCTCGTATCAACACCGTTTCCGAAAATTCAGATCGGACCTATTCGATTCAGATTTAACCTCGGGGGAACATGGCGGATTTGGGAGCCCAGCGTAACCGGAACTACCGGCCTTATGGCGCGGCCTCATCCACACAGCGAGATGCTGCGTATTCTGATATCTTTGGCAGTGCGCCGCCACCAGGCCGCTCCCAAACGATGACCTCGCAGACTCCCCAGCTCCCTCAAGGTCGGGCTCACACTATGTCGTCGCAAGTGCCGCACCCCCAATTCCATCGGCAGCCTCCCCCGCCAACACGACAAATGCCCAACGGATATGGACCACCGCCGCCATCTGCGCCAGCGAATGGATACGCTCCTGCGCCATCGTCGGGAGCCTACCAGGCATACAATCCAACTGGTGCGACGATGGGGTCGCAACCGCCGCGACCGTATTCGGGACGCCCCCCCGTGTACCCCCGACCCCATCGCGTGGATTCCAGACAGGGACCAACACCCCAGTATCCGGACCCCCGGGATTTCAGTCGTCCTATGCCTCCGCCTGCCTTAAACTCCGATGCGGGAAGGTCACGATCGATGGCCAAATTGACTGGACCGTCTCAACCACTGACACCGAGCAACTTCAACCACACATCGGCGATCGCTTCTCGCCGCGAGCCATATCATGCTGGTGCCCCAACAATGACTCAACTAGGCCGACCAGTCCCGGAAAGGCATGTCAACGAGCGAGCCATGTCGATGACCAGCTACGCGTCGGCGCCGGACCACACCCACATCATGGGCAGTGGTCGACAAATTCCCCATCGACGACCACCATCCGGTCATGAGCAATCGGTACCGACAAGATATGATTCCATGCCGACGAATGTCGGCGAAGGGTATACAAATGCAAATTCTCGCTCGCCAAGTGAAGCTTCAACACGATCTCGTACTATGTCGATGGCGTCAACTATTAATCCTGATCGCACGATGAGCGCCCTGAGTCAATCGACCCAACAGTCTGGACAGACCTTGACTGTTTCAAGTGGCTCGCAGCGCAGAGTTCCTGTGGTTTACCCCGCTCTACTTTCTCGCGTCGCCGATGTGTTCCGGGAGAAAATCTCGCTTGGCGAGCGCCAAAAGAACGCCTTGTCTTATCAAAATGCTTTCTCCGGTACGGATGCCGTAGACTTGATTGGTTCCATCGTGCGAACAAATGATCGCAACCTTGCTCTTCTGTTAGGTCGAGCACTGGATGCTCAGAAATTCTTCCACGATGTCACCTATGACCATCGTCTTCGGGATGCTCCCGGTGAGGTGTATCAATTCAAGGAAACTATGGGAGAGGATACCCTCAGCTCGGAAGTCAATGGCGTGTTTACTCTCTTAACCGAATGCTACTCTCCAACCTGTAACCGAGACAGTCTCTGTTATTCTATTGCTTGTCCGCGGCGTTTGGAGCAGCAGGCGAGGTTGAACTTGAAGCCTCAGCCGGTTCTGAGAACCTCGGGATCTAAGGGCAGCCTGCACATCGACGATGACGATGATAATGACAATCAAAAACTCTGGATCAACATGGTTCCGAAGGAAGTTTCTGACACTTTGGATGACCGTGAGAAGAAACGTCAAGAGATTATTTTTGAGATCATGTATACCGAACGCGATTTCGTCAAAGATCTGGAGTATTTGCGAGATTTCTGGATGCGCCCCTTGCGTGCCGCAGGGCCAAACCAAACATCCCCTATTCCTGAACACCGACGAGAAAAATTCATTCGAACCGTCTTTGGAAACTGCTTGGAGGTTTTGAAGGTCAACGGTGGTCTGTGCGAAGCCTTGAACGCAAGGCAGAAGGAAAGCCAGATCGTTCAAACCGTTGGTGATATTTTCCTTCAGCATGTGCCTCGATTTGACCCTTTCATCAAGTATGGTGCCAATCAACTTTACGGAAAGTATGAGTTTGAGAAAGAAAAAGCATCTAACCAGCCATTTTCCAAATTCGTTGATGACACTGAACGTCTGAAGGAGTCTCGAAAGCTGGAGTTGAACGGTTATCTCACCAAGCCAACCACTCGTCTGGCCCGATACCCACTTCTTCTCGAGTCTGTCTTGAAGCATACTGCGGATGACAACCCAGATAAGAAGGACATTCCTGAGGCCGTGAAGATGATCAAGGGCTTTTTGACTCGTGTCAATACCGAGAGTGGTAAGGCCGAAAATCACTTCAACTTGGTGCAGTTGAATGCTGCGCTGAAATTCGGCCCAGGTGACTATGTTGACCTGAAGCTTACCGAGGAGAATCGACAAATGCTCTCGAAGATGGCATTCAAGAAGACTACTGCTGAGAGTTCAGAAGTAACAGCCTATCTTTTCGACCATGCGGTTCTTCTCGTTCGCATCAAAATTGTCAACAAGCGGGAAGAATATCGGGTTTACAAAAAGCCCATTCCTCTTGAGCTATTGGTTATTGCTCAAATGGATGAGGTTGTTCCACGTCTGGGAATTGCAAAGAGACCCTCGTCTAGTCTTCTGTCCAACAAGGCTGCGCCAAATCCTCCTCCCGCCAAAGATGGCGGCTTGCCAATCACATTCAGACATCTTGGAAAGGGAGGCTACGAACAGACACTGTATGCCACATCTCCAACCCAGAGACGGAAGTTTATCGAAATGGTGGAAGAGCAACAGAGAAAGCTTTGGGAGCGAAATAGCAACTTCTACAACAAGACAGTCCTCTGCGAGAATTTCTTCTCAGCAATTAATCGTGTCAACTGTCTTGTTCCCGTCGGTAAGTCTATCTCCAGCATCTGTGAATCTCCTGCCCTACTAACGATTTTATAGATGGAGGTCGAAAGCTAGTCTACGGCACTGACAGCGGCATTTATATCTCTGATCGCTGGCCCAAGGATAAGTCGGCCAAACCTCGCCGGGTTCTGGAAGCCAGTCAGGTTACGCAAATCGATATTTTGGAAGAGTATCAGCTACTCCTGGTATTAGCGAACAAGACTTTATCATCTTATCCAATGGAGGCACTCGAATTAACAGAGGGTCAGAATGCCATGGCCAAGCGACCAAAGAAGATTCAAGGCCATGCCAATTTCTTCAAAGCAGGCATTGGTCTCGGACGGCACCTTGTTTGCTCGGTGAAGACATCGGCGTTGTCTAGTACCATCAAGGTCTACGAGCCAATGGACAACTTGGCAAAGGGAAAAAAGAAGTCTGCTGTGAGCAAAATGTTCCAGAGTGGTCAGGACACGTTGAAGCCATTCAAGGAATATTACATCCCAGCCGAATCATCCTCAATTCATTTCCTGCGCTCCACATTATGTGTTGGTTGTGCTCGAGGCTTTGAGGTCGTCAGTCTCGAGACCACAGAGACCCAGTCTCTTTTGGACCAAGCCGATACCTCTCTTGACTTTGTGGCCCGCAAGGAGAATGTCAAGCCTATTCATATTGAACGTATGAATGGAGAGTTCCTTCTGAACTACAGCGATTTCTCGTTCTTTGTGAACCGCAATGGATGGCGGGCTCGTCCCGACTGGAGGATCTCATGGGAGGGCAACCCGAATGCATTCGCACTCTCTTACCCTTACATCCTGGCATTTGAGCCCAATTTTGTTGAAATTCGACATGTTGAAACAAGTGAACTGATTCATATCATGACTGGGAAAAACATCCGCATGCTGCATTCTTCCACGCGAGAGGTATGTCATCTTGAATCGCCACTGTCATTATTTCTTACTAACATCTCCAATTTAGATCATCTATGCGTATGAAGACGAGAAGGGTGAGGATGTGGTTGCTAGCTTGGACTTCTGGAGCAAGCCTCAGCAAGCGTAATCTCCACCAGTCACAAACACATCCAAAAGAACGTTCCAGACGTTCTTGCTCTCCTCCCTGCTTCAATCCTAATCAATGAAAGGGTTGGCGTTCCGGGAAGCTAGGGTCCTGGGTTCTTTTCTTGGGATAAATTTCCTTGAAATGGACCACTGCAAACACGTAGATGTTCTGCTCTGGGTCCGACAGTGTCATTGACATCTCCATGCTCTACCTTCGGGCCTGTCCATATGCTTTCTATCTCCCGTGGGCTACTTCGACCCAGACAATCAATCCCTGTCAGTGTCCTCTGTGATGTATACTAGGTCTTGACAAATGTTCGGTCCACACCATCTAACCCTTCATCAACACCACTTCCTCTCAACCTCGTTTCTCAAAAGAACCTCAGTAAGAGTGTTCCTCTCTTGTCTCGTTTCTGTGTGTACAATGGAGCGCAAATACCACTTCTTGCGTGTCTGATTTTCTCTTTTCACCTCGCTGTTCCACTTTCCTACATCCTCAGCATTTTCTTCTTCCCCGTCCTTTCTTAAAATTTTATTCATTTCTTTCACCACCCATTATCTTAGTGTTCTCGTTTTTTGTATTCCGCATGGCCTGCGTGATGACCAGGTTAAATTCTCATTCAAATTTCCCAACTAGCTTTTTCTTTCCAATTCCTCTTCTGTAATGTTCATGGTAGCGTTGCAGCGAGGAGTGGTTACCCCGAGCCGAAGGACAGTGTCAACCTTCCTGGTCTGATTTATTTGGGACACATTATCCTAAATTAAACATTTGAAGGCCCAAGTGCCACTGAAGGCCTCAATCGAGCACTTCCAAGAACCTTGGAATCCATGGATGTTTGCAAGGTTGGTTCCAATGCAAGCGAGAGTGTCTAGCGGGTAACATGTATCGCAAAAGTAGATTTAGAACCCTCCAATTTCTGCGTATGTTTCTTGGAAGATTCAAAGTACATGCACACAGCACATCCATTATACTAGTATCTACATAGGTTCCTACTGGGCAGTTACGTAAATTCATACCCAGCATTAATCTCATACACATACACCCTGGAACTGTGGAAAGTGGACAAAATAAGTCCTCATAGGCACCGTAGTGTAGATATTGGTTCCCACATGTGGTCCGCCCATGGGTGAAAGCCTAACTAATCTGGTATGTAGTATATTGACTCTTCCAATAGCCAGTTTCGGATTATTGCCAAGTTCAAACCATGGAAACTGAAAAGCGCGGCCATAAATTCAATATTCCATGTTTGCAGGGTTCAATTTGAAAAGATAGGGTATGGACTGCATACAATACGCAAACTCCGTACCTTACCAACGGATATAGTGATCGTTTTTCAAAGCTACACACAAATCCCAAGATGCTTAATAAGAATTGAGTAAGACCAGGATACTTTTCTCATTGACTACAAAGCTAGGGAGGATTAAAAGTGAGGATAGAAACAAGGGCTCCAAAAACGCGAAAGACAAAAGGGAGAGGGAATCTGCGCTGCTGACTTTAGACAAGTTGCTAGGGGCGATGGTAAATTGAAACAGGAAGAGATGAGACCCCCCAGGGGAAATAGAAGATCTGGGGCAAAAGAGAAAAAGGGAAGGGAAGATGAGAGAAATTCGAACTCCGGGGTAGCGAGGCGGAGATAACAAGGAACAGCAAAGGAAAGGATGCTTGTTTTTCTTTTCTCAAGATTTTGTATGCGAATGCATGCATCCAATAGTGATAGAAACTCGTAGCTGGGTATAATCAAGAATTGAGTCGTTGATGAGTCAATTCCCAGAAACTGAAATACAGTACCCATCGTCAAAAGCTGGAAAGTTGCACACTATGTTGTGATTTTGCCAATCTCCGCAGAGACCATCGGGAAGAGAGGGAAGAAGTAGAAGGAAGCCAGAAAAAAAAAGCTATTAACGTGAATAAACAGTCAATATTATCCCCATAAAGAAAAATCAAGTCCATGATTTTGGCACAAACGGTATCACTTAGCGAACCGGCGCCCCGCTGAAAAAAGCCGCATCGTCGACAGGGTATATCTAGGCCTCTCCATTGGCTTCGGTGACATTGTTCTGGCTTGCCTCGCGCGCCATGCGAGCTTCGATCTCCCGTAGCTGGCTCTCGCGAGCCAGCAATTCCTGCCGCTTCTCGGCAATCTCGCGCTGCACCTTGATTTCGATTTCGCGCAGCTTCTCCTCCTCGCGGCGCAGCTGCTCCTCCTTAAGACGGACAGATTGAGAAGCGAGGTCTTCGGGGTTCATGGAGGAGTCTCCCATGCTGTGGAGAGGTTAGCATTTTAATTCAGTAAACGGGAATAATAGCAAACGTACCCAGAAGAACCGTCCACACTCTTACTGAGCTTCTCAGTACGGTAGTTTTCGTAAAGGAAGTCATGGGTGATCTCCTTCAGATCGGCCAAATGGCTGTGAAGGAGAGCACTGCGGATAGCCAGGAAGTCCGAGTGCCGGGGGTTCTCAACCTCGACCACACCCCATGGGTACTGACGGGCGCGAACCTTGCGGTTCTCAATCTCAACGAAATCCTCCGAGCCGACGATGGCGAAAGGCATCATGCCTCGGAGCTCAGCGTTCTCCTCAACGGTATCCTCATCATCCTCCTCAATATCATAAGGGAAGTTGTAGACGGGAATGCGGTAGTGTTCGATATCCTCCATAATCAACTTCTTCGACTCGGCCAATTCTGCGGGGGTGAGGGAGTCGGCCTTTCCAATGACGGGAATGACGTTAACACGGGGAGACAAGCGCTTCATCAATTCGATGTCGAGCTCGCGGAGACCATGTCCAGTGGGGGTAATGAAGTACAGTAGGACGTGCACTCGGTTGTCTCTGAAGCGGGGGTTACGCTTAATTCGGGACTCTTCCGCAAGAATGTCATCATATTGGCGCTCGAGGTAGCCAACAATCTCGCCGAAGCTAGAGGAACGAGTTAGCGGGATCCGGGGCCCGGATAAGTGTTAGGAGACATGCCTGGCTTCGTTGTCAATCTGGTCACCGAAACCGGGGGTATCAACAATGGTCAGAGAAATGCGAGTACCCTCCTCATCCAACTCAAGCTCTGCGTTATAACCAATGTCAGATCAGCCTATCCCAAAGCCAATCTCTGAGCAAAAAAGTCGGAATACTTACCGACGGTGACGGGCTTGATGCGGACGCCCTCCTCCAAGTGGGCGTTTTCCGCATCGTCGGCATCCTTGCCCTCTAGAACTTGCTTGCCACAGAGAGTGTTGACAAAGGTTGTGCGACCTAAAATGAGTAATGATGAGTGGACAATTGGCGATTGTGTTCGGAGGAAGAGTTGCGAGCATACCGGTTCCACTAGCACCACACACCATCAAACAGAACTGAATTCCCTTCTTGACATTCTTCTTGCGACGGATCTTCATCTGCCCACGGTGGGGACTCGAGTTAGCTTTGGAGGCCATGTATTTATTTTTTCCCTTTAAGGGTGGAGAGGTATGGGGACCATCGAACTCGGGGTCTCCTATGAGAAATAAAAGGGGAAACACATACCGCGTTGAGAGCCGAAGACATTGTGGGCTAAAGAGGAACAGGAAAAACAAGAGAAATAGATAGGGTGAGGGGGTATCCAAAGCAAGGAAGAAAGAGAAAGGGAAAGGGTGAAACTCTCCTGAAGTTCTGGGTAGTTTAAGTCGTAGGGGGGAAGGAAAGACAGTTCATGTTTCCCCCTTTCCCTTTAGGCTACGGGCCAATCACGGGACGCCTTCTTTCTCCAGCTTGTACTTCCAAATACTCTTATATACTACATTGAACCGTACAATTTTGAGATTTTTCTTTATTATAAGTAGCTCTAGCTCAACTTAACTATTCTTGATTTTGTCATACTCTTATTATTTTAAAATTGTATTTGTTATTAACGAATATCAACACTCAGGGGTTGCTAGGTCATGGTGGATCGCTCCTGTCCGCCGGAGCCTTACATAATCTAATGCCTGAGGCAACCGTGGATCAAGTTGAACTAATCGATACGATAAGTATGGAGCCGCCCGCATCTTGGTTCTTATCGCTGATCCGCACTTTTGAGCTTCCCCCGTCAACCCCAGCTTCTCCGACATATCACCCACACACATGGCTTGAAGCTATTTTTCATTAATCCACGTCATGCTACGATGAATACCCGCCAAGTCATCGATGAGTCCGTCGGACCCTACTCACTATCAGCCACATTCAACCATGACAGCAGTTGCTTCTCGGTGGGCTTGGACACTGGTTTCTGCGGTAAGATAGTTAGAGGAAGGTTGCAAGAGCTTTCCTGGAATGCTTTGAGCTATTTAAAGCTTTCGAGCAAACCCTTGAGGCTAACATTCATCCCGTAGTGTTCAATGCCAATCCGTGCGAGCTTAAGGTCTCTAGAGGTGAGCTAGCCGTGTCCGGATTTGAAGCTGTTGCCACTAACCAGGAATCGTTTCTCTTAGACTTCAATGCTGGCATTGGTGTAGTAGAGATGCTAGGCCAGTCAAACTACCTTGCCATCGTCGGTGGTGGAAGAAATCCCAAATTCCCCCAAAACAAGGTAAGCCCAATGACATTACCCCGGCGCTTATTCTCCATACTGACTATCTCGACTGTTACAGCTGATAATCTGGGATGATGCGAAACAAAAAGCTGCTATCACCCTTGAGTTTCGCACCTCCGTCCTTGGCGTTCGCCTATCAAAGTCCCGAATCGTCGTCGCACTGTTAAACAGTATCCATGTGTTTGCCTTTTCGACACCCCCACAGAAGCTCTCTGTGTTTGAGACATCTGACAACCCCCTGGGTCTGGCTTGTCTGGGTCAAAAGGTGCTGGCTTTCCCCGGCCGGTCCCCCGGACAAGTGCAACTAATAGAGCTGGAAACAGGGAATATCAGTATCATACCAGCGCACAGTTCTTCATTGCGGGCTATGGCTTTAAGCCCCGATGGAGAGGTGCTGGCTACGGCTAGTGAAGCTGTAAGGTCTTTCGCATTACTTCAGCTATTATTGTCGCTGACGTTCTAATAGGGTACTTTAATTCGAGTGTTTTCGGCCGCTAACTGTACGAAATTGGCCGAGCTTCGCCGGGGCGTAGACCATGCAGTGATATTCTCCCTATCGTTTTCACCATCCAACATTCTCCTTGCCGTAACATCTGACAAATCTACCCTGCACATCTTCGATGTACCCCACCCAACCGTTGCGGGTCCCGGCCAGTCTCCAGCATCTGCAAAAGAGGAGGGCTTAAACCAGAAGTGGGGAATATTGAGCAAGTTGCCTCTCATGCCACGGGTGTTCTCGGATGTGTACTCGTTTTCCAGTGCGCATTTTGAGATGGGCGACGAAGTCGTTCCGGGATCACCGGTACCAGGACTAGTTTCATCCTTGGGCCGACCACCTAAAGGTGTTATAGGCTGGCAGGATGATCAGACAATTTTGGTGATTGGCTCAGGTAGGGAAGGTCGCTGGGAGAAATTCATTCTTCGAGATGGTGACGATGGAAGGCGACATTGTATGAGAGATGGGTGGAAACGATATCTTGGTGGTTGAGAATAAATATGGGTATGGTGATTTCAGATCTCTTGCGCATTTTGTGAACTGTAAATAATTGATTCCCGGGGAACTGCATTAATCCACCAGCTCCAAGCTTGAAGGGGCCCAACTAGATGTTGGGGTTGTATTCGAACCGTGAAATAATGCCGTGCGAGCCTTTCTCGAGATCCCACAGATTGATAGCAATCGATTTGAGAAATTCAACGGCGATCATCTCGGCCTCGGTCACTCCGGTGTCTCCGTGACTGAGGCGAGCGTGATCTGGATGTCCGATCTCTTCTAGACCTTTCCTCTGATCGACGCTGCAGCCCTTTCTCACGGGCCGGGGAGCGATCTTCGCGATCACGTTCCGAGCGAGACATCACCGGTGTTCGATCTCTGTGGGATCTCCTCTCACGATCCGTCGACCGACGTCGAGTCGTCCTCTCTCTCGAACGGTCATCTCGGTGTCTGTGCTCGCGCTCGCGAGACCGATGTCGACGACTGTGTCGGCTCGAACGCTCCCTGCTGTCATCTCGTCGCCGGGATGACTTCTTGTCGCTCCCCCTGTACTTCTCGACTGCACGCGCAACCTCTTCCTTCTTTGCCTCGATGAGATATTCTTTCATCGGATCTTCGTCATCATGGTTTTGAATCAGTTCCTGTAATTCTTTCTCCTCCTTCAACAATGGCCGCTTCTCTTCGCGATTGGCAGACCCTTCGCGTCGGCCGCCAGGCTTGTCTCCGGTGTTCTCGGTGGCCACCGCATCACCCATCAGCTTTGCGACATTGTCCCCCTCCTCCTCGTCGTCGCGTCGCTTATACCGTGTATGGTCCACTCGCAACATACGGCCTAGAACTGTTGCACCGCCCAGGTTATCCACCGCAAGGTCTGTGCTGCGCTGGTCTTCGTATTTGAGAAACGCGAAGCCTTTGCTTTTGCCCGTTTCCTTGTCCCGGATGAGGTTGACATAGACCGGTTCCCCGTACTGAGAGCAGATTGTAACGACATCGCCCTCTGTCAAATCGAATGGAAGTCCTCCAATGTAGATATACGCGGTGTCACGGTAGTCCGCATGCCATGACGCCTCCGGCGGTCTAGACGAGAACCTGGTTAGCTTGTAGAACGAAGAAATGACAAGACTCTGAAATGGAATGATAATTTACATAGCGTGTTCCAGCTCGCGCTTATTGAGCGCCTGTACTTGGCGGATCGAATTCATTTTGGGTGGTTGAGGTTATAGAGAGGAGGATCCTTAAGCTTTGTGAGGAAAAGGGTCCCACCCGGAGCATCTGCGGAACCGTAAAATCGTCAATGTTTACTCACGCACTCCCCTTCCCCAATCAACTGTGACGTCTTTGGTCGTGGCATATGCAGTGTTGAACTTTGAATTTTCTCTCTTGAAATATTTTACGTATAACGCGCGGATCTCGTCTACTGCGGTCTAGAGTCGATATCGGTTCCCATCCCCACTTCCATATTCCCCTGACCGCGTTCTGCTTCAACTTCTCTCCGTCTCCGACTCTTTTTGAACGCGCTCCGCTAGACACTCGAACGCTGTATTCCTCCGGTTGGAATGGTACAGGATCTGTGACGCATGGTGGGATTAGACCAGAGGATGTCCTCCAGTCCCAATCGCGGGTCGAAAGTACCCGGCAGTCGGCCAACAAGCAAGGATGGTTCAAAGAAGAATATTTGGTCCTCGCTACTCGATGGCGTCGCCAATGGAAAGCGCCTACCTGAAAAGAACCTTCTGATCCTGGGTACGTCATCCAACGGCATACGGCTTTAAGAGGACTGTTGTTCCAAGCTCTTGCATCAGATATGGAAGCTGACTATGGGCGGTATAGGAGGTACACCTGAAAGCCAGATTGAATTTCTGGAGACCTTCTCAGCAGATACATCAGCCGACCCGAACTTGGTGAATGGGAAACGGAAGGGGAAGACGCCGCCAATTGCCAATCAATTTGCACTTGGATATACATATCGAGATGTTCTCGATGCCGACCAAGAAGGTATGTGCGCCGACGATGGAGCTCCGTTGCTTTCTCCGGCTTTAAATACTAACAAATGCATTAAGATACTCTGGCGCGTGTATCTGCCTACCTCCTGTCTGAACCCTCTCCGTCATTTGCACCTCTTCTCAAGCCACTCCTGACCCCTCAATCTGTACCGGAAACCTTGGTCGTCATTCTTATGGACTGGTCGGATCCATGGACATGGATTCGGCGACTAAGAGAATGGGTTCGCCTTCTCCGCTCTGTCCTGGTCTCTCTCGACGATGATACAAAGATCGTGATGGAGGAGACCATGACGGAATGGCGCGATCGTAAAAGAGGAATGGATTCCAGCGCGGGAGCTGCGGGGAACTTGCCAAATTCTGGGGGACCCGTCACAATACCCTTGGGGCCTGGCGAATGGGACGAAGGGCTGGGAATCCCAATGTGTGTGGTTTGTCAAGGAGTATGTGGATCAAAGATTGCGTTCCTGGCATTCCATTCGCTAATAAAACCCTATTTTTACAGGCGGATAATATCGAAAAACTGGAGAAAGAACATGGCTGGCACGAGGAACAATTCGATTTTATCCTTCAGTTCCTGAGGACAATTCTGTTGAAGCGTGAGGACCTTCAGGACTCCATTTATTTCCCGATTGATCTAACTCTAGGCAGACGGCGCTTCGCTCATTTATACCACACCTTTCCATGCCAACTCTTTGCAGAGCCTAATCCATTCATCCCTGGGTATACACTCTCTCTTGAAACGACAGTCATTAAAACATAATGTGATCGACCGAGACAAGATCCTCGTACCTGCCAACTGGGACTCATGGGGCAAGATCCGGATTATTCGCGAAGGATTCGATATGGAAGGAGCCTCAACTGCCTGGTCAATTGAGATCCAAGACCCCCCTGAGCCTCTTGGCCAGCCTACAGATGCTCAGGAAAACGAGCCAGAGGAGGATGGCACAAGTGCTGTTACTGTGTTCGAGCAGACTATCAAAGATCCCAAACGTGACACAACCATCGCCCATCCAAGCACCACCAACAATGGAACTAAAATCGAAGTCGAGACTTCTGATTTGCAAGGGTTCCTTACACAACAGCTTGAAATGCTCGAACAGCTTAAGGCCAAGGATGAGAAAGACCGTGCGAATGAACCGGTACCAACACTAGAAATGTCGCCGATGGATGACCAGGGCCGAGTCAACGAGCACATTGGTCCCGTCCAGTTTAACATGGGTGGTATCCAAGTGGACGCAGATGACATGCTGAAGAAGCTACGGGTAAGTTCTCATGTACCATCTCTTTCTCTCAAATCCTTACTAATTTCAATGCAGGACCGCGAAGCCAGTCGTGCTCAGCGGAAGGAGGGCCCTCCAAACCCAGGAGACGAGAAAGCCCACAACCAAGCTTTGGCAAATTTCTTCGCCGGTCTTGTCAAGAGGCCTGGCTCCAGTCCTCGTGGAAGCCCATCCTCGTAATTTCTTTTCTTTGTCTCGAATCTCCCCTGGATTGTATTCTAGTTCTCCGAGCGTACATATTGTGTTTGTTTATGCGGTTGGAGTGGGTTAGGCGTGTCGGCCTTGACGGCATAAATTTCGATATAGGCAGAGGATTCGGATGTGGGAAAGGCTTGTGCATAGTTTTCTTTTCCTAGGAGATTCCAATGGCTTTCTGCGGGGTTAGATAATGATACCAATATGAAATACGTTTATTTTCTGTCCAATCTAGGTAGATGTAAACGATCTCGACGTTAGCACTTCATCCGTATGCACTTTTACGCAAAGGAGATAGATCTCGGAATCGGTGGAATAGGGATACAGATACATGTTTTTAAATCTTGTTAAAATAATCTTCTAAAAACACAGGATATACCAGGAAAGAAGAGTACAAGTACATCCAAACACAAAACCAAAAGTTTTGTTCATAGCACTTAAGCAACTTGGTTCACCAGTTCTCCCACACAGCAGCAGGAAGAACCGTTCTCATAATCTCCCAGTGCTCCAGGGCAGCCCGGTCTTGGTACTTGTATAACCGATTAACCTCCTTCGCGACAAGGAAACGTCTTCCGTTCTTGGGCACAGTGTCAAACAATGAGAAATCGATCTCGTGTCTTGGCAGCAGGTAGCTTTCACGCGACTTGCTGTCCAGGTAATCAGCCTTGGTGGGCTTACGGAACTCCACCTGTGAGTTCTTGCTCTTCTTGCAGAAAAGGACCATGTTAGTGAAGTCAGAGGTCGCGTCGTCTTGGTTGGCTTCCGCTTCACGGAAGATACGGCAGGATGGGAAGACGGCTTTGATGGTGCGGACGATCAGGCCGGTGGGGTAGAGAGTGATGTCGCTAGCGTAGTTCTAGAAAGTGGCCGAGTTAGAAAAGAGAATCTGGTCAAGTTGGAAGTGATTGAAGAACATACAATAGCAATGACACCATCTTCCTTGAGCAGGGCGTGGAGGTCTCTCAAGAACTCGATGGTGAAAAGTTCGGAAGGCTCGGCACCGCCGGTGAAGACGTCGTGGACAATGTAATCATATTGACCGGCAGAGTTCTGCGCCTTCTTGACGAAGGTGGTCGCATCCTCAATGGCGGCCACGTGGTTGGAGGGCAAATTGAAGTATTCAGTTGCGAACTTGTACACAACGGGGTCGATTTCAACAATGGTGGTATCAATTCCGTGCTTCATCAAAGCTGACGGGGTAGTACCAATTCCAAGGCCACTGTTTGGTTAGCACAAATCATTGATGGGGCTGGTTTGCATAACTTACATCACCAATGCCTTGCTCTCTGCGTCCACGCGTTGAACACCGCTATCAGGCTCAACGAGCCGAACGGCCTCAAGCATAGCGAAGACTGCATAGATCGGATCCTCCACTTGGGGGTGGTACCCAGGGATGGATTTCGTCCACTGTCCGCCGAGAAGACTGTGATCACAACGCAACACACGGAAACCATCCTGATCGTTCTCCAGAACGGAGAGATATCCCGTGTAGGATTCCTGTCGCGCTAAGAGAGAGTAGCCTTCCTTCTGGAGAGCCGAGTTTGCAGCACCAATACCACCCAGGTGGACATCAGCAACGAGGCTAAACAGCACGGATGGAATGGCCAGCAGAAGGAGCTTGGATTTCGGAACAATCACTGCATACAGGATAGCAATGACAAATTGCATACCAGCGCGGGAGAAAAGTACGGTAGCGCCAATGGCACGGGACAAGATTGCCCGAGCAATGTGCTCACCAACAGAGTAGATGAGATACGATCCCAAGAGAGGGACATGCTCTGCTGCGACCTCTCCATGCGACTCGAGGTTCAAAGCGGCCTGGACCTGCTTGCCGGCGATGGCGACAGTCAACGACACCAAGGGAAGATAACCGAAGAGCTCAGTGATGATCGGACCAAGCGGGTTACCCAGCTTTGAGCTCTGCTGCATGACAAAATACTGCAGCGTGGGGGTCCAGAATGCCAGGACAGGAAGCAGATACGCAGCGAGGCGGCCAAGGCGCCTTTGTATCTGGTCCTTCAAGAACCATCCGGCTACGCCGAAAATGGCTACAGCATAGGCGTGGAAGATATGCACAGGGTGGGAGCCAAATACAGGGGACAATACCATGCTCATCACAGGGGAGTAAAAGGCAGCGAGGAACAGCAGTGCCACTCCGGTCCCAAGCCGGTAGGCATCGATCTGCCGAATGAATTGCCCAACTGACATTATGGTTGGCTGATGTAGCTAACACGCGGAAATTGGTCCAGGTATACTCGGGAATAATCAATCAACAGTCCATTCCCATGAAACCCGAGATGCAAGACAAACACAGACTTGAAACTGCCTAAGAGAAATATTGACTTCGCCCATTCTGCCCACCCACACCGCACACCTATTTTGTTGAATTTACTGGGTCTACGCTGCAGAGTTTCCATTCATTCACGACAATTCAATAATTCAAACGAGATAATGTGAAAATATCACCAGGAAGAGTAGTAGGGACATGAACTTTGCATATGGGTTCAGGACCCCTGACTTGCGTTAGGTCGCGGGTAATGTTAATGATCTCTTGGCCCTTCAGGATTGTGGATCCGCAGGTTTCCCAACATGAATTTTAAAGAGAATTGCAATTTGTAATCAAGTTGCTCATATATTCTTCAATTCGACCAGGAGCATACAAATTACTTCAAGCTAGGCATATCTGTAGCCACATCAAGAGGATGTGGTGTATTTATATAAGGACCTAAGTCGAGACCTCAGAAGCCCCTCAAGATTCTAAGCCTTTGGTGATTCCCCTCCTCTCATATTGTCATCCATATTCGTATTCGATGAACAGAGTAATGCTGACCTGATCATCTGGATTCCACTTGGTTTACTCAAGAGCATCAGGGGGAGGGCTTTTCAAATTCCGAGGGGTATAGTGGTTCAACTCATTCGATATGGTCTTCAAGGAAAGGGTTACGTTTCTGTTCACTGCCTTCATGAAGGTCTGCGATTCGTTTCGCCGGTGATTGATATATTTCCCGGATTATGCCGAAAACCTTCTATGCCTGACTTTTGTTGGATAAAGGATGCAAGTAGACAGGTATGACAATCACCTGGGTGTGAGCGTGGTTCTAGTCATATTTCTTATCGTTGCAGTCGAGCGCGAGCAAGGTGTGCCGTGGCTAGACCTCAATAGCGAGTAGTCGTGACTGCGCCTTCTAATTCCAAAAATGGACAAAAATTTTGCTGATTTAACGGTTGGGGTTAAATAGTCCTCGTGATGAATCGAGCTTTCGGGAGGCAGGTTTCGAGGACATCGGACACCACGCGATTCACTTCCTCTATGGGAACTAAAAGAATTTCAGTGTATAGTAATTCCCGAAAATAGACATGATGGATACATTATTTATTCTGTCATAGTGTGGACTTGAGAAAGAAGAGAGGTTTTGATGATGGTGGCCGTCGTCGTTTGTCCTTGCTGCAAGTCCCTGCGTGTATAGTGCACCGCCCGTATTAGTGCTGGGATCCGACAAGGGCGCCAAGTTTCCGGCAACTCTTTTGTAGATATGATCAGAAACTTACCTTGAATCCAATAATTATATTTATCTAATCTAAATGTTACATAGTAGAATCAAAAGGTATAGGTTAAAATCCTTATAACAGTGAAAAGTCATGCCCCAGGCAGAAACATCTATAATAAGTATTAGTAGTTCGGTGGATTCGGACACTAAGCCTAAATAGGACCGCTAAAACCGTCAACTTACGCCCACTACCGCGACCCCTCTCCGATTCCAAACAACGGCTAAGTCAAGATGCCCCAGTTCCCCATGGATTCCGGACTCAAGTCAAATGAGGATGCACCTGTGGATGTGCATCACCCCTCAATTCAAACCAAGAACCGTCGAAAGCGGTACCTGGACCTACATCCAGAATACTACTCGGCGGAGCTCGAGCTAGCCGGTCCGCCTGCTCTTTCCTAGCTGCCAACACAAGTCCTAGTGGCTTCGAGAACCACAGCAGCGATCTGATCATCTAACAAGCTAACCGACATGAATCTGCTCTTCTAGACCCGTTACTGTACGATCGTCTTATTCGCCGATTCCAGACACCCCAAGAACGGGAAGCGCAGGGACGAGAGAAGGGGTTCTCGGGTGTTCTACAAGCGGACCTGCTGCGCTCCGAGGCAAAGATGGATGCACTGGCCCATCCACATCCCAATGCGATGCTGAGTTATACTCGGGGTCCTCATGGCGAGATCCTAGCCGAGGACCGTGATGATATTCCTGCTAGTAAGGAAGAGGGCGAGAAACAGTGGCAGTGGGAGATGGGGTTACGCTTTTTACGAGGCGACGATGAGGATTTCGACTACACTACTGTCGATTATAATGATGAGTTTGATGATTTGTCTGAGCTGCAGGATGAATACTTCGAGGATGAGGAACCAGAGTGGGTAGTTGATGACCATCAAGGCGAAAATCCACAGACACAGCTTCAGGGTGAGACTGGCATTCAGGATTTCTGATTGGAGCGTGAGTATAGAACCCTCGATCTTTCAAATTCAAAATGGGGGATCGGGGTCTATCGTGACGCTTCTAATGGGTTGGGGCTGTCATCGTCCGCCTGAGTCCAAGTTCTGCGCTTTCCATCAATCCTGGTCAAGCAGGAGAGGCAAAAGGGAAGTGTGTGGAACCGATGTCTGATTGGATACCCGATTTGTCAAATTGATACGTCCGTCGTAGTGTCTCGCACGGGCAATTCTTAAGGAAACCAGTAATGGTGAATGCCAGGTGCTTATTCTGGGCGAGGCTGCGGGCAGTCCTGATGTCCAAACAGACCAGCAAGTGCAGAGAGTCACGAGGGACGCTTTTCATGGCTGCACTGTTTTCAGTATTGTGCATAAGAGTATGTTTGGAGCTCCGTAGCCTAATTTATGATCATGAGATATATCTACTACGCTAAGAAGTGAGCTAATCAATGAATGGCTTGGGTCGCATTACAGTGTTGGATGCTGGACGTCTTGACTCTTGCGTTTGATGCTCTGCAAAATCCACTCGTTAAAGATGGTTTGTCCAAGCAGATATACTCTGGTATAGATGAATATGAACTTTGAGTCGTTGCATTTCAACATCGATATCAACTAACCTTGAAATATTCGCCCTCTTTACGCAGTAAGAGTTAACCTTCCAGCATATATATAACCTGATATTCGTCACTTGTTCGTTGGGTCATCAGCCTTCTCGGCCAGGAGTTTTATAGCTTGTTCTCTTAGCTTAAACTTCTGGATCTTCCCACTCGCCGTCTTCGGAGAAGGGTCTCCTGGCCCAGGAAAGAACACATATTTGGGAACTGCAATGCATTATGTTAATACAAACGATTCACAGTTGACAAAATTCGTTCGAAGAGGGGTTTGTAGGACTGACCAAGATGACTGCTCAGCTTCTCCCTAACCCATTGCTGTATCTCCTCCGTGGTAAGAGATACTCGCTCTCGAGCAACCACGAAGGCGGCAACCACTTCACCATACCGTTCATCTGGTACACCGACGACAGAGACGTCGGCGATACCGGAGTGTGCTAACAGACAATTTTCGATTTCTAATGGGTGAATGTTCTCACCACCACGAATAATCAGGTCCTTGATGCGGCCAGTGATGGTAATATATCCATCCGGTGACATCGAAGCTTCATCGCCAGTCTATAAGAACATCAGAATCAACCCCAATTATGAATTGCTCAACCATAACTCACATGCATCCAAAGCTTCCCAGATTCATCTGCAAACATCTCCTTTTCTGTTCTCTCGGGATCTCCCCAATAACCCTTCATCAAAAGATACCCACTTACGGCCAATTCACCGCGTGCTTCGATAGGAAGAATTTCCTTCCTATTCACTGGATTCACAATCTTAGCCTCAACGTGCGGCATAAGTTTACCAACTGTATTCACGCGTTTATCGATAGGATCATCCGTAGTCGTCATCGCAGACACAGGACTAGTCTCCGTCATCCCGTAGCAAATGGTCAATTCCGTCAGATTGAGCACCCGGTGTAACTTCTTCATCAATTCCGCGGGAATACTACTCCCAGCTGCAATACCCGTTCGTAAGTACTGGAAGCCTTCATGCGAGATCTCTCCCGATTCAATGAGACCGAGCTCCTCCATGAACATTGTTGGCACACCGTAGAGCGCTGTGCATTTCTCTTCTTGGACTGCATTGAGGACTGCTCGGGCATTGAAAGATTCCGTCGGGAATACTATGGTTGAGCCGTGGGTTGCTGTTGCCATGTAGCCTAGTGTGCATCCAAAACAGTGAAACAGGGGCGGTGGACAGCAGACAATGTCTTCGGGGGTAAGAAGCATACGGTCACCGACTTGGGAACCATTGTTGAGAATGGAACGGTGGGTCAGACATGCTGCTTTGGGCATAGCTGTCGTTCCGGATGTAAATTGGATATTGACAATCTCGTCTGGGAAGAGTTGCCGTTCAGGTAAGGCTTGTGCGTCCGCTGAGAGGTCGGACATGATGGATGAGAATGGGACCAGGCTCTTGTAGGATGATAAATCAGCACGACCGGCTGAGTTATCGACAATAATGACCTGCTTTAAAGTGGGAACTAGACTCGAGCCTAGCTTTGAACTGCGGAGATCCTCGACGAGATGTTGTAGTAGGGGAATGTTGCTGCGGGGATCTTTGCGGGGAAGGTTGGATTCTGCGCTGATGATAAGGTGGCTGGATTCCAGATGCCCCAATGCTGATGCGATTTGCGCGGAATTGAACGAGGGATTTAGTGGGACCTTTTTGCAGATGTTAGACGGTCATTGGAAAGTGGATTTGAGAGACATGAAGCTTACCAGTATGGCTCCAAGTTTGAACAAAGCATACGTTATCTGCAATGATGTTTATGAGCATCACTTTCAACGTGCAATACAATCCAACATACCACTGCATATTCCATAGAATTACCAAGCATGACACCAACTCGATCTCCCTTGTTGATTCCCACCGACTCGAGTCCCCGGGCAAGGGCATTGCTTCGCATATCGAGCGAGGCATATGTGACACAGTCATTCTGGTGTTTCGAGATAACACTGCACGGCCTTAGTATCCATACAAGCTCTCATTGAGCTCACAAATGCTTACGCTTTTCGATCTCCATTTTCCGCCACGATTTTTGCAAAGTGATCTCCGATGGTCGACTCGATCAAAGGTGGCTGCAATATTAGTGGTTGATAAGATAAACAGGTTTATTTAGACGATTGGACGCACTTGAGATGGACCATGAGCATAGCTTTGCGTTAGTAGGCCTCGTCTGAAGAATGGAGTACCTCCGAACCTGTGACCGAGGCGGATATTTTTAAAAGATTGTACACGAATATGCATATTGGTAGCTTTCAGGCGAAAAGAGGGTGTTGAATAAATCTTCAGCTCTGCGGTGAAGTAGCATAGATAGTCAAGATTCCCCCAATGACCTTCCCCCTCACTAATACACAAATATCAAGTCTAAAATGAGGTGCAGTCGTGATACGTCGGTTATGTAGCAGAAACAAGCCTAAGCTTCCCCGCACCACTTACGGCTACTTGCGGGGTTGTGACATTCCTATGCTACGCCGCGGCTTAATGATAATATACAGGTTAAGATCATCTGATTGTATACCATGTGGTAGCAATAAGATAATAGATCTACCTAGGTATGGCATATTCAAAGTCCTAATGTTCGTTGCCTATCTTTTTCTTCAAATACAGACCAATGACTACGTGCATCATGACGTCATCCGAAGTTGATATGGGCGAGTACATTTATACTACACTGTCGGCTCAACTTGGGATCCTTAAGCAAGGTTGTAATGAGCACTATCGCTGTATAGTATTCCCCCTTGGACTGTGCATAGAGAGCCGGTAGGTACAGGACGTGAGTAAATTCTGCGTAGGCTCATCCTACATAGTAGAATTCGGAAAAAAGCGTTTGCGGGCAATATAGGATAGTCGCAGTCGCAGTCGCAGGAATATATCTTCTGGTTCCCACTGCTCTACAAGTTTCTTTTATTAGAAAGCATAGCTGCGATATCCCTTCTACTGTGATGACGTCCCCCTCTGTGGGGGCCAAAATTAACTCATTAATTAGTACTCTGCGTCTCGCTCGTGAGTCTCATTTCCGCTTTACTCATTGATTTTACAATTCAAGAGCACGATAATTAATATTTTATATAAGAATAGCATAGCAAGATGATGTTGACTCCAATGGAAGTTGCGCTCCTGGTGCTACTAGCGGTGGGTATTCAACAAACCCCTCGAAAGGCAACACTGATTTTATTAGTACCCCCTTGGCAGGATAATTTACAATGTTTACTTCCACCCACTAGCCCATCTACCAGGTCCTCGCACCTGGGCTGCAACCCGTCTACCATTCATTAGGGCACTTCTTCGTGGAACTATTGTCCACGATTTCGAAAAACTACATCGACAATATGGGTCAGTCGTAAGAACTGCTCCCGACGAAGTCAGCTTCGCCAGCGGTGATGCTTGGACTACCATCTATGCGAATATAAATCGCCCTGAACACAGGCAATTTCTCAAAGATCCTCTTTGGTGGAAAAAACCACCTGGAAAACCAGATTCGTTACTCAGCGCAATCAGTCCCCCTAAACATGCGCGCATGCGGAAGATACTATCTCCAAGCTTCACCCCTCGAGCGCTTCGTGCTCAAGAGCCCTATCTTCAGAAATTCACGAATCTTCTTATTGAACGACTAAGAGAGAAAGTGGAAAGAAGCACGGAAGACAACAATGGCACCGAGACGGAGATAGATATCGCCCCATGGTTCAACTATACAACCTTTGACATCTTCGGTGATTTGGGATTCGGGGAGTCCTTTGACTGTCTGCAGAACTCGCAATACCACTCATGGATAGAACTGCTCTTCAATAGCGTTAAGGGTGCATCGTTTCTCGCTGCAGCGCGCTACTACCCCCTGGTCGAGTTTCTATTGAAGAGATGCATCCCGGCATCTTTAAGCAAAAAAGCCGTGCAGCACCAGCAGCAGATTGTTGAAAAAATTGATCGTCGCCTGAGTTGGGAACTCCAGCGACCGGATATCATGTCGCATCTCATCGATGACAATGGTCAGGTAGCATGGGGCCGAGGGGAGCTAGATGCTACCTTTGCGATGCTCACTACGGCAGGTAGTGAAACGACGGCCACTGTTCTGACAGGCATTCTATGCTATCTGGTGAATGAACCTGATAAACTTACAATCGTTACCAGAGAAGCACGCGCGGCGTTTTCCAGCAGCGCAGATGTGACTCTGAGCTCAGCCCAAGACCTTCCCTACCTCAAGGCCGTGATCTATGAGGGCCTTCGACTCTGTCCGCCCGTTCCTTGGATGCTACCTCGTATTGTCCCTGAGAGTGGAGAAGTAATTTGTGGGAAATGGATACCAGGAGGGGTATGCAACAGCTTCTGAGAGCGACCTGTTTATTCCAAATCGCACGCTAATGACTCCTTTCACAGACCTCCGTTTCACTTCAAGCATATGCATTGAACCGAGATCCTAACACATTTCACGAAGCCACATCGTTTCATCCAGAGCGATGGCTGCCGGATGCCTCGAGCCCTAAGTCTGTCTTCTTCAACGATGATCGTCGCGCAGTTCACCCGTTCAGTGTTGGCCCTCGCGCATGTTTGGGTCAGAATCTTGCGTGGGCTGAGATGCAGCTCATTCTGGCGAAGCTGCTGGTATCTTTTGATTTCGAGGTTATAGAGCATAAGCGCTTAAGGTGGGAGGATCTACGAACCTTTCTACTTGTAGAGAAGCGTCCATTGGATGTTCGGATAAAGCTGGCGATCTAGATCTATGATTACACGCACACAATTTGTCTGCCATTGGGATATCCCATCGGCCACGAGCTATCAGTGGACTTCTAGTAGCCTTTTATAAATTGATTATTGATCCATGAGCTGTTATGAAGTTTCCCAGTCCAGTAAAGTATATCCCCCCCCCCACCCTCCCGGACCACCCAAAGGGGCTGTGAGGAGGTCCCAGGAGAAAACAAAATAATTTTGACACAATACCAGTCCAGTATGAGCCCATATCTATATAACCTGTTCTGTCATTAGGCTGAGTTATCAACTCCGTTGGTGCCTCAGGCACGACACGTCTGAGTTGTAAATATGCTGAGCTAATCGGCCTCGGGCCTCCACTGATGAGCGCATCGGGCTTGCAGCATTGCATTCTCGAATTATAAGAGGCCCGGTGCCCAGCAGATTGACCTGGTAAGTAAGTGATTACCTCACTGAGCCTTGACGAGATCCATGGCGCCCGGCAAATCCAAATGGTGGCAAGCGCCCGATGAGGCCGACCTAGACTACGGATTCGATTCTGACGACTTGGCTAGATTCGAATCTGAGCGGAATCTCCACCGCCCTCGCCCACCAACAAGCGCAACCGACATACAAACAACGGAACAAGAAGAAGTTCAGGACAAGGGCGTGTTTGGAAATATGTCTTCTTGGCTTCAGCGTCAGGCTGGATCGCACAATTCGCAGCTTACGACTACTGCTGTGTTGTCTGGTGCAGCGGTTGCGACTGCTATTTTTGGATACCAGGCATATAAGAGGAAAGAGGCTGTTTATGATCTGAAGGCTTCGATCCCGATTGCTGATGAGCAGCATCCATCAGAGAAGGTGAGGACTGGTTGGGAATGCTTGCGCCACTTTAGGCTCGAGTTTCATAGCTAATCGCGTTAAAGCTCACGGACTTTGGTGCGGCGGAAAATGGTATCCCACTGAGCAAGGAGGACGAGCGAAGCGCTGCTTTGGCTCGTAGAGCACAGAAAGGAGACTACGATGATGGTGTGAAAGACTATTTCTCAAATAGGCCCTGAGTGAGCTAGCTAACCCTGTTTGCGACTAGATCTGATCCTCGAACAACTTGCCCGAAACCGCGTCTTCCTGACCGACGATGGCCTGGCAAAACTTCGATCCTCCTTCATTGTCGTCGTCGGCTGCGGTGGTGTCGGATCCCACGCTGCCGCGGCGCTCGCTCGTTCCGGCGTAGCCAAGATCCGACTCATCGATTTCGATCAAGTCACTCTCTCCTCTCTCAACCGACACGCGCTCGCCACACTCGCTGATGTCGGAACACCCAAGGTGCACTGTATCCGGCGACGACTGGAGCAGATTGCTCCCTGGGTGATGTTCGACTGCCGTAACGAGCTGTTCGGCAAGGATGCCGCCGATGATCTTCTCGGACCGTGGACTTTGACGCACGAGGGCGAGGGTCGCCGACCTGACTACGTATTGGACTGCATTGATAACATCACTTCCAAGGTAGATCTGCTGCACTACTGTCACTCAAACTCGCTGCCTGTCATTTCGTCCATGGGTGCTGGCTGCAAGTCTGATCCGACTCGAGTGGTTGTGGGCGACATCTCGCAAAGTACGGATGACCCACTGTCTCGCAGTACTCGACGCCGGCTGAAGGCGAAGGGTGTGAGCACGGGAATTGCCACAGTATTCTCGACCGAGAAGCCTGGACCCGGTAAAGCGACTCTACTTCCGCTTCCCGAGGAGGAGTTTGCCAAGGGCCAGGTGGGCGAGCTGGGAGTTCTTGCAGACTTCCGAGTGCGCATTCTGCCAGTTTTGGGAACGATGCCCGCTGTTTTCGGATACACGGTTGCCAACCATGTCATCTGCAGTGTGTCAAACTATCCCATGGATTATAGTATGACAAACAAGGGTCGCGACAAGATGTACGATACTGCATTGTCAAACCTCCAGGCCTGTGCAGAGAAACTGAACAAGCAGATTGCTGGAGAAGACCCCATCAGTCTGCGCATTCCTGTCAGCAAGGACGACATTGCATTCCTGATGGAGGAGGTCTGGCGTGGGAAGAGTGGTATCTCCGGTCTCCAGAACAGACTTGTATTCGTCCCCTGGGAGACGCCCGCCCGTGGATGGGGAATTGATCCGACCTGGAAGGAAGATGGACAGAAACTTCTGCCAATTGAACTGACAAACTTGGTGTGTATGACCAAGGAAGAGGCAGCCTACCATGAGCGTGAGGTTCTGCGTGGTGGCAAGAAGGTCGAGGAAGCATACGACGATACTGTGTTGCAACGGGTAAACCTCCGCCGAAATGACGCTGACGAGTATGAAAAGTACCGAGGATAAACTCTGGTCTCTCTACACATGTACAAAACCGATATAAAAGCAAGAAACTTTCCATTCAAATATTCGATCATCATAGAGTAGATCAATGTACTCCGTACGGAATACTACGTAGATCAAGTGGGGAAAGCTAAAAGCGGATCGGATCCAATTTACTTAAGACATTCAGCTTGCCAAGGATCAGCTTCTTAAACCCACTCCCTTCTCCAGAAGGTAGCCTAATCTCTCTTTTCTAGGCTACTCCATTTATGAATATACTTCCTCTCTACAATAATATCCTTCCTAATTAAAACCCGCCACGATACCCCAAAATATGGCATCCGATTCCCACGAGCCAGAATACGAGCTGGACGACTCCGAAACCATTTACTACACGAACCCCTCTTCCACGACCACCCGCTTCCCCCGATTCTCTCGACCCCTAATCGAATCCGTCCGGAATGGCTGGCAATCCCATACCAACTACCATTCCCTCTCTCCCGAAAATGACAAAAACCCGCCCTGGGTACAGATGGCCCTGTCCATCGTCGCCGCCCCGAGATTCCGCCGCTACGTCGTCGTATACGTAACACTATTTGTGCTGGGCTGGTGCGGATGGAGCCTAGCTCTTTACCCTAGACTTGAGGAGCGTAGTGCCTTGCTTCATTCGTTGGATCCTGCTTCCAAGGTGGAGGCTGGAGGGTGGTTCGGATCGAACTCGTTGCCGCAGTTCGACGACTTGATTCAGGTTAAGACCTTGAACCCGGATTTTATTCCCACTGCTCCTTTGGAAGGCGTTGATCCTGCTTCGTGGAAGAAGAAGCGGTTGGTTGTTGTGGGTGATGTGCATGGGTGTAAAGAGGAGTGTAGGTCCCTGTTCTCCTAAGCGGTATTGCGTGGAAATGCATTGAGAGAATCGCTTTCGCTGACTGTTTTGGTATCTTAGTGGTTGCGCTGCTTGATAAAGTTTCGTTTTCCGAGGTGAATGGTGATCACTTGATCTTCACGGGTGATCTGATCAATAAGGGCCCCGATAGCGCCGGTGTGGTGGATTTGGCACGTCAATACGGCGCTTCGTGTGTGCGTGGAAACCATGAGGATCGGGTCCTTCTTCTCCGCCATGAGATTTTTTCGTCGAATGCCATGACCCAGGAGGAGGAGGCGGCGAGCCAGATTTATTCAGCTAAGCAGCTGCAGGAGCGCGCGCTGGCTCGCTCATTCACCGATGGTCAAGCACAATGGCTTGAATCATGCCCTATCATTCTGGACTTGGGCTTGGTTCAGGGTATGGGCCAGGTGGTTGTTGTGCATGGCGGACTTGTTCCGGGTGTGGATTTGGAAAAACAAGATCCATCCAGTGTGATGACCATGCGCACCATTGATTTGGATACACATGTGCCGAGTGCGTCGCATGATGGTTTGAATTGGGCTAAGGTATGAACTTCTCCATGATTCATTTTGAATCATATACTAATCCTATGTTAGCTGTTTGACAAGCACCAGTCCATTTTACATACGAGTCTCAAGCATGCCAAGGTGGATCCTTATTCCCAAACTACTACCGTGATATACGGTCACGATGCTAAGAGGTCTCTCAACATCCGCACTTATACCAAGGGCCTTGATACTGGTTGTGTCAAGGGCGGCAAGCTGACCGCACTCGTCATCGAGCATGGTGGCAAGCAGAAACTTGTTCAAGTGAAGTGTCATACCGATTACGAACAGGAAGACTGATTTTACTTTCTGTCATCTTTCTCCTAATTCGTTGTTTCATTGCACATTGCATCTGGCGGAGTTTTTATTTCAGTCTCTTTGGACATGACTGCTTCCCGGAATACTTATTGTTGGCAGCTTGCGTGTATATTGGTTGCTATTTCTGGGTGGCGTTGGACATATCTATTCAAATATTTCTATTGATCAAAAGAGGTGATCAAAAGGGGTGTATTCAAAGCTGGTGGATTTAAGGCAATTGTACACCATAATTTGAGGGACCTGCTTTGGTACTCTTCTTGAATCTGGTTAAGAATGCCTACATTCCTTCTACATAGCTGTTTACCCAGAGCAGGAAACCAGTTCGCAGGGTATAGAGTTGATTTGTAGACTAAGGCGGTCCCGTCACTAGGAACATGCTAACTAAGGTCCCAGCAATAGGCCTGAAAACCCTGTGGTCGGGTGGGAATTAACCAAGCCCGGCCCTTATGGCCCACATTCACTTGATCCTTAAAATCCTCCTCGACAGCAGCTAGCTGCTCAGGGCTGAGCCGCTGTAGCTGTCCAACGGCCACTGGAGCTAGCGCATCAAAGGGCGTCTTATACAGCTCCTGTTGAACTACTTCAAGGCAGGACGACTAGTCTGCCTGGTCCTTGAGAAGGTTTGACATTGCTGATGCTCTTGTTGATTTCCTGGATCAGCGTCAGACCCGTGGTAACTATTTTACAGCCAAATCGTAGCACCAGGTCAAGATCATCATTGTTGGCGGACTTCTTTGCCTTGAGCAGAGCAACGACTTTTTGGTTTCTACTGCGAGTGCAAGACTTGCTCTGACGCCAGTTGTAGTACTATTTTACCAACGAGCAAGATGATTGGACTGAGTGATGCTTTCTGTAGAAAAGCAAAAACCTCGGTATCCGTGATCTTTCCTTCATCAGTGCTGACTTCGGACTCTGTGGCCGTGGTTGTGGACGTCTTCCGCGTTTTATACGGGGGAAATGCTTGCCGAGTTGGAGCTTGGTGAGCTGAAAACGAGTCCACCGGGGTATTATCTGAAGACGAGGCCACTGCCGGGGTGACGACTGGAGCAACAGATGTAGGAATAATAGGTACGGATGGTAAAAAGCAGACCTGGTCCCTCTGCATCTGGGCTTTTAATAGAGCGAAGGCACTTCATTTTTTTTGGCCTAGCTTCGATGGAGGATTCAAGGGACGGTAGTTTTCTGTGTCCACGATTGACGGTGAATGAGGCATCGGGACATCTCCAAAGGTAAGGACATGATCCAGCCACGGAGTCCAGGCTGCGGTAGAAAATTGAATAATGTCCTCTTGTTCAGTCCTCGGTCGGAATGATCCATTCACTTGCCTTTGATCCACAGTCTTCCGAATTTGTCGGAGTCTCGGATTGCCCGATGCAGTTATCACAATGGGTATACCTGGTGCTTGGGTAATCTTTCTGACTGCCCACTCCCTGACAATTGACTTTTTTTGGATGTCTTAAACCAAAGTTGTCCTTTTGTGTTCCTGCTGTCCGCGAGGTGTTCCAATGGGTTTCTTAAAGGCCCGTCAGTCGTAAATACAGTCTTGAACTGTTTCCGGATACCAAGTCTGAATAGACATAGGTGAAGGATTTCTTCGTCAGTCGGCGATACTTCTCCCCCGCGTGGATATATCCATGTCCCTCAATTTTTTAGGTAAGTCCTCCTCCTTTCTTTCCATGAGTTTGCCAGCAACTGGTTGGATCGCAGCAAAAAACTCTCCCACGCCGAGCCTTCCTCCTCTGGCCAATCAGGTGTTCATTGACAAATTTCTGGAAAATTTGACCCGTGAGTGTGGTGTGAATGTGAAGAATGTGATCTGTTTTAGTGGCTGTGATTGATGAAGAAAGGAAGTCCTCAGAGACGAAAGTTGCTATCTATAGTGTTGGATCTAAGATTGAAGATGGCACATCAATTCACATAACACCCCCTTTTTAGGCAAAACAGTAGTGGCAAAGTAAGCGGGAGCAGCCCTAGATATTAGAACGATTAGGTATGGAAATAGAGGATATATTGATAATTCTGCTCTCACTACTACTCCAGGAACTATGCTTCATGGGACATGCATCCAAAGGGTATTAAGAATACCTGACATGCACAACCTGTCTGTTATCAGACCAAGCGCTGATTATAGAGTAATCCTAAGCTAGTCCAATTTGCTCTAACTATTAATGGATTTTATAGGAGGTCCACAGAATATAGCAAGACTTAGTCTCTCTTGCTTAGCACCTGTCTGCACAGGACGAGAAACTCGATGCACACATGCACGAATCTTATCTTTACCCAAAAGACGCTGGGAACCAGTCCCTGCAAGCACGATGACCTCATTCTCAACTGCAGGGATGGAGATAAAAGAAGCTTCCCGGCCTATACCCTCGCTGTCAAGCTTTTCAGTTGATCGAAGATCAGCAATTTCCAACCCATCGCCTGCATTGCTGTTCCGGACTAATATCGTCAATGTACCACCGTCTTTATGGGGTGGACAGAACTGGGCTTTCTCAAGGCTCAGATTATCAGAATCGTAGAAGTTAACGGCGACAGTCTCGTGATCAAGAGCGGGTGTGCCTGTCAAAGGCACTGTCGAGCCTAGAATAGTGGACACTGTGTTGAATAGCTCATTTCGAAATTTCGTCCATTCCTTTGTGTCAAAATTAGCTTGGAATCGCAATACAGTCCAAGGAAACCTTACATTGTGGAATTCTTTGATATAATTCTGGAGATCTGAAGGGGGAGGAGTACAATCATCTCCGCCATTTTGAAAGAAATAAATACTCTCCTTGGGGATAGCGGTTCTTCCAAGGACAAGTTCTGTGCCAAGAGCCGAATAACCTTTTGATCTACTTTTTACGTCGATTGGCAGTTGAAAGAACCCACGAGCCTACTCAGATTTAGAATGTGTGCTCTATAGACTGTGGATACGGAATTGTCCTTACATCTTGCATGACTCTTTGTGAGAGATTTCCAGTGAGTTGCGGAGCAACGAGTCGAAAAGCGCCAAATTGCTGTAGACTGAGTTGCAAAGTAGACACAATAGACGGACTTAGCTTTGCAGTCAAGTCGACAAGTGGAAGACATTCTTTCGTGTACATTATGCTAACGCTGAGGTGGAATCTTGCTACGCGGGGAATCTTCCCCGCCCTCTACGGACGGCAGTAGAGACTATTGCCGTATCTTGGATCATGACAATTAGGGCCAAAGAAGTTGTTTGGGACCAAAAACCGCAATCACATTGTAATCTTTTTGAACGTTGGATTAGTTGTGATACAAGTGGCGTTCAAGTCGAAACATCTGACCTTCGAATCTCGAGTCTAGTCCTTTTCAATGGAACATTTACTTGAATCTTCAATTATACAACTTTCCGGGTGGAATACAAAGCAAACTAAAGTTATTTGTTTCTTGACTCGTTGGCTTTCAATTAATAATCAGCGTCGTTGGAAAAGATCTAATCTAATATCTTTGTTCCTCGATCTTAGCCATGTCTGTCCTCCTTTCATGCTAAGACCTCGGGATCATGCATACTATTCTTTTATATCTTAGATTTATGAAAGGGATCCTTTGTGTACTAGGCTCCAGTGAGCATTCAATACCCACGATAAGAACTATATGTAGACCAGGTACTCTTCTGCAGTTGCAGTTCAAGTTGTCACATTTTCTAAATCTCATACGCCAAAAAACGCTTCTTAGTCTCAACTCGGTTACCTTTATTTCATTGCAATTTTTTTTATTACTACGTTTTCTGGAAATGCGCAAGGCTATTCAGAAGACTGTCAAGAAGGCCAAAGATACAATCACGAGGAAAACCCGTTCGGCAGCGCGAAAGGCAGTTGATGCACTGCAGCATAATGAACCGGCAATTGAAGCACCACCACCTGGATTTCCGGCAGATCCTACACCACAAGATGATCTAGAGGGAGCTGGACCGGATCCCGAACCTGAACCTAGCACAAGCGACAACGAAGGTGAAGGTCAGGCTGGGACAGAGCCTAGGAGATCTGGATCAGGCAGCGGATCAGGGTCTAAGAAGGCCAAAACAGGTTCCCAAAAGTACAGGTCAAGTACAAAGCAAAATGGGACAGGTATAAAGAAATCTGGAACAGGAAAGAAAAAAACCAGAGCTGACTCTAAACCAGACCCTGGCCCTAAACCAGACCCTGGTGAAGGCGACGGCGTGGGTGAGGGTCCATCTCAGATAACTCGCATAGAGTCTAAAGAAAAGGCAAAGGGAACTTCATCAGACACTGAGAAATTCACCAAGGCAGAAGGCGATGAGGGTGAAGCTTGGTCTATGAAAGGCTCTACGAAGTCCGGTTCTGGTTCTGGGACAGGGTCTAGCAAGGATAAGAAAAAGAAAGCCGCATCGGTTACAAAGGAACCTGCAGGGGTCAGAAAGAGTGGATCAAGGTCATGGAGGAGTGGATCAGGGTCATGGAGAAGCGGATCAGGTTCAAGCAAAAGCGGATGGGGTTCGATAGGAGAAGTCCTCCCGATCGCCGACCATCCACCTATTATCCCTGAAATGGGAAATGTGTCGCCGTTGCTCCTCAAACCGGAACCCGCTGAAGACTGGGGAGCTGCAACTTGTCCACCACCTGCAGCTGGATCAGCTGAATCTGACGGGAGTTTCGCCTGGCAGCAACGAAGGGCAGCAGCGAGTCGGCTTCGAGGAGCTGATTTTGCGGCCTGGATCGAGGACCCTCATTATCCCAATTGCCCTAGGAAACTGAGCAAATTCACACTGGACCAGGCACGAGAGCTGGGCGGTAGATATAAAGAGTATGCACCGGCCCATCTGGAAGAAACCGAGTATGACCTGTTCCTACCACCGCAGGAGGAATTACCCCGGGAAAGGAATGACTACCAAAGGACTCACCTGGAATTCAACACGACAAGCTCTTTGATAACGATTACACACTTCCTCATTGATATAGAGAAGTTTCAACGCGACAAAGATGACGATCGGCCAACAAATCCGTTCATATCCGATCAAATTCTGGCTATGTATAAAAGTCGCCATAGCCTTGAAGGCCTCCGGTACATCTTTGTGTCTCAGATTGTGAACAGGGAGACCGCCGGCATCATCACTTTCATGTATCCCAGACGAGAGCTTGGTGGAAAGGGTTGTGAAAAGGGTAGTGAAGCTCATTCGATTACTGCTAGTGAGTACGAGGCTGTCCTTACCTGGGAAGAATATTCCTCGTCTCTGGATCCCAATGCTTCGGAACCCAGCGCTCACGGTACCAGTGAGCATTCAAATCGTGCCCGATCTTATAGTGGAGGAATTCCGATAGACCCAACACCTTTGGAACATGGCACGCCAGCATACTACCAGACTCTAGGTAGTCAGATTGGTAGGCAAGTGGCTTCTACTGTGCTGGGTGGTTACCCTCGGGGGACAGTTCGAATCGCCCGAATTTGGGTCTACGAAGGTGGGAATAAAGCTTTGCAGCTTCGCTTTGATCTTGAGCCCCTTCCAGTTTTAATTCGAGTTAGAGCAGAGGATGGAAGCAGCCTGTATGCGTATTTTGAACCTGAAGAGTAGCTGAGTAGCTATACATGGAAATATATATGTGAAATGTTACAAGCCTCTCAATATGTACATTTACATGGTTGACATCTGGATGTTTCTCAATTTTGTCTACTTCAATGTTATTGCTTCAGCTCATATATACGTGGATCAAATCTAAATACAAGTGCTGTCGTCTATGTATATGTATGCTTATTGTACAGTCTAATCAAAGCAGAAAGAGAGAAGAAGTAAAACGCCGTCTATATACACAAAGATTGTCCAATTCCAAAATACGATCTATGTTCTTGTCGTTTCCGGATAGGAATAGTTCCCATCAGGCGCCCAACTAGCAGGGTCAGAAAAGTCCTCATACCAAACACCCCCGAGGGCATTAAGGTGCACATAGCCAAAGCGAAGATACTCGGTGAGATTCGGACGAAGTCTAGTCCACGTGAAATCAGGCACAGCGGCACTATCCTTTGGTTTGAATTCGCGGAACCTCTGGACGTCATTCACGATAACGCTCATCCCGTCGACATGCGCCGGGATCTCGGGGAACGAGAAGACGATGTTATTTGGATCTATCGAGGTGGTCGTATTGATGATTGGGGGTACGGTGCCTAGTTTGGCACCATCTAAAAGGGCTGCGGGGGTTTGAAGGATGGAATCGAAGCCCCAGCGGGCGATTCCATTGATGAAGAGACCGATGAGAATTCCCTGGAAGAGGAGACTTGGGCGGGTTTGCGGGGTGGTTCCTGGAAGGAATAAGAGGGCGAGGATGTAATGGTGGATGCGGAGATTCATGTTCGGTACGGCGATGAGGATAATGATTATAAGAGCGAGGAAACCGTATAGTCTCATTTTGGAGAGGAGTCGGCCTTCGCGACGGAATGTATGGGCTTGAAGGATGAACACCGATACGATAAATCCGACGATGACGATGAGTGCTGTTAAGGCACCGGGTTGTTGTTGGATGTCATGTGGTGTGAGACGCGAGATTGGGAGTCTGTCGAAGGTATCGGTTTCCAGAGCGCCAACCCAGCACCCACCTAGCCAGAGAATCGTCTTATCGATGTGGGCGTCGAGATTTTGGAGGGTGTGTCGGACGCAGAAATGGTAGAGGACGAATCCGACGAATGCACCCGGGAGAAAGCGGCCCAAGCCTACGGAGACAAGATTGTAGTACCCTGATGTTGGGGGGTCAGAGGCCATAGCGACCTGAAACCAGACGATGAAATAAATCAGGCTGTAAAATACCGAGCCAGAGGTGACAGTCATGGAAAAGACGATCGTCATCAGAACCGTGAATGCAAACAGCGGCCAGCGAATATCAGAGCACTCGACTGGCGTCGCATCGCTAGATCCCGACGAGGAAGCCTCTTTGCTTAGAATAAATGACATCGGGAAATACGACATGTACTCGATGCTCGCGATGCCATTCTGCACCACAGATTGAAACTTGTCTCTCGCGCCCTGGCGTCGCAGGATACCACACCCTCCCTTCGCATCACTGATCATGCCCGCATGCAGTGCCGATGCACAAATCGACGAGTCACCACGATAGCTCCCACTATTGCGACCATCTAGTCGAAAAGGCTTACCACCAACAACCAGCGGACGATAATTGTACTCCTCACCACCAACAACATACGGCTCCAAAAGTATTGCCTGGGCACAGCCAGCAGGACAGCGGAACGCAAACGACTGATCATCAAACGGTTGACAAAGATCACCATTCAGCCCACAGTCCGTAGCATTATTCCTAATCCAATCAGCATAGTCCCGAAACAAAACTTCTGATCCAAACATACCATAAGCGTTGGTTACACGACAGTTTCACCGGTTTCCCATAGCCCAAGACCTCCTGGTCTGCCACAGAAGCCTTGAGGGAGGAAAAGAAAACAATAATCCAAAATAACAACCCAAGTAGTAGAAGGGCGATTTTTGCTCCCATACGCGGAACCAACCGATCAATCAATCGAGTGGGCGCAGATTGCCATTGCGGGAACCAGGGATTGATGTGATAAACATGTGGCGGCGTAGGCCCACGCAGCCAAGCACTGAAGCCGGAAAACCTGCAGGAAAACGGCGGATCGTGTCTAATTTGCTCTGGTTCCTTGAAATCGAACTCAGAGTCGCTGTCTTCAAAGTTATATTCTTCCGCTGGGAGCAAGGGCACATTGCCTAGCTCTATGTCGCCGTCTACATCGCTGCCGGCTCTTTTAGCGCGGGCTGAATCGTGCTCCAGCTCGTCGTCTTGATAAGGTAGTGGGTACTGAGCCGGAGCGTTTGGGGATCCCTCGGGCAATTGGGCAAAGTTTGCACGTTCATTTTTGCCGGGCGTTCTTGATTGATCGTTCATTTTTTTTTCTTTTTTGCGGACACACCAGATTGGTGTGGGAGTTGTCCTGTTAATTCTTTGTGCCAGCGTGGCTTTGAGGATGGCTGCCAAGCTTCAAGCTTGGACGGATCTTAGTAATCGTTTCATGCGATGGTGCGAGTTTTGGGATCTACAGGGCCGTGTATCAGGTTGAATTAGGGGTGAAAATAAGGATTAGTCGGTCGCTGAAATGTAAGTTTGCTGAAGTAGTGAGTGCGTATAATGTGTTGCCCCGGGGTGAAGTTGCATAAACTTCTGGATAGGCATGAAAATTGTAACCAAAGTCTTCTGTATCCGATTTGATTTATTGAACGAGTGACTGTCACTAAACACCAAAGCACCAAATCATGAGTCCACCGAGGGTATCAAAATTGAATAAAATCGTAATTCATTGCCCAGTTATCATGAAGTGGAGAATGCGACAACGCAAATATCATGAAACGACCAAATTCACCATGGCATGAAGCGGAGTCATGCTTTATGGAGCACCATTTCCATTCGTCATATATTCCGCTCAAGGAAGAATGGATCGGTTGATCTGGCCAGCCCGAGGCTCCGCGTTATGAAGCCCTCTATACTGCTGCGACGGCCTCGGTCTTCCGGGCGCCGCCCCAACGACGACGGGGACTAGATATCATTAGCATATAATTCAACAGGCAACACATTGCAGAATCACATACGTGGTGGTTGCGGCAGCACTGTCGCGCTTGCGGAAGGTAAACCAGATGCCCTGCAATAGAACGTTAGAGTGAATGATATCCAGAACCGAGATGGCATCACTTACTATAAGAGCAGAGACTAGCCAAACAATAGCAGACAGGAAGCTAAAGGCCTCAGCAGCTTTCCAGCGAGCACATACCGCATCGCCACGGAAGCTCCACGACCAGATACTACCACAGGGCAACTGCTTGATGGCGTCGACCAAGATACCGAATGCCGCGAACCAGGCAAACGAAATAAGAACATCGACTGTATGCATAAAGAGCATTAGTAAACCTCATAAATCAAGCAGAGAGTACAGGCAGGAACATACAAGGCCAAGCGAAGAATCCTGAAGAGAAGGGGATCAACCAAATCAATCCCAGTAGTATAGACAGCCCACTGATGACTTCAGTATAGATCCATCGGGCCTGGGGCCAAGGATCAATCGAGTCAAAAGAAGCAAGATAATGGCCAATAATACCAGCCACAACGGCTGCAAAGGCGATCTCGGCAATACGCAGTGGAATAGACAACAAGCGTGAGATGACAGGCATAGTGGGCTGTGTTTGATGTGTGTGCCGAATGCTGATTCAAATTATGAAGGCTGAACGATGAATCTGTGTCATCTGCAATGGGGGATGAACGAGGTATATAAAAGGTATCTTAGAGTGACACAAAAGCTAGTTTCGAGTGACCAAGACCAAGCAAGGGCCTATGAAAGCATTAAAATTCAATAAAAAAAATCCTCATTTTGGTAGCTTCATCTACAGCTCATAGTCTCAGACTCACAGACCATGCAGAGTCAAAAGCACCTGATCATTTCCTGGCATGGCTATAAACTCATTAATTGTCTTGCATTTCCATTGGTCTGCATTCTAGGTGGCCCAACCTACAACCCCTTGGGTTCTGACTCCGACCGGTGATGTAGTGTGGCTTATTGGTCCAAGTAAGGAGATGCGCTAGTGGCGCTCCATCCTGTCAGGATACCTGGAGCTACCAAGTCGACGTAACTGGATTCTGGTTTGGGGCGGAGTTCTAAAAGCTTCGCGTGTTGTTGTCTTGCTCACTGGATAAAAGGTTTATCCCTGTTTTCGGGCTTGTTTGGCGGGGTGTGTTGGCATTTCCGAGTTACCCGTATATGCATCAAGGTCCCGTGGACGACAGTGTCGATCTTTTGCTAGTGTGCTAATAAAAATATTTGCCGGCTTTAATTTTTCTCATTTTGGGCGTGGGCCCATCTTGTCGATCATTGTGCTTGGGCCTGACAGCCGGGTTGGATTATGCATGCTCGTGGGATGAATCGGTGATGTCAAGGTACCCTCCATTCTTTGTTGGCTCGTTTACACGGGTACTCCGTAGAGAATGATTAATTCTATGTTCCTGAGAGCAAGGTCCGATATCCCTTGCCTTGATCAGATCAGCCCATTTGTGTTATTCGTTTTCAGCCATATGACGTGGTAATGGACTTATCTTTACCAGAGTGTATTGTTCTGTCATGCACCTCCACTGCTGCAGAATGATCCACCTCTTCATACTTGGGTACTGTAGTAAATTGGGCTCCACGTTCGAAACACCCAGTCTCCGACTCTTCTTTTCCAGTCGTTACTTATCATTTCGGGGAGTCATGTAAAATACAAGGTGGAAGAGTTGGTGGGCTGATGGTCTAAAAGTACCGCGCGGCTGATATCCTCTAGTGGTCCCATACTCGAGGACCAGGAGGTCCCCAGTCACAAAAAGGAGAGATTAATTTGTCGGTGCCTGGATTTTTTTCGAACCAATAAATTGCTTTGATTCTTGTGTTTCGAAGGGTGAATTAATGATATAAAGAGAAGACAGACCACAACACCGAATCAGGCGCTCCCACCAGAACAATGGAACAATAGAAGACCCAAACAAAAGAGAGGTAATGTTACATCACGATCCACTCATCTTAGGCATGGCTGTCAAGATTTTTCAGAAACCACGCCATGGTATCCTGAAACACCCCCTTAGCACCCGTCTCGATCACATCTCCATGGCACGGAATCATCCGATCAAAGTTCCACCGATTAATCCGACCCATGGACTGGGTGAACGAAGCCCGATCCTTTGCCAGCGCATACCAAGCAAAGCGTCGGTGTCCGGTCGAAGTCGAAGGTGTCTTCACACTCATGAAGGGAAGTACCATTCGAGTCATCAAGTTGCCGGTACTGCCCTCTTCAGACTTCGAGTACTGCTCAGTTGCAGGTAAGTTGAAAATGAGATCGGCCTCGATCATAGTGCGCGAGGGCTTGTGGAGAAAGACCAACTCGCGCGAGCCATGTCCGTGCACATACTCCGTCTCAAACTCCGCATCGAACTCCTCTGAGACTGGATGTGGTGCCCCGTCCTTGTATACATGGTCGAAAGGCGTATCCTTGAACTCAGGGACCTTCTGTCGCTTTTCCCACAGACCATGCGGTGCGAGAATGTGGGCCTCCGGGTAGGCGCTCTTCCATGCTGTGATGTGCAAGTGGTGCTCAAGATCCGGCGCGATGATGTACTTGACGTTGCCGCCCTGCGTCTGGATTGTCTCTCGAACTTCCGGAGTGAGGCTGACGGGGGAGAAGATGGCGAGGGAGCCAGTTGCGAGTTTGACTGCACGCGAGGGTTAGCTCCCTGCTGTTCCTGCAAGGGCGAGGTATTACTCACTTAAGGTTCCTCGAGCGCCGACGCGCATGATCCCGAACCGCGCAAATGGCAGACTGAATGTGATGATCTCTGGTGTCACTGCACGAATGACCATCGAGGATGATGGGTTAACGGGGAAAAGCTGCGGCATTTTAGAGGTATTGCGCTGAGTCACTGATGCTTCGGTATTTGTATATCTTGACGGGCTCCTGGCTTTGATTTCTCAGTTGCCAACCGTGCCTGGAAAAAATGCAGCGAGCGTGGGGGTATAATAAGAGCTGAATATTCAAGCAACAGGAACAGGAGAAAATTATTGTAATCAAATTAAGTAGGTGCTGGGAAAACGCTTTCCCTGGCAGGAACGATTACTCTAGAAGGTGATGACGTGCCTAGACCACGTTGGACTAATATGCTTACCTAGCTTCTCCCGGCTAGACCCCACATTGATCTATAAGCATTGTCTTCATCCGGACAGATTCCTGCATAAATTGCATAAACGAAAATTACTACTCGTACACCTCCCTGATCCGGTCCGGAACTTATATATGCATCGAAAAAGGAGACAAACGATCGTGATTATATTGAGCTTGAATCCGATTCCTCTAAAAGTAGATTACGTGAGCAATTTAGGGAGTACAAATAGCAACCTAGAAAAGGGGGGAAGCGAGGTAAATTGGGCTTATTGACAAATTTAAATTCGATGTGAAAGTCTAGCCAAGGGTATCATCAAGAAACATCATCAAGAAAACATGGTCACGCCAAATTGATCAGCGGCCACCGTACCAAGTTGTGGCGGCCTCTCCATCAGGCTCATTACGGTGGGGAATGATCGATTCCGTAATTTTAAATACATCTATCAATTGCTCCCAGGTCTCAAAATCCAGACTGAAGATTGCTTGATGTTTCTGGATGCCCTGGGCCTGGGCAACGTGCGGTTCGTACGGTGTAGAAGAATCTGTTCAATGGTCAGTTGACTTCACGTCAATCGATGGCACGAAGAATACTTACGCAGTGTGGGTAGATAACGGCTATCTCTCGAAACACCGATAGCGCCGTCTCGGACAAGAAAGCTGACATAGAAAATATTTTCGACGCTTTGGCCAAAAGAACGCGGGTTAATACAAAAGCGAAACAGAGGAACTCCACCGTCGTCTGCGATATCATGTTCAGCCATTATTTTTTGTTTTGTATCCTCATCATCAGGATCCTCCATGGCCGCAAGCTTCTCACTCGCCGCCGCTTGAGCCTCATTTTGAAATTCATCCAACAGGTCCTTGATATTTGTGCAGATTTGTGTCAGGTTCGTGTTCTCTTGCAGTCCAAGATCATCTTGCTGCAGTTCATTGGGCTTGGTGACCTGCGTAGGGTCGAATCGCTCGGCCTGGGTGCGCTGCGTCATTTGGCGCGTCCGCTTTTGCACGGACAGCGGTCCCAGCAACCATCCTGACACGGTGGGCCGCTTATTATAAGGAAGGCAGGCAGTTCGGCCCAGCCAGTCCCAATTCATCGCGTCGCCTTCATCTGGTCCATCGCTATCATCGGCGTCTCGTTGGGTAGCAGCGTGGCGGCGTCGGCGTGCGGCCCCGTTAGGCGTCGCAGTGGAGGTATCCGGACCCCGTCGCATGTAGGCAATACACTTGGAAACAAATTCGTCAACATCAATACCGGCGGTCGAGTCTCCTCCGAGCGTAAGTTGCGCAGCCTTTCTGTGTGAGAGATCGGCTGTGTTGACGAGGAGGCGCGAGTCGAGCGTGGCGTCAGAAGTCTGCTTTACGCCGGTGTAGAGTTCGTTGGCTTTCTCGATTGTGAGTAGGATGCCATTATTGCCGCTTTGCATGTACTCGGCGCGCGAATCTGTATTAGATGCTTCGTTAGAACAGGCGGGTCCTTATCTTGCATGAACCGTGCAGCAGATGTTCTTACCGTTGAAATCGCGTGTCAAATCTCTGAAACCCTTGCGAACCTGTCTTCGCTCCGTGGGATCTTGGTCAGGATCATAGTATTTCATGCTATGGCGCTGCGAGGAGGACATTTGCGACTGGGTATTCGGTGTGCGATCGGTCAGACGGCGACGTTTGGATGCGCTGGTAGATGGCATCTTGGCAGTGTTGCGTTTATTGGGGCGTCGTCGATGATTTTCCTTGTCCGAGGAAGACGTAGGTGATGAAGGGCTGGAGCTGTGGGCGGTTGCTTCGTCCAGCTGAGAGAAGGAAACGCTGGCCATAACTCGAGAGATTTCTTTCAAAGACAGATGCAAGAGCAAACAAAGGACCCTCCAAGGTTAAAGGACAAACAAATGGGTTCAGCCACAGAATAGAAATTCCCTATTCTTGGTGGGTTCTATGCTATAATTAAATTAAGTGAGAAATGAAACAAGCACAACGCAAAAAGTTACATAGAGCTGATACATCGAGTTTCGCATTTTCGAGGCGCGTCGCGTGATGCACGTGATCGTGTTGGTGGGGATTTCCTCTTTAATAAGAATGTGACGTTTACTTGGACCTGAAACCTTTAGAGTAAGAAGTGGCTATCTTGCGCTCCATCCTTGCGCAGTATTTTTGACCTCTACAGTATTTGCTCCCTACTACAAAAATATTTATGCGTTGGAAATCATCATATATAAGATTGTAGGTCAAGATTCATGGTCGTTGTTTGGGTCATTCTCGAAAGGTGGAAATCTTGGTCTCTTCATCTACACTGGCGATGAGCTATTAAGTGTCATTTTGCAAGTATGGCCGAGTGGTCTAAGGCGCCTGATTTAAGACTCTCATTCTGAGAGTAAAATCCCAGGTCTCGCGAGAGGCGTGAGTTCGAACCTCACTGCTTGCATTTTCTTTTTCCCTTTTTTTATGTAATCGTTCTCCCCGTAATATTATACTTTGTCCAGGTCATGAATCCGCTGATCACTGTGTAAGCTAATGAATAGTCAGTTATTCAGTCACTCCTAGATCCAGTCCTAGATATCCCTACTACTACGAATAGTAGGACCACTATCTTAGCCTATCTCACCATCCTCTCTCTTATATCCTCCATATGACTACTACCACAAGCTATCCTTCCCCCCCGGTATTCCTTTTCTCTATTTCTTGTTTTAGATATCGTGTATCTGATAACTTTCATACGCCCAAATAATATCCCTAGTACTTTAGATTCGTTGTTGCTCGCATTATTTGATGTTGTAAAATAGTAGTATATCTGTGATTTCTAGTATGTTGGATTCATGCTACCTGTGCATGTACCCTATGGCTTTCGGTTACAGGGAGGGTACGCGGGTTTAATACGTATCTATTCCATCTCTTATATAAATTTTTAGCTTCCTAGCTATAAGTAATGAGTGTGAAAATTCTTCAATAATAGATCAAAGATCGTAAACTACCTATTGAATTTTGATTTTAATGTCCGATTAGTTTGGATAACTACTGTACTTGGAAACTCAGGGTCATTATTAATGCAAATTCATGCAAGTTCAGCCAATCGGCATTCCATTGTATTGCTCCATTCAATGGAGTTATTAATTTAATTCATATACAAGTATATAACCACAAAAGTCATTCGAATGGTATCTCTTGGTATATCACGTGATTGTAACGCGATAAGCGCGGCAATTGATCTTAGCGCTGAACCTCACCCGCAGCTGTCAAGCTTCACTTTTCAACTCTGGATTACTCCCACGGCCTCTATCCATTACAACCTTGGTCGCTGACCAGGCCACCCATTCAATATGGTAAGCCCAATTCCCCTCTCAAGCTATTCCAAGCCCTAAAAACTCAACCCTGCCAAGTATCGGAATTTGCTAACGTCCACCCCTCATCATGGAAACAGGCTCGCAACAGCGAAAAAGCGCAATCTATGCTGTTCCGCTTCCGGGCGCAACAAGCAGCGGACATGGGAATCATTGACCTTGGCCGAACCCGTCGCCCCAAAGCCATCACAAGCATCGACTCTGTCCCAACCTGCGAGCGCTGGCGCGGCCAGGTTCTGAAAGAGGTTTCTCGCAAAGTCTCGCGCATTCAAGAACAGAGTCTGAGCGACTTTCAGATCCGCGATCTGAACGATGAGATCAACAAGCTCATGCGGGAGAAATGGGCGTGGGAGATGCAGATTCGGAATCTGGGTGGACCGAACTACATGCGTGGATCTGGTCGTGTGTATGATGATGAAGGCCGTGAGATCCCGGGTGGTGGGAAGGGATATCGATACTTCGGTCGGGCGAGAGAGTTGCCTGGTGTTAAGGAGATGTTTGAGGCAGCTTCGCGCCGGGCGAAGGGGCCTGCTGAGGAGGAGGATTCGAATGTTGGTCGCGGTGGAGACATCGCTACCAGGAAGGTCGATGCCAATTACTTCGGCTACGGACTTGATGAGGAGGATGGCACATTGCTTGCCTATGAGAAGCAAAAGGAGAAGGAGGCTGTTGAGCATCTGCGTGGCCAGGGCGAAGACGATGCTGAAGATGGCTGGGAGCCGTTACCTGGTGATGCTGGTGACGGGGTCGAGTGGCGACTACCGACACTGGACGAAGTGCAAGAGGAGCTGGTCGAGCGTCGGCGTAGACGGCTCCTCGACAAGATTTCCTAATTCATATTGCTTTGTGTGCATCAACGGCTTGTGGTCTTCCTTTATCTCGGCGTTACGGATGCTTTTACGAAATATTCACATCTCAAGCATTGTCTTGTTTTCTTCATGTCAACTTGGTCAAAAGATACATATCTTATTTAAATGTTATTTTCAAAATATCCTTTCATAATATCAATTATGTACAATAGACTAATCGGATGGGGTATCGGATTCCGACTTATTTTTTCGATTTACCCTTTCGAATTTCAGTGCTTGGGACATGCTCATACGTTGGGTCTCATCCGGGTTCTCCATGCGCAGCTTCTCAGCATCGAGGTCGTCAAGAATGAATTTTCCAACATCGCCCGATCTCCATTTCGAGATGAAATGCAAAGCAGCGGCATCCACATTCGGAATCCCTCCCTTCATGAGCAATCCAGTGTGACGCGCAAAGCCTTCAAGTAGAGGGATTACCTCATTTGTAGGTTCAGACCAACGCTGATACGCCAGCGGATCATGCAGATTGATCTGATACAATAAGTAGTCCACGAGAGTCACGGGCGATATGACGGAATCCTTGACACAGCCAACAAGAGCCAATTTGAGCATATTCTCCGCATCCGGAACATAGGGCATAAAGACACCAGGCGTATCAAGGACGTAGGTGTGTGATCCACTTTCTCGCTCAATAATCTTGACAGGACTTGCAATCTTGCGGGTAATTCCAGGTTGACCACCGGTTTTTAAGGCCTTTGCTTTTCCCACCCCGTGGTTTCGCAGATGGTTGATTAATGTAGATTTTCCCACATTGGGCATTCCAACCACCATTATCCGGCATCCGGTCAGCTTATCGGGCATTGCAGCATCAGTTCGAAGGTGTTTGATGATGCGGTTGAGGTCTGCACGGGAGGACGAGTCCGTAAAGAAGACGGTACTGTTCGGGTCGAAGCTTCGCACTTTTCTTTCTAACTGAATTTGAACCAATTAATATGTGACTTTTGTAGCTCTCATTTCCTGGTATGCGACTTACCGACTGCTGCTCTGCTGAATGTAGAACGCCTCCAAGATCTCTCTTCGTGTAGACAATCAGTCGCCGAATCTTGCCTAGGGCTTCTTCAAACATGGGATTGATTGATGTGACAGGCGCTCGGTAGTCGCGGCACTCAACAACATAGTCAATTAATGAGAGCATGCTCTTCATCTTGGTCAATCCGGCCCGGTGATGCCCAAGGAAGTAGGACCTTGGGATAGCCCCATAATTAGGGAAGCCCTGGCGCGGAATGAACTGCGCCATTGTTTCAAAAATGCACAAATGGTCAATAATGTAAAAGGGATAGCATTTCAACTTGGAAAAGTAAGTTAGAGGATCACAATCTTAAAGTTGATTATCGCACCTGGCACATAAAATTGCCGTTGCATCAAGGCGGTCATAAATGCGGTCGGTCTTTATTAGGCGGTGACGATGCAGAACTTCCATCCACGTGATGATAAGCATTGCTGAGTCAGTCCCCGCAACAGCTCCATTTGAGTCCACTCCACGCTCCGTTGTCGCGTCGGATGCCCCACGAGGATGGAGGCATTCACCTTTGCACTGTCCACACAGGTGGATCTGCCAGTATGCATTAAAGTGTGGGTATAATCCAAACACTGAATAAGGCGATATCCCAGCTGACAATCAATAGTGGCTCACTAGAGGGCAAACAGAAGCAGATCCCGTTCTCCCGTCTACTCCAGAACCCCGAATTGCGGTATCTCGGCTCTGCCCAGAACCATTCTTCTGATCTCTTTGTTACTTCGCAATTATGGTCGGACTCCAAACCGCTTGGCGTGCCTTTGCAGACTTCCTACAGGGCATTCAAAAATACTCGGTCTTGGAATGAATGGCTACAGATGCCCATCTCCATCAAGGATGCCCCGCTCAACGCCCAGCTAGCAATCACGATCTGGGATCTATCCCCGCTGGCGGGTGACGGACCGCAAGGACATGATATTCCCTTTGGCGGTACCACAATTTCACTGTTTGATCACGAGGGTAAGCTGAAGATGGGTCGGCAGAAGTGCAAGGTCTATCGTCACAAAGCTGCCGATGGATATTCAGCAACAACCACTCCATCTGCCCCTCCTCCTAAGCGCCGAAAGCCCAACGCTCGTGATTTAATGGCGCCATCTCTAGAAGAAGCGGAACTGGAACGGATCGAGGTTTTGATCAAGAAGCATGAAATGGGAGAAATCACTCGGATCGACTGGATGGATCAAATGGTCTTCCGCCAGCTTGAGAAACTCAAGCTCCAAGCCGAGGAAGCTGCACGGAAACGAGCCATACATCTGAAGAACACGAAACCGAAGAGCAGAGATGCCGAAGATGATAGTTCCGATGAGGAAGACTTGAATGATGAAAACTTCGTCCTTTATGTGGAATTTCCCCGTTTTGATCATACAATCGTCTGGGCCGATCACCAATACCCTTCCGCTCCCATATCTTCTTACCCTCAAAATATGCCTTCTAACCCCAACTCTACCCTAAAGCCCGTTCCCGAGGTCCGATTCGGTCCTGGTATTGAAGGCGGAAATGGCGCGGGAGTGATCCGAATCTATGACCCAGAAGTTGGACAGCCTGGAAACCCTTGCGAAGATAAGCACCGGCGCCTGATCCGTAGCCATCGGACCGGCTTCATGGATCGGGAACTCAAGCCCAATCCTAAGAACCGTGATGAGCTGAATATTATTTTATCATACGAGCCGACCCAGGATCTTACAGCAGAGGAGAAAGACCTCGTGTGGAAATTTAGGTATTACCTGACCCGGGAGAAGATAGCGTTGACCAAATTCGTCAAATCGGTCAACTGGCGCGATGATGGAGAGTCTCGACAGGCTGTGGAGATCCTTCCCAAGTGGACCGATATCGATGTCGATGATGCTTTGGAACTTCTGGGCCCCACATTTGACAACCCGGCAGTGCGTTCTTATGCCGTTGCAAGGTTGCGCAAGGCAGATGATGAGGAGCTTCTTCTTTATCTTTTGCAGTTGGTGCAGGCTTTGAAATACGAGGACCACTCTGCAAATGACGCTGATGAAGCCGCCCATGACTCCTCGCTTGCCAACTTCCTGATCACGCGAGCTGCAAATAACTTCAAGCTCGGCAACTACCTGCATTGGTACCTGATGGTTGAATGTGACGATGCTGGTCCGGGCACGCTTTCTACACAACGCCGCCTTTTTGCGCGAGTTGAATACTACTTCATGCGGGAGCTCGAAAAGGTTAATGCAGAGCACCGGAAAACTCTTCTGCGACAAGGTGAACTTGTTGCTGTACTCTCCAAGATTGCCAAAGACATTCGATTTTCTCGCGAAACCAGGCCTGCAAAAATAGAGAAGCTAAAAAAGTTGCTCCGGGACCCCAAGAACGACATTATCAATATCGACCCCCCATTGCCTCTTCCTCTGGACCCAGACGTCTCTGTGGTGGGCTGTTACCCTGATGAATCCAATGTCTTCAAATCGACCCTTTCTCCCCTGCATATCACATTCAAGACCGCTGATGGCCGTCGATATCCGCTCCTGTTCAAGGTAGGTGATGATCTTCGCCAAGATCAACTGGTCATTCAAATTATTATCCTGATGGATCGTCTCCTCCAAAAAGAGAACCTGGACTTGAAGCTCACGCCGTACCGGATCCTCGCCACGAGCTCCACAGCGGGTGCTGTTCAGTTTATCCCATCAACTTCGCTTTCCGCCGCCTCGGCCAAGTACAAGTCCATTCTAGCGTACTTGAAGGAACACAACCCTGATGACAACGAACCACTTGGAGTTCGCAAGGAGACAATGGACACATACATCAAGTCCTGCGCGGGCTACTGTGTGATCACCTATCTTCTTGGTGTGGGTGATCGGCACTTAGAGAACTTGCTCCTGGCCCCAGATGGTCACTTCTTCCACGCCGACTTCGGTTTCATTCTTGGCCGTGACCCCAAGCCTTTTGCTCCTATGATGAAACTCTGTAAAGAAATGGTTGAGGGCATGGGTGGTACGACCTCGCCGCATTATCTCCAGTTCAAGCAACATTGTTTCACTGCGTATACCACCCTGCGCAAATCAGCCAACCTCATTCTTAACCTATTTAGTCTGATGGTTGATGCCAATATCCCGGACATTCGCGTGGAGCCTGATAAGGCTGTCTTCAAGGTTAAAGAGCGTTTTCATTTGGAGATGACTGAAGAGGAGGCTATACGTCACTTTGAACAGTTGATCGGAGACAGCGTGAATGCTATATTCGGTGTGGTGATTGATCGTCTGCATGAATTTGTGCAAGGCTGGAGGGCATGATTTTCCTGGTTTTACTTTTTGCATCAGGAATGGCTGGAGTTGAGGTTATGCATATACAGAATAGATACCCGATTCGAGCGACAACTTACCAAACTTGGAATATATCTTCAATGTTTCAGCTCAAGTAACATCTACCCATTTTCCCATTATGCTATTCAAAGATATCCATATGTAACATTTGAACCTTGGAAGTTTATCTATAGTGTAAGCAGCAGAGAAGATAACAACAAACAACAACCCCTTAATCTATCTACCTCTATTACTCATTCTCAATCATACAGTAGCAAAGTGATCAGGAAATTGATCATTGACTATGAACATATGCTATACACATGCTCTTCTATCTAGATGATACGTACATTTCAAATTTCCGCAATCATGGTTTAGTATATAATTCAAGAGCAAACCAGAGAGCCAGAGCACTGATATCATGTGTTGACCACCGTACATACTATATGCATACAGGGGTCGTCCGTTGAAATCTTTGTCCACTCGACAAATTTATCTTCCTAGCCTGGATTTAATATAGTTTTGTGGATCTCGGGTTCATTTCTCGATTTTTGAACTTGGATTCGACGGGTTAGGAGTACAATACAATAGAATTAGAGAGGCGGTAAATATAATCAGGCCAATTAGCTGATCTGTCCTTAAGATCCTTATGGTATACCGTAGGTATTGATTCATTCTTGTAAGCCTCTTCATGATACATATGGACAAAAGCTAGATAGACAACCTCCAAGACCGAGGCAAACCTCTCCGAATGCGCGTACGCCGGTGACAATAATAAAGCGCGCAGAAAACCAAAAAACCATAAATGCAACTCCAAAAACCACATCATACATATCTCAACCCTTATTCACAGGAATCCCTTAGTATTACTAGGCTTTCGCTGGGGCATGTCATTAGACCCATAAGCAGCACTGCCTCGTCGGCTACCGACATCGCTCATTGCAGCCATGGGTAAGCGGCCGATAGTGCTGGTCCGTTCAACTCGTAGCGCTTTCCAGCCTTCCAATTCCCTTTCCAGGCGTAATGCCTTCTCTCGTTCTTCGCGAAGCTCACGTTCGGCACGACGCGCCTGCATCTGTGTTTCGGTGTCGACTTGCTGAAGCTCATCGATGTTGCGGAGGAGTCGCTCAATCTTATCCCGACCCTTGTTAAGCTCCTCATTCAGTTGACCATTTATCTTCTCGCGTCTGTCAATCTGTGCTTGCAGATCCTTGACTGTGCGGTCGACGTTGCGAAGAGAGCGTTGCTCAGCGCTGTTCTTGTTTTCTTGCTCTTCAAGGTGAGTCTCCAGCTGTAGAGAAAAGGATCAGTATGAAATCTAATAGAGCGAAACGTGGGTGTAGCTTACCTCCTTGATTCGCTTGTGCAAGAACCGCACATCTTGGCTACCAGAAGAGTAGCTCTTGGTTTCAAGATCAACGCATCGAATTTGAATCTCCTTCAGCTGCTTCTCCAAGCCAGCCTTTTCTTTGAAGAGTTGGCTGTTAGTTTCACGCTCGGCAGTGAGCTCCTTCTGCATTTCAGTGGCCAAAGCATCTGCGCGGCGCATCTTGCCAACGGCGGCAGATGAGAGATCCTCCTGCTGAGCGAGTTTGGACTTGAGCTCCAGTAGCTCGCGGTCCATGCTGGCTGCGTTGCGCATAGAGGGACTTTCGCCCCTGGCAAGGTCTTCAAGACGCTCACCGGCTTCAGCCAAGCGGCCTTCCAACATCTTCTTGTCCTTCAGAAGAAGATCACGTTCTGCGGTAGTATCCTCAATGGAAGCACGAAGGTTTCGCACTTGCGATAGTAGTAACACAATCTTCTCCTGAGCTTCGTTGTGGGCTGCACTGGCCTCGTCGCGGGAAGTAGTGATGTCTTGCACCACCAACTCCATGCGGGATTTCTCTTTCGACCAAGTAGAACTGTTGAGCACTTCATTGTCCCACTTGCTTCGTAAATCTTCCAGCTCTTCACGGAGGCGGGCGTTCTCGCCACGGACATTGAGCAGGCGCTCTCGCTCAATCTCGAGTTCTCCGTTTATGGTCGAGAACTCTCGCTGGTATTTCTGCCGAGTCTGTTCCATGGAAGTTTCTTTATCTTCAAGATCAATAGCTCGCTGGTTTCGGTAATCCTCAAGCTCATTTTGAAGACGCTGCTTGGCCTGCAGAGCGCCCTGGAGCTCAGCGGCCTGGTCTTCCATCCGAGCCTCCAATGCCTGCGTCTGTCGCTGTAGGTCCTCCACGAGATCATCCATTTGCTTCCGTTCGGACATGACTTGAGCGTATACCTCTTCCGCCTCCCTGCCTTGTGATTTAGCAAACTGCTCAGCGCGATTGGCCTTCAAAACAGAAATTTCAGCCTGTTCAAGTTTACTGAAATACTCATCTGCCCGACTCTTGTACAGGGTAAGGCTAGATTCGAGATCAGCGGTTCTTGATGTCTCGGCGTCGAGACGGATTTGCAAGTCGGAGAATTCTTGCAAAAGTTGATTGCGACTTTGGACATCTTGGTCCCGGATGTACTGCATCTCTTGAGTTTCAGATCGAGCATCACGCAGCTCCACCTCCAAAGTAGCTTTGCTGCGCTTCAACTTCTCAAAGTGAGCCTTGACATCTCCGAACTCGGCGAGGGTATCATTGTGAGCCTTGAGCAAAGAGCGACGGGAATGTTCCTGGGAGTTAATCAGGTCGTAAAGCTCTTCGTGAGACTTGGCCTGCACGTCACGAAGAGATAATTCGCCAGATCGGATGCTACGCTCCAGTGTCGATACCTTCTTGGCAGAGTCATCGAGCTGATCATGAAGACGTCCATTTTCGCGCTCCAGGAGCTGTACCCGACGGATCGAAGGGCTTTCATCCTGCCAGATGTCACGAGAGGGAGTAGAACGCTCAAGCTGGCTCTGGAGATGCTTGTTCTGCATCTCAGTCATCTGGAGCTTGTTCTGAAGCTCTTCAATTTCCGCAGCTACATCCATCCGGCGCTGGTAACCCTGGGTGTCGACTGTCTTATCAGACCTGGCGGAGTCATTGACTCCTTCATGTGCATTGTAGCGACGGCTGGGTGTAGAGGGATTAGAGGGTCGCTTCAGAGCATTTTCGGAGTTTTTGCGGAAGTGTGCCGGGGAGCGAGTGTTGGCCACCTCGTTCTGGTCGATTTCTTCAAGCAATGCGCGCTTTGAGGATGAATATTTGGCATCCAGATCCTTCATTTCATCTCCGTGGCGACGACGCATCTCGGACAATTGACATTCCGCCCTGGCATATTTCTCCTCCGTGACTCGGAGTCTATGTTGGACGGTATCAAGAACTTGTGCAATATCAACTTGTTTCGATAAGTGCGGCTGTACAGCCTCCCAGGACTGAGCTGGCTCAGATGCTTCCGGCTCGAAAACCCGATGCAAAAGAATTAGCTGGCGATGTAAATCCTCGATTTCCTTGTTAGCTCTGTCCAGAGCACCCTGGGTCTGTCGAGTATTCGCTTGTGCTTGGCTGCGCATCTGCCGTTCATTCTCGAGACTACGATTAACCTCTGCCAACTGAAGGTTGGCTGTGGAAGCCGCTTTTTCAGCATTACGACTCGTCTTGTGTTCGCGATTCACCTCGTGGTTGAGATCTTCAACATTCAAGGTCAATTTCTCCTTCTGCTTCTCGAGAGACGTGATTGTCATCTGCAGATCTCCCATCTGGCGGGTAATCTTCTTATTCTCTTCCTCTAGCTTGGCCTTCTCCTTCTGCAATGTTTGCAGTCGGATTCGGTTGTTGTCACTGGCTTTGGAGGTGGACCGGGCGATGTCGAGGTTTTTTTGCTGAATCTTCGTGAGAAGGGACCGGTTATCATTCTCGGAGGCCGTGAGGCGACCCCGAAGAGTTACAAGCTCCCGTTCCAGACGCTCTTTGTGCTGATCGTGACGAATACGGAAGTTGTCGGACTCTGAAATGGTATGCATAAGCTGTTGAATGCGAGCAGCAAGCTGAGAGCGCTCTGTGTCGACTTCTTCAAGCTGCCGGGCCTTCTCGTCTAGATCGTTTCGCAGCCCCATAATGTGCTCCTCGGCCTGCTTTTTAATCTTGCGTTCGGCTTCGGCATCTGCATTCAAGCGTGCGCTCTCGGCTTCCGTAAATCGGTCCCGAAGCTTGATCAATTCGGATTGTAGGTCCTTTCGTGATGCCTCAGCAGCGACACGTGCCTCGGTGGCGCGACGGAGACTATCTTGCTGAATGTACATCTCTTTCTCGATGGTGATCTTCGAGTCGTTGAGTTCATCGTACTTAGCCGACAGGTCTTTCAGATTGTGTTCAGCGAGCATCTGAACATCGTCCCTTGACTGGCGCTCGCGGCTGAGGTCCGCTTCAGTTTTGAATAGCTGATCTTTCAAATCTTGCACCTGTTGTTCGAGGAGTTTTCTGCTCTCGCTCGCCTCTGCATCCTCAGACCTCTTCTCTTCAAGCAACTTCTTAACACTAGCCGCTTCTCGCTCTAGTTGAGCCTTCTCCGAGCGCATAGCATCTCTTTCTGCCTGAACTTCTCGAAGGCGGTTTTGCATGTTGTCATGCCGAGTTGTGAGCGATTTCTTCTCCGCATCGATGGCTCGTCTATCCTCATCATGTTTCTTTGCATCGTTGCGTAGAATAGTCATCTCACTCTCCTTGCGCCGGAGGAGATCCTCGTAGCCGGTGGAAGTCGTAGACAGCTCGGTGATTTGCTGGCGAATGGTCCGATTGACTTCAACAAGCTCTCGAACCTCCTTCTTGGACTTTTCAAGTTCTTTCGAGGTGTTGGCAAGTTTGATATCAAGATCTTGGTCGGTTTTTAGTAATTTAGCTTCAAGATCCTGAAGCTTGCGATCCTTCAGACTCAGATGACTTTGGAGCATTTTCATTTCCTGGCCCAGCTCTTCGATCTGGGCATCTTTGGCAGAGAATTGCGCCTCCGCTTCAGAAAGTTTGACATGCACCTCGTCCAGTCGAGCTTGTAGCTGGTTCTTTTCTGATTCAAGCTGTTGGATAATTTGACCAGCTTGTTCAAGCTGTGTGATTCGAAGATCGAGTTCCTCGTCGGTCCTCTTCTTTGCGTCGACCAGCTCATCTAATTGCTCCTCGAGGCTCTCCTGGTCCGCGATAGCTCCGGCGAGCTTCTCGGCAAGTTCTCCTTCCCGCAATTGTAAGCGCTTGAAAATCTCCTCCTTGTCAAGGGCGAGAGCACGTTCTCCCTCCAACGTCTGCTGGATCTTGTTAATCTCCATTTCAGTGCGTCGTCTTTCTTCGTCAAGCTTTTGGCGTTCAGAGATATCCTGGGCCATCTTCGCTTCGAGTTCCTTGATCTTGTCGTCACGTTTCTTAACTTCCTTTGCGTTTCGGGTATCGCCGAGAAGGGGTTTCATTGTGGAGAACAACTGCCACCATGGGCTGCTTTTCAACTCCAAGTATGAATGGAAATTTTGTTGAATTATACGAGTTGCCTCGGCCCGATAGAGGCGCTTGTTTGAGATGCGCCTTTGGATAAATCCCCGCGCCATGGATTGGAAGCGTGACATAATGCTTCGAATAAGCTTATCACGCTTTTCTTCCAAGTCGGCCAGAACGCCAGCCCTGAAGAAAACTTTGGTCCGACCCACACGATACCAGGCTCGATCCATGCCAAGCTTTTCTAGCATGATATGAGCGGCAGCCTGGCCCTCCAGATATCCTTTTGGCATGTTCTGGCAAAGAACTTCGTATCTTTGACGGAACTCGGCGAAAGGCAGGCGGTTAGGGAAACCAGTTCGCGCAATTCTGATTCCCTCGAGGACACCATTGCAACGGAGCTGATCCAAAACCAATGGAGCGTGAAGCATTTTCGGTCGCTTCTTGTGGTTTGGCAAGATGCATCGCACGAAATGGGGATGAGTTGAGTGAAGTTGGGCCATCAGGCTGGACAGCTGCTCCTTGTGTCTTTGAGCCACTGTTCTGAACAACCCCTTCTTGACCCGGCTTCGTGGATTCTCGTTTCCTTCTTCGGGTTCTGCACAGTCTGCAAACAGATCCGCAACATGTGGGTAATCTGAACTGGCAAGGAGGCGAGTAATGTTGTCATTCATCGGATCCTTGTTCTTTTCAAGCCAATCTTGTGTGCTGTATTCCACTTCGGCGGCATAATGGGTGAGAACAAAGCCTTGGCTGAGGCGGGAAGACCGGTATTTGGGGGTCTTGCGATCCCAAAGGGAATGTAACTTCTCAGTGAAAGATTTGTCTGTAGCCTTGGGCATCACGCAATCCTCATCAAGACAGGAGAAAATACCGATTGGGTTTGTGAGCTCGATTAGGTCAATTGTGGGCTGCAAGTCTTTGCCAAAATCGATAAACTGCCACTCAATCTGCTCTCGAGCGTATTCTTCCTGCTCAAGAACGAACATGTGGTGGTTGAAGAACTGCTGCAGCTTCTCGTTGGTATAATTGATGCAAAGTTGTTCAAAACTGTTGTTCTCGAAGATTTCGAAACCAGCAATATCAAGCACTCCAATGAAGTAGTTATCATCGGTCATCGAGCGTCCCAGTTGCTTGTTGATTCGAGCCACTAAGTCCCCAAATCCACGTTCGTAAATTCCCTTAGATAGAGCGTCTAATGACAGGCGAACCTGCTCGGGTGTCTGCACTTTCTCCACCCATTCGCGACCAGCTTTAACCCTTGGGTGCAGTAGGCCTTTCACAAATGGTTCGGCGGGAATGCCCAGCAGGTGGCAAGCCTTTTCAACACTTGCGTATCCGTTCGCCCCAAGGGCAGCTTGATCAGCCCTGATACTCTCCTTGGCAATGGTCACATTACCCAGGTGCAAAACAGCAGCGATTGTGCGCAAGATACAGAGTTGGTCATCCTCCGTAAAGTTCATGACATGGAAAGCCTCGATCAATGAGTTCCACTCATCCTTATCGGAAACGCCGACGATGGAATCGTTGCCATCCCGGGTGTAAGCAAAGTCCTCGATTCCAAGACCCGTTAACAGAAGCTTTTCTCGAGTATCTCGGTCTGCACCTTGCAACAACTGGTAAAATATGTGATAGTTGCGTTCATTGGGATTCGGTTTGACCACCCGAGACTTCTCCAATAGATACCAATCGATCCACGCGCCGCAAATCTGACCCGATCTCGAAAATTCGATTCTAATGAATTTTCCGAAACGTGAGGAGTTGTTGTTCCGAACAGTTTGTCCGTTACCAAAGGCTTCGAGAATAGGATTGGCTCGAAGAATTTGTTGTGAAAGGTTGGATATTTGCTTGGTGCCTGACCGCGCATATGGGGTATCGGAAGTGGCGACTGCCGCAAGGTATTGAATGACCTTCTTTGTGTTCTCAGTCTTACCAGCTCCAGATTCACCGCTGGCAAATATCATCAGCCAAACTCACTAGTGATGACAGTCCAGCACGAGACTTACGTTACAAGAATACTTTGGTTCTCACCCTCTTCCACCAGGTTCCTGAACGCTTCATCCGCCATTGCGAAAATATGTGGGCGGGTTTCTTCTCTTCCTCGGCCTTTGTACATCTTCACGTATTCGTTGGTGTAGATAGGCAAGGGGCAATAAGGATTGATCGTGACCAAGAAAAGTCCCGAATATGTCTGTCCCATCAGCATTAGTATGGATCTCCACAAAGCTTGAAAGACAACTCACGTAGATCAAGTCGGACTGGTATCTCGTGTGTAAATTGTGGACCACCGATCCCTCGTTCAGGTGCGTCAGTTCCGCCATGTCATCAGCTTTGTCGAACTTGGCCGGGTTGACCTTGTCTACATGGTCCGCATCGACTTCTCGCTGCTGCTCGAGTAATTAGCTTCACCACTTCCGCATCTGTAGGAAGAATGTGCCTACCTCGCCATCGTCACTCTGCACCAGCAGGCGATTTCCATCCAGTTCTTCTAAGACCAATCCGCGGACGAATGCCTTCTGGGGGTCGCGCAACCAAACATACTTGTTGCCTGAAAAGTCATTGTCTCCCTCCAATCCTCGGATTTGATCTGCCCCCCGTCGCATCTCCTCGGACTTGATAAAACTCGGAGCAAATGTACCTGACGCTACATTATTCCGCGAATTTGACCGTTCCCGGTTCGCTGAGGCTAAAGATATCGGCGATAGTTGTGAGACTGAGGAGTTTCGAACATGACCTTTGCCTAACTCTAGCCCATGAGATGGTGTAATTATGGCTGATTTAGGTCGAGTTTGGGACTGTGGTGCGGGTGACGGAGAGGATCGTGCAAACGGACTCGCCCGCTTCGGCGAGCTGTTCAGCTGAGAAGGAAGCATGTCGAACTAGTTAATAGATCATTATTTGCGCTCGTGGCTGTTTCCCATAGCAAAATCAATATGATTAAGAGGCCAGCTCTGAGAAAGGGACCAAGAGAAGTAGGATAACAAGAGAAAAGTAAACAAGTCCGAAAGGTGGAGGGTAGAGTGGAGATAGACGTGATGTGACGAAGGCGGAGCACTGACGCTGTTTGTTTACAACTTGCGTTCCTCGGGTTCCCGCCGATCTGTGGCCCGTGTCACGTCACATGATCCGATCACATTTTCTGCGCGCTTAATTTCTATCACTCACATAAGACTCACCTCGGGAATCCAAGCGCTCTCCTCCCCTAGAAATATTTTTGAACTCAACACTGCTCATTACCCTTAACTGACTCGACTTCCATCTGTTGAGGACATTTAGCGTGAAATATCTAAAGTGACGCGCGTTGATCTCATCATCAGCCATCTTCCCCTTCGCTCGTAAAGAGATACCTACAGCTCATACAACACTCACCATGACATCGGGTGTTTGATCTCACTTTCACTCGCAATAAATTTGCTTGCATATTCACGACTGTGTCAAAAGAAAAACACGCGATCTAGCCATGTCCAACCAACCACCCCATGCCTTCGGTGGCCACCCGAATTACTCGCAGTGGCCTCCACCATATCCATCGATGCTCCCTCCCGATTTTCACACAAACCCGGAACATTTGGCGGGGGCTCAAGTTCCACCCTTCAATCCAAACCATCCTTTGGATCCTAACATGGCGGCGTTCTACGCAAATGCGCAACTCTCGGGACCTGTCAGCCATGGTCACCCATTCTACCCACCTCCATTCCCGTTCATGAATCCGTTCGACCCGTCGCAAATTCCTCCCCAACCTTTCCCCCCCTTTCCCTTGCCGCCTCTGGATTATGCATCAATGCAGGCGCCCGCAGGGTCCTCGAATCCAAAGCCAGTACCCACAAAAGTGCCTACAATCCACGAAAATGTTCGACCCCACCCCCAGCCGCAGCCTAACCCAAAGGCTGCTTCCATCGACCGCATTCGCGAGGAAGGGGAAGTTAGCGAGGAAGAATCCGGACGGTCAAGTTCGACGAAAGATTCCAAGGCCTCTAGCTCCGCCACGTGGAAACGCAAACCTAGTCACCATTCCGAAATGGAAGAAGGGGAAACAACATCATCAAGGTCGCGCTCTTCAAGCAGGAGCAGTACACGTACGAATTATCATTCCGTTGCTTGGGTATCCTCAACTAACAATGAATAGCTTATAATCCCCCTCTTTCCGTGGCTGCAGACCCTGAGGTCCTGGATCGCGCGATCGAAATGCAAAAACGAGAAACTACCACGACTTCAAAAGAATCTGAGTTATCGAGGGCAGCAAAGCTTCGCGTGCAAGCCCAGGGTGCCCTTCTCAGTCTAGTGCCCCATAATATCCAATACAATGAACTGGTGGCAGAAGGCCTGAACCCAGAAATCTTACGGGAGCTTTACAAACAGGTTGGGATCAAAGTTGTCACTGAGGCAGATAAACCCGTTCCGAATGCAACATCTCAAGTTCCCGTGTCGATCAAGCAAGCAGAATCGGCTGCGCCAAAGAAAGTCGATAATGGCCGACAGAAGTCTTCAACTGCACTTCCAACTCCTTCATCAGCCACATCTTCCGCTCCTCAGTCTGACTCGGGGAAGCCAATGGAGAGAAAAGAGGTGATCGCCAGAATGCTTGCTGCTAAGGCCGCAAAAGCGTCCGAGGCAGTAACTAAGGCGGTGTCAAGGGAACCCTCAAGCGTTGCAGTCACTCCAACCCCATCTGCTACTCCCAGCGAGGGTCTGGTTACAACTGTGGTTCCTATGAGGGAGAAGAACAAGGCCCAGACGGAGTTGGCAAGACAAAGAATTGAAGAGCTCAAAAGGCAAGCACTTTTAAAGAGCCAACAAAAGGCCCAGCTTAATCAACCTAGCAATGCCCCTCAGGTTGATCGACCTGCAGAGGATTCGAGTTCTGCGACCCAAACCGTTCAGCATCCACTGCCCGTTCGTCCTCCTGCACCTCAAACTTCGGAATTCGCCACAATTCCAGGACTATCTATGACTGGGTTGAAGACAGATTCAAACTCAAAGAACCCTACCGATGCCCCGCGGGGATTTGCTGTCGACTCGACACCTGTTTCCCGAGCCGGGCAGCGTAAACGGCCTCGGGCCTCGGATTTTGACGAGCCTGATGCGGCTTACAAAAAGCCAACGGTTTATGGAAAAAGCCATTCGGGCCCTGCAGATCGCCTCATCATTGAATTCAGTGATGATGATGAGGATGAATCACTGTATGGAGATGACACCGGCGCCATGGATGTGGACTCTAATCATGAACCGGAGGCTCAGCCTGCGATGGTTATTGATAATTCTCGACCCGCTCTCCAAAAGTACCCATCATCTACTTCAACGCCGCAGGGTTTTCCATGGCAAAGTGACAGCGAAAGCATGCGACAGAAGGACTTGGAGATCCAGGAAATGCATCGTAAGATAGCACTTCTTACGGCACAAGCAAAGGCGAAAAAGGCAAAATTAGCTGCCAATCGCACTGAATCTCCCCGTACAATCGATGGTTCAACTGCGTCCTCACCATCGGCAGAGATTTTGAGTCCCGTGGGCGGTTCCACTGCCGCTACTTCATCTCTCCCAGCGTCAACCGCAAAGGCAGCGCCTGGCCAAGCCGGGGCACAGCATATTGCCCAGACTGAAGGTAAATGCTCCTCGAATCGACCTCCTATCGCATTCTCGTATCAAATCCCTAACAATACATTCGCAGTGTCTTCGAGCCCTCAGGCACCAGCCTCTGTAAGCATGCAAGAAAATGATTCGGGTGATGAATCTAGCACCATCCCACAGGCTATTTCAACGGTACCCTTGGTCACTGAACAGCCCGTCAACTCTCATATCAATCCGCACAACGATTATTCTGCATCCCCTTCCAGTCCCACTCAGTCCGACTCTTCTAGCTCTGCTATGGACGAGTCTGAGGATATCTCAAGTTCTCGCGAGAGTTCTGCCAGTGAAGAAGAGCCTGCGACGTTTGGTGAACAACCAATATTGGGACTTGTGGCCACCGCCCAGCCTGAGGGCACAAATCCCATTGTGAACGGTTTTACCGATTCACTCAGCACTGAAGAAGGCCCGAGTGAGCGAGAATCTCCTGCCGAGCCCCCGGTCTTGGATGTTCCAGCCACCTCTCTGTCTTCCGGGGATCATGCCGACTTTGCTCCTAGCCACACCATATCTGAAGGTTCATCACTCGATATGACTCAAAGCATTGTCACCGTGGAGGATCCTGGAAACCAGGAAACCCTTGTCGAGCAGTCTCTCCGAGAATCATCTTGTGCATCAGAAGAATCGGACGCATATGAACCTCCAGAGGCCGACACTACATCAGAGCCCAATTCACCTTACAGCCCTCCTTTCAGCCCCGCTCCTCATGCTCCTTTAGATGATCCGGAGAACTCGATGGCTATGCTGGACGATCTTCCAGCCGATAAACCACTAACGGACACCCCCCAGGTGCCGGTAACAGCACCGCACCCAGATTCTCAGGTCGAAACACTCGGTGTATGAAAAATATCTTTCCTACATAATATTTGTTGGATTGAAGTACTAAACACCCCTCAGAACCGAACGTCATCTGCATCGGCCACCTCGCAGTCAAAGTTTACTCCTTACGTCAGCCCTTTGCGTTCTTTTAAGGCGTATCGATACCACCCTGCCTACGCTGAAAATGTTTCGGACGGCTACCGTTCGCTAACCTACAGCCATGAAATTAACGAGGATACTTGCCTTTGCCCTTACGAATTGGCTGGTGGTGTGTGCAATGATCGGTCTTGTCAATTCCAACATTTCCGGGACATGACTCTTAGCGGTGCGTCGACAACTTAAACGTGCAACCTCTCAAACTGGTTTCCACTTGCCTTTTGTATTTCTTTCCCTCCCCATTTCTTTCGTGGGTGTATTGGCTCCCTTGCCTCATCTCCCAGCATCTCTCCTCTTCCATTTGCCATCATCGTTGCCCATTTGTTTCATTCTACCCTGTCCGCGTGCTGACCACAGTGTCATTAACCTCGGCAGATGACAAGATTCTCATCGAAATGGGCTCCGTTCGAGAGGGCCAAACCGAAGAAGAAAAAGAAACCTATCTTGCCGGGTTGAAGGAGATCATCAACGAGATGCGACGTGACAAGGTGAAAGATTTCAGCACCGTGGCTTCTGAGATAGCCGCATACCGTAGGCGCTTTCTCCAAGACCCTTCGCGTGTTTTGTCCCTGTAACATTCAAGCATGCCCTTCACATGCAAGATATTCTCGAGGTGAACGAAATGGCCTATTTGGCTTATCTGATTGGATATCTTTGATATCTCCTTTCCCTTGCCCACTTTTCTTTACGATACCCCCTTCCCCGTCCCTTGGACGCTGAGGTATTTTCAGCTTCTTTTCCCTTCCCTTGTTTTTCTACATGATTAGCCAGCGCGGCGTTCTGCCTGCATTCGAATTCATCGCCATGAAGCAGTCTTTCTGCTCTACAGTCAATCTGACTATGATCTTAATCGATCCTGGCACTGTGATTATTCCAGTCCACAACACGGCGTTAGAGCGCCTTCAATTCAGCTGGTCGTATTTACGCAGTTGTGCAGCTTCCGACTGTCATTCTGGAGCCCGTTTAACGCCTTCAAAGGGTCCTGCATGCTTGGTCATTTGACTTTGGAATGGAAGGGTGTATGATTATTATGCACCGGACCATGGGAAGCAGCTATTGAGCACATATTAGCAATTCAGTTGTGAATATTACGTATTTTATCAGTTCATTCCAATCTGGAAAACTTTAATGCATTCTTTAATATGTTTTCATTTCGGCACCGTATGGCCTTTATGTTGGTTGTATGGATATTCGATTAAGCTACAAACATTGAAGTCGAGGTTCGTACATATACCTTACGTATATAGTCATCCCATAACTACCTGAGTTGGTATATGCCCGATGGCATCAAATTAGGGCTTGGCTGTAAATCGGCCCAAGATGCAGATGATCACACAGTCACAGACACTGAGGATCATCCTGCATAGAGTTTATGACTCAAATTCCTTCGACATATGTAATCCGTTACCAGCACGCCGGTTCCATATGTACGACAAGGATGTTTCTGAGGTCTTGACTCATGAACATTTCCAAGTTGTGAAGAATCCTCGATACCGTAGCATCCGAACGCTCTAACCACGTGCATGTGCCGATCGAATACAACCTCAACCTCATTGACAATATGAAACATGACAGAATCCAGATACTATTTTTATTTCTGCAGCCTTAGAAGCAGCTAAATAAATATAAATATATTTTGCAAGGTGAATATACGTTAGCCCCGGGGGCAGGGGGCCAATTCCAACGTCGGTGCGTCCAAAATAAACATTCATGCAAGAGCTCAGTTCACTTCACCCCACCATCAGCATGTAATTTAGCGACTCATGAAGTCTCAGCCCTAAATCACCCAGGCTCTATCATTTAGATGTCAGCTTCAAATATTAAATTGTCAATACAATTAAAATAGACCAATCGCCTTTTTTGTGCAGCTGACCCGACCGTTAGCCGTTTGAGATTATGTGCTAAGTATAGTCCCGTCCGGTCGGGGCTAAAACCAGTTCATCGTTAACTAAATATATGCGAGACATTTGTGGGGTTCGTACAAGTACAACATTGTAATGAAAATGATAATACCTCATGCGTGTTTCAAAATTAAATCCATTCATATTCCCCAGGGGATGCTGACACTACACGTGCAGGCTAATGTACTGCAGTTTCATGACAAAAGAGACCACTGATAGCTGAAACCAACTTTCTATTCTCAGCTGAGCCAAGTCAAGTCCCAATCTATTGGAAAGCCTAAGGCTTCCGGCGCAGGGCTTAGGCTTATGCATGACGTCTTGACCGTAGCTGATACTGATACTGATAAGCAAGCTGATAAGTGGGGCAAGCCAAAGTATAGACATTAAGTGAACTGTGGAATAGCTAATGCTTGAATTTGATTTGATTTGATTTAATTTGCTTAGCTGGATTGTCTCAAGGCAGACTTTTACTATTGCTTAGGAATTTGGAATTCGTAAGAATTGAATCACTATATTTCGATGCGATGGCAATCGACTATTGGCTTCGGTGTACTCCGTGGACGCCTCACTTGAAGTATATTTCGTATTCGAGCACGGGATCTCGGCATGCTCCGCGAAACCTCGAAAGGATTTACTTCAATTCCACGGGCGCGGGTGAAATCCTACGGTGCCCGGGGGCGCGCCAGTTTGGCGCCTGTGCCTGGGCTTTCTGAACCCACTTGGTCATTTGTCATGCATGTATCCTTTAACCATTGCATCCATTTACGGGTGCTTTATGCTTTACATTTTACACTTTACACTTGACGTTGTATGAAAATGAATATTTAAATACTTTCATTAACATTGAATCTTCTTTAAATGCGCGATAATTGAAAGCAACGACGTCACGGCTGAGGCGATGCAAGCTAGTGGGGGAAACTAAGATCGAAAAAAGCAAGCTTCGCGGACCAAACAGGCGGGCGCAAATGTCTAGCGTGACAAAGAGAAGAGACTCGAAACTAGTCTAGAGCAACTTAGTACTAACGGAGTACTCAATACGTCAAAGATGTGGACATGTCCGAACTCTCCTCAGCACTGCCTCCGGTTTCGCGCATAGAAACGCCCAAGTGGACCTTTCCTTTTTGTTTTCTCCTTCATGGACCGGTCCGTTCTTTATTGCGCTTGGCGGGGCTGAGACGCGCGGGAGCGGGTTCGTGGAGGTTTACAAAGAGTGTTTTGGGGCCAAGAGTGTCGGGGACTTAGACTTGGACGGGAGGATTGTATGATGGACCGCGACTTTGACCAGGGTTGTAGGGCTGGCGTCATGTATATGCAGGACCAAAGAGCGGCAGATTACTTTATTTTTGTATTTTTTGGACTTTGCGTTTTGGGTGACTGATTGTTTGATTTGGGGCCAGGAGCAACAGACTAGTCCCGGGCGCATTGACGTGGAGACGTGGGTGGGATTGGGCGCTTCCAATAGGACTGTGCTTCCGGGCGAGCCTCAGTGAATGGCTAAATGGTATTGGCTAGTCCGTTGCGGCTCAGTCGTGCAGGGTTGTTGCCTTTCTCCAGAACATCCTGTTTGCAGATCGAGTCATTATGACTCAAAAATCTTCTGTCTGCACTGCGGCATGACTGTAAAGGTTTTGGATAGATCGATGGAGATTCAAAATCAAATTCAAAGTCAAATTTCTTTCTTTGAGACACAAAAGAGCGAGGCAGACAGGACCCGCCTGCTTACCTCATCGCCCCTAGCTAAATTAAGCAACAGAAGTATACATCGTTTCTAGTTCTCGTCTAATCATCAATGAAATAATCCGAAAACAAATGCAAGGTGAAAAGGAAAAGGAATCGGCAAAGCAATACATGCACCAGGCCATGCTGAGTATCATCGTAAAAAATGGGAAAGCAAAGGTAAAAACACAGGTATCTCTCAAGAACTGGAACATGTTAGCTTTTATGTCAAGGCTAAGTAGAAAAGGAGCCGTACCATTTATTCATAATCAATCACACGCATGGGTATCTCATTTCACGGAGACACAATTCGGGCAGGCCACATGGTTGCAATTGATGCACTGTGGTTGGTGATTGTAGACTTTGGGACCATCGTTGCACTGGCAGCAATAGTACATGTATGTTCCACCATGTGAGAGGAATGAGGAAGCAGCAAAGTCTGGCCTCAATGATCGGATTTGAGATAGATTGACACTGGGCAGCATTGGGTTTGACTCCAGAGAGTGCATGTGGGTGTTCATGTTGATGGCGGCCGGGTAAGGTGAAGTCTCGTGGCAGTGGGAGTGGGCATGAAGAGAATCTGAACCTTTCTCTACTTTGCAACCACTGCAGCGTCGTCTGCTACAATTGATGCAAGCGACGTGGACGTCAGCATTGTGAGGACCGAACGAGCAGTCACAGCAGTACCAAAGGGTAGGCATGATGAAGTGTTGAAGGATGCTGAGATATCAATACAAGAGCAAGAGCGAGTAGTTATTGAATGATTAGATCGAAGCCGGAAGGATTCGATCAGGATGAATTAAGTTGAAGTGGAAGGATCAGAAAAACGACAGGCATGCAACGATCTATATAAGGCAGAGATTTTTTGAATAAGAGAAGGACTTCAGGCAACGTCGGAGCTGTGGCTAGGGAATTGACCCTGGTATTCTGCCTTATTCTGCCTAGGGCCATATTTGGAAAAGTGAAGGGACCTTCACCCGGGCATGGGGCCATGATTAACGGGGTCCTAATTTGCATCATCATCCCGGGGACCGAATGAGGGACCCGATAAAATGTGGCTTGTGGCCTTAGCCTTTGCCCAGGGTGAAAATCCACTTTTTTTTTCGTACCTGGATCTGTATGATTCATTGTTGACTCAATGAATTCACCCAAGGCTGTCATGTTCACCGCATCTGTAGGGCGAGGTTAAAGGGGGAAAAGTAGGGTTTTGGCGTATTGGTTGTGGCTCGGCGGTGCAAGAACTAACGGTGACGGTCCCGGAAAGCCTTGTGCCCTTGGAAACTCCACTGACAGGCAGAAGCCAGGCATCTGTCATCTGTGACTCGAAATTAAGAGTCATTTATCCCCTGTTGCCTAAGGAATTGATTTTGGATTGATCTCATCATGTTCAGAATTTCTTATTTCTCATTTCCCTCCCACAGAGATCTCCCCGATCCCCCCATTTTTACAACTCCACACATCTTTCTTCTTTCTCTTGTCCCCGGTACTCCTGGGTTAAAGATATCCAGGGGTACCAAAGGACTAAAGAACAAAATGACTCAAATAATCCAATATTCAAATACCCAAATACTCTGATAGTCACATTCTTTGATCTTTGAGCCTCAATCGGATCTGTGCATCTACCCCCGGTCGCATTGATCTGACCCGAAGACCGCTACTGCGGGATGAGAATTTCCCAGTTTTGTTTGTCTCAAATGATTACGTCAGGGGCTGCAACCTTCGCTTTCTCCGACTTCCACTTCACAACTTTCATGTATATCTTTTATTAGTTCGATGGCAACCCGCGCACAGAAGCGCGTCAACCTTGCGGTTTCCAAGGTTATTCCACCCTTGTTAGTGGGGTTCATGATTTATGCCTCTTACGCGGTCACGAAACCAATATGCAGTGAGTGGTCGCGCGACTACGGCTTTTGGCGAAGCTTGACTAATCTGTACTTTTCTCTATAGTTGATTATCTTATCCACCCTTTATCATCCTATAATCGAAACCCTCGTGTCGGCGCTGGCGCTGCAATAATCGTCGTCTACTACATTCTCTTAATATTCATGCTTGGGACCTATCTGCGACTTCTTTATAACGTTATTTGCAACCCCGGCTATCTTCCTCTCGGTGCCGAACGTCTGCAGGCAGATGCGGCTGCACAAGAATCGAACAAAGGATTTGGTTGGTGGAGTTCGAAGTCTCAACAAACAGAAAAGGCGGACGAGTCCTCAGATTTGGAACATGGTGTGAACAATGATGCAGCCCAGGGAGCCCAGGGAGCCCAGGGAGCCCAGGGAGCCCAGGCAGATACACTCGGTCTAGAGAACTTTTACAGGAAAGACGTCTTCGTGTGCCAGGATGACGGGCGGCCTCAGTATTGCTCAACGTGCTGCCAATACAAGACCGATCGAGCGCACCATTGTCGGGAAATCGATCGCTGCGTGGCAAAGATGGATCATTTCTGCCCCTGGTATGTCAAAATCGAGCGCCTGGAATTCAATCGCTCACTGGAAATAGGGTCGGTGGTGTCGTCTCGGAGACAACCTTCAAGTTCTTTATTCAGTTCGTGGGATATACAGCCATCTTCTGTATCTTTGTTCTCATTGTGTCTGCATACTTTACAGCAGAAGTACGGCGTAACGTATGTATCCTATTACACCTTATTTCCAGATTTACTGACTTTCTTTGACCAGACTGGGTCCGTCAACCCACATTGGTGTGTTTGCCTTGGACTGTAAGTGACATCGCTCACATATTCGAATCACCGACTAATTCTTTCCCAGGGCCGCCTTTTTCGGCTTTTTTACCGGCGTCATGACTCTTAGTTCTCTCCAAATGGCCATGGTAAACGTCACCACAATTGAGAATTTAAGTCGTCATTCCCACGTCTGGATACTCGCCATCCGAGTCCCTGAATATCTCCTCGACCGACTCTGGGTCAGCGAATCCGCATGGGCTCCTACGTTCCGCATGGTCTCCTATCCACCACAAGGAGCTACATTGCCATCGCCATCGCCGCCCCAACCCACAGATTCTACAACAGAACGCCACGTGTTCGCCATCCTGCACACCGAACCTGGCGAGAACCCATTCGATCTCGGTTATTGGAAAAACCTACAGCAGGTCATGGGATACAGTCTCACAGACTGGCTTCTTCCTCTGAGACCAAGTCCATGCGCTGACCACACCAGCCAAGAGAGTACATTCGCTCTAGGTCCCGTGGTGACCCGTCTAAAGCAGGAAGCGGGCCTATTACCGGCCCTTGAGTCACAGCCCCAATACAATAGTCAAGGGACATAGCTCTAGACCTAGACATAAAAATTGCCCTTTCCATTCACCCCTCATGTATCCACCCATAGGTTAGTGTTTATGTGAGAATTGAAAAAGAACAGACTAAATATCCCGAATCACCCAACCAAACTAGTTGCAAGAACATTATACCGATTGGCATCCGCTCCTTACACCATAGGGCTGAGGTGCAATAGCAGGGATCAGCGTTTGTGGGAAATTAAGCTGACATGACAGGAATAAGCCTGGACCTGACATAAATAAACTAAACTTAAACAGTTCCCTTCCACTTCAATTGGAAGATGAAAAAGAGTATCAAGAACCTATGCATGAGATGATCATCAAACTGGTTCGGTTTCGTAATCCACTCCTATCCCGGAAGATTTGAACGAGGCCACGCTATGCAAATGAAGATGCAAATGCAGAAAAGATCGTAGCCAAGATTAGACCCCACGCTAATCTTCGCACAGTCCCTGCCGCCACGCTGTGAAGGTCATGCACGTGTGAGTTGATCCAAAAATAAATTCCTGAGGTGTATTTGGTTCTGCTATTACATTTTTTGGGTTGTCTGAGGGCTTGGGGGACGGAGCTTTGATGTTTTAGATTCTGGTGGGGAATGCCCGAGTGGGGCGCGAGGCTTCTCGGAGTCGGAACTACGACGGTGAACGGGAACCCCGGGGACTAAATCAGGGCACTTGGTGTAGTGGAGGGGAGGGATTAATGAGGGAATTACATCGAGTCTTTATCGTGGTGAGGTCTGTATGTATTGTTTGTAGGAAGAATAGGATGCGGTCATTGCACTGCTAAACTACATCGTGAATGAATACCTTGAGAGGTATGTGTTATAGCCGAGAGAGGATTATGTGAACTAGGTCAGAATCATGGATTGAATTGCAATTGGAGTGTAGCATTCGATCAATCTGATGACTGACTCAATTCTACTATGGAGCTCCTTGAGTGACCAGATGATCCCAATGGCCAATGATTTAGGAATGAAAGGGTCATGGATGAAAAAAGAATCGAAGAAGTTATTCAAGGAAAGTGATTGAAACCAAAGATAACCTAGATAAGACGAATGACAGTGGTAGATTGAAAACCGAAATCAAACCAAAGAAAGTACGTAGACAAACTCGAAATTGACTGATGTCTTATAGAACCCACTATACCCTGAAGTGACCAACCATAATTTCCAACTCCAAGCCATGAACCATAAGCCCTAGACACAGAACTCTTCTATCCCAGGCGCCTCGCTTTTAGCCAAACAGCAAGATCTCAGGTAGATGCACAAGTGTGGCATCGTGGATGACCACAGCAGGCGCAACGCTCGGGAGCTAGGGCGTCATTGACCATCTGTCCACAGGCACAGCAGATCCAGAAGCTAGCATGGGTCACTGGAGCTCCAGATCCCACTTGACGGGCAATCAGAGTAGAGTATGTGGACCGGCTACGATTGACTGATTGGGGCTCGATGACCTGATCGTATTGATAGATGTAGCTGGTGGATTGCTCTGAGGTTTCTATGTTCATGCCGGCCGGGCTGGCGAGTTTGGAGCGTGCGAAAGACATTTTGCTTAAGTGTTTCAAGGTTGTCTTCGTTGTATGAATGTCGAAGATTGAGATAAGATGCAATTAGAATCGATGAGAAAGATCTTAGAGTTCAGTTCAAATCAAGTCAAGTCGCTGGCTGAACGAATTCGATGATGCGAAAGCAGTCCTTTAAATATAACAGAAGGTGAAGCCTATCGCACTCTGCTGTGCTTAGAAACGGAATACACAGCACTGTATCCACATCCACCACTTGCCTGGGATTCTCAGGCGATGAGGCCGGGCAAACTCCATCGGGGCGAGGGCGAGCAATGATCGGTGAAGCAGCCATTCAGATCCAGAGCCCGATTCCAGCACTATATCCTCATGCATTCCCTAGCCCTAGGTTGTCGACAACACTGCCGCCTACGCCCAGGTATGCTGGCAACATATCTTAACCTAGGCGCCGACGTGCTGGAGGATGTTAGTAAATGACAAACTCAGAGGTAGCTGGAAGTAAGGAGCTAAGGATCTTCGCTTTAGATTCAATCCACCAGTGACCGGTTGTCCCACGGTTACAGTCCCGGGTAAACAGCTTGGCATCTGTGCATGACGGCGACTCCGGCCAGCGGTGCCGGGTCAGGGGTTAAGGCAACGAGCCAGGGCTAGGGCTTGGAACTGTTTCTGATATCTGATCCTGGTTACAGTGATCAGTGATGCGCTGGATGTGCTCTCATTGGCTTGGCTTGGCTTGTTTGGGTTAGAGTCGCCTGGTGTCACAAGGCCAATATATCCCTGGGTTACAGGCAAGGTACTGTAGGCGGAGTCTTTGCCCTTGGGTAAGTGATTCCCGAAAAGAAGAATAAGTTTAGAGATGAAAAGTGGGGAAGGGTGAGGCATATAAGAGCAATCGCTGGTTGCTGGTTTCCATCTAAAACATTGAAATTCTAGAAGGGATGTCAGGAACGGAAGACCAATCATAGAGTAAGGGATTATGCCAATCATGAAACAATCAGCTGATTGGATCACGGACGAGATTTATGGAGATTTATGGATCCCGCTGCCCGACGGAAGTGTTTGTGAATTCCGGAAATTACTGCATGGCCATTTCCTATCTGAAAATGTGGATTCGAGGTCAAAATTTTTTTTTGTAGAGAGAGTTTGTGTTTTTGCTTCATTTTGGGTGACATCAGGTGATTGTTCACCCGGGGAAGTAACAGAGCCTCATTTGACTATTCTTTTCGGGTGGAAATCGAGAGTAGAATAGAAAATCCTAGATCCATGGTTACAGCCGGGTTCTCCCACTTGTACCAAATCTTGGGATATAAATACTGGACTTTTGTTTCAATCGTACTAATTAAGCCGTTTTACTGTTGGGCTGAGAAAGTGGGGTCTTTTGCCATCGCGTCTCCCACATTTGCGTCATCAACATCTCCTTTTCCGTTTCACACCAACTCCATTTATTCCCCGAATTGATACCTTTGTTACTTGCAGCTTCTCGTTATTTTTTCTTGATATCTATACCACTCGAGTTCACGCTTTTTTTGTTTTCATTGTTCCAAGAAAAAAGCCTTGAGAGCTTTTGAGCTTCAAAGAACTACCTGAACAAAGAAAGGAATTCCCCTCATCTCACTTGTCGGTTAGTTTCCTCCCAGATATGCCTGGCATCTTATTTTTGCAATCAAGTTTGCAACAATCTTTGCAATCAAGTTTGCAATCCTCTTTCTGACCCTGACCACGTCCATAGCTGTTGGCAAACACCGAGTCAAGGCCGAGGCCTTTAGCCCCTCTAATATTCCTGAAATCTGAAATCAGCTGTTCATATCCTACCGAGAGGATCATGAGCTTTTCAACCCACCGAAATCTGTCACCTGGCGGTGGGCGACACCATCTGGCTGGTCCACGGGCGTCTACCGGCATGGTTGAACTTGGCTCCTCCATCGATCCATATGAGCCACGGCGAAGATACTACGACCACGATGAATATCCATCTGATGTAGGATATGGGAGTACGTATAAAAGTTATCCAATCCGCCGGTCGCCGGTCGAAGCTCGACCAGTCTCGACCCAAAAAGTCCGGGATTCTGGCCACTCTACCAAGCGGACCGAGTATACAGTCGAACCTCAACCTCGACACCGGAGCAGGAGCAATACCGTCTCTGCGATTGATGTTTCCCACAATCCTCGCCTGTCGGTGCCTTCTCATCATCGCTCCGTGACCTCGGTTCATGGCCGTTCTCCCAGTCCTCTGCCGACGGAATCCGGCCACTACGTGATGCCCGCTCATCATGGTGGACACCACCGTCGACTGTATAGCACTGACTATGCAAGTGACACGGGTCGTTTGGATTCTCATGACCGAGTGAGACATCGGTCCAGTCATCACGGATCACACCATGGTCCTCCACCGAGCGGGCGGCGATATCACGCCTACGATGGCAAGGGGGAAGACATTGACAACTACGATGCTTATTCCTACACGACCCCTCGGGAGCAGTTTGACGTCGACTACCCAGTTCAGCCACGCCATCCTGCGGGTAGAAACTCCGTCGACCGGCCTTTGAGCATGACCGTGATGGATGATGAGCAGCCCCACTGGATGTCTCGGAAACATAGGCCATATGGCCCTCCCCCAACATCCTGGGGGATGGATAAGCTAGACCGGGAGGGAAGATCCCGGACCAGTCGTGTCGATGACCACCGTGATGGCTCTAGATCGAGGGGACATGATCGTTCGCTCGTCACAGTACCTCACCTGTCCGACGATGAGCACGATCTTAGTGACAGTCACCGCCGCCGCCGTCGTCATCGAAGACCCCACCATGAGAGTGACCGGCGCCATGACGACAGGTCCCCTCGTCCTGTGGATAGCGAACAGTCATTGGTAGGACTGGGAACAGCTGCCTTGGGCAGCGGCTATGTGGACATGTCCCATTACGACCAACGGGTATCGCGCCAGCACAGACGCCCACGTGAACCAGACTACCAACCCCCACAGTCAACATCTCGCGAGTTGGTCGAAGACGCGAGTCCTGAAAGGAAACCGCTTTACCTCGAGCCAGCCGATCACCATCGCCGTCACCGCAGTCGATCGCGCAGACGTTCCCGACGACGCCATGGGGAGGAATCAGACTGGCTCACAGAAGATGAGGATCTTCGCAAATACCAACGCGAACCGTCCGCGGCTCCACGCCGGAAGCACAGCAGCGAGGATACTAGCGAGGACAACCATGCCACTAGGAGCCACCGTCGTCCACGGGAGCGGTCGCATGTGCGGTCGCGCAGCCGATCTCTTTCCAATGACAGCAAGGATGGAGGGAAGAAGGTTGTCGCGGTTGACCCGCCTGCACAGAAAGAGCCCGATATCATGCCAAAAGGGATATTGAAAAAGCCTCGTCCAGCCTTCCCCGAGGAGCCCAATCCAGTTCGAGAAGGTGTGGCCCCCTTGTCCAAGGACGCGGAAAAGAACGGAATTCCACCCGGCGCTCGTTGGACGAAAATCGGTCGGCGACTGGTGAGTCCGACGGCGTTGCGATTGGAAGGCATACGGTTCGAGGAACGGCAGGATTATGTGATTGTGCTTAAGGTTTTGACAAAGGAAGACATTGAAAAACTCGCGTTGGCGACCACGCTAATTCGAGGTAAGCATCCCTAAGCTCTATTGCGGATGTTTGGATGTACTCACAATTATACAGAAGCCCGCCACAAGGAGTACGTGCGTGACAAGCGTCGGCACAGAGATGAGCACCATCGTGATGGCCATCATGGCGATTCATCCTCCAGCGATGATGAGGATGAGGAGGCCCATGAGCCCCTGAAGATCGAGGCACCGCCGAAGACCGAGTCCCAGCAGCACCTGTCACTGCCAGAGCGTCCTCGAGCCTCGAGCCACTCCATGCAAGAAAACGCGAGAATGCCTATGAGTCCTTCTGCTGCGCCGGCGTAGAGAAGGTCTGTCCCGAGATAAACAAACAGTTGAAGGCCCAATTGGAATTTGCAATGGTGGCTAGGAGGATTTACGCCGCGCGGACGCCATCGCGAGCTAGTTCACCAACCCTAGTCAAGCACCTAGCCTAGGGCCGGGTTGAAGCCCCTGCAGCAGTTTCAAACCCCTGTGCCTATACACCGGTTACTTGCGTTCCTGTACGATTAGACCGCATGGATTTATGCCCAGAGATGCTACGCATGGAATGGACTCCTCGGAGCCAGTCTTGCTATCTACATGCGTGGCAAAATAGAAATTACGATTTTCCTTTCTCCGTTTCTCACTCATCAAAGCAGTTCACCTTGCAAACGAGACTGTCCCAGCTGCAGTACTGTCCGGTCTGACACATCCACGGCATGCTTAGACAAGTGTTCGAAGCGGAGCAGTTGCCACCTCAGCTCTGTACAACCATCAGCAATGATCCGTTTCAGCTGCAGATGACTCCTAAGTGAACTAATACCGAATCACTCCCAAATCCACCTGACCATATGATACGAGAAAACTCGCAAAGATACCAGTAATAGCCCAAGTCAACGCAAAAGCAAAAGCAGAAACAGAAGGCCGGAAACCTCCGCTACAACCAAATTGCTCTTCGTAGTTCAAATCACCCCGGCGTTTAACAAGTCCGTATCATTTTCTCACTTTCTCCACTCCCCCATCACATTGATCGGCATGAACGATCTTCAAAATGGAGAGCAAACAGAGAGAAATAAAATACAAACACAGATACAGATACAAGTCCAGCCGTATAGCCTCGGAATATGGACAAAAAAAAGGAAATCCAACGCAAATTGGATTACATTGGACTGGAAAAGGGGCCACACATTGCACGAGGACTGCAGGTTCTAGATCCTCGACAGGCGCCACAGAGCAAACAAATATCTGCATCGCGCCGAGGGACATTGAAGATCGCTAGGCCTGTGTCCGCTTGGGTACATAACCTGAATCGATATTCGGAAAGAGTTGGTTCTAAGTGGATGGAGTGGCGTATGCCTCGGAGGAATTTGGATTCCCCGTACGGAGTATTTTACTCTGGTATATCCTTTGTTTTACGTTTTATATTTTTTGTATTTTATATATTTTTTGTATTTTTATTGCTGTCTCTAATGGTCTCCTTTTCTTCTCTGGGACAGATTGGACGATTTCCCTCAATGTAACGCCATCTTCCAAGCTCCATACTTTCGGACTTTGTCTTTTCTTCACTTCATATTCATTTAAATTCCGTTTTCTATTTGATCTGCGTGAGTAAGGAGTACCATGAGCTGATTTCTAATCCATACCCCCTGTTCATATTGGAAAGAGCCGAAGGTAGCTACCCAACCCTACTCCTCACTTTCCCTCCCCATAAACCAAACAAAACAGAGAAAAGCCAAACCATAAAATACAATTATGAATAATACCTAATGAATTTATTCCTTATTTCGGTCTATTCTTCTCATACCAGTACAGAAAGTACTTGAACAAAGGTTATGAATTGTCCTCCAAAATCCCTCCACCTTCAGTAACCAAGCTAATCCATTGGACTACAAAATAAGTGGGACAACACCGTCCCTTGGCCAAAGTGATTACCAAGCAAATTCATCTTATCCACTCAATGCCTCCTATCCTATTCTGGTATATGCTAATGTTATATGCAGCGGGGAGATATCGGAGAATCTTCCCGGGGATATTCAAGACCCTGCTATCCTACCTATCCTACCTATCCTACATATCCGTCCTCTGTACTGTATGCCGATCAACAATCAAATCAATCTTAGATTACTTATAAGGCGAAGATCTACTTTCGCATATTTTGCATAAGTAATTATTCCAAGTTTCGTACCTAGATACGGAGCACTGTCGTCCTTTCCGTTTGCTTTTACTTATTTCTTTCCGTCTATACTAGCCCTGTGGGCTGATGGAACATTTCTCGGTAGATCGACATGATACTTCAAAAGGTTTGCCCGCTAGTCATCCCTGCGTCATTTCTCGGCAATGTGAACCGTTGACGGACAGGGGTAAGGACTTTCTGTTTTATGTGATGGATACACTCTATGTACCAATATATGTACCTAGGTAGTCTATATAATATGTACACTGTTTAAGTGTGATGAATCCGTTTGCGCCGCATTATCATTCGTTTTTCAGTCGCGTCGGCGAGTCGGAGGTTCGAAGCCCGATATCCAACATCCCATGCAACAACGAGCTATTCGTATTAATGTTGGAATCACATATTGTAGATCTCGGCTTGTGATACTATTTGATATTAGGTGGGATGGGGCTCGGCTCGGGAGGAAGTGGGTAGTGATGTACAGTATGAGCAAGGACTCTGATGGGATTGGAGTGAGTTGAGTGGCGTGAGATGTGCCGGGCCCATATAGCAAAGCGGGACCGAGAGGGGCAAGATTGTCTTCATTTTGGCCAAGCATGTATAAAATTCATATCTATTTCTGAAACTGTCTAGCTAAGCGAATCTGATGTTGCGTATCTCTGAGCTCAGAGGCGTTTCTCTTTCCGTGGATACAATTTATATTAATTATATCATCGATCAGGATTTCGTTGGCTTGGCTAGATCGCGATTCGTGGATATCTCTTAGTATGTTTGTTTTTTATATGTGTGGCATATTGGTACTTTGACTGGTTCAAAATCCGGTTCTTTTACTGTGGCAAGGCGGAATCGGAAAATGATCGACGCAAGCACATGTGGTTCGCTGCTGAGTTAACCCCCTGCGTCCGCTCTCTTGATGTCATTCATAGGAGCGGTGGGGGAAGACACGTTACTGTTTATTGATATGGATCATCCAAGACCTGCAAATCGGATCAGTCCTGTGTTCCGTGTTACAATCCGTGGCAAATTGCAAAGAGCGAATGAGAATTTACAATTACAAATCCAGGTCCGAAGTAAATAATTTAGGATCTTTGTAATGGTGATTGTGACGGTTATTTTTTCCACTTACCACTTGTTGGTTTGCTCGCTTAGATATCGATTGACCGAGTAACTAACGGTGAGCGTTTAGCGCATCGTCAGACCTGCATGGATCAGCCCTCAGGTTGCCATTTTCTCTCTAAGGCTGAGTTCTTACCCTACAGATGCAAATATTCTGAAACAAGTGACTAGCTCCGGGCCACGCGACCGCCCTTAACGCCTTCCGCTAGTCGATAGCTCACAAGTGTGCACTCGCTGACGGCCTGATACAACTGTGATGAAAGTATCGGTGTGCGTCCCCCGAACAGCTTACAGGAATAATAAATCGCCGATGTAATGATAGCTACACGCGCCTTTCCCCATAGAAACGTTTATCACTTCCTAGGCTGGTGCATTTCGGAGCACTCTGGTCCCGAAAGTCTAGAATTCGGAGCTATTTGGAGCCAAACGTTGATGTCAATTGTTTGCTTCGAGCTTCAAGAGTCCAGACTCCGTGGAGCCCGGAGCCGGATGGTGGGGCCGACTTGATTTCATGTCTTTGGTTTAGTACGTATATTCGGAGTACTGCTAGTTATGTCGGGGTGAAAGTGGCTTGCGCGTTCAATCGGGCAGAGCCGCCTTGAAGCTAACAGATTTGAGAAAAGGCGAAACACAACAAAGAAACAAAGGGAAATCCACATGAATCGGGTGAAGTGGATATCTCCCCTCCCGTAACTAGTAGGGCAAGGACTAGTTTAACCGGACTCTAGAATGCGATCCGCAATCCCATCAGCCAATTGAACTAGTAGACGCCCCTTTTGCCAAGTTACGTGATTTTTCTTTTCCCTCTACCCCACCTCAAATTCCGACTCAAAAGTTAATCCCGCAAAACCGTTGGCGCCTCCCGGGAGGCAGATCCTTGACTAGATGTTTCCGCTCAGTTCAAGACCAGGGTACGACAACTTTAAATCTGCATGGGAGATATAGATCTACATTTCTAAGCGCTTGTGCCATGGGTTAAGTGAAAATAATAAAAATGTTCTTTCTCTAATAAACCGAACCAGCCCGATATGTCTGGTACCAAGTACCTGACTACCCCGCCGGCGCCAAAGATTCAATTTTATTCGCATGCCTGCTTATCCGGGCTTATGACCATGGATTATAGGTATGGTCGGCGCTCGGGACGCGCGACTGCGTGATTACGACGTTGTGGCTCAAGCAATTTCCCCCATGCGAGCCTTTTGAATAGCTGTCTACTGTACATGTACGGAGTCTCCGTACGTACATATGGCAACATGATCCACATCCACACGGTAATTTGAGAGAATACGCACTCTAGCCGAGCTCTGGACTCTTTGATAAACAACCCGAGTCTTCCTCCCAGCCACGATCTGCACGCAGCAAGGGCGGGTCCCGGCCCCCAGTCCAACGTGGCCCGTGTTTCCGCAGTGGGAACTCTACATCAGTCGATGCCATAATCTGCTGAATCGAATCTGACACAAAGTTAATGCAAAGCAAAGCTAGATATAAAACATAAATATTAAATGAAGGGAAATGATGCAATGCAGAAGAGCAGAGCAGAATAGATATTTAGGAAAGAACGAGGGCCTGAGCTACTCAAAGCGACCAATACCAAAGAATCGCGAAAATACGTTAGCACGTTTACCACTTGTTTTTAATTTCTTCTTCCCTAGGAAGTAGATCTTTTGTGGCGGAGACCGGCCCGGTCTTTGGGTTGATTCGTGCTTTGTGTACAGGTACAGAGCTGATACGGGCTTGCGCTAAAGTAGCCCCGATAAAAAGGTCCATGTTCAAGCGGTGCTAGACGCACAGGCCATTGGTGGATTTTGGTGGCTGTTTTTTACATCAATTGTATGACGTACTAAGACCTCGGGATAGTTGAATGTTGAGTTCATCTTTATATGTTTCGAATGATTTTGAATTTAGCTTTGAGTTTTCTTATTTCCAAAGTTTGACTCTTTCCAGGAATGTTATAAGCTAATGCCAACCCTGGCTTAGTCCTGAAGTCGATCCGGGGGTGAGATGGCTTAGTATGGATCTCGGTTGATCCGCTCAGGGGTGTGTGGGTGGTACTGGAGTCTTTCTCCTGGGACTGTCCGAGCATGTGCTATGTCTACTTAGTACTCCGTTCCACGGGTACCTAGATGGAGTCGGTGGGGCTTGCCATCCAATTTCCTTGATGATCCTGGATCGTCTAGAAATAAAAACTAATTCCGGGAATGATCTCATTTTCGAGCTGTGGGACTCAAGCGGGTACACTTGCCGCGACAACTCCAGCACCCTGCATCGATCACAGGCGAAATACCAATGACTTCAGACACCGTTTCCCTCCGAGCCCCACCTGAAAAATACAAGAACAAAACCGAACAGGACAAAAAAGAAAAAAAGGGGGGGCTGGGTCATGCACCCGGGTTCAAAAGTTAGCCCCAACCTTCATGAGTTCCTGACCAAATATGTAACTAAACAACGAGTCAGTCCCCGCGCATTAGCCCGCGATCGAACTACCATCATTGGACAAAGACTCAACCAACCCAACAAATCACACTCACCTGAATGATGACGATTACGACGCATCCAAGAACTAACCTGGTTCTGGAAACCCTTAGCTACGAACTCGAATCAAATCAAACCTAGTCCACCCCCCTTTTGCTCGGAGCCGATGGCTCTCCGTTCTACAAATGCACCTAGGCACAGTCACTGCGCGAAATCATCGGCATGTTGGCTTTCCTGTTCGGTCCACCTTGAGCCTCAGAAGCCGATTATTCACGAGGTCTGGCCATGGCTAAAGCTAGAGAATGGATCGGGAGGATAAGATTAAACAAACTAATCCTACAATACGGAGTCGGAGTACGGAGCACATAGGTGTACGTGCCGTATGGGATTGTCATCATCATTTTATGTATAAACAAAATGATAGTGAGCCGCGAGGAGATCCACCCTTCCTAGAGAGAAGCTTTTTGTTTATCTACGTAATGTTTGAGGATAGTTCTGTGGACAGGTGTCGTGCGTCGACGTGCCGATTATAGACGGCCGGAGCCGGAGAATGGCTACATGCTTTTAGGGGGTGTATTTCCCCTCGAACTACCTGTCCAAGTGCCAAGAGTCTACGATTCAAGACTAATGCAGTATAGGTTTAGGGCGAACCCGGGTAGAGGCCCGCATCAGGGAAGGCTGGTGGCCTCAAGGTTCCATTGGTGCAGATGGTCTGTTGGCCTGTTGGCTTGTATTTTCTTTTTCTTTTCCTTGTTCTTTTCTTTTCTTTTTCGTTTCTTGTCTTTTCCTTTTTAGTATTTCCTAATTCCGAAATCTAATTCTTTGGATTATTTCCTATTTCTGCTCTTACAGTGCGGAACATTCGCTTAGCCCAGAATTGCACACGTTGACATATGGCTTGATATCCCGATTCAATCTAGTATGGGAGAAAAAAGAAAAAAACACCAAAACCGAGCTCGTTACACCAAGGCAAATGATGACCGTTAGGCTGTTTCGAGTTTATTCGGATGGATGGCGGGAATCTGGGATCTCAAGCAGGGGGAAAGTGGGGAACAAGATTGGGCCGTGGAAACAAATCTTTCTTTTCTTTTTCTTTCTAGATCGTGTGTAACCAGATTCCAATTTAGAAATCTCTTTGTCGATCTCCCTTCGATATACTCCGAGCCCCCCGAGGGAAATCGCTCAGTACCTGAAACTGGTCTATGCAGACGTCAGGCCCTAATCTTCAATCGGTTTTACTGTCATTTTTGTCATTTTATCTTTTCTTTATTTGTTTTTCCCAGCCGTTCAAGCCTGCCCCTCTATAGTCATGCCCTATGATACATGTTAATTATTTCTCATCCCTTTGGTCAATTATGCTATAGTGGGGCCTAGAGTCGGAAGATCCGTAGCTTTTGTATGTAAACTAATGCCCAAAGTTTTCAAGTGTTTCTTCTCCCTTTGTTTTCCGTCTGAACTAAAGTAAAGTCTACTACGGAACCGAAGCTAATCCTCTAAAATAGAATTAGTGAATAACGTCACTCGGTCTTTCAGCGTTACTCTCAGCATGATGGGGCCACAACCAATCATCAAGGTGTGACAATCAATATGCGGTTCTTTGTTTTCATTTACAGACGTATCATGGATTCTCCTCCTCTTCCGAAGAACGGTTCCTTGGCAAATCAATCATATATGGGAATGAGGAAAGAGGCAAGAGGGGCGATAGAACCGTTAGAGCAAGGATATAGATCAAAGAAATGTCGATCAATCCAAGAGATATGCAATCATTCTCTTCCCCACCAAGTCCCAGTCCATCCACTAGGTGATATTAGGTAGGACTGTTCATGGTCTACCTTCCCCAGTACTCCATACCTTAGGTAGCCCCCAAACAAGAGAAAGACAAAATTAATCAAACAGAAAGTAAAAAAATAGAAAAAAATAAAATAAATAAAATAAAATTCAAAAAACCACTTTCTTTCTCCACGCACCTCCTCCATCTTCGGTATACTGCATCCTGCACATCATTCCCCCCCCTTCTTTTCTTTTCTTTTCAATGCTTTTACTTTTAGATATTTTTTAAATCTTTTTTCTTTCTGGCGTTTAAATCTTCTCATCTCGGCTAGTCTAATGATATTTAATTTTAACTGAGGCTCGGATGTTTACCGGAGTCTCTCGAGTCTCTTAATCTCGTCCTGCAACCACCCTAGTCGTTATTACACCACGTTCCCGCTAGTGACAAGCCCATGATACCTTCTATCTCCACTGGGTAAAACGATCTGATTTTTTTGGATTTTTTTTTCTTTTTTTTCCCCTCTATACCTGCTCTTTTTTGGCTTGCCCTTCTACTCTGCTCTTTTTTCTTTTTTCCCCATTTCTGTTTTACATTATTTCCCTCGAATTTCTCCAGGGTTTAATTTAGAAGACGCCACGGAGTACCTGATCCTGATCCCAATGGAAGAATGGAGCCTTATGGGTACAGCTAAATAAACAACCCTGGACCCTCGTCACCTCCTCAAAACCCGTTCAACTATTGCCCTGAACCCCACCCCAGTCAAGAGGCTACTAGCCGTGTGTCGCGCAGACCGTTTTAGCCTCAGGCCCTCGGGATCGACCATATCCCGCCTTCTCTCATTCGACTCCACGTTTCTTTCCTCACCCAATCCCTCCCCTGGCTTTCTTGTCTGACAGTCAATTTCTCACATTGGCTTTCTATCCCCAGACCGTGAGAGAGGTCTTTTAGTGACCGGCATGGTACAGACTGACCGTGGTCCCTCGGCGTCAAAATACAAGGAAGAGCCGGTTGATGATCCGGTAAGTACATGACTGATTAACTTTCTTTTTATCACGTTGTAGACTGCTTTGGAGCTATACCTGTTTTTCCTATCAATATCAACTTCGACATTGTCTGCTATCTCAGGCTTTCAATCTTTCTTTCAAATGCTTCTTTTCTTGTGAACTACACAGGCCATCGACAGAGCCATGTTCGTCAGTTCCAATCGTCCGGACTAGCGGAGTTTATCAAAAGCCCCCGAGAATCAGGCTTGGAGCTGCCGTTTGATGCATCATTATGATGGCCAATGCGGCTGAATTGAAGCCTCGCAAATGAAGCCCGCTACGAAACTTATGGGGCAGCCCATCGGAGCGTGTGATGTCACGGGGTTTGTCCGCAAAGGTGGATTTGGTGAAACAAAACCAGAAATCAAGACCCCTCTCAGCACAATGAAAGCCACATCCCCGAGTCCGTGCAGCGGGAAAGAGCCATTTACATGGACAACAACGAGGCTGGAGTGCATTGGTCCCCCTCGGGAGAAAAGAGCCACTCGCAGTCCTAAGTTGGCCCTCAGTGCTACACAGATCCGTGGTTTTCTTTGGCCCTGGACGGGCTCATCCCGGTTTCAACCCTGGCTATTTGTGAAGCACCTAAGCCCATCCCTGCTCGAGGCATCGTTCATCCGTGGCAAATTTCCCCCTATGGCTGAGGAGCCTCTGGCCCTTCGCAGTGATTCAAATGCCCGCGCTTATGTCGTCACTCTGTCCGGACGATCTGGCTGTGTTCTCAAGTCTCCCTTCCTTTTTCTTCCACGTTCTTAGGTTATTGTACCACCCCCGCATGCTTGAACGCCTTGCAGCTTTGGAATTTTCAAATTTCCAGTCACTGATATCGTTGACCACAGTATCAACACAACGCGGCGCATCTAGCTCAACAATCTCTTCAAGTATCCAGGCCAGGTCTAGCGCCGTTATCACTGAAGCAAGACCCAGTTTCGCCTTCGCAGACTACTGCTTCGCTTTCAAGCAATTATCTTCCCGGCATCTTGCACTCCCACGACTCGTACGGGCCGCCAGTCCAAGAAGCGCCCTTTTATACCTATACAGCCGCAACTGCCCCCGCGCAGTACTCTTCTAGTGGTAAGCGACGAGCTTTTTCTAGGTTGTATTCCACGCGTGCCGGAGCGTCTTACATGGGGCTGGCTGACGCCTGAATACTACGGACTGCCGGCTGATCTGTGAGATATAGGGCCATCTGACCTTATGGCAACCACCGCCCAAATGCAGAGACCCTACCCTCCAATCTATCACACCCCTCAATCCAATTCCCCCGCGTCCGTAGGGTCCCAGTCGCATGATCAGCATGGTCGCAACATCTACACCCAGTCGCCACAGATGCCACCCCAGATGTACGGATATGCGCCATACTCTCCTATGAACCCCGGTCAGCCGCCGTATGCGGCTCATCCATCCCCTCAATCACACGCCATTACCTCTCAATCCATGATGATGCCGCCTCAAACGAGCACTGCACAGATGTCGCCTCACCAACCATCACATACACCAAATACAGCCCTGTCCAGCCCAGCCATGAAGATGGATTCGAATCCCCAGCCAGCATCCACCCAGCGATCAGTGCTCAACCCAACCCTTCCAGCTCCCACCAACACAGGCATGCCAGTAGGCGCACACCAAACTTCCCCCCTTGGAACCAGCTCAAGCGCAGCACCAGGTCCCATTCCCGCCACAACCCCGCTCGTAGTCCGACAGGACAGCAATGGAGTCCAGTGGATAGCCTTTGAGTACTCCCGAGACCGCGTCAAGATGGAATACACGATCCGCTGTGACGTGGAATCCGTCGCGGTGGAGAACCTCAGCCAAGACTTCAAAGCGGAAAACTGCGTCTACCCCCGCGCATGCTGCAACAAAGATCAATACCGCGGAAATCGGCTCGTCTACGAGACAGAATGCAATGCTGTCGGGTGGGCATTGGCTGAATTGAACGCTGCCTTGAGAGGAAAGCGAGGCCTTATTCAGCGGGCCGTGGATAGTTGGCGAAATAGCAACCAGGATCCCAGGCTGCGCAGTCGTCGAGTTCGTCGTCAGCATAAGATGAATCGTCGCCAGTCAGTTCAGCCTGGGACTCCACATATGACTTCTGGGCCTGGCCAAGGGATTTCGGGTGCTACGCCTGGTCAGCGTGCTAGTGTTGGGCCTCTGATGGGGCCGCCTCTGACGCATCATCATGCTCAAGTGGATGGTAGCCCTAAGATCGAAGACAGCGGTATGTTTCACCTATGATGCGATGTCTCGTTTGCAACACGCGCGGCGAGGTTTTGGATGATTGTATTTTTTCTTCTTTCTCTTGGATTGATCGGACTTGTGTGATCTTTGTGTGTATATGTGGGATTCATGTTGATTTTGTACCGGGTGTTGTATGAGATGTTCTTACATTCTGATATACTGAGTTCGGGGTGTGTCTGGATCTGGATCTGCTTCGATTTCTTTTCTTTCTACTGTTATCCATACCCTGTGTGTCCTTTTGCTTATCATTCGATGCCGCCGCGCCGCTTGCTTTGTCTTTCTTTGGAACTTGAGAAACCCTTCACTACATGCAGTACCGCGTAGGCTAATATTTCCACTCCTCCTCTTCCCCATTAGGCACCACAGACTACATCGGACAACGTTCTATTGATCCAAGCCGCCTGCCCGCACCACTGAGTGCAACCGATATCCGACCCGCTCAAGTCTTTCACGATGCCCACACAATCCCATCAGCAAGCACAAGCCCCTCCATGGCCCCCCTCCTGCGCGACACCAGCATGGCCTCTCTATCCCGCCACCCAACAATCGCAACATCCAGCCACTTCGCCTTCGACCTAGACGAACAAAGCCCCACAAACGAAGAGCTCTTCGGCCAGCTTCCAGACGGCAAACGCCGCACCTTCATCCTAGTCGAAGATCCCCAACGCGGCTCCCGTGTCCGCGTCAAAGTAGGCCTCGACAAAGTCAAGATGGACGAAATCCCCGATTCCTACCGCAAGAACAACGCCGTTTACCCACGAACCTACTTCCCCACCCAAATGAAAGACGCTCCTCTCCTCGTCGATCCAAGCAAACGTTTCTTCGCTGAAGATATCGATCACACCGACCCCGAAGACTCGACCATCGGCCGTACTACAGTTCCCGCTCCATCCCTGGATGGTGAGCGCGGCATCGATGTACCTAAAATTTCTCGTCGTCGCCACCGGAAAGAGGTCATGCTGAATGACCTAGCTTACCGATTGAGTTGGAGCCAGAGCCGTGTTTTCGCTGGACGGATGCTATTTTTACAGCGATCGCGTAAGTTTTTCACTCCTTCTTTACTCCTTACTCTTTACTTGGAGCTGGAATTGGCAATGGAATCGGATGGAATACGAGATTCTTACATTCTTGCCGATGCGGGTATGCACACGTGCCCATGGCTGGAACATGTCTCACTGGATCCCCGAATGCGCTTGTGACTCAACGAATCCGTTCAATGCTAACGGCTTTTTGTTTCTAGTGGATGCTTATCGGAATAAGATGCGTACTAGTATGCTTGCTGCGGGTCAAGAGGCATCGGAGATTCCTAGGCATTTCGATACCCGACGTGGAAAACGTCGGTTCTTGGAACGGGTTCGTCATAGGGAAGGTGATGCGCCCTCTGCTGCGCAACGTAGTGCAGAGGAAGTGGAAGGTTGATTATTGGGTTTTATTTTTATTTTTATTTTTATTTTTATTTTTATTTTTATTTTACTTCTCTACGTTTTGGCGATATTTGATTGCGGTTATGAAGGGTAGGAAAAGCAAAAAAACAGGGTTGGCATGGAATGGATTCGCGGCGCAGGGATTGGGTCCAATTATGATTGTTATGATGGTTATGGTTATGTTATGGTTACGGATTATGGATTATGGATTACGAGACCACGACAGTTTTTTTATTTGTTAAGAATCTGAATCCAGATACAATGTCAACGTCCCGAGGTCATTCAGTTTCACCAAAAATAGTGTTGGACCCACTGACCCGCAGTTCCACCGAATGCAGGACCCTGAAGTCCCTGGTTTAGGAGTTTATATCGTCATTTGTTTATTTGATACTAATTGTTGGAATTATAATTGATGATTTGTCTACTTTTCTATTTGTCTTGTCCAATTATCTATTTATCTATTCTGTCCTTTCATTCATCTATCCTCGTCATCGTCAGTCTCATCGTCTTCGTATAAGTGGGTTGTATCCGTTGTCCGGGCCACCACACGCTTTGTTGACAACTTTAATTCCCTTGGACCCTTCTATCTTTCTGAGAAACTTGGATTCTTAGATTCCTGAATTAAACAACTGAATATTGTTTTTCCTTTCTCAAATTTTGCTGGTCGCACTTCAGCTTTCCAGTTTGGCCTGCCTTTCGGACCTGAGAGAACCGTGGATCCTGCCTTCACAAGGCAATGCCTGTCTAATACTTTCCTCTTTCACTCCCGGAACAAAACCCCACCATCACTCAGAGTCTCAGAAACACACTCGTATCTGAGTCTACATCCACAACTACATCCCCATCTTAGCTCAGCCTCAGCCTCCTTGCAGCTTACATACCCCAAATTGGAAACCACCTATCACAAACCACATTGAACCCAAAATGAATTCCAAGTCAGACATCCCCGAACCTTCGCGCAGATACTCGAATCCCTATCGACAAGACTCAAACATAACACCAGGCGTCGACAATCTCGGTCCCTCATCTATAGGCGGCGGAATCAGCGGCATAGCACTCGGGATCGCAAACACACACCACCGTCAAAGCGGTGTCGACGCCGTCCACGGATTAAACATGAATTACGACGACTCTGATGCATACACCGGTCCTGCTGAGCGAGGGTTTCACACTACCGGCTCGGATAATCCCTACATTCCCGCACCGAATGCTGGAGCCGGTTATGAATATGGACATGGACATGAGAGTTCGGAGTCGTTTCGTGCGGAGCAGAATCAATACTTGTTTGGGTCTGGATCAGGGTTGGCGCTTGGAAATGCGGGTGCATTGCCGGCGACGCAGACGCCGCAGCAGTCTAGTGTACATTTGAGTGAGGCGCGGCGCAGTCTTTATGAAGGGTCTGTTCTGGGTGCTGATGCGATGGGTTCGGTGCCTTATGGGAGGAATGGCAATGGGAATGGAGCTCGGGGGATTGTCGTGGATGGGCCTTATCAGAGACAGTCGCAGTATAGTCCCGGGGGGATGAGTTTGCCCGTTGATATCAATCCTGATGATATTACGGATGATGGGGAGGACGAGTTTGGACATGGGTCGAGAGCTATGGCGGCTGGTGCTAGAGGTGCTGGGACGCAGGCACAGGCGCAGGGTGGTTTCTTTGGGGGGCTTTTTGGGACGGAGAAGAGTGCTGGGGTTTCTTATGATGCTGTGCCTGGAGGGTTGGAGGCTGGGCAGGGGAAAAGGACCTTTGGTATGGAAGGGAGGAAGAAGCGGGGATTGATTGTCGGAGGGCTGCTGGGATTGATTATTCTTGCTGCTATCATTGGTGGTGCGGTTGGTGGCACACTGAGCAGTCGACACTCTGATCATTCTTCGGATGGGCAGTCCGCGTCGGATGATGAGAATTCAAATGGGGAGCTGAACAAGGACTCGGCAGAGATCAAGGCGCTCATGGGCAACAAGAATCTACACAAGGTCTTCCCTGGTATGGACTATACTCCTTGGGGGGTACAGTATCCGTTGTGTCTGAAATATCCACCTTCGCAGAACAATGTCACTCGCGACCTGGCAGTCCTATCTCAATTGACCAACAATGTTCGCTTGTACGGCACGGACTGTAACCAGACGGAGATGACCCTGGCTGCGATTGACAAGCTTGGGCTGACTGATATGAAAGTTTGGCTTGGAGTGTGGATTGACTCGAACTCTACGACAACCAAACGTCAGCTCAGTCAGCTCTATGACATCTTGGATGAGACCAAAAATACCTCTATTTTCAACGGTGTGATCGTGGGCAATGAAGCACTGTATCGTGCCGGTCCAGACAAGGCGACTGCTGAAACAAACGTCATCAGCTATCTCAATGAGGTCCGAGATGAAATCAAGAAACGGAGCCTCGACATGCTGATCGCCACCTCCGATCTGGGAGATAACTGGAATGCCCAGCTGGTAAGCGCTGTGGATGTCGTCATGTCCAACGTGCATCCTTTCTTCGCCGGTGTCAATGTCGATGTCGCTGCTTCTTGGGCCTGGAGTTTCTGGCAGAACCATGATGTCACACTCACTGAAGGCACAACGAAGAAACAAGTCATCTCGGAGATTGGATGGCCAAGCGATGGAGGCAAAGACTGCGGTTCAAGCGAGGTCTGCGACTCTGATACCCCCGGGTCAGTCGCAAGCATTGATAATATGAATACATTCATGTCCGACTGGGTCTGCCAGGCTTTGGAAAACGGCACCAACTACTTCTGGTTCGAGGCCTTTGATGAGCCATGGAAAGTCCAGTTCAATACCCCTGGTAAGGAGTGGGAAGACAAGTGGGGTCTCATGGACTCAGCACGAAAGATCAAACCCGGTCTTAAGATCCCCGATTGCGGTGGCAAGACTGCTTCGTAAAGCCTGGGTTATCCTGATGATCATGAACCACTTGCATGCATATAAGTTTTTTTTCATTTGCGTCGGTGTTTAGGAGTCTTGCAAAAACATTAACTCCAATCCCATTCCTCTCCTATCATCTTCATTCTACTGTGCATTTCCAGTTTTACGCCACTTCACATTTCGCTGCCCAGCGTTGCTGCATTCCATGCTATCGTATGAGGTTCGCCTGTTGTCGCTTCGAGGCATTTTATGGGATGTCAATATTCAGTTATGTTGCGTCTGAGTTTTGTTTTGTTTTATCTTGAGCAGGGACAATGTACATATTGCTTTTAATCTTGACGTTTGTCTCGAATTTGATCTCGAGTTCAAATGCCCAGTATATTCAAATGTTTCATTTCCAGTCATGTTTAAAAATACTTTTGTATGCCATAGGCATATTCATCCTATCATGTGCCTCCATAAATCAAACAAATCAACTCCAATAAATGCAACCCAAATGCAAACCCGGGAGATCAGTTATCCCTGAAATACAACCTTGTCATCCAAAATGCGTGCTCATTGCACGTGAAGGGCTCCAAAGCCCTAGACTGCATCTTCCCAACAAATTTCTCAATCACCTCCGACTCAGTATTCTCCAATGGTCCACCAAACACGAGCCCCGGATTCGACGGAAGAACCAACTCAAGATGTTTCCTCTCCGCACCAGGACAGAATAGCAGCGTATTCCGCGTAACACTCTCAAACCCTACAGGATCCTCAACAACCGTTATCCCCATACCTTCCAAAAGCGCCCGATCCAAATTATTAAAGACGGGGTCCTGTGCATAAACGGGTATCGAAGTGAAATGAGCTAGGAACGTCAGTAAGCTCAGATGAAACCAACACAGGGCCTCGAGAGCACTCACCAGCAAATCTCTCCTTAATCCTCTCCAACGCCGCAAGTTGATACATCGACACACTTCGTCGATCTACCCACCCATCGCGCAAGAATCCACTCGGACTACCAAGTCCAATGCACACAATCCTATCCACATCCACATCCACATCTACAGATTTCGATTTCGATTCCGATTCCGATTCCGATTCAGTACGCACCAATAGCGCCTGAATCTTCTCATCCAATATCTTTTCCAATTTAATCCACGTCGAGGATCCGGTCCATTGTTCCCTGTGCGCGGCGTACTGCCTCTGCAGTTCCTCCAATGTTAACCGGCCCGGTGCTTCGGCGGGGCTGAGAACGGGCTCTAAATCGCGATCGCGGGCTTCTGTTGTGCCTTGCTCTTCTGAACTAACTGCGTTCTTCGAGCTTTTTGTTCCCCGCATTGTGCGCCGGGCGTTGTTTCCTGTTGTGACGTGGGTCCAGCCATTGTCATCGGTGACTTGGAGACGTTTTTGGGTGCTTGGGTTTGGGCGTTTGGGACGTGTGGAGTGTGGCATTTTGGGCTTTGATGCAGAGATCTTGGACTCGATGGTCGAGTCTTTTATCGTTCTAGCAGACGGTTACGGGAATGCCTTCATCGGAACTTGGAATGACTAAGCGGGTGACCAATCATCTTAACGTAAATAGTTTACAATTGTGAATCTTGTTCAATGAAGACGGGAAATGTTAAGAGGAGTTCTAGGTTCTACGTTAATTTATTAGTTCGATGTAGATATACATAGTTAGAATTTCAAGGTTGTTTACTTTGTGTGTGAACACGACTGTGACTGTATACATTTTCAAGGTGAGAGGACTCCACCGCACGGATCTTCCATGAGACTCAGTTTCGCGACTAAAGTATCAGTGCCGATGTGATATGATCCGATCTTGACTTTTGAAAGCGGCAGATCAGCAAGGCGCCACCTGGCACAGAACCTTGGATAACGCCCTGGAACAACATTGGAAAGCTTGATTAACATGCGGGTTGAGGTTGGAGAATAAGCAGTCTGATCATTTATGTATTCACCCAAATGTTGCATCCTGGGTACCTACATTGATACTAGCTGACTGTGATAACGAGTTACTTCAAGTCTACGTGACAGCCCAAGCGCTCAAGTCAAGACATCCGGTTAAATGCTAGGGCTAAGAGATACTCCCAACAGCAATTTTCTGATTTACTCCGCTGCTCAATATCTGTGTGATTGTGACTGGCCTACGGAGTAGATATCTCAAAATTGCTCCGGGGGAACGGGCGTTCAAGCATGCATCGGTCGCATTTAGTGTGTCGGAAACCCACTGACATCCCTGGGGTTGGTCAACAACGATCACTGCGGATCCATGAACCCAACCGAGCTGCATTCGCAAGAAACAAAATGCTAAGCTTGTCTGTGATAATTCCCATCAGCAAGTCTATCACATTATGTGCCCTGTAAGCGCCGAGCACTTACAGGCCAACCCCTCAGAATCCCTGTTAGCGTCTCCCCTCGGCGCTTCGAGCTTTGGTCTCTCGGCCAATCAGAGTGCTCCATTACCCTTCAAGTGATGGCACTTGCAGCAGAACCGTGATGATCCTCAACAGCCCTTCTCCACTGGACCAGTCAGATCCACTTACGGGTTGTGCAAGCTGCAGTTGCAGTCACACTTGGATCCTGGCTGCTCACTCGTTAGCGGAGCCAAAGCCATGGCTGCACCGGGAGAAATACCCCTCAAAAAGAGACCGACGAGCCCTCGAAAATCTTCCTTGGCTTTGTGAGATTTTGTCTGCTGGATTGACGTTCTTCTTTGCATCCCCAGCCTACCGACTTTATACTGCGAACAACTGGACCGGCTCCATTGCTTCGCTTCCTGTCTGTGTCATTTTAGACTTTTTTTGAAACCCTCACATAATCCTCGTCATGGCTCGACTCTCAACATCTCCATGGGCTTCCCTTCTACTACTGCTTTGCGTGGGCCTCGCAAATGCTCACACTGTCATCACATACCCCGGATACCGAGGAAACAACCTTCACACCAATGGCACTGTCGCTGAGGCTAACGGGCTGGGCGTTGCTTACGAGAACGGTTCATACATCTACCCCTATGGCATGGAGTGGATCTATCCTTGTAAGTAAACTCATCAGCATTTTATGAGCCTCACTGACTCGACTAGGCGGCGGTATGCCCCGCTCGACCAACCGCACCAAGTGGCCCATCCTGGGAGGCGCTGTTGCCGTCCAGCCTGGCTGGTTCCCTGGCCACCAGACCGCCTTGATCTATGTGAACATGGGTCTTGGTACGATCCCCGAGAATATGAGCCATCCTGTCGTCTCTCCCTTCCAGATTACCGGCCCAACCAACAACCCTTACCCGGGTACATTCTGTTTGCCGCAGGTTCCCTTACCCGCGAACATCAGCGCCAAGGTCGGCGACAATGCCACTATACAAGTTGTTGAGGTTGCAAAGCACGGTGCTGCACTATTCAATGTTTGTCCTTCTTGTCCACGTCGGTTTTTCTATACTAACGCATTGCAGTGTGTGGATATTACCTTTGCAGAGGTCCATGACGCTGAGATCGAATCCGTCACTCGTGAAAACTGCTTCAATTCTTCCGACATCTCATTCCAGTACATGTACACTACGGGTGGAATCAACGCGGCCGCAGGCCTGAAGCCTCATGCACTGCTTGCCCTTGGACCGCTCCTGCTGGCGGCTCTCTTGGGCAGCTTTGTGTAGATATGAATTTTGCTTCTCCGAACTGCATTTGCGCGCGTCTATGTTTATGACAATCATACCCTTTCCTTCTAATTTGCGTTGTCTAAAATTATTGTTCGACCATGGCATGTCTACTCCGTGTTGTCAGGGCGATGGATGTCTATAGTTTCTCACTTTTTCCTGGTGTTCGACGGCGTTTTGGGTTTTCAATTTTATGGTGTTGACTATATCCACCAATCAATATCAATGAACAATACTTACGGCTGATATAATCTCGCAGATGAATGTGCATCTCAACATAGAATCTCGGGTAAGCGGAAGTCAAGATAACCGAGTTTTACCGGAACTTAATTTTTGCTATTTTGTCTTCACCAACATGGATCAATCATCACTATCAATTCTGGGGATCTGGGGGCCAGTGGGGCCAATTTAACTTATCTCAGATCCCAATTTCAAATCACCCTTTCCCAACTACGTCCAGTCCATGTTTCCTCGAATTGAAGTATACAATCAACAATAAAAATGGGCTCCATAACATTCGACCCCGACCTACAAGCTGCCCTTGAACAAGACACACACATTAAGTTCATCCGCAACCACCCAACAAGGAAGACCCTCTCCAACAACCCCGACTTCCAAGAAACATCCCTTCACACCCACATCTCCGAAGACCTCCGAAACAACAATCTCATCACAGGCACCCTCGCCGGACCCCAGAAAGTACTCCTGGCACCTTTCACATTCAAAAATCATTCAGAAAACAGCATTGTCATGTTCATGTACCTGGGCAGCGGTATCTGTGGACATCCGGGTATCGTGCATGGCGGAGTCCTCGCAACGCTTCTGGACGAGGCTCTTGCTCGATGCTGTTTTCCGGTTTTGCCTAATAAGGTGGGCGTGACGGCAAATCTGAATATTGATTATAGAGCGCCGGTTATGGCCAATTCATATGTTGTTCTCAGGGCTAGGACGAAGATGGTTGAGGGTAGGAAGGCTTGGGTTGAGGGTAGGATCGAGACTTTGGATGAGAATGGGGTGGGATTGTTGGTGGAGGCGACTGCGCTTTTCATAGAGCCGAGGAGGGCTGAGGTATGTTTTCACTATTTTTATGTTGCTTTGGGTGCTTGTTTGGGGCCGAGCTGACTTTTTAGACGTTTGAGACTCCTTATAAAGGTGTTTAGATCTGGATTGCTGTGAAGTGGAGAAGATGAGAATACATATGCACATATATACACTATTCTTAAATAGATCTTCGATTGGCTTTATCAACATTTGAAATTCTACTTAGATAAGAGCTGTTCGGCGTACCTCCATAACAGCATGAAGCATAGGGAGGAAAAAGCTATTCATATACAGAATATGGCTGTATGGGCCAGCATATGTAGTAGTGGCCCGGAACGCCAGGAGTAGCTGGACATTTAAGGAGGTAATAAGTCTATATGAGCTACTAAGCCAGGAGAGTATCGTCATTTCGTCAATACGTTCTCACTCGTTTCTGTACGCATCAAATTGGACTTACTGACTACATGCCTAAGAGACATCAAAGCTAGTATCGCTACATTCGGCCCCTTGCTCAGTTCAATAATGGTCTGCACCAACTCATCCGGAGTCCCCTGAGGAATCCAATGTTCAGCCCCTTTGAGCACTTTGAGCGGTTGGAAATCAGAACATACGGCGCTGCTGGTCATCTTTTCTAGAACACCAGGTTCCTGGTACGTCCTCCAATCTTTGTCGCCCGAAATGAATACTGAAATGAATGAATATAGTGGTTCAAATTCCTTCCCTGCCAAAAGGTCGTAGTCCTTATAAATTGGCCACCGGCGGCCGTGCGAATCCGATACCAATTCAACCCTCGGAAAACGGTGCGAGCATACTCGGCTACATAGACCGCAAGCTCCTCATCCGGAAGACACGAATGGGAGCTTTGTCACCCCGACGGATCATTTATCATACGCCGCTCCACTTCTTCGGGCATCGTATCGTCAGGCGGCATGATATAGTAATACGGCGTCTGCAAATTTCTTCGGCTACCCACTCTTCCAGCCGACGTGGCTAGTTGCCCGACCGCGATCCACTCTTGAGATCAAAATAGCCACGCAGGAAGCGGTGTAGATCATGTGGAGCCAAATCCATATCCCCATTTGCTGACGCCGTAGAATAGTACCACTTGTATTGCTTGAAGTTGCGACCAGCGTGTGACGAAGTCGATCTAACCAGCCTCGCGTTCACATTTCTAGTCCGCGATGTAGTAATCCTGGTCCACACACTCGGATACCGATCGGTTCATGGTGTTATGGGCCACAATTGCGGCGCCGTACCGCCTCCATGTGCGCGCTCATGAGGCCAGACTTCTTTCGCAGCATGGTGCTGATGAGCCATCCCTCTAACGGGAGTCCGAAGCTGCCTTTCAACACCGCTAATCAAGTGTTAAACGAATAAATTGCGGTGACCGGTGGCAGTGTCGGAGAGTCTCCTGCCGCTGTATCGGGAATCCATGAGGCGCTGGCACAGGGTCTGCTGTCCCATCCGATTAACTAGTGCGGACAAAGCCGCGCTAGTCGGGACTCGGGGGCGATGGTATGGAAGCCTGCGTCTGCTAGTTGAGGAAGGACTCGTCGCCAGGAGTAGACGATCTCAGAAAACCCGTGCAGTAAGACAATTAAGGGGCGATCATGTGTATGAGTAGCGACCTCTAGAGTGTGGAAGGTAAGATGATGTAACGACCAGTGCCCCTAGGGAGGGGCAGCGAGGGAGCTATATCTAGGGACATAATTGATCGATAGAATTTGATTAAAACTAGAATATATGGACTATTCATTTCCATATACAGCGTAGCTGTTGCTGGAATGCAAGATTGTTTCAATTGTTAAAGTTTAATAGGTGCCTGACCCGTTCCTTGGAAGTCATGACGCAAGTTTCCCTTCAACTTCTTTTTTACCCACTTTCAAGGTTACTTTCATGAATATCACTTCCTCAAGGGATCTTGTGACTATTAGTCTTTTCTTTCTTTCTTTCACTTCGTTCTTTGATTCATTTCTCAACAATTACGCGTTTCCACGGTTCTACGTTCTCTGACATCACATCTGCATGGCTTTTGTCTAATCGAATCGTTACACGCAACATCCGAGTCTTCCGTTTCAATATTTCAGATCAACCGCGGCGCTGCTTTGTGCAGTGTCCGTCGGCTAGTCAGCCATCGCGCTTGGTTTCAGGAGTTTGAGCAATCATGTTCAACCGCCGGAAGAGAAGCAGAAGCTCTTCTCATCATCAGGTAGGCTCCCGAATCCCGACCATCGACAGCGCAACAAAGCTCTTCCGATTGCGATAAAGCGATTCTTGCGATCGCTTGAGCTACGATACTAACGTTGATCGCGTTTAGCCACTCCCCACACCTGCATCCCAATCAGCGCAGTCTGCCGCCAGCCATGCTTTCCTGAAATCCCAACCCTCTACGAGTAGCCTCTCGTCCGCCGCCGCCGCGGCCGCACTTCGAAATCGCACACCGACCCCAACATCCGTGGAAAATGTGCAAACCAAGCGCATGGTCCAGCGGGCGGCCTCAACCCATTCACCGCGCAACACAATGTCCACTCGTCGCTCAGCCAGCGTCAGCGGACCTCTGCGTCGCTCGAGTAGCTCAAGCTCGATGACGGCAAGGACATTCCGGGAGCCATCACCTAACCGTCCATCCACAAGCTCTGGACCTGTTAATGTGCAACGACCCGAGGCACCTCCGTTACCTAGCTTGCCTGCCCAGTATGCCCAGCGAAGGGAGGCTTCTCGTCGCGCTTCGAGTCTCGAACCATCGATGCGATCACCTCCGGCATCTCCCCCACGCGTCTCTACACGAGGAGTGAGCTCTGATCGAGGGGGTGCGAGCTCACCTTTGCAAAATAGGGTCAGCAGCTTGAGCACCGTCCCTGAGGTAGAACGGCCAGGTAGTGGAGGATCGTTCAATTTTTCCTATCCAAGGGGCTCCCGACCGAAGTCGCCGCCCTTGACATCCTCTCCCGAAAACCAGTCTATCAGTTTAGGGGCGGCTGTGGCCAGTGGGGCAGAGGGCAGTCAGCAAATCACACCTGAGAAACCGGCCAGCACAAGGCCTAAGGTTCAGGTTGCAGATAAGAACCACGCAAGCAAGATGGGCTCTTCCGCCGGTACTACTGCAGCTGCAGCTGCTCAGGCATTGAGTGTGCAAAAGAGCAGTCCTCGCGCAGAACCCTCCCACACAAGGGTTGAACGGGATCTCGAGCCTTCATCTATCAGCAGTCCAGATGAACATCCCACACAAAACGGTCCGGAGAAGCGGCACGTTGTTCGCGGGGTTGAGCCGGAAGAGAATGCAGAAGTAGAATTACCTCAACGGGATTATGGAATTCGACTAGGAGCCGTATCTCCAGCATCCGACCGTATTGACGCTTTGGTGACCCCCCAGTCATCTCCTTCCGCTGCGAAGGGAGTCAAGGAACAAGAAGTCTCCCCCAATTCGTCAAACAGCCCTGGCCGGTCAGCCCGGTTCTCTAAATGGCTTTCTGTCAGCAGTTCTGGAGACCAGGTTCATCAGCCACCCGGGAGATCAGTGTCTCCTGTCAAATCGGCCTTGAAGCATTCTCGCGGAACCTCTCTATCCCCAGATAGAAGGGCGTCACTTAGCGGGCCTGTTCATGCTCCCAGTGAGATATCTGATGGGACGTCGGTGGCATCCGATGAAGGCTTCCGACTGAATGTCAAGAAACGAGCTCCTAAGGTGAGCTTCGATGACGAAGCTGAGATTGTCGGTGTTGCTGCAAGTCCCCCCACATCTCCCGAAGAATATACGGCTGGTTCGCCACCCAAAGCCAAGTCCCGCATGAGTTGGCTTGGTGCCGGCAAGAAGCAGCAAAGGGCATTGGATTATACCACGGGTGACGATGGTTTCGGTGGAGTATTGAAGCCGCGACCAATACTTCCTTCCTTTGGCAGCGTGCGAGGGAATCGAGATAGTGGCTCTCATGAGCCAATCCCCGAGTACAGTGATAATGATTCTAGTGACTCATCTGACGAGGAGCTGGAAGTTTCCCCAGTTTCTTTTTCTAATGATCATGCCATTGGGGGTGTCCTTCCCAAGGTCCGATCTCAGGGCACTCCCAATCTTAAAACTGTGGAGCAACTATCTGTCAGCGGAGAACACATTTTGTCGCAGCCGAAAGTCGCGACTGACAATAAAATGGACGGCGTGGCCATTAGCCGCATCACTGAACAACCGCCGTTTACCATGACACACTCAAACATACCCCCGCCTGCTATTGCAGTGGAGCCCGCTACACCTCCCATTGACAGCGATCGAACCAGTCGTGAGCTAAAGCGTACGAGTCGGTCAAGTCTTGAGCAATATCACATCCCAGGTGGCTTCCCAGCTTCGGCCTCGGACCGGAGCTTGAAGTCTACGGCTGAATCTAAATCCCAGCCGGTAGCTAGTGCCGTTCCAAAGCACGTGGATGACGTGGACACCGAAGAAGAATCTGGGGACAGTGTCTACAGTGATGCTGAAGAGGGTTTTGATGGTGATGGCTTTGGATCTATCAATGCCATTGTCGACAGCAAATCAATTCCCAGGTCTTCGGGCCCACTTGAAACAGTCAGCGAAAGCCGTGACCCTACTCCCAAGCCGCTGGGTCGAACGGCGGTTGTTGATGATGCGTCACAAGACATCACAGAACAGGTTGCAGATGAAGGCCGTTCATCCACACCCACTCAAGATAATGTCAATCGCGCGAAAGAATACGCCGTGGCGGTACCAATGCAGGAGGCCGAACCCTCAAGTCCATCCCTGCCTCTCCAGTCTAAGACTCCAGTGTCGAACGGGACTACAAAGCAATATGCAAGCCAACAGAGAAGGCCCATGTCTGTGGACGTATACGGTACTTCCACCTTGAACGACCCGCGATACTCTAGTGCCTCCTCTGCAGGTCCTGGTTATGGCAAATCTCGGCCTTTGTCACTCGGTCCAGCCTTTCAGCGAACGGGAGGACCAGGTGCGGGATTCCCAAGTTCCATGCGTCGGTCCAGGTCCAGTGGCAGTGACTCTTCCAGCAGCTTCAAGCGAGCTAGTCATTCGCCTCGGAGCGATGGGTCTCATTCCATGCGTCGGACAATGAGAGCTGGTGCAGCAAACCTTCGGGGACCTCCCTCGGACCGAACAGACTCTCCCACTGACTGGCGGCCAATGTCTTCGGGTTCGTCGCAGGGACCAGGGACCATGCGCAAAACGCTACGAGGCCCGCCAGGCGGCGGAAACGAGCGGTATTCATTCTTCTCAACGAACAAGAAAGCTGCCCCTGCCCCCCGAGCCCGAATGACCAAGCAACCTCCAAAGTCGATGGCTGGGTCTCGATTTGGAGACTCGGACGGAGAAGACGAACGCCAGCCACAGACCTTCCATAGCCGTTTTGCGGATTCCAGCGATGAAGAACAGGACCATACCTCTATGCGACCTGTCCGTGGGATTCCTCGTCGCCAAGGTGCCCACGATGGAGATTCCACCGATCTAGACGATAGTTCCGAAGGAGAACGTCGACAATCCAAACCTGTGGCTGTTGCTCCCCGAATCAATCCCAATCCACCTTCTCGCGATAGGCACGCTCCAAACATGTCTGGCATGGCTGCCGTGGCTCGGCAGCGTGGCATGACGCAGAAGGAACTAGAGGAATTTCTCATGCAACCTCGCAAACAAGGACTACTCACCCGTCTTGGTCTCAAGAAGTCAAAGAACATTGACAATCGCATTCGTAAACCGGATATGGAGAGTCCATCTCGAAGAGACACTCATTTAGAACGATCGCAATCGGAGCGTGAGCAAGTTCGTGGTGCAGCTTTGAACGGTCCTCCTCCTATCGTAACTACGGTGACTGCCAATCACCCGCACTCACCTCCACAAAAACTCACGAAGAAGGACTCCAAGCGCCATACATCGAGTGGAGAGCCTTGGTCATTCCGCCCTGACGCCAGACCCGCGCCGATTCCCGAGCCAAGTACCAGTGCTCCGTCGTCCCCTTTGCGAACGCAAAAGCCACTCAAGAATACGGGGCCCGTTACAGCAAATGGAGGAATCAAATCCGCGATGAAAGCACCTCAGTCCCAAGCTCCCCGTGCTGGTCCAATTGAGAATGAGGATGCCGCCTCGGACATCACCAGAAGCACTGAAGAAAATGGACCCTCAGCACGAGATGTGGTGATTGCTGGCTCCGGGCGAAAGAAACGATTCCCTATGCTCCGTAAGGCATTTGGTCTGCGAGCTTGATGCCAGTGAATCTGGCTGTTTTTACTGTCCTTCTTTCCTGCACCAAGATTGACATCTTTCTGCTCTACACGTTTAATGACCGACCCTTTCTTTCTCTGTGATTTTGATTTACCCTTTTGTCTTGTCATGGTGGCCTATGGGTGCCATCTGGAGACGGCTTTGATATTCCCGAGTGGATTTAATCTTTAATGCACGATATCCACAATGTGTCTTATACTCCATACCTGTGTTCAACTACACTCTTTCTTGTCCTCGGGATCCTGCTGAATCCTCGATCGGCCTTCTCCCCGACATCTTTCCCTTCCTTCTCTTTCTTGTGGTGTGAGCTTGTCGTACTATACACTTTGATACCCTCGTTTTTCTCACACCTTGTATACGACATGTGTTGATATTCTTGATTCGTGGCCAGGCGGGCCCATGCATGGATGCCGCGTCTTCCCAAACCCCCCTTTTTTTCTTCTCTAGACAATTGTGTTTTGATAGATGTATTTTGGAAATCATAAGATCATAATTTGGGGCGGATCAAGCAAATTGATTACTTTTCCGGAGGATTCGTGTCTATTGCGTAGGCTGATCACAGCGAATGGTTAATCAGCTGGGAATCACGAATCACGCCAGCCATCGGATAGCGGAGAGGGGGCGGGCATCAGCTGTGACCAAGTGGATACTAGCTTCCCCCAGCCACTTCAGCTGGCCTGTGTTGACTCCCCCAGCCTCGGTAATACACATTAATTACAATATTACGGAGGGTCCTCGTAAGTAAAAACAACAATGGTACGCGCCCAGAGAGTCTAGACGCCTGCAAGATGAGTTGTAACAGCACCCAACCACCCATAAATAATTGAGTTGGGCGTCATCAAGTGGAACAGAGGGAAATGTTTGGATGTATCATATTTTCATTGGTGCAGTACATGCAGGCAGCAATGCATAGAAGATCCACTGATGAAACATGATATCTTTTATACCGAAATAATTCCATCAAGAGCAATTCCAGTTCGAATTGAATTGACTCCATACAAGGGATTATTCCATGGATGAAGATGAATCGTCCCAAGGATTGAATCGATTCCGTGATCCAGTGATCGGCAAAGCCCGATTGGATGCTCCGGTTGCTATGGAGACGCGGGGGCTGGCCAGCCTCTCCATGTGATGTGATGCTATACCCAGTACGTACGAGTATACTCCATACGTTTTGATACTATACAAATCGATTTTCTTAGATTCTAGTCAAATGAAATCAACGTATAGATCAACCATGTGGGTGTCACATTCCAGTCTCCTTGATTCTAACTTTTTATCCCCAGTAGTCAATTGTAAATTGTAAAGCAAAGTAAACAGGAGTTTTGTACCTCGGGAGCCGATCGAAAACACAAATCGGGTCAAGCGTCCGTAAACAAACAGTAACTCTTTTCTTCATAAATAACCGTAAGCACAATCCGAACCTCCTCTTCTCCCTTTCCTCTTTCAACCTCTTCTACTCCAGCATTCTTGCAATCTTAACTTTTTCCCACATTCTTCAAATCTTTCAAAGATCTGATTCTGATTTACCCCAGACTCTTTTCTTTTCAATTCCCCGAGAAAGACTTCTCCCCTAAAGTCTTTTCTTGTCTAGTCTTTCGTTCTTTCAGTTCGAAAGGCATTCGAGAAAAGACGCTTCAAGTCAGTCAATCTGGACTTTGACGCCCGCGTCCCAATCCCCTTCAGTGTCTTCCCGTCGTCGTACCGGAGTGACGCTGTCTCTGAAACTACTCACACGAGAGTAGAGGGAGAAGTCCAACTCGATAGCACTTCGCACGTCGAACGGGAAGATACTCGACAGGCCCCTCTCCCCGACCCACGTGTCTACGGAAAGGAAGAAGTCGACTTTCGTGTTCAGGAAGAGCGCCCTCGTTTCCAAGAAGAGCGCCCTGCCCCTCGTCGCTACGACGTTGAGTTAACTCGTGAACGGTAAGTTTCTCTTGTTTGTTGTGGCCCAAAAAAACCCACCTACATCATTTGGTTGTCCACTTGCCCACTTTTCCCCTCTCTTCTGGTGGATACCGACTATTTGTTGTCGGATATCCTATCCTGGTATAGAAAAATTACCAGGATTTGGCCCCAGACCAATATTACCTGTCACACCCAAAACCGAACTCCACTTCGGCCCTCAAGTGGAGACTAGCTCCAATGAGCGGTGACCACGGCTCGTGTTATTTGTTTATATCTTGCTTTTTTTTACTTGTCTTTTCCCCAAGCTAATTTCCTTTTTTTATTTCTTCCTTAGCTACTCCAGTCAACAACCTACTGTTCGTTTCGAGGAACGTCCCCAGATTTACGATCAGCCCGTTGTTGAGAACCAACTCGACATCACTGAGAGAGAATACCGTCGTCGTACCTCTCCCACCTACGACGTTAACGCCTCTTACCAGAGTCGTTCCTACGTAGAACCTTTCCAGTACCAGCAGTCGGCTTCTACCACCGACTACTCGTACGACCGCGCCTACCAGGGTCACCCCACCGGCGTTTACCAAGGCGAAGACTATACTCGTCGTGAGATCGAGGTTGAGAAGCCCCGTTACAACAACGCTCCTGTCGACGTCAAGTTCTCTGAGACTACTGTCCGAGACATCCCTGCCCGCTCTCAAGCCCCTGCCCCAGCTTCTGCTCCCCTTCCTGTTCCCGCTCCCAAGCAATCTCGCAAGATGGGTTACTACGACGACGAGGGTCAGTACCACTCCTTCCGCCGCGGCGTTCAGCGTGCTGCCCACCACCTTGCTCACCCCTTCGAAGGTCGTGATGAGGTCATTGATGCTCCTCGCTACGAGGCTCCCCGTGAGACTGTCCGTGTCGTCGAGCCCCGTAACCGCGGCACCCCTGGCGAGACCGTCGCTATCCCCTGCCACTTCGTCCGCATTGGCGACATCCTGATCCTCCAGGGCCGTCCTTGCCAGGTGATTCGCATCTCGGTCTCTTCTCAGACCGGCCAGCACCGTTACCTCGGTGTCGACCTCTTCACCCGCCAGCTGCAGGAGGAGTCCAGCTTCGTCTCCAACCCCTCACCTTCCGTGGTTGTCCAGACCATGCTCGGCCCCGTCTTCAAGACCTACCGCATCCTTGACGTCAACGCCGATGAGTCTCTCACCGCCATGACCGAGTCTGGTGACATCAAGCAGGCCCTTCCCGTTATCACCCAGGGTGGTCTCTTCAAGCGCATCAGCGAGGCCTTTGCCAACGGCCGTGGCTCCGTCCGTGCCCTTGTCATCAACGATGGTGGCCGTGAGCTCGTTGTCGACTACAAGGTCATCCACGGCTCTCGCCTGTAAACTGCTCTCTAAGATTTAATATTAATCCTAGGAGTTGATGCTTATGGTGTCTTGTGATGACCTTTTTCTTTTTGTGACTTTATTTTTTATTTACTTTCCTTTGTCTGATGATCTGTTTCAATGACCTTTACTTCAATGCCTTGCTGAAAATGTGATTGGATTCACTTTGTATCTTTGTACCAGATCACACTGGTTTCCTTGTATCTAAGCGATCTAGACAATGAATCAGGGCTCTAATTCCAACCCTCCATAATTTTCGACTTCTCCGTAAATTACACGTATATCGAATCGGCTCTTTTCCCCCTGATCCCAGCCTTCAATGTTGTTTGTTTATCCCCAAGCCGCCTTGGCAGTGGATGTGATGAATGGTTGTTGAGGGAACGATGCACAGCCAAGCACTGGGCTCCGTTCCAAGCACTGTTGTTGATGGTCAGACGGGCCGAGGTTCATGTATCTTTGCTGCTTGTGCATGAGATAGATTTGATTCAGGTCTCAGTGCTTTGAACTGCCCAGGTGCATTTGTGAGCTCAATCTTCCTTGATTATGTACCTGCACCCAAGTAAGGAATACCTACATGTATTTGCTGGCCTGTATGCCCAAATCGCTCCGTCGAAAATGCGTCCTTGATATTTCATTCAATTTTAATCCATGGCTATTATAATTATTTCTCTTCTTTGTCCTCATGTTAGAACGTTGGGATATATATCGTGGCATGCTGAGACCATCGACTTCAACCTTGAAAAAATCAAACAATATCAAAATTACCACTCATGTGTGCATCAATTTATTGACTGATGCATATCAATCTGAATACTTACAGCCCTGGAGTGTATGGAACTCTCCAGATATCAGATTACTAAAGTCGTAGATCTAGAAGTGGCAATTGGGCATAACTTGAAGAGCTCGAGGACCCCTATGCACTTCAAATCCTCCATTCATACATATACATGGATATACCTTGAGTAACATAGAATATCATCCTTATCAATGAGAATAAGGTTATCAGGAACTATAAAGGTGGGGAGTTCGAGGGATCCATGGCCATGATCCATGGATTGCATCCATGTCAATCGTACCAAGGTTAGGAGTGGGTCTACCATCGATGGACAGGATGGATCTTATTTCGATGTATTATCGGTATGTATATAGCTGATATGAGAAATATTAGGTATTCAATCAAGACAGTTGAGTTTAATTTGGGAAGATTTAGCTCCAACTTTGGAATGTTGGGAGGCCCGAGCACAATATCTAATTTATTCATATAGTTCGCAAGAAGACCTGACCTCCGCAACTCCCCAGGCAATACAAAGTATTAAGAGGATGCATATGAGCTATGACTACATGGGCAGTTCAGCGGCTCACTAGATTAAACATTGAAGAGGAATGTATTATTTGTCAAGGGATGAATCTGGATGACTTGAAGATTGTTGTAATGTTTTCGTAGCCACAATATTACGGACGAGATGGTATGGCCAAGGTACGGAATTGGAGCCCTGGAAGATCAATACTGAATGAATATAATTTTCATCAATCTTGGTACACATTTTTGCCGATTCATAGACCCGGGAACACTCAACAAGCCGAGTGGCTTGGTGAGCATCCAGCCAGAACCAGCTTGCAGACATGAAGAGATATAGAATAGACATGAGGAAGATCAATGTGAAGGCCACAACCAAGAATAATACATTGACAAGTGCAGAGAAGTGATTGAATAGAGACAAAACCCATAAATGACGTTGATTTTCCAGAACGCCAGCCCCAAACCTTCAGAATATGAGGACACGGACATAAATAAACCATGAATTGAGATGGCAAGTCCAACGCAGCAGCTTGGTAGCAAATAATTAACCTTTACCAGCCTCGTTCTCCAAGATAATCATGACGCCTCCGATATGTAGAAAACAGATAAAAAACAAACGCCAGTAGACGTTCTACTTTACAACCGCCAGGAACAGCTGAAACAGGGGTATCGTATTGAGAAGCACCAACGGACAGACAAGATGACACGGCAGGGCTACCGCTCGCCGAACTTGCCATACTCTTGTTGCCATTTGAGAAGGTGGCGCGTGAGAACGTCCATCATTTCCACGCTGCTCAGCTCCTTGAAGGGTTTTTCATTGTCACCTCCGTCAGTGGGCGCGGTCTCGCCGCCATCACTGACCGTCGAGGGCATAATGTTGTCGATTTGATCAACCATACTCTTCAAAAGGAGGCCTTGGGCTTGGTCACCGTTCCCAATGGGGGTGGAGGAGTTCTCGCTGGCTACCGCCATCTCCACCTGCATTCGGGAAATGAATTCAAGAATGGCCGCCACCCGTCTTTTCATCTCATTCATAGTCGTGCGTTGTGGGTGCATATGGCGGGGTTTGCTTGGCCGCCCAGTGTCTCCTCCGTTAATGTGCACACCGTTGGCACCATATCCTACTCTGGGCGATTCTCCTCCCATGTCATGGGAGTGCCCACGACGGGGTGACTCCGTACCAGTGCCGTTCGCATCACGATCCTTGGTATATTGATTACGGCCAACACGACCCCGGCGAGCTGGTGGGCGCCCTGATTTTCGGGTGGATGGCCGAGCAGGTGTCGGTTCTTGAGTAGGTGTGTTGGGGCTTGCTTGGACCGGCTCTGGTTCGGCTGGTGGGGCTGCCTTGGTTGGAGATGGGGGTTCATGTTCGGATTCTATTCCATGATCAGCATAAATCAAGCCTGATAGTTGCAAGAGGACTGACCTTCGCCCTTGCGGCGGTTTGTTCTTTCTTTTCGACGGGCCCCATTCTCGAGAGGCTCCGTTTCTCCCTCTTCAGCGTCCTTGGTTGTCTCTTTGTCACGTTGACTGCGAGAAGTAGCTCTTTGTTTCCGGGTGCCATTCGGGGCCGGAATTTTGCCTTTGGACTCGTCATCGGATGGAGGTTGAGATGCCAAGTGACTCGAATCAGCAGCTGGAGAGGGCGAAGTGGTTCGTTGACGCTTTGCACCTTGTCTATTTCTGGAATCACGCTGTCAGCTTTATGTTGGATGTGGAATTGGGACTGAAAATCACGCACACTTCGCTGCCACTTCGGCTTCGTTTGACCCGCTGAATAGATATGTCGTCGGGAAGACTCTTAGTATCTTCCTTGCTTTCCTCAATGGCTCGCCGAATCAGTTCTTCCTCGTCATAAGCAGCATCACGGCTGTTCATGGTAGACCGCCGCTTCGGGTTCATGTCGCCCTCGCTGTTTCTTGACTTGGGATCCCTTGAACGTCTAGATGTGGTTTCTCGAGAGGAGGCCCGAGAGACGGGTCGAGAAGAAGGTGCGGGCGACGATGCCGGTACGACGGGCAGGTAAGTGGAGGAGCGCGAGCTGTGGAATTGTTAGCATGGTGGACGTCGAAAGAAAAGTCGGTGATGAATGAAAGATCTCGGCGAGGAACGGGTAAATGCAATGATCTTAGAGCTGGATCTCTGGTTACGTTGTATGGGCAAGCAGTCTCTCCAGCCGCCGTCAGAATCGGACGACTGTTAGAGGCCCCAAGCACATTCGAAACACAACCACCAGGAAGCATGAAAGGAAGCAAATAATGGGATTAAAAGGCTTATCTCGTGAACTTACCCATTGGCTTCGCCCCTTATTCTGTGAAAGTCCGGCCGACACTCCTCGCAGAAATATTCATCAGGACTCATTTCCTCGTCCATGATGCCCACACAACCACCATGCTGCCAAACTTTGCAGGTGTCGCACTGGATAAACATACTCCCAAGATCATCAGGCACAGCATCGGACGAATCGGTGGGGGGGTGGACCGATTCTGGCTTGACGATACTGCGACCGAGAGCTTCGCGACGAGAGGAGGGCAAGCCTGGATATTCCTGCTGCCCACACAGACATCTTGTAACTTCCTCCTCTTCCTCTTCGTCTATATCATCTTCGTCATCCTCGCGACGAGGCTCTTCATCGTCGTCGTGGGCCCGCTGACGCTGGCGCGTTTGTGGGAGGTCGGTCCTCGAGCCGTTTTCGCCATCGTCGATGGATTGGGATCGATGGCCCGATGAGGTATGAGGGGAGGTATTTTTGTGATTTGAACGAGTGCTTCTCTCACGAGTGGTGGAGACTGAGGAGCCGGAGGAGTGGGTGTGTTGAAGGAGGGCTGGGGAGGGTTGTGTGGTGCGAGCCCGAGAGGAGCGACGAGGTGTCATGATGGCGAAATGACTTGGAGGGATTGAGAGCTTGAAGATATAATAATTTCAAGGTGAGTATAAGAAAGATTCAACAATTTCTCGCAACGGTGTCGAGGGTTGTTGACCACTGCTTCAAGCAGCACCGGATTGCGAGGGAGCTCTTGCGCGCGATTGTGAGCTCCTGCTGAGTGGAAGGAGGGGGAGACAATTGAGAATTGTAGATAGATTTGAAGCACAGCGTCACAAGGCTCATGGAAGAGCCCGATGACTACATAGTCTGTGGAAGAGCAAGATTGGCGGGGGTTGCAGAGGGAGAGAGAAAGAGAAGGAGGAAAAGCGCCGGAACGGGACTCCAAAAAGCACTTTCGCCCGTCCTTCCCCGCTCTCGACGCCTCTCACGACGCGCGACCTCTTTAACCACTTTGACCTTTTTAAATTTCCTTTCCATCTTCATTGTACCTTCCTACACCAGACACTTTTGTTTTCAAGTTCATTTGATTGTTGTTCTATTCTTTACGCTGGGTTGAAAATTGACCATGACGCGCTCGGCAGAATTCCGCCCCTCCCGCTTCAACCTGCAAACCCTTTATCGCTCGCCCCCTTCAGTACCCGGCAAGGCGACTCCATAGCGCAAACCTCCAAAAGATCTTGGACCTTTGGGAATGTATGGTTCTGGGAAACTATTTGTATCTCTCCGGTGCGCGAAGACTGGACGTGAACCCGAATGGAATGGAGCCACAGGACCACAGGTTGGACACGATTTGAGATAAACTGCATGCCTGCTGGTGCGGTGTGAATCGATGCAGATTGTTCGCTATGCTATGCGATGCTGCCATGTATGCTGGAGACTAGGTACCTTTCTGCAATTGTGCGGGGCGTCAAGGAGCCATGTAGTAGGCTCTGAATGAGACGTCTGATCATCGAGATCATGAGTAGCGACGTGGAGAGCCAAAGTAGTCAGTATTACTAATTATACCCAGAGGAAATGAATCGCGCAGCCAGCTAGTTCATTATTGTTCAGTCTCGATTTCGATTTCAAGCTCTGGTGGGGTGTCCTGCAAGGCACTCGAGAGGTAGGTTTTTTTGTTTTCTTTTTTTTGCGTTGCCGACCATGCAGGTACAATGGGCTCGTTGATTTCCCATTGAAATGTTATCTGGGTTGATTAGTCCCCTGGCGATGGTCATTTCACAGTAAGCGTTCTCATCTTCTGCACATGCTCAATGCCCAGCAGCTGCGGAGGATGTAGCCCCACAGAACGAAGCAAATGAGCCAAGATATGAGAGTATGAAATGGTGATATAACTTCAGACCAGAAGGTTCAGCAGAGTAGTTCTAAGAAAAAACTGCATCATGAAACATTGAAGATGGCGATGTTGAAAGTACAAAGATGTGTAATACATTCTACCCCAGAGGACCCGGTTGGGTGTCGAGGGTTACCATATACGGTTAGCGCCCAGTGTTCCGAATTCCCGTGACTCGCTGTTCATTTCGCTTCACATCTCTAACCCCTCCGTTCTATTCCCCGAGATCACCTGTAGCTCCAATAGGGCTTTCCCTCGTGAGTCAACAGATCCTTTTTTTAAAACCTGTTCAATTCCTGTATTTCTTGATCGGAGTTTGGACTCTGTGGATTTAAAGCACGCTTTGTGGGTATGTTCATGATTCCTATTCCGTGGTTGTGAAACGCCGAGGTCACCAGAGAGATACTAGGCATATCGTTGTCTATATCCGTGGTGTTCTTGAACTTCCATGTTACTACTGGCATGTGTCCATCCAATATAACTAACATGTCGGATCAATAGCGTTCCTTGTGAACCAAAACATCTCCCCCGGAGTATCACGAAAGTCGAACTTTGGTCTAAGTGGCCACCTACAACGAATTCGGTGGAGGGGGAAACAAACGGAAAAGAGGAAACGGGCTGGCACACCTCACTCCACACGTATGAACGGTTGTGGATGAGGCCCAGTGTTGAGAAACTTGCATGATGACTGCGACTCTGAGTACGTCTTGCTTGTAAGGGGACATCCCGGTCTGACCACCTCGTGAGGTGAACTGACAGGGCCCTAACCTTCTCGAGTCAAACTATCTGCCGGTTACTCAGTTACTGACCTGGTGTTGCACTCGTGTAGACGGGACGTTCAACTCGGCCCCTGACACACCTTCCTCCATTTATCCCGATCGTCTGATTCGTCCTCTCCCGAAACGGACCTTGCGCTCCCGCTTGTCTACCGACGCTGCCGATACCATCCTCTACCCTCCGACTCCTCCAGCATCACAGATCTTTTACGGTGTGTCCGGAGACTCAGAAGAGGCGGTGAATGACTCCAAAGTCTACGTGCAGCAGACCATCGAGTCGGACCGCCACGAGCTAACCCCCGAGGCTGATTCGCACGGATTTGAGACCACGGCCGAGCTGGAAAGCGGAGATGAAGACGCGCCAGTAGTGGTACGTCGCAGCGCAGGATTCCGAGGTTCTCTCTCGCCAGTTACCACACATCCATCTGGGAAAGACGGAGTCTCAAAATCCTCGACCGGCCCTGACGGTTATGACGCATTTGAAAACACAAATAACAAAAAGAAACGAAAAATACCCACCCCTGGCAATATGCCCGGTCACCATTCGGCTTTATCCCCGGAGTTTGCCAACATGGGGTTAGCCAACTCCAACCCCGCTCCCACAGTGGCTGGGGATGGGATGGGTCCCGGCACATACTATGGAAATGGAAACCCAGCCTCTCCATTGGCCAGTGGGATCTCTGGTTCTGGCAGAGGCCGTCTTGGTCGCAGTTCTCCTCGTAACAGCAGCGGACGCAACCCGTTGTCCGCAAATGCTCAGAATGCATGGATGAACACTCGGACCCCGAGTCGACGGGACGGGCTGATGTCATCTCCTGGACCAGGTTCGTGTTTCAGCCGGTGCCTGAATAATGGATAAAGTAGGAAGATTGCTGACTCACTTCTCAGAATCGCCCGATCAAGGAATTATTTCCACGGCCATCGCAAATGCCGCTACCCTCTCCTCACCTACCCAAGGCCCTAGCAATGTTAGCTTGCTGGAGCAGGAGAATACCACCCCAACCAAGACCCAATTCACCTTCACATGCGAGTCTGATTCCTCTAAAGGCATGGCCATGCAGCGAGGCTACTCGGTGCCCCATCGGTCGCCCACTTCCCCTCTTGCTATTACCACCGGCAATCCTCGAGGGTTCTCTACGCAAGGTACACAGACAAGTCCGAATATGAGCCAACAAATACCGCCGGGGGCGCACGCGCCCGTGTCAGATCAAAGTCCTGTCACTCGCAAAAAGAAGCGATCCCCTAGCAGCGTTTACGGCTTAGCTGCCCGCCAGCGGAAAATTCAGCAACAATACACCAACATTCACCATCCTCCGAGCTTGGAAGACATTTGGATTTGCGAGTTTTGTGAATATGAGAGCATTTTTGGCCGCCCTCCTGAGGCATTGATCCGGCAATATGAGATCAAAGACCGAAAAGAACGAAAGAGGCTCGCTGAAAAGAAGCGTCTTTTGGAGAAGGCCAAGATGAAGGGCAGGAAGACAAAGAAGGCGGCAAAGAATGCGTCAAAGAATGCCTCGGGCCACCAGAGCTACGACCGCGCCTCGGTCGATCACTCTTCTGCGGCTGGATCGGGGCTTCATGATGACGATTATTTGGGCCATGAGTATGAAGAAGAACCAGAACTCCCGACACCTAATCCTGAATCACCCGCCGAACTGAAACCTCCTTTGCCACCCGGCAATCACCCGAAATTAGCAGCCACTGCGGGGACCGCCAAGGGTTCTGCAGACGCAGGATCCATCCGACCACCCTGATGGGGCTTTTTGTCATTGGTATTAGGTATTACGAGCGAGGAGACTGTGGACGTTCGTACCTGTTGGATGATTCCCATAGTTGATGTAATGAGCTGTTACGAGTTTGCATGAAATTCCCCCCTCAAGCATTTTTAGGATGGCAAGCATTGGGATCGAGAAGGTTATCATTATCATTTTCAAGGAGTTTGTAATTACAATGACATTCACCCACGTCTAGCGACGTGCATCATCATTTGAAGTGGTATCTTTGTGTAGTTGTAGCCAAGGTTCTTTGTTAGATGCCGCTACTGGCCTAGATCGGTAGGGCTGAAACAATAAAATCGCTTCTCTATAATTAGCATTCAGCCAATATCGATTGGTTCATACTTAATGATTGCATACGTGCTGAAACAAAATCCTTATTGGCGCGCGCGAAGTCAAGCGCTGACCCACAACATCCTTCTAAGGAATCACGTTTCACTCCCTACCTTTCTACAGGCCAAGTCTATTTCTATCCTGAAGAATTGCCAGCTTTGTTTCATCATCTGACCTGGTCTGGGGTTCAATGGCGGAGAATGAAAGACAAACAACCGCCTGGTGGAGCTGTCGAGTTGGAGCCGCTCGGCGAACAAGTAGGCGGGAATGGTTTCATACTAGAAGCAGAAAAATAGTAACAATGGCCAACCTGTAACATCTTTGTCTTTATACTTACTATGAAAAAGGGATATGTGGTTTCAGTCAAGCGTGTCTATAGAATCTATAAAGCATCCACCATCCCCGATGATATGAAAGCAGCAGCAGCTACACCAACACCAACGACTTTCATTTGTTTCTTTCCGTTTCCTCTTTATAATTTGACCTCGTCGTCTCTCCTTGAACCAATTAGACTTCTGTCATTCTTTATAAGTCGCATCATCCTGGTCGATGACCCGACTTCATTAGGCTGCCATCCTCATCCACTCCCATCATTCACTGTTATATACCGTCTCGACGACGTATATTCTGCATCTCCCTCTTCTCAAAGCTTCTACTTTCGATAAAGACAATCTGCAAACCACCTGCAACCGAGCTTTAAACTTCGACACATCAAAAAAGTCGATTTGAACCTCCAAAATGTTCGTCGCAACCAAACTCCTAAAAATCGGCTACAACCAAGCCAAAAAGCGCAAAGCCAACAAAGATGCTCAATTCCAACAACCCCACCCAAACTACACCTATCCAAACCCCTACCCAATGTCCGCCTACCCACCCGGCGTAGCACCAGGAACAAACACCCAATATATCGCCCATGAACCACCCGCTCCACCCGCCAGCAAAGGAGCAAAGCTAGTCTCCATGTTCATCTCCATTCTCCGCTTTCTGCAATTCGTCTTCGGTCTCGCAGTCATTGGTCTGTATGGCCAGGATGTGCGACATGATCATGAAGATGACGATACCTATCATGCGAAGTGGGTGTTTGCACTTATAGTGGGATTCTTGGCGACTAGTACTGCGGGCTTCCATATGGTTTTGCCATTTTTGATGAAGCGGGTGAACAATTCCAGCAATCCGAAGTTCCATCTGCCGCAGTTTGTGTGGGAGTTTGTTCTTTGTATTGTTTGGTTGACGGTTTTTGGGATCTTTGGGAAGATGTATATTGGAGTCTATCCTAGCAGCAGCAGTAGCAGCAGCAAGCGGGATTCGGACAGTTCTACTTCTACTTCCAGTTCCACTTCGGGATTGGGGGATGCGTCGAAGATCAATCGGATGCGTCATGCTGCGTGGGTTGATCTTGTGAACTTGTTGATGTGGGTGTTTACTGCGTCTTGGGTTTTGGTTCGCTGGCTTAAGAGTCGGCGAGCGAATGCGGTTCCTGATGTTGATGTTGAGAAAGATAATCAGATTTAAGAGGTGGAAAGGCTTCTGGTTTGAGGTTGAGCTCTGCGATGGCTGCATGGGCAGGTGTTCTATCTGATCGGGTGAAGGTGAAACTGGAATGCTGGTTGCATGGTTCCTGGGGTTGGTGTCAGGCGTTTATATGGAGTTTGTTTCGTTTTACTTTACATTACCAATTCAAAATATCTTTCAATCATTACAGTTATTCACTGTTAGTTTATGCTTCTGAAAGGCAGCCTTAGAACTTGAAAGTATCTGGATTATTTTCGCAGTAGAGCATGGTACTCTGCGCTCAAGTTGATGCCAAAGAATTCTGCGTGACCGGGATCAATTGCCATTGGTCAGCCCCAAGGAGCGGAAGGTTCCAATTCAACTATATTGCAAATTCTACCCGTCCTACATTACTCGAACGGTCAGGAAATACTGTAAAAACGCCTAGATTCTGACTTTCAACTGTGGTATATAAACCGACGCAATGTACATACATCTGTCGCACTTCACAAAGAGAAGAAAAATACTAGAAACATAGAAAGTCCACCTTTCAGATTTAAGCAAGGTAGCTAGTATCAACCCAATCCGCGTAGTCACTTCCCAAAATAGTGGAGATAGAAATCGCAGCAGAAAGAGTCTCAGCAAAGCTAGCCCGAGTACCCTCAGCCCCATCGCCAGAGTTATCGTACTCGCCAAACAGAACATCCTCAGTATTCGACTCGGAGCTAGACCACTTCTCCCAGCCAGCGGAGTTGATGACATCGCTGAGAACAGTCTTCTGGAAGACCACGCGCGCGTACTCAGTCCAAGGACGACCAAGGTAATAAGTCCCCTCAACAACATCCTCACCCGATGCAGCCTCGACTGTACTCTCGTTGATGACAAAGTACCCGGCGTCAGAGCTGGCGGGGCGGCCCTGCGCGGTGATGGTTCCATCTCCATAGGTGAGGACGCCGATCTTGCAGCTGTCGAACCAGGCGTTACCTGTTTGTCCAAAGATGAAGTCGATGGCGCCTTCGATGTAGCATTTGCCGTAGACTTGGTAGCCCGTCTCTGCGAGGACTGTGTCTTGGAATCCGGTGAATTGACAGCCGTAGTAGCCCTGTTCGGTGTTGTAGGCGCTCAGTGCAAGAGCTTGGGAGCCTTCACCGTAGGTGTTTGCGACGTTGATATTGTAGATGGCGGACTTGGCGGCATAGTTCCGGAGGGTGCCGGTTTCATCGTCGTCGCTTACATCGACGAGGCCCAGCCCCGAGGTGATGGTGACGGTGTTGGAGGTGTAAGACGTATCACTGGAGTTGTTAGAAAGGAATTGTCTGTGGTGAGGGTAGACTTACTCTTCGGTCTGTCCGTAGATGATGAGCTTTCCTGAAAGCTTGGGGATATAGACCTGCTCCTCGTAGGTGCCCTCTTTGATGAAGATGGTCTGGGTGGAGGTCGAGGTGGTGGAAAGGGCCGAAATGGCTTCGCTGATAGTAGTGTAGTCACCACCTGACTTGGCCACGACGATTGACCCAGTGGGAGGGGTGGTACGGCTAGCAGCAAGCACGGAGGCCGCGAAGCAGGCAACAATACAGAATTTCATGATCACTGATTAAGAGTATGAGAATGGGAGTAATAGATAGAATGGAAAAGAATGGGATTGGATTAGCTCAATGCTGATCCTGTCGATCTTTTATATTCCATCCAGCTCCCCCTTAGCCTGTCCGAACGGTTCTGGAGGTCAGCCATGCGGACCTCATTCGGGCGGTAGCTCCGGCGCCATAGTCCTTAATCCACCTATAGCGCGAGTAGCTCAGCAGCTAGTCTCAATCAGCCACCCGTTTTAAGGTTCTGCAGCAGGCCCCGTAAACTGTTTTATCCATGTCAACGCGGCCAGCGCCACTAGGAATAATTCATGATAGGTTAATCAGGTTTAGCTTCGGAGAAGACGCAAAATAAGCCCTTCTGGGCATAATTGTCCGGCATCTTCAGGTTTCTGGGCAAGGCTTGTTGGTGCGCGGGCGCAATGTTCCACCAGTGAAGTGTGAAACATGTGGGGAGAGAGTAGAGACGGGAGCCCCTGGTGATTTCCTCAGGCCGGTAGTGGTGGGTCCGCCACACGCTTAAATTTCGGAGAATAAGGTTTCTTATATAGTGGCATTCTGAAATAAGGATTGTATCATCTATCAGGTAGCTGTGTACTTAGATACTATCTGCCATTTATGTAAAATAAGATTATACTAGAAAAGTTTTGAAAAGGAGACAGAAATGGTACTTAACTCGAAGCCATATGCACTGTCTACATGCGACCTCGGTTTACAAATTATTGCCAACATGTTAGTTCGAATACATGGGTAACTAGTACTCATAGTAATTCCATTCAGATATCGCAGGTCCTTTTGATTCACGCCCCACCTTAGGCATATGAGACATATCGTGGCTCGGATGAACCTCCTGAATAGTCAGTCTCCCTATACTTGTCTTAGCCTAGAGAATAGTTTGTAGATACCCCTTTTCAATTCGAGTCGATTCTCACACAAAAGCTAGATTCCTTTTCGTAATTATTACTGTAGCCATATAGGTCATATTTGTTCTCCAGTACCGACCGCCGGAACTGATGCTGTTCAAAATTTCCACAACTCCCGGCGCATATACTGAATAAAGCTGGATAGCTCACTCATATGAATACATGATGTCAATTCACACTGACATTTCAAATGAGCTCTGTATATGAGTTGCAGAGTCCTCCAAAAAAGTCCTGACATAGTAAGCGCTTCCATCCCCAATTAAGCCGAACGTAATTTCTATCCCCACATCGCATCCGAACTTAGCCATTATTAGTGAAATTTCTATCAATTGAACAAAGATTGTATGGCGAAACGTACTATTCCTAGCTATACCCGGATATCATAGAAATATATATTGAATCATGACCTACTCCGAATCTGGACTCCCTTTCCCCCGGGGTCCGAGTCCATGAAAGACAAACTTTTCCATCCACACCCGAATGCAAATAAACATCCACAAATAAACCCAGGGAAACCCGCCTCGACTCCGAATGTCAAAATTCCCTCGAAGGCGCATCCTTGAAAAGCGACGAAAAAGCCATGCTTTCATAACATGCCTCGGAGCTCAAAAATATGATTACCATGCTAAAACATGTCAAGAGGGACGATAAGATGTTCTATCTGGCTGTATCGTTTTTGTTCGTCGAGTCACAATGCTGGCCTGAAGCTGTTCCTTACCCAGGGCGAAGAGCTTTATTGAGAGTGCTATGAACAGAAAGAGGGAGAAGCCGGATATGCCGGTGGTGTCGGCGGCGATGGGAATTGAGTATAAATTGGTGATGCATAGGTACTTGAATGAGTTAATTGAGAAGTTTGATGAAATTGAGAAGGAGACGAGGAGGAAGGGGAAATTGCTAATGAGAATGAAATTTGGAAAAAGGTCAAGGTACCTGATCGTAAATGCGCATGAAGATTTGCTTTAAAACGTTTCTCTGTTTTTGCATATTTTGCGAATCTAGACAGCGTGATACAGTACTATCTACCTATTTGCTGCGGGTGACTACTAGTGCTATTGGTAGCCACAGAGACTGAAATAGATAAACTTGGAGTTCGATAGTAAAATTCGTTGATATGGACTTAGTCATAGACCGACTTGATTCTGTTGATACCTAATTGATGTGGCTTGAAGTATGCATTTTCAACGAGAGGATCACAATCCACAGCTTTTGATAAAAATCAATAACTGATCCGTAGGACAATAATCAATAAAACTCCTCAATCTGCAGTTCCCGAAGGATCTGCGAAGTCTCCTAGTCATCAAGATCGGAATAATAACGAGACGGTTCCCCAGTCTCCCGATCTTTCAACTCTGAAATGATTTCCGATTCGTCAAAATCTTCATCCGAACTCTCATACATATCACGACCTTGCTGAATGAAAGCCAATGATTCCCGCGCAGCTTCTTCCTGATCCATTTCAGCAGTTTGCTGCGCAAGAGTCTCGTTCTCCTCCATAAACCTAATCCACTGCTTCCGGAAGTCTTTGGAAACCAAAGGCCTCTCCGAGGGCTGGGGGTCAGCAATCTTGAGATGCTGGATCATGTAATCGAAACGATAATAAGGATGCGGGAGGTTGTGCCAGGCATGAATGAAACTATGCAGCGGGGGAGCTGGGGCCGGAAGAAATCCGTCCAGGGGGGTCTTGTCAGTAATAATGTCTAGGAGTTCGTCCATCATACTTTCGGGCATGGGGACTCGGTAAGCGTCCTTGAATCCCGGGACGGGAGTTCCCTGTGCAGGCCAGTTGGGATGAAAGTCGTGTTTAAGAGAGTTCGTTTCAGATAAACTGTTGTCCTGGGGCTCAGTCTGCGAGTTCATAGTCTGCTTGGCTTTGGCACTGACCGTTGGTATTCCTTGGGATAGGATGGGATCCTGTGTATCCATTGAAAGCCCGGCGGGGGTTATGATGATGGCGGGATTGGTCGGGTTTCTACCGTCTGTCAAGATGCTGGCTACTGCGGGGGTAACAGTGACAGGAAAATCGATAAAAGGTTGGTCATGGTCATGATCAGCCCAGGTCGCATCACGGGTCTTGCGCTCGGTGCTCTTTGGGGTGGCCGGCTGTGAAGACATGTCATCGTCGTCATCAAATATCTCGTCCATTGGGTAAGATGTTTCGCTCTCTCTATCTTCTGAATCTTGATCAGCGTTTTGCCGGACGGTATGCTCTGCACTTTGCTTTTTGGTGGTTCCTGCAGCTTTGGGGGTGGTTGCTTGCGATGGCTTGCGACGGCTGACTATTAACGGGCGGCGTCTTCCACCTCGTGTACGACTCGGGGTGAGTGGTCTCTTGGGCCCTCGGCCAGCTATGCTTTCCTTTGGCTCCACAACATTTGGGGTGGATGGGTTGGAAGGATTGCGGGTAATACTGTCACCACCTGGCTGCTGGATTAGCAGGCGGGCCGTTTTCGGCGGCGCGCTGGTAGAGGCTTTGGGCTTTTTGAGGATAGGATGCAGTGTCGCAGACCCAGCTAACACGTTTTGCGGCATGGATTTGGAATCTGAGCAAGGCACAGCCCTGGAGGAAGTTGCTTTGGTGGAGTCTGGGGATAAAAGACCAGTCTAGATGATTCTGGTGGTAAGTAGGTGTGGGGGAAGGGAAGAGAAGAGAAGAAGTGCAGATATAAGCAAGCGACTCACGTTTCCAGATCTCGCTGACGAAGCGATGGGACCGGAGTCCAAAATACGAGATACCAAATCATCAAGATACGCGACAGTAACTTGATTCATGAGATTATCGCTGCTCCAGATTCGCCAGAACAGGTATTCCAGTCGGTGATCTATCTCACGATCACTCGCGTGTCTCGATGTGTGAAAAGCTGCAAAAATTCGTTATGATCAGTAGAGGAATTCAACCAATAGATAGGTAATCTCTGTTTCCGTACCGTGCCAGAAGGTCTGGACCATCGATTGATCTACTTTCTCATCGCCGCGAATTTCATAAGGACGATCTATCTGGTTGATTGTCACCAGACCATCTGCAACCTTTTGTGACATGGCGGTGTGTAAAGTTGTGACTTTGATCTCAAAACGCGTCGTATACGCGTTCTGAAAGGTGGAGTGGACCTAGACACTGACGGAGACTAGACGCATATTCAGAGCGGAGAAAGATGAGCCAGCGGTAAATGGCAGAGAATTTTGGGATCGAAAAGAATCAAGAAGAGTTCTAGATCAGTTCTCAATGTCAGAGATCGGTGATCTTTCTCGCGGGGCCATGTAAGACAAAGATGGACGTGGGGTAAATACCATCAGAGATTATGAGCTGTAAGGAAAGATTGGGAGTAATCAGAGACTAGTATGCGCCACAGGTACAAAGACCTTTGGAAATCCAGGAAGATTGTAGGGATCTAGAGCTCCCAGGGATTGAAAGGGTGAAGATCTCCGATATTCAAGCCCGGAGAAGTTATCCATCACTTACCCCCAAGGTAGGATCGGCGATCAAACCATGGATCAAGATAGTAGTGATGTTCAGACTCAAACCATTCAAACCATGAGAATCTCTCAAGGTCTTATACTTCAATCTCGAAATCTGAAGAAATAGAGGAATGGACGAACAGTCCGGGATAGTCGGGACGGGCCGGGATTGGGCTGATATTAAAGTATTAGACCTAACCCTTAGCCTACTATTAGCTTGACAACTAAGTCCAATCTTAGAAGCCAAGCAAAGATACGATAGCCTGTCTGCATACCTGAACTCCACTTCCACGCCAGCATTCCAATCTTCCTTGCAACCTGGGGGCAACCCCACATTAACCACAGTACGGATTACCTGGAGTGAAAGTTCAAACCAGTAGAGTCATCCCCTCTGGAAGAATCTGGAAATTATCTATTGAGAACTGCAGTGGAAAATTGCGAAAACGTCCAGGGGATTTCGAAATGGGAAAATTTGGCATGTTTCATTCCCCTTTGCGTACATAGAAGACTAATGCATCTTGCTGGCAAATGTACTGCGAATGAAAGATGATTGGAGCCTAACGAGGCAGCGCATTGGAATGTCGACGTAAGCTGTTTGCTTGCGGGAAAGGAGAGAAAGTTGCCCCCTTGATATCCCCGCATTGACCTCCACTATGACCCACTCCAGCCTTGGGTATGTGGGGAGACTTGGTGCCATTTTCATCAGGCACTACGCCACAATTACGTTGCATTTGGATTATTGATCGGTAAAAGCGTTCAAGTTCCAATGGAGTAACCTTGTATGTATGTCATCACAGCATTCAAGAGCTATAAGCAGAACCTTACAATTGAACAGTAAATTATTCATAGATAAGGTTTGTCACATCCATGGATTTCAAGTTTCAACTATCTAGCGTATCCCCGGCTCTCTGGTTTATGCTTTGATTATTTTCTGCTTTTTTGTAGTTTATGTTTTTGCGTTGAATGCAGCAGAAAATTCCACAAATAGGCCATGCCCAAATCCTGTAAACAATCATTGATGTAATCATGGAAACAAAATCTTTCCGCTCACAGTAGAGCAGTTTCCTCCACCCTCATCTTTAGCGTACCTGAGATCACACATAGCAGTAGCCACCCTCTAGACCACCTGCCCGCTTAATCCTGTAGTATGTCACAAGAAATATCTCATTATCTAAATTCGCTCCCAAGAGTACATCTTGCCCTGGCCCCTGCAATTAATAGTAGTTTCATCCCTTGGTCATGATGCACCCATCTCCCTGAGACCAACTTTGCTTTTTTAGCAGTATTTGTTCTCGCTCTTGTCAACTTGCTCATCTTCAGCGGTGCCGACCATCGCGGTGGAAGCGCCGAAGCTTGTCGCACGAGTCAGGAATGGTAAGGCAAGAGTCATCGGGACTGCATAAACCTCCATAATCATCGAGTCGGATGGGATATGTAAGAGCTCTCTAGGCAGGCAGTAGAGAAGAGTGAGTGTGGAATAATTTGTTAAAGAAGGCCGCTCAAAAAATAGATCAAGCCACCTTGAGAACTTTGATAAGACCATATCAATGTACAAATAAAATTGTTCATTCACTAAGGATATTGAAGCTATAGAAGTGAAAGGAAGGCAGGAGAGCGTGAAGTAAAACTACGAAGACGTACCCCGCCATGAGTCCGCCATGAGTCTGGAATTCAAGTAAAAATCTGTCCTACAAATAACCCGCCGAGCAAAATCCATTCTCTTCCATCAACAGGCAGAGCAATCAGACACGAATAACAAGAATAATGGAGGGTATCAAGATCGTTGATTTAAACCGGCTCAATTCGTATCTAATCCTCTGTGCTCATGGGTATTCGCAGTTTTATCACTAATGCCGAACTTCCATGCAACGCCGGTATTTATCGCACCAGGGAGTAGGGTGAGGGATGCAGATGTAAGAATCGCCGTAAGACAGTACCCATCATTCTCGTTAAGTTCTCGATCGTCGATAATATGTCTGAATTATGCAATAGTAAGCCATTAGAGAATGGTTAGTATGGATTTCTTCCACGTGAGAAGGCAATTCCTGCTCAGCAAGGATGATAACTCATCTTTGGGGCGCTGACTGGGGGAGCCGGAAAAATTTAACAAGGAAGTTTATGGACTGGATGTTGTCTGGTTTTTTGAAAATTGGGTTGATGAAAAGGACGTTGGTGTTGTGAGTTCGGCAAGAAGTACGGAGCTCCGACAGACAGGTCTCAAGATCGCTGAGGTTGTGCTCTTGCCAGTCAGCATCTGGAAAGCTGCGCAATGTCAATCCTTCGACGTTCATTCCTTCGTTCATGGTAGAAGCTGCGTTAATATCACTCAGAATGGTCTGCAAACTCCTGAACGTGCCGGATTTTATCGCTCCAGTGAAGAGAGTCAGGGATAACAATGTAAGAGTCACCGTAGGTGTGTAATCCCCCATTGTCGGTGAGCTGTTTATCTCTGATGAGTCGTGTGAAATAATCAACAGCTAGCAAGTGAAGACTTTTAGTTTGAATTGTTTTCACAAGATAAAGCAATATCTGCTCACCTTCGGCGCGTTCGTCGCTGGAGCCACTGACCCAGATGATGAGGATGTTGCTAGCCTGAAAGTTCTCTGGGATGATGTAAACAAGATTTATGTTATGGGCTTGGCGAGAAGTGCGAAGGTCAGACAAACAGGTATCGAGATCTTTGATGTTGTAAGCAGCCCAGTTGGTGTCTGGGAAGCAGTGCTCTTCCGTATCCTCTGTTTTCATGGTACTGATTGGAATTTGGTACGGGCGCTATTGATCAAGGCTGGAGTGAAGGCTTTGTGCTTCTGAGTCGGAATATTCAGTCGAACGGTAGCGAGTAGTTGGCTGGGTAAGAGTGTAGGCAAGAGGGTAAGTACCAGCGAGATAAAAGTGAAGTAAACACCCCGAACCCACCGCCAAGGCTTTAGTTCTGATCATTTACAGGGCTTAGGCGGGCCCACGCCACACTAAGTTACGGGCCGCAGGGCCGCCGGACAGGATATTTGCCCCACCCTCCCTAAGTGTAATAACTTCCATGTGTGTATTATATTCCTAGAACAAAGAGTGAACAACGAGTGAAATAAGGACGAAGAACAGGTCAAACCGGTATGTCATATATATTGCATTAAGGAGAGATAGTAAGTACCAATGATCATGCAGTAGAAGCGGTCAAGCTATAGGAAGCAGGGCAAATCATTTACTCCTGCAGTATCAAGTCACCGTGTAACCACCGTCCACGCGAAGATCAGCGCCGGTCACATACTTTGATGCATCACTAAGCAAGAAAGTCACAGCACCCATCAAGTCTTCCGGCACACCCATCTTACCGACAGGAATGAGAGAAGTCCACTTGTCGCGAAGCTGGGGGTTCTCATCGAGGATCTTGCGGGTACTAAAAAATATATCAGCAGTCTGGAATTTCAATTTTTCCATTCAGGGTTGCTAAAAATTCAACTCACAGAGCAGTCAGCATATAGCCAGGGCTGATGCAGTTGACCCGGATACCATGGGCAGCCCACTCAACAGCAAGTGAGGCAGCTAGGTGGCGCACAGCAGCCTTGGCGGCATTATACGGAGCTTGGGGCTGGGGCACATTCACAATGGCACCTGACATGGAACCTATCATGACAATACTGCCAGGTGCTTTGCGTTCCATTAGATGTTTGGCTACTCCTGTGGCAAACAAGTACGTCCCGTCCACATTAACGCCCCAGAGCTTTTTCATGCGATCGAATGGATAGCTGATGGCATCGAAGTTCTCCGTAAATCCTGCAGAGGTGACGAGGTTATCAATTTGTCCATGTTTAGCCAGGACCTCCGCCAGAGCTTCTTTCACGGAGTCGGGATCTGCAACGTCGGCATAGTGTGCAGTGATATTGGGCATTCTAATAAATAATCCGGTTCAGCTTTCCGTCCTCAAAGATAGGAGATGGATTTCTCAGACGCATCACTATTGCAGCAAAATGACGGTACAATGTACATACCGTTCAATGCCAGGATTTTCCTTGCGGAACTGCCCAATCAGCTTCTCCGTCTGCTCTTCAGCTTCCACTTCTAGCAGGGATTTAGTGTGGAATAAGATCTTGTAAAAAACAAAGCTTACTGTTCAAGTCAACAATGGCCAAGTCCGAACCTGAAGCGACCAAACCCTGGCCCATAACAAGTCCCAGTCCACGAGCACCACCTGTTACCATGCTGACCTTATTTTCGAGGGAGAAAGAGGCCAGAGTACGCTTAAAGTGCATTCCACCCCGACCCTGAACAACTGGCTGCGAGGGCATCTCACTATCTGGTGGGTATTCAATCTGCACGCGCTCATCCGTGCGGGCAAACTGTCCCTCCTGAACCCCCGAAGCACCCGCAGGAGCCTGGGTAGTTGCCGCAATGTTGAGATCCTTATCATGGTTGTTGCTCTTTTGGGGCCGCAATGCGGAGCAGGATAATGAGCGGGTGAAGGAGCTCGTGATTGGTCGTGACACAGCGAGTGTAGCTGGTGGGGTAACGGTTTTGAGGGCCTCAACGGCACGATTAAGAGTGCGGTGAAACATCTTGCTGTGTCAAAAGACCAGATAATTAGATCTCGTTCTCTCTAAATGATCCCCGGAGACAAGCATATAAGGAATGCGGAACGTTTAGGGATTTGTTGAAAATGCAAGCCTCCAATGATCAACAGCCCATGGTTTGACCGACCCGAAGGTAGTGATGTGGCCATAGCCACATCCTCGTGACGAGACATGCATCTTGAGAAGTGATGTCAGCTTGTGTACCAATTGGCACCCTAAATTAGGAAACTTTCGGCCGACATGAACCCCACCCCCGCTCTTTGGGGACGGTTACTTGAGTTGAAAATCCAACCGCGAAATGCCCAAATGAAATATTGATCCAGCAATACCATTCTCGCGAGTCAATGGTTTAATGCACTGTGTCTAACCCGATTACCATGCGCACATGGCATGGTCTCTTGCAGGTACTGAAGTCGCCAAAGAATGTATTGGAGTGCGGGGTTAGGTGACGTCCTCCATTTACTACAGCGCTTGCATGTCTCAGCTTAAGATCTCTCTCTTTCTCCTTCTTTCTTACATCTCCATCCCTCGCTGAAACCAGAACATGTCAATTCCGTCTGTTTCCACGCAGCTTCTTCCCCTAGCCGACAGCAGGACCAATTTGTCGAGAGGATGATAGACAGCAAGCAGTGCTTCAAGCCCTATTTCTACTATAGTTCTTCATTTATGGGCTTTATTTATTTTTTGGTACCCCAGAAGTCCATATTTCATTTGAGGGTGAAATTTTTAAGATAGTTCTGCCGTGGAATTATAGTGTTCATGTTGCCTACCATAGCCAGTAGTCGCCACCTCAGAAATAACTAATATTCAAAATATTCAACCGCCCTAGCGACCGCACAAACCGCGAATTATTGTTTTTGTTTAGGAATTACTGCTTGTATCGAGCTTACTAAATGACTTGACTTCTTTCTACACACTTACAAAGTTCCGCACTTACACCTACTTACGCCTCAAGGGGCAGACCCACTAGAGGTTTATTCCTACCAAGACTAACCTGCTCTAGGCTACTGCTCTACTCGCACCTCCGCGCCTCAAAACACCTCCTATGCCCCCTTCACCTCCTTTTCCTACTACCCTTACCCTTACCCCTCACCCTAGCTCTACTCCTATATATCAGAGTAAAAAGGTGAAGATGTTAGCCAGATAGGCTGACGAAGACTAAAACATAAAGCCAGATGAATTTGTGATCGCACATGGTTTTGTTTAATATAGGGAAAGGATGGAGTATGAGCACGGACTCAGATTTACTTAGTGAGCCTGACCCTAAGCATTCTCATTAGATTGGCGGCATCTAGAACAGGAAAGTGTCCTTTGCACTATCTCTTTTGCACCGGCGTCGTCACTAGACCATTTGAGGAAAGAATCGAATATTCAATCAGTATATTCTTCGTAGGCCTGCCAAGTTTGCCGAATGAAGGCTTTCAATTCATCAAAGAACTCCTCAGTAGGATTCAAGTCAGTATAGAATGGAGGCAAATACACCAACTTCTCCAGTACTTTGCCTGAGAATCTGACAAAGATTTTGTCACTGAATCTTGCACCCCAGTGCCGGCAGGCACCTCTACGTGGTGCTGGGGACTAGTACACTGGCAGTTGCTCGTGTCTCCTTCCACCAGGTGAAGCTAAGATCTGTTCAAAGAGTGAAGGCCGGAGGTGAAACCGCGCTGTCATGGCTGACCCTCGTCCACTCAACTCGCACCCCTTTTCTCAAACGGTTTTCTGCACTCATAGCGGTTGACGAAACCAATGGATAGCTGAGGACTGTGCCACCCCTCATCGCGTAGGTAGTAGGTCTGCGTAGTCGACGGGATCCTAATTAATAGATATAGAGTCAGTCTGGTTTATACTTACTAGGATATGGTCGTTTACTATAGTAGAGATTTCACTATCGGACTACGACTATTCGCTTCAAAATTCAGGGCTGGAGATAGGGATTATCTCACGTTTACTTTTAAGTTCAGGTTTATCAAGTTAACCTAGTCACAAAACTATACAATCAGCTTCGATATCAATAATATATATATCCCAGCCGACCTGTGAGGAGAGTTGCTTGGCTAATGTACTGCAAGGACCTTTCTGCGCCCGGTTCTAACGCAGCGTTTTCCAAAGTGACCCTCGGCGCTACAGATACCGTTGCCCGAGACCACTACTGCCTGAGAACAGTACTGCCTGAGAGAACACTAAAGCCTGAGAACAAGGGATATTGCTGCTTGGGAATACTGTCATCTGGAAATTCTGTCATCTGGGAATTCTGTCATCTGGGAATTCTGTCGTCTGTGAATTCTGTCGTCTGTGAATTCTGTCATCTGGGAATACTGTCATCTGGGAATACTGTCATCTGGGAATACTGTCTTCTTAGGGGATCTATCAATGCCGTGCGTTCTGAACATTGCAATGAACATAAGCTAGGGGCTACATACGACCCAAGGTCGTGAAAAACCTGAGGAATAACTCATATCAAATCAAATCAAACTGAATCTTCTATGCAAACAGACCCACAAGCTGAAACCCTTAACACTATTGCATGATCTTCCTTCCACTCCCTTATATCTTGGTCTACTAGTCACACGCAGCCTTCGGGTAAGCCTATTTATACCGATTTTTCCAGCAGCTACTACTCAATATCTAGAATCTTTGGGCTAAAGCATCATATTTCGCCCTCGAATTCACGAGCCATTAGGTTCGTCCATCCCTTTTTTCAAATTTGTGGCTACATCCTTTTCAGACTGTATGGCTTGCCCGAGCACATGCAATCGGCCGGAAAATACTAGGTCGAAGAAAGAGGCTCTCGATGGGGTAACTTTAGATTATGATGGTAAGTCCAAGACACAAGACCTCAATATTCTATCAGGACCTGAAGAATTTCCAGATGCGCTCATTAATCGTGTCACACATGATGAGGATCCTTCTTTGCCGTCTATGGCATTCTGCATTTCCCCACGATTCTCCACTGGTGAGACATGTGACCTTGGAGCAGCTGCTAGACTCACAGTCGCTTGCATTTGCTGACAACCTCCTCGTAATTCACGTCTTTGGTGAGAGAGCTTGCTCCGTCGTTAAGGAGGGAGCATCCCGTCCTGTAAGTGTTGACATTCGACTCGGTTTGGATGTAAATACACGACTGCCGGTTGCAAAGCTGGCCGTTCACAGATTCACAGAGAGCCTGTAAGCCCTTCGTTGTTGGACGATGGCCTGCTTCGACCTCTGTTCCCGGTGGTTGAACACACGAACTGAGATCATACTTCACAGGTTGGTCCAAGGTACAAGCAAGATAGGTCGAATCTCTGAAAGTTTCGGTGTGATATGTCCCGTTAACACAATTGGTTTCACATTCTGGCTTCGAGCCACAGAGTTGATTCGTAGACGAGCTGGCTGCTTGATTTACGCCCACAAGCACAAGAACGATAGAGCGAAGGCTGAAATGCATATTGAGTAATCTCAGTCCTGTACGTTTGAGAATTAGAAGTATTCGGTGGATATTAACTGGCAGCATGACAACTTACAAGTGTGTGGCAGACAGTTCAGTATCTAAAGGTTGGATCGGAATTTCGATCCCTTGACGGGAAATTGTTTTTATAGTTGCAAGTGGAGCCTGTGGGAGTCAGCAGGGTTTGGGAGTTGTGGATCGGCTTTGCTTGATAGCCCCTTACTTGGGCTCTTGGCAGCCACATAGCATATACTTCGAAGCCCTGCACTAGAACTCTTTTTGTGGGACCCATTGTAGATTTTTACTTGTAATTCTGGGCTGCCTGAGTCACTCCCAGAATTGGTTGCTTAATCTAACCCGCACTGCCCTCAAAGGAGACCTTCCTTGACATGGGCCACTGTCGATCGCCCCTGTGATGGATGACGTACTGTGTTGAGATCGCCTACGAGGCCCACTTGCAGATTCTTGCGTAACATTCATGAGGAATACTTAGCTTTCAATAATCCCTCGATAGTCAGGTGGGTCGATCGAGTTTTGCTGATCTCTTTCCCGATCAAGATATGTCAGCGTCGGAAATCCTCGGTGCCTCTCGTCGCACTGGGGGGCTCAACTGAACGCTCAGCAGTGCGCAACGCCAAAGTCCAGTAGAATCTTACGTTATCTAGGATCATCACGCAGGAATTGATAGGGACGCTCACTCTTATCCCAGGCACTCCTAAGTATGTAATTGGGCTCACGCATTAACGTATTTCACGGGCAAGTGGCGCCAGTGGCGCACCCACCGACACAAATTATTTTCAAATACGAATTTAATACCCGAAATACTTTTTTGTTCAAGATATAACCTTTTTATTATCGGGACAGGAAGTAAGCTTATGCTCTTTAATCCCACATCAGAACACGTGGGAAAAGCTCTGATACGCTGCTGCAAAGGTGCTACTGGCGCTTCTACCAAGACTTCGGCATGGGCCGGCCTTGCGGAAGTCTACTCCCAACCAACTACAGGTACAAGGGTGCTACAAGAGCACCAGTCCTAATCTGGACACCCCACCATCCTACAGGAAAGCGCTGGACTCGCACCGGGGCCTCAGGCTCCAACAGAAGTCTTTCGATTTCTGAGATGTGGTTCCTTCCGCCTAATATTCGCCCATGCAGCGAGTTTCAGCTATATGGCGAGGTCTCAGGCCCATCAGGGCAAAATCAAATACTGCATGTGACCAAGAGGGCGCATATTTACTGGTGAAGTCAATGTCAAGAATACATTCATGGGCTGCCAGCATTACTGTGGCTCTCTTCAATGCAACGCATTTTTGAATCCATCTAGAAAAGTCCTTCCATTGTAGCCTCTGGCTAGAACACCATCTGACTTCCTAACCAATGGACGACAATATTTCCAAAACTCTATCAGGCGACGCATTTGTATGGTCATAGGTAGAAGAAACATCATACAACATTACATTATATCCGAACCAAAAGACTTCGGATGTCCTTTCAGTGAAATCATTAACCTTGAGCCTTTATGCGAGATGGTTACAGCTAATTACCTAAGGGCTAACATTGAACATATCATATCACATGAAGATAAATGAACATTTGAACGCAACAAGAAACCATGCCTATGTCAGTTTTCCGGTACATTTGATTAGGCAACTTCATATATCTGTAGTCAAGCTCCGAAAGTACATAGATTTTATAGCGCGCAACGCGTGTAAATATCGGCCAAATCCCCTCGGTGGTGAAGCTTAGGGTACAAAATCCATAGCTAGAAACAGTTAAACACCAACACAGACATAGTATCCCAACCACAGGTTGCTGCACGTCGCGTCGATTTGCGCGTTCCAAGTACGGAACTGCGCCAATGTAATCCCCGCAGCCGTATCAATCGACCAGCAGCTGTCACCGTCTCTGATCAGATGGTAGGTTTTGCAGTTGCTGACAATTCCAGGCATTTGGGGCGTAGGGCCTGAAGCCGTTGGCTCGGGTGCCTGGCTCGTGGTGGTAGCGCCGGGAACATGCACGCAGACGTAGTAATCCAGCCAAAGATTTGTGCAGTCTAAATATATCAGATTCCAATCTTACAAGATAGAAAAAAATATGCGAAAGGGAAGGTGAAGGATGTACCGTCATTGACTTGGCTATTCTAGCTCTTGAACTGGGATTCGCTGATACCGTACTGCGTGGCAATTGTATTGCACTGATCACCGGACAACACTTCGTGGAAACCATCGCAGTTCTCTGCAATCCCAGGCATGGTGGGGGAGTTGCTGGGCGTGACCTCGGTGGGAGTTGCAGACGTGGTAGTTTTGGTAGTGGATGTGGTGCTTGGAGGATCATCCGTGGCGGTACCAACAACGCAGTATGACTTGCTGGAATCGAGATTGGGACAGGTGATCCCAGGGTTTAGCTGTTGAAGATTCTCGACCGAGAGTCCCTAGCTGCTAGCAAAGCTCGAGCATGTAGCCCCCGCGTCAGCAGTGGTGGAGAAATCGCAGCTAACAGCGCGGCGAGCAAGGGCCGCACCCATCGCTGGGACTGCACCGACGGTAAGAAGAGCTGCCAGATGCATGGTTTTGAGGTTTTGAAATTTGAACGGGACTATATGTAGAATGAAAAATTAGCCAAGGTTTGCTGCTCAGGAAACCGAGGGACATACTTAGAGGGTCAATTGGATGAGGGAATGTTTGGCCTACGATTGCGACCTCTAAAGAGCTTTATATGTAGATTTGAGACCTTAAATCCCGAGTATCATATCCAGGAGTCTATAAAATATACGAATCCATCTACTTCCGAGTCCTAACCACTTTTGAGCTAGTTGGTGTTCCGCAGCCCTTGGCTCATTGTAATATTACCATGAGTTGTTTTATGCGGTATAAAGGACTAGCGTATCGACTAGTAGAAGTATACACCACTTATTAAATGGAAGACAGTGGATTACCAAGGTCTTTAAAGAGGCAGTAGTGCCAAGCTCACGCCAAGTCCACAAGTATGAGGATAACCGGTCGGGGTGGGAGGGTCGAACGCAGCACGCGTGACCAGGAACAATCTTTAAGCGAACTGATGCAGGGACTAGGGAGACCTATGTTGCTAGTCAGCGGCAAAGGTACTCATTTGATTCTGGGCATTGTAACACTGCAATTGACTGGCCACAGAACGTAAATCCCAAGACCTTGGCAATGGCGAGTCGGGGCGGCCCCGCCATCCGGGCTGCCTCGGGGCTTTAGGGGAACATCTCAGGGTCCAGGGACTGAGCCGCTAAGGCGCGATCTTATGCGGACAAGGATTGAGGTTTTCACCGGCTCTTTCATTCCTGTCCGCCAACAATTTTCACCATTTGATTTCCGTAGTTCATGTTAGTTACCAAACTAATTCCCTTTCAAGGGCCCATTTTCTAAAGAATCTCGGGATTTACCATTTGCCCTTCCTCTGAGTACCTTCAGACGTCCGAAGACATATCCTGTTCCTCACTCAGATAGTCTTTCTCTTTGGCAACCCACTTGGTTCATATGCACTCAGCTTCCTTCTCCAACACCACCCATCTTATCGATCATCGCCACCTCGTTTAACGGACATCCCCTCAATATGCTCATTCCCTGGGAGAGCTGGCTGCTTGCAGCTTGCATGGGGACCTTGATCAACGCTTCCGACATACTAGAAATGGACCTGGTTTTTCCTAGTAATGAAACATATGCGCCTGCCGACAGATTCCCAATTGTCTTTGCGTTCCAAAATCCCGAGCGTGCGAGATACTTGAACCCCTGGCTTTCCTATACTCTATAGAATTTGGATGACTTCGATGACGCCCTGAGCCTATACCATGATCTCAGATGGGTGAATTGGACCGGCCAGACCCCCTATTTGGCACACGATTACCCTAGCTTTTTCAACCGAACAGGTCGGTGGCGAGTGACATGGTCCCTCTCTTGGCAGAGTTGCGACGAAGACGGCTTTAAAAGTGATCCTGCTGGGATGATTAGCAATACGTCTACTTTATCAACCTTGTTCACCACTCAGAGTTCGGCTCCTAAGGTGGATCTTGTCGCTGATACAGCCAACAAGACATGCCCTGGGAAACACGGTGCGGTAATCGACGTGGCCAACAAAGCTATGCGAGTCCCTTGGTATGTGAGTTGGGCTGGTGGTACCTACACCAATGACACATGTGCGGTGGTGGCGTCCTCTAACTCTACCTCAACTCCCACACCGGACGCTTGTAGAGTTCATCTTGATAAGACTGTTGTTGCAAGCATGGAGGCCTCTTTGCAAGCCGGCTTATGCAACGGGCTAAATCCACCATCAGACTGCCCAGAGGATGAGAGCGCCGCACAACGACTCACTGTGGGTATCATATCCTGCTTGCTCGGTGCATTTGGAGCTTTGGGATTTTTTCTGGTATGAACATGTTCCTGCTGCCTGTACATGAATAATTGAAGAATGGGCTTCTGCGACCTTTCTGGATGTTGTTTAACCTTCTTTTCTTCCTCTTCCATGCCAGTTTAATACACCCTCTTGTGTCTAAGTTCACCTCACATTGTTTTCTCTGCTGTCAATGTCAATTCCTCGGATACGCGAATTCCTGATCCTTGTAATATACTTTATTATTTTGGTTCAAGCTTCTGGCTCTTGTATGTACAGATCACCTTAATGCTCCATCATCTCATCCACGAAGAAGACCCGCGCTGCTCTTTACAAGGCCTGGGGTCTGGGAGAAACCTCTGACTGGGCCAGTGATCTGCAGACGTACAATGAAGTGCCCAAACCGGCAGCTGACTGGAAAACATTCAAGAAACTCGCCGTCGCCGGGGAGGACCCCAAGGCGGATCACACGCGCAATGGTAATTGGACCGAGATGGATTGCACTCATGAAATGATCGTCGACTCGACATGGTACACCCCATCTGAACGGTGGAAGACTTTGAACGCGGACGCTGCTTGGGCAGACGTCGTTGGAATCTGGAAAGACACAGACAAGCCAAGGGGAATCAAGTTCATCGATTCGGTCTCAGACACCCTAAATATGGGAGCTGACTCCAACTGTGGCCAGCTGACGGGTGACAGTTGCGTGGCATTGGACTATCCAGCTGGTGCGAACGGCGATACTTCTGGACCCGCGGCGCAGTTGATCTGGAACTCCTTGGTGAAAATCCACATGCTACACAAGGACTACCATGACACTCTGTTCGAGACTACTGTTCTCAGCAGCACGGCTCTCGATGATTTAGAGAACAATTTTGCGCCAATTCCGCCCGAAGAGGACAAGACCTGGCTATTGTTGCTTATTGATTTTCTCACTCTTGGAACTCTCGGCACTGCGGGACCTTTCTTTAACACCCTCCTCAAGAGACTCTCTTATATCCTCGAGAAATCAAGCACTCCGGACAATCTCAAGGATACCACGATGACCATAGTTGGACAGAGCACAACCATCGCCAAGGACGTGCTGCCAAGTGACGATTCCATATGGTCGCCGGCGTTACAAGATGCCTTCTCAAACTATATGGGGCAAGTCATCGGTAGCTGGGCCAATGTCACTACGGAGGTGCTTGATAGAATGTTCAAAGGAACGCCGGAAGCGCTTGACCTCCTTGAGGACATCATATCTAACGGAAAACTCACCCTTGGTAAATTCGAGGAGGAATCTCCCGACGATGATACCGTTTACAAGAACGACCTGCGCACCAACATTCAAAAGTGCTTCTTCGGGTATTCTATTCCCGCTCTTTGGCAGGTTTCGAAAGCCTACTCATTTATCATCCACGCAGGTCACGACTGTGGAGGCAAAGAACTCACCGACTACCTCACGACGACACAATGGACGCCACCGGCGCCTGTGTGGACGGGCAGCAGTACTACCTCGTCTACCCCAAGGGCGACTCGGAGGTATGCACAGCGGTATGCTCCGACGGTCTCTCCTGTTCGCAGGACTGTTCCAACAACAAATTCTCCGCGCGCCCCCAGGCCTCGATTCCCTCGGCGATGGCAAATTCGGCGCAATCACGAAGTCCGATTTGATCAAGGGCTCTGTCCGAACATGGAAACAAAATGGCAAGGCGAATGGCGGCGGCTTCGCGGACCCGACTAACCAGGGCACAATCGACAACCTACTTGACGTAGACGTCACGACCCCCGGGTTTATGCGGATCCCAGTCTGTAGCCCTGAGCGCGCTTACAAATCCTGGGATACACTCAAGGCAGGCTCCGGTGACAACTACCCCTGCGATATCCAGCCGGGCAAGGACGAATGCGGAGACTCGACGTTTGAGAATGAGACCAGTGGGGCATCGCCTCTGGTGGACGACTGTCTTACCATCATTAAGAATATTGAAGAGGACGCTAGCACGGACTTTACCACCCAGGTTGTTGGCAAGAACCAACGTGAGCTTCTCTCGTTTGGCACTTGTGCGTTTGGTGTGGAGGCTACCAAGGTGAATGGAAACGTGAACTTTGTTGTTGGCGGGCAAGACGTCATTGATATCATCAATGAATCCATCAAGCAGTTTGCGACCGATGGTAGGGTTGGAGCAAAGGGAAATATGGAATGCAATAGCAACACTTCTAAGCGTCAGCCGGTTCTGTGGGGTCTCTATTAGACATCTGAACTAGTCATATTTGATTTCTTTGGCATGAAGTCTCAAGAGCATGCACATTCATGTCCGTCATAATCTTTGGCATTTATTTTTTTACTCAAACGCTCCAGGAGTCCGTTAACATGTAAAAAAATTGAATTTGAACCTATTTAAAAAAAAAAAAACAAAAACACAAAGCTAATCAATTACAGTTCTCCTCAGCCTGTCTGGCTAACCTCTTTACCTATTTACTCCGATGTATAGGGGTAGAGCTAGGGCTAGGGGTGAGAGTTTGGGTAGTAGGAAAAGGAGACGAAGGAGATGAAGGAGACAAAGATGGAGATATTCTGAAGCGTAGAGGTGCGAAGTAGAGCTTCTGATACTGTGGCGCCCGATATCGCCTTCCATGTTAGAAACATAGAGATGCTGTTTCAAACCCTAGTCATATGACACTTAAATACATATATGGTTAGCGTTGTACTCAGATAAATGTTTCAAGTTGGAATGGTATAATGCCAAAAAGTAAATATTGTATTATTACAGATTCAAGAATAACCAACCTCACCATGCCGTTGTCGCAGCTTCTATCATCCTAAATCTGACCACTAATAAACCTTCTAACCGGTTCCAAGTGGCGCGAAACCTCAGCTCCTGGCAGCGTACGATGATTGTCCATATGGTATAGCAAGAACAAACTCACTACATCACAAATGGCCAAAGTGACGAAGTGTAGTGAGCATTCTATCACTAACATACGCAAGACCTTGCGCTTGTTCGGCAGTTCTAGACCCCCCCCCCCCCCCTCCATCTGTCCTGGCCGCCATCTAAGCATCTCTCCGGTGATGCTAGACGCCCTCCTGTCTACAGCCTGAGATAGCCTGGCCGTAGTAGCCTACCGCCAATTCCTGATATTACCTGTTCTGAACTGCACCTTGACACATGCCAAAAACCCAAATAAACGTCATGATGGGGTTGAAATAGATAGTCATGAAGATGCAACTACTCTGCCCTGTGTTCGAAATATATTTCCAGCATCATTCAGTCAAATTTTAATCCAACCCTCTTGTAACCCACCACACCACGGTCAGAAAGTGCTAAGTCGCTGCCAATATACTATTACTGATACTTGATTACTCTATTACTCAAATACAATCTAGTTTCCTTACTTTTCGTATGAAATGTCATGAAATCCAAGGTTTAAATCGAAGAGAAGACTGAACAGTCGTAAAACACAGTAGTTATATGCGGTCGATGACAAATTCATTTTTGGAGGACCCGCTAACCGACATTAGCGTGCATCAACTTACGCTTCAGCCAATCATGACGGCCAAAGGTGGCCCTTAGTCTCGGTCTCCTTCATAGGCTTACGCCTTAATTATTTCTCTCTCGCTCGTAACATCCTCCTGGATCTCGCTCCTCAGACACGCCGAGCAATCCTTCATGATTTGAGTCACCATAGTAATGGTCCAGTAATGATGAGAAAATTACGCCATGGCGCTCGGGGGGTTCGGAAAGTCAGGACGGGATGTTTGACATGCAAGTGAGTGAGCTCTGCCCGTACCCAGTTGAATCAGCTTGTAAATCTTGCGGTAGAACCAGGCATAAGAAGTGCGATGAGGCCAGGCCAGCTTGCTCATCCTGTATCAGAGCGGGCTGGAAATGTGACTTCGTCTCGTCGTCTCCCTCTGAAGCACCGCAGTACGCGATAACTCCGCCCATCTGTGGTCTGCGATACTCTTCTGTCAAGCCTTTACTAGATGGCGAACATAAGCACATGGAGTACTTCCAAGTCGTTTGTGCTGGGGAGTTCTCTTTATTTTTTGAGCTCCCCGCATGGAAAAACATCCTCCTCCAGGCCACTCTCACCGAACCAGCATTGCATCATGCGGCCCTAGCAATCGGGGCCTTGACCAGCAGCCGTTACCATCCTGACATATGGCACACACCCCCGGCGATCGCGTTCTCAATTCGACATTATAGTACGGCCATCCAGGATCTCCGCCGTCGGCTTGATGGATCTTCCCAAAGTCTAGAGCTTGCCGTCTTAACGAGTGTTGTCTTCAGCTATATCGAGTTTCTCCTAGGACTCGATAGCCGGACCGAGATGCATATCCAGGCTGGATGTGCCATACTTGAGAACCTCTACACGAGGCACGATAGGACACTCGCGGTTTCTACTCAGGCCGGATCGAACTGCCAGGTTGGCAGTTTATCTACTAGGTATCATCTACTTGCCAGTGCTATGTTTCAGCTCACTGCTCAAGTAAATTGCTTAGTGGCATTTCGGTCGAACAGCAACAATTGATAAAGAGATAATTTTTTTAATAAGTGAGATGTTAGTTCAGGCCGACTTGTAGATGAAGGGCCTCTTACAATGCGATAAAAGTAAACCAAAAATACCCAGTAGATGATCAAATGTTGCAAAACTGTGTACAACCTAATGTGGATAACACAAAAACATCTATATGCTTCCAATACAAGTGTTCGTATTAAAGTACAGCAAGACGTCGGAAGATATTAAAACAAATCGCAGTCTTCAGAAGCGTATCAAAGGTTTTTTTCTATTTCAATATTGCACTGCAGCCTTGTTGGGCCAAAAGTGCATAGAAGCCCATGCTCGCTATGACGTCAGTGTTCTGCAATGTTACGCTGGAGCCAATAACTGTAGGTTGAGTGAGCCCTTAGAAGTCTTAGCGACTCTATGCCTGGTATGCCAGTACTGATCTAGAATGACTCTTTATCTACCGGACTAAATGTATATAAGTCAGTTCCCCCTCATCTTCGTCAGAAATTCATTGTATAATAATTCACATTCCACCCAATAAGAATAATCAACCATGGCCTTCCCTCACTCAACTTACACTACCGCGCGCGCACTTACCTACTCTTACGTCCATATCCTACCCCAATTCCCCAACACTCAATACATTCTCTTCCTACACGGCTTTCCCTCTACCTCGCACCACTGGCGTCATCAGATCTCCTTCTTCGTAGCAAAGGGTTATGGAATCCTAGCTCCGGACTTACTTGGGTTCGGGGAGACGTCGAAGCCGAGTGGGTTAGAGATGTACAAGGGTGAAGGTATGGCGAGGGACATTGTTGAGATCATGGTCTTCGAGGGTGTTAAAGTGGTGGTGGGCGTGGCACATGATTGGTATGTCTTGCGATTCATTCTGTCTTGCTGCCAGTTGTCACATTCATGTGGTTTCGAAACGAAAGGAGAGTCAGAATGTGTGCCGAATTAGCGCGCAATTATGCTAAGCTTATTCCACCAGGGGATCGTTCCTTTTGTCTCGTCTAGCGAACTATCATCCAGAGCGCTTTTCAGCTTATGTCTTCATCGACCACGGATATAGTGCCCCTGGCCGTAGCCTCACTACCGCGGTGATACAACATATCAATAACTCGGTGCAAGCCAAGCTTGGTTTTTCGATCTTCGGGTATTTTCTATTTTTTAACGAAGAGGATGCTCCGAAGCTCTTGAATGAACATGTAAGTTCCCTTTAAACTCTGCAAATTCGGACTTGCTAAATATTGACCATACTGTAGTCCGAATCCGTGGAATCGCTTTTCTTCGCCAACGACAACGAGATCAACAAGAAATACAAGGGCGCCCCAGGCGGTTTGCGCACTTGGTTAGCCGAGGGCAAAATTGTTGATTTGCCGGCCTATCTGACATCGGAAGTAAGATTTCTAGCCGTAATACATTGGGTTTCCAAATTAGCTTATATAGAACAGGACCATGAACATTATCAACACGCCTTCTCCTTCGAGAAAGGTGGCTATGGTCCTGCAATCAACTGGTATAGGGCTAATCTGCTTAATATCAATGAAGAGGATGAAAAGAGTACGTACCACATCACTCTATACCCCTCCGTCTCCCTTTCTTTCCCATTCAACTTCTTCCCCTGAAACTTGTTCTATATCACCTACAATTTTCGCATCCTACTAACATGCAATACAGAAATTAGCACACCCGCTCACACCTTAACACACCCAACCTTGCTAATCGCCTCTACCGGTTACATCATCACTGTCACGGCCAATTTTCCGGAGCAGATGCGGCCACTCGTCCCTGATCTCAAAGTTGAGAATGTGAATGGTGGGCATTGGCTGCAGCTAGAGAAGGCGGATGAAGTCAATAAGATTCTGGAGGAGTTTATGGAAGAGAAGCGACTAGTTTAAGATATGAGTGCGCAGAATTGAGAGCTTACGATGCATAAGTATCAGACATATTGGAAATTCTGCTGTAGACCCTTTGTCTAGCGAGTACAAAGATGTCTACATTTCGAGCCATAGCGTGGAGTAGGCTGAAATTGAAAATGAAATCTCTTCCGGAGTTATTGTTGAACCATATTGATTATTTCATGATGTTGTCAGTAATTGAAGCAAGTCAAAGCATAAATTTAGTTCGATAATAGGCAACTTGGAAGATTTCCAGCTTCTAGAAATATATAAGATTGTTACCTACTTCCAAGCCTCGGAGAATGTATGAAGGTAATTATATACATAACAGGAGAGGCGAGTAAAAATCCATATGGAAGGGGTTCCAGCCTAGATCACCTAAAAGAATTTTGAGCGGTCAGCCCCAGGGCTATGCGACCCCAACTTGAGTGATCTGTCACAAGAAAGTCCCATTCACTCAATTAACAAGCACTAAACCTGTTGGCATCATCATGACTATGTTCACAAGATGGCCAGCCAAATATGCAAGTAGGCAGAAGGAATGGAACCCCTTAGTAATCTTTGATTTTCTCATCCTCCTTGTCGGTGTCCCATATGCTAACAAGAATCTTGCGCTCGCGTGTAGTCCATGGTGCTCGACCATACATGACCTGATAATTGTCCACGAGGGCAAGGTCTCCAGGCTCCGTTTTCACAAACCGCCAATTCGTTGCTGAGTTCCCACATCCTGTGCAAATTCTTTTTTGAGATTGGAGTTCCATCTTCGAAGACATGCGGGGGGTATACCATGCCGTCATCTCCAATATATGGTGGATCTGTTGCCTTGCGATCATAGGCTGTGCCGTATCTTCCAGGCATGCTACTAAACCAAACTGGGCGGCCAGTAGCTGGGTGACGTCTGAAAGCCGGAACATGCTGATGCACTTCGAGTTCATCCCCATCACGCCACCAAAAGTGGGGCGTAAGACGCTGAACTTGTTTCTCGGCTTTTTTTCTTAATGGTTGCCATGTCGTCTGAAGGCTGGATGTCCTTGCCAAAAGCTAGAGGACCAGCCCAAGTGAAGATGAAATTCTTTCCTTCTCGGCCGGGCGGGCGATAAATATCTGGCGAGTTCAAACCTTTCACGCGGCACTCCTCAAAAAATTCCGGCATCTCTTCCATAATGGACTCAACGAGCTCAGAGCTATGGGTAAACGGACTTTCACCACCAGAGGGCGGGGCTTTCTGACAGAAGAAGTGAATGTTGGATGGGAACCTCGTGTATCTTGAGTACTCGTTGTGTTGGTGGAACCAAAGGTGTTGTAGAGACTCCGAGGCACTGAACACTTCATTATCGTAAACGGTACGACTACCAGCAAGGCCAATTTGCTCGTAAGGGTGTCGACCACGGCCCTCCTCTGCAGCATGGACAAGCGCCGAAAACGCGTGAGGCGATGAATCGTTCACACCACGAAGAATCACGCAATTATGTTTATTGGTAAGGTCTGTGGTGATGCCACGCTCTGAAAGGTCGCGAACTGCCGCAGCACTTTCCTCCAACGTAATCTGCGAACCATCCACTTTGGAAATATTTAACCCTATTTGGAAGACATTGCCATGAATGATGCGGGAGTTCGGCAATTCGAAAGAGGTGAAGATCACTTGATTGCCATTAATATTAGAGAGGAACGACTTTTTCTCCTCTTCAAGAATGGAACCCATGTTGAGCAGTATTGGAATATAACCTCTCGAGAAGCGAATCCTAGAACCCTTAGACCAAAATCAGAAAGCGCTACTGATATCTGAATGTTAGCTGTATGGCTACCGGAATGCGGAATTTGGACATCCAGGATCACATCCCTTTGGCCCCTGCTAAAAATTTCGGATAAGCGTGTAATGGGCCAAACGCTATCCAGGCTCCAGAGCTATAGATAGGATGAGCTGGATTTTCCATTACCGTGATCAAGCCAATATTCTGGGGTGCGTTCCAGCCGGTCAAATATGGTGGACTTGAAATTTTGATGGCGCTTCAGGTGATTACCTACTTGCGGAAGTAGAGCGGGCTTTGGGAGTTGACGAGTGGGAACGTAAAAATTGCCCGGGAATGGTCACGATCTCGCGATAGACGATCCTACCTTTTCCCTTCCCAAGATAGGCAAATCCATCAAGGATATTCGACCTCTGGGGAGGAGGATCAGACAAGAGTAACCATCGGAATGCTATATCCTGCGATGATTGAGCTTGTGGCCCACCGGGAATAGCCGGGGAACAGTTTAGGGAAAATTGAACTTCTCCGAAAAACAATCAGGAGGTTGAAGAAGGAACTAGAGAAGAGTAGCATCCATAACTAACTGATTGATATTAAATTGTTACTCCGAGGTTGTCGGTCGTGAAAGCTTGAAAACTTTGAATCGTAGGATAAACACCTGTCTTGAAAGATGAAGTAAAAGTCACCGATGCCGAACCTCAGGAATGACCCGAGGTACTCATAATACGTATGCAGAACCCGGCAAAAGTATGACAGCACCGAAGGGCTCCAAACTAACCGGCGCGCTCGAAATCAGTTCCACCTTTTTATTCACTTCTCTTCGGTCTCGAACTCTAATCTGAAAACGCGCTGCTTCAACTTCGATTTTGTTTATCACACGATCTTATAATGTATTGTATATAGATTACAGCATGGACGGGGCTGTTACTTTCCAGGAACATGGCTTACTCCACGTTTGAAAAGTCAATTCAAGGTTCACCTTGCATAGAGTAATTACATGCACGGGAGTTAAGAAAATATGTTGTAGAGTCAGTTTTTCGTATCTACTCCTGATCGGGCCCACACTACACCTTTGGGGCAAATATGGGTTACAATATTAAGTCAGTTGGCTGCCACTTCTAGATGGATCACCTGATAGCGGGGTACCCTGGATTTACCCCCTGGGTGAAATCCAACCGTCAACTTACAGCCCTGGTCGAAACCTACGAGATATAATGGTGGGTTGGCCTTATCTTCAGGAGTCCCATCTATCGAACAGAGATTTTAAATAAAGAAAGTCTCGTACTCGCCATCGACATGCCTCAAAAGTATCCTCGCAAGGTCGAAGAATCGTCGTTAACTTCCGGCCCCAAAGCGCTATCTACACAGATCTCACGCTGCGTCGCGTTGTCAAAAGATGGAAAAGAATGTCCGCGTACGAAAACGAAGCCCAAGTATCGATATTGCCGTCTCCATCATCAAGAGTACAGCGATCTTTATCAAAAGTACAAACAGCTGGAGAAGGAGTATGAGACCTTGGCATCGGGAGATACAGACGTTCCGGCTGCAGTAATCACGGAGAGAATCGCACGAGGGAAACAGGCCATCACACTGAGGGACCAAGTTAATAGGCGGTTCTTCAGTTTCGATGATGGCAACAGAGGGCACGTCCGATGGATATTGAAGTTGAAAAATGAGGTCGATACTCTGGAGGACAGATTCAAGATAGGGGCGGATGAGGCCCTTGACGGATATAGGCCAGCACAAGAAGATCAGAGCGAGCCGACAAGCGATTCTGCAGAAAGTGACCACCATCGTGGGGAACTCGAGTATCGCTCGCTGCTTTCACCGGATATACCGATGTCTGATTTGGACCATCTGCCGGATAATAGTCCGGTAAAAGTTCTGAAGAAAGCCTTTGCCCAGTTTAGCGACGAAATGTGGCAACGACTGTATAGGATCGCTCCCTCGCTAGATGACTCGTCTCCAGAGATCAAGGATGGCGAGACAGGGGAGTCACGGAAGCCTGATGAAGGCGATAAAGTCATACGATTTGTCCTGCGTGAATTCATTATCTGGAAAGCAGACACGGAAGTTCTTACTCTAGCTTCCAAGACTGACAGTATAGATAAGTTTCTGCGACAAGTGCCCTCGAGTGCTCTAGAATTTATCAAATTCTTCGAGAACCTAGGCCGTGAGGACACCCTACATTTGCTACGTGATGCCGTCTGCGATAACGTGCTGCCTTCAGATTCGTCGGCAGTCACTATACTGGGCGAGCGGATTCCCACTGACAACGAAATGAGAAGGATGACCGTCAAAGCCTGGGACATACTGTATGAGTATTTTCCAGATTATTTACAGTGGACAACCGTCGAGTTCTTCTGCTTCAGATTCGAGGACATCCTTCTCATCAAGAGACTCATCGCACTAAAGAGATACCCAAAATGGTATAGTGACGCCTGCGAAGAACAAAGAGTGTCTATTCTTCTTGGTTTTATATCGGTCACTGAGGGTTTCCAGGACCCTCTTATCCACCTTGCTGAAAAGGACGGAATTATCACCGCGACCGAGAATCGTTGTTATCTCGTCGGGAGAATAAGCAAGCATGACGCCATGACAGCGACATTCGTTCAAGATCTCCTCAAACGCATTGCTCAATACATTGTGGTAGTCTACGAGACTGGCGGAGATGGATTCCAGTCTTTGAAAGTCACTTACCAAACAGACGTGCTAGACGACGATCTTTGGATCAGTCGCTGCCGTTCGGCGGAAACACATGCGCGTCTGAAACAGACTTCCTGGAGCGTCACACGGTCATTGAAAGACATCCGCAATGATGTAGAACTCATACAATCCTACCGAGAACGCAACTTGGTAAAAGACTACATCGAGATCTTAATAATAGACAGGCATCCAGGTCGCATGTTCAGCCTCCGCAGCCTTGTTAGCGATGCCTTAGTGATGCTTGCCAATGACCCGACCCAAGAGGAGATCATGAGAAGCGCCATTCGCAATTCAATACCCGAAGACGAACAACCACAGTGGATAGATGCCTGCTTGTTCGGAGGGACATCCATCGAAGACAACCATGTTGGCAACATTCACTATGAAGGAGCCCGACTTCGAGCTTGGGGATGTGCAGCAAAAACAGCCAGATCTAATTCACGGTTCTCTAAATACCAAAATCTCAATCCGAGACCGCCGGCTGATATGCAAGATCCTAGAGGAAATGGAGGCTAGCGGAGTGATCAGTCAACTCAAAGAACCACACAAGGTCTGGTCTAGACCAACTCTCTTGGACAGCACCGACGGCTTAAAAGATCTCTACTTCCACTATGACTTCGGTCCAATCGACGAAAATGCAATTTCAACAGGGCCCCTAGGCACTTCTGTAGTAGTACCCGACACACTAAGACGCTTTGCTTATGCGTATCAGGCAGCGCACCCGGACGCAGTTTTCGCTAAAGGGAGGGTGAGCGTTCACTACTGCGCATGGCCAATGCCTGTGATTTTTCCTAGTGCGGGGGGTGTCCCAACCTTTTCCACCAGCGAGGGGTACCTGTATCGCTGGAATTTCCACCCTTTTGACTTTCCGCTGTCCCAGCGCATGTGGCAGTTTTATGTTGAACATACGATAAACAGGAGATTCTCGTTCGCGTAGTGTGTGGGGACAACGTTAGTTGTGGCTGCTTCCAGTTCCGGGACGACAGAGAAGAACCTTATATTGATGGTTGAGGCGATGAAACAGAAGGGGTTGAGATTCAATGTTCCACATACATCAAGTTGGACAAGGGATGTTGAAAGTTTGGCATTGTCGACGTTATGGGCTGGGATATCTCCGGTCGTATAGGAGCGGTAGACGACCGGTAGACCTGGATTGGGACAAATAAGGGACAGATGTACATTTAGTACTACATATGGCTTTGGCCGAGAGTGGTTTCAGTGGGCATTACATTTCCTGAGATAGTTTTCTATACGATTATTAGCAGTATTACCTCGAGTCTGTAATCTGTTTTAGATTCATATTACCCTCTGCAGTTTGTCTTATTATACTTGCCCCTATGCACCAGTGAATCCAGAAAATGAATGCCTGTCATTAGCACTGACCGAAAGGCAATCATGATGGCTGTCAAGATTCAGTATGTGTCGGGGGACCATTTTGGAGGACAGCGACAGCAAGATTGAGGGCGAGGATGAGTGGGCTTGAGCGCCACTGGAATATATGCGGGGGCAGGGGTAGACGGTTCCTCATTTTTGGTCACATTTATATAATGCCGATCAGATTGACCGCATGCTGAGCTACGATGGAGATGACAGATATTGAGTAGAATCAACTGAATTCACTAAAATGTGCAAAACTCCATCTCCAACCCATCGCTGAAAATTCAATGTCTCTAATGATCCCACAGTGAAATTACTCTCGCATTTTTTGCGATTTATTCCTCCTCTGCAAACTCTACCAAAGGAGTGCCGCTCTTGCATTGATCCTGGAACTGCAATTAGCGCCTTTGAACGTTCATAGATGATGGTTGATCTGCTTCGAACTGAGTGACTTACTCCTTGTTTATGGACGACACGCGCAATTGTTCCCTGGTGTGGACTGCGGATGACTGTCTCCATTTTCATGCTCTCAATAACCACCAATGGCTGGTCTTTCTCCACAACATCTCCAGCCTGCACTTCCACGCGAAGCACCTTACAGGGCATCGGGGCTAGTACGCTATTCGCAACATCTTTCATCCCTAGAGCCTTCTCCATCCACTTGGCCCGCGGCACAGTCAGGCGGTATTGAACGCCTCGCTGGAACGCGATTACGGTGTCTTCATCCTGTACCACGGTGGTGTCAAGTCGGGTATGTGGGAAAAATGATGTAACCACGTGGGATTCTGGATCCATGCGGCTCTCAACTTGTTCGAAGATTTTGTCTCCAACTTCGATATTGAAGGTGTGGTTGGCTGTTTGCTGGACCCTAACGTGAAGAGTAGATCCTTCAATCGAGGGTCCTGTTGATTCGATGAACGACAGTTGCCGTTGCATGAAGCTTGGGGCAAATCCGACTGCTGACCCCGCAAGTCCGTTGGAGGGCCTGGCGGCCGAGTGGGCGTCACGATGCAGGCATGCTAGCGCAACTTGAGCTAGAGTCTCATCTTCGATTGGTTTAGGAGCAAACAGCTCTTCTCGGTGCTTGTCAATGTAACCAGTCTCAACCTCCCCGGCGATGAAGTCCGGGCTGCGACAGATGGTCTTGAGAAACTCGATATTGGTCACAGGACCAGCGACCTCGTATTGCTCCAACGCGGCGCTCAATTTCCGAATAGCCTCCTCGCGGGTTTCGCCACGAACAATCAGCTTGGAGATCATAGGGTCGTAGTGTGCAGAGACCTCGTCGCCTTCGACAAACCCAGCATCAATACGAACATCATCTGTCGTTGTAGGCGTTCGCACGTGGATTAAGCGCCCGGAGTCGGGAATGAACCCTTGGTCTGGGTTCTCAGCATAGATACGGGCTTCAATGCCGTGTCCCCTGCGAGCGATCTGCTCTTCGACTTGCTCTTGTGTAAGAGGTAGGGGTGATCCTTCCGCCACCAGTATTTGCCAGTGTACCAGGTCTTGGCCTGTGACCATCTCTGTCACGGGGTGTTCAACCTGGAGCCGGGTGTTCATTTCCATAAAGAAGAATTCGCCCGTGTCATTGTCGAAGATGAACTCCACGGTACCTGCACCTTCATATCCGACTGCTAGAGCAGCAGCTCGAGCTTTTGCCCAGATATCCTTGCGAGTTGCATCCGGCAAATGCGGGGCTGGAGACTCCTCCAGAATTTTCTGGTGTCTCCGCTGAATACTACAGTCTCTCTCACCCAATGCCACGCTATTCCCATGCTGGTCCGCAAACACCTGAACCTCAATATGCCTCGGGGTGGTTATGTATTTTTCCACCAGTACATGATCGTCTCCGAATGAGTTCATGGATTCTGATTTCGCAGACTCAAGCTGTGCCTGGAACTCTGATTTGGATCTGGCGATACGCATTCCCTTTCCACCACCACCTTTGATGGCTTTGATGAGGACCGGATACTTGATCTTATCGGCTTCGGCTTCGAGGAATTGAGGATCTTGATTTTGACCGTGATATCCAGGGACGCAGGGCACACCTGCTGCAAGCATGATCTCTTTTGAGCGACTAAGCAGAAGATGTTTTAGTCATATGCAGTAAGTCGAGGATGCCTACATACCTCTTATCGCCCATCTCCTCGATTGCCTTCCATGGGGGACCGATAAACACAAGTCCAGCTTCGGAGCATTTCTTAGCAAAGGCGGAGTTCTCGCTCAACTACAAACATTCAGCAATCGGATTCCAGTGTCAATCTGGCCTATACCCACAAATCCATATCCCGGATGTATCCCTTGGCATCCTTCTTTTTTCGCAATTTCGATAATTCGATCACCATCCAAGTAAGCTGACACAGAACCCAAATTGAAGGCAAATGGCGAGCTTAAAGCATGTTGTGATCGACTATCCGGGTCAGTGTAGAGCGTGGTCACGCGAATCCCATGCTCCGCAGCAGTCCGGCCAACACGGCTACAAACAGTAAGCGTCAGCCTCAAGAGTCCTTGTATTTTCAAAGGGCAAGGAGCTGTAATATACGCACAGGGCAATCTCGCCTCGATTGGCAATCAGAATGGAGTCTAAAGACTTCTGTGGAATTGTATTTGTGCCGGATATCGAGGACACAGCTCTGACTGTCCTGCGGGTCGCGGTCGGGGTGAGGCGGGGAGTGATGCGGAGAAGGGATGAAAGGGTCATGTTGGGTGTTTGCAACGATGTCGCTGCTAGACAAGGTCATCCACTAGTTTAATACTCAGTACACAATCATGATCGAACTCATAAAGAAAGTAAAAGCGGAAAAAGGCGGTCTTTTGGCTTGGGAAGCTCATGTCTATTTGAGCCGACGCAAAGCGAGATGCGGGGAAAGCCGAGGCTTATGTAATGCAGCACAGCAATACACCCATGGCATTCACAATAATCATTTCGTAGTTAACAGACTCCTTTGCTTTAATAGATGATTGCCTTGAGGTTTATTTTGAGAATGAAAAAAGGTCGCTATGATCTACCAAACCAAATATTTGGTCCTATTGCGTATTTGCATGCAACAAAAAAAGATAGGTGGAGAAGCTGTGGAGAATATAGAGAACAATATAATAATAAAGTACTACAATAGATGGACATAATGAACATAGAAAGTACCAAGTCCAACTGGCATTTACCAAATCCAATTGGCATTACTATGCTCTTTATTCATACCACCTGTTACATGGTACTATATGGATTCTGCTCAGCAAGGACCAAACTAGGGCACAGGAGCCAAACGTGACAGGATTCCCACATTTCGAACATTCAGTTGACTCAAACTATCTCTCATGGGCATGCATTGATATTATTTAGGTCTTGGGGATTTTTCGAATTTTATCACGGACGTTGGGGAGGATAGAGGGAAGACGCCTATATAGTGGTAGAGTTATGGATGAAACATATTTCGTCTAGTTAGTGTATCGATTCATAGCCCTTGGGCTCGCGAGAAGTGAAAATGGCTGGATTAAGGAAAAATTCCGATCTATATTCTTTCTATGACATGTCTCTTCGCGTACGACCAAATGGAACTTCTCCCCGATGCTGATATCACGGCCACCGTCAATGTCGCAATGCAGGAAGCCAGCAATGGCGAGGGTGATGCCTACTTCAAAAATATCTGCTACACAAAGCCTAAGGTTCCAACCCTCTGGTTCCAAACCTCTACTCGGTCTTGTCGGTGGGGGATCTTCCAACAAACCCCAAAGTCTACGTAACGGACACCCACCCCACCATCCTGGGTCACAATCAGGTAGTCGAAGTCATCCTCAACAACAGCGATTCTGGCGCCCATCCCTTTCACTTGCAAGGTCACGACGTCCAGCTCATTGACTGTTATCTACACTATGGTAAAAGCTTCTTCGACTGCGCAGACACCGACTACCGTGTTTCCTACAATCCATCAAACCACGCGGCCTTCCTCAAGATCCCTGAACGCAGAAATATATTCTCACTTGGGGTAACGCTGCTAGAGACACGGCAGATTATTTCACTTTGAGTGTTCAGGATACCCAGGTTCCTATTTAGGTAGTTGATTTGTTATATATTTAACTTCACCTCTGTGATCGTTAGAGTAGATACAATGGTATGTATCAGGGTAGGTGTAGGATCCTATACAGTCAACACTAGAAAGTACTTGAAAAGGGTAGATTCTATAGTGGATATACTGTAGACTATATGAAACATGATTCAGTCGAGTTCCTGACTGGAAGCCATGTGTGTTCCTGATCAGGCTAGGCTGTACAAGAATCAATCAATTGCTCTATGCCGTCTAGTCGCTCTCAGTAAAGGTAGATCATCAAGATTAGAAAAGTCTCGAATGATGGACTGTACGGAGGTCCTCTGTATAGTTCACCGAGCCAATTAGCGGACAGAGATCAGATAACTCGATAACGCCTTATCCAACCCGATAACGATGTCTCTATTTCCTACACAAATCGTAGGATTTTACCAGATTTCCAGCCTTTCCGACCCTTATATTATTAGCAAATCCCAATCAATTTCAGTATAAAAGCAACGTAAAACAGAAATAATCTCGGAGTCCAGGGCTGAAACGTAGGGGCCGTTGTTGGGGTCCATATAGAGGAAATGAGAAAATGTGGAACCGCAGAAAAAATGCCAAGGCTTACATTAGCCAGGCTCCTCTTCGCAAAAGATCAGCCCCAATCTTCCAAGGTTCGTCACATTCTCACACCATTTCAGCTGCATTGTCATAAATATATATACCACTTGCAAATCCTTTCTTCTTGAACATTGCTGTCCATTCTCCTTTGCTCTCATTTGCATCTCCAAATACCCACCAACAAACATGTCCGACGACGAGGATTATTATGACTGGGAAGAGGAATATCTCTACGAAGACGCCGTCCCTGACCTGGTCGTAAGTCAAACAACTCCAAATTAAAACCCATTTGTTCCGTGTCAAATAAACAAGGGTCTGCTATCCTGACGAACATCACCTCTAACACCCTTCTTCTCCTGCAGGACGAACTCGCCGCATCCTCCTGGTACGAAGCGGCTTTGTACGAAGATCCAGGCATTGAAGTCGAAGATTACTTCAGTGATTGGGACTACTACTCGGATGACTACCATGATGACGATCCGACCGTCGCGCAGAGCAGAGTCCGTGCGAAAACCGAACCGAAGACGAAGCCGAGTCCGAAGAAGAAGAAGGGTCGCGCCCATACCGCCGCCCAAGTAAACCCCTTGAAACTCGATATCGGTTCCTTCCAGGGTGTGGTGTGGAAAACAGATAGCCTGGAGCGGGATACGGATGTCTCGGTCCAGATCTACGAACCGGGTCAGCTGGACAAGGTTGCCTTCCTGCAGGACTGGAGGGAGATCTTCAAGTCTGCTCAGCCTGCGCTGGATAAGTCGCGATTGAGGAAGAGACGCGTTCCGGAGCCTCGGTCGCTGGATGTTTCTGAGGATGATGAGATTCTGAATGATGCCGATCAGGAGGATAGTGAGGGTGAGGATGAAGATGAGGATGAGGATGAGGATGCTATGTCAGATGTCGACTCGACGGATCAGAGTGGCAGTTTGGATGCTGGAGAGGCATCGAATACGACACCTGAGCCTGGGCAGTCGCCGAAGGTGGTCACTAGTCCGAAAATTACGGTTGAGATTCCGGTGAAACGGGGTCGGAAGCGTAAGGCTGAGGCTCAGGCTCCGGTTCCTGTGAAGGAAATAAAGTGCAACTTGAGTGATAACTCGACGAAGAGTCGGTCGAAACGGCTTGCTTTGAGTGAGGAAGAAGTTTCATCTGGTCCGGTACGCCGCTCTACCAGACAGAAGAAGTAGTGTTGATGGGATGTGAATCTTTTGTTTTTGTATTTGTGAATCATCCCAACTCACGACATGTAATGAATGGCACGAATAGGAATGCATCTTAACTCGAGAGAGTTGAGGGAGTTTAAGAGCTTAATGAAAATATCTGTATTCTAGTCCATGCGCCACTATCCTATGCATATTCCTTGTTGAACGCACGGCCGATGACCATTCGTCGAATCTCGCTTGTGCCAGCTCCAATCTCGTACAGCTTTGCGTCCCTTAGTAGCCGCCCAGCTGAGATCTCATTGATGTACCCATTTCCGCCCATCAGCTGGATAGCATCCAAGGCGCACTCTGTTGCGCGCTCAGCAGCATACAAGATCGCGCCAGCGCAGTCCTGGGTACGAATCACCAGTGGACCAGGTGCAGCAGCACCATTGTCTACCTCGCGTGCCGTGTTATAGGTGTATGCCCTTGAAGCCGCGAGCTTCGTGTACATATCTGCAAGTTTACCCTGGATTAATTGATTGTGGGCAATGGGAATACCAAACTGCTTGCGAGTATGTGTATAAGGGAGGACGAGGTCCAAAGCAGCCTGCATGATGCTGGGCAAAGTCAGCATCGGTATACTTCATGGGCGTCAAGTCAACATACCCAAGTGGTCCTGCGCTCAAAACGAGTCTCTCCAAATCTAGGCCTTCCATCAAAACACGGACACCGCGGTTTAGCTCCCCCAAAACATTCTCTCGGGGAACAAAGACGTTGTCGAAGACAAGTTCACCGGTATTGGAACCACGCATACCAAGTTTGTCCAGCTTCTGAGCGCAGCTGAAGCCCTCAAACCCTTTCTCAACCACAAAGGCCGTGATCCCCTTGGAGCCTTTATCGGGTTGTGTCTTCGCATACACAACCACGAAGTCGGCCTCGGGGCCCTGTAGTGGACATGTCAGCCAGAATACTTGCATAAAAGTGTAATTAGCAGTCATCTGCAAAAGCCTACATTGGTGATCCACATCTTCGTCCCGTTCAATACCCAGCCGCCATTCACCTCCTTCGCAGTGGTCTTCATACTGACAACATCCGAGCCAGCAGAGTGCTCCGACATGGCCAAGGCACCAACCTTCTCACCAGCGAGAAGTTCAGGCAAGAACCGCTCCTTTTGTTTTTCGTTTCCATTCAGCGAAAGTTGATTGACACAGAGCTGAGAGTGCGCGGCGTAAGAGAGACCAATACTTCCTGCAAAATATAAATTAGGCCATTTCCAATCCATGAAATACATAGGTAACTCACCAGACGCTCGACTAATCTCTTCCATCACCACGCAATGCGCTTGGTAGCCCATTCCCAGTCCACCGTATGCTTCATCCGCTGTAATACCGAGTAGCCTAGTACCCTTTATCAGCATCCAAATGCTCCATGATAGATAAGGTAGTATTACCCAGCATCACCGAGTTTCTTCCACATCTCCGCAGGGAAATTATTCTGTTCATCCGTCCGCGCCGCAACCTCGGCTGGAATCTCTCGCCCTGCGACGGTGTCAGTGAGACGAATTGGGCAAAGAAACAAAGGATCCCACTTGTAAAATCTTGCACTCGTTCTCGGAGCTCGACGAGCTCATCTTCAGTTGGGGGTATGAACCCTGCTGGGTGTTTCGTTGACAAGCTGCGGGCGAAACCCGGGGCAAGTGCGGGGATGGACCGCCATGTACGGGTGGATGTGCGCAATAGTGATGGGAGGGCAAGGGATGCCATTATGGATTGAGCGCAATGAATAACAAGTTTAGACTGGCGTCTGGGGGAAATGTAGGAGCAGAGTTGTAAAGAATGAGGACCTGAAATAAAGATCGAGCGGCAGGCCTCGGCGCGGAGAAGCGCACTGTAACGGCATACATACATTGAGCTATTACTTTCTTCACACTTATCTGCTAAAATACTGCTGATCAAATAGCTAATTTAGAAACCGTCAATCTTGATTATCTTGCTGAATTTAGCTTTCCACTCTGCTCTTTTCTTGTACTTGAAAGGTTGACATTGTAGTTCGATGATGTTGACCCGCGGGTAGATGCGGCAATCATCGCAACTCCGCACAATCTGGGGAACTGGAGCTACCATTTCTCTTCCTACATATTTCATGCCTCGGAATGACATGACATGATACGATCCTTAATTTCTCAACTTACAAGGTTCAGACAGACCCCTTATTCGAATCTGCGAACACCCTTCACAAGGCTACTGAGTAGTCCCACGCCATCCCCGCAATGCGTGCCCCATCCCCACTCGTCCTGCGGAGCCTAAGCTCACGCGCAGGTCTACGCACTTATCGCCCACACTTCGGACTCAACACATCTCGAATTCTATCCCGATCTATCGCTAACTATACACACCCCCACCATGCCTCAGCGATTTCCGTTATCCCGACATCAGTCGATACCTCGTCAGCCGAATTCAAAGAAAACAGCCAGCAGATGCAAGAGCTCCTCGCCCACATGAACCGCTTGCACACGGCCATCTCTCAAGGTGGTCCACAGAAATCACGAGATAAGCATGTCGCTCGTGGGAAAATGCTTCCCCGAGACCGGGTCTCTGCACTCATTGACCCTGGAACGTCGTTTCTGGAGCTTTCCCCTCTTGCAGGACATGGGGTCTACGACGAGGATGTACCCGCCGGTGGAATCATTACTGGTATTGGTACGGTGGAAGGAGTAAACTGTATGATTGTCGCAAATGACAGCACTGTCAAGGGCGGCACGTACTATCCCATCACGGTGAAAAAGCACCTTCGCGCACAGGCAATCGCCCAGGAAAATCGATTGCCATGTATTTACTTGGTTGATTCGGGAGGTGCCAACCTTCCTCACCAGGCGGATGTTTTCCCCGACCGAGATCATTTCGGTCGCATTTTCTATAACCAGGCTCGGATGAGCTCTCTTGGCATTCCGCAGCTTTCGGTTGTTATGGGTCCTTGCACGGCGGGTGGTGCTTATGTACCTGCTATGAGTGATGAGACGATTATCGTTGAGAACCAGGGCACTATCTTTCTGGCTGGTCCGCCACTTGTTAAGGCTGCCACGGGAGAGGTTGTTTCCGCTGAGGATCTGGGTGGCGGTCAGCTGCATTCTACTATCTCGGGTGTGACGGATTATCTAGCTGTTGATGATGCCCATGCCCTTATTTTGGCTAGGCGCTCGGTTTCAAATCTCAATTATCCGAAGACTAATGCACCGCTGGAACTTGGGGATGTGGTGAAGGAGCCAATTTATGACCCTGCCGAGTTGAACGGTATCGTCGGGGTCAATCTTCGGCGGCAGATTCCTGCTCATGAGGTCATTGCGCGGATTGTCGATGGTAGCGAATTCTCCGAATTCAAGCGGGACTACGGAACTACGCTTGTGACAGGCTTTGCACGGATCCATGGCCACCGGGTTGGTATTGTTGCGAATAATGGTATCTTGTTCTCTGAGTCGTCTCTCAAGGGTGCTCATTTCATTGAGCTGTGTGCCCAACGGCGGATTCCCCTTGTGTTCTTGCAGAACATTTCTGGGTTTATGGTGGGCGCAGACGCCGAGAAGGGCGGCATTGCAAAGAACGGTGCCAAACTTGTGACTGCCGTTGCATGTGCAGATGTGCCGAAGTTCACCGTTGTGTTTGGCTCCAGTGCTGGTGCTGGAAATTACGGCATGTGGTAAGTTCATGTCAAGTCTCATCCCAAGTATACAATCTCACATTTTCTAGTGGTCGTGCCTACTCCCCTCGGTTGATGTTCATGTGGCCGAATTCAAAGATCGGCGTCATGGGCTCTGAACAATTGTCTGCCGTCATGGAGGCTGTTGGAAAGTCCGTCGATCCAGATCTCAAGGCTCGTATCGACCACGAATCCGAGGCTATATTCTCTTCCGCCCGTTTATGGGACGACGGTGTTATTCCGCCAGACCAGACAAGGAGGATGCTGGGACTGGGGTTGGCAGCTGCGGTTGGAGGAAAGCCAGAGCCAGATGCACACACTAGATTTGGAGTGTTCCGAATGTAGACAGGAAACAAATAGATCGTTCAATATAATAGACACGAAGTCTTCCAATCAAGCATGTTATTTTCCCTTCAATAAATGGCAAAAAGACTCGAATCATAAACAAGGTCGAAGGAGACATAAAAATCAAAAATTGCCTCGACAGGTCTCACAAATTTGGTTATTCACCAATCAACTTTTAGGGGATTCAACCAAACGTTTCAGTATATAAGATCATGGAGAAAGAGAAGAGTCAAGCACTGAGAGGTGTATCAGAGAATCGAAGAATGGTATAATAGATGAGAAGGAAGAAATGGTGGAGACGCGTCGGTCTATCAAAAGGCGCAGATGCAAAAAAGCGTAGAGAACATCATGTGGCACGTCAAAAAGCATACGTGGAAGCGGAGACAGGCGTGAGTTGCGAAAGTCCATGGAGCTCTTGCGGAGCATGGGCAGTGCAACAGAGTCCAGAGGATCATGAGATGTTAGATCAACCAGTTTACAGGATGACACATGGAGACCGGCGGCGCTGTGATTTATTATTTCCTTTGCGGTCGTTGCGGTTTGAGTTTTCGCGCTTGCGGGATGAATCGTTATTGGAGCCTGAGCCCTGCAAATCTTTGCGAATGATCTGGCGGCAGAGGTCGACGAAAACCTCGTTCACGTTTGCACGGCGGCGGGCAGAGGTTTCGTAGTATGGAGCATTGCCCCAGCTCTGGGATAAACCGAAAGCGCGTGCTCGGGGCACAGCTCGGTCGTCTTCGAGATCTGACTTGTTGCCGACAATGACTAGGGGGACCTTTTCGTCGTCTTTGATTCGGATGATTTGTTCGCGGAGTTCGGAGAGTTCGTTCAATGATGACATGCTGGTGATCGAGAAGACCAGTAAGAAGCCTTGGCCTTGCTTCATGTAAAGTTCTCTGAGACACGTTAGCATAGGTTAAAGCAAAAGCAAATAGTCATCCGAATCTTACCTCATGGCAGCTATAGGTCATGTTAGCCAAAGTACCCACGTGCATAGGACGGATTAGACTCACTGAATTGTTCTGTCCCTGCAGTATCGAGACTGCACCAAACACCCTTGTTAGCTTCCGGCCCATAACCCGTATCCGTTTCGAAGTACCTACATTTCGAGAATGCATTGTCGACCCTAGAATTGATACGTCAATAAGAGATATTTCCTTCTTACGGATGCGATCAACTTACATCTACCTCAATTTGCTTACGGTATGAGTCCTCGATGGTCGGATCATAGCTTTCAATCCAGACATTCTGCACGAATTGAGCTGTGAACACATAAGCTATTGCTTCGCGACGGGCGCAATGGCGCTGTAAACGAGGGTGGGTAGGACAGGGCGATATGTACCAGTCAAGCAACTTTTCCCGACACCTCCAGCACCCAGAACAACAATATGGTATTCCCGTCTATTGTGACACGTCATTGCGATTAGAAGGCATTGACGAGAACAGGATCCCACAACTTACTGCGGCCGCATTGAGGGGGATCCAAGGATCACCTAGTATAACTATTTGTTGCAAAAAGGAAAGGAAGCGAGGATGGAGGCCAATGGCACGGAGCTTGGTTGCCGCAGTTGATCTCGTGCCGCGTTGTTTGTACCACAAGAGGGGGAAATGGATCGAGATCCTACTCTCTTTGGTCGCAGTGTCGGAGAGATTGTTCCGCGTATGTATGTCCTGCGGGAACCGTATGAAGCCGTGATGCCCCTTAATTATAGCACGACGGCGTAGCTCCCTTGGGAGGCCGATAGGGAAGAGCAGAGGAACTCGGTTATATCAGAGTCCCAATGGATCAAGGATTGGTTTCGACGCACGGACCGTTCGACGGGATTCGGTATCGGGTTCTACCCACAAGAGGTCAGTGTGGAGGAATGATTGAGGCTGTGATTCAGAATGGGGGGTTGAGGTTGTTTGGGAAAGTGGATGTTGTGTGCGGGCCGCGGAGTTTAGGGGCTCTTTTTTCTCTTACCGTTCTGCAAAGGCCAAAGGATGTAGCAAATTACATTAACAAAAAGGGATTAGCAAGATAGCAATCAAAGTGGAAGGGACATGAATCTGCATGTCGACTCCAATCGATTCTTGTTTAACCCCCTGGTGTTTCTCCCGAATCACATCATCCGTTCCTGGCGGTGAGTCCAGACCGTCACTCCACAACGCCATTGACCTAAATTTATGTCATTTTGCTAATGCAGGAATTCAAATTGAGACTAAAGTAAATTGCAGGGAGAAGAATTGTCGCAAACATTTGAAACAGGTTGCCTTAGGCTCCAATTGTTGAAATTTGAGTACTTTAGATGCCTCAATACTGAGGTACATACGGTCTAAGTAGATCCAGTCTGAATACATATAAAAACCAGTATCCATTCCAAGCTCTGAATGCTATTGATTTGTCCAAATGGGCTCTGAATTTGAATCATACATCACATGCATATGTTGGCAAGGAATTGTATGTGAACCTGTTCAACAATTAATCTATTGATTACGTGATAGTATGCTTGTCATCGACGTCAGATTCCTTGGAGATGATAGGCTCACATTATTCCGTGGGTAAGCTTCTGCTTTAGGTCCAGATCTACCGATTCCATGGCTGAATATCTTTCTTGATGAGTAAATTACTGTGTTGGAATAGGTCCAATGTAATCCATGCGGATAAGATAATAATCTCTCGGAGCAGCTTGGCTGTCCGGGGTCGGTTTCACATTTCTAGTAACTCAAAAGGGTCATGTTCCGAATCAGTCATTCTTATCTAATTAGCCAAAGCCGAGTGCTTGATACGGATACTTTAACCTCGGAGTCGATGAAAGATATATGAAAAACTTATAATATCTCTCTAGCACTTGAAGGCTGATAGCAATAATTCGAATAGGGTTTATTTTTGATAGGGCTGTGTAAGGAACTGTATGAATCTGCTGTAGGTGACTCGCATGCAATACTACCAAACTAGGTAAGCCGGAACTTTTGTCCTAGAAGTTAAATCATTCATGCGAGGGAACACTCCACTTATTCAAATTCACATGGCGCTCGCATGAGTTGCAAAACCGAGTACGTCATGAAGTCATGTGACCACCGCACGGTCACCACGGAAGCGCCAGCTTGACTGCATTCTCACCCATCCCTCGCTCCTACAATTACTCTACTTTTCAGACCAGATTCTGAATTTCTAAGCTCCATACAAAATGGCTTCCTTCCAAGATCGTGCCCAGCACGCCGTTGCCCAGCTCGACAAGGAGGTACGTTTCTAGCCCATTGTGTGTTTCGTTGGTGCCTCGCCAGCTCTAGCCCCAATTTTGGCTGCATGATTTCTGTGCCCTCACGATAGTGCGATCGGGAGGGCAACGGGTTTTCACAGCACAGCACACATCCACCTATGCTACCTTCCATCATTATTCTTGAGTTAATTTCTAAGCTGTGTTCTCTTGGCTGACATGTCCTCGATAGCTGTCCAAGTACCCTGTCCTGAACAACCTTGAGAGACAGACCTCCGTCCCTAAGGTCTATGTCATCCTTGGTCTGGTCGGTGTCTACACCTTCCTTGTCTTCTTCAACATCGCTGGCGAATTCCTCGTCAACATTGCCGGCTTTGTCCTTCCTGGCTACTACTCGCTCCAGGCCCTCTTCACCTCGGGTACCGCGGATGACACCCAGGTAAGATTTCATCCCATCTCGCTCCTTATCTCTACATGACTGTTTTGCTAACTTTCAATTCTCCAGTGGTTGACTGTATGTTCCCATGACCCTATCCCGCTATCATTTCCCCCCGCTGTTCCCGGCACGAGACAACATGTCCTGAGCTTATCAGATGACACGTGATATTGCGCAAGACCAATCATCTAACTCACTTAATAGTACTGGGTCGTCTTTGCCTTCCTGACCACCGTTGAGAGCGCCATCAGCGCCGCTTACTGGTTCCGTATGTCAATCCAATCACCTGTCTGTTTGAGCTCTGCTGACTTTGTACCAGCCTTCTACTACATCTTCAAGTTCGTTCTTGTGCTCTGGATGGCTCTCCCCCAGACCAGGTAAGTTATAAATTGAAGATGACAAAAACTTAAATTCAAAGTGCGCCGAGTTAACCACGTCTACAGCGGTGCCCAAGTTGTCTTCCACTCCGTCCTCCAGCCTCTGGTTGGCCGCTTCTTCACCAGCAACGGCACCTCCGCCAACCTCCGTGCTCAGGCCGAGGCTGCTGCCAAGACCCACTCGTCCTAAATTGTTTCATAACGAATCCCTGCTGAGAATCGTCTTGATATTATGATTCACCCGAGGCTGTAGCTCAGATATACGCCGCGGGTTTATCGATTCTCCCCGACTGGTCGGGTAGTGTTATGACGTGATGCGCATCCGAGGGATGAATCCTTTTTTGGGAATGAATTGCAATTTGAGTCAAGATGATAATAGAGTGAAGGGGGTAGGTGTGGAGAGGAGCCGAGCCTGGGGATGCATTGGAGGCTGGCGGGGATTGTGCTGCGTTGGTTTTGTGTTGATTGAAGTACATATCTTGAATGGTATAGCTTATCCGTAGCGTTGACAATGTCGATCTGCTCACCGTCAAGACGTTTTACTCTAAACCAGTGCGCTACAGTACGTCCGAAATTGGTGCGACCACTTCCACTCATGGGCTGGCTTACGCTATTTAAATTACGAGCTCTATTTCTTGACTGTGCTGGCGATCCAAGGCAACTCTAAATACCAGTGCTAGAGGATGCCTGGAGAGCCCAGGTTTTGCTTGTGACTTGCTCTCCCTTACCCAAAATCCCACTCTTGGTTTTGCTTCTTGTTGTCCGAGGGTGATATAGACTTTAAATATCGCGATAATTGTTGTCTCAACCCGCTACAGCTGCACTAAAAAAACAGACCGGAATGACGCACTTTACCTTTCGAGAGTATCCTGAGACGATAATTCAAGAAACCGGGTATTATACGTCATTACATCCCAATCACATCACGAAGTTATAAGTGTGGGTGATGTTCTCCATAGGAAGCGGGGGTGGGTTGAAACTAATCAACTTTGCTCTGCAATCGATCTTTCAGCATCATGGCAGCAACAACAGAGCAAATTCCAACTCAAAATCTACACAGAGATACAGATCAAACCTCATTACTTATCTCATTCGATGAGTTGTCCCCCTTGAATCAAGATGTTCTATCCAGTGCTACTCGAGATGCGATGATAATGTGTTGGGAGTCCCTTAGCAGAGATGTTCCGTAGATGAACCCCCAGTGAGCGTACCATGTCTATACCTTTAATTAACTATACAATTTGGTCAAAGTTGGATTCACCGTGTCCAGCCCAGTGAAGCTACAATGACCTTCATCATTCTCGACCGTGTCCTCTAGATTACACATCACCCAATTCGGCGGTTCCATCGTCTGCCCCCATCTAACCGGACCCAGAGCTGCCGTCTCTATATTCTCACCATTAGGCAGATGACACGCAGCACTAATTGCGGCGCTACAAGCCCCAGCCAGAGGCATATTAGACTTGAGCCGTTTGAAGCCCAGCAAGATCATGAGAAACACCAACAAGGACGCGACAAGAATTGCCAAAAAGATGGGCATGGCTGAGTAGCCAAGAGAACTGACTTCAAAACCGACGTCTGAATAACCTCCAATACCGTATGGAACCACCAGGACATAGAAAAGACTTTGCGAGACCAACCAGTGCAGCAGCATGTGCAGAAAGATCATGGGCACGCTATACTGGTAAGGTATGCTTAGCCAGTAGGTTGACATTTGCTTGCTGCCTTTCACAGGGCGGGAAACTCTGAGCGGTTTGCGAGTGGTGCCATAAGAGCTGTACTCTGCTGCTGCCAGCATGTCGGTGACGAGGTTGTTGAAACAGTAATAGCACACTGTGAGCATCATTTGAGGTGTGTTGGCTACAACTACTGAGCCGAGCATAGAGTCTATGTCCAAGTTCAAGAGGTTGTAGTTGCTTGAACCGAGCCCCTCGCTCCACCATTCACTAAGAATATTTACTGAGAGGACGCGGCCACCAGAGCTCCAAACCGCCAATTCCATCAGCAGTCCTGATATTGTGAGACAGAAAAAACATCTTGGTTCGTTAGTAAAGGATCCCCACAGATAAGTAGGTAACGTGGGCTTACAGAAAAAGGGTACCGGCCCATCGCTTTTTGCTTGGTACTTGGAAGTACCACTTGCGGTCTGCAAGTTTGTTCTGTGTCACGATGTCGCGGAACTCGTCTCGCCGAAAGTCTTTAATTTCCCAAAGTCTGGGGAAAGTCCACCTTTTCGGCTTCTTTCTCCCCCATAAACCGCGGGACACATCCCTCCTGGAAAGCCAGCACATTCCTTCTGTGGTAGGGTCCGGCCTCGTCACAAACGATGCCACTGCATCGCCTAAAGTAAGAAGAGGCACCGATCGAGATCGACCAACCCGAGCAGCGAAGAACATCGCAATCACCTTTGCCAGCGCACAGAGAGAAACAACGATGCAAATCGCGGGGCTGTAGAGCAGTTGGCATTTTTCCTCTGCAGAGATTTGTATGCAATCCTTTGCGGTATATCCGTGATAGATCGAGTCGTAGGCGTTATCAAAACAAGTGAAGTTCTGAATATCCCCAGCAGTATCATATGTGAGGTTGGAATATAAGGTAGTGGCGTCCACTTTTGCTACCCCGGGGCTTGTCGAATTTTCCCAGAAAAGAGTATCGAGGGCCGTTTCAGGTTTGCCGCCCGATGCACTGAATTGAACTGCCTGGGTACCTCCATCTTTCACTGACAACTCTTCGACAAGAACCATAAGTGCTGTTGTTCCCGCTGCGTTTGAGTCATCGGTGATTTCCTTGCATTGAGCCAAGCTGAGTCGAGTAAAGTTCCCCGCTGCGACCTCTGAGGAAAATTGGCTCCAGACATAGACTCCAGAATCGTCTATCTCAGCAGCGTATTTGAAACACTGATTTAGAACACGAGTTGTCAAATTCATAACATTATCAGCTGTAAGATCGTGTGGTCCCACGAGAACCACAAACTCATTTGTGCCAGTGGACTCGAAGATCATGGAATTATATCTAGGAGACAAGTTAGCTATATCACCAGCATCTGATTCTCAATACATGTTCATACAAAACGTGAAACGGCGTAGCCGTGATCAGCAAGATAATCCACAATACCACTCGAAGTCGACCGATTTTGTACAAATTTCTAACGCTCGCTGTACCAATATCCAGCCATTCACCCTTCGCATGACTCGCATCGACCTCTTCTCGAGTCGGAGCGACAAGGGATTGCATGCAGTAGTTGCTAGCGGCCAGGATACTCGTACTCAAAGCATTAATGATCAAATGCAGTGCGGTATCCCAACTCTTGACGGAGGAACAACCCCCTTGGAAGACGACCTTAGAGCCATTCATCCAAACACCGTCACCATCATACCGCTTGGATATTCCAGCTGCTACACAAATGGAGATCACGTTGATGAATAACACGAATGCCCCTAGTCGGGCACAAAGATAGACACCTTTGATCCAGTGAGGCTCTTGGCCCTGCGATACTGCACTCTCGACCTGGTCCGCATCTGAGTAGGGTTTTGGTGCGTGAATCGTAACAAGTTGTACTTCGCTCTCATTTGGTTGGCGGAGCGAAACTCCGAAGTAGCGCGGACCAGACACAAAATGATGCGCGCGTTTCCATATCCTCTTTGCCCTATTTTCCATTATCGATGTTTTTCAAGCCATTGGGCTTGAGTGAAGGACGCGTTCGGCCGTAAATTTAGGGACCAAGTTGATAGCTCCATTTTTCAGGGGAGAAACTTTTAGACTGAGTTTCGGCTTTGACCGGGTGGGTAGTCTCGCGTACTCCGTACGAATAGCGTGGCTTGGCTGAAGTGGCTTGAGTAGTGGGTTGCTCAGATTGCCGCCTAATGCTTGTATTTATATTCAGTATAGAGGCCGAATGCTAACTTAGTGTGGACACTCAATATTAGTCATCAGAGGGGCTGACCATGGTAAGTTAGCTTTGTCATCCACGTACATTTTTGTATTTTGGGTAACTCGGTACGCTATAGAGTAATTCTAGTCGAAAGAAACATGCCAAAACGCCAATACCGAGGCTGATTTCCCACAAAGGACTTTGCCCGCCAACGCCAAACACCGTGTTTTGAAATGAAATCAAAGCCCTTGGTCAAACACATGTGTTCAGCACCAATGGCATAGGTAAACCCAGACCAGGTCCTAGTACAACCCAATGCGGTTTCCCCAACCGTCCGTCCGCGGGTTAACAACAATGCGGTACGGGAATGGATTGGAATCACTCGTCGTAATAGGCGGTATGTGATCCTTATCCCGATTAACGACCGCCAGGATCTTCAACGCCGCTTTCTGAAGCATATTTCCCATCGCCTTGCGAACCTTGGCTCGTTCTAGACCAAATAACAGGTTAGTAAAAACAAACGACGAATATCTCCAACTGCAATCAACACCACCTGGGACTGAACTCACCGGAATCCGTCCGCGGCGTGGCAATCGTCACATCCAACGTCCATATCTCCCAGCATACCTCCTCCTCCCCTTTCCCAGCCAATCCACCAAACCAAAGTCCCGATCGACGCCTCTTCTTCTCATAAAACTCCACCGCTATCCGACCACGTACACCCCCACCCGCGCCAACTTTGCCATCTTCCCCCCTGCGGAAGAGAGGTGCTGCCGAACAAGGGCGCTAACACGAGACTCGATCAGCGTCTCCAAGTCCGCATCGTTGATCGCGGGTAATGTAAAGTCCAATACATCAAAGGTAACGGGTCGAATAGATGGGAAGTAGCGGTGGAAGAAGATTAGGTTCAGGACGCCTGGGGGCCACGGGAGGGCAAAAGTTAGTAAAGCAAAGGACACGGAGGCGGAAACGATTCAAGTTCAACGTCAAAAGACCAAGTTCAAGGTCAAGGTTAGGGTCGCAGGCATTGATTGGATTCAGGAATGACTCTGATATACCTTTCAGCACATCGCGCACTGTGGTTGTGTCGGCGAAGATCTCCAGGAAGTACTCTGGAGGGGTTTTGCGGGGCTCCATCCCCGCCCGCGGTGGAACCGACCCAGGGCGTCTGCTTGGGTTTGTGCGGGAGCGACTTCTGTGCAGGTGAGAGGATGCAGTTCAAAGGAGCATGAAGTTGGTGAGTATCATGGAGTAGTTTGGTGTTGGGGTGTTAAGGAATAATGCTACATGAGCGGTTGCCATCGGACAGGGCCGAATGACGCTTATCGGGCTTATCATTGGTTGGGGATGACTCTTTGGTCGGTTGCGTAATGACTTTCAGGTCAAAGTGGGGTTTAGCTTTGATGATTATAAGGTAACCTTCAAGTGTTATGTTTTACACTTTGTACAATTCCAATTGTTTATCTACAGGTCGGAGGGTTTTTAAATTGACGTAGGTGTTTGTTGAGGTGCAGTATTTCCTTGATAGGATTTTTCTGCTTTGTCACAAATGCATGCAGCATTTTATCCTGCACCCACTTCCGATATCCGATATAACTTTTAGGTCGATTCTTACCATTCAAATGTTATTACTTGTGTTTCTATAGAAAATATATATAATATATATATATATATATTCACTGTAGCTAAATACTACTCTATATTACTTGACCGGTGGAAGTGCCAATTTTGGCCCCCAAAGCATTTACATGCCATCGACCTAAAATGAGGGGCACATTACAGTGCTAGTAGGTACATAACTGATTCTACCAACTTTGCAAGCTAAGGTATTAAACAGTGAATAACCTTGAAACTATCGAAAATGCCCATCCGAGTCTTGGTCCACGCCTACCGCAAACCTGGTCTCTCCACCGAGGACTTCAAGAAACAATATGAAGCCCACGTCGACCTCATCAAGCGAATCTCCGGTAATGATTTCCCTCTCTCCCACAAGCGCACATATATGGTGCGCCAGTCTGTCGACGTTGCTCCTGAGGGAGCTAGTTCTCGCAATCCCACCACCCCGGCCGTTGTCCTTGCCGGTCAGCAATCAGACTTCGATTTTGATGCATATGCAGAACTTACTTTCCTTAACGAGGATGCATTTCGGGCTTTCGGTCTGAAGATTCGTGCACCTGATGCTGCGGCTCAGATTGCGGCGGATGAAGAACAATTTTTAGATCGTTCGAAGTTGGGGATTGTGATGCTTGGGGATGTTTCTGAAACGTCCTGATATTTGGAAAGATGGCGTGTCTAAAATTTGACACTCAAATCTACCTGTTTCGGCAACTTTTGTTCAATGTTACCTTCGAAGGTTGTTATGTTCAAGTTTGTACATACTTGTTCTTTGCTAGCTCTGATGGGCCCATGTCCTTGCACTGTGTCATGCCCGGCGATGACTAAACGGTTGCAGTGCAGTCGCCTAATATGAGCTTTCGAACCTTGCTATCTGAAGTTAATCCATGTTCTCTCGATATATGAGCTACGGCTAAGATGTCTTGGCATTTGAGAAGGAACACATGTTATTGCAGCTGGACCGAATCCGGGGGAGCTATACCCAACTTCCAACTTGTCTAGATGAAAAGTGACATTTTACCCAAATGTATATATGTATAAATATATTTAGATACTTGGCAATCCCGGAGATGAAAGAGAGAATAATTTCATCATGACTTGATTGGTGGCTTGATGTGTTCCAGTGTTATAGTCGGAGTCTCTCCACATAATCTGAACTAGCCGAGGCCGGGGGGTGATCCCCGGTCACCGCGATCAGCGCCACGAATCAACCTCCCAAGTTCGTTCGCCCGACCTTAATTTCAACACATCTTGTCCACAGATCACTACAATTTACGAGATACGGAACGAAGAGATTAATTCTCTTTAACAACAACATGATCGGCGGCGCGAGGCGCTGGTTAAAGCGCAATCGCAAAGGTCTCGCGATTGGAGCTGGGGTGCTGGGTGCTGGCTATCTGGCCGGTCAATATGTCATTTCAAAGATCTCCGAGGCACGTGAGCGTATGAGCAGTGATCGTATCGCTAAAGAAAAGTGAGTCCTGGTCCAGGTTCCATCGCCCTGTCACGGGCACGCGAGCTTGCGGGCTCCATTCCTCAGGTCCGGCTAACAGTCTTCACTCCAGCCTTCGACGGCGATTCGAACAGAACCAAACCGATTGCACCTACACCATTATTGCGTTGTTACCCACAGCTACAGATAATATTGTCGATGCGCTCCCCGTGGAGGAACTGACAAAGGAGCTTCAGAAGAAGCGGGCGGAGAGGCTGGCACGGCTCAATGCGGGGGAAACTGCCGGCTCGGACATGAGCTCGGTCTCTCCAAGCTTGCCAGGGGATGATACGAAGAGTCTTTCAAGCTTCCAGAGCGAGGGTTATGTTCATACGAGCCAGCTGGGAGAGCCTGCCGACTCGGATAGTCAACCCCGCGTGAAACGAAACAAGACACAACTTTGGAACGAGGTGAAGATCACATGTATGCTCCACCGAGGACTGTATCAAATGGGTTCATTCGGCTAATTGTATATTTCCTGCAGCTGTCACTCGATCCTTCACCATGATCTACCTCCTCTCCCTTCTCAACATCTTCACACGGATTCAGCTCAATCTCCTCGGCCGCCGCAACTACCTCTCAAGTGTCATTTCTCTCGCCAATCCCCCAGCCGACTCGACTATCAGTCTCGAAGACCATGATTATGATCTCACTCAAACACTTGGAGATGATGTTGCGACCAATCGACGCTACCTTGCTTTTAGCTGGTGGCTGCTTCACCGTGGTTGGAAGACGCTGATGGAGCGGGTCCAGCCCGCTGTAGAGGAGACATTCGGTCCTCTGAACCCGCGTGAAGATATCAGCTTGTCCAAACTGTCGGAGTTGACTCTGCAAATTCGGAAGAAGATTGAGGGGAATACGGAAGAAGAGCGCCGGTAAGATACATATTCGTTCCTGATAACTGTTTGATTGGGTTTGCTGATGTTCCACAAACAGATCCAGGAAATGGCTATCCTGCTTGCTGCCGCCAACAGAAGATGAAGACCATGTCCTTCGTGAGTCTGGTGTTGAAGGAGTGACAGACCCCTCTTCATCAGAGACTGCTTCCAAGTTGCGCCTCCTCTTGGATGAGACCGCCGATCTTATAGACTCTCCGTCCTTCTCATTTGTCCTAACTCTCCTCCTCAACGAAGGATTCTCCACCCTTATTGATGTTAAATGTGCCAACGAGGCATTCAAAGCTTCTGCCTCGGCCCCGGAGACTGCACCACAGTCCTTTGACTCCATGGCCACCGTCGTTCCGCCCGTCGTTTCAGAGCGTAAAACCAAGCTAGCCAATCTCCTAGCTGTCTTGGCTCGCCAGGCACATGTTATCGGCCATGGCCCCATGGGTCCGAACGATTATCTCGAGGTGATGGACAAGAACGTTCGAGAGCTCGAGGCTTTTTCGGCAGTCATATATAGCTCGAATTTTGACCTCGAGCTTCTCGGCGCTAGTCGGCAACAAGAGACGTCGAAGGGTATGGATTCGATGGATATAAATTCTTCTGCTATGTTTTCCGAAGTAGTGGTCGATAGTGAGACCGAGACCGAGCCTATCGATCTGGCTCAGAGTGCCTCAGTTCTGGTTGATCACGATCAGCGAGTTTTTGATATTACCGAGGAAACCCCTGAGACCCCTGTGGCTCGGGAGGCAAATGCAAGCCCTGCTCAAGAGCCTGCAGCAGACTCTGCCTTTGAGCGTGCCTGGGGCAAGGCTGTTGATGATGGAAATATCGCGTCCGAGCCCGAAGTTCAAGAAGAGTCTTAAATTTTGAGGTTTTACACGATATTCATGAGGCCTTATCATATATTTCCTGTCAATACCCTTGTTTTGCATCTCCACTTACTATCTTAGTAATAAAGTAGACCTGGTGCTAATGAATGCTTGTTCATACAATCTATGTTAGTCCTGATTTCTTAAAGTGACTCCCGTAGACCTCGGGAGTATTGATAGGTGATCCCATGATTCTGAGATTTATAGTCTAACTGTTGAAATAGTCTAACTGTTGAAATAGTCTAACTGTTGAAATAGTCTAACTGTTGAAATAGTCTAACCGTTGAAATAGTCTAACTGTTGGACTAGCACGAGCATTAAATGCCTTGACATCATTTGCAGCCAGAATTCTGCCCACTCTCAATAGCACCGTCGACAAATCCCCTCCACCCATCCGCCCAGTCTGCACTCGCAAAAAGACTCTCTCATGGGGTTTCTGCAATTCTTGCACATACCGACCGAAACTATATGGTCCCCAGCAACACCATGTCCCTTTGGCAAAGAGATCGTTCATCCAGTCATGAGTGAGATATGCCTGAACCTCCACATCGCGTTTGATATTCTCTTGAAACTTCTTAATAATGTGACTGCTATCCTTTTTATCCATAAGGGTGACCATTGTAGCCAAAGCCAATAGCCCAGGTTCCTTGAGGGCCAGAGGGCTGGTTCCTGTTGTGGTCCGAAAAGGCGAAAAGAAAGGACGATCTCGGAGACTCATGACTTGTCGCACACCAACCCGGCTCTGTTGCAGCGAGTCGAAAATGAATCTTGGCACCCACATTGATATGTCCATAGGCAATGGCCTCATGTCGAAGAGGACTAAGAGGTGGATTGAAAATGATATCTTTCAAACAATTCCTGTCCATCATCAGTATTCATTCAATCACTCGACCAGTACACTTCCAGTGGAATAATCGATATGACAGCCTTTGCGTCGAATTTCCTCCCATCGTTAATTTGAATCCTCACCCCATTCTGCCCGTCCTCATTGCGCTCCACAACAGTATTCATGAGTATATCACCCTTGGAATCAGCCAAAACGCCCTCGCAGGGGTATCCATACCCCCATGTCCGATCCTTTTAGATTCCCGCTCTCTCAAGAATACCAGCCATATTGTGTCGTACTGGCTAAGCTCAGACCATACGGCTACGTTTATTATTACCGCCATCAAACGCCACAGGGGAGGGTATCCCTGTAGATGCTCCTGGCATTTGAACATTATGGTTTCTTCCAGGCGATTCAAAAATAGGCCTGTAGCAGGGTGAAAAAATGGAATCAAACAGAAAAACAAAAACATACAACAGTCAGGATTCGCATGTGGTCACCCACCATACTACTAACTAACCGGCGTGTGGCTTAAGTACGGCTGAGCGGACGGGAAGCCCTGTTCTCCACACCCTATGGTCGTATGTACTTGTCACCATCCCAATTTCAATCCTATATTAAGGTTTGATGAGAAGTGTCCAGCCACATGCGCTTGCATGTGAGTCCACACATGAGTAGGATGAGGAGCAAGTGCATAAGCAAACTTTGGATGCCTTCTTTTCATGGGGCATGATGGGTGGAATGTTGCTGTAGCTGGGAGGTAACGCATGGGTTCTAAATTCTGACGTCCTAAGATTGTTGGTACTTTTATAGTAATCTAGGTACATGTACCTAGATACCTAGATAGTGGTGTATGTCACCAGCAGCTCGCAGATCTTACCGAAATACAAGCAATGATTTGTATGTTTGTCGCTCTTTTCCCCTTAGAAGGGCATAGTCTGCGTCGGATTGATCCAGGGCTCCGAGCCTTGATCGGACGAAATTATTTCAGGATACTCTATAGTCACCCCTTAATAGATACCTTAGGTACTCAAGGACCTTAGTACTTTAGTAGTATTCCGAGTGTCTGATATACTCCGTATTGACTTGAATATATGTGATCGAGCCGGTAAGCCAAATCCAAAATATCCTTTGAGGCCGCTATCTACTCAGGAAAGACGGAGAGAAAATTTACTAGCAACGAATTCCTGATAATTCGGGTTGGTTGAATAATACAGAACTACAATAACTAATTACCGTCTCCATTGACGTGAATCTGGTGATCCCGGCTAGATCTTGCCCCACTTGGAGGGAAAATACGAATCAGCGTTGACTTTGACCTTCCGAACTTCACCCCTCCATCTCTCTACTTTTTTGCCTCAAAGCCATCATGGGTGTCCAGAGAAAAATTATTACCCGCGGTAGCGGCCCCTCGCCTGCTTCAGGTGACAAGGTTTCCATCCACTACACCGGCTGGCTCTATGATGCCAAGAAAGCCAGCAAGGGCTTCCAGGGCAAGCAGTAAGCTTTTGTCCCCCAGCTTGATGTGCTCCGATGACTAATCATGTCAACAGGTTTGATAGCTCCAGATCTCCTGGCCGTGGTCCTTTGAATGTCCAGATTGGTGTTGGTCAGGTTATTAAGGGTAAGTATTTTTATCTATTCTTTTAGATTCAAGCCTTTTATTAATGTCTTTTTAGGCTGGGATGAGGGTGTCATGGAGATGAGCGTGGGCGAGAAGTCCATCTTGACCATTACTCCGTGAGTAGTTCGCTTGTCGGAAACGTTGAAATTGGTTCATTGCTGACATTCGTTCATAGTGACTACGGTTACGGTGACAAGTAAGCTAATGCATGACAGGTTTCTCGATGATGTGCTAACAGAGTATTCTAAGGGCTTCTGGCAAGATCCCTGCGGGCTCTACTCTCATCTTGTAAGTCTTGCGCATATAGCAGCAGTCCCCTGGAACTAACGCTTGGTAGTGAGGTTGAGCTCCTGAAGATCAACTAGATTAGCAGTTCAGAGTAGAGAAGCTCAATTTACTTTTTCTCGTAATTTTTTTTCCTGTGAAGAAATATAGCATTCTTCGTAAGCTTTACATATTTAGAAAGAATATTCCGATCATTTGCTATCCAGTAATTGCGTACTCACACTCACCATCAGCACCAATATTTTGGCCATGAAACTGGTCATCACTTCTTTTTCCTTTACTATCTTTTCGGATTTTCATCTAAGTATGAGAGGACTTCTTGGACCTCGTCAATCGGGGTATTTGACCGAGAACGCCACGCAATACAACAAGATGTGAGCGGGGACAACTTTCCGAGAAGCAACTCTGCGGAAAGATTAAATTTGACCCGCCGAATGCTCTGGTCGCAATACGGATATGCGTACAATCATTGGCATTGGAATGTTCTGGAGTCTGCGGGCAACTCTACTTTAACTCACTTGATAGGTTTCTTGTGCCCATCAAAGAAGACGATATTATTATCTACAGAGTCCTTGGAAGAGCAGGAAGCTGAGCATTCTGTGAAATTTACCTCATTTGTCTCCTAATATGTATTATGCAAATTTTACGTTGGGTTATCAAGACTTTTCTGTTCAAAATATGGTGATGTATTAATCTGCAGCTCTCTAAGGTTGAATTACATTTCTCCATCGTGCGGGTGCTACGCTCGTTATGCTCGTTGTAAACGAGGGTTTCATTCTGTCTCCACCGCCTTTCCGGCAACGATGATTTCCTTTGCCTTCAAACTGCTGCTTTCAAGGGTGGCCTTCTCTTCATCCTTGCTTTCGTTGTTCAGTTCGTCGTTCCTACTGTGCTCAATAGGGGTGTGGCTATTAACGACCAACCACGTTGGCACAACGGCAAGACCTGTGCCAGAGTACGCTTTAGTATAAAAGCAGGGAAACTCAAAGAAATTTACGAACCTAGCAAGATTGTGTTGACTGCAAGAGGAACTCTTCCTCCATACCAATCCCGAGTGTTGAGTCCGAAGGACACGGCTTGAGCAAAGCTCTCTTGGCCACGCAGGATACCAGAAAGACGAGCTGAAACTTGTTAGTTGATCCGTTGAGCAGCTATACCACAGTGAACATACATAGTTCCGAGATGTTGTCGGTCATTGTTGAGAGCAGGTAGTAAAGCCAATTTTGCAAGGATTGTTGAGAGAATTCTATATTCAAAGCTTTAGAGACAGTAGATCAATGATGGAATGCCAGAAAATACTCACGCCAAAGAATAATCACGAACATGCCCTTGACGTAGCCTTTGTCTGCCCAATCGAGTGAAGGTGGGTTTGCCGTGTATTGCTCTTGCACGACCCAGCCATACACCCAGGCAATGATGTGAAGCACAATCACATAGTAGAAACTATGGGTATCGTTAGATGGGTCCTTTGCGTCATATAGAGGTCCCTTACCTGTAGGTGATTCTAGCCTTGACCGGCATCTTTTGATAATCCAAGAATCTGCTGATAATCCAAGAAGAGAGAAGACCGGCAATGTAAGCTAGATAGCGAACGTCAGATTCTACTCTGAAAATTCTGGCTTAATGTGGCTTGTAGAACATACAGACCAGTCCAATCAAGGCACGTGCGCGAACTCCGAAGTAATAAGTCTCAAAGTCTGGAGTGTCGATCAGCCTTTATCCTTAATTTGGATAGAATAAGGATAACTCACTGCCGGTGTACTGGTTAAAGTAGGCAGCCCAGAAGACAGGCAACAAGAGAAGGAGCTGAATAGATTAGCTTGATAAAGCCGATGGAAGGCATTGATGAACTGACATCCTTGCGACGAGTAACCTTCCAGAGCTCAACCATTTCAGCTCGCCATGAGTCCTGCTTGACGACTTTCACGACACTGCCATCGCTACGCTGGACCTTCTCAGGCCGAGTGAGAAAAATTGCAAAAGGGATAGCAAGACATTGCAAGGAGACAAAGATCAGGTAGGTTTCTATACTTGTGATAAGCATAAATCTTCAAAGTTAACCGTTCAGACTTACCAGATCCGACTTTTCCTTTCTTCTTGAAAACAGCAGAGCTAATTTATCATCAGTAAAGCCCTTGATCGTCGTATTAAATTGAAACCTACTGGTTGAGTCCAAGCACAATAGCACTGCCAACAAGAGGACCACCTGTTCGGAACCAAAGCCAAATGCTATTCGGGGTTAGAGATATTCTTCCCTTTGAATGGCCATTCTGTTGGGTAAACTTACTTCATATATTGGCCTCTCTTGGCAGGCTCAGGGTAGCCAAGTGCCACGGCACCTTCAGAGGCCCAGAAAAGACCCGCACTATTCTTGTCAGCAAACTATGTTCCATCTCAAGTATATCTCTTCGATACTCACGATAGACCACAGGCGACTGCACCAACTAGCACAAACCAAACATTTCCCTGTGATATAGTCAGCGTCTATTCCCACCAAAGAGAGCAAGAGATATTCACATATCGGTTGTTGGTATACAACGCAGCCCTATCAAATATGTCAGCTCATGTATCTACCAGGAGACTTTCCATAGTCATACGAGTAGATGGGATATCCAACTGCACCAAGAAGTAAAGTCCAGTTCATTCCAATCCGATTCGCAATTGGTCCACCAAAGATACACAGAAATCCCACTAACCAACAATTAGCATATCGTACTCAGCTCAAGTCCAAACTGCACTTACTAAGACCGAAAACCAGGGCATTGGCCGCGTTAATCAGGAATGGTGATTCCGCACCACCAGCACCCAAAGAATTCATCGCATTCCATAATCCCGGCGCCAAAAATCCCACACCGCCAATAATAAAGGCATTGAAAAGAGTCGTGCGGTACCAAATCCGTTTTTCACGTTGGATTGGAGTATCATCGGAGGATGCCGAGACCGAGATGGGTTCAGCCATTTCGAAGAATCTAAACGTACAGAAGTCGAAAAAGAGTAGTTTGAAGAATAGTTGCAAGATCAACGATGTGTGCTGGCTTTAAACTTTTATATCTGAAATTTTCACCATTACCCCTTGATCACTTTCATGACAAATGGCGTGCTTGTGCACTGCAGTAAACTATAGCGTCTGTCAAACCGTACAAACTGGGATCCACTTTCCAAGGTTCCAAGGTTGGACCCGCAGATTAAGGTATTTCAGCCAATCAGATCAAGCTTTACGTACGAGGTTTTCCTGGACCCTTGTCCTTAATCTCTTTTAGGTCTTAGCGTGCTTTTTCTCTCAGTCTTGGAAAGACTTGGATTTTCGGGGGCGTTTTGGCTTTGGGCCGAGAATCTTCATAGGACTTTATCGGCTCGTTTTTATCGGCCATTGGAGGAATGAATTATTGCCAAATTGGGTGTTTTCGTGAGCCGCTTTTCGGCCATGGTCGAGCTGAACCGAAATATGCGGATTTTTCTGCTTAGTGCAATGCTTTGTTTTGTTCGTGCCATTCAAAATGTTCGTTTTGTGCTGGATTAACAAGCGTAGATGAGTATCATATCTCTATTTTTTAAGCCGATTAAGGTTGCTACAGTTTCATTAATACGCCAGAGCAGGAAGAATCACTTTAAAGTGAGAGTGATAAGAGACTATATTAGCTTTTTATCTTGATCTTAATGGCTACCATACTTGACAAACACACAAATTGCGCATTATTAACGCCGTTGAAAACCTTAAATATGGCCTTGCTGCCTTCGAGGCCGTTGCGCTGACAATTTGAACCTTTGAACCTTCAAAATCCGCCCTCGCTATCTCTGAGTCCCGATTGTTGACGATACAAAACTTCTTAACACCCACTATACGCTGCGGTACCCATTGCAAATCATCTATAATACTCTGTGGCTCATGCTCGTGGCCTTGATGACAATGGATAAATTGGAGTTAGGATCGGTAATCGCGTCTCCCACAATTTGCATAATAGCAGCCTCCGCATCAAGTCGAAAGCTATTGATGCGAGTATAAAACACATTGACACCCCAGTCGACACGGAAACCAACTAGGGCGCCATTTCTTTGGGTTCGCCTGTGCCACGGAAGTCTGCTACTGGGTGCTTTGGGTCTGCTGCTGATCTGCTCTCGAATTATCTGATAACTTGGTTCTACCCTCCTGATTGAGCTCAGCGCCATTTTGAAAAGACCTTGTAAGCGGGTGTGCAGAGAATGCTGTATTTGTTCGTGGCACTTCAACAATTTACCAGCGGAACTACAAATAGCCGACGGCTTCCCAGTGCAAGCCAAACATTACAAGGGAGGCTGTGTCTGGCCTTTGGTGGTTTGGTGCTGCGGTGATGGGGGCTAGATTTGTTTTGGTTGGGATGAGAGATAGGGCTTAATTTACATACGACAATGAGATACACCAATGGATGCGGCTGGTACATTGATCTTATGCTTCATAGTTGTGTCTGGACTACATAAGAGCTCGATGATCCTTGGGTATTCCTGAGATCGGTAGATACATAGTGATTACTACGAACTTTCTAGGCCTTGTTAGTATACAGCTCTACTACGAGATAATCTTGAGTCTAAAGACTTTTCAAGTCACTAAATGAATGAAAACGTATCCAAAAACGAAACATTTTATTGCAAAGACTGGTCAACCTTCGCCCGCGCCCCGAACCAATACCTTTGTTTTCCATGCCCCAAGTGTAAGGTTTACTCCGTGCCAGTAATTCTTTCTTCACTGGTGAATCGATGCACTTGAAAAAAAAAAGTTTAGGTCAAGAGTGGGTAGCCACTGCTGTCTAGATAAATTTCGGCTCCGGTGTCAACATCTGGCACCGATTAGGGATATTCTCAAAGGCGTAATGCAGAAGTCACTTACTTCTCGAAGCATCTCACCAGCCCTAGTTTTCGCCATCAAAGTAGCCTCTGGCCGCAGCAACTGCAAGGGCTGCAAAGTGGTAGACTCGATCACTGTTGAGACCGCCGTGATCCCGATCGACACATTCGTTCAAGTACTGTGCAATATTATTGCCATATTTTTCATCCACACTTTGGACAATACCGAAGAAGTTTTCTTTGTCGTAATTTCCGCCGTATCCGACGTCTGGACACTCTGCGATTCTACCATCTGTAAAGGCCGTCGTGGCGCATTCTTTTAGCTGTTTGGGATCGGCCATTCTGGTTTGAATGAGAAAACATGAAGAGAATTGAATGTGTCTTAGGCGCGGATGAAATAGTTGAGTAATTATGACGTATAGACTGGTGTGATGCTCACCAGGCTGCATGCAGCACTCTCTGCCGCCTCTCAGCTGATATAGCGAACCTAAGATCCCCGCCTAAACTAAGCTACGTGGGGTTCTTATGCATTGTATGCTGGTGACAAGTGATGTTTATCTTCTATAGTATAAAATACCTGCATGCTGATTTCTTGGTTCCAATGGGTTTTAATAACAACTTTTTTAATGTGCAGGAGTGGATAAAACATACTATGCAGGCCAGGCGGTGGTCTGAACATACCGCCACTATGAATTGTTGTCGAAAATCTGGAATAATCTAGAATTTCGCAACGCTTGAATGGGCTGCTGTGTAAGTCATGATACATAAATATATCAAGCCCACCGAGGTGGCTGGCTGATGGTACCCATCCAAACCTTCAACCTTGCAGTTGCCTTACCCCTAGGTGGACATGTTTGCCTCCAAGTTGTTTGGACCCTCTGTTGATCATCATGCAAGATCCAATTGTGGTCTCAGTATGTTTTTTCTCTACGGAGAGCCTACTACAAAGAGAAATTCTCACATTCGACGCTGTTACGTCGACCTATCTCGTATATATCTTTGCAGCCAGTTATTGGGTGTCATGGAGATGTGTTCGCTACCGATCTCAACTACTCAAGATGGCAGCTGAACTGTTCAATGGTATGTCGACCCCTCTTGTGTAAATCACTTTCATATTGATACTAGACTCGGCTGAAAAGAGCTCGGCATTATTATAAAAAGGTCAGCAATACTCTCCTGAACATTTTCCATGTCCAAAAATCGGGCATTTGGTCGGTATTCTGTTACCAAGCATTGCTTTCTTGAATCATTCTCACTATATCTGACGGTACCTCTGAAGGCCAAACCACTAGAGTCCAAACCACTAGAGGCTCAACCCAATCAGCTCCTGGGGCTCTTCAAGTCACCCTTCACAAGTACTACAAAGATGATAAAGCATCCAATCATTTAAATCATTCAAGACCCCCAAAGAGCATCTGGAAGACACCTTGAAAACTTTTCGAGGGTCTCTTATAATGAGATAAGTATCTCCAATATTCGAGTAACAGCTCTGTACGACTTGTTTGCCACGACCCATGCTGCAGAACTCCCCGATTGCTGTACCGTCCTGTTGCTGATGGTATCAGCGAGGCCGAGTCTTGGCTATCTTCTTTTCAGTGTTTCGCAACCTTGGAACACGTCGTTGCGAATCAGGGCTTACATGGCACTGGAGATGTCTCCTGAAATAATCAAGGCTTCAAAGTAACCCGCCCCATCTTCACAGGCAATGTGAACTAGGCGAATCTACCGAGCGGGCGCAGTCCCTGGAACAATTGCCAAGAATCATTCAGTCCCTCCCATTTAGCATGGGCAGAATCACATGCATATTGATTAAATCCATGGAAAAGACCGAATGGAATCTAAAACCACGTGGCTCTCGACACACTTAACATGGATGGATCGCTTATAAGAGCTAACCTTAGCTCTGACTTGTATGCTCTTACCTTGAGCAGTTCTCAAGTGAGATCCAACGCTTGTTCTTGTGGGGGGTTGAACACTGGGTCTTCAGCCAATGGTGTCAAATAGGCCGTTCGCTCTCCAAGTGGAATTGGTCGGTCGCAGAAACCTCGTTGAGCTTGTCTATTGCTGCCTCTGAAAAATGAAAAAGAGATTAGGGGAAATGTGCAGAAGTATGTAAAGTAGAGGAGGGAAGTCAGGAAATCGTCTGCAAGGGTAATAAGTCTAGACAAGCAAAAGCAGATACGGGTAGGTACATTTGCCATATTCGTGTGAATGATCCATTAGTAAAAAAATGAGCAAATATCTACCCTGTGAATTGAGTAGCAAGACTGTCATATACATTCAACACTATAGTAATTAGTATAGGTCAAGGAATGGCTCTGCGGGTGTCATCGGCAATGTTAGTAAGCTGAGACATTCCCCGGTCTAGACCCAAGCCAATACGGAACACACACATGCGCCTACATGCGCCTCATTTAAGGGGGATTACAGTTTCAAAATTAATTTCTGGTAAATTGCAGGCCATTATGTGAGCAGATTAATGGTAGTCATATTGATTATTCGTCACATCGGAACACAAGTACAATCGTTTCAACCAGATGAAGGGAACATCCAGGTTTTGTATAGAATTATTACAGTTCGAACATTCACCTCACAGGGCAAGAGCGATACCAAGAATACCTGCAGCGCCTGCAAGGCTCATGGCAAGACCGGCAGTAGCAGCGGGAGCACCAGCAGTAGAGGTACTGGTCCCGGTAGAAGTACTGACCGCCGCTGAAGAAGCACCGGTAGTGGTATCGGAAGAAGATCCGGTAGAAGATTCAGTAGAAGATCCAGTGGAGGATCCAGTAGAAGATCCAGTGGAGCTTGTGCTTGTGCCAGTGCTGGTTATTGTGCTGAGAGGAGTAGAAGAACCGGAAGTGATGGGTGAGACGGTGCCGTAGATGGTGTAGTCATCGGTGGCCGACGCGGCAGAATTCTCACTGTTATATTCGGAGATCTCCACCTGGATCGCGGAAGTGAAGTATGTCTCGACAGCGGAGGGGAGACTGCTCACCCAGGCAGGGTAATTACCGTCCTGCATCGCGCTGAGTTCGGATTGTTGGAATGCCGAGTTGGTGTAAAACTCGTCGAGCCAGGTTGTGGGAATGGCAGTCATTAGAACCGATTCGATAGAGGAGGGGACCTCGTCGGTGTCAATTTCAGTAGCTTGGGGCTTAGGGGCAGCAATGGCCGCACTAGCGAAAAGAAGGGTAACAAGAGTCTTGTACTGCATTGTGGATGTGCTTCAAAGTCTGATTGTTTGGTGGGGGAAAAGGGAAAGTAGGGAAAGTCCAAGGGCTTATATTAACGCCTCTTCGGTAGCCTTGCGACTTCTTTGCGCCTAAAAATGGATCGCAATTTTGATCAAGGCTGAGCATAAAGAAAAGGGCTCAAGCTAAGACAAAAATAGCGAATATCCAATCAGAGATGTCTCTTGAGTGAATTGACCCACGGCTTGGGACTTAAAAGGGAAAGGCGCAGGTCACAGCCAAGACCAAACCAAACTATTCGAAGCTTTAGTGCTTATTGTCCCCTGTCCTAGTCCGATGATCCCCGAGGCTTTACTCCATAAATTAGACCCTTCCATGGAATAATGTCACCTTAAACAAGTACTGGTAGCTACCTCTTAAACTGGTCGGAACTTGCGGAAGTGTCGGCTTCACCATAAACTTACTTAAACATCATGTACCCCAGACTGAAATTACGAGCAATTTTTCTTGATTCCCTGCTATTGGACCCTGCATAATGTGTTATGACATCATTTTCTGGGGTAAAGACCAGAAAAGGCTAAATGAGCCGGCTTCAGTTTAACTTGAATGGTTTCCATTGGGTTAATGACACTGTTTTTGTTCTTGTTGGTTCGCTATCCAAGGTTTTCTCACTCACGACGCGTAGGCACTTCACAGGCTTTCTGTGCTGGCCAACCTCTACCCAATGAGCGACATTGTAGATTATCAAACGTTGACGTTGACCCTCCATTACATGCCGATTACCCCGCCAATAGCCTTGAACGAACACTAAACTGCCACATGGATTGCGTAAGCTTATTTGGCATTCCTGAGAAATTGCCACACAGGCAGCAGTCTATGCAATATGCGGTGCAAATGCAACTTCTCGAAAGATGGCAGAGACCCTGCATCATTTGGTCATATGCTACTTGGACCGAGCGGACTGGCCGTAAGAGTTGCTTACCAATAATACACCTGGGCTGCTGGGCATCACGCCATTACAAGGTTGGGTGCCGCAAGGCTCGAACATACTTTTTAATCCTACAAATAAACGCGGGTTTACTTTTTGCTTGATTTGTCTTTGTAAAGGTATTAAAAATAGGCTGTGATTCGAAGTGCGCACGGGGCTTCGAGTGCGATCAGTCTCTATAACATTGCATCTGAGAGACGGCATGCGCAGTCAATGCTTCCTCACTACATATATGCCAAGCTCTTTGTACTGAACTGACGATATTTCCCTGCGGCCTGCACTCGAAATTTCTTCCCGAAGTAAATGAAGATAAAGTTTCCGAGAAGAACAACTGTGGAAATAAGACCAAACGTAACATAAAACCACGTCAACCCGACGCGATCCACCCAGGGCTGCAGGGCAAAAACGAAGATGGTGGAGATAAGATTGCGAATAAATGTCACTCCAACGATAGAATCCGCAATAATCTAATATGAAATTCATTAGTCGCTTCCTTCAACATCGGGAGGGATTCTTACGTCAGTATATGAGTCGGTCAGATAGGTCAATGCGGAGCTGCAAGCCGGCACGACTCCAAATCCAACGAGCCCAAGACCAAACGCAGGTAAAAGCCAATGCGATCCATTGTTCAATCCAATTCCAAACATGAACAGACCTGCCGGGACAAAGGGCGTGAAGATCAACGAAAGCCAAAGGCGCATCTCGGGCTCGAAGATTCCATTTTTTCTTTTGGCTAGGTGTATAGCAATGTAATCGCTCAGTGGTCCACAGATCAGCGTTCCTATGCTCGTGCCTAAAAATGGGGGAATTCCCATTAAGCCAATTTGGGCGGAGCCAAAATTGTAAGGCGGTAGTGTCATGACAGATGAAAGAGTAGTGACCGGGACAGTCGTGCAGGCAGTCATGATTCCATATTCGACAGCCATAAAGAATACTGCTGGGATACTGGAGAGAATCAGGAAAGGCTGATAGCTGTGTTTTAGCAATTGGCCAAATGGCATGGGCGACTTAGACCATAAAGCTAGCTTTTGCAGGTACGTCTTTCGAGGGATTGACTCGTCAATATGGACATCTTCGGCTCGAATTGCCGCGGCATGGGAAGTTGGAGTCTCTTCCACCGCAGATTCCTCAATTGTCTCCTTTTTATTCACCAGTGCTTCGGGTGTCAGTTTGTCGGAAACAGGAACCCCGTTGATAGATTGATCACTGAACATCGTCTCCTCGTAGAGAAAAACGAAAGCGACCAGCCCAGCACCAAAGAAAATCACCATCCACCACCAGACCCAACGCCAGCCTTGAGATAGAGTGATATATCCTCCGGCAAGAGGGGATAATGATGTTCCAATTGTCATGACCCAGACGTAAATGGTATTCATGAGACCTCTTTCGTGAACGAAGTAGACATCTGCAACAGTCATTTGGACGAGGACCTCTGCCAGGGCTCCGACAATGCAGCTTAGAACGTTGACTAGCATCAAGTCTGCCACTGTTTGCATTTTGGCAGACCAGATACTGATTCCACACTGGACCGCAGTACTCAGGACGTAAATTGGTCGTCGCCCGAATTTCAAAGCGAAGGGAATCAGTATCACTCCACCGATGCATAATGCCCCACATCCTGCGGCATAGCTGTCATTCAGCAGTGCGTAGCTAAACCCTAGTTCGAGGTTGACCGGTCCCCATGTTACCGTTGCTACATCAATCCTGTATGGTCTTAGTATATCGCAGTAAATCAAACGGGTGAACCCACAGTGCAAAAACCATCATCACATAGTAAGAAACTAGAGCAAAGTTCAAATTCTTTCGCCATTGCGGCCAATTCTTTAAGAAGGAATCAGTCATGTAAATTGAGTATCGATGGATGGGGTACCCACCAGAGGGTCATTAGGATCGTTGCTGGGCTTTGGTTCTAGCAGCACATCTGATGCCTGATTTGATTGCGAGAGCTCTATTATGAGATTTTTCCAGTTAGTGCGTGGGCCTCTCATTGCGAACATATGTGGCATTTTCAATCACCTTCGAGTCGAACAGTTCCTGGAGGCCACTCAGGGTCTATGGTTTGATGATCGATAGACATTGGCTCGTATTGTGAAAAGCGACTTCTTTCGGAATCTACAAGTGATTGGGAGCTGAAAGGCTAAATGGTGGTGCTTGAGATGGGAATAACCCCTTATCTTATGCCATTTCCTCACATATATATTCGGCATCACCCTTGGACGTCGGTTAGCATAAATCTTATCATCGTCGGTTACGAACGTTGATATGCGGATTGCAGCCATTCACAATCAACCCGGGGCTGGACAAAGAAATAAGACTTTTCTTAAAGGGGAAGTTTCAAGCAATAGCCAATGATAAAACAGATTCTCTTTTAGCTTATCATCTGCCGTTTGACTTGATATGCGGGGAATTGACTTGCGATAAGCGAAATTGAGATCACGATATTGGCTACGCGTAGACACTGAATTTTCGGCAATTGTGTAGGACTCAAAGAGCTCAGTCACCAATCAATCTCTGTAATCTTTGTAAAGGGAGACCAGAGAAAGTTAATATTACGCAATCAATTCCAACTGATAACATTTGCAACCATTTTGACCATCCACTTCCCCGGAACCCACCCAAAACTGACCAATGGCGTCAAATTGCGCCGCCAAGATCATGCGGACTTCACCTGCGACCGATGAACATCTCCATCAGCCGACAACTGCTGATAAACATTTCCCCAAATCCCTCCTTTATATCCCCAAGTTCACAAGAGGAAACTTCTAGAGATTTGAACTTTCGACCCCTTCCGACCTACCCGTATCTCATTAAATAACATCCAAGGCTGCCGAATAGCTGTCAACTCTTCTTCAAGTTCACATATTTTGACCATTTCTAATCATGACTACTACTATCTTTCGCAATGGCCGAATCTTCGTGCCAACATCAGGCGAAGAGAATGAATTCGCTGATACAATGATCATCGAGAATGATCGAATTTCCTACGTCGGCTCTCTCGAAAACGCCCAAGTCCCCGCAGATGCAGCGGTGGTCGATTTGGAGAACCGCGTCGTGGTCCCCAGCTTCATTGATAGCCACGTGCACATCCTGCAGTACGGTCATTCACTGCAAAAAGTCAATCTCATCGCTTGTACTTCGCTGGACCAGATCCGAGATACCATCAAGTCATACGCCGAGTCTAACCCATCTGTGCCGCGAATTCTCTGCCGTGGGTGGATTCAAGCTTCTACCGATGGAGTTGCCTTGGCGAGCATGCTGGATGATTTGGATTCCCGGCCTATCTATATCGACTCGTTCGATCTCCACTCCATGTGGTGTAATTCTGCTGGACTTGAGGAAATGGGCGCTCACACTGCCCCGGATCTTCCCGGGGGCACTATCCATCGAAATGAGGCTGGGAAGGCATCGGGTCTGCTGGATGAGTCTGCTCTGATGAACCTTGCCTGGCCACATTTAGAAAGCCTCTATTCGAAAGAGGATAATTTGAGCGCGTTGGATGTGGCTATTTCTACATATACAGCGGCTGGATATACGGGGATCGTCGATATGGCCATGGATGAAGGTGCCTGGGAGATCCTGAATGAATATCGCCGCGATAAGAACATCCCCTTCCACATTGGTGTTCACTGGCTTGTCCCGTTCTCTGATGATCAGGAAGCCAACTTCCGCTACGTGGATCGAGCGATCGAACTACGAAAGCAGTTCCCCGATCCCAGCTTCACCGTTCTTGGAATCAAGCTGATCTGTGATGGTGTGGTTGATGGATGCACGGCTGCTCTTCTCCAGCCATACACAGGAAAATCGGATCCAGTGGAGCCAATATGGCCAGCTGACCTGCTGCAGGGTGTCGTCCAACGTGCCGATTCTGCCGGTCTCCAATGTGCTATCCATGCAATCGGTGACAAGGCTATTCACCAAGCAATCAACGTGTTATCACAAGTCGGCACTCCGGGCCGGAGACACAGAATCGAACATCTCGAACTAAGCACATCCGAGGACGCGAAGCGACTTGGCCAGTTGGGTATCACCGCATCTATCCAACCTGTACATTCCGATCCAGCTCTTTTCAAAGCCTGGCCTGGTCTTGTTGGTCCGCATCGGTGCAAGCGAGCGTTTGCCTATAAGGATTTCTTGGATGGTGGTGCCCCCATTGCTATTGGAACTGATGCACCCACTGCGCGACACTTTCCTTTTCCGAATCTTTATAATGCTACTACCAGACGTTCGGCGCTTGAGCCGGAGTCTACTGATACAGTCAACTCGCATTTCGGTATTAGTTTGGCTCAAGCGGCTACCGCTGCTACGACTGGTGCGGCGTATGCACGCTTCGCGAACTCGTGGACTGGGAGCTTAAAGGAGGGTTTGAAGGCGGATTTCCTTGTTGTGGATATGCAGTGGAACCCGGAAACACTTCTTGAGGCAAAGGTGTGCCAGACGTGGTATCTGGGTAAGAAGATTTATGACTCGCGGGAGAAGGAATAATCGGGAACAAACCATTTTACCACTTGATATCAGCAGAATCATTATCAAAATGAATGTACCAGTCCGTAATACACGGAAGCACCCGTAGATCTGAAATCGGCACGATCGATCGTTCTTTCCCCAATCTGGTGTGTTCCTCTAGTTCGTTAGCCCCAAACCTTAACTGGCTCCCCAGGAAACTAATATATAGCGATTTCTATGAGATGAATCACACCTCAGTTCTGACTATTGTGGCTGCATTCCGCAGATTTTCTCACTGCTGTTTCCGCGAATTTGACTTGAATAGTTATCTATCGGTGCCTTCTGATTCAGGCTACAAGATGAACATCACCATGACATCACCGAAATCGCCTACAGAACGCTCATCTGTCAAATATTCTCAATCTCATTTCTCATTTTATACACTCAAGATACAAAAAAAAGCTGCACAGCAAATTCCCCTACTTATCGGTCCACCAGATTGCCATTACTCATTTTTGCACAATCATCATTCCTCGGGCTTGCGAGGCTCATCATACTGAGTACCCCGATCCGAAGAGCGACGAGAAGAGCTCACATCTGCTATCTCAGTCAGACCATTTCATCTAGTCAAGGTAGAGCGTAGTCAATAGGAAAAATTAAGGATAATGCTATGCGTACTTTTATCGATCGAGTGTTGTTCAGAGGTATGCTCCGTTAGATCATGAAGATCTTCAAGGGCATGTTGGTGAGCGAGCTCCGCGCATGTCGATCGAGGAGATCTATTAGATACTAGTTAGAATGATTGTTGTATCTTGACCGTTTGTCTACGCACGGTGCAACATTTCGGTCCATGATCACGTCCAGATCACTCATTTTGGGCTCTTTGGGAGTTCTCTGGCCATATTTGTACATGGTTTCTGGGTCGAGGGGATTTGCGTCGATGGATGAGGTGACCATGATGTGGTTGCAGAACTTCAGTTATCAGATGACTCGAATTTGAATAGTAGATGTGAAGTATTTCAGAGTTAATTAAACGGAAGAGTCAAATTAGAGACCTCGGGAGGTGACAGATATTTAACCAAGGTCTAGTGCGGGGAGAGAAGCTTTGTGAAACGTTGGTTGGTGAGTGGCGACCTATGATACAAACACTATCGACGACTAATAGATATTTCTTTGAATGGACTGGTATCTGTTATTCTATGACGGGGTAAATTTACTCTGATCATTTCCTTTCAAAAATTGGTATGTATTTTCTTCTCGTGTTTACACTTTTGACCCGCAGATACCTTTCTCTGAAGTCTTTGCGGCGGTAATGAAGTTTGCCATCAATGGCGAACGAGTGTTCTCGGCAAAGACATCAGAATTGGGTTACGAATCCAAATACGTTCCAATCATAATTTGCCTCAAGCCCCATATTATTCGTTCCATTCATTTCTGATATTAAAAATTCCCCTCGACATGAGGCGATCCCTAGTCAAAGCTTGCAATGCATATCCGGGTTCTTCTTCCCTGTCAGCGCCGGGCACCTGCATCTAGACAATATATTCATCGGGGCTCAAGTGCTAATCTCCGTACTGCATACATGAATAAAACCGAATTTGAAATAGCGAGGTAGTCTTTCGGCAGAGTCTTGTGTCAACAAACCCATACCGACATATATATTCACTAAGCGTCCAGGTATACACGCCGAGATTTCGCCACTGGATTTTTCCAAGGCATAATCTGGTCCCAGATTCATGAAGCATTACTCACGAGATATCAGCCTCGATGATACGCTTGTCATTGATGGCAAAAGCTAGACTTGGCCATTCCTGAGAGTGAATGATCCAAAGTTGCTGTCCAATGATGCTGTAGGTGTTTTTTAAATGTCGATGCCTCACGGCATTCGAACTTGGTCCATTTCTCAATTTATTGCTGTAATGCAGATGTAGACAAAGACATCTGGACCTAGCACAGATGATTTTTAACGTCTTTTGGCAATATTATATGAAATTCCACCACTTAGTATCAGCTAAGGGAAATGCCCGATTCTGTTTTATATTCCAAGATTGCGCCTGCAATTTTCGGCGTTCGTGTTCTGGAAATATATGTCGCGGATCTGCGTTGAAAGAGTATCTGGAGTGAACATTGAGTACTTCAAAGTTCTAGATCAGGGTAAAAATAGCGGTGAACATCCGTGAACTGCATCCGACATCTAGAAACTTCGATATTAGGAGAATGACCTCGGCGGGCCTTAATCTGCGCGGATCACTTTGCCTAAACCAGTTTGAGTTCATCTTGCGCAAATGGGCTCTCGGCAACGCAGCCGAACAGCGATATCGAACAACGGGTAGTTAAGCTTAGATAAGGGATCGAGCTCATTTTCGGAAGATGGGTCAATCTATTATCAACCTACTGGAAACTCCAAAGTCAGGATATCTGCAAAAACCGTCATTCAATATGTCAACAATCGATACTATTAAATATCGTGTGGGGGTTACCTAATTAGCAAATGCATTCACTGGATGAAAGTCCCATTCAGGGCCCATCCGCACTAGTCCCAAAATGGTTATTGTCTGGAGAAGGTGGATTCGTATCCAAGAAAATAGTGTTGCAAGCAAAAACGAAAATTTTTCTTTCTTATATTTAAAGTACTGCGCTGTCTAATCTTGTCTCTGTTGAATCTGAATCTGCGTGGACTGTTTTCTTCGTGCTAGATATATCGAAGTCAGTCTCCGAAACGGGGAAGTGAAGTCATTTGCAACGACCGGATTGGGAACCCGTGGCGAATAAACATACATCGAAGCACCAGGAGGTCTGTGTGACTTATCCGCCAAAATATGGTCTTCACTCGTGGAGATGTATCTGGCGAGGTTGATGAGACAATAGGTATTGTTCATTTTCTTTTTTTTCCCCAAGTATCGACCGCTCGGAACTAATGTATCCAAGATCATAATGAAGCTGCCAGCGATATCGAAGTGGTTACCTGGGATGGACCTAAAGATCCTGGGAATCCGTATAACTGGTCCCTTCGCCAGAAGTGGACGTTGACGTACCTGGCAAGCTTCACAACCTTTATCACCATGATGAACGGTACGATCATCACCGTCGCCCATGCAGCCATCAACGAGGAATTTGGGATCTCAGATGCCTCGTTTCCCAACTCATACTGGCCTGTGTCATCTTGGGCCATCGGCGGAGGATGCTTTTCTCTCCTAGTCCTTCCGCTAATGGAGGATTTCGGCGTGAGATGGGTATTCCTTTCGACCTGGGCAATCTTCATCTGCTTCGTGATTCCACAAGCGGTGGCGCAGAACTTCGCCACGTTGATCGTGACCAGATTTTTTGCTGGTGGCTGCGTTGCTATTCTTGCGAACACCTCTGCGACTGTTATTGGGAATCTCTGGGACACCGAGAAATCACGCAATATTCCTGTCAGTTTGTATATTGTGACGTATCTTGTCGGGGCTAGCATTGGTCCTGTCATTGGCGCTCCGATCTTCCAGTTCCTTTCCTGGAGGTGGATTGGATACCTCCAAATCATCTGGTACGGAGCCTTACTCCCGGTATACTTTTTCATGTTCAAGGAGTGTCGCGGGATCGCCATTCTGGGGCAGCGTGCGAAGGCGTTGCGGCGAGAGGGGCGGATGGCATATACCCAACATGAGATCGATAGTGCAGGAACATCACTGCTGAGGATTGTGGCGAAGAGTGCGGCAAGGCCGCTGATTATGTACTTTACGGAGTCTGTCGTCTTCTTCTCGGGGATGTGGTCTGCGTTCACGGTGGGGACACTCTATCTGTTCACACAGTCAGTTGAGCAGGTGTTTTCGGGGCTTTATGGATGGTCTCCCTCACAGGCTGGATATTTGCAAGCTGCCATCGTTATTGGAGAGTGTATTGGATGGGTAGGGACGCTATATTCGGGGAGATTGTATTTCAACTCAGCCTCAAAAAACACTGAAGTCCCTGGAACACCCATCCCCGAGGCACGTTTGTACCTCGCTATCGTTGCTGGCGTTGTCGGCCTTTCTGGTGGCATGTTTGTCTATGCGTGGACATCTTACCCTTTTCTTCCGTGGATTGCACCGGCTATCGGTCTCGCTATGGTGGGAGCCGGTAGTGTTATTGTGGTTTCTGGAATCTCAGACTACGTTGTCGATGCCTATGCCAAATATGCGGGTAGTGCGGTGGGTATCATTGTCACAGGCGAGAATGTTTTCTCAGCCTTCCTGCCGCTGGCGGCGATGAGCATGTACTCACACCTTGGATTTCAGTGGGCCAGCACACTATTGGCCTTCATCTCACTAGCTCTGTCTCTTGCCCCGATCCTGCTTGTGGTGTATGGCAAGTCGATCCGAGCTCGGAGTCCGTTCATGAAAGAAGCGATGCTGGAAAAGCGTAGGAAGAGCATCGATTCAGTTTAGTTTGTTTCAGATTCTAAGGTTGTATATAGTATGCCATGCGGAGAGCCAAAAATAAACCAAGTGCCGCACGATCGAACTCTACTCCATATTAAAATCTCTTCCCAACACATACTCCACCGGAACACTCAATCGGTCCTTCAGGACATGTGAACCCTAATACAAATCGCACAAGTGGCTCAATTGGTGATTTCCCCCTGTGATGTCAAGTGCTCTGTTATCGCCGAAAGCCGATAGAATTTGGAAGAGATCTTTCGGGTTGAATTTTCTGGGGTGGATCTGAGACAAAATGTTGCATTTAGTTTATCATTAGAGAGTGGACACCTAAATATTGAAGCTAGATCCGGTGGAGTAGTGGATACTATGGGTGAAACGCATGGTATCGGGTTAAAAGACAGAATTTGAGCGGGAGAAGAATCAGGAAACCATGGAACGTTCCTTAGGGCGCAATATACTTTGAACTAAAAATTGACGCGAGTTTAGGTGAACGGAGGTTTTCCAGAATGAGGTTTAGAACGAACTTGTTTGTCCAACTAGCCTGAACTACCCACGCCACATTTCTCTAGAAATAGGAAGTTCACAGTAATTCAATGTTAGATTGACTTACACTCATAAACTTGGAAGTTCCGACTCCATTTTCATGAGCATGGTCAAACTTTGTCGCCATAATAATACTTGGCAAAGCGCATTTCCCAGCACGGAGCACGGAGTAGACGGCCTCGCAGAGGATAGTCAGTTTAACAAGGATGGCAAAGATGGCAATGACCAGTCTGCTACGTGGTCATGTATATCGACATTCCTTTTCGGGTTTGATGCATGGATTCCCAGTAGTTTCCCAGCCACCAATCCCGACACTAACCAAAAGCCCCACGGCCTTGACAAGGAGGATCTAGGACTAGAATTTCTAGATCGTTTCAGATGGGACGATCAAACAGGCACGAGTCATGCTATGACCCATGCGGACCACCATGTAGTGCCGGCACCTCGAAGTCTTCTCATCCGAATGGCAACTTCTCGCGATAAACTCATGCCCCTCGTTTCAACTCCTTTGCACTCATAACCTCGTGATCCCCCTGATTTCCTTTATGGGGTAATACTGTGCCGGTAAGTGGATAGTCGAACCGAAGGCCTTTGAAAAAAGTAAGACATTCAGGGAGTTTTTTTCACGGTCTTATCCGTGCTCTATCAGTCTGGATATGGCTGCACGGGTCACCCCGGTAAATCTTGATCGAGAATGAACCGTGATAACATAATTTTATACAGAACCCACCTCAATTTTCTCCACGAGGATATCCTCGATCCCTTTTGGCAAGCAGAAATTGTCAAGTGATTGGTGGGCTCGGGAGTCCGGATCGGATAGCATCTGATATCGCAAGAAATTTTTACCGTGTTATGGGGCGTGGTCTGGACCTTGGCGCGGGTGATTAATCCTCATTTCCTATGGCTGTGCCAAGCTTTTGATTTTCACTGATTTTTAATGATCATTTCGTCTTGACCACGGGAAGGTATTGGTCTATGCGTGGTCTGGAATTTGCTATGTTGATCTTCATATATGACATAATTAGTCACAAAAGGAGTGGACCAATTGCTGATACAGGATGGAAAATGCGATAGGTCCAGAAGCATAATCCCATAATGCAAAGGGAAAAAGGGGGGGAAAGCCAAGTCAGTCAGGTACCAGGTACGGAGTACACTTTTTAACGGGAGGACGTCGGACCAACCAGGAGAGTGTATAGACTTCGCTAGATATACCGGTGTCCAATCCACAGCATTATTCCAAGTTGGGGGGATTCTGGCTCCTCTCGGAATCACACGGAAATGTGAAAGACAAATCAGAAGGTCCAACTTCTTAGCTCCAGCTCCCAGCCACAACCGTGATTGTTGACCGAGCACGGGCGATGCTATCGGAGAAATTCCTTGGGACCTAGATGAGAAAAGGCTAGTATAAGGGACGAAGTGGGACGGGGAGAGCAGAACCCGTTTCAATGCATGTAAGCGCCCGGGATTCTGAAACATCCTGGGCGGGTGCTTCAGGTACCCCCCCCAACGCCAGCTTGACTGGAGGTCCCTTTGTGGATCTTTTCTTTCCTTTTTCTTATATATTAATTTATCTTAGTTTAATATTATTTTAGGGTTTAGTTTTTTCTTGTCCGAACGAGTACGGAGTATGGAGTGGGTAAACAAGTGGAAGAAGTCTCTAGAAGAGATATATGAATTACACCCACCGGAACTTAAGGTAATTCCTCCGATAGACTTGTCAAAGTAATCTACATATAGGATACGTTCGAAAGTTCGAAAGTACGTAGCAAATAGAATATCATCAGATAATCTGCAGTCGGATCACCCCATTAGGTCAGTGATGCATCAAGTCAACCTGCAGAAAGAGGGTCTGCAAGGAATAGAAACTGTAAATTGTAAAGGGAAAAATGACTACTTTTCCTGGTTTTTTTCTTGTATATTATTTTATTTTATAGAAACCAATCAGCAAATCTGGCCCCATCCTTTTCCCTGGAGAGTGGAGTAAAGTTACAAAAACAAGGTTAATACAGGTTATGTTTTAAATACCAACTTGATTATACTTAGAACGGATGTTATTGATGTAATCCGATATACATCAAGTTCTGTTGTTATGACTGGTCATCCCCCAATTATCCTGGCGCTTCGATTATTATTAGTACAACACTGACGTGCATTTCTTCCCCCTACTTCCACCTCCTCCTACACATTTCCTCTCCCACTTTCGTTTCTATTCCCGCTGTGCGAGAAAAGCCTCTCATCCCCCAGAGAACTATACCGGCTGGTCCAGTTCCTTTCTCTGACTTTCCTGTCTTTCTCTTTGTTCCCCGAGAGGCCGGTTCCTCCAAAAAAGCATTCGATCCTGATTCGATAATCGCATCTTCATCGCTCAGTTGTGCGATTCAACATCTGTTGATCGCTTCAACATTTCCCGTAGATCTTAGATCCGCGCTTCCGATCTGAAGGTGATAGATTCATCTCTCCAAGTAAGTTGTATATTGTGCTTTATCCGCTTTGGTACATGGTTTCAGAAGGTGTGAAACCAGCCGCACTCTCGTGCACTTTGGTGCCAGATGAGATATCCTTTGGTATCCTCTGCCATATTTCTTCGGTCGGCGCTGACGGCTTCTCACATAGAGCGCGTGAAGAAATGTATCCCCAACATGGTCCTCCAATGGCTCCGCCGCAGAAACCGGAGACCTTCATGCTCTCGACGGAAGCGCAGCACAACCTCCCCCACGACGCGCAAGTCGCCCTGCAGCAAGTGGACAATTGTATGATAATGCCGCAAGAATTTATCCCCCACCACACATGAAATAGGTGCTGACGAGAACTAGTGAAATACTTCCTTTTGTCGGCGCCTGTTGACTGGCAGCCCGACCAGCTCATTCGTCGTTTTTTACTTCCGACCGGCGACTACGTCTCTTGCATTCTATGGTTAGTGGCCACGACGGATGACAAGCCTACGCAGAACTGATTGATTTTCAGGAGTAACCTTTTCCACATCTCCGGTACGGATATCGTCCGATGCCTCGCATTTCGATTCCAAGCGTTCGGTCGTCCAGTGAAGAACTCGAAGAAGTTTGAAGAAGGCATTTTCTCCGATCTCCGAAATCTCAAGGCCGGCACCGATGCGACTTTAGAGGAACCGAAGAGCGCATTCCTGGACTTCTTGTACAAAAACAACTGCATTCGAACCCAGAAGAAGCAAAAGGTCTTTTACTGGTACAGCGTGCCTCACGACCGATTGTTTTTGGATGCGCTGGAGCGCGACTTGAAGCGCGAGAAGATGAACCAGGAAGCGACCACGGTCGCCGTCAGTGAACCGGCCATGTCCTTCGAATTCGATTCGTCCCAGTCTCTCTACGAGCAATTGACGAAAGCACAACAAGCAAACTCGTCTTCTTTCTCGGCTCATGCAAGTGCTCATATTAGCGCTCATGCAAGTGCCCACCCTAGTGCCCACGCAAGTACGACATATGGCCAGCCCAACTCCCCCGTGCTTCGGACCGTTGACGCAATGCCTCCTCCCCAGATGGCTCCCCCAGCGATGCCTCTTCTCCAGGACGAGTCAGTCCAACCGATGTACAGCAACCCGTCGATGCCCATGTCGAACAACCTAGTCCAGAGCATTATTAAACGCGAGCAAGACTACGGAACCATTCAGTACGACCGCAACGGAATGCCTATCCCCCGCATTCATCAGCGCCATTCCTCGATGCCGACATTTTACGAATACTCGCCTGCGCCATCCTTTGTGTCATCGCAGTACGAGGATTACAGCAATCGCGGCCTGTCATTTGAGCCAGTTACCCCGCCTCAGCACTCGGTCGGACTCGGCGCAGAGCCCGCCTACATCGCCAACGAAGACACGGGCTTGTACACCGCGATTCCGGATCTCTCTCACGCAGCCCCGTACAACCCCATGATGCAGCTTCCGCCGTCTAACTTTACCAACGGTCATTACCAAGCGGCGCCTCGGCCCTACTCGACCAACCCGTACTCGGTGATTGAGGGCTCGCCAACTTATAAACAGCGGCGACGCCGTCCATCTATGACCCCAGGCTCTTCTCAAGGTACCCCTGGTGTGATGAATGGCTCTGCTCCCCCTCAGCCCGCTCCGCACCCGACCGCTTATGCTGCTCACAAGCCAAGTGATCTCCGGCGCTCAGTCTCAAGCTCTGTGGCTCCCGGTCTGGAGGATGAGTCTGCGCATGACTTAGTACGCACATACCCGAGTGCCATGCTTCCTCAGAGGGACTTGCTGAATGAGATTTCGCGCCACGGTACCCCACTGCAGCATCTAGATGGTAGCGTGGAGCCACAGTCGGTACCCCTGTCACACCCGCATGACGACTTGGCAGCGCTACCTACCAGTGCCGTCATCGAGGCAACCGTTCAAAATAGCACCAGTCGAGAGCGTTCAGCCCCCGGTCCCGCTCGTCGGGCACGCAGTGCAACAATGATGGAATTGGGCCCGTACCCGCATAAATCTCACTCTTGCCCGATTCCGTCATGTGGCAGACTCTTCAAGCGTTTAGAGCATCTCAAAAGGTAAGCTTCATTCTATTTTTGAAACACTGGCGTTCCAAGTGGGGCGCCGATCTGCACAATACATCCCTTGTGATGGTTTTAGCCGCCGACTAACCTGGGCGCCTAGACACGTGAGGACTCACACACAAGAACGTCCATACCCCTGTCCATACTGCAGCAAAGCCTTCTCGCGCTCGGACAACCTTGCCCAGTAAGTTTTTTTGTCTTGCATGTCCGGGTCCCTCGACTGTCATTTCTAACCCTACATCAGACACCGCAGAATCCATGAGGCCCAACAAGATGGCCACCCTCTCGTTTCCGAGGAGGACCTGGAGAATGACGGAAATGAATTCGACTCCGCGGGTGAAGAGTCATCTCCACCGGCGCCAGAGTCAGTTCACACTCCCCACATGGGCCACATGCCTGCCATGACGTCCATGGCTGCACCTATGAGCATGCCCTCGGCTGTCCACTCCACCATGGTTGGCACCCACATGATTGCTCCTCAGCTTCTCCAGCAGCAGATGTAAGCTCTCTGCCCGCTTGGGTATATATTTATTGGCGTGGCCTCGTCTTTTTGGGATCCACAGGCGCATCGTAAGCGACCTTGGCTCTGGTGTCTAATGGTTTCATTTCCGCTTTTCTTCACACCAAGATGTTCCTCTTTTTAAAGTTTGCTATTTTTGCACATCTGCATGGCATCTCGTTTACATTTCTATTTCTTTGTTATTTATCTGTTGGGATCTATGGCTCTGTTTTGGTTGGAACAACCTTGTATTATCGTCTCGCCGCAATCGGTGCTTACTCCGACACCCGTGAACTACGAGCCTGGCGGGTACGGGCACGTGTGGCGTACAATGTCAAGGGTCCGGGGGACATTTGGTCTGCCCTTATCTTGAAACATTGGGAATCTTCTCTTGAGGAGCATGGATTGGAAGCTGCTTAGCAGCATGCTTATATTATAGAACTCTAACGAATTCACTTGACTATAAAAATAGTAAAAAATACCTATTAAATGCAATTTGGAACTTGTGCCTGAGTCCAACCACCGGTACAGCCTCAGATCTAAACCATTCCCAATCGGGACGTCCTTGTCACGTGTGCTGACGTCGTTCTCCGAGACATCGATTTAACTGAAGCTGTCTACACTGATCTTTAATCAGGTTAGAGGAAAGATTAGCATTGCATATCCTTTTACTGGGATGCACTACTCTTAGATCAATTCCGGCTTCCCGACTGTGGACCCCATGACCGAACGCCTCATTGCATCCTCGACAGATGATTTGTCAAACCATCTGACCCCGGCTTTCAAGCTTGTCTACATTCGTTGCGGCCCTATTTCTCCCCTCGATTAAACGTACTACTTTAGTGCCGGACTAAAGCTCCTGGACTATCTTTTGTCACTGCTGAATCTTTGGCAATTGTTGTGGGTCTCCCTTATCGCACTTTAACCGTACCCCATGGGGGGAACCAACACTTTTTCAGTTGTTCACGAAAGGTCGCCCCTGATGCCTGGGCAGCAGGAGGCTGAGTTGGAAGCTGAGGGTGCAGACTCTGTTGCTCGTGAAGAGTCGAAGAGTAGCTGGTATCTGCTTTTGCTTACAATTTCTATTGGGGGGTAAGTTGCTTCGCAAGCTAGCCACGGATCGTATTGTACACGTTTTCGAACCATCTCGCTTACTAACATTTTCCTGTAGTCTTCAGGTGGTCTGGTCTGTGGAATTAGGTAGTGGATCGGTACGTGTTGCCAGGATCGTTTAGCTGTCTTCATGATTCCCCCTTGCCTGGGGATCCGACCGGCTCGCTAATGTTTCCTTGGATATAGCCATTCCTTCTTTCTCTGGGCATGAGCAAGGCTCTTCTTGCCTGTGTTTGGATTGCAGGTCCCTTGACAGGTACATTGGTTCAGCCTTATATTGGCATTCGAAGCGATAATTGTCGGATATCATGGGGCAAGAGGAAGCCTTTCATGGTGTTTGGAGGTGTAGCTACCATTCTATCTTTACTTCTGCTCGCATGGGTGAAAGATCTTGTTGGTGGGCTCTTGTCGGTATTCGGCGTTGATCCGGCGTCAAATGGGACGAAGATAACAATCATGATCGTGGCGACGCTGATGATGTTTTGTCTTGACTTTGCGATCAACACCGGTAGGTAGAGGATCCTCTTATTGTGTGAGTGGACTAACCATCTTAAAGTGCAAGCTGGAATCAGAGCATTCATCGTCGACAACTGCCCTGCTCACCAGCAGGAACTGGCAAACGCATGGGCAAGTCGGTGGACTGGGATGGGCAATATCATTGGCTATATTTTTGGCTACATTCATCTGCCCAGATATTTTCCATTCCTTGGAGATACGCAGTTCAAAGTTCTTTGTGCTTTTGCGTCTATCGCACTCATTGTGACGTTGGCTTCCAGTTGCTTCTATATCCAGGAACGAGACCCTCGACTTGATGGTCCGCCACCTTCAGATGGACTGGGAGTCATCGCATTCTTCAAACAGACCTTTCGATCCATTCGCACTTTGCCACCACAAATTGCCCGGGTATGTGAGGTTCAGATTGCGGCTTGGGTGGGCTGGTTCCCCTTCTTGTTCTACGCTACTACATACGTCGGACAGCTCTACGTCAATCCGATCTTCCAAAATAACCCCAACCTCCCCCAGGATCAGGTTGATAAGACATGGGAAGATGCCACCCGCATCGGGACTTTTGCTCTGCTCATCTACGCCATTATTTCATTCATCGCCAATACCATTCTTCCAATATTCATTGTTCCTACCTATCAACCCGTTGTCGAAGTTATCACACACCAAGACGATCGAGATGCTTCTTTGGATGAGGAAGAGGAGCGCTCCCGCAGGATATCAATATCTGCGATGCCGACTGGAATGGCATCAGAGCCGCTGCTGGATGCAAACCCGAGCAAGAATAGCGAAGATAGACCTACATGGCTTTCACGCCTGCAGATCCCTGGTCTCACACTTCGACGCACGTGGCTTCTATCACATATCTTATTTGCAACATGTGCATTTAGTACATTTTTTATCTCATCTTACCAGGCAGGTTCTGTTGCGATCGGTTTTATTGGTATTTCATGGGCCGTTACTCTGTGGGCCCCATTTGCTTTGATCTCGGCGGAGATTTCCCGCATAGATCTTGCACGACGCCTCCGCCGCCGGCACGCAACTACCACCGACGGAGATCCGGTCTCTGCCCCGGGACCCCAAACCACATCTAACGCTTATGCACCGGTCTCCGTCGAGGATGAAGATGATCACAATACAAATAGGGCCAGTGTGGACGATCTTGAGGAGGGTCACACTAAAACCTCTGCCGATGCTGATGCAGAGAACTTGATCCAAGCCGGAATCGTCCTCGGTCTCCATAATGTGGCCATTTCTTTCCCACAAATATTTTCCAGTCTTATCTGCAGTGCCATTTTCAAGGTCGCCCAAAAGCCGCGGGGAGAGCCCTGGGATGATAGCGTGGGTTGGGTGCTACGATTTGGCGGGTGCGCAGCCTTGGTCGCAGCGTTCTTAACTAAGCGATTAGCGGAGGGTACACGGTAATCTGGGAAGCTACTGATTGGATTCGAGTTTCAAGTGAAATTGATCGTAATCTTGCCTTGCAGAGCATGCCAATGATATACATCATCGTACAGAGATGTGGATCAGGGGGGTATGCGGTCATCGGCCAAAGCTTGAATGTAGGGATGTTAAGAGGGACATGATATATGAAAGTGACTCTGCCGTCATGTGTTTACAGTCCCCCTTAGTTGAAACTTCCTTTCAGATATCCTTTAAGACTAGGTACCAAGTAGGTAGGTGTCCCGTATACTTCGTTAAAACGGCATCAATTTAAAACCAGCGTGTTCGTTGCAACCCACTTGTCTTGGCGTGTTGCGCGGCATCCTTAAAAGTGGCCCACGTGTCATATATATGTTTTGTACTTTCATGTACTGTATTTTACTTGATGACACATCACTCAATCGTCAAAACTCTTAGCCCGTAATTCCGTTTTGTCACCGAAATACCCGCCCCTTACGTTCGATCGGTCCATCCGTTCGGAGCAGGCAACTCACCTCACATCAAGTTGGCCTGCCACCTTTAACCCTATTTCTTTTTGATTGCGCCACTACTTTAGAACACCTATTTTGCGGTTTTTACTGAGTGGATTATGCGCGCCTGTTCCTGGCTTCTCAAACTCGCAGGAGTTAACTGTCAGGTGTCATCCGCGCTGGCTCAACGTTCCTAACAGAGTCGCAATGGCTACTCAACTCATGAGCGACACCCTCCACGCTCTGCTTCGTACGTCTGATGCCAGTCTTGATCGCAATTTTATCTGCATGGGTTATTGGCTAACTTTAGTCCATCTTTTTAGGGCGAGCGTCAGAGGATACTGACCCCGATGGTACGCGTGCTGAGAGCTCCCCCCTTCCCTCTTTCCGTCTGACGATAAAGTGCCCCTGCGTGATGCGGTGATGAGATGATAATCTGACCGATGTTATTTTTGGATTTTACAGATGCCCCCGACTCGGGTTCGAAGGAGATCACTAGCTCCTGGGCTTTGTTTATTATGATCATGCTCTTGATGTTCGCCTTGTTCACAAGCTACATCCTTCAGCAGAGGAAGATCCAAGCCGTCCATGAAACGGTCTTATCAATTTTTGCGGGTATGTTTGGGCAGGAGGAGCATGGATAATTTTCAATTGGACTCGTTGCTGATATCGTCCTAATAGGCATGTTCGTTGGTTTAATCATCCGCCTAACCTCTCAATCGACCCTCCAAGACAGTGTCGCATTCGACTACCAGTTCTTCTTTAACCTCCTCCTACCTCCCATTATTCTCGCCTCCGGATATGAACTCCATCAAGCCAATTTCTTCCGCCATATCGGCACTATTCTCACCTTTGCGTTCGCCGGTACCTTTATCTCCGCCATGGTCCTCGGTCTCGTTCTCTACCTTTGGACGCGTATCCCGCTGGACGGGTTAAATATCTCTTTCGTCGAGGCGATTTCTGTTGGTGCGACCCTATCCGCTACCGACCCGGTCACCATTTTGGCCATTTTCAACCTGTACAAGGTCGAGCCGAAGCTCTATACGATCATTTTTGGAGAGTCCATCCTTAACGATGCTATCGCCATCGTGTTGTTTGAGACTGCACAGAAATATGCGGATACCGACGCTGGCTCGTTGAGTTTCTTGAACTTTTTTGAAGCTATTGGTCTCTTCGTGCTGGTTTTCTTTGGTAGCATGGTGGTCGGTATTATTGTCGGTATCGTTACTGCCCTGGGACTCAAGTATACCCTGGTGCGCCGTATGCCGAAGATTGAAAGCTGCCTTATTATTCTCATCTCCTATGCTAGCTATTTCTTCTCGAACGGTGTGCATTTGTCTGGTATGTATCACCTATGCGGTTCTTTTTGGCACTTGGAGACGACAGGATACTAAAGTCCCGGTTTATAGGAATTGTGTCACTCTTGTTCTGCGGGATTACGTTGAAGCATTACGCCTACTACAACATGTCCCGCCGTACGCAGCTGACTACCAAGTACCTGTTTCAGGTCATGGCGCAGCTGTCCGAGAACTTTATTTTCATTTACCTCGGGTTGGATCTGTTTGTCGAGTCCAACCTACAATTCAACCCGCTTTTCATTATGGTGTCAGTCATTGGAATTTGCGTTGCCCGCTACCTTGCTGTCTTCCCTCTTTCCAAGGCAATCAACTGGTTCATCCGATACAAAGCTCGCCGTCGAGGCATTGAAGTCGCAGATGAACTGCCCTTCGCATACCAGGCTATGCTTTTCTGGGCTGGCCTGCGTGGTGCTGTTGGAGTTGCACTTGCGGCAGGTCTCTCAGGTGCCAATGCGCCGACATTGCGAGCCACCGTTTTGGTAGTTGTCGTGTTGACGGTGATCATTTTCGGCGGAACAACAGCCCGCATGCTGGAAATCTTGGGCATTCGGACTGGCGTAGTCGAGGAGATTGATTCGGACGACGAGTTTGATATTGAGGTCGCCCACGGAGGTACCTACTACAAGCGCTCTGATACTGCCTTTGGATATACGCCGCGACGCAGTGACTCAACTATCCCCCTGGATGGTGTCACCCCCAACCCCCAGCGAACCAGGATGGGTGAACGAGGGGATAGTTACTCCAGCGGCAACAATCGTCGCCCCAGCCCACCACACGGCCATACCAGAATGTACTCGGCCGCGTACAGCACCAAAGATACACAGACGCGCCGGGATCGCTCGTCAACAGCAACCCTACTTAATAGCGGTAACGCTGGCAGCGACGACGAGTTTGGTCTCCCGCCCAGCAGCAAATCTCGTGCGGCCCCTGTCGCCCATCCGGACGACTTCGATCTCGATCTCGAAGGCGTCTCTGATGACGACCTCCCCCCCGCCGCACAGGCTACTTCGTCTCGTATGCGACGATCCCCATCATTTCCACCCTCAGGGCCGCATACCCCATCACTCAACGAGGCCTCCGCTAGCGTCTCCCCCGCACGGAGGCAAGAACAATCCGGTCTCACTGCCCGTGACGCTATCCGGGATCTGTTCTCCGGTGGTGCGAATGGCGACCATGCGGCGTGGTTCCGCCAGATTGATGAGGACTATATTAAGCCGAAATTGTTGCTTGATCAGTCCAACCATAAAGGACCCGGCGCGGTCTGATTTGATGATACCTTTTTAGAGGGCTACTCCTTCCTGCATGGTTATTTTCTTGAATGTGAAATGTATATTTAGCCTTTTGCTTTTTTGGGTTTGCATTACTGTAACATTGGAACTTCAGTATTCTTCTCGGTCAATCCTGTCTACTCTCCGGTTCAGAGTTATAGATACTTGAGTAGCCGTAATTGAAATTCTCAAATATTCACTATAACACGATTCAAAGATGCTACAACCTGGTGCACCATGGCCCAGAACTTTCGCTTCTTTTTTGTTTCTTAAACATTTCAATATCCCGCATCTCTCACTTCCACCTCCCCTTCTCCAGCCAAGAACTAAGCAAGATAGCAGAGTCGCGGCAACCAGCATGGCTTCTATCCTGCTCAACTCATTCTCCTTCTCCCACAGTTACCCTGGGAATTGCGAGACGCGATCTGGCGACTGTGTAACCCGGGCCCTCGGATCGTCGAGTTCGATCGTCTGCAACGTACCCCTCTGTCGAAATGCGTGGACAGGATCCATCGTGCCTGCCCATTCCCTTCCCAGTGCTTGCAGCCGTCTGTCAAGAGTCACGTAAGGTGGCCCTTCGGAAATACTACAGCCCAGAGGCAGACGCCGAGATCCCACGCCAGTTCTGTCCCTCAGCATATGAGCATGTCTGCTTTCGGTTGGGGATCGATATTCTACACTTTAACTGGGACGAGGATAGCGCAATCCCATACTTTTGCGCTATTGTACGCAAAGTGCCTAACCTAATATTTATCACCGCTGAGCACCTCCGGCAGGATTTCGATGACCCCTTCTTCGCTATGGATGTTCGCCTCACGAGAGTAGACAAATATGCAGTACGGGACCACTGGCTAGTCCAAGTACGGATTATTAGCTTAGATTTCGCAGACGACGCCCAGGCGCTACAGTCCGGTTTGTTTGGGGAGTTAGAGCTAGACCCAGTGCATTATGTCGACCCCTGGGACTCGGAAATCCTCCGTCGATACCATCAGCTCTGGCAGATCGAGTAGAATGCGAAGTTCTTTGCGCTAATAGACTATGATCACCAGCCATTCCGCGACCGACTTATCCGGTGGAAGCAATATATTGACCGTCGCTGGGTCTGGAAAGCATACTACCGAGCTAAGGAAGCTGAGGCCGAGACTGAGTCTGTTCCAGATCATACTGTGCTATTCCTGTCACCCTATCCTGGCTATGACTGAGAGGAAGATGATGAGACCTACGAGTATGGTAGATCGAGATATACGCTTAAGAGAGCGCGTCCGTGGATTCAGGCAGTCCTAAAGAAAATGCCCTTTTTCCAGCCGATGATTCTCTTTCGCCATCGAACGGGGGTCGGTTGCCTCGATCAGAACTGGTCACTTTGACGGAATTGGAAAGTACAATGGAACGTTTTGTGTAGTATACCAAAATTCAAATGAGTATGTCCATGGCTCTCTAACGCTCATTGACAAGTTCCTTCCGTTAGGCGTTGGTTGATGTTTCTTTGGCCCTTGTAATCTAATATCTTGAATTCTTGATGCAAATACCATAATCCGCTCTATCCAACCCACATATTCTCCTATGAGATTCTATGGGGACCAAGAACTCACTCATCCCGTTTCGAGGTAAAACAATCAGCATTGATTTTTGAATCTTCGGGGCACTCAGCATTCTGCATCCATGGCCCAATTAAAAATTCCACAATGGAACGAGAATCGAAATACTTTCGAACGAAATTCACAGGTAAGAATGAATTACTACGAGTCTAATCCGTGATGCTGTGTGGCTTTAACGCGTTAGATCTGAAGCAAATTGCGATATCAATGATCATCGGCTTTATGCGGGTGGGATTTTAGGTGATGTCTATTGGCAGGTTCCCTGAATACGTGATGAGGGCTATATTGTTCGTGGGACGGCTTACGCTCACTTCTCTGGGCGATCCTCATCCATGCACTTTATTTGTATTTCTCGTATAGCTTCCTCCTTACATAGATAAGAAAATGAACCCAAAGGCTTGTTTAGTTCGATGAGTGCAGAAATGATATTGATGGGGCGTCAAGTAGGTTCATGCATCCGATTCCAAATGCAGTGAAGATTGCATGCCGAGATGCATATAACAAAAGCACGAATCTAGGCCTCTACGATTGGGCGGCACGCCCACGTAGCCCACCTGAAAGAACGACAACTGGAAAATCGCAATGAAAATTTGGTATATCTATCCGTCTAATGAATCATATAGAACAAGCTGGCTAAAATGTTAGGCTCTTCTGACCACATATCTATCTAAAGCTTCGCCATTGGTCATCTCCCGCTCGACTTGCAGTGAAAACGCTGTCCCCCTAATCATACGTCTTCGTATCGTCGATCGGGCGTTTTAGGAGTGAGGGAACTTTCCAAATGTTAGTGGACGGTGTGTTGATCGAACATCTGCCATAACAAGTCATCTGCAGGTGCCACACCAAGTTTCAACGTTTACGGTATTTTGGAACCTTCGCCATTCGCACATTGATGTACGTCAAACATGGTCTGAAACGTCAAAGCGATTACGGGGCTGAGGGTCAGCACTAATTGGGAAGGGGCAAGTCAATAGTTGGAACAGGAAATCCGCTACATAGGCTCCGGGATACGCGCATTCTCATCTGAATTTCAAGAAACTACAGATCGCTGCAATACTATGTGACCCTCGCACGAACCTTCCATGGGGCTGAGCTAGATTCATCGATCTCCCGGTATGTCCTAAACGTCCCGAAAAATTCGTATACGCAAACTATTTCTATGATTGCTTGGATCGTGCTTCGCTTGCATGGTAGCACGAATCGGCGACTGTTGAAATCCGATGCTGACCGTGCGCTGATCTTAGTCCAAGCATATTTCTAGATCGGAAAATACACGTGAGAGTGATTTTCGTGGATTTCGGATGATATTTTTAGGCAACCGCTAGTGGAGGTGTGAAGCTGGATATTTGTAGATCAGGACAGGTAGAGTCAAAAGAAGAAATTCAAGGTTCTGTCAACTGGAAGCTAATAGAAAACACGCATTCCAAGGTTCGTGGTGCTAGTTGAGGGCATATGCCTATCACTGATGCCTTGCGTTAGGCATTGTTTACCTTGACATCCAGTTTGTTGAACTTTGTTGAACTTATTTCAAGCAAAGTAGATTGCCTGAGCCTGAAGCAGACCTGGGCCTCCACTAGCAATCACCAGAAGGTCCACACCTCCTGGAGAGCACCAATAGAGAATTTAAGGTGCGACACACATGAAAACAGGCGGCTTGATATGTTGCATTTGACTGTGCTCATGAACTTTTACTGGAATGCAAAAGCTGACCTTTGGGTAGATAAACGATTTTGGCTAAGATCGACAGTCAGAACACTCTCTTACTCGCCACGAGATATGGCGATTGGATGAAGGGTTTTCACAGAAGATACGAAGTATCCATCGCAAGCTTAAGATGCAGAATTGTGTTACCTCCCGAGGTCGAGATGCATATATGGACCAGAATAGCTAGTTGCAGCTGAGAAGATGAAACATTTTGGTTCTATGGAAGCTTTGGTTGGCATGTGAATATAAATCTCTATTTTGGCTATTAATCTAGCCTCATGAAATGCAATATTAGCGATTTATGCGAGAATAGAGCTTTTTCTTCTCCCAAATCTGCTGAATTACGAGCCATCTTCAATATGACTTCCCCTGAGAAAAGACCTTTCACTAAGGTAGTGATCATTGGAGCTGGTTTTTCCGGCTTGGCTATGGCATGTCAACTTCAGGCAAAACTCCATTGCAATGACTATGTTATTTATGATCGAGCTGCAGCCCCTGGTGGTGCCTGGTGGGCAAACAAATGTGAGTATCTTCTCAATTGTCAGTTTGAGTCAGTAGTTAATCAGGGACAGATCCAGGATGCGCCGTGGACATTCCCGCTGTGTTCTACAGCCTATCTTTTGCACCTAACCCCGAATTTTCGAAGGTCTTTCCCCCACAAGCAGAAATTTTGGAATACTTTAACGCTGTTGCGAAGAGGTTCGATGTTTCTCGACATGTTGTGGCCAACACGGAATGGGAGGGCGCTTATTGGCAAGAGCTTACCAGTACTTGGCTGGTGAAGTTAAGAGATCTTTTTACTGATGAATTCTTCTATCAAGAATGTCAGATGCTCATTTCTGCCGTTGGTGGCTTGGTTAATCCCAACAAGTTTGACGTTCCAGGGCTCGACACATTTGAAGGTGATATTGTTCATACTGCAAGGTGGAAGGAGGATACTTCCTTGCATCAGAAGAATGTCATTGTTGTTGGTAATGGCTGTAAGTTTACCTATCCTCTAGATGCTGAGCTATCACTAACTTTGACAAGGTTCAGCAGCTCAGCTGATTCCAGCCATTGCTGATGGGCCAAAGAGTATATCTCAATTTATTCGCGTATGAAATGCCTTCACTATAGATAAAATTCAGCTAAGAGACTTCTAGACCCCCCAGCATTATCTGGAAAACGACAATTTTCAGGTGAGCCCGAACTGGAGAGGCATTTTTCGCCATGTTCCTGGTGCCCTATGGATTCTCCGAGTCATCGTATTCCTCTACCTTGAAAGCACAGCTGCCCGGTTTAATGCAAAAGGAAATGGCAAATTGGCAAGAAGCCAGTCGTCTAAGAGCAGCGAGGAGTATATCAGACAGACAGCGCCTGGTGAGTCCTCCAAAAATTCAACAGTTTGCCAGCTTTGAGTAAGGCTGACCTATGTTTGCTCAGAGAAATATTGGCCGCTTCTGATTCCGAAGTATGAGATTGGATGCAAGGTGACTGAAGACTTACTTCAAAATAGATGATTGCCATATCTGACACTTCATAACATTGAATTATTAACAGCGACGTATATTTGACAATGCAAAGTATATCGGCTACCTCCAACGAAACAACATCCATCTTACAGATGATCCTATCGTTGCTCTTCGATCTCATTCAGTATTGACGAAGTCTGGTCAAGAATACCCCGCAGATGTGATTGTAAGGGAAATGGTTTCATCACAAGTTGAAATATCACCTCACTGGAAGCTAATGACTTCTCTATAACAGCTCCTTGCCACCGGGTTCTCTTTAACGCATTACGATGTTGAGCTTCAGGGTCGAAACGGCCGTACTCGAGCCAATCATTGGAAGGATGTTGGCTACAAAGAGGCGTATAAATCAATTGCCATGGCTGGATTTCCCAACTTTTTCTATATTCTGGGTCCCAACTCTGGTAAAGGTCATACTTCCACTATTTATTCCATCGAGAAGTGAGTCAGAAAATCAGATTATCCTTTCTATAACACTAATGCAGGGGCACGTTAGCTACGTCGATTTGGTCACTCAAGTGATCACACCGGTCATAAAAGGCGACTCATCTTCTGTCGAGGTCAAGACTGATAGTGAGGCTTTTTACAATGAGAGACTGCATATGTCCATTGCGAAGACGATTTTCAACAACTCTTGCGGCAGTGTAAGAGGAAATTTCCCCTATCTACTCTATTTTCTAACACTTATCTTACAGTATTTCATCGACCAAACCACCAACAAAAATTGGTTCATCTATCCATGGAGCTCCTTTCACATGTGGTACACAACACACTGGGAACATACAAATGACTGGGTGTACGATGTAAGCTGAATTAGCCGCACGTATCCCCAGCGATACTCAAGTGCCAAGACTAATACCTTTACAGACCCGAGAAAAGAGAAAGCAGGTGGGAGCCCGCTCCTACTTGATGTCGCTTGTCTTCACAATCGGGATCATTTTACTCGGCTTGTCCCGGTTAAGCAGTATGTTCATTGTTTCTACATAGACAGACAGTATGTGGGATATTATAGAAGCACTGGAGACTTTTATTGCAAAAGTCCTTGGGAAATGATCTGACTCTGTTCCATTAAACTCAATGCTATAAACTAGACTGTGATTAAGAGGTCAGAGCAAAGGAGAAAAGAATGAAAACCAGCATTAGGAATTAGATACAGGAGAACGATGGGATAAGACTCTCACCTCCCTTTGAAACTTCAACTCATATTGACATCGATCATTAGGTAGATACTTTTAGTCTAGACTCTAGAGCAAAGTGATGAATAGAGATCCGAATTACTCAAAAAGGTAAACCAAATATTTGGTACAACAGTCAAGTACACCAAGGCCTTGGTATTAACGCGTGGTAACTGTAGCAAACTTCCATCATTGCATTATTGTATCTTACCGATAAATCAACCCGTACCCGTACAATTTCCAAGATAAAAGTCAAGATGAAAAGCCTTTCACATGCAATGTAAGCCACCTGAAGGTCAAAGCACTAAATACGATTTGACTTCAGAAAATGAGTTTTATGAATGCATGTTAATTCGAATTGAGCGTTTTCGTTATGTCTGAGGGCCTAATATGGTTATCTGCATTCTGGGCTGTTCCTAAGGTCCAAGCATGTTACACAGCATCGTGGGTGTGTGGAGCAATAGACATGAAAGTGTGAGTAGGATGTACGATGTAGGAATTACAGTATATAAAAAACCATGTGTAGATAAATGCCAAAATAACTCAACTTGCCTTCCTCAGAAATAACAAAGAACTTTGAAATTCGCTGTCGTTTCATTAACCATGCTTCCTTCGCTTGCCAAACCTGATGTAGCGGCTCTCTTGAGCTTCTTCTGCATTGCCATGTCTCTTTTATCACATTCTGATCGGACTTCTATTTTACATCATGTCTATCTTGTCACAATCAGTGTCTTTATTCAAATTATCCCTCGGATAAATTGGATGATTGTTCTAATGGTTTTGATCCCCCTCAGTATCTCTGTGCTAGTTGGAGCTAGCATTTTCTGGCTACTCGTGACTGTTTATTTGAGGCGAAAACTATACATGCTGCCCAGTCCGAAAGGCTTTGAAGGGAGACAGTTTTTGGGAAGACCCATGCTATTTCCGACTAGGCTATCTCACACCCGCATGTTCCCTGAAAAGTACAATTACTGGTATAGCTATTTTCTTGTCGGGATCCCAGTCGGTCTGGCCGGGAATATTGGAACCGTGTTATCAATTGACATGAACCGACCGGCACTAGATGGCTCTAAGCAAAAACGGGGTTCAAATTGGTGCTGGTTTACCATCGACCAGGAACGATACCTTGAGCCTGGGAATAGCCCCGACGGATTAGAGGGGAAGCTCCATTCGTGGCTAAAGAACAAGGTAAGTCACAGATGTGCAAGTCTACAGTGCTGAAGCTCCGAAGCTTATTGGCCAAACACAGGGAGAGGATCCACAACAGTGGCCGTACGCCTATTTAGTCAGTGTACCGGTCTTTCTTGGATGCACTCGCAACGCAGTCACCTGGTGGTTCCTCTATTCTGCAACTAGAGAGCTCAACGCAATGGTCTTTGAGGCGAATAATTCATTTGGAGAAAGACATTGTTCATTCGTCCGTCTGGAGCAAGTGGGTGCAGATATTCGACCCGATCATCACGTCCCAGAAACAAGGACCGTCCCCACCCCTACAAGCAATAAGTCGGTGATGTCTGTTCAATTCATTGATTCTAAGCCGCAATCCAAATCTTACAAGGCACGTTGGACCAAGGATTTCTTCCTCTCTCCATATGAGAAGGTGGAAGGGTTTCTGGCCACAAGCTGTGGTGATCCATGCGGTGCAAAAGATAGCAAGAATGGAGATATCAAGCTGAACACAACCCTCCAAGCCGCAGATGGCAGAGCTAAGATCATTACCCGTGTCTACCCATGCGGAAGTCCCGTGGACCCTTTATCCACATCAGCTTGGACTTTGATAAAGTTCCTTGTTGGATGGAGCTATATCGGTGCTCTCTCAAGACCTCGGATCATTTACGAGGCTTTGCGCATTCGATTTCGTGGGAATATGCCCTACCTGAAGAAGCCTCAGGTTATCAGACAAAATATTCCTCGTGATGAAACGCAACTAGAAAGGTCAGTTCGATGATGGCTATGGAAGTCCCACTTAGTTGACTGGTTATGAAAGATTCCTGGAGCAATACTTTCGGCTATACCTTTCTTACCTCACAGCGCGGTCTCCCACTCCTCTGACCTTGACATATCAGCCCTCCAAATCCCACGTCTTACGACCCGAAAAGTTCTTCTCTAAATCAAATATCTCTTCGCAGAACCCACTGGTCAAAGATATACCAACTGTCACTGTCCAAGCTCTGACTCCATCGCTCTACACCAACATTCTGCAGTATACAGATGCAGTGATTGGGTTTACTGCTGAGCTCAACCTTTGCCCGGTGCCTGCCACAAGCCTCTCGCAAAGTCTCTGGGCTTCCGACCCAACAGTCCTGAAGCAATTGGTTGAATCTTCCAGTCTTAGTATTGTCTCTGCTCCCAACACCCAGCCCGGCCCGACTTGGACTTGTACCATAAGAAAAGCACTTATCCACTTACTGCGAGGATCGGGTCGATCGAGCCCAACTTTCATGGACCAGTTTGTCTATGATCATTTGTCAGCAACCATGCAGAGGAACTATCAGGCAGCGCTAATTCGGATTCTGATTGCGGAGCGGTTTGCAGTGTGGGGGTCTCATACTATGGTTTCTGGTTACTATTTCGCAGCAAAGATTTTGTTCATATCGATATTACTGCGATTGGTGCATCAGCAATTTGCCCCCATCATATCTCTTGGATGGGAAGATTTTGCGATTTGGTCTAGTGTCTATGTGTATGTTCATCAGGGAGTCCAGCTTTTGGCGGACTTCTAGAGCAAAGGGGATGATAAGGTTTATAGATAAAGAATGATGGCTACCAGTTTATGCCTCAGGCATTAAAGTCTGACTAAGCGCACAGCTCCGTATATTCCTGTTCTTCAGATCGTATCTTGAGAATGTTCCTATTAACTGAATATCATAATAACTGCCAGTCAAAATCAATTCCTCTAATTGAATTTTCCTTTGTCTTTCCTTGTATTGTGACTTTTGTCTCACGTATTGATGTGGGGCACTTCCAACATTCAACTCCAATGGAAATTCCCGGTTTAGCTTTGACCCGCTATAAACAACCTTGGATCAAATCCAACTATAAACATCCCTTGAGCATCTTTCAATCTGGAAGCCCAGAGAAAATAAAGCAGCCTCAAATCAACAAGATAAGCACAATCAAGATCTATGAATCTGTTACAAGAAAGTAATCTACTCCAACTAACCCCAACACCCTTATCACGATTCACACCAACCAGATCAATCACGCCTATCTCTGACAGCTATCGCGGAAAGGCCGCACCACCGCATCCCGATCCAGTCACGATTGACTCTCTCAGCCACTCAAACCAAGTCGCTATGTTTCCCTCGCTATGTTTCCCCCGCCTTCTCGGCCCCTAGTTTTAACCCAAAACCTAGCCTTTGGCTATCGGCTCGTGGATCCAATTCCGCACTGAGTTGCTGAGATGAATGTGGCGGTATGTGTATAGTACTGTACCTGGACATGGACATGACGTGACTTTCGTGGCTGTACTCGAGGATAAGCTTCGGAATGTTGGAAGCTTTCCTTACTTGGGGCGTGATATCGATAAGGTCTCAGGCCCCCTCCCTTTTATCTTCCGAGGATCTGCTGTGCAGTCAGTACTTTTTCCTTTCTGCTTGCGCCTTTTTTTCCTAAGATTCTGGTTGCATTGCTCTATTCTCATCTACGGATGTCGCATTCTTGATACTTGAAACGACTTCCGTTATCTATAAACCATGGCGGACATCAAGAAATCTACTGATGAGAATCCGATAACACCTGTTGAGCATGGGGCAATCATCGAGACTTCTGCTCAGGGTGGAGATACAGAGTTACTGGGTAAGTATCTCAATACCATCAGTTGGCTGCTTCTGCTCTAAAAACATGATGCTAATCCGAGCTTCGTCTGATAGCGACACTGGGATATAAACAAGAACTCCGCCGCCACTACTCCACCGTGCAGATTTTCGCCGTCGCATTCAGTATTATGGGTCTCCTTCCATCCATCGCATCAACCCTCTCCTTCTCAATGCCAGCTGGACCAGTCGGTATGGTCTGGGGCTGGCTAGTGGCCAGCATTTTCATCTTCATAGTCAGTCTTGCAATGGCCGACTTGGCATCCGCCATGCCTACCGCCGGCGGTCTATATTTCTGGACGCACTACTACGCCGCCGAGAAATGGAAGAACCCCCTCAGTTTCGTGGTGGGGTATAGCAATACCATTGGGCTGATCGGCGGTATCTGCTCAATTGATTATGGATTCGCGAATATGCTCCTCTCCATGATTTCCATCGCGCGGGATGGAAATTGGTCTGCCTCCCGGCCTGTCATTTACGGCACGTATGTAGCTACCGTATGCGCGCACGGGTTTATTGCTACGTTCTTTGGACGGGTCATGCCGAAGATTCAATCTGTGTGTATCTTTTTGAATATCGGGCTCGTTGTGGCGACAGTTATTGCATTGCCCATTGGGAAACACGAGAATGCGCCTCCGGTTAATTCGGGAGATTATGTCTTTGGCAAGGTCGAGAATCTAACCACTTGGCCTACTGGATGGGCTTTCATGTTGGCGTGGCTGTCGCCTATTTGGACCATTGGTGCGTTTGATTCGTGTGTCCATATGAGTGAGGAGGCAACTCATGCGGCAAGAGCTGTGCCGATTGGCATTATTGCCTCGTCTGGACTGTGTGGACTTCTTGGATTTTTGTGCATGGCCGTTATTGCGGCGAGTATGAACACGAACATTGAGGCGATTTTAGATTCGAGTTTTGGTCAGCCTATGGCTCAGGTAAGATTTTATCTGTTCTTCTGGGGTCTACCACTTACTGATCTTCGTAGATCTACTACGATGCTCTGGGGAAGAAAGGCGCCCTTGGCTTTATGGCAGTGGTATCATCAGTCCAGTTCTTTATGGGATTGAGTATTGTAAGTGACCCTCGCGTAAACATCTTCTCTGATATCTAACTGTTACAGGTCCTGGCCTCTTCCCGCCAGAGCTGGGCGTTCTCTCGTGACGGCGCCCTCCCCTTCTCATCATTCTTCCGCAAAGTCAGTCAGCATAAGCTGATGCGCTATCAACCCGTCAACATGATGTGTGGCGTGGTCTTTATCTCCGTCTTGATTGGTCTGCTTTCCCTTATCGATAACGCAGCTGCTAATGCTCTGTTCTCGCTCGCCGTTGCCGCTAATGACCTCTCATGGTTGACTCCTATCCTGGCGCGCCTTGTCTGGGGAAATGACCGCTTTGTCCCTGGCGAGTTCTATACGGGGAAGTATCTTAGTAAACCAATTGCGTGGGTTGCGGTTATTTATATGGTATTTGCCATTATACTCTGCATGTTTCCTACTGAAGGGCCGAATCCGACTCGTGAGTTCCTTGTGGCTGCTTTAAAGGAATCCTTGACTGACTGTGAAATAGCTGATAACATGAATTATACCATTGTTATCAACGGGGCTCTCTGGCTGGGCTCTGCTCTTTATTATGTTTTGTATGCGAGGAAGACATTCAAGGGTCCTCAGTCTACGGTGGGGCCGGAGGATGAAGGTAAGATCGTGGAAGAGAAAGTTGACTCAGAACACTAGTCTACGATTAGAAGAGACTAGATAATTGATTTTTTTTTTCTTTCATTTTAAGCTATCTTTGTTGGTTATCGTGTACTGCATTGTGTAAATGCATCTCATTTCTCATGGGGCCCTCTGCCAGGAATCGTGGGTTCGTCATTCGAGTCATATCTGCTGCTGAGTTCATGGTCTGGAAAAATCCAAGTCCATAACAAATCCATTGGTGGACTACTCCGGCATTTCAAGTACGTAGCGACCGGCGATTTTGCCTTGCTCTGTACAGATCGCATTAGTATATCACTGCCAATTTTTCATATCAGTACTTACCCATGAGCTCAAACACCTTGGGAAGATCCTTGAGGGGAACAGTCTTGAATGGTGCCTTAATCAATCCTCGAGCAAAGAAGTCAATAGCCTCGTTAGCATCTTGGCGGTTACCAACGTAGCTGCCCTTGATGTTGATCATCTTAACCACACTTTCAAAAACGGGTGCTTTCAGGAACGCATTGGCGGGTAGACCGATAGCAACAACGGCACCACGGGGACGAGCGTATTCAACAGCCTGCTGGAAAGGTTTCTCGGAGACGGCCAACAGAAGCACGGCATGAGCACCCAGGCCTTGCGGAGTAGCAGCCTTGACATCTGCAACAAGGTCCTGAGACTTAGTAAAGTCGACATAAGCCTATAGTAACGTGTTAGTCATTGAACTTGGACAGAAATAAAAATAGAAAACGGAATAGCACCTACCTCCGAACCAAGCTGCTCACACATAGCGCGTTTCTCATCGCCTCCATCGATAGCAATAACCCGCAGCCCCATAGCCTTAGCATACTGCATCGCCAACGAGCCAAGTCCACCCCCAGCCCCAACAATAGCAAGCGTCTGACCAGGCCGAGCCCCAGACTCCTTCAGCCCCTTGTAAACCGTAATACCAGCACACAGAATCGGCGAAACAGCATCCAGCGCAAGATCCTTGGGCAACTTGGTCACATGAGCCGCCTTTCCAATCGCGTACTGCTGGAAAGTGCCATCAACCGTGTAACCCGACAGCTGGGCCTCTGCGCAAAGCGGCTCGTCGGCCGTCTTACAGAATTCACAGGCAAGACAAGATCCGTTGAGCCATTTGATGCCTGCGTGGTCGCCGATCTCGATTCCCTGGGCCAGTTCGCCTTTGGATACCACAATTCCGGCGCCTTCATGTCCGCCTACCAGAGGGAGCTTGAGGGGGAGAGGCCAATCGCCGTTCATGGCGTGGAGGTCTGTGTGGCAGACGCCTGTGTATTTGATGTTGATGAGAACTTCATCGGGGCCGGGCTTGGGGACAGGGATTTGTTTGTAGATTGGGGGGCCGCCTTTCTTCTCGACTACCTGGGCCCATTGGAGTTCTGGGATGTTGTGGATTGTCATGATTGAGATGAGGTTGGATGAGTGGTGAGTGGTGATGGGTGAGTGGTGATGGGTGAGTGGTGATGGGTGAGTGGTGATGGGTGAGTGGTGATGGGTGAGTGGTGATGGGGGATGGGTGATGGGTGGGGGATGAGGGATGAGAGTCGTGTAAAGGAAGAATGAAATGAAAGACGTAAAAGATGGGAAATTCCCATTTTAAGTCCATGTACACAAAGATGTCATAGATCCAGTGGTGCCACCAGTTGACCGATATGGCAGTTCTCCCTTGAGTGTCAAAGATGACGACTTCCTACCTTGTATGTATAGTTTCTTGTTTCTTGATCCATGGATTATGCTCTTGATTCTCCTCTTGCCATCGATACCTGTTTGCAACATGCCATTCACATCCATCATAGTCTTACCATGAAGTATCTTTGCTTCATGATCACTATTTGATACCTTGAACCCCGGTTACCCCTCAAGCCCAAACCCCGACATGCGGCATCCCCATTTCGTGAAACAGTTCCACTTTCAATGAAGCCTGTAAGCTCACTGGGCACAAATTCAGGCACTCATTCCGAGTTCAGATTCGTTGTGCAGGATGACCAGGGATTGTTCAAACTGGGAATGGATGTAGAGTGGAGGACGTCACCATCGGATTTCCCCACAGCGGTATGTCCGAAGATCATGCAATGATTCACCGGAGTTTGTAAGCGAAGAAGCAGGATTTTGATCCTTTGGGGTTTATAGTAACCATTGTATTGAGGTATAATAAATAATTGGGCTACCTACGAGGTATATATAGTTGGGTTTTTTCCTGTGGACCTTGGTGGAATCACGGCCCTCTACCGTGACCCGTCCGCCAACCTCTTTAACCCCGCACATATCAATCGAAGTATGGCCTTTACCTTGTCGGAATGATATTATTTGGTATTACTTGGTTCTTTTCTCTTAGGATTGGTATTCATATATTGGTTTAGCTTGATGTTGGCTTTCCAAGGTTGAGACCTGTCGGGGGTAGGACTGGGCTTGTCTATCAAAGACCTGAGGGTTCATAGCTTATTGACATACATAGACAGGAAATGATCCTACACATGCAGAGACTCCGATCACAAGGTTGCTCTTATATAAATGTGCGGCACTACCCTTACCTAGTTATCAATGGATAGTGCTGCATTCATCGATGAAAAAACCGACCGTGCACGATCTGCCTCCCGAAAGCCAAAATGACGGCCAAGTAAATCTCCAGCTCGTCAGGTTTGATGATTTCTGATTTTTTTGAACTGAATTGATTGAGCTGGCGAGTGTCAGCGGAGATGAAAGGGTGCGAACGGTGGCTCTACAAATCAGGGCCCGAGGATAGATATCCAAGCTGAGCTCTTTGTTCCACGGGACTTTTGGCCAATTTCCCACTTTCCCCATCAGCATGACCAAGTTGCACGGAACATGGCCAATTTGGTCATCCTCATAAGTCTGATTGAGCGTTACTATGGATATTTCCTGTGGAGAATTCCTGTGGAATATTTTTGTTGTATTTCCATGTTAAAAGTCCTTATGAAGTGGTCTTACATTCTCATGTTGATGGGAAATGCGGTTCTGGTGGAAACTCCGGGATCGGCCAATCTCAATAGAATCTGTAAGTCGGTTGGGGGCAGGTAATGCTTGACGATGCTAAAGACCTCGGGAAGATGATAACCATAAAGGAATTCACTTCAGGAATAATTTGATGAGAAAACCAAATATTCTATGATTGCAATAATATTCCGGATCAGCCCTTGTATAGGCTGTCGTCTCCAGTTGTTTATGGAACAGCTTCCCACGTCAACTGTAGTATTAGCATCAACGGCAGTATAAAGATGAAGAACTGGGGAATTTGACTTCAAGGACTGAAAGATAAAGGGGAAATGATATCAAGATGTTAATGTTCTGTACTTATGCCTTTCCATAAATCTAACATGAAGGGAAAGTTGTGCGGATTAAGATGAAAACGCCATCGGGATCGGGGGGAGAGAAGATGCTTGACAAGGGACAAGTCAAATCCTATTCTTCCCCTTCCATCATCTTTTCGTCCCCCCCACCCAACCTTCCTTATTCCCTTTATTCACTTGGATACAACCATCCCTTGGCCAAATATAATTATAACCAGTTGAGAATCACCTCAACCAACGCTATCATTCGCGCATTCTCTGCTCCGCGACCACAAAGATCCCCTGCACCTTCCCACTAACAAACGGAATCCATCCTTTCCATCAGGTATTATACTTTCTGCGCACATTATTATCCCTTTTCCTTCTCCCATCCTTTGACATCTTCCAAGCCGTCTCGCCATTTCCCACTCTGGCCATACACGCTGACGTCGCGTTCGCGCTAGAATCTCCGAGAGTCCCACCCCCCTTGACACCTGTCCATGGGTGTTCCCTCTGCTGTCTGACCTTGGTCCGTCTCAATTCATCATCCTCCATCTCTTCCCACTTGAATAGCACCTGCCGCGCTTGTCCGGCGCCGGGGACACGGCCATCATGACCGGCGCTCCGCCATACAACGCCCAGTCGCCGACTCAGCAGCATCGGTTCCCTGCCTACGAATCTCCGACCAAGAACCGCTCTTTCTATTCCAACGGGGAGCAGCAACCTCAGCAGCCATATTCACAGCATCCCCCACAGACCCCTCCGGCATTCGGCCCATCCTCCGTCTCACGGAGTCCTCGCTTCGCTCACGCGTCACCCATGCCGGCTTCCCTGCCACCACCCTTGAATGGGGCTGCGCCGCCACATGCGGACCAGTCGCAATACCAGGCACATGCTCCAGGCAGCGCCTCTCAGCTCCCTCTCCCGCGACCCTTCCCGAATTCCGTGCTGCCGGGCAACGGCACCTCGCCTTACAGTGCTGTGACGCCGCATGGCCACCCCTCAAACCACCCAGATGCCCACTCGCAGTCCCCAACCCGTGAATCTGAATCGCCGTATCGAGTGAGAGGGAACGGAGCTGGATATCCTACATCCATGATGCGAGAATCTAGACCCGCATCCCCTCCACGGGAGTCGGTATGTATGAACGATGCAGAATCGTATCAAGAGATCATGGAGAATTTGGCTAAATATATTTCTGCGTTTAGAAACCTGCCCGAGCTGCGGATCCTATGTCATTTGCCAGCATCTTGTCTGGCCCAACCGAAGACCAACCCGTACGGAAGCCCTCCCCCCAACCTTCCCACATCTCTACGCCCGCCGTTCACACCCCCTACCACCATCGACAACATGAGCCGGGCCCTGTTGTGGGAACATTTGACCACAAGACAAAATACGGCCAGGAAAATCATTATCAGGAACCCTTGCTCCCGTATGCTTCCAACGGCTTCAGATCAGAATCTGACCCCATGGAAGGTGTCGTTCAGGCGCCCCCGCGGAAGCCGTTCCCTCCAGGCGTGGATGCGGAGTCGGTACACCGTGCTGCGATTGAGATCGAAAACGCCGAAAAGAGCGACGTGGAAGGCCCTGGGTTTGGTCCGGAAATGAATAAATACCTGGAAAAGTCCCGTAGAAGAGCCCTGGAAAGTGCCCATATGGAGGGTATTCGACGCAAGCGCCGTCGCCATGACTTCTTGCTTGACCTGAGCAAAAACCTCGAGAAGAGCTACATCCTGGGAACAGAACGGTTCCGCGCTCTTAATGAAGGTGCTGTGATGGCAGAGGTTCATCAGAAAGAAATCCACGATGAGAAGGAACGCAAAAAGGATATGCAACGGAAGCGCCGAAGGGAGAATACCGTGCGTTTGGAGATGCAAAAGAAGCTCGAGGCCGAACGCAAGGCGGACAGTGCCCAAGACTCCGCAGAGAAGGCCAAGTTCCTCCGTGAGGCCGAACGTGCTCAGAAGAAGATCAAATCTACCAAGCGGGCTCTCGAAGGTGGAAATGCCCAGGATGATATGGGCGAAATCACCCCGCTAGCACCAAACCTTGAAGGCGGCACTACCAGCTCATTCCATATCGGTCGTTCCTCGCCCTCACGGCGTCGCTCTGGACGCGCAGGTCCTTCTACTCGGCCGAAGAAGTCCAAGGAGCAGAAGCAAGCCGAAAAGGATGCCGCGGAGGCTGCTTACCTTGCTGGTCTGGATGATGATTATTACATGTCGCGCGATCCCAAGAAGGGTGGCGCCTCCAAGGAAGGTACACCCAGCCTTCCGTTGCAGTATGACAGCAAAGGCTACAATCAGATCTATGAGCAAATCTGGCGTGACATTGCTCGCAAGGATATTCCCAAAGTCTACCGCATCAAGACTGTGTCGTTGTCCACTCGCCAAGAGAATTTGCGCAAGACTGCCCAGCTGGCTAGCAAGCAGTCTCGCAAGTGGCAAGAGCGTACCAACAAGAGCACTAAGGACACGCAGGCCCGTGCCAAGCGTACCATGAGAGAGATGATGTCCTTCTGGAAGCGCAACGAACGAGAAGAGCGTGATCTACGTCGTGTAGCAGAGAAGCAAGAGCTTGAGTCTGCCAAGAAGGCCGAGGCAGAGCGCGAGGCCAACCGACAGAAGCGCAAGCTCAACTTCCTGATCTCCCAAACTGAATTGTACTCTCACTTCATCGGCCGGAAAATCAAGACCGACGAGGTTGAGGCTGCTGGTGACGGAACGACTGCTGCCGCTGGAGGAACTGTCAAGACCGGCAACGCACATACTATCAATCTTCCTGGTGATGGGGCTGATCTGAGCAGCAAGGTCACCAACTTTGAAGACTTGGACTTTGATGCTGAAGATGAATCGGTCCTGCAACAGGCGGCGATGGCCAACGCTCAAAATGCCGTGCAACAAGCCCAGGATCGTGCCCGTGCCTTCAACCAGGAGAAGGGTGGTGACCAGATGGCCACGTTTGATGAAGGAGAGTTGAACTTCCAGAACCCCACCAGTCTCGGTGACATTGAAATCTCCCAGCCCACCATGCTGAACGCACAGCTGAAGGAGTACCAGTTGAAGGGTCTCAACTGGCTGGTCAATCTGTACGAGCAAGGTATCAACGGTATTTTAGCAGATGAGATGGGTCTCGGAAAGACCATTCAATCTATCTCCGTCATGGCCTATCTTGCTGAGTTCCACAACATTTGGGGACCATTCCTGGTCATTGCTCCTGCATCCACCTTGCACAACTGGCAGCAAGAAATCGCCAGGTTCGTTCCAAACCTGAAGGTGCTGCCTTACTGGGGTAATGCACGGGACCGCAAGGTTCTGCGAAAGTTCTGGGACCGAAAGCACATTACCTACAATCGTGAGTCCGAATTCCACGTTCTGGTAACTTCCTACCAGCTCGTGGTGCTTGACGCACAGTATTTCCAGAAGGTGAAATGGCAGTACATGATCCTTGATGAAGCTCAGGCTATCAAGTCGTCGCAAAGTTCACGATGGAAGAATCTGCTGGGTTTCTCTTGCCGAAACCGTCTGTTGCTGACTGGTACTCCGATTCAAAACAACATGCAAGAACTGTGGGCTTTGCTGCATTTCATCATGCCCACCTTGTTTGATTCTCACGATGAGTTCAGCGAGTGGTTCTCCAAGGACATTGAGTCTCATGCTCAAAGTAACACCAAGCTTAACGAGGATCAACTGCGTCGTTTACATATGATTTTGAAGCCTTTCATGCTTCGTCGTGTGAAAAAGAATGTGCAATCAGAACTTGGTGACAAGGTGGAGAAGGATGTTTTCTGTGACCTGACCTACCGCCAGCGCGCGTTGTACGCCAAGCTTCGCAATCGCGTTAGCATTATTGATCTCATCGAGAAGGCGGCGAGCGGTGATGACACCGACAGCAGTACGCTGATGAACCTCGTTATGCAGTTCCGCAAGGTTTGCAACCACCCTGATTTGTTTGAACGCGCTGAAACCAAGTCACCGTTCTCGGCGGCTGCTTTTGCGGAGTGCGCCTCTTTCGTGCGTGAAGGATCCTTTGTCGATGTTCGCTACTCGACCAGAAATCATATCGAGTATGTAGTTCCGCGCATGCTGCTGAGCTCGGCAGCGCGAGTTGACATGCCTGGACCTGACAACCCTCGTGCTGGTTTCCGGAACAAGTACTTATCGCACATGATGAACGTTTGGACCCCAGAGAACATTCAAGAAAGCGCGCGCGAGGATGGAGCATTCTCCTTCCTGCGATTTGTGGACAGCTCTACTGGGGAAGCTAGCGAACTGTCCCACCTTGGGGTTTACGAGCGTGCAGCTCGCCGACGTGGCCAGTCCAACCGGCTCTCTCGTCTGAACGTTGTATATGACGAGGACAAGTCAGTCTCCAATTCTGTTTTGGCGCATTCTATGCTCAACATTGTTGAACGCAATGATGCGCGGGCAGTTCACGATATCACGCCTGAGGGTCGCATGCGTGATCTGATGAATGTTTCTCGCTCAGCGTTTGACAATCAAGGACTCAACCGTATCGAGCCATGTGCTGCTCCAGCAGCTTCGGCGCCGCCAATCATTCTCTCTGCCTCCGGCCAAGAGGCCCCGCGGGCAACCCAGATGGCCATGTTCAACGAGCCGATCCGACAGGCACTTTACAACATTCCCAACAGACAAGTTGATGAGCTGATCCTCACGAAAAACCTTGATCCCACCCCCTACTCACTGCAACCGATACTGCCACAACCACTATCACTCAAGTCACGCTACACTAACATCGAAGTCCCCTCGATGCGTCGCTTCGTGACCGACTCCGGAAAGCTGGCGAAATTGGACCAGTTGCTACGAGAACTGAAGCCGGGCGGTCACCGAGTACTGCTGTACTTCCAGATGACGCGTATGATTGACTTGATGGAAGAGTACCTGACCTACAGAAACTACAAGTATTGCCGTCTCGATGGTAGCACAAAGCTGGAGGATCGTCGCGATACTGTCGCTGATTTCCAATCTAACCCCGAAATCTTTGTATTCTTGCTCTCTACCCGTGCTGGTGGTCTGGGTATCAACCTGACAGCCGCCGATACCGTCATCTTCTATGACTCTGATTGGAATCCTACCATCGATTCGCAAGCCATGGACCGAGCGCATCGTCTGGGTCAGACTCGCCAGGTCACTGTGTATCGACTTATTACTCGTGGAACCATCGAAGAGCGGATCCGCAAGCGTGCTCTCCAGAAGGAGGAGGTGCAGCGCGTTGTTATCACTGGCGGTGCTTCCGGTGGTGTCGACTTCAACACTCGTGCTCGTGACAACCGCACGAAGGATATTGCGTTGTGGCTTGCTGATGATGATGAAGCCGAGCTCATCGAACAAAGAGAGAAGGAGGCGATTGAGCGTGGCGAGGCCATGGGAGGTGCCAAGGGCGGAAAGAAGGCGGCGGCCAAGCGAAAGCGTGATCTTACGCTGGATGACATGTATCATGAAGGTAAGAAGCTTTCTCACACATAATTTAAGAAACACCCCACTGACCAACCTCTTCACAGGCGAAGGAAACTTCGATGATAACAGCCAAAAGCCATCCGGGGCTGCCACCCCCCCTTTCAGACCCACTTGACTCCTCGTCGGCCCCGGTGGCTAAGCGTGGTCGTGGACGTGGACCTGGCAAAGGCACGTCCAAGCGTGCCAAAACCACCAACGAACGTCTCCGCCTCATTGACGGCGACGGTGGTCTCGATTAATCAAACGGACGTTTTTATTACAGCAACTGGGCGGCGGCGTTAAGTGATCTGCGGTACTTTTTTTTTATACAACCATTCTCTTTGTTTTTCATTTTTCTTCTCACTTGGCAGGTTATCTGGCCTGCTATGTATTACCATACAACCTTGATCGACGGAATCTTAGGGAGGAATCGGCTAGGACTCGTTACTATTCTTCAATGTTCTTTTTCATTTTCTTTTGCAAGTGAATGGCCAGGCTGTGTGCATGAAGTGCGGGGCAGAAAAGATGTGGTGTGATAGACTCAATTGAATCACTTTGATTTTCATTATCAACTCTGGCTACTGCAATGAGCGACTCCACCTAGGTAGATATCTGTTGGCTTAAAAGGCAAGATTATCTTTGGTATATTGAAACACAGTAGGCTCCCGAGTCGCTTCGTAACTTTCACACCGTTATACATCACGCTAGGCTCGGTCGATACCAAAATTGCTGTCATAACAGTTATGCTTCTTTTGATAGCTTTAAATGCTCAACACGCGGCTCCGCCTATCGCGCAACGCTATAACATAAAATATGAAACCCAGCGTCCTGTGGCCTTTCTTGGCCAAGGCTTCCGGGGTTCCCACCTGGTACGCCTCTCTTTATATGATGACTTTGGGTGAATTGAAGGAGGAATTTGAAACACACGCGGCTGATGCAGAGAATTTCTTCTCTAGGTAGAATAATCTTTTCTTGTGCTTTTCTTTCGGAGCACATCAGTCTAGGTGAACCATACTAGTCGTTCCAAGGTTGGACTTGCAAGGTTGGACTTGCAGGGAGATGAACTGATGTTAGAATAGATCTATTCATCCAAGTCATGGGTGTAGGTGAATATCGTTTGCCATTCCATGCAAAGTGTATACACATGTGTAGTAGCGTGGAATTCATTGTATACGTAAAAGGGCTGGAAACACTCTTCATCGACCTGAACAGAGATAGGTAAACTACTGGACTGCACATTTTTTGCTTGGATAGAGCGCCAAATGTATTTCAGTCTCAGACATAGTATGTACAAGATGGACACTCAGTCCAAATGTCATTCCCAAGACCAGTCCTGTGAAGACCTTTGTCAGGAGAGGAGTTGACTTGAAAAGTTGGGGGATCTTATAGCCCAGCATAAGTCAACGCTAAGCCTAATTAAATGTCTACTAAGCTATATCAAGTTCAAATACGTAGCCAGGTGGTGGCTACGATGCCATCGGAGCTGCATATACTTTCGGAGTACCTGAATGGGCGGCGGCCTACCCCGGGGTCCAATATAGCATTAGAGCTGTACTTTTGAGTAGAAGCGTGAATTCATGTATACCTAGATATAAATAAGGTATGTATTGTTACATATGGGAGATTATGCAGTTGAGTGGCCTTATATGTCAAGGCAGAGAGGTCATCAAGAAAAGGAAAAGAAAAGAAAAAGAAAAGAAAAAGAAAAGAAAAAGAAAAGGAAAAGAAAAGATGGAAGTGAAGGGGAGCGTATGTGGAAGTGTGAGTATAACGGTGGGAATGTGAATGGAGATAGGGATGAAGATCATGAATGAGAAGGGTATGAGGGTTAGGAGTGGGAGTGGTGTGAATGGGTTCTTGCAAGAAAACAAGGGGTTAGGCAGTTAAAAATAGGGTCATAATCCCAACAAGGGGAGAAGTAGATGAACATATCTCCTGTGGCCCAGCGGGATGAGCGCATCAACCAGTGCCTGATCTGGACACGATTTCTAGAGATCGTGGACGACTTGTCTAGGTGTCGATCTCTACAGGCATAATTGCAATGTGCCAGTACAAGCTAGTCTTCAGCCGCGATGGTGACCCGGTTGTCCTCAACCATCCACTTTACCGGGCTGTCTAGTATACATAGTGTTGGGTTGCTGTCGGTCGGTACTAGCGAATAGTTCAAATCCTTTGGGTTCTTTAGCATCATAGCTGTTGCTTCTTTTTTAATTGATCAACTTTTACTTCGTACTTCATACCTCATACTTTATGATACTTTAAGAGGATTTTTATTATTGACTTTTAATGTGGATTTTTCTGGAATTATCATTATTTGCAAATTTACGCATCATTATCAATAATGATGTCAAGTACTTCCATCAGAGGTGGTTAAGGCTAGGGACTGGGTGGCACCTTGGGGAGACTTGACATTGAGAGATTCGTACAGTAAGTACTTGTACATAGTGAAAAGCCATGAGTGATGAACATCAAGGTTCATCGATAAATGTTTGAAATCAAAGATCCCTCGTTCGATCCTCCTTTCTATCTTTCTTTTTTTTTTGCCTTTGAAGTTCATCAGAACTCTCTCGATATGATATTCTGTTTCCCCGCATTAAGGGAAATTCTCCTCAAAAGGGACCACGCCACTTAAGTCTCCCTCGGCATGGAGAAGGATGACTAATTCAATTTAACCAACATGGGCAAGACTTCCCGGCCGTGTCCCCGTGCAAACCAATCAACATTCATGAATTATAATGGGCTGAGTCAGGTCTGTCTCCCCCCCGCCCAGACCGATTTTCATTTCTAATAATTCTCTTGCCCTGGTTTGGTTCTTCACACAACGTGTTGCACCGTGTTTTGTTTCATCTTTTCATTCTACCACCGCAACCATGGAGGCAATGCTTCAGCAGTCTCGTGCTATGTGCCCATTCCTGAAGCGCACCGCTCCCTCGACCTTGCGGACTTTGTCGACTGCCACGCGCCCGAGCGCTGGCGGCGGAACCATGTCCAATTTGCAGGTTCTCGCTCGCCGCTGTCCAGTCATGAGCAAGGCTCTGGCTGTTCAGAGTGCCCGATTGAGTGAGGCTAAGCGCTTCACCTCTTCCGCGGCCGGTGTCCCTACTATGAAGCCGTTCCGTGCTCCGACCGAGAAGCGATCGCTGCACACCACTGGCGGTAATCCTGCCAGCGTCGCTCCGGGTTCCTATGAGAAGAACGAGCAGGGTAAGGAGAATCCCAGGATTGGTTTTCGCCTCCAAATATGCTAATTGACCGTTCAGTTCACCCTAACCTTGCCCGCCCTCTCCGTGCCGCCCCCGCCGCCGAAGCTGCAATCCACGCACAACGTTCGGCCACCGCTCCTACCACCCGATTCGACTACAACGCATTCTATAATGGGGAGCTGGAGAAGAAGCACAAGGACAAGTCGTATCGTTACTTCAACAACATCAATCGCCTTGCCCAAGAGTTCCCACGGGCCCACACCGCTTCCGCTGAGGAGCGCGTGACCGTCTGGTGCTCCAATGATTATCTCGGTATGGGACGCAACCGTCAAGTGTTGGAGTCTATGCACCGTACCCTCGATACTTACGGTGCTGGTGCTGGTGGAACTCGTAACATTTCGGGTCACAATCAGCATGCTGTGCAGTTAGAAGACACACTGGCTAAATTGCACGGAAAGGAGGCATCGCTGGTCTTCAGCTCGTGCTTTGTCGCCAACGACGCCACTCTTGCTACTCTCGGCAGCAAGTTGCCCGATTGCGTGATTCTGTCTGATAGTCTAAACCATGCTTCGATGATTCAGGGTATTCGTCACTCAGGGGCGAAGAAGATGGTCTTCAAGCATAATGACCTGGTGGATCTGGAAGCCAAGTTGGCTTCGTTGCCCCTCCATGTGCCCAAGATCATTGCCTTTGAGTCCGTGTATAGCATGTGTGGCTCCATCGCGCCGATTGAGAAAATTTGTGATCTGGCCGAGAAATACGGTGCTATCACGTTCCTGGATGAAGTGCATGCCGTTGGCATGTATGGTCCCCACGGAGCTGGTGTTGCCGAGCACCTGGATTACGAAGTGTATGCTTCGCAGGACACCGCTTCACCTCAGAGTACCAAAGGAACTGTGATGGATCGCATTGATATCATTACTGGTACCCTGGGTAAGGCTTACGGCTGTGTCGGTGGTTACATTGCTGCTTCCGCCAACATGGTTGACACCATCCGTTCTTTGGCACCAGGCTTCATTTTCACCACCTCGCTGCCTCCTGCTACTATGGCCGGTGCCGATACCGCAATTAAATACCAGGCCGAGCAGCCACGTGATCGCGTGCTTCAGCAGCTGCATACCCGTGCAGTCAAGTCTGCCCTGAAGGAGCTCGACATTCCTGTCATTCCGAACCCGTCGCACATTGTGCCTCTCCTCGTCGGTGATGCCGAGGTCGCCAAGCGCGCTTCGGACAAGCTGCTTGAGGAGCATGGTATCTATGTTCAGGCCATCAACTACCCAACTGTTCCTCGTGGCGAGGAACGCCTGCGTATCACCCCGACCCCTGGCCACACCAAGGAGCTGCGTGACCACCTGGTTCAGGCTGTGCAGGCCGTCTGGAACGACCTGGGCATCAAGCGTGCTAGCGACTGGGAAAAGCTCGGTGGCTTTGTCGGTGTCGGTGTTGCCGGTGCTGAGGACGCCAACCAGCCCATCTGGGAAGACGCCCAGCTGGGTCTGAGCTCGGCCGAGTCTCTCGAGGGTGCTATCTCTCGTGAGCTCGAAGCCGAAGCTATCACCACCCGTGCTTCCCAGGCTGTCCCGATGAAGACTGGTATTTCTCAGGGTACCCGTGCGTACTCCACCATCGCCTCTACCCCTGTCGGTGTTGTTGCCTAATTTCCAGATATATCTGGGGACACTGGGATAATTTCTTGCCACTGTCCGTCCATTCCTTTACCCTCTGAATTATATTGATGCGCATGCGCATTCAGTATCGACTTTTTTCTTTCTTTTTTTTTTTCTTCTCCCCGTTCCCGCTGTGAATACGAGGTCGATACCTCTTTCTGTCTTGTGTATTTGCAAATGATCTCATCGTTCGTGATTTCGCATGATACACTTCTATACACCTGCATCTGGTTATTTATGTGGGCATACTTGTACATGGTCCGATGACCTGTGATAGTTAAGATGAGCAAGTTAAATGAATTTGGTTGACGGGGAGAATCTGGAATTTTTCTATTGTAGAAGAGCGAGGCGATGTCATTCTAGATGTCGGTTTCAGTAATGTTCCATATCTTATTGCAAGATACATATGCTATTGATGTTATTGATCGGTGTACGAAAGTCGCACAATGGCCTATACCAGCTTATGATTATCAGCCAACCATCTGCTAGTGCCTTCTAACCTTCCTCTTTCGCCTCAACTCTCCATTTTCCAAGCTTGATATCTGCGACTTTGGGAAAGATACCACGGCCCTCAATCCGCGAGAATATGCATTCCATGGATAATGAGGTTCAAGCTAACAAGAGATGATGCTTTTCTCAGAATATCTTCGAAGAATATTAAACCACCCACGGTTTAAGCTCTTTGATTTGTGCCTTCATCTCAACGGGTATCCATGCTCAACTTCGACGTCCTACTTCTCCGCGCTGTTAGTGGCACCACGCTCGCCGAGGGCGGCAATCACTAGTGCCTTCATCTGGATATTGGCAGGCAACCAGTGGAAATTGACACTACATCATCATATAGCGTTTCTGGTCCCACTATTCGGGGTGGATCGAAGGCCTTCATGCTTATTAGTCTTCTGCCATCCATCTTAGATGCCGCTGCACAATCTTCCATCGCGCACAAGGTTGTGGGGATTCAAGTTCCGGCCGGATAATGTGAAAGGTTTTTATTGATTACTTATACGGGAAACCCGGCACTGGTATGAGTTTGATGAGAATAGCATGGGCTGTAAATATTAGACGGGTGATCAACTTACACTGTTTAAAAGATCTGGCCTTAGCGTGGTACTTGGGGCTAGGGAAGCTATCCTTACTAAACATCCCAGTCTTGTTTAATATCCTCTTGTAGTCGGATACTACAGTTGGGTAATTTAGTTCTATACTCATAGTCATTGGATATTCCTAGTCGGGTTAGAGAGTACATGTGGCTCTCGGATAATGACATTCTTCCCTTCATTGAGACCTTTTGATCGCGCACTGACTCCGGGGTAGCATTTTAATATGTTCCCCCTGGACCCAGCTGATTTACTCCGGGTTCTCGGTATCTGGTCGATCACTTCCTGAAATATTCGGGCGGGGGAGTATTGCGATGCAGGAATCATTCGACCATGTTAGTGAGAAAGCCACATGATGTACGGTTTATTGCAGGCATATGGCGTTTTTCTCCATATTTGACGTTATTTGGAATTGACGTTTACAAGATCTTCTAATGAAACATCCTCCTGCTTGTTCTATGATCTTTTTTCTGGGCTAAGAGTATGACCTCCGCATGTTTAAATCGGCTTTCATCTCACCGAGGCGGATGCTTCCGCCATAAAGCTTGGTCAGGGCGTGCGGGTCCATGCGCGAGCTTTCATCTCAGGCCTGACTATGGCAAATGGTCTGCATCACCTGTTCGCTTTCTAGTCGATCCTGATCTGCTGTAGAAAACACGTAGAAATGCCTGATTTTCAGCGTCCCTATCTCATATCAGGTCATCTTGTCACGCAAATGGGAGATACATTGGATTCAGGGGATCTAAGCTACTGAGTTTTAATCAAAACTGTTTGAAGTTAACTAGTTTATTTGTTGAAGTAACGTTCAAGCAATGTAACCATTCCCCTGTTGATCGGCAGGGGTTCATACCACTGGACCAAAACATGCATATAAACCCGTGGACCCTATCGATCCTGGTTATGTTTTCATTTCAGAATTGTTTCTCCTTTTGTCTATTTCAACATGGTCCGTGGTCTTCCCACCCTGCTGGCCTTCTCAGTGCTCGGTCAGGCTAGTACTGCGCCGCGTGCCCGCGACGCGACTTGCAACACCGTGCAGTTTGCTTTTCCTGCGGGAACAAACAAAAATGATCCTCGCGCCGAAGCCGTGAAACAGGCCTACGTGCGTGAATGGAATGAATATTCGAAATATGCTTTTCCTAATGATGATCTTCTTCCGATCACGCATAACTTCACCAATGACTTGTTTGGCTGGGGCGCTACAGTTGTTGATGCTATTGACACGGCCGTTGTTATGGGTCTCACCGATATTGTAGAGCAGCAGTTGAAACATATTGCTGCCGTTGACTTTACGTATGTATATAATCTCAACTCACAGGATGATTCTAATACTGAAACAGAAAATCCGCTTATCTTGTTGACTTCTTTGATGTCAATATTCGTTATATTGCTGGGTAAGTCTCTTTTCATTCCATTATGCATCATCACTTACTTATTATACAGACTTCTGAGTGCGTACGATCTCATCAAGAGTGGCGATTTCCCGAATTCGTATGATGATGATCTTGTCGATGCCCTTTTGTCTCAAGCCAAATCTCTGGCGACGGCTATCGCCCCTGTCTTTGACACCGTCACTGGCCTTCCTGCAGCTAACTTGAACTTTACATCCGGAGAGATTGTGCAAAGCACTACCACAGTGAACGGTACCAACTATAATAGTACCAACACGGCTCAGGCTGGAACTATGATTCTGGAATACTATCATCTTTCGGATCTTACTGGTGATGAGTCTTTCCGTCAGCATGTATGATCTATGTGCCCCAATTATGGGATCAAGTCCGCTAATAAGAGATATAAACAGGCCCAAAGAGCTGAAGGGTATCTGATCAACCCTAGCCCTGCCCCAGCCTTCCCTGGTCTCGTTGGTACTGAGCTGGACACCGAGACAGGAAAATTCATCACTCTTGATGGTGGATGGGAAGCTGGAGTCGACAGCTATATCGAGGTAAGTCGCCAATATGCGGAATTTCTGGGAGAAAAATCTCTGATTGTCCTAGTATCTGATCAAAACCTATGTCTACAATCGCGATGATTCGCTCGCTTCTGATATGAAGGACTTTTGGATTACCACTGCCGAGTCGAGCATGGAGAATATTGCTCTGAGCCCCTATCATCAGCCACAGCTAACCTTCCTGTCTCAACTGGATATCAACGGTAGCATCATGTGGAGCATGGATGATTATGTATGGCCCACTGATGAGTTGTGATATCAACCCAGCTAATTGTGCTTTAGGCTTGCTTTGCCGGCGGAAACTTGCTACTCGGTGGTAAATACCTCGACAGACCCGATATCACCGAGCTCGGTGTGAAGGTAGCTGACAGCTGCCACTGGTGGTACAACCACACTTTAACCGGACTGGGGCCCTCCAGTAAGAACCCGTCCCAGATTCATCACTTATTTCCTTCAATACTAACAATTGCAGCGATCGGTTGGTTCAACGCTAGCAATCAGCCTTATGATCCGTCTTACAACAACGCCACCTACCGTGCTGAAGCTTCCAAGTACGGATACTTCATCGAGGACCCCTCTTACCGCTCCTACCCTGAGCCTTTGGAGAGCATCTTCTACGCATACCGTGTCACTGGCGATGAGCGCTGGCAGGACTATAACTGGGAAATCTTCAAAGCCCTTGACACTACTCGGTCGGAATCTGTACCGTATGCTGAGATTACCGATGTCAATGAGCCTAACGGTGGCACGCTGGTCAACTATGTTTCCAGGTGAGTATTCCTGTTCTGTGGATGGTGATCGACTTTTCTAATTTGGATTCGATATAGCTTCTACTTTGCTGAGGTTTTGAAGTATCTTTATCTCTCGTTTGCTGAGCCTGATGTTGTGAGTTTGGATAAGTATGTGTTTAACACGGAGTGTCATCCATTTACTATTAAGAAGACATGCTAGAGTCTTCTTGACTGCATGTAAATATGATCCATAGGTCACAGGAAATAGTACAAATTTCTATATCAAATCAATATGGCTTCAGCTCAAGTCGAATAATTTAGATTTTCTACTAGTTCAAATTTAACTATGCGAACCATGGTACTAGCTTGCGATGAGGATCAATATAGACAAGTCTCCAGCTAAGGATATATGACAAAAAGGACAAAACCCGCTGATACTAGCTATGCCCTTGCCCTTCTTGCCGCTCACCACAAATATGGAGTCGTCGAACACGCCGGAGACATTCGGACTATAAGACCCAGAATCTACTGCGGTCGAAAATCTGCTTGATAAATTGTTACTTCTTACCCCTTACCACTATCATGCTTTCTCTGTTTGTAGACCAATAAAAAGTTAGACTCCTCTTGCTCTACTTTTACATGACCATGCGTTGGGGCTGAATTCCGACTGGACCCGAGAATCAGGAACAGGGGGTGAATCAGGTTTTGGAAATTTCGCCAGGATTACTCCTACTGTATGCATCAGGGGCTAAGACCCTCTGACGTCTTGACTCGATATCTTGCTTCATATTTGACAGACTTATTATTTCAATGGTAGCGAAGTGGAGAATATATCTTTCTATCAAGAACATGTTGTTAATGTCGGAGTTAGCCGATAGATAACCATAAAATGCAACCGCCTGAACATGGAAGAGCAGTCGGTGCGAATCTGGATTCTTGCTCGGTCATTTTCCGTGCACCTAGTCGCAGAAAATACAAATGAACCAAGCTAGGCTAGAAAATAACTATTTTGTAGTGCTCGAGTATGCGTAGAAGGGGCTGGTCCTCCTTGGGCGCAGATGGGCCGCAAATCATGAAATATAATCGCTTGATTGGGTCCAAGAATCTCAATCCCCTGGGCGCAAGACTAAGTTTGTACCGGTATTTTCAGCTATTTTATCAATGAACTTCCTTCTAGATCTTTCAATCTTGTACATTGTATATTGTTCATGGTGCACATGTGGAGACAGAAACTGGAGAAAAAGCGGGCAACCTCGTGGCCCTCCACGTACTCTGTAGTGCACAACAAGGACTTAGAAAATGTAGATTCCAAGTGCAAAGTATTCGAGAACAACCTTGGAGGTCAGAGAGATTACTATCACAGCTCATTGGCGCCTGATAAGTCCGTGAGCGATCTATGACAACATTCCCCCGCTCAAAAGCAATTGACAGATGCAAAATGCTCTACAATCAATCATGCAATCTGTAGTATTGGAGGCGATTTCCCATGAATTGACGTAGTCCAGATGGAAATGACGTCGACGTCGGGTTACCGACGATCCGAGGCCCCACGGCCCGTGAGGCAATGTAACAGGTTTTATCGTTTCTTAGAAATCCTTTTCCAACATCATTCGAACCATTCAGGATGCAATCTTATTAGATGATAGTGGGGTACGAATTTTGGACAAATCATGTCCAAGATGTGTCCCGCTGGGTCCGATATGTATGGACGTTTTGTTGCCGCTGCTTTCGGCTTTCCTGTTTGAGTCAAGCTATCAAAGATGGTGATACCGGTTGGCTAGTTGGATGGGAATCAACTTGTCATACATATAAATCCATGTATCCGAGGCCGTTTGCGATGTGATTGTGCTTTGTTTTGTATACTTTGCTTTTGTACTTTATACTTTATACTTTATACCCCAGACCTCGGACTTTACCGTCTCCTCCACTTTTCTTTCTATATCGCAACCAACATTGAAGTAGAGACCTGGATATCTCAGGCTAACCCTGCCGCATGGCTACTTCCGACTCTTCGCTTTTCGAGAAGGAGGATCAAAAGGAACAAGCTAATTACCCATTCGAGGAAAAAACCGAACGAGGTGACGATGCCCATGCTGAACGTGCCTCCGAATCAGACGAGGCTAGCCGAGAAGATGCGCCTAAGATTGAGAAATCTGGAAAGCGCGAACTCACCGAAGATGACTGCTACGAGTCATTGGGCTTCTGCTTTCCAACGTGGAAGAAGTGGATGATTCTCACGGTTATCTTCGTGGTGCAGATGTCCATGAACTTTAACTCGGGTGTCTACTCCAATGCCGTGCCTGGCCTGACGAAGGAATTCGGTATCAGTGAACAAGCAGCCCGGGTTGGACAGTCTGTTTTCCTCGTGGCTTATGCCTTTGGATGCGAGCTTTGGGCTCCCTGGTCAGAGGAGTTTGGTCGTTGGCCTATCATGCAGCTCTCGTTGTTCTTCGTGAATATCTGGCAAATCCCTTGCGCTCTTGCGCCGAACTATGGGACCATTGTCGTTTGCCGTATTCTGGGTGGCCTTAGTTCGGCTGGTGGCTCGGTCACTCTCGGTATGACTGCCGATATGTGGGAAGCTGATGACCAGGGTTTTGCCGTCGCCTACGTAGTGCTTTCATCCGTGGGTGGCTCGACTATCGGCCCTTTCTTTGGTGGTATCATCGGACAATACCTCTCATGGCATTGGGTCTTTTGGGTCCAGTTGATCTTTGGCGGTGCCACTCAGGCTCTACACTTCTTCCTTGTCCCCGAGACACGAGCGTCTATCCTGGTAGACAAGGAAGCGAAGCGCCGCCGGAAGAGTGGTGAAGAGGAAGTCTATGGCCCTAACGAGCTCAAATCTCCTCGTCTGGATGCAAAGGAAGTACTGAAAATCTGGTCCCGACCTTTCGAAATGTTTCTCCGTGAACCCATCGTCCTGTTCCTATCTCTACTTTCCGGTTTCTCCGATGCCCTAATCTTCGTCTTCACCGAGTCCTTTAGCCTAGTCTTTGAGCAGTGGAACATGAGCACCCTCGCCGTCGGTATGACCTTCGGCTCTATCTTACTCGGATACATCATCGCATACGTGATGTTCCTCCCAGACGTATATCGCCAAATCCAAACGCGCCGCAAACACGGCGCTGCATCTCGATACGCCGAACGTAGACTCCTACTTCTACTCTTCATCGCTCCTCTTGAGCCCATCGGTCTTCTTGGCTTCGCCTGGACATCAATGGGTCCCCCAATCCCATGGATCGCGCCCTTGATCTTCTCCTGTCTTATCGCTATGGCTAACTACGCAATCTACATGGCCACAATCGATTACATGGTTGCAGCGTACGGTCCTTACTCAGCCTCCGCTACGGGCGGTAATGGCTTCGCGAGAGACTTCCTCGCTGGTGTCGCAACTATGTATGCGACACCGATGTACGAAAACATGGGTGGGAAATACCATCTCCAGTGGGCTAGCACGCTGCTTGGGTGTGTTGGTTTCCTGGTTTTGATTCCTATATATGTGTTCTACTGGAAGGGTCCTGAGATCAGAAAGAAGAGCAAGTTTGCTCAGGAGCTGGCTGCTGATCGGGAGAAACATGCCGATCGGCGAGCAAGTCGTGTTACCCCGGGAGCAACCCCTGCGGCCCATGGTAGTCATGATATCGCTCAAGATTATTTCTCTCGAGCCTGAGCTGGTGTATTCTACGAAATATTTGAACACCGTGAAGTTATACGGTACATGTATATTATGAGTGATGATACTCTTCATTGTTTGATTAATTTATGAGATTCAAATCTTAACCTAGACAATCCTGCAATGGTAGATGGTCGGTAGGGAAACTAGGAATGTGTAAGGATCTGGGGATCTGGAGATCTGGGATCTTAGATCGCCGGTAGCTGCAAAATCTTTGCAAGTATACAAGACTTGAAATTGTATGCAATCACTTCATTCATATGGAAACATTTTGAATCGAGTACAAGGTGAAAACGCCGGATATATCACAATGGCATAAGAATTTTGACCTCCCAAGCACGCGGAGGCTAACCGCTCGAATCTATCATCTTAAGACCCTTAGGCCTTGCCTCCACGGCTAACCTTGGGGAACTCCACGGGAATACGCAGGCGAGCGATGCGACGAGCATTAGCCTCAGCACGGCCACCCTTGATGTTCCACTTAGCATATTCTGTCTCGCGGGGCCGATCGATGCGGCAACCCAGTTCGCGGAAGTATTGCTGGACGGTATTTGAGTCGAGACGGAGATCGTCACGGAGATCGGCAGGGTCAGTCGCCAGCTCATTGGGTCCGTTACCACCCATGGAGCTGGATCCACCGTCCTTGGCTGGCTGTGGGGGAATGTGCAGGGAGAGCGCACAGATAGAGGTGTGGAGGAGCGTCAGGTCGTGTTTGCTGACGGTGCCACCGCCTGGGGCGAAGCGGCGACGGACGGCATCAAGGACAGAGTCTGGGAGGAGCTCTACAGAGGAATCTTCCTCGTCGGTCTTGACTCCAGATGTGCTGGAAAGAATTTTGCGGAGTTCGTCGCGGGGTGGCAGCTTCTTGCTGCCACGACCGGCGCCTGCAGCAGAACGGCCCGATTTGAGGGCACGAGCAAATTCCAGCAGCAGTTGGATAAATCGGAGAACCTGCAATTTCTCCTGGTTTCCGGACAGTACAACTGCCTCAACACGGTTGGCCACATATCGGGATCCAGTCGTAATGGCCAGACCAGCTTCCACTTGCTGCTTCCATTCCTCGATACCGGTCAATTGGCGCAGAGTAGATTGTCCACCGGGAACCAAAGTCTCGATAGGGTAGAAGTCCAGAGGGTGGGCTGCGGTAAGGTTGGGCGTGGGCAAAGGCTTGGCTGCTTGCACCTCGGCTTGCACATTGAGTGCCTTGGCCTTGCCGGAAGCAACATCCGCAGGCAAAGACGAGATAAGCGCAGCACCGGCTTCGGTGACCGATCCAGCGGGGGCGTTGGATAGCTGAGCGTTCTCGGCCATAGACTGCACAGCCTTGCGAGACTGCTTGGTACCGAATGTGTTCGTCAGGGCGGTGCGTTGAGCGCGCATAGTATTCTGCATCAGTCAGTCATAAACTACAAAAGAGAGCAAAAGGTATCTCTAAACATACCGACTCCTCCTCGGATTCTTCATCTTCATCGTTCTTAAGAGTGCGAACACCACCTCGAAGAGTCACTCGCCGGGCTTCCACAATCTGCCATGTCTTGCGCTCTGGGTCCACGACGGCAACGTAGTGCTTGAGCTGTGAGTCTGTATCATCTCCAGCTCCCTCACGACCGACAAAATCCATCTTCTCGTGCTCAGACGACTGGAGCAGCATCTCGGAGGCGACAATTCCTGGGTTCCGAGCAAGTGTCTGAGTCTGACGTTTGCCATCGCGGGCTTTGATGTATGGATTGAAGCGGAGGACTTTCGAGTCCAGAATACCGGGTGTCGTAGCTGCTCAGTAATCAGCATGCAATTTGGATTTCCAAAGGGCCTTGACATCCTACCAATTACTGGAGCCAGCTCGCTCTTATCCTCGACAACGCTAGCTGCCAACGGCGGGAGAGCCTGCAGCTCCAGAGCGGCCTTTTTGCTTGGACGCTCATGGCGGTCCGAGGCGCGCTTGCGCTTTTTCTCTGTTTTATCGGAAGGCATTGAGTCTAGAGACCACGACTAAAACCACAGGGGATTCCTAAGCGTGTAGCCTCAATGGTTGATCGTCGTTTCGCGGTCGAAATAAATGTCGAATGTCACGGGCAGAAAAAAATCCTTTGCGGAGACGATTGCCAAGGCGGTGAGACTGTATCCGCACAAAACAATTTGATCGAGTTTTTGAGTACAAAAAGTACAAAAAATGGCATTTAACCATTCTTATAAATATACGTGATCGATATACTACAGTTACAGCTACAGATCTTGAAATCCAAATACTCGTAAAGTGTCATCGATTCATCGGCAAGCATAGCTATCGAAATCAAGGACCTCCGAGCTAATACCAGTTTTTGTATGTAAACTCTTGGTAAAAACCGCTCCATAGCTCCGGTCCTCGAACGAATTCAGGGATCGTAAATTGTAAAACATGAGCCTAGTAGTTGAACAGGTACCCCAGTACCGAGCTCAGAAAGATTCAGAAGAATCAATCTCCAATCCTCAATTGAACACAATCGCATTCCGAAATTCAAAAAAGTGGATATCCACTCAACCCATGCCCAGCATCAGAACGAACGACGTTGTAGGAATCCCAAAGAATTGGATAATTGTGGGAGATCGAAAGTTGTTTGAACGTGGATTCCGTCGAGCGACTGTGGATTCTTCAAAGGGCGGAAACCGAATCCGGGCAGGTAATTTGTTTGTTGAAATGCGTGGCGCGAAGAGAAAACAGATTTTGTTCCATCGGGTCATCAATTGTTGTGTTCAATGTTCAAACATGAGCCCCGGCAAAGAGGAGCTGAGGTGGAGGGGGCGAGTTGTTTATTTGCTAAGGAATTGATTAGTTGACTGGTTGTGCCAATATTATCAGTTTGCGGAAACTCACGATCTGGCACGCATCTTTCTTCTCTTGCGCTTGAGACGGCGAACGCGCTTCTTTCTCCACTTAGCTCTCATCTTCGTAGATGTTACTATGATCAGGTTAGCTTAAGCTCGATCAGAATCCGGCTAAATTGGGTGGCAACTCACAGTTCTGCGAGGACGAGTAGAGATAGTGAAGAAAGACAAATGCAAAGGCGGCCCGCGACGCATTTGTGTAGTGGGCAGCTTACTCAGCTAAGCGAGACACTAACCCAATTTGGACGCTCTGACATCGCCAACACGGCACACGTGATCAATACATTGCATCACACAGTGGAAATAGGGTTTCCGCACATCATAGATATCTTTCCATCGAATCAATAAGAATATGAATGAATCAATGATTAAAGTGGATTCGGTTCTTTTCGTAATATCAACAGACTCCACACATTAAATATTCTTCACATAGCACTCAAAAGGTCGAAAATTAAATCCTATATAGCTTTCCAATGCTGTGTTTTTACAGCTCCAAGCTCCAAGCTCATGTGCATCATAGATATCTTTTCGAGAATCGGTTCATACGAGTGAACCGCGGAATCTTCAACCCTATTCCAAAGGGGCGACGTCACTAATCAGTAGTTGTACCGATATGTGGGTGCAAGATCACCCAAGAATTCCTCTTCTTCCTCGGAAATGGTATTGGGATCAACGGCGGCATTGTCGCGCTTGCGGTTCTCGAACCATACCGCCACAAGGTATATCGTGCAGGATATGATGGACAGACAAGCGAATCCAATGCAAATGCTGTATCCCTGAGTGTATCTTGGGGCATCCTTTGTTAAGAAAGAGAAGGTGGCAATGATACCACCAATGTTGCCGAAACCGACCTGCCATGCGGTACCAATGCTACGGCGATGGTGGCCGCCTAGGTTCATGGCAAACCAACATACGATGACGGGCATGGCACTGTAAGCACCGCTTGTCACCAGGAAGAGCGCACCGTACTCGGCAGCCTTATGTTCTGTGCCGTGGATGCTAAGCAGCATGGCAAATCCAGCAATACAAACCACGATGGGGATCAGTGTGAATGCAAATCGATGCTTCAGGCGATCAGAGCAGTACGCAATAACCATCGAGAACCCAAAGGCTGCTGCCCAGGGTGGAATGGAGTACAGCTGGGTTTTCACGGCTGCATATCAAGTTAGCCGAAGTCTGCCAAAAGAAAACACACGATCGAACATACAGCTGTATCCATAGCTCTTAATGATGGAGGGCGCAAAGTATGCGTATCCTAGATAACTTGACTCAGCAGTGGATATAAACCTTCTGGAAGAGTAACTAACCATATGCTGGGACGATAAGACCGAAATACATGAATCCTCCAAGAATTATTTTGTCTATAGCACCAATCAGTATGCAATCCAGACCAGTGACCAAGGCAACTTACAGTCCTTGAAGACAGACAGAACCTCGCGCCAGCCCATCTTGACATGGTGAGCTGACTTGCCAACGTCCTTGGCCAGCTTCGCGCGAACATACTCGCGCTCCTCGTCGGTCAACCACTTGACATCCTCTGGAAAATCGGGCATAAAGAAGAACAAGACAAAAGCAGCCACACAGGTGATGCAACCTTCAATGATGAAGACCCAGCGCCAGCCGCTGTAGCCTCGATCTCCGCTCATCTGCGAGATACCGTAGGCGAGGGCACCACCAAATGCGCCAGCAAGTGTGGTAGAACTGAAGAAGAAGCTGAATCGCTTCTGGGCTTCGCTGCGCTTGTACCACATACCCAGTAGGTAGAAGCCTGTACGATATCAGAATTGAACAGCAACGGGGTTTTTGGTTCGTCACTTACATCCGGGAAACATGCCGGTTTCAAACACTCCCAAGAACCAACGGGTTGCCATCAACCCACTCCAGTTCTGGACCAATCCCTGGCAAACCATGACAAGACCAAAGCCAAACATACAAAGTGGCACTAGAAAGAGTTAGTCACCTGTCCGTGGGGATTAAATGGCAAAACAACTGACACCAAACGTGAGGCTTGAATTTCTTCAGGAGAATGTTCGACGGAATCTCAAAGATGATATAAGGGACGAAGAAGATCGTCAATGCGATATTATACTTCATACCAGTCGCAATATTCAGGTCATCCTTGAGACCTAACGTAGCCGCATTGCTGATGTTGACCCTATTTCAGACGACCCATGTCAGCGCAATACTCTCAAAGCTCGGGGTAATGTGGAGAAATCCTACCGATCGAGGAAAGCCAAAAGATAGAGCACACAAATACATGGCAGAATGTGCCAGTCAATCTTGGCTAGCAATTTGCGCTCTGTGGTTGATCGAAGCGGAGGGAGCTCATGATCGAAGGTAGGACTGTCAACTTGCTTTGGAGTAACCTGGCTTTCGCCATTCTCCGATTTGAAATCTGCCCAAAAGGAGCTGGTCAGCGCCGATCCCCGCACTGGAAGGAGACCGCTTGCTCATAGGCCGGAGACAATTTCAAGGACATGACAATGACAGACTTACCTTTCACACTCATGGCAAACGATCACACACGCAGCGCGCCTTTGGCTAGGGACTTGCCAAGGAGAGCGCGACAAATGCGAGGGGGAAAAGAAGTCGACTCCTCAGATGCCGATCACCCTGCTGATCCTCGGCTTGAATAGTATCCGAGGGTCTTAGCTGCGCACAACTAATACAGAGTGCAGAACTGCGACAATACCACAAGAGCTGCGCAGGGCTATCAAGGAATCAAGGAAAGTTATAAAGAAAAGAAAGAGAAGAAAGAGAGAGGAATAAACAAATTTGAGTCACGACCAACTACCGTAATGGATCCACTTCGAGTCAAAGCTGGGCCCGATCTCGGCCTGTGCGATGGTTGAATTTAGGCGATTCTAGCGAATGCAATTCCACCGCTCTTTTATGCTAATTAATCAATGTTATCATGCGTCTGACAGTAAGATTCATGTACTTACGTGAGGCATGTGGCACGCCTGAATGCGACTGTGTCGGTATTTACCGTTCGTTGCTCTCCCCGCAAATCCCCAACCTCCACCCTAAAAAGGGGTTCACCACCGAAACCTTCCTTTCGCCGTTTGCGTCAATTGATACGAACTGCAATCTGAATAACCATAGACTCTAGGGGTAACTAAATAGTACCAAACTATGACTTGCTTCGTATTTTATCGGTACAAGCTACTACGGAGTACTCCATCGAAATTCAATAATCCGATGATCTTTTTCTCCACCTGGCACGGCCCTTTTCCACACACGGCTCCACCCTTCTTCTTCCCGGGTGTACACCAATCATAACTGTTTTGTTACCTTTATCTAGAGATATAAGCTTCTACAAATCTTACGCCATAGTGGCTGATTACAAGCATAACAGTCTACCTTTTGATAATTCACAAGATAAATTAGATACATTTCATATTTCAAGGGATTAGTCCAGAGATTCCAGGGAGACTACGGAGTTCACCGATACTCTCATATTGTAGCTAGGCTTATAATCTGTGACATTTTAACCGAGCCGCTTGACTTGTTTGCTATTCCAACTACATATGTGACCTAGTATACATGCGGGCTAGCTGCATGGACAATTTACCCATTTTCATCACTTTCCCTTCAAGGAAATTTCCCCAATACCTCGGGAGAGCCCTCTTCTATCACGGCCACGTCGTGCCATAGGACGTCTTTCGGTGATCTAGATCTACATCAGGTTGTATGATGTGATTGACAAGAATTTATTAGAACCCAATTTTCACTATTTGTACCTCCCATACCATTGACCTAGTCTCTTACCCTGTCTTCTACTTCGTCTCCTACTCAGTCTCGTACCTTATTTCCTAACGTATTATTTAAATACACTAAGACCTCTATAAAGGGCTCTCTAAATCCATAAGTGGTTAACTGGAAAGATAGCAAAAAAAAGATGGGAGGACATTGAGGGAGGGTTTTGGAAACGTGTCCAAATTACTTTGATGTACCCAAATAATGAAGGGGTACGGGTAATAAGTCTTTTGTTGAGTTGTATGGCGGGTCTCTTCCCGTGAGTCCGCAATTTGGCTTGCTTACTATCAATACTATCAATACTATGAAACAGGCCTGGGGAATCATACAAATTAAGCCTATTGAGACCATCGCGAAGGCTGAGGCAATCAGGGTGGAAGTGATGCGGAATCAGCCTAAAACGAAATTGCGGTTTGTATCAGAGGACCAGTCTACTAGTAGATCAGAGAGCCTCACTCTGCCTCTGAAGAAACACTAACAGTATTCTTATCATTCACGATATACCTCCACCAGTACCAACGTGGGACCCACTTATTCCCTAATGTGCAAAGTTTATTATGGGTCACCCCACGTGACGATTCAAAAAATTGACAAACGGCGAACATCTTCTCATAAAGCTCAGCCCACCTATCCAACTTCAAAATGATAATCAACTGTGGTCCTCTGGTAGGTTTCACCCAGACAAGATATGTGATTCACATGTCCACAGGGAAACGCCTGGTGCTGTTTCGCCTGCCGTCGATCGACCAGACCAGCTCAAAACCAAACGAAAAGCAAGGATGGTCCTACTACGCCATGGAGGCGGAATGTCCTCATGCGGGCGGGCCGATGGCGGACTCATTGATTGATATCGAGGACTCGTCATACGTAGCCAGCTGTCCCTGGCACGCATATGATTTCAACGTGGAGACCGGAGAGTCCAGCGTGGGTATCAAGGCATGCACATACCCCGTGGACGTTCGCGGGGAGGATGTCATGTTAGATTTCCCCGTTGATAATGATTCTCGTGTGGAACTCGCGAAGATTGAGCCCGTTAGCGAAAAAGTTAAATTGAAAAATGCGCGACCATCAGATAAGCCAGCCAAGCAGGAGGATCCTGGAATGGTTCGCTACCTGGATGATAAGGCGACGTTATGCGACTGGGCAGTTCACATTTTGAATACTTCTCATCCTGAGCACAAGATTGAGTTGACTACGCACCTTTTCGCTATCTTCACTGAGCGGGAGGCTTCTTCGTCTCCCATGGAACTTGGCGGAGGCACCGTGGAGGCACCGTGGCAGCCGCCCCGTGAGAAGATGCTCACAGTCAACCCTGGCGCTATGCCGAGAACAGGACGAGGAGGTACATTGAAAAGTCGGATTGCCATGCTCCATGCACTAGCCAATATTGAGCTGTGGGCGATTGATCTCGCCATTGATATCTGCGTGCGATTCGCTACGTTCCAGACCGAGAAAACTTCGGCACAATTACCACGAGCTTATTTCCATGACTGGCTGAAGGTTGCGAGCGATGAGGCCAAGCACTTTTCTCTCCTGCGCACCCGTCTGGAAGAGATGGGCTCGTCCTTTGGTGCTCTGCCTGTTCATCACAGTCTTTGGTTGTCCGCTCAGGAAACCGCATACGATCTTCGCGCACGAATAAGCATTATTGCTCTGGTCCATGAGGCTAGAGGTCTGGACGTGAACCCCATGACTATTCAGAAGTTCCGCGTCTCCGGTGACAGCGAGAGCGTCGAAGCGCTCGAGGTTATCCACCACGATGAGATTACACATGTTACTACTGGCCACCGATGGCTGACCTGGATCTGTAGTCAGGAGGGAACCGACCCTGTGCAGGTGTTCCGCTCCAACGTCTCGAAACATTTCCGGGGACCTCTCCGGGGGCCATTTAACGAGGAAGCTCGCTTGGAGGCGGGTATGGACAAACGATACTACGAAGAGATGCCGAGTGTGGTTGCAGCTTCATAACGATCTCCTTTTCATGATGTATGATAGAAAACATGATACAATGATTGAATTAATGAAAAGCGCTTCACATAACTATCACAGGAGGTTCCGAGGCCCGGTTGTCATCTATTAGCATTACACATACCGCAGTATCCATCAATCTTCCCCGTGCGCTCAGTATACGGGCGTCAAGGTGACCTTGCTGCAGCTTGAAGGGATAACAGGGTCATAGTATGAGACGAGGCCGAACAACTGCGGTGCATTGTGATACCAAGAGCAAACTAGAAAACCATTAGATCTACGTAACATCACGTACTGGGCAATAAATGGAAACTCACCAAGCCAGCCAGCAAAACCTAGGTCCGTGGACCAGACAAAGTTGCCATTGCTGATCGTAAATCCTGATTCACTTGTTCCGGCGTTGATAGTGACGGGTTCCCACGCTATATGGAAAATGAGCAAACTTCCCAGCATTGACGGATTAGAATAGACATACCGGCATAATTGGTGTCACCCGCGACTGACAAGCCCCATGAGAAAGTGGTTCCCAGATCAGCGTAAGTAGTGGTACCGTTCAACGAGAACTTGGTTCCCACAGAAGCATTGCTGTCCAAAACTCCATCACTCAGACCAGCGCCAGTATGGTAGGAATAGAGATAAAGGTCGTTGAAATCCGGGTTTGCCGAGCCAGTTGTCTTGAGCTTGAACTCCTTCGAAGAGCGAGAAACGACGGGGTTGGCCAGCGTAGTAGCGGCCAGCAGAGCGAGGGATGCGAGGAGCTTCATGTTTTTCAGTAAAGGAGGGGTTTAAAGCGCTTTGTCGGAAAGATGAAAAGAGTGTCGTGGATAGAACTCGGTCGGGAGCAGAGTTGTGTCCCGCTTATAAGAGGAGCCAAGAAGCGAGTGACGTTTTATTAAAAACAAACTTCTTGGCGATGGAGTTGAAGTTTAACAATTAAGTTTTTTGGTCTTTTTGGTCTTTTTGTGTGCGGGTTGAATCGGATGTTACTTTTCTTGGGCCATCCAGTTCATAACCATGAATAGGAATTGCAGATTGTTTCGTTTTCACTAGATATGTATTAAGGGGAGATATTTAATATCTTAGGGAAGGCTGGAAAGCCTGAAAAAATCAATGATTGACATAATCAATGCAGATGATGATCACTTATGAACCACTCATGACTCCGCATTTTCGCAGATCACCCCACTTGTTACCCCACTTAGCCAAAGGAGCTGGGGATCTGAGACAGTGCCACAGTGACCCTCGGGCTGAAATCCTCACAGCCTTGCTCCTTTGTCATTCGACTCTTTCACCTGATTTAGGGGAGCCAGGATATCAATTAAAAAAAAATCATCTCTGAGACATTGGCGATGAGGTCTGATGAAGCTAAGCAGTGGCGTTCCAAAAGTCTGTCAACCAACTAGACCGCCTACCCTATTAAGCATAGCTCTACTAGTACACGTTATATGATAATCATTTGACTAAACCAGCTACTTGGAAAGTTATTAGTGATTAATATGTCACCAATTCGTGGTTATCGAGGGTGGGCAGAGCGAAGATTAGGACCGGCAGGGGAGAAAAAGTCAGAAACTCTGTAATCGGACTTAAATCTAACAGACTTTTGGAACACCCCGGTAGATGGAAAGAGCTTCAGTAAAGAGATATTCAATGATGTGTTGATGAAAATAGATGATATCTCCAGAGACAAAAACAGTGGATGATTATGGAAGACATCTGACAAAGGTGATACTAGAAATATCGAATCGTAAAAGTCCCAACTACCGACCGCAAGAAAAGGTAAGTATACTCAAGCTTCTGTTTCAACATCAAAGCTTCCATGTAATCTCAGATCTCGTGAGCTGGCTCCAATATAAATCCCGTATGTACCGGGTGCAACTGCCCATTTCTGAGCCTTCACGTCCCAGTGTGAGATATCTCGCCGGCGTAGCCCAAATTCCACCTGCGCCTGCTTGCCCGCAGCAATGTTGACATTCTCGAATCCACGCAGTTGGCGAACAGGCTGCTTTGCAGATCTGGGGTATTTGACATACAGCTGAGGCACCTCTACGCCGCTGACAGTACCGGTATTCCTAATCACGACGGACACATTCGCGACTGTATCCCAGAGATCCTCGTAGCCTCCAACGGCAAGCTTGCCGGTAGGGTAGTACGAGAGTGGCGACGGCGAATCGATGTTGAGAGCCGAGTAGGTGAAGTTGGTGTATGACAGACCGTAGCCGAATTCGTAGCGTGGCGTCACATTGTAGGCGTCGAAGTAGCGGTAGTCAATGTGGTTGCCTTCAGTGAAATTGCAGTTCGCGGTGTAGCAGATTCCCACGTTGTAGTCTGACTCGTTCTTGGCGATCGTGTAAGTCAGTCGACCACTGGGGTTGACATCTCCGTAGAGAACATCGACAATCGAGTAGCCTGATTGTTCACCTAGAAGACTGCCGTACAGCACTGCAGTAACATTATCGTGCTCGATCCACTCGTCAACAATGCGTGCTCCGACAGTGTTGATCACGACGACAGTGTTTTCGCAGTTCTCTGCGACCTCCTTCACGAGGCTGTCTTGGTCGGAGTTGGAAAGTTCAGTGCGGTCTGCACCCTCACCAGCCAGTGCATTAATGAACACCAGACAGACATCCATGTTCTCTGCGTAGTTGCTAATTGATGGGGTGATGGCAGTACTGTCGGAGCCTTGCATGACCAGGGTAGAACCACCCGAAGAGGAATAAGTGTCGTTTGCAACCCAGCGAAGCATGGTTCCGTCTTGGCTAGCCCTGAGTGTCAGTGCAAGTTCGGGCGTAATTAGGTATGGCAAAGATCCTTGGCCAGATCCGGAGCCTGACGCAAGGTGTCCATCGTAGGTTGGTCCAGATCCCATAACACTAAAAGCCATATTAGGGCCGGCAATCGCAGCGCGTGCGTGAGATCCGAAGATGGCCATCTTGTGGGGTTTCTTGAGCGGGAGCGCATTGTCTGTATTTTTAAGAAGAACCATGGACTTGGAACCGTAGGCGCGAATGAGCTTGGAGTGATTGGCTCGAACATCAACGTAGGCGCCTGTGTCTGCGGTGTAAGGTTGTTTTCCGCTGTCAAGGCCGACATGGTAGTATCCCATTAGGTTGCGAACTGCCATGTCGGTCAGACGGGCTTCAGACATTGTCTTGTTCTCAAGGAAGTCCTTGATGTTGGAGCTAGACCACAGCATAGATGAACCATAGTCAAGCCCGTTGACTGCGGAAGCGAGGGCATGTTCCTGGCCATTTGTGTCTGGGAAGACCAGACCCGGGAATCCGAGTTCGGTCTTGAGAGTTTCCAGCAGAAGCGATGAAGACTCGCACGAGAGAGTCCCATTGACTTTGGTCATTGCGCACATGACACCACCAGCACCCGAGTGTACACCATCGTAGAAAGACCAGAGATATGTCTCATGGAAGGTTTTGGAATCCACGTTGGAGGAATAGGGAGCAACCCCAGAGGTATCTTGGCCCATCGCAGCACGGTTCGTCTCTTGCTCGTTCAAAATGAAATGCTGCCTGATATTAGTATGGGCTCAATGTTAATATGTCGAGTGATATCGTACTTTGATACCAGCAATGACTCCAACATCTTTGTATGCTCTGGCTGTCAATCCCGTAGCAATTCCATTCAAGTACGGATCGGCTCCCATCGTCTCGACCAAACGTCCGCCCCAAGGTGTCCGTCCCAGAGGCTGAGATGTTGGACCATCGACGACCTGGATACCCTTGCCATAGAACTCGGTACCAACCGCTTTAGCTTGTTCATACATGGCCACTTTATCCCATGTCATGCCAATTGCTGATGCCAGGCTGAAGGCAGAAGCATAGTAATAGTCTTGCAGGCCCATATCTCCATCTAGAAATTCAAGGGCAGTGAAAGACGAGCCATCCGTGGTTTCGGCACCACTTCCTGTGATCAATTTAATTTTCTCTGTGGTGTTCAACTTGGACACAAAATTAACGGCCTTTTCATAAGCCGACTGCCAATCACCGAGGAAGACTAGGATGATTGTTAGTAAGTGTATCCAATGCAAAAGTCTACAGAAACATACCATCACCAGTGGAGAGGAGACCTGTGCTCGAATTATCCCGCAGGGCACCTACGGAGCTTATACAAAGTGATAGGAAGGAAAGGGAGTGGATCTTCATGATGAGATCACGCCTTCCGAATATAAAACAGAGAAAAGCAACCGATGAAAATGAGAAAGACAAAACTTCTCAAGCGAAATTCGCGATCTTTATAATAAACAAGGGCAAGGAGACCCCCCATCGTCATACGCAGATTCATACAGCTCAATCTAGCTTTCTCTGGGAAGATCGACCAATTCCCAATTCCTGGAAAGTGGAGCATGTTCAGATTGCATACGTTGCCCTTACTTCTTTAGGCTACCATCTATTCACATAGACCATGGAAGATTTCATGATCGTATACTGAATGAAGATCATAGTAAAAGCCCAACTCTGTGTCACATGAGACGACTGCATGCTCGAAATTGAACAAATGACTATTTTTCATACCGTATGAGAAGTGAGAATCTTCACTATAATTGTTGATATGAGCGTCGTTCGGAAAGCCGCGCATACACATCAGGGGCCGAGTTACGCGGCAGTGGAGAACGTACACCCGATTAAGCTTGTTCTGATACTTACACTCAAACGCTTAATGTGCTTAAGTACCGAAAGACGTCGATCACTACTCGGTTAAGGCTGGACCGGGATTTCACGAAGAGATGACGTAGTCTCTTTACCGAATTATGTACATTAATATTCCCCGTGGTTAGGAGTGCAATGCATTTAAGATCATTCCCGTGGATGCTAGGTTAATATGATCTGTTTTTTCTCCAATTTAACGGATCGCCAGATGTCTATGTTTCATCGTGGTTGTTCAAAGGAAACGACACTAACAAAAATATCTAGACAAGCAAAGTAATCTTATATGATACAAACTGATCTGATGAATGTCACGTGAAATGGGCTTGTGGTTTAGTGGTATAATACTCCCTTAGCATGGGAGTGGTCCGGGGTTCGATTCCCCGCGAGTCCATCTTTTTACCAATCTTTTTCTTTCTCTGATCGTCTCCAAATAAAGGCTACATTACCGGCTTTCGATGAAAAATTCGAAAGCGATCATCTTTTTCAGGATATCTGTTGAATTAGATATGGATCTGAATGCAGATAAGTCTACGGCCAAGTCCTTGATGGTCACAAAGCCGTACTGTGGGATGATAAAGGTGTAGTTGTAGGAATTGGTGAGATATCTCCCCTTTGTGTAAAATGTAACGGGGCTTTTAGTGTAAATCCTGTCATTGAACGGGCCATTGTGGTAGTCTTTTGATACGCAACTTTGAAAAATATTTTGGTTGGTGGTATGGAGCCGGCGATGAAGACAATCCACATCTCTGTTCTGTTTGATATTAGTAAATACTCTTTTTGAAAAGAGGGCAATACTTTCTCGTTCCAGACAATCAGATGAGCCATATTATCTACAGAATAATTGATTAATAAGTCAAAAAGATGAATTTACCAGTGGATTACTGACATGTATAATCTGAGCCGCTCGTTAACAGTCCTAATTGGGACGTCTTTATAATTGCACATATTCCGGCGCTGATTGGTGTCAGTAATGCAAATTGACAGGATACTTAGAGTGTAATACACTATACCAAACCCCATCAATATGCATAGACCGGTTTTAGTCGTGGTCGAAAATGCCCGGACTCTGCAAAAAATAAGAGTAGGGTAGACTGCAAGTGCAATATCACAAAAAGCTGACCAAGCTGGGATTTGGAATATTCACGATTAGTTCAATTTAGATTCATGTCCAATACTTGGGTGAGAACACTCACAGCCTTGGAAATATCCAAAAATTTCTACCCGCTTCCTTCCTCCACACGTTCCAGGGGTATCTTCATCCCAGAGCTTCCTTGATGGTGAGCATTGGAACAGGATTAACACAGCGGAAATAACGTTAACAGCTAGAGAGCTTCCTGCTATGAACCACAGAAAAACCGTTCTGGAAGGTGTATTGTAGCCGTGGATCTGCAGGAGGAAGAGAACAATCACAACTTTACCCAAGCCAATGGCAACAAGGGCCAGGATTTGGTTGACCCAACCAAAGAGAATTGCGTTCCTGACCTGTTCTGGGGTCAAGAGAGAAGATTGAATCCCAATTCCCTGTGCAGCTGCTAAGTTGAGCATGACCATGCTTGCAGTGCCAACAATCTGGTAAATGCATGTCAGTAAGGTTTTGACTTAGTTTTCAAATGTTCGAATAAAGGTTCCTACAAATGTAAGGAGTGCGACATATGAATCGCTCGCAATACGATGGGTGATCTTCCAATTTGTGAAGTATCTGGCAATCAGAAGAAAAAATGCAACACCAAATTCAACCCAGGTAACCACCACAAATGGTTGGTTGAAACTAGGGTTTTCATTTTTCATTTGAAGTTGACAAGGTCCAGGATTCAGTAAGGGTTTCTCAAGCTGTTAAAAAGGACCCAGGAAAGACCATAAGTCTGTCAGGGTAGAGAAAAGCTCATTCAGCTGTTCGTGGAACCTTGTAACTGATAGTTGATGATGTCATCATATATAAGTAACACAACCAACTTAGTTGACTACGTTAACTGCTGGTACTGATTAGTCATGTTAGATTAATGGTCAGTAGGGCTCGAGATGTAATGAAATGGAACTTCTATTGCCCTTGATTAGTATCTTACTGCCGAGCTTGTCAAATAGTCCTTTTGGAAGTCACTTGTCTACCTACTTTGTATCATGCGCTTGAAATTAACTTTCATACTCATCAAACGCCGAAATCTTCTTTTTATTAAATTCGGCATTTATGAACTTGAAATTGTCGGATTATTCCGTTCAATGACCGAAGAAAAGTCAGGATCGCCGCTGCCGCCACGCTTAGGCCTGTCCGGGTTAATTTCTGAGAAAGCAACAGGTTGTCTTCATTGGTCGGTATACAGTGCACAGGAAACGGAAAGTGGACATTCATGGGGGAATGTAACCTTTCCAATGTTGTGGGGTAAGTATGTACCTAGCTATTTTGTGGGGGTTTCATCTCCAGGGCTGTCGATATAATGAGGGTAATCCCTAATTTCCCTGAACAATATCCCGATTTGAGGAGAATCGAGCAAGCAGGCATTTGAATCACTATTTTTGTTCCACAATGCGGTTGTGGTCTTGCCTCGCTTCAGTGAGCACACTGGCCACTCTGGGCGCTGCGTATGTTGTTCATGACGGAAACGTCTGCTATCTTTATCCTGAGTCACTCAAACACAACGGATCGCCTATTGATGATGCACCTTCCATCCATCAGGCCTTTGAGACTTGTGGATCCAATGGTCAAGTTGTCTTCACCAACCACACATTCAATATCAACTCGGTTCTGAACACCACAAACTTGGTGAATTGTGATGTGTCACTACGAGGCGAGCTGCTCTTCTCTGACGATATCCCCTATTGGCTAAACCACTCTTACTCTGTCGTGTTCCAAAATCAATCCACGGCCTGGCTCTTCGGTGGAACGAACGTCACGTTTCGCGGCGAGGGTGGCTGGTATAATGGAAATGGCCAGGCGTGGTATACGGAGAATCGCAACCAAAGTAATCAACCGGGCCGTCCTATCAGCATCACATTCATCAACTCTAAGAATCTACTTGTGGACAGTCTGAGCATCTTCCAGCCTCAATTTTGGGCAACCTTCGTGTCATACAGTAAGAATGTGTCCATCACGAATCTTTACGTGAATGCTACAAGTAATGATGAGTGGGGCACCGTCAATACCGATGGCTACGATTCTTGGAACAGTGACACATTGCTCGTCGAAAACGCCGATATCACCAATCAAGATGATTGTGTGGCGGCCAAGGGCAATACCACAAATCTACTTGTCCGAAACGTCACCTGTCATGGAAACTACGGCATGACAATTGGCTCTGTCGGACAATACCCTACGATGCCCGATTATGTGCAGAATGTCACCTTTGAGAACGTCCGATGCTTGAATTGCATGGAGGGGGCCTTTATAAAGACGTGGCAGGGTACTGCCGACGATGATAGCTCGAACGGCGATAGTGGAGGCGGTGGTAGTGGTCTCATCAAGAACATCACATATCGCAACTTTGATTTGACCAACGTTGCTTTACCAATTCAAATCTCTCAGTGCATTTACTCTGAAACCGGACAGAACTGCAATACATCCAAGATGGCTATTGAGGATGTCACTTGGTCCAATATTAAGGGAACCTCTCGGTACAATATTGCGGCATCAATCTATTGCTCAGACGTGCACCCTTGTCCGGGCATCAAGTTTGAGGATATCGATCTTCAATCTGTGAATAGTACATTGGGGTTGCCGCTTTATGACACGGATATTCAGCATGAGGTCTATCAATGTACAAATATCGTCAATGTGGGGGCCTCTGGGGTTCCTTGCAATCGTGCTGCGCCGGACACTTATGGCCAAACGGTAACATCAAACGTGAAGGACGGTTAGCGGAGCGGAGTACATCTACATCATATATGTATATGGGGGGTTTGAGTAAAAATATTGATGTGCAGTTCCCATGGTTCTCGACTTTTGGTAGAATAATATCAGTATCTATCTATACTTGGGCAGTTCTCCACATTTTCAATAAGATGAGCTTTTTTAGACTGACTTGCGGATCTGTCAACTGGTGGCGAATTGATCTGTTATTATTCATTCAGTGACTCATCGCATGATGTCCCATCTCACCGCACTAACATAAAGCCAACACACAACACTGTACTGTGTCTATCCAAGTTGAAAAACAGCCCACAATCTTGGAAAATGTTACAACCTCTAAACCTGGGCCTTCCAACGGCTCTCATTCTCATCGACAACCAAGCAGGCTTCTGCTCTCCAGAAACAGTTTCTTACTGGGGAACCACCCGCTCCAATCCACTGTATGAAGCCAATTTCCAGGCTCTCCTATCTGCCTTTCGAACGGCACGATCATCTTCATCCACTCTGCTGGAAGTGATTCATGTTTTCCATTCCTCTGTGACACCTGGTAGCCCGTTCCACCCTTCTCATCCTCATAACGGGATCCGTCCGTTGGACTTTGCCACGCCCGCCTCCGACGGCTCGGAGCCTGTCTTCTGGAAATCTGTCAACTCTTCTTTCATTGGAACCAATCTTGAAGGTTATCTGCGGGAGAAAGAGATTCGGCAGATTATTGTTGCTGGGTTGACGACTGATCATTGCGTCTCGACAACTGTGCGCATGGCTGCGAATCTGGGTGTTGTGGATCGCTTCCTGGATGGGGGATCTGTGAAGATTAAGGCTGATGGCACCCATGTTGAGGATATGCGTGTTGAGAAGGGACGGATTGTTCTTGTATCAGATGCCACCGCGACTTTTGGTAAAGGTGGGTTTGATTCCGAAACCATACACAGGGTTACTGTTGCCAGTCTTGATGAGGAATTCTGTGACGTTCTAAGAACTGAGGATGTTGTCAAGGCTTTACAGGTTTAAATGGAGATTGGAGATGCGAGATCCAGTCTTTCGACTTTCGACCATCAGATATAATAATCATGGATCATATACAGACACTTCTACGAACTACTCAGGTTACGTATGCATGGATTGGTCAAGAGGAAATGCAGGTAGATACCAACTACAAATGCACAGTCATAAGTAACAAGTACAAGAAACTAATTACTCTTCAAGGGTCTCTAACACAAAGGAGAAAAGAATACAGTCGCGGCATGGTATAAACCGCCCAATGCCATCATAGATGATGGATATACTTCAGATTCCCAGCCTTCTCAACCAGGACACCAAAGAGCATTAAACGTCACAAGCACCTAATCCGTTTAGACAAGGTCGCGCTTGACGAACTCAGCAAGCAGGGCCTTTCCAAGGGAGGCAGGGCTGCGCTCGACGATGACACCAGCATCCTCGAGAGCGGAGATCTTGGAGTCGGCACCACCCTTACCACCGCTGACGATGGCACCGGCGTGACCCATACGGCGGCCGGGGGGAGCGGAGATACCGGCGATGAAGGAAACAGCGGGCTTGTTGTGGATGTTGTTGGCCTTGAAGAACTCGGCAGCGTCCTCCTCGGCGGAACCACCGATCTCACCGATCATGATGATACCATCGGTCTCGGGGTCCTCAAGGAAGATCTTCAAGCAGTCGATGAAGTTGGTGCCGGAGAAGGGGTCACCACCGATACCGACGACGAGAGACTGACCAAGACCGGCCTGGGTGGTCTGGTTGACGGCCTCGTAGGTCAGGGTACCGGAACGAGAGACGATACCGACACGACCGCGCTTGTGGATGAAGCCGGGCATGATACCAATCTTGCATTGTCCCTAAAAGTAATATGAATATCGAATATGACGTCGGAAGAAGCGGAAGGCCACACTTACGGGAGCGATGATACCGGGGCAGTTCGGGCCGACCAGACGGGTCTTGTTCTGGGTCTTCAGGATATCGGTAATGCGGACCATGTCTGATAGAGCAGTAAGTCAGTGCGTGTTGGATAAGTAGACATCGAAATAGTTCGTACCGTGCTGGGGGATACCCTCAGTAATGCTATCAGGAGTCAACACGTCAGTAAAAAAAAGTTTCAGGAGCTCCAAAATTTTCTGGACACGTACCAGACAGCGAGAGGGATCTCGGCAGCAATGGCCTCCTCGATACCGGCGGCAGCGAGAGGAGGGCTAAAAGTTGTCAGTTCGTGTTCTGTCGGTCTTTTGACAAGATGGATTCATACGGGACGAAGATGGCGGTAGCGGTAGCACCGGTCTGCTTCACGGCATCGGAGACATTGGCGAAGACGGGAAGGTCAAGGTGCAAAGAGCCGGCCTTTTTGGGGTTGGTACCACCGACGACATTGGTGCCTATATGGAGTGAGTTTGTGTCCTTTTTTTGCGATCGCGACGCGAGGGTGAAATACCGTAGGCGATGGCCTGCTCGGCGTGGAAGCTATTCAAAACAACACCTGTCAGTATCGCAGAAACTGGGGTTTCTTAGAGTGCTAGTACATACGTTCCCTGCTTTCCGGTGAAACCCTGGAAGAGAACTCGGGTGTCCTTGTTGATCTTCAGGTTGTTCACAGTGCTGGCATAGGCGTTGGCATAGGTGCGGCGCTGCTGGCCGATGTTGCGAGCAGCCGAGAGGGTGTTACGGCGGAAGGCCTGCATTGTGATGGAGGAGAGGGAATGGAGAGGAGAGGGTTAAAGGGGGGGGAAAGAGGTTGACTCGGGAGGTGAGTTCTAGCAAGGAATCGGGTTGCGCGCCCGGGAGTTTTCGTTCGGGACAAATCTTTACTTAAGCGGATCCGAGTTGACATTCGGCCTCGGCCACCAACTTTTTTCTATCTAATCGTCCACCCCCCTTCCCCACCATCACCACCACCTTGATTTCTATTTTCAAATAACTTCATCTCAAATTCATCGCTAAGCGGTGAGTCTCTTACACCATGGCCACCATGACGGTGACGATGCCACCGTCGTCGAAGAACACGGCAAAGAAGAACGCGAAGCTAGTCCCAGAAAACGAGCGATTTATGCGAGCATGTTCAGATATTGCAAATGCGCTCATCCAGGAATATGAGTCACAAAGAGACTCCTCAAAGCCGAAGAAAGATATCAACCTGAACAAGCTGCGTGGTCAGGTGTCGAAGAAGCATCACCTAGCGACCCAGCCGCCACTCACAGCCATCATTGCTGCCGTGCCAGAACACTACAAGAAATACATTTTGCCGAAGCTGATTGCGAAACCGATTCGTACGTGAACCGTCATTGGGAAGGCTAGACCTTAAACTGACTCCTTTACAGGTACCTCGTCTGGTATCGCCGTTGTTGCTGTGATGTGCAAGCCCCACCGATGCCCTCATATCGCTTATACCGGTAACATCTGTGTCTACTGCCCCGGTGGCCCCGACTCCGATTTCGAATACTCTACACAATCTTACACCGGATATGAGCCGACATCTATGCGCGCGATTCGCGCTCGATACGATCCGTTCGAGCAGGCCCGAGGACGAGTCGACCAGATCAAGGCCCTGGGACACAGTGTGGACAAGGTGGAATATATTATCATGGGTGGAACATTCATGTCCTTGCCCGTCGAATACCGCGAAACCTTCATTTCCCAACTTCACAATGCGCTGAGTGGATACCAAACCGACAATGTCGATGAGGCCGTGCAGGCGGGTGAAATGAGCAACGTCAAGTGTGTGGGTATCACAATCGAGACACGACCCGACTACTGTCTGGACACCCACTTGAGCGACATGCTTCAGTACGGATGTACGCGTCTGGAGATCGGTGTGCAGAGTCTGTATGAGGACGTGGCTCGCGATACCAACCGCGGTCATACCGTTGCGGCCGTCGCTGAGACTTTCAAGCTTTCCAAGGATGCCGGCTTCAAGGTTGTCAGCCACATGATGCCCGACCTGCCGAACGTTGGCATGGAGCGTGATCTTTTCCAGTTCCAGGAATACTTCGAGAACCCTGACTTCCGCACCGATGGCTTGAAGATCTATCCTACGCTGGTCATCCGAGGCACCGGTCTCTATGAGCTGTGGCGGACGGGTCGGTATAAGAACTACACACCGAACGCTTTGATTGACCTAGTTGCTCGTATCATGGCGTTGGTACCCCCGTGGACCCGAATCTACCGCGTCCAACGTGATATCCCCATGCCGCTGGTCACTTCCGGTGTCGAGAACGGCAACCTGCGTGAACTGGCGCTGGCGCGAATGAAGGACTTTGGAACAACCTGCCGTGATGTCCGAACTCGTGAAGTCGGTATCAATGAAGTTAAGAACAAGATCCGCCCGTCGCAGATCGAGTTGATTCGTCGTGATTACGCTGCCAACGGTGGTTGGGAAACCTTCCTGGCGTACGAGGATCCCAAGCAGGATATTCTCATTGGTCTCCTTCGTCTGCGCAAGTGCAGTGCCACTCATACATTCCGTCCCGAGCTCACTGGGCAGCAGACCAGTATTGTTCGAGAACTCCACGTTTACGGATCTGCGGTGCCACTGCACGGACGTGATGCTCGCAAATTCCAGCACCGTGGCTTCGGTACACTGCTTATGGAAGAGGCGGAGCGGATTGCACGTGAGGAACATGGTAGCCGTAAGATCAGTGTTATCTCCGGTGTTGGTGTCCGTAGCTACTACGCCCGCCTTGGCTACACCTTGGATGGTCCTTACATGTCTAAGATGCTGGACCCTTGGGAGGATGAGGAGTAGATTAAATCCTGGTGGGGCTTACATTTGCATATTACCGGCGTCGGGGTTATACTCCAAAAGTGGTTCTTGTCAATAATTATGAGCAATGATTGAAATGTCTATGGTCGCGAATACGCGACAGTCAAATGAGACAAGAAGTAGGTGGTAATTCCGAATGATCTATGTACAAACACCTCACACCAGAAAGCCATGCGTGTACTGTCTCAAAGGAGTCCGGGAGACCAGCCCCGCAAACAGATTCCTTGGAAAAAGACTGTGCAATTGGCTTCCTGGTGCAGGTTGTACGGACTCCGCCGGGTCAACTGATGATTGATGGCCCAGAAAAGACGTAGCCCGCTGATCCGGCTCAGATATACCCGTTCCTCAAACCCAAGTAACCATGTATTCCCAAGAAAGACCGAAATATGTAAACCAAATGCATACAAACCTTCAGAGACACCGACCAAGAGAGATTGTGGGGATATTTTGTGGTTTAAAGTGATATGGCACCGCCGCGGCTTGAGCGCATATGAAGGTAGGCCTGGAAGCCGCAGAAAACAAAGAATCCCTATATAACCCATCATATTAGTTCAGAGGTTCGGGATCGGGATTGAATTCGGGTATCGTTCGCAGATATACTCCAGGGGGTGACGTACGGCGTAGACTAGCACAGCGATGTAAATGGAAGCAGCGACTGCAGGGCCATCTTCAGGCTCTCCTTCGGATCCGGTGTAGGCGTGGTTGTTGGTCTGTACAGCAGTGAATTAGCAATCTTACTCCAATAAATTTGGATGTGTGTGGTGATGCGACTGGGGGCGCAAGGTGACGCAACGCCTGGTTAGGACAGAGAATCAATTCGAACGTACGCCGTATAGAGTTCCGAGAACCGAAAGAATGACAATAGCGAAAACTGAGATCACGACACTAGGAAACAAAGCACGGTTAGCTTCTAGATAGAGGCCGAGGCTTGGAGCCATTTCATGGACCCTACCAAGACCAGGCGTTCAACGCGGACACAACGGGTTTCATCTTGTAGGATAAAGGATAAATTATTGGGAGAGGATGTGAGAAAGGCGCACAAAGCGTCCAAGACCTGGTTCTCTGAGAAGAGCGGGAAGAACAGTGGAGATATCGAAGCTTGAGGGTGGAGGGATGGAAGAGTTAAAGATCACGGAGGTTGGCGGGCGGAGCTGCCTGGGCCCCTAAGCCGCTTTCGGACAGGACTGGGCTGTTCTCCAACTATCAACAACAATTTTATTGTTGACTTCATCTTTAGATACTTCAATCCTGAATCAAATGCCTTGAGTTTCAAATGCACTTATTTTTCATTATAAAGTCTGGTTTCAGTCAACAGCTCCAAAGTTAGGGGCCATTCCTCCAAGTGCTTGCCAGTATATATACAGTTCGCTCTCACGTTCCCGCCACCATTTTCGAAACTATACATATACATACATACCCCACAATCCTGAGGTCTGCTTGAGCACGTCAAGAGACTCAAATGATAATACATGCAGTATTTCCACAATTTGACCATCCAACTGAACATCGAAAAAACCTAACATAAGACGTCTGCACTGAAAGGCGACCCAGACCGCGAGGGGCTTATCGTGGCCTATCGCACGTGACCACAAGCTTGATGCCAAAAAAAACTTCGGCATTGGGGAAATTGGCAACCTTCCATTCAACCCATCACACCTCTAAATAATGCCCCCCATGACCGGAAAACGCAAGCGAGATACCGCCGTTGTATCGCGATCCACAAAAACCATGGAAGCAAGCCCGCCACCGGCAGATAATGCGCAGGACATCTTCCGCAAATATTTCGAGGCGCAATTCGAGCCTCTGGAACCTTCCAAGCCAGATGCCGATTTCGATGAAGGCGAAGATGAGGACGATGACGAGAAATTATCAGATGCAGAGGGCTCGGACTGGGATGGCTTATCTGGAGAAGAGGAGGGTGATGAGGAGGTGTACGAAGTGGAGATTGTCGAACACAAGGATGCCAAAAGGGATGACATGATGGATAAGAAAGCTCGTAAAGCGTTTATGGTACGGCGTTTACTGGATTTGATCTGCGACTACGTTACTAATATGGTGTTAGAATTCGAGACCACCTTCATTGATAGATGCGCCGAAGAAGACAGCAGAACCGGTCACAAAGGAGGAGGAACAAGATGACAAGGACAACTTCAAGCACGATCTCGCACTACAGCGGCTTCTCCGGGAATCTCACCTCCTCGAGGATGCATCGGATCTCGCACCCACCGGCAAGAATCGTCTCAAGGCTCTGGATCTACGCATGCAATCCCTCGGTGCAAAGACGTCTCTCTACGATCAGAAAATGCCCTCTGCGCATCGAAAGGGCATCAAGTCTAAAGCTGCTTCAAAGGATGCTAAGCGAAGACTCGAGGCTAAGGAGAACGGTATTATCCTCGAAAAGCCCTCCAAGGTCACCAAGTCGAATTCGGGACGCAGAGAACGTGGAATTGGAGGGTCTTCCATCGGAACATTCTCCGGAGGAACCTTGAACCTAAGCAAACAAGATTTGCATTCGGTGCAAAGTATGAGGGGACGCAATGAGAGAAGCAGAGGAGGCAGAGGCGGAAGAGGTGGACGGGGAGGACGAGGAAGGGGACGGGGAGGAGGCCGGGGACGAGATTGAGAACCGAAGCTTGCACATAAGAGCTGCCAGTCATGATTAAAAGTACATAGACCCCTTTGCATACAAATTGATACCCATTTGGGCCCTTACGGGGCATGGGCCACAAAACTTCCTCCATACCCTGAACAAGCCACCAGTCCATGTGGACTTTGGCTGATTGCTTGGCAGCCACTTGAAGCTGCAGAAGCAGGTGCGACATCTATATCAGTATGGCAAGTTTGACGATAGACAAAGTGTACGATCTTATTGCTGACGATGGTCTACCACACTCCCGAGTACTCCCGATGGTCCCACACTTCAAGTTTCTTTTTCCTGTATTCCGTATCGCAGGCATATTCATTCTTAGGATTCATATGCAACGACAAGGATGTCCGGCTGAACCTTTCTCTCAAGTAAAGATCAAACTAAGGCGGCCAATCGATTACCCACGCGAGCTTTGACACCATCAGACTATCAGATTCTTATTGCATGCCAAGTGGTAAATGCAAGCTCCGTGTAACAGAACGGTGAGGGGAAGGAATATGCCAAGAATAATAAGTCCGATGGACACAAGTTCGAGACCAGGGACTTGGCATTGCCATCTAGACATCGGAATTTTAATGAAAGCTTCCACATATGTAAGTTAAAGCTCGCCACTGTCTGATATTTGAATATATACTCTTCCTGGTATGATCGACTGTGGTTCCATGGTAAGAAAATCAGGGAGCCTTGTAGGGTCCGAACCACGTTTGTGAATGAGCGGATCGGATGAAAATCATTGATCCACAGGGAACGGTTCGTCTGCCAAGATGCTATAAAATGGTATAGATAAGACTCCTCTTTGGCCAAGAAACTAGTTTAGTTCTTCAGGACTGTGGACCAGGGTTGGAACCATGTGAATATGGTGATTGCGTGTAAATTCTGGATTTGAGCATTTAATTGACTTTGATATAGCCTCTAGTTAACTAGTGCTCATGAAGTGGCCCAAGGTCCCCACCAAAGCCCAGGGGCTTCAAGATCGACGCAACACCTGGTCCGTGTATCAGCTTTGGCGTGATTCCTAGGCAACAATGAAACCGATCGTGTTCCCATTTACTGTACTGGTCACAATTATCAAATCCACTACAATTGCGTCATTGGGGAGGATAAGGGGGATAAGGGGATAAGGGGATATGGGGGAGATATGGGGTCTGGGGGCTGTGTTTGGTGGATAGTGGACCAAGCTAGACACTATTGTTTCATGGAATCACGGACATGGGAATATGCAGATGGATTCCGTTCCATGAAACAAGAAAACTTCCATGTATAAGACTCGAAGAAAATGGAAAGTTTGTTGATGCCAAGGGTCGGGTAGCAACGTGCATAATAGTCCATATTCAACAGGGCCGAGGCCGGGGCCGAGGTTTTGTCGGAAAAGACTCTAGACCAAGTGGAGACAATGATGAGTGGGTTAATGATCTCCTCAAAACCTAATGTTACAACCCAAAAAAGTCCAGAAACTATAGCGAAGTATCGAAGTATCGAAGTATCGAAGTATCGAAGGTATCGGGTACTCATGATACGGAGCACGGAGTATATGCAGTCGGTTAGCCGAGTCGGGTTTCCGTCGGCTGCATCCTCTCGGGATGTGATAAGAAATTCACATTTGAGTCAAACTTTTGGGCTTTTCAAAGTTTGTTTGAATGAGTTGCATTAGCCTTATCCTTAGGTCCAGCCCGACATGCAAAATGCAAAAAAAACCATCCGGATCACATTGATGATCGCAACTCGGGACTCCGTGGGGCGCAGAGGAAGATGCCAAATTGTTGGCTACTCCGCTCTGAACCTCTGCATAATCTGAATATCTCAGATTTTGGTTTTGATTTTGGTTTTATTTTGGGTTGACTTGGGTTCCACGGTAGTTCCCTGTAATCCGTACGTATGCATTAAAGTAATCCACCGACGGTCACAAATCCCCGTCAGTGCCAAGGGGTTGAGGAAGTGGGGCTTGATCGACGAGGATTTTGGTACCATTTGCGCTTTTGCGTCCTGAAGGCCGTTCGGGTGTCGATCATACCCGCCTAGCGTGAACTTTGTCCCTGAGAGGTGGAAAAGTGCATTCTTGACCCTTGGATCTCCACTTGATGTTTGGGATGAATTACTGCATTGGATGCATTAAACTACCACTTGTGTCATAGATGTGTCCCCCCTTGGCGATTTAGTTCATCTTTCCCAGCAAGGGACAAGGACATATCAAACATCATAGGCTAGATTTAGGAGAAGTACGTGTTCAGCTGTGAAATCCATGCATTTCCCCCTCCCCTGATCTATCATCTTTCTACGGTTATCAGTTGGTCAAACATACGGAGAACAGTAAAGCTGGAACATCCAAATGTTGGGAATTTCTCAGATCAACCTTGCCAAGCCTGTATTTTTCTCTGCTTATTGGTTGTCCTTATCATGCATCAAGCAGACCCAAAGGACCTTGAAGTTAGTGATGATCATGAACTCCCCTAGAAATGTTGCCAACCAAATTTGTCATTTCGTTGATTGCGTGCCATTTCTCATGTAGATCATTTCGTTCACATGGATGAGGACGCGTGTATGTCCCTTGGGGAGGAATTCCCCATGACGAAATTTCTTAATTGTGGATTGTTTCACAACTTCGTTCTGATTCAACATACAATGATTTGTATTCAATCCAAGGGCCACGTTAGCAATCGGGGCTTAGACTGGGGATGCTATGCAGTTCAGAAACTAGTTATTCAATATTCGGGGTTTTTGGTCGGGGAAGTACGGAGTACTGCTTGGATATCCATAATCATTGATCCAGATCCATTCGTGATGAATTGAGCAACATCCGTCTTGCCATATTCGTCCCAATCGACGCCACTTTCCAAGCCATTTGGGTCCAAATCCACAGTGGAGCACATGGTCTTCGTTCCATCGAGCGCATGGACCTTGATATTGCTGTATAGGGGGGGAAGCCCTTCAGATACAAAAGGCGCCATGGCGCCCTACTGGGTGCCACATTGGAAGTCTATTAGGTTGACAGCTAATTCTCCTGCTTCTTGTTTATACTTAACTTATTTTTGACTTATGCAGTCTTAAGATTGTTCAAACCATTTATAACATAATGTCTTTACATGTGAACACAGACTTGAAAAAGGATGCTCTTATCACAGAGCGTTCTATTCATTCCAGCAGCAGTACCAGCAGCCCTACCTTGTCTCCTACTATATCCGTTGGGAATCTTTCCGCTTCAACCACTGCCACAGACATCAATATTGAGAAGCAGTCTCCTGCACCACCACCGTACCATGTCTTTACTCGCTCTCGCAAATTGCAGATGGTCTGTATCGTCTCGCTCGCCGCCATCTTCTCCCCACTCTCCTCCAACATCTATTTTCCTGCTCTTGGAACTATATCAAAGGTTGGTACCCTAATATGTCCCATCATATATGCATTCAGTATACTAACCCTTGAATAGGAGTTGGATGTCTCTATGTCTTTGACTACCTTGACTGTCACCGTGTACATGATTGTTCAAGGCCTTGCCCCTAGCTTCTGGGGCTCTTTCTCCGATGCTATTGGTCGGCGAGGAATCTTCATCGGTACCTTTATTGTCTATATGATTGCGAACATTGCACTAGCAGTGTCAGACAATTACGGCGAGCTGATGGCTTTTCGAGCCCTTCAAGCCGCCGGTAGTGCCGCGACCATCTCCATCGGTGCAGGTGTGATTGGAGACATCACCACTTCGGCCGAGAGAGGAAGTCTCGTAGGTATCTTCGGAGGAGGTTAGTGAATCCCTTTCCATTCACAATGCTCCATCGAACTGTCATCTAACTATACCCAGTTCGAATGCTCGGCCAAGGCGTCGGTCCCGTCTTCGGTGGTATCTTGTCCCAATACCTGGGATACAGGTCCATCTTCTGGTTCCTCACTATCTTGGCTGCTATTAGTATCTTCTCGATTATGTTCTTCCTTCCCGAGACTCTCCGTTCCGTTGCTGGCAATGGCACTGTTCCCCTCTATGGTCTCCATAAGCCATTCATTTACTACATCACTGGTCAACCCGATGTTGACGAACATGCAAAGCCCATCGGAGAACAGAAAAAGGTTACCTTGAAGACCGTTGTTGCCCCTCTCGCTTTCCTCGCCGAGAAGGATGTCTTCATCACCCTGTTCTTCGGTGCCATCGTGTATACCGTCTGGTCCATGGTGACGTCGTCCACTTCACAGCTCTTCGAAGAAACCTACGGCTTGGACACATTGGAGGTTGGCTTGACTTTCCTCGGTAACGGATTCGGCTGCATGTCTGGCTCTTACACTACCGGGTACTTGATGGATTTCAACCACAAGCGAACGGAGCGTGATTATTGTCGACAGAACAACTTGCCTCTTGATACCCGCATCACGACCAAAACTCACCCCGACTTTCCCATCGAGTACGCTCGTATGCGGAATACCTGGTGGATCACCGCGCTGTTTATTGTCTGCACGGCTGTTTATGGTGTTTCGCTGCATACGCATATCGCTGTTCCGATTATCCTGCAGTATTTTATCGCTTACTGCGCTACTGCTATCTTCACTATCAATAGTGCTTTGATCATTGATCTGTACCCTGGAGCGAGTGCTAGTGCTACTGCGGTGAATAACCTGATGCGGTGCCTGATCGGTGCAGGTGGTGTTGCTCTCGTCACACCTATCATTGATGCCGTGGGCTCGACATTCGCTTTCGTTTTGTTGGCTGGTATTACATTGGCCATGGTTCCACTGTTAATAGTTGAGATGAGGTGGGGTGCTGGATGGCGCATGAAGCGCAATGAGCGCCTCAAGGCGAAGGCCGATGAGTCGATTCAGGAGTCTTAAGCCCATCTTGATTGAAAAGTGTTGCATTTGAAGCGTTTTGGTGAGAGTTCTTCAACAGGGCGAGGATATCAGGGGCGGCCCTTGATGACTGATGACTTGACTTTTTGGCGTTGGCATGGTACATATGTACATTTGCGATCTTCTTTTTCGTACTTACCTTCGGCGATTATATTTTGACTGCACCTTTGCAAGAACATACATATTTGGCGTGATCATTAGCTCACATATCCAATTATAGAAATTGTCTATTCTTACCTTCAAAAATGATGGAAATAACAAAGGGGAATTGAATAATTTATGAAACTTGTAAACTTGACATCTATGCGCTTTCTTGGTATGTACTAATTGCCAGTAACCTCGCTCTGTAGCTCCTTCAAGCGAGTCCAGCCCTCTGAATCCTCCCAAAAGTCCTTGCCCTTGCCCAGAATACCTCGCACAGCACTTCTGGCCTTGAACCGCCAGTCACTGGCAACCATCTCCGGCTCTGCATCACCTTCCACCTTCTGATCTTCCCGGTCCATAGGGCCATAATGGGCATACCCTTCACGGACAAGTTTCTCGGTAGCACGAACAACCTGAAGCCAGGGCTTGTCGTCACCCATCTGGAAAGCACCCTGTGCAGAAGCGGCAACGGTAGCACGCCATGCCTTCTCATGGGCTTCCAAGGCACGGCTGGGGCGGTTGCGGAACATTTCAACTCGGGCAACGATCAGCCATAGCGTAGAAGAGTGGGTAATAAGTGGGACGACATGATCATCGACCAAGGAAATGATCTGGCCCGGGATCGTTCCGGAACGGAAAACAGGACCGGAGTCCGACTCGATAAGGAAGTCCTTGTACTCGAAGGCTGTATTGAGGAAGTCGACAAGTGCGGCCAAGATAGGGACATCGATGCACTTCTCGCCCTTCTTTGCGCCGGAGATCTCAATAATTCGTTTTTGGGCCGTGATGACCTCGCGGAATGGTGTGGCAGGGGGCGGGATGGATGCAGCTACTGTCAGCACGTTGTCCCAAACTCGAGCGTCGGTGTGCTTCAAGGCAGCAGCGCGTTGCAAGGCAGATAAGGCCTCGCGTTTACGCTTGTAAGGATCATTTTCGATTGCGGCCTTTTCTTCGGCGCTGTCACTGGTCGCCACATCGGGTCCCTCTTCTGGTGCTGATGATCGCAGCATGGCCGCTCCCAGGTTGCTCCAAGCCTCTCCATCGGTATCATCTAGTTGTACGGTACGGGTAAATGAATTGGTGGCGTCTTCCCAGCGTTCAAGCTCGAGCTGAACACATCCAAGTGCAAACCAGGCACTGTGGTTGAGACGGTTGACGAGTAAACTCTTCTGGTAAGCGGACTCGGCCTTCTCCAACTCTGGTGGTGTGAGACCCAAGTAATGACGTGCCAGAGAGCGTTGGGCGCGAGCGTATCGCTGACCCGAGACCTCCCAAGCACGATCGTACATCTTTTCGTCCTTGTCAATGTCTCCCAGAATGCAGAACAGGCGCGGTGCATCCGCCGGCAAAGTTTCACGCTCGGGGCCCTCATATAACTCGTTTTCATCATCCTCGTCATCTCCCTTCGCCTCGAAGAGTTGACGTCGTACCATGCTCTTAGCTTTGAGCTCGCGATCGGTGGCGGCGTAGCAAAGCGCTGCCTCAGCCCACATGTGGAGTCTCTCGTAGATGTCCAACGCAGTACGGAGACCACCCAAGTCGACCCAGCGCTTAGCAAGTTCGGCCTCGAGGTTCCATCGAGTGGAAAAGTTCATGATCCAAATGTACTCCAATCGATCAGAGGCCGACGCCGACTCAGACTTCTCTGGTCTTGGCAAGAAAGTTGTGGGATCCGACGAGGGCTCTTGAGCAGCCGTATCGTCAGTCGCTGTATCCGCAATGACCTGGTCAACCAGTGCTTGCATCTGCAACACCGATCTCTCAACAGTGCGAGAACGGAAACCCTCCACGCGACTGCGGACCAGCAATGCTTCGGTATAAATCTGCCAGTTGGAACTGCCACCCTCCAAAACTCGAGTAGCATATGGTGCCGTCTCCTCGCGCGTAAGACCGTTCTCTGGAGCGGTGTTGGTGATGGCGGATGCTAAAGCGAGCAAGATGGCCGAGTCCACCGGGTTAAGAATGGGTTGATCATTAGGATCGACAGACTGCAGAACTGGAGAGAGCTCCTCGGATACGGTAGAAGATTTCTTATCGGCAAAGGAGATGGCTTCGAGGAGGGTATCATCATTCAAGTCCAGATTCTTAGGACCAGAAGGGTCTGTAGTCTTGGAACCCTCATCAGCGCTCTTGGCTAGGACCACAAGTTGACTGATATCCCGATCCTGGAACTTGGTCCGCTTTCCCAGCTTGCCCGTTAGGGCAAATTCAAAGTTCCGGACCTGGGCTGCCTGGTCAAGATCGGCACGGGCCTTGGCATCAAAGCCGTGGTGTGTGTTAATAATGGCACGCTCCAACAGGAATCCGCCTTGTTCTTCTGGGTTAAGATTCGCCTTGACCAACTCCTCGAGGTCACTGTATATAACATCCTGCAAGGTACTAGTCACCTCCGAAAGCATCTTTTGATGAAGGAAGTTGACACGCATCCGTGCAGTCTTTGCAGATACAGCGCCCTCATTTTGCGCATCGACCAGAAGGGCCTTGGCAATCGAAAATAGCTCCGCATTGGGAGTCAACTTATAAGCCGCTTCTCCATCGACAGACAGATCGCGGATGATCTTGGCGCGAACAGCTCGGAGGGTTGGCACATCGCTTCTTAGTGTAGCGGGTAGAGTTGTTTCGGCCGAGTTAAATTCCAGGGGAGGACCGGTAACATTCGACTGTAGGAAGCTGAACAGGGCTGCAAGACCGATATGCAGGAGCTGCGACTGTATTTGCTCAATCGTTGAGTCATCGCGAGGGTTCTGGAGGGCGGCGCGTGCTTGGTCGGCGACAAAGGTAGTAAAGGATATATCGGCTTTAGCAACCTTGGCGAGGGATTCGCTGTCGGAAGCATCGTGACCCAGAACCTTCTTTGCCAGGGGCAGCTCGAGGACAGGAACGATGTTCTTGGATATCAAGCGAACCGGGTCATATTGATCTTTAAGGGGTGCTGTGAAAACGCTGTCCAGCGTAGTGGGGAGAGAAGACTCGGCCATTTTAAAGGCCAAATTTGTTATAAATCCAAAATCTCAAATCCAAAGTCCAAGTCACGTAGATCGAAAGTGCGAAACCCCGCGGTCTTTTTCGATTTTTTCTTATCGATAAGAGTGTTAATAACTAATCTTTGCGTGGAACTAGCTGACTTGTTATATCTCGGCTTATAAATCATATCTTAGTTCCAATTGCCACGCACTATCAATTTACCCCTCTTTAACCCTATCACTGATGAGAGTGCTCCTTCAAAATCTGATTTAGGCCATCTCGCTGCACACATTCATCAAAGTGAAAGCTCCTTGCCAATTCTTCAAGCTCCCTCTCCTCCATCCCGTGGAATAAAGCTGCAAACTCATCCGTAAATGAAGCAGCCAAAAAGGTATAGAGCACATTACGCGTGACATGCAATTCGGTATTCCACGGAGTAGGATAGGTATCCTTGGCCGATGGACTGACACGATCAATCCAATCAAGAAGTGGCTTCAGTGCTGCCTCGGCCTCTGGGACATGCTGATGACCCCATTTGTCAATCCAGATGGCTCGCTTCTTTTCGAGGAAGGGTCGAATTGTCTGGTTCCATTTGCTCTGTGGGTTTGTATAGATCATGCCTTGCAGCCCAATATCTTTATATAGCCAGATAGACCAGTGTATGGAATATTTTTCATAGATTCGCAGCTGTTCTCCCAGCAGATTATAACGCTCCTGGTTGGTTGTTGCGGCATCAACATCCGATGCAGGATCGGAGTAAACGGGACCAAACTCGCCATTCCAGACAGGAGTGCCATTTTCAGTCATGAATTGGGCCTTACGAAGATATGATCGTTCAAGATGTTGCTTTTGCTCTGGCGTGCCCCGGTACCGATCACCAGTGGGGAATCCCATAGACTGGAAGGATGTGTCAATCGCCAATCGTAGCTCTATATCCGTAGGAGACTCACTGAATAGTCATGCATAGCATATACGCAGTTAGGCAGCACGTTATCGAACCCCTTCCACTCCATAGCAAACGTGTTTCCGTCCAGCCACAGGATATGATCCGGGTCTATCGCACGAATGGCTTTCTCCACCCGCGCATAGAAGGCAGGGAGGCGGATATGCTCTGAATCACACGGCTCATTGAGAGGGTTATATCCGGCAACCCAGGGATTTGTCTTATATCGAGAGGCGATCTGCTCCCACAACCACACAGTGCGGTCTTGATGGTCTCGATGATCCCAGAAAGCGGCATAGCTGGTGGGATTATCGGAGTGCCAATCTGGGTTCTGACCTCCAGGCACGGCATGCATGTCTAAAATTGTGTATATACCATGGGCCGCGCACTATTGACTGCTATAAGCTTGGGATATAGATGGAATGGGAGGATACTATACTGACCAGATCAACCACTCGGTCCAGATGCTTGAACCCCGACTCCTTCAGTACTCGGGGGTTCATGTCGTCCTCGAAGTGGCGGTAGTTAAACGGCAAGCGAAGACAGTTCAAGCCTAGCTCGGCGAAAAATTTGGCGTCTGCCTCAGTGAAGAAATATTCCAACCACTTATCAAAAAAGAACTGGTATTTCTGAGGCCCGAGGACTTTGAGCATGGCGGCACGATGTTGGGATTCATGACCGGGGAACCCAGTGATAAAATTCTCCATACTGGTATAACTCAGTATTGTTCAAAGTGCTTGGGAGAATTAGGCTTGACCTACTTCATCCACCCTCCGATTGCTGCTCCTCGAAGTAGCACACTCTGACCTTTATCATCGACGACTAGACCATCTTTGACCTTTAAGATTCCAGCCATCTTGAAATATGAGAGTAGATGTAATAGAAACAGAGAGAAAGAATCCAGAAACAACAGGGGCTATAAGTACTGATTCTCCCACGATTTAGCCGTAAGGCATCCGGGAAGATGTCAAAACACTGTCCGTGTACTATCGGCTAATCCCACCGCGGACTTGTATTTAGGCTGTGACTGTCTTTACCCCACACGAATCTTCCAAGGTTATAATGAATATCTCAATATTTGATAGCATTAAATAAATTGAGTACATGATCAGTGCAGGCCATCCGGGTATTTGTATCGCAATCAAATGCTGCACATCAACGCCTTCCCAAAAAATCGAAAAGAATAAAACTCCAGCGGTACACGTTTACCAATCCTGGCCACGATCCCGCATCAAAATCTCAATAGCCTCATCCTCTGGAACGGGGTTATCGTTCAACTCCTTGACGCATTGAGTCAACCCGTCCGCTGCGTCATCCACTTGCTCAGCGGTCCAACTCGTGCATGCCATCACCATGCGCCGATAATTCTGGCCCAGAACCGCATTCTTGGCCTTGAGATTATCAACTTCATCTGTTACACTAGCAAGGAACTCTTGGTAGAGATCAAGGCGGCGCTTCAGAATATCCGGCGCAGGCAATGCGGCCAAGAAGGCCCGCTGCTGCTCGGAAAACCCAGACGATGGGTCAAATGTCTCTGTGAATAAAGCGTCAAACGCTGCGACATCCACACCCGAGTCCTTGTCCGCATCACCGACAAGGGTAATTTGAGAAATATCACTGTCCTGCGTTTCCTTTAATATAGCCATTAAGCTATCAGAGGAACGATTCAGATTCTTGATGCGTCGTTCAAGTTCAACTCGCTCAGTCCCTTTCCGCTTCAATTCATCTAATTCCTTCTGTTCAATCTGACGAGCCTTAGCGGACTCACGGATCTTCCCATGCCAGTGATCAAACTTTTCTTGCTTTTGTCTTAGGCTTGAGGCTAGTTCTCGATCGATTCCTCCTAGCGCGTCTTCAACCATCGTGCTGATTTGACTCATGGTCGCTAGAGGGAAAGTTAGCAAGAAACAAGTAACATGGAAGAGAGAAATGTACCATCCAGAATTTCCTTCTTCGATTTCGCCAGCTGATCAATAAAGGAATCACCTCGACTTCCGGCTTGCTGCGACTGTGCATGACCATCAACCATATCAACACCCACTCCATAATCAGCAGGCCTAAGACCAGTGTGATTGGGAATATGAGGATCGGCGCCGACCTCCAACAGCTGTGGAACCAGGACCGAGCGTGCACGTCCAGCAAGGTTTAAGGCAGTATCTCCCTGGTCATCACGTAGGTTGACAATCTCTGAGATGAATCGACCCAGCGAGATGACACCATTCCCCTGTGATCCGTTTTGTGTACTATCGCCATTGGTGGTCGAAGATATCCCTCCGTGTCGAACGATGAATTCTAAGAGAGATTCCAGATAATGTTTTGCGGAGACATGCCCCCCACCACCTGTCGCAGCCATGACGGCAATGTGATGTAGAATGGTTCGACCCGTATAATCAACCATATCAATTGTTGGGGCAAGTATCTGGAGAAGACGTGGAAAACTTCGGTAGTCAAGGTTGTTTCGTGTTCCCACGGACTTTTGTAGGGCAGTTTCACCAACATAATTGACACGGCTGATGTTGACTCCTCTATCTACCAGCGCTTGAACCAAAGGTATGCGTGCCAGCATCGCAGCCCAATGAAGGGCGGTGTTTCGGTATTCATCAAGCGGGATCTCAAGGTCTTCACCTGACAACTGTGTGAGAGCTGGGTGGTTGGTGAAATCCTTCGCCCGCTTATCGAGAAACAGAGTCATCAGCAGCTTCATTTTTTGGAACTTTTCTGGTGTAGTGGCCGGGCCCAGAGCTTCGACACCACGTTTTTGGCCATCATCCATTGGTGGGGGTGGGAGATCAAGATCTTGGTAGAAGGAGTCATTGGGTTCGGTGGGGGTAGGTTCGTGCATAGATAAATTAGATGGCTCTCGGGGCAATCCAATTGGCGGACCCTGATGTGAAGCTGAGCGAAAACGTTTGCGAGGAGGCTCGGCAATATCATCAGTATCATCTTGAGCCAGATAGCGGTTCTGCATGCTATTGAATCCGCTGTCAGGCATGCCATAGGTGCTCTGGCTGCTAAACGCCATCTGAGACTCCTGGCTGCTCATCTGTTGCGATGGCTTGCGAACCACACTGGGGCGACGGTTGCTGGTATTTGGAGAATCGAATCGAGCTTTGCTGATGGCGTTCACAGCGGTGGCAGCAGTGCGAGATATATTTTGAAAAAAGGTTCCTTGTTGAGGCTGTGATGAGCTGCGGTTCTCTGCTCCACTGTACAACCGCTTGCGCTGTGCTGCCATTGCTTGTTCTTTGGTTGGTGTGTCCAGTGTTCCCTGGGACGGGCCACCAGGACCATCGGGGCTCATATCATACTCGAGCAGAGGTCGCAATAGTTCTTCCACATGGTATTCCCGGCACAGCTCCACACCCCTTTTGTAGTTCACCCAAGTACCTTGGTACTTTCCATAACCACCCTGCACTTTCTCATGTTCCCCGGCAGCGATTTCCTTCTCCAGGGTTTTGGTTCGGCGAGCCTTGACAACACCCGCAACTTTCAAGATCTGAGTCGCATTCAGCCATGAATCTTCACGGCGTTTCATGACTGCAATCCCGTTGACTTCCACCTCGTAGACAGGTATATTCGAGTAAACGGCCTAATTGAACTCGTGAGTCTGCAGCTTTGATCAAGGGTTGAGGGAGATGAACGAACACGATATATCTGTGGAGTATACTCCTCCTGGTAGGACATCGTCGACCCGTTATCATTTTGTGCATCATAGCCCCCATAACTATTTCGCGAAGCACCGTTGGACATATTATGAGAGGACATCTGAGAGCCTCTGGGGGGCGGAGGCGTTGCTCGAGGGGTAGAAGAGAGAGATTGGGAGTTATTCAGTAAATTGTGAATTGGTCCATTCAATGACCCAATGCTGCTTTGTGAGTAGGACATGTCGAGGTCTAGTGATCCCAGGGTATTGGTTAGTGAACAAAAAGTGACCAGGGTAAGAAAGGTGGAGAATTACCAGGAACGCGAAAAGGAGTCGCGTGGCTTACCACCCTGAAGAGGGAAAGCACAATAGGTGTGAAGCTAAAACCATGCACTTCACAAGACCGAAATGCACAAGAATGTGTCAAGAACGGGATCGAAGATCGGAGGCAAATGCAAGGCAAAACAAGTCGCGGGGTTGGGGGAAGGAAGAGCGAAAAGGGCGCGTCAATCCCGTGACCGAGCTCATCCGCCAAGGTTTTTCGCGTCTTCAAAACTGTTTTAGGGTGAGAACCTCAAACTTGAACCCCCGAGAAAAGATAATAATGGCAACACCTCGAATATCTCCCATTCATTTAAACCAACAGTCGCTTCAATGGCAACATTTACTCCGGGCGACTCTGCGGGAGTGTTCCTATCTTCCCGATCCGATTGCTCGAACCTACATGCATGGCTATGTTCTGGACCGATATCGCCGAGCCCTCGAATCTAAGCATTCAGAAGCGAAGTTGATCCGCACGGCCAAGAAAGAATTATCTCGACTCCAAAGAGCAAATGAGGGCTGGCCCCGCCCATTTGAGCGAGTCATGATGATGTCCTATGGTCGCACCGGCAAACGAAGACATGAGTTACTAGCAGATCTGATAAGCCCCGATGTTCCGACGGACAGCAATGCACTCAGAGAACTAGTCACCAAGGCTCCGAAGTTTACGGATGGCTGGGAGCCTCCAGAAATCATGTTGTCGCTCATCAAATCTCAGATGAACAACGGAACGGTCACATCGTCCCGGATTCGACCTCAGCTGAGAGGCATTCAACCACCCGTACCTAATCTGAGCAGCTGGGGTCGACCTTTGGGGCAATCTCGCAAAGTCAACATCCGACATAAATGGTACTTTGGCTCACTGTCCTCTCTTTTTCCACCGTTGCCAGATAACGAACTCAAGATTCTGGACGGTTTGATCGCCGGGACTGTGATATGGAAGCCCCGAAAGCGAAAGCAGGTAGAAGAACCTTCAAAATCTCAAGATAACCTTCTATTGGACATACTGGCAGATGGTCCCCAGAAGGATCACACTTTTCGGCCATACGCCCAGGGACGGCCGCGCAAAATCACCCCCAGGTTGATGCTCCGCACCTGGCGGCGTATCTCTTCCTACGTGCCAAGATTGTTTTGGAATGAGAAGTCGGAGAAAAAGATGAAGTGGACTTTCCATTGGAATGGTCCCAAGAAAGTACCGACGCTGGCCTTTGATGTAGACCAAGATGCAGATCTCGATGAGATTTTTGGATCCGAATCCAAGGCACCAGAGACTCCTAAACCACACAGGAAAAGAAAACATGTAAGATGATAAATTAATATAATATTCTCGACATCTGTACATATCCCGAGACATTCCAAGATTTAGATTGCAGTGCAATTCCTTGGCAGTCAGCATCACCTGAGTTACATGTTGTCAGTGCACGCCCATTCAAACAAGAACCTGATCCAAAGGAAACAAACCAGACAAATGAGTGAAACCCAACAAAATCCCTTCATCATGGCCTAGGCTACATGCAGTTGGTCCAGTCTTCAATTATGCCAGCTGATTTGCTGTATAATTCCATACATCAGCCGAACCACGGACTTAACCGGAGACCGATAAAACAGTCCCTGCAAGTCCATTTGGTCTGTTTGCATCAAGCTCAATGTTGTCAGATATAGAAGTACTTAAAAGGGCGTTCATTCATGTCGAATCATTTTTTTTGAAGGACCTCAAATCTCTAAATACTATCGTTTCCAAAGCTAGTTCTTACCTGGAAAGCTTGAAATAAGCATCATGGTTGAAGCACCCGAAATTCACGATCCCTCCAAGTTCAAGGACTTCTATGTTCACCATGAGACCTACAAAATTGTTCATGGGCATCAAATCGACCTGTCGATTCTTATCCCCAAGTTCTTGGTTGAAGATGGCGAATTGTCCGAACAGACACCATTGATCATCGAATTCCACGGTGGCTTTCTTGTCGGAGGAAATCGTATCTTTTCACCTTGGTTCTCAGACTGGTCAGTATAGGCAGTGATGTATAATGCTCGGCGTACTTATTCTTCACAGGCTTATAGAGCTGGCTTTATTCAGGCGTGCCATCCTGGTGACCCCGGATTATCGCCTTCTCCCTGAAGCAAACGGCCATGATATCCTCGCAGACCTGGCCAGCTTCTGGGAATGGTTGCCCCAGAACTTGGAGGCTAAGCTCACGAGCTTTTATCCTCTGATCCATATACGCCCGGATTTCGACCGCATACTATGTACAGGAAGCAGTGCTGGGGGGTGGATGGTCTCACAGAGCATGTTTCTTCATCCGGAAATCAATATCAAGGCGGTTATCATGTCGTACCCAATGATCAATCTTCGAGATAAATTCTGGGCTGAGAAGTATGAAAAGTCTATATTCGGATTGCCGACTGTAAGTATGATTGTTCTATGTTGGTTTTTCTTAGCTGACTCTGATGTCTACAGCTTCCATATGACATTGTGGAAACCCATTTGAAGGGTTTACCTCTGAACGCGGTATGCACCACCGATGGAGATGTCGAGGAAAGGGTGGGACTATCCAGAATCCCATTAGCGATCAGTACTGTCCAAAACGGCAAATACCTCGATCTCTTCGGTCGAGATACGGAGCTTTTTCCCTTTGAGAACTTACCACGTGCGGAACGAGTCCCCCCTTTTGTTTGGGTATTCCACGGTCGACAGGATTCTGCGGTGCCGTTCTCAGGAAGTGAGAAATTCATTGCGGAGATCCAGAAGTATAAGCCTGATGTGCATGTTAGATTTGATGGAGAGGACGGAGAGCATGGATTTGATGGCGATGGTAATGTTACTATTTCCAATGGTTGGATGAAGGAAGGTGTTAGTCAATTATTGTCATATTGGTGACTTGATCCACTTCCATGTTGCTAGAGTTCATGGAATCTCATTATGTCGAGTTTGGCATTGGTTACTCACGAATCATAATTTACCAGAGTCCATTAGGAAGCACTATGATAAACGTAGCTTTTTTGCCCGAAAAGCTTCACGGCAACTTCGGTAATTTCTTGGCATTCTTCGGTAATTATAGCAATTTAGGGTACCTGCAGAGATAGTCAAACTACCAGTGATTAACCGATCTCGGATCTAGAGATAGACGGACTAGTTGCTAGATGTAATACCATCCCCAGCTATGAACAACCTATCGCTTACTTTTTCTGGTTCAAATTCTCGGCCTGGCCGATGAGTCTCAGCTGCAGAATAACGCTAATACTAGTTGCCTCCTCATTGTCCAGCTGATCTCTAGTTTTAGAGACCGCGTCGGTCAACGTCCGGAGGCGTATTTGAATCCCCCTTTCATCAAGCCACATGCCAAGCATTTCCGTCAGGGAAAGTTTACTTATGGGACTGGAAAAAAGCCTCGCGTCGGCATGAATTGCATTCAGCTTAACCTGTGTCGGTTGATTGTGGATTTCCCGAGAAATGCGGGCCAAATCCGCTCACGCAGTACACAAGCCGAGGTTGATCGAAGGGCCGATAAAGGCGATTCCGGTGACATTGGAATGTCGGCGGCATTCAAGGCGGGCTAGTGGGGTCAAAGGGGGTCCAACAGACGGCTTGTTTCTCCAAACTCCACAACCCCGCGGTCTGGGCAGATGAACGGAGAAAGTTCTATCCCGAGTATATTCATTGCAGTTATTATGCATGGATTTGCATGTATTTTGAACAGAGTATATCTTTCTGTTGGGATAGAACTGAAACATTTGAAGAATGCAACCAATCCCATCGTGACTATGACTTGGGTTATGCGGGAGAAACCACCATATTATAGTAAGTGCACGGAGCTCCTTTTCCCCAGTTCTGGAGGCGTTTTAGTGCTTCCAAGGATTACCAAAAACGTATGATGATCGGCGGTCAACCGTGGGTTACAGTACTTCCTAAGCCATATGTGAGTATCCCTGCTCTTAGTGTCGGGGTTCCCCCCACAGACACATGGCTGACAGTGTTCCGTAAGGAATGTATTAAACATCTTTTTTTTCTCTTTTCTTTCTTCTTTTTCTTTTTCTTTTTCTCTTGCACTTCAACTCCTCTGCCGTTGGGTTTCTCTCGGCTTCCTCAACCCTATCTCCTGAGAGTCTAGCAGCCATGGCAGATACTCAAGACAAGGCTCAGCACTCGACTGAGGCGGCTGTTCCTTCACCTGATGTCGAGGAGAACATGAGCATTGGTCGGTACTTTGCTACTCGTATCTCGACCTTAAAGCCGCCCATGAATAAGGCCCCAAACCCGATTCGAGCTCTCATGCTCCTCAACTGTCAGCAATGGTTATTTTTCTTGGTATGTATGACCGTGAGCTAATAAGCTTGTGATACATACTAATAGATCCAATATAGGTCGCGTTTTTGGGCTGGACCTGGGACGCTTTCGACTTTTTTACCGTTTCTTTGACAACCACCGAGCTTGCGGAGTCCTTTGACAAATCGGTCACCGATATCACATGGGGAATTACTTTGGTGCTGATGCTTCGATCGGTTGGTGCAATCACCTTTGGTATCGCCGCCGATCGATGGGGCCGTAAGTGGCCATTTGTGGTAAACCAGCTTTTGTTTGTTGTCCTTGAGTTGGGCACCGGGTTTTGTCAGACCTATAAGCAATTCTTGGCCTGTCGCTCTCTCTTTGGAATTGCTATGGGCGGTCTCTATGGAAACGCTGCCGCGACTGCCCTGGAGGACTGTCCTCCTGAGGCACGTGGTATTATCTCTGGCTTGCTTCAGCAGGGTTATGCTTTTGGGTATCTTTTGGCAACCGCTTTTGCCCGTGGTTTGGTTGGCACCACCTCGCACGGATGGCGTCCTCTGTATTGGTTTGGTGCATGCCCTCCCATCCTTATCATTGCTTTCCGCCTATGCCTGCCTGAGACAGAAACTTTCCGTCGTCGCCAGGAGACACGTGAGTCGGTTCGCGGTGGTGTAGCCAAGTCCTTCATCTCCGAAGGCAAGGTGGCCCTTGGGCGCCACTGGCTACTGTTGTTATACCTTGTCTTATTGATGGCTGGGTTCAACTTTATGGTATGTGGTTTCTTGCCAACCAACTGATATCTGCTAACATATAGCCTAGTCGCATGGTTCTCAGGATCTTTACCCAACGATGCTGAAGAGTCAGTACAACTTCTCAGCTAATGCGGTCACCGTCACTCAGGTTGTTGCGAACTTGGGTGCCTTGTCAGGAGGTACAATCTGTGGATGGGCGAGTCAGATATTCGGCCGTCGATTCTCCATTATCGTCATCAGTATCGTAGGTGGTGCGCTGCTGTACCCTTATACCTTCGTCACGACTAAGTCTATTATGGCCGCTGCGTTCTTTGAGCAGTTCATGGTACAGGGGGCCTGGGGTGTGATCCCGATTCACCTGATGGAGTTGTCCCCAGGACCCATCCGGACCTTTGCAGTGGGTACGGCCTATCAGCTTGGTAACTTGGTTTCATCCGCCAGTTCGACTATTGAGTCAACCATTGGCGAGCGATTCCCGCTTCCACCGTCCTCTACTGGTGCCAAACGTTATGAGTACGGCAAGGTCATCTGCATTTTCATGGGTTGTGTCTTTGCCTATGTCATTCTTATCACCTTGGCTGGCCCAGAGCGTCTGGGGCGTCATTTTGATGCTGAACACGATGCCGATTTGGCGGCTGTTGCGGCCCAGCGTGGTATGGATGATGACCCAGAGAAGGCGACGGCGTCTCGGAAGGAGTGAAAATGAGCTGCTGCTTTTGCACATTTATTCATTCAATGATTTTTAGGATTGGGATTTATGATTCGATGATTCCCCGGCTTTTTGAAATAGCTAGTTCCCATGATTGATCAAATTCGCTTTCATCTAGCTCTGTCGAGCGTTCAATTCTAGATATCATGGTCTCGTCAGCAAGTGGCTTAGCCAAACAACGTGATCTACCCGGGGGCACGGATTTCACGATCTGAATCTGCTTAATTATAACAGGTCATACCGACAGGCTTGTCGGTCCAAGGGTTGAAGAATTTCTTCATATCATGCTTCGGGAGAGGAAGACTGGGTACTCACGCTTGAGGGCAATGGCTTCTCACTGCAACACGCGTCCACGGCTCGTTTGCCATGCAAAGAGGGGCCAGTGGCGTTTATATACAGAACTTGCCCATTGAACTGTCAAACCCCACACTGGAAGGATGACAACTGACCACTAGGAAGAGTTGACATCTCATCCAATTGGGGCGAAGGAGGGGGAAGTGTATCTTAGTTTCTGACTTGCTTTTGAACTAGTGCAAATCTATCGGTCGGTCACACCATCCTCCCCGGATATTGGTTATAAGACTTCCTACCTGTCCAGTGATAGCTTGCATAATCTATTGAGTGGCTGAGCTCCATTCCTGATATTTTCATACTAACTTGGTGTAACTACGCGTCCTGCAGGTACTGATCAAGCCCTAGAAGGGAATTTTGCGGTTGCCTATTCCGTACTGTGATCCAAAGCTTTGACCAGTTCGGAGTTGTTGAGCTATAGCTACCAATTTAGATATACGAATGTACTATTAGCTATTAAAAAAAATCCATCCATTTTGTCTATTGAAATGTTTCGGTAGAGAGGGTCTCATCTCCAGGTTTTACCCACTGCCAAGCCTGGTGATACCGTTTCCGTCCATTGATCAGTATTTCAGTATAGAGTAGTACTCATCGTGAGGGCAAAAAAGCATTGGAAGATGATACACTAAGTCCCAGATACCTCATATATCCATTACTTCTTCATTGGAAAGTAGAGACAAATTCATATATGGACGAGGTCTTTCCGCAGTCAACCGGTTCCTTGTACCTGTCCCACTGGTACCCTCTCTTTTTGACTTCTCCACACCCCCCAGTTTGAAAGGAAATATGAAAAAGAGGGTTTGACAAAAAGGGACTTGTTACAGAATTGTTAGGGATCTACTTGAATCGCACATTTTCTTATTCGGATGCCAAGTCTGAGCCGGGCCCCAATCGCTCTAACCCCGAAAATCGTTCTCGGGAACTCGAACCTCTCCTACCCTCATCCCCCGTCCGCATTCCAGTGCCCCTTCCCTCCCCTCCCTCCTTGAATCTGTTCGACCAGTGTGAGGTCGCGCTCTAGAGTGCCAAGAACGAATCCCCCTGTGCTGGATGAGTCCTGACTCCGCCTCTTCCAATGCACAGACGTTCGTCTGGCTCCCCTGTCGCCGACGACACTGAAGATTCATCGGCTCGATCAGACGATCATGGCTCTAATGCTATCGAAGCCCCCAACGATAAATCGCGGTCGCAGATAGCTCGTCACGGCACCAGCTTTGATCTTCGCCGAGATAACGGCAGCTCGACGCCGCGCTCGCGGAATTCGAGCTTGTGGCGCACGCCTTCGTCTCAACCATCCAACGACACCAAGCCTATGCCATTGGGCTCCCCGCGGCTTCCAATGGAGGCCCCCTCCCCCGAGGGCCGTCGTGCGCGCCAGTCCCGACAGCGCAGTCCGTGGTCGTCCTCTATTCTCACCGTCTGCACCACTTTCGTCGCCGTCGCGTTCTTATTATCAATTCTTCGATCGTTCACCGGTCGGCATACTGGAGGGGATGGCTGCGGAGTACCAATGATGAGCCCGACGTTCATTCGCATGGTGGAATTCGATACGGAACATACCCGATTCGCGAGCAAGTATAATTTATTCCTCTATCGGGAAGAGGGTGTGGATCCATATACTCAAGATAATATCGGGGTAAGGAGGTTTCGTTTGTCGGGATGGAGAGACATAAGCTGATTTTCCTTTTCTTTGCTCCCCAGTTAAATGGTGTACCAGTTTTGTTCCTTCCCGGAAACGCAGGCAGCTACCGACAGGTCCGGTCTCTGGCCGCGGAGGCGTCGCGACATTACTACGATGTGGTACGGCATGACGAGGAACGACATGCGGCCGGTACACGGAGCTTGGATTTCTTTATGGTGGATTTTAATGAGGACATGGCCGCATTTCACGGACAGACCTTATTAGACCAGGCGGAATATGTCAATGAGGCGATTGCATACATCCTCGCTCTCTACCATGACCCGCAACGGACTCGACGGGACCCCGCACTGCCAGACCCTAGTGCGGTGATCTTGATCGGTCACTCAATGGGTGGCATTGTTGCACGCACAGCCCTGACTATGGCCAACTACCAGGCCAACTCGGTCAATACGATCATCACCATGTCTGCGCCGCACGCAAGACCCCCAGTATCATTCGACTCCGATATCGTTCATACCTATAAACAAATCAACGACTATTGGCGCGAGGCCTACTCGCAGACATGGGCTAACAACAATCCGCTATGGCATGTCACTCTTGTTTCCATCGCGGGTGGCTCGCGCGACACCGTGGTGCCGTCTGATTACACCAGCATTTCGTCCCTTGTCCCGGAAACGCATGGATTTACCGTTTTCACATCCTCGATTCCTGACGTGTGGATTGGCAATGACCATCTGTCTATCACTTGGTGTGACCAATTCCGCAAGGCGATCATTAAATCACTTTTTGACATCATCGATGCCCGACGTCCAACTCAAACAAAACCCAGGGCAGAGCGCATGCGAGAGCTCAAGCGGTGGTATTTGACTGGTTTGGAGGATGTTTCTGAGAGAACCCTTGCCCAGAAAGAACCCAATACCCTTTTAACCCTCGAAGACAATGCAAACACCATCCTTGCTCTGGGTCAGCGGCTTGTTCTTCGTGAAATGGGCCAACGACAAGGCCCTGATGTTCGCCTTCTGCCGATTCCACCACAGGGTGTTGCAGGCAAGAAATTCACTCTTCTCACCGATCAGGTCATTGGTGCTCAGGGTAATATTGAAGTGCTATTTTGCAGTGTATTTCCTCTGAACAATGGCCGGTCGAACGTCTTCTCTATGAACATGGATTTCTCTGGTGGTACCGCGGGATCTACCCGATTGGCTTGTAAGAGCGCACCGAGAGATGTGATTCACTTGCCTGCTTCTACTTCTTCGTCGAAGCACGCTTATGACCGTGTCCCGCCATTCTCCTACTTCCAGTACGATCTGGAGGGTCTTGCTGAGCATCAGTTTGTGGCCGTCGTGGACAAGGCCAGCGTACCTGCGCAAGGCTTCCTGGTCGCGGAGTTTTCGGATAGCTCGGACGCGATTATCCGCGCTAAAGTGGGATTGGGCAGTCTGCTGAGTGCAGGTATCAATATGCGACTGCCCGCGAATCGGCCGATGCTCACTGAAATCAAGATCCCTGCCTTGCACTCCAGTCTGCTGGACTACCGGTTGAAGATCACACGGCATCCTCAGAAGGACGAGCTTTTTGCGCCACTCTTGCGGCAGTCTATTGCCGACCCTCATGAGTCTAAATTCTTCGTGAATGTTGAACAGGTCAATGTTAACCTCCACGGTGCTGCCCCATTCATGCCGCCTCCGCTCCGTGAGCAGGCTGCCCAGACTGGCGTGTCATTTCAATTGTGGACTGACCCTAGCTCCGGATCAACGGTCGATATCTCGCTCCAAGTTGACATTAAGAGTAGTCTTGGGGAGCTTGTGATGCGATACCGCACCATCTTTGCGGCATTTCCATTGCTAGTTGTAGCCCTTGTGATTCGCAAGCAATTCCAGGTATACGATGAGACAGGCTATTTCATCCCCTTCAACGACGGTCTCGATAAGGCTCTCCGGTCCTCTCTCCCCTTGTTATTAGTGGCGATGTCCCTTCTAGCGTCTTCCCTTGCTACCTCCAAGGCACTCCCCCAATCCGACGACCCCTTCCACTGGCGCACCAATTCTACGGAGACCCCGGTCGATTTCACCAAGAATGATCTTCTTTTGGGATCACAGGATGCGTTCTTTTGGTTTCTTGTTCCGATATTTGGGGTCATGAGTGTTGGTGTCTGTCTGTTAGTCAATTATGTGGCTCTCTTCTTGGTCAACATCTTCTCTTTGATGTATGGGGCTGTGAATAGCAAGTCTGGTTATATTCGACGTGAAGACCGAGGGTGAGTGCTTTCCGTGCTAGGTTTGCTGATTGTTGCTAACGAAGTCAGAACTCTACCGATCTTCAGTACCCCTACGCCTCGGCGCCGTGTAATTCATACTATCGTGTTGTTGGTTCTCGTTTCCACGATTATACCCTATCAGTTTGCCTACATGGTGGCCTGTATTGTGCAACTTGCGACATGTGTGCGTGCCCAGTGGCATGCCAAAGAAACTGTATGTTTTATTCCAACTCCACTCCTAGCACAACCAACACATGCTAAGTTCTGCCACAGAGATCCACTTCTCACCTCAATTTCGGCAATTACGCCCACTCCATTCTCATCCTCATGTTATGGATATTGCCTATCAATGTCCTGGTTCTTCTGGTCTGGGCCCACAATCTTGTGGTGCACTGGTTCATGCCCTTCTCCTCCCACCACAACGTCCTGTCTATCATGCCATTCCTCCTCCTTGTTGAGACTATGACCAGTGGTGCTATGATTCCACGCATCACTACCCGGTATGCTCCATTCTTGTCCCCTCTGCTGCCTTACAAACTAACATCACCAGCTTCAAACACGTCACCTCGATGATTTTCTTTGCGATTGCCATGTACTCGGCGGTTTACGGAGTCACCTACGCATACCTCCTCCACCATCTTGCAAATCTCCTTGCGGCCTGGTTTGTCGGTATTTACTTATTCGGCAACAACTTCTCCCCTCGTCGTTTGTGGCGCATCATTGATGGCGACGAGTCTCCCTCTGAATCAGGAAGCCGCCACGTCAAGAAAAAGCCATGAGAAAGAAAACCCCCCATTTTAATCCTGTTTTAACCTTGTCGAGTCTGCCTCGGCGCTGCGCATCTGGGAATGGAGTTTGAGCGTTTTGTTTATTTTTTGTACAGCACAATGCGGGATGGTCATCCTTGTTGTCTCATCACCCTCCCCCCCCCCCCCCCCCCCCAACTTCCCAGGAATGACATCATCAGCAATCCTAGACACGGTTCTGAATCTGTGTTCGGGGACTGACTGCTGCTATATCATGACCTGATCCTTTGTTTCTCCACCTAAAATTGAGGATGACATGCCGTTGCCGCTGCGTTCATGTTCCGTGACTCGGTGAGATCCTGCCCGACTCTCGCTATGGCCTGGATTTTGATCACCAAGGTCCGGCGATCTTGTGTATATATACCTCGATTGTTTTCTCTCTTCGTCTCCCCCGATCTGGACATAGATTTGTGGGGTGACAGTTAAGCAGGTGCTGTCAACGTTTTGGACTTTCTTGTATGCGTTTGGGTGGCGGTTGATACCTAAGATCCGTTTGAGCATCCCACATACTAATAGTCTTTCATTTTGGTACTGTTCTGGTGAGCTATACTGTTCTACTAGAAATGCATAGATCATGAGTTATTACAACTGTTTGATGAATGTTATCTGATTAGATTAAAGGTCCATTCATTCCAATCTTCGCTACTGCATGACCTGACTTCAATGTTGCAGGACAAATCACGCATGCATACATAATGTAGAGTTTTGCCTGTAGAGTCTTTTGAAGACTTTTCAGGGGTCGTCAGGTATCAAACGAAGCTAACTTGCCGTGGTATCATTCCTTGAGACCGGAACAGAGACGGCTGACCTCCTGGCCCCCTTTTGTTTAATGAGGTGATAGGCCTGAGCGTCAGGGCAAGGGGAAAGGGGGAGAGATAAAAGTAGCACTGGACAGGGATGTTCAGCCTTGGAGTTCATCAATGAGCAAGGGGCCATGGATCCATCAACAAGCCATGAGTGGATGCTTGTATCTCCCTATGTGGATCTACCCCGGATTTGATACATCCCATGCAATGTAGGATAGGAGGGGTGAGGATTAGTTCGGCCCCATCCACTTTGCACATGTACCCCAGGTCAGGGACCAAGTAAAGAAGTGGTCCACAGCCCCCGAATTCAACTATAAATATCGAACTAAGGACACGCACAAAGGAAGTGACCTCTTTCTCGTACTTCTTCCCCGGTGGCGTCGGGACGAGTCATGCAAAGGGGAAAATAAGTCAAAAAATTGACAAATAATAATGCAAACTCTCTTTGGTTGGTATGTCTTCTAAATCCGAACACAGCGGTAAACTCGGCTGGGCTGCGACAATGAGCATTGAACAACCTTGGAATCCATGGAACTTTAAGAAAGTACCGTTTCTAGCAAGAAAAAAAAAAGTAAGGTTAAGAGTCCAGACCCACTGAGTAACCCGATCGGTTTTCGCCGGTTTTCGCGGGGGATAAGGCGATAAGTATAGTGGCTTAGCTGGAAGAGTTTTCATGATCCATGCACTTTGATCCGATGTACTCTGTACATAGATCATACAGGGATCATACTAGCACACATCAGATCAAATTTGAAAGTGTTCAAATTGTTCCAGGTTGAACGATAAGATAAAGACAAGAACTTGGGAGCGGTGAGCCAAAAAGCGGTGATGCCAGTATAAAGTGTACAGAGTACATACATGCTACAGTACTGGCCGATAAGCTGATTAATGGCTTTAATTACCTTGAAGTGGTCCAATACAGTAATAAAAAATTTAAAAAATTTGAAATTTTAAATTTTGGAAACTAAAAAAAGTCTACCCCTGCATGTCTACTCTGTATCCGAGCCCGTAGATCCTCCTACAAGAGGTGGAATAATGCAAAATAAAGTCACCTTTAATGATCATGCTTACGATACCCTCCTTTACATGTCTATTCAGCTGTGTCAGATTCCAGACCATCAGTTTGTTGTACCCGTGAAGATACAGTAAACCCCCAAAAATAAAATATAACAATTTGAGATTCATACGAACAAACTATAAGTTTTTTTCTATCATTTTCGATGTCGGAACCCTTGATTGGATATACCGCGCATAGCCCACGCCACCTGGTCATGAAAGTGGCGAACAACAGAATTTGGCAGCGGCCCATCTGCCCTACCGCCTATGCATTAGGGGCTATACAGATATAGACTGGTAGTAAATACTGCAGTAGAGGGTCTCAAGCCTATAGCCGGAAAATACCGTAAAAATCATATTCATAACCATAGAAGCAAAACCAAAGTAATAATTTTACTTAGGTACGGAGTAGAGTAGAATACATATCAGTACTGAAGCACCCCTCCTTCCTCAACCCGAATTTTTTCCTTTCCATTTGGGGGTAATTAACCAATTAAATTACAAGGATTGAGCATGAACCAATCGGAATCAAGTATAAATCACGCTAAACCCAAAGCAGCTGGGAACAAAAAAATTTTCGATTTCACACCTTGGGCGGCGAGAGGGCCACACGATAAATAATCTTGCCCCCCCTTCCGCCCCTCCTTCTCCCACTTTCCTCCATCTTGTTGTCTTTTTGAGGTCTGCCTCCTTGTTTTCTTTTTTTCCTTCTCTCTGCATAGACAGATAGAAGAAAAAAAAATAACCTCGCTCATCTGAACAGAGCGTTGCTGTGTCCTGAAGAATAGGCACAGCTTGGGTTATATCCGTGATACCCATAGAAAAGTCTTTCTTTTCGTTATCTTAATTTCTCTTTTTTTTCCTCCCCTCCTACCGTCAAAATTTCCTCCAAAATGCCTGCCGTCGATGTTTCCAAGGTCCCTGCTACCTCCAGCAAGGAGGTTGCCCAGTCTGTGGCCGTCCTCGAGGACTTGATCAAGAACCTCAACATTTCCACCAACGCCGAGGAGGTCAACGCCGCCGCCGGTAACCTCGCCACCCTCTTCAGCGGTCCTATCCCCGAGCAGACCCTGCCCGCCAAGGCCGCCGAGACCTTCAAGAAGCAGCTCGCTAACAAGAAGGATGCTGTTGCCCGTGAGCGTGCCCTCGAGGGCATCCGGGCTATTGCCTCCCACGGCACCATTGCCCCCGGTGTCGAGCCTCACCTTGCTGAGCTCCTGGGTCCCGTCCTTGCCGCCGTTGGTGACAAGGTCACCCCCGTCCGCGAGGCTGCCCAGAGCACCGCTGCTGCTATCGTCCAGGCCATCAACGGTAACGCCGTCAAGGCTATCGTCCCTACCCTCCTTGAGTCCATCTCCAACGCCCAGAAGTGGACCGAGAAGATGACTGCTCTCACCTGTCTTGAGCTGCTCGTCGAGTCCTCCCCCGCTCAGCTCTCCTACCAGGTCCCCAAGCTGATCCCCGTTATCTCCGAGGCTATGTGGGATACCAAGGGTGAGATCAAGAAGGCCGCTTACGGCACTATGGAGAAGGTCTGCGGTCTCATTGTCAACAAGGATATTGAGCGCTTCATTCCTGAGCTCATCAAGTGTATCTCCAAGCCTGAGAACGTCCCCGAGACCGTTCACTTGCTCGGTGCCACCACTTTCGTTTCCGATGTCACTGGTCCCACTCTCGCTATCATGGTTCCCCTGCTGGACCGCGGTCTCGTCGAGCGTGAGACTGCCATCAAGCGTAAGTCCGCTGTCATCGTCGACAACATGTGTAAGCTTGTCGAGGACCCCCAGATTGTCGCTCCCTTCTTGCCCAAGATGTTGCCCGGCCTGAACAAGAACTTCGACACCCTCGCCGACCCCGAGGCCCGTGAGAAGACCCGCCAGGCTCTCGACACCATCACCCGTGTCGGTCAGATTAAGGATGGCAAGATCCCCGAGATCTCCACCGCTGGTGACATCTCCACCGTCTCTGCTATCCTCAAGGAGATCCTGGAGCCCAAGTTCAAGGAGCGTATTGCTTCTTGCGAGACCATCATCAACTACGTTGCTGCCATCGCTGGTCAGCTCGTTGACGAGAAGGACGCCGATGCCACCATCTGGACCCAGAACGCCCTCCCTTACATCGTTGCCATCACTGGTGAGGAGGAGGCCAAGCCCATTGCCGAGGCCCTGCGTAAGCGTGCATCCCCCGATGCCGCTGCCGCTGATGAGGTTCCCTCCGACGAGGAGGAGGGTGTTGATCTCTGCAACTGCACTTTCTCCCTGGCCTACGGTGCCAAGATTCTGCTGAACCAGACTCACCTGCGTCTCAAGCGTGGTCAGCGCTACGGTCTCCTGGGCCCCAACGGTTCCGGCAAGACCACCCTCATGCGTGCTATCAACAACGAGCAGCTCGAGGGTTTCCCCAAGAAGGATGAGGTCAAGACCGTCTACGTCGAGCACGACCTGGACTCTGCCGATACCGAGCAGACTGTTATCGGCTGGACCGTCAAGAAGCTCAAGGAGGTTGGTCTCGACCCCGTCGAGTCCGAGGTTAAGGACAAGCTGGTCAACGAGTTCGGCTTCCAGGAGGCCCAGCTCGATGGTGCCATCACTGCCCTCTCCGGTGGTTGGAAGATGAAGCTCGCTCTGTGCCGTGCCGTCTTCGAGAAGCCCGATATTCTGCTGCTTGATGAGCCCACCAACCACTTGGACGTCAAGAACGTTGCCTGGCTTGAGGAGTACCTCAAGTCCTCCCCTTGCACCTCCATCATGGTGTCTCACGACTCCCGCTTCTTGGACAACGTCATTCAGCACGTTATCCACTACGAGCGCTTCAAGCTCAAGCGTTACCGTGGTTCCCTGAGTGAGTTCGTCAAGCGCGTTCCCTCCGCTCGCTCCTACTACGAGCTCGGTGCCGGTGACATGGAGTTCTCTTTCCCCGAGCCCGGTTTCCTTGAGGGTGTCAAGACCAAGTCCAAGGCCATCATCCGTGTCTCCAACATGTCCTTCCAGTACCCCAACACCCCCAAGCCCCAGATTCGGGACGTCACTTTCCAGGTCTCCCTGGGTTCCCGTATTGCCGTCATTGGTCCCAACGGTGCCGGAAAGTCTACCCTCGTCAACGTCCTGACTGGTGAGCTGATCCCCACCACCGGTGATGTCTACCAGCACGAGAACATCCGTATTGCCTACATTAAGCAGCACGCTTTCGCTCACATCGATAACCACCTCGACTCCACCCCCTCCGAGTACATCCAGTGGCGTTTCCAGACCGGTGAGGACCGTGAGACCATGGACCGTGCCAACAAGATCGTTACCGAGGCCGACGAGAAGGCTATGGACAAGATCTACAAGGTTGAGGGTACCCTCCGTCGTGTCATCGGTATCCACTCTCGTCGCAAGTTCAAGAACACCTACGAGTACGAGATCTCTTGGGCTCTGGGTGACAACATCGGCATGAAGTCCGAGAAGTGGGTTCCCATGATGTCCGCTGACAACACCTGGTTGCCCCGTTCCGAGATCATGGAGTCTCACTCCAAGCAGGTCGCCGAGGTTGATCAGAAGGAGGCCCTCGCCTCCGGTCAGTTCCGTCCCCTTGTCCGTAAGGAGATTGAGCAGCACTGCGCCAACTTCGGTCTCGACAACGAGCTCGTTTCCCACTCCCGCATGCGCGGTCTGTCCGGTGGTCAGCGTGTCAAGGTCGTCCTCGCCGCTTGCTCTTGGCAGCGCCCCCACGTCATCGTCCTGGATGAGCCTACTAACTACCTGGACCGTGACTCCCTGGGTGCTCTGTCCAAGGCCATCAAGTCCTTCGAGGGTGGTGTTATCATCATTACTCACTCCCGTGAGTTCACTGAGAACCTGACTGAGGAAGTCTGGGCCGTCAACGACGGTGTCATGCAGCCCTCCGGCCACAACTGGGTCCAGGGTCAGGGTTCTGGCCCCCGTCTTGACGCCAAGGGCGATGACGAGGAGGACAAGTTCGATGCTATGGGTAACAAGATTGTTGTTGAGAAGAAGAAGAAGCTTACTGGTGAGTTTTACTTTCCCTAATCCCCGGGATTTGTCTCTTGTGTGCATGATTGCTAACCTATGCTTCCAGGCTCTGAGCTCCGCAAGAAGAAGAAGGAGCGTGCCGCTCGCCGCAAGCGTGGTGAGGAGGTCTTCTCTGACGAGGATGACATCTAAGTCATTTAAGACGGGATTACTGTCTTTTTATGGAGTTTATGACTTTGTTTAATGAATTTCATAGTTGTTGATGAGGACAAAAATACATTTCATGCTGTTCAGACTTTCAAATGATTGTTTTTCCACGTAACTTCTGTAGTGTTTGTTTCAGTCTTGTTCAAGAACTGCTAGTTCCATTCAAGTTTATGTGACATGTATGCGTAATGCTGATCTTCCTCTAGAATCCATGCTTGGCCTTCAGCTCCTCGACGAGCTTAACGTATGCCTCCTTGGCTTCCTCCTGGGTCATGCCCTTCTTCTTCTCCCATGAATCCCACTTGTACTTCTCCTAGTGCAACGGGTGGTGTTAGAAGATAATCTATAACACAGAAATGGAGATAGGAGTAGTACCTTGAAATCAAAAGCACCAGGCCGAGTTGTGTTCACGTCACCGGTCGTTGCCTGCTTGAAGAGTGCGTAAAGCTTGAGGAGTCAGTATCGAGAACCAGGAAGACATAGCAGTGATGACATACCTCTAACAGCTCATCGTTTGTTGGCTTGGCCTTGAGGTTCTTGACGTCAAGAGCCGCTTGATCGAACTGCTCATCGATGGTAGACATAGTGAAGTTTTAGGTGATAGGAAAGCGTTGAGTTGAGGTTGTTGAATGGCGGGGTTTGTAAGGAGAGAGATTTGCTGATATGGTCTACCCCGCTATGCCGAGACTTATGTCAGCATACAAGCTTTGTACACGAACTGGTCAGTTTTCATACTTCTAAGAGTACTCCGTACGCCCTTAAGGTAGTCAACTTCTCACTGTTCTTTTCTTTGTTTCACATCTTCCTTTCAACCCGAGGTCGGAATGATCGGCATCACTGATAGGGTCAGTTCTCTATTCCGACGGTTACAATATCCCCCATACTCACAACAGATAGAATAATCCTGAGCACAAAGCTGAGGAAAATCGTCCTACTGTCAGTCAACATGGTCAATTCGGATAGTGTTATTGTGTCACCTACACGATCAAATCAAATTTCTTATACAATCTGAGGAGCCAGGATCCTCCCAACCCTTTGAATCACCAGTTAATCCCACTCGATGAAAAGCTCCTTATCCTGGGAAAGCAGCTCCTTCGGAGATCCGACTACCTCGAAATCAACACTGAGAGGTACAGAACTTTTACTCGCGACCTCGCATCCTTGCAAGCCGGATATGACAAACAGGGTAATAAAAATGAGCCCAACGCTATGAATGATTGGTTGCAGGATATGAAGGGACATGCCCAGAAATTGAAAATGAGCTTAGAACAGGATGAGGCCGAAGTCAATGCATTGGAGGATCAGTATCAACGAGGATTTCCATGATCGGTGAGGTATATGCCTGCCTGTACTGAGGGCATTCTGATTCCGCGAAACCAATTCCCAGTCTTGGGGGAGTCTGATCCCATCTGAGCTGGGGCAGTGGGTAGCTAGCAAGGCTATTGACTTTTGACTCTGCAGCAAGAGTGGAACTCTAGTTTGATGTGTTCTGATGCATGCAAGATCCCGAAAGTTTCAGTAACCGCAGCCCCTCACCGTTGTGCTTATCTGCATAGGATCTAGATATACTCCAGTCATGATCGCAGTGTAAATTCGAATGATATCGAATGATTGTTAGTAATTACGTTTTGCTTTTTTATTCATTGATACATTACATTGTCAGTCTCTAGGTAGAGAAATGATAAATTACACTGTATATCAGCCTTGTAACGGCCCAACCTTAACATCAGTTCGCCTTTGCAACTCATCCAGCTCATCTTGTTTCCGTTGCAGCTTCCGTTGCTTGACCGCGATTTCCTTGAACCGTTTCTTGCCCCCGAACTTCAGCTTGGTGATAATATCAGTCGCTTGACCGCGTGTCAGATCTCCAACCTGCAGGTTCCCATCTCGGATCCGGGCTTTGTTCAGCATTGCGATCTGCGCTGCTGTGGCTGGGCTTTGTCGCCAGGGTTGCCGTGATGAGATATATCGCTTCTCAAACTTGTTGCCAGCATATGTATCAGCTGCGCGGACAGCAGTTTCCAAGTCTGGCCCTGATGCAATCAGCCGTGGACGGGTGAATTGAAGTTTCTCGGACGTTGGGTCGTTGAATTTCATGACGTGGTGCACCGCGAATACGTCTTTCTTTTGCTCAATAGTCAACCACCCAGATGATTCCGATAGTAAATACTTCATATTGTCCACCCGAACCCAGGAATTTTGGCTCAGCGACCTGATATGTCTCTCAGACTGCGTATCTTCCAAAAGATCGTAGACACTGTCGTATTTGGTGAACTTAATGTTCATGTTTCCATCTGGTTCATCCTGGGGTTCTGTATGTAGTTCCAGGTTGCTCTCTTTCTGGCCTTCTCGGATATCTTTCATACTGGTTTTGTCTAGGACTTCATCGGGGTGGAGACCAAAGAGCGTCGGGGTTGAAAGGACGCCAGTTTCCAATGCAGCAACCATGTCAATAATGTGACAGTCCTCCTTTCCGGGGAACAGACGTAACCCCCGCCCAATCATTTGAATGAGCAGGTTTCTGGATCGGGTAGGTCGCGCTAGGAGCACGCAATCAATGTTTGGAATATCAGTGCCCTCCGTGAATAAACCACAATTCAAAAGGACTGGAAATTCTTGATTTTTAAAGGCATCAAGTTGCTCTGACCGGACATTTTTATGTGTGGTGGCTGTGATGTAGCGAGCATCAATGCCGTGCTCACGAAACGTCGCAGTAAGCTGTCGGGCATGTTCGACGTCCACACAAAAGACCAGGGTGGATTTCCGGCCCTCCGCATTGGCCATCCATGCTCGGACCGTGATATTGTTAGCATTGGTTGTGTTGACCGCTTGTGAAAGTGAGCCCAGAGCAAAGTCACCAAACTTGTCCTTTTTGACACCTGAAAGATTCACTTGTGACTTGACCGTCGTGAAGACCGCATTGGCCAGCCAATTGTCACCGATCATGTCAACATAGTCTTTGTGATAGACAATGTGATCAATGGCGGCGCCGAGTTTTAGCCCGTCGAATCGTGAAAAGGTCGCGGAGACTCCAACAAGCACCGGGGCGTTGGGGGTGGGTTCGTTCAGTCCGAAATAACCCAGAACCTCGCGATACGATCGTGCCACAATGTGGTGTGCTTCGTCCACGAGAATGAGTTTGAACGCTCTAGGATCGAATTTGGTGACACGTCCTCGGGAGAGAGTTTGTACGGACGCGATGATAATGTCGCCATGTCCGCTGGCTACATTTTGTCCCATCTCAACCTCCACAACCTTGTCGGGGTATGCAATTCTACAATGCTTCGCTGCTTGTTCGACCAATTCGCGTCGGTGGACAATAATCATAGTTTTTGTTGCTGTCGCATCGTGTGATGGAATTCGGTTGATGAGTTGCGTGAATATGACCTTTGGAGAACGGATCAGTATGGCTTTTTTTTTGGAATGGTGAAGATAACTCAACCAACCGTTTTCCCTGCGCCGGTAGCTAGTGATATTCCGAGACGTCGGTGGCCCTCGCCTAGGTACTTAAGTACCGATTGGATACTTTCCTCCTGGTAGTCACGGAGAACGATTGACCTGGGCGGAGAAAGAGTGGCGTTGAATCGCACATTGTACCAGCAATGTGTAATCGCACATCTTCTTGGTGGTCTCCTACACCTCGAGATCGAGAGTAAGCCAAATTTGCGAACGAAATCCATACAAGAAAAGAATGTAGTGAAGTTGAAGCTTGACATGAAAGGTCACAAACAGTGCAAACATCCTTATCGATAAGACGGCGGAGCTTCGGCTTTCAACTTTTCTCGACATTCAACACTGAACCCTCATCTTATCTCGCAGACGTGGCTGTGATGTTCTGTCTCCAGTTCGCTCTGCGCTGCGAGTCTGCGAGTCTCCCATGATGAGCAGCATCTCTTCTTTCCAACCCGACAACTCTGACGACTCTGATTTCTCCCTCGAGCCCAATCGTGGGCGGCAGCAGCGGCGCTCTAACTCTCGATTTGAATCCTACAGCCTCAAATTTCCAGTTTCCCAAGATCATAGTCCATCACAGGATCATGCAAATTATAAAACGGAGCGGGGAGGGGGGAACGAAGATGAACCAAGTTCGCAAAACCGATGGGAACAACGCGATGCGCTTCTCGCGGATTTGAACGAAAGCTCCTTGGCTCAATACACCACGCTTTTCGAACAAGTCGAGAGCGAGATATTATCCGCCAAGTTCACAGAGACTAACGAAACGTATACGGATGCCCAGAATGGTTCAATCGCCTGGACATCAACCGAAAAAGCACTACTCTTCAAACTCCTAGACAGGAACGGCAAGAATGGAATCAAGCAGATTGCCGCCATTCTGGGAAGCAAGTCAGAATTGGAAGTGCTGGATTATCTCAAATTGCTCCAGCGTGGCTTAGAAGGCCAGCATCTCTTGGATAGACAACTCAAAACAATAGTCATGGGTGATATTCCCGCTGCTATGGAAGTCAGCAAGGAATGTTGCGCCGAGCTAGATAAATATGCACGAGTACTGGCAATGAGAGAGGACCTCGACCTGGAGTTGGCGTGTCGAACAACCTACGATGAAAACGCGATTATTGCCGATGCCCAGGCCAGGAAACTTGTTGCAGAAGAAGTGAATCCTCCCCTACGAGGGAGAATCGATCTCGCTGCGAATTTATTGCATGTACCAGGCTGGACACAGCTCTCTGAGACGTTTTTCATGAATTTTGGCGGCTCAAGATCCGAGGATTGCTGGAGTAACGTCGTTCAATCAAGATCAGAGTCCCCCGCTTTGTACGGTGAAGCTCTCATGGACTTCTATGCTCTGACAATGAGCGTAACTCGCCGATTGATTCAATCCGCTATTTTCTTTGCCATGTCACGTCTCAATGGTCTACATGCAATGGGTAGAGAAAGAAGAAGACTTATTCGAAAGAGAGATGTGCGAGCTGCCCTTGACGTGTTAAATATGAAACCTGACCGAGCTGGCTTCTTTGTCGATGTTGCGCGTCGAAATCGTCTGGTCATCACAGATACCGTGGATGGCGAGGAACAGGTTGTTAGCTACGATGAGGCTGAGGAAATTCTCCAGGAGGATGAAGACTCCAGCTCTGACTCCGATCAAGATGATATCGCAAGTGGATTGGAAGAAAATGACAGCGAGACTAAATCGGATGCTGTGAATTCAGAGCACGCTCCACTTCCGTCCTCTCCACCTACATTCCCCACGGCCACGTGGGACAAGATACCCCTGGACCTCGAAGAAGAGCATGCAAACCTCCTTGACCGAGAAATGAGTCGCCGCGAAGAAATCAACCTATGGTGTCTATTGGAGGAGCCCGTGCCATCTCATCTTCAGCATTCTCTCATTCCAGAAAACGAAACAGAAACAGATACGCTTGCGCGAAGGCCTCCAAGTGAACGCAAGTCAAGGGAGGATCTGGTTGACTGGCGTGACCGAGTTCTCTACCGAAGTGAATGGGAAGAGTACGGGGATGGTATTCAGGATCTCGAAGACGAGCTGGCTGAGAACCGACGGAAAAGGCGATGGGATATGTATGAGGAAGATTTACTGGAAGAGGAATCTGAAGAGAAAACAAAAAGACCAAGAAGAATAAGAAATCGAAGAAAAAGAAGACCTCGGGTCCTTTATCTGTCGAAGTCATCCAGATTGATGATTCATCTGACGATCCTGGAGACGCAGCGGAGGAAAATGAAGGTCCAAATGAAATGAGCGAGGACCTTATGAATGTGGATGAACCCAGCTGTCCTCCAAATGTTGTTGAGGCTGCGCTCTCTGAGCCTGCAGAATACTTATCCTAGTACCTCTTTAAGCATGGAAATAATGTATATACCCCAATTGAACAGCCTTTTACATGCAAACAAATACTACGCAATAACACAAGAAGCATTTCTATCATGGATATCTGATTGGAGAAAGAATAAACATTTATGAAAATAGGATACAAAACCCTTATCCTCAATGGATCCATCTCCTTGGAAAGAAAAAAAAATAGAATAAAACCTAAACTCATCAGGTCTTGCAGGGAAAATCAACTCAAACTCCAGCAGATAATAGAGAACTGCGCCTTTTCCTAGCCAAAAAAAAAAAATCAAAAGATTCATAAACACCACCAGATCAAAGTGCCCTCCCGCTCTCACTTCTCCGCACATGGGATATCGTACATGCATTGAGGAAGAAGTTACAGTTCGAGGGTTTTGAAATCAGCACCTGTCTCAGCGCTCAAGGGCTGAACACCAGCACGGGCGTCTCCGCCAATGGGCTGGAAGTTGTAGTGGTTACCAATACCAGCATTGGCGGCACTCGCGAGCATAGTGTTGGTGTGCTCGCTGGGACCCTGGAGACTGACGGCCTGCAAAGCATCCTGTGCCTCCTTGACGCGCTTCTTGAAAGCCATGCGGTCCAGGAAGAGCTGCTGGCGTGCCTGTTCCAGCTCCCGACGCTCAACTTCGATGATCTCCTCCATCTCGTTGAACTGTTGCAACTTGAGCTCGAACTTCTGCAGAGTTACGTTTACCGCAGCTCCAACCAACCGAGTCATTTCACGCTCTTCGTGTGAAGCAAGAGCACTGGCGCGGGCAGCAGATGCTGCCAGAGTAACGGTGGCCAGCGACTCCTTGGGCTTCTCAGCCTGCTCAGCTTGGCGTATGGGATCAACATCCATCGAATCTTCAGCCTTGACTGACTCCTCGCCCTTGCCATCTCCCTTCTCCAGCTGACTGCGGAGCTCCTTGCGGATCTCCTCGACAGTACGGCCGGCGGCGGCGGCAGCCACCGTGGGCTCTGCCATCTGAGCCAAATATGCAACCACAGAAAGCACGGGGTTCTCTGTCGCACTGATCGGCTCCCGACCGGGGCCGGAGCGAAGATCAGGCAAGTCTTCAAGGTACTTGTCTTCAATCTCCAACTGCAAGAACTTCATCACACACTCCTCACTAGTCCGAGTACCCACGTGGTTGGCAATCTGCTCCCAGTTGTCATCAAAGCTCTCCAAGGCCTCCAGGAGCAACAGCAGCTCAGAGTCCGACCAGGGCGCATCCTTGTCAGGCACGTGGGTGTGTGCTTTATCCTCCAGCTTGACGAAGTCTGAGGCGTTATGGCTGGAAGGCATACGGCCTTCGAGGAAGCAGTTAGGGCACATGTCATATTTTGTGTTCGGGGCGTTGGCATTGGCTGAGGTTGGGGCAGCCTTGGCATAATGGAACCGAAGTCGTGTGCAATCAATACCGCAAGAAAAGCAGTGAGACTTCTTCCGAGACTCTTGAGACTCGGTTCCGTTCGTGTCGCCGTTAGTTTGCTTTTCCTTGTCCGAGAATGGGGTCACGTCCTTGCCCTTGTTATCGTAGATATTACGGCGGAGGTCGAGACTGAGATCGGCCTTAATTGCGGGAGTAGCAGAGGCGGCGCGATCGGTTGCCGGGAGAGGCTTGCCAGAAGAGACTGAAGGGTGGGGGCCGGGCTGGAAGGGTTGCAAGCCACGAGGAGTGTCTGCAATAATACGGAAGTGGCCGGTAAATGGCGGGCCAATGTTGGATGGTCGAGTTTGAGGGTCAACCTTGGAGGATTTTTTAGCAGGCCTAAAAGAGAGAAGATCGCGAAGCAGTTCTTACCTGGTAATTGATCAAACCCCACTGCTCCAAGAACGAGTGAATCCGCATAATCGCACAGACATCACCAGCAAGATTGCGACGGCAAGCGGTCACAGTCAAATATTCGATAGGGTTCAATCGGTAGGTGTTGATCATGAAATCACGGTAGTCCTTGTATGTAGCCGGAGTCTTGCTGCGGTTTCGGCCATTGAAGAACTCTGCAAGTGCCTTCTTCTCGATTTTGTTGATGGTGTTCATATCGAACCAGCTAGCATAGCTGGGGAGAATGATGGCGTGTGTTTGTACAGCAAGGTGGTTACGGGCAGAAGCCTCTAAGGATGACTTGGTCGGTGCGGGTTGGTCTTCACCCACAGCATCTTCAAGACCCTCGGTGGCATCAGCGGGGGGTTGCGACTCTCCTGCAGCATCCTCCAAGCCCTCTGTATCGCGCTTAGCGTCTGTCTCGGTACCACCCATCTCCTCGTCCTCCGGCTCAGCATCGCCATTCTGGGGTTTAGGAGAAGCAGGAGCATCGAGGGGGTTATCAGATCCGGCGGTTTTCTCAGCCTTCTTCTCGGGCGACTCCTGGCGTGATTGCGCCTCTGTTGTTTAGTGAGCCACTGAGATTCATTTTAGGGATGGTTGGAGAGGGGCAAATTACCAGAGCCACTTGCAGCGTGGGATGCATCCGCAGCAGCGTCCGATCCAGTCATAGACTGGACATTCTCCGACGCGGCAGGGTTGACTGAAATGTCATCCATGATGATTCAAGCAAAGAAAGCAGCTATCGCGGGCGATAGAAGATCGACTCCTTGTCTGTCGAGCGCAGTCGTTTGCACAATGCAACGGGTTACGCGTTGTTGATAACGAATTTAGCTAAAATAATTGGAGAGCAAATGACCCAATCTGATGGTAAATCAGGGGAAGGGGATGATTGGACCGGGTGCTGGATCAATGGGGAAGAGTAGGTGGGTGTCGCGACACGGAAAACTCGCGGTTTCGCCAAGACTGGCTTTGACCGCCTAATATGAAAACGGCTTAGCGTAGTTATCTACTTCATCTTCATCTTTCATATCTTCCAGATGTCTACGATCATCACTTGGTTAAGGGGAATGTTCTTTGCAGGTCGCTTGGAGTATATTGATTGTATTTTAATTTGATATAAGTGAATCGTTTCATCTGGGCAGGAGATGATTTCCTTTGTCTATGGCACATGCCATCCTAGACTTGGACCCTTTCTTAACGACCTGCCGCTGCCATCACCTCGTCGCGTTCCTTCATGGCTTTTGCAATGGCCGAACGAGCCAGCTGGCGATTTAGCCAAGCATTCAAATTCGGGTAGTCCTTCTCCAGGTCGATTTCGAATAGGGCAGTAACTCGGTACCATGGAATAAAAGCGAGGTCGACATAGCTGAACTTCCCGCCAACAAGGTATTCCTTATTGGCTAACTCACGGTTGAGTACACCGGAGACGCGGCGAATCTCATTCACGTAGCGATCCTTGGCACTCTGGATCTTCTCCGAGTGGTAGAGGGTGAACCACACGGCTTGGCCGAAGTAGGGGCCCTGACCGGACATCTGGAAGTGTAGCCATTGTTTGGCGAGGAAATAATCCTGAGAGCCAGCTGCAAAGCTAATCTTGTGGTCTTTGTCATATTTCTCCACCAGATACTCCAAAATAGCGCCGGATTCCCACAGAGTGATGCCGGTGTTGGGGTCTTCTATTGCTGGGACGCGGCCGTTGGGGTTGACAGACTCATAGGGCTCTTTCTTCAGATCAGACAGAGCAACGTTCTTGGGATTGTAAGGAATTCCAAGCTCTTCGAGGACCATGACCACCTTCCAGGGATTGGGGCCAGGTCCGTGGCCATACAGAGTAATAGGTTTGAGAGACATTGTAATTTGGGATAGGTTGCAAGTCGAAAGTCAAGTGTGAAAGATCTTTGGTTAATACTTGGAAGAGAAGGTACTTGAGCGCCATTTTTAAAGCTGAAATTGTGATATCCTGCAGATATCGCCCCCTTTGTTCATGGGATGACCCGATTATTCATGTCGCTCGGCACTCGGGAATGCTGACAAATGACAGATTGGTGAGCTTTCTCCGATCTTCATGATGACTGATGAGCTTGGGGAATTCAGGAGCATCAGATCACTCAGTGGCCTAAGCTTGACGCGAAAGTTATTTGTTGCCATGGGTTCAGTTAGATTTAGATGTATGGGGTTGTCAACAGAGTACTAACGTACTTCACGGGCGGGTGGGGCCACACACGGGCGAGTGGGCCAACCTCAAACACCATAGTATATAAATGCGATATTTACCACTCAACTATCTCAACAACGCCATTTTAATCTATTCCATTACTTGCTGATAGATATTACCAAAAGTTAAGAGAAGTTTCTACTAATTTCGAATAAACAGAACTCTTGTATTATCACGATACCGAAAATTAGATCGTCAGACAATGAGATATATATTCCAGTCATCAAGTCAAGAAAATTGTCATAACTCCATGAAGGGACTATATGTAGATGTAGCTATCATATAGAGAGAACTAGACTTTAAGAAAGCAAGCTACTACAGACCACAATGTTCTTGTTGAGATAATGAGCCAGCTGTAAATTATCTCATTCACTGTGGTCTACCGTACGTTTTAGATGTATGGGTCAGTTTTCAGTATCAGTCAACTGGTCCAACTATCCGCAGATCAGAATTGATGACATTCATCCAGGACGCGGGGTAGCACTGACACGACAACGCACTCAATATCTTTGTTTTACGAAAAACTCCATGTCGTGGTAAGCTAAAAGAGCGAAAGTGTAGACAATTTGATGGATCGAAATTCTATCATCGTATATGCAAATGCCTTGTCTGCATCTAACACACTTCAAAGAGTCATCTCTTAGTTTGGAGGGCGTGGTTACTAATATTGACTCACGATGATCTGACCAATCAGAAAAAGAAAGGTCCGATACCAAAATGTGGTTTTTGACATTCACCTTATTCAGGATTTTTTTTCAAAGTGCAAATGTTTACTAGCAAATTTGCCTCAATCAGGTGTCATTGAGTTATGGTCGGGCTTAGCATCGGAGTAAAAAAATCAACCTTCGGACTAACCGTCGGAGTAGATGTCGGACTAGGTAGCTGGCACCACGTGTTCTGGCGTCAGATTCTAGATTTTCTTAATTTGAATTCACCCAATGAACTATGATTGGAGCTTCCACTTTTTACTCGAAATTTGGAAGTACCTGGGCAATGACAAACATCCCGTTTAGCCTAAGCAAATCGACATCATGTACGTTTAGCATACATCATGTCGTATTTTTCTATGAAAAGGTTCTGGCCGGTAGTATGGCCGCTGGTAGCCGCGACCAAGTTTCTATAGAGACCCATATTACGGGAACATGTGGAGGCTCTGATGAAAATTTCTTTAGCGGATGGATTTTAACGGGAAGTGGAGTCGCTTTGATTCAAGGGAGCATAGGGTATACGAATGATCACATGGATGCTTGATTCCTAAGCTTCAATGACGACAAGAATAAATTTACTAGGCTGCCATAAAGCTTAGGCATCAGCGTGGCTCATTTGAGCCTAAGACGTATGAGTCAATAGACCAGGTAGGCTTAATGCCGCGCAAGCTTTCAACACGATCGCGCCCTTTCGTGTTGGTTGGAAGAGGGTCCAGAACATAAGGGTGGACGATCAGGAATTTAGCGCCCAATGTCGACTACCGAATGAGGAGCCCGCAGCATCGGGCTCACCAATTAGGTTTAGGCTCGAGGCTCATGGCCTTACTTCTCTATAGTAGAGGATGCTTACTGGACGCCCTTTCTTACTTAGGGGGAATTGGTCGTCTAGTTGCCTTCGTATACCGAGTCAGAACAGCCGAAACTGTAAAGGAATAATTCGAGTAAAATTGAGGTCTATTGTAGTCTACAGTTTCGGGTTTGGGTTGGAGTTTTCTTTTCAACGCCGAGATCTAGTCCGATGTGAAGTCCGAAGCCGCGGGTCTCCACCATCCGCTTACTCTGACGTCGATTCCAGGCTTCAAGGAGTATTTTGAGCTTCGACTCATGATGATGGGCTCGGACATGTGGGTCTGAGGGGTTTTTATTAGATTTTTTTTTATAATCTTTTCTTTTCTTTACTTCGGAGTTGAATCTATATAAGACCACTTATCCTCCCCAAACAAAATGACATTTCCAATCCATCAAAACACAAAGATCTATCTTCATCTTCATATATCCAGCTTCAACTTGAACTATCTCACCATCTCACCTTCAAACAAACCACCAACAACCACCATCATCATGAACCTCCTCTCCCTTCCCGCTCGCCAAAACGCAGCTCTTCCAGAAGACCCTGAAATCTGGCCCATCGTCAAAGACTTCATCAAGGAGAAGCTTAAGAACCGATCCAGCGCTTCCTCAAACAAGAGCTCTACCAACACATTCTCTGAGAATTCCTCAATTCATTCCACCGTTTCCAACGCAACGACTCTAAAGGAATCTGTGGCTGGCAACAAGAAGAAGTGGTACTCATTGAGTCCCAAGTCCAAGATTATCTTGACTTCAGACCACAAGTACATCAAGGATTCCGACAAAAAGGCTGCTGTCGAGGCCGTGCACAACCAGGCTGTTGCCAGCTACCTCACCATGCGCTAAGCTCCTCTATACGTCCTTGGCGCCTGCCATACAACCTCCAACCTCGACGTTGATCCATCTCGTCGATCTCTCTCTTTTTTCTCTCTTCTGCTTCTTTTGCACGAGCCTTGCCGCTTTGACGACGACACGACTTGAATACTTATAATAATCTACGACTGGCAATTTCCGATGTTTTACTGGTCATTTGGGATGGACTTAATGGGATGAAGATGCTTTCATCTTCTCGATTCACAAAATTATAAGGCGTTGGAAATTGATAAACTATGTTTTTGTCACCTTTACTCTCATTTCATCATATTTAGTTAGATTAAGCAACATTTATCTTCTAAAAATTCTGTCGATAGTATATTTAGAAGGGATATTAACAGAACATTGAAATAGAAACATTTTAACATTAACCTACGCGCCAAGTACAACATTTGAACGCCGTTGACCTACATCCCAAGAGACAAGCGTAAATCGTCTCACAGCCCAGTCAACAGCTCCCCCATGGATATTGGCTTCCGCACCGCATTGGAAAATCCTTCATGGAAAGTAACCCAAACTTTGCGGCCGGCTTTCGAGCCTTCATCCATGTGATTCGGACCCCCCGATTCCGTTGACTCGGTGGTTTCCTGGACCACCCGTCCAAAGAAGTCCCGCTTGACGAGGTCTTCTCTGATTCGCTGGGCTACGTCACCTTGTTGTTCGGCAGCGGATTTAAGTGCTGCCCTTGCACTCTTTGCCGATGCGCTTAGGACGTCGGATTGCTTTCGCATGGTCTCTTTGAGATATTCCTGATTTAAGGCTTGACGCACCGCATAACGAACGGGTGCATTACCGTTGGAGGTTGCCATTGAGGTACCTTGAATTTTTGAGAATGTCACGAGCGAGTCAACGGGCCTGTTATGATCTGTTAGTCTTATGTATTCTATGCGTATGCGACAAGGGTGTCACTTACGGTTCCATTCGGTAAGCCCATCCACCATGACTTCCGCCTTCGTTTTCCACTCGGACTTGCTCGAATGTCACACCCATACCGCCCATCACTCGAACCGTAGACTGGACAAGGACACGCTCTGATTCTTTGCGGACAGTAGCAGTGCTCCTCGATTCACCAGTGCCACGTATAATGACTGGCTTGATATCTGGAGATAGCATACGGATCAGGTATGGCACCAGCTCAATAATCACATTATCAGGGGACCGGAACAAGCGAACAAGCGGCGCTGAAAAGGAAGAATGAAATCCAGTCAAGATAGCCCGGTTCTGCTTCTGCGCCTCGAAAGCCGCAAAGTCTGCTTTGGGTCCTGAAAATGGATGCTCCTCTTCAGCGTCGTCGTCATCCTCATCCTTATCATTAGCTTCAGTCTTGCCACTGGCGGTTGCAAAAAGATGGTGAAACCCAAGCACCGATTGACTCATATACGGATATAATTCCCACTCTTGAGAGGCATGTACCTTGGAAGAGATCGAGTCGTGGAAGTGGAGCCATTCATAGGCGGCGTTCGGTTTGGAGAGGAAGGTATCATCTTGGTATTGTTGGAAGGGGTAAGAGGCAAAACAGTCGTTCACACACCGGTCATGTTCGCCGCTAGAATCAATCATCTCCCGTAGACGATTGATGCCATGTCGTTTTCGCAAATCGGCCACACCGACTGGGATCCGGCTATTAGGGCCGTTGAATTGATCCTGGAAGGAGTCTCTACCGACAGGAGCATCTGTGAATCCTGCAGCCTCAGTGAAGACACGATTCACGATCTCACGAACACCTCCGCGGCTCATTTCTTTGGAGAATGAACCACCTTCCGTTGACGCGCTCAAAACCCGCTGCTCCAGCCAGTTCCGAGTCAATCGCAAAGAGTCCATACGTTCGTTTCGAAGCTTGTGCGCTACTCCCTCGGCGGCAACAAGCACACTCCGAATATCGCCCTCGGCAGACCCTGAATTCTTAGAGTTGCGCTGTCTTCGGGCTGATAATCCCCATGCAGCCTCGCAAAGCCTTCGGGCTGCATCACTGTCACAGGGGATACCCTCTCGGACAAAAATGCTCTTGACTCGCTGCACGACATTCTCCAATGGCGCTTGACGAACATGAATCATTTCAGCAATGGATGAGGCCCTCAAGGGCCGAAGACTGGGGTGGTACAAATCGTTGCAAACAAGAATCAACGGTCGGAGAAAGCGGAAGGTGTCTCCCTTGCGTTTCTTGCCGTATTGACCACCATTTTCGGTAGATCGATTCGAGTTGCGCTGATCAAGTACCACCAGGTCGATAAGGGCTTTCATGAATCCACCCTCGCCGCCACTGCCAGCTCCACCGACGACACCGTCGACCTCATCCACCACAACGCAGACAGGTTTGGCGGCCCGGCGTACCTTGTTCTCGCCGATCTCGACATTTGAGCCCTTGACATTCTCCGTTCCCAGTGCGTCTCGAATTCGCCCCTTGACCACGTCCCTACTGCGTTCATCACTTGCATTGATTTCAAGTACTTCGTAGCCGGCCTGCTTGGCACACACATGTGCTAGGGTAGTCTTTCCCAACCCAGGCGGTCCACTCAATAAGAGAACTTTCCTGTGCATGCGTTCCTCGTTGTCTTCTTGGTCCACTTTCTTCTTGCGGGAGCGAGCCAGGCCAGGGAACACGATCGGTTCCCAAGCTTTTAGCCAATGCAGCACCGAGCGATGAGTACGTTCATCACCAATAAGATCTGTGAATTTGCGAGCGCGATACTTCTCAGTCCACATCATGGAGTCAAGCTTATTCTTTTTCGCGTCTCCTTCGTTCTTTTCAATGGAAGCCTTGACTGGAGGCGGTAGAGGAAGCTTTGAAGTTCTCATATCTTTTGCTGCGTCGTCCAATAACTTGTGGATTTCAATTCCATAGTAGCTCTTCTTCGCTTTTCCAGGCTCTGTTTCAGATCGGCTAGCGATCATTTGCTCATATGAAACAGAAGCCTGAGCTGTCTTCAGAGGAATGGTATGTATCTTCCCGTTGCATGTTTTGATCTGGAATTTTTTCGGGGCAGGTCGAGATGTCATTTCCAATTGGGGATTCAAAGTCGTGGACGCGAATTCTGTCGGTTGTGGTGCACTAGCGAAACTCTGTGGCTGCTCTGACAGCCTGGGGCTCGAGAACCTCTCCGTTTCGATATGCTCTGGCAATTCAAAGTGGCTCTTCAATTCCTGGTCTTGAAAAGCGGTAAGATCTTCATCGTCGTCTTCGTCGTCATCGACAAATCCTCCTAGAATTCTTTGACGCTTAGGCTCACCCGCTTGTGGATTTGCAACTTCCGCGGCTTTTCTTTTCTGTGCATCGCTAGCCGCTGCAGCACCAGGGGATGATATAAACGGCATTCTCGCCGTTGGAGGTGAGGACGGAAGAGATGGCAATAGAAGATTCCGACTCGGCGCATGCGTACTTGCTCGAGGAGTTGCGGCGGAAGCTTTGGTCGGAGTATCTACAGTCGGGTATATTAGGGCCAAGGTTCACACTTAACCAGTCTAGAGGTGCAAACCTGGTCTGATATCGTCGTCACTGCGAAATATATCCGATAAATCCCAAGAACGGTGTTGAATCACGACTTTATTGCGGGTCTGTTCCACACGGTGCTGGTGGATTGCCTCGATGTCGTCGGAGAACGACTCAGATGGTGGATTGAACGTAACAGGGCCTTCCGAGTGAAGTTGAAGGGCGGGATCAAACGAGGAAAGAAAATTCGGCGATGATGGAAGCATCCAAGCGTTTGGTGATCATTTCATGAAGGTTGAGACTGGGGATTAATTGGTGATTCCCCTCTGATAGGGAAGACGCGCCGACGCGCGCTGGGGACCACGCTAAACCTATTCAGGTGATTTGGACTTTTCTACTTCAATTTTTTATATTTAAAAGGATTTTCATGATGAAATGAAAGTGATATTGATCGTAAGGACTGAGAAATAATTCATATATATTTCTCATGATATTTTGTTCTTTTTACCGAGGACTATACTTTTGAAGTCATAGATGTTATATTGCAAAGTGACAAGGTCATGCGACTCAAGTCCTCTAATCAGTGGTATACTGTACGGTTCATAGAACACAAAACAAAAAGCTCGCAACCTGCTCAATGGTTATGGCATAAGACAAAAATCAAAACGGATATTCCCCACAATTTCACTCTAAGCGTTTTTCAACTTCTCTGTCAATTCGGGCACCTTTTCAAACAGATCACCCACCAGACCAACATCAGCAACCTGGAAGATGGGGGCCTCGGGGTCCTTGTTGATGGCAGCAATAACCTTGCTGTCCTTCATACCAGCAAGGTGCTGAATGGCACCGGAAATACCGGCGCAGAGGTAAAGCTGAGGAGCAACGTTCTTACCAGTCTGGCCAACCTGCAGACTGTTGTCGGCGAAGCCGCTGTCCACGGCAGCACGAGAAGCACCGATAGCGGCACCCAATGAATCGGCCAATGGAAGCATGATGCGATCAAATTCCTCCTTCGACTTCAGACCACGGCCACCGGACACAACGCGGGTTGCGGTGGAGAGATCGGGCCGCTCAGACTTGGTCAGTTCCTCGGACACCCACTCAGTCAGCCCGGGGGCGTTCGAGTCAACTCCATCCACAATTTCAGCGGATCCGCCCTCGATCTCGGTGCCCTGGAAAGCGGTTCCTCGTACGGTAATGACCTTGATGTTGTCGCTTGACTGCACGGTCAGGATGGCGTTGCCGGCGTAGATGGGACGGACGAAGGCTACATTTTCAGTTAGCACTCTGCCTGATCACATGTCAATCCACCTCTTGTGATTTACGCACTGTCTTCACTTTCGATTCCGGTGATATCTGAGACCTGTTGGACGTCCAAAAGAGCGGCCACGCGGGGCAGCACGTTCTTGCCAAAGGCCGAGTGTCCGGCAATGACGTGGGTGTATTCGCCCTTCTTGATGTTTTCAACGAGAAGAGGGGCGTAGTTCTCAGGAAGACCCTATGAAGAGCAAAATTGTTTAGAAAGAAGTCGAATTTTTATACTAGAAACAATAAGCTCACCTTTTCATAAGCATCATTCTCCACCGCAATAACCTTGTCAAGACCCTTGATCTTAGCAGCCTCAGCGGCAGAGGTGCCCTTAATACCAGTGCCAGCCAGGAAAGCTGTCACCGGTCCACCCAGCTTCTGCGCCGCAGCAATTGCAGAAAGGGAAGAGTTCTGCAGCTTGCCATCGCGCTGTTCGAGGACGGCGAGGGTCGAGAGTAGGCGGGCCAGCGCTGACTGGTTCAGAGCACGAGTAGATGAAATCTGCGAGCGGGCAGCCCGCAGGACAGAGTGTCTGGCGACTGGAATCATGGCGACGGTTTGGTGAAGAAAATGGTCGGTCCAGGAAGGTCAAGTTTGAGATCTCGGCGATCTGCGGCGATGATGAGTGTGGTTATCGCCGGAGTGCCAAGACCCGCCTCCCGAGGTCGGACTCGGTTAATGCAGGCTTCATATAGGCTGATCAGAAGCACGAGGCAATGACGTGAGTGATCTATACTAATATAGTCACGGTGATGTTACTTTATAGTTGTCTATGTGATCCTAATTATGGATATTTACATAAAGCCTAGAGCTCTTTCGGTAATAAATGAAACACGTGATATTTTGTACGCCGAGAATACCTTTTACATGCAGAACATTATAGGTAAAACAAAAACTCCTAATCATGAGGTCGACTTTCTCTTCTTCTTGTCCGCCTTGGGGGTGGCTGCAGTCTCTCCGTCTTCAAGGGCCTTGGCCTTGAGCTGCTGGAGCTTCTCTTTCCGTGCCGCTCCCGATGAGGCCTCCTCCTCGTCTTCCGCGGACTTGGACTTCTTAGTCTTCTTGCCCTCAATAGCCTTCTCCTCACCAGCTGACTTGCGCTTCTTGCTGTTCTTGCCGCCCTCGATTGCGGGGGTCTCGGTCTCCTCCACAACGTCGGCATCCTCCACCCACAACTCACTAGCCAGCCAAATAGGCACCGCCATGGTGTTGGCGCCCTTGATGTGAATGGCCTTCAAGTTTTTCCAGCCCTTTGTGACAAACTTCTCAGTCATGCCCTGGACAACAGCGGCGATGTTCTCGGACAACTGCTCGGCAGTGAACTTGGAAGAACCAACGCGAATGGCGGCAGTAGTGGAGGGGGCAAGCTGGACAGAGGCGCAGCTCAGGGTACGCTCAATCTCCTTTGCAACAATTAGGGGAGCGGCAAATGCGGCGCTCTTATCCTCCTTGGCGGGCTTCTGCTTGGGGTCCTTCTTGACCCGCTTTCCGTCAACCTTCTCAATCTCTGCAATACGAATAGGAATTGGGCGCTTGCTCGACTTGTAAAAGATCTTTCCGAGGGTAGTCACGAGGCGGGTGATGATGCGATCATCGGCAAGGAAAACATCGTGCTCTGAGAGCAGTTGGCGACGGCTCTCGAAACTCTGGTAGCGGGCCTTCAGCTTGCTGAAGCCGATGACCTTTTCGACGCGGGAAGAAAGTTCTTTGGGGAAGGCGGGATCTGCAATGATGTCCTTGACACCACGCTGCGGGTCGGCAGTGATCAGGCAGATGCTGAGCGAAGGCGACGAGTTCAGGGAGTGCGGGACGCTAATCTTTCCGGGCTTCAGGCGGTTCTTGTCAACCACATGCTTCTTGGTGGTGAGAATGAGCCAAACGGCTTCGTTGTTGAGAGGTGTCTCATCATCATCTGAGTCATTGTCGCCAATCAGGGTCTTCTTGGTTGCGGATTTTTCCTTCTCCTCCTGCTTCGACTTGATATGGCGCAGCAGTACGGAGGAAGCTTTGGAGACCTGGCTAGAGTTAGCATGCGAACGAGTTTTATTTCTTAAATTGCACGAACCTGAGGCTTGTCCAGCTGATAAGGCGATCCCGAAGTCACCTTCGTTGTAAGGGTAGTAGAGGACGGCATCTTGGCTGGTTACTGTCTTAACTCCAATCCGATTTTTCGGAGATGTTATCAAGATTTTTTTTTTCCTCGGGAAGGCGGTGGCAGTTTCGGCTTGGCAGTCCAGACCCCGGGTCTTGCAGCCTGAGGCTGTAATATCACGTGGAGACCGATAAATATAAGGAGAAACGGGAGAATTGATTGCACCATGAACAATTATCAGAATTGAAATCTTGACCTTGGTTTTTCTGCGATATTTGTTTTCTTGGTCTGGACTCTCAAGCTTGCTGCCCAGACGGTTCGATAATATCTCCATAGAACCTCCGAGGGTAAATGAACTGGATACATGCAATTATATATATTGACAGTCGGTATACATCAAACGTAGATGTCTCAACGACCACTTACTTAAATACAAAATGAATGGCTCACGTGGTTGGAACTTTTAAAAAACCCGAATAAGATTCCTGACATTGATCATGTTCCCCTCGTTATCAAGAGATGTGAGATCCCGTCCCCACATGACCGTTCCGCAGAAGTGCTGAAGGCGTTTCAACAATGAATCGGCCTCGGGAGTGTATGTATCTCCAGGACCTAGCGCTACTTGAGCCAAACGCCACTGTTTTGAATTATCTCAGACCCTGAAAAGCTCGCTTAGTCGATAATCACTATCAGTCGATATAACCGGCGGCACGAGGGCAAAAATAGACATCACTGTGGCTGAGATTGCTACTAATAATGTCCACGGGACAGAAAGTACACAGGTGGAGGATTTACCTTGAATCTGATAATCATCCCTACTACATATACAGTAGTTGCAAAGGTATCTATGTATAGAACAGGTCTCAACCCATCAAAATAGAAACCCATCCGGTCACATAAGATGGACCGTGGCTCCTTTCAAAATACGATATCCGCTCTTTTGGGCCCACACATAGATAAAGAAAAGAGCTAAACACCGCTAGCCAACTCGCCACGCAAGCATCCGGCCCACACGGCCCCAGATCAGACCCTAAGGGGTTCGCTTGGATGGTGCCTGGCTCAAGAGGTCCTGATTTCGAGTTGGTGACTTAGCTAATGGTTAGATACAGGCAGTTTTAACTATAGTTAACCAGTTGACAGCTTTACAAAAATGATAACTCCGTGTGATGGAAGGCACCAACAGATGTACAAGGTAACCGATATTTGGCTCAGGTGGAGTGGATTGACTTGCTATTTGAAAATGGCCATATCTCAAAGCCGACCAAGACGGCGATTAGATGTAGGAACGAGTGACTGAGGCCACACAGCATTAAGCTAATGCGGAAAGCAGAAGCAAAGCCGACGGCTTGTACGTGACAGTGTATTTACCGCTCTAGTGTATTTTCTCACTTGTCCCGAGGAGGCTATGACGCGGTCAATTGAAATTGTTGCGGATCGACAGCCTTTATGTTTAATATGAACCCGCTGGGTACCTGATTCAGGCGTGTCTGCCGGGGAGCCTTAACAAGGCGGGGGATTTAATTAAAATGCTGTTCGCGGAGTCATCATCTTGCGTGGTCCCATACTAAGACCTTACTGTGCCCTCTCTGGTCTAGCATCCCGAATGGGGAACCAGGGATTGCACTACTGCAACTACTCTGTACAATTAAACCGCAGATCAGGTGGATTGGGATGTTGGGGTTACTTTGTTTGACCTCCCTGCCGAGACCCGAAGATCTTAGCTGCCAGGGAGAGAAAACCCCTGGCGTGGGATCATCATTGTAAAATTAAACTTGCGCATGGGATGGAATCAACGTCTGAGGGAGACGATCTCTCTAAAATGAGAATGAAAATCAAAGATCAAATCAAAAATCACCGTAAAGTCTCAAAAGAGTTCAAAGTTCAATAGCCAGTGAAATACGTGGATGGTAAGTAAATTTGGTTAAAACATGCCTTGGTTCCCTGGAAACGGGAGGTATTTTAGCCGCTGATTAGTGTTCCTGAACATCATTTCCTTGGCCGACGAATGAGATGCTGAGTAACTTCTGGAAAGTGTGGTTCCACACTTATCATTGGATAACCCCTGATGAGCAATTTCGGCTGTAAACAAAGAAGAAATTGGACTAGAATTGACCCCACTGATAGTGGAGGTTGAAATAAGTTACGAAATTTGAAGTACAAAATTGAAGAGTAATGAATGGTAATTCTAGTAGGGATATAGGAACAGGAGAGAAGGAAAAAAAAGAAAAAACCCGTACCTGAGTCGAACCTTGTAAGGATTCTATAGGGTTCCACTTTAGCAACAGAGAGTCACCCCCCTGTTTACAGTGCATGGAGTGGATCCGCGACTCTTGTAACCGTAACTAGTTAGTGTATTGGCGTAAACTCGTGGTCCCTCCCAGGGGTTACTTACCCTCGTTTTCCCTCCCTTCTGCTTCTCTCCAGCCTCACCCTGTGTATTCCTATCCGACCAGAGGGATTCATTCTCTCTACCACATTCATTTTTTTACCAGGAATCTCCCGTCGCTCTTTGGCTCCAAACGATCCTCTACTTATATACAGCCCTTTTACGACAACGCGACTTACTTACCGTGATCTGATGTACGTCTGATTCTTCGATTTTGATACCGCCAATGGCACCACCTCCGAGAAGAAAGTCGCATCAGGCCAATGCAGAAAGAGCTGGGAGAATAATGCGAATGAAATCCGAGTGAATGGCTCGACTGGCTTGATGCGATGGACCTCTCGGGGGGATGGTTGGACTATACAACGGATATTGTGCTGGCCGGCGCATTCGCAAATTCCAAACAGATCACTAATACAGGCCATGGAAATGATCGCGATAACTGACAAAATGGTTTCCTTGTGTAGAATCCCAATTTGAAACGCTCGAATCGCAATGAAGTTCAACTCCGTTGCATTGACCCTGGCTTCGGCGGGTTCCCTGGTGGCCGCCCATGGTCACCACGGCCACGCTCACTTCCACCAGCGTGCTGTTGAGACTGAAATTGACACCGCCGTTGTTGCTGGTCCTACCACTTACGAATTCGTTGTCTTGGACCCCGAGCACTCCGGTACCACCGAGAAGATCAGCCTCGAACAGGCTTGTGAGGGTCTTGCAGACCACGAGCTGGAATGGCTCGGCGATGCTGTCGCGGCCGCCTGCGCGACCAGCACCACTGTCAGCACCTCCACTCCCACTCCTACTCCCACTTCTACTTCTATCTCGACCTCGACCTCGACCCCGACTCCCACCTCGACCTACACTCCCGAGGTGCTTGTCCAGACCTCTGCGGTCATCTCCAGCTCTTCGTCGAGCTCCACCATCTCCAGCACCAGCACCAGCAGCATTGTGACCTCCAGCTCTTCTAGCTCCTATGCGGTTGCTTCCAGCACCTCCACCGCCAGCTCTGGCGCCACCGGAATCGACGCTGATTTCCCCGATGGAGAGATCAGCTGCTCCGAGTTCCCTTCCGCATACGGTGCTGTTGCTCTCGACTATCTCGGCCTCGGTGGCTGGGCCGGTATCCAGTATGTCAGCCTCGTTGACGAGATCGTCAGCGACATTGTGACCGCCGTTAGCGGTGAAAGCTGTACTGATGGAGGCATGTGCTCCTACGCCTGTCCCGCCGGTTACCAAAAGAACCAGTGGCCCTCGACCCAGGGCTCCACTGGCCAGTCTATTGGTGGTCTTAAGTGTGAGGGTGGCAAGCTGTACCTCACCAACACTGAACTTGGTAGCACCCTTTGCATCCAGGGTACCGGTGGTGTTCAGGTTCGCAACGAGCTGAGCCAGGATGTTGCCATTTGCCGGACCGATTACCCCGGTACTGAGTCCGAGACTATTCCCCTGGCTGCCACCGCCGGTGGTACCCACGAGCTCACTTGCCCCAACAGTCTCACCTACTTCCAGTGGGAGGGCAAGTCCACCTCTGCGCAGTACTACGTGAACAACAAGGGTGTTTCCACCGAGGACGGTTGCCAGTGGGGCTCCAGCTCCAAGACCATGGGCAACTGGGCCCCCATGAACTTCGGTGTTGGCTACACTGATGGCACCACCTACCTGTCCATGTTCAAGAACGAGCCCACCACTGATGCTGATCTTGATTTCAAGGTCAAGATTGTTGGTGACGACCTGAGTGACGAGTGCAGCTATGACGGTGCTGGAAACTTCTACAACAGTGATGGCTTGATTGACAGCTCCACCAACGGTTGCACTGTCGGCTTCTCCAGCGGCAGCGCCTACTACGTTCTGTACGAGTAAAGGCTATCTATAATAAAGCCTTCATCTCTATATTCTGACAAAGGCCAAGTGTTACGGATTTGGATGAATCTCTTCTCTTCTCTTTCAATCAAACCACGCTGCGGAGGCGAATCCAAGGGCCTCCCTTGGGCTGACCTTCTCCAGTATTTCTGTCCATATCATGGTTTGTACCTTTGAAAGGTTGCTTTCTTCTGTGTATCTTACATTATTTAACCTGTGCCTTGATGTGTGTTATCTTGGGGGGAAATTCAATCTTTGTTACTTTTTCTGCTTCACACTGACCGATCTTCCCTGAGTCCCCTCGTGGGAAGTTTTCGGTTAGATTCATTTACTTTAGCACTTCAAGTGCAACCCAATCTTGATCCCAATATCCTTTATTTGGCTTCTCCCATATAGCTTGACTTGCCACATGTGATGCTCTTTGCGATCATTTTCTGCTCAAGAGCTTCACAAGCTTTAGCAAAACTTGACGCCGGCATCGAGTGACTAGTGACCTATGAATGACTTGAGATGTATGCTACGATGTTACCATTTCATTTGAATTCTCATTCCATTCTACTATCAAAAATTATTACCCTGTCGAGCACTTATTACCTAGCTATTTTTCGGACTTGTGGAGACAAGCGGATCATCGGCTGGGTGGCTGCAGCAACACATCCCACCATACAATTGAGAACATAATTGACTATATTCTTCATATCTCCAGGGTAACACACATTCAGGCTCTAATTTTCATTTCTTTTTATTTTGGTGGAATGTGATTCATCCAACAATTTTTTGCATCATTCCTCATGCTTCGCTGCTAGGTCCTCAGCCCACGATCTGCTTGCCAAAGAATAGATGGGCTAGGAGAAAGATTTCCGATAACAGACGGTATTTGTGTTTGGAGGAAAATCTCATAGGGCTCTTTCCGTACATGTCTACTAGCTACGTACAGCAGGTATGAGGGTGCAGGCTTACCTAGTATATCCATGGCTAGCATTCTCTCCCCCTTGCAATGGTTTCCTCAATGCTTTTTTTTTTTCTTAACCTTTACTCTAGATTTAATTTTCTAGTAGTGACGACGAAAATATGCAATTTTTTATTCGTTAGCGGTGGTCTGCTGGGTCTTGATATTTGTTTGAAAAAAAAACTTCAAACTGACTGATATTAGCGGTGCAACCTTATGAAATACCAAGGATATAAGATAACTTCTATATACGCAAATCACTGTATCAATTCAATGGGAAATCTCGTATTTCCTAGCGTGACCTTACCAAGTATCCACGCGTATGTTATTGCCCCGCGACTAGGAAAAAAATTGAGTTAGCGCGTCCTTGCTTGCCCCCCAAAAACCAAAACCTGTATGGAGTATGCTCTGTACATTATATACTAGTCAAGGTTCGGTAAGCATTTTCCTTATCCCCTTCAAATTGCACTGGTTCCGAGTCCTATCAGTATCAGATTGTATAGACAATGCCAGATACTATAGATACTTCAATTTTCAAAACCCAATTCAATTAGGTTGGGCTAGTAACTTAAATCTCCGTCGAATGAGCAAGATTTAAGAAAGTTGAATGCAAATTGGTATCTGGTAAATACCGACTGTCATACTCGCGTGTCGGTCACGATCCACTTTGAGACACGTGACTTGAGACGCGGACGCGCTTTGTCAGATTTCATGTATAGATCACCAACTACAACCTAAAAAGATATTCAGATAGCTATAATCCACGCGGCCTTTCAATTGACTTGTAGTATCAATATAGTATGATTTAACAATGAAGGCGTGAGTTTTCTTTTGCGACCGCGAAGTCATAGTGGAGCCTGTGAAGCCTCGTCGGCGCCTATCGAACGCGTCTCGGGCTGTAAGCGTGCATTTCCGCGCAGGGCGAACGAGACCCTCTCCAGTGCATTCCACCACACACTTTCTTCAACTTTTCTCCAGCCTTTCCTCCCCTTTCCCCTCTCAATTTGACGCCCCCCCCTCCCCCCCAATCTTTCTCTTGAGGAGAGCTGTCTCAACCTCTCTACTTCCAATTCCTTTTTCAATTTTACTTTCGTTCTGTTCTAGGATACGCGGTGACGCGAGTTCTTGAGCTCGACTAGCCTCTCGTCTGAAAAAAAGGGGAGCTCGTGTGGCTTGTTCACTTCCTAAGCATCATGGATTCCTCACCTTCAAGGTTGTCTTTGGGTCCCGCCGCTGGCGTGAAGCGTCCGGCGTCTCTATTGCCTGCCTTCGAACCCTTAAGCTCATCCCCCTCTCTTCCTCGGCCCCAAAAGCGTGTGGCACGCGAACCAGCTGTCAAATATCCTACCCCGGTACCGACCTCATCAACCCACATAATGTCATCTTCTCCTCCAGGAATTGCTGCTGCTCACCCCTTGACGCGTCGTACCTTCTCGGCTACCTCCGAACGTGCCCCTCTGTCCGCCGTGCCCACCCTCATGCTACCCGAATCTGGAGAGCCCATTCTCATGGGTCGATCAAGTGCCTCTTGCCACCACCAGCTTGCCGCTAGTAGAATGATCTCCCGTGTTCATGTGAAGGCAACCTATAAACCCGCACCGAATCCTTTTGACCGGGACAGAGTTGAGATCATGTGCATTGGCTGGAATGGAATCAAGATACACTGCCAGGGGAAGAAGTATGATCTAGCCAAGGGAAAGACATTCACATCGGATATCAAAGATGCGGATATCATGATTGATGTGCACGAAGCTCGGGTTTTGGTGCAATGGCCTCGTAATGAAGCTGATAGAAAAGACTGCCCGTCCACGGACTCGGAACAAACCTGGGATGAAGGCACACCAACCCAAAAGACACATTCTCGAAGAGCATTGCAGGATAGTCCTTTCCCTCAGAGCCAGCGTTTGGCCTCTCCTGTCTCCCCGTCGCCAGCAGTGCAACGGACACTGCCTCCATCGTCTCCTATTTTCACACCTTCTCGTTCTCGTGCCGCCGTGGTGGTGTATGAGGATGGACCCTCTCCGTTGAAACGTCACAATACTGTTATTGGTCTTAGCTCGCAAAGTGCCCGCCGTGCCAGTGCTATTCTGCAAAGCGATTTCAGTAGACCCGAGGAAGACTCCGACAATGATGAGGAAAATGACCCCATTGTTCATTCTTTCGGACCATTTGGCGATAATCTGCTTCCTCGTTTGGCTGCTTTCCGTGCCGATGATTCGCCAATTCGCTCTGCAAGATCACCGCGGAGCTTGCTGCCCGCCCAAACCCTCCAACCCACACTCTCCCCTAGACAGTGCGCTAAGCCTCAAGAGGTCCGCGAGTCCACACCTATCAAGGAACGATCTCAGCAGGAAGAAGAAGATCTGGAGCGAGTTCGGAACCACGCAATTAACCAATTGGCCTTTTCACGGCTGTCCTCCACCCCCTTCTCCACCATCTTGAACAACCTACCTCCTTCGTTCTGGAGATCCAGTGCATCTGCCTCCGGTCCATCTCGCGCTGAGATTCGGTTCATCCTCGAAACAACCAAATGTATCGGAAAGGTCGCCCGTGAAGGCAAGGATGCCGCTGGCAAGCCTCTCGAAAGCGAATTCTACTACGTGCCAGACGACGATGACGACGAGATGCGCCGCGAGACGGTGGTGAATAACCTACGGAAACCTGGTCTTCGCAACTGCCGTAAGCAGCACAAGGTTTGTGTCACTCTTCTTCTCTCCTCCAAGAGACTCCCCACTGACGTTGCACAGCAATACTTCTGGCGCAAGCCCAAATAAATCTTCCGCAGAAGTCTCCTGGGGCCGTCCATTGGATTGGCTTCCTCAGTACATATTTGAAGTGTTCTTGGTCACCCCTTAGATGTTCGGTGACTTGCATAGCGTGGCGTGAGGCATACCCTGATTTAATCTAGCTTTATCTCTTTTCTCGTTCGTTCCAGCATGACGATCATATGACAGTGTGCCTGTGGTTCCTTTTGTGTCCTCGCAGAGGGCTTTGTCTTGATGTGTGATGTCTCCCTGATCTCAATGGCTGTTTATTTTCCTGTTCTGATTCTGATTCTGATACCTGTTCCCCATCCCGGTGTGCTTATATCATCGTCCTCCACCATGTATCTTATTGTTTCCCTCTCGTTTCTGGTTCGTTTGCTGCAGGCTTCGAAGCTGTTATGACTTGTACGTTTTACCTCTTGAATTTAACAAAAAAGTATTAGTTAATGACTCCATCCATGTACTCGTGATCTCGGCCTGGATGGTAAGAAGCACAAGATCATTCTCTCTGTGGGTCAGTAGAATTCAATACCTACTTGTACATACCTTACTATGTGTGGGCTGTATCAAAATGTGTTTCCTGGGGTATCATATACTCAACCTTATGTACTCGGTACTCAAATTCCAGCCATCGTCATACCGTGCTCAGAGTAACCTGGTTTGTCGCCACTGACGTCCCAACGTCAAACCCCGCATCTACAACCTTATAAACTCCAACTTCATCTCTGCTGTGCCCAAGGATAACCAAAATACCTGAAACAATTGTCAATTCCTGTCAAGCAGGTTTTTCTTTTCCTCACTTTTCAGGACCCAACCTCTAAAACGGAGTCATGATGCAGTCAACTCAGCATCAAACCTCATATCCCGATCGAACTCAGGAACCAGGGGTTTCTGCAATCCCTAAGGTCTCCAGTGAAGAGCCTGGACACAGTCATCCTGATCAGGATTCTATGACTGATCACCCTTGGGAACCAAAACTCGATCGTCGACAAAGCTGGAGTAATCAAGATCGCAAACACGAGATGCAGGAGAGACTGTTAGGTATGCAGGAGGGAACAGAGACGGGGTTCTCCGAAGAAGATCAAGGACATTAGCATGCAGCGTCTGGAAGTATCTGAAAGTATTTGAAGGGTGATTGAGTTCAAAAGTGTTTATGGAGGTGAAATGTGTTGACAGGTCCGAGGTGGACTCGGTTTAATTGCTCAAGTGCACTAAAATGAAGTGTGTATGTTAACTGTGATATTGAATTGTAAGAGAAACATTATGTTGAACTTAGGTATCAGAGTGATAGTTATCAGAAAGTAAAGTAGAAAGTAACTAAGGGATCCACCAAAAAGTCCTCAACTCCGCACCGCCTTGGGAGCCCGCTTCTCTCCCGCACAAGGAAGCTTTACTCTGCTCAGAATCTCCCCCACGTTTGTCTATTCCTTTGACTTCTTCACCCCCCAATGTGGCGTTCAGGTCACTTCTGTTTCCTTTCAGATACCCTGAGAGGACTCTTCACCTGAAATACAAAACACAGCCATGGAGAGACAGAAGAAAAGTATATCTGGAATTCCACATATAGTCCGCCCTGGTACTGATGTCGATCCCACAGGAGAACTTCGCGATCTGAATGAGAGGGCATGGGCAGGCGAGACTGGTAATATCCCCCCGCGCGTGAATTTCACTAGAGTGCTTGATTTCTGACGACCTCCTAATAGATGTATTTACAGTCAGCAAGTCCCTCGATTCGGCGCTCAAGAAGAATACTGCCTTTATCAAACGTCTCCGCACTGGTATCAGCGCTTCCTCCTTATCCACTTTCTTGTCCGACATTCGTACGCTATCCCTTCATAAATACCTGTCCGAGATTATCACCGCCTGCTATGAAGGTGTATCCAAGCTCAAGTCGCCTGGGGAGATCGCCGCTGGAGTCGAGATCGTATGCGCTTTACATCAGCGATTTGGCCCGGCAGAGTTCACCCGGCAGATCGGGTGGCTGCTTGGCCGTGGCTTGAGTTCCCCCGATAAGGCATCGCTCAAGGCCCTTCCCCTGGAGTATCGTGAGCGGGAGGAAAAGGACCGACTATCGCGACACCGAGTCCTCCTGCGCGTTGTCACGGAATTATGGCTCGTTTCCGTTCTGAAAACATTGGATGACGTCGAGCGGCCGGAAGACTTGGGCACGAAAAGCAAAGATGGGGTGGTTGGGATGGGGGGCAAGCAGTCAGACATCCCACTCAAGTCGAGGATACCGGCCGCGGCGAAGGATCAGGATAAGCAGGCAGACCCGTTCCCACTGGAAGTTTTAAAGGATCTTTTGGGTTATGACCGTGACCATACCAATCTTCCGCTTGCCGTTCTTTTTGTGAAGAGTTTCAGCTGGGACATTCTAGGCACGACGCTTACGGACGAAGGTCGAAAGAACGTGGAAGCGGACGGGGTTACAAAGCAGGAAGCTTTGGAGGACAGCACGGAAGCTGCTTCTGATGCTGATCCACCGCTTATCGCAGACAAGGTTCAACAACGGTTCAAGCATATCCTCAACCGTTACTTGGATGATGTCAAGGCGCATGTTGTTCGCGATCAGAGGGCTCTGGCTTTGCAGAGCCGCCGAAACGCCGAAGCATATGTCAAGAGCGGTGAAATCTTCGAAGACCGTCAATCCAACTTTGAGAAACAGACCAAGTCCCTCGAGAAGCTTGTTGCCAATACCCAGGTTTTGTGCGAGGCCCTGGGGGTTGAAATGCCTGATTTGGCTGAGAAAGAGGTCAACGATTCTGCATCTAGCGGTGGCATTGGCCTGGTAAAAACTACAGATTATCTACGCGGTCAAGGCGAAGGTGCCGGTATCTGGGAGGATGAGGAGGAGAGACGGTTTTACGAAAACTTGGTCGACCTGAAAGGAAAGGTCCCTGCGGTTCTGCTGGAGGACGGCAAGAAAAAGAAGAGCGATGCCGAGGAAAGTAGCAAAAAGAAGGACGGAGACTCTCCCATCGAACCCTCTGCAGACAAGCCCGAATCCGAGGACAAATCTGCGGCAGACCTTGAAGACCAGTCAATGGCAATCGCCAGTAAGACCGTGGGTGCGCAGGTTGAGTCTCTGCTTGGCAAGCTTCCGGAATTGCAGAGTAAAGACCAGGTTGATCAGCTCGCTCTGGACTTCTGCTTTGTCAATTCAAAGGCATCCCGCAACAGGCTTGTGAGGGCTGTCTCAGATATTCCCAAAGGCCGAATCGATCTCTTGCCATTGTACTCTCGTTTAGTCGCTACTCTGGGCCAATATCTGCCAGATATCCCACAAGGACTTACAACATACCTTGATGAAGAGTTTCGAAGTCTGCAGAGGCGAAAGTCCAAGGAATTTCTTGGCCAAGTGCGCCTGGCTAACGTACGGTACCTTGCTGAATTGACCAAATTTGGCGTAGTGCCAGAGCATATCATCTTCCATTGTTTCAAGGTCTCGCTCGATGACTTCTCGCGAATGAACATAGAAATCATCGGCAACCTTTTGGAGAACTGTGGTCGGTATCTGTTGCGCAACCCGGAGACAGCGCCTAGGATGGCCTCGTTCTTAGAGACCTTGGGTCGGAAAAAGACCGTTCAGCATTTGGCTCAAAATGAACGCATGGTGATTGAAAATGCCATCTACTATGTCGATCCACCACCACGACCAGCCATTCAGCAAAAGGAGCGCACGCCAATGGAACAGTACATCCGTCGGCTGATCTACCTAGATATGAACAAGCGCAACTACACCAAGATCTTGAAGTCTATCCGCAAACTTCACTGGGAGGAGCAGGAGGTGGTCGATATTATGGAGCGTGTTTTCAGCAAACCTGTTAAAGTGAAATACGGCAGCATTCATCTTCTGGCAATCCTTGTCAGCGCTCTCTACCGGTATCACCAAGACTTCGTGATCGGAGTCGTTGACAATATTCTGGAGCAAGTGACTCTCGGATTGGAGCAGAACGACTTCAAGTTTAACCAGAAGCGTATTGCTGAAGTCAAGTACTTGGGCGAGCTTTACAATTATAAGATGATTGACTCCCCCGTCATTTTTGATACGCTCTACCGCATCGTCACCTTTGGCCACGAAGGAGGGACCCCAATGCCTGGACGGATCATTGCGCTGGACCAACCAGATGACTATTTCCGAGTTCGTCTGGCTTGCACGTTGCTCGATACCTGCGGTCACTGTTTTGATCGGGGATCCGCGAAGAAGAAGCTCGATTTCTTCATGGCTTTCTTCCAATACTATATATTTACTAAAGATCCACTACCCATGGATGTTGATTTCCTGGTCCAGGATACCTACTCTTCCCTCCGACCCCAATGGAAGCTGGCCACCGACCCGGAAGAGGCAACTAGCATTTTCACCGAAGCTGTGGCTCAAAACTACAACGTTCAGGATTCCGAGAGACCTATCGACGCTGATGAGGATGACGCGGACAGTAGCTCTTCGGAGATGGGCCTCGAGGAGGATGCAATTCATGATATTGTGGATGAGGGAGAGTCCAGCGATGAGGCAGAGGTGAGTTTTCTAACGATAGTCTACTCGGAGAAAAACGATGGTCTCTAACTAGTACATAGGCATCTGGGCCAAATCCGGAACCAGAGATGGATGGAGAATCCGAGTCTGAAGATGAGCAGATTGTTGTCACGCGACAAGAAGAGGAACGGGATCCAGAAGTCGAGGCCGACTTTGACCGAGAGTTCGAGAAGATGATGGCCGAGAGCATGGATTCTAGAAGATTTGAACGCAAGGCGATCTTCGATATTCCTTTGCCTATGAAACGTCCCGCTCGAGAGGCAGCAGCCAATGAAGCTCCTGAATCCCCGGAGTCTATTCCCGCGCTGCCTGTGGCAGTGGCACCCAAGACAATGGCCTTCTCCTTGATGACGAAGAAGGGCAATAAGCAGCAGGTTCGATTGAAGGACTCGCTATTGGCTTTGGCTCTGACGCTGACATACTCTAGACTCGTACTATCGATATGCCCTCTGATTCAAGCTTTGCCGTTGCCATGCGGAGTCAGCAGGCGGCGGATCGTGAAGAGCAGCAGCGGATCAAGAGTCTTGTCCTGAATTATGAGGCAGCGAATGAACCCGAGCCTACCGAGAGTAAGTCCAGCAGTATTATTGATTGTCTCACCTTAGCTGACCCATGTAATCAATAAGCCTTTGAGAAGCGCATTCCCGCTAGTCAACGGCTGGAAAAGTCAGGGGCCAATCGATCCGCCTTCCGATCACGCAAGCTTCAGCTTAGTGACGTGAACTGGTAAATGAATGGCATGAGCCGGGAGACAACTCCCTCATTCTTATGCCCACACTATTCTCTCGCAAATGATGGGAAGAGCCCCAGGGATTGTGCTCCCATGCCGCACCACCATCATGACTGGGGCTTCGCATCTTCATTCTCAGCTTACCGCCTCCAAACCCCTAGGATCATGATCTGAGATTTTTGCCCTAGGTGCAAATCTGTCCCAAAATCTGATCATTTCAATGGGAGAAATATGCGGAGGAGGTTGTGTACGCGCATGAGGCAGGGTGAATGGATACAAGATCATCCCAGTCTCTCAGTGGTTGAGGAGCAACAATGCGATCGGAAATCCCGAGGATGACATAAGGCTCCGGTGGGAGTTCTTCTGTGCACACGGTAACTAATCAGCATTAAACCGGGATACACTTAGCGATCCAGGAGTTCTATTCCTACCAATTTATGGCTGGAACTAGCATGTCACCGTAGCCAATTACATATCCTCAAGTGGAGAGAAATCGGAGCTCTCCGACGTATGCGCAATAAACCATTTCTACAAGTATATGTAGATGGCCTCTTTCTTTTTCTCATTTCTCTCTCGTCAGTGTAGGGTTCAGAAAAAGGTGAATTAAATGTAATATAGATACATGTTCCTAAGTACCAAGGTCATAAGCCAATCAATGGGCTTTCCCCCTGGGGTTAGGAAGCTGCATATAACGCCACAATGTCCCAGTGCAAATGACCAATCCCACTTGGGCAAGTCCAACACCTGGCAGATAAGAAAAAGATAAAAATCCCTCATCAACCACTCAGATGGTGTCATTTCTATCCTTAAAACCGTCTGTGGAAATTTTGCAAACCTTGGACATCCTTCTTATTTCTATTGTTGACCCAACATGGCCGGACTTGAGGATCCAGTAATGAAGGGGAATCAATATGTCGTACACGATGTTGAAGACCAAACTCAAGCACGATATGATGCTGGAGAAGTCATACCCGACGATGGATTAATTGTGACCCAGCATGAACGATTGGGTCTTATGCGGGGGTTGTCACAACGACATGTTCAAATGATTGCTATTGCGGGGGCCATTGTGAGTGGAGAATTCAGATCTACCCAGATCTACCTTTTTTGTTTGTAATTTTCCTGACCGATCGGGTTTATAGGGTACCGGACTGTTCCTCGGCCTCGGTAGTTCGATTGCTACCGGTGGTCCACTGGGAGCTCTACTAGGGTACGCTTTTGTCGGGCTGGTGGTTTGCGCCATCCAATTCGCCCTCGGTGAGGTGTCTGCCTTACTCCCAGTGACAGGTTCTTTTGTTCGTCATGCTGAAGTTCTCGTCGATCCTGCCTTGGCCTTTGCAATCGGCTGGAACGTTGTATATGGATGTTTTATCAGCGTACCAAGCGAGATCTCCGCCAGCGTGGTGTTAATTCAATATTGGACTGACATCAACGCTGCCGTGTGGGTGACCATCCTCATCGTTGTTTCGGTTGCCGTTGCTGTTTCCTTTATTGGTGTTTACGGTGAAATCGAGTTTATCTTCGCAATTCTCAAAATCTTGCTAGTCATCTTCGTCGTCATCTTGGGTCTGGTCATCGATCTCGGCGGCATACCTGGAAAGCCGCGATTGGGCTTTCATTACTGGAAAGACCCTGGCCCCTTTGTTGAGTATATCGCTTCCGGGTCCTTGGGTCGCTTTCTGGGCTTCTGGGCAGTGATGACCAATGCCGTTTACTCTTTCGCTGGCGTGGAGTCATTGGCCATGGCGGCTGCGGAAACACGAAACCCGCGCCAGAACATTCCCAAGGCCTGTAAGCGGGTATTTGCTCGGGTCACCATATTCTACCTCGCTGCGGTCTTAATTGTGGGCATGTTGGTGCCCAGCACGGATCCTCGTCTGAGCGACGACTCAGGAACAGCTGCACAGAGCCCCTTCGTTCTTGCCGCCAGTGATGCGGGCATCAAGGCCATCCCATCGATTGTGAATGCTGTATGCCTGACATCGGCATGGTCTTCGTCCAACCAAAGCATTCTGGCGGGTACCCGAACCTTGTACGGTCTTGCAATCAAAGGCCACGCACCAAAGATATTCCTGAAGACCAATAAATGGGGTGTGCCATATATGTGTGTTGCAATGCAAGTTGCTTTCTCCTTCTTGGCCTACATGTGTGTCTCCAACAGCGCAACCACAGTCTTTTATTGGTTCGTGGATTTGACAGCCGCTGGTACTTTGGTCTCGTGGATCACTATTGCCTTGAACCATATTCGCTTGCTTCAGGCATTCAAGAAACAGGGAATCTCCCCTCATACTTTGCCTTGGCATAATGATATCACTAGTATGTGGACCCTTCCTGGCTTCCCTGTACTTGCTAACACCGTCTAGGGTATACTAGCTGGTTCGCCTTGGTTGCCTGCAGTATCATCTTATTGACAGGAGGGTTCACAGTTTTCACGACTGGAAGCTGGGATCCTGCTACCTTTGTATCGTCCTATCTGTACGAGCCCTACTGCCTCCTTTATGAAAATGACTAACCCCAAAATAGAGATATACCCCTCGTCTTGTTTGCCTACGGAGGCTATAAGTTAATTCGCAAGACGGAGATAGTCCCTCTGCAAATGGTTCCTCTCCGTCAAGCACTGGACGAAGCTGAGAATGACCCAGAGAATGTGCCAATCAAAAAAGAGAGCATCTGGGCGAAGATCAATATTCTATGGGGCTAACAGATGTTTAATATATAGTATAGATATTATTAATTACATAGAACTACAGGGTAATCGATGCCCTAAGTTACCTATATCAATAAATCATAATTTCTTAGGTAAATTATCCTCTATCTGAGAGATGTTTTCCCAACCAGCCCTGGAAATGCTAGTTATACATACCCTGCACGCCCCAAAGTAGGCAATTCCATGATCCCCAAGATATATATCCTTATGGCTCGATGGGGCTGAACCTCCATACGGGCTTGACTTGAGACCAGCCACGATATAGCCAAGGCATGACAAGCTTTATTTCAATTTGAAAAGCTGAAAATTCGGAATGATGGGACTGATACATAGCTTATTTTGCAGATACTGTAAATTGGGAAGGAGTAGTGGATGTTTACATTCGCTGTCCAACTGATCCCTGGAGGCTTATTTCTCATCGGTCTCCTTTTCGTTCGAGAGTCGCCTCATTGTCTTCTTTCCCGTAGTTGTCGGGAGGAAAGGATCAAAATCCCCTGTTGGATGCGTCAAATTGAGGAACATGATATCTATATCTTAAAAGAAATCGGAACGATTGATCAAACTCTGGAGGAGTAGCTTGCCGACGGTGGAAACGGGTTCTGGAAGCCATTCCAGGTTGCTGCATTTGACAGGAAGATCCTATACCGGCTATTCCTAGGAAACACGTCATCTTACTGGCACAACGGATCTTTCATCAACACAATTGAATGATATAGCCCTACAGTCTTTAAGAGCCTTGGCGTGAAGGGGACAAATACCGATCTCTTCACTACAGGCTTGTTTGGCGTCGTCAAGACAGTCGGGCCTTGTATTTGGATTTTCTTCCTGATTAAATAGGTTGGACGACGACGTCTGCTGATGATCGGTGCTATGGGAAGTTCGATCAGTCTCTGGAGTGTGGGAGCTTATATCCAAATAGCTAACCCATTAAAGAACACTTCTGGGAAGATGACTAGTGGTAGTATAGCGGCTGTCTTCTCATCTCATTACGGCTTTCTATACTCCAACATGGAACGGAAACCCATGGGTCATTAATGCCGTAAGCTCAATATAGTTGGCTTTGTTCTGACGACTTCTGACACTGGCTATACTAACTATTTCAACCAGAAAGTATTTGAGATCAATGTTAGCCCATTTTCTCAAACCAGTGCAGCCTGTTATAACTGGCTTTGAGCTTTCCTATCTCTAGTTTCAACGATCAGAAGTTTAAGGCCATGGGTGCCGAAGTCTTGGTTTTTTTTTTTTTGCTGCGTTGATGCTTTGCTCCATCTTTTTCGTTTCCTCCCTTGTGCCAGAGAGCAAAAGTATTCCACTGGAGGGAATGGACCATCTCTTTGAATACAAGCCGTTGTGGACTGCGCATGGCAAGATTCTTGCTGATCTTCATGACGAGAAGCAACAATTCTGCCAGGAGCTGGGGGTGTCGGACGAAAAGGGCCAGGTAACCCAGGTGGAGCATAAGACTGTGGAGCCTGTCTAGGTAGGAATAGTGATTCAGTATATAGATCGAGGACATGGATCTGTCGGTGTCCATGATCAATGGTGAATACTACTTCGAATGAATGGATATAACGCTGCAAATTGGAAGGGGAAAAAATAGAATTTTATTATGCAACAAGTCTATTCTATCTCCTTTAAAGTCCAAATCAGTCCAAAAGGGCAAATCGATACACTAAGTTACAAGATGAGCGCAATGGGGGAATGGATATGCTGGGGATTTCGTCAAAAGGCGCGCAGCGAGGAATTAAATCGGGACGAGACAAAGAGATTTTTGATATAGTACACACCCCGATCCTAGTCCCCTGCCTTCAATTAAGGGAAGAAACTGGAGATAGGATACCATGCCTCTAGGAAGGTGTCAAAGGAAGATTACCAGGTGTTCAACAGTGAGCTTATTTCTCGGTCTGAACCTGGCTCTCCTCATCATGTGAAGCCTTGAGAACCAGCGAGTCGGTATCGGCCTCAGGAATTGCCTTCACCTCACTGTTGACTTCCTCGACCTGAGCAGGCTTCTCCTCGGGAATGGAAGTCTCCTGCTCACCAGTAGAAGGAGATTTGGTGGGCGCACCACCCTCAACCTCATCATCTTCCAACTCGGCACCGTAAACATCAGGGTGTTGACGGAAGCAATCTTGCATGTTCCTGGAAATGTATTAGTACGGGCGCGAGACCCTGATAAGCGAGACTGGAGCAACGTACTTGAATTTGTCAATGCAGTCTATGCCCTTGGGCTCCTCCTCGGAATACACGAAACAGCTAAACGCGGCCTTGAAGTCCTCTCCGCATGGGCCGTGCGCCATGCCACCCAGGCATGGGCAGTCCCAGTTGATCTCGCCGGTCTCCGGGTTAAACGCGGCTTGCTGCCCGGCCTCCTCCTCAAGTTGCTGGGCGTTCACACCACCTTCCAGAGCCTGGGCAGCGGCCCGCTCTTCCCGGATCTTGGGGGTAATGGAGTCGAGGGTCTGGGAGGATTTCGAGGCATCATCTTCATTTTTTTGGAAATGAGCGAGGACGGAGACTAGATCCAAGGTAGATTGTCAGCGATGATCCAGCAAGCCATTGTCCCCATAATGCGACAAGATTCCGAGATGCCTCCTCTGGTTACGAGAAGTATGGCAGAAAAGACAAAAAGACATTACATACACGACGGCTCCTCAGAGAACACACTGCTGGTGTTGTAGTAGTATATCGCACCACCAGCCAATCCCAAACGGGCAACGGTATTCTTCCAGCTTCTGGATTTCGTCGGGCCGGTGCTTATCAATCGGGTGTTCGCCGGGCTACGGGCTGCGACAGCAGGCGTTCGGGCAAGTGCTCGGACGGCGGGACGAAACATGATGTGAAGAGTAGTGCCTGTGTGGGATTGACAACTTAGACGACCTCCAAGGGACGTAGAGAAGGAGGGAGAAGGCTGGTTGCCGGAATAGAAGAAGTTGGTGGAAAGAGAAGGTTGATTCCGGGCCTGAGGTTCTTGGGATTTGGCCAGTCACGTTGCGCGGGTCTCCTCCCCCCCCCCCACGCGACTCCGATTTCTTGTCTCCTTCTCTCTCTCCAACGTTTCTCATTCTCACCCAACGATGACTTAAATCTTCTTTCATTTGTCATTTTATCCCCTAACAAGCTAATGAGCTATGGAGTGGCACCCCAGCCTTTTTTTTTCGTCCTGAGGGCAGTCCGGCACCGTATGCCCTGTTGATCTTGAACCAACCAATCAACGAGAGGGCATATGAGGTATTGAGTGAACATGGTGAGCTTTGAGATAGAGAAGACTTTTATCTCCTAGACCACTTGATGAACAAAGTTCCTTATCTTGTTTCATAGCTTGCTACGTTATATGCGCCGATGGTGGTGCCAATCGACTTTATGATTTAACGAAGAATCAAGGGCAAGAGTCAACTGAAGTAAGTTGTCTCTCTTCAACTATTGAGTGTTATTGTAATCTTTCAACTAACATCTCTATAGCTTCCGAATACCATTATTGGTGACTTGGACTCTCTTAATCCAACAGTACGAAAACATTATGAAATGCTTGGGGTAACCATTTTGGAAGATCCAGACCAATATTCCACAGATTTCACCAAATGCTTGAAATATCTCAATACACATGCTTCTGAGATTATCGCATCCCCCCGTCGATCTCAAGACTCTCAGTCAAGTTCAAGTTCTCACTCGGTACTTGAAATTGTCATTCTTGGCGGTCTTGGTGGTCGTGTTGATCAAGCCTTCTCGCAAATCCATCATTTATACATGATGACCAAGACACAACGAGAGATTCGCGAGGCCCACAGGATCAGTGAGACGAATACACATTCTAGTAATTCGGCCATAGGTGGGAGCCTCTATCTCGTCTCCGAGGAAAGCATCACATTTGTCTTGCATCAAGGCCGGAATATCATTCATACACCGGCAACGAGACGCGCTGATACTGACCAAGCTACCTCGGGTATTGGATCGCAGCATGAAACATCTAAAAACACAGAGGAAGCGAAGTACTTCTTTGAAGAAAATGTTGGCATCATTCCTTTATCTGCTCCGGCTTCTATCACCACCCAGGGCTTTGAATGGGATGTGCAAAACTGGCACACTGAGATTGGAGGTCAAATATCTACAAGTAATCATATTCGAGCAGAGAAAGTTGAAGTGGAGACATCAGTTCCAGTGCTGTTTACCGTGGAGTTGGCGCAAAGACTCAAAAGGTGATGAATACTTTCAAAGAGGTTTACTACAGGTATAGAGTCAACAATATAGAAAGAAATACAGTCATTAAAAGGTCCAAAAAAAACCTGAATAACCCAACCCCAGGCGCCATCTCCGGCTGGAGAGAGAACAAGATAAAATCAACCGCATCGCATATCTCAAAACACTGACCGCCGAGTCTGACGAAAAAGCAAAGATCAAAAACCACAGGATATCATCCAAGGGAACACCAAGTCCGGATTATGTACCGGGATCGTATCGTAGGAAGGGAATCAAAGCTAACAGATTCATATTCCCCTACCTGAAGAGCCATACAGTCTGCAATGCCACATACTAGACCACCTGTACAGCCCAAGGTAGTACATGGGTCTACGAGCGCAGAATGGCTTCGTAAAGAGATCCGATAACCCCAATGGCGGTTCCGGTCAGCATACTACTATACTGACCCGGAATAGAGAAATTGACCTTCTGGATAGCATACTTGCTGAAAAGATCGGCATAGTCAAAGTGGTCAACATAGACTTTGTACACCAGCAAAGCCTTGGCAATGTTGAAGGACAGAGGATCAAAACTGGCGAGAGGTGAGGCCGAGCGAGTACGGCGCGCAGGGCCCTGGGAGCCGCCGGTAGCTGCCTGCCAACTCAGGTTGAAGAAGTAAGCAGCGATCAACGGCAAGGCCAGGTTGGTGAGGAACCAGAGAGTGAAGGGTGCCCAGAAAGCACCATTCAGTAAGACAAACAGATCCGGAACCTTGATTGAGAACGAGGGAAGATACGCAGCAGGCACAGCGGGAGTAGTAGTTAGATACCGGACAGGTACAAGCTCATAGAGAACATAAGCAGCCTCCACAAGTACGAAAATGGTCTCAACCGCCTTGAGGCTACTCAAAGATGCGCGCAGAGCATGCAACCGCTCGATCAAACCAGATGCGGTCCAGGCGTGCTCTAAGCCCTCGCGCATCTTCGCGGTCTGCCGGTCAATGACGTCGGTCACTACTGCAGGAGAAGCTGGGAACTGCAAATTTGGCGACTCAAAGGATCGCAAAGATCGCAAAGATCGCGGAGTCGCGCGCGTGGCAGTGGGGGTCTTCTTCGCGACTGGGGTTTTGGTGGCATCGTCCGAGTCACTGTAGCAGTTGATTAGTATTTGAGGTATGTGATAACATAACAGCGATTCGCATGCGATGTCCTGTGGAAGTCTTACACAGATTCCTCCTCCTTTGGCTTGATGGATCGGCGACCAGGAGTCTTCTTCTCAGTCACAGGAGAGACGGCCGTCCGAGGTTCGCGCTTCACAGGTGATCCTCTACGCGTGCCGGACAGGCGCGAGTAGAACTCGGCGAGTTCCTTGTCGCTGGAGAAAATGGAGCGATTTTCGGTGAGATGTTTGTCCAGCGCGGCGACCAGTTCAGATTTGTTGTACTCGTCATAACTTTCCAAATCGTTGTTATTAGTTTTTGGTTTTTCTTGGGGAAGGTGGAATGCGACGCGCGAGAGGATAAACATACTCTTGCAGATCGGTTCTCTCAGCAATCTCAGCCAACTCTGGCTTGCGTAGCTTATTCAGAAAAGGTAGACCGTTTGACATTGTGAAAGTGATATCAGGTAATTTGATATGTGAAGTGGGATCAATCTAACCTTAAGGGTTTAAGAGGGGAAATGCAAGGGAGGGGGAATTGATCGGGAACTGGGGAAAGTTGTTTACACGTCGGGATCGCCAAAACAAATAAGGAAAGAAAAGGGAGTGATTTTAGCAGACCACAGCTCCCTTTCACTAATGTCACTCCTACATCAAAATCTATTTTTTGTTTTATTATATATACTTTTCAACTTAAAGATAGACTTCTATAAGAGCGTTAAAGTTATTTAACAGTTTCCAAGGTACCTATATAGAGTAGACTTGGTAGACTTAGCAGTAGAGGCTCCTAGTCAAATGTAAGGATAGAAGAGTCTAACGTAAGGCCCTAATCAGAAAGAGACTTAGGACTATACCTAGGTAGAGGATACATAACGAGGTCTAAGCTAGTATAATTAGCAAAATATGATTTGGTCTTCCAAGGTTCCCATACGAGTGACATTAGCAGCTCCCTGGTTTACGTTTACCTCCTGTTCCCTGCGTCTACTGGGGGGTTCTTCGTTACAGTATGAAGAAAGGAGAAAGGAGAAAGGAGATATCTATAATACAATTCAACCCTTAGGTCAAGTCTATGTAAAGCTCTATCGGGAAGATTTAAGTACAAAAGGTTATACACTCCAGGCCCCCAAAAATAAAACGCCAAGCCAAATGAAGAGATGCAGGTTAAAATCAAAGACATCACAAAGATGAGCCCTCAAGACCCTGATAAGCCTCGATTTGTTTAAGTAAATATTGGTACATAACCAACATTGTTCCAGATTGAATGCTGGTCCACACACCGCGGGGGCCCACGCCTCGGAACCACCCCGCAAGTCCCTCGGTACGGTAGATCATCTTCAACCCCGTAAATACGGACGATGTATCCAACCGTGGCGCACCGGGGGGTGCAACTGATGTAGAGGGTGAGGATGTAGAGATCGGTCGCGAGTGTGTTTTTGAGGAGGAATGAGATGATCCAGGGGCATGTGGTCGAGGGCTTTCTTTGGGCGCATGATCAGCACTGTGCTTGGCTCCAGACGATCCGGTGTTCTGTGGAGGGTTTTGTTGGGTTTGGATACGCGTCTTAACCACATCCAACGGACAAGTGATCACACCGGCCATACCACCAGCCGTGGCGGCAGTGAGGATTTCTAATCCCAATCCAATCTCCCGCTGACCAACAAATTCTTTGGCGAGGTTTTGTAATTGCTCGTAGAAGGCAAATTGTAGAGCGGAGAATGGCAAGTCCCGGAAGATTGTAGCCTTGTAGCCGTGAAACAGGGCCGACACACCTTCCTGGCGGACGATCGTTCGAAATGCGTCCGTGGTGCTGCGATAATTATATCCGGATTTGAAGTACGGGTTGTTGTATCGGCCCTGCAACTGCAGTCGGGTTTTCAGCACCTCCGACGGCACATAAACAACCGATGCCGCCAAGTCGGCAAAGAAACCGCCCGAGAGATAGGCGATGTTGGGATTGATTCCTGCATCCAGCATCGCGCGTTTGGTCAACTCGTACACGCCGAAGAAGGTGACCGTTCCTGGGAAAGAGCCCCAGAAAGCTGGTATCACACCACCATATAGCCCTCGTAATATTCCTTCCTGGCGATAGATAGTTGCATATGACGAGGTCATGGATGTGTATTTCGGTGGGAAGTGCGGGTCGGCTTGTTGTCGGGTCTTGACGGTATCCAACGAATGCATCAACATATCACCACATGTTCCTCCAATTCCACCGGCTAACATTGCCTGTTGATGGTATTAGTATCTGAGTTGCCACTATACTGGGATGTTGTAAGGTCTCACATGTAGGTATGGCGGACGGGGCTCCTCCTCCTCCAGCACATTTCTATCCCGCGCATGCCGGATGGCATCGATGCCTATTTCATGTGCGGATATTTGTGTAGGAGGGAGAGAAGTAGGGAAACCACTGGTCCCAGCGTCCGAAGTCGCAGTTGTCGAAAACAGACCGAACACTCGCGAGGTCAAGCTCATGGCAATGTGCGCCTAGAGTCTCTGGCCCCAGGATGAACGGAACCGGGGGGTGATTTGGGGGGAGATTGGCGAGAGAAAGTAATATCACCCCCGGTAAGGAACAGGTATAAAGAGTGGCAAGGGCGTTGAGTTACAGGGGAGAATTGTCCGGGGGCCCGGGGCCGAGATCAAAAATCTGGTCGGCGATGTTCTTTCTCCGCCCCGTGGATGCCTCTGTAATCAGGCATGAAGCATCTACGTCATAACTACATAGTTACGAGAATGCCAATCAGTTGTGGTTCACTTGTTAGTTATACTGCAGTACTTAAGACTGAATCAAATGACAATTGACATATCCAAAATTAGCTTGTACATGTACAGTATCATTGATCAGTAGCACAATTTCCCATGATCGATGAACATATACAACAGTATACTTGCTATATGAATATCTGACAGGAAACCGGAAGATGCAGTCAATATAAAATGGACTTCATAAACATGGCTATCAGGAAACCCAAAGAAGACAATAGACACAGAGACATTGCACCTAGAGAATGAAAGAAAATGATAAAGAAAAGACATGACATTGCGTTGCGTATAGCATCATCAGGGCGGAAATCCTCCACGTCCGCCTCTTTTCTACAAAAGGGCCTTTATTGGCCCATGCACATGCACCGATCTCCCTTCAATCTGAGATGGCCCAAATCGAAGTATAGAGAAAGCGTATCCCCTTGTTCCTTTAGTTGCTGAAATAGTCCACCGACACTAGCGATCCGAAGATCTCGGTCTTCTAGCAAACCAAACTTCAAGAAGCTTTCATGCCGGTAGACTCGCACAATACGCGGTTCAACACTTGCTTACTGCGGCTTCTTGTTGGCGGCAGCAGGGCCGGAGACATAGCGACCGATATCGGTAGCCTCGTAGACCTGACGAACAACGCCCTTGAATGCCTCCCAGCCTTGGCGGACCTGCGGGGGAGTGCTCTGGTGAGAGATGGAGGCGTCGGCACGGGCGGTGAGCTGACGAACAGCTTGCTGAACGAAGGAGCTCTGGGCATAGCGAGCACGGAAGAAAGACAGGTAAACTAGCAGTAGGACCCAGCTACCCTTGGAGAAGGCGATCGCAGAAAGAACAAGACGGAAGAGAAGCAGAATCTCAAGCGCGGCAACAACGCCCATACTAGCGTCATAATACTGCTTGATGAAACGGCCAATGGTCTCGGCGAGAGCGTTTTGCTTGGCTGCAGGCTTGGAGCTGGGAGAGCTCGGCGAGTTTGCACCAGCAGCACCCTGGGCCGGGGGCTGCAGGGTGGGGATCAGATACATGCGACTGTAGGTCGCAACATGGAAGACAGAGTACACGCTGAATGGCAGAAGGGCCAGAATAAGCTGGCGTGAGTACAACCAGACAAGAGCCATTCCTACCACACATTAGCATCCCATCACATGCTGAATGTTATCGACGAGCACCCACCCAAGTACTGCACATTCTCGTCGGAAATGAGCTTCGTCACGATTGTAGGCACATTCCCCTGGACGCCCCGGGCGAAGTGGCCTTTATACACGACGATTCCATAGGTCACAGCCGCCGAGATGAACGTTAGGCGATAAGCGATCTGAGCAGCGGAAGAATAGTAGTTGAAAAAGATGAAGGACAGAGAGTAGCGGACGACAGATAGCAAAAGTGTTAGATGGCTGGATGTGGTTAGCAATCGCTGCTCAAAAGAGCGTTATGGATGATTTCCCGAGGTACGACATACCCGACGAACCAAGCAAACCTGCAGTGAGAATTCAGATTAGTATTGATCACCTATCATTGAAGCTCCGTGTAGCTGCATAAAGCACTTACTGAAGGGTTTGGGCTAAAGCCTTCAATCGTTCGGCCAGAGGCAGGGTTGCGGGTGGAGGGGGGGCCATGGAGGTTGGTGGAACTCTAAGCCGAGCACAGGATGCGGTTTGGGAGAAATTGGGAAAGTTGAGAAAAAAGTGTAATTTTTGTTTCGATTCTTGCAGCAAGCGAAGGGGAAAGGGGAGGGGAGAAGCTTAAAAAAAGAAGAAAAAGAAAGAGGCTGTGGAGGGAGGCTGGGGAGGAGGAGCGGGGAGATAGATGCAGTTGTGTGTTTGCCTATGATGCGTAGGTTATTGGGGCCATCGGCAGCTGGTAAACCAGTTTTGGTTCACCGCTTCAGTCACCGCTTTTTGAGCTAATTCATCGCTTCTACTAATGAAAATGTTGGAAACAAAAATGTCGATAATTGTATCAGTCCTTCCTATTTTTCAGAAAAGCTTCAATGTATAAAGATATTTTTTAGAAAATTGCCAGCATGAATTCAACAAGTTTTGTTCATGATCTCTCCAGTCCTTGACACATGGCGGCCAATGCCGAATTGGTGAGATAAAGAGCACCGGTATAGCAGATTGAGATTGAAACATCGGACGGGTGTGCCGGACTAGGCCATGAGCCTGGACAACGATCTAGATCATAATTCCCTGTATGGCAATTGAGATAAATGACCTGGATCATCAACTTAGTAGACAGGACTATCCATCATTGGGATCAGACCAAGTACTGGTGTTACCAAATTATTCATCTTTGACAGAGACTTAGACCCTTGGTTTCTTGGTTCAGTCTGTAAAGACGGGATCCCAAAAATTTGTCGGAAGTGACAGATCCAGGAATTCCCCAAACAGCATATCGATGTCGGCATACCCATGCATAGAAGTATCAATATCACTCATGGATGGCAGAGGGCTTCCCATGGGCATTTCAGGAGCATGGTCCACTACTGACCTCCCGGAGCTAATTCCAGGCTCATTATTATTGGAAAGATCAACGGGCCCTGGGCGGGCAAGATGTCCTTGAGAAGACTGTGACACCAGATTAGGCTTCGACTGAGCGTATTGTGGATGCTCTTGGTCAATATGTTGTAACGCTTTCCGGCCGAGACGCGCCATTGCTTCGGCAGAAGACCAGCGAGGGCTAAGTTCTTCAAGCAAGTGGCAACATGCCTCCAAGCTGGCCTTGGCTCGATTGAAATGGGTAATCAGCTTGCTAGATCGGAGCTGCCGGTAGGAGACGCCCATAGACAATGCTATTGAGTAGGGAACAATTGGAAGAGGTGGTAGCCCAGCCGCGAATTCCGAAGCAACAATGGAGTGAATCCGGACTGCTGCGAGACCTTGTCGAATTGAGGACACTTTGGTACCGTCGAAGCCATCCGTCAGCTTGTACCGACAGGACAATATAGCAACACAATGGTAATATAACTCCAAAATCCCTGTTGATAAGTTAGCTCCTGATGGCTTCAGTCAAGACCTGGCAGGTCGCCCAACGCACCGAGAGTTGAAAAGTCCAAATCACCGTGGGTATCATCTCCTACAATGTCTTCAAATGCCGGGAATCCTTCCTCCCATCCGCTAGTAGTTACAGCAGAAGGTCGATAATACGATATGACGGTTGCAAGAAGGTCTGATATGGCAAGCCACACGCCAAATGCCCCCTGGGTGTGGGTTTCTGGTCTTGGGATTCCAATGTCGCGGTCAGCCAAAATAACCGGGCGACCGCCGATGCTTGCGTGCATTTTGTCCAGGGTCCAGAGACTCCAGAATAATTTTACCAGAGGGTCTCCAGATGTCCGGTCTGGTCGGTCAAGGTGCAGACCTATAGTTTGGGCTTGGTGAATGGCTTGACAAAGACGCAAGGAAGCGGCCTCCGTCCCCTCATTTCCTTCAAAATGCAAAGACATTAGTGCATAAACACGGATACAGGTCAGGCGGTCAGACTCCAGGCCCATATCCATGGCAACTGTGAGTCCATTATAGATGTTAGAGCAGAATTGACGCGTTGATATAACCGGTCCTCCATCAACTAAGCAGAGATATGATATTGCTTCGGGGTCTTTTGCTGCGACCAGGCAAATAGCCCGTTCAAGAAAAACAGACATGGTGCCTTGAGCTTGATCCTTGATAAATGAGTCCTTCTCTATTAGGGGTATTGTGTGGTTGATCTTGGAAAAGTAAATAGCCGTGAGAACTGCCCGAGTCGTTTGGGGAAGCTGGCCACATGCTTGGATTGCAGAGGAACATCGCTGGTTTAGAGATATTTCAATTGCCTTTTGGTCCAGGGTTGATTGTGGTGGCAATGCAAAAGAATCAATATTGCCAGCAATGTGTCGCGGATCTTGTACATTATGATCAGGATCCCGTATGGATGGGGCAATCCAAAGCCCAACCCGATCGCGGAGACGACTACCGGTTGGTTCATCCAACTTCTCTCGAATGAATGCTTCTGGATTCAGGTCTCCTACGAATCGCTCCGTACTTGGAGTTGATTGCAAAGCTGGATATGCTGGCGAGGTTCGCTCCCAGGCTGCAAGACGAGGGGCAGCAGGACGAGGGGCATGCGGATCCAGATGATCTAAATGAATGGCAATATTGCGAGCCGTGTCAAGTTTATCGGCACTGGATGTCGGATGGCGTTGGCTTTCCACTGAACTAGGAGCCAGGTGCCGGCATCGCTTCTATGGGAGGGTTTGAGTGCTCAGTCTTTACTTTCGAATCACACATACACGCACCTTCCGTCGCTGACAGGTCGGGCAGGCTCGTGCTGCCCGAGTTCTACTCCGCCATTGGGGAATATTGGCCTGCCATTTAAATTCCATCGAAAGGATATCAGGATATCAAGGGAGAGTTCAGCATATCGTGCGGGGAGAAAAGAAGAAACTGGGAATGCTTATCGATAAGAACCTGCACCAATGGTATACATAGGATGAACTCGAAAATTATCATCTATCACATATGAATGATCCAGGCTAATTTGATCTTCATTAGAGTTATTTGAAAATTACACAATACCTGCAAAAGGCATATTTGGTGGTTTTGTTTCCGATTCCCGATCTCCATGCTAGTACATGTTCTTCAAACTGGAGGCCAGCACATGTATTTTCTTTCTCAAACCTTTCTCAAACTCAGACTGGTTTAGCGAATTCTTCCTCCTCCATTGCTGCTAAGGCTTCAAGGGCATCCGCATCGTCGAATTCATCAGCAGAACCAGTGGGAGCCTTTAGACTCTCATCAGGACGTGAAGGGGTCGATACCTTGTTTGTCACTGATACAGCATTGGCCAAAATTGATGAATTCTCTTTATCAGAAGGAATAGCTGATTTGGCCTTTGTTGGCACAAGGTTCCAATCAATTACCTGATCATCGCCATACCGTGAAGCAAGCCAGTCGTTACATTTCTTGAAATGGCCATTGTCAAACTGTTTACGTTGAAGTCAGTTTCCAGGACCATAAGGGTAGAAATAAAACTTACAAATCCTCCATGCGCACTTAGTGGACTCGGGTGTACTGATTGGAGCACATGATGCTTTTGGCGGTCGACCTTAGCCACCCGCAGCGCGGCGGGCTTTCCCCAGGCAAGAAATACAACCCCATGAGTTCGAACTCGAGCAACCAAATCAATAACCTTTTGTGTAAATGTCTCCCACCCCTTCCTGGCGTGGCTATGGGCCTGGTGGGCACGCACTGTGAGACAGGTGTTGAGCATCAGTACACCCCGTTCGGCCCAAGGTGTAAGCAGGCCACCATTATTTGGCGGTGGAGCAAAGTCTGGGTAATTCTTCTTGAGCCCTTTGTAAATGTTGACCAATGACGGCGGAGCTCTGGTCGGAGGTCGCACAGAGAATGCCAGCCCATGGGCTTGGTTATCATTATGATAGGGATCCTGGCCCACAATCACTACCTTAACCGTGTGCAATGGGGTAAGTCGGGACCTAGTCGGTTGTTCAGCATATTTCTGCCAATATGGCTTTTGATTTGCCCTTACCAAGAATAGACATCTTCATCCGGAGGGAAGACTTTCGTTTTAGAGTCCTTCTCCTTCTTCAAGAATCGCTTCAGGTTCAAGAACTCGACTGTGGTGATTTCTTCCTTAAGGTGGGCAAGCCAACTTTCATCCAATGTATCAATCTCCAATTGCAGTAAGTCTTTCTGCTCTGGGGTGAGGGATGCCACCCATTTGTCTTTATTGAAAGAGCTCGACCGGGGAGCTGGCGCGACGCCGGTGGCTTGTGTGTCGACTGGCTTGGGCTTGGGGATACCGAAGAAAGAAGTAATGCTCCTTCCTTTTGGCTTCTTGGTGTCTGAAGCTGGGCTGGAAAGATGATCCGCGTTACGTTTGAAGGCTGGGCTAGCCATTTTGGGACAGGAGGATGCGAGAAAAACGGACAAATGAACACAGGGAAAGTATTTAGCAGGAATTCCCTGTAGGATGAGGGTAGAAAGACTTCACACGGTCTCTTGAGAATGGGTTCTTCTCAAGCTATGGTGATCGACGCGTTGCGAGTGAGACGCGTCGGTCAGAGAAAGCTGACTAAACTAGAACCTCGGGAAATGGAAATCTAACCGCCGTATAAATGGCTATACCCCGTATGCATTACGTTACTTAGTTCCGATTTCCTTTGATTTTCAAAGTGATTTGGATATTACGGTGTATTACATGAAGAAATAATACAGGTGTTGGATTCGTGTTCATCTGAATTGTCATGTCAAATTTGATAATACAAGACACTGAGTTGCAAGAAGGGAGGAAAATAGCCAATCACAGGGAAAGATGGCGGGTTTACAACTCATCATGGACATCCTCGGACGGAGCAGCGGTCTCAGCGGCCTTGTCAGAGACAGAGGCAGACGCAGTCACGTCACCACCATCCTCGGACTTGGCACCCTCGGCCAGGGCATCAACCTGGTACTTGCCATTCTCCTTGATGAAGGAGATCAGGTCCTCGACAGTGCGAGATCCCTCATACTCAACTGGCTCATCCTTCTTGCCGGCCCGGTACAACTTGATGGTCGGGAAGCCAGTAATGGAGTCAGGGACGTCATTGGCAGTGGCATCGATTTTGGCGATAACAACCTTCTCCTTGAACTCGGGAACATCGGCATACAGAGCAGCGAGTTCATCATACTTAGGGGCAAGACTAGGCTAGCGTTAGGGCTTGTTGGGAAAAAAGATGGGATAAGAGGGGAACCTACGACTTGCAGTGACCGCACCATGGGGCGTAGAACTCAAGCAAGACATCCTTGTCGTTGTCAATGACAAGATCCTGGTAGCTACGGCCAACGACCACAGTGACTGGACCCTCTTGGGTTTCGGGAATAGGCTCAGATTTGATACTGGGCTCAACCTTGCCATCAATGACGTCCTTGATGAATTTGCCAACTTCCTTGGCGTCGATCTTCTTGGACTGGTCGTAGGGGTACTTGGCGTTCTTGGTTGTGTCCTGGATAGCGAAAGCGGGGAACGTCTCAGGCTCTAGGTTGAGGTTGCTAGCGTGGGCACCAAAGAGCTTGGCGTCGAGAGTAACAATGTTGATCTCGCCGCGGTGCTTGGCAGCGATCGGGCGGAAGTCCTCGGTGAACTTCTCGCGCTCCTCAGCGGTCTCTGCGAAGATATAGGCCAAGGGGATACCAGCCTGGGAGCAGAAAGGCAAGTCAATTATATAGTAATGGTAAGGAGAATATCCTAGTTTTCACATACCGACATATACTTGGAGTAAGTCTCGGGGCCAAGCTCACCAACAAGAGGAGTGCTAGCGGTCTTCACCCACTGAATAATGGACTCCTCGTCGAGCTTGCCATCGTAAACATCCTTCTTCTCGTCGAAATCCTTGTAGAGCACAATGGAGGGTTGCTTGGCACCCTCAGCTTTGGCGAGGGTGGCATCGTTGGAGGCGGCAAACAGATAGTCATCGCGGTGGGCCTCGGCAAAAGAAGTGAAGCTCTTGTTCGAGTTCATGTCATCAGAGCCGATGTAACCGACAATGACAATCTTATCCAGGGTCTTGAACTCCTCCAGGGTCTCCTCAGTAACAATCGAAATGGCGGGCATTGACTGTTTGGTCATGTACGAGACGATACTTTAGACGCAGAGTGTGAGCAGGTGCGCAACAAATGAGCTTTGATTGGCTTCAGAAAAAAAAAAAACTTACGAGTCTGTTTGACGAGCACCACCGTACGGCTTGTGTGAGTCAGGGCCCCGGAAGACCTTCAGAGTAGGATACCCATCAACCTCGTAGGTACGGCACAGATCCTCCTCCACGGTGCAATCCACTTTGACCAGAGGGATATCCTTGGCCTTGAGCTCTGTGGCAGCCTCTTCATACTTGGGGCCCAGTGCTTTGCAGTGGCCACACCACGGAGCAAAGAACTCTGCCAGGACCAAGTCGTGCTCCTTGACGAAGTCATTAAATGTATCTGTCGTCAAGGAAATCACGTTGGAGGTCGCCGGGTCGGCATCAGCTGCAGAGGCCGCGGCAGTGGCACCCAGTAGGCCCAGGACCAAAGGAGTAAACGACCGCATGATGAATCAATAAAGGATCTTGCGCAACACAATCTAGAGTTGACAGGTATTTTTAGCTTTGTGGCAGGGAAAAACAAAGAGCGACAGAAGAGGGGGGGTAGAAGGGGGATTAATTTCAAGACTTACCAACCTCTTGGGGTATGAAGAGATTAGGAGAGACCCCAAGGTTCGGGTATGATATTTAAGAAAACAATGATTGGGGGCAAAGTTGAGGACAGTTTGTTCTCTTTGGCCGGGGAGTGGAGATTGGAGCTTCTGAGTAAGTACAGTATGCAGGGCGGGTCCACACGCAAGGGGAACGCACCCGCCCTTAAAGTATTGTTTTGGTACGGAGTACCCAGGCGCCTGTTGTACACTTTGACCCCTGTTATATACAGAGTAAATGACCTACATAAATATATTTGCTTTCTACATATGGCACCCTTTGACATATGTACTTTCAAAAGGCCACACTATCTGAACTTCCGTGATATTCTACCGTAAGTTACACTATCCAGTAGAAATCTTCATTCTAGTCGCTTGGCAGAATGCCGTACCACAGATTGGAATTGTGGGGAGAGGGGGGGCGAAGATAAATACTGTAATATTAACTGAAGTTCCGAAAATATGTCTCCTGAACTCTGTAGATACATTAAGATTGGATACATGTGTACGTGGCATGGAGGACGTGAATAAGGTGGGGGGGGAAAGAATTTGAAGGAAAAGTAAACCGAAACCCCCCTTCATGACGATGAAGGAAATGATAATAAAAAGCATTTCAAAGATTACAGTACTTGCTCTACATTACTTCCTCAGTTGGTTTCTATATATAATCATTCTTCTCGAGCTATTGTGGGTATAGTGCCATATCCCGGAGCTGCTGACAAACCATCAAGGTCAGCACCGAGTTCAAGTGCATCTCGTTTTCCCCGTTCAACATCCACTAGTAGCATGAGCGGCAAAGGGAGAAATATCAGAATGGCTAGAAAGACAAAAGCGGGTCGAATCCCACCATATCGATCAGTGATAGCACCGACGATCGCGGGGCCGAAAACACTGGATCCCTTGTCCGTGATGGCATAGAGAGCATAAAAAGCCGCTTCATGCCCAGGTGGGATTAGTTCGGCGAAAAAGCTTCGGCAATAGGATGAGAGCCCACCCATAACGAGCCCGTAAATGGCTCCTAGGGGATACATTTCCCACGGGTGTTGGAGGCCGATACCTAAGCGCTGAACTGTCGGGAAGAACCCAATAATTCCGTACAGGGGGATCAGTTCGAACAGAATAATACAGGCGATAATGGTATGCGATGCACGAAGACGCAGTAAGCTCGACACATAGCTCCAAGAGAATGCGCCAAATATGCCGGCAAGCATGACGATCACGTTAATGAGCCCCAAGGCCGCGGGTTTCATATCAAGTTCGGTTTTCGCAAACAGTACAGCTGTTCCACTGACAGTAGCGATGCCGTCGCTAAGTAGGAACCAGGCAGCAAGGAAGAGAAGAAGATCCTTTAGCCGTCTGGCACGCATGGCCGTCTTCCCAAGAGACATCCAGGCGTAATGTATGTAAGCCGTCCATGAGTGAAGAGGTTTCCCATGGCTTAACAAGGGGGGACCAGGCCGAGTGCGCAGCCACATGGTTGCTGGAACAGTGAATATAAACCACCACAGCCCAATACAGAACAAGACCAGGCGAAGTGAAAAGGTCGTCTGCTGAGTCACCACCACGATAGCAATGGATATGATCTGCAAAGTTACAGCACCAATATAACCAATTCCAATTCCAAAGGACGATATTTTGGTAGAGAGCCCAAGTTGTAGGGATGTCACCCCAGTAGCGCCAGCCCCATCATTCTCAACAGATTGAAGTAGTGGAGTAGATGCATCGAGTCCTCGTTGGGCATCCTCTCCAGGACGTGCCCGCTGGCTCTTCTCAATGATCAAAGGATGATGGCGGACCAGGACCGGTAAGAAAGAATTTAGTAGAACAAAAGACGCACCGAAGCAAGTATTGGCCACAATCGCGAGTAACCCCCCTAGGAGATATAATCGAGGAGCAACAGCGAGGAACAACATGGTCGCGATAGCTCCCGTGAAAGCAAACATCACCAGAAGTTTCTTGCGATAGCTTCCATGATCTGCGGCGCCCGACATGGAGATGATGAGGATCGCCTGTACTAAAACACTCAGGGAGAAAGTATATAGTGCAAAGCTGGCTGTATTGACCTCTGCGCCCAAGAGGAAAACGATGCATTGACTCGTATTTGATTTTTGAACTTCAAAGCCGGATCGATGGCTGACCTGATGAGAAGGCTTCCACGTTGGGCTACATGGGGTTGTCTTATCGGATAGAAGAAAGCCACGATCCCGGGCCATCTGTTCCAGAGTAATAGGTAGAAAGGAACCTATAATGTCAATGTTCGAAGGGCGTCACCAACAGAGAGACCGAAAAAGGGGGTCGACTACATACCCATGGCACATACGGTGAACACCTCTGCAGCCCAGCCATAACAATACCAGCCAGCCAGCTCCTTGTTGCTGGTCGGTCGAGGATCATCACCAGGGTAAAGAGGAATCCGATCGTTGGCTTCCTCTGCCTCCACCTCTGCTTCATAGCGGCTCATTGTTGTGGGAGGTTCATATATCATAACCAAGATCACGTTAAGATGGTGAGGTCATGCTTCTTAAGATGGGGCAGATAGGCCCTTGGGAGCTAAATTTGTATAATACCGGTAATTATACATATCACTCACCAGACAATGTAGGCCGGCTCGGTCAATACCTGAAAAACTTACTTACACAGACATCAAGGCAACAAGGCATCAACAGGCATACCAAAGGCGGTGAATGCGCATTGCGCGCTTTCCCTTCTCTGCCCTTTATCCTTTCGGCATCAGATCCTCTTTCTCCCTTCCACCGTTACTACATCTCAGGATCTTCATTTTTTCACTGAGTTCTATATCCTTGCGCTCAAAGCTGCTATACCCTTGCCATACCCTTTCATCTGTTGAATCGCCCTCGCGCTCCGAATTTCCCCCCAAGACGGGCCCCCCCATCGTCCTCGATCATATCGTGCAGGAACTCGGCGCAATTGAAGCAACAAACAATCTAGCATTTTTTTGGGCCCATTTATCCTCTTTGATATTCGACGAGCCTCTGGACTGCTTATCCTAGGACCAAATTTAGAGCGTCGGTCGTGTACCCAGCTCCCTTGATTATGATCGAGGTCACTGTTTTGCACGGCCAATGATACGCATGGCACTAGGTTGAGAATTTTTCTCTCACCTGATCCCCATTTTCAGCTTCCCTTCCTACTTCGGCTTCCGCTGATTTGCGCCCAGAGCAGCAGCTAGACTAGCTAGCTTGTTCGGTATCGTGCAGAGAGTCCAGGAGGGGAAGGCATCATCGTGGAATAATACCACCCTGGCAGCTCGATTTATTCAGACATGCCCGGCGTCATCATGGATTTTCCCGGTGTTGATGGATCTTTACGACAGTCCGGCCTTAATGAGGCGACGAATGGCGCGGCGAGCCACGACAACAAATCCTACCAGCTCCCTGCTTCTACCAATGGACCGGTCCATATGAATGGCATGGGGAGAGATGTCGCCGCATCGAGCCAAACTTCAAAAATATCAGCAGAAAGCTTCGTGACTACACCGTTTGAGCTAACTCATATCACACAAGGGTTTTTCCCGTTCGGTACACTTGTGAATCGAGCAGCGCAACAATGTTGGATTGATCTCTCTGAGTTAGTGACAGAATTGGCTACAGTCTCAGTTTCCTCCGAAACATCAGCTCTTCCAGCTGCGAATGGAAAATCTCTGGGGACCCAGTCCGTGGAAAATGTCAACAAGAAAGTGCGGATCTTAGATTTTGCACACGCCAAAAGGGCCGAATTTATCAAGCTCCTGGTTCTCTCTCAGTGGAGTCGCCAGGCTGCAGATGTTAGCCGGCTTATTGACATCCAGGGATTCATTCGCACGCGACATCAAGCATATACCTCCGCGGTCCAATATGTGGGTGAGATGAAACGGGATCTCGTTCGAGCGCAGGTAGCCAATCCAGATCTTAAGACTGCTTTAGAGGTCCTCTCCAAGGGCCGGGTAATAGCTCTTCCAGATGTGAGTTCGGGTGTCTTGTTCAAGTCGATGGCGTGTTTCTAATTTTGTTATCTCTAGCTTGGCTACAAACCCCCCAAGCCCTTGAACGCAAGAACAACACTGAAAAAATTACACAAAATCAATCGCATCATCAGCGTGCGGCTGGCGTTACACGATCAAGTGCCGCCTCCATTGCGAAATTATCGTGTCCATGACGGTCGCGCTACATTCACCGTAACTGGGGAGTTTGAACTTGATCTTTCAGTTGCGGAAGAGACGAACACTTCCCAATTCTTCTTCGTTGACATCCGTTTCCTCTTCTTACCATCATCCCCTATTCCAAAAGGGAGAATTTTCGACCAGCTCGATGCTAAGGTCAACGAAATACTGCATACTGATGGACTAATGGGATGTTTTGATTTTCTTCATGGTTTGGTCTTGACCAACAAAATCAACACACTCTTTAAACAGGCTGCAGACCTTACCCGGGGTCTATGGTCAGATGCATTGCGCATTGAACTCCTTCATCGGACACTGGTTGTCCAGTATTGGCCAGCAAGGGCAGGGCCGAAGAGCTGGCTAGAGATTGGCGTCCAAAGAGGCCTGCAGAACAATGGCGTGAATGATACTAGCAACAAAGTCCCTCGAATCGGTCTTCGCTGGATGCGGGACGGTCAGCAAGCAAACAGTGATGCCGTGCAATTTGATTCCAACGACCTTTCCATGGAGCGCCTTTTGCGAAGCGTTATCGCTTTGCACACATCCCATATACTTTCCACCGCTTACGCAACTCTCAACAAAAGCCTTCTTTTCTCTAATCATGTGCTTTCACTACGTGCCCAGTTATCTTCTACAGAACCGGGTGACTGCTTCCTTATCGCACAACTAACATCATCTCGTTCTCTTCGAGTTTCAGTTGAACCCCTATCGGGGGCGATCACTCTGTCGGGTGCACCAATGACATCAGAACGCTCTGAACCGGAGCGAATCTCAAATAAACCGGCAATTGAAGAGCTTCTGTCTCGCGTTGCACGTTTGCGATGTGCTACTGCGATCGAGGAAATTGAACTGGGAACCAAAGCCCTCGGTTTAGAGAGTGTTGGCCAAAGAAGCCTGGGGCTTGATATCCGTCGCCTGTTTCCTTCCAACACCATGCGCTCGGTCTTTTTCACTCATCCCTTTTGGGATCGTCGTTGGGTTGTTGCTGCCACGAGTAGTATGGATGGCGATAGCTGGTGGTTGGTTCAACTTCCGTCTGCTGAGTCTAACAACACCTCGCCCGCCCATCTTATCAGCACTTTTCTGTTGTGCAAACGGCGACGATTTGACCATCTCGCCTGTGCAGAACTACTGCATGCACTGACAGGCATGTTGGCAATCTACTCTAACGCCCGATTTTTGGCAGAAATGCCCGAACCTCATCTGTATCCTTCACTGGCGGAGTTACAGTTAGATGCAGATCTCCATGTACCGGACATAATATTTCGCTACAAGCCAGGCACACTTCATACCGCTCTTCGAATAGCATTGCCTGCCTGGATAGATCATGGTTCCTACTTGCAGGATACAGTTCGTCTATCCTTCCACGGAGTTGACCGTCAAAATCAGTCGGCTGTTCTTGTGGCCTATGGTAGTCTCCGATACCGTGTCAAGTCTCTTCTATCATTGATATCCAAGGCGGATCCCTCGCTTATCATTCAAGACAAAGGTTGTGGATTCGCACTCCGATTACTTGTCCCAGCTGGAACTTCTATCATGATTAGCCTCTTCGAACGCTTGCAACGGCTTGACTGCGTTCTCTCAATCATCCAATCTTTGCTACAACGGGGAATGGAGCCCCGGTCATTATCTCTTTCTCAAGTTACATTTTTGTATGGACCCAGCCAGAAGTTTGCCGCTCGGTTCGACATAGATGTTTCGGGTCACTCTCTTTCCGATTACATTGGCGGTCACCATGGTCTGTCTAATGCCGATCCTTTATTCCGACTGCATCTGAAGGTTGGCTTTGACAGCCCCAGCCCTCATCGTCGTATCCAGGAACCACTTACCGTGGCCTTAAATCATCGTTTCTCGGAGACAGGCGTGGACTCCATCCTTGGGTACATGTCCGATACTCTCCCACTCTTGCAGTGTTTGGATCAAATCACTAAGACAGCACCAACTGAATCTTCAGTCGTACATGTTACCGCACGCAGTCCGATGGTCTTCCAATTCCATTACCCTCGGTTAAACTATCGATTCCGCTTATCTGCACGCCCCCGGCAGGGTCGTATGGTCTGGTTAATTGAAGACTTTAATCGATCAAACCAAAGCAGCCATTCTACAGGCACGGTTAAGGACAAAATCTATAACTCAAAAGGCGACGGCTGGCAAGGACTCGGTGATGGTGCTATTTCATCCCTTGAAAAAATTGGCCATCTCCTTTCTGAGCTCCATTCATGCCTTGGCGCGTGTCCTCCTGAGCCCAGTGTTCAAAACACCACAAAGCAAGGCGAACAGCATTCACGAACAGGCTCCATTATTAACGCTGCCAAGCTAGCGAACCCCTCGCCTCAAAAAACGGACATCCTAGGCAACACCGATATCATTACAATTGACTGATCCTGCCTGCGGGGAGACCTCCTTTGGTCTGAACGATGTCTCTATTTTCTTGATCTGCCAAAGAGACACGGCTGTCTCCTGGAATGTATTCCTAGATTTTCAGTGTGAAATGTCTATCTTATGCCCTCAACTTTTTATACATATACCGTCACATATATAGGCCTATTCTCGGTACATTTAAAGCACATATATGTAGTATGCTCTAGAATTGGTTTCTATAGTGTCGGATTCATAGCATTCAGGAGCAACCGGACTCGTAAATACGTAAGGATGTACCCATAATCCCACATCAAATAGCCTTGCTTCCTTCGAGAAGCGGAGAAACGTATATATTACTCAAGATCAATACCGTTCCTCCTTCACCTTTCCGCGGCTTCGTATCACATCATATTCGATCCACCGCACGGTCGGCACAGCTCCATCAGGTAAGAGCCGTCCAGGGTTCATAACATGACATCCTTCGTAGGTCATGCAGAATGGGGCGGCCTCCGAGTCTGCCAGAATGAGGGCAGTGGGTAATGGATATAGCTGCACAGCAGACGCATGGTCCCACAGAACGGGCCGAATGGGCAGTGGGAACGGTGAAATTGTCCCTTGATCTAGAATGGTTTTCACAAGCTTACGAGCTGCCGATGCGGCGGTTGCTACAGTGTCAGATCTGGCTCCATTGACTTGGTCGGTCGGTTCTGGCGCTAGTGATACCGCGGCATTGGTTGCACTGTCCAGCACCTCGTGCATGGTAGCATCATCTCCGTCATTGCCGGCCGGTACATTGATCGCCGTACGCCTCAATCTACTCGAGATATCATCACGAAAGATAGCAATGTCATGCACAGGCCCAAACCAGGAGAGGCGCGCCGGGTTTGAAGTCCACAACGCCTCGCCCATTGGCTCTAAGGACTGGGAGCGATCAAGTTCTGAATTTGCCGTTGCAAAGGCACGTTTGATCCGAGAAGTAAACAGCTCGGGTATAGGCTGGCGTGGTATGGTTGACGCAGCTCCGGTAGAAAATGCGGATGCCCATGGATCATTGTCACCAGGGACGAAGACAAAGGTGGAATGCTGCAACAATGCAGGAAATTCGGATAAAACGACGGCGAGAGAGTCAAAATGCTCTTTGTATTCGATACTCCCAGCTCGGCCACCTCCGTTGATAATCGCTTTCTGCACAAAATTGCCGATCAAAATAAAAGTCTGGGGACGATCTGCGAGGGCAAGGTCATTGTAGGTGCTGAGAACTTTCCGGAGGGCATCCAGAGCCCTCATATTGTCGAGATTGACCTCGCTCATCACCGCCATTTTGAGCCGAGGCGGTGCCTCCATCGCCTCCGGTTCGCCCCGCAGACATTTCTCTTGGATCCTCCTCATTCGTGCTCCTTGTGCACGTTCACTCCCGATTCCTAGGAAATCGACCCACCCAAATCCACCGCTAGAGCTCAGCTCGCCACTTCCTTGGCGGCTGCTTGTCCCTAGCGAGATATCTCTTCGTTCACAAGGAGGGCCGCAGATGGAAACTCCAACGAAGTGACCTCCAATGGTACCTCCAACGCCAGAATTTCCTCCCAATACAGATCCCTGCACCATTTCTTCTTCTTCGTAGATCCCATCCACAAGCACGATCATGCCCGGGGCAAACCATGCACCATCCTCTGGAATCATGCGTGCATGGCTCAGATCCAAGGCCACACTTCCTGTTAGATCTACCAAAGTCAAATCACCCGTGGGTGAAGTAGATAGAAGGCCTAGCAACAGATGGGAGCTGCCACTTCGGCCTAGGAGGTTCGCAATTGGGGTTAACTTGTACGACTGTTGAGTTGCCAGGTTCGACGATGATCGCTGCAGGGAAGGGACGCCTATAACCCCCAATGAACTTTGGAAGGTCTCATTCCGGAGCAAGCGCTGGTAAACCAAATTGTAGCGATCCCTGAAAAGAGCAGTCTTGTGTGAAGGGGATGGAAAGAGCGTAGCTTTGGACTTGATTGCCTCGAAATATTTCTTGTCGACATTGTATGTCAATCGGGGAAGGTCGAAAGCATCAATGGTCTTGCACCAGTGACGTGGATGTAGTGACAGTTTGGAGTCATCCTCGTCCGGATCGCCTGGTCTGGTTCCTTCGGTGTTGGATTCAGTGCGCCCAGCATCCATGCCACCATTCAATGGCCTTGCAGATCCATCCTGGGGGTTGGCTTTTCCGGTGACAACTCTTCCACCACTCATACTCCCCTCAAGTGTCTGCATGATCGTCTTCAGAGATGCACCTTTACCTTCTTCCATAATTACGCTGCCACCGGCTCTTTTCCAGGATTTAGCGACCTCATCTAGAACCCTCTCTGCGAGTCCTTCCTCTCGCCATCCTGAGCCACAATTCTTCCCTACAAATACAGCTAGAGTTTGCAGGGCCGATGATGAGATAGTTAGGTTGTGCTTGCGAGTAAATGTTCGGAAAGCCACTGGTCGGAGTGTCGAAGGAGGGAGCAGAATAGGTAATATAGACGTCTTGGTTGGTGGAGCATGTGTCTTTTGCATTCGAAATGGTCGTGCTGGGGTCCCGAATGCAGGCGAGGAGGAAGGAATTGGATCGGTCGCTCCCATTTTGAAGCGATCTGAATGTCGCAGAGTAGACGTCGGATCCATGATGAGATTGAATGAGACAGGCACGATCCCAACAAATCTCTTTGAGTTGGGATAAGAAGTATGAAGTATGAAGCTTGGACTCTGGAGTTGATGCGACGCTCTCACCTGAAGCGAAAGTAAAAACGCGTGACGCGAGCGCGAGCGCGAAGCTTATCCGTTATCGCTTATCGCCTTCACTTTTCTCTTTGCTTCTCACCCGTCCCTTCTCCCAACTCAATATCTTCCATCAACACAATGGATAACATGCAATCAAACCATCCTGTCGAGACTGAGGCTGCTCAGGACAAGCGAACGCAGCTGGAAGATCTTATCACACAAGCTGCCGCTAAGGATGCGATCAAAGACCATAACACCGCTTCGGAACTCTATTCACAAGCAACCGAACTACAAGCTGAATTGAATGGTGAACTCTCGCCGGAGAATGCGAATTTACTTTATGCCTACGGAAAGTCACTTTACAACGTTGCCGTGAGCAAGAGTGACGTGCTGGGATCCAAGGTCGCCGGAGAGCAGCCTCAAGCCCAATACAACAAAGCCCTTTCAGCAGATACTGGTTCTGCCAAATCGTCTGGTACCGGGAAGAATCTGGTCCAGGATGCCATTTCAAGTGCCATGACCAAAAATCCTCTGTCTGCTCCAAGTGAGAACGTCCAATCTGAAGCTCCTCAGTCGAAGTCCTTGTTCCAGTTTTCGGGCGATGAGAATTTTGTCGATTCAGACGAGGAGGAAGAGGAGGATGGCGAAGCCGAAGATGAAGAAGAAGATGATGACTTTGCCAATGCTTTTGAGGTTCTGGATCTGGCGCGTATCCTCTACCTGAAAAAACTTGAGATCGCAGAGGAAAGCAATGGCAAATCAACCCAGCTATCGACAGAAGTGAAACATATTAAAGAACGACTGGCCGACACCTACGACCTCCAGGCCGAAATTTCCCTGGAAGCTGAGAGGTTCAGTGATGCGGTAACTGATCTACGAACCGCGCTCGATTTGAGAAATTCCTTATTTCCGTTTGAAGATCCTTCGGTTGCCGAGTGCCACTTCAAACTCTCCCTTGCTCTCGAGTTTGCATCGGTTCCGCGCGAGGATGAAGTTGAGGAGAAGGGGAAGAAAGAGAAGAATGTGGATGAAGAAATGCGAAAGGAGGCTGCAGTCCAGATGGAGCACGCCATTGAGAGTTGTCGGGTCCGAATGGCTCATGAGGAGAAGAAACTAGAGACCGACAAGGACATGGATGAAGACAAAGTGACTGCCTCAAAGAGGAAAATCGCAAATGTCAAAGAAATCATTGCGGATATGGAACAACGAGTAAGTCAATCTTGTTGGTACTATCGTATACACATAACTTGCTCACACCTTACAGCTGATCGATCTACAACGCTCTCCTGACTCTGTTGGTCAAGGGGATAAGGAGAATGAGGCTTTTCTGAAGGGTATTCTAGGCCAAATTGTCGGTCAGTCCGCCACTGACCAGAAGGCTCGACTGGATTCTGCCAGTAAGGAAGCAACCGATCTTTCCTCGCTAGTTCGTCGTAAACCCGCAACTGGAGGAGCTTCACGTTCTACAGCATCCAAACGCTCAGCTGAAGATGATCCATCCGAGAGCGACTCAAAACGAACACGCGTGGATGATTATTCCTCGGCTTCATGAGAATTTGTATTAGTTTCAGATTTTTCTTTTTTAAAAGAAGATCCGGGAATACCGGTGCATTTATTTACATCTCGACAGGTTCCCTTCCCTTATTACACATTCTGGGCACAAAATTTCATACATCGAACAGGGATTGGGGGTTTAAAAAGTAATGCATCATATGCCTAGCTTTTGCCAGAAAAGAAGTCATGATGAACAGAACATTGGTAGTTACATAATTAGGCTATCAAAGGATGGATATCTATCATACGACCAACCAGGGAATAACCCTCACACTCAAGAAAAAAAAGAAATAAAAAGAACCGATAGAAGAAATCAGCCATATATCCCCCGATATTATCTTTCTCCTATGCCCTAGGACAGAGCGAACATTGCAGGCCGTCTTTCACTTTTACGGCCTCTGCGCCGAATAGCTAGACCTGGACTCCAAATGCCTGCAAATAAGTCCTCACATTCATCCTCATCTTGACTATCGAACTCGGGCTCCAAAAGTGATGTGTCATTCCCAATTTCTTGACGGTTCGCGGTGGCTAGATTCACATTTGGTGGGGACTCCCAACATGATGACGTAGTAATCCGCTTGGTCTCCAGAATAAACTTGCCCACTTTGTAGCGCTGCGATTCCTCCTCCGCTGCAACGTACTTCCAGCCCAACACGCTTCCACAGAATGCACAGCTGACATCGCTGACTGTGTGTACCCCTGTCACTAGCTGGCGTGGAACTGGATGGTGCAAAATGGTATTAGGAAGGGAAGCCGTCGGCGATGAGGATGCACTGATTGACACTGCAGCGGCTGACTCGGCAGAAACAAGATAGGCACGACCATGACGACCTGTAAAGCCTTTACTGATGATTTGGAATGTCAAACAGAGCTGTGCTGCACAGCCTGTACACTGAAGGTAGGAGACATGGCCGTCCAGATACTTGGCAGTGGGGTCGGAGATTGGGGAGAACCCCACATCTTGTTTGCTTGGAAACGAAGGGAGGAGGAAACGAGGGAAGGTCAAAGACTTGCTTTTCTCTTTCGACATTATTCCTTGGGAAAACGAAATGCTGGTTTTCTGGTTCACAATGGGAACTCTAGGAAGTTAGCATAATATCATAGAAGCTAGGGATGGGGAGAATCTACTTTTACTATTAACTGCTCGCACGGTTGACCTCCAACCGGGTGGTCACGTGTATACTGGGCTGAACCTATGAACCAGAGATCGATAATCGATATTAAGTAATCATTGTTGGTCATGAAAAAATATGTTAGAAAGGAAACTCCTAAATAACTGCTGAATCATTAAGCAGAAGAAATTTGCAGCCAACACAAATAGTTAAGGACTGTTGGAATAAATAGGAAGTTATATCCCCAAAAAAGGCCAGAAATTCGTAACTTTGTTGATAGTTCAACTAGGTTTCAGCAACCAGGAAGAGCCACTTGTTGCTGAGGGCCGGACCCGCATCACCACCTCTGACCCATGGCCCTAAAGTGGTCAGACTGAATCCACACCATCCAAGACTCCGGACAAGCTCCATTTCGTTTGTCTGCTGTGAGCGCTTGACACAGGCAACAATTTGAGAACAGTCAAAGGCATCGATTCCAGCCAGTTCAAATAGAGCTATCAGTCTGAATCAAAAAATTAAATTAGCATGCGTTTCAAAGGAGCGAAGCTAGCAATGACGGTGCTGGTGAGAGATCCTTACCCAGACTTCAAGCCATGACCAAGTGTTCCGTCTTCGAGGAAGACAAATAGTGTTCGTTCTCCATCCATGTCTGCCACAAATCCACGGTAAATAGCATCGCTGCTGTAATCCCACACTTCAATCCATCGGCGGATTCGATCATGCATAGGTCCCATATGATGTGCCTGGATATTTTGGAACACACCCATTCCTAGTGACTCCTGTGTCATGCCATTCTCCTCACCAAGGAATGTCGTGAACAGTTTGTCACAGAAGAGCCTCTCACACTCTTCCTGAATGGTATGTGTTGCCTCCCCTTTGTACTCGGGCCAGTTGTTCCCAGGCCAGCTTCGTTCTATGCTGGCGGGACGGTCGAGGGGAGGACTTCGCATGAATGATTTAGACCCTGAGGGGACCTCAGGGATACCACTGTGCTCCTGCTCAGGGAGTGAGAATGTGACATAAAGACTGGGGTGATCATGAGGAGATAACATACCGGCGCCCAGGGTACTGCAGTAGTGGAAGCCATCAACCTTAGTGGATGATTCAACAGAGTAGCAGCTAGCCAGGACAGTGGACTCTTGATCAAGAAGCCCAGTCACCTGGCCGCAACTACTACTATGATTATTCATGAATTTTGCCATTTTGTAATTCTGTCTCAATGATTTTGATAAAATGGTGATGAGTAGAAGTAGGATGGGGGATTGAACATAGGGTTCGAAGTGAACTAAAGAAGAATGATTGATGGCTTACGGTGTGGAAATCTGGGGCGGGGATTTTCTGGAGTGGTGCAGTCACCTGACTTGATCTGATTCAAGACTAGTACACCACAATTCCAAATTCCAAATTCCAAATCCGAAGTTTTAGTGGAAATGAATATACAGATATGTACTCCGTAATACTTTATATTGTATTCTACGTATACTGATCAATGCTAGATGGAATATAATATGTAGACTCATCTGTAATTCGCTAACTCACTACTTCACTATCCTAGCCATCGCTGCTACCATGAAGGACTTAAGAACATAATTGCAGAAAAATGGAAAATACTAAGGAAGAGAATTTGCTCTGGGTTGAACTTGACTAGATTTACACTTGAAGGGGAGGAGGACAAGGAAGAAAACAAAGAGAGAAAAAAGAGGTCCTCCCAGAAGAAAAGAATTGCTTATATCACCAGAAGAGCTCACATGCAAAGAAAAAAACCTAGAAAATGATTCAAGAGAAAAACACAAAAGCCGCTCTAAATGACTATACCCACCTGAATACCATAACGCCACGAATGGGACTGTGATCATAGTTCTCGATAGTCGCTTGGTCGCACTCGACGATTCCTTGCCTGATGACGTTGAGGGTTGACAGGCTGTCGAAAGTATGGCGAGTCCTCCTCACGCGAATAGGGACCACTGAAAGCGGTCCGCTGCTGGTTGGAAAAGCCGTTCGCCCCTGGACCTTGGAATCCCGGGTTCTGCATAGATGCAGCGATTTGAGCCATTGGAAACATGGACATAGATGGGTCACCATTGAACATGTTGGAAAATCCATTAGACTGATCACCAAACATACCAGCCTGGAGAGGATTAAAGGGCATATTCATTGGATTCCATCCAGGGCCCATGCCGTTAGGGAAGATATTGGGCATGGCCATTGGATTCATGAAACCCATTCCATCGTTGCTATAACTAGGATCTGCAAAAGGGGGCATTGTGCCGAATCCATTAAAGGGTATTTGTGGATTCATGGGCGCCTGAGGGCCGTTTGAGGCTTCTTTTGGAGCCTCTTGAGTATCGGTGTTGGAGTTGGGGTTGGGATTGGTGTGTGGCGGGTTAGATTGGTCTTCTCCTTTTTGCTTCTTTGCCGCGTTGCTGTCTGATCCTTCGACGGGATCACCTTCGGCCGGTCGCTTCTTCGATTCAATGGACATGGAATTCGCCTCTTGCCGGGCCGGCGACTGCTCCTTGGCCACAGATTCTCTAATAGAGGCGTGCTCGGAAGCATCATTGGTAGTGTCATCTGGAACCGTCAATTGCTTCTCTTTCTCCTTCTTCGCCTCCGCTCGTTCCGCTTCATAAGCTTTGCTTTTGGAAACAGCTTCGTCGTCCGGAGTGAGATTATCAAGCAAGACTCCTTCGGTAGCGCAACCGGGGCAGACAAAGTCACTTTCAATCAAGGCATTTGAGATACAGTCATTGCAATAGGTCCTGTGACAGCATGGTGTCTTTGTTGGTTCTAAGAACATCCTCTTGTCAATTGGGCATTCCAGACCCCGGGACTGCAACACTCTGCTTTCCTCCGCCGCCGCAGCTTCCGCTGCCGCCGCAGCAGAGGCTTTCAATTTCTCTTGGTACAGTTCCCAAGCTGCCTTGTCCGGCTTTGCAATAACAAAATCACCATCCGCATTTACCATGACCCCTGTATTCCTCGATTCATCGCTGGAGCCATCAGGTGCTAAGGACTCTGGTTTGTCAACCTTTGTCTGAAGGGATCGTGGGATACCGGTAGATCGCTTGACCCGGTATTTGCCGTCAAACTTGGGGTCATTGTTCGTTGGACAGGCTTGAATCCAGTGTCCTGAAATCAAATGTTAGTTATGATCGATACTGTAAAAAATGGCAGCAAAGAAACACCTACCTTTCTCTCTGCACCGATAGCACAGGTACCCAGGGGGTGGTGGATGATCAGGGACATTCACCGGCTTTCCTCGGCCACGGCCAAAGGGAACCGGAGTAGCACTAGAAGGAGTCAGTCAGTACCTTGGTTATGAGAGTGTTCAATCGGAAAAGTATATGCTTACTTGGCCATCTCTTGCTGCTGTTCTTTCCATTGACTCGCCTGTAGGTTGAAGAGTGCGTTGATCTTCTCCTCTTCTGTTTGCGCATTGGTGAGCTCCAACACATTGTTGTTGACAGATTGGGCAGCCCCCGGCGTGGCTCGACCGATGGATGGTTCGATCCGAGATGCGTTCCTCGCATTCACGGGCATTTTCCCGGAGACATAACGAGCTGCACCGCCTTTCCCAGGGCGAGCTGCAGGCAAGCGACGGGCGATGACCGAGGTGGATCGAGGGATAATGGTGGTATCGTCATCGTATGCTAAGGACTGTTAGAGATGGTTGCGAGATAAAGCTAGACCGTGTAACCTACCTTCTTTGGTGTCCTCGTTGTAAATGGACAACTCGAAGTCAGTCCCATCGCCCAATCTACTCTGGCTGATGATTTCTCGCTTGAGCTCGAAGACAGAAATACCAGTACCATCGAAGGTGACCCGTGAGGGTTCTTTCTGGGACTTGAATTTGAAATGAACAGACGATGACATTGTATTGAACTCTCTTTGTGTGTGCAACCGGAAAAGAAGAGAGAAATTTGGCCCTCGGGTAAATTAGACCGCAAGCTTATAGGGTAGCAGCACAACCACAGGGATACAGGACGGAAGGGCAACAGGAGTAATTTGGGAAGCAGATGAGAATTTGATGTCAACTGGCACCAGATTGTGACTCAGGAGAGAAAAGATAGAAGAAGAAGAGAACAAGTTCCGAGAACCAGGAGGCAAGGATATTTAGCGCAGTGAAATTCAGGATCAATACTGGGCCTATCGATCGGGCGAGAAATGATGGATTGGGTAAGAATTTTTCTTCTTGACTGTGGATGAGCAAGCAACCACACTGGTATACAAATGAAGAACTGATGAATACAATTGTCGGGAAAAAACTGTCGCTGTTGCTTCACAGAGTCACCCCCGTCACTTCAAGTTAGACCAATTTGTCTGAACCTCGTAGAACCCGTAGTGTTTCCGATTTCAGGGCAAACCCATGCCAGTTCAGATCTGTGTTAGTTTATTGCTAGCAATCCAGTAATTGATGGGGGACGCGTGAGTCGATTAAGTCGGGGGGGGGGTATGTGGAGGAGAGACGATGGTCGTAAAAGAGGGGGAGAAAGAAGGGAAAGGTGGAAAGGTTGAAGTTGGTGGCAAACGGCGGAAAAAGTCAGATGATACCGCCTGAACCACCGCCTGTCTGATTATGTCATCCATGAGGGGCACCTTCCGAATTAGGAACTCTACCTGTGAATAGCTAGTTAAGGGGTAATCTCAAGTTTATAAAACTAGATATGAGGATGATGATTCTTGAATTGATTTTAGACAGTTCTATATTTAGGAATTCGAAATCTATGTACCAAGCCAACTTTAGAGCTCAGATTCAAATTGCCGTACCAGGAATCCGTCATCCTGCAGGTAATTCTTGACCTGACTCACGGTATATTCCCCACGGTGGAACTACATGAGCGTTAGCAGTCGTTTTTTTATCAATCTGGTTGCTTCAGCATCTAATCTTACCATGCCTGCTCCCAATGCGGCATCCGTAGTGGTCTTGCTGAAGACCTCTGCAAAATGACCAGGATTTCCTGCACCACTGGAAGCGATCACTGGGATTTTGATCGCAGCTTTGACATCATTGATCAGCTCCAAGTCAAATCCACTGTTGCTCCCGTCCTTGTCAATACAGTTCAGCAGGATTTCTCCCGCTCCCATTGCCTCAACGGCCTGCACGAGTTGTCGCACATCAATGTCGCGAGTTTCCCGACCTCCTTTGACAGTGCACTGGTACCAGCAATAGCTTTGCCCAGCAGCATTAGGGGATGCAGTTTTGAGAGTGTGGTGGTTGGTGTCCTCGGGTCGGTTCACATAGACACGCTTGGGGTCCACGCTCACCACCACAGCTTGCTTTCCATAAGCCTGAGAGATAGTCTCAATCGCAGTAAGACCACTCAACTTCTTACCAGCTAGATAGTAGTCTTCTGCGGCAAAGACAGCATCTGAGCCAATGCTAACCTTGTCTGCGCCGGACTTGAAATACATTGTCGCTACGTCCAGGGCGGGGACGTGAGTCCCGTCGGTATCAACGGTGTCTTTGATACCACCACCGATGGTCAAAGGCACGAACACGGTTTCGGATGTTCGACGTAGGATCTCGAGCATAGGTGTGTCCACAAGTGGGCAGTTCCGGAAGGAAGTAATGTTCAAGAATGTCACTTCATCCGCCCCTTGTTCATAATACTTCTTGGCCATATCAACGGGCTTGCCCAGGTTTCGAACCTGGCCGCCGGCATCTGTTCCACTCTTTTCGCGCACATCATATTGGTCCCCTTTGGTGACGACAAGATCACCGGAATCATTCGTCCGCACATCGAGGCAAGCAATAACGCGACGAGTCAATCCATCTGCTTTGCTCACAGCCAACTCTTGGGGGAGTGACTGGAATTGATCACCGGTCAGAAAAGCCCGAATGGCCCGTAATCCTGCCACGCCGCTCTTTTCGGGGTGGAACTGTGCACCAAAGATATTGTCTCGGCTGATTGCACCGATGAACTCCTGCTCGCCATAGGTGGCTGTGGCGACGGACCAGCCATCTTTTTCAAGGACACCAGCCTCATAGAGTGCAGCATAGGAGTGTACATAATAGTACTTGCTTGATGGTCTCAGTCCGTAGAAGCTTTGCTCATTCGACGCGGCTCCGGTGTTCAATGCCGAGTTCCACCCGATGTGCGGCACGCTCTTGGTCGAATCATCGAATTTTCGAATGCGAATGGGAATCACACCCAGTCCTGGGACGTTGGGATCTTCCTCGGAACCTTGGAAAAGGGCCTGCAGACCGACGCAAATACCCATGAACGGCTTGCCCGCGTCAATGTGTTCCCGGATTGGACCTAGAAAGCCGCCTTTGTCGAGTTGCGAGAGACAATGGCCAAAGTGACCAACTCCAGGGAGGATCAATCTCTGCAAAGTACAACAATTAGCAAGGTATACACAGGTTGACCGTCGAAAAGGTTCAGCTATTGACGCACATCCGCATTCTTCACATCCTCGGGGGTCTTGATCCATTCCACTTCGTACCCGACTTGATTGATCGCATTGACCAGAGAGCGGATGTTGCCCGCAACGTAGTCCAAAAGGTGAACGGTTGGCATGATGAATATTTGTGGCAGATTGCAAAAAGCTGGCCACCTTTGACACAGGGAAACGGCTCCATCGAGCCCCTCCAAACTTAACCCGATGAGTCATTCATTCTTTTTTTCTGCCAGGCAGAATCATTGATACCGAATGCGGACGTGGGGAAGCACAATGGAGTAAAAATTATGGCTTTTTCTTGTCTCATCTCTATCTTATTCAATTATTTAATTTTCCAGTGCATTACTTTTAAGGCATTTTCCGAATTTTTAAAAAATAAAATATCTCCAAGTGTTTTTACGGCCTAGGCACAGGTACAATGCCGCCATGTATTTGACCGAGCTACCATGGCGTGCATCTAGTTCCATGCACACTGGTCATTGCCAAGATGTGATATATATTTTATCTCAAGGTGTAGAAATCTTTGTCATGAAGAGGTCACTGGCTCGCTCGATCCTTGCAAATATATAAGCCCATTAGACGGCTACCCATTCCGAGTGGTTTAAATTAGCAGGAAGATGAAAAGGAGTAAAAAAATTGAAAATACTCACCGGGCTAAACTGTCTTAGGCGTACACCTGCAGCCTTAAGAATGGCAGCACTCTGAATGACAATTTTTAGTGAAAGTCCCGTAGAAGTTATTTGTGTCGATACATACGTCTCTGTCCATATTGTAACTCTGTGAGTAGACAACTTCTGAAATACCGACCTGGGTAATTTTGACGGTACAAGTCAAGCACGGGCAGCTGAGATCAGAAGTGGTTAGTGTATAATCATATCTGAGATACCAGTTCACAGTCCAACTTACGTGTCACAGTAGAGAATTGCCCCCTCTCGAATACGCTCTCGGCCAGCTTCTAGCAGCGCATTTTCTTCGGCATGAAGGCATAGACAGGCAGATAGCCCAACTCCACCGCCATCACCGCGATTGCACCGGGGGCCTAAGGAGAAGATTAGTGAAAGAATTCCAAGAGCATCGTTGCTTTCTCCGTACATCCACCTTCATTGCAATTAGGGAGATGCCGAGGAGTCCCGTTATAGCCCGTGCTAATGACCCGTCGCTCTCGAACAACAACGCAACCTACTCGTCGTTTCATACAATTGCTTCTCTGTGCCGCAAGAGATGCTAATTGCATGAAATATTGGTCCCAGTTTGGTCGCAGTCGTTGCTCATCTGCCAAATTCAGCGTTTGGAGTGATTGGTGAAGCTCATCCAGAGACGAAGATGAGTTGAATAGGCGCAACTGGGCCCGATCTGTGAGGTAGACACGCCCAATGTCCTTTTGGTAAAGGTGACGATCGTTCCACAGGACAAATTTCTCGAGATCAGGCGGGTCCAGTTGTCTTCGCCAGCATCTGTGGCACATGGGAAGTCAGCAGGGTCTTTCAGAGGTATGTATTGGATGTCACGAACCTGTCGGAGAATCGTTTCCAGCGAAGACTAACCGGAGCATCCACACTCACGAGGAGGAAAAAGGGCCGCAGGAGAAAGCGGTCCAGTGTTAGGCCGTCTGTGATGTCTGTAGTCACCCAGCGCTCCTGCCACCTTTTGGTTACGAATTCCACGAGAGAATCGACGCTGTCAAACACAAATTCTGCTCGGTGTTCTCCATTCTTCTTGATTTCCGACGCCTGGAGCCGCAAATCATCATCCGGCTCGTCGGTGAAGCGGTGACGAGGTTGATTAGCTAGCTCCAAGAGCTGAAACCCTTGTTTTTGGATCAAGTACTCGGCAATTGCATGCTTGCCCGCACATATTCCTTGATCATAGTCAGTCTCTCGTTAGTTGATGTGATATTAGAGTTGTGCTGACCTCCACATAAGCCGATAAGCATTTCTGCAAATAAGAAAGGCCTTTTTTTTCCTTTTCTTTTCCGCGAGACTCCTCCCTTGCTGATCTCTTGGTCCTTTCTCCCCTTCTTTTCTTCCAGGCTAGAAAAGTAAAAAGAAGTGGGCGGTCACGCGTTTCAGGCACGCGCGCACTAAAATGGAATTCGGATGGTTCGCGTGGCATTTCGATTACGTCACCCCCGCTCTATCCTACTTTCCACCCCCACTTTCCCCTCTACCGTATACTCCTATCAACACAACCCCGAGAGTAAAATAGAAAAGACTGATTACATCGAAACTAAGACGTACTCTGCGATCAAAATGCAGTATACTCCGTTTGTCTCTGATATTGAACTGCCCTTCTACACGGCTTTGGCCTCACACAAGATCAACCATGATAAGCTGGACGACTCTGCGCGCCCGGTACTAGGGCTCTATGAGATTCGCTCCACAGACCCTGAAAATGCTTCATGTCGAATGCAAATCCATGGGAATGCGCTCACAAGTGCAGAGTAATAGCCCCCGCTCTAGTTGTAAGTGATGGTTGGCTGATTTGACGAACAGAGCACCCGCGGGTTTTTACCGCGCAGAGGGAATGATTAGGAATGTCAATACGATCGAGGAATACCGCAACGTGGACAAGTCTCAAATTATACTCCAAACAGGGAAAACGGTATGAGCTCACTTGTCACATACTTTCCCGTGAGACATGTTGGATATGCTTCGTATTAACCGATCTTCAGATTTGGGACGCCATTAATGACGGGACCATATACTCTTGCCCTTCCTTACTCTCATCTTTCACCATTTTATCATTTGCAGACTTGAAAAAATACAAATTCTACTATTGGTTTGCGTTTCCCGCCCTCCACTCCGATCCGTCGTGGGTGGAATCCACAGGATCACAGCCACAGACCTACCCAAGTGAACCGACCACAGCATCACAGGGAGAAAGGTTACCGTCTGATGAAAACTTGGCCTTGGTTGAGGCGGTCCAGACCTGGAGCTATGCTACGGATGACCGCCAGCGGGGATTCTTCTTGGCCCGAAAGCAACGAACGACCTCTGGTTCCTCGACACAAAGCACCTGGCAGGTTGCTTCCCTGTCTGAATATGAGAATGGGTTCTTCACTGGAGCGGCTCTCAAAGATCGCTACGTATGCTTTGCAGATCCATCTAATTATGAAAATGCTCCGGGTTGGATGTTGCGGAACCTGCTGATTTTGGTAAAACAACGGTGGGGCCTTGATCAGGTGCAAATTCTACGATATCGCGACGTGCACTCAAAACGTGATCAAGGTAGAAGTGCAGTGCTCCGACTGGAATTGAAACAAGGATTGGTCAAAGATGCAGTGAAGCTGCCGGAAACTCAGGGCCAGCTGCCCAAAATCACTGGCTGGGAGCGCAATCCAGCAGGGAAACTGGCCGGGAGGATTGTTAATCTCACAGATTACATGGATCCTGTAAGGTACATGTGAACTACTACGAAAAGCCCCTGCAAGACTGGAAACTAACACCCCCTTTTCTTCAGACTGGCAGACCAATCAGTCGACCTCAACCTCAAACTTATGAAGTGGCGAATTAGCCCAACATTGAATCTAGAGAAGATCAAACAGACCAAATGTCTGTTACTTGGAGCGGGTACTCTAGGGAGCTATGTTGCTCGAAATTTATTGGTAAGTCATACGAACAGATGAATGCGACGGGGATAGGCCCAGAGAGGCGCTAACACCTTAGCAGGGGTGGGGGGTCAAAAAGATCACATTTGTTGACCAGGGCACTGTTTCATTCTCTAATCCCGTTCGACAGCCGTTGTTTGTTTTCACGGATTGCCTGGATGGCGGGGCACCCAAAGCCATTCGGGCATCCCAGGCTCTGACTGACATCTACCCAGGAGTGGAAACCATCGGCCATGAGATTACCGTACCCATGGCAGGTCATCCAATCGTTGACGAAAACAAGACACGAGGGGACTTTGAGACCCTAAAGGCTCTCATTGATGAGCATGATGCCATTTTTCTCCTCATGGATACTCGAGAATCACGTTGGTTGCCCACCGTCATGGGTAAGGCAGCAGGAAAGATTGTGATGAATGCAGCCCTTGGGTTTGATTCATTTGTAGCAATGCGTCATGGCGTTTCCGGGGTGGGAGATACAACGGCGGACCTTGGGTGCTATTTCTGCAATGATGTCGTGGCACCAGCAAACGTGAGATCAACAATAGTTTATTAGATGCATAGCTGACCGCTCAACAGTCCATCAAGGATCAGACCCTGGACCAACAATGTACCGTCACGAGGCCCGGTGTTGCCGCTATCGCCTCGGCAATCCTAGTTGAACTTCTGGTGTCAGTCCTGCAGCACTCAGACGGCGTCTCTGCACCGGCCCCATTAACCCGAACTGACGAACGCGGTGATCATCCCCTGGGACTTGTACCCCATCAAATACGTGGGTTCCTTGCAACATTTGAAAACATCACGGTCACTGGCAAGAGCTACCCCAGTTGCAGTGCCTGCTCAGATAACGTGATAAGGGCGTACAGAGAACAAGGTTGGGATTTTGTGAGAAGAGCTTTGGATCAGCCAGGGTATGTGGAGGAACTAAGCGGCCTGAAAGAGGTAAGAGAGCCCGAAAAGCGATCTTGTCACCACGTTGTCCTTGCTCTAAAATATAATCAGGTTCATGAAAAGGCTGAAGCAGCACTGGCCGGCATTGACTGGGACGAGGCAGAAGAGAATGAAGAAAATGAAATTTTGTAGATCAGGAGACCATCTCATCATGCTCTACGATCCAGGCCAACGAAGAATGTTTCTTTGGATTCCTGCCAGTGGGTTTAGCTAATGCAACTGAAGGGCAAGCACCAAACAAAAAAACCTACACTGCGAGATGATTCAGGCTTCAGCCGGTGGACCTTCTGGAATAAGTCTTTAAGCTTTTGCTCCAGCTCTTTATCCTCTGCGCCTGGGTAGAATTTGCAAACGAAATGTCCTCCCGTCTTGAGGACATCTGAGCTGAATTTCAAGGCAGCATGACATAGGTCCTTGAGGGGTCAGCGATGAAATCCTTGGCACGTGTGGATTGGCATGATGATAGGCAGACATACCATACTGCCAGCATGGTCTCTAAAGTTATTTCCGCTGGTGTTCATCATCCTGTTATAAGGATTACTTAGACTTCGTTTCCAGAAACCGGATGTCTGGAGCCAGGGTTCGCACATATCGCTGAGAACCACATCCACCGTTCTTTGAAGGATCTTATCATTTTCAACTGCAGAGATATCTGGATCGCTGGATCGCATGGGCGCCCCAGGCTCTAACAAGCTCAAACCTGCATCACCTGGTTGACGCGGCCTGCCTCTATCAGGACTGCGTAGAAAGTCCTGTATATACGCTTGAATCTCGGGAGCAAGAAAATTGCCTTGGATAGTGGAAACCCCTTTAGGGGGCTGTGCCGGGATAATATCGACCCCCAGAACTCGTCCGTTCGGCTGAATCTTGCTGACAGCCACCTGCAGCATCGTCAGCGAGGCTCTCGGTGGGATAGACTATTTTGAACCAACCTGTGACCAGGACCCGGGTGCATAGCCCTAGGGGGAAATCGAGGGTTAGATCTCTATCGGTTACTCTCCGGATAATAGTGGCCATACCAAGTCCACGACCGTTTGACCGCGTTTAAAGATGTGATATTTCTCATCAATCTATTTTTGGAATATTAAGAGGTGTCAGGTTCGCCAGCAGGGTGTAGTCATGCCGCGAGTGGACCTTATCATACCTGTAAGAGCTTAAAGGCAGCTCGGCTTTTCAAGCCTTGTACAGCTGCCTCTCGAGTGAATTGATCCTTGTGCTGCCGAGCTTGCCAGCGCTTCGACGATGATAGCCGGATTTGACCAAGCACTCCAAAGCTGCAGATCCCCCGCGAGGGTCGGATCAAAGAAAGCACAATCATACTGGTATGTATTGGAGGGTAGAAATAAGGTGTACGAGTGTCGATGCTCGATCTGTCACGAGCGATGAGAGTTTCTGCCGGCAGAAAATGGTCCAAGAAGCTGTTACCCGCCTCGAATAACATTTGCTAATTACTAGTACTTTGTCACCTAGAAATTGTGGAATTAGGGATGTTGACATATCTCCAAGATCTGATTCGTAAATAGCATGGGACTGTTAGAATTGCACAAGATTCGAAGAGTAAACCAAATTCATTCATGTGCCTTGGGTCTATCTCATCGCTTACGGTCTCGCTTAAGAGGTGAAAATCCTCCGAATCCCAACGCTCTCGGTGGTTTATCACCGACTGATGCACTGGAAATCTGTGCAGTTGCAAGCACCGAGGTTCGTGCAGCTCCCAGTCCAAGCTTTCGCCCTGGCTTTCTGCGTTCAAGAACCTCCTCTTCATCATCCTCAAAGAGGGTTCGGTCCCGCTGAGCCCCAAGCTTTCTTTTTTTAGGCTTTGTCTGTACTTGGTCCGTTGAGAGATACTGGTATTCCTCCACATCCTTGAGAGGCACTTGTTCATCGGGTCGATTAGTGTTTTTCTTTGGCTCATTTGTAGCCTTTCCCCGTCGTGGCTCGGGTTTTGCTTTTTCTCCATCGTCAGGTCGTTGTGTTGAATTCGGCTGGTCCATGGAGGATAAATCAAGCCCACTTGGGTCATGGGCGATGCGGGCTCTGAGTGGTGAATGACTGTCTGTCATTGCCCGGTTCACTTCTTCGTCGTTCAGATCTGAGCTGGCTGGAGAAGCTTGATGAGGGCCCGTTCGGTTCAAGAACGGAGTAATGGAGAATGCCGATTTGTCGCCAGGCAATGCAGACTGTCGTTTGACTTTCTCTTGCACACGAACAGCCCCGGGGGTTGCGATTGTAACACCGTTATGGTAATCTGCACTGGGACCAGGACGCTGTAGAGGGACCATTCGAGAACGCGACTCGGAGCCCTCGCTGTCGTGATTCCGGACATGGGTGAGTTTCTGCTCTAAATTGTGCTGGGTCTCCTGTAGCTTGTCCTTGGTCGATCGTAACTGCTTTCTGAGTGTCTCTATCTTGCCCTCAAGTACAACGCGCTGGTTGTCCCAATCTGTGCTTTGCTGGCGGCTTTCTCTTTCATATTGTTGTCTCGCTCGCAACTCCCTCGCGAGTTCCCCTTGTAGTTCCTCAACCCTCACTACCAGTGTGCTTATTTCCGTTGCCTGTTGTAAGTTCTTTGCTCGTGTGCGCTCATGGGAATTTTTTTCACTCTCGAGCTGGACCTCCAAGGAATTCAGCTGTCGCTCCATTTCCTGTTTCTCTGCTACAGATGCCTGGTAAGAAGAGTTTTGGGTTTTTAATCTGTCTAGCTCTGATTTCAGGTTTGACAGTTCTCGGGCGAGGTGTAATTTTTCGGAGAGGAGAGTATCATGGCTTGTCGATTTATTTGCCATAGTTGAAAGTTCATCCTGGTTTCGTTTAGATCAAATCCCTTCAATCCATATACAATTTGTGGGAAATATTTGTACATACCTTCAACTTCTCGATCTCGCTTGAGGAGGCCTGAGCATGGTGATCCAGGCGATCAATTTCTCGACAAGCTTCAGCTAATTGGAGGAGGGTGTCCGACTCGGTGCGTGTAAATTCACGTAACTGCATGTTGGCCTGATCCAGCTGCGACCTAAGGTTTTCGCTCTCGAATTGAAGCAGTAGTTGCTCCATGCGCCTCACGCGATCTTTCTCCACGTCGAGAAGGTGCGCCGAGTCTGCAAGAGTCCTTTCATATTCTTTCTCGAGGCGGACGGTTTTCATGGACATCTCACACTAGAACAGTAAGCCAATGAAATGGGGAATTTAGGAGTCCAATGACAATAGATTAATACATACATCTAGAAGTGAGGCTTCTAGGGCTACCGCCATGTTGGGTGAAGTCTTCAAGCGGGAAAATATAAGGATCAATGTTGGAAGGGCAATATTAGGCGCGATCAATGGCACCAAACGCGTAGTTAACTAGTTATTTTGGGCGGTGCCTGTTTACGTAATAGGGCCACCTTTCACCTCCCGAACGATCATCATACTTACTTTCCAATGCTTGCAGAGCTCATTTGCAACCCAGCATCAATGACAAAATGAAGCTTTGGAGCACCCTCTTTTTATTCTTCTCGGTCCTATCCGGAGTTTTTGCCGCGAAGTCCTCCCCGGATAAGTTTCAAAAATACTCTTCGACCTCTCGTTCCGGGCCCGTTGAATTGGATAGTGCCTCGTTCGAGGATCTGACAACAGCTCCTCGTGATTACTATGCTGCAGTCATTCTGACTGCTATGGATGCTCGCTATGGCTGCCTGATGTGCAGGGAATTTGATTCGGAATGGGACTTGATCTCTCGGAGCTGGAACAAAGGCTCCAAGCTTGATGGCTTGAAGGTGGTTTTCGGTACTCTGGATTTCGACCAGGGAAAAGCAGTTTTCCAGAAGGTTTGGCTTGACTCCAAATACTCAAATGCTCCAATAGCCCAAGTGCTGACAACTAGGGAAACAGTATATGCTCCAAACGGCACCCGTCTTACTCCTGTTTCCCCCCACGGTAGGACCTTTTGCTAAAGTGGAGACGGAACCGGTGAGATTTGATTTCACAGGGTAAGTTAGAAGCTACTTAAAGCATCTTTCTTCGTTTGCGTGGCATTGTTCTCTGACATGAGTGTTAAATATCAGTCCAATCTCCGCCGATCAACTTTATTCATGGATCGGTCGTCACCTACCCGAGGGACCGAAGCCCGCCTTGGTTCGACCTGTCAACTATATGCGCATCGTCTCCGGCATTACCATTCTCATGGGCGCTGTCACCTTGTTGACGGTGCTCTATCCCTATGTGCTGCCAGTCATCCAAAACCGGAATCTCTGGGCTGCTGTTAGTCTGATTGCCATTCTTCTGTTCACCAGCGGTCAGATGTTCAATCACATTCGGAAAGTTCCCTATGTTGCTGGGGACGGTCGCGGGGGGATCAGTTACTTTGCTGGGGGTTTCCAAAATCAATTTGGCATGGAGACCCAGATTGTGGCTGCTATCTGTAAGTGATCCCGTGGATGTTCCCTACATTTGTGTTCTTGATTTTAACACCTACGATCCCTATGCAGATGCGATTTTGTCGTTTGCCACTATTGCACTTGCATTGAAGGTGCCCCGAATGGAAGATGTCAAGGGACAGCAATTGGCAGTGTTGATCTGGGGAGGTGTTCTCTTTGGGACATACAGTGTGCTCCTCAGTGTGTTCAAGATCAAGAACGGAGGCTATCCCTTCTATCTTCCTCCATTCTAGGTTCACTATCTTCTCGTGTTGGACTTTCCCGCCCTCGCCTTTTTGGCTTCCTTCGAGTGACCCCGTGGATTTCCACATCGACAAAAACTTAGCGCATGTGGCGTTCGGCCGTATAGAACGACTTGCCCATTCTTGGTTCCCAAGCGAGCGCAATTGTCGCCGGCGACACATTGTATTTCATTGTGCACTTGTAGATCAATGAGCAGCGCATTATTGTTGATTTATTTTCTTCTTTCTTTTCCCATTCGCCTGACTCGCAAATCGAGGATTGTTTTTGGATATACCACTCTGAAGAGATCAATCCTCAATCTATGCGGACTATGCATCCGTTCTCTTATCAGCCATATAATACAACATGAACAACTCTGTTTTCTTAGTAAACCAAATATTCAAAGCTTTCAAAGAGGTTCAGAGTGTTTACGTAATCGGTGATACCACATGACCCAGAGCTTCAATATACAAATATACATATGTGTCCCACGGTCTCGCTCTCCAATAAGCTCTCTTTGGATATCGGTCACAGTTCCCAGGTTGGCTTACTCCTTCCCGTAATTTTCCATATCCAGGTGTTTACACTCCACTTTCCGAAGCTGGATAGTATCCTCGGAGGCAAGACACGTCGGTCAGTTCAAGTTCACGCCGTCGATGCGAAATGCAGGAACCCAGCGAAGCCCACGCAGGCAACATGTTGGCATCTTCTGCAACAGGGACAACATTTTTGATCCTCATCCAATTGACATCTCGGATTGTCACATTTGGCTCCAATCAGCTCATACTACGCACACTATCCCCTCTGGTACTCGGGGTCGCCGCCCAACTTGAGCTTTACCAAGTCACAATTCTATATTTTTCCAGAGAAAGTATACGAATGGCCATTCAAAGACAACCAATGACTGCAGAGCTCTCTGAAACAGGGAGATCCCTTCCGTACATGCAATCGACCGCATCCCAGTCGGTTGTGAATGTGTCTTATTTGAGCCTCTTCCTTGGCGTTCCCTCCACAATAATGCTTACCATACTCTATCGACATTTTGCTCCAATGCAGGCACTGATACTGCCTTTTTTCGAGGCCGGTGTGATCATTACAGGAGTAGCAGCGCTCCTCGAATTGAGCATTGAACCATTTTTTGCGATAGTTCAGCAACGTATGTGGTACGAGAAACGAGCCGCAGTGGAAATGCCAGCAGCATTCATCAAGAGCCTTGTGACCTGTTCAGCCTTTCTATATGCCTCACAAACGGGTCGGCAGGTTGGCATCTTACCCTTTGCACTTGGTCACTTGAGCTACTCTCTAACCCTCATCGGCGGATACTGCCTATCCTTGCTCCCTCGTGCAAGTGAGCGAAGATTCTCATATCTCCCTGCCGTCATTAAACAACAAAGCGACGATCGTCAGTATCTATTGGGTTGTTTCTCTCGACGATTGACAATTCTTGCTGCGAGTGTCTTTATCCAGTCCATTGTCAAACATCTTCTGACCCAAGGAGATTCCATGATACTCGCCGCCCTGTCGAGCTTGGAAGACCAAGGTATTTATTCCCTGGCATCAAATTATGGTGGCTTGATTGCACGAGTTATATTCCAGCCGCTTGAAGAAAGTAGTCGAAACCTATTCTCGACACTTCTAAGCCCAGATAACAGTGGGAAGAGAAATCCGGCCCAGATTCGCGTCGCGAAAGGCCATCTGATAGATCTTCTTCGAGCTTACCAACTGTTGTCGATACTCATTTTCCCACTAGGTCCAATCATGGTGCCGCAAGTGCTTCGTATCATAGGAGGTAGTCAATGGACATCGCCCTTGGTTGGTGACCTGCTGTCACTGTATTGCTACTATATCCCATTCTTGGCCTTCAATGGGATCACAGAAGCGTTTGTATCATCTGCAGCCAACCCAAGAGAGATTCAAAGGCAAACGGCTTGGATGGGTGTCTTTTCTGCATGCTATGCTCTCGTTTCTTATCTACTCCTGGAAGTCTGGTCCCTGGGAGGCTATGGGCTAGTACTTGCCAACATCGTGAATATGCTGGTTCGCACTCTGTGGAGCTACACGTTCATTCAATCTTATCTTCGCCTACATGGAGATGATCTGAGCATAATGCAAATGAGCATCCAGCCCGCCAGTTATATTTTGGGGATACTTGCCACAGTGGCCATGGTCACACAGAGACTATCGGGCCCGGATCAGGATATGATTCCAGCCGTTGCATTTAGTTTCTTCTATGCATTATCAATGTAAGTCACCCTGATTCAATTTTCATTAGGGACAATATCTGATAGGAACCAAGTATCTTCGTGGAGAGACAATACTTGATAGAACAAGTGATGAGGCTGCGCCGGATTGGATCCTCTAGCAAAAAGGGATCTAAAGTTGAATAACGGTCTATGCCAAAGCAAAACCACAAACAGAACCACAAATCAATCATCAAACGTAATCTTAGTCGCCTTCTTATCCGTGTCAACATCCTTGAAGAATGCGCCGTAAGCGCCGTGCTGCTTCTTCTTAACAGTGGTGCCAAACTTCAACAAGGACTCTGGGACCTCTTGCTTGGCGGCTTTAAGCACATTGATCAATCTGGCCCAAATGGTTAGTATGGCCTGCAATTGACTTGGAAGATTAAGAGCATTACTCACCCGCCCGAAAGAGCCTTATCCTGCTCAGTAAACAAGGTAATGGCGTGGCCCTCCGCTCCAGCTCGCCCAGTTCGCCCGATGCGGTGCACGTAGTCTTCTACAGTGAGAGGGAAAGTGACATTGATCACCAATTTCACGGCAGGAATGTCCAGGCCTCGTGCTGCGACATCGGTTGCGACCAAAACAGTAGCAGCGCCAGTTTTGAAAGCTTCAAGATTTCGGAACCGGTCCGACTGGTTCAAATCACCATGGATGCCGGCAACCCTGAATCCCTTAGAGTTGATGAGTCTTTCCACCCGCATAGCTTCCTTTTTGTATAGGCAAAACACAAGGACCTTCTCGGGATTCGGCGATCCTCTCTGGGAACGATTGAGGAGCTGAATCAGTCGGTTTTCTTTATCCCGCCCGTCCACCACCTCGACCACCTGCTTGATCCTCGTGTTCGCCCGAGGGTCCGCAGAAGGATCCCCTCCGATAGTCACCGTCACGGGAGAACTCATGAAGCTCGCAGCCAGATCCCGGACCGACCGAGGCCAGGTTGCCGTGAACATGACTGTTTGCCTTTTGGAAACTGGCATGGGTTGGATGATTTCCTTGATGTCTTGCTCGAATCCCTTATCCAGCATGCGATCAGCCTCATCCAAAACAAGATACTTCACTTTCCCGAGATTGACGGAACCTTCGTTCTGGAGATCCTTCAACCGACCGGGCGTAGCGACCACGATCGCACACGTCTTGAGGGCTTCACGTTGCTCGTCCTTTCTCACACCTCCATAGATACACGTTACCCCGGCCTTCACCACATCGGCAAATTTAATGAGCTGGTCATGAATTTGCATCGCAAGCTCGCGCGTGGGGGAAATGATCACTGCAGTAGGATGAGACACCTTCTTGCTGCGTCTAGAATCAATCATTTTTTTGAGGCAGGGCAAGCCAAATGCCAGGGTTTTGCCACTACCAGTTTCGGCGATACCAATCACATCCCGGCCCGCGAACAGCAGTGGCCAGGTAGCGGCTTGAATGGGGGTGGGAGCAGGGAATGACTTCAATGCGTCGTACAGCTTGTCATCACACGGGGGTAGGTAGTCGAATTGCATGATGGGACGGAGATTGGGACCGTCGGTAGAAGCATCAGTGACTTTAATGGTCTTGTCTTGGAGGTACTGATCAATCTGGGACTGCGGAAGGTCACTAAGAGCGGAAGCCTGGATGTAGGTAGTCTTCTCAGAATCTGAGGTCCCGGTCTCCTCAACAGGCTTCTTGTCTTTGGATTGCCTATCAGCCTTGGATTTCTTCTTCGGCTGCAGCTCCGTTTGCTCGGCACTGCGTTTCCCCATTGCGCCTGACGTTGGTTGGGATCAGTAACTGGAAAACACAAATGTCTTTCAAAAGAGAGTCCAGATGGATGAAATTGGCTTTGAATAGAAAAGAATTCTTTTTTTACCCCCAAGAAATCAGTGGTAGAGAAAAAAATGGATAGGCGGACAAGATTTCTGCCAGCCCAGGGGAAAAAAGTCCACACCGCTTAACTATAATCTCTTCCCAAGATTCACCGCCCCCAGAAAGAGGCGTCCATTCTATGTATCGTACATACTCCGACATTTCCAGAGTTGTCAAAGGAAAAAAATGCCATGATAGTACAAAATTTCATGGTATTTTGGTAGTACAGAAGACTCCAAATAAATGCGCAGATTTTAATAGTCATTCATAATCATAGAGCCTAAGATGAAATGAAACATGGTGTAGGAAGGTTTGGTATCGAAATCTGAAGTACACAAGTTGGGTAAAAAAGCCTACCCTTTCCGGACGGTATCTTGCTTGATCATCTAATTGATATTGTAAGAGCTGATTATCTCGGCCAGACGAGAAGCTTCTTCCGAGTAGTTGATGGCCTTGGCGGATGAGACCTGGTATCGTACTCTGTAACATATCATCAGTTGAGGTGATCTGGATATACATGATAGGAAATACTGACCGTTGCTGATCACCAAATGTGTCTATCTTTGCCCGGCATCGGAAATTCCAGGTCTGGCAATTGGCTGCTTGAAACACTTCACTACACGCCGTGGGGTCATCTTCATGAAGTTGCATCAAGTTATCAGCCGACGTTCCCATGAGCAGACGGCCGGTATCGTCAAAGCAGCTGAGCCAAAGCTGACCCGTGTGGTCGCTCACGCTGACGGGCATGATGTAGCGATACTCCGCCTTGGGGTGGGTCTTATCGCACATTTCACAGCGCCATTGACCAGGATCAGACTCGATCACTTTTTTGTTGCACCCTTCAGAAAGGCAGGCTGGGTAGCACCAGGTCGAGTCTTGCCTGATATAGACCACAGTGGCCTTCAACGAGAAGTAATCCACCTGATCCGACATTCCCAGTTGTTCCTCTCGAACCTGTGCAACGGTCTTGAATTGATCAGGCTTCATGCTAGAGTTGGTCGCATTGGAGACGGATGCATGAGAGGTGAAGACCTCGGTTCGGCCCTGTGCATCATACCAGCCCTTAAGCCGATGAGCTTCTCCAATGTCAGGGTCGACAGCCATCGAGCCAGAACTCAGCAAACTCAGGCTCCGTCCTCCAAAGTCAGAGACTTTTACCCCTTTGAAGGCCACAACAGACTCCGGGGGCACATTGAAATTGACAGCAGTGGCACCCCAGATAGTCAGGCGAACTGAGAAGCCAGTATTGTCGACCAGGCTGAGTTCCCTTTTGTCGTAGGGCTTGCCTGTTCCCTTGGAAACAATCTGAGATGTCTCGGCAACTTCCTTGAGAATACCAATCACATCTGTAGTGGTGTCCTTTTCCACAGACTGGAGATCTCCAATGGAGGTAAAGTTGAAGCGAATTTGGGGGACGTCATTTTGCTCCTCGGCCTATAATCCTTCGTGAGTCATCAATATTGGGGAGAGAGCCAAAACTTCCATACCTTCTCCACCAAGGTGTCACGCTCGAAGGTGAGCTCATAATCATTGTTGAGGTTGGAAAATTGCTTCTTGGCAATCTGGACACGGCATGGGCTTGAGATGTAATAGACACTGCCTTCCTGGAAGAGATCATAAAGCATTTCACATTGCTCTTGGAAGCCTGTTGCGCGAATTTCACCGCTATCATCCAGGAGGTTCACACTGAATAGTTTACCCTCGCCATTCTTGTTGTGCCATGTTTTGATACTTGACTTGCTTGTGCAGCGAGCTTTGATGGTCCATTTGTTCGAGTATGGCGAAATGGCCTCGATGGGGTAAATAGTGGCGTGGGCAGACGCGGAGGGCCCTCGCATGGATGGTGCCTGGGGAGGCTGTTTTGGTGGGCCTCCTTGAATCTTGGAGCCATAGAAACCATTGCTGGAAATTGTAGTCGGTTGGGTCTTTTCCTCCTCCTCTTCGCCTTTGGCTTCTAAGGGCTTGGGCTCGCCGATTTTCTCCGCCTCACCTAACTCTTGCAGGACTTCGAGATCCAAGACGATCAAGATCCTTTGAAGCAGTCAATACACGAGGATCAAACTCCCTAGCCACCTTTGTAGGGCCACTCACTTTTTACCCTTCACTGAATTGGCCTGGAATGACTTAAGCCGGACAAAGCAGCCTTTCCGCAGTGTTCCATTCGTCACAAGATGATTGGCTTCTGCTGCTTTGGTCAACACGGCAGCCTGAACTTGGAAGGTTGAGATATACATACGGGTGGCAAGCATGGTCTGAACGTAGTTTGCAACATCGCTGAACACAGCTCGGTAACGCTCTTGGTTATTTGGCTGAGGTGGTAGAGGCTTCACCTGAACGCACTGAACAATCGGCTCCCGAACTTGATCCTTGGTGTCATCGAAAATGGCACTTTAGCGAAATATTAGAATCTGGCAGCATTCACAACACACATTTCCTCAGTAGACAACTTACCCAAGAGCACCAACACTGATGTGGGAAGCTGCATCTGAAGCCATAGCAGCTATCTTTTGATATTGCTGCTGAACAGTAAGATACAATAGAGGAGGGGTGGCAGGATGGAGAGAAGCAGGTGGGATGGAGAGTGTGGCACCCGCGACGCGTTGGGAATAACGCGTAAAGTGGCCGCTCAGGTGACCTCTCGTGCCTCAGGCCTTGATTTGATAATCTCCTGTAGCTCTTAGATAAGCAACTGCCCCACTATCGGCGAAGCTCCTGCCTTGTCCCGCCTGTCTGTGCTTCACTGTGTTAACTCTTTCCCTTTCCCTTCTGTTCCTCCATCTTCTCCCAGCCTTAATTATTTGCTACATACACCTTAGTCTTCTCTGCTATCGACGCTATTTCCTCTAATATCAGAAAGAAATGGCCTGTGTTCACTCAGGTGCTTCAGGTTGGTGAGACAATTGTTTACTTTGAAGAGAATTGATAGGCTGATCATAATAGACCTCCAACCACCCGGAACCTCTCAGGCTGTGTACAGGGAGGATTGCACGCAATGTTTTGATTCCATTGTATGTCTCTTCTTTATTCCCTTCACTTTGATCCTCTCCCTATAATGATAAGTTCTAATTTACCCCACCTTAAAGGACAACGACTCGGGACTGAATGTATGCCTCCACTGTTTTAATGGTGGATGTACCGGTGACAGGGATCATGCACTGCTGCACCATCAACGTTTTGGACATTCATTGGCCTTGAACATTCGCAGAACCCCAAAACGAGTTCAGGTAAGGCTTGAAGATTATCTCTAATGACGTCAACATTCCTTCTCACAAGCTACAGAGAGATGAGCCCCCGCCGAAGATTTCAAAGCTTGCGATCACCGCCGAAACAGACGATGACCGATATGACATTGTCACATCGGTGGTATGCTATTCATGTGGGAGGCACGATGTCGATAAAACAATTGGGAATCTGCCTGCTGTGATCAACGGAATCATGACCGCGATGACTTTTTCAAAACGAGAGGAGGTAAAAGCATGGGAGCAGGAGTTTGTCCCTTGTGAACACACACTATGTCTTACTCAGCAAGAGACAGAGAATGCGGCATCTAAAGGTATTTATATGCCTCGTGACACATAACTCCCCGGATAGTATGCTGATTACCTTGTAGATTCTAGCAAATGTTCTACATGCGACTTGAAGGAGAATCTATGGATTTGTTTAGAATGTGGAAACATAGGATGTGGACGAAGTCAGTTTGGGGGTACACAAGGGAATTCCCACGCCCTCGTCCACGCGGACGCTTCGACTCATGCAGTGGCAGTCAAACTCGGTTCCATCACTGCGGAGGGCTCCGCAGATGTCTACTGTTATGCATGTAACGAAGAACGGACAGACCCAGAACTTGCAAATCACCTCGCGCATTGGGGAATCTTTTTAGCCGGACGTGAAAAAACGGAGAAAAGCCTGATGGAGATGCAAGTTGAGCAGAACCTCCAATGGGAGTTTTCTATGACCACCGAGGATGGCCGTGAACTGACCCCAATCTTCGGTCCTGGCTTCACTGGCCTTGCTAACCTGGGAAACAGCTGTTACCTCTCCAGCATCATGCAATGCATCTTCTCTACAGCTGGTTTCCAATCTCGTTATTATTGCCCAGCTGAGGAGCCACCATTGTCCCAGGCCCCCGCGCAGGACCTTGAGACTCAATTGAGGAAGCTGGCAGATGGACTACTCTCGGGTCGTTACTCTCAATCAGGTTCACGTCTTTCTCCGACTCGGAATACACAAGAGGTTGCTCATCAAAAGGGATTGGCTCCGGCCATGTTCAAATATCTGATTGGCCAAGGTCATGAAGAATTTGCAACCATGAGACAGCAGGATGCATTTGAATTTCTTTTACACGTGTTCAAATGTGTGAGTCTTTCAAATCATTCTAATTTGCAACCCAATCCGGTCAAGAACTTCCGATTCGAGGTGGAACAACGCCTTCAGTGCTTGGGTTGTAAGAAAGTCCGTTACAAGGTGGATGAGCAAGACAACATATCTATTGCTGTGCCTGGGCGTCGCATCTCGGATGAAACAGATGGATTCGAGGCTGTGACCCTATCAGAGTGCTTAGACACGTTCACTGCAGAGGAAGTCGTTGAGCTGAGCTGTCCTTCCTGTAACAGCCGTGACGGTTTCTCCAAACGGTCGTCCTTCAAGACTCTACCGCAGGAATTGGCAATCAATGCTCGTCGCTTTGGGCTTGTCAACTGGGTCCCTACAAAATTGGATATTCCAGTGATTGTTGATGACGGACCCATCGATTTTGGGTCTTACTTGGCTGGTGAGCATGATGCGAATGAGGAGATCCTACCAGAGACTGAGGAAGCTGTTGCTTTTGAGCCAAATTCCGTTGCCTTGGATCAGCTGCTGGGCATGGGTTTCCCGACTGTGAGGTGTGAAAAGGCTCTTCATGCGACAGGAAATTCTGACCCCGAAGCCGCCATGAACTGGCTGTTTTCTCATATGGAAGACCCGGATATCGATGAACCCCTCATCTTGAAGAAATCTCCAGGTGGGTTGAGAGATACGAAGCAGGATGAGGCAAAGATCGCACAGTTGGGGGATATGGGTATCGAGGCTGCCCGAGCTCGTCGGGCCTTGTCTGCCACTGATGGTGATGTCAATCGAGCTCTGGACTGGGTATTTAGCCACCCTGATGAGGGCTTAGATGATGATGATCAGGACGACGATAATGATATGCAAGCTCAACAAGGTTCAGCTGGGTACGATAGCTTGCCCGCTCAGTACCAGCTACAATCCATTGTATGTCACAAAGGCACATCGGTTCATGCAGGGTGAGTGATCTTAGTATCTCTGAGTTTTTTGGGAAATATAGTACGCTGCTAACTACTAAGAAAGTCACTATGTGGCTGTCATTCGCAAAGTTTTACCAGGACAATCTGGTCTTTCTTGGGTTATGTTCAATGATGAAAAGGTTGTGAGGTGTGAGGACATTGATCAGATGAAGAAAACCGCCTATATGTACTTCTTTACGCGGCTCTAGAACTATACTGTTTATATCTATGGTTTATTATTTTAAGTAGGGTCTTAACATTAGTTTCAGCTATATCAATCATGGGTCTAACCAAGTTATGGTAAGGGATCAAATTAGAGATGGGTTTTAAATATTAGACAAAGATATTTTACTACTACTGTATAGGGTTCCTCTAGACTATATATACTAAAGTAGTACCCTCTTATTGTCTATAAATCATGAGTTGTGAAGTACTATATTTCTTCTAGAGATAATGTTTATATTATAAAACTAATAGGATTCTTTTAATATCCTATTAGTCTTCGGCATTACCCAATTTGGGTCCAAGGTTAGGACCCAATACCCAATGATTTTAAATCTAGGACCCAACTTTTTACATAAAAATACATAAAAACGCCAAGAATTTCCTATTTTGGATGATTTATACATATTTATGCAAAAAGTTGGGTCCTAATTGGGTCCTTGGGTCCTTGGCATTGCCAAGATTGGGTCCAAAATTGGGTCCTGCCGAAGCCTATATCCTATTATATAACCTTAGCTAACCTTAGATAATAATATCTCTGATTACTACTAATTTATTTAATATTCAGTTTTAATATTATATACCCATCTATTCTAACTATTATATTGAAGAACCCTAATAATCTATAGTTATAGTCTATTTTAAAATACTAAAACAAAAACTATTATTTAAATTTACTAATAAGTAGAAATATCAGGGTTAATAGATAAAATAGAGAGAGGATGTTAATAAGATAGATATAAATAATAGATATTAGCTATATACTAGATAAGGATTATATGTAATATGTTATAGACCTAGACGTTAGCTATATAAGGAATTCTATATATACTCCCTAAAGTTCTTACGTACCCCCTCTAAATAGATTCAGCTAATATATCTAAGTATCTATTAGGGTTTATAGATAAGATAAAGGGAGAATAGATAGGTTATATAATAGCAGTAATCAGATTTATATCAAAACTGATTCTTAAAGGAATTATAGGTACTAAGAGAGAGATAGGCTTTATAACCCATACTCTCTTAGTAAGGTTAGCTGAGATTATATAGAGAACTTCTAGATACTCCTTATTAGTTTCGTGATAATTATTCCCCCTCTAAGAGGTAACTACCCTAATTAACTAGACCCTTTAAGTAATTACTAAATATAGAAATAAAGATAAGACTAAGAGTTAATAGGAAAGTATTTATAGAGAAGGAATATATATTAGTTTTTATAAAGAAAGTAGGGTAATATAACTTTCTATTATCTATAAAATAAAGAGGTTTCGATTACGTAATCTATATAGAATTCTTAAATAAGAAATTTTTTGATATTAAGATATTAGCCTTAGTTTTGACCATTATTAATAGTAAGAGTAGTTTATCTTTATTTTACTAGGAATATCTAATAGGATAGAGATAGAAAAGATAAGGAATAAATCTTACTCTTTTCCTATTATCTCCTATTATTTCCTAATAGAATCATTATCTTCTTTATTTTTAAGACTAATACTCTTACTAAATAAAAGGATATCTTAGGTATTACCTATCTAGGTATTATATACTATTAATATTAGCTACTTAGGCTAGGCTAGTATAGCCTTTATTATAGATAATATATCCTAGATAAATATAGAGTATACTTAGAGTATAGTTACTTTATAGAATTATAATAGTTATAATAGTAAGAATATAGTTTATTATATAGTAAGTATTCTTAATTTAGTACTAATTTAGAGCTAATTTAGGGTTACTTTACTTCTAGGTCCTAATTAGTATATTATATAAATTATAGATTCTCTTTAAGATTCTTAAGTAGATTAATAATTCTATCCCTAATAGCGTAGTATTAAGTATAGGTCTTACTACTCTAGTTAGTATAGTTAGCTTTAATCCTATAGCGATTATATAAAGACCTAAATATTCTAATAAAGCCTATAAAGTATTAATAAATCTTCTTATTACTCTTTAGAAAGTAATTACTATCTATTATATAGAAAATAGCCTTAATTCTATAAAGAAGTAGAAAGATAAACCTTAGTAGGAATATTAGTAGATTAGTTATAATTAAGCTTAGATTTAGTAGGATTATATTACTTATCCTATAATATTTTTAAATACCCTTTATTATCTTAAATCTAATAAGAATAGATATATAATTTAGAATACTACTATAAAGAGTTACTTCTAGGATATTATAAATATAGATCTTATAATTAGTAAGATAACTATTATAGATATTAATTGAGAAGGGATTTAACTAAATTTTAAGATAGTATAGTAAAAATAGATTCTATATCTTACTTTCCTTAGAGAAGATTATAAAATCTTCTTTATCTTAGTTATTTCTTTAAAGTCTAGAGCCTAAGTACTTTTAGATTTATATTAAGGCCCTAGGATTTAGCCTAAATATCCTTTATATTTCTACTTTAATTTTTTTATTTAAAATATTATTAGCTAGGGGACCTAGATCTAGTATAAACTATAAAAATATATCTTTTTATAGCTATAATAGGTTTAATAAGAGTAGGATTTAGTTTTTTTAAAAAATTTTTATTAATATTCTTTATTATCTAATATATCCTCTCTTAATTAACGTGAAGTCCGGTTACGCGGGCGACCTGGTTAAGTGAGCGACCCTACTAAACTTCGAAAAATCATTAATATTGAACTACTACTAAAACTTTTAAGTAACTTAAAATCTTGCTACTAAATACGTAAAGGGTATCTAGGATATATATAACCTTTTATCCTATAGCTAGAATATATTATATACCACTAAACCGAAGGTATAGAAGATAAAGTAGGCTTAATAACCACTCTTATAGATATCTCTAGTAAATATATATCTTTACTATTATCTTTATCCTTATAAACTATATGATCTTTACTACTCTCTAGACCCCTAAAGATACCTTTTTAGATAGTAAACTTATATATGGTCTCTTATTTTTTTATCTATTTCTTATCAGTAGCCTCTAATTAGGTATAGTAATTCTAGAGAAAAATATAGTAGTAGACCACTTTGATAGTCATATCATAGGTCTTCTGAAGCTCTCTTTTTATTAGTGAAGAGAGGATTAAAGAAGAAGATTCTAGACCTTTTTTAATCTAAGATTAAGATTTTATAAATTTCAAGAGAGTCCAGAGAGTATTTAGATCACTATTACTACTAGAAGAGAGTAGTCGCTATAAGATAATATTAAGAGGAGGAAGGGAATCTAGGTATATATTTAGCTTTTCTAAGACTTTATTAGTATTAAATAGTACTAATCCAGTAGCTAAAAAGCTATTTTATATAGTAGAAGTCTTAAAAGTACTAATTCTCATATTAGTAATAAGTTTAAGAAAATCTTCCTTATTAATAGAGTTCACTCTATTCTATATTAAGGTTGAAACCGCTTCTCTATAAAGCCTCTTTAAAACTGAAAAACAGCCTATATCTAAAGATTATAAAAGGTAGGAAGTATAACGAGGTATATAGATTACAATAATTTAGTTTTCTTTATAAAGTTAGTTAAATTTAGGGGTTAAATGACTCCTATAACTATTAAGGACTAGTAGGTAATATTTTCCTACTCTTAGCCTAATATTTAGGATAAAAAGATATTTTAACTACTATAAACTAATTATATTAGTAGTCTAGCTATTTTTACTTATAGTAAGACGTGCTCCTTCTTAATTTAAAAGAAGATAAGGGCGTAGATACTCTAGAAACTTTTTTCCCTTAAAAATGAAGAGTAGAGGTATAATACTTCTAGAAGCTCGAATATACTTAATTATAGTTACCTACTCACGATTTCCGGCTTATAAAAGAGCTCTTTTCCTATAGTACTCTATAGAAGTAATAATCTTTTTTATATTACGCCGATATCTATAGTAAAATCACTCTTATTAAAGTTAAAGATATCGTCTGAGATAATACCCTACTTTTTAATTGTTTTTTATACTAAATTAAACTATGGTTTAATGATTCTAGGGTCTTCTAAAAGGGCTCTCTAATAGTCGTATTTACGAGAGAATCAAGTAGAGAGATTTAGGTATTATTTGATAAATTTAGCAGGCTAATAATTACCTATAGTAGAGGGCGTAGTTTTTCGGGTATAAAGTAGTAGATTAGCCATATCTCGTAATATAGGCAAAGTAAGAGCTGCCCTTTTAGAATCTATATCTAGTAGCTATTTTTTAATCGATCCTTCCTTAATTTCGGTGAAAATAAAGCGATTATATCGCTTTTTAGTAGCAGATTCACGCCTATTAATCTGTGCCTTTAAAGTTGAGATAGGGATATCAAAGGATCGTATAGTAGCCGTAGTAGAGGGATATTTACTATCTTTTATAGCTTTTATAGCTAATAAAAGGCGACCCTCCTGCTCTATTAGCTTTTTTTTCTTATCAGAGCGCTTAGGGGGCATTATTATTATGGTTAAAGAAGATAAAGTAATATTGAAGTGGATTTTTGGTGGGGTCGCTCGCTTAACTGGGTCGCCCGCGTAACCGGACTTCACGTTAGAAATCGCCCTAATTAGTTATATAGTTCAGATTAGATAGTAAAGGATAGATAAAGAAGTAAATAAAGAAAGAAATAAAGTTTTACTTCTTCTTCTTAGATAGCTTTTTAAATTTAGTAATAAGCTATTTTATATTTATATTATCTTTAGTAATCTATTAGTTATATTCTAAGGGCTAGCCTTTCTACTTTACTAGAAAGTATATCTTATTTTTAATAATCTTTCTATCTTAAAGCTCCTTAATTTCCTATTTATCACTATTATATAGATTAGATAATAAAGATAATTTAGTACTATCTTAGATATACTAAGATTTAAGTAGTATAACTAGGAAGATATTATATAAATATTTATATTTAATAGATAATCTAAGATAATATATTTATTTACTAATCTTAGTAAGGATCTTAAAGAGCCTAACGAATTTTAGGCTAAGCTTTTTAAAGAGAAGATTTAACTTAAGGTTTTTAGCGGCTAATTCAACTATATTATTA